CTAAACCCTAAACCCTAAACCCTAAACCCTAAACCCTAAACCCTAAACCCTAAACCCTAAACCCTAAACCCTAAACCCTAAACCCTAAACCCTAAACCCTAAACCCTAAACCCTAAACCCTAAACCCTAAACCCTAAACCCTAAACCCTAAACCCTAAACCCTAAACCCTAAACCCTAAACCCTAAACCCTAAACCCTAAACCCTAAACCCTAAACCCTAAACCCTAAACCCTAAACCCTAAAAGCGTCGACATCCCGATGCCTTACGCCGAGAACCTCGAGAAGATGGCCCTCCCCACGGTGGAACCCTAAGTCATTTATTACACCTAATCCTAGGTTCTCTGCGTCGTACTAAACCCGAAAAGTCACTAGCATTCGCATCCTTCCTGTGCACCTTCACGACACCCTACGGCCATCACTCGTCGACCAGCACGGCACCGCAGACTTCCCCCTCGACGCTCCGGACGTCGCCGGACTCTTGCGTCAAAGTGCCTTCTTCAGTGTTCGTGTTGGACGACAAACGACCAGTCATACGTTGTGATAACGCGAGAGAGTTTCGACTCTCTCTTCGATTCGTATTTTTTTTAGATTTTTCCGACTCATCTAATTCTCGCACATCCTCGGTGTATTCGCGGGACGACGACGGCGACGTGCGAGTAGCGCGACTGTCACGTTTGTGCTTCACAAATCGTACGCGTCATCGCGCGGTTTCTAGATGCCTACGTTGAATCAATCAATGCCCTTCTGACTCCAGAAGGGATAATAACGCTCGCACCACGGGCGTCGACGCGAGCGTCGCCGACGGATGGTTGATGCGAGCGAGAAGCAGTTCGTCAACCTTGGCGCGCAGTGCTTTCACGAGAACGCCGATTTTTGCGGGCGCTGCGAACGTCGCCCAATCGTCGACGCGAACGAGACCTTGCTCGTGGTGGACAGCGATATCGCCGCCAAAAAGTAGAAGCGAATACGAACCGACCATGGTGTTGTCGCGAATGTACACTTTTGCCGTCTCGACGCGTTCGCTGTATACGATCCATCGGCTCTCGAACTTCCCACAGTGAAAGTTTACCGATGCCGGGTGTAAGAACACGCGCCCAAGGTCCTTCGAGTAGTATTTCAGCTCGCGACTGTTCGCAGCCTTCGCCACGGCCCCGGATGTCGTCTGCGCGTACTTGGTCTCTGGATGCTTCACTCGAACGACATGAGGGTAGAAGCCAGCGACGAGCGCGCCTTTAATCACGCGGGCAGTTTCGCTGTTTGAATCAGCCTCCGTTCCTCCCGTTCCGAAACGGCGCATGTTGTTGATGTACTCGCGCCTCACGAAACCTAAATCGGCGAGAATCGTCGCGTAGTCAAGCCGACTCGCATGTACCGCCTCAAGCGCTTGCGAACTCAAAAAGTATTCCTCGCAATACCGTCGTTCGAACGGCTTTCCTCGCGCCTTTGCCTTTGCCCATCCCTTATACGCCGCAACCATGGTCAGGTGGTCCGATTTTGTCGCGGAAAGACTTCGCTTCGCCTTGTCCGCAGCGTCGCGATTATCCTTCGGCGAGAAGAACAACGGTCTACCGCTCATCGCTCCGGCGATCGTGAGAATAGGATCGAGACAGCCCAACAACGCGCCAAACAAAAGCATTTTACCTATACGAGCGTCGACAGGCATCTGCGCCAAGTGACGTCCGAGCGGCGTCAAACGTTCATCGGCGTCGAATGCTCGCAACGCGCAAAGCTCGTCAAGTGCGGCGTGAATTGCGCGAGTATCAGGCGGTGTCAAAGCGGCGCCGAGCGTCTGCGCGACTGGTTGTTCGCTCATAGCCTTGATGGACAAACACAACTGCTGAAGCGGCGTTCGAAGCATTTCGGGCGGTTGCTGAGGCAACATGTTCGCGAACTGCGCTCGCGAAAACATGGCGAACCGCGCGCCCGGCGCCGTGCGACCAGAACGACCTCGCCGCTGCTTCGCCGCCGCCTGCGAGACCCAAGTGTCTGCAAGCACTGATAACCCGCGCAACGTATCGTACTGCATCTCTTTAGCACGTCCCGTATCGATGACATACCGCACGTCGTCAATCGTCACGGATGTCTCCGCAATGTTGGTCGCCACGACGATTTTCCGCACTCCATCTGGCGGACGTTCGAATATACGCTTCTGATCTTTGGAGGACAGCGAGCCGTAAAGCGGTAGAATGCGGAGCGCACCGACGTCATCCGCCTCTAAAAGGCGTGATTGCTCGAGTTTGCGAATCAACCGCAAAATTTCAAATTGACCCGGCATGAAAATGAGGATCGCGCCGAGGCCGACATCTTTCGGGTTTGTTCCCGCAATGGGCGGTGGAACTAGCGCACTCGGACCGTTTTCAAGCTCTGTTTGAATAATTGCACCAACGAGCTGCTCGATGGCGTCATAGTTGATGATGGTTTCGTCGACGTTTTGAATACTTCTTTGAGTCGGGACAGAGTACCCATTCAACGCTCTCGACGCCTCAGACAGCAAGTCCGCTCGTCGACGTTCCTCCTCGATTTGCGTGGGTGTCATCGCAGGTGTCTCGCCGAATTGGTCTTCAACGTCTGGCGCACGTTTTACCTCATACGCGCGTTCATCGTCAGCTAAATCCCAATCGTCAGGAACGTCGTCGATGCCGTCGTCGTCGTCGTCGTCGTCGTCGTCGTCGTCGTCGTCCGAGCCACCTTTGTCCAGCCCGAGAGCGGCGCGCTCAGCCTTACGTTGCGCAGCTTTTTCGGCTAAAAGCGTCTCAACTTCTGCGTTTGACTTCACGCGTTTGATTTGCTTGCGCTTCGCGTATGGTCCACCCTTGCCGACCGTATGACCAGTCATTTCGAATACGTCTTCTAAGAAGTATTCGCGAACGGGATGCGTGAAGCCGGCTATGTGGACTTGCGTCGTCGACACGCCGCTTACCGCGGCGATTGCGGATGGATGCTTGAAATAGTCATCGAACAGGTCCGCATCCGCGGTGGCGGACATAAGTACGATTCGTATTTTCGGGTTCTTTGCTATGACTCTTCGCAGGAGCAGCAGCAACAAGTCGGAGTCGACTGAACGTTCGTGAACTTCGTCAAGAATAACGTGCGTCGTGTTCGCGAGCAAGGGATCGGAAAGCAATCTTCTAAGCAGAACACCAGTCGTGCAGAAAAGAAGTCGCGTTTTCGACGATTGCTTGGATTCGAGTCGAACGGAGTAGCCGACGACGTCACCGCACCTCTCACAGCGCTCCGCCGCGACTCGTTCGGCGAGGCCGATGGCGGAAATTCGACGTGGCTGAGTGACGATGATGTTAGTCTCACCGCCACGGCCCGCGGCGATTTCAGATTCAAGTATGAACTGAGGCACTTGCGTTGACTTGCCGCAACCAGTCTCGCCGCTCAGGACAACCACAGATGATTTGTTCACGGCTCGAGTCACTTCTTCTCGACTTCCGCTCGCCGGCAAATTCAAACGCACGTTCATCATCGCATACGCTTCACCTTTGCCGGATTTTGCCGACTCAAGGTATGCGTTGAAAGCATCGAGCAACCTTCGATTCTCAGACACGATATCGCTCTCGGAAAGCCCTCGATGCGGGCGTTTTGTGTTCTGTCGTTTCGACTCCGCCGCCGCCAGAGATGGCGTCGCGGCGCGATTTGGGGCGACGTTCGGCACTCGTGGCTTCGGTACGGGTGGCCGATTCGATGCATCCGCAGCGCTGATAGTTTGCAACGACGAATGTGTTTTCGCGACTTTCTCCACCAAGCTTCCGGCAGCCTCTATCATAGTGTACACGCAAGGCGCGCCGCATCCATCAATGGCGAGCTTCGCAAGCGCTCGAGTCGCGCCGAAAAACTCAGCTCGAAGTTCACCGTGCGCATGAAATGCAATCAGAGGCGGTTCAATCGCTGGATAGCCACCGTTTTTGAGGCGGTACACTTCGAGATATCCCTTCACGCCGGCGGATGTATCGATTGCGACGCGAACGCCGGCGGGTAAGCGCTCAACCGTGTCTTCGCCGCAAATGGCTTCTATCGCCGTCAATTCGTCTTCCCAGTCTTCGTCGTTTGCATCAGAATCGTGGGTCGGCCACGCCTCGTACGATTTCGAAATTCCAGCGAGAACTTGGCCGAATAAGTGAGCGTGCGCTTCCTCTCGACTGGAGTGCGCGCGCAATGCGTCGTCGCACGCCGTCGCCGCGTAACCGCGCTCCCAGAGCCAGGCCGCATCCTCGCTCGACGGCCTCGAATCGATCTCCACGGGTTGAGCGGGTTTGGTTTTACTGAGTAACACCACTCCACCCTCGTTGAGCGATTTAGGAGCGTACACCGTGGGTAGCCTGTAGTCGGGCACGTGAACGCACAACCAGCTAATCGCGCCATCCAGCGCGGCGATGTCTTTCGATTTCGTCGCTTTCGATGCCGCCAGTGCGTCTTCGCGCCCGAACCCTAAGCTTTCCAATTTGTCACACAACGCGTTCACCCCAGCTATCTCAACGTCTTCTTCGAGCTGCATGTCTTCGTCTTCGTCTTCGTCTTCGTCAGACGCGGACTCGTAATCTTCTTTGAGTATGGATTCCACGAGTGCTCGCTTTTCCTCACTCATAGTCAAGACTTGTGCCATCTCCTGCTTTGCAAGTCGTTTCATTCGGGCGATGCGTTGCTCCTCTCTCGCCGCTCGCTTCTTCGCATCCTCCACTTTCTTTTTTTCCATCTCTTCGCATTGTGTGAAGGTCTCCTTGTATTGATTCGGCAACAGGCGCTGCAAAGGTAGCGTGTTGGCAATTTTCGCCAGCGCCACCACCGCGACTCTATGCTCAGCCTCTAATTTCGTCTCGCACTTTTCGTTCCAGAAGAACACCTTGTCCTTGTCGGGCTTGTGCTTGTCTCTTAAAACGAGTTTGCACGTCCACGTCGATTCGCCGTCGAGCTTTTCTTCCTTCGCACGAAACACGGGAGCCTTATACTCCTTCTGTTTTTGCACAAACTCGCGTAAGATTGTGCTCGGGAGCTTACAGCTCATTCTTGCAAACGGCGTGGCGACCTTGGAGTCGGGATTCGCGGCGCGTTCCTTCGCCGCTTCCTCCTTGAATTTTTCGCGCTCCGCGATGATGAGCGCCGCCTTCGCGCTCACCTTTGTTGTCTTCCCATCGCCCACCACGGACTCCGAACCGCTCTGTTCGGCCACGACATCGGCGTGCTGCTTCGCGATGTGCTGTTTCAGTCTGTCCTGTTGCTTGAATATCCGATCGCAGTGCGGACACGGGAGCTCTTTTGGTTTTACTTGCGCTGGGTCGAAGCCGCTCTTAGAGCTCATCGCTCCGGATGACACGATGCCGCGCTTGGCTTTCGCCAAGGCTTTCTTCTGGGCGTTACTGGGACCCATGACGCGCGCGCGCTCCCCACGCGCGCGCGCGCGAGCGAGGTCGCGCGACGCGCGCGAGCGAGGTCGCGCGACGCGCGCGAGCGAGGCGACGTGTGACGGCGCGCGGACGCCTCCGCAGACTGCGACGCGCGTGTTCACGCATGACGACCCTTCGACGCCTCATCGCGCGCACGGCGCGCTCGGTGACGTCGATGCGAACGCGCGCATCGCTCTCCGCGTCCTCGTTTCACGCGAACGGCGACCGCGCGAGTGCGGTGGAGGAGGCGAACGCCTCGCTCGACGAAACGTTCGGCCTCGGCGGCGTTCGCGTCGGCGGTGGAGGCGATGACGCGGCGCCTACGGGTCGCTTAACGCACGTAGACGAGCGCTCGGGTGCTGCGTCCATGGTGAACGTCGGTTCGAAGCCGTCGACGTCGAGAGAAGCGACGGCGTCGGCGCGGGTGTGGCTCGGCGCCGAGGCGTTCGCGTTGGTACGAGAAAATAGAATGAAAAAGGGTGACGTACTCGCCACCGCGCGCATCGCGGGGATCATGGGGGCGAAAAAAACGCACGACTTGATTCCGTTGTGTCACGCCATCGCGATCGACGCGGTGAAAGTTGATTTAACGCTGAATGAAAGCGAGCGCGCCGTCGACATCGTCGCGGTAGCTTCGTGTACTGGTAAAACGGGAGTGGAGATGGAGGCGCTCACGGCGGCGGCGGTGAGTGGGTTGACGATTTACGACATGTGTAAAGCGGTGAGTAAGGACATCGTCATCGGAGACGTTAGGTTAGAGGCCAAAGTTGGTGGCAAGAGCGGGAATTGGTCGCGGCGTGAAATAGAATAGAAAGCGAAACATGGCGTCGGCGACGATGGAGCTTTCGTATTAGAACTAAACATCTATCTTCGCGCTATTCGAACTCGCGTACGCAGCGCAGTAATTTACAGTAGAAGCCATCCCACTCCGAGAGCGAGCATGGCGAAAGCCCCTCCGCCCCAGAATGCGCCAGCGGAGCCAAGCTGATCGCACAGGAATCCAGCCATGTAGTTACCGAAACCAAGAGAAAGGCCTTGTGACATTGCGGCGATGGCGAATCCAGTGCCGCGCACGTTTGGTGGCATCGTCGCGCTCAGCACCGCTTTCATGTTCCCTTGCGTCATGGACATGTGAACGCCGACAACCAGATACCCCAAGAACACCTGCCACGGGACGTTCGCCATGACTAGAATGACGTCGGCGACGACCATGAGGCCGAAACCGACGAGAAGCATGTTCTTACGGCCGTCTCGTCCTCTTTGATCGGCGTTGTCCGCGTACACTCCTAGTGGATACGTCAACGCCGACTGCATGATGTTCGTCGCAAACATGAGGACCGGCAAGTAAGCCACTTGCATTCCGACAGCTTTGGCGTGTAGTGTGACGAAAGCTTCGCTAAATCTGGCGACTTTGAGAATTGAAAACACGAGAAGAGCTCGCCAAAACGCCCAAGGCAGCTGCGCCACCTCTGTCCAACTCCAATTCCATTCGCCCCACATGAAGCTCGTAGCCGAGGAGCTTTTCGTTCTTCCGGCGCCTTGTTGTTGAGCTTCGGCCCACGGATCATCGGCCCAAATCAAAGCTCGCGTCCGCAAGTCATCTTGAGTCATTTCACCACCGTCGGCGCGCCGAAACCAAGTTTTTCGCCTTCTCGTTTTTCTGATGCGCACCGTTCCTTCGTTTTCGGGAGCGCCCTTAGACTCTTCAAAGCCATCGACGATTTGATCTAAGAATGGCGACACCATTTTCGCCCGAGATTTCATTTGCCACAGCCAATCTCGCACCGTCTTCCATGTCTTTTGCCCGCGATGCCAAACGATTTCTCTGACGTTTGACGTGCACGCGGTGCGTCGCCAACGCGCTCGAAGATGGGGCATGGCTAGTGGACCCCGCGTGTGACGTTTCCACGACGGCAGCGCGCGTCCTCGACCCGGCAGCATGAGCGGCTTGTACTTGGGCTTACTCATCAGACGTTTCGGTTTTCGCACGCCCTTAATGAGAATGAAGATGGCGATGATGGACGGCACGGCGGCCAACGTGAAGGTGGCGCGAAAGTTATTGTGCGTCGCCTTCATGCACGTCATCGCTGCAAGAGAGCCCATAACACCGCCAAGCGTCGTCATCGACTGATGCAATCCATACGTGGATGAACGCTTCGGTCTCGGCGATAAATCTGCGATGAGTGCGTCCGTCGGCGCGGCGCGAATCCCCTTACCAAATCGATCCAAAAGCTTGCCTAGCACAACCTGTTGCACGCTCACCGCGGAAGCCAACGTGAGTTTCATAGCCGCCGTCATGATTGAACCGACGGCAATGACCTTGACGCGAGACTTGAGGACGTCCGAAAGCACGCCAGAGAACACTCGGCTAAAGTTTGAAACGAAGAGCGCGAACCCTTCCATGGCGCCGATGCGCGTGTTGCTAAATCCAAATTCCGTTTGCATGAACACCGGCAGCAAGGAGAACACCATGCACGTCGACGCCGTCCATAAGAATCCACAGGTCGCGAGCGCCCAAACCGAGAGATTATCCACTGGGTTTTGCACAACCGTCGGCAGCGGCGTTCTCGCCTGCCCGGGCAGTCTGTGTAACACGTAGTGAATGATCCCGGGCACGCCCTGTCCCCCCACATTTTTCGCACGTCTTCCATCCACGTTCGACGTCGTGTCATCCTCGTCTTCTTCCTCTTCGTCTTCGTCCATCGATTTCACGCCCTCCATCTCGCGTATGTAGCCCGCGTACCAAACTTCTTCGCTCGAGGGCTGTTTCACGCGCTTTCTAAAAACCGTGCCTTCCGCGAACGTCACGTCCATATCCTCGTCGCCACCGTCTGCAGATTTACCGATCCCCGGCGGCTCGTCGATGGCTCGCGTTCGCGTCCTTGTCCGAGAACCTCGCCTCGAGCCGTCGGCGCCGTCGCGCGGCCTCGACGTCGACGTCGACGTCGACGTGCGCACGGATGAGACTTTTCGCTCGATCACGAGCGTGTCTATGGAATCCCGCGCGCTCGATCCTCCATCGCGCGCCGACGCCGACGCCGTCGTCCCGCGCGCTTGGATTCCTCCCCCCGCGCGACGTCGCGACGCCGCGCGTCTGAACGCCCTCTCGCTCGGTCCCCCCCTCGCGCGCGACGTCGCGCGCGTCGCGCACGCCGCGTTCGGCGTCGCGCACGCCATCGTTCTCGCCCTCGCGCGCGTCGCGACCGACGTCTTCTACGCTTACCGACGCGCCCGCGTCCGCGACCGCGCGTCTGGCGCGTGCTCGAGCGTGCCGTCGATTCGCCGCGCCGCCGTCGCGCGCGCGCGTCGCGCCGATCCCGCGGCGCGCTCGCCGACGCGCGTTCGCCGCGCGCGCGCGCTCGATCGACCACTCGCGCGCGCCGAGGCGCGACGCAGTGCGGGCGCGCGCGCCGAGGCGCGGTCGGTCGGTCGGTCGCCGCGTGATCGCGGGCGCTCCGATGATGGCCATCCAAAGCGCTCGAATGCGTGGAGCGACGCGATATCAGCCTGCGAATGTTCACATAACATAACTCTGACTGCGAATGTCCGAACACGCGGCGTTCGCGGTCGCGGTCCTCCGCGTTCGTCGCGCACACGCGCGCGCGCGAACGACGCCCGACGTCGACGCGAGCGACGAGCGACGCAAAGTTTTTACGGCGAGAATCGCGCGCGCCCAGGACGCACGCGCGCCCAGGACGTCTCGACGCGACGCGCACGACGCAAACGCGGATAGCGAACGACGAGGACGATGATGACGACGGCAAACGTCTCGCGGGTCGCCGCGACGCGCGCGATGACGACGTCGACGACGTCGACGCGACGCGTGATGGCGAGTAAATACATCGCGCGAACGGCGACGACGACGACGACGGATGCGCGCGGACGGGCGCACCGACGCGCGGGCGCGATCGCGCTCGGTGGGTTTGAAGATCTTCCCAGGAGCGGGCTGGAGGGACAGGCGCTCACGTTCCCGCACAAGAAGGAGTTCCCTTCGCGCGCGGCGGTGTTGTCAAACATTCCCGATGAATGCTTCAAGAAGGATACGGCCAAGTCGTTGATGTACGCCGCGGTGTCGACGGCAATGACGGTGGGGTGCGGCTTGATCGCCGCGGCGACATTGCCGTTGCAGGCGGCGTGGTGGCCGGCGTGGCTTGCGTACGCCGCGGTGAACGGTACGATCGCCACTGGATGCTGGGTGATCGCGCACGAGTGCGGCCATAACGCGTTCAGCGATAACCGATTCATTCAAGACGCGGTCGGGTACGCGTTGCACTCGGCGCTCCTCGTGCCGTACTTTTCCTGGCAGCGGTCGCACGCTGTCCACCACTCACGAACGAACCACTTGACGGAAGGAGAAACGCACGTGCCGTACGTCAAGGGCGAATTGAAGGGTGACTTGAACCTCAAGGCGAAGAAGAACTTGGGTGAGGGCCCGTTCGCGATTCTTCAGCTCGTCACCCACTTGGTTTTCGGCTGGCCGGCGTACTTGCTCACCGGCGCGACGGGCGGGAGCGCGAGAGGCGTCACCAACCATTTCTTGCCTAACATCAATACCGGCGCTTTGGAGCTGTTCCCGGGAAGCTGGAAGAAGAAAGTGTACTACTCGGACATTGGTGTTTTCGCGTTCGTCGGCGTTCTCGCCGCCTGGGTTGCCCAGTGCGGTTGGGCTCCGTTTGTCGCCCTGTACCTGGGACCGTATTTGTTTGTCAACTTTTGGCTCGTCTTGTACACGTGGTTGCAGCACACCGATGTGGACGTCCAACACTTGGCCGCGGACGAGTGGTCGTACATCAAGGGCGCATTCTTGACGATCGACCGCCCGTACGGACCCGTGTTTGACTTCTTACACCACCGCATCGGATCCACTCACGTGGCGCACCACGTTGAGTGCGCGATTCCGCACTACAAGGCGGTCGAAGCGACCGAGGCGTTGAAGACGAAGTATCCGGAGTACTATTTGTATGACCCGACGCCGATTTGGGCGGCAATGATGCGCGTCGCGTCCAAGTGCGTCGCTGTCGAGAAGCGCGGCGAAGGCAAGGGTGCGATGTGGACTTTCACTGACGGCACGGCGTAATTATGAATGATTATTAGTATTTAGCAGCTCTTCGCGCACACGCAGACACAAACATTTTATTGATACACACTAACGAAACTACTACGTGCGATTCCAGTTGCGAAAGACGAGTACACACTTGTACACACTAACGAAACTACTACGTGCGATTCCAGTTGCGAACGACGAGTCCTGGAGCCGCGCTGCGCAGCTCCTTGGCTCGTCGAATCGCTCTCTTCAGCTTCACCTTCTGACTCTGCGTCTCGCGTTCACTCGAAGACGACGAAAGCATTTTCACACGCGAATCGATCGGTCGCACCGCCGGCGTCGCCTCGACGAGCGGGATCGCGCTGGTGGTCTTCGTCGGAGACTTGGCGTGAATCGGTGACGAAGACGGACCGACAGTCGTAGTCGTCGTGTTCCGCTTCAGCGCCGCGCGTAAATCGTTGCTCATTTCTATCAATCGCTCGCGTTCAACGTTCGCCCTCGTCACGCGTTGACGAAGCGCCACTATCTCACTCACGAGCGCGTCGTGCACCACGTTGTCTCCCGATGTGGACGTCATGTGTCGCTTTTCTTCTGAGCGCGACCTCGCCTCGAGCGCGTCGCGCAGCGTCGAAACCGTCGCTTCCAATCGCGCACACTTGCTCTCCAAACGTCGCACTTCGCGGGCGGTCGCGGTATGAGCGCCGTAACCTTCATCGTCATCCGAGGACGAGCGCGCGCGGGTGCCCGCATCCATGAAACGAGTTTCGCGCGACGTGTCGCTCGCGAAGGCGTCGGCGTCGACGGATTCGAGCTCGCTTTCCCACGACGGCGTCGTGCTCGCGTTCGCCAGCGTGCTCGAAGACGTCGTCACCGCGCGTGTGGGATCGAGATCACGATTACCATCGATAGTTCTCAGTCTCTGTCTCGCCACAGGCGCGCCGTCGCGGTGTCGCCGCACTGGCTGGGGACTATGAATCGTCATTTCTTTCGTCAAACGGCGCATCGCGCGCTCCAAACTCGCGCACGCCGCGGCGAAACTCTCGTTCGATGGTGTTGTCTTTGTTTTCACGCTCATTTGGTCGCGCGCTGCGGGCCGGGCGCGCCACAGCGAGGGGAAATGACGCGGTCAACGCGCTGCCTCGTCGGCAGGTGTGAAATCCAAAAGCTCCCTCGCGTGTCTCGGGTGTCGCGTCGATGAGTGCGCTGAGAAAGAGCGATTTCGACGAGCGCGCAACTGTCTGGGCGATTTCGAGTGTCTGTTCGAGTGATTTAATTAATCTGCGAATGTTACAGAAAGTTTAACTACGCGCCGCCTCAATACAAACGTCGCCACTAAGGAGATTTTTCGAGCAAAATCAGACGCCCTACGCTTGGATAAGATCGCTCTTACCTTCAGCGATCGCCTTCGCCGCGTAACCAAGCTTGTTGGCATTACCCTTGGTACCACGCGCGAGCTTAGTCGGCACTTGCTTGATACCGACCGCAATTTTGGTGATGAGATCAATCTTCGTCGGCAAGTTTTCGAGCGGCTCAATCTTGTTCGCGGCGATGAATTGACCGTCCATGCACGCACCCGTGAACGCAACCTCCTTACCAGCCTTGTTCCAGACCTTGGTGAGCGCCTTCACCGCTTTCATCGTCGGCGCAACGTTTTCATCCACAAAAACCCACGCGTTCATCCCAGTCGAGCACTCGGAGAGGGGCTCAAACGCCGTGCCTTCCAACGCCTTGCGCAAGAGCGTGTTCTTGGCAACCATGATGTGGCTTCCTTCCGGCAAAGCTCGGCGAAACGTGATCATGTCCTTGACCTGTTCATCGAAACGAGCGCATTTCCGTCAGTCTTCGACCTCTCAACGCGCCCAATACTCGGCCTCGGCCTCGGCGAGACGCCCGCACGCCCGCGACCTAGCCCTAAAACCCTGCGAGCCCCATCGTCGACGCGCCCCGCGCCTTTGCGCGCGCCTCGACGCTCTTACGCCGGCGAACGGGGCACCAAAGGGCGTGGCGATTTTATTTATCGCGACGCTTTCGTCTTGAACGCCGTCGGCGTCGTCGCGGCGCCACGAACGCGCGCTAAAGGGCATCCCTCTCGATAACCCGCGACGACGTCGTCGTCGCGCGCGGCGTCATCCGAACGCGTCTTCGCGCGTCCTCGACCGCGCGACGCGATAGGATCGCGCGTGCGCCGCTGTCACACGTACCGTCAACCCCTTGTAGTTGAACCCAGCCACCAAAAACGTCTCTTCCGCGCTCGCGAGCTCGCGCAATCGCTCGAGGTCGCGATTCTTCTTCGCCTTGGTCGCCGCGCCGACGACTTGAAGGGCGCCGCGCGACGGTTGCGAGCGCGCGTTGGTGGTGGTTTGCGAGCAAGGGCGCGGCGCCAAAGACGCGCGCATCGTGAGCTGCGCTTGGGGGGCGATCATCGTCGTCGTCGCGTACGGCGGCGCGGTATGACGCGACGGCGGATGGGTCGGGCGACGAAAAGACCCGAAGCTAAAACCTAGCCTGCGGCGAAGGAGGAGGACGGGCCGTTTGTCCCTTTGGGTGGTCTACAGAGTGGTGTAATTATATCGATATCGCGCGTTTCGCTCTAGTAGTAATGCTGAACTAAGGTTTGCTCAATATACATGCTCATCGTTCGTTCGTTCGTACCGCGTGAAAATACATTCGGCGCTCGCAGCTCACGACAGCGCCGCGGCGACGGGCGGTTCAACCTTGACTTCCGCAGCCGCAGCCGCAGCCGCAGCCGCAGCCGCAGGCAGCTTATCACCCACAGGCGCTTGAATTTGGTCGTGTTGCTGCTGTAGCTGTTGTTGCTGCGCCATCGCGTTCATCGCCTCCAACACGTGAGGCGGCATCGACGCGCCCATCATCGCCATCATCATGGGGTTGTCTCCCACGGGAGGAAACACCGGCACGCCCATCACGTCACCAGCGGTCGACGCGCCTGGAGGTGCGGGAAATCCCGCACCAAACATCGGAAACGCCGCGGTTTGCCGCATCATCATATTCAACAGTTGAAATTGCTGTTGCGCTTGCTGCGGATCCGGCGCTCCTCCTCCTCCTCCTCCTCCTCCTCCTCCTCCACCGCCGCCGCCGCCGCCGCCGCCGTCGCCGCCCCCGACGCCCGCCATCACCGGCTGCGTGGAAAGTAATGCAGCCATTACGTGCGGGTTCATGAGCGGTGGGAACGGACCACAGAAAGCGCCTGGAAAGCGTGCGTGCGCGGTGGACGTGCTCGGATCACCCGCCTGCGACGTGTCGCGCGCGACGTCGTCGACTCCGGCGTCCAGCGCCGGCGCCGTCTGACGCACCACTTGCTGCGTGTAATCGATGAAATGAGAAATGTAAACGTGCAAAGCGGCGTTTTTCGGTCGAGGTAAGGAAATTCCGTATGGATTCACGCCGTGCGATCCGCCGAAGTATCCGACGGGCGGCGGCGGAAACGCCGAAGAAAACTGCAGTCCCAAGCCGGCGCCGAAACCGGCAGCCGCGTGCATCCCGTATCCCGTACCCGCGCTCGCGTTCGTGAGCCCCCCATTCGTCGTCGTTGTCGTCGTTGCCGTAAACATCGCGCCCGCTACTTTCTTCGTCGTTCGGCTGCGTTTTCGCTTCCCGTTCTTCTCGCCCGCCGACGCCTCCGTCTCTCTGTCTACGTCCGCAGCGAGCGTGGCGAGATCGAACAATGCCTCCGCGATTTCGCGTTCCTTCGTGTTGACGCCTCCATTTTTCCTACTTCTTGGTTTCACCGTCGTCGCCGTCGACTTCTTTTCCGCCTCGCGTCGCTTGGCGCCGGCGCGCGCGCCGCCTCTACCGTCTCGAGCGTCCGCTCGCTTCTTCTCCGCCGTCTTCGCTCCATCGCGCGCCTCACCGCCGGCGCTGGCGCCACCAATCCCTATCGCCCCTTCGTCGCCATCACCACCCCCCTCTCCGACGGCCGGATCGCTTTTTCGCAGTCTCCGCCGAGTCGCTATTCGTCGTACGTAAAAATCGTCGTCGTCAGTCGCCGCTCGCGCCGATTCTCGCGTCGCGTCGTCGTCGAAGCATCTCGAGCGCGCGCGCGCGCGCACGCACCCGTTCGCGCGCGTCTCGGAACGTTCACCACCGTTCCATCCTCTCCCGCCGCACCGCCGTGCTCGTCGCGACCGGCGTCGTCGCGACTCGCGTCCGTCGCCGTCGTCGATTGAACCCGCGTCGACGCCCGCGTCGTCTTCGTCCCCGTCGCCGCGTCGGGCGCGCGCGCGCCCTGTCCGCTCAGCCGCGAGCTCGTCCGACGCGCGTCCCTCGCCATCGCGATCGTCGTCCGCGCGATCCGAATCGATCGATCGATCAATCAAATCAAATCAATCCGCCGATCGTCCAGTGGAGTTCGAACGACACCGACGCGTCGTTCGCGAGCGATGCCGCGCGCGCGTCGCCCCCCCCGTGCGCGATCGCCGCGCACCGCGCGGTGATATTTCCCTCGTCCGTTTCCGACGCGCGTCGTCGTCGTCGCGCCCTCGCGCGCGCGAAGAGCGCCCCGCGATCGACGCCGCGAAAAGCGCGCGCGGCGACGGCGCGACAATGCGCGCGCGCGATGCGACGCGCGCGAGCGACGCCGCGACGGCGCTTCGAGGCGCTCTTCGCGCGCGCGCGGTGACGGCGGTGATGACGATGCGCTTCGCGTCGACGCGCGCCGTCGACGCCGCACGTCGCCGTCGCGCCGCGCGCCGATCGCGATGTGCGGCGACGCGCGGCGCCGACGCGCGGACGTGGCGTCGGCGTCGACGATGGGCGACCGACCGCGTTTCGGACTGTTTGCCCACGCGTGGACAGCCCATCGTCGGCGCCGAAAAGCGCTGCAAACTTTGATCGAGCGCGGACGCGCCGACGCCGGGGCGAAGATCGCGAAAATCCGACGGCGCCCTCGAGACGAGCGTTCCGCGCCGCGCGTCCGCACTCGAACGCGCCGACGATCGAGGTCCGAGCCCGACCTCGCGTCCACGCCCCCGTCCCGACGTCCCGACGTCCCGCGCGCGCGAGGAGGACCCTCGAACGCGCGCGCGCGAGGAGGACGTTAGGTCAGTGCGTCCGAATCCACCGCGCGGCGACGCGAAACGAACGACGAGCGAGCGTCGTCGACGATGGACGCGAGAGACGGCGATAAGGAAGAGAATGAGTTCGTCACCGGGCCGCTGAGCGTGCTCACGGCGTCGGTGAAGGCGAACACGCAGGTTTTGATCAATTGTAGAAACAATCGCAAGCTCTTGGCGCGCGTCAAGGCGTTCGATCGACACTGTAACATGGTGCTGGAAAACGTGAAGGAGATTTGGACTGAGGTGCCGAAGACGGGGAAGGGGGCGGCGAAGGCGAAACCGGTGAATAAAGATCGATTCATCTCCAAGATGTTTTTACGAGGCGATTCGGTGATTTTGGTGCTGCGTAACCCAAAGTAAACTCATTTACGCTTAGACTTTGTTGTGAGACGAGAGAAGACACTACGTAGCTAATGTGGTGATTAAACGTTTTTCTTCGTTCGTCATAGTCGAATCATTCCGCGTCGGGTTTGGCCTGTCGCACGAGCATGGCGTCCATGAAACGCGGGCACAGCGTCGTGAGCGGGGGCAACTCGTGCGAGGGCGAGTCGAAGAGCGCGCCCCAAGGCATCTTACCCACGCCTTGAAGCGCGCCGCCGATGACGCGCTCGTGCGCTGGAACATCGTCGTCGTCTTCAGTGCTGAGATTGAGCGCACGAACGCTCGCTTCGGTGTCGGCGAGGTATTCCTTCAACTGCGGGTTCGCGGGCGCGCCGACGACGGCGACGCCGCCCGGGAACGTCTTTGTCGCGAGCTTAAGGTCGATATCCATATCGTCTCGCACGCGCGCCTCGCGGTTCGTCTCAGCACCTACTCGTATGATTTGTCTGTCGCGCGTGATGACGAGCATCGGCGTCGAAGACTCGAGCGACGTCGCGGCGGCGGCGCGGTCGGAGCGATCGCCCGGCGGGAAAATCACCGCTTCCGGCGCGCCGTCGCGGCACGCGTACGCACTCGCGGGCGTGGCGTCCCGACCGGTGAATCGCACGACGACGGCAGCGTTTTCAACACCTTCGACATCTTCGCTCGATCGCTGCGGCGCGAATACAGCGACAAACATCGCCACAGACGGATGCGCGAACAAATCGACGCACGGCGCCGAGTAGACGCGCCATGGCTGTAAAGTTTGCAAATTCCAAAACACCAGCGTCGTTCCGTCGCAGGCGGCGAATAGAGGCTCATCAGCGCTGAATGCAACCGCTTTGATTGGGTTCTCGGGCTCCCCATCTGGCGACGACTTCGGCATTGTCAACGTCGCGAGCTTGGCGTTCGTCTTGGGATCCCAGAGCACTATTTCATTCGCCGCCGTGGCGAGAATAGAGCCGTCGGCGCTGAACGCGCCGCACGTGATCGCTGATCCACTCGGATGTGAGGCGCTCGATCGGCATCTCCATCCCGCGTGCTCGCCGCCTCGCGAAACTCGACCGTTCGGGATCCAAATCTTCACCTCCCCCTCGACGCCGGCGGTGAACGCCATGGACTCCTCGAGGCTGTGCGCGCTCGGCCGTACGCCGACGGACGTGATCAAACCTTTGTGAGGTATTTCGCACTGCGCCACGCACGTGAATGCGCCACCAGGAACGACGACGTCGGCGTTCTCGTCTTCATCCGTCGTGTCAAGACGCTCCCAAATTTTCAGCGTCTCCTCAATCGCGCTCGTCACCGACGGCGGTTGATCGCTGCGTCTGTCCACGGTGACGAGCACGCGCCCATCGCGCGAAAACGACGCGTGTGCGACGTGTGATTCTAGCGGCGAGTCTTCTTCTCCGCTCGTGTTGACGTAGTTTCTCGGCGCTACCGCGAGATCGGCGATGTGGTTGTCTCGCGCGTAGTCGTAAAACTGCAACGCGGCGCCGGCGGCGGAAAACGCGAGCACATCCGCGCGAGGATCATACGCGACTACGGACGCGTACGCCACGCCATCGGCGCTCTTTGTCGATTTTGCATCAAGTACGGGTGGACGCACGCCCTGAATAGTCCCTTCAACGGTCATCGACGCGACGTTCACCAGTCGCAAGGCGTTGTCCGAACCGAAGAGCGCCAGTCGCGAGGGATCTTCGCGTCGCGCCACAATTTTCGTCAACGGCGCGCCTAAACGCGGTAAATATGTCTTTTTCCCGTCTTTCACCGTCCAAATCACCAACACCGCCTCTTCACCGCCGGAAAACAAATGCGCGCCGTCCGCGGAAAAGTGCAAGCACCCGACGGCGCGAGAGTGCCAGTGCGACGTCGTGCTCGGCAACGCGTCGCCCTTGACCTCAGTTTCCTCGCCCTGCGCCTCGCTTTGTAATTTGCGCACGGCGCGCGCGAATCCGTGCCACATCACAATTCTTCCGCTCGAGTCCCCGGCGGCTAAGATCTCGTCATCGTGCGAGAACGCGAGCGCGGTGACGCCCTTGGTGTGATGAACGCGCAACGCGCGAGAGGCGACGCCTACGCGATCCTTGCCCACCCCCCACACGTACATGGTTCGTCGTTCCACGCACGCCACGAACGCGCCACTGGCGCTCGCGACTAACTTGCACGGTCTCGACGTCTTTCCTAACTTCTCCACAATCTTCCCTTTAGATAAACTCACCTTGTACACGCGTCCGCCGCCGTCCTCGCGCGCGCTCGCCGATACGTACGCGTAATCCTTCCCGCTCTCCCCTCCTGGATACACCACATCGTATATCGCGCACGGAAACGCATAACTCCGCACCGTTTTCTTCGTTTCCACGTCCCACACGCTCAGCGTCCCGTCCGCGCTCCCCGTGACGACGTGCGTCTGCGAATACGGCGACGCGCACGCGCACGTCTGCTCCGCCCCGCGCGCGACGACGACGCGTCGCCCTCGTCCACCGCCCTCGACGTCGTGCGCGCGCAGGCACTCCCTCGCGGGCGTGATCAGCACGCTATCTTTCATCGCGAACGTCCCGGACGTCGCGGACGCCAGCGCGCCGCCACCGAGCCTGCGCGCGTCGTCGTTTTCCGCGCGCGCCGCCGCCGCCATCGCGTCGTCGTCGTTTCCCGCGCGCGGCGTCGCGTCTTCCGTCTCCCGACGCGCCGTCGACGCGCGCGCCGCGCGAGGCGTTCGCGCCATGCTCGTTCTCCGCGCCTCGCGTCGCGTGGCGTCGCGTGGCGTCGCGTCGCGTCGTCGCGTCGTCGCGTCGTCGACTGCCGCCCGACGGACGCGGCGCTCGACACACCACCGCGCGCGGCGCGACGACGCGACGACGCGACGCGACGCGACGACGCGACGACGCGACGAATTGATTCGAATCGAATCGCCGCGACGCGCCGCGACGCCGCGCGCGACGCCCGACGATGTCCGCCAAGACGCCGATCGCGCTCGTGCGACTCGTCGTCCCCGCGGGCGCGGCGAAACCGTCCCCGCCCGTGGGACCGGCGCTCGGACAGCACGGAGTGAACATCATGAGCTTCTGCAAGGACTTCAACGCCAAGACGAGCGAACACAAGAGCGACGTGCCGGTGCCGGTGGAGATTGCAATCTACGGCGATAAGAGCTTTGAGTGGCGCATGAAGACGCCGCCGGCGTCGTACTTCATCGCCAAGGCGGCGGGGGTGGCGAAATCTTCCACGCGACCGGGACACGCGTTCGTGGGGAGCATTAATTTGAAACACGCGTACGAGATCGCCAAGGTGAAGGCGTCGGACGAGACGATGGGACACGTGGGATTGGAGAGCGCGACGAAGTCGGTGTTGGGGACGGCGCGAGCGATGGGGATACGCGTCGTCGATCCGCGCGCGACGAACGTGAATTAGTCAAGTCGCGCGTTAGATTTTGAAATCATTCGATGAATAATAGATTAGCTACAAAAGTTAATTCTACACCCTGCGTACGCGATGTTGTTTTCACACGCTCGGTCGTCTCGTCTGCGCCGCGTTCTCTTTTTCCAGCGAGGCGATGTGGGAGTAATACGATATCCCCGCGATAGCCACTAACCCACCGATGACGTTGTTCCAAGTCACGGGAATGTCGAACAAGAGCCAGCCGAAGAAGAAGATGAACACCGTTTTGACGTGGCCGATGACTTGAAAAGACAACGCGCTGAAAGTGCCAATGCACATGTACTGCGAAATGTTCACCCAAATCGCCAGCAAACACGACGCCGACAGGAACATCACCGACTCACCGGTCCAATAATAGTCCGTGATAAAGCTTCCAGTCAATATTTGATCGAGAAACGGGCCGACGGTGAGCATGGCCAAGGCCATGAGCGGCGCCGTTCGCCCGAGTAAATCGTTACTACTGATTGAATATTCGCTCTGTAATCGACTGACGAGGATTTGCTGCGCGCTCGTGGACAACACCGCGATCGCGGCCACGATGGTTCCCCAAAAGTTCATCGTCGTTTCCTGCAACGTCGCGATACCGACGCCGAACATAACCACTCCGATGGCGCGCGCGAGCGCCCAAGAAACCTTTCGCCCGAAGAACGCCACCTCGATCAGGCACACCGCGGGAATTTGCAACAGCTTGGCGAGCTGATAAAACCCGACGTGATTCAACATCAGCGACAAGTTAAGCGATATGATGCTCGTCGACGCAACGGCGACGAAGGCGAGCAGTTTCTTTTGCGGCAGCTCGCGGCCGCCCTTCGCGGCCTCCGCGCGCGCCGCCGCCGCCCCGCGCGGTCGACACCACCGCACGCTCATCGTGCACAGGAAGTGCATCCCGCACAGCGTCGTCGCGTACTGAAACGCCAATCCAGACGCTCCCATGAGCTGTTTATTCACCATCACGATCGCCACCGAGCTCACAAAGTTGGACGCCCACTTCATCGCGTCCGCGGTGGACAGCCGCGACGAGGACGCGGCGATGGACATGACGACGGATTCGTGGACGGATTCGCGATCGTGATTCGCGTCCACCGACGCGCGCGCGCTCGAGCACGCCGCGCGCGGACGAGTGGCGACGCCGCGCGGGACGCCGACGTCGTCGCACACGCGCGCGCGCCGTCGCCGCGGACCGCGCGCGGCGAGGATGATGCGCGCCGAGTCGCTCGGGCCCGAAACGAAACGCCTCGTCGTCGGTGACGTCGCGTGCGACACGGTGCGAGACGACCAGTTCAGCGTCATTCGTCGGGCGGAATCGATCGGAGATGAATTCTTGGTGGGAAACTTTGATTTCGGCGAGTTGGGATCGGGCGGGGGGAAAGGCGGTGATACCATGGCGCGAACGCGCGATGGGAGATATTTCATCAAGACGCTGAGCGAGGGCGATGGTAAGAGCTTGCTCGAGGACGCGTTCCTGAAGGATTACGTCGCGCGGGCGACGACGGGGCAGAGCCTGCTGTCAAAGATTTGCGCCGTGATATCGCACGATAAACTCGGACGATTCATCGTGATGAATAATTGCGTGAATCCCAGGGTGAAGTGCTGGAGTCGGTTGTACGATTTGAAAGGCACCGCGGACGACAAGACGCTCGTCGCGGACGGGGCGGCGGTGTATCACGCGCACAAGCGATTTTACAACGTAAATTTGCTAGTGCGCGAATGTTTCGGGTGTTATCGCGACGTGCCCGTGCTCAGGCAGAGATACGTCAAGGGTAAGCACGAGGCTTTCGATGCGCCGATATACGTCACGAAGGCGCAGAGGGAAGAGATTTTAACGGCGCTGAAGAACGACGTGGCGTTGTTCGACAAACACGGGCTCATGGATTACTCCTTGCTCGTCGGTATCCAGCGCGTACCCGCGAACGAGGTCGACGAGGCGATGCGAGCGTTTGAGCATGACGTGCATAATAAGCCTTACGTCATCGAATACGGTGGAGAAACGTTAATACTGTATTTTGGGATCATAGACTTTTTGCAGCGCTGGACCGGGGGCAAGAAGGTCGCGCACGTCATCAAATATCTCTTCGCCCCGCGCCCGATTTCGACGGTAAACCCCAAGACGTACGCCAAACAGTTTCTGGACTTTTTCGACTTCAAGTTCAAGGGCGTGGCGTTCGAGCGCGAGAACCTGGCTCGAACGTCGAGCGTGCGCCGTTCGTTCAACTTTGGCGGCGAGTCGAGAAAGGGCGGCGCGTCGCCGACGGTGCTAGAACGTCTGAAATCCGCCGCCGGAGTCACTATCATGGCCGCGGAAGAGGACTAAATAATCATATTCATCGAACTCTCGCGAGTAGTAGTTTGCATTCCACCAAAAACCGCGACGCGCATCCTAATCCGCGACGAACGATTATTTCACGCGCGAGGCGAGGCGAGCGCGCGAAGGCAAAGGTCGGACGACTCATCATCTAAACAGATGCGTTTTGCTCAACAAAGAAGCGCTAAAGTAGTTTTAATGGTGATCCCATCGCCGCGCGCCGAGACAAATTTAGTTGAAGTAACCTTGCTTGCGCGCTTGCACGCCGATTTGCCCGAACATCATGCACGCGAACAACCCCATGTGCCACGTGAGCATGTACAACCAAATCTTGTCGTCGGCGGCCGGACCTTGCGGGAAGTTGGCCAAGTTGGCGCCGATGCGATCGCTGAACACCTGGAACAAAGACGCGTTGTTCTCGAACGCCGGGCACGGCGACGCGGACGGGACGACCCAGCCGAACAAGGACGCGAGGTGCACCGGGACGGAGGACTTCTTCCAGTCGTCGTCAAACTTCAAGTCGGACGACGCCGCCACCTTGACGGCGGCGCGAGCCTTGACGGTCTTGCGACCTACGCGCGAGCGAAAGCAAACGACAAAGCTCCAGTCAGTCTTCCGCGCGCACTTCTATCGCGCGCTTCGATCGCAGCATCCATCGTCCCGCTTCGGTCGCGCCCAATCCACGAGTCCCGACCCAGCCCCGACCCCCTCGCGCGCGTCGTTCGAACCGAACCCGCGATCGGCCTCCGCGCGATCGACGCCGACTCGTCGCCGTCGCCGCGCGCGCGACGCGCCGTCCGCGTCCCGTCCGCGACGCGCGCATCCTCCGTATTCCGCACGACGTTTCCACGCGCGCGTCGCGTCCGCGCCCTCGCGCGTTCGGCGCCCTCGCGCATCATTCCGATGCGTCGTATCCACCGCGTATCCCACGCGACGCGATTCGCGCGTCGCGACTGCTCGCGTCGACGCGACGCGACGCGGCGCGCGCGCGCGTCGTCGGCGCGCCCGATCCAACGCGAAACTTACCTCGCACATCGCGACTGAGCGCGGATCGACGGGCGACGGTGATTTGCGTGAGCGCGAGCGCGACCATGGTTCGACGCGAGAGTGCGGCAGTGCGGTGCGGGCGACGACGACGACGCGGGGCGGGGCGACCGACCGCCAGACCACGGCGACCGACCGCCAGACCGCGGCGACCGACCGCCTGCGATCGACCGATCGTGACTCGAGATTTGACCCCATGCCGCGCGCGCGTCGCGTCCGCGCCCTCGCGCGTCGTGATCATGGGCCTCCGCGGACGCGAATACGTGGACACGCGACGCACGCGCGCGACGTCGAAAACGCGCGCGCGCCCGCCCGACCGTTGCCCGCACACGCGCGCGATGGGGACGCGGCGCGCCCGCGCGCGGCGCGACGCGCGAGACGCGACGCGCGCGTCGACGTCGACGTCGACGTCGACGTCGACGTCGCCGGCGCCGGCGTCGTGGCGCGCCGTCGTCGCGACGCGAACGGCGCGACGCGCGCGACGCGACGAGGCGACGCGCGCGACGGACGCGCCGGTGGTGTGGCGAGAGTACGCGCGCGACGACGCGCGCGCGACGGCGAGCGAGGACGCGCGAAAAAGTATCGCGCGAAGAAGCGCGCGCGCGGCGGACGAGGACGAGGACGCGGACGAGGACGCGGACGAGACGACGCGGCGCGCGGAGGATGAGGACGAACGCGAGACGCGGGCGGCGTACACGCGGGCGTACGTCGACGCGCTGCGAGCGCCGTCGTGGGTGCGGGACGTGGGGAATCGCGCGCGCGGCGAGCATCGGATCGACGAACGGGCGTGGGACGCGGACGGCGCGGAAGACGAGGAAGAGGACGAAGAAGACGAGACGACGACGTCGAGCGAGAATGAGGAAGAGGAAGAGGAAGAGGAGGACGCGCCGTCGAAAGCTGCGACGAAGACCGTGGTCGGTGTGAGTGCGAGTGCACGTGTGTGCGTGCACGCGGAGGATGAGCCAAAGTCGGGAGAGCGCGGTGTCGTCGTGGATCCGCGCCGGGCGAATAGAGTCGCCGCCGCCGCGGTGGCGGCGCCGGCGGCGCGAAGCGCGGCGGCGATTTCCGCGAAGTGGGTCGCCGCGCTCGCCGTGGGTGCCACCGCGGTGGTGGCACCGTTCGTCATGCGCACGTCTGGGTTGAATTCGCTCGCGCCGGGAAGTTCGAACGGGGTGCAATTTCGTGACTTTGGTTTGTCGAGCGCGCGCCGATGGATGTACGACGGCGATCGTTCGCTCCTCGAATCGTCGAGTGACTTCGAGACTTTGCAACGGCGTCTCGCGGAGATGGAACAGCGGCTGCGCGACGCAAACGAGGAAATCGATCGCGCGAGAGAAGACGCAAAGGCTGCTGCGAAGATGAGGCGCAAGTTAGACGAGGCGCGAACCGAGGCGAGCGAAGCCAACGCGCGAGAAGCCGCGGCGGTGGCAGATCGTGACGCCGTGTGGAAAGCGCTTCGCGGACAGCTCGCCGACGCTGCGAAGGCGCGCGCGGCGATAGAAACTGAGAGCTTGGCCATCGCCACAGACTTGGAACAAGCGAAGACAGCGCTTGACGCCGCGCTGACTTCTCAATCGTCGTGCGGTGGCGCGGTGGACGAAGATTTGAGCGCCGCGCTCGATGACGCCGAGGCGAACAAAAGAACGCTTCAAGAAAAAGTTGATAACCTTTCGAACACAGTCGATCGCTTGAATCGACAGTTGAGTGAGCTGAGCGCATCCAAGTCCGCCGAGCTCGACGCCGCGGAGGAGCGCGATCGCCTTCGCGAGGAAACGCGACGTGTCACGGAGACGCTCGCCTCAAAGGAACAACGACTGGGTGAGCTCGAGCGACGACTCTCGACTTCAGAGATTGATCTTGATGTGCTTTCAAAAGAGCTTATTGATCGTGAAACGAAGTTGCGCGATGCTTTAGCGCGGGCAGAGGAGATGGAATCCGCCAGCTCGCTCGGCGAAGACGAATTCGCGCGAAAGCTCGCTGTGCTGCAAAAAGAATTGGAGACGAGCAAACGCCGTGCCGAGGACGCAGCGGCGGCATCAGACGAAGCCAAGAATGCCCGAGATGCCGCCCTCGACGAATTGCGCAAGGCACAAATCGAGGCGCAGAGCGAAGCCGACAAATTTGAACGCGCGCGCCAAGCGTCTTTACGCGAAACGAGCGCCAAAGTGACGCAATTGGAGAACGAACACGGCAAGCTGTTAACGCAGTTAAATCGTGCGGAAGCCGCGCTATCGGAGTACATCGTCGTTTCCACCGCGCATGTGAGCGCTGTAGTGAGTGAGCAAAAGATGGCGTTCGACGGGGAAACCAAGGCGCTTCAATCGCAGCTTGAAGGAAATTCGACGCTCGCGACACAGCTGGAGCAAACGCTCAAGTTGACTCGCGAGGAGCACGAGTTGACGAAAGTAGCGCTCGAAACCATGGAACAGGATATGCTCGAATCGCAAGAGCAGTGCATGAAGGAGGTCGTGCGCACGGCCACAGAGTTGTCGGAGAGCAACGCCGCTCTGACGCAAGCGCGCGAGGCGCTCGACGCGCTGGAACTCGAAATGTCCGAGTACAAGAATCGCACGACGACTTTAGACGTCGATATATCCAACGCTGTTGATACTGGTGACGAAATCGATGTCGATGCTCTCGTGACTGCGCGAGATGAGCTCAAACAAGCTTTGGACGCCGCGCGCGAGGAGCGGCAAAAACTCTTGACTCGCCTCGCTTTCGCTGAAGAGGAACGCGCGTTTCGTCGTAATGAATCAATAAAGTTCCAGGAAGCCGCGACCGAGGCTGGAAGACTTCGGAACGAAGCAGAGTCGAGACGATTAGCGCTCGAAGATGAGCTCGAGCGCGTCAAGGCTGAAGTCAAAGAGGCGGAACAATCGCGCGCTGAAGCCGAAAGCGCGCAAAAGCGCGCAGAAGAGCAACGAGTGTTGGCCTTGCGCGCCGTCGAAGAGGAGCGCAAGATGGCGGAAATCGCTGTGGCCGAGGCGCGCGAAGCGGTAAATTCGAATCAGCAAGCTTTGAAAGCGCAGATTGAGGCCGAAGCAGTGGCGGCTCAACGCGCCGAAGAGGAAGAGGCGGCGCGTTTGCGAGCCGAAGCCGAGGCGGCGGAACGCGCGCGCGTCGCCGAAGCCGAAGAGGCCTTAGCGCGAGCAAAGGAGCGAGAGCTCGAAGAAGCGGAGCGTTTACGAATCGCCGCCGTCGAATCAGCACGTTTACGAGCCGAGGCCGAAGAAGCAGAGCGTGCTCGCTTGGAAGCAACGCGACTCGAAGCCGAAGCCGAGGAACGTCGTCGCGTCGCGGCGGAGGAGGAGCAGCGACAACGTCTCATCGCGGCTGCGGAGCAGGAACAGCGCCGCGTCGCCGCCGCTGCGGCGGCGAAGCGCGAGGAAGAAGCGGCATTGGCCGCGGCGTCGCGCGCAGAGGCGCTGCGAGAGCGCGAGCGTGCGCAAGCTGAAATGGTCAAGGCAAAGCAAGAGCAAGCTGAAAAGCGCGTGCAGAAGCTTTTAAAAGCCGCCAAAAAAGCGTACAGGCTCGCCGAAGACGCTCACGCGCGCGCAAAGACGCTTCAAGACGCCGTGTCGAGCGTACCGCTCGTGGAGCGCGAAGACGCCCTCGCGCGCGCCAAAATCGCCGCCGACGAAGCCGCGGCGGCGCAAGAGAAGTGGGACAAGACGTACGCCCTGGCGAAGGAGGCTATGAGATCCCTAGAGTAGCATCACTAGCATTCTGTGAACGAGCGCGTCTAATTGCTTCGCGGAGTGCCAAGGATTTTTCGCGCCACCGCGTGCGTGTCGAAGTCGCGACTTTCGCGGCGTCGCGCGCCCGCCCAGTCCAGCCGATGCCCAAAAACTTTGCCAGCGCCGTACCTCGCCAGCGCGCGGCGTACGAATCGAATCGCGGTTTTGCGGCGAAAGACATCGTCGTCGTCGCGTGACGCTTTGGAGAATAGGCCACGCGCGCGTTGACCGTCGCCGCGTTGACTACCGCTAGTACTTTTACATAACATTCTTTCTATCGCGTACGGATGACTCAAAACCTCCCGAACGCCGCGCAGTTGTGATATTCGTTGTATCGATAGACGGACAACAGCGCCACGGCTAAGATGCCATCGATCAAGACGAACTCGCGCCACGTCCACGCGCGCGCCGCCGGCTGGTGCGCAAACGTCCCCGCGCGATGCTTACTCATGCACCACCACCCGAAACTCGTCGCGGCCAACGCTTCGCCGCGAAAGAACTCGGTTGAGTTGGTGTAATAATACTTCATCGTGATGTAGAATCCCAACGCGTACGTCAGCTGCGGTAGCGCGACGTCGCTCGTCACCACGCGTTCGCTCCGTCGCGCCGCGCTTCGGACGCACTTCAAATCCAGCGCCCACTCCAGCACCATCGCCCCCAGCGCGCTCCACGCCCACCACACCACGCACCGCTGATGCACGCCGAACATGCACCTCGGAAACGCGAACGTCCCCGCGAGCGCCGCCGTCGGAACGACGCCCGCCAGCGCTCTCGCGCACCTCGCCCAGCCTCGCGTCTCCCCTCGCGTCGCCATCGCGCTCGACCACGCGCACGCGTCCAGCGCTCCCGCCACGCTCATGAAGTACATCAACGCCACGTGATTCGGCACCACCTCGACGTATCCACACAGCGACACGTTCGCCGTTCGCGTCGTCGCGTACGCCGCGACTTCAAACAGTTGCCCGAGCGCGATCATCATCACCTCTCCGTGCGCGTGCCACGGCTCGCGTCGCTTGTCGTACCACACCCCCAGCTGCGTGCGACAAAATCGTTCCGCCAGCGTCCGCCGCTTGGGGTCCGCGCGCGCTCGCGCCGCCCGCACCGCCGCCGATGTCGACGACGCCGATGTCGTCGTCGTCGTCGTCGTCCCGACGTCGTCTCCCGTCGCGCCCTCGCGCGCGCGTCGCGCGCGCCCGAGCGCGAGCTCCGCGTCCTCGCCGTCGCCGTCCCGCGCGCGCGCCATCGCCGTGTGCCGCGCGCGGGCGACCCGCGCGCGTCCACCGACGCATCATACATCACAGACGTCGTACTGTTTGCCCACACGACTGCACACACACAGGGTTTCGCGTCGTCGTCGTCGTCGTCGCACACGCCGACGCGCGCGCGCGGGCGCGATGCCGTTCGGATTCCTGAAGAATCTCGTCGGGCACATCGCGCACAAGGGGCACAGGGACGGCGACGCGAAGGCGACGACCGAGGACGCGACGACGGAAAGAACGGCACCGACGACCGAACCGACGACGAAGGAACCGGAACCGACGACGACGACGAAGGAACCGGAACCGACGAAGGAACCGGAACCGACGAAGAGCGATAAGTACGTGCCGCCGAAGACGCACCTGCCGAGCCTGCTGCCGCTGGAACAAGCGGGGTCGTGGGCGGATTTCGAGGACGACGGACCGCCGCGGGACGAAAACCTCTTGGCGCGCGAGCGAGAGGAAACGGAAGCGCGAGAGCGGGCGGAGGCGGCGGCGGCGGCGAAACGCGCGGAGGATGAGGCGAGAGCGAAGGCGAAGGTCGAGGCGGAGGTGAAGAGCGTGTTGCAGAGCGAGGGAGTTGAGGATATGTTGCGCGAGTTGCCGAGCGACGACGAGGAGGAGACGGCGACGGAGACGAGAGCGTCGGAGGATGGCGAAGCGCGAGCGCGCGCGGCGAAGGCGGCGAAGGAGAGCGAAAAGGTGCTCTCTAAGAAGGAAAAGGCGCGGTTGGAGGCGGAAGAGTTTGAGAACGCGCTCAAGGAGCTCGGGTTGGCCGACAAGGTTGACTCGGGCGACGCGAGCGACCCGGCGAAAGCCGAGGCGAGACGCAGGAAAAAGGCGGCTCGCGAGGCGAGAGAAAAGGCTGAGGCCGAAGCCAAAGCGCGAGGTGCGACAACGCAAACAGAGAGCGTCGCCGCGGAACAACCCGCGGCGCCGGTGGAGCTCGTCGATCCCGAGGTCGCTCGCGCCAAGCTCGCCAAAGCCGCGGCGGCGAAAAAGAAGAAGAAACTCACGGGCGCCGCCGCCGTCGCCGCGGCGGCGAAAGAGAAGGCTGCGAAGTCCAAGAAAAAGGGCAAGCCTGAAAAGTCGAAATTCAACGAGTTGCCGTCTTAAAGACTGAAATCAACGACGCTCACACGCAAAGGGAAAGATTTACACATTACATTTAATAACACACACGAGCGGAACGCTCTCATTCGAACTCGAGTTCGCGAAGCTCGCGGACTTCGCGTTCGCTCATCAATCTCCACGCGCCCTCGGGCAAGTCCCCGATCTGGACGTCCCCGATTTGTACGCGATGTAAATCCACGACGCGCAAGCCGAATTTCTCGCACACGCGTCTGATTTGTCTATTCTTCCCCTCGCGAAGGTTGAACTCGAGCGTGCGCGATCCGTGACCGAGACGTTGGACGTTCATGGGCAGTAGTTCCACGCCGTCCAGTTGCACTCGGCCGTTGAGCGAACGCATGTGGGACTCTCGCACGTCGGCGTCCGTCGTGACGACGTACTTTTTCAACACTCCGTTCCCGCCGATGACGCTCCGCGCCAGCGCACCGTCCTCGGTGAGAATCAACAACCCTCGACTGTCTTTATCCAACCGTCCGCACACGTTGAACGACGAAACGTCTCGCGTGACGCGCTTTAAATCATCCATCGGCGTCCCCTCCATCGCTCGCATCCACGCGTTTCGCGGCTCCACGCACGCCGCCGCCGCGATCTCCCCCTCCGCGGGCAAATTACTGACGTACCCCGGCGGTTTATTCACGATCACCGTCAATTTCTCCCTCAACCATCTCGTCCCCTCCCCCGTGATCTCGATCCTCGCGTTCGCGCGCGCCTTGAACCCGAGTTCGATCGTCTCGCCGTCCACCAGCACGCGACCGTCCTCGATCAACCGCTCCGCCTCCCGTCGACTGCACGTCCCTCGCCGCGCCAGTATCTTACTCACGCGCTCTAACTCGTCATCTTCCCACGCTCCTCCGCGCCGTCCCTCGTCCCCACCGTCGCCCTCGCGTTCGTCGTTCGCGAACGCGCCGTCGTTCGACCTCGACGTGAACCCGCGCGCGCGATTCTCCCACGCATTCGTCGCCGTCCGCGTCGCCGCGCGGTTCCGTTCGCTCCCGAATCCCCGCTCGCGCCTCTGGTCGATCGTCCGCCGTCGCCGTCGCGCCGTCGCGCCGTCGCGCGCGCCGTCGTCGTCGCCGTCGCCGTCGCCGTCGTCGTCGCGTCGTCGTCGCGCCTCGCCCGCCGGTGTTCCGCCGGCGCGCGACGACGCGACGCGCGACGGCGCGACGCGCGACGCGCGTCCTCGCGCGCGCGTCGCGAGCGCGACGACGCGCGCGAGCGCGAGCGCGCGCGACGGCGACGCCATCGGCGATTCGATGCGTCGCGGCACACAGTGACGCGAATCGCGTCGCGCGCGTCGAGTCGCGCGTCTCGGCGCGTCGCGCGACGACGACGCGCGCGATGCGCGTCGTGTCATCGCGCGCGCCGAGACGCGCGAACGAGGCGCGCGCGCGCGCGACGACGACGCGCGGTTCGACGCGAAAGGCGCGACGAACGACGACGCGGACGCGCGATGACGCGTCGACGCGCGCGCGATGGCGACGACGGGACGCCGACGGGACGGACGACGACGACGCGCGCGCGCGCGCGTCGTCGTCGTGGACGGCGCGGGCGCGCGAACGGGTCGGCGCGGCGGCGATCGCGGCGGCGATCGCGGCGATCGCGGCGATGTCGACGCCGGACGCGGCGCTCGCGGCGCGGAGCGGGGGACGGATGGGCGGTGGGAGCTTTCGAGCGGCGAGCGCGATGTCGTCGCCGTCGTTTCGGGGGCTCGGGAGCTCGGGGATGGGGTCGACGCGGGGCGCGGGACTGGGCGCGCCGTCGCCGCGGGCGAGCGGCGCGGGAAGCGGGACGCGGACGTCGTCGTTTTTCATCGGACCGGGACTTGGGTACGGGTACGGCATGGGGTACGGCATGGGGTACGGCGGCGGAGGGTTCTTTAACCTCGTTTTGTTTGCGATGCTGGCGCTCGCGGCGTCGAACGCGCTGCGGAACGCGACGGGACGCGGCGGGTTCGGCGACGGATTGAGCGCGGGCGGGGACTCGATCAGCGTGGTGAAGATACAGGTTGGCCTGTTAGGCTCCGCGCGCGCGTTGCAGAAGGATTTGGAGCGCATCGCGGACAAAGCCGACACGTCGTCGCCCGACGGTTTGCACTTTGTGCTGTCGGAGACGGCGCTCGCGCTGTTGCGTAATCCCGAGTATTGCGTCTACGGCTACGCCGCCTCCAAGGTGTGTCGCGGTCCGGAACAAGCGGAAGAGACGTTCAACGATTACTCCATCGACGAGCGCGGGAAATTCGAGAAAGAAACCCTCGTCAACGTCAACGCTCGCCGCCGCGCCGAAACCGTCGGCGTCGACCCCGCCGCCGACACCAACGACTACATCCTCGTCACCATCATCGCCGCCGCGGACGGCGGCGTCAAAATGCCCGACATCACCGACGCCAACGACTTAAAGACCGCGCTCAAGCGTCTCGGCGCCGTGCGCGTCGAGGCTTTACAAGCCGTCGAAGTCTTATGGACGCCGCAGGAAGACGGCGACGTCCTCACCCAAACCGAGCTCTTGCGCGACTACCCCATCCTCGTCAACTTGTGAGACCTCGCCCTTCGATCGATTTCTTCGCTTCGCTTCGCTCGTCCCGCGCTCGCATCGCCCGACGATCGCTCGCCGTCCTCGAAAGAGCCCCTCGTCGCCGAAAAACCAGCCGAAAAACCGCCGAGGAAAAAAGCCGTTGACATCGCGACGGTTCGGTTCGTTCGTTCGTCCCCCCTGCGCGACACGTCGCCGCGCGCCGACCGAGGACCGCGCGCGCGAGAGACGCGATCGAGACGTAAAAAAGAAAAAAAAAGCACCATGCACGCCGACGCGAGCGCCGCGCACGCCGCCGCGCGCGCGACGCTGCGTCGCCTCGCGATGCATCTCACCGATGCGATTCAGCGCCAGGAGGTCCATCAGTGGTCGCGCGGCGTCGCGACGACGACGGTCGAGCTCGAACTTCGAGCGCTGTGCGACGCGCGCGATGCGCTCGAAGTGATGGCTCGAGCGCTGGACGGCGCGATGGCGGCGACGCGGGAGAATGGACGAGAGACGGAACGCGCGGGCGCGGCGCTGGAGCGGGCGCGGCGACGCGCGTTCGCGGCGACGATGAAGGCGCTGGAGAGCGTGAGCGAGGAGCGAGAGGCGCTGCGACGAGTGCGGGAATTTTTGGAGATGCCAGGAGATCTGGAGATGTACGCGCGGATGATGGACGGTGGATTTGAGGTGATGAAATCTTCGGAGAGTCCGCTGCGAGCGGCGACGGAGGCGACGCGCGCGGCGGAGACGCCGACGTCATTCTTGGGAGCGAAGGAACGCGACGATCTAGCGGTGAGCGACGAAGATGTGAGCGAGGAGGAGGCGGTGCGATTGTTTGAGACGTTTAACGCGTATTCGCAACCGATGACGCCGAGAACGTATCATCACAACGGCTATCAGTTGGACTCGTTTGAGAGCGAGGTGAAATCCAACCGCTACGGCGACTCGCCGGGGGGTATCAGTGAAGACAGCGCGTACGGCGCGCAGGACGACGCGGATGCGAAAAAGGGCGCGGTCAAAGCGAGTAAGACGCACAACGGTGGCGCGTGGGTGGCTGTGGCGCTCGGTGCGATCGCGGCGGCGGGGCTCATGCGCGCCGCGGCGACGCCGCAAGTCGCCGCGCTCAAGGCGCTCGCGGCGTTGAAGATGGGCGCGTTTAAGCGACGCGCCGCCGGTGCGGCGCAAAAGGTGTCACAAAATGCGCTCGTCAAAGCGAAAGAAGCCTTCACGAAGAAGAAGCGCGCGGTCGAGGCGACACCCATGGCGGACCGTCGAGCGACGTACGTGGTGAAGCACACGCGCGCCGCGTTCGAGGGCGACGCCGGCTTGGAGGCGCTCGAGCACGCCGGCACGCGAGGCGTCGCGTCCATTCGAGTGTCGAGTGATAGATCATCGTTCGTCGACATCCCCGCGCGTGATTATCGCTGGAAACCGAGCGTGATGATTGGTCGCGGGTGAGCGACGACGTCGAGCGACGCGCGTCAGAGCCACGAAAGTCAATCCACCGCGCGCTCGACGAGTCAAAATCCCGATTCCGCACGCATCCAATCGTATATTTAATACAGCTAAGGCTACTGAAACACGCGTTCGCATCATCTATCCAACGTCGTCCCTACGCGTAACCTCGCGTGAACAACGACTTTTGTCGCTTGCGTCGCAACAGCCCATCCTTCGCGTCGATCACAGCCGCCGCCTCTCGCAAGTGTTCCGGTCGTATCTCCTCGTACTCGTTCATCCCTCGCGATTTCATGATCTCCCTCGCCGTCTCCACCATTTCTCCGACGAACATCTTCGACACCCCCGCTAATATGATCAATCCGTTCGCGTTGAGCGTCACCCCGCTCGCCGCTTTGAACAACCTTCGCAACATCGTTTTACTCAGATTACTCCTGCGAAAGCACTCGTATCGCTCCATCTGACTCGGTGTAAACGTTTTCAAGAGTTCCAGCATGCGCGCTCGATCGGCATCGCGCTGCGCCTCGATCGAGGCGTCGTCGTCGCGCCGCCGGTGGTCGAGATCCTCGCCGTCCACCATCTCACCGTCATCGTTTTCACCGCCTTGCTCGTTCTCCGCGTCGTCATCGGCGTCGCCCTCGACGGCTGCGTCGTCCGCACTCGCGTCCGCAGCCTTTTCGGTGGATTTCGGCGCTTTCTTCGCGCGTTTCGCCTGCGAATCGTCGGAAATGATGGTTTGTCGTCAGTCGCGAATTCGTCCATTTCGGCGTCGCGCGACGCGTACGGCGCGTCGATCGGCGCGAATCGCGCGTCGCGCGCGCGCACCGATGATGGTTTCGCGTCCGTCGCGGCGGCTTTGCGTTTGGGCGGCATGAGCCGCGCGCGCGCGTCGTCGCGAAGTGAAGTTTGCGCGCTGGAGGCGACGAGGCGGGCGAACAAAGTTGGTTCGAATTTCAATATCAACGTCATCGCGTCTACGGCCTCGCGACTTGCACGGTGAAGGCGTTGTCGTCGGATTCGGAATCACTTCCGCTGGAATCCGCGGCGGCGGGCGCTTGCGCTTGAGTGGACGGTCGTTCGGCGTCGACGCGGCGACGCTTTTCGGCTCGATCGTCCGTCGCGGCCTCGGCGTCGCTCGCATCCGAGGCGTCACCGCGCACTTCGTCCGAGTTGTCGAACGAATATTCCATATCATTACCTTCGTTGCCGTCGTCGTCGTCGTCGTCGTCGTCGTCGCCGCTCGAATCCGGTTCTTGGCCAGTGAAATCTTCGTCGTCTTCGTCGCTCTCGTCGTCGTCGCTCTCGTCGCCGAGCGCGCCCGCCGCACTCGGCGCGTCGTCCGCGCTCGTGCACCGCTTGGCCAAGTACCTACTGACGTGTTCGAGCTCATCTCGGGAAATGTTCGAGAACTCGACGGCGACGCCGTCTTCGAGCGTCATGGACAAATCAAACGTGCTCGAACCGGCGTTTTCGGCGCGAAGCACGCGCAAGTCTTCCAAATCGTCAAAGTGCACGTACATCGCCGGGCTCGGTCCGAACGCCACGCCTTCTTTGAGAAAGAATAAGTGTCCCGAGTTGAACCCTTTCGTCGCTTGCACGTGACCGAAACCCTTCGTTCCGGCGAACACTTTGACGGGATTCGTCGTCCCGCACGTTTCCGCGCCGTACTCGCGTTCGAGCGCGCGAAAAAACAACCGCGCCGCGTGCGTCGATCCCTCCTCACCGTCGCCCTCGTCGTCCTCGGCGCCGTCACCGTCTCCACCTCTTTCGATCACGAGCTTATCCTTCCCTCTGAACGTCGCACACAGCGTCTTCAATCGACTCTTTCCGTTTTGCGCGCCTTCGCCTCGCAAGCCCACGACGACGAGACTCGTCTGATTCGCGTCTCCGGTCTCCAATCGCAGCACCCGTCGCACGTCCCGCCCCTCGATCACTATCTGCGCCCCTTTCGTATTTTCCAGCACCAAGTCTCCGTTCTTCATCACGTGCGCGTCGTATTTCCCTCTCGGCGCGTTGAAACCGACGCCTCGCGCGACGAACGCCGCGTCCTTCGTCGACGCGCGCGCCGCCGTCGCCGCCGTCGCCACCGCGCGCGCGTTCGCGCCGTCGTTCGTCGTCTTGAACGCGAGCGCGCTTCTTCGCGCGTCGTCCAGCGCGTCCGCGATCGGCAGCAGCGCCGCGGCGACCGCGTGCGCGGGCGTATCCGTCGCGCGCGCTCCACCGTCGATGAAGGCATCTTTCGCGACTTTAATGCGCTTCATCACCGCGCCCCACGCGCGCTCGGGGTCGTTCGCCACGCGCGCCGCGAGGACATCGATCGCGTCCATCGCGCGCGGTCGCTCGGCGCGGTCGGCGCGCGCGCGTGTGTCGCCCTCGACGCGAGACGCGCGCGTCGTCTCGGGCGACGCGTCGTAAAAGTTCAAATTTGAAATACAAACGGCTCGCGCTCGAGCGCGCTCAGTTCAATTCCTTCCGCCCGCCGCTCAAAAATTCGCTCAAGAAGACGCTCTCGCCGTCGCGTCCTCGCACCGCGTCCACGCACTTGGCGTTGACGAATTGCGTGATCATGTGGTGTCGCTGAAAGTGGTGCGCCTCGAGCGCCACCAACTCCTCGCGTCCTCGCATCAGCGCCCGATCGAGCAGTCCCGCTCGCACGGCGTCATCGTTCGACGCCCCATCGATCTTTTCCGCGTGCGCTCGCATCAAATCCTTGAGCACGCGTCGCACGTGCGTCTCCGTGGCGACCTCGCGAAGCGCGTAATTATCCAGCACCCACGGCACCTCGCGACACACCGCGCGGTAGAACCCCCTGCCGCGTTTCTGCGCCTCCGCGTACGACGCCGAGGGCGTCTCCGTCGGTCTCGCCGCGCTCAGCGCCTCGCTCGTGGCGTACGCGCGTCGCCGCGCCGTCATCAGCGCTCGCAGCGCCTTCGCCTTCGTTCGCATCGTCGTCGTCGTCGCGATCGCGACTTCTGACGTCGCGACCGCGCCGGACGTCGACCGCGCGCGCGTGCGCGTCGACCGCTCGTCGAGCGCGCGTCGATCGTCGCGCGCGCGAGTGCGGCGACGACGCGCGTCGCGCGATAGGGTTCGGGACGAAATCTGTCTCTCGTATGGGCAAACAGTGAGACGAAGCATAAAGTCGAGTCGTCCCGTCGCGATCGCGACGACGCAGCGCGACGCGCGACCGCGCGCGAGGACGGACCGCGCGAACGCGCGACGATGGCGCAGCAGGGATGGTCGAGCGCGCCGCAGGTGCGCGCGCGACGACGCGCGCGACGTCGCGAGCGCGCGCGCGATGAATGTTTGAAAGCGCGAACGGCACGGATTCGCGAAACTTTGCGCGTCTCGCGCGTCGCGACGACTGACGAGGGACGAACGACGGACGACGCGCGGCGCAGAGTGATCACGGGGGATGGCAAAGCCAGAGCGCGGCGCCGGGATGGGGACACGGGGCGAACGAGGCGAACGCGGCGAACGCGAACGGGACGCGCGCGGCGGCGCGCGGCGACGGCGCGGCGACGGCGACGGCGACGGCGTACGGCGCGCCGGGAGCGATGGACGGGGGGTACGGGCGCGCGCCGGGCGCGTACGACGGGATGGGGGGGCGCGAGGCGAGCTCGAGTCAGGGCGGAGGGTTCGGCGGAGGGTTCGGCGGGGGGTTCGGCGCGCCGACGAGTCCGCGGAGCTTAGCCGCGGCGGGATTGGGGGTGTACGGAGGGAAGTTTTTGAACGACGGCGCGTCGTTCGTGAGTTCGAATTACGCCAAGTATTTCAGCACGGCGTCGATGCGGGCGTACTTCGACGTCACCGAGTCGTACGTGTTTCACAAGATGCGATTGGTGTTGTGTCCGTTTTTGCATAAAGGTTCGTGGGCGCGATTGCCCGAGAGCGTGGCGGGAGGCACGGCGTACAAACCGCCGCGGAACGATATCAACGCGCCGGATTTGTACATTCCACTCATGGCGTTCTGGACGTACGTGCTCACGGCTTCGATTCGCGAAGTGTTTTCGTCCAAGAGCGGTTCGTTTACGCCCGAGGCGCTCGCGACGCACGCGTGGTGGAGCGGGCTGCTGTGGGCGGGCGAGTCGGCGTTTATTTGGGTGGCGCTGCGTTCGACGAGCTCGGCGAACCACATCGTGTCGGCGCCGATTCTCGACGTCGCGGCGTACGTCGGGTACACCTTTACGTACGGCTCGATGACGCTCATGTCGAAAATGTTCAACAAGACGTACGTGTTTTGGTTTTTCCTCATTTGGTCTGCGCTGTGCAACGCGGTGTTCATGGCGAAAACTTTGAAGCGAATCATCTTCAGCGAGGCGAGACACAGCGGTTATTCGCAGAGCATGTCACAAAACTACGTGTTGCTCGCCGTCGTCGTCGCGCAGCCATTCATACATTTCTGGCTATGCCGAACGCCGTAACGGAGGACACCGTCTTTCGGTTTCGGTTATCGGGGAACCAACTGTACTACAACGCGCATTCATGATATTGTTACATCCTACGTGTTCATCGCACTCGCGCCGTCCACGCCCGCTTCCCGTTCGACGTCTAAAAACGCATTCTTCGCGCTCTCGCCTCGCGCCGCCGCTTCCTCAGCCACCGTCCGCTCGTCGACCGTCACCGCAACCCCCGGCGCGAACTTCGGTCTCAGTGGATCGTGGTTTCCACTCGTTTGCATCTCTTCGTACACCGACATCGCTACAAAGACGAGAAATATCCCAAACAAAATCGACGCGCCAATCAAGCCGACGCGACGCGAAAAATCTAGCGCCCTCAACAACAGACTCGGCCGCCGTACGTCCTCGTTCGGTTTCAACCGCGTCAGCACGGGTTCTTCATCATCATCTACCGCGACTGGGCCGAAATCATCCAGTCCCGGGACGTCTTCGCGCCCAGAGCGCGCGCTCTCGTCGTCGACGCTCGCGCCGACGTCGCCGTCTCTAACTTTTAGCTCTGGATCTTTGCTCGGCGTCCCCGAGTCCGCGGCCGCGGCGGTCGAGGACGAAACACCGTTCGTCGCGAACGTTTTCGCGCGATCGCCCGAGGCGGATTCGACGTCGTCGCGGATCATATTGACGTAATCTTTCTGCAAGCCGCGACCAATGTCGCGCGACTTCGTCGCGCCGCGTCGACGAGCGGTCGCGATCGACGTCGTCGACTGCTCGTACGCGCGTTCCATATCGCGCACGCGCGATTGCCACGCCATGGCGCGGAATCGGCGTCGGCGCAGCACGCGATAAATAATGCGGGGTGTTCACCTCGAGCGCGCGGAGGCGGAGGCGACGCGACGAACTAAATGCGTGTCGATTGCATCACAATGGCGGCGAGATAGCTACGTGCGCCCTACGTGCGTTTGGACGACGATTTTTTAGATTTCGACTTCGACTTGGCTTCGAGCTCGTGCGCGCGCATGGCGCTAATTTTTCGCGCGAGGGCGTCGCGCTCCCTTCGTAACCGAAAGTTTTCCCCGTGCGCTCGAACGCGACGGAAATGTCGGCGGAACGCACGCGCTTCGACGGTGTCGACGGTGTCGCCGAGCTTACTGATGACGTTCCGTTTGAAAGATTCGTCGTAGGCGTCGACGAACTTTTTCTGATCGATCGGCGCTCGCGGTTTGTTGCGTTGCGTCGGCGGCTCGGGAATCGGCGGGTTGAAGTCTCCACGGAGCGTGGAGTACGCCTTTGCGAGCTCGCTCGGGGCGTGTGAGCCGGGAGGTGGAGCTATCGCGCCCGAGAGTGGTAAATTGGCAACCTCGTGAGCCGCCGCCGCGCACGTGGGATGGTAGTGTTGCGAAAGTAGACAAAGATCCCAGAGCACGGCGGACATGCCTTGTGCGTGCTCGGGATCGTCTAAATCCATCTGAAACACTCCGTTCCCAATCCGCTCGTTCTCGAGCAAGTTACGCACGCGATGATACGACGCGAGAATTTGGCGGACGACACCGAGCGAACCCAGGCATTCGCCAGCTTCCATGCCGATCGACGCCGAGGTGAGGCGCTTGGAAAACGCCGCCATGCGTGCTTGATCGACTTGCTTGAAACCGCCGATGAACTTTTGAATGGCACGAACGCGCAGCGTGCCGTGATTGAGCGCGCGTTGATCGGTTATAGACATACCATCTTGCCACCCCGCTGCACCTACGCTGGGCTTGCCGAGCATCGTATAGAGCTGACGGTAGAATTCCCCGGTATCCACTTGCAAAACCTCTCCGTGACCGCTCAAAATTTCACACGCCGTCAGCAAAGTTTGCGCCTTGAGCGCGTCCGAGAGCAAGTCTTCCTGGGCCAATAACTTTCTAAACACTTCCATGAGATCACCCAAGAAATCGATGGAGATTAAATGCGTGAACTTTGCCAAACCCGTGAGCGCGGCGCTCAAGAGCGGCAACCCGGGCGTCGGCGCCGGACTCGCGGCGTTCTTCAATACGCGAAAGTACATCTCGAAAGTCGCCTCTAATAATCGACTCTGCGTTTTTTTCTTCTCGCCGAAACTCATCACCGCTGAACCTTCGTCTAAATCTCGATGAAACGCCGCCTCTTCGTCTTCGCTATCGTCTGAAGAGTCCGCGACGTGCCCGAATGATTTCATGCGTTCCTTGTCTTGTTGCTTCCTCGTCTTCTCCGCGCGAGCTCTGCGAATCTTATCACGCTCTTCCTGCTTCTTCTTGAACGTCTGCTTACGAGAAAGAATTTCTTTCCTGTCACGCACCATAGGCACTAATATGCCCTCATCGAAGCGAACCTTGAGGAAGTACGCAAACGCGCACGGCTGAATGTTGCATTTACTCTGCTTCACGAGCTGCGCCGTCATGTGCAACGCCTCGAGCGTGAGATCGCCGCGAATGTCGTTAGACACGACCTCAACCAGAGCATCAGTGACGATCTGCGCGTGACTGGTGTCTCGCTTATCGAAGACGGGCACGATGGCGGATAAAATATCCGTGCGATAGTTGAAGCTCGGCAATCCGATGAGCAAGGCGCACAAACACTTGATCGCAGACTCCGCATCTGGTCCGCCTTTGCCACGCTGTGCGCGAGATTTCTTCGCCCCAGAGCATCTCACTAGCATTTTCACGTACGACTTGTAGTGCTCAAGCAAGCCCGTCTCGAAAGCGCGCGTCTTGAGCACGTCTTTACTCACCTTCATGGACAACTCCTTTTCCGTCGGAGGTCGAATGCGATAGCCCGGGCAAATGTCGCGGTAGACCAAGGTGAGCGATAGCGACGCTAATCGAGCGATTTCCGAGTCTCGGTCTTCACAAAGCGTGCCGATGTCTTTGAGCTCTTTCCACTTCGACTCTGGATCCTCGATGACGCTCTGACACGTCGACGCAATTCGTACCTTGACGCTCTCGCGTCGCGCCTCTGCGCTCATCTCCGCCTCAAGAGCCAATCGCTCGGCTCGACGCTTGTCCGCGAGTTTCATCGCCGGGTCGTTCGCTCGCGCGTCTTCTGAGTCGCTAGCGCTGTCGGAATCTCCCTTTGCGCGCTTCTTCGCCTTCGCCTTCGCCGCGGCTTCTTCCTCCTCGCGCTTTTCCCACCACTTTTCGTTCTTCTTTGATTTCGTCGTCTCCCGCCCAAGATCACTCTCTCGAATCTCTCTCGCCAGCGCCTTCTTGCCCAAACCCTTACCTTCGCCATCGCCAACGTTTTTCCACCGTCCCTCGCCCTCGTCCGCGTCATTCCGTCTTCCTCCCGCCTCCTCTTCGTCGCTCGCCGGCGCGTCTGGCGGCGCCACCGCGTCTCGCACCACCGTCCCGTCCAATCGTTTCACCGGCAACCGCATCGGTTTCTCCTCATCCGGCAAATTCGCGATCCGTTTCTTCTCCTCCTCAACTTTTCGTCGTTTCTCCGCCAACGCGCGCGCGTGCGCCCCCTCCAAATCGTCGTCGTCCGCGTCGCGCTCGCGTCCCGCTCGCCGTCGCTTCCCCCCCTCTTCCTCCTCAAAGCTCCCTTTCGCGATGAACGACGCGTACGCCGCGTTCCGTCGGACGAATTTCACATCCTCATCGCTCACGTCGCTCTCCGAGTCGTCGTTCGCATCGCGTTCGACGACCGGCGCGCGCGGCGGCGGCGCTTTGTTCGTTTTGCCCAGCCGGCGGCGGCGCTTCCCATCGCCCGCGTTCCCGCGTTTCATGCCCGGCTCGAGTCGCGCGTCGACGACGTCGTCGCGATTATTATACCGCGCGTCCGACGCGCGCGCGTCGCCTCGCGCGTCGTCGTCGACGCGCGGGGCGTCACAGCGCGCCGCGAAGTGTCCCATGGATGCGCTCCCGGCGTCGCTCTTCGCGCACTGCGCGCGCCGCTTGCGCCGCGCCGCGCGCGCGGCGCTCGAGCGCGCGTCCGCGGAGGAGCGCCGCGAGATCGAGCGCGACGTCGGGGCCTCGTTCGGGGATTCGCGGTCGTGCGAGCGCGTCGTGCGAGCGCTCTTCGCCCTGGCTGTCGCTGAAAAAGATGCGCTGGACGACGGCGCGGACGACGGCGCGCGGTCGGCGGTGCTGGCGCGGGTGCGAGAGACGACGGAGGCGTTGGCGGCGAACGCGGCGGCGGACCGGCGCGCGCGGTGCGCGGGCGTCTTCGCGGAGGCGGCGAAAACGAACGGCGACGACGAGGCGTTGAGACGAGAAGTCGCGCGCGCGACGGCGAAGAGCGCGCGGGACAGAGCGCGGGCGGTGTGGCGACGAGGGGTGATCGTCAATCATCATCGAGCGTTGAGAGCGGCGGCGCGAGAGGCTGAGGACGTCGACGAGACGTGGGAACGAACGATCGTGGAACAGAAACCGGCGTTGCGCGCGTACGCGGAAGCCGCTACGGAGGTTGGGAATCGCGCGTGGGTGGTGAGCGCGCTTGAATGGTGCGTCGACGCGATGGGGCGGTATTTTAGCGATGGCGAAGGGTCGTTGAAGGCGGCGACGACGTCCTTTTCGTGGCAACTGGCGAACAAACGGCGCGCGAGAGAGTTGAAGCGAGCGATGACGTCGTCAAAAGCGACGATAGAAATGATGATGCGAGACGTCGTCGAAAGCGATGGGCCGAGAGGGACACCCGATCGTAGCGCCGCCGCGGGGACGTCGATAAAGATTTTAGACGTCGGCTCTTGTTGGGATTACTTTAATTTGCATTTTAAAGGACCGTGGCCGGGAAGGTTGAGCGTAGAGACGACTGCGTGCGATCTAATGCCATCGGTACCATCGGTGTACGAATGCGATTGGCTCAAGGTGGAGTTTGGTAACGCGCAAAGAGTGACGGATCGACGCCTCGAAGCCGTCGCGCAGCACGCCGCGGACGTTGTCGTGTTCAGTCTCGTTCTAAGTTACCTTCCAACGCCGAAACAGCGAGGAGAGATGGTGCGGCGCGCGCGTTTAGCGTTGAAAAATCGCGGCGGTGGCTTACTTTTCATCATCACCCCGCATTCGACGGACAAAGGGCACTGCGGACATAAAGCCCTCCCCATCCTTAGCGAATGGCGCGCCGCGCTTCGACAGTTGGGCTTCGATCGCGTGCTCTACGAACGACTGCGAAGTGTGCACTGTTTAGCGTTTAGAACGATTGGTGACGGTGATGAAGCGCGCGTCGCGGCAGCTTCACCGCCGGAGCTTCGTATAGCGTTCGACGGCGCGGCTACTAGCTTTAGTCTGTGAAATGTTTGATTTGATTATTGTACCAATGTACGAGCTAACGAGCATACAGGAGCGAAGGTGCGTGTGACGGTCTTCGCGGTGCCGGGGCGGGCATGGACGCGAACGACGTCAAAGCGTTCTTCCCCGTGCTGACTATGGAATCTAAAATGCGGCACACGTTTGTCAAACGGCGCGGTCCGACGGGCACGGCGTTCACGGCGCGTTGAATCGCTTCAACGCTCGGTAACTCGCTGACACCCTTCTTCCCAGTGAGTTGCACCGTGACCTCGGGGCTCAGAGCTCCGTAGGGATAGGCACCACCCATCATGTTGAGCTTGACGCTAAACAAGCGCTCGTTGGCAAAATCGACGAAGGTGAGCTCGAGCACACCATTGGGGCTACACTTGATTCTATTCAGTCGAGGAAACTCGTTTCGGCATCCTTCAGTTTCTTCCAGCACGCGCTCGGCGCGAGAAAGCTTCGGCGCGAGCTCTTGTAAGACACCAGCGACATGTCCTGCGGGCACGGCGTCTTCGTCCCAAGCGATAGGCGCGCCAGCCAAAGCCGCGGCGAACTGACGTCCACCCTTCGGCGTGGTCTCCGGACCGTCGATCAACGTGACACGACCGGCACCAGTGCTCGCATCGAGCGTCACTCGGAACAGTGTACCGACACGCATCGTCAGTTCCGCCCCCACCGGTCCACCGACGCCTTCGAGACGCCACGGCGCGAGTCCGCTCAACACGCCGAGCTCTTCGCTCGCACTTTGAGCATTCTTTGCCTTGGCGCGAAGCCTCACTTGACTCGCTCTGCGTAATCGAGAAGGCGTGTCGTCCATGTCAACACCGCCGAACGATTTGAAACTCACCGTCGCGTCCGCCGCCGCGTCTTGCGCCTCACGCATGGCGTCAAGTTCTTCTTGCAAACGCTCGCGCTCAGACTTGATGGTCGTCTTTCGCGACTTCATGCGAACCAAATTTTCATCACTGGTCGTTAAAGCGCGACGTGCGGCGGCTATCGCAGCGCGTTTGATCGCAAGAGCTTCCAAAACTTGTTCCTTGGTCGCTGAGGCGGATTTCGCCGCATCAGCACGCTTAGAGCTCGCCGCTCGCTGCGCCCGGAGCTTGATGATGTGGCCATTGGCGCTCGAAATCGCCTCCGCCGCGATGGCTCGCGAGTTCGCGATGCTTTGCGCGCTCTTCGCCAGGATATCGCTGTGGAAGTTCAAACTTTCGCGCACGAGTTCTTCTGTCTCCAATCGCTGCTGCGCGAATCGCTCCTTAGCCGCGAGTTGGCATTCCTTTTTCAGCGCCTTGCCCGCACGACGCAACTCGTTGACGTGCGCCGGATCGTCGGACGCGGCGTAACGTAACAATGGCGGCTGCGTCGCCTCGACTGTCGATCGCAACTTGTCCGTTTCGCTAGTGAGCGTCGTCATTCGCTCTTGGAGCTGCTCGTGGAACCCTTCCAGCGCTTCGATGAGCGGTGCGGTCAGGCAACACAGCTTCAAAGCTTCGGGTTGCGTCTCCGGCGGCGGCGCTGTGGCAAGCGCGCCCATGGCAATGGATGAACGACGTCCTAAGTTCTTCGCTTCCATGAAGGAAATCTCACAAGCGTAGAAGAACGTCTCCAAATCGATCGGTTTGGAGTGCATCAAGGCGTCCGGAATCGGCGGAAGCGACGTGGGGAGGCCTTGCAACATCGTGCCCGTGTGACCGCCAGGCGTGCCAAAGAGCGGGTTGTGCATCGCTGCGCCCGGCGTACCGATACCACCAAACTGCATGAAATTGGTACCACCCATCGTGATCGTCCTCGAAGGCGTGAACGCTTGCATCGCCGGCGGCGCGCCGTAACGTCCGTGCATCGGTGTCGTTCTATCTTGGTACACCTTTCTCATGCTCATCAACGCCTCGTCGCCGTGCTGCTTTTGACGCAAGAGCTCCGCCATGCGCAAAGACTCGTCACCAGGCGTAAAGCCATCGTGTGAGCTCGCGATGGATCCGTCAGTGTTCGGCGTCGCCGTGACACCGGCGGTATTCGCGGGCGTGACCCCGACAGCCACCTGCACGTCAGCACCCGTGACTTCCGCGGTTGGAAAATCCATCGCGGAGGGTTGCGGCGCGGCGACTGATTGCGTCGCGGTCGTACCCTCAGTCGGTACCATATCACCGTTCGGTCCGTAGACGTAGTTGAAGGTATCGGTGCCCATGCCACCCTTGGCTTGGCGCTGCAAATCCAAATTCGTGGAATCGGTCAAATTGAACGGTCGCGTGTTTGCGGTGACGGATGGCGGCGGCGCCCCAACGCTCGCTCGGTTATCCTTCTTATCGTCGAATGCAAACGTCAACGAAGGCGTCGGACCGGGCGCGACGGAACTAGGCGTGGGCGCACCCACAGTGAACGCCATCGTCGCTTCGTCCATCATCACAGTGTTTGCCAAGTTGAGCGCGCTCGCGTGCGCCTGATCGACGGCGCGTTGCGTGGCGTCAACCAACGGATCGAACGTGGGAAGACCGTCGGTGGTGTTACCCATGTCCATGTCCATCTCACCACCTTCTTGATCACTCTGAGCCGCGGAGGCGTTTTGTTCCTCGTCTTCGTCAGCGAGCGCGGCGAGCGACGGCACAGTGCCCGTGATGTCCTCCGTCGCGTCCGCCTTGGAGCCCCGCGTCGGCGTCGGTCTGTACCCAAGCGGCGACTCATCGGCGCTCAAAAGATTCGCCAACGACGGAACAGCACCGGTGATATTTTCCGTCACGTCGTCGGCGTCGATTAACGCACCCATCGTCGGTACCTCACCCGTGACTTCATCCATATTCTGCGAAGCGTTAAACGTAAACGTCCCCGTTTGATCCGCCGAGTTCGGCGTCGCCACGCGTCCAATGCTCGCGCGTCGCTTGCCCGGCGTGTGCTTCCCCTCACTATTTAATTGGGCGCTATTCGACGCGTCACCATCGCTCTCGATGACCGGAGACAAGGAAAAAGATACTCCATCGCCACGCTCGAGCGGCGACGGCGTCCCTTCTCCCGCCGCCGCGACGTTCGTCGTCAAAGTCTCCTGCGCAGCCTTAAACTCGAACGTCTCCGTGCGATCACCTTGTACCATGGGTATCACGTCCACGCTCGTCTCTTCCACGAGTCCGAACCCCGCGGGCACACCCTCGCTCTGCGCGCCGCTCTGGTACGACTCTCCGCTCTTCTCTCGTTCCTCCTCCTCCTTAATAAACTCTCGCACGCTCTCCAACTGCGCCGGATCCGCGAACGACACGCGTCGCCCCATCGACTGTCGCTGCTTCTTTCGTTTCGTGAACGCCGGCGACGCCGGCGCACCCTCGCCTTGACTCGCCGACGAATCTCTTCGCGCCGAGGCGCGCGTCGCGCGCGTCGACCGCGCCGCCGACCCATTCTCCCCGAACACCGCCTGCGACGACGGCGACGCCGCGAGCGCCGATCGCGACTGTCGTTTCAATATCTACGTTCGAATCCGTTCGTCGTCTCCGTCAGTCTCGCGTTCGCGCGCGCGCGCGCCATCGTCGTCCCCGCATTCGTCCATCCGACGCGCGTTCAAATCAAACCGCGTCGTCATCGTCGTCGCGATTCGCATCTCGTCGCGCTCGCGATCGCGCGCTCGCCCGCGGCGCGCACCGATGACGGCGTCTTGACGCCACCGTCCCCGCTCGCGGGGTTCTCCTTCGCCGGCGACGACATGTCGCGTCGCGCTGTGACGCGAGGGGACCGAAGCGCGGCCAACGGGCGAATTTGAATCGCGCCGATGGGGAGTCCCACGCTGTTGAGTCCCGAACGATCGATGATCTCGTATTCAAGGTCTGAAACGTCTAAGAATTCAAAGAGTCGCGGGGCCCGCGCCCCCGCGACCGGTCGCGACTCGACGCGCGGGACTCGCGAATTTAGCGCGCGACGCGCGTCGCGAACGCCGTACTCGGCGCGTCGCGAACGCCATCGCGCGAGACGATCGGCGTTCGTCGGTTCTGATTCCACTTTGATGGGCGTTTCGCGCGCGGAATACGTGGAGGCGGTCGGTCGGACGCGCGCGCGCGCGAGGGGATCGACGCGCGCGCGTCGCGCGCGGCGCGCGGCGCGAGTGCGCGACGCGGGCGCGGGACGCCGGGCGCGGGAGGCGCGCGGGACGAAAAGAAGGGGCGCGTTTGCGCGTCTGCGCGGCGAGCGCGGGCGGTGAGATCGCGTCGTCGGCGCGGTGGATGCGCGCGAAATCGAACGTCTCGGCGTCGACGACGACGCGCGACGACGCGCGGCGACGAAAGCGGCGGTCCGGAGGCGCGCGCGCGACGCGAGCGCGCGAACGAGCGACGCGCGCGCGCGCGTCGTGGGTGATTGCGCTCGAGTCGACGCTCGGCGGCGCGAGACGCGCGCGCGGTGGTGCGCGCGGACGACGTCATCGATGGTGGTCTCGACGACGCTCGCAGACGCCGCGAACGCGCTCGCGGCGCGTCGCGGCGACGAGGACGCGGAGACGTTCGAACGGCGCGTGAGGGCGCTTTACGGCGGAGAGACGCGCGATGCGATACCTGGACAGTGTGTGCTGGACGTTGACGCGAGAAATATCTTGACTTTTGAGCAAGGAAGGTGGGATTTAGTGCGAAGAGACGTCGTCGGCGTCTTCGGTTCGCGGCTCGGCGGCGCGGTGGCGGAATTCATCGACCGCGCGGGCGCGGTGAGCGATGCGTTCGGGACGAGGAGGAATTGCGTGAACCTAAAGAAGGTGTTGTTACATTCGCAATACGAGATAGAGGTGTTGGAGATGCGTTTGCGACGATTGATGACATTTTATAGAGGAGACTTTGGGCAAGCCTCCGGGTACGTCGACGCGGCGAGATATCGCGAGATTTGCACGGCGAGGGGGCGGTGTTTGGGCGCCGCCAAAGCGATCTTCGATGGGCGCGTTTTCACGAAGCAGATATGCTGCGTGCCGAGACATCCAAATTTGAGTCGTCCGCGTCGGTTGGCGTCGATGCCACGGTCGTTGGTGACGCACGGATACGTCGGCAAAGCCGCCGCCGATGCCGCTCGAATCGGCGGCGCTGAGTCATCATCGGACGCCGTCGAGGAATCATTGAAAGATTTGACCGTCGCGCCGCCGGCGGCGATGGACGCGCGGGCGATGACGCCTGCGCTGACGAAAGATTTCGAGCATATCATGACTCGCGTGCGCGAAGAGCTCAATCTCCCGGCGCATTACGTTCGATTTATCGAGCTTTCTCTCATCGCTCGAGGGGCGACGAAGGCGCTCTGGATTCGAGCCGAACTGAGGGAGTTTTTACGCTTCGCGAATGAAATCGCCCAAAACTCTGAGACGCTCGCCGCGAGGCTTCGCAAAGATCACGCGACACCGGACGATATCTTACGCGACGACTTCGACACGAGCGGGGCGAAAATACCTCCATCGCGCGAAGCGTTGGACAAACTTCAACGCGCGTGCGTGGTCGACCGAGGGGCGAACGCCCTCGAGGGGGCGGCGCCGGCGCTTCGAGAGACGACAAAGTGGATCCAGAAGATCCTCGATGAGCCCACGAAGGTTTTGTTCGCTTCGGGAGATAGTATTAATACCACGTCGTTCGTGCCCGATGATTTCGCGCTGGCCAAGATCATCAATCAGTACACCCAGACGACGCAAAAATTCTACGCGGGGATGACGGCGGCGGTCGCCTCGAGCGACCTCGCCGGCGCGAGCGACGGGCGCTTACTCCACGTCACCGGCACCCATCGTTGCGGGACGTGCGAGCGCTCGTTCTCAAATTTGTGGGTCACGGCGAACACGTGCATGGTGTGCGAAGAAACCGCGCGAAACGAAGGGCGCTGTCCCGTGACTTCTTCGTGTCTTCGCGAGGCGTGGTGCCGGCACTCGAGGCGGTGCCTCAAGTGCGAGCGCGAGGCCTCTTGCGAAATTTGCGGCATATCACGCGGCGATGCCGAGGACGTCGTCCAGCTCGTGGAAACACTCGACGCGTACTGCGTCTTCTTAGATTTCGACCGCACGATATGCGCCACAAAAGCCGGCGCATCGCCGCTTCCAAAGAACTTCCGCGAGCTCGATCCCGCGGGGTTGCGCCGGGCGTGCGAGCTCAAGTCGCGAGACGCCGACTTGGTGGGCTTGCTTACCTCGCACGACGCGCGCGCGTTCGTGATCACGAGGAACTCGAACGTCGAAGCGATCGAGGTGTATTTGAAAACACACGGCGTTCGCGCGCCAAACGTCCGTCGCGTGCGTCGAGGCGAGAGCAAAGGCGAGGCCATAGCCGAGGCGCTCCGCGAGCTCGAGCGGCGAGAGGGCGCGGGCGGTTCGGAGCGTCCGAGCGTGTTCGCAGACGATGACGTTCGCGAACTCTTGCGCGCGGACGTGCGAGAGATTAAGGGTTTGCATCGCGTTCTCTTTTCGCGCGCGTCGTGATCGACGCGCGCGCGCATTGTCGTTCATTCCACTCCGCTCGCGCGCGCGTTCAAACGGGGTTTTCGACGAGACGCGAAATCCTTCGTTACAATTGTCTCTAGAATGACGCAACCTTTCGAAGTTCAATCGACCGCGGGAACGCTCGCGAAATCGCGAGTTTAGCCTCCGCGGCGTCACTCGATCGATCGCGCGTCGTAGTCGTCGTTATATAGTATCATGCATGAGACCAGAGTGTGTCTTCATTATTACGTTAAAATTTTATTCGGGACGCGCGTCCAGACGACGCCGTCGCTACTCGATCTACTACGCGCACAAAGAACTTACATCCTTTGCGACTCGTTCGAGATCGAGCGCTCGAAGCTTCACGAACGGTCGGGGCATGTCCAAAAGGGACACGACCGCGACGTCGTCCACGAAAACTTCAAACCCGCGACAAGTGTTGTCTCGCTCTATTTCCACTTCAATTCCCGCCGAGGCGAGAAGCGTTCGTAAACGCTCGGCCGAGCGCAGAAACACGCCTCACTTCTTGGAAGCCTTGGCCTTGGCCTTCTTGGCCGCCGGCTTCTTCTTGGCCGCCGGCTTCTTCTTAGCCGCCGGCTTCTTCTTGGCCGCGGGCTTCTTCTTGGCTGCGATCGCGCGAAAATCATCGTCTCGTCAGTCCTCTCTTCTTCCTCGCGCGCGGCGATTTCGAGATGAGCTGGCGCGCGCGATTCGCGCCTCCGCGTCGTCGCGCGCCGCCCCCCCTCTACACGCACCCGCTGGCTTCTTCTTCGCCGCCGGCTTCTTCTTCGCCGCCGGCTTCTTCTTCGCCGCCGGTTTCTTGGCTGTCGCGTTCAAATCACACGTCGTCAGTCCCTCTTCTCCCCCTTCGCTCGCGCGTCTCGCGCGCGCGCGCAATCCCTTAATTTCGCGCGCGATCGCATTCGCGCACAATTCTTCTTCGCGCGTCGTCGCGCGTCGAGCGCGCCGCGCCGCGCGCGCCCCCGCGTCGCGCGATCACCGCCGCGTCACGTATACGCACCCGCCGGCTTCTTCTTCGGCGCCGCCTTCTTCTTCGTCGCCGTCGTCTTCTTCACCGCGGGCTTCTTCTTCGCCGCTGGTTTCTTCTTCGCCGCCGGTTTCTTCGCCGCGGGCTTGCGCTTCGCCGGGGCCTTGGCCACCATCGTGCGGTCGTAAGTGTTTGAGAGTGCTTGAAGCGCCGAACGTCGAGGGACGCGAGCGCGGGCGCGACGAGGCGTGCTGTGCGGACGCGCGCGAATGCGCGAATGAATTGAATCCCAACGGATGGAATCGCGTCGCGGTCGTGTCGACGGGCGACGCGCGTTTTTTTTCGCCGGCGGTGGGTGTTTTCGCGTAGACGCGCATAAAATAAATACCGTTGGTTTGTGATGTATATGGGGATATATATGTGTATAATGCGTCGATGTATGCATTCGCGTGTTTTCGGTCGGTCGGTCGCCGCGTCGTCCCCCTCCGCGCCGCTTGGTGGTGGTTTATGTATGACGTCTGCTGTGTTTTTTCATAGACTTTACATCGTCTTTAATATGGTCAACAGACGTCTCTTTGTGTCGCGTCGCCCGCGCGCGCGGGCGGTCGACGGCGTTCGGTCGACCCGCGCGTAGGCCGGCCGGCGCGCGGGCGTCGACACGGCGCGACGCGCGCGCGACGCGATCGCGTCTACGACGGCGGACGGGCTCGCGGGCGCGACGACGACGACGACGACGACGCGATGACGATGCCGATGCCGATGCCGACGCGTCTGACGAAGACGACGCCGACGACGCGCGCGAGACACCGCGCGGGACGAGGGACGCGCGCGAGACGCGGCGCGACGTCGGCGTCGACGCGCGAGGACGTGCGGGACATCGCGCGCGACATCGCGACGGCGACGCCGACGTCGCGCGCGCACTCGTTGGCGGATTGCGCGTACGCGACGGCGACGACGTCGGCGACGATGCGATTGCGAGATCGCGTCGCGTGCGCGCTCGCGGCGACGGCGATCGAGGCGGTGGTGGCGTCGGGGATGGATCCCGCGGAGGGTGGATTCGGGGCGGAGGACGAGGATTTTCGAGGCGCGGAGAGTTTGTTGATTTCGCTCGCGCTCGAGGAGGCGATGAAGAGGAACGGCGATCGGCGCGAGGTGCGAGTGCGCGTGGGGTACGCGCTGTGCGCGATGACGGAGGACGCGAGCGAGGCGACGGCGCACGCGTGGTTGGAGATCGAGGGCAAGGTGCTCGACGTGTGCTCGCCGGGGATGATTTTGTGCGAAGCGGCGCGACGGAGCGGCGTGGATTACGACGATCGAGACGCGATGACGGCGCAGTTCGGTGCCGAGGCTTTACTCGCGGCGGGGTACGCGCCGGCGACGAAGGAGCGGCCGATGCGACACCGTCCGCTCACCGTGCTCAACGTCGCCGTGCCCCTGGGCGGCTCGCGCGGCGCGCGCGAGAAGACCAAACCGGGATACGGTCTGACTTTAAAGCCACCTCCGGCCGGCGTTCGCGGCGCGGCGAACGCTCAAAAACGCGTCGAATTCTTCCAATCTCAAGTCTTAGCCGCGGGCGTGTTGGGAATCGAAAAGTTTAAAGACGCGGCGCCGCCGGCGGCGCGCGCCGCGTACGAACGCATCGTCGCCGCGCGCGTCGAAACCGTGCGCTCGAGAGAGGACAGGCTCGAGCGCGCGATCGCCCCTGCTCGCCCCTAAACCCAACTCTCGCTTGTAGTCAGCACATCGCGTTTCCGTCGCGTTTCATCGCCCATCGAGCGCCGCCTCGACGCGCGCGCGGCGACGGCGCGAACGCCGCCGCCGCCGCCGCGCGGGGAGCGTCACATCTCGACGCGCACCGCGATCGCGCGCCGTCGCGCGCGCGCGACGATGTCGACGAACAGGACGCCACCGCCACCGCCGCCGCCGCCGCCACCGATCGACGGGCGACGCGACGCGGCGTTGAATTATGATGCCGCGCGCGCGCCCATCGCGGGCGCGCCGCCCGCGCACGCGACGTACGTGTACGTCGGCGGCGTCGCGAGCGGCGTGGGCGCGTACGCGAACGTGTACGTGCCGCCGGGGGCGCCGTTGGGGTACGTGCCGCCGGGAGCGATGGCGCCGGCGACGGCGAGCGGCGCGGCGGTTACGACGGCGCGAGGCGCGGGCCCCACGACGACGACGACGACGACGACGACGCGCGGAACGAAACGTAAGGGTGCTGATGGCGATCGTCACGCGTCGGTGGCGAAGGCGAAGGCGAAGGCGAAACGAGAGATGAAGAGCGCATCCATCGCCGACGCGAATGCGGCGGCGATGATGGCGGAAGTTAAAGTCGTCGATCCATCGTCGTTGCCCGAGGACGTGCGACGGTATCGAGAGGAACGAGCGAAGTATTGGCCGAGCGATCGAAACGTGCGCGCGAAGACGGAGGCGGGGGAGGAGGAAGAGCGTGCGAGAGCGGCGCGGCGGGAACGGTTGAGGGAGATTTTGGCGAAACAGCGCGAGATGGGACATTTTGAAGCTTCGCAAGAAATTGGCGAAGAGGAGGGCGGTGTCGCGGCGCCCGCCGCGCTTGATGGTAAGGGTGTAGAAGCGCGCGCGGCGGATGGGAGCAAAGTGTGTCGATTTTGGTTGCAGGGTGGGTGTCGAAAAGGTTCGGCGTGCGATTTCAAACACGAATCTGCGCCGAATAAAGATCAAAAGTGTCGATTCTTTGCCCGAGGTCGGTGCAAGGCGGGCGCGCGATGTCCGTTCAAGCATGAGGTGACGGAAAGAAAATCATCCGCGGCAGATGGAGGTGGCAATCCCCAGACGTTACTGAAGAAATTGTTGGACAAGGAGATTAAGCGCGATGAACAGCGTTTGTTGCAACTGTTTCGTTTCTTCGTGAACAACGACTTCTTCACCGGCACGAAGGGTGTGGATGAGCCGCTGTGGATGTTCCCATGGGCGGATTCCGGTAAGAAGGTCATCGACCGACGTGCGGCTTTGGCATCTTTGTCGCCCGTGGACGACGAAGACGACGAAGACGAAGTCGCCCCGCCGCCAGTGGCGCCGGCGGACTCTGTCGAAGAGAAACGACACCAAGATCGGCCAGATATGGGATTCTTCGCGGCTTACGACAGCGATAACGATAGCAATAGCGATTAGCGAGTGTCAACTTTTAGTCAAAAAGTTAGGTGTGATTGTATCTACAGTATTATTTCTGAAGTGCTATCGCCTATTATTTCTATGTTGCGGTCGAGAGAATCTCTGACCTTGATTTCCACGCGCACGGGGTCTGCCTCGGTCCGCCGGCGCTTGTTGCGAACCAGCATCTGGACCATCGTCTCGTCGGCGTTTACCGAGATTTTGCTGCTGACGTGCAGGAGGAGCGGGCGCGTTTTGCTGCTGCCCACGACCGCCTTGTCGCTGATACTGTTGCTGTTGTCCGCCCTGTTGGCGAGGATTGGAGTATCGCTGCCCACCGCGTCCGCCGGCAGGCTCGCGACGATTATGCTGCGACTGCGGCTGTCGCGGCGGCGAACGTTGACGCGGCGGCGAACGTTGACGCGGCGGCGAACGTTGACGCGGCGGCGAACGTTGGCGTGGCGGCGGTCGCACCGCAGTCACTCGCTGTCTTCCGCCTCTTCCTCCGCGCCCATTGCCTTGACTTCGACCACCTCGGCCACCTCGACCGCCTCGACCACCTCGACCGCCTTGTTGGCGCGCCGTATCGTCTGATTTTATCGTCTCCTGGCTCGGTTCCGGTGACCGCTCTCTCTTCTTGTCCTGAACGGGTTCGTCTTTAACTGGCGTTTCCTTGGCGGCCGATTCCGTGGCCGGAGCATCCTTCGGCACTGTATGACGCGGTGGTGGTGGCGTGAATTTCGGCTTATCTTCAACTTTCGCTTCGTCTGTAGCTTTCTCGACTACCGGAGGTTGCTTCTCTTCCTCTTCCATGTCGACGTCACCTTCGATTGGCTCCAGCGCGCCGTCGAGCACCTCGTCGTGAGAACCGAGAAGGTTATGCTTGCCGCCAGTGCCGACATTACCTTCCTCCGCGGGTTTTGATTCCTTTGCCAGCTCTTCTTCACTCTTTTCTTTCGGCGGCCGAGGGTCTGGGACTCCCAAAATATCTGGAACGACGCTCTCCAATCCCTCCGCGGCGATTTTTGGGAACAAGTGCAAGTGGTTCTTTGAGAGCATGCGCATGGCTTTCCATCTAAACGTCGGGTCATTGACTCTTCTGTATTCAGCTTCAACTTGTTGCGAAGGATCCATCTCTTCCAGGCACGGTTTCAAGAACTCCTCCACGCTCACCTCTTTCAAGGCGTCCACAGACGTCCCATTCGGATCGTCTTCGCCTAAATTCCACAATCGGTTGAGCTCTGGGTGATCGAAATCGTGTTTCAGATTTGGATCATCGGGTGGATACTGATCGGGCGGCCAGTTCGAATACTTTTTGTCCCAATTATCAGGCATCGGTTCGGTCTCGAAATCGATCGGTTGCTTCTCAAAGCTCGGGCAACCTTGCTCTTTCCACTTGCGCCAACTCAACTCGTCTTCCAAGGCGTTCTCGATGATGCCAGCGTCGGCGACGGCGTTCGGTCCGGTGCGTTTCAAGATCTTCATCACTCGCTCGGACAATTCCGTGACTTCGTCGTCCACGACGTGCTCCTTAAACTTTTCGTTATCCATATACTGTAAGAAGAAGACCGCCTGAATTAAAATTTGACGACGAAACACGAAATCCTGCATCTGCAAAGGCAGCAGGCGTCTCGCGGTGAGAAAGCGATGCCCAATCATTTTTCGCTTTTCCGATTCTGGCTCCTCGTCAATCGTTCCCGCCGTCTCACCCAGAGGGAACGCCTCGAACTTGTCCAGAACCACGCACAAGATGGCGTGAAAGCTATTCCACGCGCCATTTTTGGACATCGTCGTCGGCGGGTCTTGAAAATACTGCTGGAGCGACCAAAACGTGCGATGAAACGCGTCGTCTACGCCAAACTCGTTGTCGTCGTCGTCTGCTGCTACATCACCTTCGCCGCTGTCGACCTCCATCTTAATCTTCGCGTCCGCATCCACCCCGACGCCGTCCTCGAGCTCTTCCCGCAACCACTCCTCTTGCTCAAAAATAGCCGTCGTCTCCGGATTACTATCGCCATTCTTATTCATCCCCGATCGATCGCTCAGACCCATGAACCAGCTTATCAAAACCAACGCCCGCCCTTTCACCCGTGCCTCGTCCGAGCTTCGCCCCACGCACCGCTTCGCGAGCGCGATCAACATTCGAAGCGTCGGCAGTTTGCCCTTTTTCCAAATCGTCGTCTCTCGCAGGCGCGTCTTATTCTCATCGCACCACAGCAGCACGTCCTCCGCCTCCGCGATCGTGCACGCCTCGAGCACGATCTCAATCGTCGTGAAAATCATCCCTCCGCTCACCGCGCTCTCGCTCGCTTCAACGAGCGTCAACGCGTGTTCGAACAACCGCGCCAACGCCGCGCGTCCGCTCGTCCCGTCCCGATCCGTCGCCTCCACCACCTCCTTCCCACCGCCATACCGCATCACTCCGACGCCCCGCGTTTGCGCTTCGCGCACGAGCGCCACCGCGGCGCGGTGCCACGCGTGTTCGACGCACCGCGCGTCGTTTTCGTCCAATCGCGCATCCAATCGCGGCGCTTCGTCGAGCTTCGCCACCGTCTCGCGCGCGATTTCGGGCGTGATGGCGCGCGTGCTGTCTCCGGCGAGGCGCAGTATCGCATTTTCTATCGCGCGCGCGCGACGAGCGAAGTCGGACGACGTCGCGGGCGGCATGGCGCGCGACAATGAGGTTGGTCGTTTGCATTCCAAAAATCTCAGCGCCGTTGCCAGTCGTACGGCGCGTCCAAAGCGTCCCGCCAATCCTGGACGCATCGCTGCAAAAACTGGTAATCGGGAAGATCTTCTATGGCTAAACCGCGAGCGTGGGTGAGTACGCGGTGGAAGAAGACGACGTCGGCGTCGTCGCATTCGGGCGCCGGGGCTTCGGCGCCGCGAGGCGAGAGCAACGCGGCGCCGGAATCGACGGCGCGCTTGATTGGAGCTAAAACTCGCACGTCGAGCTCGGTGTCGCCGAAATCATCGATGACGTGGGTCCATGGTAAACGACCAGTGCGCAGGTAGGCGAGGGTGAAGATGGCGCTCTCCAAATCGTCACGAGGGGCGAGAGCAGAGCCGCCGTCGACGTTGGCGCTGCTGAAGAGCCACGTGCCGCGCCAAAGATGCCGAGGGACTTCCTCATGAATGCGCGGCGAGTACGATGGGTCGTCGAAAATCACGGCTTCTCCAAAGTCGACGAGGAGAATTCCATTCCTTTTCTTGCCGTCGTTCGCTTGGACTTCTGTGCACAAGTTGTCCGGCTTGATGTCGCCGTGAACGACGCTGACTCGCTGCATCGCTTCGAGCGCCGTAAACAGCCGCTTCGCGATCCGCGCCGTCGTCACTCGCGTAAATCCAGTGCCAAGCATCACGCTTTGTGAGATGTCTTCTAAACTAGAGCCGAGCAAATCCATGACCAACACTCGCGAACGTTTGCCCATGACGCTTTGTTCCCCGAAAAACAACGGCGTGGGAAAACATCGCGGATCGGAAGCTTTGACTCGACGCATCAACTCAAACTCTCGCCCAAGCGCACTCGCCACACCGTTCGCACTATCATCGACCGGTTCGATCTTCACCGCCACCTCAGCACCCGTTTTTGAATCTCTCGCCTTCCAAACTTTCCCGTACGAGCCCGCGCCGAGTGCCTCGGACGATTCAGCGCGCCGCACGTCTCGCTCGAGCGCCGCCACCGCATCCTTCAACCGCAATTTTTTCGTCTTCATCGCGCGTATTTCCAAGTCACTCGCGTAGTGCGATTCTAATTCGCTAAGTTCAGCTTTGATTTTCGCGTGCGCGCGCTTTTCGCGCTCGAGCGCCTCGCGTAGCGCGTCCACGCCGCCGCTCCCTCGCGCGTCCACGCGCTGCACCTCTTCAAAATCTCTATGTCTCAACGCCCGTCGCCCGTTTCGATCCCCCACGATGGCGTGAAACGGTTCTATGACAAACGTTCTCTCACCCACCGCTTTCTTCGCCTTATTCGCCGCGCGTGCGCGCGTGTCTCGTCGCGAACGTTCTCGTGTTTGTCCCGATGGCATCTTGCGCGTCCCGCACGGATTTCGACGTGCCGACGCATCGCTCGGACGCATCGTCGCTCGCGAGCGACGACGCGAGGTGCGTCGCTACGTCCGTCCGTCTACCGTCTCACGAGCGACGCCGACGAGGCGCGGTGTGGAGTTCGGAGTTACGCTAGAGTTACGCTAGAGTTACGCTAGAGTTACGCTAGAACTTGACATGGAGCGTCGCGACGGCTCCCACAGCGGACGCGTCGCGTATCGGTCGCCGAAATGCATGTCAAACCACGAATTCACCGCGATCGCGATCCCTTTTTGACGCACGCGATGGAACCACATCGCGGGGATGTAGAGTGTTTCGCCCGCGCGCACTTCGACGTCGAAGCACGGTTCGGGACGCGGTCGACGGTATCGTAACGCGTCGTCGTCGCCGAAAATCGGCTCGCCCGTGACTGGATCGAGGTCCACCGCGCTCCAGACAACGCGCGGTTCGAACGAAGGACGGAGTTTAATTCGCCATGAGAGCGCGTCGTCGGTTTCGAACACGCCGCGAACCGCTTCCGTCGCGCGCATGTCGAACACGTCGCACGGCGGTCGAAGCGAGAAGACCTTCGTCCCGCGCACGACGGTGTAAATATTCTCATAGAAATCCTGATGATACGACGTCTGCGACGCATCGTTCCCGATCCACAGGTTCACTGCCTCCCCTAAACCGTCACGACCGGCTTTCCCCACGCTCGCGAACGCTTCGCGAGCGAACGGGACGTCGAAGTCGTTTCGCGCGCCCGCGCGCGCCAACGCTTCGCTCGACCTCAAATTATCGTTCTGCCCCGACAGATACCACGCCGTCCCCGTCCCCGCGCCGTCCTCGAGCGATTCAAACAATTCCTTTATCGTCATTTCCCTCTTCGCCGGCTCCACGAACGCGTCGAACGCGTCGCGCGTCTCGCCTCGTCCCGTCGTCTCGCACCGCGTCCCCGTCCCGAGTCGCGCCCAGCCATCTTTCTCCACCCTGTGCACCGCGTCTCCTCGCCCGTTCGGCGTCGCGTTCACCTCGACGACCGCATCGGGGCCTCCGAAATCCTCCATCACGCCCTCGTTCGCGCGCCACGCGTCGTGCGCGCGCCAGTGCGTCGTCGCGTTCGCCGTCAACAGCGGCACGTTCGCCGCGATGTGCGCCATCGCGAACGCCAGCGCGCTCGGCGGCGACGTCGCGCGCGTCACGCGCGCGCCGACGTACTCGCGCGTTTCTCTCGCGCATCGCTCGAGCGCGTCGAGCGTCGACATCCGTCGCGCGCGCGTCGTCGCGCTCTGACGCGACGGTTAGCGTTGAGACGAATCGACGCGTCACTTTACGTCGCTTCGCGCGACGCGGCCGTCGCGCGCGCGTCGCGCGTCGACGCGCGCGCGATGGCATCGCTCCTCGCGTGCGTCGCGACGCCCGCGATGTCGTGCCTGGGGTCGTGCGTCGGGTCGTCGGTGTGCGCGGCGATGCCAAAGTCGCCGCCCGCGCGCGCGACGCACGCGGCGATGTTCGCGTGCGCGGTCGCGCTGAAGTGGGCGCTGCGCGATTACGGCTCCGAGACGGCGCTCGAGCGGTTGAGCTGTGCGTGCGGCGGCGAGGCGAGGCGAGGCGAGGCGCGAGGGGAACGGATTTGGATTGAGATTCGGCGCGGCGAGACGACGGGAACGGCGCGGACGCGCGCGACGCAAAGTGACGCGCGACTGACGATGCGAACGATCGAACGTGGGATGCGCGCGCAGGGATCGGGGCGAACGGACGCGCGAGCGCGGCGTGGTTTAAGACGCAGGCGGTGTATCGAGCGTCGTGCGCGACGTCGACGTTCTTCTTCGCGATGAGCGCGGCGTTGATCGGGACGAAAGATCGTTCCGATTTTCGCGATAAGGCGTTGCATCGAGGGAATTGGATGTTGAAGGTGCTGGCGTTCGTCGCGCTGCACGCGTTCTTCTTTCTGTGGGCGACGGATGAGGGAATGGAGGCGTACGCGGCGGCGGCGCGACTGGGATCGGGGCTCTTCTTGGTGATTCAGATGATCATCGTCTTGGACTTTGCGTTCGCGTGGAACGAATCCTGGGCGAGCGGTGAGCATTGGGGTTGGGTCGCGGGGCTGTTGGTGTCGACGCTCGCGATGTACGCGACGTCTGTGGCGTTGTTTGTGGAGATGTACGAGTCGTACGCCCCGAATCGAGAGTGTCATCGAAACATCGCGATGATTACTTGCACGGTGGTTTTGTGCGTCGTCTTGACGGTCATCACGCTTCACCCGGCCGCGCGTGAGGGGTGCTTGTTACCGTCCGCGGCCGTGACGCTGTACTGCACGTACTTGTGCTACTCGGCTTTGACTTCGGAACCGTCGACGTACGCCTGTCGTCCGCGCTCTTTCATCGACGCCAACGAGGAGTTGAAGAAACCGGCAAACTTAGTCACGACCGCGTTTACGCTCGTCTCGGTGGTGTACGCCGCCATGCGCGCCGGGGAGAGCAACTTTTGGGACATGGAAGTCGACGAGAGTTTTCAGAGCGAGCTTCGCGAGGCGCTCAACGACGGCGACGAAGAGGAAGCGAGCGAAGGCGACGCTTCCGGTCCAGTCAAGTACAACTATAGCTTTTTCCATTTGATGTTTGCCCTAGCCGCGATGTACACGTCAATGTTACTCACGGGTTGGGGCACCAGACACGAGGACGACACCGAAGCGATCGGCAGCGGCTGGGCGAGCGTGTGGGTGAAATTCTTTAGCGTCTGGGCGACGGGCGCGATTTACCTGTGGTGCCTCATCGCCCCAGCGCTTTTCCCCGATCGCGAGTTTTAAAATTCGTCGAAACGTTTGTTGTTTTCTACTGCTTGTTCGTACTCTGTATTACAAAAGAATCGATCGATTGAATCACGCGGATTGAGCCTGTTGCGCCTCCAATTTATATTCATCCGGCACGTCGTCGATGGGCAAATTCGCCAACATCCAATCGAGCGCGGCAATTTGCCGTTTTTTCGCCGTCGCGCCGTCGCCAGCGCTCGCGCTCGTCGCCTCGATCGCCGTCTCCACGTCGCTCGCGGAGAAACCCCACTTGCTCAAAGTTTGGCTCGCCTTGGCCTTGGTCTGCGCCGGATCCATCGTCGCCGCCGGCGCCGGTTTCTTCGGTTTCACCACAACCTTCGGTTTCGGTCTCGGCGCTTGCGGTTGCGTCGGCACCGGTCGCGCCGCCATCGCGGGCGCCGATCGCACCGGTCGAGCCTTCGCCTTCGGCGCGGATTCCGCGTCAAAGTCTTCGCCCTCGCCCGCCGCCGTCCCGTCCGCCGCCGCGCCCTCGTCCGCCGCGTCCTCGTCATCATCCCCATACGCATCGTAGCGCCTCCCTCCTCCCCCCCGCGACTTCCTCTCACTCTTCACCTCCGCCAGCGCGTCGAGCACGCCCGCGACGGCGTCGTATCCCGCTCCCGACCGCCCCTTCGCGCGCGTCCCGCTCGACCGCAGCTCCCCCTTCCCGAGCAACAACCCCGCGCCCTCGGTGTACGACTCATCGAACGACCCATACAGCGCGAAATCCTGCGCGTAATCATCGTTCCCCGACCGTCCGCCGCCGCTCCGTTTCTTCTTCGCCCGCGCTCGCGCCGCGTCGCCGCGTCGCGTCGTCGTCGCCACCACCGATCGCCCCAGCGTCGTCGACATCATCGCCTTCGCGCGCGCGTTTCCCGTCGCGCTCGACCGCGTCGATCTCGCGCGCGCGTGCCTCGCGTGCGCCTCGCTCGCGCGCCGCTCGCGATGCGCGCGCGCGTCTCGCGCGCGCGTCGCGCGCGCGCGCCGCGTCGACCGCGACCGGATGGCGATGCGTCGTCCCGAAATCCGTGTGTGAACCGAGTCTCGTTTCAGACATCCAGGGCCGACGCGCGCGCGCTCGAACCGCGTCGCGTCGATCGATCGATCTCGTCGAACCTCGACTCGTCGATCGACGACCGCGTCGAGGCGTCGATCGCGCGCGACGGCGGAATATTCCAATCGTCACTCGAACGCGCGCGATCGATCGACGACGTCGACGCGCGACGCGCGACGATGCCGCGCGCGAGGACGAGAGTGGGGATAAACGGCTTCGGTCGCATCGGTCGGCTGGCGTTTCGCGTGGCGTATGACGACCCGACGCTCGAGGTGGTGCACGTGAACGAGACGCCCGGGTCGGGGGCGTCGTGCGCGTACCTCGGCGAGTTCGACTCGGTGCACGGACGATGGACGAAAACGCTGCGGTACGACGAGGGCGCGCGGTGTTTGGTCGTCGGGGACGCCGGGGAGGAGCGCAGGATCGGGTTCAGCGCGTGCGAGGATCCGGAGGACGCGCCGTGGTCGAGCGCGGGGTGCGAGGTGGTGATGGAGTGCACGGGGGCGTTTTTGAAGATGAAAAAGCTCGAGAGCGCGTATTTCGGCGAGAAACACGGGGGGGTGGTGAAGAAGGTGGTGGTGTCGGCGCCGGTGAAGTGCGAGGGGGCGCTGAACGTGGTGTACGGGGTGAATCACGGGGAGTACGACGCGGAGAAGCATCGAGTGGTGACGGCGGCGTCGTGCACGACGAATTGCATCGCGCCGGTGATTTACACGATTCATAAGGAGATCGGGGTGCATCGGGGAAGCATAACGACGGTGCATAACGTGACGAACACGCAGTCGATGGTGGACGCGCCGAACACGAAGAAGGATGATTTGAGACGGGCGAGGAGCGGGTTGGTAAACTTGGCGCCGACGTCCACGGGGAGCGCCACGGCGGTGCAGCTCATCATTCCGGAACTCAAGGGTAAATTGAACGGACTCGCGGTGCGCGTGCCGCTCATCAACGGGTCTCTGACGGATATCGTTCTCGAGACCAAGCGCGCGGTGACGGTGGAAGAGGTGAACGCCTTGCTCAAGGCGAAATCCGAGGAAGGACCTTTGGTCGGCATCATGGGTTACGAAGAACAACCTCTCGTGTCCACGGATTTCGTCAACGATCCGCGATCGGGCATTGTCGACGCGCAGTCCACGATGGTCGTCGACGGCACGCACTTGAAGCTTTACGTTTGGTACGACAACGAGTACGGCTACAGCTGTCGCATGGTCGACTGCGTGAAAATGGTCGCCGCGTCGTTGTAAGAAAGCGCTACTCGTCGGTTTAGACGTAGCGAACCTTCGAAGAATTTCAATATGAATACTATTTATTACACGAATGAGCGTCTCTAACACGCGCAATCGGCGAATCGCATGCACTTTGGTTCGGCGTGCGGCTCAATCTCCTCGTCGTCATCCGCCATGAGACACTGCACAGTTTCCAATTTTTCGGCGCCACCCAACTCTAACGCTCTGAGCACGGTACCACCACCGGTGAATAAGTAAAACGTCGGGTCTACGGCGGCAGATAAGTACAGCGCGGGCGTGAGCGACTTGAACTCTTGAATCGTGTCGCCGCCGCCAAAATATTTACGCGCGCCCTTATTCGCCGCGATGGCGTGATCCAGCGCGGTCGTGCCTTCGTGAAATCCACTGGATGTGAACCCCATGACGGCGTTGACGAAGATACACTTTGCTCCGTGCAGAGCGTTTTTCACCTTTTCGTCTTCAAACGAACTCGCGGCGACGTCGAGAAAGTATCCGTAACTAGCCCCGCGCTGGAGATCGCTCACTCGAAGCGCGCGCGTGGCCCCTAGCGTTTCTTTCGGGTCTCCGCACTCGCCCTCTTTAGGGATGCAACCGCACCCTTTGAGCGACGTGGATTCCACAACCACCGGGAGCTCGATGATTTTCGCCTGCGCCTCGGGCGACAGAAGCTCCCTCGCCAGCTCCACGTCCCCCTCGCTCACGCCTTCGACCTCGATGTCATACTTTGCGCATAAATACGCGTTATAAACCACTCCACCGAGAATCAACGAATCGCACCGCGCCGCCACCGCCTTGAGCGTTCCGAGCTTCGTGTCCACCTTGGCCCCCGCCACGACGGCGACGAACGGTCGCTTCGGATTCAGCACCGCCTCCACCGCGCGCAGCTCCTTCTGCATCAACAACCCGGCGTAACTCGGCAAGTATTTCGTGATCCCAACCGTCGACGCGTGCGCCTGCCACGACCCGAACGCGTCGTTCACGTACACGTCCGCCAACCCCGCCAGCTGTCTCGCCAGCGCCTCGTACGCCTCCGTCCCCTCTCCCGCCTCTTCGCCCTCGAACCACCGCGTGTTCGGCAGGTATATCCCTCCGATCCTCCGCGCTCGCAGATCGTCCAGCAAGAAGTTCACGCTCGTGTCCACGCTTCGTATCCCTCGCGCGCCGTCGCTTCGAAAGCTCGGCGCCGCGAACGTCACCCCCAGTTTCATCCGCAGCACGTCCACGATCGCCGCCACGCCGTCCTCGTCGTCATCGCGCGCGATCTCCCCCGTCTTCGCGCTTCGCGGTCGATTGACGTGCGTCATCAGGATCGGTCGTCCGCCGCGCTCGACGATGTTGTACAGCGTCGGCAGCGACTGTTCGATCCTGTGCACGTCGCGCACGACGCCGCGCTTCACGCAGTTGTGATCGACGCGGACGAGAACGATTTTATTCGTCAGATCGCGCGCGTCCGCGAGCGCGCGCACGCGCGGCATGCCTCGAGAAGTCGTCGCGATGTGACGATTCGAGTCGTTACGAAGTTCGACGGGAATATTCCTCACCTCTCGACGCGCGCCGGAATCGCGCGGGACGCGCGCTCGACGCGCGCGTCGCGCGGCGCGCGGGCGCGCGGGCGGTGATTTCTCGCTCGCGCGCGCGCGCCGGAAACGCGCGATCGCTGGCCGCGCGAGGACGTTTCGCGGACGATGGCGGACGGCCGACCGGACGCCGCATCGGCGACGCGCGCGCGCGCGATGGACGACGGACGAGCGGCGCGCGAGGCGAAGAAAACGTTCCTGGGTCCGTTCGCGGTGATCTCCATCTCATACGTTCTGTTTACGATGACGGACGGCGCGGTGCGGATGCTGGTGCTCATGCACGCGTACGCGCGAGGGTTCGAGGCGATGGAGGTGGCGACGATGTTTACGCTGTACGAATTGTGCGGCGCGGCGACGAATCTGTGCGCCGGCGTCGCGGGCGCGCGATTTGGGGTGCGACAGACGCTGTGCGCGGGGCTGGGATTGCAAGTGGTGGGGTTGGGGATGCTGTTCGCGTGGGACGACGGGTGGTCGAAGCGCGAGGCGATCGCGTTCGTCACCGTCGCGCAGGCGATTTGCGGCGTCGCGAAGGACTTGACGAAGCTGGGAGGGAAGACGGTGACGAAACTCGTGACGCCTGAGGATAAGCAAAAGTCGTTATTCAAGCTCGTGAGCGCGATCACCGGATTGAAGAATAGCTTTAAGGGGGTGGGGTACTTCATCGGCGCGGCGATGCTCGGGGTGAGTTACGAGGCGGCGCTTTGGATGCAAATCGCGCTCGTCGCCGCGGCGTTACCGTTCGCGGTGTTCGGACTGGATAATTCCCTCGGTCGAGTGGCGAAGGCGAACATCACCATGAGTACGGTGTTTAAACAAAGCTATAATATGAACATTCTCTCGCTGAGTCGGATGTTTTTGTTCGGGAGCCGAGATTTGTGGTTTGAGGTGCCGCTGCCGTTCTTCTTGCGAAGCGCCGAGGGAATGGGTTGGCCGCGCTCTGCCGTCGGTGCGCTTCTCGCGGGCTATATCATCGTTTACGGGCAGTTGCAAGCGTGGACGCCGCAACTGTTTCTCAAACCGCTCAATCAAAATCCGCCGAACAAGCACGTGGCGGTGATTTGGAACGTGGCGCTGGTGAGCGTACCGCTCTTCCTCGGTGGTTTCATACAATCGAGCGCGTTTCAAAACCATTCGGGCGCGACGACGACGAAAACGGTCGTCATCTTTGTCGGTGTCTTCGTCTTCGCGTATTTATTCGCCGTGAACTCAGCCATTCATTCCTACTTGGTGGTCAAGTACGCCGACGGAAACAAGGTGGCGATAAACGTCGGCTTTTATTACATGGCCAACGCATTCGGCCGACTCATAGGCACCATCATTAGCGGCGCGCTTTACTCCTACGTCGGCTCCACCGTCGAAGGTTTCGCCGCATGCTTCTGGGCGAGCTCAGCCTTCGTCCTGATCTCCGCCGCGCTCGAGCTGTACATCGACGACGATGCGGGCGGGCTTTGGTGCGGCTCCATCAAGTGCATCGGCGACGACGACCTCGCGGAAAACGACGTAGAATCGACGCAGCCCTAAACGACTGAACGCATTCGCGCGTTCATTTAATAGTGACATTCATTCCTAGTCAGAGCCTTTCTCGACGTTTGGTAACCGCCGCTCGCCAGTCTTCGCCTCGCGCGTCCCGAACGCAGTCATGTCCGGTGCCGCCATGTACGTCTCCAAGCGCGGCTCCTTCACATTCGTCCTCGGTTTGTTCACCAGCGCGCTGTTCCGGCGCATCAACCGCATCAGGGACTCGCTCCGGGCGCCGCCCAGGCGACTCCGAGTGACTAACCATAAAGCCGGTCCCGACGCCTCCCCGATCACCGTGCGCCGATTGCGCGCCGACGACGACCGCAAGGGCTTCCGCGCACTTCTGAGTCAACTCACCACGGTCGGCGAGGGCGATTTTAAGCGTCGCTTCCGCGCGATCGCGGATGGCCCGGAGTACGTGTACGTGATCGAGAGCGCGTGCGGGACGCGCGTGGTGGCGAGCGGGACGCTGCTGCTCGAACGAAAGTTTACGCGGAATTGCGGGACGTGTGGACACATTGAAGACGTAGTGGTGGATTCGAACGAACGAGGCAAGGATCTGGGTAGGGTAATCATTGAAGCGTTGACGAAGGCGGCGGAGTTTGCCGGTTGTTACAAGGTGATTCTGGACTGCTCGGAGGCAAACGCCGGATTTTATGAGCGATGCGGATACGTGAGGAAGGAGATTCAGATGGCGAAATACTTTGTTTAGCGGCTTCGTTTAGCGCTGTTAGCGTGCAATCGTGCACAAGAGTGAATTTAAATTTAGAATTTGCCTCGAAAGACGGCGCGCTCGCACTCGAGTTCTTGCGCCTCGGTGCGCTTGACTAAGTCCAATTGTTTCGCTACGGTGCTCTGTAAGCTAGGATTCGCATCTAAACACGCGAATAAATCGTCTCGCGCGGCGACAAACTCGTGAAGGGCGAGGTAGGAGACAGATCGTCGAAACAACGCCTTGGCGTTCACCGGATCCGAGTCCAAAATCTTGTTCACTCGCTTCAGAGCGTCGACGTGTCGGTGGAGTTTCTGTAAGCTTGCCACGAGATTGAGCGCAAGAGTACATTTCATCGCTTCCACGCGATCGAAATCGCTAGACTCTAACCCTCGAAGACTCTCAAGTTTGTGGAGCGTCTTTTCGTACTTGGCTCGCGCGAGTTCGTACACCTCCGTCTTGAATAGTGCATTCGCCTCTTCTTTGATCAACAACGCCTCTTCGAGCATGTCGCTCACATCTGCTTGATACCAATTCACAGCCGCGTCGAACGATTCGAGAACGACGTCCCATTGAATCATGGCGAGGTTCGCGACGACGCCGAACTTGCTCCCCGGCGCGTCTGGACGACAATTCTTCGCGCCGTATCCTCGCTGACGAGCTTCTTCGCCAAGTGTCAAGTCGAGAACTACGCGTGATTCTTCTTTTGGAATCATCAAGCGAATCGACGTTTCCACAGCTTCAGGGAGCGCTCCACAACCGAGACGAAACTCGAATGGCGCGCCTTTCAACGAAGCGTCAGAGCGCGTGTCGTAGCGCTCTGCCAAGGAGCTGTGCGCGCCAATCGCTGTCGCGGTGGACAGGATGAAGTGCACACGCACCATGCAATCATTCATGGGACAGTCAGAAGGGAACTGGCCCAAACCTTCGCGCGTTCGTGTCTTCTTTGTCGTGCCGTCGTTAAAGACGTCTCGCACGTGTCGCATCGCCGCGAGTTTCACCTTGTACGCCACGCCGTGAAGGGGCTCGGAACCATCGCTCGGAAGCGCCGGAATCAGTCGTCGAAGCTTCGACGCCTTTGTGACGTTTTTGCCGAATCCGCTGTAGTTGCTCCACACTAACGCCTCTTCGTTCAAGCGCATTGTACGCACCGCCGCGTCGAGCGCCAGCGGCACCCGCCCGTCTCCGACAACGTAACTCACCACCCTCTTCTCCATAAACTCATCTTCACCGTGCTCGTCGCCCGTTTTCGTTTTACCTTTCACCAACATCGCGCTAGTCTCTATCGTCACCTCAAAAGGTGGTCTCGGCGTCTCCCACCCGCCTCCACTTGTAGTCGTCTTTTTCGTGCATCTCGCCCAACCGCCTCCGGCGAGCGCCACCGAGGATCCATCTTCAAGCTCTCGAACGCGCACCACGTGAACGGGCATGCGGTTCACCACCTCCAGCTCGTATATAATCGCATCTCCCTCGCGCAAACGCGGGTCTGGGATCAACCTTCGCGCCTTCGCCGTGTCGTGTCCGTACGTCGCGCTCCAGTCGCATCGAGCGCGCCACCGCGCCCCCGCCGCCATATTCATCAGCGCCACTTCCACCCCACGCGTCACGTCACAGTGTTCATCGTTCAAAACGACTCGTCTCGGTACGCCCGTGACGTCGCTATCGAACAACTCTAACCCTCGCGACGTCGTCGCCTTGATTCTATACAGCGTCTCCGTCGTCGTCCCGCTCGTCGTCTCGCTTTCCGTCCCGTCCGCGTCCTCGTCTCCATCGCGCAGCTTTTCGATCTTCACTGCCGCACCGAACGCGAGCAGCGCATCACGCGCGATCGCCCGCGGCGATCTCACCGCCTTCGCGTCGTCGTACGGGACGTACGCGGGCGGCAAGATTGGCGCGCGGAGGTGCATCTTTCGCACCCATTCAACGAAAACGTCGCGTTCACGCGCGGGATCGAGTGATAAGGACATCTCGACGCGTGCGGTGCGTCGTTCGTCGATCGTGCGGCGCCGCGCGCGCTCGCGCGCTCGCGAGAACGAAGATGCGCGTCGAGATGTGGCGAGTCAGGCGTCGCGCGCGTCTCGAGCGACTTTACCGAATACAATACGAGCTACCCTTCGCCGGCCTCGTCGCCGAATAACCCCCAATCGACGATCTCGAACGAATTCAACGCCGCGTCTAACACGTCCGAGCACTCCACGGCGCCCGCGCGCACGGCGTCGGCGTCGCTCGGTCTCGCGCGCTCCCCTCCCGGCGTCGTCGCGTCGCCGTCAAACGCGAACGGTCGCGCGTGCCAAATCAACGCGTCCGTTCGTTTCGACGCCACGCGCACGATTCCGCCCCACAAATCAATATCGTTCGCGCTCGTCTCTCGCGACCGTCGCACGCGCGCGACGCCGTACGCGACGTGCGTCTCGCTCGTCCCGCGCCCGCGCGCGTCGTCCTCGCCTCGCGCGCGCTCGCGTCCGCGCACGTACGTCGCGCTCGACGCTTCCATCTCCTCGCACGCGTCCGCGAACGCGAACGCGCGCAAATCTTCGCCCTCGCGCGCGATCGCGTCGACGAGCTCGACGACGAGCGTCTCGTCGCGCGCGCCGTCGGCGAACACCTCTTGGTGGTCGGGCACCGGGACGACGCTCGAGAGATCGCGAAACCGCCTCGGGACGTCGAGGACGACGGCGCCGCCGAACAGGCGACGCGTCTCGAGCGCGTCGCCGTCGGCGCGCGACATGCGCGCGCGCGTGTGCGCGCCGCGCGTCGCGCGTCGCGCGTCGCGACCGCGGCGACCGACCGTTCGGTATTCGGACAGACAGCAGTGAGGTACTATTTATACTGGGTGTATTTCAAATTCTCGTATTATATCAAGTCGATACGCTGTGTGGTGAAATTCTAGACGTGTCAGATGGCGATTTGCGTGGTGCAATACGGCGCGAGCGCCCACGAGACGAACGACGCGCCACGCGCGCGGCCTCTCTTCGCGACGCATCGGAACGTCAAGATGCCCAAGAAACGTCGCGCGAACGGTCGTAACAAGCCCGCCGGGGCTCGAGGTCACGTGCGTACCATCGCTCGATCGCGCGCGCGAGCGAATCGCGACGTCGCGCGCGCGCGCGCGACGGAGAAACGGTGGATGACGGGAAAGCCCTAGGCGCGATCGCGCGCGCGCGGACCGACGCGGTTTGCGATGCGCGCGCGCGTGATTCATCGACGATGAAGGCGGCGATGCGATCGATGGATATCGATGCGTCGCGGGGGGGGCGTGGATGGTGGCTCGGGCGCGCGCGCGCGCGTGGGGAAGCGCGATGGGTGGGGCGCGGCGAGGCACTAGGGTTGGCTCGGGACGCGCGGCGAGGCGCGAAGCCGCGGACGGATGCGTGGCGCGTGAACGGCGCGCGTGACGCGATGGATCTATGTGCTGAAGACTGACGGGAATGATTTCGTTTGACCTCGCAGGTGAAGCGTGTGTTTTGCGAATCCTCGGGCGCGCTCGTGCCGAAGGACAAGGCGGTGAAGCGATTCATGGTTCGCAACATCGTGGAGAGCGCGGCGATTCGGGATTTGCAAGAGTCGTGCGCCTTCGAGGCGTACACGCTCCCGAAGCTTTACAGAAAGGCTTACTATTCGATTTCGGCTGCGATTCACTCCAAGGTCGTGCGCGTTCGCTCCCGCGAAGCGCGCCGCATCCGCGAACCGCCGCGTCGCTTCCGCGCGAACACGGACAAGAAGGACAAGAAGCCCTAAATGCTTTTGTCACTTGTTTGAATGTTGTGCGGGGAGGTGTGTGGTCGGTTCGCGAGACAGTTTTGTCCTCGCGATTCGAAGGCTAGAAAGAGGTATAGCAAGAAGAAAAGATAGACGAGTGATGATCGATTTGTAACAAATTGAGTGAACGCATTCGTTAAGCTGAGAGCTTAGAAAGAATCATACTTATTACTCGACAAATAATTAGTTGATGATGGTACAACGCGCGCTCGGCGCTCACGCCTTTTGCTTTTGCGCGAGCTTGAGATTTCTCGTCGAGAACACCGTGCCGACGCGGTCGTAAATGGTAAGCGTGCGCATGGCGAACGCCACCGAGGCGGGATCGGTTTGACCTTTGTCCGCGCTCGTCACCCCAAAGTGACCTTTGTCGAGCGGTACGAAGTCGCGACGGTGGTCACCGAGTCCTTCGAACGTTGTCCCCGCGGTATCGCCGCGACCGCACAAGAGCTCGTACGCATCCTTGATGGCGTTAAACTTCTCTTGCGTCGTGTCCGGATTACGATCGGGGTGCGCCTCAGCGATGAGTTTACGATACACGCGCTTAATATCGCTCGGCTCATCGTCCACAGAAACGCCGAGAAGCTTCGCCGCGGCTTCAAATTTCCCTCGCTGGTTCGTCTGCGCCGCCAGCGCGTCCACGGCGACCTCGAACGATCCCCAATCCTCCAATCCGTACTCGACCTCATCCATGTTCAAATCCTTGACTCCACTCATCACGAAGGCCATCGCCGCCACGTGTTGCTCGTATTTCGGCAACATCATCCGCACCGCCGGCACGCCTTCGATTTGCGCGTTCTCCAGCGTCTGCGTCTCCGTCTCCGGCACGCTCATTCCTTGCTTTTTAAAGAACATCTGCGCCTCGTACGCCTTCCGATCCGCGACGACGACTTCACACACTGGTAACCAATCGCTCATGACCCCGACGACGTCTTCTGCGTTTCCACTCTTCGGCGCGTGTCGCACGCTCAGCACGTACTCGCGCGACGCCTCTCGCCCCATCTCGTTCACGATTTTTTCGTACGCCTTCCCTTGTTCGCTGACCAATCCGCGCGCTTTAGTCGCCGCGGCTTTGCGAGCTTTATCGCGCGCGGCTTTGTTCGCCGCGCTCAGCGCGGGTTTGGGTTTCGTCGCCGCGTCGGCGCCGCCGCCGCCGGTTTGCGCTCGGCGCGCTTTACGAGACGCGCCGCACGTGACGACGGCGCGAGAGGCGCGGGACGCGCGCGCGGGCGACGCGGCGAGCTTCGCGGGCGCGCGGGCGGCGAACATGGCGCGCGAATTCGGGTCCGCGGCGCACAGTGATGACCGCGTGGAAAGGGGACGTCGTGGATAGGGGCTTCGGGACGGCGCGTCGACTCGACGGTGTGTATGTTTACATGAGCTCGCGCGTGAAAGCTATTGCGAAGATGGCGACCGCTGATAGCGTCCACTGACCGGGGCCCGGGCGCCGCGGCCGCGACCGCCACGGTCGGCGGAGCCGCCGCCTCGCCGCGGTCGACGGTCTCGATCGTCGCCACCCGATGACGACGACGCGCGGCCGTCGTCCTGATCGACGACGAACGTCTCTGGGGTCGTCTTGCGGGGGCTGGCGAATAACACCGATCGATCACCCTTGGAGAAATCGAAATCGTCGAACTCTTCGCGCCGACCGACGTTGAAGACGAAGAAGTCGCTCGCGGCGATGACGCGCGAGTCGCCCTTGGCCTCCTTGGCTTCCTCGACGAGACGCTCGACGTTCATGCGATCGCCCTCGGCGAGTGCTTCGCCGTCGGAGTCGACATCGGGTGGCGACATATCTTCACAATCATCTTCGTCGTCGTCGTCGTCGTCTCCGCTAGCACCGAGATCATCGCTGTTTGAATCAGCGCGATGGACGCCGCCGGCGTAGCGATTTGAAAAATGCGTTAAAATCAACGCGCGCGCGTTGACTTGCGCGGCAAACTTCCCAGCCATGCGCGCCGTGGAGTGTCCTTTGTACAGCGCCTCTGACACTTTCTTTGCTTCAAACGTAGATTCGTGAATTAAGGAATCCGCACCCTGCGCCAGGGAAACCATCGAGCTGCTGTCGCACGTGTCGCCGAGATGCACCAGTCGACGCCCCGGTCGAGGCGTGCCTATGACGTCTTCGGGACGAATCACGCGTCCATCCTTCGTCGTCACCGACTGCCCTGCTTTAAGCATGGCATATTCGCGCCCTGGAGGCAGTCCCATCTCCACACACTTCTCGGCGTCGAGCCGACCGCTGGCGTCACACTCGTCGATGACGTAACCGAAGCACGGCACGGGATGTCGCAGCACCGAGGCGCGAACGCAAAAGTTTCCATCGTTATACGCGGTCCAAATCGGCAGCTGCTCGCTCATCCCGAGTTCGTTCCATCGTGCGGCGTCTCTAAAGTGCGGCAGCGGTTCGGAGACGTTATCGGGCCAATATTCGCCCATGAAAATCTTCCCTCGCGGATCGACCGACGTGTGCGCCGCGGGCGAGCCGCCGCTCGCGCGCGCAGGCTGCCTCAACTCTGTCACGATCAGCGGCATCCCGAGCACCGATCTCGACCACGTGATGGATGAGTAAATGAACTGCCGTATCCCCGGCGGGCCTATGATGTGCAAAGGCACGACAGAACCACCGTACGACCTCGAGTGCGCCGTGCGCGCGCCGCTAATCGCGCAAATCAACCCGGGCAAACCGAAGATGTGGTCCCCGTGCATGTGCGTGATAAAAATCCTCGTGATCTTCGCATACTTCAGCTTCGACCGCATCAACTGATGCTGCGTCGCCTCACCGCAATCAAACAACCAAACCTCGTTCTCTAACCTCAACGCCACCGACGAGACGTTTCGCGTAAAGCTCGGCGCCCCGCTCGACGTGCCGAGAAACGTCAACTCCGCGCCGCTAAAATTCGACTTCATATCCTCCTCCAACGCCGTCGACCCCCCCGAAACGGCGTCTACAACCTTCCCATTAAACATCGTGCGCTGATACCCTCCCCCGTGCGCTCGAATCGCGTCCCCCGTCGCCGTCGCCTCGCCGTCCTCGTCGCCCGCCTCCGCCGTCTCCCCCTCGTCCTCGCGCGTCCCCCCCCCCCCGCTCGCCGCGCCGCGCTCGCGCGCGCGCTCCCGCCTCACCAGCGCTTCGCACATCTCCACCAACTCCGCCTTGTTCGTTCGACGCACGATCGCGGCGTCGTGCGCGCCGGACGCGATCAATCGCTCGCGCAATTCGCGCACCAAGAGCCGCCGGCAGTGCGTCGCGTCGTCGTCCGGCGTCGCCGCGCGTCTCGCGACGCGCGCGCGCGGTCGCGCGGTCGCGAGACGCGCGCGGGGCGTCGCGAGGCGCGAGGTCGGCGCCGCGCGCGCGCGCGCCATCGCGCGGTCGACCGTCGGCGCGCGTCGGTGTGCGGGGCGTCGGTCCGTCGGGACGGACGACGCATCGTCACTGTTTACCCATACGTACATGTATACTCTTGAGTCGTGACCCGTGATCATTACACGCGCGTGCAACAAAATGTGTATGTAATACACATGCGAATGTCGTTTTGTTTTCTACGTATTCAGTGAAATGTAGACCCATGAGATAAAAACCATCGCGCGCGTTTTGTCCAGCCTGCGCGCTCGGGCGCGGACGACGACGACGACGCCGGCGACGGCGACCCTGGCCTAGGGTTGAGACGACGCGCGAAAGACGGCGCGACGCGCGCGGCGTCGCGCCACTCGGCGACGCGTCGCGGACGGCGCGATCGACACGAACGCGCGATCGATTCGATTCGATTCGATTCGATTCGATTCGATTCGAAACGCGACCGTTGGTATCGCGAGTTCGACGCGACGGCGCGCGCGCGCGACATGGAACGCGCGACGACGACGCGACGGAGCGGCGACGCGCGGACGATCATGGCGAAAGGCGAACCGACGAAAGCGACGGTCGGGGAGGCGCTGCGCGCGCTGGACGCGCGCGCGCGAAGGATGGAGGCGGAGGCGAGGCGCGAGCGGGACGCGCGCGCGCGGGACCGGGACGCGCTGGCGCGGGTCACGGAGTCCGTGGACGCGCTCGCGGCGACGTTTCGAGAGGCGATGGAGGCGATTTCGTGCGATCACGACGCGTGGACGCGAGAGCGGCGGGAGATTAAGGCGGCGGTGGAGGTGGCGGCGAGGGCGGCGACGACGGCGGCGACGCGCGCCGAGGCGAGAGAACGAGACGCGGAGCGGGCGAGAGCGGAGGCGTTGGCGATCGATGCGAGAGTGAGCGAGGGGTTGAGATACGTGAAGGATGTGCGGGATGAGTTCGTGGCGGTGGAACGGGTGATTCAGGAGGCGAAGGAGAGGACGAGGGAGTTGGAGGCGCGAGACGTCGCGCGCGCGCGCGCGGTGGAGGAGTTTGAACGCCGCGCGCGCGCGGCCGATGCGCTGTTGCGGGATGAGATCGAGACCGTGCGCGCGTGCTCGCTGCACGCAGAGACGGCGGCGAGCAAGGCGGAAGAGATCGGCGGACTCGCGTCGGACGTGCGAGAGTTGGCCAAGTGGTCGAAGGAGACGGCGGCGCACCAAAACCGTCGACTCGCCGCGCTCGAGCGCGAGACTTCTCACGAAGGTGGCGACAAAGAAAACGGCGCTGCTCGGCGCAAGGGAGAGTTAGCGACATCCGTGAAAGCCACCGAGCTGGCGTTGAAGGCGCAGCAAACGCGTCTCACCGCGCTCGAGGAAAAATCCGCGTTGCGCGCCAGACGCGACGCCGCCGTCAAGGCGGACGTCGACGTCGTCAAGCGCGCTCTCGGCGAGCATCACGACCTCCTAGCCAAGATCAGAGACACCCTCGACACCGAACTCGGTCCGGAGGCGACGCTCGGCCCCGCCTCGTCCGCGTTCGCGCGCTTTCGATAGCGGATAGAAATATCTACAGTACCCGCGCCGTGAATAAATTGCAACTACGAGACTACGCGCCGCGCGCCCGACGTCCGTCCTCAGAGCTTCGACGTCGTTCCCACGGGTAAAAACTTCGTGTGTTTCCCCGTCGCCACCACTTCTCCATCGCTCGCCCGCGTCATCCTGCACTCCATCCACGCCAGCGTCTTGCCCATCTTCACCACCTCGCACTCCACGCGCACCGTCTCCTCCAGCGTCGCCGGCGCGCAGTACGCGCACGACAGCTCCACGCTCACCCCACCGCGAGTCGTCATCGTCAGCAGCGCCGCCGTCGTGAGCACGTCCACGATCGTCGCGATCGCGCCGCCGTGCAGCGTGCCGAAGCGATTCGTGAGCTCGCGCGTCACCGTCAGGTCGCACGCGAACCTCCCGCGCGTCGCGCTCGCCGCGTTCGAGCACCGGCGCAGCGGCGCGGCGTCGTACGTCCCGGCGCTCGCGGCGTCGCGCAGGAACCGCGCCGCGGCGTCGCTCGCGGGCGTCGCCATCGCGATGTGACGCGACGCGCGTCCCGGTCGGCGCCGCAGACGCGCGCGCGCGATGTCGTCGAGCGCGACGCGCGCGCGGAGGCTCGCGTCGACGGCGGCGCGGGCGACGTCGTCGAGCGCGCGCGCGTCGACGGCGGTCGAGGGCGCGAATCGAGCGCGCGACGCGCGGCGACGCGGGACGAATCGAGGCGGGAGGCGCGACGACGACGACGACGACGAGAAAGACGCGCGGAAGCGAGCGACGGACGCGACGACGCGCGAGGCGTACGTCGCCGCGCTGGGGGACACGGTGCGCAAGGTGAAGGTGCTGTCGCTGGCGTCGCTGGCGGTGACGGTGGTGGGGTGCCCGACGTTCGTGGAGCTGTCGCAGCCGGAGCTGGCGTTCGAGGCCAAGGCGGCGGTGAACGCGACGGTGATCGGGTTCGGAGGGTTCACGACGGCGCTGTTGCAGTGGTTCATATCGCCGTACGTGAGGAGCATGCGATTGGACGCGAGCAAAGGGACGGTGACGGCGAGGAAATTGAAGTGGAACGCGAGCGAATACGAGACGACGTTCGCGGCGAGCGCGATGAAGGAGAGCGAAAGCTCGAGACCTTTGGTGTCGTGGGAGGCGGATGGGAAGCATTATTACGTGGAGATGGGGATGGTGCCAAAATATATGTACGATGAGTTGGATCTGGCGCGGTTCGACGATCAGGCCAAGGCGGAGGCGGCGGCGAGAGAGATGGACGAGGAGGAGGAGTGAGGCGCAAAGGTCGCGTCGGCGTCGGGATTCTCTTCGGCTGCGTTCCTAGTCATTGATTTCAATTCTAAGCCTCGTACTACTTCGTACTAATCACTCATTCACTTGCGCGTTCGCGTGCGTTTTGCCGGGCTCGTTTCCAAGGGTTCGTCGTCAGCCTTGGTCTTGACGCCTCGCGCGCTTCGCCTCGCGCCCGCGTCTTCGGTTTTCACCGTCGCCGTCGCCTTGGCTTTGCCTTTCGCCGCAACGCGTTTCTTCGGCACGGCGCGCGCGAGGACGATCGAACCTTTCTTGGCGCCACCGACGGCGCGATCGAGCACGATAGCGCCGCGATAGTGCCACTCCTGCTCGGCCTCGTTCCAGAAGGTTTCAAACTCTTCCCCAGAGAGCGCGCACGTCGGTTGGGATTCGTCCACGGGGACGCTCACGTTCTCATCCACCGCGGCTGCCGCTTCGACTTCGGCGGCGCTGTCCTTGTCTTCACCGCCGAAGAAGTTCAACGCGTCCTCGGCCATCGTCTTCAACCCCTTGAGCCAGGCGTTGACATCGACGAACCATTTGCGGCTCACCTTGCCGTCTCGGCGGCGGCGGCGACGAGCGTGCAGCCAATCCATGTGCGCGTCGAGCTCGGCCCGTTGTCGGAAACGACGACCGGTTTGGACGCATTGAAATGGAAGTTCAAAGTAAAGCGAGCGAATGACGCTCTCTCGCCGTTTGCTAAGCTCACCTAAATCTTTCTTCGGGTCGAAATCCGCCGTCAACGCCGGGAGTTCACCCGGTCGCGTCGTAGCCATTGGCTGAGCGGTGGCGATCGGCACGGCCAATGGAGGCGCCTTTTTCGCCTCCAAAGAAGCGATAAGCGCGGAAAGGTCGCCACCGCTCCCACTCTGGAGCATGTTTGCGAGCATGTGACCTCCCGCTGCTCCCGCCAACGTGGGCGGCGGCGGTGGCACGTGACCATAGTTTGCATAAGGTTGCTGCACCGCTGGGGCGCCGTAACCCGTCCATTGCTGTGCAGTTGGTGCCCACTGTTGCTGCTGCGGCGCTTGCCACTGCGTCGGCGCCGGTGCGATCGCTCGAGGCGCTTGCGTCGGCGCCGCGGCGCGCGGCGCGATGTGCGGTTCAATTTCATCTAAAACGCTAGCTGGGAAGACGGGCCTCCACGTGTTAAACAGGCGCGCCATGCTTTTTTTCTGTGTGATGTCGACTTTAGCGTACGCGGGTAGGAATAAATCGCTCAAACCGGTCGCAAAACAACGGACGAAAGGTCCTCTAAGATTCTTCACCACGCTGTCTAATAGATAAAATCCGCAAAGTTTCGTCTTCGCCGGCGCCGTTCTGATGTGGCCACGAATCAATTCAGCGATCGCCTCCGCTCGCGCTTCATCGTTCCCCGCAATCTCTCCAGCTAAAATCGTGAGCGATGTGATGATCGGTTTGCTATTGATCACGAGTTCGCTCAACGCCGAGGCGTACTCTTCAAACTCTTCTCCAGACATCTTCGCGAGTGCTACGATTGAACAACAACACGACGCGAACGCGTGCGCAAAAGCCAAAAGTCAAACGTCAGCACGCACGCCGGGAGCGAGCGAGCGAGGAATCGAGTCAATCGACGAAAACCGCGCTCGAGATCTCTCGCGCGTCTGCTACGACAACTGCTGTATGTGTATTCACCGATATGCTCGAGCACGTGCTATGCCACTCGGCGGCGCTACCGATTCAAACGAAAGAACACAAACCTTTTCACGCTTTGCGCGCGCGTCTCGCTCGCGAGTTCGCTTTGAACGCGCGCGCGAGCCGTTTGTGTCGCGATCTCGCTTTCTTGAAATTCACGCGAATTCGCGTTGAATCTCGCGTCGATCGCGTCACCACGCGCGCGCGTGGGGCTTAACAGTCGCGCAAGCCGTCGTCTGTCACCTTTGGGGCGAACGGGACGTCGGCGACGACCTCGACGTGCGACGCGCGCCGAGAAGTGCGGTTCGCGCGCGCGCGCGAACCCTCGCCCTCGCGTCGCGCGGCGAACGGCGCGAAAACCCGACGAAGACGACGCTCCGCGAGCTCGAGACGCGAGCGGTCGCGCGAATGTTCGATGCGTTAAAAATGATGCGCTAAAGAGTCGCTAAGATTCTACGCCGACACTCGCGGCTCTCCTTTGTACGATTTCTCGCCGACGGCGCTCCTTTTCGATTTCTCGCCGCCGACTCTACTTTTTACGATTTTTCCGAGCCTTGACGCGCGCCTCGACGTCCTCCGCGGCGCTCGCGCCCGGGCCCCGCCGCACGGGCGCGGTCGATTCCCCGAGCACCACCGCCTCGCCGAACTCTGGGTGATCCCCCGGCAGCGGCTCGTCGAGCAAATCCACCCTTCGCAGCGTTCGCGATTCCATGCGATCCGTGTACAGCACCCCGTCCAGGTGATCGACCTCGTGCTGCAAAATCCTCGCCTCCCACCCCACGGCTTCGAAATCCACCGGCTTCCCGTCGCCGCCGTACCCTCGACACCGCACCCTGAGGTGTCGCCGCACCACCGCGCGATATCCCGCCACCGACAGGCATCCCTCGAAGAACGCCGCGCTCGCGTCCCCGATCGGCGTCAGCGTCGGATTCACGATCACCTTCGCTCTGAACGCCTCGCGTCGCTTCATCGCCAGCGCCTCGCTCGTCTCGTCCGACATGCCCTCCGTCGTGTCCTCCAGCACCACGACGCGTCGCCGCGCCCCCAGCTGCGGCGCCGCCAGCCCCACCCCGCGCGCTCTGCACACGCGCAGCATCTCCGCGATCAACTCCTGGATCTCCGTCGAGTCGATCTCGTCGACGTCGACCGCGCGCGCGACGTCTCGCAGCGCCGGCGCGCCCGCCTGGACGACGTCGCGCGCGCCTCGCGCGGCGTCGATCAATCGCCCGAACGCGTTTCCGGGCCCCTCGACGAAGGTCCCGTCGCGCGTCGACGTCCCGTACGCGCGTCGCGCGACGCGGCGTCGCGGCGGCGCCGCGCGCGGCGTCGGCGCGGCGCGAACGCGCGTCGCCATGCGTCGAGGTGTGGCGATCGACATCAAATCGCGACGCGCGCGCGACATGCGCGATCGTTCGCCGCCGCGCGCGCGGCCGACGAGCGGCGAAGGCGCGCCGGACGCGTCGACCGCGCCGGCGGTGCCGCCGGGGATGCGGCGCGACGCCGCGGGCGCGCCGACGCGACCGGTGGCGCGCGGGTCGGCGGTCGGGAATTGGGGTCGCGCGGCGCCGCGCGCGCCGGGCGCGACGCCGAATCGCGATCAATCGGCGCAGGAACATCTCGCGCGCGCGATGCGGACGGAACCGGGACGCGGCGCGGCGCCGGCGCCGCGAAGACCGAGCATGTTTGACTACGCGAGGGGACGAGACGACGATCGCGCGCGCGCGGCGACGGCGACGGGAGGACCGCCGCCGGGGATGACGCCCGCGGTGCCGACGATGGGACGGATGAACGCGGCGCCGCGACCGGGGTTCGACGCGGCGCCGCCGCCGGGAATGGGGGCGGCGCGACCGAGTTTGCTGGCGAGCGTGCGGGAAAGGCCGAGCCTGTTGAGTCAGCAGCGACCGCCGGCGGTGCGCGTGGAGGCGGCGAGGAGCGGGACGGGGGCGTCGAGCGGAATGGAGAGCGGGGAGATCGGGATCGGGAGCGCGCGGGCGACGCCGACGCCGACGCCGACGAGCGATGCGACGCCGAAGAAGCGGAAAATCGGGGGTTGGGGACAGGCGTTGGCGAGGGCGAAGACGCCGACCACGGCGGGAGGGACGGACGCGCCGAGTTCGCTGCGAGGAGAGGAGGTCGCGGACGAGGGTGAAGTGCGAGGGGCGCCGGGCTTGGGTCGAGGGGAGGAGTCCATGGGATCGTTTGGAGATTTGCGCGCCAAAGCGGGGTCGCCGGCGTCCGCGACGGCGACGCCGCAATTCAAAGACGCTTCGACGCCGACGAGCGATCGCGGTGGATGGGGGGCGGCGACCGCGCGCGCGCAGACGACACCGGCGACGGCGGAAATGAAGGCGACGCCGAAGGCTGCCTCCGTTGATCCGGAGACGGTGAAGAAGGCCAAGGCGGCGGAGCAACGCTTAAAGGTGACCAAGGAAGCGCTTCTGGGGCAGATGGAACGCGTCGACGGCGAAGTCGCGAGCTTGGAAAAAGAATTGCAAGCTTTGAAGAACTCGTCCGAGGAAGAGAAGCTCGGCGCGGCGGCTGGGTCAAAGGATGAGATTTCTAGACACAAGAAGGAGACGGAGGCGCTTCGTCAGCGTCTGAGCAACGCCGAGCGTTCGGCGCAGCGAGCACAGGATTTTGCGGCGCAGAAGATGCGCGAGGCGTCGGTGCTCGCGCGCGACGCGAGTATGAAACGGGCACAACAGCGAGGTTCGGATGACGTAAAGCGTTTGAACAAAGACGCCGCGGTGTTCGCCGCGAGCGCGATTCAAAAAATGCTCGAACGTCAGGAGGCGCGACGCGATCGCATCGAGCGCGATATGGAGCACAACAAGGAACTCGCGGCGAAATCCATCGTTCGCGTGAAGAACGAATACGGGCTACCGTTGCCGGAAGACATCGCTCGAGTCGATTTCGACGCCGTCGTCGCTCACGTGGTCGAGGGCGCAAAGACTCCGTACATGCAGGAAGTCGCTCGCAAGGTGACAGAGGTTTTGCAAAAGCGCAAGGACGCCGTCGCCGATAAGAATTACACCAACGCACTGGCTTACCTCAAGCAGCGCGAGATCTGGCGAGTAAAGATAATTCAAGAGGCGAACGACAGGCTCGCCAAGGAGTTTGTCGGCGGCAAGAAAACTTTCACTCCGGGCTCGAGAGCGAGCGGCAGAAATCGTTCGACGAACGATCTCAGCGGTGTCGCGCGCTCGGAGTACGAAGAGATGCAAATGATCAAGGCATTGCAGCGCACGGAAGAGTTGCGTCACATGACGACGATTCCGAACATGATTCTCGACCCCGAGGAACGACGCTGCGCCATATTCGACAGCAGAAACGGCCTCGTCGAAGACCCGGTGGCGGAGCGAGATCGCATCAACCTCATCCGGCCTTGGACCAAGGCAGAGAAGGCAATCTTTCACGAAAGGTTTGCGTCTTACGGCAAGAATTTCCGTCGCATCGCCGAGCACTTGGAGGGACGCGACACGGGCGACTGCGTCATGTACTACTACAAATTCCAAAAGACGGACGATGGTTTCCGCGGTCGTCGTCGTGCCGCGATGAAGAAACGCCGCGCGTTCGCCGATGCGCAGCGCATGCGAGCGATTGATCCGGCCACCATCGAGGCTCAGCGCGAAGAGCGCGCGGCGCCCACCGCCGAGGCGCGTCTGGAACGCGCCGCGCTCGCCGCCGCCGCCAAAGCCGCCAAGGCCAAAGCGCGCGCCGAGAAGGCCAAAATCAAAGCCGCCAAGGAAGCTGAAGAGGCGAAACAAAACGCATCCAAGACACCAAGCAAAGGTCCGGAGTGGACCGACATGGAGAAGACTAAATTCGTCTCCGGTCTGCTCCAATACGGCAAGGATTTTGTCGCCATTAGCTCCACCATTCGCACTCGCTCCCTCGACGCCGTCAAGCAGTTTTACGAGGACAACCGTGAGCTCATGGACTTTGACTCCCTCGTGGGCGGTAATTGATTTGATGATGTTTCTTAGTTTAGCGTATCGTTGAAATCTAATCCCATGACGTGTTTGAGCGTCCCGGAATCGACTTCCTGAGCCTCGTCGAGCGCCCCAACACCCTGCCGGTGGGCTGTGATCATCACGGCACACGCGCGCGCGCACGGCCGGACGTCCGGCACTCGCGCGCGATGCGAGAAACATCTGTCGCCACCGTCGTCACGGACATTCCGTCGAGCGCGCCGACTTCCTCGTTGCTTCACGGCGGCGACGCGCGCGCGAACTCGAAGTCGTTCGTCAACACCGTCCTCGACTTCAACCTTCGTCGCGCGCTCGTCGCGTCTTGCGTCGGTTTGAGCGCGCTCGCCGGATGTGCGATGCACGCACGAGCGTCGTCATCCTCTACGGCGGCGCTCGGGGACGCGAAAGGGGTGGATTTACTCATCGGTCAAACGAAGTTTCCTCGCACGGTCAAGCTGCTGCCGCGAGACGCGCCAGAGCGCGCTTTTGAAACGACGAAATCAAACTGGAATTTGTATCACGTCGACGGCGACAAGGACGTTGAACGCGGAGTGATGCACGATTTCGCAGATTGGCCCACGGATGAGCTTCGTGAGGCGTCGATCAACCTCAAGGTGAAGGATTCGGCGGCGTACGAGGCGTTTGACGCCATTCACAGCGAGTTTGAGCGGTTGAACGCGGATAGAATCAACGCTAGGGCAGATGTCGGACCGGCGTTTAGCGCGCTGTTGGCGTGGGAAAAAGCGAAAGAGGAAGGATTGTCCTCGCTCATCATCGCGACGCCGGATGCATACATTAACTCTCACTGCGGACCTCCGCTCGAGTTTGATTCCTTCATCCTGAGCTTTTTGCTCCGCGGGCCGAAGAAGTGGGACGTTTTGTTCCTCGATCGCGGCGAACGTGGGGTGAACGAAGATAATTTGCGTCATCCCGAGGCATTGTTTAGTAACAAGGCGTGGGAAAAGCCTTACGTGCTCTACAAGAACACAGCGACGATCGTCGGCGAGGCGTTGCCGTCGAACTTTTACATGGTGTCCAAATCATTTATGGACGGCATCTCCGCGCACTTGAAGGCTACACCGCTCACAAACGTCGATTGGTGGATCAATCGTTTGTGTGAAAACGGAGATTTAGAGTGCTTCTCGTACAACGCTGAGAATTGGTACGATGGGTTGACGTCGGAGCGCAAGGCAAAGATGGGCGAGCCGCACGCTCGTGCGCCCATCGTGGACACGACGCCGAAGGTCGACGCGACTCCAGCCGTCGTAGAGAGTGCTGAAAACGTCACCGCCAGCGTCGCCGACGCGAGCGCAGAGTCGGTAAAGGAGAGCCAACTCGGTGTCGCGCAACGACCGGAATCTGTGGTCCGATCGACGCGCGTCGTCGCCGCGTCTGAAGCTGGCAAGTTCATCTAGCGCTAGACGTGGATCAACGAATGTAACCATTAGTTCTTCTATTTCAAATCAAATATCCTCGTCCGTCTCGTCGTCCCACTCGATCGGAACCTCCCCGCGCGCTTTACCCATGATGGTGGACACGACTATCGGCACGTTTTGTTTGAATTCGCTCCCACCCCAAAACGACCCCTCCATTCGAGGATCCCAACTCGCGCTCAAAACACCGTAACTGATCCCGACCACCGCCGCCCCGAACGTCGCCGTGGAAGACACGAAGAATACCCAGCTCGGCACCTCGAGTTTGGCGATGACTTTGGCGTAATAAAACGCCGGTCCCGTCATGAACCCGAGGACCAACGGCGTCCCGCAAAAGATCCCGACTCGCTTCAACATCCTATCCGTGACGACTTGCGGCAAGCCCTCTCGCTGGCGCGCTTTGTACTTGGTGTCGAACGCCGCGCGCTTCGTCGACTCCTCGCGTTGACGGATATCCGCTTGCGCTGCGCGCGAAACGATCATCCTCGTCAGTCGGTGGCGCACACACACGAAACGCGCTCGTACCTTTCATTTTCGCCAACTTTTTGGCGTCGTACGCGCTCGAACGCGATGAACGCGCGGTAGATTCCAATCTTTCAATGGCTAAGGCATCTTCGCTCTCGTCCTCCGTGCCGGCGCGCTTCTTGTTGTATTCGCCGCCTCGCGCGCGACTGTTGCGTCCCTTGGCGTTAGAGATCACGCGCGCGCGCGCGCGGGCGGATTCGGGGTGCGCCAAAGGCAGGCGGAACGCCATGGCGTCGCGGAGTGCGGCGTCGCGCGCGGATTTCGACGACGACTTTACAATTCTATGGTGCTACGCTACAAAGTCGTTCACGAGCGCGCCGATGCCTTCTATTTCAATCTCCACGACGTCGCCAGGGCGCAGGAATCGCTTGGGATTGAAACCGGCGCCGACGCCGCTCGGCGTTCCCGTTAATATCGCGTCGCCGGCACGCAAGGTTTGATATTTGGACACGCATCTGATCAGTTCCGCGGTGCTGAAAATCATCTTGTCGACGGTGGAGTTTTGTCGGATCTCACCGTTAACTTTTGTGACCAATGATGCGGCGGATGGGAGAGCGTCGTGCCCGGCCACGATCCACGGCCCCAGAGGACAAAATCCGTCACAGCTCTTGCCCAGATACCACTGCTGGTGACTCTTTTGCAGTACTCTCGCCGTCACGTCGTTGGCGATCGTCCAACCGGCGACGTAGGTGCTGATGACATCCACATCGCTCGCGTCGTCCGAGATGTCCTTGCACTCGCGCTTTATGATGGCTGTCAGCTCGCCCTCGTAATCGACGTCCTCGCGTTCGCGCAACTCCACCGACGTCCCCGACCCACACAACGACGTCGACGCCTTGGGAAAAATAATCGGCAGCTCCGGTATCGCGGTTTTACTTATTCCCGGCATCTGCGTGTCCACCTCACCGACGTGCTCGACGTAATTCTTCCCCACGCAGCACACCTTTGCGTCGTCGTCCGCGCACGCGAGCAGCGTCACGTTTCCGAGCGTCCATCCATCGTCCGCGTCCAGCGTCATCTCGTACGCATCGAGGGCGTAGAACATCGTCAATAACTCGCGCATCGTTCGCGAGACGACCGCTTGCGCGCCGTCGCGGCGTTTATCGCGGAATTTCGCGGCGTACACTGTTTGGTGATGTCCCGAACTGGGTGATGCCTTGGAGTGTTTGTCCTCGGCGAGCAACACGCCCACGCGCGCGGTCGAGGACGCGCCGTGGGTGAACCGCACGAAACGGTGCGAAGGACACGGCGCGGGCGCGTCGAGGCGAGGGGCGATCGACATCGGAAAGGGGAGGCGGCGAGTGACGCGACGCGAGCGGGCGAGCGCGAAGTCTTCGTCTTCGTTTATCGATCGGTGTTACAGTAACGGTGTGGCATCGGTCATCAATTAGCGCTTACGTTTAGACGCGCGAGACGCGCTGGTTGTGGTGCTAGTGGGTGTCGATTTCTTGACCGCGGGTTTCTTGTTCGCCGCCGCCGCCGCGCGCGACTTTGCCTTGCTCTCGCTGCCTTGAATCGCCGCGATGGCGTCGAGTTCGCTCGCGCTGCGCTGGAGATACTGGCGCACGAATTCATCGCCTTGCGCGGGATCGGTGTTGAATTCGCTCATCAGCCGAGAGAGATCGCTCGAGTACTGTCGAGACATTTGTCTCGATTTCGTCGCGCTCAATCCGGGGTGAATGTTTGGTTTCGGAATTTGCTCAAAGAGTTTTTGAATCTCCATCGGAACGCCGATCATGGAGCTCGCCGCGTCGCCGGTTTCGCTCATCGCCGCCGATTGCACGATGGAGGGCGTGCGCGCTCGAGGCGGTGGCGGTGGCATGGCGGCGGAGTTGGTCGTCTTGGCGCGCACCACGGCTTCCAAAGACGGCGCGGGCTCCGGGGGCATGTGCGTCGAAGGCGGGACCTTCAGAGGCGTGCCGCGCACGAATCCTTTGGACGTCTTTCTCGGTTGACCCTCGTACACCAGCGCGACATCCTTGGCCGTCAGTCCGAGTCTGGCCAAGACGTCCTCGTCGAGCACCCACTCCGCCGCCTGTCGCTCCTCCTTCTTCGTGAATAAATACTTCACGTCGTCGTTCGCTATGTTCATCTTCCCTTCCGTGGCGATGAAGAGAATCATACGAAAAAACGGCTCGATTTCGGCGTTCTTGTACCAGTATCCACCCTCCGCGAACGTGTCCCCGTACGTCTCCAAAAGAAATCTATCGAAAGCTCTGCGATAGCCCACGCCCTCGCGACTTATGAAACTCTGATGCCCCGCGGCGCGAATGATCGCGGTCGTAAATCGCGCGATAGCGCGTCGACGATCGGCACGTTTAGGAATGTACGTCCATCCGTGATGATCGCCCGCATCGTTCGCCCCGTGTTGCGCGTTCACCTTACCGAACGCCGCGGACTTGAATCCGGCGTTCGGCGCCGCGCTCTTCGCGCTTCCCGACGCCTTCTTCCCCGCCGTCGTCCTCGTTCCAGACTTCCCCGCGTTCCTCGCGCTCTTCCGCACGCTCTTCACCATCGTCACCGTCGCCGTCGTCGCGCGTTTGACGTCTTCGGTCACCGTCTCGCGCCCATCCGTCGTCGTCGTCGTCGCCTCGCCGAACCCGTCGCCTCCCCGCAGACTGTCCCCCCTCTCGAACCTACTCACCTCGCTCAGCGGAAACGGATCCACCGGCAGCCCTCGCGCGCTCTGCCCGCTCCCCCGTCGTCGCATTCCCACGCGCGCGCCCGTGAACGGGCTTCCAGGTTCGCTCGCGTTCGCCCACGCGTCGTCGTCGCCGTCGACGCGCGTCTTCGTCAGCGTCCCCACCCTCCCGTCGTCCACGTCCGCCTCCTGCGCCACGTCGTGCGCCGATTCCGACCGCAGCAGCGCGCCCAAGAACTCCGCCGTGCCCTGCCGCCGCAGCGTCGGCGTTCCGGGCGCCATCGCGCGCGTCGACGCTCGATCGAGATTCGCCGCTCGAATCCTTCGCGCCGATTCGCGATCGAACGCGTCCTCGCGCGCCGCGCTCGATCGCCCGCGCGCGTCGTCGCGCGTCGTCGCGCGTCAAAGAATGCGCGCGCCGCGCTTTCGCGTCGTCGATCGCGCGATCGCCGCGATCGGCGCGTCGCGGTGTCGCGATTCGCGCGTTCCGATGCGATCGCTCGGGACGCCTTCGCGTCGCGCGGCGTCCGCACGTCGCCGCGCGCGGGGCGATTCGAGCGCGGCGCGACGAGCGCGCGCGCGCGACGACGCCGGACGCTCGCGACGCGCGACGCGTCGGTGCGCGCGTCGGGAAACGCGACGCGCGACGCGTGTCGATCGCGCGCGCGCGATGGGCTCGCGCGACGGCGCGCGGTTCGCGTACGGACGCGCGCGCGGCGAGGGACCGCGCGAGAAGAGCGGTGGGAACTTCGCGTCGACGATGCGCAGGCTGGGGCGACACTCGTGCAGCGTGCTGATCGGATTCGTGATCTGCGCGTCGCTGTGGGCGAGGTCGAGCGCGCGCGGGACGTCGTACGGCGAGGAGGTGCTCAAGGCGGGACCGCTGAGCGCGTTCAGCATCACGGCGAGGAAGATGACGACGCGAGCGCTCGTGAAATCGTGCGCGAGCGCGTCGGGAGAGGTGTATCTGGTGACGGGCGCGGCGGGGTTCGTGGGATCGAACGTGGCGACGGCGCTGAAGCGACGAGGCGCGGGCGTCGTGGGACTGGATAACGTGAACGATTATTACCCGCGCGGATTGAAGCGGAGTCGAATGGGGAAGTTGAGCGAGATCGGTGTGCACGTGGTGGAGGCGGATCTGAACGATGCGGTGACGGTGCGGAAGATTTTGGAGACGTGCGAGGTGACGACGGTGGTGCACCTGGCGGCGCAGGCGGGGGTGAGATACGCGGTGAAAAATCCGGGGGCGTACGTGCACTCCAACGTCGCCGGGTTCGTGACGCTGATGGAAGAGATCGTTCACATGAAACGCATGCCAAAAGTCATCTTCGCCTCGTCGTCGAGCGTGTACGGGTTGAATACCAAGGTGCCGTTTAGCGAAACCGACGTCACGGATTCCCCGGCGTCCTTGTACGCGGCGACGAAGAAAGCGGACGAACTGCTCGCGCACACGTACAACCACATTCACGGCGTGGCGTTGACGGCGTTGAGATTTTTCACGGTTTACGGGCCGTACGGGCGCCCGGACATGGCGTACTTCTCCTTCGCGAACAACATCATGCAAGACAAGCCGATCAAAATTTTCAAAGGCCCGGATGGGGGCGAGCTCGCTCGCGATTTCACCTACATCGACGACGTCGTTCGAGGGACGATCGCGGCGTGTGACACGAGCGAGAAGAGCGGGAAAAACTCCGACGGTTCCAAGCCGCCGTTCCGGGTATACAACCTAGGAAACACCAAACCGGTGACGGTGAGCGACTTCGTGTCGTCGCTCGAAAAGGCGCTCGGTAAGACCGCCAAGCGAAACTACGTCCCGATGCCGAAAACCGGCGACGTCCCGTTCACGCACGCCGACATTTCGGCGGCCAAGCGAGACTTGGGATACAATCCCACCGTCGGCCTGGACGAGGGCTTGCAAAACTTTGTGCGCTGGTACACGAAGTACTACGAAAACGGCGCGCACAGGGAGGACACGCATTACGTTCCGATGTGAACGCCGCGACATTCACGCGGGTTCATCAGTAGCATCACACCATTAATATAAAAAAAAGAGAAAGAGGGGGCATCGCGGAATCGAACCGCGGACCACTCCCACGTCAGTGAAGCCGATCGAGCGCTCGGCGCGAGCCGAGCTCGAGTCTCGAGTGTGACGCGTCGTCGCGCGCACCCTAAGAGAGTATCATACCACTAGACCAATGCCCCTTGTGATTGATGATAGGACGAAATCGTCTACACTACGACACAACACGAATAAATCGCCCGACGACACCCGCGACCTCCACCGCGTTCGTGTTACGGGTTGATGCGCGCGCGCGTCGTCGCGCGCGTCGCGTTCGCCGCGCGTCATGGCGCGCCGCGCGTCGTCGCCGCGCGCGCGCGTCCCGCGCGGCGTCGCGCGCGCGCCCGCGCGTCGCGCGATCGTCGCGCACGCCCGCGCGCCCGCGCGTCGCGCGATCGTCGCGTCGTCCCGCGCGCCACCGCCTCGGACGTGCGCGGACGCCGCGCGGGACGCGCGCGCGACGTTTCGCGCGCTCCGCGACGCCGACGCCGCGCCTCGACGCGCGCGCGTCGAGCTCCCGCTGCCGTCGATCGACGTCGGGACGGACGACGTCGTCTACCTCGGCCTGCACGGACAAGCCGCGGATTGGTCGGGCGGGATGGCGCAGCGGTTTCGCGCGACGCGGGCGCTGCTCGAGCGGGACGCGTTCGACGGGTACGCGAGCGAGTATCACGGGCGGCTCGACCGCGACGCCGAGGGCGTGGGACTGTGGAGCCTGCGCGCGAACGACGCGAGCGACGAAGCGTTCGCGGTGGTGGTGACGCACGTGAGCGACGTGACGTTCGGGTACTTTTTGAAACTGTTGGCGGGAGAGCACGGCGAGGTGGAGTCGAAAATCGTCGTCGCGGTGAACGCGTTTTGGACGGGGCGAGGCGAGGAGGTGGGACAGCCGTGGGAGTTTGGGTTGAAGAAGGCGGCGAGAGCGTGTTTGACGACGGACGCGTGGGAGAAGGTGTACGCGTGTCGTCGAACGAGATCCGCGGCCGGCGCGGAGGGAACGCTCGTGCGAAGGTGGCCGGGGAGATGGTATTTGTGGAACGACGACGGATCCGAGGTCGTGAAAGAGTGGGTCGACGAACCGAGCAATCGCGAGATGGCCGAGGCGTTGAACGCGCACGCGGGGGTGATGGATGCGGTGGGATTTAATCGAAACGCCGCCGACACGAGTCGCGACGACGACGTCATCACGTGATTTGTGCATTGTGTATAGCTATTAAGTCTTTCGCTACGGCTACTCGGTCTACTCCTACGCCTCTCGCCTCTTAAAAACCCCCACGGTTTCGATCCATCGCGGCGACGTCTTTAATCGAAACGCCGCCGACACGAGTCGCGACGACGACGTCATCACGTGATTTGTGCATTGTGTATAGCTATTAAGTCTTTCGCTACGGCTACTCGGTCTACTCCTACGCCTCTCGCCTCTTAAAAACCCCCACGGTTTCGATCCATCGCGGCGACGTCTTTAATCGAAACGCCGCCGACACGAGTCGCGACGACGACGTCATCACGTGATTTGTGCATTGTGTATAGCTATTAAGTCTTTCGCTACGGCTACTCGGTCTATTCCTACGCCTCTCGCCTCTTAAAAACCCCCACGGTTTCGATCCATCGCGGCGACGTCGGCGCGTGGTCGAAACACGCGAGCGATGTCAGTTCGAACCCTCTCGCCGCGAATCCCACGCGCTCGTCGTCGATGTCTCGCTTGAGTGATTCGCAGTCACACGCGACGTAAATGACGTCGTCGAATTCGCGCGTGACGACGTCGAGCGTGCGCGCGTCCAACCCACCGCGCGGTGGATCGACGAGCAGGACGACGTCGCGGTCGTTCGTGGGACTTTCGCGAGACGCGATCCAATCCTCGGCGCGTTCGCACACGATTTCCGCTCGAACGCCGTTGCGCGCAAAGTTTTCTCGCGCCGCTTCCACCAAAACCGGATCAATCTCCACCGCGAACGCGCCGCCGGGAAACTGCGGCGCCATGCAACACGTGTGATTTCCGCAACCGGCGTACAGCTCGATGAATTTCGTCTTCGGGCCGGCGATATCCGCGCAAATCCGAACGAGATGATTCGCCGTGAGTTCGGCGACGCCACCGTTCGGATTTGAAAAGCTCCCCTCGACGTGTTTAAAAACCACCGAACGACCGTCGACCAAGCGCGTGGTCTCCGTCACGTAATCGCGCCCGACGACGAGCTTCGGCGTCTTCTTACGCTTTCGAACGCACCCGACGACGGCGTCGTCGAGCGCTCGCATCGCCTCCGCGAACTCCATCCACGTCGCGTCGTCGCCATCGCCGCTCTCCGCCGACAGCGTGCACGCGATCACGATCTCATCCGACGTTCGATTCGTTAAAAAATTCGCCGCCGTCACGCGCGCTCGCGTCGTCGTCCACGCGTCGTCGTTCGCGACCCTCAGGAAGATTTCCCTCGCCCGCTCGACGCCCGCCGCGTCGTCGCGCGACGTCGCGTCCGACGTCACCAGCGCACCCGTCGCGGCGCGCACGCTCACCAGCCGCAGCGCGCCGTCGCGCGTCTTCTCGACGCCGTGACTCGCGCGCTCGCGAAACCCCGCGGATTTCGGCGACGCGTGCGCGTCGATGGAGTCCACGCCGAACAGCCCGCGCGCGCGCGCCAACTTATCCTCGAACGACGCGCTGGACGCGCGCGCGACGATCGCGCGCGGACGCGCGGACGCGCGCATGCGCGCCGTCGAGTGTCGCGGGACGCTTTTTGCAGTTTGTCCCGCTCGCGCCATTCGTCGGCGTCGCACCGCGACGCGCGCGCGAGAACCGCGCGGTGCGATCGACGACCGACGCGAATCGACGGGATGCTCGCGGCGCGCGCGAGCGCGCGACCGACGCGCGCTTCGATCGCGCGCGACGCGCGGAAAAGTCCGCGCGAATGTCGAATTTCGATGGCGCGAGCGACGCGGAAACCGTCGGTGCGCGCGCGGGCGTCGCTCGCGGGCGTCGCGGGCGTCGCGACGCGACGCGTGGAAAAATCCGCGCGCGTCGGGGCGCGCGTCGCGGCACGCGCGACGACGGACGGGGCGGAGAGCGAGCAGGGGACGTTCATGAAGGGCGTCGACGTGCACGCGGCGCTCGACGCGGGCTTCGGCTCGATCGCGCTCCTCGGAGCCACCGCGGTGTCGCTGGCGCTGGCGAACAGCGCGATGTCTGGGGCGTATCTGTCGTTCTGGCACGCAAAAGTCGGGCCGGCGGCGCTGGCGCTGCACATGAGCCTGCATCACTGGGTCAACGAGGGGTTGATGGCGATTTTCTTCTTCGCCGTCGGGCTGGAGATCAAGCGCGAGTTCGTGCACGGCTCGCTGCGAAGCCTGCAACAGGCGGCGTTGCCGTGCATCGGCGCGCTGGGCGGGATGCTGGTGCCCATGGGGGTGTATTTGGCGTGTAATAATCCGGGCGCGACGGCGGCGGCGGTGACGGCGGGTTGGGCGATTCCGATGGCGACGGACATCGCGTTCGCCATGGGAGTGTACAACTTTTTTAAAAATAAAATGCCGGGCGGCGTGGCGGCGTTTTTGCTCACCCTCGCCACCGTGGACGACCTGGGCGCGATCGCCGTGATCGCCGTGTGCTTCGCGAAATCGTTGACGATGTCGTACATAGCGGGCGCGGCGGCGGCCACGGCGGCGCTCTTCGTCGCGTGCAAAAAGGAAGTCACCAACATGGCTGTTTACGCCGCCCTCGGCGTGGCCCTGTGGTACTGTCTGTTGCAAGGCGGCATCAACGCCGATGTCGCGGGCGTCATCGCCGCGTTCGCGGTGCCCGCGCACGCGATGGCGCCCGCCGGGAGCGACGCGACGCCCGAACACGAAGGCGGCGAACCGACGCTCTTGGATCACTTGGTGCACAAGTTCGCCCCGCTCTCCGCGCTCGTCATCATGCCTCTCTTCGCGTTGGCGAACACGGGCGTGCCTTTAGACGCAAGCATGGTGAGCAAGGTGTTCACCGAACCCGTCGGTCAAGGCATCATGCTCGGCTTGCTCTTGGGTAAGCCCGTCGGCATCGCCGGTTTGTCCTGGCTCGCCGTCAAGTCCAAAATCGGCAAGCTTCCGAGCGGAATGAACAACTCCCACCTCATCATCGTCGGTTTGCTCGGCGGTATCGGTTTCACGATGTGCTTGTTCCTCGTTGAGATGGCGCTCGCGGGTCAGCCCTCGGCGGCCAACGTCGCGAAACTCGCCGTGTTGGCGTCGTCCACGGTCGCCGCCACCGCCGGCGCGGCGTTGATGGCCAAACTCCCGGATTCTTCGATCGAAGCCGAGAAACTCAAGACGGCGTAGACCGCCATCGTACTTTTCATTACATCACCAAACTTACCATGATTTAATCGCGCCCGTCTTCCTCGCACGACATCGAACGCACGACTCGGCGCACGCTCTTCGCAAAACGAGTCGCCTGCGCGAACGCGCCATCGCTCGGGTACACGGCGTAGGGATCGTACGCGTCCACTACCCCGCGGTGGTCCTCCGGGAACATCCCCCAAAATAACGCGCCGCGAACGAATTTCCCGTCGTCGCTCGCGATGCTTCGGTACACCTGTGATAGAAGTGCGCGGTAGTAATCTTCGACGTCGCGCTCCTCTAGAAACGACGCCCTTCGGCTCACGCCGCGGCTGACGCGAGACAGCGCGCGAACCCCGCCGGGCGCCGCGCCGAATTCCTCGATTAAGAGCGGCTTCCGGAGCTTCGTGCGACAATCGCGCTCGTGCGTTGCGATCCAATTTCGAGTGAATCTCTGCGCGTTGAATCGCACGTTCGGCGAATACACCGCCCAATTGTCTCGCCACACGTGAATCGTCGCGAAGTCGATGTGCTTCGACGCGTGGTTGCGAATGAAATCTTGCCCAGTCGTCGCGGCCCACGCCGCGGGATTGGCGGCGGCGCCTCCCTCTGAACTCGAGTCGTGCGCGTAGAATCCTTCCTCACCCACGGTCAGCATGTGATTGGAATCGAACGCCTTGACGTACGCAGCCATGTCGTCGATCCAGTCCTGAAGCGCGTCGTCGCATCCTCGACACCGCGGCTCGTTCATCAAATTCCACCCGAAGACGTTCGGCGTCGTCGAATACGTCACGCCCGTGAACGTGTTGTTCCGCGTCAAAATCGTGCGCACGTGCCATTTAAACAATTCCCTACAGCTTTCACGCGAGAAAAATGCGCGATCGGCGTCCTCAGTCTCCGCGTCCTCCGGCGCGCACTCTCGCACGATTTCCGCCGTCGTGTGCCAGTAGTCGCCGAACGCCAAGAGCAAATCCAATCCGTGCTTCGCCGCCTCCGCGAGCGCCCAATCCAATCCTCGAAGCACGTCCTCGCGATGCCTCTCACCCACGCGCACCCACGTCGGCACCGCGGGGTTCACCGAAAACGCCCACGCGCGAATCGTCGTCATCCCGCTCTCGCGCGCGAGCTTGAAAACGTCCCTCGCCGCGGCGCGTCCGCGTCCGTCTCCGTGGTCGAACCCGAAGCTCGCGCGCGCGAATTCCCCCGCGAACTCGACGAGCGGGTAAAAATTCATCCCGGCGACGTTTCGGGATTCGCACCCGACCGCGAACGTGCCGTTCGACGTCGCGCGCACGAACGCGGAAGATTCGCTTCGCGAAAAATATGAATCGACATCGACCGCGCGCGCGCCGATCGTCGCCGCGATCGTCGCGATCGCGCGCGTCGCGAGCGCGCGCGAGCGCGTGGCTTTGCGCGCGCGCGCGCGCGCGCGCGGCGGCGTCGGCCGCATCGCGCTCTGCGGCGACCTCGACGCGTCGAAATCGTCACTTCGCCGCGAACCGTCGCGCGGATGTCGGCGCGCGTCGCGTCCGCGCCGCGCGCGTCGGCGCGCGCGTCGACGTCCGCGCGGACGTCGCGCGCGTCGTCGTCGCCCGCGCGCGCGCGCGACGCGCGCGGCGGCGCGCGCGCGACGCGCCGCCGTCGCGTGACGTCGTCGCGAACGCGCGCGGTCGCGGACGCGCGCGACGCGCGCGACGCGCGCGACGGCGCGCGAGACGTCGACGACGAGGTCGAGCGACTCGTCGACGGCGCGCGGACGCGCGATCGCGCGGCGAGGCGCGCGCGCGAGGAGGAGGGGGCGCGAGGCGCGTCGACGGCGCTCGAGCGCGGCGCGGCGACGTGGTTGATACAAGAGCTGAAGCGCGTCGGACGCGAGCGAGGCGCGAAAGGCGCGCGAGACGTGGCGAGCGGAATATTCGACGCGATGACGGCGGATGACTCTGAGGTGTGGCCGAACGCGCACGTGTGCACGACGATGATGTCGTTGGCGACGCGCGCGCGAGACGCGGATAAGGCGTTGGCGACGCTGGAGTGGATGAAAAGACGGAGCGCGGACGCGCGAGAGGTGGCGCCGACGACGCACACGTATACGACGTGCGTGCAAGCGCTGGACGGCGCTGGACGGTGGGAGGAGGCGCTGGGGATGCTGGGGGAGATGAAGCGCGCGGGGACGGCGAGAAACGCGCACACGTACAGCGCGTTGGTCAGAGCCGGGGCGAACGGCGGGCGCGCGGGGGCGCGCGCGGTGGTGAAGTTGATTCCAGAGATGAAACGCGATGGCGTGGAACCGGACTTGGCGATCGCGTCGGCGCTCATCAGCGCTTTCGGGGTTTTGGGGAGCGAAGACAACGCGAGGGCGATGTTGCGAGCCATCGAGTCGAGCGGGCGGGCGACGGATAGCAAGCTGTACGTGGATTACATGACGGCGATGTGTCGATGTGGGAACTACGAAGAGGCGATAGAAACCTTCACGCGCGTGCCTCGCACGACTTTCACGTGCACGGCGGTCATGAAGGCGTACGCTGAGGCGATGGATTGGAAGCTCGCCGAGGCTTTGTTCGAGGACATGCGTCGCGACGGACCGGCGCCGAACGACCACACGTATAGCGCCATGTTGCACGCGTACGAAAAGAGTTTGCAGTGGGAGCGCGCGGTGCGCTTGCTCAATCAGCTCACGAGCGAAGGAAAGGCTAAGGAGATACATCACAACATTGTCCTCAGCGTTTTGGGCAAGTGCACGCAGTGGCAGCGCGCGGAGGTTTTATTTAGAGACATGCGAGAGTTGTACAACATTCAGCCCTCTCGCGTGACGTATAGCACGCTGATTTCGGCGTACGGACGAAGTGGGAAAACTGATCTAGCGCGCAAGGTGTTCGAGCAAATGCTCGCGCGGCGTATTCCGCCAGACGACTACACCTTTGTCGGCTTGATGCTCGGTCCCGCGAGCGAGGGCAACTTTCGAGAGTGCTCAAAAATCGCGACCGAGATGAAGGAGTTGTACGACGTCGAGCACACCGTGCACACGTACAACACGCTCATCCAAGCCGCGGACATCGCCGGTAATTACGACAAGGCGGTGGAGGTGTACGACGAACTCTTGCAGCGCGGCATCGAGCCGAACAACACGACGAGAGAACTCGTCGTCGCCGTGAGTAAGCGCGGGGCGAACTTTTACGATCGCCAACAAAAGACCGCCGCCGTCGCATCCTACGCCGCAGGTCTCGTCGGCGTCATGGGCATGGCGCTCGGTCGCTGGTAGAACAAAAAAACCCTCGATATTTCAATGAAAAATTCTTTAGGCTGGCTAATCGTCTCCTCGCTCGCGTCGCGCGTCCATCCATCGGCGCGTCCATCCTCTCACTTCGACCCCAACCCGATCGACTCCTGCACCGACTGCACGCCATCCTTATCGAAAAACTGCGTGAACGTCTTCGTCACGAACCCAAAATTACGAGCCAACGAAAACCGCACCGCCGGCGGCAGCGGCGAGAGCAGCAGCGCCGGCGCCCTCGCCAGCCCCCCCAGCGCGGCCCCGACCTTTCGTTCGAAGTCCGGCGGGTAGTCCAACCACGGGTGCGACCTCCGTCGCCGTCCCGTCGTCGCGCCCGCGCCGAGCGGCGCCGCTCTGGCGCTCGCGCCGCTCCCCGTCGTCGCGAGCTCGTCGCCCTCCCTGTACCCCGCGAAGGTTTTCTGCGGCGGTCGCCGCCGTCCGCCCGGCGCGCCGCCCATCGACAGCTGCTGGCTCGCCACGCGGTCGCGCGAGTTTCCTCCCGCCGCGCTCATGGCGTCGCCGTCGCTTCGAGCGGTCGCGCGCGCGCGTTTGAAGCGCGCGAAGGTTTATCCACTGCGTCGGGACAAAAAGCGCATTGGGCATTGGTCACATCGCGTCGCGTTAGCGCCGCGCGGACGTCCGCGCGCGTCCGCGCGATGACGCGAGCGGTGGGAAACATATCGTCGCGCGTCACCGCGGCGCGGTGCGGCGCGAGGACGCGCCGCGCGCGCGGGAGACGCGCGAATGCGCGCGCATTCAGGCGAGTGGGCACGCCGAGGCGCGCGGTCGGCGACGCCGCGCGCGACGCGCGCGCGCGGTTCGACGACGAAGGCGACGCGAGGACGCGTCGCGGTCGCGAGCTCGAACTGGCGTTCGAATCGGCGACGACGGGCGCGGCGGAGGCGTGGGAACGAGGACGCGACGCGGGCGACGACGAGGACGCGCGCGAGCGGGACGCGCGCGACGCGGAGGACGAGTACGAGCGCATCGCGGCGAGGATGGAGGCGAGGATGGCGATGGCGTTCGAAGCGCTTGAGGCGCGCGCGAGGCGCGCGCGAGAGCGCGAGACTGGGTCGTCGTCGTCGGACGGCGAGCGGGCGCGGGCGAACGCGTCGGAGGCGACGCGGAGGTTGGAAGAATTAGAGGATAGGTTACGCTCGGCGACGACGACGCTGCGCGCGACGCACGAGGAGCTCGAGCGCGAGCGCAAGAGATGCGCCGAGCTCGACGCGGCGCTGGCGCGCGCGCGAGATTCGACGACGGCGGCGTTCGGGGAAAAGATTCAGACGACGCGCGAGCTCGCGGAAGCCGTCGCGGCGCTCGAGGGGGAAAAGGCGGACGCGATGCACGAGAGGGCGAGACTTTTAGAGCGCATGGACGCGCTGGAGCGAGATGGCGTCGTGGACGGCGCGGTCATGAACGAAAATCTCAGGATCGAGCTCGCAAACGAACGAGCGAAGCGCGGCGATTTGGAGGAAGCTCTGACGGATCTCAAGCTCGCGAGCGACGCGTCGATGGAACTCTCGGTGGCGCTTCGACAAGAAGTCGAGGCGCTCAGAAGTTCGGGCGCGCAACCCAGCGTCTCGCTCATCAACATCGAGCCGACGGACGAGATCCCTCCGCGCGCCGCGAGCGCCATCGAGGCGCATTTAATCTGGCGTCGCCGCGACGCCCGAAACGAGCCCGGCGACGCCTCGAGCGATTGGGTCAAAGCCGAATCCATCGTCACCGACCGTCTCGCTCGCGCCGACGGCGCGCGTGTCGTGTACTGGGCGTACTTGAACGCCCTCGCCGAGCTTCTCCGCGTCGGTGACGTCGCCGCCTTCGACCAAACCTCCTGGCGCGCGCTCGGCGATTTCGTCGCTCGCGTCCTCGCGGCGTCCCGCGCGTCGTCGTCGTGACCCACCGCGCGCGCGCGCTCGAGCGCGCCGCGCGCCGAGGAACTCGCCGGCGAGGAATCCGCCGCCTTCACTCGATGAGCACATCGAACTCGTCCAATACTATTCGTAATTAACCCTCTTCGCCGATCGCGCGAATCGGTCTCGTCGGCGACGATTGGTATGCACATCACAACCAGTCTCATCAGTCGAACCGTCTCACCAGTCTCACCGCCCAGGACGGGTCGCGCGGTCGACAAAAACGACCCGGCCGACGACGCGCGTCGACGGACGACGCGAGCGACGTCGATGTAGCGAAATTGTAACGTTTGAATCTTTGGCCTCACCGCACACCCGGTCGCGCGTCCCATGCGCGCGCTCGTCCCGCTTCGCCGCGCGTTCGCGTCCGCCGCGGGCGCCGATAAGCTCGGCGCCGTCAAACGCCTTCGCGAGCGCACGGGCGCGCCGATCGTGGACGTCAAAAACGCGCTCGCCGCGCACGATTACGACGCCGAAGCCGCGCTCGATCATCTTCGCGCGAGCGGACTCGCGGCGGCGGCGAAAAAAGCGCACCGCGCGTCCGCGGACGGCGTCGTGTGCGCGACGACGGCGCGCGCGAACGGCGCGTGGACGTGCGCGATCGCGGAGGTGAACTCGGAGACGGATTTCGTGGCGAGGAACGAGACGTTTCGGGCGTTGGCGCGAGCGGCGGCGACGGCGACGGCGACGCGGCTGGACGAGGACGCGGCGTTCGCGAGCGAATGCGGGACGATCGTCGATGGACGGGTGACGGAGTTGAGCGAGGAACGGTTGGGAGCGATGCGAACGACGAGCGGGAAGACGCTGGGGGAGATGGCGAGGGAGACGGCGGTGAGCGTGCGGGAGAACGTGCGGGTGCGGAGGGCGGCGGCGTACGCGGCGACGGCGGGATCGGAGGAGGTGATCGGGACGTACGTGCACGGTGCGCTGGCGCCGGGCGTCGGACGACAGGCGGCGTGCGTCGTCGCGAAGGGCGTGAGCGTGGATTTCGCGAATAAGCTCGCGATGCACGTCGTCGCGAGCGCGCCGGCGTATTTGCGCGGCGATTGCGTGCCGAACGACGTGTACGAGCGCGAGATGGCGGTGTATCGCTCGCAGACCGAAGGCAGCGGAAAGCCCGCGAATATCGTGGAAAAAATTCTCGCCGGTCGCATGAATAAGTTTTACGAAGAAGTGTGCCTGGAGAATCAAAAGTTTGTCCTGGACGACTCCGTCACCGTGGGCAAAGCGGTCAAGGCTGAGGGCGGTGAACTCATCGCCTTCACTCGGATGAAAGTCGGCGAAGGCATCGACGTGGAGGAGAAAGATTTCGCGTCCGAGGTCGCCGAAGCCGTGCGTAGCACAACATAGCTGATTTTTTATCAAACATTCTACTATTACGATACACGGCGCGTCGTCCTCTCATCCGCTCGGGACGAAGACGCGAAACGACTCGGCCATGGCGAAAAACGTTTCCTTCATCTTAGGCCATCGCTCTTCGGGAATCTGCGCCACGAACGTGTACAACTGATCCCCGCGAACCGCGAACACGCCGATGTTGTGTCTGAACCACCCATCCGGCGCCGCGCCGTCGCCCTTTCGAATCGTGTACTCAAACGTATAGTACACCGTTCCGTTCGATCCTTTTCGCTGACTCGCAGATAACAATTCTCCCGTCTTCCCGCTCCCCGGTTTCGCCAGCACGTTCGCCAGCAACCACTCCGCCTGTCGATTCGCGTCGCCGAACACGCTCAAATCGAATCCTCTCGGCACGGATGATCGAATCACGGACACGTTCTCCTCGCCCGACGTCCCTCGCGGTCCGTACGCCGCGTCCGGTTCGCTCACCTCCCTCGCCCGTCCCTTGCGCAACTCCGGCGGGTCCAGCGACTCGACCCCTCGCCGCGCGTTTCGCAGCGTCACCGTCTGGTCCACCAACCAGTCCATCGGGACCACGAATTCGTACCCCGCGCGCGGCGCGTAGCACCGCGCGAAGCCGTCGACGGGAAACAGCGCGTCCAGCCGCTTCGCTCGCGCGAACTCCGGCGCGAACGCCGTGAGCGTCCTCGAGGTCACGCCTAAGAAATTCGCGCCGAGCGCCAGCGCCGCGCTCGCGCCGACGCCGATCGCGACGCGGCGCGTCGACGGCGCGGTCCTTCGTCCCGACGCGACGACGCGCACGGGCGCTCGCGCGCCGACCGCGCGCGTCATGGCGGCGCGCGCGCGTCACTGCGCGGCGCGCGATGGCGCGGTGCGGGACGCGTCTGCCCGACTTCATCGCGCCTTCTCTCGCCGCCGCGCGACGCGCGCGCGCTCGAAAACGAATCATGCCCACCGCCGAGGCGTCGATCTCGTCGTACCTACCGCCGGACACGTATAACTCGCTTCCCAAGGATGGCGACGTGACGTTTTTGCACGCCATGGTTCGAGCGAGCGATTTGGAGCGAACGATGCGGTTTTTCCGCGCGATCGGGCTTCGAGAGACGCGAAGAAAGTCTTCGGAGAACGGTCGGTTCACGTTGGTGTTCATGGCGTCCGCGCCGGGGGCGCCGGAGATCGAGATCACGCATAATTGGGACCCCGAGGAGTTCGCGCCGCCTTCGCGTTCGATGGGGCATTTGGCCTACGCGGTCGACGATATTTTCGCGAAGGCGACGGAGCTTCGAGACGCCGGGATTGAGATTTTACGGCCGCCGCACGACGGGAAGATGATGTTCGTGAAATCGCCGGACGGGATCTCGGTGGAGATTTTGCAAAAAGGCGAGCCGCTCGAGGCGCGCGAACCGTGGGCGTCGATGCCCAACGTCGGCTCGTGGTGAACAAACTACACTGTTATACAACGCTTTTATGACTGCGCGTGCCCGTCGCTATCGCCGCATCGCGGGTGGGAGAAACGCGTCGTCCGGCGGCGGCGACGCGTGCGCCACGGCTTCGACGACCGCCCTCGCGATGGCGTCGCGAAAGCCGTCGTACGCCTCGGGTCGCAAATGCGTGCCGTCTTCTCGAAACGACGACGCGTCCGCGAACGTTTCCGTCACGTCCGCGTACACCGCCCCCGGCGTTTTCGCACACCACGCCTCACACAACGCGTTCGTCTCGCGCACCACGTGACTCAACGCAAACGCCCTCTTCTGCGGCGAGTCGATCATTCCGACGAAGACGACGCCCAGTCTCGCCGATCGTTCGCGTCTCGCCGACTCCGCGAATCGCTTAAAATTTTCAAACACCTCCCGCGCCGACCTCCCGACGCTCACGTCGTTCGAGCCACAGTAATACACGATCGCCCTCACGTCCGCGCGCCCCCTCGGCAGGACGTCGTCGAAAAACGTCAACAAATCCGTCGTCTCCGCGCCGCCGAAGGCTCTGTTGACCGCGCGCCGCGCGTCGCCCATCCGCCCTCGCCAATCCTCCTCGAAATCTCGCACCTCGCGCCACTCGCGGAAGATGCTCGATCCGACGAACACCACCGCGGGTTCGCTCGCCTCCGACGCGCGCGTCTCGGCGTCCAGGCGTCGAAATCTTCGAATCTCTGGGCTCGCCCAGTGCGCGCGCGTCGACGTCGCCGAGTCTCTCATCGCCGCGCGCGGCGCGCCTCCCGCGCGCGCCGCGCGCCGCGCGATCGTCGTCGCTCGCGGGCTCGGTCGACGCGCGCGTCGCGCGACGCCGCGCGCGCGCGCGAGCGAGACGACGCGCGGCGGCATCTGGCGCGCGTCGGCACACGTCGACGCGCGACGCGCGCGATGGCGGCGAGCGACGCGAACGCGCCGCGCGACGGCGCGAGCGACGACGCGAACGCGCCGCGCGCGAGCGACGGCGAACGCGCGAGCGAGGACGCGAAGAAGGAGGTGCTGGCGAATCTGTTTGGATCGGACGACGAAGACGATGACGACGCGAACGACGCGGGGAAGGCGCGCGGACGCGTCGCGGACGACGAGGACGACGACGACGAGGACGACGCGGCGCTGCGACGGTTGAAGGCGAAGAAACAGCGAGGGCGGAAAGAGAAGGAACGAGGAAAGGGGGGACGCGAGGGTAAGAGCCGGGGACGGGACGACGGCGGCGTCGATTTCGACGCCATACAGAACGAGGAGTACGTCGCGCCGCGAACGGCGGAGGACGACGCGTTCATCGATGACGATGGAGTGGCGGATAAGGATAAATGGGCGAATATGTCGGACGATGAGGATGGGAAGGTTGGGTACGCGAGCGAGGCGGAGGAGAGCGACGACGAATTGGAAAAGTTGTTCGCGCCGGGCGGGAAGGGGAAGCGCAGAAAGAAGAGCGATGAGACGGCGAGAATGGAGGTGTTAGACTTTTTGTCCAAGATGGAGATCGCGGTGGAGGAAGACGCGCGGGCGTACGCCGCGGGGAAGCCGGCGGTGAAGAAGTTGAAGCTCTTGCCGGAGGTGGAACGCAAGTTGAAAATGGTGGAATTGCACGAAGCATTTTTGCGCCACGGGCTCTTGAGCGTCCTTCGAGCGTGGTTAGACTTGTTGCCCGATGGAAACTTGCCCAACTTGACCATACGTACGAGCTTAATCAAGCTCATCGAGCAGTTACCCGTGTCGACGGATTCGCACGAACGCAAGGATGAGCTCAAGCGATCGGGACTGGGTAGAAACATCCTATTCCTGTCCACGCTCGAGGAAGAGACGCCAAAAAACAGAACTGTGTGCAAGAAGCTCGTGGAGAAGTGGTCGCGTCCGGTGTACGAACTTTCGTCGCACTACGGCGATATTCACGTCGGCCGGGAAACCGTCGATACGGACGAACGTCGCCCGAAAAAGAGCAAGACGAGCGCTGTCGACCATTCCGCCGACGTCGGTACGAACGCGGACGCGGCGAGCGACGAACCAAAGTATGGTGAGCGCGGTTACCGCCACCACGCCATGGTTCCCGAGCGTTCGTCGACGCAGTACGTCAAGCAGCCGCGTCTCGAAATCGACCCGAGCGAAATCAAAGCTCGCACGCAAACCGCCGACCAGCGTCGCGTTCGTCAGCTCGTGGGCAAAGTCGCCAAAAACAAAAGTAAGGGTGGTCAAGCGTACACGCCCTCGGTCGAGGGTCGAGGTTTGGTCGGGTTCCAAGGCTAAAATTACCGTCGTCGTAAGTCGCGACTTTAATAACCAACAACGAAAGCTCGAGCGCTGCAGTCGTCGTCGTCGTCGTCTCGCGCGCGCGTCATGAACCTCCCGACGCTGATAGCGGCCGCCGACGGCGTACACGCGGTCGACATCGCCACCCTCGCGCGCATCGACGCATCCACGGCGCGTCCACGGCCGCTCAACGACGGCCAAAAAGTGTTCGACCGGGACAGCTTTTTCCAAACGCACGACGCCTACGACATCGCCGAGGCGTCGACGTCGAGCCCGGCGGCCGACGCAGACGTCGTGCACGTATTCACGCTGACGAACGACGCGCGCGAGGCGTTGGTGCGTGATCTGGTGCCGCTCGGGCTGCGCAAGTTTCGTCGCGGACGCGAGGACGCCGCGCGGTCGCTCGGCGACCCGGTGCCGGGCCCGGGGAGCGACGTGTCCGTCGTGCGCTCGAACCGTGGGGGCTATCAGAGCTACGCGGATTTATTAGATTCATCAGATTCAGATTCAGAGAACGACGACGCGGCTGGCGGCGGTGGCGGCGACGACGCCGGCGCTTCCCGTTCCGCCGCCGGCGCGAGCGATACCGCCGCCGGCGCGCCGACGCGCGCGCGTCTGCGACCCACCACGTGGACGAGCGTTACTGCCATCGCGCTCGAAGCGTACGCACGCGTGCGCACGAGCGCGCAACGCGAGGACGTGTGTTCGCGAGACGTGTACGGTTGGCTCAACGTCAACGCGCCGGGCGACTTCAACAAACTCCACGCGCACGACAGCGCCGATCGTTGGAGCGGCGTGCTTTACCTCGCCGTGCCCGATCTATCCAACACCACCGATGTCCCCATCGACGCGGGATGTCTCGGCGTCCGCGCGTCGGCGTCGTCTTCGTCGCCGTCTCCGTCGCGATACTTTGCGCACTCGCCGCGCGTCGGCGACCTCGTTCTATTTTCCGGCGCCGCGCTTCACGCCGTGAGCGCGTTTCCTCGCCCCGACGGCGCGATAAAACCGTCGAACGACGCGGACGAGCACCCGTCGGACGCCGTCCTGCGCGTCTCCGTCGCGTTTAACGTCGATTGCTAGCGTCGAATGGATCCACATGTGTAAACAGTGTGAAAGTGTGAAACACTCGCAGCCGCCGCCGCACATCCAGACGCGATGGCCGGCGCCCGACGCGCGCGTCGCGTCGTCGTCGACGTCGAGCTCGCGGACGCGAGAAAACGCGCCGATGGCGACGCGGACGCGAGCGCGAACGTCCCCGCGCAGGAAGTCTTCCGCAGCGGCGTCGACCATCGCGGCATCACGAAGACGGTCAAACACGGGAAAAGAAAACGCGAAAGCGACGACGCCGCGACGAACGAGGGCGGCGAGGACGAAGAGATGGTCGACGGAGAACTGTATCGAAACTACAAGGCGCCGAAAGCGACGTACGACTCGATCGCTGGACGGAAATCGGGACGAATGTGGAAACAACCGGCGAAGCGAGCGTCGGCGCTTGGCGCGGCGCCGTCGACGAAAACCTGGGACGACCGCATGCGAGAGAAGGAGGAGAAAAAGCGGTTCCAGGAGGCGAAATCGAACGCGAAGGCGGCGCGAGGGGCGAAGATTCGCGCCGAACGCGAGCGACGGGAGGCGAAGAAATTATTAAAGGAGGAGAATACGCGACGCACGGGCGTCGGCATCGTGAGCGAGATAACCAACCCGAAGACGATCGCCAAGAAGTCAGCCAAGGAGCGAGCGAAGCTGAAGAAGTTGCGCATGCTATAAATCACGCGCTTCGAGCGTCTGGCGCGTGTAGAGATGATTTAGTTGTACAAAATTGACTTCGACTTTGTCGCGAGCGCCGCGTCCGCCGACCACCCGCCGAGCCAGCCTCACATCTCGACGCGCACACGATGGCACACACGGTCTATCACGGCATCGGTACGTCTCGAAACGATCACCGCGACATCGCATCGTCGTCTGACGCCCGCGAGACGCGTCGCGGCGGCGTACGCGCGTCGTGAACCTCGCGCGACCGTCGATCAAACCTAAACGATCCAAACACAGAGACTGACGAACGCGATCGACCTTTCCTCATCCCAGCGCAACGCATTTACTTCAACAAGGAAGTCGCGATCGGGATGACGCTCGGATTAATCGCGGGGGCGGGCTGGAAGTGGAATCACTGGCAGCATCGAAGCGCGCAGCAGGAGTACTACGCCGCGCTGGCGAAGAAGAACAAGAAGTAAGGGGGCGTCGGGCAGTCGCGACGACGATGTGTATAGTAGAGTCGATCCTCTCGCGTAGCGAAGCGACGCAGAAGAGAGGAACGATGAATAGCGTGTTTTAATGGCGAGAAGAACTTTGGTTTCAATGTGAGCGTGTGGTTTGCGGTTGGATTTCACGTTTATCCGCGCGCGCGGTTGAGTCGTTTTCGTCTTCGACGTCGCTCGGTTTCGTTTTTACATCTAGTGCTAAGGCGCGACGACGTGCGTGCGATATTAATTGCCCACGTAAATGCGGCGAATGTCGTCGACGCCGTTGAAGGCGCGATGACACGACACAGGGCAGTCGCCGTATCTATCGACGTGCGCGTAGAGACAGGCGTAGCAGAACACGTATCCAGAAGACGTCAATACCGCCGGATTACGAATGACTTTCCGACACAGCGGACACAAATCGGTGTTTTCGGGCAGTGCAATGCCGTTCGGGTGCGGTGGCGGTCGCGGCGGCGGCGGCGGCACCGGAAGCGTTGTCGCGTTGACTACGCGCTCCTCCGCCGCGCCGTACCACCATTCGGTGAGTTTAAACCCGATCACGGCTGCGATGAGCGCTGATTGTGCGTAGTCCATGACGAAGTTCTTCGTCTTGAGCGCGCCGACGCTCAACGCGCGCGTCGCGGCGTTCTTCGACGCGTGCGCGCCGGCGAGTTGTCGCTGTCGACTCCCCTCGAGTTCTCGCGCGTTGGCCTCCAGCTCCGAGGGCAACGCCCGTACGACGTAACAATCGACGAGCATCAACGTTGGATCGTTTATGTTCCATCGTCCGAGTAAGTACCCCGTCCAAGTCACGAACGTCGCCGCCTCCACCAACGCGTTCGCCACCGGATACGCCGCGACGAACGCCCGCTTCGCGACGCCCCGCGCGCCTCCCTCCGCGTTTCTCGCCGCCACCACCGCGGCCGCGTTCGCCTCCGCGCCCTCACGCACCCCCATATCGTCCGCATTCGAGTCAAACACTCGCGGCGCGCGTCGTCGCGCGTCCAAGTAACACTCGGGCGCGAGCGTTTCGTGCAGCGCCGCCGCCTTGCTCCGCGCGTACGGCCCGAGCGCCAGCAACGCCGCGCTCATGATTCGCTGCCACGCATCGATCCTATACCTTCCATCGCGTCTCACCCTCGCATCCGTCAGCGTTCTCGGCACGCGCTGCAGTCCGTACACGCTCTCCGCGAGCGACCCGTCGCCGCTCGCGAACGACTTGAGCTCGGCCAAAAACGTCAACGCCGCGAACACCTCATCGCCGCGGTCGAGCGCGTAGTGCGCGAACCCGGGCGCGCCGGCGTTCGCCAGCGTGCCCAACGCGTACGCCAGCGCGCCCTTGAGGCTCGGAGCGAGCCGTTCGGCGGCGATGAGCTCAAAAAACGTCGGTCGAATCGCCGCATCCAACCGCCTCGAGCGTCTCTCGCGACGATTCCGCGCGATCGAGCGCTCGAGCGCGCCGTCGTCGTCGACCGACGACGCCGAGGCCGCGTCGGACTCGAGCGAACGCGCGACGCGCGCGTGACGCGCGACGAGCGGGAGCATGCCGCCGAGGCGCGCTCTGACGCCGCGCGGACCCGCGCCGCCGCGGCCCGCTCGACGCCGCGCGCCGCGCGCGCGCGCCGCACGTCTCAAAACCTCTAAAATAATTTACAAAATCCACGGAACGCGCGATTTCGTCGCGTCGATCGTCGCGCGCGTCCTCGAATCTCCGGCGTCGGCGCGCGATCTCAAACTCAAACGTCTTCGCGCGTCTCGCGGCTTCGCGGCTGGCTTCGCGCGTCGTCCGTTCGCGCGCCGAAGCCGACGTCGCGCGCGCCATCACTCCGCGTTCACGCTCGCGCGTCCCTTGCGCGCGCCCTTCAACCCTTTGAGCGCTAATCCGAGCTGCGCGTCGACGCTCGCGAGGGACGCGCGTCCCGGTCAGTGTCTTCGTCGAGCGCGCGCCGAGAACCTTTCGCGTCGCGTCGCGTCGCGTCGTCGTCGTCGCGCGCGGTCGCGGACGATCGCGTCGACGCACCTCGCCCTCGATCGCGCTGACGTCCTGATCGATCTCGCCGCTGCGCAGCTGCAGGACGAAGGTTTCGTTGCGCGGGCCCTTGCTGCGGCTGAGCGGCGCGGCGCTGCCGTCGTCGTTCCAGCGCGCGACGTTGCGACGGAGGAAGCCGGGATAGATGAGCGCGTCGTACTCGGCGGCGGACATGGCGGACATGGCGACTCGGACGAGACCGAGGCGCGGAGTGCGGACGCGAGGCGGGACGGGGACGGGGCGCGCGAGGGACGCGGAGGGATGCGCTCGAGAAGCGAAGGAGCGAAGGAGCGAAGGAGCGAAGGAGCGATGCGATCGACAATTGCGCGCGATTAATGGTGGTGCTTGATGAATCGGAAGATCTCGCGGTCGAACGCGGCGGTGCCCGCGGGGCGAAGGCGCTCGGCGGAGGCGAAACCGCCGTCGCGGCCGAGGAGGTGCGCCTCGAACGCGTCGGGGCGGAACTCGATCGCGGCTAAGTTCGCCTTGCACTCGTCCGGAAGCACCGGAACGCCGTTGATCTTTTTGCGCAGCGTGGATTTGTACGATTTCCACGGTTGCGGTTCGATGATGAGGGAACCGCCGGGGACGAGGGCGTCGCGACACTTGCGAAGGACGGTTTTCACGCCGTCGTCGCCGAAATTCAAGTGAATCCACTTCGTGACGCTGAGCAAGAGAATGACGTCGAACTTTTCGTTTCCGAAATCAAACTCCACGGCGTTCGCTCGTCGGAATTCGACCCCACCGAACGCTTGACCCGCGTCCGCCAACGCGCCTTCGCCTTCGCCGCGCTCCGCCGCGCCCGCCTGCGCCGCGCTGTGTCTCCGCAACGCCTCCAGTTTTCGCTGCGCCGCTCGCACGAGATCACTATCTATGTCTAAGCACACGCACGACGCCGGGGCGAACGCGCCGACGAGGGACAGGGAGAACAATCCATCGTTGCATCCGACGTCGCACGCGCGCTTCCCTCGAAACCACTCGTCCCGGAGCGCCTCCAGCCTGTGATCCTCCATCGTCTCCCCGACGCGGTAGCCGTAGTATCGATCGTAGTTGCCGTACCTATACGACTTTTCTCGCCCATCCGTCGCTCGCCGGCCCTTGCGGCGCTTACGGCGCGCGTGCGGCGTCGGTTTCTCTTCCGAATTGGGACGCTTTTGCTTTGCACTTTTTGTCGTGGTAAACGCGTCGTTTACGTCGCGCGCGATCGGTTCCGGAGCGCTCGGCGCGTCGTGTATCGACGTCGATGGTTTGTCCGAGTCGGAGACGTCGTCCTGGGGGCGTTCGTCGGGGTCGGTCCACGCCGGTCGCGGCGGCATGCCGAACGGCGGTTGAGCGCGAGGCGGCGACTGCGGCGGCGACGTCGCGGCAACGCGTTAAAATTACAAATTTAGTCCATCAAGCGTTTAAACCGATTAGATCTTTGCGAGTGATGACGCCGCGCACGGCGTAGTCGTCGTCGACGACGATGAGGTGGCGCAACGCGAGTGAGAGAAAGACGCCGTGCGCGCGCGCGGCGGGGAAATCCAAAGGCACGGCGAGCGGCGACGGGTTCATGTACGTCTTGATGTCGATCTGCGGCGATGCGAATGCGCTCGCGATGTCGTTGGAATCGTTTTCGGGGTCTGTCAGCGCGCCGCGGCGCGGCGTGGCGTTGGTGCGCATTAAGCGCTCGACTTCGATGGCGTCGACGGTTTCGTCGAGAAGTCCAGCGGCGACGCCGGGCGTCGCGCCCTTGGTGACGCGCTGAATATGCGCAGTGCGCATTTTAAGGTCCAATTTTGCCTGCTTGGTAGCGTCAGCACCGGGCGCGGCTTCCTCGGGCGGCGCCGCGAGAAGAACGTCGAGCTGCGAACGCAAGATGAGACCGGCGAGTTTCCCGCGGTCGTCGACGACTGGGAATCCGTTGTGAGTCGTGTGCTCGAGCAACGACTTGACGTCGTCTCTAAAAGCAACTTCGGGTAAAAACGCGGGTGGAACCGCCATGATATCGCGCGCAGTCTTCCCCTCGAGCGTTCTCGAAGGATCTCGAGGTAGGTAGGCCACAGTTTTACTTCGCGACAACTCGGCGTGGTAAATGCCGTGCGCGAAGTAATTTCCTACCACGTTACTCACGATGACGGCGACGATGATGGCGAACACGAAAGCCTGTCCGTTGGTGCTCTCGACCATGATAACGACCAGAGACACGGAGGAACGGAAAACGCCACCGAGCGCGGAGGTGGCACCGATGAGCGCGTAGAGCCCTGGTTGGATGTCCCACGCTTCGGGCAACGACGCCTTGAGCATTAACCCCGCGCATCCTCCCGTGCACGCGCCCATGAACAACGACGGCATAAATAAGCCACCAGGAACGGCGATGCCGAACGCTAGCGCCATCATAACGAGATAACACACCGCGGATATGGCTAAACCTTGCGCCGTGAACCCGTACGCCTCGCCCCACACGTGCTCAGCCATGCCGAACATCCAGCCGATTGAACGGCCTGGATAAATGAAAAATACAGTAGCGATGTCGTTAATTTCTCCCTCGGCGCAGTTGAATCGTACACCGAAATCGTCTTTCACCCAGGTATCGGGAGGCACCATGCAGTGTCCCGCGAACTCCGCCGCCGCGAACCGAAGCGCCACCGTGGCGAGAACGACGACGGCGCACTCAAACATTCGTGCGACTTTATTCTTCGCAGACGGACGAAACCTCGACGTCCACGCCTGAATTTGGTTGAACAACACCCCCATGAGTCCCGCTATGGCAGCTACTAAAACAAAGAATGGTAGTTGGTGGAAGTAGTCCCTCGGCGTAGTCGGTCGAAGCGAGTCACCGGTGATGAACACCATGCCTGGGTTGCCTCGCAAATCGAGCAACGCGAGCACGAAGGACGCGATGGCAGCGCACATCAAGCACCGCCACATCGTGCGTTGACTCCAAAACGTGCTCGCTTCTTCAAAAGAAAACAAAACTCCTCCGATGGGTGCACCGAAAGCCGCGGCTAATCCGGCGGCGGCGCCAGCGGAGACGAATTCTCTATGCGTCGACGGCGACGCCAACTCGAGCAGCACGGCGTCTAATTTCGCCGACTCGCCGAACCGCACGAACGCACGACGACGTTGCCGCCTTCGCCGCCGTAACGTCGACTGCAATTCACTACCGTCTGAATCTTCGCCATCCGTAGAATATCGCTCGGAATCCTCGTCTTCGGAATCCTCGTCCTCGCTCGCCGCCGACGCGTCCGCCTCGCCCTCTCTCGCCCCCAAGAATCCATCTCCACACAAGAACTTCCTGGGCCAATACAACGCGCACACACTGGCGATCCCAGCGCCGATGTGCACCATCGGCCCTTCGGGTCCGACCGCCAACGCGCTCCCCACGCCGCCGCACGTGCCCACGATTTTCGCCGCGAGCGTCCGCCCGCTCAATAATCCCGGCACGTTTGCGCCGTTTAAACTCGCCATCACCTGCGTCACGCCCCCTCCGCTCGCTAACGGCGCGTAATACGTCGCGACCCATCCCCCGAGCGTCCCCAACACCGCCGCCGTGATCATAAACAGCGACATCGTCGTCCGCGGCGCGTCGCCGTAGTATCGACTCACGAGCGCCGCCTGCATCGAGATGATTTCCCCCGTCGTTCCCTCGATCGCCCACGCCGTCACCCCGACCGCGGCGCCGATGACGAGCGTCAACGCGTACTTCGAGAACACCACGTGCGCGTAGGGATTATCGCGCGCGCGGCGCGACGGTGGCTGATTTTGTGTCCCGGTGGTTGGATTGTCGCGCGCATTCTGATTCCGAATCCTCCGCGTTTCGACCGCGTTCGCGGGGAGTTCGTAGTCTATGCTCTCGTAATAGTGTGCGGGCGTTCGACGGGACATCGTCGACCGCGCGCGCGCGGGATCGGGCCCGACGCGCGCGCGCGGTGTGGACGTTCCGCCGAGGCGAGGTGTGACGCGCGGGCGACGCGAGACGGCGAGTTTAATGTCGCGAATTCGAGCGAGAAATGCTTCGGTATTACTCACCGCTCGCTCGAGTCGGTCACTCGATTCGCGCGCGCAGCGCGGCTTCGGCGCGCGCGAGGCGAGATTTCAGTTCGCGCTGCTCGACGACGAGCTCGCGAATGACGTTGGTCAAATCCGCCACCGCGGCGTCGGTCAGCGGTGTTCGCTCGTTCGACGACGCCGTCGTCGTCGCCGGTTGCGAAAACTCGGGAAACTCGGGAAATTCGGGAATCGGGACGTATCCAGCGTCGGCGTCGACGCTGGCCGCGCGCGGCGCGACGAAGGACGGCGGCGCGCGCGGAGACGCCGAAGTCGAAGCCGGTCGCGGCGACGCCGGCGGCGAGTGCGTGATCCTATTCGCTCGTCTTCTTCGCGTCTTATCGTCGTCATCGCCCTCATCGTCACCGAGCGCGGCCGCCCGCGCGGCCATCATCGCGCGTTTCTCGCGTAAAATCGCTCGCTCCTCTTCGACGTGTCGCCGAATGCGCTCGTTTTCCTCTCTGTCCCGTCTCTCCTCCTCCTCGCGCCTTTTCCTCTCGCGTTCGCGCCGCTCCGCCACCTGTCTATCCAGCGCGGCGACGTACTCGTCCCGCCGCCGCGCCAGCTCCTCCGCCGTCTCCCGGTTCGCCGTCTCGCCGCCGTCTCGCCGCCGCCGCGCGTCCCGCTCGCTCGCCTCCCGCGCCGCCTCCCGCGCCCGTCCTCGCGCCATCTCCGCCATCTGCGCGTCCAGCGCGCGTCTATACCGCACCATCTCCGCCCGTTTCCGCGCGCGTTCCTCCTCCGCGCGCCGCGCGCCGTCGTCGCGAACGACGAAGCGCGCGAGCGTCGTCGCCGCGCGCGTCGTCCCCGCGTCGTCCCGCCGCGCCGCGCTCGCTCGTCCCGCCGCGCGCGCGCGCGTCGACATCCGCGTCGTCGTCGTCCTCGCGTCCTCGCGTTCGCGCGTTCGCGCGTTCGCGCGTCGTCGCGTCCTCTTTTCGTCGCGTCGTTCGAACCGTTTCTTCGTTTGAATTAATTAAATCAAACCTTCGAAGCGCGATTCCTCTCGCCGCGGACGCCGCGACGATCGCGCGTCGACGCTCGACGCGCGCGCGATTTATCGCGCGCGTATCCTCGGCGTCGCGCGTCGTCCTCCGCGTCGCGCGCGCGCTGTGCCGCCGCGACGTCGATCGCGCGTCCGTTTCAAACCACCTCGTATGCGCAAACAGTGTGATGACATGTACCAAACCACCTCGTATGCGCAAACAGTGTGACGACATGTACCAAACCACCTCGTATGCGCAAACAGTATGACGACACGTACCAAACCACCTCGTATGCGCAAACAGTGTGACGACACGTACCAAACCACCTCGTATGCGCAAACAGTGTGACGACACGTACCAAACCACCTCGTATGCGCAAACAGTGTGACGACATGTACCAAACCACCTCGTATGCGCAAACAGTATGACGACACGTACCAAACCACCTCGTATGCGCAAACAGTGTGACGACACGTACCAAACCACCTCGTATGCGCAAACAGTGTGACGACACGTACCAAACCACCTCGTATGCGCAAACAGTGTGACGACACGTACCAAACCACCTCGTATGCGCAAACAGTGTGACGACACGTACCAAACCACCTCGTATGCGCAAACAGTCTGACGAAAGATATTTCGCCCCGACGCCACCGCGCGACGCGAATGCCGCTCGTCGTCGACGCCGTCGCGTCGCGCCGTCGCCCGCCGCCGGACTGCGGCGACGCCCTCGTCGCGCTCGCCGACGCCCGCGCGCTCGTCTGCGCCGGCGACGGCGGACGCGTCGTCGCGACGCTCGAAAGGCGCGTCGAATCGACGCGACGCGCGACGCTCGACGACGACGACGACGACGACGACGGGTGGACGACGCGACACGTCGCGCTTTTCGGTGCGTCGCCGTGCGCGCGCTTGGCGAGCACGCGCGACGGCGCGATCGCGGCGAGGCGGGACGGCGCGATCGCGGCGTGGCGACGCGACGGCGGCGGCGCGCTGCGCGGGACGACGACGCCGCCGTACGCGGGCGCGCCGCCGATCGTCGCGGAGGGGACGAAATCGGCGCGAGATGGGACGGGGGGAAGCGGCGCGCGGGTCGGGGACTGCTTCGGGATGTGCGCGTGCGAGGGGAGCGATGGGACGACGTACGCGGCGACGGCGAGCGCGGCGGGCGACGGCGACGCGGGACGGGTGGCGGTGCGAGTGGTGGGGGGGGCGGCGAGCGCGAACGCGGGAGAAACGGTGGCGAGCGCGACGTATGAGGGGTTGGTGGGGGTGGTGAGCGCGGGAGGGGAGGATTTTTGGGTGACGACGCGAAGTGGGGTGCTTTATAGGTGGAATTGTCGATTGCGGCGAGCGACGGCGCGCGTCGACGCGCGAGGGGCGACGCGCGACGGCGGGATGGATGGTGGGAGTGGACCGTCGAGGGCGCTGTTGACGAGCGTGTCGTTTCCGGATCGCGCGCTCGTGTGCGCGGACGTCGACGCGGAAAGGGCGTTCGTGGTGCTGCCGGCGCTCGGCGCGCCGGGCGAGCGACGCGACGACGACGACGTCGCGCACGCGGTGGAGGAGGTGTGCGCGTTCGGGCGCGTTTCGGCGACGAAGGAGGATGAAGACGGTCAAGAGATGCGCGCGGGTGAGCGCGCGATGAGCATCGCGCGACACGGTGCGTTTTTGTGGGTCGCCTCGTTCGACGCCGCGTCGGAGCGACGGTTGATTCGCGTGTTTCACGCGAGCACGGGCGCGTTGGTCGATTCCGCGACGCTGCCTGAATTGCCGCGCGCCGCGAGCGAATCGCACGCGACGATTTCTTCGCAAGAGCACGCGTTTGAACTCGTCAACGGAGGCGTCGCCGGTATGTATGCGCGAGCGTACTCGCCGGGCGCGCTCGCGCCCGTGTTCCGGTGTTCGCTGCACGTCCCGAGCGCGTTGTCGAAAGTGGTGGAACCCATACTGATGTCGACGACTCTGTACGACCTGGAGCATATCGACAAGGTTCTAGCCGACGTAGAGATGTACGGCGCGTCGAAGGAGGCTCTCGCTCGCGCTTTAATCACCGCGCGACGCGAGGTGGAGACGGCGACGGAGGCGTTTAGGACAAAGAGAGACGCGCGATTGGCGACGCGTTCCAGAGACGTCAGAGCATCGTGTGCGATCGCGCCGGCGCTCCTTCTCAAGGCGAGGCTCGACGGTCGATTTGATGAAGTCGCCGCGGCGAGATGGAACTTTGCCGTGCGCGAAGCTTTAGAGACGCTCGAGCGAGCGTCGGCGGATTGCGAAGCGTTCTCGCGTCAAGCTAGCGCGAGCGTCCACGAAGCGCGGGATATTCTTCTCACGGACTGGGACGCATTGCGCGCAACGGGCGGCGCGTCTCAAAGGGACGGTGTCATCAGCGACGACGTTCATCTCTCAGGGCTCGTGCGCGAGCTCGAATCTTCGCGCGGAGAGAATTTACCCGCGTACGCTTGGGTCGGCGCGCGCGCGTTGCTGGCGTTTCGCGACGGCGCCGCGCTCGCAACCTTGATAGATGCGGTGTGGGGCGATAAACCATTATTGTTTCCGCAAGAAGATGAATCGGATGCAAAGGTCGCGATTGAAGAGCTCGTCACCGCCATGGCGTCGCGAGTCGACGCGTCAGAGACGCCGGCGCCGGCGACCGTCGCGTTCGCCCCGTTTGAAGCCACCACGCACTTGCTATATCGCATCGCACCCCAATGTGCTGTTGCGTTCATAGACGCAACGTGCGCAGTAACACCTGGAGCGACGCGCGTGGCTTTGGCGAAACGCGCGTTAACGACGATCGAGTCGCCGAGCGCGCATTTGGGACGTTTCGCCGACGGCGCCGCCGCCGACGCTCTCGTACGCGCCGTCGCGGAAACTTTGTGTGCGGCAGACCTTACGAGGAGCGGAGTCTATATCGCGTTAACGTTTGGCGGACTCTTTGACAGAAGCGCGTCTTCGCCGACGAGAACGCTCGCGCAGCGCGGGAAGACGACACTCACAGGATGGGTACTCGCGCACGAAATCGTCGAAGCCGAAATCGAGCGCCGAAGAGATTCTATCGATGATGCTCGTAAATTCGCCGCAGAAGCGTTCGAATTGATGAGTAAGTCGTTTCGAACGTTGATCGAAGATTGGAACGACATGCCTCTTCGACAATCTCCCGAAGAAGTCGACGTGGACGTCGCCGCCGAATTCATGCTTCGCACCGCCGACGCCGTCAGAACGCTCTTCGCCGGCGACGCCGAGGTCGAATTGAAATCCCCAGTTCTCGACATCGCGCGACGACACACCACGACGATGACGGACGCGTGCGCCGCGATGAAGAGCGGCGACGACGCCGCGAGCGATCAAACCGTGGATTCCCTCGAACGTTTGATCGTCGCCGTCACCTCGACGCTTCGATCGACGCCGAGTTAGGTCGTCGCGTCGACGACGGCCTCGCGCGAGGACATCGAGCCGTGACGTTTCCATCGCCGCGATCGTTGTAAATTATCCATGTAAATCATTCGCGCGCTCGCCGCGCGCGCGCTCGCCCGCGCCGCGTCGCCGCGTTCGCCGCTCGCCGCGTCGCCTTCGCCGCTCGGCGTCGCGTCGCCGCACTTCATGGATCACTACGCCACCCTCGGCGTCCCCTCGTCCGCCGACGCCGCGCAGGTGCGCGACGCGTACAAGCGCGCGGCGCTCCGCGCGCACCCCGATCGCGCGCGCGGCGACGCGCGCGCGTTTCTCGAGCTCAAACGCGCGTACGACTGCCTCGTGGACGCGACGGCGCGGAAGCGATACGACGCCGCGCTCGCGTCGAGGCGCGCGCGACCGCTCGCGGAGACGATCGACGCGGAGGAGATGGACGTGGTGTGCGTGATGATGGGGCGCGAGGGCGAGCGCGGGGCGTCGGGAGGCGTGGACGCGTACGCGCGCGCGTGTCGGTGCGGCGACGCGTACGAGATACCGGTGGCGGAGTTACAACGATTGCGTCGCGAGTTGCACGACGAGTGCGTGTTGGAGTGCGGTGGGTGTTCGTTGCGAATCAGCGTGCGATTGAAACCGATCGGGGCGGACGAGGCGCACGCGAGCGCGCGCGTGGCGCGCGCGTGACGAACGCGCGCTCGATTTCGCCGACTCGACGGCGCGAGCGCTAGAAATTACTATAGTGTACATGTACAACGCTACCTACGCGCCGCCGCGGAACGGCGCCTCGAGACGACGCTCACGCGTGACGTTTCGTCATCACCGCCTCGTACTCCGCTAATAACTCCTCGTAGACGACCTTGACGCAGAATTTACACGCCGGTTCGCTCGCGCAGCAGTCGCTCTCCAGCGGCGCGCGCGGAGGCTCCGGCGCGCGGTCCTCGCATCGGCAAAACCGCCGCTCGCACGTCGGGCACAGCGCGGGCGGAGGTAAGCGCGCGTCGACGATGCCTTTGGCGAGTTTCTTGCGGCGGATGGACTCGACGACGACGGCGTTGGTCATGTCTCGTTTGGGCTTGGGCGTCTTGACGGGAAGGTTCGCGTCGCTTTGCGTCGCGCGCGCGCGCGCGCGGGACGTCGAACACGATTCGAGCGACGCGAACGCGCGCGTGGGGTCCACGGCGCGCGAGAGCGCGCGGAGCGCGCGCATGATGGGGACGGAGGCGCGCGGGACACTGAGGCGCGGGACGCCGCGCCGCGCGGGACGCGAGCGCGACGACGAGTCGTCGAGAATGAACTGCGTTCACGAGCGCGTCTATGAAATTCGTAAATTAATGCCTAAAATTGAACGTCTTCACGCGACCGTCGTAATCGAGTGCTTGGCCGTCGCCTCGGACGCGTAAGAAGGCATCCAACGCGGCGGTGGCGCGCGGAGGCCAGCGGTTGGCCACCGTGTCGGTCGTCTTGTACAGCCGACACGGCGTGTCTAAACCGGCGTCTTTGACACCACCGTCTAGTTCGGCGACGATTTGATTTGCAGACTGCGTGAAGAGCTCGAAGCCGTACGCGATGGCGCCGGCATCGCGTTTCTCTTCCGCTGAACGCTTGGCGCCGAAACCGCGTCCACTCTTACACAGAAAAGTCCACTCCGCCTCGGCGTCGTCGAAACGACCTTCACTCCAAAGGAACGCCGATAAAGCGGCGCGCATGTCTAAAAATTCTGGATCTCTTCTCAAAAGCTTTCGAGCCGTGGTTATCGCCAAATCATCGCGCTCGGTCTGAAACGCCGCCAACGCGTAGTTTGCCAGCGCGATGGCTCGCATGTCCTCCGTCCTCGACGCTTCCAGAAAATCTGCCATCGCGGAGTCCCACTGATTGAGCGCGCCCTTGGCGTTGCCGAGATTATTCAACGACAGCGGATCGGGATTATTCCCGTCGAGGTCTACGCTTGCTTGGAGATCGTCCACCGCGCCCTGCCATTCCTGATACTGCAGTCGAAGCGTGCCACGGTTCGAAAACGCCGCACTCCGCGCGCGCGAACCCTCGGGCGAGAGCTCTATCGCCTTGGTCCAGATCGCTTCACTCTCTTCATACGTCGTCGCTTGCATGGCTCGGTTGAAGAGTTCGGTAAGTTTCTTCGTGTCCACTTCGTCCGCCGCAGTCGCGGGTTCGGCGAGCGAGGATAGGCCAGCGAGGACGAGTGAGAAAATTGCCGCTCGGCGCGACGACGCCGATTTGAGCGGATATTCTTCAAATAATGATTCTGGAATATCTTTGCGATGCGGCAATGCGCTTCGCGCTCCAATGCCACCGCATTTCGTCGCCGCAACGTATGCGCCAAGGCGCATCGCGCTGGCGACGTTGAAATCCTCCGAGCACGCCGACATTGCGAGCGTGCCTATGAACGCGTCGCCTGCCCCGGTGGTGTCGACCACTTGGTTGTCCGTCAAACGTTTCGCCGGCGTGAACACAACTTTTGCCTTGAAACGTCGTTCGCCGCTTGCGTCTCGGATTACCAAGGATTCCGTCTCCACGCTCGGTCCGGGCGTCTCGTCATCGCCGCGGAGGGCCGCGTTCTCCAATCTCGACACGACGTCATCCAACGCCGTCCCTTCCCCCACTTCCGGAGTTTCGACACCATCTCGTACCAAAGCTACCGCCCCTCGCGCGCCGAGCGTCGTCACCATCACTTTTGCCTTCGGCAAACACGCAAACATTTCTGTCATCGCGTCTCCTAGCGTCTTCGTCTCCGTAAATCTATCAAGCGGGTAATTCTTCGACGTCACCACGACGTCCGCAAGCCGCACAAGTTCGTCTAGTCCATCTCTCAATCGTTCACACTCGACGAGCACCCTAATTCCACGCGTTTCCGCGACGCGCGCGAGCGCGATAGCGCTCTCTGTGAGTCGTCCATCGAAGAAGACGACATCCGGATGAACCGCTTCCAGCAGCGCGGCGACGTCGCCCAACTCTTCCACCTCCAACGTCTCCCCAGGCGTGTGCACGCACGTTCGCGTGGACTCTCCATCTCCGTTTGACGACGATGTGACCATGATGTACGTGAAAGGCGACCTGTTCCCGCGTCGTACGACATGAGACACGTCGACGCCTTCGCGTTCGCCCAGCTCTGTCAAAATCTGCGTCCCCACCCCGTCGGTTCCCACTTTCGAGACCAGCGCCGTGCGCGCGCCAAGGCGCGAAGCGGCGACGAGCGCGTTCGCGCAGTTCCCTCCGCCCACGATTTCGAGCTCGGACGCGCGCGTTTTGGCGTCAGGCGTCGGGAAAGCGCCGTCGAGTTTGGCTATGTAGTCCACGCCGGCGCTGCCGAAACCCAAAATTGCAGGTCGCGCGTCGCTCGGATCGCGCGATGACGCGGCGCGCGACGACGTTCGAGGCGATGGGCGGCGCCAACGCGCGAGAACGGCGGGTTTGGCGTCGACGGTGCGCATCAGGGGCATCGAGGACTGCGGATGGCGACCGGGACGCGCGAGCGCTTTGAATGTTTTCATCGGAGTCGCGCGCGCGCGCTTCGAGCAAACGCGAAGAATCATATGCTATAACTATGTCTAACACTACGTTTCGCGCGCGCGCTGGGCGTACGCGCGGTGGAAGGCGGCAAATTCTTGCCACCGACCGCACCGAATCGCGCGTCTCGCCGCGGCAAAGAACGCGGCGATGTGATATAGGTTATGCGCCTCGAGCAAGACGTCCGCGGTCATCTCGTGCGCTTGTAATAAGTGATGCACGTAGGCCCGAGTGTGCTCGGCGCACGCGGGGCAGCGACAGCGGTCTCCGCGAATGAACGGGGTGAAATCCGTCTTGTACGACGTCGACCAAATGTTGATGGAATACGCGTCGCTCCCCGACGTCGCGCGCGATTCGGCGTCTTCTGCTTCCATCTCATCATCTTCTTCATCGACTGGGAAACAAAACGCGCGCCCGCGTTGCGCAGTTTCGCTCGCCCAACTCGCGTCGAACACGTCGACGCCTCTGTCGATGTTGTCCACGATGTCTTCCACCGTCGTCGTCCCCGACAAATAGCGCGGTTTCTCGCTCGGGATGTGCTTCAACGACGCCTCTACGCACGCTCCTCGCGTACTGACGTCTTCACCGGCGAAGAACCCGCTCAGCGCGTACCCCACGACGTCATCATCCCGTTCCGCCACTCGACGCGAACACTCTTCGCGCACCTCTGCGTGTTCGCCCCCCGTCAACGCCCCAAACAACGGCAACCTCAATGTTTTCGCCTCTTTCGCGCACGCATCCAGCCATGCACACGTACGTATCGCCGCTGTCTTACTCTTCTTCGCGCTCTCCCACCCTCCGTGTTCATCCGCCAACGAAACCGCCGCGTGCGCCGCGCCCGACCGCCAAATCCTCGCGTACTCGCGCGCGTCCAAACTCCTCTGCCCATACGGCGTCTCGCACGCCAACGCGTCCGCACCCGAGCGATTCTGCGCATTCATACCAAAGTACATCGAATCCCTGTAGTGTCCGAGCGTTAATCGCCGCGGCGGCGGACACGCCGCCTCGTCGCCCTCGGCTTCTTCGCCTTCGGCTTCGTCGCCGTCGCGCTTCCGCTTCGTCCCGCGCTTCGTCTTCCTCGCGAAGTGCGCGCCGACGAGCGCGCATCCGAATAAACACCCCTCATCGCTCGTCCCGTCGTCGTTCGCGCGTCGCCGCGCGCGCAGCGCGGCGCGCAGTCGCGTCTCGACGTCGTCCAAAACATCCTTCGTGAGCGTCGCGTGTTCGCCCTTGGACGTCGGCGCGAGCGCCGTCGGCGTCGGCGTGCGCGCGCCGTCGCCGTGCGCGATCGTCCCGCACCGCGCGCGCGCGCGCGAGGCGTTCGCGGCGCTCGGCGCGAACGCGAACGTCATCGCGAGCGTCGCGGACTGGCGCGGCGACGGTCCGCGCGTCACTTCGCGCCTCACGAATGCCCGACGACGGCCCGCGCGGCGCGTGGGCGACGCCCGAGGGATGGACGGCGTGCCCGCGCATGTCCGAACCGTTCGCGGGGATGTTTCTCGCGTCCAAGGCGCCGCTGAGGGAGCAATTCTACGCCGACGTCCCGAGAGAGGATTGGTACACGCCCGACGACGCGCTGGCGCTGGCGCAGAGCAAAGGACGCGCGGTGGCGATGGTGATCGATCTCACGAACACGTCGAGGTATTACGACGCGAGCGACTTCGAAAAGTACGGGGTGAGGGTGTATAAGATTCGGTGCGCGGGACGGGACGGCGCGCCGGCGCCGCGGGAGGTGAGCGAATTCGTGTACGCGGTGCAAAGATGCGCGGCGGAGATGGCGAGCGATCCGGGATGGCAGGAAAAGGCGAGACAAGGGTATGCGCCGACGATATTGGTGCACTGTACGCACGGGTTTAATCGAACGGGCGCGATGTTGACGCATTATTGTCAGCGCGCGCGAGGCTGGCCCGAGTTGAATAAGTGGGTGACGGAGTTCGCGAAAGTGCGACCGCCGGGGATATACAAGAGCGAGTACTTGGAGAGCTTGTTTGATTATTATCTCGAACGGAGGTTTAGCACGACGAAGGATCCGAAAGTGCCGGCGTGGAAGAGCGACGATTTGAGCGACGCGCCGCCGTTGACGGACGACAAGATACCGGCGGGAGATCTGTTCGATCCGAGGGTGAATTTGACGTATAAGAAGACGTTAGCGCACAGTCGAGCACCGATACCGGGGACGCGCAGAGCGTTGCAGCGCGCGATGGAGATTGCGGAGGTCGAGAGTGATGCGGGATCGATGCATCACGAAGACGTCGTCGGCGAGGAGGTGTACGAGGAAATGGCGCACGAGATTCGAAAGCTTTGCGTGTGGGCGGTCATGTCAGACGATGGGGCCTCAGGACGCGTTGATAACTTTCCTGGATCACAGCCGGTGAGTCTGAGTCGCAACAACATGGAGCTCTTGAAACGTGAACCATACAGCGTGACGTGGAAGGCGGACGGGACGCGTTATTTATTAATGCTTATGCGCGATGGCACGTACTTGATCGATAGAAAATTCGCTATTCGCCGCGTGCAAATGCGATTTCCTTTACCGCACAAAAAGTTTGGAACCAACGTACACCACTGTACGTTGATGGATGGCGAGATGGTCGTCGACACCGATCCTCAGACGAAGAAGCAGACGCGCCGGTATCTAGCGTACGATTTGATGGCCATCAACGGCGAACGCGTGACGCAACGTCCGTTCTTGGAGCGATTGAACATTGTGCGTGAGTTCGTCGTCGAACCGAGAAAGGCGTTTCTCGCGCAGGCGGGTCCGAGTGGAGCTTACGCCGCGCATAAAGAACCGTTTTCTGTTCGCACAAAGGAATTTTTCCCGCTGAATTTTGCGCGCTCATTCATCGAAAAGTTCATTCCCGCCCTGTCGCACGAAAGCGATGGATTGATTTTCCAACCCTCAAATGTGCCGTACGTCCCGCAAACGTACGAAGCACTGCTCAAGTGGAAGTTTCCAGGGTTGAACTCGGTCGACTTTCTCTTGCGCGTATCGCGAGATAAAGGTTTGCTCTTTGTGGGTCAAAAAGGCGGCGCGCTCGCCCGCCTCGAGGACGATTTTGTCACACGCACGGATCCACTCGAAAGCTTGGATGGTAAAATCGTCGAGTGCACGTGGGATATGAATGAAAAAACGTGGGTTTTCTTGCGTACGAGGTCGGATAAAGATACGCCGAATTTCATCACCACTTACGAAAAGACGTGGAAATCAATTCAGGACAACATCACGTCGAACGATATCCTTGAGTTTGTAGAAAAAGAGGTCGTCACCAACGAGGGAGCGACGACTGTGTAGAAAATAGTTTGTTGAGAGTGCAATTCGAATTAAAAGCTGAAAGAATGTTATTTGCCGCGACCGTACAGATCCTTGACCGGACCAGCAGCCGCCTTCTTCGCCGCCGCCGCTTCCTTCTTTTCCTTGGCGGTGAGTTTTTTGTTGTTCTGTGCTTCTTTCATCGTCGCCTCCTCGGCGTCGATGCCGGCTTTGAGAGCCCGTCGTTCAGCCACAGAAAGTTTCTTCGGCGCCTTACCCGCTACAGGCTCCGTCACGACGACTCCGTCGCCGACTCGCCACAATTCGTCACACACGGCGTTCACGAACGGCTCGTTGTGGGAAATCGTAATCACCCCACCCTTGAAATCAATGAGCGCCTTGGTCAACGCAGCTAAGGTATCGTTATCTAAGTAGTTTGTCGGCTCATCAAGAGCGATGATGTGTGGATTCGTCCACATGGCCGCGGCGAGGACGAGTCGACTCTTTTGCCCGCCGGACATGCGCTTGATTTTCCCCATGGCCAAATCTTGATCAATACCAAAGTTTTCCAAGTGAATGCGCACTTCTTCTTTGGTGAGCGGTCGTAAATCCATACCCGATTGCATCGCCTTGAGCTTTTCGTCAAAGTTACGCACCATCTTCATCACGTACGGATCCTTGCGCTCTAACGAACTCATCATTTCCCAATCGGTGTCGTTTTCTTCGCGTCCGGCGCGGCGCACTTCGTAAAACAGATGTTTACCTCGCATCACGCGACCAATGACATCCATGATGTTACCACGCTCTTGCGATGTTGCGAGCTCGTCCTTGCTCAAGTTGTGCGAGGCGCGCTTGGCGATTTCTTTATCGCGACCATTGTAGAAGCGGTTTTGCAAGTACTCCAACGGCGTGTTCTCCAAAGACTCTTCCAAGTGCTGCATGGAGTGTTGCGCGATGTAGGACAGTCGCAAGTTGTGGTGGCGCCAGACTTCCCCGACACCTTCATCGATTTGAAGTGCGCCGATGAGTAACTTCAAAAGCGTCGTCTTACCGGCGCCGTTGAGGCCCACGAGCGCCGCTCGAGAGTTTTGCGTAATTTTCACGGTAGCACCGTTGAGAATCTTCTTTGAAGTTCCTGGATAGCCGAACGATACCTCTTTCATGTACATGACACATTTTGCGCGAGACTTGACGCCCTCCAAATCACCCGGTTCGGGGAATCGAATCGGTTTGATGTGCGACGGCTGGTCGTCGCCGATTTGGTCGATGGCAAAGCCGCTCTCTTTTTTCGCCTCTTTCGCTCCGTCGGCAGAGCCACCTTCGATGTTTGACTGCTTAGCGATCGCATTGTCGTTGCTCGGCAACGCGGCGACGATTTCAGGTTTCAACGACTGGAAATCGCGGAAGCTCATGGGATAGTATGTGAGCGTCTTTTCACTCAAGTGAATGACGTCCGTCAGCACCTCGGCCAGGAAGTCGTAGTCGTGCGACACGAGGCAGATGGTGGTGTTCGTTAAGGACTTCAAATAGTTGGTCAACCACGCGATAGCACTCGTGTCCAAGTGGTTTGTTGGCTCATCCAACAAGAGAACATCGGCGTCCCACAACATGGCGCGCGCGATGGCGAGTTTCATACGCCACCCGCCAGAGAGGGATTGAATAGTGGCAGCCATCTTTTCGTCGTCGAAACCAACCTCTTTGAGAGTGTTGACGACGGTGTCTCGTGTGACACCTTCAGGTACCATTTGAACCATGAAGTCGACGATCGTTTCTTCCTTATCACTCATAATTTCGTGCTGAATGTAGTATACAGAGACGTCCTCCGGGAAACCAGCGATATCCTTCGCCGCGACGCGATTCAAAAGTGTCGTCTTACCGGTACCATTTTGACCTACGATGCCGTACGTGCGACCACGTTCGAGCGTGAAATTCGTGCGTTGAAGTAACACGCGACCGGCAAAGGCTAAAATAATGCCTTGAAGATCGACGATGTAATCCTTCGTGCTTTCGTCGAGCAGGGCTGATTCGTCGAGGCCCTTGTATGCCATCACGGATACATTGGCAATCTTTTCAATGGCTTGAATGTTCCCTTCGAACGCGCTTTCGAGCACCGGAGTGAGCTCACGCTTGATGTCATTCGATAAGATGGAGGGAGGAATGCGCAACGGGGCGGAATCCATGACCCAACCGCCGAGCGCGGCCGCATACGACTGCGTCTCGACGTCAACGTTGACGCCGGCGCCATTGATGGCCTCCTTCACGATATTCGACGCAACCTTGCGCTCCTCGGACTGGCTCGCGTCGATACCTTTCATCAAACTCGTTTTTGCGCGCGTCGCGGCTTCGCGCAAGTCTGGATGCGAGTGCTCTTCAGCCTTTTCCAACTCGGGCAACAACACCGGAATAAACGGGAGCAGATCGCGAGGGTCGTCGACCAAAGCGCAAATGTTTCCGAAAGTCGTTGCAGCCTTTTGCTTGAGCTCTTTCGTTCGCTCACGCAGGCCGCGCAAGATGACGGGCAAAATCACAGCCAAGGACGGGGCGTCCATGGAGTTCACGAATGTCGTCTCCATAAGCTTGTCCAAGCAGTCCTCGGTGGCTTTTTGCGGTGTGCGAATCGCACTCAATACGAGGTCCATCATGCCCAAAACCTCCGCATTTTTTACGCAACAGCAAATACTGGGAAGAATTTCTTCACAAAGCGCAGAAACTTTCGGGTGCGTATCGAATAGAGTGTCCAAAAACGACGGGAACAGATCCGGAATGGCTCGCATGAACGATTGCGGCACTCTGTTCGCGAGGTCGCCCATGATGTGTAACGAGCCGAGCTTACTCTGCCAGTCCTTGTGCTGCATGCCAGCATTTAATGCCGGAGATAAAAGCTTCATCGCCGTCAAAGGCAACGCCTTGACGACGGCAGCCTGCGCCAAATTCGCCGCCTCGCGAACATCGGCATTTCTATCACCGAGCAACGTGAAAACGATGGGAGCTTCACCGATGGCGTACGGCTCAAATCCACGACCAGCGGTTCGACACATGTGCGCGTACGTCAACAACGCCCCTGCGCGAGCGACGGGATCCTTTTTATCCTCGATAGCCTTTTTAATCTCATCCACGACGTGTAAGTCCGCGAGCGCGGCGACGCCGACCCCCTTGCAAATCCCAGCCATGGCCGCCGCGCCTTGCCTTCGCTCGGCGATGTCTACCCCGGTCAACGCCTTGGACTTCAATTCGCCGAGCATCGCGATCGCGGCTTCACGGACGTCCGCAGCCAAGTTACCGATCGCTCGGGCGCCGATGAACGCGCCCGCGTCCCGCACGCTTCGCAGCGCCTCCACGATTCTCTTAATCGCCTCAACCTTCCCCGCATCGTCGTAAAACAGCTGCGCCGCGTGTGCGTACAACGCAATCGCCGCTCCGTGCGTGTTATCCTCGCCGTGACTCATCGGTTCGCACGCCCCTTGTCCGGTCAAATACCCCAAAAGCGCCTCCGCGCACGCCGCTCCCCGCGCCTTATCCGTCAAATCCGACAGCGCCGCTCGTCCCACCGACAGCGCCGCCTCCCGCACCTCCCCCGCCACGTCCCCCAGTGCGCTCGCGATCTTCGTCCCGACGAATTTCCCTTGTTCGACGCCCTCGATGAACTCGCCGCGGTCGCTCGCGAGCGTCGCCTCCTTCGCCTCGCGCACCTCATCCGCCGACCGCTCGTCCTGCGTCTCCACACTCGCCGCGGACATCTCCGACATGTTGGACATGCTCGCCACGGACGGGAACGCGCGGAGCGAGCCCTTGTTTTCGAGCGTGATGGACATCGCGCGCGCGCGTTCGAGCGTTCGCGTCGACGGCGTCGATGGCGGCGGCGCGATGTCCTCGACGACGTCGAGCGCGCGCGCGAGCGGGCGCGCGCGCGCGGTTCGCACCGCGACGAGGCGGGTTTGTTTTTCTCTCGCGCGCTCGACCGCGGGCGTCGACGGCGCGCGCGGCGCGTCGTCTTTTGATGCGTCGTCGTCACTCGAAGAGATCTTTCTTTCGCTGAGATTTTTTTGATGGCTGGGGCGCGAGCGGGCGTTACTAAAACAAAACCTCGCGCGAAGAGGCGGTGACGCGCGCGCGCGCGGCGCGCGGCTAAGCCTTGGCGAGCTCGACGAGCTCGCACACGGATACCGACGCGGGAGCGACGGAGTACGACTGCGCGACGAGCGGCGTCGGCTCGGCGGCGTCGCTCGCGGCGAGGGAGGTGTCGAAACGGCGAATCCATCGGAAGCCCGGCGATGGAGACGGGAGGTTGGTGGAGAAGGCGGCGATGGAACCGTTGTAAGCGATCCAAACGTCGCGATTGCGGCCGGTGAGATCGCGACGGAGACAGGTTAAGCACGGCGCGGCGGAAACGTCGTCGAAAGACGGCGCGGCGCCGGTGAACGGGTCGATCCATCGTACGCCGTCAAAGGCGAATTCGTCGGTGAAGAGGTCGATTCGGCTCGCGCGGAATTGCGAGAGCTGTGACGCAAGCGGCTGAAGCGTAGGGTTGAGGGCGTGGACGTTGATGAGGATGCCGCCGGTGGAGGTGAACAGTGCGGCGAGCTCGGCTCGAGCGATCGGATCGCTCGTCTCCGTCGGATCCGCGGTGGTGGTTTTTGGAATCGCACACGTCGGCGGAATCGAACAGCTCGGCGCGGGCCTTAAAAAATTGTTCAATCCGTATCGCGCGTCACGATTACTCCGGAAAATGTCCGGTGAGCCACCGAGACGGAGCGCCATTTCGTTCAACATACCTGGCGCGCCGCGGAAAAAGTTTTCGACGCCTTGAGAGTATTTTGCATTGATCTCGCCGATGACACCCCACGAAGGCATCGCTCCACATTCATCTGCGCTCGGCGTGAGATACAGCTTTTTTGGGGCGTTCCCGATCACGGCGTCGTACGCGAGCGTTTCCAAAAGTGGCGAGCGGCCGAGCGGTCCTCGCACGATGCCGCCGCCAGTTTCTATTATGAAACTCGACACACCGTCGTATAATGTGAACGTTCGAAGCGCGTCGACTAGTAGAGAGATCGTCGGTGCCGAGCAAGGGTTCAGTGCCGTCGTCATGGGCACACCAGCAGAGTCTAAGCCACCGCTAGAACCGAGCTGGAAGTACGTCGCGGCGTCGATGCCACGAAGACTTTCGCTACGCGGCGACGCATCCGTGCCCTCACCCGTCTGCGTCAGCACGAATCGCATCCACACATCCACGCCGATAGACTTCATCGTCGCCACAAAAGCACGAAGATCGGCGCGCGTGCCAAACTTCGGATCGATGGCGAAAAAGCTCACCGGCGCGTTTGCGTCTCCATCCGCCGAGCGCGTCTGAATCGGCGCGAGCGCGACGGCGGTGAAGTGCATGGTCGATCGCAAGCGCTGAAGCTCAGCTGCCGCCGCTTGAAGCGTCCCTTCCGCGGTTAATGACGCCAAGTCGACGTTCAACGCGATCGCTTGCGCATCCGAGGCCGCGGGCGCGAGGTTCGCGTCGCCCACGGCGCGTCGCTCTAAAACGGCGGCGAGCGATCCCATGTAGCGCGGCGTCGGCGTTGGCTCGTCCATCTCGTTCAGAGGACGCACAACTTCGAGCGCGCGTGGATCAAAAAGGACTTGCGCCGGAAAAAAACGCGACCCCGCGCGCCCTTCGGGGTCGCCCTCAAACCGAAAGCCGTACGTCACGTCGTCCTCCCGAGTCGGCGCGTGTAAAACGTCGCTCGGTCCACCGAAAGGCACACTCACGTGCCACACGTTCCCGGTGCGATGTGAGATCGAATTCAACGCCAGCTCTAGCGTGTTCTCCCCGTACTGAAGCACGAGCGTGCACGCGGTGGCGTGACGCGAAAGCACGGCGACGTTGAACTCGCCCGATCCCGCGGCTTCGTCTCGCGTCAGCACCGACGCCCCGAGCTCGCGTGCGTGTCCACACCCGATCCCGATCGGCACCGAAAACGCCGATCCACCCCACCCACCGCTCGGTTCGTCGTACGTGCGCGTGCGTTCGTCGTAAAGCACGAAATCTAGACTCGCCGGCGCCGCGTACTCGGGCACCTCCACCGTCGCCGACCGCGTCTCCGCGTCGAACCCAATCCTCGTCGCCTCCGTCTTCTCATCGTACACCGCGCCCTCCGGCAAATCTTCCAAGCACATCCACTCCCGCACGGACTCTCTCGTCAGTCCAAAGTGCATCTTCAGCGCCGCCAAGCTTTCCCGCGTCGGCGTCGTCGCCCGCGTCCCGTCCCGCTCGAGCGTCGCCGTCACCGCGAACGTCTCCCGCGGCGTCTTCGACACCGCGATCGCGATCGCGCGGCCGCGCTTCGTGTGCAAGACCATGCGCGCGGCGTCGGCGATCGTGCCTCGCGGCGCGTGGTCCGCGTCGGCGCGCGCGCGGCATCGGCTCGACGCGCGCGGTGGTTTCGAACGGTGCGCGGTCGACGTCGACGGTACCGCGCGCGAGGGCGCGGCGCGACGCGCGAGGGACATCGACGGGCGCGCGTCGCGCGGCGACGCGCGGCGAGGCTCGGCGCGCGGTCGAGTGCGGCGAACGTCGCCGCGCGCGGGCGGGCGAGCGCGGCGACGCGGATATTTTATTTTGTTGGAACGTTCCGATTAAAACGCGACTAGGGAGAACGCAAAATCGTCGCTCTGCGAGGAGTGGGAAGAAAAATGAGGGTCAGTCAAAGTTTGAGCGGCGGGAAAGCGGCGTCGCGGACGTCGAGTCGGTCGAGCGCGTCGCGGCGAGACGGCTCGAAGACGCACCAGAAGCCGAGCGGGGCGCCGGCGGTGGACAACCACGGGATGGCAGCCGCGTTGGTGCCGACGTTCACGTGCCACGGGTCCGCGATGTGCGCCAAGAGCGCCGCGACGGGGCCCGGACCGCCCGGACCGGCCGCTTGGTGTTGGGCCATGACGCCGAAGAAGGCCATCATGGCGACGCGACCGTTGGCGAGTTCCTTGCGCTTCAAGGTTTCAAAGTCCTTGCCCTTGGACATGCCCATGGGGTCGAACTTGCCGCCCGGGTACAAGCGCTCTTCCGCCGAGGCGGCACCGCGTCGGGATTCGGCGAACGCCATGAGGAGCGTGTTGACGCCGATGACGGCGAACAACGGCGCGTGCGTCTCGTTACCGAGGTACTTCGCCGTACCATCCCACGTCGTCGGTTGCGCGCTGACCCAGTCACCTTGACCGGCCACTTCAACCGCGATCACACCGGCGACGCCGAGCATGGCCCATCGCGCGTGCATGAGCTCCGCCTCGCGGTAGCGCGCGAGGTTCTCCGGCTTTTCGCCGAGCTTGAGCGGGTCGAACCCGTAGTCGCTATCGCGCGTCGTCGAACCGCTTCACCGTCAGTCTCCCCTCGCGCTCGCTCTTCTCCGCATCCACCCTCTCGTCGCGTCCGCGCGCGTCGCCCGCGTCCTCGCGTCTTCGCGTCTTCGCCGCGTCGTCCCGATATGATCGCGTCTTCGCGCGCGTCTCCCCTCCCCCCCCGTCCCGCGCGCGCTTCCGACGCCCGTCTCGCGCGCGTCCATCGACGACCGATCACTTCATCGCCCCTCTCGCGCGTCGCGCGCTCGCGAGCGTCCTCGCGCGGCCGTCGCGCGGCGTCATCGCGTCGACATTTTCGAGCGTATCTTTCACGCACCACGGCATGCTTCCGTCGAGGTACTTGGGCGTGTCGAACCCGGGCGCCCAGGACGGCTTCTCCGCGCGCGCGCTCACGGCGCGTCCGCGGTGCGTCGGCGCCGCGCGCGGGGCGACGGCGGTGGTGAACGTGCGAGCGGCGGCGAACATCGTCGTGCGATCGAGGCGTGGAGTGCGGGCGCGCGCGAATCAGATTCGCTCTCGCGTTCGGTGTTCGATCTGTTTATGTATGAGGGTCGGCGCGCGATCGCGGTCGTTTCTGGCTCCGAATGTCCGAATTGTGTATGACGCATTCAGTCCGAACGATGTTAACGTAGATGTGTACGCGCAATCAGTGCGATGGACATTTTCGAGCGCGCATCGCGCCGACGCCGGAGTCCGCGACGCGGCGCGCGCGCCATGGCGCTCGGCGCCGGCGCGCTCCGACGCGTCGCGCTCGCCCTGGCGTCCGCGCGCGACGGCTCGAGCGCGAGCGGTCGAGACGCGCGGCGACGCGACCGCGACGAGCGATTACCGACGCACCACCGACGCGCGACCGCGCGCGCGCGAACGCGCGACGACGGCGCGCGCGGCCGAGATCGACGCGTCTACCGCGCCTGGCTCGCGCGCGTCTGCGCGATGTGCCTGTGCGCGTGGCTCGCGCTGGGAGGGCGAAGAGAGGGCGAGGAGAGGGGGCGCGCGCGCGGCGCGGCGCGGCGGTTCGCGGCGGCGGCGGACGCGAGACGCGAGGCGCCGAGGACGACGGTGACGCGCGAATCTCGCGGGACGATCGATGGAGAGGTGGAGAGGGAGGCGAAGAATGAACCGCGGGTGGCGGCGGCGATGGAGCGCGCGCGGGAGGACGTGCGGGCGGAGGCGGCGCGGGCGAGTCTGGAGTTGGAGACGTTGCGAGACGAACATCTGGGCGACGCGAGCGCGGGGCTGGACGTCGAGCGCGTGCTGGAGAGCGCTGAGAAAGCGGTCGAAGAGAATCGAATGGAGAAGGCGGAGATGGGCGTGGTGTTTCCACCGGAGACGACGACGACGACGGAGAATGAGAACGGGGAGACGCGAGACGACGACGACGACGACGCGACTTCCAAAACCGGAATGTTTAGCGGTCACGTGGAAGTGTCGCGGGAACCGGCGAAGGATGTGGTGATAGGTTCTTTGGAAGATGAGTTGCGCGCCATTCGTTCGGCACCGCATCCGGAATTAGAGTCGCCGTTCGTGAACGAGGTCGTTCCGAAGAACGCCATCGATCCGACGCGCATACGAACGATTTCGTTGAACGCGCCGCGCGCGTTCGTGTACGAAGGATTCTTGACGGATGAGGAGTGTGACCACATACTCGCGCTATCGAAAGGGCACTTACACAAGTCAGGCGTTGTGGACGCCAAGACGGGCGGATCCACCACGAGCGACATTCGCACGTCGACGGGGACGTTCATCAGTCGCGCGCATGACCCCACGATCACCGCGATCGAAGAGCGCATCGAACTGTGGTCGCAAATTCCAGTCGATCACGGTGAGGCCCTTCAGGTGTTGCGCTACGAAAACGGCCAGGAATATAAGGCACACTTCGATTACTTCTTTCACAAGGGAGGCAAGCGGAACAATCGCATCGCCACGGTTTTGCTCTACCTCTCCGACGTCGAGGAGGGTGGGGAGACCGTGTTTCCGAACACTGACGTCCCGACAGATCGCGACAGATCGCAATACTCAGAGTGTGGCAACGGTGGTAAGAGCGTCAAAGCGCGCAAGGGCGACGCGTTGTTGTTTTGGAGCATGAAGCCGGGCGGCGAGCTCGATCCCGGGAGCTCGCACGCCGGGTGCCCCGTGATCAAAGGCGTGAAGTGGACGGCGACGAAATGGATGCACGTCAACGCGATCGGAAAACATGGCGATGACGTGCACAAGATTTTTTACGAAGGCGGACCGCAGGCGACGGAATCGTGCAAAGACACGGACGACGCGTGTCGAGGATGGGCTGAATCGGGCGAGTGCGACAAAAATCCCGGCTTCATGCTCAAGTCGTGCGCGATGTCGTGCCGCGCGTGTCAGGGCGATTGGCGCGACGGGGGCTACGACAAACCAAAAGATCTGAAGGAAGACGCGCGATAGATTCTACCGGTATTGATATTAAACTGTTGTAACATTAGCGTTCCCTACGCCTCCTTCTTCGCCGGCGCGACGCGTCGTCGCGCGACGAGAAACACGTTAAACCCGATCAAAAACATCTGCGCCCCGCACACCTGCACCTTCTCCCACCAAACGTCGTCCTTCGTGACGTTCGCATAAAAGTGCCACAACAAATACGGTTGCCACGCGAATCGCACCGGCGCCAGCGTCGCGACGTACAACCCATTCCACACCGCGTGCATCGCGCTCCCGCGCCGCACCCGGCGCCGCAGTATCAAAAACAACGTGTTCGCCTCCACCAATCCGTTCCTACACGTTTCGATCGCGCGCTCCGGATGTCGCAGCGGGTACGCCAAGAGCGCCGCCGTGACGACGTGGTGCGCCACCACCACCGCCGCCGCGCTCGGCACGCACCGCGGCCAGAGCGCGATCCACAGCCCGTCGAGGACGATGTACGCCAGGAACCCCTTCGTGACGACGAGCGGGTCGAGCGCGCCGGCGATGCCGGCGACGCAGGCGAGGGCGATGAGCGTCAGCACCGGGACGTTCGCGGCGTCGTGCGCGCGCGCGCACGCGCCGTGCGTCGCGGACATGGCGCGCGCGCGGTCGCGCGGTCGCGGTCGCCGCGCGGTCGCGCGCGCGCGCGGGCGTCGCGCCGCGCGGTCGCGATGTCACCGCAGTTCACGCGGTCGTCGAGTCACGCGGCCATTCGCGCGAGTGGCGATTTAAAAAAAACTTTGGCCGACGAATGTGTTCTCCGACGTCCAAACCGGCTGTCCACACTCGCGGCTTCGCCGCGCTTTCGGCTCGAAGTCACGAGCGCCGACGTCTGATTCCAGAGTTAATCACGCCGCGCGCTCCGGGCGGTCCCATCCCGGCTGTGACGCTTCAAACGATCGTTCTCGAGACACCGGCGATCGTGTTGCGTTCTCATGGCGCGGATCGTTGCGTTTGTGCCGTGCAAAGGTACATCGAGTCGCGTAGAGAGCAAGAACACGAAACTGCTGGATTCCAAACCACTCTTCCTGCACACTTTGGAAAAGTTGCTCTTCGAGTGTCCTTTTATTGACAAAGTTGTCTTGGACTCTGAGTCCGATGATGTTTTCAAGGTGGCGGAATTTCTTGCGAGCGATAATCCAAAGTTAGTTTTCCTAAAGCGGGACGAGGCGTTGGCCACGAACAAGACGGACGGTAACACTCTGTTCATGAACGAAGTTGAGCGATTCGATGCCGAAATCTATGTGCAGGCGCTGTGCACAAGCCCGTTCATACATCCAGAAACGATTAAGAAAGGTGTCGAGAGCGTGATGTCCGGTGTTTATGACTCCGCGTGCACTGTTCGCGATGATAAACTGTATACGTGGACAAAGGCAGGGCCGAGCTATGATATCCAAAATATTCCCAACTCAGTTGATTTGCCAACGACTACCGTGGAGACCATGGGGCTGTACAACATTACGAGAGATGCGGCGAAGCTGACTCGGCGAAGGATAGGGAACAAACCACACATGCTGCATGTTACGCCAGAAGAAGCAGTTGATATCAACTACGAAGTTGACTTCGCTCTTGCAAACAATATCGCTTTAGCGCACCGCGTCGCTGGTCTATCTCGCTTGAGGTGCGCCAAACTACATCTCACCAGTGCCATTTTATCAGACACGCTGGATGATATGGGCGTAAGTGGACGAGTGGTCTTCGGCTTAAAACCACAAGGCGCACTGAGCAAGGTCTTCGGTCGTGCTTGCACACTTAAGTTAAGGCCTCTTCGTGAAAGTGAAGATCTCAGGGGAATCTATGGTGCTCTAAAATCATACAACTACGTCGGCTTCGGTGACGTTATCGTAGTAGAAAATCCGATGAAGGGACGAGCATATTTTGGCGATCTTAATGCTCACATTGCCATAACGAGGGGAGCCGCCGGTTTCGTCACGAATGGTTTTACACGCGATACAGTGGAAGTGAAATGTTCGAACTTTCCCGTCTACGCAGCCGGTTCAACCTGCTCTGATGTGAGAGGTGTTGCTACAGTAGAGTCAACAAATCAGTGTATTAGCTTGGATGGCGTCTCGTGCTGTCCGGGAGATTTGATTTTCAGTGATCAAGAAGGAACACTGATTATCCCAAGACGGTTTGGAAATATCGTGATTGAAGAAGCTTTAAAGCGAGTATTTTCTGAGAGCAGTATACGTCAAGACATACTTAATGGTTCATCAGTATCAGAAATCGTCGCCCGACACGGGTCCTTTTGATAACACGTCATCCAATCATTTAATCGCACTTGAAATCATCTCTGCACGAGAAGATGGTCGATGAACACAAACGCAAGGCAAGCAAAGGCGAGCAAATTAGCATTAGGAACTACCTCTCGTAGATGTTGTAGAATCAAACTTTTAGAACTAAACGGTGTAAAATACGTATATATCCACGGTTCATGACTCGTCATGTGTGTAGGTACTCTCTAAAGGGGCGATATATAAATTTTTCCGCGCGGCGACCACACCGCGGACGCCTCGGATCGACGCGACGCGCGACCGCACGCCGACGCGCGGCGCGCGCTCGACGCCCCGCGCTCGACGACCCGGGACGCTCGACGTCTCGCGGCGCGCGCCGAACGAACCGCGCGGTCGAACGCGCGCCGAAGCGACGCGAATCGTCGAAGAATGTCTCGACCTCGCGAACACCATTCGCGCGGACGCCGCGCGCGCGCGCGCCTGTTCGCGCTCGCCACGACGGCCGGCGTCGCGTGCGTCGCGCTCACGGGCGCGTCGTCGCTCGCGAACGCGATCGCGCTGGCGAACGCGGAGGCGGTGACGGAGGCGCGGGCGACGGACGCGGACGACGCGGACGTCGCGAGGCCGACGCCGGGCGCGCGACGCTCGTTGTTGTACGATCGCAAGGCGGCGGTGGATAAATCGCGGGCGCGGTACATGCGACGAAGTGGTGGGTCGCGCGCGCGCATCGGCCGGGCGAGCGGCGGCGGCGGCGACGACGACGAATGCGACGAGGAGGACGAGGAATCGGAGTGCGGCAAGAAGAAAGAGAAAGAGGAGGAAAAGAAAGAGGAGGAAGAGGAGAAAGAGGAGGAAGAGGAGGAGGAGGAGGATGCGGATGCGGATGCGGATGCGGAGGAGTAAACGAGGACGCGGACGGGCGTGTTCTCCTTTGAGCGTCTCTGTACGACATATCTTTGAGCGCCGATGCTACAGTATTCTGTTCTACAGTGTAATCAATCTGAATCAATTTTGTGAGTTTTCGCGATCGCTATTTTCCGTTGACGCGCGATCGTGCGCGTCGCCGACACCGGAAGAACTTGCGCGCCGCGCGCCGCTCGATTTCGCCGACGACGCCGGCGCCGCTTTGTGATCATAATTCATCATCTGTGGGCTCGTTTGGGCGTCGATACCGGTGTAGTTGGCTTTTTGTTGTATCCAAATCGAAGGGTCGATGCCGATACCACCCATCGTGTCGTCGTCCACGCGTCCTCGCAACGTTCTTCGAGGGTCTTTGCCTTGCATGTACAAAAGCGCCGCCGGTCCGAGCGAGCGGATGTACTCTATTCTGTTCGTTCTGCCCTCTGTTCGCGCCCGAATGCTCATCGCGGACGCAGTTTCCGAAAGTTCGGGCGCTGGCGCATCTCGCGGCGGCTCCGAAGCGGAAGTTGGCCTCGCGGTAGGCTGCGGTCCTCTCTCGCGCCAGGACCCGTCGTTCATGAGTTTCGCGCGCGCGTCGGCGGGTAAAAAGTCAGGGATCGAATCATCTCGAATGAAATTCACGCGATGCTTCGCCTTTTTCGGTTCGTACTCAACTCGCACTCGCGTCCCGCTGGGTTCGTCGGCGAGTAACTCTTTGAGCTTCGTCAGCACCGCTGACGCGCATCGAAGAGCGTCCTTGGGCGTCCACGAGTTCGCATGCTTGACGACGTATCCCGGTAACTTGAGCGTCTCTAACATTTGCGTTTTCACCACGCGCCCGTGGTCGTCGCGAAATCCAACCATTATTCTCCTTACACCCAGCGCGAACGACTGCGCCCACCACTTCAAGAGCTTTTCTTTTTCAAAACGTTTCACCTGTCGCTCGTCGTTCATCACCCTCGACGTCTTTAACTCGACGTAATTCGCCAGCTCGGCGTCACCTTCGAAACAATCGACTTCTCCAGCCATTAAGACGTTTAAATCACCCATTTTCGTCTTGACGACGCAGCAAAAACATTCCATGCAATCCACCGGTTCCTCGAACGGCTTCTCCGAGCACGCGGCCTCCTCGAAAGCGTATCCCCAGTAACACATCCGCTCGTCTCTCCCGTCGCGAGTGAGCGCCTTTCGCAACCCTTCCTCCGTTTCTTTGACGTTCAAAACGATCGTCCTGTTGTTGACCAATTCGGCCTCCATCGTCCAAGCCTCGGAGACGTTCCACGCCGTCGTCAGCAACTTGCTCATGTTTCCTCGCCACGTGATCACGTCCACGTCTTCTAACACTTTAGTCTGCCCGCTCGCCTCGATCGCACCAAATATCACGTGCACGGGCGCCGGATAAATCTCTCGCCGATCGCGATCTCGAAACGTGCCGAATCCTTGATTGAGATCCGCGCCCGCGCCGGCGTTGACGCCGCGCAGCCGCCGCAAATTCGTCGCGTCGTACGTCGTCAATCGTTCGTCCCGTCTCTTGCTCACCTGCGCGCGCGACTCGACATTCCGCGTCGATGCATTTCAGTCATTCGCGCGCACCTCGCGCGCGCTCGCGAACGCGCCCACGAATCGCGCCGTCGCGCGCCGCGGCGACAGTTAGCTCGCGCCCGGGCCGAATTCTACGCAATCTTCCTCACGCCGTCGTCGCACGCCTCCGCGCGCGTCGCCCGCGCGCCCGCGCGCGCGAAATCGTCTCACGCACCTGTCCGCACTCCAACGGCTCCTCGTACTTGGGCGCGCGCACCGCGGCGGCGTCGAGCGACCGCACGTCCACCTGCACGAAGCCCAACAAACTCGGTCCCGTGACGTCGTCCGCCGCGCGCGCGCGCTTGCGTCGACCGCGATTGCTGCTCGACAACACGTCGGACGAGCCGGAGACGGCGTCGCGGGAGCGCGCGCTGGATTCGGGCATCGGGCCGGAACGGCGCGGTGTGCGGTCGAGGCGACGCTCGGGACGGTTCGGGTTCGGGACGCGGCGGCGGCGATCGACGGCTCGCGTCGCGGTGATGATTTCGAGGCTCGCGCGCGCTGATTGAACTAATATGATATTTGATGACGACGCGGCGGTCGGGTCGAGACGAGTCGACGCGCGGAGTCAAAACTTCTCCAGGGCGCGCGTCGCGGCGAGCGAACGCGTGCGCTCCAGCGTCGCCTCGCGCATGCGCGCCGATATCACCGCCGAAGCCGCGAGCGCGAGATCGTGCATCGCATCGTACGTTTCCATCGTCGTTTTCCCTCGATCGAGCTCCTCGGCGATGATTTCTCTGCCCGAGATATCCACGCCCTCGTCCTCTTCCTCCTCGTCGTCGCTCGCCGCCGCCGCGCGGCTCGTCGCGCCCGCGCCGGTCGAACACATCAACAGCTCCGGCCCTCGTCCGCGCTCTTCCTCGCGATTGAGATCGATCAACACCTCTCCATCGAGGTATCCGCACGTCACCGCGCCCACCGTGTCCCTCAGCGGCACTCCCGCGTCCGCCAGCGCCAACGTCGCCGCGTTGACGCTCGCCGCCTTCGCCCCTCCGTCGTCGCACAGCACCGTGCACGTCACCGCGATCGCGCTCCGCGGCATCAATTCCGTCATCACCACCCTATCCAGTATTTTCGTCAGCGTCTCCGCGTGCGAGAGCGCCTTTCGATCCCCCTTTCGTCGTCCGTTCGCGCCGTCCGCCGCCGCCCCGCTCGCGGCGTACGTCGCCGTCACCGCGCACGCGTCGCTCGCGCCCTCCTCCGCGCGTCCGCCGCGCCGTTCGCGCGGTCCTCGCACCGTGGCCTGCACGACCGTGTTCCCGATCTCGAACCGCGCGCTCCCGTCGGCGTCGGCGTCGACGGCGAATTCGTGCCGGACGCGTCGACACTCGTTCGCCCGTCGTCCGTCCGCGCGCAAGCCCTCGAAGCTGACGTACTCCATCGCGATCGACGCGTCGCGCGTCTCGGCGGCGTCCGCGTCGCGCCGCGCGGTCGCCGGCGCGCGTCGCGGCGCGTCGCGGCGCGGAGTGACGCGCCGCCGCCGCACTCGCGCGCTCGCACCTCGCGCGCGCGCGGCGCGCCGGCGCGCCGGCGAGCCGCGACGCGACGCGACGCGACGCGCGCGAGGTTCGAGCGTCGCGCGCGCGATGGACGCGACGCCGCGCGCGACGCGCGCGACGACGCGCCTCGAACGGCTCGCGATGCGACTGCGCATCTTTTGGTTCGTCGTCGAGTTCTTCGCGTGTCGCGCCGTCGGACGCGCGATACCGCGCGTCCGCGCGGCGTTCGCGATGCGGTTTCGACGGTGCGACGCGCGGGCGTCCGCGAGCGGCGGGCGCGGAGGCGGAGGGGTGGGGCGTCGACGGGGCGCGAGCGCGGGCGACGACGCGTGTTACGTCGACGGAAGCGTCGACGCGAGCGGCGCGGCGAGCGGCGTGGGCGTGTGGTATAAGTTTGGACATCATTTGAATTTCGCGGGGTCGTGCGCGAGGAAATCGTGCGATATCAACGCGGTGGAGATGTGCGCGGTTTTCGCGGCGCTCGTTCGACATCCGAGAGACGAAAAGTTGGCGGTGATGTCGGATTCGCGATACGTGTGCAAGTGCGTGGAGATAATAGCGAGGGGAGACGTGGACGAAATCGCTGTGAACGCGGTGACGGTGCTGACGGCGTTCGTGCTGAGTAAGAGGCGGGAGAAGACTTTGATCGCGAAGGTGGCGGCGCATAAAGGCGGAGCGCACACGGCGAACGCGCGCGCGGATCAGCTCGCTTTGGTCGGTTCGAGAGCGAGCGAAGAAGCGTCGATGGTGGGATTTATTCCGCGAGCAACGTTTGAGAGCGCTGGATTTTTTCAGAATTTTTCGCGCGTTTTAAAGGCGCTTTGGAGACGCGAAGTCGTCGCAGAAGTCGCGCGATTTTACACGGCGCGCGAAGACCCGTTCGGAAACGGATGTTTGGATGGCACGGGCGTGAGTGAGGCGCGGAAAAAGTCGCACAGGGACGTTTACGAAAACGTGCAACGGTTAGAGAATCGCACCAAACTCGAACGACCGAGGCCATTCAGCGACGATTGCTCCGTCACCGACGTGTTGGCGCTCGATTGCGAGATGGTCGGCGTCGGCGAAGGAGGCGTGGAATCCATGCTCGCGCAGGTCTGCGTGATCAACGAATACGGAAACACAGTGTATTTGAGTTATTCACGCGCGTACAAAACAGTCACGGACTATCGCACGCACGTCTCCGGCATCCTTCCTCGTCACGTCGAAGGGTCGAGCGCGCGCGAATTCGCCGACGTCAAGCGCGACGTTGCTGAACTCATAAAAGGTCGCATCGTCGTCGGCCACGCCCTGGAGAACGACTTTTCGGCTTTACAGCTCCACCATCCACGGGAAGACACGCGAGATACCGCGAAATGGCGGCCGCTGTTGCGTCCGCCGCACTTCCGCAAGCCTCGTCGCTTGCGGCATCTGGCGCGTGACTTTTGCGCGCTAAGCATTCAGTGTGGAGATGCTCACGATCCCGCCGAAGACGCCTTGGCCGCGCTCGCGATTTATAGGAAATTTAGAAACAACTGGGAAGGTCAGCTCGCGTCCGCAAAGGCGGGTCGGAGCCTGTAGCTGTGTAACGCAAGTGTACCATAAGTAGACCGCGCCACATCGCGACGCCGCGCTCTCGCGCGTCGCGCGTCGCCATGCCTCCGGACGTCGAATCAAGCGGCACCGCGCCGTTCGCCGCCGCCTATCCCGGAACGGCGCGCGCGAATCGCGCGCGTCACGGCCCACTCGTTTTGATTCTTCTAACCACCGTTCTGGGTGGTTTCTTCCTTCACGTCGTCGTGCGCCCGTTCACGGACGCTCGCGCGCACGCGCGCGCGCTGCAAACCGCGTCGTTCGTCTCCGCGGACGCGCTGGCGGCGCGAGACGCGCTGGGGGTTTTTGAAGCGGTGTTGAGCGGCGTGCTTCACGACATCGACGGCGGCGTCGTGCGCGACGAAGCGCTCCTGGGATTTCCAGTCGCCAAACGCGAGTCTTCGCGAGGCGCGTTCACGCTCGTCACCAACGTCGCATCGCACTGAGGATACAAGCAATCCAACGTCGAGGGCTTTCGCGCGCTTCGCGAAGAATTCGGCGACGGGTTGCGCATATTGGGATTTCCGAGCGACGACTTCGGACATCAGCAAGGAACGAATGAGGAAATCAAACGCGATTTCGCGGACGTCATGGATGTGTTATTCGAACCCGCGCTGGATTTGGCGCACAATCCGATGTTCGCGCAGCTCACCGCGGGCGGCGCGCCGGCGGAGTGGAATTTTGCGAAATTTTTAGTAGACGATCGCGGGCGCGTGGTTCGTCGGTATCCGCCGAAGATGGACGCCCAGGCGATCGCGCGAGACATTCGAGATGAACTTTAGCCTTAGTTTACGACGACGACGGCTTCGACGACGATGAGAGGACGACGGAAAATTATGACCGACGCGTTCTCAAACCGACGAACCGAAGCGGTTCTCGGCGAGCGCGACGCGATTCCATCCGTCGTCCCATCGCCGCTCCAGCGCGCGTCGCTCTCGATTCAATACCATCGCGCACCATCTGTACACCCCGTCTCGCGCTTCACCGCGCGCGTCGCTCGAACGTCGTCGAGCGCGCCGCCGCGCTCTCGCGCGCGCGTCCCCAGACCGCGACTCGCGCGCATCATGCTGCGCCTCGCGCCTACCGTTCGCGCGTCGAGCGCGTCGAGCGCTTCGGCGCGCGTTCCACGGCGCGTTCCACCGCGCGCCGCTCGCATCGCGCGTCACGCGAGCCCGCGCGCGCGCGTTTTCGTTCGCCGTGTCGCGATTCCACGAGGTGTGCAAATCACGCCGCCGCGCGCGCTCTCGAGCGACGACGACGACGCGCGATCGTCGAGCGAGGCGATTCGTTCCGATGCCGTCGACGACGCGGCGCCGGCGCCGCGCGCGAGCGACGCGATGGTGGAGCCGTGCGACGGCGACGACGGCGCCGGCGTCGTCAGCGGCGCCTCCAAGCCGAACGACTCGTACGCCATCGAAAAGCGGCGCGCGAACACGACGGCGATCGTGGGCACGGGACCGGTGGCGCAGACGCCGGCGGTGGCGCGGGATGAGCCGACGAAATCGACGCCCGCGCGCGCGGAGTCGACGACGCGGCCGGTGTTGAGCGAGGAAGAACTGTTGCCGCCGTCGAAGCGGGAACCGAGAGGGAAAGAGTACAAAGAAGACGGTGGAGATAAGGAAGGGGGGGACGCCGCAGACGGTGATGGGAAAGGACCGAGCGGAAGCGCGACGAAGGGAGGCGCGACGACGAAGACGAAACCGAAAACTGACGGAGAGAAGGAGACGGGGGAGAAGAAGCTGGCGACGCCGAAGAGCGCGCCGGTGGTGAGCGGAGGCGCGATAAGGTCCGCGGCGGGAATGGCCGCAGAATCTGGTGCTGATCCCGTGTTAGCGGGCGTGGGCGGTGGCGATGATGGCGACGACGCGCGGTCCGGCGGCGGCGGGGGAGGAGGAGGAGGAGACGATAAGAATGACGGAGACGACGAGGACGAAGAGGAAGATGACGACGACGAGGTCGTGCTTCCCGATCCCTGGTACAAACTCGCGTGGGAAGAAACCGAGCGCGAGATTGTTCGCATCATGCAAAGGTTGCTCAATATTTGGATCACGCGCGACCCGAGCAAGACGACGCGACTCGTTTTGTTCTCCGTCATGGGTACCGGTTTATTCTTAGCTTCGCTGCTACTTTACCCCGAGAATCCTCTCGAGTTTAGCGATAATGGATTGTTTAGCTCTGTGTTCGGTCGTAACCCTCGCTGGGTGATCAATCGTGAACTCGGTCCTGTGCAGCCGACGTTGTTGAGCACAACGTGCGCGTGTGCCGTGGCTTTCGCCAAGGTTCGTCTCGGTGCGAACATGTTCAAGCTCTCACCCTTCATGCACGGCGTCCTGGGCCTCCCCATGGGTTTCATGTTAGTCTTTAGATGGAACAACGCGCACGAGCGCTGGTGGTACGGCCGCACGTGTCTCGGAAACATTTTGTTTTACTGCAAAAATCTTGGCGGCACGTTCTGCACGTGGGTCGCGCCGGACGACCCGATACTCGCCGCGCGAACGCTGGGTCTGATTGGTGCTTTGAAAGAAACCGTGGCTGATCGATTGAATGGTACAGTGCTGAACGACGGAGCGATTTTGAGTCAGCTCACCACACCGCTTGACGCGGGAGACTTGGAAGGATTATTTCTCGCCGAGAATAAGGTGTTGTACTGCCTCGAAAAGATTCGCGGCTGCGTCCAAGAAGCATTCAACAAAGGTTACGTCCCTCCCGCCATCGCGAGCACGATCCACAGCGAGGTGGCGATGATCATGGATAACTACGGGAGTTGCGAAAAAGTCGTCAACCAACCGCCTCCGGGTTGCATCATCACCCACTTGAAGTCTACGCTCATGGTGTACGTGTGCTCGTTACCGATGATTTTAGTGCATGAAGTCGGAGTATGGGGCGTCGTCCCCGTCACCACCATTCTTTCTCTCGCCCTGTTCGGGATTGAGGCTGCGGCTGAGCAAATCGAGCAGCCGTTTGGCAACAGACCGTACGATTTGCCCGTGCGCGCGCTGATGAATAGCAACTCGCGAGACCTCGAGCAGACGAGCGAAAAGGTGATCGGAATGACGGGCTTCGTAAACGGGGTGAAGATGCCGTTCATTCCAGAAGGCTCAACGCCGTCGAAGGAGGCGATGTCGGCGAAGACGTTGCCACAGACGTTGAAGACGTCTGAACCGCCGACGCCACCACCGCCGCCGCCGGCCGCTTTCGTCACGCCCGCGCCTTCTGCGGCTGCGCTCAAGGCGGCGGCGGCGCCGCCGATTTCGGAGTCATCCGTCGTTATTCCGACGGCGCGCAAGGACAACACAGTCTCGTTTTCGAGCGATCGCTTAGATGCCGCTTCCGTCGCGGCGCTGAGCAAGGAGAGTCCGTTCGCGTTCACATCGAACGAGCCTGCAACGAGTTCTGCTGAGCCGGCGAAACAGCCGCAGCCCCCGTCACCAAAGGTAGAGACCCGAGACGGTGAAGGCGTGCCTTCGCGTCCATCGACGCCTACGGCACCGATGACGCCCCCTCGAGGAAAGAGCGCGTTGCAAGCTGCGATGGATGCGGTTTCAGAGACGGCGAATTCGCGCGCGCCGGTGAACCCTTCGTCCTACTTGTCGCCGTTACGAACGGGTCGGATGTCCGATGCATCGAGTTTATCGTCGTCGGCGCCGGCGTCGACCACCAAGGGTGAGCTTCCGGCTTGGAAAGCGCAGAGCCCAATTGAAATTTACGATCAAGTGCTCGATGAGCGACCAAGCTCGACGATTCCGGACTCGCCTCGATACCACACGCAAAATTCATTGCGACGACGAGACTCCTACGGGCAGCAATTCTTCGATATGTTCACTCAGCGACCGCAAGCCAACGGCGCGTCCGAGCCGAACAGTGCAAAAGCTGGTTCGAACTTACAGCGATCGAGCTCGGTGGGCCTACCGCGATCGAGTAGCGTCAGCAACTTGTCGGGCCCGTCGTATCGAACGAACGCCGAGGGTGAACGCGACATTCGCGACATCCCATTCTCGCGCAATGCATTCGGACGATCGCCGTCGAGATCGGATCTTATCTCCGAGGAAGACGGCGGCGTGCCCATGCGACGCGTGGGCGCGGTGAACCGCTCGACGTCCGTCACGGACATGAGCGCTCTAGAGGAGGCCATCAAGAGAGCGCGCGAGGCGCGCAAGCGAACGTCCGGGGGCTCGGGCTCACCGTGAAAAGAAGGCACACGATAGAAAGACGCACAGTAGAGCCTTCAAATGTATTGTATAAAATAATTCTTCACGCACGAATAAAATTAAAAGTTCATCACGCACGCCTCGCGCGGCAAACCGGCGGAGGTGAGCATCTCGATGACTTCGTCCGCCATTTCCTTTTGACCACACAACACCGCAAACGTGTCGTTCGCGTCGATCTTCCCGCTCGCGATGTCTTCGCGCAACACATCCTGCACGTGTTTGCCCGAATCTTCGGAATACACGCGCACGACGTCGCACGGCCACGACGCGGATTCCTCCAAAAACGCCGTCGCCTCGGCGTCGCGCGTCCCGTAATACAGCGTCGTCGCGCCCGCGTCCGTCTTCAGCGTCCCACTTCGCAGCAGCGCGCGAATGGGCGAAATTCCCGATCCCGTGGCGAACAGCACCGCCTTCGATCGTCCGCGCACCGCCGTCAGATCGAATCCTTTCCCCATCACCGGCGAAACCTCCACCTCGGCGCCGACGTCGAGCGCGCAAATCTCTCCCGCCGTCGCCCCGCTCTGCGCCTTCACCAGCAGCTCCACCGCCCCCTCACCGAACGCGCACTCACCCGGCGCGCTCGCGATGGCGATGAACGCCGCTTTACCGTCCTCTCGCGTGCGTATCTGCAAAAATTGTCCCGGCGTCGCGTACGCCGCGCGCGCCGCCGCCCCGATCTCCACCCCGATCGCCCGCAGCTCGGCCTCGCCCGCGCGCGCGCGGCGATCGTTCGCGACGACGGATGCCTTGGACCAGGCGAAATCGTTCCAGCCCGCGCGCGCGAGCTCGTGGAGGCGCGCGCGACGCGGTCGGGACGTCGGTCGAGGGATCGGCGAGGCGACGGCGCGGCGCATCGCGCGCGGCAGGCATCGCGCGCTGAGCGCGCGCGCGGTGCGCGTGGTGGTCGTCATCGCGCGCGGGCGCGATCGAGGGGCGCGGGCGTCGAGGAGTGCGGTCGACGCGCGGACGAGCGGCGCGGGCGTCGAGCGACGGCGACGCGAGACGACGCGCGCGACGCGCGAGCGACGCGCGAGCGACGCCGCGCGCGAGGAACGACGCGATAAATCTAAAAATCGACAACTGCAACGGTGTACACGCCTCGCGCGACGGCGCGAGGAGGCTAGAAGGGATTGACGAAATCGTCGCGCGCGTCGAGGGCTTCGACGGCGCGCGCGGCGAAACCGCCGCACGGGTAGTTTTCGCGCGTGCCCTCGCGAGCCGCGGCGTGCGCTTCGAGCTCTTCTTCCGTCATGCGCAGGCCCGAGATGGAGTGCACGTCGAGACGGAACGGGCCGTCGGCTTCGGCGCGACGCGCCTCGAGGCTCTTCTCGGCGCTCCCGGCGACGGCCAAGCCGAGAAACACCACGCGATTGGCGCTCATGCGCGAGTGATCGCGCACGGCGCGTCCGCGATGCGTCTGCACGAACGCTTCGATGGGGACGACGACGTCCACCCACTCGTCCTTCGGCGGTCGAAACGCCGCCTGCCACACGTCCTCCGCGGAGTCGCCCGTCATCCAGTTCTCCGTTCGCACGCTCGCCACGTACATCCGACCGTCGCCGCGCACGCGATAACTCAGCGCGTCGTACGCGTCGAAATCGAGCGTGGGATCTGGATTCACGAGCGTTCGCGTCAGCGGTTTCGTGCGCGCGCCCGCGAAGCCGCTTCGCTTCAACCGCGACTTCGTCCCGCTCGGCGGCGGCGCGCAGTCGACGCGCCCTCGCAGCGTGCTGTATCGCCTTCGCAGCGCCTCGCGTCGCGCGTCGTCCATTCTTTCCATCGTCGCACCGCCGTTATCTTCGCCCGCGTCGTCTGAATCCTCATCGTCGTCGCGTCCCGCGACGAGCTCGCACGCGCTCGCGCCGCCGTGCTCGAAATCGCCGAAGACGTCCCATCGCCCTCGGTCCGTCGCCGACGCGAACGCGCACAGCAGCGTCACCGCGCGCCCGCTCGGCGACGCCGCGTACCACGGCGCGCTCGCGCTCGCGAGCGCGCGCGTCGGCGCGCCCGCGCGACGCGTCGACGACGACGCCGCGTCGACGCCGCCCGCCCTCGACGCGCGCGACGTCCCCTCGCGCGTCGCGCGCGCGCCGCGGTGCGCCGCCGACGCGGCGCGCGCGCGCGAGACCGCCGTCGCGACCTTCGAGGCGCGTCGAAGCGCCATGCGACGCCGCGCGGCGCGCGCGGCGCCGATGAATCGTCGCGCCGCCGACAGTGCGGCGCGTCCCGCGCGCGCGCGTCGCCGCACTCCGCGCCGCGCGCGAGCGCGCGAGCGTCGCTCGACGCGCGAACGGACGCGGCGAAGAGCGCTCGATCGCGCGCGCGCCATGGAGGACGCGGAGGAGCGCGATTACGGCGACGAGGACGTCGCGATCGATGACGATCTCGCGGACGCGGACGCGATCGCCGACGACGACGACGCGGACGACGCGCCGACGATCGTGGACAGCGACGAGCGCGCGGGAGGGGCGCGGCGAGGGTCGACGCGGCGAGGCGGCGGTGGGGCGGTGCCGAGGCACGAGCGGACGACGACGCCGTACATGACAAAGTACGAGCGGGCGCGCATCCTGGGGACGAGGGCGCTGCAGATTTCGATGAACGCGCCGGTGTTGGTGCAGCTCGAGGGAGAGACGGATCCGCTGGAGATCGCCGGGAAGGAGTTGAGGGAGAAAAGAGTGCCGTTTGTGGTGCGGCGGTACATGCCGGACGGGAGTTACGAGGATTGGGGGATCGACGAGTTGATCGTGCACGACCCGGACCAGAGGCGGACGTAGACCGCGGTCGAGGGTCGAGCGGCGTCGCGGCGCGGTTGTAATCCGAATAGCGTGAATGATTTTTGACTATGGTTGTGCTTGTTTGAGTGTGTTCTAATCGCGAGGGGCGACGCGCGCGCGGTCGTGGGGGCTAGGCGACGGCGTCGCCGTCGACGACGTCGCGGCGGCGGCGAAGGACTCGGAGAAGCGAGGCGTCGTCGAGCGCGGTGACGTCGAGCGATGACTTACGGGCGTTGACCACGGCTAGGCCCTTCATACCGTCGCTACGAAGAGCCTCGATGAGCTCGCGCGCCGTGGGACCGTCGCACGAAAGCGCGGAGACGCATTCGGCGAGAGTCTTTGTTTTGGCTCGAAGCGCCGACGGCCGCTTGGCGCACTCGACGAAGACGTTCGCGTGGGCGTCGCGATCGCGCTCGAGTTGCTTCGCGCCCGCGCGAGAGAACGTCGCGACGCACACGATGCGATCGACGATCACGCGCGTCGTCTTGCTCGCGATCGCGCGCCAACACTTTTCAAACGCCGCGACGCCGAACGCCGCTCGAGCGTCGTCGACGCGGTCGCGAAGAGGCGCGAGAGCGGCGAGCATGTACCCGCTCGCCGATACGTTCCGGGACGATCCATCATCGCTAGCATCACGTGCATCTTCGTCACCGAGCGTTTCGTACGCCTGCAAGTGCGTCGAACCGACGTAGGCGTCGCCGAGTACTTTATCCGTGAATTGCGACGCGGCGGCGTCCGCGACGGCGTCGATCCAACGCGCGGTGAACTTTTCGAACTTGCTCGCGTACGTCTCCAAACACTTTTCTCCACCAAACTCTAAAACAAACGTGTCTTCTGCCAACACGCGCAACGCTCGAGCGACGAAAGTGGATGCGTTCACGGCGGCGCCGATGACTGCGGTGCCCTCCGTGCCGGAGCGCCAGCTCCCCGTCGCCGCGACGAGCGAACCTAATCCTTTCGAACCCACCGCACGACACTCACACTCGTCTATAAACTCATCTAAGACTGGTATCGCCACTCTGTTTACGAAATATAACCGCCAGTCTGCCCTCGACAGCCCCTTGGCGCTCTCGAACGCGTTCTTTGTTTCCTCCACGACGACTTGGGCGACGTACGGCGCCTTGTATTCCACGTCCCCGTCTTCCGCGCTCGCGGCCCAATTCTTCGCCTCGTTCCATGACTTGCTCGCCCGCACTCTCGCGTGCTCGCACTCGGCGTCGAGCCATGCCTCGGCGTGCGCCTGCTCGCACACCAAAGCGTCGAGGACCTTCGGCGTCTCCTCGACGTCCGCGTACGGATTACGAGACACGTGATCGTCAAACGCGCGACACTCGTCGGCGACGTGCAACCACCACGGTTCTTCGCTTGCCGCGCACGCGACGCACACGTGCGTTCGAATGACGTCCGAAACGGCGTGAAGCAACAGCGACAAGTAGTGTCGAGTCGTCGCCACGGCGATTTTTGGCTCGTCGACGAAAACCGCGCGATCGAGCTCGGCGCGCACCAACATCGGCGTCTTGATCGTCAACTCCTTCGCGCACGCGAATAAGCGCTCGGGTTTCCTCGGATCGCTCAACGATCCGCGCGTGGCAAACGTCACGCGCAAGGCTTCGGCTAAATCCTCCACAAACGCCAACGCGACGTCGTCGTGCGCGAACGACGCCTCCCCCGCGAACGCCGCTCTCGCCTCCGACGTCGTTCGCAGCACGTGAAACGCTCGCACGGCGCGCAATTCCCTCAACGCCGCGTCCGCGTCGTCGTCCTCGCCGCCGTCTCGCGCCAACGACCACCCGTACGCGCGCAGCTCCGTCGGCCGCAAACCGGGCGGCCACCCGCTCGCCGCCAGCCTCGCTCGAAGCCCCCCCCACGCGGCGTCTCGCACCGCATCGCACGTCAGCTGTCCACGCTCACCGATCATCGCCCGCGCGCGCGCCCCGTCCTCGCTCGCGAGCGTCCGAAACGTCTCCGCCGCGCTCGCCGCGCTCGCGCTCGCGCGCTCCAGCTTCGCCATCGCCCCGTCCTCGTCCTCCAGCTCGCTCACCGACCCCGCGACGTCGTCCGCGACGGCCAGCGCATTCGCCGTCGCCGCGAGCGCGCGCGCGGCGGACGCCGCGCGCGAGAGCGTCGCCGCGTCGTCGCGTTCCGTCGACGCCGCGCGCGCATCGTTCGCGGATGGTTCGTCGTCGTCCGCGGTCCCGAGCGCGACGACGGCGCGTCGGACGGCGTCGAAGAACGCGACGCGGGCGTCCTCGCGCGCGCGCGAGGCGGCGGCGACGTCGGACGCCATGCGCGCGCGCGCCGCGCGTCGTCGTCTGTCGTCGGTTGGATTCTGCCGCGCGAGCCTGAACCCTAGGTGTGTGTGCAGTGTACGTACTACATACCGTATATGACACTCATAATATGAGGTATAAACCTTATCGCGAAGGGGGCTTCCGCGCGCCGCCGCGCGCGCCGCAGACGACGACGCGCGCCATCCGCGCGCCCGCCGAACCGCCGAACGCCTCCGCGCTCTCTCGCGCCGCGCTCGCACGCGCGCGCGATGCTCGCGGCGACCGCGGCGCCGCGCGCGACGCCGCTCGGGACGAACGCGCGAAGCCGACCTAAAACCTCAAACGCGCGAAAATCTTCGTCGCGCGTCGCCGAACGCGCGACGAAGGGCGCGGCGACGACGAGAAGGGCGCGGAGAAGCGTTCTCACGCGCGCGGTGAGCGGCGCGGAGACGGTGACGACGAAGAGCGGATGCGTGGTGGATAAGGAGGACGCGGGCGACGGCGCGGTGAAGCTCACGGTGCGCGTCCCGGAGGCGTTGCTGCAAAAGTGCTACGATAACGTCGTCGATGGATTCAACGATACGGTCACGGTGCCGGGATTTAACGCGTCGAAGAAAGGGTCGAAGGCGTCGACGAAGATCCCGATGCAGTTGTTGATAAATCACGTGGGGAAGAAGGAATTCCAGAGCGCGTGCGTGGAGGAGGCGTTGCAAAACTCGTTGCCGGAGGCGATGGAACTCGTCGCCGCGACGGCGTTGCAGGATTCCGAGCGAATTACGACGCACTTTATGGATATGTTTTCGTCTTTCGCGGGCGTGCACTCGGCGCCGTGCGAGGACATGAAGTATGAAGTCATGGTCGAGATGGAACCGACCGTCGCGTTTACGGGGGATCACAAGAGCTTGAGCGTCAAGGTGCAGAGCCCGGGGGATGATGCCACCGCCCAGTACGATGCGGATAAGTTTTGGAACGACGCGCTCAAGGATCAATCTACCTTGCGTGTCGTGACCGATCGTGGCCTCGTCTCTGGAGACGCTGCGGTGGTTGATATCGACGCCGTGCGCGTCAACGACGACGGCACCGACGGCGCCGCGTTGCAAGGGATGCAACAAAAGGCGTTCCAACTCGACACTGACGGCGGCAACATCAAGCTTCCCGGTTTGCTCGAGAATATCGTAGGTATGGAAGTCGGCGACAAGAAGTCGTTCGAGATCGTGTTCCCGGGCGATTGGCCGCAGGAGTACGTGCGAAACGTAAAGGCAAAATTCACCGTCACCGTGAGCGAGCTCTTCGGGCGCGAGTTCCCGAAGGAGACGGACGCTTTGGCGGAGAAGATTTTCCCCGGCTCCACCTCCATCGCCGACGCTAAGGCGAAAATTTTGGATAGCATCACCGCAAAGTATGAGTATGATTTGGAACGAGCGATCGACGAGGCGTGTGTCGACGCTTTGGCTGATATTTGCGATGTCAAAATTCCCAAGTCGCTCATCGAAGAGCAAGGCAGGAACATGTACTCGGAGCAACTTCTCGCCATGCAAGTCAAGCAGAAATTAGCCCCCAAGCAGCTCGAGCAATTAGCGTCGGCGAAAATGGTGAACGAGTACCTCACCAAGCAAAAGGACGAAATCGAGCGCGTGTGCCGACGCACCATCGCGTGCGAGCACTTGGCCAAGCTCGAAAACCTCGAAGTCACCGGCGAGGCGCTCTACGAAGAGGTCGAAAAAGCCAAGCTAGAATTCGAGGAGTTCGGTACGGAGTACAACGAGAATCAGCTTTACCTCCAAGCGCAAGATGCTTTGGAGGGTAAGCTCGCGTTCAAGTGGTTAAAGGAGAACTGCAAGGTTGAAATCTTGCCCGCCTCGCGAGACTGAAACCGCGCGTCCTCCGCGTCTCGCGTCGCGTCGAGTCGTCGACGCCGGTCCATCCACACCGATCCGTCCACAGCGTCTCGCGCGAACGAACGACGATAGAACATCACGCAGACAGCGCGCCATTCTTTCATATTCAACATCTCTACTACACAAAACATTTTTTTTCGCCTCGCGCGTCGCTCCGCTCGCCCTCGCGTCCCGCTCGCGCGTCTCACTCCCCCCTACGCGCCCGCTCATCCGCCGGCCGCACGCTCCCGTCGCCGAAGGCCTCCTCGGGCGGCGCCACCATCTCCCTCGAGTCCATCACCTGCACCAACGCCAAGTACCCGAGCGCCAGCGCGACGCTCACGACGCCCGTGACGATGGCGGTGAGTTGCCCTTTCGCTTCCAGCGGCTCCCCCGTGAGCGGATTCAGCCCGTATTCGCCCTCGGACGACTTCTCCGGTTCGGCGAACGTCCGCGCGCGTCGCGCGCGCGCGCGCGGCGCGCGGCGCGGCGCGCGCGCGACGCGCGGTGCGCGAAACACGGCTCGGGACAGCGCGGCCGGCATTGCGCGACGCGTCGCGAAATGTCGAACGACGGCGCGAGCGCGCGCGACGACGCGCCGGATAACTCGACGTGGAGCGCGCTTTTGAAATGGTGCGCGCGAGCGCGCGACGCGCGACGCGCGACGCGAGGGACGACGACGACGAACGAAGACGGTGACACGCGCGTCGCGCGGGACGGACAGATATTTGACGAAATTTGACTGCAGACTGAGTGACACACGAATCCGCGCAGGTCGCTCTCGCAGCAGGGCAAACACGACGCCGAGGACGCGAAAGACGCGCCGAAGGCGCGAAAGTTCACGGACGAGGAGCGCAAATGGTTCTACGACGCCATGGCGAGTGGGCTCGTGGATGAGGTGAAGAAGATGAAGGAGGACGTGGAGGCGCTGCGGAACGCGGCGCGCGGAGAGACGACGAGCGAGGAGGATGGGGAGCGATTGGAGATGGTTCTGGAGGATTTGATCGAACGCGTGGAGAATGTAGATAACGCGGGGGATTTACACACGATCGGGGGGATGGAAGCGCTGATTGGAACGATGAAGTGCTCTCGGGCGAGCGTGCGAGCGCTCGCGGCGGAGGCGCTGGCGACGACGACGCAAAATCATCCCAAGGCGCAGAAACACGCGCTGGAGGAGGGCGCGATGGGGGTATTGATCGAAGCCGCGATATCCGATGCGGACGACGAGGTGCGAGGCAAGGCGCTGTTTGCGTTGAGTTCCCTGACACGCGGTTGCGACGACGCGCAGCGAGCGTTTTCGTTGGGAGGCGGCGCGGCCGCGTGCGCGAAATTGATCGGGCACGACGGCGCTGAGCGCGTGCGAGTGAAGGCTTTGGTTCTGGGCAAACACGTCTTTACGCAAAGCGAGGGGAACATGGCGTCGGCGGTGGAGTTCGGGGCGATCGCGAATGCGGCCAAGTGTCTCGAATCAGCCGACATCAACTGCAGAGAAGCCGCGGCGCGCGTGCTCCTCGACATAGCTCGATGCGTGGACTTCGAAAAGAATCCCAAGGCGGTGGACGATTTTCGAAACCCAGCGACGATCGCTCGCATCGCCAAGACTCGGGAGATGATCGCGGCGATGACGGACGAGGGCGACGCCAGCGCCAACGCCGAGACCAAGGTGGCGCTCGACGCGCTCGACGCGATGTTCGCGGGAAACTGACCGCGAGGGCATGGTGCGCCCCATGAGATGATTTATAAAGCCTATGATGTCCCCCAAGGGTTGATGCACATCAAGCACGCGTTCACGGCGAATGAGTTAGCCTCCATAGACGCCGCGCTGGCGCACGAGGGATGGCTTGAAAACGAGCAGGCGATGCGATTCTCGCCTCTACCCGACTGGCTCAACGCATTCGCCCGCAGACTGCGCGGCATCGCTCTGGAGACGAAATTCATCGACACGCACGAGGGCGATTTATTCGCATTTTCCCAGTGCATCGTGAACCAGTACGTTCCGCCAGGCGGGTTGTCGAAGCACGTCGATTTGGCCGCCTTCGGCGAAGTCGTCGTCTCTCTCAGCCTCCGATCGACCATCACCATGGAATTCGAGCCCGTCGAGCGCGAACATAGTTCAATCGCGACGACCGCGGTGCGTCTCGATCACGGTGATTTGCTCTTCATCCGCGGCGACGCGCGTCGCCGGTTCACCCACGCCATCCCGGCGCGTTACGAAGACGTCTTCGACGCCATCGCCGTGCCTCGCGCCCATCGCGTCAGCCTCACCCTGCGCACGATGCATCCAGACGGTCATCTCCTCACCACGCCCGCGTCTTAGCGCGCTCATCAATCAATATGCATCATCGCGAATTCGCGTCTCTCGCCGTCCCGCACACCTCGCCTCTGTCCCATGGGTCAAAAGAAGGGCAGCAAGGTCAAGCGCAAGACCGCCGGTCGCGCGACGAAGACGCATTTATGTAAAACCGCTCGCCGCGTCGGGTACGCCAGTTCGACGCACGCGGACGTGCGTTTCGAGGCGTTTCACGCCGCCGCCGCCGCCGCGAACGGGACACCGCTGAAACGCGGCGCGACCGCGCTCGACCTGATCGAGGGCGCGAATCAGACGGCGATCGATGAGGACGTCGGGACGTACTTTGCCGTCGCCACGGGTCGAAGGTTCAGCACGCGCGAGGGGCTGGAGAGCCACATGAAGACGAAGGATTACAAGCGCGCGGTGAAGCGACTGAAGACGGGCGAGCGGCCGCACGACGAGCGAGACGCGGAGGCCGCGGCGGGAATGGGGACGCCGAAGAATGACTAGAAAACTAGAAGTGTAGTGTACAAATGATGGAGAATGTAATCAGGAACCGCCGCGCTCGTCGTAGGGAGGAGCGCCGAGCTGAGACGCGAGCGGGGCGAGAAGCGAGCGGAGGACGTCTTGCACGGATTCGGAATCCGCGGCGAAGAAACGGAGGACGATGCCGGAGTGTGGGAGGGGTAAATCGCTCGCAGAAACGAAAAATTTTGATTGTGGGTCGGTTTGTGTGACGCTGCCAGGGGAAGCGCGCACCCAGGAAGCGCCGCCGTGAGCCATACTGCGCGTCGCCGAATCGCGGGCCCAATCGCCGCACGATTTCGCGAGTTCCCGCACGCGGGGACCGACGATGATGAGCGACGCGACCACGTTCACCGCACCCATTCTCATCGCGAGCGAGATTTCGGCGTTCAGTGAATCGCGCGAAGACGCCTCTAGACGCGTGGCTTCGACGACGACGGGTTCGCCGTTTGACGTCACGCGCGTGCGCACGTCCGCCCTCTTGAACGCCCATCGCTCGTTTCCGTACCCGACCCTTCCCGCCGTTATCCAATCCACGCACACGCACGACCCATGTTCGTGCATATCGATCGTTTGCGTCTGTCGAAACACGGCATCGGCGAATATTTGCGTAGGATCTGGTAGCAACGCCAACAACCCGCCGTCGCCGACGCTCGCGTACAGCGCCGACGTGGTCTCCCCCACATTCGATCGTCCATCACCCTCGCCCGCCTTCGCATCGTCATTCCATCGTCGTTTATTATGTTTATACACCTTTTGCGTGCCTTGCGTCGCCAACGCCAAAGCGCATCCGTCGTCCACGCGAATCGTCGTCCCGCTCGCGTCGCCGCTCACCAAACCGCCGCCCATGTTCACCGCGTACGCCCACGCGCAATCGCAATCGCCATCGATCCCGCGCTTGGGCGTGAGATACTTTACCGGGTACTCCGCGTAGCATCGCGTCACCGCGGAACGGCCGTTGGCGCGCGTGACGTCGAGCGCGGCGATGGAACACGCGCGCCGCGCTGAAGAGTCACCGGCGAACGCGCGACGCATCTGCGCCGTCTCGCGCGCCGCGCGCGCCGCGCGCGCGAGGACAGACGCGTGATCACGCTCAGCCGCGAGGCTCGACGTCGGCGAGCGGCGCGCTCGACGACGAAGAGTGAAGAGTTTTAATGCGGCGAAAAAGTGAAAAAGTGCAAAGGTCTCTTCGGGAAACCCTAAACCCTAAACCGAAACTAAAACTAGAACGGTTTCTTCTCGCGCCCGGTCTGCGCGGCCCAATCGTCGAGGATGTGCTGAGCGATCTCTCGCACGCCGACGCCTTTCTTGACCTGCGCCATGACCACCGGGCCGTCCTCGCGCTGGATCTTGGCGTCGCGTTCCATGACTTCGAGCGACGCGCCGACGGCGTCGGCGAGCTCGCACTTGTTGACGACTAATAAATCCGCCTGCGTCACCCCTGGTCCACCTTTTCGCGGAATCTTATCCCCGCCACACACATCGATGACGTACACGATGTAATCCGCGAGCTCGCGCGAATAATTCGCCGCTAAATTATCGCCGCCGCTCTCCATCAAACATAAATCGCAATCCGGATACGCCGCCGTGAGGTCTTCGACGGCGTTCAGATTACTCGATATATCCTCCCGGATCGCCGCGTGCGGGCACCCTCCCGTCTCAACCGCTCGAATGCGATTCGCATCTCCCAACGCATCGTTCGCGATCAAAAACTCTCCATCCTCCCTGGTGAAGATGTCGTTCGTCACCGCCGTGACGTCGTACGCGTCCCGCAGCGCTCGACACAGCGCCAGCGTCAGCGCCGTCTTCCCCGTGCCCACGGGTCCTCCGATCCCGACCGTGTACGCGCGATCGGCGAACGTTTGCGCTCGAACTTTCGCGCCCTTCCGGCGCTTCGCGAACGATCCCGGTCCGTACAACCGCTCGTGTCGGTGCGGCTTCAAGCCGTCGTGCGCGTGCAATTCGCCGAATTCCACCTCATCGCTCCCGTGCGAGTGCGCGTGCGCGTGCGCGTCGCCGGACATCGCGCCGAGCCGTCGCGCGATCGATTTTTGAGCCACCGTCGCGCCGCCGTCGCGCGCGCGGGCCGTCGAAGCGCCCAGGGGCGTCGCGCGGTGACGCGTCGCGAAAGGTCGCGGAAAAGTGCGCTTTTCGCATCGCGCGTCGCGCGGCACTTTCTCGCGCGCGGAAGCGTCGCCGGGTCGCGGGCGCCAACGCGGACGAACATATCAAAGCTCGCGGCGTCGTCGGCGAAAGAAGGCGCGCGAACGATGCGTCTCACGCCGTGTGAGATCGATAAACTGAACATTCTCTTCGCCGCGGGACGCGTGGCGCAGCGAAGACTCGCGCGTGGAATGCGTTTGAACCACCCGGAGGCCGTGGCGTTGATCGCGATGCAGTGCGTCGAGCTCGTGAGAGATCCAAAGTTCGATAAGGACGGGGAACGGCGCGCGCTGACGTCGGTGGAGGTGCAGGATTTGGGAAAGCGCGTGCTCGGACGACGACACGTGCTCGACGGCGTCCCGGAACTCGTGGGCGACGTGCAGATAGAGACGACGTTCGACGATGGGACGAAGTTGATCACGATTCACGATGCGATATGTGCGGATGACGTCGATCTCGAACTCGCGCTGCTGGGATCGTTTTTACCGAAACCGAGCGAGAAGGCGTTTCCTCCGGCGACAAAGGAGAAGACACCGGCGCCGGGGGAGGTTCGTACGTCGAAGGATTCTTTAGAGCTCCTGGCGGGAAGACCGAAACGAAAACTGAAGGTAACGAACACGTGTGATCGACCGATTCAAGTGGGAAGCCACTTTCACCTCATCGAGGCGAATCGGTTTCTGACGTTTGATCGCCGGCGAGCGTACGGAGCGCGTTTGGCCATTCCGAGCGGCACGGCGGTGCGATTCGAGCCTGGAGAGTCGAAAACTGTGAATATGGTGAATATCGCTGGTAACCGGGTGGTCAAAGGTGGGAACAATTTGGTGAATGGACCCGCGACCGCGGATCGGTTGGACGAAGTCATGAAGCGGGTGATCGACGGCGGCTTCGGGCACGTCGACGCTGACGATTTGGGCGAAGGTGAGCCGTTGATGATTCCGAGACACAAGTACGCGCACATGTACGGACCCACAATCGGTGATCGCGTACGACTGGGAGATACGAACCTTTACATCACCCCCGAGCGCGACTTGACGATGAAAGGTGAAGAATCCAAATTTGGCGGCGGTAAGACGCTTCGCGAGGGAATGTCGCAGCAGGCGGGTGTCGGCGACGCTGATTCTCTCGACACAATCATCACGAACGCACTGATAGTCGATCATAGTGGTATTTATAAGGCTGATATCGGCATTAAAGATGGTCACATCGTTGGTATAGGTCACGGTGGTAATCCAGACGTCGCTGACGTGACCCCTGGGATGGTTGTCGGCGTGAATACCGAAGCCATTGCCGCGGAAGGATGTATCGTCACCGCGGGAGCACTGGACACGCACATTCACTACATTTGTCCGCAACTGTGCACTGAGGCTGTCGCTAGCGGCATCACAACCCTCCTTGGCGGCGGTACAGGACCAGCGTCGGGAACGTGCGCGACCACGTGTACGCCCTCTGCTGCGCACATGCAGTTCATGCTTGAGACGACGGATGCGCTACCACTCAATTTCGCGTTCACTGGCAAGGGAAACACGGCGTCGCCCGAAGGCTTGCACGAAATCATAAAAGCTGGTGCTGTCGGTATGAAACTACACGAGGATTGGGGCACAACACCGGCTGCGATCGACAACTGTCTCACCATTGCAGAAGAGTACGACGTCGCCGTCACCATTCACACGGATACGCTCAACGAATCATGCTGCGTCGAAAAATCCATTGAGGCTTTCAAAGGTCGCACTATTCATACGTATCACTCTGAAGGTGCTGGTGGTGGCCATGCGCCGGATATCATCAAGGTTTGTGGTGAAAAAATGGTCCTTCCTTCATCCACGAACCCAACACGACCATACACAAAAAATACCGTGGACGAGCATCTGGATATGCTCATGGTGTGCCATCATCTCGATCCCGAGATCCCGGAAGACGTTGCGTTTGCTGAATCACGCATTCGTGCAGAAACTATCGCGGCCGAAGATGTTCTTCACGATATGGGTGCGCTTAGTATCATGGCGAGCGACTCGCAAGCCATGGGACGGGTCGGAGAAGTCATTCGCCGCACGTGGCAAACCGCACACTCTAATAAAGAACAACGAGGTTTTCTTGAAGAAGATGCAAACTCGGGTGCGGATAACGTTCGGGTGAAACGGTATGTAGCGAAGTATACCATCAATCCTGCCATAGCTCATGGCATGTCGCACAAGGTCGGCAGCCTAGAAGTGGGAAAATTCGCCGACGTCGTCATTTGGAAGCCAGCTTTCTTCGGCGCCAAGCCAGAAATCGTCGTTAAAGGCGGACAAATCGCGTGGGCGCAGATGGGTGATCCAAATGCAAGTATTCCGACTCCTGAGCCTGTCATCATGCGAGGAATGTTCGGTGCTCTCAAACCGGGGAAGACTTGCATAGCGTTCGTGAGCGCCGCGGCCGCCGCCGCGGATGTTGGCGCCGAGTACGGTCTCAATAAACGCGTCGAGGCTGTGGTCAAATGCAGAGGCCTTAGCAAAGACGATATGGTTTTGAATAACGCGTGCCCGAGGATAGAAGTCGATCCAGAAACATATGAGGTTCGAGCAGACGGTGTCGTGTTGAAAAGTCAGCCTGCGCAAGAGCTGCCCCTCGCGAGAAGATACTTTATCGTGTGAACGACGGTTGCAGGAAAGATATTAATGTAAAAAATTACAATACTGAATGAAGAATTTCGATCACTAAATCTATCTGAAGCAACAACGGATGACTTCGTACTGCTGTAAAGTGAATAAATGTAGCTTTGCGCGGTTCGCTCGTGGCGTTCGCCGCGTCAGTCGGGTCACGACTTACAGGTGGCCGGCGATGAGCTTCGCACGGTAACCCGGTTGCTGAGACAACTTCTCGGTAGACTTCGTGGAGCCCGGCGCGAGAAGCGCGTCGATCTTGCTTTCGAGGACATCCATGCGCATGTGCACGTCGTCGTTGGTGAACATGCCCTTCAAGACGACGGAGATGGAATCCCAAGATTCGTACACAGGCAGGAGGATGATCACCGCGGTGGCGACGGTGCCCCACGCGAGGGCGATGCCAACCCAAAGGTTGAAGTAACCCTTGTTGAAGACACCGCAGCCTGCGGAGGTGCCGCAACCCGCCGGGAGCGAGAAGACCGGCCAGAGGACAATCATGACGAAGGTGAAGCCAATGCCCCACTTCTTGATCCACGCGAGCGCGGCCTCGAGCTGCTTCGGATTGGAATCTTCATCTTGTTCGAATTCCGGAAGCTTGTCGTCGATGAGTTGAATGCGATCGTTCAGCGTGCTGAAGTCAAAGTTTTGCGGATCTTGGAAGGACATGAACGCGTGGATGATGCCCGAGGAGCAAATGGCGACGATGTTACCGGCGAGCATCGGGTAGTTTTCGCCGAGCGTCTTGATGGTGACCGCCTTGTACAGGCCTTGAGCGGTGACGATCCACGTGACCAAGCCAAGAACTTGGCCGCTGATGGCGCCGATGACGGCACCCTTGGCGTTCGCCTTGTCCCAAGTCAAAACGAAAGAGATGGGCATGACGGCGGAGCCGATGAAGATGCCCATCATGAGGTACACGAAACCGAGGGACAATCCAAGCTCGTCGAGGATCAAGGAGAGGATACCCATGAAAATACCGAAGGCGACGACACCGTAACGAGACACGCGAAGGATGTCTTCACCCGTGGCGTTCGGTTTGATGTACTTGCGGTACACATCGTACGCAAACAAGGAGGAGACGGCAATTTGCTCGGCGGAGCCCGTGGACACGATGGCCATGAAGAGCATGATGGTGATCGCAGCGGCACCACCCTTACCCATCAAGTGGGTGGCGATGGCGGGCGGCACGAGACCCTTACCAGCTTCGTCAGAGGTGACCGGCAAGTCGAGAGCGACGGTGGCGAGACCCATGGCGGTGGCGAGGGCGAAGGGGATGGTGAACCAAACGAGACCGCCGAGGAGGTAACCCTTGGTGGAGGAGCTCGGCTTGGCCGCGATGGCGGATTGCCAGTACGATTGGTCGACGAAAACGGTACCGAAGTTACCAACGATGTTGATGATACCGAAGATGACACCACCCTCAGAGAGCATGGTCAAGTAAGAGCCCTTTTGGTTTTTGGCCACCGGACCGCAGTTTTGGTCGGCGGCAAGGCGAGCGACGCATTCGGTTGAAGTCGGACTGCGCTGAGCGACGCTCTGGAGGAGATCGTACACTTTGCTCGGAGAGCCGAGACCGTGCTTGGTGTCGGCCGCGTACACGATGTAGATGAAGGTGATGAGAATAGCGAAGATGATGGCGGTGTGGATGTACGACGCCAAGAAGGTCGCCTTCAAGCCACCAGCCATAGTGTACGCAATGACACCGATCGGGATCAAAAAACCAGCGGCGGTGGTGTTCATACCCGTGAGCGCGTTCACCGTGGCGGCACCACCGAGCACGAGCATCGAAGACACAATGACGTTGGTCAAGAAGCAGAAGAAGATGAAGACCTTTTGCACGTTCGCGCCCCATCGAGCGTCGATGATTTCGCAAATAGTGTGCGCGTTAGGCGCGTATCGCTTCACCTGAATGGCAAGCATACCGAAGAGCAAAACTTGAATCGTCGCACCGGACGCGTACCAGAACGGTCCGGAGACACCATATTGGTACGCGACGTTGGACGATTGCAAGAGCGTCGCCGCCCACGTCCACTGGGACACGATGACGGACGCCGTCAAACCCGTCTTCACGTTACGACCGGCGGTGTTGAAGTATTCAGACGAGATGTTCGTCCCACCGTAACGCTTATCGAGACCCATGATGATCGCCGTGGCGAGGGAGAAGAACAAACCGAAACCGATGACGATACCGTAGCCCGCGCCTTCGGGGAGCACGGCTTTCCCGCCGAAGAAGCTCGTGTCGCGAACGCACGAGCTCCCGACCAGGGTTTCATACTGTTCGCAAGACATGTGTGCTGATGTCAAGTGTGCGTGTCTGCGTCGCCCGATCGAAGCGCGTCATCGTCAGTCCCCGCATCGCGCAATCATCGCGACGTCATCGCGTCGTCACTTGCGCCGCCATCGTGATTCGCCTCCATCGTCGCCGCGTCGCCGCGCGCTCGAACGAAGACAACGCGCGCGCGCGATGGACGGTGACGAAGATGGCGCGAAGAGCGCTCGCGGTCGCACCTTTGGAGTCGACTCGCGCGTCTCGCACTGCCGCGCCGGCGTCGGCTCGGGCGATGCACGCGCCGTCGTTCCGGAACGTCGTTTCGAAACGTCGTTTCGGAACGACGTTCCGAAACGACGTTTCGAAACGTCGGGCTCATATTTTCTGATATGGGTAAACAGTGGGCGTCGAGATTGACGAGATTTCCGAAAGGGCGGCCGACCTCCGGACGCGAAGGGACCTTTTTACGCGCGAATTCGCGCGTTCGCGAATGCGCGCGAGTGACGTACAGAGGATGAAAATACAACTATGAATGAAAATACAGCGGGACGCGCGCGCGCGGGCCGTCGAAGAGGTGCGCGCGACGCGAAGGCTAGGAGTTGAAGAGGCGCGCGCGCGCGTGGTCGTGCGCGCCCTGGACGGCTTCGTATATCGGTGCCGACGTCGCCGGCGCGCGACGGAGATAATTCATGATGGCGTCGTCGTCATCGTCGTCGTCGTCGTCGATCGTCGACGCGCGGACGGTGGAGGCGTTGAACTCGGCGACGGCGACGGCGCACGCCGCCTCGGCGTCTTCGACGCAACGCCGCAACGCCGCGACGGTTTCCAAAGGTCCGCTCGCGTTCAATCGCGTCGCCGCCGAGCACACATCGCGCATGATGCAGTACACGTACGCGCGCGCGCACGCCTCGGCGTCTAAATTCGCGATCGCGCTCACCGCGCCGAAGACGCACGCGTGGTGCGCCTCGCCCAAGCCGAGCGGCGGCGGTCGTCGCAGCGTTCTTTTAATCGCCCTCAAGTACCAACTTCTGTCCTCGCCGAATGCCACTATCGACGCTCGTAGTAAAGCCGCGCCCGTGCCCGCGCTCGCGCGTCGATTCACGGCGTTCGACGCGCAGAGCGCGGCGCACTCCGCGTTCGCCGCTCGCCACGCGCGCGTCGTCCCGTCCTCGTCTCCCTCGCGCGCGCGTTTTTCGTTCGCTCGCACCGCGAGCGCGCGCGCGGCGAGCGCGAACGGAAGTTGACCGTCGATCGCGCTCTGCGCGCACTCGCGCGCGTACGTCTCGACCGCGCGCGAGGCTTCGCGAGACGTCTCGTCCAGTGTCCCGACCGCGCGCGCGATTCGCGCGGGCTCGAGCCCGAGCGAGTGCGCGAACGCGCCCGTCGGTAGCAACGGGTCGATTAAAACGAACGCTTCCATCACATCGAGCGCGCGCGAGTGCGAGAACGCGAGGGCGCTGTGAGAGCTTTCGTTCAGTTTTCAAGCTTTGGCTTCACTTTCGGTGCTGCTTGCACGGGGCGCTCGGCGCCCATCACATCGAGCGCGCGCGAGTGCGGGAACGCGAGGGCGCTGTGAGAGCTTTCGTTCAGTTTTCAAGCTTTCGCTTCACTTTCGGTGCTGCTTGCACGGGGCGCTCGGCGCGTAGTGCTCGGACGTCTTCAGAACGACGCGCCTGCACGCGGCGCAAAAAGAAGAGTTGCAGGCCCAACATCGAACGTGGTTGTTTCGATCGAAGGCGACGTTTTGGGCCTTGCAGCGGATGCAGGAGATGACGTCGGCGGCTCTCGGCGCGCGAGGCGCGCGACCGTCGACGCGAAGCGCGGCCATATCGCGCTCCCACGCTTCGATGGCGTCGAGGTCGAAGAGTTGACACGTGCTCGTGCCGGGTTCGCCGTTGACGTTTCGGTAATGAGAATACCCGTCGCCTTCAAGCTTTTGACCGCACTTCCAACAAAAGTAGGCGCCGCACGCGCACGTCATCTTGTTGCAGCCTTCGTTTTTCTCAACCCCTTGACCACACACTGGGCACTTGCGGCCGTTCCGTTCGACGTATGCGGCCGCGGATACGTCGGCGATTTGTTCTTTGTACTGACGCAACGCTTCTTCGGACATTTTCGAGTCACCGCGACGTCTCGCCTCGAGCACCGCGAGCTTTTGCTCAGCGTTGAGGCACTCGGACCCAGCGTGCCACGACGCGCGGCAAAGCGTGCAGAAAGCGAAGAAGCAACCGGGACATCGCCCAAAATTTTGATCTTCTTCTTCAATAACGGGATGCTCGCATCGAGGGCAGTACACGAGATCCGCCATCGAGTCGAGCGTGCGCGCGAGCAGCGTGGCTTCATACTTTTCATACTCATCATGGTTCAGAATGGCGCGCAGCACATGAGGATCGAACGCACACGAACATTCCGGGCAGACCAAGCGTAAGACAGAGCCTTCGCTCACGTGCACGCGCGCCATGCGCGTCACGCACTCGACGCAATACGTGTGCGCGCAGGCGCTCGACACTCGTCGAACGTCGACGCCTTTGATGTCATCCGCGAGGCACATTGAGCACGAATTATCGCAGCTGATCAGAAATGCTCGTCGTCTAGCATGTGCGTCTGCACGTAAAATCGTAAACACCGCCTCATTCGCGTCTCGAGCCGTAACGACGGCTCTCGCGTCGACTTCAAACTCGCCGTCCGCCCACCCAAGACCTCGAGCTGAGACGTCGAGCGCGCCCTGCGCATTCAACAATACGTCTCGCATCGCGTCGTTCTTTATCCATTGAGTCCATTCATACACTATTGGCTCACCGTTTGGACGCTGGTCTTCCCATATGGCGTCCAATCTCGCGCACATCGCGCTCAAATGGCTGTTCGACAACCAATCACTACGAATGACGAACTTCGGCGCCTCGCGCGAGGGATACCTTCTCGGGAAGATGAATTCCAGAAATATCGGCGGTAAAGCAGCAACAAGATGCGTGGAATCTCCGTTCAAGACCTCTGCTTCGCCGTCGATCTCGACGTCGATCTCCAGTTCTGCGCGAAACAACCGCCCGCTCGAAGTCGCGTCGCCGACGTCGCGTCCCGAAGCCAAAGCCTCCCTCACGGCGTTCGCGTCGTCGCCTCTCGCGCAGTCGCAGAAAATACTCACGAGAATCGACATCTCCTCTTCCTGCGCGCGCCGGTCGTCGGCCGTCGATGCTTTGTCGTCGTCCTGTTCCTCGTCCCGCTCGCGCCACACCTGGGACTCCAACGCCCTCGCCTGCGCCGCCATCGCCGCGCGCTTCGCCGCTCACGCGCGCTTGGGCTTGTGCGTGATCATGGCCACGCCAACGACGCACGCTGAGGCGCACACGACGCACGCGCCGAGGTAGGCTGGGATGGCCACCGCGAGCTCTGGACTGGGAAACAGTTTCAACACCGGGTGTCCGACGTCGATCAGCGGCGTCACGAGCGCCCAGACGGTGTAGTACGCGAAGAGCGCGGTGAGCACGGCGAGGGCGAGCGCACCGAAGGTTCGGTCGCGCATTCGCGGTGGGTCGGCGCGCGCAGGGTTGTGTGGCGTGTCGAGGTGTGAATTGCAACCAGGACTACGAGCGCTGGGGCGCGCGATTGCGCCAGCGCTCTGCGTTTTCGCGCGATGAGTTAGGCTTGGTGGGCGTTCGAAACGTTCGTTGTTGATGCTGGTTGTGTGGGGTATCTTCGACGTCTTCGTCGGTATCGGATCGGTCTGCGTCGTCGGCGTCGTCGGCGCCGATGTTCAAGCCAGCGTACACTTGTTCTTTGCACTGCTGTGCCGTTTTCCCAGGAACGTAACTCGCGACTTCGGTCCAAAAGTTTTTACGACCGAGATCCACGCGCACTTGAGCGTTTTGTAACGCCTCTAATTGCTCGTCCGACCAAGCGTTGGGGTCCTTTTTCGGTCGACCGACCGGGCGCTTCTCCGTCGACGGCGCCGCGGCGTATCTGTCGTCATCGAACTCGTCGTCGCGGCGGTGATTCTTTTTCATTTTCGACCCTGGTTTCGGTCCGGGTTTGAGCTTGCGTTCGCCGTTGAGCTTCAATTTGTCGCTCACGCGCTGACATTCGTCGTACGTCGTCTCCGGCGCGAACCGCGCCTTGGAGGCTTGGCGGCGTTCAAACGCCTCCGCCGCGGCTGTCTTCGGTCGATTTTGCGTCACGCATTCGTAACAAAACCATTCATTCTCTGGGACTTTGTCTAGTCGAGGGACCAAACAGTGCGTGTGATAGCCCTTATCGCATCCATCGCACAGGAGCATTCTGTCTTCGCCGTCGACGCGGCCGCACGCGATGCACGCCGTTCGCTCTTCTTGAAGCGGCGGCGCCACGTACGAAGATCTCAGCGCTGAATTCGTCGTAGAGACCGCGCGAAAACGTTCGGGTTTCACCTTTTCGATCACTCTTGGGTCGACCTCGGCTATGGAACGAATGACGGTGTCCGGAAGGTTTGCGTTCGGAGGGCCGTCCGGGATGATAAGCATGCTCTTCGGCGGGCGACCGCGACCGCGCTTGACGCCCGGTGGAAGCACGGGGATCGGAATCCCAGCGGCGATCATGGCAGCCTTCTTCGCTGCCGCAACACCGGGCTTCGGTCCGGGCTTACCCTTGCGCGTGCCGCGCTCGCGCGGCGCCTGCGGTTGTCGCCGAGTCGGCGCTGCGTGTCCTCTAATGCTATTCAGCGCGCGCGCCGCGTTCGCGGGCGCACGACCACCTCGCGCGTGCGCGTCTTTGTCCTCGCTCCAGCCTCGCTCACCTTCCTCCGCACCGCCGAAGTCTTCGTATTCGTCCTCCGACGACGGCGGTGAGTATCGTTTCGCGTTCTTCGGCGGTCTGCCTCGTCCGCGTTTCGGCGGCGACGCCGGCTGCCGCCAGGAGCGCTCATCTCTCGAGACACCCGCACCCGTCCAGAACGCTCCAGGCGCGCGCAACGCGCGGCCCGATCGCGACGCCGATCCTGGCGCGCCCGAATCGCTTCCTGGACTCACGGGCATCCGCCGTGCAGCCGCCGCGAGCGCCTCCGCCTCCTTCATCGCCGCGCGGCGCGCGCGCTTTCGCCTTTGCTCGTACTCGTACGCCCCATCCGGTTCCGCGCTTCGATTCGTCGTCCCACGCTTCCGCGAGTGCTTCCCTCGCGGCGTCGGCGACGCATCGAGCGACATCAACCGCTGCGCGAACCCTCGCACGGGCGATGGTGGCCCGTCGAGATCGGCGTTTACTTCGTCCGGCGACAAATATCCCGCGTTGTAATCCACCGCGTCTCGCACCACGCCCACCGCGTTTCGCCGTCCCGCGAGCTCCAACGGCTGTCTCCCCGCGCCACGGCGATCGCGCGCGTCCGAAAACGCGCGATCGACTCCGTCGCGACCGCGCGCGCCGTCCCGCGCTTCGTCGCCGCCCGCGTGCGGATTCGCCCACCCCGTCACCACCACCGGCGCGCGCGCTCTCGAAAACAGCGTCCCGCTCGCGCCCGTCCCGCTCGCGCCCGTCCCGCGCGCGCCCGCGTCGACGACGTTCGCGCTCGCGCCCGCGCTCGCGTCGCCCGCGCGTCGCAGGATCAAATCATCCAGCGTCAACGCCGCCGCGCCGCCGCCGCGCGCGCCGTCGCGTCCTCGCGCCGCCTCATCACCCCCCCGCGCCGTCGCGTTCGCGCGCAGCAGCCCCGCGCGCGGGTCCGGCCACGCGGACATCTCGCGCGCGTCCGTCGCCGCGATCGCGCGCGGTCTCGAGCGCGCGCGCGCGCTCCGCGTTCGATTTTACTTCGCGTTCGCGAATCGATGATTTCAAATCGAAATCAAATCTTTCGCCCTTCGCGCGCGCGCGTTCGAGCGCGACGCCGCGCTCGAGCGCGCGCCGTTCCGCGACGCGATGCCGCGACGCTCGAACGCGGTCGCGGTGCCGCGCGACGCTCGCGCGCGTCGCGGCGCGTCGATGAGTGGCGAAAGCGCGCTGTCCCGCACACCGCGACGCGCTGACGATGGGCGCGGACGCGCGCGCCGACGCGCTCGCGCGCGGTCTCGCGATGGGCGTCGTCCTCGGAAGCGCGCTGACGATGGTGGCGACGAGCGCGCGCGCGCGCGACGCGCTGCTGCGCGCGGCGCGCGGCGGCGACGGAGGACGGCGCGGCGACGACGCGGCGCGCCGAGCGAAGGACGCGCTGATCACTCGCCTGGGACTGATCCCGCACCCCGAGGGAGGATTTTTCGTGGAAACGTATCGCGCCGGGTGCGCGCCGATGTCGAGCCGAGGGAAGACGGCGTTCGACGAAGACGCGCGGGAACGCGGCGACGCGAGCGCGGCGACGACGCGAAGGACGGAACCGAACGACGACGGGAAGCGAAATCAGATGACGAGCATATATTACATGCTCACGAGGGACAGCGATCATCAGTGGTGGGCGCTGAACGCGAGCGATCACGTGCACTATCATCACGCGGGAGGCGCGGTGACGTATCACTTGGTGTCGGCGGACGGCACGTACGAGCGACGGACGCTGGGATCGGACGTGGAGAACGGCGAGACGCCGCAGTTGGTCGTCGCGGGCGGAACGTACAAGGCGGCGGTGTTAGAACCGGGCGCGGAGTTCGCGCTGATCGGCGAGGGGGTGAGCCCGGGGTTTGATTTTAGGGATTTCGAATTCGTCGCCGCCTCGGCGTTGATGACGCGAAACGCGGCGTGTTTCGACGACGCCAATCACTTGATCAAGCCCTCGCCCGAGGACACGTTCGATCACTACTACCAGTCCACGCCGACGGCGAGCGAGGATTATTTCACCCCCACGCGCGACGACGACCCGACCGAGGCGTGAGCGCGGCGTCGTCTCGCCGCGCTGTAATTTCAAAATTTCAAACTTTTATTCATCATTTCAAACGAGCGTCCCCACCTCGGCGATCCGCGCGCCGTCTTCGCGCGCCGCGCGCGACGCCACCGCCGCGATCGTTTTCGAGCGCGCGCGTCCGTCGCGTCGCGCGCCCTCGTCCTCGCCCTCGTCGTCCTCGCGCGTCCGAAACATTCATCCATCCATCCATCCATTCTTTCATTCACGCACGCGTCCGCGACGCGTTCACAGCCCGCCCTCCGCGATCGCCGCCGAGATCTCCGCCATCCACTGCCGCACTTCGTCCTCCGTCGCCTCGCGTCCGTTTCTTCGCTTGAACTCGTCCATGAGCTGCGTCATGACGGCGTCGACGTCGAGCGCCGGTTCGCTTTCCGTCGTCGTCGGGCGCGACATCGCGTCGCGGAATGCCGACCGACGCGCCGTCGCTCGCGACGGCGATCGGGGATTACGCGCGCGAGAATAAACTTCGCGTCTTGGGCGCGTTCTGGGCGCTCGGGATCGCGAGCGCGCTCGCGATGGAGCACAGGGCGCGACGCGCGAGCGCGATGAGCGTCAAGCTGATTCACTCGCGCTTGTACGCGCAGGCGGCGACGCTGGCGGCGCTGGGCGCGGCGGCGAGCCTGGAGATGGACGGCGGACGCGAGGCGACGGCGGCGACGGCGCGGGATCCGCACGAGTACCGAGCGCGGAGGCGGGGAGGCGGGGACGACGCGCGCGGCGGCTGAGCGGGACGGATAGGACCACTAGGACTATAGGACTATAGGCGCGTTGTAACGCAGAGACGAGCGCGCGCGAAGCGCGGCGATGCGAACGCGAGCGGTCACTTGAGGCGCAGACGGGCGGATATCGCGCCGTCGACGTCGTACTCGCGGACGACGCGCTTGGCGTACTCGGGGACGTGCTCCTCCGCGCGCTTCGCGCCCCACGCGCGGTTGACGTACATGTAGTTTCGTATGGTGTGGTAATCCAGCGAGTACATCCCGAACTCTTTGCCCTTGGGACCGATTTTGGTGAGCAGCCACGCGAGGAGCTTGCCGACGACGCGAGGCGCCGGTTTATCCGGCCCTCGACCGAGCTTCGCCTCGTCGTCGGCGACGACGGTTTGCATGACGAACGGTCGACGATCGCCGCTGGACGTGGACGGCGTGATCTCCATGTCGTTGCGAATCAAATCAATCATCTCGCGTCCGCGCTCGTTTCGCACGGTGACGTACTGGGGATGTCGATCCATCGGTTTGTCCATGTACGGCACCCCCATGTAGCCGACGACGACGTCGGCGAGACCGTTGACGTAGTCGAAGCACGAGTAACACGACGGCGCGATGACGTCCGTCAAATCTTTTGCGGGCAGGCAGAAATACGGCACCTTTTCGTACGACCCGTCGACGTGCTTGAGGTGCACCTGATAGTCTTGCATGAATTCGTAGTGCATCACCGTGTCCGGGTCGTCGCTCGCGGCGTCGATGAACTTGTTGAATCCCTCCCACCTCCCGTTATCGGTGCAATTCGTGCCGACGACGTACAGCGCGTCCAGGCCCAAGTGCGGTTCGACGGCGCGCAGCGCGCTCACCGCGCAGCCGACGCCTATGAACAAGACGCGTTTCAAGCCTCTCGCCTCCACCTCCGCCAGCACGCTCAGATTCGGCGACAGGCTCGGTTTCACGCCTCGCGCGCTCAATATTTCCTCCTCCGTCGTCGCTAATATCGGTCTCGGCGCTCTCGAGTCGTCCTCGCGCGACGCGACGCACACGACGCCCTCGACGGCGCCGCTTCGCAGCGCCGCGAGCGCGACGCTCGTCACGATCCCCGTCCACTGCGCGCCGTCGACCGGAGTTCGCATGGCGCCGTAGAACGTCTCGAGCGCGACGCCCAGGCGGCTCTCGTCGCTCGGCGCGGCCGATCGCGCGCGCCCGTGAACCACCGGCTCCAAGGTCTCTATCCTGGACTGGCCGGGACCGAGGAACGCGCACGCCTCCTTGACGCGCGCGACGTGCGCGGTGTCGCACAGTCCGCACTCGCTGCAGTGCTCTTTCGCGGGATACGCCGAGCCGGGCGCGATCGGTCGCGCGGAGGTCGCGCGCGCGGCGACGCGAGACGCGCGCGGCGGCGCGGCGGCGACGAGCGGGACGCCGACGCGCGTCATGATGTGACGCGTCGTCGCCGAGTCGCGTCGCGGCGTTCGCTCGCGTGTTCTAGCGTTCAGTTTCATTTCACGTCGTCCGCGTCGCGTCGTCGCGCGCGCGCTCGACCGCGCTCACGCGCGCGGCGGAATTCGCCTCGCGTCGTCCTCGCCGTCCGCCGCGTCGTCCGCGCCTCTCGTCTCCAGCGCGTCCGCCGCGCGCGATACCTCCGCCGCCACCGCGCGCGCGCCCGCGACGAACGCGTCGAGCATCCCGCGCTCGATCGCGCCGAAATCTTTCCCGCGATCGCGCTCCGTCGCGCCCCCGAGGAGCGCTCGCGCCGCCGCCGCCGCCGCGCGCGCCGCCGTCCCATCCTCGCCGTCGCCGAACCCGCCGCCGAGCGACGACGTCGTCGACCACGTCGTCGACCACGCGTTCGAGCGTTCGATCGCGTTTTCCGCGTCGTCGTCGTCGCGCTCGACCGTCTCGCGCGTTCGCTCGAGCGTCTCCGGCGCGCTGCGCGCGTCCCGTCGCGTCAGTCCCGCGTTCGACGCCGCGCGTCGCGCGCGTCGCGGTCGAGCGCGCGTTCGACGTCGTCGCATCGCGCGTTCGACGTCGTCGAACGCGCGCTCGTCGCGTCGTCGCGCGTCGCGCACCGTCCCGGACATTTCCGCTCGACGATTCGCTCGCGCGCGCACGTCCGCCGCGCCGCGCCCGCGGCGTCGCGCGTCGTCGCGCACCGCTCGCGCGTCGTCGTCGACGTCGCGCACCGCGCGGCGTCCATCGCGCGCGCGAGCGCGCCGTCGTCGTCGTCCTCGTCGTCGCGTCGGCGTCGCATCCGCACTGTGCCGCGCCGCGCGTCGCGCGCGACGCGAGGGACCCGGCGATGCGCGCGAACGCGCGCCGAGGCGCGCTCGAGACGCGGCCGCGCGCGTCCGAGACGCGCCGGGCGACGCGTCGACGCGCGCTGGCGACGATGATGATGACGGCGCTCGCGGTGCCCGGTTCGGCGCGCGCGGCGACGCGTCGGTGCGCGTTCGCGCGCGCCGGGAGCGCGAACGCGACGGCGACGCGCGTCGCGGACGCGTGCGCGACGACGCGATCGTGCGGCGCGTGCCTCGCGGCGTCGCTCTGGGAGGCGCACGGCGAGGGGGCGAGCGACGCGAGCGGCGCGGAGGCGCGCGCGTGCGCGCTCGCGGCGATGGGCGCCGTCGAGAACGCGACGATCCGAGCGAGCGCGCTGGCGCGCGCGATGGGATGCGCGCCGACGTTTTTTAGGGACGGCGCGCGAGGGGAATTGGACGAGGCGCTGCGGGAGTGGTCGAGGGAGAGGTGCGAGGACGAGGGACGGGCGTTTCGATCGGAGACGCCGATGGACGGCGAACGCGAGCGAGGGGCGCGGAGGATTCGCGCGCGGGCGGCGGCGACCGCGGCGGCGTGCTGCGGGGCGTGCGAGGACGACGGGCGGTGCGATGGGTGGTCCTGGTGCGATGATCGCGCGCCGGGGGGGTGCGGGAAGGATTATCTCGTGTTTCCGTTTGAGCCGGGCGAGTGCTTGCACTTTAGATTGGTCGACGACGACGGTCGGCGCGCCTTCGTCGATGAAAATGAAACGCGCGGTTTCGAACGCGAGGACGGGGCGTGGGTCTCGTCGCTCGTCTCGCGAGCTCGGGCGCCTGAAAAGAAACGTCCGAGCGAAGTCAAGTTGAATGAACGGCGAAGAACGCGCACGGCGTACGTGCGTCGTCGCGTCGAGTCGAAACGCGCCGCGAGAGAACGTGAATGACGGACCGATACGATTCACGTCGACGCGCGCGCTCGCGCTTACGAAACGTACTTTTCACACTCTATTTTTCTATCGTAATGTGCTCAGATTTTTTCTAAAATGCGATCGCCGACGGCTTTGTCCATGGGCGTCGGGTCGCACGCTCGAAGCTCGCACGCCGAGCGCAACTCCTTGAGTAAAATCTCGATCGCCCGTCGCTCGTACACATCCGACTCGAACTGTCCGCTTGGCATGAAGCGAAACAGCACGCGCTCGGCGAGATAGCGCACGTCCAGCGAGACTTGCTGGAACGCAAATTTCGTGTGGAAGGTTTGACAACGAACGCACTCGACGTACGATTTGACGGCGCGCTTGATCACGGCGCACATCACCGAAGACTGCGTCGACCTCACGGGCGTGAACGCGCCGTCCGCGACGAACGAAGTGCTGCCATCACCGCTGTCGATTTCTCCAACATCCAAAACTTGCGCGCACTCGTTCTCAATCGTCGCCAAATCGTCCGCGATGTAATCCGCGAGCGGGCGAACCTCGCGAGGTTCGCGCGCCTTGCTCCAATCCACCGCAGTGAGCGATTTTCGAATCATAAAGCTAATGCGCTGCGCGCTTTGTTCGACGTACCACATCAATAATACGTGCGACGCCGACTCGCACATCGCACGCGTCTCATCCAAGCTGAAACTTCCACCCATCGCCGACGACGCCGGGAACATCTTCGTCAACGCATCCGCGATGTGCTTCGTCGCCGAAGTGTGCAAAAACGCGCACATTCGAGCGCATACGAGTAGGAAGCTCGGCGGCGGTGGAGTTTTCGAACTCGATTCCCGCGCTTCATCGACCGCCACCGCGAGAGGCGTCCGTAATGGCGTGGGATTCGGCGCGGGATTCGGCGCGATGGGCGATCCGACGATGAGTCGAGAGACAAGCGCGTGAATCAGGCTCGCAAAATGCCCGCGAACGGCGTACGCGAATTCTTCGCGCCAACTCGAAATCAAGATTGGACGTTCGTCCATCAAAGATTCCACGTCACTCAACAGCGTTTGCACGCTCGTGAGCAAGGTGTCTGAGAGCGCTATGAAACGATGCAGCAGCGACTTGCTCGTGGCAGCGTCTGCGCCCGACGCGCGATTCGCCGCCGCCGCTGAGACTGCCTTGGCCGCGACATACGTGGCGTCAAGCTCGCGCACCAAGTCACGCTCTAGGCACATGAACGCAGCGCCGACGCGACTACGCACGGCGCGCTCTATAGTCTCCACGGCTCTGTCGCCGAGCGCAGCCTCGGGAACGGATCTGTGCACGCTCGCGAGGTCAGCCGCCATAGTACCCATGGCACACATCAACTGCTTGGGATTCAACAAATCTGCGCTCGATGAGGCGGCGATCATGTCTGTCTTATCCACGTGCGGTGCGTAGATTTCTCGAATGAAGGCGAAATATTCGCCAAACGCATCTTTGGTAAACTTTACCAGGGCGTTTCGCGCGCTGTTGACGTTCGAAAACAGTTTCTTGAACGCCTCTGACGCGTTTGAAAACTCGCCCAAGAAAGATTGATTCAACGCGCTCATGAAATCCTTCAAATTCCGTTCGCTCACCGGCGTCGACGCGAGCTCGGCGAACGATTTTCTCGACGCCTCGATCGCGTCGTCGAGTTTCTTTTTCCTTGACATCAAGAAGTCGTCCACGAGCTCGTCCTGTGACACCTTCAACGCCGATAACAGTTCCAAACAAACTTCGTCCGACATCCCGAACGCTGACTTCGACGCACCGTCATCTTCGTCGCCCCCGATCGCGCTCGCTCTCGCGCGCGCCTTCAACACCGCCACAATCTTTTCCATCGCCGCATCGCACCGCTTTTTCGCGCGCACGAACGCTATCGCGTCTGAACCTTCCGCCCCGAGCGCATCTAGCACCTCCTTCGCCTCGACGTACTCGGCGATCGTCGTCCTCGCGTCCTCGCCCTCCGTCGCCGTCGCCGCCGACGCGTTCGCGAGCGCCTCCAACGCCGGCGCCGAACGCAAACTCGCGCTCAGCTTCCCGATCAACCCTCGCACGCCTCGCAACTGTTCAACCACCTCCCTCCTCGCCGACAATCGCTCCTGCGTGCGTTCGCTCAGCGCTTTCGCCCGCAGCGCGCTCTCCCGCAGCGCGTCGCATCGCGTCCGCATCGCCGCGCTCGCCTCTCGCAACGCGCTCGCCGCGCTCGCCGCCTGTCACCACCGAGCCATCCGTCAGTCCCTCGCATCGCGCGTCGCGCGCTTTTCCGCATTACCTGAATGAATTTCCCGTAGTTGTCGTACACCAACATCTGCGCCCGGCTCTCGACGACGCCGAGTTCGGCGCTCACGCGCGCGTACGCGTCCCGCGCCCCCCCCCCGTCGCCGTTCGCCAGCGTCTCCCGCACGTACGCGTCGACGTCGAAGTCCGGCGAGTCGAGATCGACGCTCGCGCGCGTCGCGCGTCCCGTCGTCGTCGTCGTCGTCGTCGTCGTCGCGCGATGCGTCCCGTCGCGCGTCGTCGATTCGTCGCGCGCCGACGTCGCGTCTCGCGCCGTTCGCGCGTCCTCGTCGTAGTACGACGACAGCAGCGACGCGACGCGCGACGCGCGCGCGTCCTCGCGCATCTCGGCGCGCGCGGCGCGTCGCGCAGTGCGAACGGTGGCGACCATCGTCGATCGCGCGACGAATCGTTCGTCGCCACTCCGCGACGCGGGCGCGATGCGCGCGAGCGTCGCGCCGGTCGGCGACCGACCTCCCTCGCCGTCGTTCGCCGACGACTGGCGCGCGTTCGCGGACGGCGCGAGCGCGCAGTTTGAGAATCTGTCGGATCGCGCGCGCGCGCTCGCGCGGCGGACGAGCCAGGGCGCGCGCGCGACGACGGCGGCGCTGCAGTCGCTCACGCCCGAGCGCGTCGCGTGGTTTCTGGCGCTGAGCGCGACGAGCGCGCTGATGTACGCGCTGGCGTTCGTCGTGGGCGCGCCGACGCTGGCGATCGCGCCGGCCAAGTTTGGGCTGTGCGTGTCGGCGGCGAGCGCGAGCGGGGTGTGCGCGACGGGGGCGCTGCGAGGGGCGCAGGCGCAGGTGACGCACATGCTGAGCGAGGAGCGGGCGGTGACGTCGGTGGTGATGGTGACGACGGTGGTGATGACGGTGCGCGCGGCGGCGTATCGACACGCGTACGCGCAGACGGTGTTTTGGAGCGCGTGTCAGACGTGCGCGGTGGGGTATTATCAGGTGAGTTATTTTCCGTACGGCGCGCAAGGGTTCAGGACGGTGTGCGCGACGGCGTGGCAGATCGCGCAGCCGGTGATGGGGGCGTGCGCGCGCGCGATCGGGTTCGCGGCGTCGAGTCGGGGGGGGGGGGGCGCGCTGCCGGTGTAGACGCGCGGCGTCGTCGACGCGTCTCGTTGTAACGCATATTTTAGATTATAGGACGCGCTAAACTTCGTCTTCGCGGTGAGCGTATGCTGTGTTGCAACGTTGGGAACGCTGCGTTTAGTCTTGGCGTGAAAAAGCTCGACCGAGGACGCGATATGTGCTCACGAACACCGACGCCGCGGCGGCGATGAAGATGACGGCGGCGACGTCGCGCGCCGCCTCCTCTCTCAAAGACGGTTTGGCCCGCCCGCTCGAATTGCGATCCAATAACTCGTAGCAAGCACGATGGCCGGATGTTCGTCCGGCTCGCGCAACGTCGCGCGCTTGGTTTGTGTTCAGTTCCCTGCCGCCATTTTCGAGGATGAACTGCGCCATGTGAAACGCACCAGTACTCGCCGCGACGACGAGATAATTAGGGTTCCACCTGAACGCTGGCGCCGACTGCAACGCTTGAAATATCTCAATAAAGTCATTTCCTTGGGCGGCGACTGCGTTCGCGCATCTCTCGATATCCGCCGCTGTGAAGTCCTCGCCGCTGACGGCGACGCAGAATCTCAGACAATTCAGATGGCCTCGTTCACCGGCGTTCAACATCGCCGACGCCTTAATAGGCGCGCCGTACGAATGCGCGAGTCGCAGGCATCCCAATTGACCGCCCGCGGCCGCTGCGCTCGTCGTGCGCTCGTCGACGAGATCTTTCATGAAATCGGTGATGAAACGAGCGTTTCCGGTGAAGGCAGCCACCGCAGCCATCGACGCTTCGTCAAAGCCGGGTGACTTATTCTGCCACAAAAACATCAGGATGCCGTAATCGTCGACGCGAATAGCGGCGCGTAGACATTCGGCCGATAACCACGCGCCTTCTTCGTGACAGATGCGCAGCGCGCGCAAGTTTCGCATCTCTACCGCGAGCACCGCGGCGTCGTGCCGTTCCTCGGCCTTGAGAGCCCGAATGACGTGCTGCAGATCCCTATCGACGCCGTTCAAGCCGAACGCGCGAACTAGATCCATGAACTGACTGCTTCGAATGGGACCGCGCCTTTGCGCATAGGTAGGTGCAATCGCGGGCATGGCGCGCGTGCGTCTGTGCCGTCCAACTGTCACAACTCCAAAAACAGAACGACATGACTGCTACGGCTGGTCAAACTCGTACAGGTGGAAAGGACAAGCTTTCTGAAGCATGGCGACGACGCATCGACGCGCGTCGAACCCATCATCGCTCGCTTCGCTAAGCATTGTGATGCGTATGGACTGCACGCCATCCGACCGACGCTTGCACTTAATTCGACCCGTCGCGCGCACGAAGGCGATGGCTCGAGCGCCTTGGCCCACGCGTTCGACTTCTGCGACGACGTCTTCGCGAATTGCGGATACGTCGCCCGGTGCCGCGCGAAAGACGACGGGTGCCTGACCTTCTTGCGCAAGCAATACTTCCACCATGACAAAGTGCAAAGCCAAATCTTGTAGTTCCCCGTTATCGTTCTCAAAGACAAACGCGTCGCCCTTGTCGTCGTCAAAGCTGGCTAATTCGCATTCGGTGAAAAACGATCCCTCCACGACCGTGGTCACGAGTCGATCGTCGCATCTTCGTCTTCTGTACATCATTTTCTCATCCACCCAGTTCTGCACCAGAACTCTCGCCAGCGCGTGTTCGCCGGGAAGCGCGATCTCGCCGAAAGGAATGGCGTCGTCGTCGTCGCCGCCCCTCGGATCGGCGAAGGCGCGCTCTGGCGACAGTCGCGCTGCGAGGTAATCAACGTGAAACCATCGCGCGTCTGCGAGTTCGCCGTCGATCATCTTCGGTTCTGGCGGCATTTTCAACGGCCCTAGACGTTCCGGCGCGACATCGGCGCGAAATCCCATCATCAACTGGTTCGGAAACGGCCACGGTTGACTCGCGATGTACTCCACCGACGACGCGTCGACGACGATGGATGCCTCCTCCAGCGCCTCGCGCGCGACGCACGCCTCCAAACTCTCGCTCCCCTCGACGAACCCCGCGAGTAAAGAGTAAAAGTTCTTGGGCCATTTCGCATTTCGTCCGAGCAAAACGTAATTACCGCAGGTGATCAGCGCCAAACAGCACGGCATCAACTCGGGATACGCGCTCCGCCCGCACTCGCGACACGTCGCCTTACTCCCACCCTTTACGATTTTCGGCCTCGCCGCGCCGCAATTTCGACAAAACTTTTGTCTCCCGCCCCATCCAATCAGCGCCGCGCCGTTCGCGACGATCGCCGCGTCGATCTCGTCCTCGAAACTCGCCGTCGCTCGCTTGACGTTTTTCATCGCGAACCTCGTCCCCGCCGGCGCCGCCGCCTCGAACGCCGCTCGCATCGCGCGCTCTCCCGCCTCCCCCCCCCGAAGCACCATCGCGAACACCCCTCGTTTTCCCCGTCTCAGGTCTCTCCCGACGTACACCGCGCTCGCCGCGTCGTCGAAATCCGCCCTCGCGTCCCCGTCCCGCAGCGTCGCCGTCGGCGCGTACGCCGCCTCCCACCCCTCACCGTCCCTCGACGCGCACAGCACCTCGCTCCCGCTCGCCGAGCACGCGAACGCGACCGACCCACGCTCGCGCGCGATCGCGTCGCCCCTCCCGGCGCGTCCCGCGGCGTCGCCGTCGACGCGCGCGTGGCCGTCGTACCGCAGCGTCGTGCGCTCGACCGCCGTTCGCGGATTTTCCCGCGCCCGCGCTCTCGATCGCGCGCCCGCGTTCGACGCCGCGCGCGTCGCACCGCGTCGCACCGCGCGCGCTCGCGCCGCGCTCGCGCCGCGCATCGCGCGCGCGTGTGCGGATTCAAACCGCGTCCCGGTCGTCGTCCCGGTCGTCGCTGAATCGCGTCGTCACCGCGCGACGCCGCGCGCGCGATCGCCATACGCGATGCGACGCGATGCGAACGATCGCGGCGCGCCGCCGACGCCGCTCGACGTGCCGCCGCGCGCGACGGAGACGATCCTGTCCGTCGCCGCGCGATGCATCCTGAGCGGCAGCGACGGCGTCACCGCGCGCGAGGTCGCGGACGCGCTGACGAAGATGACGTGCGAGCGCGCGCGGAAGTCGCTGATGGAGGGCGACGTCGATCACGCGCGCGAGCGGAGCGCGTACGAGGCGATGCGAGCGGCGGCGGGGAGGGACGGGAACGGGGGGTGGACGACGAGGACGAGCGCGAGCGGGACGAAGCGGACGGACGCGGAGGACGCGTTGGGGGCGACGGCGACGCGAGAGGAGATGCGAGAGACGATATTTGATTTCCCTGGGCGCGAGTACAGGCCGCCGAGGTCGTGGTTGGGGACGGGGGGGGAGGCGCGGAAGGGGAAGGAACGGCGGCGACGCGCGCCGCACGCGAGCGTGCGGGAGGTGCTGCGGATGTGTCGGGAGACGCAGGGCGCGGACGAGGCGCCGAGGGAGAAGGTGTTCGGGGAAGCGGCGGCGTCGCCGGAAAAGCGACGGGCGCCGCGGACGGCGAATCCGTTGGCGGAGTTGGCGGAGAAGGAGAGGGCGCGCGCGGAGGCCAAGGCGAAGTCAACCGCCGAGGGCGCGGGCGGCAAGACGGCGGCGGCGACGACGGTGGTGAAGAAGAGACGAAAGGATTTAGCGAACGAAAAGGCTGGGAATCACTTGGCGCTCGTGAGTTGGATCGGCGAAGGGAAGAAGGATGGCGTCAGGCGCGATAGAACGTTTTACGAAGGCTTCCGTCGCGAGGGCGTCGAGTTCAGAAACGGCGACTGCGTCTACTGCCTCCCCGAGCGCACGACGGAGAACATGTACTTGGCTCAAATCCAGCGATGCTTCGAGGACGACGATAAATCGATGATGATCGAGTGCTGTTGGTTCATGACGCAAGACGAGGTGCGCGCGTGGGGCGGCGACCTTCCGCCGTCGACCGAGCCCGAAGAAATCTTCCTCGGCACCTCCGTGGACGTCAACCCGATCGCCGCGCTCGAGGGTTTGGCTCCGGTTATGACCCACGACGCTTTCACCGCGCCCGCGCCCGCGCCCGCGTCCGCGTCCGCGCGCGCGTCCTCCGACGACCTCGAGCGTCGTCTCTTCGCTCGCAAGTGTTACGTCCCCGTGCGCGGTTACGACGCCAAGAGCAAGAATCCCGCCCAGCGCAAATCCGGCGCGTTCCACCCGCTCGATCACGTCCCGGGTCGCGGTTTCGTCGTTCTCTGGCCCTCTTCCAAGAAGAAGAAGCGCAAGCGTTAGCAGAATTGTGTAATCGAATCGTCGCTCGTCGGCGTCGGCGTCGGCTTCCCGCCAAAACTCGAGTTCAAACCACCCGCGATCGTCACACCGCGACGCCATGGGTACCGCGCGCGCGACGCACCCGCGGTTCACCGCGATCGGTCCGGGTGAACATCACCTCGCGGTCTGCGGCGCGCTGCCGAGCGTCGACGCCTCGCACGTCGCGCTCGCGGCGTCCGACGACGTCGAACGCGATGGCGAGCGATGGTCGACGGATGCGACGCTCGAAGGCGACGATGAGGGCTCCGTGGCGCTCGCGCGAGCGATCGGCGCGCTGCTGGAGACGTGTGATGTGTCGTACCTGTGCGTCGAGCGAAGCGAGGCGCGCGCGATGACGGAAGGGGGACGGATGCGATTGGCGAGGCGAGGCGAGCGAGCGAGCGAGCGAGCGAGCGACTGACGGACGGACGACGCGCGAAACGACGATGCGATAGGTCGACGACGCTGATGCGAGCGAAACGAAAATATGCGAAAACAGACGCGGTGCACTGCCCGATGACGGCGAAGATCGTGGAGGCGATGGGAGACGAGGCGTGCGTGACGGTTCGAGCGAACGCGACGCTGCCCGCGGCGGCGACGAACGCGTCGACGGGGATGATTCAGGGTAGCGCGGACGCGATGGAGGATGGAGAGGATGACGTCGGGCGATCGAGGGGTAAAGAAGTCGCGCGTGCGATCGCGGCGCCGCAGAGTGTCATGACGACGACGGAGTTGGTGACGTCGATAGACGGCGAGGCGCTGGTGGCAGACTTTGTGCGCGCGGCGGAAGATTTGTGCGACAGGATTGAATTGGATGATGAAGACGCGAGCGCTGGCGACGACATGGACGACGCATCTGGCGCCGTGATGCTGAGCGAACTTCGCGACTTTAGCTCGAGATGTGAATTGTTGCGAGAACGCGGGTTGTTGAAGGGCGTCGGGAAACGAGATTTAGTCAAGACGCTGTCAATGTTGGAGCGAGTCGCAAAGAGCGCGAACGAAACGTTGATCGCCGCGAACGCGCAGTACAGAGGTGCCGACGCACAGCGTGTGTTGAAATCGTTGGAAGCTATCGGGGCGTACTTTGTCATATTGGCGGCGACGGACATGCCGAAGGAGATTTATCGCGAGGAAGGCATCGACGAGATGATCGAGTGCGCGAGGCAACACTTGGTGCGGAATGTCTTCGTCTTTTACGATGCCGGCATGTGGAACGTTCATCGCGGCAGTGACGAAGACGGAGATGACGTCGAGCAAGATGGGAAAAAGAAGACACCGGCCAGCAAGAGTAAGGGCGTCTCGGCGCCGCCGCCGCCCTCATCGTCGAAGAAATCAGGCAGCGGGGGATACAAGGTAGCAAAAATGTTGGGGGCGAAAATAGGCGTCATTTTCACGCACTTGGCCAATTTGATTTCCCTCCTCGCACTTCCAGATGCGACGGTACTGCAGCTGACGTCTTTGGCGTTCTCGGCGTTCGAAATTGAGGACGTGAGCTTTGTGCAACTCAAGTCCGTCGAACTCGTGTCGAGCATTTTTACGCAATACTCTGAGCACAGAGGCTTCGTCGTGGACAATATTCTGTCGTCTCTCATGAAACTTCCGACTGAGGGGCGTAGCGTGCGATGTTTTAACGTCCCAGGCGAAGACTCAGTGCAAATCCAAGTCTTGCTCGCTCTGTTGATGCAGTGTTTCCAAGCCACGGTGGAATTTTCCGACGACGAAGCGACAATGCCCAAGGCGGATAAAGAAGGTGAAATGACGACAGACGTGCACGCGCGTGCGTTTGGATCGGCGTTTTACTGGACGAACTACTTTTGGAAAGATTTGCTGACGAGGTGGCCGAAGGTGAAAGCGGCGGAACACGAGCGTCAGATACGCGCGGTGATCCACAACGCTCTCGTGGACGCGCTCACATGCAGAAACCTTCCCGAATGGCCCGTGGCAAACTTGCTTGTGCTCAATCTCGCCGGGAACCTGCTCGGGTCTGCCGGTCTGCAGTGCAAAGACTCCAAGATTCGCGAGATTGCGCTCGATTTCCTTGGTCAAATCGCATCAAAACTTCGCGCTGACTCGAAAGCAGTAGAGGAGGATGCGTTCTGGCGCGAGTTGCCACGCGCGGAGGATTTAGAATTTACGTCAAACGCCGAGACGCTGCACGAAAAAGCGGTCATGTTTGCTCATCAAGACGCAGCGCGCGTTCGAACTCGAGTCGACGCGCAAACGGAAAGTGCGTTGGTGCAGGCCGACGAGGCGAGTGCGGATATTTTTGCGATGGAATCGATTATCGCGCGCTATTTGGCAGAGAACAATCGAGGCCCGTCTTCAACGACGTTTACTCGCGACGACGACGCGGATGAAGACGACGAAAATGGCGCAGCACCGCGTGAAGGCGCGAGGATGTCGGACGATACGGCGTCTCATTCGCGTGTGACGCTCAACACTTCCGCAGTATCGTACCATTTGTGTCAGTTTGCGCGGGACGCTGAGCGCGCGGGCGTCGGTTTTCGTCAAGAAGTCGTCGCTGGCGGTTCGCGGGCGATGTACGCAGCTCTGCACGCTAGCATGGTGCGAGTCGCGGACACTGCGAAAAAGGCTACAAATGGCTCGCTGGCTGGACTTCCGCGCGAGCTCGCCAAGTCTTTGTGTCTTCAACTCAACGCTCGACGACCGTTGGCAAGACAGCTCGACGTGCTCGTGCAGCGCGTGACGGCTATGCTCGATGACGCGAGCGTCTTGGTGCGCACATCAGCGACAAGAGCAATCGGTGGTATCGTGAACGAAGACCCGAAACTGTTAGAGTCTCCGGATATCGTTCGCGCGCTGAAAATCCGATTGAAAGATACGGGATCGTCCGTGCGAGCCGCCGTGGTGGATGTCATCGGCAGACAGATGGTGCGAAACGTCAGTCTTGCCGAAAAGTACTACGACTTGATTGAAGACCGCGTATCCGACGTCGGTGTATCTGTGCGCAAGCGCGTGGTTTCCACCCTGCAAGAATGCCTGCGTAATCCTGACTTTACTAAAGCGGATAAGGCGATGCAAGTGTTGGCGTTTCGCATACTGGATGAAGAAGAAACGATCCGTTCGCACGTTGTGAAGATTTTTCGCGAGCTTTGGTTTTCACCGGTTGCATTGGAAGACGAAGCCGACGATGAACACGATGACGACGAAGATGATGGGGACGGAAACAATGGCAGTGATGACGAAGACGCATCTACGGCGCACTTAGCCACCGTTGGGCATGATGGTATCGAGGATAATGATCCAATCGCGATTCGCGCGCGGCAAATGGTCTCCGTCGCTTGGGGCGTCTACCGACTCGTTTCCCGAAGCGGCAAACAAAAGCTTCCTTTACTTCCCACGTTTCCGGTCGTTGCGATCATCAGCGCGGTGCTGTATCCGAGCGAAGACGAGAAGGTTGATGCATGGGTCAATGTTCGCGGTATGCGAAAGGTAGCGAAGCGTTTATCGGTGCAGGTGTTGCACGCGCTCATCGAGAGCGAATCCGACGAGCAAAGTCGCGCGCCAAACGGTGAACGAGTCAAATCGAACGGAGCACACAATGGCGTGGTCGTGAAAGACGAGCCGGGCACGTCGAAGTCGGTGCCGATGAGCGTCAAGTACGCACTCGGTCTCCACATTCTGACCGTCGTCGATCCGTGTCTCTGCCTTCCGAAACGCGACCCATCGTATTTCGCCGTGGCGCTCCAGCCGTATCTGAAGCGGGTCGACGACGACGCGCCTTTCGTCGGTGAGAAGCTCCAGTGCTGCATGTCCGTCGTGCATATTGTTGCGAAACACGCTGGTCGTCTTCCAGCGCCGATTGCGAAAGAGATCGAACGAGACTTGCGCATCCTCTTACTCCGCCATCACGACAAAGCTGTCATTTATTACGCGTGTAAGACGTTGTGCGCCGTGGCGGAGACTCGCGGCGGTAAGGATAGTGGAACGATGTCTATGCTGAAACGATTCGTTGCCATCGTCATCGAATCCATATCTAGTGATGAAGCGTTGAGCGTTCAGAACAAATCGCACTGCGCGCGTTCGCTGTACGTATTGGGTAATATTGCGCGATTTGGAGCCGACGTCGTGGACGCGGCCGTCGAAAATGGTGAATGCGATATCTCGATTCAGGATCTTCTTCGAGTCTTCCGCAAGACCCTGGAGTCTCAGCCTGCAGAAGAGTACGATCTCACTCGTGGAGCGCTCGGGGCGTGCGGAGACTTGTTCGTCGCTCGACCAGAACTCATGTTTAATCGCGACGGCGGTTTCGGCAAAGGAAGCTTTGATTCCATCATGCGAGCCGCGTTGGCATCCAGCGCCGAGCGTGGCTTGAAGGAGCAGGCGCTGACGAATCTCAGCGAGCTCATTCGAGAGGAAGAATTTCGTATGACTGCGACGAGTGGATCGGCGGCGGCCAATGAAGTCAACGCTTCCACTAAGGCTTCGGTGCTCAAGTCGGCGCAAAAGCGCTCGCGAGACGCGGAAAAATTGCAAGTCGTCAACGGCCAGAGTGATCGTTCTATCGCCGGCGGTATCGCGCAACGATATTGGACAGATGTTTTAGCGCTTTGCGTCGACTCCGCGTACAGCGTGCGGTTGAAAGGCTTGCATTTAGTCGAGGTGGTCCTTCGTCAAGGCTTGGTTCACCCGGCAAGCGCGTTCCCCACGCTCATCGCGCTACAAATCGACCCAGTGCCGAGCGTTAAGCGTCTCGCGCGTAAGCTCCTGAAGGCGCAAGTTCAACGACACGGTGACTTTTTTGAGCATCAGCTCACTCACGGCGTCGAGCTTGCGTACTCTTTCAAGAAGCGTCTGGAAACGGCGGCTAGAAGAAGCGAAAGCGGGCAAAAGAAAATCGCCGACGCCTCGGACGGTTTCGCGTTTGTCTACAGCTTGGTGAACTCGTCTAGAACGTCCCGAAACGCGTTCTTGAACACTCTTTTGCGTCGGTTTGAAACCACGAGCGGATCGTCCGATGCGCTATTCTTGCGATTCCTAGCGAGCGTCGTCACCGAGCTTCCGTTCACATCAGTGGATGAGACTCTCTACGTCGTCTTTCAGCTCAATCGCGTCATATCGCTCAAGGGCGGCTTGTTGCTCGAACAGCTCACGAAGGGCGTGGAAGCGTCGGCGGCCAAGGCGGACGATGCGGTGCCAGATAACGAATTCAAGAGCGACGTCGAACTCGCGTGTGCGCTGAGCGTCGTTTTGTTGCTCAAATCTCACGTCAAGAAGGCGTACGAGTTGTCCGACGCTCGCGTGGCGTCGTACGTCCCCACGGAGGCGACGAGAAACGCAGAAGTCGTGAAATTCGACGATACCGTGAAATTTGAGACCGGTATTGTCGACGCAACCGCTGGACAATCCTACGGCTCGGCTCGGCGCGCGGTCGACACGTTCCGCGATCTCATGACTCGCGACGCGAGCGATTTCGCCGAAGACATGTTCAAAGAAACGGCGACGAAGCGAGGCCGGAAGCGCGCGACGAAGACGCAGGCCGACGCCGACGCCGACGCCGAGGCGACTCCGGGGACTCCAGCGAGCCGACGTCGACGTCGCGCAGCCGTCGTGGTGGACGACGACGACGACGAAGAGGAAGACGAAGACGACGACCAGGACGAAAACGACGAAGACGCCTCGCTGCCGGGCTTGCGCTCCGCGGGCGTGACGACGTCGAAAAAGCGCGCCGTCAACTCCGCGCAAAAGGCGGCGAAACCGGCGTCGAAGAAACGATTAAAATTTTAGGACGCGCGCGCGCCTCGAGCGAGGCGACGAACGAAGAAACGATACGATTAGCGAAACGTGAATAGCCACCGGTACGATTTATCGATTACACGCGTCCCGTTCACCGCGCCGACGCCGACCCTCTCTCCCGCGTCGACGCCGCGACGTAACACGCTCGACACACGGGCGCGTACTTATCCCTCCCTCCCACGCGCACCACGTCCTCGCTCGCCTCGACGCGTCGACTGAATAAACTCTCGTCTCCGCACTCCGCGCACGTCCCTCTCAATCGCGTCACCGTGTCGCACAGCGGAATCAAATCCAACACCCCCCCGAACCTCTCCCGCCTGTAATCCCCGTCCAACCCGCACACGTACACCGTCTGTCCCAGCTCCTCCGCGCACCGTCGCGCGAACGGCGCCAAGTCTCCCATGAATTGCGCCTCGTCCACCGCGACGACGTCCGCCGCGTCGCACGCCGCCGCGTCCGCGCCCAGTCCCGCCGCGTCCAGCGTCCGCACCGCGCGCACCCTTCCGCCGTCGTCGCTCGCGTCGAACCGCACGCGCTTCCCGTCGTGCGCGATCAGCGCGTCGCGCGCGTCCTCGCCGAACCGCTCGACGTCGAGCTCGGATTTGATCACGAACACCGTCCGTCCGCGCGCGCGCTCGCGCTCGACGCATCGCATCAGGTGCGTCGTCTTGCCCGCGAACATCGGTCCGCAGATGACGTGCACGCGCCCGCGCGCGCGCGCGCGCCGCGCGTCGTCCGCGTCGCGCGCGCGCGCGGACGACGACGCGGACGACGACGACGACGCGCGCGCGACGGCGCCGCGTCCGCGCGCGCGCGCGCGCGACGGCGTCGCCGTCGTCGTCGTCGTCGCGGTCGCGGTCGAGGTCGACATCGATCGGCGTCGCGGACGGCGCGGACGGCGCGGGCGCGCGCGCGCGCGCGCGGACGCGGGCGCGCGCGGGGTCGCGCGGCGGTGTCGCGCGGTCGTAAATGTGCGCATTGTGGGCGTTTTGAGCCCATGTACAGAGGCGTGAAAATTTAGACTCGACGCGCGGCGGAGGGGCGCCGCGGCGTCGCGTCGAGCGGCGCAGTTCGCGGTGTGAAAACGCTATACGCATCGCCACTGGACTGAATCGTAGACACAAAGACTGTGCGCATCATGGTACGATAATAAGTAAGCACAAACGCACTGCCTTGACAAGTTTGAATAGGAGCCACTGAGCAGCAGGAAGAGAGTTGGCTTCGAGGAGTATCCCGCCAGCAAACTGGCGAGGACTTCTATGCATGCCTACTATGGTATAGAAAATTCTGCAAATTTGTGGACTGACAAATTTTCTCCGAGAGTACTCGCAGACTTGGTCGGAAATAGTAGCGCCATCGCTACTCTCCGAACTTGGCTCTCAAACTGGCCAGGGAATCAAGCCACAGGAAAAGCTTCAAAAGTGTCGACCCGAAAAGCAATACTCATAAGTGGAGCGCCTGGAATTGGCAAGACCACGAGTGCCATCCTTATTTGCCGAGAACTTGGATTTCAAACGATGAACGTAAACGCAAGCGATTCAAGAGGTAAGACTGGAGCAGTAAGTGATGGGATAGCGGGAACATTGGCGAGTACTGTTCGAGAGTTTGTAACTAATCGTAACATCGGTATTGATGGTTTGCGATCAACAAAGACTGCACTGATCATGGATGAAGTAGATGGTATGGCTGGTGGCGATCGGGGTGGTATCTCGGAGTTGATAGAAGTCATCAAACACACGCGCATTCCCATCATATGCATCTGCAACGACCGATATTCACAAAAACTAAAGACTCTTGCAAACTATTGTGTCGATTTACCTTTCCAACGGCCAAATAAGCTCCAGCTCCGAAAGTACTTGAATCAAATTGTAGCCTCACAACGCTTGGATGTTGATAGCGACGCAGTTGATGCTCTCATAGAAGCAAACAACAATGACCTTCGATCCAGTATCAACCAGCTACAACTATGGGGCATGAGCTCGAAGCATCACGGAAGGAATGAAATTTCGAAAAAAGATGTCGCCACAAGTGTTTTTCAAGCAATAGATGTTCTTTTTCGTCCAAGCCCATTAAAAACACTCGATGAGAGGCTTAATCTGGTTTTCCAGCACTCAGACATGATCCCTCTGTTCGTTCAAGAAAACTATGCGTGTATGCGCCCGCGAGACAGTACAAACGAGTTGCAAAGAATTGTGCACGTTGCTGCGGCATCGTCACGTGTAGCAGAAGGAGATGTGTTTGCGACGACAATAAACAAGACACAAAACTGGACCATGATGCCTCCTGCGAACATAGTTTCATGTGTCCTGCCAACCTCTGCCGTCAGAGGCTCAAGAGAAACATTTGGTCAGGCTGAACGCCACACTCATCGATTCCCAAGTCTCTTGGGGAAGTTGTCGTCAAAGTCAAAATCGCAGCGGCTGTTATCAGAGTTGTATCAACATTTTCGATCAAGTGGTAGGAGCTGCAGCACTCAACTTGAGTTTTGCCTCTGGTACGCTTCTTTGACAAAACGGTTGCTCACTCGTCCGCTTTTTAGTCAAGCTCGAGGGGGTAAAGAACTAGATGGTATACCAGACGTCCTGAATTTGATGCAAACCTACAACTTTACGCGCGGCGACTGGGCGAATATTCAAGAGATAACGGGGCTCTCTGGCAAGGGGCCTACCTTTGAGAATCCGAATACGCAAATACCTACGAACGTGAAATCGACTTTTACACGAAGCTGCAAGCGTGAACTTCAATTTAGTGATTAGAACGACGGCAGAGCTAGTTTGTACAATGAAAATTGCAATATTACAGGAGACTTAAGGCCAGATTGGATATCCTTTCCTGTTCACAGAGAAGTTGTCTCCATACGATTTAGGGCGATGTACGCCTCGAACTCCCGGTAAGATCGCAGTATGAGAATAAGTATTAGAACTCGGTGTCGTGCGGACAAATTCTGCACGAACAAATTCTGCACGACCCGAACGTCCCGACGGGCAGCGTCACTCGTTTAATGCTCGACAACATGTCCGTGGAGGACATGACCGCCGCCGTGCGTCTCATCGACGGCAGAGTCGACACCGAGGCGTCGGGTAACGTCACCCTAGACACCGTCCACGCCATCGGCCAAACAGGCGTGACGTACATATCCAGCGGTGCGCTCACGCACAGCGTCACCGCGTTAGATATTTCGCTCAACATTGATGTGTTCGGCGATGCGGGACGCGAAGGCGTCGCTGCGTGACTTTTCGAGCGACGATTTCGATCGCGTGCGGTGGATTAACGAGCAAACGATGACGATATGCGGGGACATTCACGGGCAGTTTTACGATTTGTTGGAACTGTTTAAAGTCGGCGGCGACTGCCCGGATACAAACTATTTGTTCATGGGGGACTTCGTCGATCGCGGGTTTTACAGCGTGGAGACGTTTTTGTTGCTCCTGGCGCTGAAGGTGAGGTACCCGGATCGAATGTATCTCATTCGGGGGAATCACGAGTGTCGACAGATCACGCAGGTGTACGGGTTTTACGACGAGTGTTTGCGCAAATACGGGAGCGTCAACGTGTGGCGATATTGCACGGATGTGTTCGATTACCTTTCGTTGTCTGCGCTCATAGATAACAAGATATTTTGCGTGCACGGGGGGTTGTCCCCGAGCATCACGACGATCGATCAGATTCGAACGATCGATCGTAAACAAGAGGTGCCGCACGAAGGCGCGATGTGCGATTTGCTTTGGAGCGACCCCGAGGACGTCTCCGGCTGGGGGCTTTCCCCTCGAGGGGCGGGGTATTTGTTCGGCGACGACGTGTGCACGTCGTTGAACGTAAACGCAAGCGATTCAAGAGGTAAGACTGGAGCAGTAAGTGATGGGATAGCGGGAACATTGGCGAGTACTGTTCGAGAGTTTGTAACTAATCGTAACATCGGTATTGATGGTTTGCGATCAACAAAGACTGCACTGATCATGGATGAAGTAGATGGTATGGCTGGTGGCGATCGGGGTGGTATCTCGGAGTTGATAGAAGTCATCAAACACACGCGCATTCCCATCATATGCATCTGCAACGACCGATATTCACAAAAACTAAAGACTCTTGCAAACTATTGTGTCGATTTACCTTTCCAACGGCCAAATAAGCTCCAGCTCCGAAAGTACTTGAATCAAATTGTAGCCTCACAACGCTTGGATGTTGATAGCGACGCAGTTGATGCTCTCATAGAAGCAAACAACAATGACCTTCGATCCAGTATCAACCAGCTACAACTATGGGGCATGAGCTCGAAGCATCACGGAAGGAATGAAATTTCGAAAAAAGATGTCGCCACAAGTGTTTTTCAAGCAATAGATGTTCTTTTTCGTCCAAGCCCATTAAAAACACTCGATGAGAGGCTTAATCTGGTTTTCCAGCACTCAGACATGATCCCTCTGTTCGTTCAAGAAAACTATGCGTGTATGCGCCCGCGAGACAGTACAAACGAGTTGCAAAGAATTGTGCACGTTGCTGCGGCATCGTCACGTGTAGCAGAAGGAGATGTGTTTGCGACGACAATAAACAAGACACAAAACTGGACCATGATGCCTCCTGCGAACATAGTTTCATGTGTCCTGCCAACCTCTGCCGTCAGAGGCTCAAGAGAAACATTTGGTCAGGCTGAACGCCACACTCATCGATTCCCAAGTCTCTTGGGGAAGTTGTCGTCAAAGTCAAAATCGCAGCGGCTGTTATCAGAGTTGTATCAACATTTTCGATCAAGTGGTAGGAGCTGCAGCACTCAACTTGAGTTTTGCCTCTGGTACGCTTCTTTGACAAAACGGTTGCTCACTCGTCCGCTTTTTAGTCAAGCTCGAGGGGGTAAAGAACTAGATGGTATACCAGACGTCCTGAATTTGATGCAAACCTACAACTTTACGCGCGGCGACTGGGCGAATATTCAAGAGATAACGGGGCTCTCTGGCAAGGGGCCTACCTTTGAGAATCCGAATACGCAAATACCTACGAACGTGAAATCGACTTTTACACGAAGCTGCAAGCGTGAACTTCAATTTAGTGATTAGAACGACGGCAGAGCTAGTTTGTACAATGAAAATTGCAATATTACAGGAGACTTAAGGCCAGATTGGATATCCTTTCCTGTTCACAGAGAAGTTGTCTCCATACGATTTAGGGCGATGTACGCCTCGAACTCCCGGTAAGATCGCAGTATGAGAATAAGTATTAGAACTCGGTGTCGTGCGGACAAATTCTGCTTCGTACGTGCTATCGCGCAAAGTACTAACGTCGGTAACACGTCCCGGTAGAGAACTCAGCTTGGTGGACGGTCCGCTTATCCAGCCATTTAATGCGTTTGACCACTTTGCTATGGGCGAGCAGCGGTGCCAATTCGACTTTGCACGTTCGTTTGAAGCCTTGCATACACTAACCGCATCGAGCGGATGAGTCTACGTCGAAGACTTGAGAATTATCAGAGAGTGAAGGGAATACGTACGAAATAAGAGCGGCCCGTACTAGCTGTAGCTTCGATGAGTCGACAGATACTTTTGAAATTGGCCGACAACCGCGAGTTCATCGAGCCTACACAGTTTAGCTGCATATCTCTCAGTGCCACTTGCGCTTCAACCGCGGCTGGGTGCGACTTGGGCGGAGTGAAAGCACGGCGAGTTACTTTCGTGTTTACAGATAGCTCGGTAGTCATCATCAAATCACAGGGGAAACCAATTCTTTTTTACGTAACGCGGTATGTTTTTCACAATGAACAATCCAACTCGAGCGTTTTGAGTTTCCGCTATCCTGTGGGTTAAATCTAGTATGAAAACCGAAAAAATGGAGCCGCGCGCCAACGTCGGCCGAACAAACCCTCAGTGTGAAGCTTTCACGTCCGCCGCAATTGAACGCTTCGAGTTCGGACCGGAACGTCGGGCAGTGTGATCTTGAGGTACGCCCATCGATCGGTGTGTTTGCAGAGTGCCGCAAACGCGCGTCGCGTCATCCGCTGAGGATCACTATTTCCTTATCTATTTCACTTCGTCAACGTTATCTCCATACGTGCGGTGCGCCAGGCACCAAAGCCGACGCAAATTGCGGACTATCGTTCCTCCGCGATGATGTGTGCACATGCACACGATTACTGACTCTAGAAATGCGCCCATTCGCAATCGCAGGCAACTTCTCCTACCACAAAGAAATCTCAAGCGGCATATAATTGACGGCGATGAACTCTTTGGCAAGTAGGCAACCAACGCACAATATCTTACGCGCGACCCCTAGATCATCATGTCGGAGATCAAAATGTCGTTCCGCCGTTATTGCGATGGCACGTGAGACTGATCCGAAGAAAAGAGTCGTGATTACGGGAATGGGGTTATGTTCTGTGTTTGGTAACGACTACACCGCATACTACGATAAGCTTCTTTCTGGACAAAGTGGCGTTGCGCCGATCGATCGATTCGATACGAGTGACTTTCCAACGAAATTCGCTGCACAAATTCGCAATTTCGACAGCGAGGGTTACATCGACAAGAAAAACGATAGACGACTTGACGACTGTCTTCGTTATGCTCTCGTGTCTGGTAACAAAGCTTTGGAAGATGCAGGTCTGGATGCTGCCGCACTCGAAAACCTCGATAAACAACGCGTCGGTGTTCTCGTTGGCAGCGGTATGGGTGGCCTCACTGTTTTCCAGGATGGTGTGAAAGCACTCGTGGAGAAGGGGCCGAAGAAGATAACTCCATTTTTCATTCCTTATGCCATCACAAACATGGGCGGTGCAATGCTTGCTATTGAAAAAGGTTTTATGGGACCGAATTATTCTATCTCGACCGCCTGCGCAACGGCAAATTACGCCTTTCACGCGGCAGCCAATCACATCAGGAACGGCGACGCAGAAATCATGATCGCCGGTGGCTCTGAAGCACCCATCATTCCTGTTGGTCTGGGTGGTTTCGTCGCTTGTCGAGCTCTCAGCCAAAATAATGATGATCCGGAGGGGGCCTCTCGACCCTGGGACAAGTCTAGAGATGGATTCGTGATGGGTGAAGGTGCTGGTGTCCTCATCATGGAGACGTTGGAAAGCGCAAAGAAGCGTGGTGCTCGCATCCACGCAGAGTATCTTGGTGGAGCCATCACCTGTGACGCGCATCATATGACTGATCCACGAGCCGATGGTCTTGGAGTATCCACGTGCATAGAGCTTTCCATCAAGGATGCTGGTATCTCCGTGTCAGATATAAACTACATCAACGCACACGCCACCTCAACTCTTGTCGGCGACGTCGCAGAAGTCAACGCTGTTCGCAAGGTATTCAAAGACGTACAAAATGTCAAAATGAATGCAACCAAATCAATGATCGGACATTGTCTCGGTGCTGCAGGGGGGATGGAAGCCATCGCTTGTATCATGGCGATAAAGACTGGCATGCTGCATCCGACTCTGAACCAAAACGAACTGGAACCGATAGTTGAAGGGATCGATACGTGTGCAAACGAAAAGAAGGCGCACACGGTTACCGCCGCCATTAGTAATTCCTTTGGTTTCGGTGGCCACAATTCTTGCGTTATATTTGCACCCTTTGAAGACTAAGGTACTGAGGGTGACGGGGCAACGCGTTCTACAAAGTGCATTTTATGAACTACTTTTTTGAAGAAAAGTGCTCGGTCGCAGTCACGAAATCAAGATGGCCGTTGAATTATGCTAAACGACGATATAAACTTTCTCTCCAAAGCCAATCGCAGCCTAATGAAAGTAGTGCGCCTCGCGCACAAGAACTTGTAGAACTTGTTGAAAGTGAGAATTTCTTTAATTTCTTGGTTACATCCATACAATATTGCTTAGATCGCCATGCAAGCATCATGACGATATATCATATCATTCATCTCATAAAAAGGCGAGGGACCCTATCATCGTGTCGCGCTATCCGTGGAAACCCTGAAGCGCCACTCTACTTCGTCGTTACGCGAGCGCGCGCGACCGAGCGCTTGTCGACTCTCAAACAGCTGACAATGATTTCATTTCAGTCGGCTGCAACCATACCGCGACTTACGGGCGCAAAGGCAGCGCACACGGCGCGGAGTCAAACAGGGTCTAATCGCGCGCTTACGTTTTGCAGTTCCCTTGTTGGAACACGCGTCGTGGCGAAGCCGCGTGGTGAACCAGAGCGAAAACAGTTTTTTGTTGCGGCATCTAAAATGAAAACCCGCAAAGCTGCAGCGAAGCGATACAAAGTTACCGCAAGTGGCAAGGTACGCACCCGTTCGCGTTAGACCGTCCACAGTCATTCGTGCCACGGTTTAGTCTGCGTTTTCAGAGATGAAACGATCGCCACAAACGGATCGAAAATCGAAAATCGAAAATGCATCTACTTCATTCGTTTCGTGAGGGGAACTGAGGACTAACCCAGAATCTTCTCGCTTTGGAATTTCGTCTAGGTTTTGCACAGGAGACCAGGAAAAGCGCACTTGAACGGCCCTAAACCAACCACCAGAAAGGCACGGCTGAGTCACTTGCGGCAGGTTGGCACGTCGCAACTTTCGCTGGTAGCGGCTACCATGCCATACTCGAAAATTAAACGCGTGTGAACGTGACCATCACTTTGACATAGAGCAGTAGAACGATATAAGAACACTCCACCAACTTTCGACGTTACATGTCTTTCTTCAGACGTAATCGCGTAAGCCCTTCTCCAAAATGAATAATACTACGCGGGGCGATCAACATGCATATCAGCACTATTCCGCACTCTGATCTATCTTACAAGTATTAGCTGATTCTCAGGCGTTACCCAAACATTAGTATACTCCTCCAAGCTTACGTCGAAACCGCGCTCTTTGCACCATAGAACACGAGCTGTGTTGAGAATCAGCTTTACGTATCGCCCTACGCGTAGTTTATCATTGCTACTAAGGGTTCGGCACGCATCCATATCCTCAGTGTGAATCGCAAAATCAGAACTGAATCCGTGGGACGTGCAACCAGTAGACAGTGTGGTTGCCCAGCTCGTCATACGTATGAGATAGCCAAAATCCGTCTCGCTGAAGCCGAGTGTTTCAAGAAACGGTGTATTGACGAAAGAAGACCATTTACAAGCGTGGTGACAACATGGAGCAATTGCCAATCCTCTGAACGTGACTGTACTATCTTTCAGATAAGATAATGCACACTTTAAAGCGAAATCAGTAGCTTCACCGCACAAGTGTTTACCCACGATGGTCACTTCCGATTTATTCAATAGAGAGACTTTATACAAATCCAGATCCTTGATGTCAATGAGCAAACGCCTCAGCTCACTTTGATGACGAAGGAATCTATCCGCCTTGAAGCGATGTGAACGACGGTCGACAAGTAATAGCTTTGAGAACGGCCATGTTTTCATGATCTCTGCTGAAAGATACGCACGTCCGGAGCAAAGCTCAACAAGTGCACTATTAGTACTAAGATCAAAGACGTCTCGAACTTTTTGCACGGCCTCTGCTATGGCGACACGCTGTAGCGCTTCCGATTCACTTGTCCGCTGTGGGACGTGTACACTATGCATGGTCTTGCCGTCATCGTGTGAGCTGCTCGAACGTCTACTCAAGTAAGACGAGCATTTTGGTTCGGCTTGACTAATTTTATCGAGCAGAAGAGCGAGTTGCGTGCCTGAGAGTTCGCGCAAGCTTACTGTTTTGTCTACCACCGTCTCTTTGGCACTGTTGATATCTTTCCAAAAGTAAATCTCATTTGTAATCTGCTGTTCTTTCAAGCGAACGGGGCACTTTCTTAAATGAGCGTCTACCCTATCACTAGCAATTTTTGTTTTGCACTTTGGACAGAAAGCAAAAATATACTCCGACTGTTCTGTGGGTAGGTGGTGAACGCAGAACGAATGCCCAGCTTTTGCCATCAATCCACAAAACCTTTGCTTGGAAGAGATAAAGCGTGCGCAATATGGATGTCTATAGATTGTTCCATTTTCTACAGCGTTGGAGCCAAGTTGCTCCCTTTCTCCGCAAACCGACATGGCGCTTTCACAACACAGCTGGACACATATGACTGAACAAGATGTGTACAGGATATCAGCTTACGTCACACAATCTGCGAGACGACGGGAGGTTCTATGCGAAGACATCGACGCAGCGTGCACAAAACTTTGACGTTCCTCTCGCCCCAAAGCGACCTCGGCAACTGCGTTTAGTACACATTTGCCGAGGTCGCTCGCAACGCAAGTTCGATGATCGCACGCAAATTAAATTATCATGCACTTAATGCGACGCGTTTACTACATGTAAAAAACTGCAGCCGACCGAGGTGTTAAATCAACTGCATGAAAAACTGTTCAGTAACTGAACTTCAGTACAGTTGAAATTTAAACACAAAGATGACGCGAGCAGTGCGAACGGCAGTGTAACCTGGTACCAAGTGCGGACGCAAACTGTTGAAGCAACCGCAAGTTTAACAGACGGCGTCGGCCACATGCGCTGATCGATGGAGTACAAGTGTGCGCGCGTACTGACCATGAGCTGTGAAGGCATAACGTCACTGAAGATATCGAACGACGGTAAAAGGTAGGCAAATCCCTCAATACTCCGATGTAATAGATTATGATTTAATTGGCCCAGGGTAGTACTAGGTTTGGTGAACGGCAGTTGCAGCATTCGATGTATAGGCACGGGTGAGCGACTCGAGAATTTCAGGGGACACTTGAGAGCTATTGCTGACTGTTGCTGGTCCACTGATGATAAATTTGTAGTCACGTGTTCAGATGACGGTCTAGTCCTCTTATGGCAAGCCTCGGGGGCGACATGCTTACAAGCTTACAGAGGACATGTTTCTGCAGTGCTATGTTGTTGTATAAACGCGCTGAGTACGATAATTGCTAGTGGTTCGATTGATGAAACTATTCGACTTTGGAACGTTGCTTCTGGAGGATGTGTAGCTGTTATACCTGCTCACGCAGACCCCGTCACGGGCGTGCAATTCGCCAGAGATGGCTCATTTCTAGTAAGTTCCAGTTATGATGGCAGCTGCCGCTTGTGGGACGTCCATACGTGTGGTTGTATTCGTACACTGCGACGAAGTGGTCTATCACCCATCACACGTCTTGCATTTGCACCTACAAGTTCCTCTATCCTTCTGGGCACACTTGATAGAAGGCTACTTAGTAGTGTTTCTGTCTTCACATCAGATGTAGATGAGCTTGAGTATTTGGATACAACTTTACATTTCGCTGGGTGTGTGGGTTGTAGCGAAAATTGTGTGTTCACGGTGATTGGCTCACGAGCTGGTACGTGTAGTGCATGGGAGTCAGATGCGAATAAAAACAGCTTTAAAGAAATCAAACTAATGACGCGCGACAATCAAGAATCAGCTGAACTGTGCGAAACTTGTTTAGCGGACTGTACGGCGGATGGGATTAATATTGTCTTGTGTGATCAAAAGTCGATATTTTTGTATAAGAGGCGAGCTTGTCCGCAGTAGAGCTGAACTGCAATAGTGACTTTGAATGGTGGTCAAAAGTAGAAACTAGAACATACCAATATGATTATTATTAAAAACAGTCGCAGTACAGTGTGATTTGTACACTCGATCGGATCAAAAAAACTGCAAAACTGTCAGCAATTATTCGTCCAGCTTTCTCTTCTTCTCTTTCTTCTCTTTCTTCTCTTTCTTCTCTTTCTTCTCCTTTATCATCTCTTTTCCCGTATTTGCGCCGTCGGATGCAATAATCGACGCTCCTAATTTCTGTGATTTATCGGTGCTTGTTTGTTTCTTATTCTGCGCGTTGGGACCCAGACCCCAACGTCTTGGATAAGTGTCTCTTTCCATTACCACTCGCTTGACCTTAGCAACGCTGCCATGGTCGCAAGTCGCCATAACAGCAGTTGTCATTTCAGCTATGCCGATTGCGATAGCTTCGCCCTTCGTTGTCATCAGAACGCACTCATCCCCAACCTCGATGCCAGCTTCATATCTTAATAAACCAGGAATCATGAGCTTGGCACCGTAACAAATTGCATTTATGGCGGAGTCCTTCACAACAACCCGCTTGTAGTTCGTCAACAAAACCTCGAGCGGCATAACAACGCGTCTAATGTAATGATCATCTTTCAAGTTGTCACACACCCACATAGCATCTAGCACGTCGTGCATGGTCGCGAGGTTCTTTGACTCTGAGCAGATTCCAGAGCGAACTCGGCGTAACTCTTGCATGTGACCACCAACTCCCAATAGTAATCCAAGATGCACACATAAAGTACGAACGTAAGTGCCTGCTTCACATGATACCCAGAAAACAACAAGATTCCTGGCCTCATCAAACTCATGAAGTTTACTATCATAGATAGTTCGAATGCGCAACTGTCTTTTGACAGCTGAAATTAACGGTGGCCGTTGAAAAAGTGCGCCGGTAAGAGTTTCAATACCGCGTTCAACAGCACTCTTACCACCTGTCGGCGCTGAATGCAATCGACAAACGCACACGTACTCCTTGCCTGCACCCTGTTGAGACTTTACCAGGCGCGTGGCACGATCAATGCAGACAATGAGTGAACCAGTAACTTTTGGGTCGAGTGTACCACTATGTCCAGTTTTTTCAACCCTTAGGATGCGCTTCAACCATGCAACTACCTCATGCGAAGAAGGATTGGCGGGCTTGTCTAAATTGATGACCCCGTAACGTAGATACTCTGCCAGTGGTCGTCGCAGTGGAGAGCTTCCACACGGAATTGGAGTGTAGTGACCAGTTCGTACCTACAGATACCCTCTAAGAACACTTGCAAAGAACACGTAATATTGATACGTACCATCAACTTGTCATAATTCTTTAGCAGAAGCGGCCATGCAGACGTATCGAGCGTATGGTTGGCACTTTCGGGTTCGATTTTCAGGTCCTACTTAGCGTTCAATTGCCGAAAATTATAAATACGACTCAACGAACCTTTTCTGTTTGGCCCATGTAGTTGGATGCGCTCCTTACGTGGTTCGATCGATCGAAAGAATGTTTCGTTCCTTTCAATTCGACCCGGGTTGGACGGCCGAAAGCGTCTGTACGCGTGTGATGCGCCGCCATCAAGGGTGCAAAAAAAACAAGGGTAACCGCGTGTTTTGCTTCGAACACACTTGCGGAAGCGTATTTAATTCGGCGTTTGTCTTGTCAATACATGCTGCTGTTCAGACGCCGAATGTCACGTACATTCAGATGTTTTCCTCTATTCATTCATTCGAGTCAAACCCCTTAACCACTCGGGCACGTCCGCATTTGTTCAGTGCGCGGACGGCAGGATTCGAACCTGCGCAGGCAGAGCCTATTTGATTGCTGTGGGAGCGACAATAACTACCGTCGTAGCTGTGGAACATTGTAGCTATATGAACAACACGTAGTTGACTCGTCATAAGAAGTCGCGCGCCTGAACGCACGCGCTACGCCCTGCTTCGGCACTATCACGCTCGGTCGCAAACGAGTTTTTACGCAGCCGTTGTCGCTATTATTTCGTGGCGCACGCGCTCATCGAAGGAAGACGTAATTACAAGCGTGGTCAGAAACGTAAAACCTGTGCGACAAGCAAACTATTGGCGACTGAGTTCACGCAGAACGAAAACGAGAGTCACGAGTGCATCGTATGAAGTTTTCTAGCCGTCTGCATGTTGGAGGGCTTGCTCCAGATGTCACAGTGGACGAAATCAGTAGGCGTCTTGCACCTTTTGGGGACGTAGTTTCTGTGGACATCAAGCTCGACAAGTTCAGTACGGAGCCGCAGCAGTGTCGAGGATTTGCTTTTGTAGATTTGACTGTTTCACAAGAAAGTGAGATTGATCGTTGTATGTCGGTGCTCAATCATTGCAGATGGAAAGGTAGAAAGTTAGTTGTGTCGCGTGCAACACCGCACTACACTGAGAGCCAAAGACAGACAGATGCACAACGTGTAGAATAGTCGATGTTGACTCGAACGTCGACTGTTCTGCGTTCACCGAAAGTATAAATTTCGTGCTGGTTACTTGTACTAGTATTCGTATTACACGTGTGCAACAACTTACTACACTGGGCTCCGAATCAAGTTGTAGAAACTGTTCGGCAAACAAGGCTAGCTGCAGCACTTTGACTTGGGGTGCAGGCCATCTTCAGCTGCGGCAATTTGAATATTACGCCTATTTGACACTTCTTCGCCATCGGGCGGGCGAGCCTAACATGTATCAAGATTATTAAGCTGTATTGGATGTTGGGAATGGTGAGAAGACACACCTTCGAGACCACATCATACACCCTCCCGAGAGAATCAATGAACGCGTGCTCAACATTTGTTGCGTTAAGTGCAGAAGTTTCGATGAACATGAGGCCTAATTGTACGTAGTGGGCGGAACGATCATATGATGATAGAGGCGAGAATACCTTCTTTCTCTGCGAATTGTTGTGCGGTAGCCGCTTCGGTAACCCTTAAGTGCTCAAGATCGCATTTATTGCCGACAAGCATTATGACAATACTTGCATCCGCGTGATCACGCAACTCGCTCAGCCACTTTTCTATATTGTCATACGTATCTGAGAAATGGATCAGAACTGATCCACGCATCAAAATCATAAGAGCTTACCCCCACTGGTCACATCGTAAACTAGCAAGGCGCCAACTGCCCCTCTATAATATGCACTGGTAATTGCACGATAGCGCTCTTGCCCCGCAGTGTCCCATATTTGAGCCTTTATGATCTTGTTTTGTAGCTGTAGATGTGATGGCAGGATGAATCAACCTCGAAGTGTAAAAGTTTGCCACACAGCTCACCTCAATCGTCCGAGTTGCAAACTCTACGCCTATGGTCGACTTCGACTCGAGACAAAACTCGTTCCGGGTGAACCTTGAAAGCAAGTTTGACTTGCCCACGCCAGAATCGCCCACGAGCACAATCTTGAATAGGTAATCGTAGCTGCTGTAAGTTTAGACCTTTAAACACCGCGTGCTATTCAAATCAACATACTCATCAGTTTCTCCGGACATTCTGGGGGAGGCAACCGGACGGTATTTCAGCTGGTCACGTGTTGTGTATGAACTAGATAAAATGTGCTGCAATTGTACGCTGCGCCGCGCGCGTTGAAGTGGTGCCCTGGCGAGTGCGTGTAGCGGAGATCCTCGCGACTTCGGATCTCGAGCGCTCGTATCGTCCAATGAATATATAGGCGTTTCAAGTTCATAAGTATACGTATCGTGAAAGTACATTTCTCAAAATACATCACAGCCACTGCGGCAAATCAACAAACCGACAAACCCAACAATGTTCCCCCCAGTTTGCGCAGCGACTCGACCTGAAAAATCAAGACAACTTCGCAACACACGTATACACCGGAATATTCAATACGTCGCACGGCGCTGCGGGCTCTACTTTAAAAGAGAGATATTGAGATGGCGTCACAAGTCTCCGAAGAATTCCACACCTTGTATGTGAACAACTTGAACGAAAAAGTTCCGAAGCAAGGTACGATGTATGGAGGAACGTCAGCATTCTAGTGCGCCACCGGACGGAATATCATGAATGCGTCAACGGTTCGATTCTCACATTTTCCTTAACAGAATTACGAGCTGCACTACATGCAGTATTTTCTCCATTCGGGAAGGTTTTAGACATAGTAACGGCAAACACATATAGACTACGAGGACAAGCTTGGATTGTATACGACACATCCATGGATGCAAATAATGCAATGCAGTCATTACAGAGCTTCCCATTTTATGATAAACCAATGGTACGTAGCAAGCCATATTTCATGACTTTGACTTACGCGTTCACAAGAAAATTGTGGTTGCGAACACCACATCAGACGCAATCCGCCGACGCAGAGGCGAGCATATCGAACGCGATGGAGCAGTTCGATTGAGTAGAAAAGTAGAAAACCAAGAACGGGAGCGTTTGCGTAGAAAAAACGCAACTGCTGAGAATGCCACAAGACATGAGCCAAAAGCAATGGATGGTATGAAGCGCCCTCCCAGCACACGTATAGCTGTGCAGGGACTGCCAGGTAAGTCAAACGGTCGAAGATCTATCTTTATTCAATTGAACCGAGAAGACACATATTTTACATTTTCGCTATCGTAGGTGCAACGACGACACACATGTTGGCATTACTCTTTCAGCAGTTCTCTGGCTACAAAGACGCTACTATGACGCGTGAATCAGGCGACGGCGAGGTTGAATTTGATACCACGGCAAATGCCGTAGCTGCGCTAAATGGGTTACAAGGATTTCGATTGAACGCGAACCATTCGTTGACACTATCGTTTGCCTGAGCCCTGAGTGACTGGGATATCCTTCCAAGTGAAGAGAGCCTCAACAGGCTTTTTAATATTTGCCACTTGGCACTCAAGTGCCAAGTTGGCAAGGTTAGTGCTTTGTCTATTGGCACGTTAGATCCATGTCAAGATTTGCGAATCATGCCACTGAAATAAGGAATCAATTTGTCTGATTAACCCCAAACAATAATTAGCCTCACCTGAATGAGCCTACGTTGTCCATTACTCTCGTCTTCTTTCTGCGTCAATAGCTCCCCTTTTGTGAGCTCTAAGTTCTCTTCGAATGTCTGGATGACATCATCCGCGATATCTCCCTCCGGTACCCACATATCATCAACGTCTGATCTAGTATTAGTACATGGTGTTTAATATAAGCTTGCAGCCTCACCGTCGATCCATCTCACCAGGTATTCAGCAGTGCCGTTTGACAAGCGCTTTGAAAGTAGCGCGACAGGGACAATCTCTTCATATATATGGGCCTCTATGGCAGATAACATTGACTCTAGTGCCACTCTGCGCGAATACGTCGTCGTTGTTACTGGCGTATTCGAAAGAAGGGTCTGCACTAGTCCTTGCACCTTTGAGTGAATAGATAAGAAGCAAGAAAGTGCACTAAGTGTGTCGAGCGTACCGAGCGACCTGTGTTATCCTCGAGTTCTGCATCAGCTCCTGCACTAAGTAAGCACCGTAGGGAGTCGAGTCTCATGTACCCAGCAGCGAGGTGCGCAGCCGTGTAGCCATCGACGTCCTAAGATTCTGAGATCAAATTAGAAATAATTAAAATGGGCAGCATACCTGGGCGTTTACATCTGCGCCTTCTTTCAACAGTCGGTCAAGAACGAATGTGTCGCCAACCCCTGCAAGAAAATGAATGGGGCTAGACAGTATTTATTTTAGATGCGCTTCACTTTTCCATCAGCAATATACCTTCTCTGTTTTGAGTCCTTGGAGTGCAGCAAAGTCCCGGAGCTTGTACTCAAGAACTTCTCTAGGGTAGCTTGGTCACCCTGGTTATGGTTTCTTTCAGGATAATGCTGGCATCATTTGCGGGCTGGTTTACGCACCTGTCGACACGCGTTCCACCACTCTAGACCGTACTGACTCCTCAAATCGTCGGCTACACATTCGTTGGGCAGCCTACAACTGTGTTAGTGTCAAGTCGAAACAGCAGTACGTGACATCACCATACTCTCGTCTCGTCTTCGAGGCTCACGAGATATTGAATGCCAAGAGTACCTTCACGCTGTAATACTCGAACACCGTCAACAGATCGAGCCTGCTGCGTTCCCGCCACTACGCTTAGCAAGTTTGCACTGGTACCCTGTGTCATGTGCGTGTCGATGAGTGAGTTTGACTTCATATTCACGGCGTTAGAAACGTACCGAAAGAGATTGGGTCGTACTGCTACGTCGGGTGTTGGATCGCACTGATCTCATGGACATCTTCAACTCTGTTTGACTTGATGAAAGCCTGGCTACGCGCGGTGCAGATATGCACATCGTCGCTGCTTATCCGAACACAGGAAGCCCGTGCAGCCGCGGCGGGTTCGAGTACTACAGTCAATCGTCGGAAACTTTGAGACGAAGTCAGAGCAGAGGGTATAACGTGATACGGGCAGCACCGGCAACTGTCACGTGAAACGAGGGTCTGGCTAAACGCAACAGAACCCGCACATTTACCGCGAGGCCGAGATTTGACAAAGTTCGGGTTTGTTTACGCGCGAGCATATTGTATCACTAATAAGTCACCCAATATATATACGCCCGTATACAGCTGGATACGTCAGTATGAAAATGAGTTTGCACTGAGCGCTCGAAAGCCAACGTGCGCCGCCGGCAAAACTGAGCGCGCGCGCTTTGAAGGCGGATACTTGCGCCAGAACGCAACACAAAGCCATATGAGTCGACTTCTTACGTGCGGAGTCGTCAATACAGATTTCGATTCAAACCGCGTCGTTTACTCTAGAGGGAGGGTTTTTGTCGCAACCGACAACGTGGTTTCTGAAGTCGATGTACAAACATCCAGCAGCAAATGTATCGCCAGGAACGAACGCGTAGGCATTAAGTCAATAGATGTTAGTGTTGAAAGGATGATTTTGGTTGCACTAGATAGGGACGACTACATCACAATCTTCAACATCGCCACGGCGACACAGATACAACGCAAGAAAATGGCAGGGCTCCCGCTTTTGGTGCAGTTCGTATCAAGTGCAGGTGGAACATGGCCAAATGTTGTTGTGCTTTACGATCATGCACTGGAAGTATGGCAAAACAAGTGCTACACGCCGACCGAACCTATGAATCGAGTATTTAGGGAAACAATTGCTGAGGGCACGGTCACCGGCTTTGGAGGACAAAGTGACGATGGACATTTCGCAGTATCTGCGGGTAGCACATGCAGACTATACCACCGTGAGTGCTCAGGCAAATATCGATGCATACTATTTGATGACAGAAACATCGCTGCGGTCTCGTTTCGTGAAAAGAATGAGATAATCAGCATAACGCGTGCTGGGACATTACTGGAGTGCTCTGTAACAAATCATGACGACTCAATGTCTCCGTTTAAAAAGCAGTTGGTGCGTCGAGAAAAGCTGGGCACGGTGAATGAGGTGTTATACGCGACATTTAGTCATAGGGCACATCAAGTCGCGGTGGTCACGTCACCCGATCTTGTGCAATTGTTCGCAGTGCAAACAGCACAAGAACTGGGGCAGATCACGTTCGGTTTTGATGTAGAGAAATGCTGCTTCGATGAAACGGGCGAGAGCTTAGCGCTTTTCGGAACGGAAAGAATTGTTGTATGGGATACAAGCTCGCAAAGTTTAAGGCTGAACCACCGTACGAGCACGGCAAGCGTTAGCTGTACAACTTTGAGTGACGACGGCGAGACACTCATCACTGGAACGCACAGTGGTGTTGTGAATGTTTGGAGCATTCAGACCTCGTCATGCGTGGCGACATTTCATCACCACGAAGCACTAGTTTCGGCAGTAGAATGCTTACGATCCGGCGGCGGATTCTTGTCCGCGAGCTTTGATGGCACAGTTCGCGCTCATGACATACATAGACTGCGTGTTTTTCGGACGTTTACAGCCTCATTTGACAGTAGATTCAACAGAGTTACTGTCGATGCTAGCGAGGAACTCGTATGTGCAAGTACGCTAGACACATTTCAGATACTGATGTGGTCGTTCACCACAGGTCAACTCCTTGAGGTACTGTCTGGTCACAGCGCTATCATCTCCTCCTTGGACTTCTGCATGACGACAACCATGGTGTCTGGATCTTGGGATGGTACAGTCCGACTGTGGGACATGAGCCATCGAGAGTTCGCCTGTGAAGTCATTCCACACAGTCGTGATGTGATTGCAGTCGCAATACGCCGCGATGATAAACAATTAGCTGTATCTACCTCCGGGCAAAAAATAGCATTTTGGAAGATGGAAGGAAGTCAACTTTTGGGAACTGTGGACTACTCGCGAGATGTTCCGCGACTCAATGACGATTCTAGTTTCATTTCGTTACAGTACAACCCGTCTGGGTCTATGCTTGTTTGTAGCACGTCAGCGGCACTTATATGTATCTATGACCCCGGACGGCACACTCTACTTAAGCGACATCTGCCGCACGTAGGTCTTTCTATGCCCACTAAGAATATTGTTGGAGCTCTATCATACAGTAAAGAATCCGATGTTTTCATTATTGTGACGAAGAGAGGAGTTCATATTCATAGACTTGCTGCGGACGAAAATGAAATATCAACTCGGCTATCTGAAGATGCATCATTGCCGAATGTCGCTTCTGCCTTACAACGTAAGGACTTTCTGTCGGCCTTACATCTGGCAGCTGCGCTGAAGACGACACCCTTTGTACTTCAGGCAATTTTAAATCGCGTGCCAACTTCGCAGCAAATGGCTGCCATGCGAAATACTTCGAGTAGTTTTGCCGAGGCAATCATCGTTACATGTTTCGAGCTTTTGTCAGAATCGGTACACTTAGAACACTTGCTTGCACTGAGTTTAAGTATGCTGAATTCGACGAGTAAGAAAATAGACGTTATGTGCTTGAAACGGATGTCCCGCGATTTGAGTAGAAAGCAGAGTGAGTTAGACAATACCACGAGTAATAACTTGGGTACATTGAACGTTATTTGTTGTACCAAAGGCAAACGTAGGTGAAAAAAAGCACATACAGCGCCATATTGAGCGCAAAGTTTTGTATTCATAGTCTTTCAACACAGTTTCTTGGTTTATTGAATCATCACATCATTCTAATGCAAGTGCATCTTGTAAGTTGTCTGTATAACATCCTCGTTCTTTTGCGTTCTTCAGCAAAGCTTTCCAAAAATTAAATTTTGACACCGCCTCGCATTTGCAGACGATCCATAGCGATGATTTTGCTCTCGTCAAAGCCACATTCAATCTCCGCATATCTGACACGAAACCAATGTCATTTGCTGACGTTCGTACGCACGAGAGGATAACTAAGTCCCCTTCCTGACCTTGGAACGCATCAATCGTACTTACAGAGATCAGTTGACCCAGCGTGGGCTTCTGATGCAGCATGTTTTGTATCAGCTCGCATTGCTTCCTGTAACCACTCAAAACCACAACTTTCTGAGTACTATCGTCAACAAGAGGGAAAAGTTGGTAGTACTTCTCCAGTAAATCGATTATAAAAGATGCTTCGACTTGGTTGTATCGAGAAAAACTTGCCGCTTGGATTTCCTGTCCATCCACTGCGTCGAAAACCATGTACGGTTGAAACGGCCAACAACGGTGAGAAGGTAAGTCTCTAATTTTGGCAAGCCCAGGAGCATCGATCAGTGCATTTGAGTAAAATATCGACGATGGAAACATCCGTATTTGCGGGTGCATCCTGTATTGGACAGTGAGCAGGTTACAGCGCATGCCTGCGACCATTAGCCGTTCAAATAGTGAACGGTCAAATTTTGCTTGTTTGGCATTCAGCGATTTGACGGTGGCTGGTAGTTGTTTAGGGTCACCCACCAAGACACAATGAGCATTAGACAACGTCATCGGGATCAAAGTCGATAATTCGTTCGCCTGGCATGCTTCATCGATGATAATTGTTTTGAAAGGTCGCGAACTGGCAAGCACGTGGCGTTTGATGGAGGTAAGGGTACAGCATACAATCTCCGCCTCGTCGACAAATGAAGCGGATATATGCTCAGATATTTGTCGAAATGAACACATGTTTTGTGTCGTTGAAGTACAATGATGTAGTGGGCGTAGTCTTTCCAGCCTAGCAAGATCACCTAAAGCTCTGTCACGCACTTCATACAGTTGTATGATACTGCTCTCTGAGGAGTTGAGGACTTGGATATCATCTCGTAAGTGTTCTTTTATCTTCAATTCAGACACGGTGACAGTATGATACTGACGCGAATACCACGAGCTCCAATCCAAAGTTGACATCTCCATGAGGTTTCTAACGCGTTGCTCAACTGATACAGACTGCGCGGTCGTTGAGACGTTTGCGTCACCGGATACTAGACGTAGTATGTCGGGCGAATAGCGCGAATTATCCAGTTGTGCGAATCTTTCACGAATTATCCGTTCCAAAATATTATCGACTGCCGCATTGCTGGGTGCACATATTAGTATCCGTGGCTTGAAGTTGTGTGTGTTCGCGTTGTCTTGCTCCGTTTGGCGCTTTCTTTTGAGCGAGTCTGCCTGTGCAACTTTACCTGCCTTTACCAGAGACATGACTTTCTCGAAATAATCATGAAACTGCAATAGATGTACGACGTTTGCTAAGCTCAACTATTCCATAGATAAATGTAAGCGTAAGTGAAACAAAATATAAACATAAACTGTACGTACAATCACTTTTGTTTTGCCTGTCCCTGGTGGACCTTGAATTAATGAGAAAGGAGGTTGATCACTTTTTTTTGAATTATGGATCCGCTGTACGCAAGCCAGTAAAGCATCGAGTTGAGGAGTATTCAGCGTGGCTTGCATGGGCGCAACAAATCCACCAGCTTTATCAAGATTCAGTTGCCTCACTGTTGGAGGTGGAGGCGCTATGAAAAGTTCTGCGACGCGTTTCGGGTTCAAAAGATAATGTTGAAAGTTCTGTACATCGTAAGTCCAAGATCCTAGAGGTGTGTTTTGCCTTACCGGATTTGTATCGCAAACTGCCGCAAGCGCTTCAAATTGACGCACATGTGTTGATAGCCGACAAGTTGGAACACCCCACAGGTATTTCGAATGCCCAGGACGTATGGCTTCTAAAAGTTGTTCAGCACCACATCTAGCGTCTCTGGGGTGAATTACTCGAACTTCGCAACGTTTACCCATTTCAAACGTTTGTGTAGCAACTGTTCCAAGAAGTGCCAACTCTGAATGCAGCCTTGTGTTCGTAACGCGAGCTGAACTTATATAGATGACTGTACCTTCTACGATTGAAGGCGCACCCTCCTCAATCCATAACTTCAATTCTAAGTATGTACAGCTACTTTCTGTCCATTTGCGCTCGATAGAAATTCTAAACGTGCGACGTCCTGCTGCGAGTTGAATACAGGTTCAAGCTCAGGTTCAAGCAAGTTGGAATTTGTACTGTCTTACCTATCGAACCGTCATACGCATCTTTCAAATCTGACCGCACCTCCTCTACAAGAGTTGTGTAGAACGTTGCATAATACTCTTCCACGTCGTGAAACGTGATCGGTATCTCTCGCAACTTTGTCGAATCATTCTCACTCCAATACACAGTTTCTCGCTCGAAGGTCGTGACCGCCGTAGGAGTCATGCCACTAATGATCTTGAATCGAGTAGTGACTGGTTCGTTTCAGATTCTGCAGATATCATATCATGCTAGTCGTATTGTGCACGTCAACGCCAGTCGAGGATGGGACACGAAGTGCAGTCGCACCGGTCAAAGTCTGACGCACGGCGCGTTCGAGGGGATGAATTGAACGCATTGTCTCTGACGCTAGTTCACATATTGGTTGTATTGAATGAGTGGATGGACTTCTCTCGTGAAATCCCTTACGAAGTCGACGTTCAAACACGAGTTGGAACTGAAACTTATACTGCCCCACTTTCCAAATACTGGCGACAACGCTACGATCTCTTCTCTGAGTGGGAAATGGGCATGCTATTGGATACGGAAGCGTGGTACTCGACAACTCCAATAATTATAGCCGACCATCAAGCTAGATTGTGCGTCGAATGTTTCCAGCGAAAGCGGCGTTCAGACTTGCCCCCCGTAGTCTTGGACGCTTTCTGCGGTGTGGGTGGGAACTCAATTGCCTTCGCTAAAGTCGGGTGTAAAGTATTGGCGTGCGACATCGATAGCGAAAAGTTGAAAATGGTAAGTGTTATTAATCGCGACTGAGTTGGCGCGTATTTACATTCCACTGATACAGGCTCAACATAATGCGTCAACCACGTCAGTACATCAGAACATCGAGTTTATATGCTGTAACTTTCTGGAGTTGATGAGCAGTTCTCGAGTAGACTTTATATTTTTGTCCCCACCCTGGGGAGGGCCATCTTATTCCGTGAGAGAAGAGTTTCTGCTCTCGCAAAAATGGATTGGCGGACTTCGAGGCACTGAAGTGATAACGAGATCACTGGCAGCGTCAAACAATACTGTGTGCTTCCTACCGCGCAATATTAACTTCGATGATATTATGAATAACTGCACAGGACACTTTCAGGTGAGTGCGTCTATAAACTATGTGGTCTTGCCCCTCACTTTCTCCAAGATAGAGTCTCACGAAGTCAAGAGCCGTGTGAAAGCCAATACGTTGTACTTTTTACAATCCATACTTTTCGACCTTAGAAATTGACCTCCAGTTTATATATAGACTCTAACTCATATTTTAGACGGCTTTGTAGAGAATAGTCATCTCGTGTGCTCAACCATTCACCGGATGGTGTGTAATTATATCTGAAAGGGCCGCTGACGGGTGAGGCGAGCCAAATTTGTCTATTCGGGGTCTGCTTATTCAACACAAAGACCCCGTTTTCTCCGCAATCGATAGTCAACACGCCAGTTTCGAGTGATATATCCATGTCCAGCCGTTCCTTGTCTATCAAAGCTTCAATACTATCGAGAATATTCTGCAAAGTACAGTTTGCGACGTCGTTGAAGACGTACTCCTTCGATTCTGAAGTGCTGAACCGGTTCTGGCTGATGGAACGAGGGCGAGCGTGATCTCGCTCATCCTTAAAGGACAACTGTAACGTGATGAACGGTTGCGAATCGATTCGTACGTGAGAAATGCGCTGCAGGCGACGTGCACGACGAACTAGTTTCGTGACAGCAAGTTGAAAGCGCATCGAGGTAGATGTAGATGTGTATCAGCTTTGTAGACGGATACTGTGAGCCAGAGCGTGGAGTTTGCGTAGGCCAAGCGTGCACTCGCGATTACCTCAGTATCCGCAACTTGCTGACCGGCCGTTGCAGCTCGTCGGCCGCTGCATAGTTCAGCTGTCGGTGTTTCACCTTCACTCTGTGCACTCTGTACTTGAGACTCCCGTATTAGAACATGTTTTCGACAAAGTATGAAGCGACAAGCGACATCAAGTGGTACAACGTTCAGAGTTGTCGTAGATCGTCATAACTCGTCACGCGTTTCGTCGCTATCACCATGTTTCGCAATCAATATGATCAGGTAACTATCTAAAATTGACGGCGCTCTCGTCTCTGAACGACGTTCCTCTCGCTGACGTCGTTGACCTACAGGACATGTTGACATGGAGTCCACAGGGACGCTTGCATCAGGTGGAGTGTAAGTCTTTCACATATCTTCTATGAGTGATGGACCTCAAATGATCAAAAGATGCGATGGAAGCCGTGAAGCAAGGAAGTACCGTTGTAGCTTGTGGTGTATGTGTCTAAACTTTCTGAAACTTGCTACAAAGTTTGTTAATGGTGATCGCAGAATAAAAAGTGCGCTGTGCTCGCTGCTTTGAAGCGCAAACAATCGAAGCTATCTTCGATGCAAGAAAAGATTTTCGCAATAAACACACGAGTGGGCGTCGCAGTGTCAGGTCTTTCAACAGATGGGGCAAAGTTAGTAAAACTTCTTCGCGAGGAAAGTACAAGAGAAGAGTTTGTGTACGGTCGAAGCGCATGCCCTGGTCGGCTCGCTGCAGCAGCTTCAAAATCATTACAGGTGAATTGATCACAGGTAGACTTGCTTTCTCTTATTGTTTTGAATAGATCTCTATGCGAAAAAGCTCAGGACGGCCTTGTGGAGTCGGTTTGGTACTTGTTGGTTCAAGTGAACAGCTCGGTTGTCAAATCTTCCAAACTTGTCCTAGTGGTGAAGTTCACCAAATGTCGTGCACTGCAATAGGTATGAGCCAGTCAAGCATTCGAATAATCCAAATAAGACGTTGATGTGTGAATTAGGTGGGAGGTCACAGTCAGCACGAACATATCTTGAAAAAAATATGGAGGCCCTCGAGACTGCCAGCGTTGACGAGGTACGTTTGTTGTACGCTTTGCATTACTCCGTGAATGATGTAGATGGCCAGATGATCATGATTGCACTGAGAGCGCTAAACGAATCGAATGTAGATGCTAGTGATCTCACATCGGACAAATGCGAAGTGGCGATAGTAGAGCTAAACACTTATACGTTGAAAAGCGCGGCAGAAGTGACTACCCTGTTGACAAATCTTTAATCGGTTACAAATGTACACACACATATACCGCGAATTTACAAAAAAAACAATCAAACTGCAGTCCACAACCCAATGTACTTTACCGCTAGCGATCATTTCTCGCCTTCAACCTTTTCAAAAAATCATCAAAACACAAGTTCATGAAAAAAAATACTACTTACATTCCGGTAGCCCTGTAGATACACTCTTAATGGTCGGATATATTCTTCGAAGCCCAAAGTGCTCATCGCCCACAGCAAATCATCGCCATTGATAGTCTTCCTCTTTTCGCGCTGGCACTTATCACTAGCCCTAATTTTCTCTTAGTTGAAATCAAGGCTGGACTAGACAGACACTTACTCGCTTGTGATGAAGCTGATGAACTCTGATACGCATTCCTGAACTGTTTCCTTTGCGTCCTTCGCGATTTTCGCGTTCGCCGGAAGTGCTTTTTTCATTATCCTGTTGATATTCGCCACGGGCAGGAATCTGTCCTGCTCGCGGGCAACGCTCGCATCAGCCTCGTGCGCAGTAGGCATCTATTCACTCGTTGCTTCGGGTCGGCTTGATTTGCGATGTAGAAAAGTATGCTACTGCTATGTGAAACACGCAGGCCCCGAGTCGAAATTTCGAGGAGGGTGACACGCGAGCAATAGATTTACCGCTCGTTTTCGCTTCCGACGGGAACTGTTGAGCTTTCCTGCCGAGCAGTTCGTTGGGAACGTCTGCAAAGTGCTGGCTCGGTCCTTGCTCTCATATATTAACATAAGACTGTCTATATGTGGCTATATAACCTTTATGAGGTCGCTTTAAGGAAGCCACGTTGGCTGAGACTAATCACCACATAGCGCTCGTTCAAAACAGATGAAAAAACCTGCGTATTTGAGCGACGAAACGGCGTCGTCTGGCGACGATTCCTTCGACGATTCGATCGAAGATACAGAACAGTCGTGGATTGCGTGGTTTTGCGGATTGAAAGGAAATGAGTTATTTTGTGAAGTTGACGAAGAATACATACAAGACGATTTCAACTTGAGCGGCCTCAGCTCCTCTGTTCCATATTATGATTACGCACTTGACACAATTCTTGATGTAGAAAGAGGGCATAGCACGTTGAGCGAACAGCAGCAGGAGCTTGTTGAGTCGGCGGCAGAAATGCTCTATGGTCTAATTCACGCGCGATACATACTGACCCAAAGAGGTATGACATTGATGTTGGAGAAGTACAAACAGAACCACTTTGGACGTTGTCCAAGATTTATGTGCGCGAATACGCCGTGCTTACCGGTCGGCACGTCGGATATCTTTCGAACTGCGACGGTGAAAATATTCTGTCCGAAGTGCAAGGTACGTCATCCATATTGGCATCTCTTGCTTCCAACTCCGTATTTTAGGATATATACTTTCCTCGAAGTAAATATCAAGGAAACACCGACGGAGCGTACTTTGGAACGACGTTTCCGCATTTGTTTCTGATGAGCTTCAAGCACTTGCAGACCCCAAAACAAACTGACTTGTATGAACCTAGAATATTTGGATTCAAGGTGAGTGTTGATTATTACATATTTTGAGGTTTACTAATCGATATTACCATTGATCGCAGATTCGAGATCAATAGGTATCGCGAAGACTTGTCGTCTCGCGAACAAACTGTAGTTGATGCACCAGTGAGCTTGTGGTAGAGAACAAAAAATACTGAGCTTCACAATGCGTCAAACTTCCAGCATTGACGATGTAGGCAATGGACTTTGAGCCATGACACAAGAAACACGGAGTTGCACTCTGTTTAAAAACGACCTCGACCTCCTCGACCGCTTCGGCCACGGGCGCTAAACTGGGCGCCCCGCCCACCTCGACCTCCCCGACCACCTCTTCCTCCCGTGGATCTACCCCCTTGACCTCTACCGCGAACTTTACCAGCACTGCAAATAAATTAGTGCGTATACAATTGAAGAATCATTCATGGTCACCTTGTTGTATTCGTGAAGCGTTCAACCGGTAACAGCTTGTCGGGGCTTATGTAGAAAATTGCACCTGAGTGACAGGTAAGAAACGTGCAACAAGAACAAGGAAAAGGATAGTAAACCTTTTTCGTATGAGCTTGCATTGATACTCTCGAGGAGCTTCACTGTAAACAACTTCATTCGTTTGATGTTTAGTTTGGCGTCATGAATGCGAGGTGAGCACTATACCGTTTCATTCACCGGGCCAAATATTTCTTCAATTTTGCCAACCTAAAGAGAAAGTGAGTTCTCTCCATATCGAAACATTTCGACATACTTGGGTCTTGTTTTGAAGGTAGATGGCGCCGTTGAAATATGGTATCTGTAATTACGTTCGGGACAGGTAGATTCTCAAACGCGCGCTATTACCTTCTTATTCGTAGATTTGCATACGATTTCGCCCTCACACGCGTGTAAAAAAGTGCCAATTTCTGTAAGTGGCGTTGAGTCTCGAGAAAAGACACGTCAAGAAAGCGTACCTTCGATTGCGGCAGGGGGGCCTTCGTCACGGAACTGGCCGCCACGCCCACGCCCACGCCCACGGCCGGCACTAGAAAATCTTGAACCAGTCCTACCAGAGTTGCCTGAGCGCACGTCGAGAACACGGCCACCTCGATTGGGCGGACGCATGCGGAGCTACGTTTAGAGTCTATACGGTCGTGATATCGATAAACTGAGAATGATGATGACACGCTCCGTGCAGTGATGGATGTTTCGCACGTTTGTAGAACCTGAGTGCGGCGGCGCTACCCCACTAACCTCGCTACGGTTAAGGGGTTGAGGGGAAAGCGAAAAGTTCGTGGCTTTTTTTGTCCATTTTTCTTCCAAATCTCTTTTCATAGTAATATACAAATGGAAATTTGAACTATTTAAAGGATATCACTATATCAGACATGTGATTTGCAATGTGGCACCGTGACCTCTGCCTTTCCCACATTGCGTCGCACTACGAAGAGCGAAAACCAAGGGTAGGTGAATCTTTCGACCGTGAACGTGATGGATACACTTCGAAACTGTTCGAGTCGTGGCCAGTACGACGAGCTCTATCGCGAATCCGTTACTGAGCCAGAGAAATTTTGGTCCAAACTGGCCAAGGACTTCGTCTGGAGTGCTGACTGGTCTGATAGTGTGAGCGCCTTCAACTTCAATACCGACGTCGGAAAAGTTGACGTCTCATGGTTTGCCGGCGGGAAGACCAACATTGCGTGGAATTGCATCGAACGAAATATTGAAAGGGGCTGTGGAGAGCAGGTCGCGTTAATCTGGGAAGGTAATGACGTCGGTGAAGAAGGGACAAAAACGTACAGTGAGCTCCAAGCAGATGTCAATCGGCTGGCAAACTGGCTGAAATCGGTCGGAGTTGCTAAGGGTGATGCTGTTGTACTGTACTTACCTATGATTATGGAACTTCCTATTGCGATGCTTGCTTGTGCCCGCATCGGGGCTGTCCACTCTGTTGTGTTTGCAGGATTTTCTTCTGAGGCGTTAGCGCAGCGTCTTCTGGGATCGGCGGCGAAAGTGGTGTTAACATGTTCAGCTGTGATGAGAGGTTCGAAACACATAAATTTAAAAGCTGTCGTCGACGAAGCATGTGATTCCAGTGCCGAAAAGGGTCATAAAATTGAACACTGCTTATGTTTCATGAACGAGAGGCTTGACGTGGAGGGCTTTCTCACAACTAGTCGTGATGAACATTGGCAGCAAGCAGTACATGCACAATCCATGGAGTGCACAACAGAATGGGTTGATGCGGAGCATCCACTCTTCATGTTGTACACGTCTGGTTCTACAGGCTCCCCGAAGGGCGTCCTCCATACTACCGGAGGGTACATGGTTTATGCTGGAGCTACATGCGCCTCTGTTTTCAACATGCAACAAGGTGATATATTTTGGTGCACTGCAGATTGTGGCTGGATAACAGGTCATACGTACGTGACATATGGACCACTTCTAAACGGTGCCGCTTCAGTTGTCTTTGAGGGAGTACCGACACATCCAGATGCTGGTCGGTGTTGGCAAATCGTGGACAAATATAATGTGAAAGCATTCTACACAGCGCCAACTGCGATAAGAGCGTTGCAGCGATACGGTAACGACTTTGTTCTCAAACACCAAAGGCTGTCGCTGAAAATATTGGGTACAGTCGGAGAACCGATTAACCCCGAAGCATGGCAGTGGTACTCCGAGATCGTCGGAGGTGGACGCTGTCCGATCGTAGACACCTGGTGGCAAACGGAAACCGGTGGGCATATGATCACTCCACTGCCTTTTGCGATAGAGCAGAAGCCAGGTTCGGCGACTCTCCCGTTCTTTGGTGTTCAACCAGTATTACTGAACGATGCCGGAGAAGAATTGACAGGAGAGGCCGAAGGGTATTTGTGTTTCAAGAAACCGTGGCCATCCATGTTTCGAACACTTTTTTCGGATCATAAAAGGTACGAAGAAGCGTACTTCTCCATGTTTAAAGGGTACTACTTTTCAGGCGATGGGGCCAAGCGTGACTCGGATGGGTATTATTGGATTACCGGACGTGTTGACGATGTCATCAACGTGTCTGGTCATCGTATCGGCACTGCGGAGGTCGAGTCGGCATTAGTCACCCATCAGGAGTGTACTGAAGCCGCTGTAGTGGGAATTGATCACGCTATCAAGGGTCAGTCGATATACGCTTTTGTAACGTTGCGCGAAGGTTGTGTTCTCACGGAGGCAACGAAGAAAGCTCTGGTGAACTGTGTGAGGACTGTTATCGGTCCGTTCGCAGCACCTGATACTATTCAATGGGCGCCAGGATTACCAAAAACGCGTAGTGGTAAAATTATGAGACGCATCTTGAGGAAAATAGCGTCTCGAGAAGAAGACTCGTTGGGTGACATATCCACTCTAGCTGATCCTAGCGTTGTGGATGCCCTTGTGAAAGAGCGAAGTCAATAGGATGGGCTTTTCAAGTCGAACATTCAAGTCAACAAGACGAAAACTTTTTACAAGCTTAAAGGAAATATTTAGCGACATAAACGTGACATATCTCACTCAACTGGGTTCTTTAGTTGCGTAATATACGAGTGGCAGTATCAAAGTTGGCGCTGTTCACTTCGTTGCATTCGTCTCCGAATTCGTAACCAGGTGTCAATTTGAAAGTTCGATGCATATCAGACCGATAATTCCTAACATATTCTGTCCCACTCCTTGAAATTATACACAAGTCGACGGAAGAGCCGGAACCGAGATCATTTAGTACACCTGCTAGAATAGCTCGTGTCACTAACTCCTTTGCATCATCCAACTTCAAAACCTCACTATAGCCCGTCTCGAGCGTTGCAATGGCCGCTAAAGATCCGCTACCCATCGCTGCGAACGGTAAAGCATCAGAGGATCCGTGGGGGTAGACAGTGTAAAGATGTGCGCCTTCCTTGTCGACGCCGCCTAAAACTAGTGCGGCGCCAACATGACCTTGATAACGGAAAAGATAGCTTTTAAGCATAGTGAGCGCAGTCTTCACCAAATTCTGTCGATTTGTTTGTGCCCTGTGAAGGTGAAGATTGGAAGAAATCAGGCCTATGTGGTGTTATTAGAATAAATATTGGAACAAAATCTCGAACAATCCGACAACGTTGCAACTCTTACCAGTCAGAGACTCCGTGTCGGCAGCTGTTCCAGCTCCGCAGCAATATATGTTTGGTGCTATGTGATGTATTTTTTCGCAGTTTTTGTCGGCTACTGTTTCCCCGTTCGTAGACCGAGTATCTGCACCGAGAACAACACCCCCCGCGAAGACTACTCCACATATCGTTGTACCGGTCTTTTTCGCGCGAAAATCTTGCGCGGGGGCGTGCACGCGGTGAAAATCAAAACCAGTAGCTTTCATGACAGGCTCTGTGGGCGTTGCCTGTTCCGCGTACTTGAGGCGACGTCTGAGGTACGTGCGCACCGACGCACAACTTTTCGGTTTTTCGCCGGGCAGAAAACCCACTCGACGTGGACTATTTCGCGAGAATTGTCTTACAATATGCCATCATTGATATGATTTTGCACGTGTACCGAACGTCCCGTGCGTGGTTGAAGAAGAAGACGTAACGGCCGTTTTCAGAGAGTCGCGCGACATAGAGCAAGGCGATTCGAAGTTGAATCCGTGTTCTTTTGGTTTGCTTTGCTTTCGTAGCAGAAATGTTCGTCTCGGCACACGTCACAACACTCAACGCCCAGCCGGGGAGCCCCGTGGGATCTCGAACAACTCGGAGAGGTCCGAAGCGTGTAACTTGGATTAAATGCGCAGTGCGACGTGACTTTACGCCCCAGAAGCGGCATATACGCAATTGTCGAAGCAAGTTGCACCGTCCGTCGACAGTTTGTGGTTTCTCAGCAACTACTTCCGAGCCAAAGAGGACATACGACAGTCTGTTTCTAAGAACACGCCTTTCCGTGTTTTTCAGCATTTTGTTCGGTTACTCGTGCTACTACTTGACCCGCAACAGTTTGACGTTCACTGCTCCAGCTATGGTGGCTTCTCCGTCTTTACATCTTGATATAACTTCTATTGGTGTTATCACCTCTATCTTTCCACTTTGTTATGGCTGCAGTAAGTTCGTCAGCGGTGTGGTGGGTGATATGTTATCGCCAAGTCTAATGCTTGGCGGAGGTTTGATTGCGACTGGCCTTGTAAATATTGCGTTTGGTGCGAGCTCGACACTTCCTTTCTTTTGTGTCCTCTGGGCGATGAATGGAATCTTGCAGGGGTTCGGTGCGCCAAGCTGTGCGAAAATTTTGACTTCTTGGTTCGCTGCTAGCGAGCGTGGAACATACTGGGGAATGTGGAACATTGCCCATAATCTTGGAGGTTTTATGGCGCCCATCTTAGCTGGAACTGCTGCTCGTACGTTTGGTTGGAACTGGGGTCTGTGGGCTCCTGGCTGCATAGCTGTCGTTGTTGGTGTGATCATCGTCTCGACGCTGAAAGATTCTCCAGAAGATAAAGGTTTCGAACCAGTCGAGATAGACGTCAGCATTGCCGGCGGACTTAAGGCTGATGCTGCCGACATTTCGAAACAACCGAGCCTTTTGAACAATCTTCTTCATAATGTTCTCTCCAACCCTTTCATCTGGGGGCTTGCTTTCACATACTTTTGTGTCTATGTCGTTCGTCAGGGCATCACTTCTTGGTCAGTATTTTATCTTATCAAAGAAAAGGGTGTGATCGACGCAGGCGCGGCGGCCGTCCGAGTATCTGGCCTCGAACTTGGTGGTTTGCTTGGTAGTCTGATAGCTGGAAGGATCAGTGACTCTTTGATTGCGAAATCAACGAGAGGAGCCGTCGGTAATCGTATTCGAGTCGTGATGGTATATCTTATTGGCGTTGCGGCTTCTTTACTTGCATTCAAGATGGTTCCTGCTGGTTGGCCCGTCACTCAAGCTCTCATAGTTTTTATGATTGGGTTCTTCCTGTACGGTCCGCAAATGCTAGTAGGACTGTGTGGGGCCGAAATTGTTGGTCGTCGCTCCGTTGGTGCGAGTGAGGGATTCCTTGGGTGGATTGCATATCTAGGAGCAGCCAACGCGGGCGTTCCACTTTCTCTTCTTGTGCAACAGTACGGATGGGACGCATTTTTCGCTGCGCTTCTCACCGCCACGTTTGTCGGAATTTGTCTGCTTGCCCCGCTCATCAACGCGAAGAGCTATCTTCAGCGGGAATAGCCTGAAATAATCGCTCGTATTCAGTATATGACCATAGTGTCGCATCTGTAGCGTATATCACTCTGTACAACGAAATAAAGAAATAACTTATACATTATGTTCATCGTATCGCCAAGAGAAAGGCCTTATGCAAGCTGAGAAGAAGTCCCGAGTACGTTTTATTCAAGACGCTTAATCGTGGCGCAACTCATTGTTGATATTAATATCAACAATGATAATATTATCATGTTCATATTATCACTACTATACTATAGCGCTGTTATTTCACCGACATTCTACGGAGTGTGTTGCTAATCAAGCTCTGTAAGATCAAGCTCAAACTTCTAGAAGCTGGACTGGAACTTACTGTGCACGTTCTAAGTACTGAGCTAAGGCTGGCTTGCTCAATCAAATATGGGATAAAACAAACATTATACGATTCTTCCCCGTAATTACGGGCCGTAATGACCCAGGAATCCGATAGCGGAAATCGGCTAACTCAGAAGTTCTGAGTCAGAACTTCATTCCGAGACTCGTGCGAGGGCGAGCGCGCGGCACATTGCTTCTGCAGTTCTGGAGTGCAGGAGTAACGCGAGTTAAGACTAGAAGAGCTCGGATAACTCCACATTCCGAAGTGGAAACAGGAGGCTCGTTACTAGAGCGAACACACGGCGCAGCATGGCACGGTATTACTGCGGTACGCACATTTCTCGCTGTTGGTAAAAGTACAACATACCTCAACAATATTCCGCTTCAGACTACTGCAACGCCCACCTGACACACGACTCGGCAACGGTCCGAAAGCAACACAACAGCGGCTTCAAACACAAGGCGAATGTTCGCGCTTACTATGCGCAATTTTTGATAGCACCAACTAAAACAGCCAGAGAGCTGCATTAGCTCTTTGAGGTGTCTAGAACTACTAGTACACGTGGATACCTTAGTTACAAATTACAAATACGACGTGCAACGGTCTATTAAACGATGCGCGTACATAGATTCACACCGATAACACACATGCATACACGCCTACATACATGCATACATACATACATACATACATACATACATACGCTACTAGCTTGGTACTCCAATGCTAACAGGGATAGGCAAATCTTGGCCAGTCTCACAGCAGCTCTGCCACGTATTCCGTTTGGACGGTGGCACTTGTCGCGCTGCAAGTAGCTAAGCGCAGCACGTCCATCTATATTTCCAATGATTTGAGGGACATTCGTGTTTTAAATCAGCTTACCTCCACCGGCGCCACGTTCTCTTCACTTAGCTCGCACTCAGTCCTGGTACGTTCCCTGGGGTCGTGAGTAGGCAAGACCATACAGTAAAAGCGAATACACGACGTACCCACTCGCCGTTTCAATGAGTTTGACCGGTAGGACTTGATTAACGTCCGCAACTTTCAACATCTGGCCGTTGTCCGTGAGCACCCAGACCTCAGAATCAGCGAGAGCTCCAGGGTCCCCGAGAGACCTTTCCCCGCGCTCGACGCCGTCTGTCTCAAAATACGCAGAACTCGTCCGTGTGACATGCGAGATAAGTGATGACTTGCTCACGTCTCTATTGCAACGAACGACAATGAGATCGTCCATGGAACGATCGACCGGCGTGTCGGCGGTCCGAGCCTACGTCTACCTTGCTCTGGCGGTTCTGGGCTCCAGACGGACACGGGCTTTCTGTACGTGCCAGATGCGCAACTTGCACGTGCAGACATTATTACCATGAGCAATGCTGCCCGAATCGTGCACGCTAATAGCTCTATTTGTTGGTTGTATATTGAGTTAGTCGAAGAAAGTACGGCACCGCCACCAGTCACAAACAAACGTGAGTCCCTGCGCTCCCGCCGCGTGCTCAACACCCACATTACTGACCATGTCAAGCTCAATTCGCACAGCTAAGGATGCCAGCACTGAGCGAAGATGGCGTTACTGCGATTTTCTCAAAGAAGCGGGCATGAAGCTAAAAGTGTAAGCATATGAAGTAGTACAGTTCGAGTTTTCCTAAAGAACAGACTGCGACAGGCCCCAGCTCACTATTGCGACCGCGGCAGTGTTCTGTCATCGTTTTTTTGAGCTCGATAGTCAAAATGCACAACAGTTTGAGACGGCGGTAAGGAACCAAAAAACCGAAACATGCTCGAGTTGATAGCTTTGCAGGTCATGGCCACTGCGTGTCTTTTTCTTGCCGGAAAGGTGGAAGAAACCCCGAAACCTCTCAATGACCTTGCTCGTACGTCCCACTTATTACAGCGTAAAGCAAGCGACCCCACGCGTCTAGAAAGTTCGCAGCAGGTATTATGTTCATTTTGCTCGTAACAATCACCCTTAAACGGCGACAGGAACTTCATGTTGAGCTGAAGGAGACAATTCTCAGAGCTGAACGTGTACTTCTGCATCGCCTTGGCTTTGATTTCAATGTAGAACATCCGTATAAGCATTTACTTTCAGTAATTAAAAGGATGAGTCAGGCTGGTTTAATAGAGGAAGAGTCAACAAAAACGCTTGCGCAAGTTTCTTGGAATTTCGCTAACGATAGGTACGAGAAATCTGCGCGCGACATTATAACATTTCTGACGAATGCGCAAGTCTACGAACATCACTATGCCTTGAGTATAGTGCAAACCATATAGCTGAAGCAGTCGTCTACTTAGGTAAGTTGCGTGCGCTTGAAATCAGAACTTTCTCTGAGTTCAAACAGCTACCAAATTTCTGAGCTCCAAGTTCGAACTGCCGAAGAAATGGTGGGAAGCCGTGAATGTTGACCCAGAAATCTCTGAGCTTATAGGAAATCGGATACTCGATCTGTATGAGCAAACTGGGCCTGTGGAACTTGGGTACTCAGATATAAGTACATAGTTGACCGCGACGCACTCCATATTGATTAGTCTTTAATTAAAAATCGACGGGCACGGATCACTTAGCGCGAGGTTCGGTGTGAGAATTAAGTGAGGTTAGAGTATGTCAAGTATTTAACTATTGCGCATATACACGATCTTCTTCAACTTGCCATAATCGCACACTTGTTAGCGATACCTCATAAACTCTAGTCGCCTCTTCATTTGACTTGGCTCTTCAGAGCTTATTTGCGTGAGACTTTGTCAAAGGAAGAGACCCCTATGACAGCCGCGGCGATAGCCCCAAGTACGACACCACCTGCGACAACGGAGAGCAACGTATTCTTCAAAGATGGCGTCACGGAGGCTTCAGCCAACAAAGGAGAAGTCATAGACGTGATAACTGCGGCAGACATAGCGGCGCTGGCCTTTGATTTAACCTTCTCCACCCTACGCATACGATGTCATGTGATTTCTACAGAGCTCAACTTAATGGACATACTTCTCGAAGTTGAATACGGTTTCGGAGGTTGAGGACGCTTTCGCGGATACCGCGAAGGTCTTGCCTGTCGGTGTTCGAGAAGTATACGAGTCAGTCGGTACGTAAGACGCTGTGGCGAGGGTAAAGGTTACTCATAGAAAATGTTCGGCGCTCCTTGTAACGAGCAACGGTCGAGCGTAAAGCCGCTGAAGGAAAAGAAACGAAGAACGATCGCGAACGGATGCAAGTCGCGATCAAGTAAGATAATGCGCTTCTCGCACCTTGCTTGCGAACACTGCGAGCGTGAACCTTCGGCAGGGCAATGACTTTAAGTGACGTGTGAACGGACATGTTCACTTAAGTTGGATCTCGTAAAACGACGCGACAGTGACGCGCTTCGAACGGTGTCCAACGTTTATCGCGATAACCGCAACCCAAATCCAAATCTTTGAAGATTCTTTGGGGCACGCGTGTGTTGTCATACTTAAACCAATAATAGTTCTTTTTCTTTATTAAGTTAAGAAACCAAAATCACAGCACAACCCGCGAAAGTGAACGTCGAAGCAACCAGTCGACGGCGCATAGTACGACGTTGATGACACGAGGAACCGAAGATTTAATCCGCGGCTGGCAGTCTGGCTTAGCAGCCACAAATGTGAGTGCACTCACTCCCTGCCTCTCGGAAAATCTTACACTTCAAACACAGGAAACGTTTTCCAGACAGACACGAGTGCTAAACTCGCTCGACACGACGCTATCAAGGCAAAGGAAGTCTATTAACTCGATCCAAGTATGTAAACATGTTCAAACTATTGTGAATTTACGCGAACATACGCAGACGGATCTATGCGGTCTTTCTGCTGCACAATATCGGTTAAAATTTCAGCTTGAGACACTTGAGAACTATCAGAGTGACCTCGAGGTGGCGCTCGCCAAAATTGAAGAAGATACACATGAATTAGTCAGGTTTGTACCGATGAACGTGTATTATATGATGGTTAAAAAGTCATGCAGACACGGACCGGGTGCGGTGCAACTGGATCGCAACGACCGACTATTTTGTTTTGCAGAAAGCATGAGCGCTCAACTGAAGGACGTCTGTGAAAAAATTCAAGACGTGAGCAGCATGTTCGATGAAAAAACGGTACGTGAACTATCCCACAGGTAACAGCACATGGTTCATACCTATTACACAGAGTGATCAAGAAGGCTCTAGCTCTTTGAGCAAATATGTCAACATTTTGAACAGGCAGTTGGCTACTTTGAAGTCATTGGAAGGCGAAATAGCCCAACTCAGCGTTGACTAGTATCTATAGCTGTACGTATATCGATTCGAATATTGTATGTTATTTCATGTGAACAACAAATTACTATGAATTATCTCGCTTCTTCTTGCGTAATCTCTTTGACTGCGAACGCGACAGCTTCAAGTCAGCCGGCTGGTTGCTGATGATTGGTGCTGCGAGGCCCGGCTGTCAGGGAGTTTCTCAGATCGAAATAAGACAAAACCGTGTTGCGCGTACCTCTGAACTGATAACCGACTCCACACCCGTACCCGTAGATTCATGCACTTCGGTAGACACACACCGTGGAGTGACCACCTGAGGTGCTCTAGCCACTGAAGATTGGGTCCGTGGAACCGATGAACGAACGTGCGAGGATTGCTAGGAATTAGATTAGGATACGATGAGACGGTATAGGTGACAAAATTACGCACACAGATAGTCGGCGGTTGCACTATAACAGGAGTAGCAAAAGGCCTCTGTGGTGGAAACTGGATGTAACCAGAGCCACGCACTCTGCTTGGATCCTTGGAAGCAATCAGTCGGAGATAGATGAGCTTTCAAACGAATACCTTGATCTGCATCGTTAGATCATCGATCTCATTCTGAGTTTGCATCTTCGCAGCACGCCCTACTGTCCTGCTCCGACAGGTGACGCTCTCTGTCGTATTTGATTGTATACGTGCAGTTGTTTGTACGCTAGGTAATACCAACCCGCGATGTTCGGTACAAAATACAGTACAAACAGCAGAAAACCCGTATCTATATTGAAGCATTCAGACACTTCAGACATTTTAGCTCGACGGGATACTTCAGGTCTCAGCCCGGGCGCGTCCGTGTAGACGCTCTTACAGTCCACGAGCGTCACTGCTCATCTCGTGCTTATCTCATTTTACGGTAATCCAAATCTGAATCGCTATGCCAGAGAGGGGCGTGTTGGCGAGAGAAGACGAGCCTCCCCAAGTGGATGTTTCGTCCTTCTATGTAAGTTCCGACCAACTCTCATCTTGTGAAGAACCCGGCACTTCGATTGCGCGTGTTGTGAGTGAGGTAAGTAGCAAAGAGTGGATGATATCATGCAATGCGATGCTATATATTCGACGTCTTGTTCGCTTCCATAAAGATGCGTTCGAGAGCCATGCTGAACCAGCACTGCACTCAATATTGCAACAAATGCGAAACCTGCGAAGTGTTGTAAGCAAGTCAGCCCTACTCTGCGCAACAGAGATCATCGATGGATACGATACGTCCAAGATACTGAAGGATGAAGATTCGATCCAGCGATGCTTCTGTAATTTGATTGAGATGAACTCATCGGGGAAGAAATTTGTGGCTGTCGAAGCAAGGAAAGCACTGGCAGCGTTGTCGACTAATTTGTCGCTTACACTTGTGAACTTGTCTTTAGAAAATGTTGATAATCCAAACGCAAGTTTTCGAAGCGTTCTGATGCAGAATTTGAATGATTCTCTTCCCGGTGAGTCGTTTGGGACTATTTGTGAGGTGAGTTGAATTTGAGTGATTATGAAGTATATGGTTCAAGTCATTTCAAGGGCGAGGGCACGCGGGCAGTCTGGGAACGGAAATTAGAGGCCCTGGTACGGATTGCTTTCTACGAGTATTTCGTACAAACTGAATAAATGGTTCATATTTAGGTTCACGACAAACTCCCTGCAACAAGAGAAAGTGCACGTTCATTGCTCGAGAAAATGCGAAGTGCGGTGAAGTGAGGTCGGAAAGAATGTTCGGCGTGCGTATCATTAAATCATTTCACTGAGAAGCAAGACCGGGAGAAATTCGCCAAGTCGAAGTGAACTTATTTATCGCTGGAAAACTCTGCATCTATGACATCATCTTGAGAAGGATCAGTCGAAGCTTCTTGTCCGGTTTCAGAACCAGTCCCTTGATACATCGCCTGGCCCATCGCCATAACTTGCTGTTGCAAATCTTCTTGTGCGGTTTTCATCTTCTCTAAGTCATCACTCGCTATGGCTTGCTTGAGCTCAGCAACTTTTTCAAGAACTTTTTCTTTGACATCTTGCGGTATTTTTTCATCGAGTTCTTGCACTTGTTTTTCGGTTTGGTAAACCATAGAATCAGCACTGTTTCGCACCTCGACTTGTTCGCGCTTTGCTGCATCTTCGCTTGCAAATTTTTCCGCATCGGCGACCATGCGATCGACTTCATCAGACGAAAGCGTAGAAGCTCCAGTGATTTTAATGTCCTGTTTCTTGCCCGTGCCCTTGTCGCAAGCTTCGACCGAAAGGATACCGTTAGCATCTATGTCGAACTTGACCTCAATCTGCGGTACACCACGAGGAGCAGAGGGTATGCCGTCCAGTCTAAAGTTTCCAAGACTCTTGTTATCTTTGACGAATTCGCGCTCGCCTTGTAAAACATTGATTTCGACGCTGGTCTGTCCGTCAGCGGCCGTGGAAAACACTTCTGACTTCGATGTGGGAAGTGTTGTGTTTCGAGGTATAAGTTTTGTCATCACCCCTCCTAACGTTTCAAGGCCAAGGGATAACGGAGTCACATCAAGTAGAACGATGTCCGAGACTTCACCAGCGAGTACCCCAGCTTGCACAGCGGCGCCAAGTGCTACGACTTCATCGGGGTTTACGCTCATGTTCGGTTCCTTCTTAGTGAGACTCTTGACCAATTCGCGGATAGCAGGTATGCGTGTTGAGCCTCCAACAAGAATCACTTCGTCAACTTCCGCTAGACTTAACTTCGCGTCTTTCAGCGCTTGCTGAACAGGAACTTTGCAACGATTAATCAGATCATCGCATAGTTGCTCGAATTTTGGTCTGGTGAGAGAAGTGTCGATGTGTTTTGGTCCATCTGCCGTGGCAGTAATGAAAGGCAGCGAAATGGACGTTGACGAAGTGGTTGACAGTTCCATTTTCGCCTTCTCAGCAGCCTCGGTCAGTCTTTGTAACGCTTGTTTATCACTCATGAGATCGATGCCCTCAGATTTTTCAAAGTCGCCTGCCAACCACTCCACGATACGCTTGTCGAAATCATCACCGCCGAGGTGAGTATCGCCGGAAGTTGACAGAACCTCGAAGACACCATCTCCGACTTCAAGAACAGATACATCGAACGTACCACCTCCTAAATCGAAAATCAAAATAGTCTCGTTCGACTTACGATCAAAACCGTAAGCAAGTGAGGCTGCTGTCGGTTCATTGATAATTCGCAAAACTTCAATACCCGCAATCTGGCCAGCATCCTTAGTAGCCTGTCGTTGACTATCATTGAAGTACGCCGGCACAGTAACCACAGCTTTTGTTACTGCATCGCCAAGAAAACTAGCCGCATCATCGCACAACTTGCGAAGCACTTGAGCGGAGATTTCTTCGGCTGCAAACTGCTTTCCAAGTGCCGGGCACTCAATTTTCACCTTACCGGCACTGTTGACAACAGAGTATGGAATCTCTTTAGACTCACTGTTTACTTCGTCCATTTTGCGACCGATGAAACGTTTGACAGAAAAGAAGGTGTTTTCAGGATTCACGACCCCCTGTCGCTTCGCGATTTGTCCGACCAAGCGGTCACCAGTCTTCGTATACGCAACAACTGAAGGTGTCGTACGTCCGCCTTCAGCATTTGTAACTATAGTGGGAGAGCCACCTTCCATTGCGGCAACCTGTGGAACAAAAAATATATGTCGGTAAGTATCTTGAATTTAGCGAAAAATGTAGAACGTTCTCTTCAACATTCACACAACGCAGGGCTCGTTCAGCATAAAAGCTTACTTACCGCTGAGTTTGTAGTTCCGAGATCGATACCGACCACCTTTTCGGCGCGAACACACAACGACTGCTTCCGCGCGACGCGCGCGGAGTAACGTCGAGATTTCAACACATCAATGCCGGGTGTCAGCTTGCGGGTAGAGAGGTCAACAGAGCGTCCAGCACCGAAGGTCCTTTGAGCGCGGCTCGAGGCGGCGGCACCTTGAACTGAGAACGTTCGTGTGCTTTTTGTGAGGATATGTGGTGAGCTTGCGTACATTATGGCGATCGCAGACTTATGAAACTTTTCCAGTTGCTTGAGAGCGCCTCAGTCGCACGCTGTACAAGACGGCGCGAGAAGTGGCGCGGTGACGCCGCCGCGTGATGACCTAGGCAGGGTTCGAAGGTCCCTTCGATGCTGTTCTACGGGAAAAAAGAGTAAATCAGTGATATGATCCAAACGCAGTATAATATGTGCACGGTTGCGAGTAAAACGGATATTTTTTTCCGACTGGTTCCACAGGTCTGCAGGTTGGAATGTCCGATGGTCGGAGAACGAGCGAACTTGTGGAACCGAAGGCTCGACGACATTCCTTCGCGACGCGTGGCCACAACAACATTTGAACAATTTGCGATCAGTGGCATCGCACGGCGTTCAACTTGCGCCGCGAGCTTTTTGTGCGAACAGCTCTTATTCTAATGGCTCGCAGGTGAGACAGAGGCAACTTTTGTGCGCCTACAGATACAATTAACTGCGATCCTAGATACGACTCGCGGACGACAACGTTTAGTCCAGAAGGTCGTCTTTTCCAGGTTCGTCTAGATTTGACTGATCACACGTTACCATGTTCACAGATGCATGACTAGGTGGAGTATGCTCTCGAGTCGGTGAACCATGCTGGAACGTGCATAGGTCTGCACACAGAGAATGGCATATTGCTTGCTTCCGAGAAAAAGATTATGTCGAAGGTAGATCTTGATTGCATGATTTATAGTCTGAAGAGTTGAGCTTGTCTTATGCAGCTTCTCGAGCAAAGTAGTACGCCAGAAAAACTTTGGAAAATAGACCAGCATATAGTCGCTGCAATCGCTGGACTGAACGCAGACGCGATGATTCTGATAAATTTTGCGAGGTAAATTTGTGTCTAAATACTGGATTCCTCTTCTAACCGAGCCTTAAAGAGTGATTGCTGGGCGCTACAGAGCACGATATGGGACATTGATCCCAGTGGAGAATCTTGTGCAAGAATTGAGCGATCACAAACAAGGATACACACAATTCGGTGGCCTTCGGCCGTACGGAGTTGCTTTTCTCTTTGCGGGTTGGTAAGCGTTTTCGAGATTTTAAATCACAACGGCTTAACACAGTGCAGCGACGGGCGGAACGGATTCCAACTGTATCATAGTGAGCCATCCGGCAATTACAGTGCTTGGAAGGTATGCCTAGATATTTTACAAGCGTGAACGACGTCATCTGTTTCTCAGGCAGCAGCTATTGGTGCAAGTCATCAAGCGGCGCGTTCTATGCTGAAAACCGATTTTACCGAAGGGCTCAGCATAGATGAAGCAAAATCCGTCGCTTGCAAAGTATTACAAAAAACTATGGACTGTGTCAATTTGACAAGTGACAAAGTCGAAATGTTCTACTTAACTCGCAACAAAGATACAGGCGAAGTGTTTACGCAAACACTTTCGCTTTGACTTAAAGCATCGAAAGTAGAAACTCCCACATATTAGTGTTCTCGTTCGCAAGTGAAAGAGCCACTTCAACTTTGCACGCATAATGTACCTAGTACCTAGTCAACATGCATCGACCGCGAGATCTGGTAGCTATGGCTAATAATCGAATAACCGGGTCACATTTTTACATTCGGGCGAGTTTCAAATTTGTATCGTTTAGAAATTGATCCCTGTAATCTGAAACTTGTTGCAGCTGCGTCACAGCTAGTTTTCAGTAAAACTAATTGTTTATGCTTCGGATCTTCTTTGCCTGTATCTGCATTTTAAGCTTTGCATTCTGAGACTTTTTCAAGTGACTCACCGATTACTTCATGCTGTCCTACGCTTAGAAGCATTGTCTACACCGATAGGGTAAGATAGTGAAAGAAGAGGCTGGACACCGGCGTACGTCTTTTAAGAGTGAGCATTTGCAGAATTTTTCGGCAGTCACGTGCGGAGTAATTCGTCCCTACTTATAATAATTAGTCTGCTTCGGATGCGCTACGTGAAGATAGCTCGCCTGTATTTCAAGTACAACAAACTTGGCATGCATTTGAAGTTGGTGTGAGGTACTGCAACACGAATTCAAAGAATGCGCTGTGCTCGAGATGAGCGATCACCAGCTTGCGAGAAATGTGAGCTATCTGTAGCGTTTGATAGTCAGAACACAGGCGTAGAGGAACTGCCACAGGTGTGCGTTGACGAGCGGCGCCTGTTACCCTCAGCGTCGAACTGTCGAACACAACACCTCAGGACACAAAATTTCAAGGACAATACTTGTATAGCATGTTGAGTCGATATCATATGATATGATATTGCTTTTAGTAATGTTATCAGTATGTATTACTTTCCACGTCCCTAATATGTGCGCGCCGTCGAAGTGCTAATAACTCGCGACGACGCCACAACGCGCGCGTGGCGATCGAGAAGTGCTAACACCCCATACATTAGGGCGTGGAAAGTAATACATACGGATACTGTTAATGTTAACAGTAAGTAAGCTAAATCCACGTCATTAAAATAGGGAACCGCGGTTGCACAGTACGAAGACATCATGTGGTTTTGCGGAGTGCGTCAAAAGACAAGACAAGCGGCGGCACTGAACGCGCCGACCCGATACCGCTGCTTATCGTGGAAACGTAGAGCGTCCCCCGACTCCAAACTTCTCGACAGTAGGTGGCAATCTCTTCCTGCGCCTCATCTTCACGTATCGACGATTGGAGCGAGCAAACTACCTACCCGATGTTGCGACACTACTGGAAGGCGTGGGACTCAATCATTTCGAAAGTAGTTTTCTCCTGCGCTGACTGGTTAGGCTGGGAGCTCGACCCGCTGAGCCCCACCACCTCACATTTACCCGCCATAACCTCACCAACTCCTCTGATCACCAGCCTTCTCGTGTACTTGGTCACGGTCGTTGTATCGTACCGCGTCTTATCCGCAACAACAAACACAAAGATTTGGGATCCCACATGGTTAAAAGCATCGGTGATTTGCCACAATGCATTCCTCATATTACTAAGTTTGTATATGTGCATCGGTTGTATCGTCGAAGCATACAAAAGTGGATATAAGCTATGGGGAAATAAGTTCAACGTGAATGAAAAGCAGCTTGCGTTTTACATCTACCTCTTTTACGTGAGCAAGATATATGAGTTCGTTGATACATTCATAATGCTACTGAAGAGAAACTTACGCCAAGTAAGCTTTTTGCATGTCTACCATCACAGCACTATTTCGTTTATATGGTGGATGATCGCACGTCGAGCTCCGGGTGGGGATGCTTACTTCAGTGCAGCACTGAACTCTTGGGTACACGTGTGCATGTACACGTACTATCTGCTATCGGCTCTGATCGGGAAAAACAACGACAAACGTGTTAAGTACCTTTGGTGGGGTCGACATTTGACGCAGATGCAGATGCTTCAATTTCTATGCAATCTGTTACAGGCCGTGTACTGTGCATATTTTTCAGAATACCCGAAGTTCTTGTCAAAGATACTCCTTTTTTACATGATTAGCCTGCTGGCGCTGTTTGGACATTTCTATTACTCCAAGCACATCGCCACCGCGAAGCTCAGGAAAAAACACACCAAGAAGGCGTGATAGCAAGAAGAGAAATGCTGTAGAGATAATTTCGCAAATATATCACTGTCTCTGTACGATTTCTCATCTATGGGACGAACTGCGCGACTTCGACTTGTTAAGCGGCAAAATTGTTAATAAGAAATCTTTAACGGTACGTCGAGCTTTCAATAGCTCTATGTGAGGGCCAACTCGAATGTTTACTTCATGCCCTTTGCTAGCAAACCTAAACCACCAGCTTTCTCCCGCTTTTTGCTCGCCTTTCCCAAAACTGGCTTCGATTTGCCCTGACGTTTGGTCGCAAGTTTCATTGCATTGGCGATGCCATCTTCTGAAGATTCGTTCAACGCATCAAAAAGAAACTGCAATGCACAGCACTCTTCGGGAGTGAGATCAGGATGCCAGAAACGAACTATGAGAACGTAACGTGTTTGTGTTCGGCTTTCATTCGCGGTACTGTGTATGAAACTTGTATCTGCGATCATACCACGACCATTCATCCATTCACGTTTAAACTCCCCGACTTTCATCCAGCATTCGCCTTCAGGAACGTCCAAGCCCAAGTGCGATGTGAGTATGAAGTTTGTGTTATCGGTGTGCGGTTTTATCCCCGTGTCTGGTGCTTGTCGCGCGAAAAACACTTCGACAGATGGTACAGAATTTTTCCGCAAAAGTTCGACTGTCTTTGGAAACAACTTACAATTTGTGTCTTCCCAGACACAGCGGTCTTGTAGTACAAGGGTCTTCCAGTCGGGGCCGTATGCAATCGCTTCCTCCCTTGCCGCCGACGCCCAAATGTGATTTCCAAGCGTCGTTAGTCGTGGGTTTAGAAGCGCACTGTTTAGTTCATCTCGAATGATGGAGTATTCTTCTTCAAGTCGCATCATCCAAGTGAAATGGGGTGAACTGACATCGTGAAAGGGTTCAGCTGATAGTCCTGTTATGTAAGACGAAGCCTTTTGCAAACCTTTATCAGGATGGAAGCGAGTGTATTCTTGGCCTGCGGCCGCGAACGAAAGACTTTGCAGAACGCGTTTTGCGCTGGTTTCGCCGTACTGCAGTTTTAGGGCCTCGTAAATGCGTGAAACATAGACATCGTCGTCTCGGCTAGAGTGTAGCATCATGCGGCGCCCAGGCCGTCTAGACATATGAAAGACATGCTTACAGTGAAGTGGTCTCGCTATCGGTGAACCACAAGTATTCATTGCAAGTCCTCAAGTTCTACCACCGGAGAGTGACGCTGGAGTCAGTGTGGCGACAAGCGACCTCGCACGGAGGGGTCAAGAACACCGTAGCAACATAGTTCAACTTTGGTGTGTGGGCTGCACTGTCTTCGTGACTCGTCAAATACGAACTACCCACTGTACAATGTGCGCATGGGTTCGAACCCCATTCCTGGCAGAAAGACGAAAAAGAAGGAAAAAGCGCCAGGATGCCCGAGTGGTCTAAGGGGGTGGATTTAAGTCGTATTGTGTGAAAATTTTCTCCAATAGATAGAGATGGCGCGCCCGCATAATTTTTTTCCCTGCCTGAATATCTGAGCAGTCACGGTGGACTGTACGTCGGTGACCCTGACTTTGCGGGTGGATAGGTGGATAGCAGCATAGTAGCTGGCTGTTTCCACTCGCAATCGCGAGTTTGGGACGACGCATCTATCGCAAGATTGGATACGTCGACCCTAAAAGTATACAAGACGACTACATGGAGAAAGATCGCCAGTCAGCGTGGCTCGACGAGCTTTACTTTGAGCATAGCGCAACAAGGGAAGGCAAACATGTACAGCGTAGCAGTACTGGCCAAGCTATCACGAAAGATCTGCATAAGTTCTCAAATGCACTCTTGAACGCACTGCGTGTTCGCCAGATATTGCAATTCAACCAGGAACTTCTTATACTCACAGAGAAATTAGCAGAGAAAACAAACGAAGGGGACTTAATCGAAGCGTTGAATGCGTACGAAGATTTGCTTAGATTACATAAGTCGCGATCAAACGTGCGCTCAAAAACCGACATTGACATTGAGAGTTCCTTGACTAGTGTACACTGCTTTGTTCGGAATGCTACGTCGAGTTATTGTCAGTCAGCACTCGTGGTTGATGATCTTGTGAATGTTCTCCATATAGTGGATAAATTGGTTAGAATAGAGCTCCATCACGTTGTCGAAGATGCCGTCACTACGTCAATTCGCGAGACTATGGTTGCAAGATACGAAAATGCGCAAAATATGAATTTGGACAGGGGGCAAATACCAGCGAGAGTGAGCATGTTGCCTCTCAATACCTTGTACGAGACTATCCGAAGCTTTTTGTCGCAACTGCAAACATATTCGAAAGAAAGAAAGCCTTCTGAAGCGGTTAGTTTTGTTTTTGCCGCGATTGTCGGTACTTGGTCTTCGCTAGTTGAAAAATTTTTGGTCGAATATGATGACCACTTGAAAACTTGTGTTCTGGACAATTTGACGATAAAATTTGATAACTTGGTACAGTTAGACACAGCCGTGGAAGATATCGTCCTGGTCAACAGAATATGTAAAGCACAGCATGTGATATTTGTGAAGTTTCCGTTAACAATGGAGTATGACAATCCGCCGCTTCACACGGTGGTTAGTCAAGACTGCCGCGAAGTTTTTCCAGTGCTGCACACGCTCGCAGAATATTATGTGAAACTTGAAGAAAAACACTTCAAGGTGAGTATGCAAACGTTCTATGAAGCGTATAACGCGCACCATGATGGAGCACAAAATGTTTCATTGGATGACGTTTTTTTTGTTATTGGTCGGAGTACAAGGCGGGCTTTTGCGTTGACAGAGCCACATATCATCGCAACAATTTTACGCACGGTGAACAAGTTTCTCACAGATTTCTCAGAACAAACGATGAAAGTGTATCTGAATCAGAGTGTAGAGGTTATTGCAGAGGTATTTTGGATCGAAAATAAGGGCATGAGTAGCACATCAAATGTTACCGCCGGTGTGCACAACGCAGTCTTAGCCATGAATGCCACAAGTACCATGTCGATTCGCATACAAGAGCTCATAAAGGATGTGGAGTGCATGATGTCTAAGATTTTCACGACAGGTTTTGATACGAGTGAACTAACGAATAGCCTTGTTAGTTTGAGAATTTTATATGATGAGCTCAACAGCTGGCATGTTTCATGTGTGTCTAACTTGGTACGTGAACGCCTGAATCAGTTATCGACTGTATGTGAGCAGTTCGCACGCGGAAGCTACATAATATCAGAAGAAGCTTACCAGACTGTTGAGCGTACTGAATCGTGGGTAAGTGATATATTGGTCTTTCTCTTGCACCATTTCCGCGTGGCGACAAAAGTGATGATCAAGGAAAGTTCTGAGCTCTTTATCCAGCTCGCAAGCGAAGGCTTATCGACACGACTGGAAAATATTGTGAAAACGCGTTTAAGCTTTAATCATTTAGGTGCTTTAAAGTTCGAGCGAGAACTACGAGTAATGATTTCTGGGCTATCGGGTGCGAGCAGTTTTCGAGTGAGAGAAAATTTTGCACGTCTTACACAACTTAGTGTCGTATTGAGTGCAGAGACTCAAAACGAAGTTGAAAATTATCTGGTTGATATGAGGCATCAGTCTTCGTGGAAACTATCAGAGAGTGATGCTCAGAAGATTGTTTCTCTAAGAGTAGATTTGGCATAGAACTAGTCTACGAACGTTATGTTGCTGTCACTGTCCATAACCCACACCCCGAGAGCCGTATACTCACTCATGCAAGCATCAAGGACACCTGATAAGCCACTTTTCGTCGCCAGCTGACGAACTATAGAAGCGCTTATGAATTGATTCGAGTGATCACTAGCCCAGTTCCGTAGAAGCAAATACAAATTCTCGACGGGATCCGAGCGTAGTGCTGTTGACGACTTGTGAATTTCTAGACTCGCCTTCGACATCTTCATCAGGTTGAGTGCCTGTTCGATATCTTTCCCGGAGACAATAGGTGCCCAACGGAGCCGTGCGAGAGCTTCTGCAAGTCGAATGATAGATAGTAGCGTACGAGCGGTGGTATAACCAGTCGCCTCACTTCCAGCTTCATCTTCAACCTGACGAATACCGGCATATGCACTGGCGATGTCGTCTGCAAGGTCTTCCGGGATGTAAGGGTCAAAATGCCGCGCGACATCTATGTAAGCTCGCAGTTCAGAGGTTGAGACTGGATCAAAACTTGTGGACGGTGGGCGACCTTCGCGATGTACGCTCATAACATGGCGAGCCAGTTCAATGTCAGAGTCGGGATCAGGAACGTCCAAAATAAGCCACATCAAATCAAACCTACTTAGGAGTGCCGCCGGTAGATTAATATTCTCCTGGGGTGTAGCAGCTGTATTGTATCTACCAAATGCCGGATTTGCTGCTGCGAGGACTGTTGTTCGTGCATTTAGAGTTGTGGTTATCCCAGCTTTCGCGATACTGACGGTTTGCTGCTCCATGACTTCATGTATAGCCGTTCGATCGCTTTCTTCCATTTTATCGAATTCGTCTATGCAGCATATACCTTTATCAGCTAGTACGAGCGCACCACCTTCTAGCACTAATTCGCTTGTAATGTTATCTCTTTGAATTGACGCTGTAAGACCTACACCACTGCTGCCCCGCCCAGTTGTATAAACTCCGCGAGTTGCAATAGAGACTATCTGTTTCAACAGCTGGGATTTGGCAACACCGGGATCGCCCATAAGACAAACATGAACATCACCACGAATCTTGACACCATCTTGGAGTGTTCTCGTTACTCCACCACATAGCAACAGTAAAAGAGCTTTTTTTATGTCAACGTGGCCATAAATTTCAGGGGCAATAGATTTTGCTAAGTGCGTGTATATGTCTGGGGTTTCTCTGAGCTTATGCAGCCTCTCCAGCACCTCCGGAGTCGCATCCGAGCTAGTTGTCTTCGACTTATGCGGTGTGACCGACATTGCATACAAGTATGTGGTCGAAACAAGACTTGAGTTGCCCAAGTATCCAACACTTGGACGTGGTAGGAAAACTCCACTGATATCAATTGTATCTCCCGGAGCAAGCTTTCTAGTCATTTCACCGATCAGTGATATCGACATTGACCTAGGAACGTGACCGATCGGCACGTCTTCTGACATTTCTTGCACTTTGACCTCCTGGTATTTTGCAAATTTTGACGCCCGTGTTTCAATGAATAGTGCAAACTTTTTGTTGCAAGTTTGCGATTGGCAGAACTGCTTCGGGATGAATTCGTTGCCATTGATTTCTTGGAAGTACTCGTGTCCACAACCTTCACATGTATAGCAGGCTACCTTGATGAGCGGCTTCACATCAGTTATCCGTGTACACATGCCTTTGAAAGTGACATAGTGCCCTATCATATTAGCCCGTATGTCGCGCATCTTGAGAGATTTAGTTCCTTTCAGGGGTTTGAAGAAAACATCAAATGCACGTCGTAACACTTCGGGTGCTGGATTTTCGCTTCGCTCGCCAATATCATCGGAATGCCGCTGCAGAAACACGTCTAGATCATCTTCACCGACTTCAGAGAGTGAAGCACTCGAAGACGCCAGGTTTTTTATCAATCCGTCAATTTCTTCCGCAAATAAAGTAGCGTAGCGTTTGCAATTCGACGTGATCCGGTCTAAGAGTTCCTCGCGCTCTTCAAGTGCCCCGCAAAACTCTTTCACGTCCTGCAAATCGATGTCCACGCAACAACTTTGGCGGTCCAAAACTTTTTGCAGCGCGCGCCGGTAATGTGGGCTGCCGTCTCTCCCTTCGAATGTCTGAAGAAACTCTCGTATAAGCTCCCGCTCTCGCGTGTATGCTTCATCGGCCATGCTTTCGCGCGCGTAGAGGTGTCGTTTGACGACGTGTTCAAATTCGAACGCAGAGTATTCAAAAGACAAGAGACAGCTACGTGTATCTGGCGGAAAAATTTATATCGCCCCTTTAGAGAGTACCTACACACATGACGAGTCATGATGGCAGCGCGGTGTAACGATAAGCTCTGGACTGATAGGCACTTTATGAGTTTGAATATATTCACATGTATATGAATCGGAGTCGTGAAGATGGCGTATTTTGCGGTCTCTGTCACATATGTTACTGTGATTGGAATTAGCTAATATATAACATGCTTTTGCCGGCCTGAAGTCGGCCTGATAGCAAACACGCAAACGGTCCTTTAAGAATCCTCCCAGCTGCCAACAAAGCCCCGGCTAGCGAAGGGCGAACTCGTCGCGGTTTTTCGAATAGTCGCCGTTAATTTCGAAGACGGTAGCGCGTGGTAATAGTGGCTATATCTCGTAGGCAACCGACCCGTCGCGTCAAAGAAAACGAAAGGCCACAAAGAGCGACGATGTCGGTAAGTACTCGCAACACATTTACAACTTTTACTAATAACAGTAACTAGCTCGAACTGTATCGTAGATCAAGCTTAGGAATGGCGCTGACTGATGCCCTAGACGAGTTGGTCATCAGTGGAGTATTATCGCCAACGATCGCCATGAAGGTGCTTAGTGAGTTCGATAAAAGTGTGTGTAGGTCACTTCGAGCTTCGAAAGTAAAGGCGAGCGTAAAGGGTCAGCTACATACGTATCGCTTTTGTGGAAACGTCTGGACATTTATTGTCGAGAATGCGATCGTGAATATCGCAGATGTGGACGTCCAGTCTAAGGAGGTCAGAGTGCAACTGCTCAAAGTCGTGGCTTGTGACAGTAAACTCGGAGACGTGAGCGGTAGTGTGTAGAAGTAATTTAGAGGTTGGACAAAAAGACGTTGTTATTCATACATTTCAGTGCTCAGGCACTCCTTTCGTAGGCCATGTACGTGCCCATAAAGCTTCATGGTACAGCACACTGATACTGAGTTGCACTTGCGCGGCACTCCATCGCGCTCATCTCGACGAGATTTCGCATAGTTAAATGGTTTACTCGTGCTTACTCGCCTTTTTTCGCAGACTTGTTCATCAGCGACTTGTGAATGTGCGGGATAACACCACCACCGGCAATGGTAGCCTTGATGAGCATGTCGAGCTCTTCATCACCACGAATGGCAAGTTGGAGGTGGCGAGGAGTAATACGTTTCACCTATTCTATACGTCAGGTGCCATATCGACTTGTTCATCATAAACTTACCTTCAAGTCTTTGGATGCGTTGCCCGCCAATTCTAACACTTCCGCCGTCAAGTACTCTGCCCTACAAGTCAATTTTTCTGAGAATCACTTGCACACTTTTCACTTACCAAGAATGGCGGCCGAGTAAACCGCCGCAGTGGCGCCGACGCGTCCACCAGATGCAGCACGATTCTGTCATAAAAATGAGTACATGTTTAACGACGATCAGTTAAGACGTATACACGAATGACTCTTGGAAATCGAACACGAGTTAGAGCGTTCAAATTTAAACGGTCGAATCGCGCGCCGAGTGGCAGTGCCTCAAATCCGTGTCGACGTCCCGACCGCGGTCTACGCGCCACCGCCCCGTCGAAAAAAAAACATACCTTCAGAAATCGGTGGATACGACCGACCGGGAATTGTAAACCGGCTTTGACCGAACGAGAAGTTGGCTTGCGCTTGTCACCTTTTTTCGACGACATCGTGCCCTTCGCCCCCTTACCGGAAAGGCCTTTACCGGACAGTCCCTTGGCTCCTTTACCAGACATGAGTTAAGAGCAAAAGATTTTTCGTTTGGGTGTGCGACAGACGGATCTGGTGAAGACGCGTCGGATGGTGACGTCGCGCGTGACGGTTATGCTGTACACTTTCGCAGTTTCACTCGAGCGCCGCGATTCGGAAAGTAGTGCGATCGTACACATAGGTGTCTCAATGACAATATATGGAACTGTACAATTTCCGAGGCGGGAGAAAACTTGTGCACGAATCGCGCGAGGACGCGGAGAGTTGGTGAGCCGCACGATGTTACTTATTCCGTAGCGCGCCGCGCCCGATCACCTGACATCGCGATGATTAATCGACCTGGGCGACCCCAGGAACCGATTGAACGGCAATTTGAATTCGTCCGAACATGCGAGCCCAGTAAGTTGAGTCCTCGTATACTTTCTATTCTATCGAGTTGTACAGGCAAGAGAGACATCGCCTTTGTGACGCTGGCAACCTCCATACATCGTTCACATCAATTTGAGCGGCAGCACTATGGCCAGAGGCTTTCTAAGGTGGGCGCACATAGCCTTTCAGAAGGATTTTTCTCAACTGTTACAGATGTGCAAGCACGTTCGCGCCTTACAAATTTGCAACAGATTTCTTCGCGTGCCCGTAACGCTGGAAGACATCGAAAACGGTGGGGTTTGTGAGATACTGAAGCAACTTATTGTTTTAGGTCGCATTAATCTTGCTTTCGGTGTTGCAAAAATTGTAAGTTCTCTCATACTTATGTTCCCAGTCTCTGAAACTCATCCACTGCTAGCTCGGGGTCGATACGACTTGGCTTGTCACGATGATCATAGCTAGAAAAACGTTGATTGTCAATAATTGTCTATCGAGTGTAGACTTTGTGGGCTGTGAAGCACGAATTCTCAGGAGTGTCTTACTATTGGCGCTGTGTGACCGCAGAACGATAGATAGCAACCGTGCAGAATATTGCGATAGTCACCTCATCGGCAAAAAGGTAGCGAGCTTATTTCTCTCCAATCGAGTCTCTCCATTCGAGTCTTAGCTTTTGTAGCAGTGTGGCACAGAGTTCGTTTGCCATGGACATGTTAAACTTTTGTCGGGACGTTCTCAGCAGTTGGACGTTGAACTGATGTGGACAGTTCGACGACAGCAGCATCCTTCGAAGGTGAATTTACAAAAGCGCCCCACTATCAGTTTTAATATTTGCACAGGGCGATCAACTAGAGAACATTTGCCCGAAGTTGCACAGAAAATTCCTTTCCCACATTTTTCCGACGAGTGCAAACCAGTGCAACTCCACGAAGGTACTTTTTAAAATTGTTTCGTTGTTTTATTCTTATTACTTTCACAGGGCTGTTTCGAAAAGCTTTTCACTCGATCGAAGCGTGAAGACGGTCACTTGGAGATGGTATCTTATGATTTCTCAAGTATTTGCAGACTTAACGAATGTTGACAGTTGGAAGTGGGACGCCGCGATAACGTCGGTCAAAGGTCAGTGTTAGGAATGTATAACAGAGTCGTGGAGCGTGCCGCTGATTAGACCGATCAGTTTCATGTGTCTACGACTGAGCTATAAAGCTATCCAGGTTGCATGTTTGCGAGTGAACAAACCGTTAACAAACCCGGGCTAGGGGTGAGACGAGGAAATGTATGAAATATTTGTGTTTTAGCCACGCAGGGGATTACGTAGAGCGAGATGCGAGCGTGATCTCCCCGAGCACTTAACGCCGCGTAGTATACTAAGTTGTGAGTAAAGGCCGATGATAGAATTGCATCATACGAGTCTTCTATCATCGAAACTATTGTCGATACCACGCCCACCGTGGTTTGAGGATTGTAGAGGTATCTAAGCGAGCGTTTAGCTCATCAAATCAACTTGATCTTACTGAGAGCGATGTACTGTAATCTCAAATTAGTCAATGGTTTGGAGTGATTCGAGGCAAGTCCTTACCGTGCCAGCAGCAAATACCAGGGAAGTGGTCAAAAAACCAAAATACAAAAGCGGAGTGGGAACTCCCGCAAGCTGCGTCATCTAGAGCTAAATGTTAGAAAACCCCAAATTGATATCGAAACTAACACTACCTCGATGATGTCTTGGTCATAGCTCGGCATGGCAATCGCCGCTTGCGACGGGAGGGTCGCAACTGTTCGGATCGGATTAAAACGCGGTCAGCCACTAGGCACGCAGATTTCCGAGTCGCCACAGTGCGAATGCACGTGGATAGGCGTAAGAACGTCAAAAAAATCCCACAATTACTGTATACGCACCTAGAGTTGCGGTAGCTTTCATAGCGTTATTTAGTTCGAAGTTGGACGCGGCGGAGGGTTTCGCACGCGCAACGCGGGAACCGGTGCGCTGGGAGCGCCGCGAAGTGCAGAGCTCTCTAGCTACCGGTACACTGAAGCGTGTGAAGGAACACGTGGTAAGCATTTTGTACGATAGGTTTGCGTCTGCGTGGGGCCGTCTGAGGTGAAGCGCGCTCGCTGTGACGAGTATCGCCTGCCTCAGTGGATCGTTATCCGCTGTGACATTTCCAACACGATTTTTCACTCTATTTTTCCATGTTATGATACAAATTGACCGCATCAACTGATGGACTGAAGTATAAAATGCGACCATAAACCGCGACGGACAATATCTCACATGGGTGATATCGCATGTGGGAATATTACACCGGTTGACCGTCGAGAAGTCACGCGGCAGCGTGCGCCGTGGGTACTGAGGGACATCAGTTCTTCGTTGTGCGTAGACTGACCCCTTTAGGACTCGCATCTCGCACTGGTCAGTATTTGCTGCCTCATGATGCTGAAAACACGTGTGGCGAGGCACGTGAAGCTCGACCAAAATAGCCGCCAGTGTTATCAAAGGTCGTCCGGAAAAGGATGGCCGCGCGATTTTAAAAGCCCGCGTGCGGGCGTCCGCGCTTGCACCGACATGAAGGCAAATGTCGACATCATCATAGCCGGAGGAGGTCTTGGGGGGCTATTTGCTGCGATATGTCTCGTTCAGCAGGGAATGAACGTTACTGTGCTGGAGAGAACAAAAGAGTATAAACCGTTAGGTGGTCCCATTCAGCTCGCTAGCAATGGCATGGGTGTTGCGCATGCTATCAGTGATGAACTCGCGAAGAATATACGAGCAGCTAGTCGGCCGTTTTGGTCTACAAAGAGTGGGATCCGAGACGGCATCACCTCCGAATGGATGTTTACATTTGATGCCATAACACAAATACCATGCGAGGACAGTCTACCGTTTTCGATTTGTATCGATAGATCGGATCTTCAATCCGTTTTGCTAGAAGAATTAAATCGAGTCTCTACCGATAGAGAAGTAGTGAGAATGGGGACTGCAGTATCAAGGTACTTCGAATCAGACAAAGGAGTAGAAGTTTTTCTTGAGAATGGAGAAACACTGTCGTGCGACATCTTAATAGGCGCAGATGGTATTTGGAGTACGGTGCGTTCGCAAATGTTCGATGAAGTTTCAAGTACAGTTAATGATCGTTTTGCGATAGCTTCATACACTGGCTTCAAACTTTACAGCGGTCTGCCGATTTCGAACTCTTCAGATTATTTCGATCTTGGGTATAGTGCCTTCATTGGACCTGATCACTATTTTGTGGTTTGTCCAGATCGTTTTGGTCGAGTGCAGTGGTATGCATTTGTAAAGGCGCTACCTCGCACACCCACGTCTACGCCATCGAAGAAAACGCTCACAAACACTTTTAAGGATTGGGCACCTGAAGTAAGGAACCTGATAGCTGCCACGGACGAGGGGGGTATAATCCAACGTGACTTGCTCGATCGAACGCCAAGTATAAGGAAAAGCTGGGCGAAAGGAAATGTCGTCTTGCTTGGAGACTCGTGTCACGCAACTATGCCAAACATTGGTCAAGGAACTGGTCTGGCATTCGAAGATGGTTACATGTTGGCACAAATGTTGTCTAAACTCAACTCACGGTCCGAAATTTCTGAGATCTTGCAGCGATTCTATCGTCGTCGAATCGTACGCACGGCAGTCGTGCAGGGATTGGGACGATTGAATAGTGAAGCAATCAAACTGTTGACACCACTACTTCCGGTTCGCCCCGTGGTTGACTTTATACTTTCACCACTATTACCTGCACGCACGCAGTTAGAAAAAACCCGTGAAAGTAGAAAGCAATACACACCCCCTTACGCGAACCAGGCTTCGCGGCAAGCTCGCGCTTAGTCACCGCGTGTCCCTTGTCGAGACCGACCGAAATGTTATCCTTCATATCCGCCAGCACGTTTATCGCGTCTCACTGCCGCCGCCGACGAACGCCCTGCCAACACAGGTTCGCGCTCATTTCTCGTGGAGTTATTAGAACTGTGTCAGATAATACACATAAGTATTAGGCCTTCTACTCCTATAATATGAGTATCGTATTATACTACAAGAATACCTATGTTGATATGATTTCGCGAAATATCGTGTAATTTCGCGTAATAGAAAGGGGCTTGAAAGCCCCAGTTGTAAATCCATACCGTGCGCGAAGAAACACGATATGATATGTATAAACCCGCTAAACGTACAGACCCCGCTGAGACCGCGGGACTCGTTGGTTTCAAGTTTTTGAATACGTGCACTCAGCCTCTGCATACCGTGCGCGTTCTGCTTGGCAACAGCAAACACCGAAGACGCTCGAGACACAAAGGTAACGAAAGTGATTTTGGCTGGCTGATTACATACTTTCGAGATATCTGAACGACGCCGACGTGCGCCCTGCTTCAGGCGAAATGGTTTGTGTGGACGATCCGAGCGTGAATAGAGCTCTTCCGTGGACGGAAAAATATCGGCCAGTGGGTTTGAGTGAAGTGGTTGCACATAAAGCGATAGTTGATGTCATCAACAAGTTTGCGGATGGCGGCCAGCACCTGAAGTAAGGAACCTGATAGCTGCCACGGACGAGGGGGGTATAATCCAACGTGACTTGCTCGATCGAACGCCAAGTATAAGGAAAAGCTGGGCGAAAGGAAATGTCGTCTTGCTTGGAGACTCGTGTCACGCAACTATGCCAAACATTGGTCAAGGAACTGGTCTGGCATTCGAAGATGGTTACATGTTGGCACAAATGTTGTCTAAACTCAACTCACGGTCCGAAATTTCTGAGATCTTGCAGCGATTCTATCGTCGTCGAATCGTACGCACGGCAGTCGTGCAGGGATTGGGACGATTGAATAGTGAAGCAATCAAACTGTTGACACCACTACTTCCGGTTCGCCCCGTGGTTGACTTTATACTTTCACCACTATTACCTGCAGTCTTTTATCTGCAATTCAAATATTGTTACTCGTTCTGCCCATTTCGAATGGACGTACACGAAAGTCGTCGATACGCGGAAGAAATGAAAAGCAGACACATGGTTGAAACTTTGAATGCTTTGACGAGAGTAAACGACTCACTGTGAGTGGCTTTTGTGTGACCTATGGCAGTTCGCAGTAACAATTACAAACCTAGAATGAGTCACTTTCTATCGTTTCAAGTTCACCCTACGACACATAATTATTGAATTTCTAATTTGTCAAAACACGAACTTACTCCTATAGTATCCAGTTTACTTTGTAAAATATGCACTGCCTGTAGAACAACCTCCTCAACTTTCAATACTCCAGTTGACTCAACGATGAAAGTAAAACAGTCCAGACCGGGCCGCACATCAATCAATCCAGGCTTTCCGAGCTCGTTTACCTGTCAAGGTCAAGAGTTCATTTATATAGATGAAACGAATGTTGAATCTTACCTTCTTCATAACTTCACCATCGTAAGTACATGACTCTGGAGAGGTGAGAGTAAAAGTATCCGTGTCGGCGTCATATTTAAACATTTTGGATGGATCGCTCTCCACGATCGCTGCCTTTTCCGGTCCTGCATTGTGACGTTTAAAGTTGTGGTAAAGAATTCTAGTCTGGCTCTTACCATTTAGCGAGTTCAGGAGGCCGTGATTGATGTCAATCAAGGGAGTGTACTTAAACACGGCCGTAGCGACTGGGGACCACTTGGCATGATCCTTACCAGTGCCTTTTCTTGCGATACATTTCAACGATAACTGCTGGTTTTTGCGTAGTTTTGCTATCAGAATCCCGCCTGACTTCGCAGAACCACCACCTGTCCCCCCAAAGCTCACTGGTTTTACTCTTTCGTCGTGTGAGATCAGATCGTCGCTCGTGACGTCCCTTGTCTGGTCGCTCTGACATCGCACATTGAGTTCCAAGTGCACATCTGTTGCGGTATCATCGTCTCCAGTGTACTCGTAAGGCTTCACGAGTTCTGAAGCTTTTGTGCTGTCAAGGGGGATCAGACCCAAGCGGTGTGCCAAGAACTCATCACACAGAACAGAGGAGTTTTCTATCACCTCGACTAAGTCAATTGAAACAGTTGGGACATCCGCTATCATTAGCCGCCTGAGTGCGTTTGCTAGGCTGACATCAACTCCTTTCAAATCGAAAATGATAGTTTCGTCCTCTAAACGTGCCACTGTCACTGAAGCACCGGTTTCTTCCCCCGGAATCATCTTGACTAGGTTCCAGAAACACGCGAAACAGGAGTTGCGTACGATGATGGTACGAAGTCGAGTGAATGTCGATGCCTTTGTATAGGATTCCGTAGAAAGAGCGCTTCGTTTGTGTCGCGCAACTTTGAACGACGCGCAGTGGAGCCGGCTCGAGATTCGAGGGGCTAGCTGAGATCTTAGACGAGGCAGCTGTAGGATTAGTTTTTCGTGATTTCAGGAATGCGTACGAGCTAGTAGAACACCAGTGTCACCAGTTACTTCATCGTAGCGAGAGAGTTTACCGAAGAGTCGCCGGTGATGGACAGTGAACGTGGTTTGTTTGCTGTCGGGGTAGTGATCGTCTTTTGTAAAGTTGTGAAGTCTTCAATGACGAACTACAATCGATTGAAGTTACGAACTTGAATCTATTTACGTTTTACTTGCTCTCGGGAGCAGGCGCTTTTCGGCTAGCCTTTCGCATAAGGTTTCCCATTTCCTCTCGCTTTTTCTTGGCGCGCAGGTGCGTCCCAAGCTGTTGGCAGGAAAGTTCAGTCGTTAGTCGGCGGACGCGCACGGCAATCGACGAAAATAGACGGCCATGAACAATGCACTGCAGAGTATTATCGATTCATAAGTCCACTCCACGAATGCAGATCGAGAACGGGGTCGACGGGTGCTTCTCGCGCGCAAAGCCCTAAAGAATGATATGGTACGCACCTTTCTCTTTGCCAACTTCAGGGCACGTTTGTCCCGCCCGTTCTTGAGCAGTTCGACGAGACGCTTTTCGTAAGGTGCTGAGCCTGCCACTTCCCGGATGAGGCCGCGAATCATTCCAACACGCTTACCACAACGCTACGCACGCAGTTAGAAAAAACCCGTGAAAGTAGAAAGCAATACACACCCCCTTACGCGAACCAGGCTTCGCGGCAAGCTCGCGCTTAGTCACCGCGTGTCCCTTGTCGAGACCGACCGAAATGTTATCCTTCATATCCGCCAGCACGTTTATCGCGTCTCACTGCCGCCGCCGACGAACGCCCTGCCAACACAGGTTCGCGCTCATTTCTCGTGGAGTTATTAGAACTGTGTCAGATAATACACATAAGTATTAGGCCTTCTACTCCTATAATATGAGTATCGTATTATACTACAAGAATACCTATGTTGATATGATTTCGCGAAATATCGTGTAATTTCGCGTAATAGAAAGGGGCTTGAAAGCCCCAGTTGTAAATCCATACCGTGCGCGAAGAAACACGATATGATATGTATAAACCCGCTAAACGTACAGACCCCGCTGAGACCGCGGGACTCGTTGGTTTCAAGTTTTTGAATACGTGCACTCAGCCTCTGCATACCGTGCGCGTTCTGCTTGGCAACAGCAAACACCGAAGACGCTCGAGACACAAAGGTAACGAAAGTGATTTTGGCTGGCTGATTACATACTTTCGAGATATCTGAACGACGCCGACGTGCGCCCTGCTTCAGGCGAAATGGTTTGTGTGGACGATCCGAGCGTGAATAGAGCTCTTCCGTGGACGGAAAAATATCGGCCAGTGGGTTTGAGTGAAGTGGTTGCACATAAAGCGATAGTTGATGTCATCAACAAGTTTGCGGATGGCGGCCAGCTTCCGCACTTACTGTTCCACGGCCCCCCGGGAACGGGAAAGACGTCCACAATCTTGGCGCTCGCTAAAGAGCTTTATGGATTGAACTTTTCTAATATGGTTCTTGAACTGAACGCCTCCGATGCGCGTGGTATTAATGTCGTTCGTGATGAAATCCAATCATTTGCATCGACCATGCGACCCTTTTCGACGACATTCAAACTCGTTATTATGGACGAGTGTGACAGCATGACCAAAGACGCACAGTTCGCGCTGCGGAGAATTATGGAAAAGTACACTCAGCATACGCGCTTTTGTTTGATATGTAATTACGCCTCCAAAGTCATCCCAGCGCTGCAAAGCAGGTGCACGAAATTTAGATTCTCTCCAATTGCGTCAGGAGATATGTTGCAGCGACTGCGGCATATCGTGAATAGCGAAAACTTCAGTATTTCTGATAACTCACTTGCGACAATCCAGAAACTTGGCGAAGGTGATATGCGGAAGACCGTCAACATACTTCAGAGTGTCAGTCTGTCGGCATCTGTTGTCACAGATGACGCAATTCATTTGATAACAGGTCATGTTGGCCAGCTCCAAGTGGACGAGCTGTTGCGATTTCTCCTCAACGAACCACTCCAAGGGACTTTTGAACATTTTAATCGTCTGAAATGTACTCAGAACTTTGCGCTGGTCGACATCGTCAAGCCTCTATCTGAGTCTTTGCTTACCCTGCATATGGCGGCGGGAACGAGAGCACGGTTGCTCAGAGGACTTTCAGATATTGAGTACTCTCTGAGTTTCGCTTGCTCTGAGAAAAATCAAACGTTGTACCTGATATCCTTATTCCATCAAGCAAGATTTGAGATGACGCGACATAGCTAGATATTAATTGAAAGTGTAATGAGCTAGACGAGGGTATCCAAGAGAGAGGCTCGTATGTCTCGTACAGCTCCGCTTGAGTCTGCACCGTGGAGCTGATAAATGCTCTCTATGACCTGGAATAAATCATGAGTAAGTGAGATAAAAAGCGCATACAAGAGACCATACCTGTATCTCCGTAGAAGTTGTATCGAGCCCGCAGAAAGCGATCCAGTCATTCACAAGCAGACCAGCACCAATCACATCGCTGCCGCGATTTATTGTGCCGGCCACAAGCGGAACCTACAAATTATTGAAAAGGTAAGATGCGTGCTCTTCGATCTATGGCCTTTTGTCGCACCTGCAAGAGGGATGATAGCTCATCGACTTCTTGAACCGAGGCCTGCGGGTGAACCATACCACCCCGATTCGAAAATTTACAAAAGCTACCAACGAGGACGTTACCGGCAACGCTCTATATCTCGTGTAAAAATATTTTCTTCCATGTTGACATTGTATCGAATGTACCTGTCGAAATACTTCAACGCCGAGAACATCTGCGATGATTTCTTCAGTTTCCTGATCTATGTCCGGGTGGACAAGCGCAACGTGGTCATTGCAAGCCACGCAGTTGCCTAAGGCTGATGCGAGGTAAATTTCTCGGGCTGCCCAGTTTGCCAACAAAATACCTGACAGTCGTTCCTCCGTCCTCTGCACTATTACTTCATCTGGTAGGGAATTCCTTATGTGCATTACTTCTACACGGGGGACAAGGGTTATAAAAGCCAAACCATCGGTAGATGAGGATACCTTGATCTGTTGCTGAAGTCGGTAACAACAAGCCGTGCTTGTTCCCTAAAAGGAGTACAGTCACGCCACGTCCAACGTTCGATATTTGGACATACCGACACTAAGACGCCCAACGAGCCTTGTCCCGGCCAAACTTGCCTTGATAACGGGTATTTCGTTACTTAACTCTGCTTCAAATACGCTACAAGGAAAGTTTACACAAATACACGCGAGGTTTTGGAAAACGGCCCACCTGTAAAAGTTTTCCGAGCCACCTACGGCTGCAAGACAGTACGCATTTGTTAATGCTGCGAATACCCCGATTTCATTGCTTATATCTCCGCGTCAGGCCATTAAACAATCAATCCGAGTACAAAGAATACCTGTTCTCGAACTGGTGCCTCGCCGCCATCGCTGCGAAGTGAGCCCACACAACATGACGCAGCACACACACAAAACTAAGAGTTTGATCAGCAAATGACCGCCACTGTTTCTTGATATTGTAAACTGATGCCAATATATGTTATTAATAATTTACAGGGAGATATATATACTACAACAGGAAGAAAAATAAAAAGTGAAAATGGGCCAGCTGCGAGTAATTTAAAATGTTCGATGTTCACATATTACAGAGACTAGGCCATTGGCGGTCGACATTCAATATCACAAATAGTAATGCGGCAGTAACTTCTCATTCAGACAATACGCCGACAATGTGTTTAAAATTTTAGAGTCTCATAAATCAATCAGCTATGGGCTGGCTGAGAGATTCCTGACCTAAACCATATAACGATCCAGCGAACTGATGCATGTTCACATTTGAGAAGTGAGACTTCTGAAGCTTGAAAAACGTATGTGCGGTGAGCAAACTATCACTACCGGCCTGGTGCTGAGGCCCTATACGTGCTACATGTAAATATTCGGCAAGTTTATTCAGTCCGCCGTGCATGTTACCAACAAACTGCATCAAGTGTTTGATGTCATAAATACACGGGAAATAACACTGCAGAAGTGTAAAAAAGTCAGCCTCTTTGTCAGGCAGTGGAGCGTTTGTCAGTAGCTTGAGTAAGTACCCAAAGTCGTAACTACTATGAAATGTTAACCAGCGGATATCATCGTTCAAAACCACACCACTAACCATAAGTTTCTCGCCAAACTGAACAATGTCTATTCCACGTTCCTCCAGCAAATTGAAATCGATACCACTTTCCTTTAATAGCTCGATAGAATCTTGCGCGTAGAGCTCATCTTTAACGTTGAATTCTTTGAAGTTGAATTGCCATATACAGAACCGCCCATCGACGACTGGTAAATTTCCAGCACCGTCTGAAAATGTCAAACCAAGTTGAATCAACTTGAGCAAGTCCACATTGCAACGTAAAGTTTGGTATTGAAATTCGGCTTGGTGTTTGAAAGAGCCAACTGGGCGAGCGACCTAGAGACGACTGTGAGAATTATGGAAAAAGGTAAGAAGACAGAATACGCACAACACCAGGAAACTCGGTATCCATCGCGACATATGGGTAGTTACATACAACCTCACGAATCAGTGCACACTCTTCATCCAAATTATGCGCCCATACATCACGTGTGTGCAAAGTAGATGGTGTCAACGCGCTAGACATCAAGTGGTCAAACGAATAAGCAAATAGCCCAAGGTGTGCTGAGCTTGGCTATACTGATCACAACAGTACCAAGGGAATAGAGTGTTTCGCCAGTATATTTCTTCGAAATGAAGCGGGAGAGCGACGAAGGTCCAGTGTTGATCAGGCGCCCGATGTAAGAGCTTCGACGAGCGGCGCACGAAGCCGTGAAGAGCGTGTCGACAGAAGAGCAAACGGGTTTCGATGACCGAATTTTATCCATCGCATCGACTGATTTTATACCAATATACTTGATTTTTGTAGCCTATCGGATACGAGCATTTGTATGCATACCCTGCAAAAGGGACGTATCCCGTAAAATACAAACGCGAACGGGACACCAACGTCGAGTGCGACGTGAGAAGATAGCGCGTGTGTCGACAGTGAGAAACGGAATGGCTGGCAGCGACACACATAGCGGTGCTGTACCGCTGAGGTTTTGCCCTAACAGCAACGATCTACTGTATCCCAAAGAGGATCGTGTCAACAAGAAACTAGTATATTTCTGTCGAAATTGTGACTACACGATCGCCGCGACAGAGAATTGCGTACATAGACGCACGATATTCCATTCCGCGTCAGAGATAACCGCAGTTATACACGACGTACGAACGGATCCAACGCTGCCGCGTTCTAAAGATGTACAGTGTTCACTGTGTGATGCAAGAGAGGCGGTCTTTTTCTCGCAGACTACTACAGAGGGAATGTCTTTGTTCTTTCAATGTATAAATTGCGGGAACAAATGGAAGGATACAGGCACCGTTGCGTAACTAATACAGTGGTGTTTAGGACGCAGTTGTGTCCTACTCGAAAGACGTGGACGCGCTAAAACTGTGCAGGGTTTGTGGGTTTTGGCCCAGGTGACACGTGCTCCGTGTGGTTTGTGGACCGACATAGCTTATCGTGCCTCAAACTGTACGACTGCGGGTAAAAAGGTTGTAAAAAAACTACGAGTATAGAGTAGAACTAACGACACGATACCTTGCTTCGTCCTCTTTTTGTACAAGATGCGATACCCACACTCTCGGCAGATTATAACATCACCCGGGCGTAAGAGCACCTCAGAGCCACAATCTACCGGTGTATTTCGCTGTCAGATCATGGATGAAGCCGATTACACAGATACATACCACCACAGTTGTACGCCACACCGCCGCCGCCACTTGATTTTGGTTCCTGGTACATCGTTACCCTAAAGCTATCACAAGCAGCTACGACTGACTGTACAAGTTGTACTACAGCGTAACCGGTCAGATTTTAGTGTGTCTGATCAGATGATGACGTCACGTTACGAACCACAGAACACGTATGGCACCACTGCGTGAGGCAGATGTGTCCTACGGCAGACCGGGACTCGATTGTGTCCAACTTTTAGCTTACACGTCGATTCATCATGCTTGATATGGGTCATTTGATATTAAAATACGTGATGACGCACCAGACGAAAGTCCGAAGTGACGAAGAAGTCTACGCATACTATCGAAGAGTCACACCAAGTTTTTCAACGAGAGATTCGCGCACGGTTTCCTGCAATTCGTTAATTTCATCATCGGTAAGGGATCGATCCATGGAGCGATAAGAAATTCTAAAACAGTTCGAAACCTTGTCTGTTTTGGGATTGCGGAACTCATCTATCAGTTTCACTTCCTCAACTATATCGCCGGCAGTTGCACGCACGATTTCACACAGGTTGTTTTCAGTGAATGTCGATTCGTCGGGTAACCAGAAAGAAACGTCTTTGTAGCAAGGGGGGTATTTTGAATAACTTTTGAATTTTTGCATCCCGACGCCTCCACTTCGGAACATCCCGGGCTTGAACTGTTTCAAGAACCGTGCATCATCAGTCCAGAACAGTCGGATGTCAGGGATGTCGAATAAAACCATAGCAAGACGTTCAAGTCCTAAACCAAATGCCCACGCGCGCTCATTTACTAGGGATGCTTCGTTCAGAATTTTAGTTTCCATCACACCGCACCCCAAAACTTCCAACCACTCACCATTGAAGTAAATTTCAAGTTCGTACGAGGGATTAGTGAATGGAAAGTAAGCATCTACCCAACGCATTTCAACTTCTCCAAATAGATGACGCGCAAGACCCTCTAGCATATTTTTTAATTCCTGACTTGCAAGTTCCTCGCCCGTGAGTTCGCTGCCAGCGATTTCATCTTGAGTGAACACTCGAACTCCTTCCATCTGATGAAAGACAGGGAAATGCGTCGCGTCGATCGAATCTCGTCTGTAGACATCACCGGTCACCAGGAAGCGCTTCTCACCCTGCTTCAACAGACTGAGTTGATGGGCCGACGTGTGGCAGCGCAAAACAGTATCTGCTGTAACATAGTATGTGTCATTTTTTGACCTTGATACGTGATCTTCCGGTACCAAAACTGAATCGAAGTTTTCGTACGACGACACAATAGGATGCAAATCATCGAACATTCGAAACGCGTTTTTCCCATACGTTTCATCAAAATAGTCCATGATAGCATTCTTCAAGATACCGAGTGGGTGCTCTGGACGGCGGTGCAAGTCAACTCCGATTTTCTCAAATATATACTCCGTCACGTTATTGTCTGGACATGCAATCAACACATCTGCAATACATATCAACTTGGCACTCGATTCACAAAATCTCAGTACGACTTACCTTCTCTTCGAACAGCCGCAGCCCCCCCCGGCCCTCGAACAACTCGCGTGGACGATCGTTGCGACGTTCCTAGAGTTGACTTATGTCCGTAAAAATGGCCAGCTACCCGTACAATACAGTGTCTTGCTAACATACTACGCATTCTGTCCACTTTCTCGGTGTGCTGAGTGGTTGCGGCGACTTCTCTCGCGACGAGAGCTCAGACTTGGCTTTTATCACATGACATGTATACAGGGGCGACCTCCAATTTCGCTATTTCGGTATATATAGTGTAAATGTGGTATCTATATACCAGCATGTTAGAGTGGAGGATTCCGTATTACAGTGGTCTATACCACCAGAATTACCACATCTTGCGATTTATGTGACGAATCAAGTGGCTCAGTGCCAAACCTCGTCCGGAGCGAGGTCTGACGACGCTGGTTTGTCACCCAACTGCAACAAATCGGTGACGATGGCTCTTTCGAATATTTATAGAGGCTCGGGCATGCTTCGCGCGGTATTTGCTCGCTCAGCGTTCTCGACGCACCGCACTTGCTCTGCTCAACGAAGACTTACGACTCAAGCGAATGACCGCGGTCACGGAGCTACTTCGCTGCCGAATTCACGATTGAGGGCGTTTGCGGACGATGAAAGGTACGAATCGAGTGTTTATGGCGAACTCCACGCACGTGGCCTCGTCGAGGCGTGCACGAATGAGTCAGTGTTGGAGGGGAGTTCTTTACGAGTTTACTGTGGTTTTGACCCCACTGCGGATTCCTTGCACATTGGCAATTTGCTAGGTATAGTCGTACTATCCTGGTTTGAGAAGTACGGACACACACCAGTCGCTCTGATTGGCGGGGCGACAGGTAGAGTGGGCGATCCTTCTGGAAAGTCTTCGGAGCGACCTATACTGGACGAAACTACAATAGCTGTGAACGCTGAGGCTATTTCCAACACGATCCAAAAGATATTGACAGATAATTCCACTGATACGTCGCTAATAGTCGTCAATAACGTCGATTGGTATGCTGACATGAGTTTCTTGGACTTCTTGCGGGACGTTGGGAAGTATTCACGCCTGGGGACCATGCTTGCAAAAGATAGTGTCAAGTCTCGACTTTCAAGTGAAAGTGGTATAAGCTTTACCGAGTTTGCATATCAGCTTTTGCAAGGTTATGATTTCGTTCATCTTCTCCGATCACAACAAGTGTCTGTGCAAGTCGGTGGGAGTGACCAGTGGGGGAATATCACCGCTGGGACCGACCTTATACGCAGACTTGAACCTTCTGCTGACGTATCTGGGCTTACCTTTCCACTTCTACTAAAGTCAGATGGCACAAAATTTGGAAAATCTGAGCAAGGCGCGATTTGGCTTTCTACTTCGAGATTGTCACCTTACAAGTTCTATCAATATTTCCTGAACGTAGATGACGCTGACGTCATTCGACTCCTGAAGATGCTGACGTTTGTACCGTTGGCTGAAGTTTTAGAGTATGAACGTCACATGAGTCAGCCTAGCTACATAGTAAACACTGTCCAAAGGCGTCTCGCTGAGGAAGTAACGCGATTTGTTCACGGAGTGCAAGGGTTGGAAGAAGCGCAGGCTGCTACCTCTGTGCTGAAACCAGGGGCGGACACTGATTTAGATGTGACCGCGTTGACTGCTCTCGAAGGTATCGTACCGAGCGCAACACTCCCTATGCAACAGGTGTTAGGCATCAGTCTAGTCCAACTGGCTGTTGACGTAGGATTACAGCCAAGCAAAGGCGCCACCAAGCGGTTGATTCAAGGTGGAGGTTTGCGACTTAACAACATCAAAGTCTTGTCAGATGAAGCTACCGTGAGCATGGCAGACATTGTCGACGGTAGGCTACTACTGCTTGCCGCTGGAAAAAAAAACAAGTTATTGATATCGGTCACTTGATGCGAAAGTACCTGCGTGTGCGAATACCCCATCATGTGATCTACAGTAGTTTCATGCTTGTATTGACAAAGGCCAACTACGAGGAAGGGTTGCATTGTGGGGCGGGCATGTGTGAGGTGACAACACTCGCCACTTTATCGCCTCCATGGCTTAAAAGCCGCCAGTATACATATGCCCGATCCCGAAGATCAGGGTGCTCACTTTCATGGGTAGCAAACATCAACATCTGCTGAACGAGGGATTTTGACTCTTCGCTCGGACGTTTAAGAAATAGCTTAACTGTCGATGTAAGTAATTGGAGCTGTACAACGACAGGTTCATCATCGACACCATCAATAAACGTTCGCAATAAATCGATAACATTTTCGATGCGATCAGCGTACTCGCCAAGAATCCAAATGAAAGACTTCTTTGCTTCTGGTTCATCCAAACTCACGAGTGATTGACATAAACGCGATATCACACTCTCATACCGATCTGGGTAACACCGGAATATGTCCTTTAAAACAACTAGCGCCTCTTGAACGGCATAGTTAACTTTCGTGTCAATAATGCACATAAGTGCACTAACGCACCCCTGTGAATATTCAGGCACAGATAGAGCACATATACCGATCGAGCGAATGGCTTTTCGTGCGAACTCGATGTCCACTTCACCAGAATATTCTTTGAGCTCGAGTAAAATATCGCCAACGTTGTTCTCATTCGTAATTTTGACGAGAATATTCAGCTTTTCATGTTTCACATACGACGGGTCATTGTATTTGCAGAAAAATGCCTAAACACACATCAGTTCCTAGACTGACCATTAATCGAACATTTTACCTTGTAACTGTGCAAAAACGGAAATACAAAGGCATCCATGATTTCACTTATACTCGTCAACGCGACATACTGAATTTCAGGTTCAGCGTTCAACATTGTGATGAGTGGAGGAACAATTCGTTGTAGTAAAGACTCTCGCAAGTGCTATAAAACAAAGTCAACAATCGGAATCCAAGATTGAGAACAACACAGACCTGAACTTGATGCAACTTACTGAGAATCACTCGTATGCATGCGAGTACTACGGCATAGTTGGCATGCTGAAGCTTTGGCAAGATACTTTCAAGTATGTGTTCGGCCTCCGTAGCACTTGTACTCTCATACGCCGCCAAACAGTCAAGGATAGTCACTTTCCCCCACCTACAACGAAGAATCAACAAAGTGATTTGAAACGAATAGACATGTAATCTTACTCAGTGCACGCTTCGAGTGAAGTAAAAACTCTAGAAAGCAGACTTGAGTCGATTATTTGCGCACAGCTCCCTTTCTGAATTTCGACAAGTGCCGCAATGGAGTTTGCCATTACCATGGGGTTGTCATCAAGCAGCAAGCCGTTTAACTGCTGTAGAAATCCTCTAAGACGTCCAAACATCGTAAGTCATCACAGCAGACGGTCTTTCGCAGACAAACCTGTCGATAACGAGCTCTCTATTTATGCTATATAACTTCGCTACGCATATGGCCGCAGTTTTTCGGACGTATGGATCAGAGTCCTGAAAGACGTCAACTTCAGAAAATACGTGAAACGAGTACGTGCGTACCCGTAATGCTAGATGCAATGGATCGCATAAATATTCTACGATCCTGTCAACCCGTATACAGCCCATCGTCCGCACAGCAAGAGCCCGTATGAGCGGGTTGGGATCTTGACTGTCCTATAATCAAAGATTTTAGGCTAGAAAAGTATGTCGACTTGTCTTTTTACCTTTACGAATGTATTCACCGCGAGTATAGCAAGATCAGGGTTAGACCGTGCGTAATTGATCGAGTATAAGTAAATGAGCTTTTTCAACTCTATGTCTTCAGTCTGCATGCAATTGATGACGTCTGGAAACAGTGAACATACGTCCTTCCCGACCGTCATAGCAGCAATAACTGCGATATTTAGTTGATAGGTGTTCAAGTTAGAGATTAAATGATCGTACTTCTCTTTACCGTCGTCTTTAAAAGATCTCTGTCATTTCTTTTCAAGTCTTGGCGCCACTCTGCTATTTCGCCTGAGGGGGAACTGTCACTTCAATACTTTTCACTTCTCAGTGAAGCCTGCCCACAGTTACCTTTCTTATGACTGGAGAAGTATCTAGAATCGTGCGAGCTCATGGCAGCTGTACCGGATCCCGACAGGCCTGTAGTGGCGCAATCGTATCGATGGAGCCGCTGCCGCGCGACGTGTGACAACAAGTGCTCGTGTCCGCGTGCGTCGTGAGAACGCCCGCGTCTTGTGTGAGGATGGAAAAAATCATGCAATGTACAGATAGGCATCGGTATGTGTGTATATGATATTATATCCTCATAATTCAGTGGGTATAAACCGACATTTAGCCGAGTTGCGCACCGCTGAGTTGTGTGTCGCCGGCGCGCGACCTGACCGAGTCACGCGTTCGCAATTCGACGCGAATTGGCGTGTGAACCCCGCTGAAGTACATGAGGGTTGATGGAACATCTGCAATGCATGCGGTGGAGCTGTGCGTTCGGAATCCTTCGGTACAATTTCTTCGAAGCCACGCGCTTTATCGTTGAACTTCGTTTAGATGCTCCCAAAGGTGAAAGAGCGGCTTGGTCAAAAGCCAATCGCCGCGAGGTATTGAAATATGCGTGTTCGAAACATCACATATTCGTTAACGCATGCTTTTGTAGTCGAGTACGTGTGCTCGAGAGCCCATCAAATCTAGCAGGCACTTTCAACGAGTTAGAATTCTTTTCCAAGCTTCAAACTCGACACCTTGGGGCTATTTTGCTGCGATCGGGAAAGTTGGGTAGCACGAGCGACTTTTTGCTCAAGTGCGCGTCTCAATTTACAGTTTTGTGCTTTTTCTCACTTGATAATCAGGGAGTTTGAGTCTTTCCCGTCTGGGACTGTATGCGTCAGTGATGAGCAGACTGCGGGCCAAGGTCGAGGGTATTTAGACGCCGTTCGTTCATCGTACCGAATCCTCACGCATATTCAGCACAAATGTCTGGCAGTCACCGTACGGTTGCTTGACGTTTTCCTTTACATGTGAAACTAGTTTGTGCGTGCAAATAAATCAAAGTATTTATGTGTGTGACTTGGAACGACAGGGCTGCTGCCGAAATCCCTCTTCTACAGTACATATCGACATTAGCGGTCGTTAAGGTTTGTGTGCACTCAGAACATTCCTTCTTGTTTGATCACTGCTGCGCTTAGGCGATTGAGGAGTCTTGTACTGCTGCTGGTTGCTCACAGTACAAGTCGCTGGGTATACGGATCAAGTGGCCAAATGATATTTATTATAAGTTGAACAAGGTATAGGGACACTTAGACCTTCTTCTATATACTTTAAGCTTCGAACGTAGATTGGTGGTGTTCTATGCAAAGCCATTTATCGTGAAAATTCCTTCAGCGTAGTGATAGGTATCGGCCTCAATCTTGACAACTCTGTAAGTTTTATTTCTTTTATTTCGACAAAAAGAAGAATATCTTATCGGTCGCTAGTCGCCTAGTGTGTGCCTTAACAGCCTGATTAATGAGAACGCTCTATTCTTCTCGACTTTTGATGGCACAAAGCGTGGGGGTGTTCAAGAACCATCCACTGAGAAGTTCAGCGTAGTGCGTTGCTAACGTATGCTTTGGGAGTTTACTCATACTGTGTAGAAATTGAAGAGAGAGGCGCTCGTTCCTAAAATTCTGGGTCAGTCCGCTCCAAACGAGGAAATATCTTTGCTTACCCCGGTTTAGCTCACTTTGAAAGTCTACATGACAAATTGCAAAGAAACGGTTTCTGCGCCATACGGGTATGAAATGTAGAATGTCCAGGACTCTTGCTTATGTATTTGTAGGCAGAATACACGGCTCACTGGCTACACGATGAAGCACAACTTTCGATTTTTAACTCAGATTCTTCGGGCGCGATGATTTCGGTCACTGTCACTGGTCTCACAGATGCAGGTTTTCTGTTTGCAGGTGAAATGTGACAACAACCTAGAACTCACAAATCTTACTGCGTAAACAGTCGATCGTCAGGGAAACACGTTCGAACTCCATCCAGATGGTAATAGTTTAGATATCCTTACAGGGATGATTGGGAAAAAACTCTCTTAGATTAGATAATTTACACACTGGTAATGCAGGTCACACTTCCTAATTGACACGAACTTGAAAACGTGTTCTCAAGTATGCCTGCCAGTGTCTTGAAATCAAGCATGTCAAAAACCGACAGCGACACCCCCGTAAGTGTATTAATTTTTACACTTGCTTCCGCGAGCGTAAGTGAATCGGCACCAAGTTGTAATAACGGGATTCGAGTGTTTTCACGTGCTCCAGGAACCAGAGCATCGATGACAGCTATAATTTGTTCGATATAAGCATCAGGTGTTCTCTTCAGTGTGTGTGATTCTATTATCGGATGGTCGCTGGACGATCGACCAGCAGTCAGAGATGGAGTTTTTATCACATTTTCCCGTTGATAGACAAACGTCGTGCCTTTCGCGGGTACGAAAGATTTCGTCAACATAAGCTGCGAGCTGCGAACACCTGATACCGAGCGTGTGTATGTCGTATCCCTAACCTGCCGTCGTAAGCCTAAAGATACTAGTTCCACATTCGCGCTACGGCACACGTTGACTTGCTGCGCGAAGGCATCGACGTGCACAATCTGTTCGCAATAGTCGTTCGAGGGTCGCGTCATGTGCGGCGAGTAAACGCGTTACAGGCGTTTTGGAGCGCCCTGCGCAGAGCGAGTAAGTACTTACAGAAATATATGCTTTCTACCTAGTACTTTATATATCCGACGGGACATGACATGATATCATATGATATATATACATTTCACTAAGAACAAACACCTAAAAAATAATATCGGCTTATCATAGGTTTCTTTCTCTTTGCTTGGTTCGATACTCTCGAAACGCGCGCCCAGCACTATTGAACAGGCGTAAAGCATGAAATCCACTTACGTGGTTTCATCTGTCACTTGCTCTGCGCGTGCTGCCCGCGTCGCGCACGGAGACCACTTGCGATCTGCCGCCAACAGGCGAGTGGGAGCGAAAACAGCTCCCCAGCACCTTGAACGTGTAACGACGACGTCGCGACGTCGCCCTCGGACCATCCACGCGCACGGAAGACCGGGGGCGGCCATCAGTAATGCTTATGCAAGTCCACAAGCTTCAAACTCACCGGCTAGCGCGAATCCGGGGACCTCGTATAGTGAACACAAACCAAAAACACCGCCACCTGACCTCCCCTCCTTGCTTCTGGACAGCCGAATCGTCTACATAGGCATGCCGGTGAGATACATGTTCAATAACTTGAATTGGGAAACTAACTACGCATTATTGATAGCTTGTTCCTGCTGTTACTGAGCTCATTGTGTCAGAACTCCTGTATCTTCAATACACCGATCAAAAGAAGCCGTGCTACATCTACATCAACTCGACTGGTTGTACCCGCGCCGATGGCGAGGTTGTCGGTTTTGAAACCGAAGCCACCGCAATTTTCGACACGATGAAGTATATTGGCAATGAGGTGAGGTCTTAATTTCGTTTTTAACGACTTTTCTCACATAGATATAGATTTATACAGTTGGTACCGGTGTTGCAATAGGGCAAGCATGCATGCTTCTATCTGCAGGTGATAAAGGTAAAAGGTACATGACACCTCATGCGACAGCAATGTTGCACCAACCTCGCGTACCTTCGACTGGAGAGCGACAGGCTACCGAACTAAACATCAAGTGGCGCGAAACACTTGCTCAGAAGAAGTCTCTGTTGGATATTCTCAGTCAGACAACAGGTCATTCAGTGGCCAAGTTAGATAAGGTGAGCTTTTCGCTACAATGATTTTCGTTCATTATTAAAATTTCTTGCGAATAGGATATGCAACGCCCGTTGTACATGACGGCTAAGGACGCGATTGAATACGGAATCGTTGATAAAGTTATTGAGCGCGAATCAAACGCGATCGCGGACGTGATGAGCGCGTCGGCGTGGGATAGTGCCGCTGGTCTAGTTCAGAAGCCCGTCTAGACAGTTTAGTGCGAGTAGGGCTTACTATAATCTCATAATTCGAACTTCTTTGTAGTATCACTACGCCTTCGATCAAAAAGAAAATCATAAATAAGAGAAACGTTGGAAATGTGCGAGGGCAAGGGCCAAGTTGTGTTAGATAGACTAGCTTTTCCGTCCGCGACTACTCTCAGACAAGCGCGTTGAGGCGATGAGTTTGGTTCACGAACTTGGCTATCCTGATCACCATCTAATTTCTATCAACATTGGCACCGTGTGCACGATATTGTTACGAAACCTCAATACGAAGTCACAAGCAAAATAGGCAATGTCTAGAGAGGGTTGCATGCGATTCACCGCATAGCTATTAGCTGAACTTCAGCATGTAGAATGACGCTACGAGCACACCGAGGATAGCTCCACACACTACCTGCAACGGACTATGCCCCAAAACTTCTTTGAGCTTGGTATTGCTCAGTGGCGACCCATGAAAAGTGTCAGCAAGAATCTTGTTCAGTACCTCAGCCTGTTTCCCAGCGTGTCGTCTCACTCCAGCCGCGTCGTACATAACAATCAACGTGAACGCTAATGACATTGGGAAATGCACACTCCCTAAGCCATGCAGATGCGCGATAGAGGTCGTTAAACCGACGACAAGAGCTGTGTGAGAACTGGGCATGCCACCACTGTCAAACATTACTCTGTAATCCCAACGACCCTCACGATAGTATGCAGTAAATATCTTCGCGACTTGAGCGACAAGCCAGCTTAAAAATGCGCACATAAACGCATGGTTACCAGTTAGGTCACTGAAGGCAGTAGAAAATGACACACCAACTGGTACGGCTGAAAGAGCATTGGCGCGAGTAGCAACTCTATCTGAAAAAGGATCTTGAGCGGAAAATATGATTCGACTGGACCCTTGAGGAACGCAGTACAGTTCCTCCTGACATAATTGCAATTCTTCGATCGTTTCTGGTGTTGTTGATTGCATTGTTTCTGATGTTGTTGAACACACACTCCCCCGTACTGGCGAACCAGCATTCGTATATAGGAAAGTGAGAGATGGCGCGAGAGTATTAGTTGAGCGTCTCGTGATAAACGCAGCGCCATGTTTGATTGTACTCCTATCACTCTGGATACGAAATGACGACGCCCGCAATCCCCTTGAAGGCACAACCATACTCGAGCTCATCACCTTCACACCTTCGGGCTTTGGGCTTTTCTTGTTATACTCGTTCGCGAAGTATTATGGTGCACCGGTGTTCACAAATGAAATACACGTGCGGCCGTCGTTGAACCGTCGTTGAACCGATATAACTGTATCGACGGTTCCAGTGCGCGTCAGTCTCTTCGCGCACTTACGGAACGATAGGCAGATAGGGCAGACTCTTCCAGCATTCTTGGTTTTAATTCCAACGGCTTTATCCAAATACTTCCAAATACTACAGTATTTAACGATACTAGGGGTACATATTAAATCATTTTGTTAATTTTACGACGACATGGACTGCTCTCAGAAGGAAAAATTTATATATCGCACCTTTAGAGAGTACCTCAGAAGGAAAAATTTATATATCGCACCTTTAGAGAGTACCTACACACATGACGAGTCATGAACCGTGGATATATACGTATTTTACACCGTTTAGTGCCATCTACAATAGAGTATTCCTACCTTGGTGAAAAACACGTTCGCCTCGTGTCTTTTCCACGCCTGTCGCGCCAGTTGTCGTCGCGCGTGCGGGCGATGGTCGGATGGAAGACGAGTGCGACGATGATCCCTTCGACGATCCGTTCGGTGATGCTCTTCACGTATCGTCCGGGCTCCAGGAGACACGTGACTCCAGCGATTCCAGGAGACACGTGACTCCAGCGATTCCAGATAATGTTGAAGCCTCTCTACCAACTCATCGGAGAAGCCTTGGAGCAGCTTTCGACAACGTGAGTGTAAAGTTACGCTGGGCACAAATGACCGCCGAGTTGACACAACTCGCACTCGATCCAGAATTCACGTTCGAGCCTGATGAAGCCGCACACATCACAGACACGCTCAACAAACTTCAACGTTTCATGCACAACTTGAAGACACACAGAGAGATGTCTCAAAACATGTCCAAGAATAGCAAAATGGACGGCGATGGTGTGCTCGGTATGTCGAACCTGGTTGCGATTCCTATGAGAGGCGCGGCGGGTGATACGGCGTTGAGCAGGAAGAGGGGCTGGCACGAGAAGATGGTCGATGAACACAAACGCAAGGCAAGCAAAGGCGAGCAAATTAGCATTAGGAACTACCTCTCGTAGATGTTGTAGAATCAAACTTTTAGAACTAAACGGTGTAAAATACGTATATATCCACGGTTCATGACTCGTCATGTGTGTAGGTACTCTCTAAAGGTGCGATATATAAATTTTTCCCTCTCAGAAATAGTCTTGGTTGGCAAATCGAGAGCGGTTGAGCTGTATCCGGCCGGGGAATCGTTGCTGTTCGGGTTGCAGCTGCACGGCGGAACGAACAGCGACGCTCATCACTGTGAGCTATCGTAGACGACTTGCGTACGAGCGAACAAATTCAGGATTCGCAGAATCATATTCAAGTACGTGTACCGTTTTACGGTAATATTCAGTCGATCGCGCCGAATGCGTTAACACTCTAAGCAAATATGCGCTGAATTATCGCCTTCCTACGGTTATATTCGTGTACACGGATCGATGCTACCAAAACCAGGTGCAAGTCGATTTGATAGGTGAGGACACTTTCATCGTACGCATCCCCCATTTATATCAAGGTCTTACATAGCTCCCTCGGTTTGTTGACGACGAGATTCATGACCCTGCTGCGCGAGTCGCCGAAAGGAACTCTCGATCTAAACGAGGCTGCCGTCGCGCTGCTAGTGCAGAAGCGGAGAATATACGATATAACGAACGTACTAGAGGGAATCGGCTTGGTTACCAAAGTTTCGAAGAATAAAGTAGTTTTACGACACGTGCACTCCCAGCCTAGCTTGGCAGAATATGAGCACCAGGTAAATATATCGTACACCTGACTGAAGCATGTTGACGATTGATTTCAGGCGAATGTTGCATCCAACACAGTGGTTGATGACAAGCTGGACCAGATGAAAGAAATCATCCGCTCCATTTTTGCTGATACTCAACACGAGGTTTGTATGACTGCAGAGCCCTATGCATATCTTACGATTCGTCTAGGCTGGAATCTTTATCCCTGAAAGTGAAATGCTTGAATGTGCTGCTTTATCGCGTGCGATGCTGATCGCAACAAGTGCGCCCACTGGAACGACATTGCAAGTCCCTAGCCCATTTGGCAGTGAAAACCTAATTCCACATTACAGACTACTCCTCGCCACAGACGACGAGTACAGTGACGGGATGCAAGTTTTTGTTCTTTCTTCTGAAACAAATAAATCTAGCTCGTCAGAGCGTGTACGTTGCGGAGAATACGAAAATCCACCCATACCTGAGATGTTGGGAAACAGAGCGATGCATGAGCCGCACCCGGAAAAAAAGTGCCACGATGATAGCTATTGGTTTGTCGAGAAGGAAACAAAGTTGGAAGTCAACGTGAACGAACTGTACAAGACAAATTAGCTTTGTCACGCATCGTGGATACAATATCCACTGCATGCATGTTCTGAATACTAGAAGCTCTGACCGAGCGATAGGAGGGTGGAATTTAGCGATCGTCAGTTATTTGTAACTCACAAGAAGTCTATAAACGAAGAACGAAGTTTAGCCACTTTCCTGAGAGTATTGTTCAGCCACTTTCTTCAAGTTCGCAATGTTTTCAGGACCTAACGCGTGGTTTATCAAGGCTGCTGGATGGATCTATGCGACCGACTTACCGAGCTGGCTAAAGACACCGGGGAGTATATCTTGGAGAGCTAAGACTTGGATTTAGTATGAACTCTTGAGAAAAGTATGATCCGCTCACCTCTAGTAGAAGACGGGCCCGTCACCACATAAGTATTAGCTGGAGGGGAAGCTTGCACTGCGCATACTCGTCAGATCGTAACGCTATCATACTGGAACAGTTCGTACATTTAGGGTTGGCGAATTGAATCACGTTTTCGCCTTGAAAGATGTTTACTTCTTGGATACCCGGGATCGTGTTGACCTGCATGCGTTTGAGGCAGTTTTGTAACTTGGTGTCATCAGCCGAGACAGCTTTATGTGCGGCTTTTTTCTTACTGAAAAGTGTTTGGGTGAGATGGAGGCGTCAGAGTGATCCATCATGAATTACCGTCGCATAGATCCCTTGCCACCCGTGCGGACAGCACTGGCAAGTCTCTGCAGGCGGTCAACGTCCATCGAAAACCTGGAGCGAAGATCAGCCGCGGTCACTCAGTAAGGTGTGAAGAGATGCAGAGTGTGATCAGCGGACACGCTGAACGAATCTAGCATGCGATCTATCGGTATGCTCTGAGCGGCGTACGTACCTTTGTTTTGTAATTTCCGCGTATTTGTGCGGTTCGGCAAACCACACCACCTGCCCACATCTTGGCGGCGCCCTTTCTCGTAGCAAAAGCATGTAATATTACATGATGCAATATTTTGAATCTCTTTTTGCTATACAAGTACGTTGTAAATCTATTTCTTGAGATAAATTCCGCACTATTCAGCACACTCCGGGGTTCCGGGCGGTCGAACGAAGTCCGAGCTGCTCTCTTGCTGCAGACGTCGGAGTCAAATACTGGCGTATTTGGTTCATTAAAATAACAGGTCTGCACACCGTGGAGTGGCGTGGGTTATCAAGTCAAGCTCTTGGGCTGCGGCGCCGAAAAGCATGGTACGCGCTAGTGTCGTTGCTCGAAACGATCTCGGCACGGGCGACGGGTTTGATCCGTGACCCTGCAACTTGTCGCGATGATGCGGGCCACAAGTAATCTTCTCACAAAGTACCGTGCATGTATATTAACGCGCCGTCTTTTCCTGTACAGGCGAGCAAATTCTGGGGAGGAAGCGATGGCAGTAGCGAAGAGAGCACGGATTACTCTTCCGACGATTCGACGTCGACGTCGTCGTCGTCGTCGTCGTACAGCTCCAGTTCTGATTCAGATCATGGCCCATCTAAGTACGCCTTCGTCATCTCGTGCGGCGTCTCGAGCGCGGCCTTTCTCGATCTCGAACCTGGCGAACAAACCCTAGGCTCCTGTGAATACTCACCAGTTGTCTTTCGTTCGCAGATACTTGCAAGATGACAGTTCAGATAGCTCAGAGGATGAAAGGCGTATCATACGCAGTACAAAGGTACGTCGTTGAACTGAACGAGTAAAATTTTCTCAACGTTGCACTCAGGAAAAACAATATGAGACGCTGAAGCAGTGCACGCTGGGGATCCGGCGTGCAACAACGGCAAGGGATTGGCCATCTCTCCTCGGTCTCCTGGACGGGTTCCACAAGCAGTTTTTGAAGAGCACGCAGTCTTCTACGCGGACAGGTAGCAGTTTGAAACTCTTCGCTCGAACGTTAGTATCTTTGGCTGCTGAGCTGGATATATGTTCACAAGAACCGGAGTTCAAGAAGCAAATGTCTACTTCGCAGGCAAAGGCGTTCAATTCACTGAATCAAAGAGTTAAGAAGCACATTCGTGCGATCGAACCTGCCGACGTTGCTGCCGCGGAGCTTTTCCTGAAGACAGGCGAAGCCTCAGACAGTGACACCACATCAGAAACAATCGACGACACAAAAGAGAAAATTCCATTAGATCCAGCTGAGAAATCTATGCAAGATATCATGAATATTCCCAAAGAGGACGTCACGTTTGAAATGATCGATTCGAAGCTCAAAGATATCGCCATGTCTCGAGGAAAGAAAGGCGTCGACAGGACACGTGTAGTCGAGCAGTTGAGGTATATTTCAACCCTATCAAAGTGCCCTGCGCAAGAGGTTGAGGTACTTTTGCATATTATCAGTGCACAATTCGACCTGACTGGTAGCATGTCGACATTTATGCCGGTCCCTGTGTGGCGCAGTTGTTTAAGCAATGTACTCAGCATTTTACAGTTATTGAAATCGAATAGCCACATCTCACTAGTGGATGAAGAAGAGATAGCTATACGCCCATCAAATGACGAGATCATTGCAGGAGCAAACATTCAACTTCGTGGATCTCTTTGTGCTTTCACTGAGCGCTTGGACGACGAATACACCAAGTCGCTACAATGCATTGATGCACATACAAAGGATTACGTCAATAGACTGCAAGACGAGGGGATGTTACTCATTCTTCTTTCGCAAATTACTGAATTCTATAGAAACAAGAACACGAAGCACGTCGCGAGTTTGTCTCTGCGGCTTTTGGAGAAGTTGTACTGTAAACGCTGTCATTCACACGAAGCACTCAGGAAATACACCACTTCGAAAATTCATTGTTCGGCGAACAATGACACCGTCGAACCTAGTCATCAAAACTCCGAAGTTGAAATGTTTGCCACTTCTTTTGAATTCCCTGCTGAAGGACTCTTCACAACGATTGAGATGTTGGCTACTTACATTTACAAGCATGGTGATGAGCGGGCCAAAGCCCGTGCGCTCCTTTGTCAAATTTTCAGTGAGGCACTTCGTGGAGATTTCAAAACAGCGAAAGACTTGCTTCTTATGTCACATTTGCAAGAAGTTATTCAATACATGGACATTAGCACGCAAATCCTTTTCAATAGAACAGTTGCACAACTAGGAATATGTGCCTTTGAGCGTGGCAATTTCGTCGAAGCATTCACTTACTTGTCCGAATTGTGCGCAAGCGGGCGAGCAAAGGAGCTACTTGCACAAGGCTCAACACAAGCTCGGTTTGAGCGTTCTGCGGAACAAGAAAAGCTTGAAAGACGGCGTCAGATACCTCATCATCTGCACATCAATATTGATCTCATCGAAAGTATATTTCTCACATGTTCAATGCTGTTAGAGGTTTCAGACTTGTTCTGCACGAGAAAGACGAGACCTTTTCCACGTAATTTCATGCGAGTCATCGAGAATCATCGTAGGCAACTTTTTACAGGTCCACCAGATGGAGCACGTGATACTATTATGGTAGCAACCCAAATGTTACTCACTGGAAACTATCACGTGGCATCGCAGCTTGTTCTCAATTTATCAGTATGGAATTCTTTGCCCGAATCAAAGGAAAGGATAGTTCGCCTCATAGATGAACAGCTCAAAATAGAAGCTATCCGACTTTATTTGCATCAGTTTGCGGAACAGTACACGTCTGCAAGCGTCAGTATTCTTGCCGAAATGGTCTCAATGAGTGAAGAGAAAGTGCGTTCCATTGTGAACTCGATGATAGCTAATGAAGAGGTTCCAGCAGTCTTCTATGATGTTGCACAAAGTGTATCTTTAAGTCAAGTGGCTCACTCACGACTGCAAGTCGCTGCAAACACTTTTTCTGAGAAAGTCCTCGTCTTGCTGGACGCAAGTGAACGGGCATTGGATCGCCATATCGGTTCGAAGAATATCAGTTACCAGGAGGATGATGAACCAATTGCTCGATCTCGACGGCAGGTGAAGAACTCAGCTGACGCTGACGAGTATCAGTCGCGACGGTCCAGAAGTGAACGCAGCCGTTTTTTCACCTTTGAAGTGCCTGACCGCGGTTTGAAGGGAAAGCAGCGTGATTCATACGGTAATTTTTCGCGCAAGAAGACGTCACGTGAGTTTGCCACGAGAGGTGGAGGGAAATTTACGTGAAGAAGCCTCTTCGAAAGTGAAGTGGGCTCAACCTCTCGCTGCCTTTGCGCAAAAGCTATTCTCAACCTTAGGCCTGACTTTGTAATGCTTGGATGACACCAAATCAACTAAATGTACTAGTATATACCCACTTTACGATAGTCGAATAATTGATGCCAAGAAGGTATCTCGTACTGCAAGGTTTTCCTTGTCCCCGTTTGCTCCTCTAAGACAAACGAGTTCACCACAGAACGTACCTCGATGAACGAGCGATGGTGGAACGCACACCAAGCAAACGTATACGAAATATGACAGACATGTCACAATTCAAAGTTTCACGTGCACGTGGTTTGTTGATCGACTTCATACAGGTGAATACAGATGCGTGCAACAGTTTGAGTCGTAAGAGTTTCAGCAGGGAGTTAGCGATTCCTTGGCGAAACCGACGAACACTGATGAGTATAAGAAGCGACAGGATGAGAGGATTGAGAGATCGAAAGAATTCTTCCGTGATCTTGAAGAAAGCGTCACAAAATTCGAGCAAACGGCTACTAGTGTGCGTTTTGGCGATCCAAGTTTCCGTAGGTGGTTGGAGGAAGTTCAACGCCGCAGCGCAGGTAAAATTTTGCACATTTTAGATAATTCGACTGTCCGAATCGTTTTGATTGATAGATTTCGTTGACGATATAGTATCTGATGAACGAAAGGTAACGAAAGCTTCGCCAGAGTCCTTTGTATTCTCTCTTTAATTTTTCACAACGCTGGCCAGGATATTTACATCAAGAGTGACCTCAAGATATATCTACAAAATAGGTACGACATGGAAATATCAGAACTTGGAAGTAACAGATTGAATTAATATGCCTAGTTTTGGTGATGGGGCACGTTTAGACTACGGAACAGGACATGAGCTCAATTTTGTCGCTTTTCTGTGCTGTCTCGAAGCTCATAAAATTTTCACCATCGATCAAAGAACGAACGTCATCCATAGTATCTTCAAGCATTATATCGCAGTCACTCGTACAATTCAACAACATTTTCGGTATGAACGTTTAACACAAGATGCCACAGGTGCTGACTACGGACGAATAGGCTTGAACCAGCAGGTTCACACGGTGCGTGGGGTCTTGATGACTACTGTTTTCTGCCTTTTTTATGGTAATATTTATGCCGGAGAAATGTACTGTCATTGAGCTAGCTCGTAGGGGAGCAGCCGAGCTACGATGTGGAAATTCTACGCCAAGAATTATTCTTGAGCACGAGGCTTTTTCACAGGGTGGACTATTTTTGGACAGTTGCGCACATGTGAGGATGGTGGGTTGCTATTTTGGGAGGCTAGAGTCATGCACATTCAAATTATCGTAGTTGAAAGCAGGTCCTTTGCAGCGTGTATCGCCATTCCTCGCGAGTCTAAGTGACGTGCGGTCGTGGACGAAAGTCACTGAGGGGCTACTAAAAATGTATTGTGTACGTACGTCAGGGGTGAACATCAGACACTTCTTTTAATTCATGATGCACAGGTTGAGTGCTTGGATAAATTTCAAGTCATGCAGCACTTTCATTTCGGAACAACTCTTTCATTCGAATGAAGGGATGTGGCCATACTGATATGCAGAGATGAAAACAAGTCAACCAGACTTTACGCAATTTTGAAAATATACTCAAGTCTTCTGATCCCAGTAGTCGATTAGTCGATTGGCATTCGCAAATGTAATTCTATTCACATCAATCATCGGTCATCGAGACTCTTGTTTAGAAGGTATTGACATTCGATAGTGTGAAGGGTTTTACTTCAATCCTCGTTCTGTTCGTTTTCACGCAAGCGGAAACCCTGTGAAGATGAGAGAGGTGCACGCATAGAATCAATGGACTGGTATCTAACAGTCAGTTGAACTATACGCGCTCGGACATGTAACCATCTATCCACATTGTTATCTTCGGGTCCTCTAGACACCTTCGTAGTAGATTTTTTCGAAAAACGCTTGCCCCGCGATAAAAGGTCAGAACCTACCTTGATCATCCTGCCGTACATCGAACTTTTTCGTTTTACGGCATCTCTGCTCGCATTTTCACTATTTGTGGATTCAAGTTCTACAGCTATGGTGACGGGACCCCAGTCTTTTAACTCTCCCGAAGACTCAAAATCGATCTGACTAACTATGTCATCCAATAATAGACTAGTTTCACCTGTCAATTGCCTCGCCTCGCCTTGGTCTTTAGGGCTTGAATACCAACGCACACTCAATATCTGTCTAGTCATGTCCTCCACGGGAAGTGTGATTTCTCGAGAGTTCAAAAACCTGCCACCGGGCAAAGCGTGTACGCGCACTTCTTGAGACATATCTGTGCTCAATGCACCGGGCCAACGGAGTTGGATAGCAATTTCAGCTTCTGAAGCCAATGTTTCATCGTGAGAATGTACTTCAACATGAAGTAGACCGGCGTTTGCGCGTTCCATATCTGGAAGTGAGTAACCCGTACCTGGAATCGGCACAGTGATGCAACGAGGCCAGACGAGAAAAGATGCAATTAAGGCCTGGATGTATGTTTGAAGTGGCTGCGCAAGACCAGGCAGAAGCGTTATGTCTCCTCCTACAACGCGAAGATCGAAATTTACATCCGGATTTTCAGTCAATGAAATTGTGAGCGCCCCGAAGCATGGGAAGATTCCAATGAGTGGTGCAAAAATCAGTCGAAGAGTGAACGTGCACTCAAATTCCGTTAAAGAAACTGGAACTGCTAACGCATCTTGTGCTGCTCGTATTTTCAGAACAACGTCAGGATCTCCTGCCCAAAACACTTTTAAATCGATTTCCAAAGCACCTTCTTCACTCGATTCATATACCTTGACACCTTCAATGATAGCTGGAACACTACCAAAACTGAATCTCTCAAACTGTAACGATGTCAAGAAACTTGGCCGTGTATTTCGCAATATTGGATCTAAGGCCTTCACGATGACTGATGAAGTGGCCGCATCCAAATAAGGCCAAGCGGCTTTAACAACTTTATTGAGCCAACCTGATCTCTCAACATCGCTAAAAGTCAACCACGCCGGGATGTCGCCAAGGAGGTCCAGGGTTTCCAGCTCTTCAAGGGCACTCAACTCTGCTAAAGCTTGCCGAGTGAGGGTTTTAGATTTTCGGCGCCTACCCCGCTGAGTGAGATAAACGATGAAACTTGTGGTCATGATGCCAGCAACGAATCCAAGCGCAAGCGTTTTGAACTCTACCGTCAGAAGCACTGTTTCGTATACAGACGCTGAGTCCAACACTCCGAGAAACATATCAGGGCTACTAAAGGGCAGAAGGGAGTTTGCGAAGTCGATATTTAAAGAGCTGCATGTGATCGATCGTCGCGCGTTGTATTCTTTTCTCGTAGAAAGTAGCTTCAACCTAGTAAAACTTGCATCGGACGACGGCAAGGCTGATTTCTGGCAGGTAGCACGACTGCAAGCCATACACAGCCCAATGTGCAACGAATGCATGGAACAATGTGACCATGTACCGATTAATCGAGAACGCGTACGCGTACGCGTCTTACCTTTGATAGGGACAGCCGCGTTGATTTTCGTGTAACAAGTCATGTTGACTTATACGTTTTGTGCTTGAACGGTCTCGAAGACTTGTAATACCGGTAAGCAACTCCTCGCCTGCAGCGGCTTTCCAGATAAGCACGCTTATATGCAATATTAACCGTGTGTATATTGTCTTCGCATTCGCAATGACCCCTTTATGCCGTGTCCAGTCGTCAAGGTATGCCTCCAACTGACGGGAATTCTCGGGAGTTTTAGACAGTGTAGATCAAGGGAGTGAGTACAGAGAACTAAGAATACAGGGTTCTAACGCGTGATTTAGACTAACGCGTAGCTTATGGTTTTGGGCTTGTTTGATCGGCTGTAGAATTCTCCACATCAAGTCAAGGGAAGCAGTACTAATCTGCACAATATCTGCGCAAGACCAGTCTGCCACTCCACATCCTGTGTCTGAGATCTTCCTCGACTAGGTCAGTCGATAATCAAAGCCACGAGAAAATTTCTTCGTCCGGAAACTTGGTGACGCTATCTAGTGAAATCTCGAAAATGTGAGCTATCTGCAATAGTTCACCTTCACCGAAATGTTTACCGATGAACTGCAAACCAATAGGGAGGTGTGTACCCTCTGCTACAGTGAGGACTCCAGATCGCACTACGATAGCCGGTAAGCCAGAAAGATTGACGTTGACTGTCATTAAATCTCCCGTATACATCTGCAAAGGATCCATGATTTTGCTCCCACGTGTATAAGCAACATCAGGCGTAGCTGGGGTCAGCAAAGCGTCGTACTGGCTGAGGTAGCTTATAAGTTCATCACGGACAAGACGTTGAGCATACTTTGCTCTAGCGTAATATTCATCACTGTAACCAGAAGATAGTGTATATGTACCCATGAGAATACGTCGAAGAACTTCTGGACCAAGATAACTGTGTCTAAAATGTCCGACGAGTGAGTCAGTAACACTCTCATATGATGCCTCACGGTTGCCCACACGAACGCCATCAAAACGAGCTAAATTACTGCTAGCCTCTGAAACGGCCATGACATAATACGCAGGTAGACCCATTTGGAACGTTTTGCACGAGACGAGGTCCACCACCCCTCCAAGACTTTCTATATGCCGAACTGAGTCAAAAAATGAAAATTTCACTTCATCTGCGACTCCTTCATCTATCGCCTCTGCTATTACAGCAAAGCGTCTACCTTCGTATGGTCTGCAACTAAGAGAAGCTTGCGGTGGGAGTGATGTCTCGATAATGCTTGAATGCCGTAAACTTGTGTCACGCATCTTCTTTATGTTTCCGTCCTTCTGAAGAGCACCAAATATATAAGACACATCCTGCACTGTCGGGCCGATTGGTCCAATGGTGTCAAAAGTGGAGCAATAAGCTATGAGGCCATGCCTCGATATCGCGCCATAAGTGGGCTTTAAGCCAACAACACCGCAGAATGCTGCCGGTTGTCGTATAGAACCCCCAGTGTCACTTCCCAAAGCACCAGCACACATTTGCCCCGCCACTGCCGCTGCAGAGCCCCCAGATGAACCACCAGGCACTCGAGATAGATCCCAAGGGTTATGAGTTGCTTTGTTGGCCGATGTTTCAGTCGTACTTCCCATACCAAACTCATCCATATTCGTCTTTCCGATCAACACTGAGCCACAACCCTTCAGGACTGTGACAACTTCAGCATCATACGAAGACTGATGAGCTCTCAAGAGATTGGAGCCCGCTGTCGTGGAAAGATCCTGATGACAAATATTGTCTTTTATTGCGAGAGGAATACCGGCAAGAATGTGAAGATCTTGGCCGGTCGCAATACGTGAATCAATTTGTTTCGCCTGTGCGAGAAACTGAGTTCTGAACAAAGGACATGGTATCAGAGCACACTCTCACCTGTTCGATAGCACCAGCAAAATCCACCTGTACGAAACTCCCAATAGTGTTATCTATTGAGCGTATCTATCCCCAAAGAGTCAGTTCAAGCCGTGTGTGGGTGAGTCATGACATTGCTACTCACCCTATCAAGGTAGGCGCTGGTGAGCTCGACTGCAGATATTTTTCCGCTCTTTAAAGCGTGACTGAGATTGTGTATCAATGAGGCGCAGCGCACTTCACCACGTGCTAACTGTCTTGAATTCAAGAGTGATGAACTATTGAACGACGTATTTCGTGGACGCACAGAAGGTGGTACACTTGAGCGTCCAGTATGTGATACACCAGTCGGCCTTCCTTGGCAACTGCACGGATTCAATCGCATCGGTCCAAGTAAAGTCCTTCCCGCGGACCCTGAAGCTGCCGCGATGGTTTATCGCCTTCTATGTTGCTGCCTGCTTTCTCGTCAGGGTCAGCTGAACTCTTCGACAAACCGCGCGACGACTTATTTTTACTCACATATCAGTATGTATTACTTTCCACGTCCCTAATATGTGCGCGCCGTCGAAGTGCTAATAACTCGCGACGACGCCACAACGCGCGCGTGGCGATCGAGAAGTGCTAACACCCCATACATTAGGGCGTGGAAAGTAATACATACGGATATGACATATAAAATCAAAGAAACGAAACATGTTGTTGTCAAGGCCCTCAGTCATATATGGCTGTATATGATATCGTAAAACCTTCTATACTAGACTCGCAACGCGCACGTCGCGCTCAAACCAAAGTCACGGTTGACGATGTTCGAAGACAATTTGCTGAAGAGCGTGCAGGTATACTTTGAAGAAGTTCGAAGTTCGTGTAGAACTGACGCGCTTTAGGATCATCTACGAATTTCGGAAGAAGACATGCAAATATCTAGCAGTGCGTGCAGTTTATCAAACTAAAGATACTCTTAAAGTTTTGTTCAGTGAAAAAGGCCGTGAACGTAGAAAAGCTAACAGAACTCGTTGCCGCTTGCCGTGCTTATGAAAAAGAGATGTCTAGTCTCAAGCGAGATGTCGAGGGTGCGACTCATGAAATCAACCGCGCCCGCTCAAGAATCACCGAGTTGAAGTGTCAATGCGACGCGCGCCCTGGTAGCTCAAACTTTCGAAAACTTCTGCTGAGAGCAAAGACAGCTTCTCCAAACTTCGAAACTGAGGCAAGTTCGAGTGGGTATCAGCAAGTTCGTCGACAGTTACAATTCGACTCGGCATACTGTTCGTTTCACAGGTGCATGAAATTTGAGACTACTTCAGACGTCCGAATTGTCGACATAAAGCACTGCCTTCTTGAACTGCTACGGATAGCTTCGCATGACTATTCTGGTCTCCTTAAGTCAGCAAACGCCATGCTAGAAGACGAAGTAGGTCGTCGAAGAGCGCTTACTTCTTTGTAGCGAGTTGGGGGAACGCTTTAATAACAGAGCGATTTGCTCGGTCTTCCGTAACAATCAAAATATTGCTACGAAGAAATACGCAGCTTGTCGCACAAAAAGATTTCTAGTAACAATGGACAAGAGAACGAACAAAAGTCACCAAAGAAATTCCGCAGTAGCCTTACCGAACACATACTCAGTCCCATTTAGTAACATGACACCATCCCTGAACGCACACTTCCATTTATTCTTTGTTCTCCCCACTTTCTCAAACTGACTAAGCACCAAATTTGAAGTAACAGGTTCCGTTTCTACACTCAAAATATGACAGACGATTATCGATGAAAGGTGAATGCTTACCAAGATTATCATCTTCGCTATCTGTGCTTATCACTTCGTCCTGGCCGAGATCAGGCACGGCTGGTTTGTCAGTTTCACGCTACAAGCAAAGTAAGAAGTTGAAATAATCACAACACGACATTTCAACCTTTCGTTTGGTGCCCGTCTCGTCCTATGAGTATGACCTTGTTTAATACATATTGAAATAACCCGTTGAAAAAGTATTACCTTGGGGTTGGGTGCTGCGTGTCCAACTTCTTGAAGTTCACTCGTTCCAGTTGTCAGTTTACTATGAAGACAGTGAGTCTACAAGTTGAAGCGAGTTGAAGTGCTACGAACTTGTCATCCTCGTCGATGCTTTTGCTGCAAGCGTCACCCCTGTGAGGTATTATCGGCGCGGTTTTCAGACCGGAGTTCACGGAAAGAGCGCCAGACTGAAGCAATTTATGTTCCCACGACTATTGCCACGATGTTCAAGAACGTGAAACAAGCGCTTGTAATGTACGTGCCTTTTCGAGTTGTTTCAAAACTTCCCCGTTCACGTGTTCCGCTGTGAATTCTGCCTGTTTGTGGTACTGAACACTTGGACTGGCGTGAAAGCCCGTGGCAACGTACGGATACATTTTTGATGACTTCGCGAATTATCTCCTGATATTTAGAAGCAATCTCCATTCTTGTATCTCAAGTGTGCTAATTATACGTGCAGTACGGAAGGATCTAGTCTTCGGTACTCTCTCGCCCTCGCTGCACGCTGCAGGAAGTGGCGTGATAGTGTGGAAATGAGGTTTGGTGGTTGCGCGGATGCGGGGTAAGTGTCTCTACAAGTGTTGCTAGTCAGTTGGTATATTCCTGATGGACTATAGCTACGGTAATACTGCCTGTTTGTGCGATAGTAATGGATACTTACAAAATGATGCTACACCATCGTCACAGTTCTATTGTGAAACGAGTTCCACTGTCCTCATACTTGTGACCATAACGATCTTTCGTGTTTGTATCCATCAGTTCGAGGTTTAAGAAATCCCGCTCGTCTTCCTTATATTCACAACCATCAGATTCAGAGACACAGCATTCGAATCACGATACTTACGCTAAAAAGGGGACCAGCATGCCACGTGCCTTTATTGAGATTGATGGCAACATGTCCTGTCAGAGGTGAATATTTCTGAGCTTCTTGGATTTTATAGATCCCACACCTGGGATCCGAAATACTTCAATATCATCGTGTGAAGGAAATTGTTCTTCTGAGAATGTAGCCCTGGATACAGCGATGAACCTGGAATCTTAAGTGTCACAACGCCTATTTGAGCTGTCAAATACGAATAACGCATACCAGTCTAGCTCTGAAACAGAACTGAGCGATTGAGAGGAAAGGCCGTGATAATTCATCTCATCGAATTGAAGACGACCACCTTTATTGCGAAGTCGCATCATATACAGTCTCGGTACACCTTCTGCTAAGTCGAGTTTTGCTTCCTTTGCTACTGTCAGTGTTTTCGGGAGCTGCTCAACTTAACTCACCCGCTCGATCGAAAATCTCGCTCCGTCTTCTTGCGATGAGATTATCTGCGCAAAATTAAATTTCGTTGCGCATTTGTTCATCGATGCTATTCGTGCCTGTCCGTACGCCTCAAAACTTTCGACGTCGACGACCCGAGGCGAGAAAGACGTTTCACTGGTGGTTTTACGCGCCGAAGTCCGGACCAACCTGCGATGAGAGATTGTCGGCTGCAGTACACACAAAGGTCTTGTGATATCCGCACACATCATATGCAGTCGTCCGTGCTATGCTGCCTGACACACTTGGAGCGACGTGACGACTGGAGCGACTGGTCGTCCCAGTTGCTCAGGGCAACCGAGACAAAGCGAGGCGCGGTGCAGCATGTCATATTTGATCGTATTGAACCATTCACATCGACTATAAAGAACACAATCTAAGACAAAAAAATAAAAAATGTTACTAAAAACAAAACAAAAAGAACCCGCACAAGCGCACAGCCAACCGAGCGCAGAAGCGGACAGCGCAAGAACGTGAAAAACAAAAAAGTGCTCTACTACAACATGGTTAGTTGCCCCCTGTTCGTCAGCTTGAGTTGACCTTACTTCGCAATGAAGGCCCCTGAGTGTAGAATGTACGCCGAGAGGTTTCCAGAGATCGACCAGGTTGTTATGGTACAGGTAAACACGCTCGTCATACTGCTAGCTTCCTATTTCGAATGCTGTGAGATAGGTCAAAAGCATAGCAGAAATGGGTGCTTACGTTCAGCTACTGGAATATGACAACATTGAAGGCATGATTTTGTTGTCAGAACTGACCAGAAGACGTATTCGTTCAGTTTCGAAGCTCATAAAGGTAGGATCTGTACCGCAGCATTTTCCAGGAAGATAATTCTTAGTTTGCTTCCAGGTCGGTAGAATTGAGCCAGCGATGGTGCTGCGTGTTGACGAAGAGAAGGGTTACATTGACCTTTCAAAAAGGTATGCACGTACTGAAGTTCTTTGCAGTCACTCACTATCATTCAGACGAGTGTCCCCTGAAGATGTTGAAGCATGTGAGATCAAGTTCAACAAAAGCAAGGTGGTTCATTCTATCATCAGACACGTTTCGGAGACGACAGGGACGCTTCCCGAAACATTATACAAGGTATACTGTGTCCAAACTTGTTGCTGCGGACTGTGACCCTTTTGTAGTCCATTGGTTGGCCTCTCTATAGGAAGTATGGTCACGCATTCGATGCATTCAAAATGTTTGTCATGGACTCCAGCTTACTTCACCGAGAGATCGCAGAATTTCGTGCATCTGGAGACGAAGATAATCAAACAGTTGACGAATCAGTTGCCCTTACGCTGCTCAAAGATATTCGAAGACGGATGACACCACAGCCGCTAAAAATCAGAGCTGACGTTGAGTTGACTTGTTTCCAGTACGACGGCGTTCTCCATATTAAGAGTGCTATGCGTGCTGCCGAACTTGTCTCGACGGAAGATTGCAAAGTGAAGATGTCTTTAGTCGCTTCTCCACTGTATGTTCTTTCAACTCAAACGTCTGAACGGGAGTTTGGAATCAGTTTGGTGGATAAAGCCATAAGTGTCTTACAGGTGAGAATAATTTAGTGTACACATCGCAAAGACTTGATAAAATCTTAGGAATACATCACATCTAAAGGCGGAAAGTTACTGATAAAAGAAAGCGCGCGAGTTGTGAGCGAACGTGACGACAAACTTCTTGCTGAGCAAATCACAAACTTGAACAAAGTGGAAGAACGCGGTAGCGATACTGATGATGATACGATGGGTGAAGTAGAATTGTAGACGAATCATACTTGAAGTACAACACTCCATTTGTTTGTATGCCTAAGGTTCTTTTTGCTCTGAACAGTGGAAAAATTTATATATCGCCCCTTTAGAGAGTACCTACACACATGATACGTATTAAATACGTATATATCCACGGTTCATGACTCGTCATGTGTGTAGGTACTCTCTAAAGGGGCGATATATAAATTTTTCCCGCGAAGCCGACAGGCGTGAAGCAAAAAGTTGCGCGAACCCCTTCGACTCACAGCTCTTCGTGCCGCTCACGGTATGCATTCACGAAAGGAAATAGATCTCGCTGTCCAAATAATCCAAGATGAGTTTGGTCTGGCAGCCCGAAAAGTCTTTGAAGCGGTTTCGCAACGAGACAATTTAACCTTCGAGTATATTGTGCACTTGGTGCCTTTCCGACGACGGACGTGTGGTGCTATCTTGTATACTTTAATCAAGCATGGTTGCATCACCTCGGTGCACAAGTCACAGAAGCCGACATCATCGCGAATAGTTTATACGTACAGGATCAACCTGGCTTACATAAGGTGTAGACAGAGGTTCTCCAGATATGCGCTTTATGCAAAAACCAAGCATACACAAGAGCACTTTATGGTGCTTCTTACGATTGCATTACATGGAGCGATGTCGGTGAATCAAATCATGTCAATCGTGCAACAAGTGCCTTCAGAAAGCTCTCTACGCAGTGCCGATGTTCATAAAGCGATTTGTGACCTCTTAGAAATCCAGCTGCTGCAACGTGTACGCTACGACAAAACATGTGTGAACTTGGACAGAGCCTGTACGCGAACAGATCAGGAACACATGCCATCGGAAACGCAAGAAAACGATAGTTCATCGAGTTTTCTGCGTCTAAATCCGCGTTCGCTCGATGCTGCGCTTGGACGCCTGAAAGAAGAAGACACCAGACTTTTGAGTGTGGAACGCTCGGCGAGTGACGTCGACGTTCATTTGAGACGGCAAAAGCATGTCGAAGCGGTTATCAAAACACGTTTAGGAGCACAGGCTCTTCGTATTTTTAGAGTTTTGATTCGAAATCAACTTGAGCAGAAACAGGTTGCTGAATTATCCATGGTTCCCGTGAAGGATACTCGAGACATTCTTTACAAGTTGTTGAAATTTGGATACGTGCAGATGCAGGAAATAGCCCGCACGCATGATCATGCTCCATCAAGAACGAACTATCTGTGGCGTGTGGACTGTTCTGACGTCGAAAAGACTGTAAAACGTGAACTTATTCAGGCTTTGACAAATGTTCATTTACGAAAGCTCTTTGAGGTACGGCGATATCGCACAGGAATTGTAAAGAACGAGCGAATGTGGTCTAGCAAGCCACTTAAAAGAGAGGTACTAAAAGATTTAGAAGTGACCACTATGCGCTTAGACGAACTTTTGCTACTTTTCGACGATGTAGACGTTGCATCTCAAACAGTTTGATGGAACAATTGAAGTTGCTTCGTTGATTGGATATTACAAAACTTGGTGTCCGTCCCATTTAGCTCAGTACGACAGTTGATATCGCACTGATGTAAATGATCCTTACGCCACCTGCTTCGCGAGTTCGTCCGCCTTCGAAATCGCCTCGTTCATATCGCCAACCATGTAAAATGCCATTTCTGGCAAGTCGTCGTAATTGCCACTTATGAGACCCTTGAACCCTGAGATAGTATCCTTCAGATCGACGTATTTACCTGGACTTCCGGTGAAAACCTCAGCGACATGAAACGGCTGTGACAAAAAGCGTTGCACTTTTCGAGCTCGAGAGACTGTCAACTTGTCGTCTTCAGAGAGCTCATCCATCCCGAGGATCGCAATGATATCCTGAAGATTTTTGTAGTCCTGCAGAATTTTTTGGACACCACGAGCCGTGTTGTAGTGCTCGTCACCAAGAGTCAAAGGGGACAGCATTCTGGACGTTGAATCGAGTGGATCCACCGCAGGGTAGATTCCGATTTCTGCGATGGAACGTGATAAAACGGTCGTGGCGTCGAGGTGAGCAAACGTGGTAGCGGGGGCAGGATCAGTCAAGTCATCAGCGGGGACATAAATGGCTTGGACTGATGTGATAGAACCTTTTGTAGTCGTTGTAATTCGTTCTTGAAGGCCTCCGAGATCAGTTGCGAGCGTTGGCTGGTATCCAACCGCAGAGGGGATTCGGCCGAGTAACGCAGACACTTCGGAGTTGGCTTGCGTGAAGCGAAAGATGTTATCCACAAAAAACAAAACATCCTGGCCTTCAAAATCACGGAAGTATTCGGCAACAGTTAAACCTGTAAGACCGACCCGCGCTCGCGCTCCAGGAGGTTCGTTCATTTGTCCGTACACGAGAGTACATTTTGAATCACTTGCTTGATCACCCAGCTTGATAACACCACCTTCGATCATCTCGTGATAAAGATCGTTGCCTTCTCGAGTTCTTTCACCAACTCCAGCAAAGACAGAGAACCCGCCGTGTCCCTTTGCAATGTTGTTGATTAACTCCATGATGAAGACTGTCTTCCCAACACCTGCACCACCGAAAAGTCCAATTTTACCACCTTTCTGATAAGGGGCAAGCAAGTCAACAACCTTGATACCAGTAACTAGCATTTCCATCTCCGTACTTTGATCGACGAAAGGGGGAGCTTCTCTATGGATGCCTAGCGAGGTCGATGTTGAGATCGGACCGCATTCATCAATTGGCTCGCCAATCACGTTCATGATCCGCCCGAGAGTTGCGCGGCCAACAGGGATTTGGATAGGACTGCCTGTATTGTTCACGGTTTGGCCTCTTACTAAACCTTCGGTGGTATCCATTGCGATCGTTCGAACCGTATTTTCCCCAAGATGCTGAGCAACTTCAAGCACTAGACGAACGTCATGTCCTTCAACCTCGAGAGCAGAAAGGATCGGAGGCAGTTGATCGTCGAACTGGACATCTACGACTGCGCCAATTACTTGGGTAACCTTACCGGCGCCGATGGATTTCGCCGAGGCGTACGTACGCGCGACGAGAGAGTTGGTTGTCCGCAAGGTGAGATCTCCAGCGCTGTTCAAGCTCGCGCTGGTCTCGGGGATTTTCGCGATGTTCATAGATCTCATAGCGCCATCGCGCGCGATGCGCCAAGGAATATTACTCAACGTGCGTCGCATGTGTGCAAAATATTTGCGAGTCTGTTCCTGCGCTTCAAGTCGCGTATACGCGCGCGCGTCTGCTGACACGCCGCAACGGGGTCCCTGGCTGCTGCCGCACATAACAAAAAAATACGCTCGGTCGATGTCCTGCTATCAACAATGTCTTCGATTATTGTGTGATATTATACGCAAAGCGAGAATCCAGGATTTAGTTCAATCCCCGTCGAGGGTTTCGAGGCCCAACTGCCAGGAGTGACATTTCGTCGGCGAACGTGCCAGTCGTACCAGTGCTCAGAAACCGTCTACGTGGCTCAATGCGGCGGTCCATGCGATAGTGTCTGTTATAGCTTTGTTCGAAACATATATTGTCCGAAACACATTTGGCGACAGAAGAGCCTTCACCCAACCTGGCCATTCATCACTTGCGAGAGATGAAGAGCACGTTTACCGGTAGTAAAGTGCAGCTTAGTCCAATTGTGGAATCTATGTCCAGACAGGACATTGAACATGTCTTCGGGGCTTTTGGCAAAGTATCAGACGTTGACATGCGCAAACACTCAGGAAAGACGGTAGTTGTGACTTATGTTTCCAGGTGAGATCGGTGACACAAGCTTTCACTCTGTCTAATGAATTGGCTAGGTTAGACAGTGAACAAGCCGTAGAAAATCTAGATGGATCTGAGTTACATGGTGTCGCGGTATCTGTAAGGCATGTCGACTAGCTACGTTTCAGAATACGCCCATTTCTACTTGTCATCTATCTTTCAAACCAACCACGTTGGGAGAAGGGGCGGTCTAACCCGCTCCCACGCTACTGTGGTACTAGGGCTACTGATAGTGAGCTTGTCTTTTGCAATGTTCAAACGGTTATTTCGATAAAAGTGATAGTAGACTGGAACTTAGTTCTATTATTCTGCGAGCTTCGACGACTGTCCGCGTTGAGTGAGTAGCAAAATCCTGTAGAAATACCGAAGCTGTGAAGTGTTGGCCGAGTCTACGATTCAAAAGCGTACTTTTCCCGCAACAATAGACATGCGCACTAGACCTTCTCGATGTTTGTACTTGAAGCTTACTCTCACCTTCGTCAACATCTGTGAATGAACGAAAATAAAGATCTTGGAATCTCACCGTGGTTGGGCTCCTTCGCGTTAACGAAGAGGACGAGTCGCAAAAATGCGCGAACGTGCAATCTTTTGTCATGCGCGGTCAGGGATGAATTCAGCTCAGGTTTCACGGTATTTCGTACGTGCACCTAGCAAAGTCCGTCAACTGCGCGGGAAGGACGGGTCGTCTCGACGTGGCGAGCTTCCGAAAAAATAGGTGCTATCGAGCAGGTGACACACGCGATTACTTACTTATACACGCATGCTTACCCTTTTGCGCGTGCTTACCCTTTTACGCGTACTTAAATTCGCAAACTACCACTACCAAGTATACACTTTCGACAAAAAAACTTCGATAGCCGGCGACTCAGGTCCGACTGAAGCGCTGACTGGCCTCGCTCGAACGTAAAACGGTTGCGACCCGCGGTTCGATCCAAACAGCTCTACCGCAGCAATGATAATATCGATAACGGCATCGCGCGCGCGCGGAATCAAAAACGAAGCGAATCAGCGATTCGCAAAGTCGAGGCCAGACAGAGGACGTGGAATTTCGTCGAAGTACAAAAAGCACACCGGCGGTAGTTCACTTATCACAAAGTGCAAAACCTGCGCCGCAACGAGGCGTGAGTTTAACGGAATTGCACTGAGTGGAGTGTTCAGCATCTTGCACACCGGTTCGGTCGAGGCTTTCGAGGTAAGTCGCTCGGGTCTTTACTCTACGTTCTGTCTCAAGTAGAAATGCCAGGATGGGAAACAGGTGCGATGACAATATAACTACTGATGAGTGTTATATCATATATGTAGGTCAGCGCATATCTTCCTGCTTCTGTGGACGTGGTAAGCAAACCCTTGTTTTCCAAAGCTGTTGTTCCTAAAGTGCACTAGTCTGGGTATTTTGTATTTGAAGCTGGACAAACCCGTACTCCAGCGTTGAGGTTCGGTCTAATGACGCGATAGTTTTCTCATCGTTCATCATCATGTTTTATAAGGGCTGGTGCGATTGAACCGTATAAAATATCTTTGCCTGGAGACTGGAAAGAGGTGCGTTCTTTGCTGTTGAGACGGGTTGCTTATTTTGTCTCACATTGTCACAAAAAGATCCCAGTTAGCAATGCGAAAAGTGGAAACTACTGTCAACCAAGATGTGATGAGGTACTCTTTCATTTACCGCGCGGAGAAGCGAAATTCATCTTTTCGAAGGCGACTACAGAGGTGCAGTTTGCGAGCCCTACTGCTGGAACACTTCAGGTCATCATCATTCCAACGAACAAATTAATGATAACAGAAAAGTCGCCTGAAATTGAATCGGTTGGAACGTTGGATAGTGTTTTAAATGCTGTTTCACCCGCCATCACCGGAAGGTGCGCGAGAGAATGATTTAACTCTTGATTTAAGGCTAAGATTTCCGATAGTGTGGCTGTTGAACAGGAAGAGATCATCTCACAAGAGCAATATTCCAAGAATAATCGAGGATATTATCAGGTTTTCTTATCTCTAACGAACTTTACCAGTACGTGCTAAGAGTTGTGCGTAGTACGAGCTGCTGACGCCGTTTGCGGCATATGGGCTCCACAATCTAGCTTGCGTGACAACTTCTCAGGTAAGGAGACTTTACTTTTACATGAAACTTTCACGTTATGTTTCTTCAGAACTATGTCGTTATTGCTACGGTGGCAGCTAGCGAGAAGCAATGGAGTACATCGGAACAGGTATGTTTTCAATCTTCATTCACCTATCACTTTCTTAAGAGAACTTTAAGGAGCTTCGCAATGTGGTCACCTCATTTCAAATCAGCAAGGTCTCGCAGAAAGCACAGTGAAGTTCATCGTGGCGTAGGCGTGTTGTAATGAAGAATTTTTTCATATTAAGTGCGAATTATGTACATTCAGTCACGGTCAGCGTAATAAGTTACGAGATATCTGTTCACGAGCCGTGGCCAGCGCTTGAGAAATGGTTTGTTCTGTAAGGGAGTGCTCCATACTTTCTTCCATCGAAACACGATTCACAATAGTGGTCGGATCTGTTTCCAATATAAGCCCACCATCTATTAACTCGTCGATGACTAATAGGACGAGGTCAAGGTTTTCTAATGCAGCGTGTTTGTCGACTACTCCTCTCAAAAGAGTACAAAGTGCCTCATACAAAGTTTCAAGAACTGATACTAAAATCAATTCGTTTTCATCGTGACGTGCAGCTACATAGAAACGCAAGTCGTGGCTGGCTTTGTGGACAGCGATGTAGTCATCGAGAATCAGAAGTTCTACTTCGCCTTTCCCACTTAAATGGGACGACTTGGTAAACAAATTTCGCTCAAACGTGAACTGTACGTCTCGTGCGCGCCTACAAGAATGGACATTCATCTAGGCAAAGTTATGGAGAGAGAAATGACGTACTTCAATGTTTCGTAATACTTGACTGCGACCCGCTTCCCTTCGTCATCTAAGATCACAATGCTACTCACACTCGGGATACTCATAGCTTGCTTTTTTGGCTCGGTGCGACACTGCAATCCGTCAATAGTAGCCGACGAACAGAGTGACGCAGCCGAGCGTGACGGAAAGTACAAGTGGTATAAGACGCGCAACTGCAGCCGTCAAAGTTGAGGTGACCGCGCCAAGTTCGTACGCTCGCGGACTCTTGCTTCTTTTCCCACATGCTATAGTACTATTATAGCTCCTTCGGGGGTAACCTAGGCGAGCTTCCCGTATTCTAAGGCTAGTTAGTCAAAGTGGTTTTTCATTCTGCGTTTGCTTTCGTTCATATTTATATTTAGCGTCTGGAGCTATGTGAATAGGCCATTGTACCGTTGTATACGTGCTGAGGTTCTGAAGTTCTCACATCCGGTCAAACAAAGAAAACGTGAACATTCGTCCCAGTCGGAGAACTGACAGAGTGAAGATAGAAGAAGGGTATTTATTACCTCTGCAGAACGCACGTTAGATTGTACATCTTCCAACGATGCGTAGCTCTACTTTAAGGTAACTTGATCAATTTCGCGTTGCTCGACGAGCTCACAAAAATCCAGGATTTTGGCTAGTCAACTGGTCACTAAAGGTAAAGTGACGACGACACTTGCAAAGGCGATGGAGGTTAGAAAACTAGCTGATAGGTTGATAAGTATGTCGAAGCAGGTATTCGCGAGATCTTTTGAATATTTCTTCGCCAAGTAACTTGTGTCTTGCAGGGGTCAGTTGACGCGAGACGTAGAATTAGAGCCTACCTCGACACAGATGAAGCTCACACAAAAGTGTCGGTAGAGTTAGCTGGAAGATACATGGATCAGCAAGGAGGCTACACACGTGTGACGCGTAGTAAAAGACGAAGTGGAGACGGAGCGCAGCTTGCAGTCGTAGAGTTCGTACCGAGCGAGAGAAGCAAAACCTTTTAATACATAGAACATAGAAAGGGCGTAAAAACGTTGACGTACCGACTAGTTCGAATTCCCCACGTTGAACAGCAGCAAATTTTTCGTGTGAAAGAGACGAGGAAGAATCCCGTTAAAAGCCTTTTCCGACTTGAGCACGCATATGACGTCAACAAATGAAATTTTGCTGTCGTGTGTTTCCAAACCAGTCTTTGAAGCCTTTTCTGTCGCTTCAGCGCGCGTTGTTTGTTTTGAAGTAACTGCACTTGATACCCGAGGATTAAGTTCGGTAGTTTTTTGCACATTTTTACCGTGAGCGAACCACTTGAGATACTTCGCATCGCCTAGTGCGCTTCTTGTTGCTTCATTCGCAGCATCTGCGAGCCTCCTTTCCTCCTCTTCTGTGCGTGCTTTCTCCGCCCTAGTGCGTAGTTCTTCATCAAATTCGTCATCAGAACTTTGTCTTTTCCGTTTGTTGGACTGATCACCAAGCTGTAGCAATTTCTGTCGCTCTTGTTCTCTTCTAGCTGATGTACTCTGCATGAGTGTAAGGTTGATGTCACGAATCTTACCCCTAGGAGTTACTCTCTCTGCTTTTGAGTTTTTCGCTATGATGCTCGACATATGACGTATCGTGGCGATCCTCATGAGATCTTTAGAGATATGTCGAATGCGTTGACGGATCGCCTCGCCGAAGAGTTCGAACGAGGCCGGATCAACGTGCATACCCGGATGTCGCGATCTAAGCTTCGACGCGATCCTCTTCGATAGCCGCTGCTGATCAAAGACTACCTTTTGTGTTATTTGCTTCGCCCTCTGATTGACATGGTTTGTTTTGGACTGTGCATGGGAGATAAGGAGTGTATTTCCGCCTTGAGAATTTACAAAGCCTTCACTTTGTAAAGATTTGGCCCCAACAACAACGGCGCTGATGACTCGCAAAATCTCACCGCCGTGTGCGTGACTAAATAGCGCGGAGAGGATTTCTTTTGCGGAAGCGCGTTTGGACTTCATGCTCAAGTAAAGAGATGCAAGACGCATGATATCGTCTCCGTTGACATGGCCCTCACGGACGAGTCGCAAAACTTCACTCAGTGATACGTAACTTGGAACTTGACGTGCTTGCTCTTGAGGTCCGTGGTCTCCTTCACCTCGTGAGGGTCCACAGGCGACGCCCATAGTCTTGTCGTGCTGTGAGGGGCGTATGCGGATGTACTGAAGGCGCGCCTCTGAAAGTGCGATGCACGCTTATCAGTTTATCCTGCTACAGACAGTCGAGTCAAAGTGCCGAATTGTAAAACGGCCGCGCGCCTGAGCTTTTGCAGCAGTGAGAGCAATCCCTTTTTCACATTTTCAAACCAGCTAAATGGTCGCTAACTTGGAGAATTTTAGCAATCTCTGCCTGAGGAAGCAACATTCCGGACTTCATGGAGTTGTTCTCCACAGCTTTATAGGACGTAAAGAGTGATTTATATGATATCATATCATACCGTCTGAAATTCGATAAAAAAAGTGTGTCCTGATGTCCCAATACGGCGAGCCTAACTTACGTCAGTACTGCAGAAGTGGTCTCATGCCGCCGAGTAAGGATCGGAGACTCGTAGGCAGAGGAGTTGGGGTCGGTGCGTTCACGCCATGTGTAGACATACTTTCGCTCAACTTTTTCGGCGTAGGGATCGGATTGGGCTGCGGATTCGGTTTAGGTTGGGGCTTTGGCGGTGAGTCGTTTAACTTAAATACTATGACACGCAGTTTACCACTTCACCCAGGGGTACCGATTGGGTTTTGGGGCTTAGGTATAGGTGGTGGTTGTGGCGTAGGCGTTGGTCTTGCGTGGGGTGTCGGTTTCGGCGCTGGAAGTAAGTACATCAATCAATATTTCTTATTTCGCGACGTCGCCGCGCCATAGCTGCATAGTAGACACACGTCTGAGAGTTGACTCGGCGACTCACGTGGGTGAATTCGTGATGAATATTGGTTATTGTAGTGGCTGTGACGTGGCTCGCCTATCCAGCTTTCTTCGAACTACTCGGAAATCCTCCGAGTAGCGTTGCGGGAGCTTCAGCAGCGTTGGCAAATTGAATTATAAGTTTCTCTAGACTCTTGCTAAAACCTCGAGAGACTCATTTTGCTTCCCGACAAGCGAAAGCGCCGTAGATGCGATGTGCGAAACGCTAAGTCCAGCCTCGTTAAGCTGGAATGCATACGAACCGTGATCAATTGGACGATCGGGAAGTACCATTGGTCGAACCTTCAAGCCGCCGTCGAGCAGTCCGTCAGTCGCTAGGAAGTGCAACACGTGAGACGCAAAGCCGCCTATGGAACCTTCCTCTACCGTTATGAAAACTGGGTGTGATTTTGCCAAGCGACGAATGAGTTCGACGTCCAGAGGTTTGCAGAATCGAGCATCCGCCACGGTGGCGCTGACGCCGAACTCTTGCAACATTTGGGCAGCCAGCAAACAGTTATTCGTTGGAGTACCATAACCCAACAGAACGACATCGGTTCCTTCGCGTAGAACTCGGCCTTTCCCAATGTCTAACACCATACCCTTGTATCCTGGATTGAGCACTTTGACGCTCTCATTTTCCATGTTGACCCCAACGCCCGCACCCCGAGGATAGCGGAAACAGGAGGGACGATCGTCAATAGCTAAAGATGTTGCAACCATATGACACAGCTCTGCCTCGTCCATCGGCGCCATAACGACCATATCGGGAAGGCACGCCATGAACGTCACATCGTACGCACCAGCATGAGTTGGTCCATCCGCGCCAACCAAGCCAGCACGGTCCATCGCAAACCTCACCGGAAGTTTCTGCAGCGCTACGTCGTGAACAACTTGATCCCAGCCACGTTGCAAAAATGTTGAATAAATCGTACACATGGGTTTCAATCCCTCACATGCAAGACCCGCAGCGAAAGTCACGGCATGTTGCTCCGCAATGCCGACGTCGTACGTTCTATCGGCGAAATATTTCTCGAAATGGTTTAATCCCGTTCCCCCGCCCATGGCAGCGTGCACGGCCACAACCTTTTCATCAGCCATGGCTTCTCCAATCAAGGCATCGGCGAACACCTTCGTGTAAGTGGGGATTGTATCTGTTGATTTGCTTTGTTCACCGGAAGCGAGATCGAATTTGGATACACCGTGGTACTTGTCTTGAGCGTCTTCGGCATAAGAGTAGCCTCGGCCCTTCTCGGTCACGATGTGAATCAACACGGGACCAACGCTCTTTGTCTCTTTTACTTCTTGCAGAATGGCGACCAAATCCTCCAAATTATGCCCATCAACAGTTCCGATGTAATATAGTCCGAGCTCTTCAAATAGAGTCGAGCCAGATCCACTAATCATACCACGCGCATACTCGTCAACTTTTGCGGTGACCTCTTGCACAGGGGTTGGCATCTGTTTGGTAATCGCCTTGGCAGACTCGCGCAACTCGCGTAGAGGGCGCGACGACTGAAGACGAGCGAATGTCGACGAAAGCGCACCCACTGGATCTTGATTCATACTGTTGTATTGCGTAGGAAGCGACACTTGCTGGTTATCATTTAAGATGATGATCATGTTCGTGTCCAGAAATCCAGCATTGTTCATAGCTTCATACGCCATCCCCCCCGTGATTGCCCCGTCTCCGATTATGCTGATGACATGATTATCGCCGCCTTGCATATCCCGAGCGACAGCCATTCCAAGACCTGCCGAAATGGACGTACTACTGTGTCCCGCCCCAAAGCAGTCATAAGGACTTTCGCTTCTCTTCGTGAAAGGTGATAACCCGCCTGTTTGTCTCATGGTGTTCATTTGGTCCCTCCTTCCCGTCAAAATTTTGTGAGGGTAAGCTTGATGCCCCACGTCCCATATGATTTTGTCGTTCGGTTGGTCGAATACGTAATTGAGTGCGACGGTGAGCTCAATAACTCCGAGGCTCGAACCAAGATGCCCTCCTGTCTGAGATACGTTGTAGATTAGGTCTGCACGTAGTTCTTTCGCGACTTGCTTGAGTTGATCCATGTTTAAACCCTTCAAATGGCTCGGAAACTGCACGGTATCCAAAAGGGGTGTCGTAGGTTTGGACGAGATGACGCCGTAGCCAGCAATTCCTCCTTCTTGCGCTTCTTCAAGTTCAGATAAGATATCCTGCTCAGAACCACGATTTGGCACGAACCGTGTGCCTGAGCGCCCATTACGCGCACGTGCGCTCAATTTTCGCGTAATCACGGGGCGAAGACTGTCGGCGTTTCGTCCGTGCCCCCCAGCACATCGCGGGCGCGCGACTCGAGTCTGGTTGAGGTTTTGAGCCAGTGCCAGTCGAGTTGAAGACGTGTACATCGCGTGCTGCTATTTTGACGAGCAACGCTACGTGTGATTGCCGTAATGCGCGCTCGCAACACTGTCCCTAAGCTTAGACGCAGTACGCTCCTGTCGGCACGATATAGGATACACGTTTCAGTGCGGCCTGTCGGGGTAATTCACACGCGACGCGACAGCGTTTGACCGCGGCTGCGAGGCGAAGCAAGGCGATGAAAGAAAAGTGAATGATAGATGCTGTCTATATTAATATATGAGGCTATTTTCAATGCCGACACCAACACCGATCTCATACTTTCATCCTTATATTTTCTCTTATTTCATTCTCCAAAGGGCTTTATCCGGATGGGTTGCGTTGCCGAACCGCGCTCAACCCTGAAGGGTTCGCCAGTTCGCTGCTGGTCGCAGGTTTTCGTCCCGTGGGGTCCGCCTAAAACACGCGTCGGCGTAGATTACTGATCCAGTTGCACGCCGAGTCGAAGTTACCCACGTTTGAATAGTGGGTCAGACTTACAGAACTCATCGTAACGAGTTACAAGTTACATGTTTCGTCTCACCCCTACAGTGACGGCGAGCTCTAGCTCTGTTCGCGTGCGAGCTTCACGGGCGAGCAAGTTCCGCCCTGGCGAGCCATTTCCAGAAGTTTTGCAGAAGACTAGTCGCCGCATCATTATGAACGACCGCGGGCGACATGCTATTACGCAGGTCGGCTTTCTTTCACCGCCACGATAAAGAACAAACTTCAATTTTTACAACAGGTCATACCGAGCTTGCAAGGGGATGCGTCCACTCAGTCTCCTCCTGATCTTCCATCCTTCATTTTCAAAGAGAGGATCGTTTACTTGGTAATACTATGCTCAAACAATAACGTCATCAGCTCAGCTCTCAAACCAGGGCATGACCCTTGTACCTTCAGTGACAGAGTTGATTCTTGCCGAACTGCTCTACTTGCAGTATGAAGATAAGAAAAAGCCAATACAACTGTACATTAACTCGACAGGGTCTTCGAAGGTTCGAATATCATCGATGTTATGGACTGCAACTAATACGAACCAAGGATGGGCAAAAATATGGGTATGATACTGAGGCGTTTGCTATATATGATACAATCCAGTATGTATCTCCTCCTGTACACACCATAGCAGTAGGAACAGCTTGGGGTGAGGCTGCGATGTTGTTGGCTGCAGGTAGTAGGGTACGCTTGAATTTGTTCGTTCTCAGCCTATGATAAATATGGCACAGGGTAATCGCGCGGCGTTGCCTTCTGCCAGTATTATGTTGAAGCAACCATTGAGCGCTTTTCGTGGACAGGTGAACATTTGCATTTGCATACTGAGCGTTGTGGCCATTTTAACTTCGATTAGGCATCTGAGTTGGAAATTCAACGCCAGGAGATGCGAAATACTAAAAGACAAATGGTATGTAACTGTTTTAACTAGTTGACCTAGGAATCATGTTATCTTTCCCTACAGCTGGAGATATTAGCGAAGACGACCGGCAAGGACATCGCCACCGTTGAAAGCGATATAAATCGCCCTCTTTACTTCGACCCTACCGAAGCAGTGAAATATGGCTTGATAGACAAGGTGAATCCATTGCCATGTTCAAAAAACTATCATGAAGCGTTTCCACAGGTACTATCGGACTAGAAGAGGAAACAGAGACACAGATATATTTCAAAAGACTGCGCTAGGAGTTAGCTTCAATTGAATAAAAAGCCCTTCTACTCTAAATACACCCTTCATGAATCAGCAAGAAGTACGGTTGCAATATTTTCAGCCTGAAAAGTACGAACATCCTTATACATCTGCCCAGTACCAACAAACATGATGGGAATCGAAGACGCATACACTAACGATAAAGCAGTGCCAACTTTATTGTCGATGGTGTCGAATTTTGAAAGGAAGATGCCATCTATGACACATTTCTTCTCCGTTTGCATCAATGCTTGTAATCTATGCTCAAACTGCAAAATTTGGCTCACGCCATCATTTCCGACCAGTGCTTCGCCTACAAACAGTGTCAAATCAGGCAGGTTTACACTCAAGAGTTTTGCAAGTGCTCGCATTAATGGTTCGTTGTCTTGCATGCGCCCTGCAGTATCTATCATGACGACATCAATACCTTGTCGCGTGGCTTGCTGAATAGCTTGTTGAGCGATAACTGATGGATCTCTTTCGTAGCCTCTCTCAAAAAGCGCACAGTCAAGACGTTGACAGTGTGTCCGTAGTTGCTCTACTGCACCAGCACGAAACGTGTCACATGCAGCAACCATCACTGAGAAATTTTGCTGACTAAGCCAATGTACTACCTTCGATAGACTCGTACTTTTACCGACACCGTTCACGCCAACAAACGCAATCACGAAAGGTCTTCTACTCTTACGAGCGCTTCCGACCTCAGTCAATAGGTCAATTTTCTTCGCAGAACTCAGTATACGAATGATTGACTCCTCAAGTGAACGGTAGACTATGCTTGCTAGTGACTGGAATGTAGAAACTTTTTTCCCTACGAGTTTCTGTGCAACTTCTGTCACCAGTAAATCAGCTATATCGCTCGTCACATTTTTTTGAGTCAATTTGTGTTTGATTGACGCTGTGAGAGGTAACAAAGATTCCTCACTAATGTGTGTTTCACGGAAACTAACAAGATCACGGCACCAGCTCAAGCCCAGACGTTTCCCCCCCTCGTGCTTAATAGCTTGAGTATGTTTTGATTGAGTGCTTGAAGGCTCTGGAAAAATCGGCGGCTGAGCAACCTGTGACGGCTCTGAGAAATCGAGTGAATCGAGCCTTTCTGAATGGCGAGATCTGGGCACGGATGGGTCATGGTAGTGATGCTGCCTCTTTGTACGTCCAAAATCGCGTGAAGGCAGTTTACTGTCGGAAACAGAGTTATCCACGCCTGACCGTTCACTAGCAGCACCAAGCTCGCAGTGCTCATTAGACCTTTCCAATTGCTGAATCCGTGCTTGGAGAGCGGGTAGGAATTCACTGTAGTCGAATCGATCATGTTCGTAGTATTCAGCAAATGCGTCTTTGCTTGTCCTGAGTAAATCGTCTGCCTCGTGTTTCTCTAAAGCCTCTTCGAAGGAGAGTATAAACGTCAAACCAGTGACAGCGTCACTTAGCCAAATAACTTTGCTCTTCTGAGAATCGTAGGCTGCAATTCTTGACTCAATAGATCGATCTGAATCGCTTTTCAAGGTATGCGCGCATTCTGAAAGTTCGGTCAGAAGAACGACCTCTTTCGTGAAACACTCGTGCACGAGAACAAGCCCACCGCGTGAAAAGACCGATACTTGTTTTAGAGTGGGCATCCGCTTTTGCTCGCCGCGGACGAGGTTGAATGAACGCGCGCGCGCGAGCCAGGCTAGTGCTACGAAGGGCGCGCGAACCAGGCTAATGCCACGTAGGGCGAACGTTGTCGAACGAAACGCAAGTTGCACACCTGTAGGTGCCCGAGTAGAGAAAAAAGAAGTAATATTACTTTCATTATGGAAGTCCGGTTGGTGAAGCAGGCGAAAATTGTGTTTTCTGTTTTTAATAGAAATCCATCGTCTGAACCACTATACCGGTGGAATTGTACGCTATCGCCCGCTTGGCAGCCTTGATCCAAGCTCGTACACACGCAGAGTAGATGTCAGCGCCACTAACATCTTCACTAACTAACGCCAACTTGAGACAATTTTCAGTCAGAGTTTCATCAATTGTTCCTATCTAAGATTACCTGACCAATCTCGAAGTTTGATGAAAATATGAAGTTTTTGGTTAGAGCCTGGGTTGCCAAGTTAAGACGACCTTTGACTCAGTGGTTTTGACAACAAACCTTGAAAATTGCAACCTTTGAGCGAACGTCGTTCTGAAGAGGAACATGTAGAACTCGGTCAAGTCTGAAAGTTTCCGTTGGTTTTTGAGTAAAAAAGCGTGAGCTGACTCACCGCCCAGACCGCAGAATTGTCGGTTCAATAAGTTCTAATCTGTTGCTAGCTGCCAATACAAATACTTGAGACCCCTGGAAAACTGTTATCAATTGAAGAGTGCTGGAATCTAAGACGTGAACACCTTCAGCGAATCCAATTCCGTAACGACTTGACTGATGACACGGCTTATTAGTGTTCCAGGCGGTGCATCAACCTACAGATTCGTCACTTTAACACAGGCATTCCAACTGAGAAACACACCATGCAGAGAGAATCAAATTCATCAAAGAAAATCAATGCGGGGGCCAATTCTCGGGCTTTGTTAAATAGTTCTCGCACACATTTCTATTAAGAGGTCAAAATGAAGTACATCGAGGAGAGAAAGAGTTCACCTCGCTTTCACCGACATACATCCCTAGAAGCTCTGGTCCTTTGACGTTGAAAAATGTCAAGCCTGATTCGACACTTGCAGCTTTTGCTATGAGAGTCTTCCCTGTGCCCTATTGACACTCATCACGTAAGAATGGACATATTTACATCTTCCTCACCGGTGGACCGTGAAGGAGAGCTCCTTTCGAGTAATTCTTGAAAAGCTTCGGGAATTTAATAGGCCATTTCAGCATGTCGCACAAAGCAGCTTTTATATCTTCTAGACCACCGACGTCATCCCAGCGAACATTTCCGTTGTTCTATTTGATCGTGTTAGCCTGAAAATATCACGACATAGTAAGACTTACCTGTTGGCTCGTAGAGAGTGGTACAATTCGCATTGCCTTTTGTTGTCGGTGCCCTCCGATGGATAGTGCACTCTGAACCTTTAAACGAATTTGCTTCAATCCTTCATCGCGTCTTATCTGCTGTACATGGACATCGCTGTCTTGTGAAGGACTTGGAATCTTGCGAAGAGAATACAAAATTAACAGTTTTTCTTACAGCTCAGCGTGTTCAACATACCTGCAATGGAAAGTGGCGATGTAAATCTGAATGCACCTTAAATTCTGCGGTTGTTCCAATTATAAACGTATGGAAAGAGCCTGAGTCATGCGTCAATTGAAACGTCTTACTCAGATCAAGCGCACCTTGGATTGTGCGAAAGTCTGCAATGTCGTTCAGTGTAGATAGCAAACATTGCAAATTGAGTCCATCTTTATCTTTAACAAGAACATCCACGTCTTCCAAAATCAAAGCAGTATCAGAGTCGATACCCGTAAGGGCTCGTTCTATGATCAAACTAATCTACTCGTGTTTTTAGCTTTGTATCTTCTAAGAATCTGTGCACTCCTTACTTGTTTTTGAGATTTTAACAACACTAAGTATTGGCATGAAATAACTCGTGATTGCATGCGAACACTCGACTGCAACTTTGACTGTAGCCAGCGCAAAAAGTGCTTTGACGACTGTTTGAGAAGTAAAGGTGTGTCAGACGCTAGCCGACCTGACTTTGGACGAGTCAGCAAACATCATTTGTAGTCTTGGTATGACATACGCTGCAGTTAAGCGGTGAGGACAGACGAATAAGTGCTGACTTCACAGCCTCAAATCGAGCACGAAAATCCTGTGATACTACCATCGTGTGCTTGTAAGGTACAAATTCATTTTCTCGAGCTTTTACCACGATACGCGTGTCCACTAACGAAAATAAGTCATCGCCGCTTCGAAGTGTTGAAATAAAGCACTCACCAGGCTCATAAAGTAAATGGTTGCCGTCTCGAGAACTAATTTTCGCTACTTGCAGAGAGAAGCTTGGTTTCTTAATTCTTGGACTTCCTTCGCAGGGTAGCGTTACTTGAAATCCGGTCTTTCAACTTTGGCTAAGGTTGTATGAAAATACAGAATCACAGAACTTACCCAAGTAACTTGTTGTTTTGCAAACACGCGCTGGATGCGCCGTAACATAGTGTGGCGCAGTGCTGCCCCATGAGCTTTTGGGGAATCGAGCATCAGTAGCATGAAATTGGCGTTGTGCATCTCCGACTGCGAGAAAGCTGTGATAGATTTCTCTCTCTGGCCAAAACGTTTTACCGGTCGTGTACAGTCGTCACAGAGATTATTTTCATATTGCTGAAATGAAAATTGACATACTGGGAAGAAGCACTCGAGTATCTCTCTGGACCGTGCCATTCGCGTTTGCGACCCACTGCCGTAGTGATTTATTTAGTCGGTGCAAGGAAGTCTCCAGCGAGCCAAAACCGTTAGTTTTTGTAATTGTATTTTCTTTTTGTATTTTGGTATGTTATGGATTTTCCCATATTTGCACTGTTCGATCGCCCATCTGAAAGGCCGAATTCGACGTCACAAGATCGACGTCGCGACTGAGCGAAGGGGGCACCGGTTTATGTCGGCGCGCCGCATCCGTAGAGCTGCGTGAAGAAGGAAACATGAGCGTTCAACGCGGTAGAGTGTGCATACTTGTTGGTATGGCAGGTTCGGGTAAAACTTCGCTGCTGGAAAGGCTTGTGGATTTCACGCACGCCGCTGGGAAATCGTCATACGTAATCAACCTCGACCCTGCAGCGCACAACTTACCTTATCAGGCTAACATAGATATCCGCGATACGATTGACTACAAAGCCGTTATGAAAGAGTATAGTTTAGGTCCGAATGGTGCAATACTCACCGCAGCGAATCTGTTTGCAACCAGGTTCGACAAGGTTATCAGCATATGTGAGCAGAGAGCGACAGAGTATGAGTACTTCTTTGTAGATACTCCTGGACAGATCGAAATTTTTACTTGGTCGGCCAGTGGTATGATGATCACAGAAATGATTGCTAGTAGCTTTAGCACGGACATTCTTTTCGTTATGGATACCCCCCAGTGCCAAAATCCACAGATATTGATGAGCAACATGTTGCAAGCCGTGAGTGTACTATACAGGAGCCGTCTCAATGTGGTGTTAGTTTTCAATAAAATTGACGTTGCTCCTCATGCTCCGCTACTTAAATTGCTAACCGATGTCAATATCTTTCAGGAAAAACTTGAGAATGCAAGTAACTTTTCCTCTGCATTAACTTCATCGCTCAACTTGATTTTACAAGAGTTCTATGAGCATCTAAATATTGTAGGTGTCTCTGCAATACAGGGTACTGGTATTGGCGATTTCGTTAATGTTTTGCAGGGTTTGTAGCGAAAAAGTGAGTGTGATAGATTGGAACTGCACTCTGGTCCATCAAGTGTCTTTACGCTCAACTTCAGCATAAAATTCAAGAAGTGCATCAAGATAACCAGGTTGGATAATCAAATCGTTATGGTCGCCAAATTCAAACGCTATAAATTTTTTGTGACGACAAGACACTGCTTCGAACAATTTCGTCCCACACCAGAGTGGCACTATCCGATCAGCCTTCCCGTGCAGGCTGAGGAAGTTGATATCTTCATCCAGCTCCTGAGCGCCTTGAATGGTAAGGTTCCATTTGTCGCGTAATAATAATTTAACTGGTACGAAAGGTAGCATAGAACGTGCTAAATCATAACACGAGCACAATCCGCCCTCTACGACGATTCCATCGACCCGAACTTCGACTGCCATTTTGAGCAGAGCACTCAGGCCCACAGCACTACCGATGCTTTCCAGGTGTAGAACAAGCTTTTGTGAATTTCGTTTCGCATTCGTGTATGCCCACGTTATGGCTGCCACCGCGTCTTTAATCAGACCATCCTCTGAGATACGACCAGGATTCCCACCAAAACCTCGGTAATCAAAAAGTGCGACAGAACAGCTTGTCCGTTTCACGATTTCATTCGCCCAGTATAGACGGTGAAATCGATTTCCTGCGTTTCCGTGCAAATGCAGTATCAACACTGGTGAAGACTTCTGTCGCCATAACCAGCCTTTCAGTTTCAGCCCGTCAATCACGTGCACTTCAAACTCCTCGACACGACGGAAAGCGGTTGGAAGGCTATCTAGAGTTGGCACTTCTGCAGTGGGGAAGTACTGAAGCTTCCGTTGAAAGAGACAAAGAGCACCTAAAATAGCTGCATATGAGCACGACAGTATCAGTAGACTCTTATTCGCGATGTCTGTAACCAAACGTATCATTCTTGCACTGCAACTGCGACGTGTCGGCTGTACGTATCTCGCGTTCGCGTCGTTTCTTTTATTTGGTTACTGGACGAAAAAAACAAGATCGAGATTCATATAACCTATACTGTAAACCTATCTCTTTGTTACTTCGTACACCGTCGTGACGGATTTCGGCTCGCCGCGACTCTCTTTCTGAGTTACTTGCCAGAGCTGTTCGCCCGTGACGAATCCTAATAGTGAGAGTATACTCCATTCATGAACTTTGATGATACAAATACAACCTTTAAGATTTTTAGTGGTGGCGCACGCACATCAAACTCTTGGGGAAAAACAGACAACAAAAACAAGGAACGCACACGTTCGCTAAGTCATGAGGAAAGAGATGCTACGGAAGAGGCATTGATGGAAAGAGTTCGCAGCGTTGCCGTTGATGCGTCCGCGCTGTGTGCTGCGGCACCAGCTCTACAACACAGTACACAAGGGGACAGCCTGACTTCTTGACGAGAACTCGAGTGTTCAGTTTAGTGGCAAAGTTGTACACAGTCAAGGTGGGTATAAGGTAGACTCATGAAAGAAACAAATCGCAGGGACCTCACGTGGGACATACCACTGAACGTCAACAGTACACGGCGCCATCCGCGCCCATGGCGTGGTCAATCACTTTTACACGCTGCTTCGTCGGCACTATTTCGTAGTTTCAACTCACTCTCAAAGCGATTAACTTTGCTCCCAAACTGTAGCGCGCATTTGGGCCTTCTCGAAGTATGCAATAAGCCGAGGTGGCACGCTGTCTTTCGAAGGATAAGCTTATCGCCCTGACCTGGTGGAAGACTAAAGTTGAATACACCGCGAAAAGAACTGGTTGTTACCGAACGCACAAGCTCTTCATCAAGGAAAGGATACCTACCCTCTCGACCTGAATCTGACACAACGCGATCATCTCTTCCCAGATTTCTAATCCATAGACGGTCTATATCCAATTTAATTTCTCTCGCAAGAGAGATCATCCCACCTTGCTCAAAAGCAGTTCTATGTCTACGATACCCACCAAGGACTTCATCAGCACCGTGACCCAAGAGAACAACTCTTGCGTCCGATATGTAATTCCTAGATATTTCAATTGGTCCATGTACGTTGTAGAGCGTAGCGGTTCCTTTCGCTCGCGACGCAAACCATAGGGCCACTCCAATGTTGTAAGCCATGGTGCTATTTTGTGGTTGAATGAGTGAACGAATGTGGTAGAAATGCCTGAGAACCTCTTCCACACTCACGTCTGCCTCGATAAATCGCCATACTCTGCCAGGTGAAATCGACCTTAGCTCTGTTAAAGCATCCTTAGCAGCTAATCGATCCGGAGAGGTTCCATCTCGAAAACAGACGCTGCAAAGGTCGATGACTTCACCGGCAGGGACATGTCTGTGAGCCAACGACGCGATGGTTGTGCTGTCGAGCCCCCCTGAGAAGAGAACAAGAACCTGAGCCATCTTATCATGTGGGGGTGCGCATAACTCCTTCCGAGAGTTCATCGTTACCCTGATTTCCATTGAACGATCGAGCAACCGCATGAACGAACGCAGTGAGCACTTGCTGTGCAGGCTTGAGAGAAAGGTTGGTAGCTGCCTACATTCTTCACCGAGCATCCCGCATGTAGTGGCGACGTTATGCTTCCAGTCTAGCTTTATCACTTCTAGCGTTGGGGCTCTTAGGTCTATGCGGTGCACACCGCAACCAATCTCGGTCCAAAACTTCACGCTGCAGTGTTTGGATGCGCCAGTCGAGCATACAATCAAGCGCCTATCATGGTGATCAGGGATGTGTAGCAAAAGACTTCTCCTTCCAAAGATATCTTTTCCGATCAAAATATTCTCGTTTTTCATATCAAAATATACAATCGCCCAAGGACCCCGCACGCCAGACAAAAGTTCTATCTTCGAGCTTTCTTCTTTGGCATCACCCAGTGCTCGAAATAAGAGTGCTGCGTCACGTTGAGTAGAGTCTTGATAAGGTAGACCACTATAAATTTCACCATTGAATGCCATCGCACAATCATTAGCTACCATCAAAGGGCTGTCTACCATCTCTTCGCCTCTGAGCTGCAATATCGCAGCTGTTAAGCGAATACAAAACTTGTGGCTGGCGTGATTGAACGTGGCACACGCATCAGGTCCTCGACGGGATAAAGCACAGCTGAGTCCAATATCTATGTCGGACGTACAGTCTACCATAGAAGCTAGTGGTTTCACGTCCGACAAACGATAACTCGAACTACTTTCTTCAACGACTAGAACGACACCGCACATCTTCAGTAAACTTGTTTAACTTGTTTGAGCAGTGACGCCCTCTGTCTGGTGTCTACCGTGCCCTGGAAACAAAATACAACGACAAAAGCCGTTCATCATAACTCCTCCGATAGCGTTGTCATCACTAACGCTACGTTCTTGCGCGACAGTCGTGCGAGCTAAGCGGAAACGGCGGGATTCCAAATCTTCCTATGATACCGTGATGCAGTTTTACGTACAAATGATACCACGGTACAAGTACAGTATTCAGTCGCATGTATTCCACAGTATTAGCGACAAATACAGACATACTGACCAGACAACCTCCTCAAAACGTTCACAACTTTTCTTCACTGCTTCTTCCAATACGACCGTCACGGGGGCCGCATTATTCGCACAAAGTTTCACGTCATATTCTCCTCAAATTTTACCGACTCAGTGCCATCTATGCCCTGTCGGCTTACGCCCACGAGACAGTTTGAGCGACTTGTCTGTTTGAGAAACGTTTCTCAAACAACGCGGCGAAGAGGGCATCGCCAAGTTCTCCGAATGTATCGTTGGAAAGTGCAATACATACGTACTTAATGCTCTCTGACGTCACTTGCAGTTCTCGTCAAGCGCTTGACACAGCTTACAAGGTAAGTTCCGTCTTCTTGACAAACAGTTCGAGATAAATGTTTTCCAGGTCAGCCTTTGCGTAGAAGGGAACATCAGTTCAGGCAAAAGTACATTTTTGTCAGAGGTGCTCTCAAGCGCCTCACGCCTAGAAGTATGTGATTCGGTTTGTTATACTCTCTACTCATTTGGTGAATATAGGATCTGGTGTACACTGTCCCAGAACCGGTTCAAAGTTGGCAAAGCGTGCCGCGAAAAAGTGCAAGCAATCCTCCTCATAACTTGCTCAAAGAATTTTACACCAATCCAGAAAGATATGCATATGTGTTCCAGAATTATGTTTTTATGACTCGGTATTTGCAAGAGCGACAAAGCGCAGGAACATCGAAACTACTAAGAATAACTGAACGCAGTGTTTTTTCTGACCGAAACGTATTTGTCGAGTCAGTGCACGAACAAGGCTGGTTATCCGAGCTTGAGGCTGATCTCTACAACGCTTGGTTGTATCCCATGATAAATGTGCGTGAAGTAGATTTGAGTTTCTCTATCAAGTGCACTGACGTGTAGCTGAAGGCCTTACCCTCCCTGATTCCAGATGGGTTTATATATTTGAGAGTTGAGCCAGATGTGTGCATGGAGCGGCTTCAGCGGCGGGCGCGTGGTGAGGAGCTTAACATCACACTCGAGTACCTTGAATCACTACACTACAAACATGAAAAGTGGCTGTTACAAGTATTACGAAATTGTTAAGTTGAAATTGAGGTTAATGACATTCCCAACCAGGATGTGAGAGCGCTCACGGTCGGGAAAAAACATCAGGAGACCTTAACGATAGGTTTTGTGACAGACCACATGTGTAGTCAATTTAAAAAGGTATGTCAGTATCGAGCTTTTGACACAAAAGCATGAACTCACCATGTTTGGTTGCGCCTTGGATCGGGAAATATGTAGAAGCCAGTACTAATTCTAGAATTTGGGCACGATGTCGACTTTTCATCAGACGACAAAACTGTGGAACAGCTTGGCAAGAAAGTCAGGGCATTTTACGATTACATTTCTGACGAATAACTCGACGTAGCCTAATATTGTAAATGTAACTACTTCTTCAGAGTATTACTCGCGTACATCTGTGTAATAGCTCAATTTGTCGAAGTTGAGGTACTGGTACGTGTCAGTACTGTTCGTAAGCACTTCAACATGGCTCAAGTATTCTTCCTTTGATGGTATTCGGCCTAGAATCGCGCAAACAGCAGAAAGTTCTGCAGATGCTAGATAAACATTTGCACCTTTACCAAGACGATTGGGAAAGTTCCGAGTACTTGTAGAAACTACTGTGCTCTTTTCAGCAACTCTCGCTTGGTTTCCCATACACAAAGAGCACCCTGGCATCTCTGTCCTCGCGCCTACCGTAGCAAAAGTGCTGTAATGTCCTTCAACTTTCAGCTGCAATTCGTCCATCTTTGTTGGGGGTGCCACCCAAAGTCGAGTGGGAAGCTGACTGAGATTGTCGTTCAAAAGCTTTGCCGCAGCTCTGAAATGACCAATGTTCGTCATGCAAGAGCCTATGAACACCTCGTCAACTTTATCACCAACTACAGAAGAAAGTGTACGTGCGTCATCTGGATCATTCGGTGCACATAATATAGGTTCTGTGATTGCGTTCAAATCAATTTCGATCGTCGCAGCGTACTCAGCATCATCATCAGCCCGTAAAAGCTCTGGGGCAGCGAGCCATTGTTGCATCGCGAGGATTCTGCGCTCGAGAGTACGAACCTCACCATAATCATTGGCTATCATCCACTTAAGAAGAGCAACGTTACTAGTAAGATACTCCTTTACGCTTGCTTCGTCGAGCTTAATTGTACAGCCAGCCGCACTTCTTTCAGCACTAGCGTCTGACAGTTCAAATGCTTGTTCACACTTCAGATGCTCAAGACCTTCAATTTCCAAAATACGCCCACTAAAGGCGTTGACTTTGTCTTCTTTTGCGACTGTAAGTAATCCATCTTCAATTGCCTGCAGTGGAATAGCGTGGACAAGATCCCGCAAAGTAATACCTGGCTGTAGATGCCCAGTGAAACGAACAAGTACTGATTCTGGCATGTCGAGAGGAATAACTCCAGTGGCAGCACCGAATGCTACTAAACCAGAGCCAGCTGGAAACGAAATCCCAATCGGGAATCGAGTGTGCGAGTCGCCACCTGTACCTACTGTATCAGGTAAGAGCATACGATTCAGCCAGCTGTGTATGACCCCATCTCCTGGTCTAAGCGATACACCGCCACGGTTGCGAATAAAAGTGGGGAGAGTGTGGTGAGTGTCAACATCAACAGGCTTGGGATATGCAGCCGTATGGCAAAAAGACTGCATGACTAAATCGGCGGTGAAACCAAGACAAGCCAGATCCTTCAACTCGTCACGTGTCATAGGACCAGTCGTATCTTGACTCCCCACAGTCGTTACACGAGGTTCGCAGTATGTGCCGGGAAGTATCCCAGCCACACCACATGCCTTCCCCACCATCTTCTGTGCGAGTGTAAACCCCTTAGAACGTGATTTAGAGACCTGGGGCACTTGAAATACTTCAGAAGGCTCTAGACCCAATGCATTTCTAGCTTTATCAGTCAACGATCGACCAATAATGAGTGGGATGCGCCCACCAGCCTGAATTTCATCCAATAGCACAGGACTCTTCAGGGAAAAAGTTGTGATAACCTCATTTGTGCCATGTTTCTTGACTAAACCCTCATACGGGAATATATCTATGACATCACCCATGTGTATATTCTTCACGTCCATCTCGATAGGGAATGCCCCACTGTCCTCCATTGTGTTGAAGAAAATTGGAGCAATTTTACCACCGATGCATACTCCTCCAGTGCGTTTATTGGGAACGTTCGGAATGTCAATACCCATGTGCCACAAGACAGAATTCGTTGCAGACTTACGTGACGAACCAGTCCCAACGACGTCGCCAACATACGCCAGTGGATATCCAAGTTTTTTGAGTTCGTCGATTTGAGAAATCGGGTTTTGAATTCCTTCACGCGGTGATTTGAGCATCGCAAGGGCGTGCAGAGGAATATCGGGGCGACTCCATGCATCTTGAGCGGGCGAAAGATCATCGGTATTTGTTTCACCTGGCACTTTGAACACTGTTACAGTGATTTTTGATGGTGGTGGGCTCTTCTTTGTGAACCATTCTGCGTCCGCCCAACTCTGCACTACTTGCATGGCATACTTATTTGCTTTATCTGCTTTCTCTTGAACATCGTAAAATGCATCGAATATCAACAGGGTGTCAGAAAGAGCGGCAGCGGCAATGCGACCCAAGTCGTCATAATCAAGTGCATCAATAAGAGGCGAGATGTTGTATCCACCCTGCATGGTGCCAAGGATACGGACGGCATCTTCCCGCGATACTAACGGGCTCACAGTCTTGCCTTTGCTTACACTTGCAAGCCAACCTGCCTTAACATATGCCGCTTCATCGACACCAGGTGAAATGCAGTTTACTAGCATATCATATATGCGGTCTTCTTCTTCGCTGATCGGTGCTTCCAGCAAGGCAATCAGTTCTGATACTTGCTTCGCAGAGAGAGGTTTTGCGGGTATACCGAGTTGGGCCCTGTCGTTTTTATGCTGTTCATACTCATCTAGAATCCCCCTTGTACCGACGCATGCGCTACGGCTCGACTGCACGTTGATAACCGGTATTACGCCTGTACTTCGTGTACGCAACAACGGCAACAGAGTTGTTGAGCTGTCCGCTAAGTCTGACGTACACCGTGCGAGCCGGCAGCCGAGTAGCCCGAAACTTCGCACTCTCACAAGTGATTGAAGCGTACGGTGCGCTGCTCGTACATTCATCGGGTTCGGGTCGCGAGTTATGGAAAATTCCGCGTGCGAACTGGTGCAGCTGAATAAAAAAACTGTGATCGACCGAGTGCTGCGCCACACCTGTGGCTGAGAGATATTGACACATGAGATGAACCCAATCCTGTATTATAGTGTTGTCAACGCTTATTATACACCATCGCAAAACGGCGAAAGTCTAAATTGAGAAACCTTGGGTTTATAAGTCGCGATGGATGCCGTGCGTGCTTGTCCGATGCTTATTCATACGCGCTAAGTCTATATGTAGGTCTAGGTCATGTAGTGTAGACATATGCGTTAGAACCACTATAATACGGGATTGGGTTCATTCTCTATATGTCGGCGAACGTATGATATCAGTATGTATTACTTTCTGGAAACCTTGGGGCGTGGAACCACGCCCCAAGGTTTCTCAGCAATATGCGATAAAAAAACTACGTAATCTGGCGTAGTACCGTGTAATATTACAATACTAGGTACCTATATATAGGTATATAAAACAAAATGTCTAAACATTACTTAGCCGATTGTCGCTTCTTCTTTGCACTGAGCTGCTCATCGAATCCGCCTGGGGAAGCCATGTGTAATTTGGCCATCTTTCTAGAAGCAAAAACTTCTCCCACCAACTTATTAACATCTGCTTCTTGCACATGAAATTCTTCGAGTTCGTGCCCAAGGTGTTTTTCTATTTTCTTGATTTTTCCTACATCATACTGCGTGACGAGCGATATAGCTTGACCAGTCGCGTGAAATCGAGCAGTTCGACCGATTCGGTGAATGTACTGACGAGGATCTGAGGGTATATCGTAGTTGACCACCAATTCAACGTCAGGCAAGTCAAGTCCTCGCGCCGCAACATCTGTCGCGACTAAAATCTTCACCATTGTACTCTTAAAAGCGTTCAATGTGGAGTGTCGATCTCTCTGTTTCTTCGCTGCATGTAGAGAACATGCAGCTATACCGAGATTATGAAGCATATGCGATACCATCTCACACTTCTGAACTGTAGGGCAAAATATCATGGCGCGTGTGGACTTGCTTGACACAAGTTCTCTCAACACGTGAACCAAGTACGTATCCTTGACTTTTTCGGGCATGAAACAGTAGTATTGCGCGCACCCGGTGGGCGTCGTTAATTCACCTTTTTCTTCATAGTAGAAAGCACGTTGACCGAGGAGTGGCTTGAGTGCTATAACGCTTGGTGTTATGGTGGCAGAAAACATCAGAGTCTGGCGCTTCTGTGGCAAATTTGTCAACAGATATCGGAGCTCAGCCTCAAAGGAGGAATCTAGAAGTCTATCCGCCTCGTCTAAAATCAAGAACTTGAGTCTCTGAAAGCATTCTATGGTATCAGAGGAGTGCATGAAGTGCTCTAGTAAACGTCCAGGCGTTGCGACAACAATATGCGGACGTTTCGATAGTGAGCTGGCCTGTCGAAGTAGGTCCTCACCACCAATTACCACTTCACACCTGAGAGACATTCCGACGCTGAAAACTGCAAACTGTTCAGCTATCTGATAGGCCAGTTCCCGCGTAGGGCTAAGGCAGAGCGCAAAGACGCCATGTGGGTCTACACTCAATACGTGCACAACGGGCAGGGCAAAGGCAGCTGTTTTTCCACTTCCTGTGTTGGCAATGCCGATGACATCCCTTCCCTGAAGGATCGGCGGGATGCAAGACTTTTGCACAGAACTAGGCTCTGTAAAACCTAGCTGCCGAATATTACGTAGCAGTACGCCGCTTAAACCAAGCTTGTCGAAAGAGGTCATTTCAAAGAGCTTAAACAGTGCTTGTCCAGTCACACTTGAAGTTCAAAGTGCATTCGCAACTTCATCACGTAGTTTCATCACGAAGGATAGTACAGCGTACGATTCATACTTTGACGCTGAATCGTTTCACTTGGAAGGAAGAGCTCCTGCGTCTCTGTGGTAACCAGCTACGCAGAAATCGAGAACGGCCCTCGTGCCGCCTTTATCAAATCTAGGGTTTAGAACGGGTCCTATTGGTTACATTTCTTTCCATACTGATGCGACATCTACACGCTATATATTGTATATCCGTATATTGAATGTGTAATATATCGGATCATTTACACACAATGCACGCTTCGTAGCCTACCATTTTGTACTTATGTCCGTCCACTCGCAGTCAAGTCGGCTGGCGTCGCTTTTTTTGTTTCTCTCGCAAAGAAAGTCGACGCGCGCGCGAGAGTCTCGCTTGTGCAGAAGACCATCTGTGTAGGCGATATCATATCGCGCTCGACTTGACGTCGCGTACGCTAGTCGAGATGGGAGGCTCACGTGGCCGTGCCTGGATAGACGACCATGGTGACGGCGGTTTCTGCGGAAATTTTGCGAACAAGCGACGGGTGGAGGCAGTTGAGTTTGCGGGTTCTGAATTGGCTCTTTCTCAGCCAGACGAAGAATCTATTTCCTTCATCGGGTCGAAAGTAGTCAAGCGTTGGTCCGATGGTACCCATACCAGCACCGGTCGTGCTTTCCCAGAAGTTGGAAACTCCGCAGTTCGTGTAGGGCTGGAAGCTCGGCGCAACCTGAATCTTCTTGATTTTACGAGGGTGAAAGATTTTGATTTTGACGGCCCCCCTGAGAGTGCAGCTATTTGTGTGCATTTTCACCACAAACGTGAGTTGGCCTTGAGTGCTAGTGCCGACTCTCGGGTGAATATATTTAGGGTGGACGGTAAAAACAACAAGCTGTTTCAGACACTGTCGATAGAAAATGTATCAATTAAGAACGTAGAATTCAGCAGGAGTAGCGATTACACTATTATATGCGGCAAAGGGAACTTATTATTGGGCCATCTTGAGAGAAACACCGTTGAGAGGGTCCACATGCGTAGAGAGACGCTCGTCCGCGGTACCTTTGCTCAAGCTCCAGGCACAGACTTGTTAGGTATTCCAGGATCATCCGAAGTGAATATAATTTCACAAACGAGCCGCACGTGTGTTATGAAACTCAATACTACTGGTACGTCGGTTCGTGCATGTGTATTTTCACACGCCGGGATGGAGATAATCGGCGTCACAGATGATGGATTGCTTTATTGTTGGGATGTTCGGATGCAGCGTTGTCTGAAAAAAGCAGCTGGTTTTGATGACACAAAATGTATATGTTTGACACCTGACGGTGAGAAAATCATCACGGGGCAAGGCAATGGCATAGTCAGCGTCCATAGATTCGCAGATGTGGACTGGAGTGATCCATATAAGAGAAGAACGCAGAGTCCAGCAAAGCGCATATCAAGTCTTTCGACATCGGTCACATCACTAAGTTCAGATCCTCATGGTGATATCATCATCATGTCGTCATCATTCAAGAAGAACGCTTTACGAGCCTTCCACGTCCCTACGTTATCGATGGTCAAAGCTTGGCCAACTAGCTCAACCCCTTTACACTACGTCTCGTCGACAGCTTTCAACAACGATGGCACACTTCTGGCCGTCGCGAATGCGAGGGGTCGCATACTCACGTATCGAGTTTGCTCTCGGCAAACAAATGCATGAAACGCTCGAAGCTAGCGACGTGATGATTCTAAAGTAGCAAGTCGATTTTAAGTGCGCACAGGCCCGGTAGACTTTTTCGTGCTGAAAGTTTCCTTAACATATTTTGCGGCTTGTAGTTCTACGTGGACACCTCGATAACCAGTTCAAACGAGTCGATGAAATGTACAAGGACTGTTGAAGCCGGTGTAATCGCTGCCGGGCCAATGTTGTACGATACTGAGTGATGACATTATTGAATTTTTTCGCCTGCATATCGAGCGTCAGGGCGTGGGCCCTCTTCTCACAAGCACTTAACTGCACTTGGCGCCGTTGGAGCAGTGACTAACTTCATGGTCAATCGAAGGTGGTAACGTGGCAAACTAGTTATATTCGAGTTCCTTAATGTGCTTAAAATCGCCAAAAGTACTGAACATGAATATTGCTAGACCCAACATTCGGTGTTTTCATATCTTCTTACCTTCGCTGCAAGTAAATGTTTCAAAATGTACAACTCTGCCTCCTCCGTCGGCGTTTTCTTAGTAGTACTCGAGTTCGACATGTATCTTCTTCTTCGCCGTCTATGATATGATGGTCCGAATCTCACGATGCCGTTCGCGCGGGAAGAGCGCGCGTGAAGATGACGCTGTCAGGTTAGCTTACATTTTCTACAGTTCTAGCTCGGACAAATAAAAAAACGTGACAATTCTCGAACTCTTCATCTCTTCCCGAACAGCCTTCAGACTCGCGCATCTCAAGCGCGCACCGATAAAACATGCACTAGAGTGCGTAAGAATCGAATGGTGGACCAATGTACTACAGAAAATAAGAGCGTTCAGTTAGACCAGTTGCAGCGGCGGTACCGTTCACAAATACGACGGATAAAACAGTTACAAAGCAGCGGAGCGGAGAAAGTTCAGTTGCGCAACGCAGCAACAGTTCTTCGTTCGATTAAAGATGATATTCGCTTAGAGCACAAAAACAGGACGCGCCGGAAGGTCGTTGACAACTGTGCAAATCTCTATCCACGGGCGTGCAGTATACCTACAGATGACGAGGGCTTTGTAACGTCCTTTCCTGCTGGACAAGTACTCAGTGGTCCAGAGACGGACAAACACGAACTCTTGGATTTTTTTAAAACGTACGGGTTCGTAATCTTTCGCGATATCATCGGTCCTGAAGAGTGCGAAGAAACTGCAAAAGAAATTTGGGACCACTTGGAGGCCAGGAATCCCAGTCTTCAACGTGGCGTCCCACACACTTATTCAGTGTTATCTTCCAAGACCTATGGCCTTGCACCCGAACCAGCACTATTCACAGCACAGATGATAAGAAACAGATGTAACGAGTATGTGGTCAAGGCACTGCGACTTTTATTGGGGCACGCGGATATATTATTGTCACATGACCGCTGGTGCTTCTACAGACCAACAAAAAGTATAAGTATAAAAAATAGCCAACACTTCATGGACATGCCCACCTGGAAAACACCGAGTAATCTTCACTTGGATTTGAATCCTTGGATGTATATAAATGGGAATGTACCTTCACAGACGCTGGACTACAAAAACTTGCGCGATTTTAGCAAAGAGATGAACAGTGTTACACAGGTAACTGGGCCACACCTACAAGGGATTCTATCGATCACGGAGAACAAAAACGAAGATGGCGGCACGGTGCTCGTTCCTGGCTTCCATAGCGTGTTTTCAGATTGGGTCGAACATTTGGGGGCCATGAACAAATATACGAACCACAACGATTCCAGTACAAATAGGCTCGTGTGGCGAGGTCACGGTGCAGGGAGCTTCAAGTTTGCGGCTGTGGACCCTATTCACAATTTGAAACGCAGAATTTCACTTCGGGCTGGTAGCTTTTTAGTCTGGGATCAGCGCATTGTTCACGGTTCCGTACCAAATAATAGCTCCAACCCTCGAATGGCACAATTTATCAAGGCCTTTAAAAGTCACGGGATATCCAAACAGCAGTTCTACGCGAGATCTAAAGCTATCCACAAGCACATGAAAGTAGCAAGAACGCTGAAATTAGATACGCTGACGAGCGACTCACGTCGAGTGTTAGGTCTCGACCCTCATCTTAACAAACTAAACGGTACCAGCGGAGTCAGTATGTAAGCTCCAGTTGTTCAAGAGTTCGTGATTTCGTTGCTTATGCAACATCAGTAAGTCTAACGCAATAAGTAAACTGCCCTGTATGGTTGCTTTCTCGTGTGAAAACAACTGAGACGCTTCGTCGTAACCACTCTGCAATCGTTCCATCACAGTTGATACATGTGACGGATTTGCATCATGAGTGATCAACTGAACTTGTTTCTCTATTTCACGAAGATTTTGAACAAGTCCCTGTATTTCGTCATCACAGCGTTGGCGCTCTTGCTGATAATGAACGTCTGCTTTGTGAAGTTGCTTCTGAAGTGAAACGCACTCGGAAATTTGTTTCTCTTTCACTGCCGAGTTAAATTGTACTGTGCTTTCCGTATTTCTTAGTCTGTCGAGCGTGGCAATATTCCTGGCTCTTATTCGCGATAACTCACTTTCCAACAAAGCACGAAACTCACGAAAATTCTCACTATTCTCTTTCTCATGCATGCCAAAATTTTCCAAAACCTGCAACAGTTTTCCTTCATTCAAAACACCTCTTCTCGACCACGGGAGTCCTAAAGTAGCCAACAGTCCAACATATTCCTCATATTGCTTCTCTAGTGATTCTTTTAAGTCAGCAAGTGGCGCACTATATATAGAGATGGATGACTCAGTATTCACAAGAGAGTCTGAGTCTGACTCTACTTGTTTAAGCACAGGTCGATTTTGCGTTTGTCGGTCCACAGAAATATGAATCTTTTTGCGATAGTCCTGCAAGCTATTCTGGAGGCCACTATAGAGTCGCTGTTGGATGGAAATGCGTGATGGAGTCGTATCTAGGCGCTCAAGTGCAGCTATCTTTCGCTGTTTTAAGTTCCTCAGTGTTGTTATGAAGCTCCGTTTAGTGGCAGTGTATTGTTGCAACTCTACCTTTCTCTTTGAAACGGCATATTTCAAACCTTGCAAACGATTGTTTGCTATGTGCACTTGCTCCTTCGATAGTGGTGACCGACAAAGAAAACGCTCAGCAGTTTTGAGCTCGTACACTTCCACACCTCGCAGAAAATCCTGATATAGCGCCTTTGTCTGTAAATAAAGTAACCTCCCTTTGTTCTCGCTTGTCTCACTTTTCATTTCGTGGTTATCCTCGTATACGAATAAATAAATTAGCCACGTTAAGAAAGGTATCACGTGCTGTTCTGAACTGTATTTCTTTCCAAGCGCCGTAGTATTGACTGGAAAAGGATATTTTAAACACTTCAGCGCAAATTTAAAATGTTCAACTCTATCTGCACCTACGTCGTTTTCTACCAGTTTTAGAACAAACAAAACGACGGAATCTATGTCTCCTGGAACAGCAGTGTTCCAAAATTCTTGCTCCGGTATGTGGAAGGGACAACTCCGCTCGGTAAGGAAGACATTCAGGTTCTCCTGGCACGCTCTAGCATACTCTCGTTCGTGAAATGGCCTCGGATCAGTCTTCATTGTTCGATAACCAAATGACAGATTAGATTATGATGCAGATGTTACTATTGTGTTCTAGTGGCTACCCGATGGTGGGCGTTGTTGTTCCGACTTCAGCTAGCACGCCTCTGGACGCTCAACGGCACAAAAACTGTGCCGAAGCGTTTTTAGCTGGATTCGCCGAAACGGAGAATACATAGACCGTAATTCCTCGCAATATACGAAGTCAATAGTCAAGGGCTTTCAACCCTATATACAGTCCGATTTTCACTATCACATGCTGCGTTGCAACGTTGATATGCTTTATACAGTTAGGGCTGACATTCACTGACGGCGACGGACATCTTGCACACGTAAATGGTCAATACTGTATCTGGCAATTCAATTTCAAAGAGTTCAGCCTCCGGGAAGATGTATACGCGCGCGACTCAATAGAGCTTTTGAAACAAAGCGGCATTGATTTTGTTACCTTCGAAGTGCGCGGTATCGACGTCAAAAAGTTTGGGGAGTTGTTGATGGTCAGTGATGTAGTATTGAATGATGAAGAGAGTTGGATCACATTTCACAGTGGCTACGATTTCGGGTACTTGCTGAAACTGCCAACTTGTAAAGAACTTCCAGAAAAAGAAAGCGAGTTCTTTGAGCTGTTGAACCAGTACTTCCCACAAGTTTACGATATGAAACTCATGATGAAGCGACTAGGCAATATACACGGTGGACTGAACAAACTCGCTGATTTATTGCAAGTAGAGAGGATTGGTCCACAACATCAAGCTGGAAGTGATAGTTTGCTGACTGCTTTCACATTTTTTAAACTCTGTGGTACTAAGTTTAGCGAAGAGGGCATTGATCGATTCAACGGCATTCTGATTCAACGGCACTCTGTACGGTTGAGGGCGGGATAGCTCAGATGTAAACGAAAACATGGAAGGATGAAGGCACTGCTTAATACAAAATCATGCTACTCAATCTCTTACGTCTCTTACGCGTTGCAATCTTCAAGCGTGCCACCGTGAACAGACATTAAAGTTCGTCGTGTTCGTCAACAGTCTCCGAATCGTCCGTTTCCGCGCTCTGATACGCTTTGGCCACAATAGGGTTGCAGACTTCTTCGAGCTGCTTCAGCTGTTCGTCGTAGTCTTCTTTTTCAGCGCTTTGATTTTCATCCAACCAGTCAAGAGTCTCTTTGACTGCTTCCTCAATCGTGTTTTTGTCGTCGTCGTCGAGCTTGTCAGCGAGTTTGTCGGAGTCAGAAATCGTGTTTTTCATGTTGTACGCAAACGTCTCAAGACTATTACGCGAGTCAATGCGTTCCTTCGTCTTCCTATCCTCTTCCGCAAATTCTTCTGCTTCTTCGACCATGCGCTCAATTTCTTCTTGCGACAACCGTCCTTTGTCGTTCGTTATGGTGATCTTTTCTGATTTGCCTGTTCCCTTGTCTTCAGCGCCAACGTTCAGGATGCCATTTGCGTCGATTTCAAAAGTGACCTCAATCTGAGGCACACCGCGAGGAGCTGGAGGGATTGAGGTGAGCTCGAACTTACCCAAAAGATGATTATCTTTAGTCATCGCTCGTTCGCCTTCGAAAACCTGGATCATTACCGTCTGCTGGTTGTCCTGATAAGTGGTGAAAGTTTGTGACTTCTTAGTTGGGATAACCGTATTACGGGGGATGAGCTTCGTCATAACTCCTCCAACAGTTTCAATACCTTGAGTAAGCGGTGCCACGTCTAATAAGAGGATATCTTTGGTTTCATCGCCGCCTTCACCCGAAAGTATTCCACCTTGCACAGCGGCGCCGTACGCAACAGCTTCGTCAGGATTGACTCCTCTGTTTGGTTCCTTGCCGTCGAAGAAGTCTCGAAGGAGGTCCTGAACCTTCGGGATTCGAGTCGAACCACCGACCAACACAATTTCGTCGATTTCGCTCTTCTTCATGCCCGCGTCATCCATGGCTTTTTTGACAGGTCCCATGGTCTTGCGGAAGAGGTCGTTGTTCAGCTCTTCAAATCGGGCGCGAGTAAGGGGTTCAGAGAAATCGATCCCATCGAAAAGAGCTTCGATTTCGACTCGCACTTGATGTTGATTGGAAAGAGTTCGCTTAGCCCTTTCGGCTTCACGTCTAAGCTTTTGCACAGCCTTCACGTCGCCTGATACGTCCTTGCCGTGCTTGCGCTTGATGAGTTTCATGAAATATTCCATGATACGTTGATCGAAGTCCTCACCGCCTAAATGAGTATCTCCGTTCGTGGAGATGACTTCAAAAACACCGTTGTCGATCGTGAGAATCGATACGTCGAACGTACCTCCTCCGAGATCAAAAACAAGAATGTTTTTCTCGCCTTTCTTGTCCAACCCATATGCAATCGCCGCAGCTGTGGGTTCGTTAATGATGCGGGCGACGTTTAAGCCAGCGATAACACCAGCATCTTTTGTCGCTTGACGCTGTGCGTCGTTGAAATACGCTGGGACAGTTACGACGGCGTGTTTGATATCCTTACCCAGGTACGCCTCGGCGGTCTCCTTCATCTTCGTGAGAACCATCGCTGAAATTTCTTCAGCCTGGAAAACCTTCTTGCCTTCTTTGAGTTCAACTTCAATGCATGGCTTACTGTCTTTGTCCACAACTTTGAATGGGAACATCTTAAGATCGCGTTGTACTTCTTTGTCCGTGAATTTTCGGCCGATGAGCCGCTTTGCATCAAACACCGTCCGAGTAGGATTGGCAGACGCCTGGTTCTTGGCCGAATCTCCGATTAGTCTTTCAGAATCGGTGAATGCGACGTAAGATGGTGTGATTCTGTTCCCTTGATCATTAGCGATGATCTCGACTTTACCGTTTACGTATGCACCAACGCAAGAGTACGTCGTGCCGAGATCTATGCCGATCACCGTGCCCGTGATTTCAGTAGGATTTTCGGCGTTGATTGGCAAAGCGCAAACGGCGAAGAGGAAAAGAGAAGCGCAAGCGCACACCACCGCGTTGCGGTATGACGCTCTTTTGATCGGCATCTTGTCGAAAGGGTGATCGCGTCGCAGTCTGCCGAGCGGTGCGCTCGTGGCTCCTTGAAGCGTGCGAGCTCATCACGTAGCCAATCAAAATCAAGCATTTTTCTAAATAGTGAAAAATGATTGGTCGTGCGTCGGGAGAACTCTCGCTTTTGCGTGTTTTTTCAACATATGAAGTAAAGTACATATTCCACGTACCATATAGGTAATGTGGAATCGTAACCTACCAGTAGGCACTTTATAGTGACTGGTTACATACACCTCGCCTATAGGTTACCCCCCAAAGAGTACAATAAGCACAAAACCTCCTGACTTGGCAAGACCCTGTGAACGAGCAACTCGCTTCTCGCACGAACGGGAGAGAAAGCGTGTTCAAGGCAAGTGCTTCGTGCGCATCGGTATCTTGCGTGCCCACATGTTCTCCTTGTAGGACGATTGACGCTTTTCTAACGGGGATAACCAGTCGCGCGCATGGGGTCCCGGAATACCTGGACAGAGACTGAATCGCGCATATTGGCGCAAGAGCTGAGGCGTTCAGCCAGTGATCCGCAAACATCGCACCTAGCAACATGTGTTTCTATTGCGGCTCTTCTACCCAACAAACTCGCGCGCGACGTCGCTATTCGCGTCCGCTGGCTTAAGGGCAACTCTGAAATACCAACTGCGCAGTTTTCCTCCAAGCTCCCTCTGGGCGATTTCATCGAAATGCGTCGATTTAATTCCCACGCGACGAATGTGGGAGTCGGAACGGACACACTTGGTCTCGGCTATTCGAGAGGCGATGGGGAGCCTGCTATTCTAAGCATTGAAAAGCTGCTTAAAGAAAATACCACTTTACTAGAACGTTTCGAGTGTGCACGCACCGGTGCTGATGTCTCACAAGCGGATCTGAAGATGATACTAGATAATCTATTCGCGATAGATTCATTGATTCGATCGAGGTATGACAATGGGAAGACGATGCCCCGAATGCCAGTTCGGGTTGATGTTTCACTAGTGGCAGCTGTTTTTGGTCTTTCTTGTTGACTAATTAACTGCAACACAGTTGTGTAAAGGGAAGCTCATTTTCTGAATCGGAATTCATAACCGTTTGAGCGTGTTATGTAACGTACCCAAGGCAAAGCACTATAGCCATCTTTTTCTACAACCTTGAGATATTTTACCTGCAAGCCACTCGCTGTATTGTAAGGAATCTCAAAAGTAACTCTCACCGGAGTCATTCCAGGAGACTGAGTTACAATTCCAGTGGATGGTACGCATAGTTTAGCCTGTAACTTGAATTCTCGTTTACCCTTGATATTTCGAAGCGTCCACAAAAGTGCATCTTTCTCGGGATCGTACACAACAGTGCCACAGCTACACTGAATTTCTGGAGAAGTTGTATCAGGGCTCACAGGAATCTCAACCTGAATGTTACTAGCAATATTTTGTTCTTTAAAGAGAGTCGAAAGACTGACAGCATACTCTATTCTGCTGGAGTTTGTCGATGACATTGTCGCATTGATATTGATGAGTGGCTTTGCAGGGTGGAGCGTGCGGTATGTCATGAGGTCAAATTTTCCATCAGGCGGAGTAAAGCACAGGAGGTGTTTCATCCTGAACGTCGCCAGATCGACGCAAGGATGGAAAGTCATATCCTCAAGAAACCCATGACCACTTGGCGAAGAGTCGAAGGCTTTCCGTGTAGCTCGTTCGTTGAGACTGAGCTGACACACTGGTAGGCCAGACAACTGAGAGCGTACAGTAAGAGTCCCTGTAAGTTGTGAATGCGTTTCCTTTCCATTTCCATCGACTAATAAGCTGCATCTCTCAATAACATCTAAGAAGACTTCGTTCTTTTTGTAAAAAATCCCGTTCTTTCGCCATGAAATTGTATTGGTAGCAGCTGAAGGCAGGCTTGGTGCCTCAAGACGGTGAGCACGGATTTTGATGAACTCCCCAAGGACTGCAGGTTCTGTAAGCTGAGGATAACCGTTATCGACAACCTCATCGAGTAGCTCATATATGATAACGAAATTATCACGCACAGATTCTTCCATGAAAGACTCAAAATATGCACAGAATATGCCTACTAGTCTGTGGAGGAAAGTAAAAACAGTCCCGATGTCGGCGCTGCTTGCCGCAACGCATGCGATAATTAAATCGTTGTGCGGAACGAACATGAGACGAAGATCAGATTGACTATCGGCAACGATTGGAGCGGAGACAGAGTTCTCTAAATTGTTCGCAAGATCCTGTATTAATCGTTTCAAGCATTCAGACGGCACCTCTCCCCGCCAGTCCCTGGACAAAAGTAGCTGGCAGTTTGAGCTCAGGATGTGGATGGACGAGCAGATGGGTGACGCAACACTTGTTCTACCCATGTTGGAACGCCACTTGAACTGCACGCGGAAGCGTGTAGATACTGCGTGCCTACCTTTCTGTGTTAAGCGCTTTTCGTATCTTGTGTTCGGTTGGAGAACGTGTCGACCGCTATTTTTCGCGGCGCCAAAAAATTAACGAGGCTGCTCGAACCTGAGAACGTTATGTGAATGAACGCGTGATGTCGATTTGGTCGATGATGAAATCGTAGCGTTGAGAAGAGGCGAAGTCTGAGGATGTTGAATTGTGGTGTGGTAAAGGGACAACTCGACTACGTTTCTCTAAATACAAATATCATACAAACGATCGCGAAGGTAACTAGCTAATCACAGTACCGCTTCTTCCTTTCTTAGTTAAGTCAGTTTTCACACGCTCGAACATCACAAGAAAAATCTCGGGAGGCAGTATCAGCTGCAGACTGGAAAATATGTCTCCTGCGATTGCATAGCTCTGTAAGTCTTCCTTGGTGTCGCAACCTTCTATTGTTCGATCCATGCAATGATAAGATAAAAGCAATGCATGATATAATACCATGTTACTCGAATCAATTGGCGATTTGTTTGCGGAGACTAAAGCAGCCATCGATTGGAGTATTGTACGCTTGAGCTCTGGGGACGAAAAAGCGGACTTATGAAGTCTATGGAATATTTGTGAACTATATTTTTCGCTGATCGCCTTTGCGTGTACTGAAGTCATGATTGCCGTCAAACATAACAAAACATCGCCCATGTTTGCATGCTCGACTTTCTTAGTTCGTGATTGTCGTTCAATGACCGTAATCAATGCATCAACGATGAGTTCAATATTGACGTCAGACAATATTGTGAAAGACTTTTCCATTCGAGTTTCGGCCTGAAGGTAAGATCTGAGAACGCGCAACGCAGATGCCTGAATCCAAAGATGATCGTAAGAAACGGCGTGTGGAAGGATGTGTACCATTGCGAAATCAGCTTCACTGCTGAATGCGTCTGAATGCTCACTATCCAGACATTGACTTCGATGGCTGACTGCCCGTTCAAAGCAAATCAGCTGACAATACGTAATAGACCAGTCCACTCCGTCTTTACGTTGAAGAGCCGCACGTATTCTTTTTATCATGTGACCTTCAACTTGCGAGTACACTTCAAATGTAATACTGGCATGTCTAGAAAATCCCAACAGTAAAACTTGGTATGCCGCACGTTGAAGCATATCTTGCCTTTTTGACCATACGATCGTACAAGAGAGAAATTTCATCATTTGCGTCTCATCGACTCGTGAAAATAAGCAATCGAGTGCTCTATTTGCCAACTCACTGCACTGTGAATGCGTATCTGATGCAACGCGGAGCACTAGTGGAAAGAAGAAGAGAGGCCCGTTAGATTTGAGAGCGACTTCGGGCAACTTCAAAAGAAGTGCATGTATCGTTGACAGCACAGACATGCGACCGTCTGCTTGAGGATATTCTAAAGAAGAAATCAGCGTTCGAAGCATATCTTCTACTTTCCTCTCACCAATGGGATACGATAACACGAAACGAATGAATACGTGCGAACACATACTTCGAACTTGCATCGATTGACCCTTCGCAATCGTCAACAGTAGTTCATGCATAAGAGCATACATGTCGTTCTGGACCACTCTCCGCGATATGAGAGAATTGAGTAACAGAAACGAGTTTTTCAGGTCCTGCGCATCATCTGACAAATTTTTAAATGAAAATGACAGCACAAACGACACTTGTGGCAATGTGAGTGTTATCTGGTGATGAGTTTTCATAATGTGTGCAAGGATCTTCAAGCAGTTCTGAGCAAGATGGTCTTTCACAGACTTGCACGACTTAAGTGTACGAATAATCCGTTTAGTTAAGTTTTCTGCGGAAATTTCTTTCGCGAGCAAGCCGGAGCGTAAAAGTTTTGCTAAGATGCGCGTTGCCCCGACCTGTACTTCATATGACGTGCTCAGCAAGCATCGCATCATCAAAGCGATCGTCGTTTTCAAAGCCTCGAGGTCGCTTTCACATGGAAGTCTTTCATCACGCAATTTTTCCGCACACTTGAGTGCATCATATAGTAAACTGATTGCGAATTGATGAATTTTCACACAATACTCTGACGCAAGCAAACTTGTGTCCGTATCACAATCGGTATCCACGGTGGAGGAAGTGATGTATTCTTCAACGAGCGAACCAGCAAGATAAGTAAGATTTTGAACCCCTAGACTTGCATTTCGCAACAATCCTTCATGTAAAGCGTGTAAAATTAGCTCGAAATTCTTTTGACTTCTGCTGTCTGGTGACTCTGGTAGCATCCTAACAAATGTACGAACAAACTTGATCAAAGAATCTCCGTCCTTCAAAAGTGCGGCAATTAAGCTTATGGTTTTCAAGGAATAACTTGGTTTAGCCTCAACAACGGGTTTGGTAGATTTTGAATCCATACGATCTCGCGCGCTTCCGAAGAGATTTGCTTGCAGGGTAGGAACAATTTCCACAAAAACGACTGTGGCGATTTCTGGAGACATGTTCACACAGTTACTCACTAACACATGAATCGCTTTGCCGAGAACATGGAGATGGAAGCCTGTTGTCCGTCCATTTCGCAGAACACGAATGATCAACGGCAAGTGCCTTTCGCCCAATTTGATTGAAATGAACTTGAGAGCTGTCATTGCATTATCGCGCAACTTCTCTGACCGACTGCTCATGTTTTCGATGATGAACTTGAGCATACAAAGTGTCCCTGCTTCGGATTTTTCATGATCAAAAAGTGCCAACATACTCGAAACACATGAAATTGCACTTGTCTGTAGATATTGACTTGAGCCTTGTTCGCTACTTTGAGCGTCACGTCTCAAAGTAATACATGCCTGTGCCAGTGGAAGTGCAGTGGAATATAAAGCCCCCAAATCTGCCGCTTCACCACGGCGAACTAACCGATCATCAAAATCGCCGTAAGGTTCATAGTGTGTTCTCAAATTTTCTAGCATGCAAGTCGCACCGCGCAGATGAAATTTCTGTAATTCTGAGGCCCTGTGCGCAAGGTGCAACAGGCGGCAAATAACCTTGACATATTCCGCAGACTCGAGTATTTTTACCGTGTGACCCAAAGCATCTACGGCCGTAGCTGCGACATCTGCACTTGGATCGCCCAAAAACACCATGAAAAGAGGAATCACATACGTCCAATATAGTCTGGGCTCCACAGAGCTTAAAACTTCAGGCGCATGCAGTTGTCGTATTGCCCGGGCTCTCCTGTGAGATTGGATGTGGCACAGGTTCAGAAATACATCGACTTCTTCATTCTGATCACACAAACAGCAAAAATCAAGAATATGCCCTCGGACCACCGCATATCTTAATAGTTCTATACCACAATTGCGAATAAGAGGGTCCCGTCTACCGAGTAGCTCTGCGACCCAGGGCAACACAGTGTTCACCACTAGCCGTGAACTTGGCCCATGCTGGAAGTTGTAGGACGCTGTTGAACCAACTTCCAAACACCGATATATCAATAGTTTTGCAGAATTACGAAGAATGCTGTCATTTGAACATATATCATGCAGCGAGTTATAAATCCACAGTTGCATTGATGTTTCATCTTCTCCACCCCAGCGTGATTGCAACTTGGCGTATGCCCGAATTCTTCTACCGTGATCCACTTCGCCAATGCGCCCATCCAAGTAAGCATTCAAATCATGAAGTATGCGAACTCTATATCCGTCTTGCGAATAATCGAGTGCTTTGAAGAGATCTAACAATGCTCTCCTAGAGCACGGTGCTCTCAATGTCGCATATAAAAATGCTAACCTCTCAACTGACTCACGTCTGAGTTGCTCATCCAAAGATAGTGCTGAAAGTATAGAGTTTAACATAACGAGCAACTCAGTACGTTTTCCACTGTTCAGACGTTTCGTACACGCCATCTCTAACACATCTTTGAACATACAAATATTCCACGGACTGCAGCGTTCAAATTTGCTTAATTGTTCAAGAATCTGAATTTCAGAGAGCATATCTTCGCCAAATTGCTTTGATGTCGGTATTCTTCCGCGTTTTAGCTCGTTTATAAGTGACATACGAACGCCTGCAGCGATTTTTTCGGACAGATTTGCGACAGTGCAATCATTACCCAACTCAGAATTTACGGAGTTGAGGAGCATGGTGATCATGCTCAAAATTGTTCTTCTACATGGTTCAGATGTCTTTGGGCTGCTCAATACAGCGAAAACATATTCGAGAAGTTTGTGACCGGTGGGAGTTTCGAGGAGTTTGATGAGATCTACACGTTGTGTGATTGAAGAAAGCAGGCACAGCACTGCGGGTTCTTGTGAGCCGGAGCATTCGTTTTCCAAGCCCTTAACAGTATTTATCAAACATTCACTCGCATCGAGCCAATGGCGCTCTATACCTTCGAACTTCACAATCGGTATAATGCGCGCAATCATCCGAAGCGAATTTGACCGCAAGATTTTAAGTCGAAGCAACTCATCATTTTGGATATCTTGACGCTTGCATGCTCTCATGAAAATTTGGAACATCACCGAAAGAATAAGATCCGTGGAGTTTCTCAAATGCATTGGTACCGCTTTATGCACTTCTCGCAGCTGTGACATCAATGCGATCAAGGTACCATGTGAAGCTTCTGATATCGCTGAGTTTATCGCTTGAGTAGAGAATACAGTAGTACCATGACGTAGTCTGATTTCATGAGGTCTCATCAAGGGTACAAACAGCCCATGTATAAATGGTTCCATTTCAGCACATCTCAAACAGCTGAACCATCTCAAAATGATCGACTTTAGTGAGCTAAATGAAGTTTTCCCTGAGAGAATATATTTTGACAGGATGCTTACTATGATACTGATGACATCCTCCCGGTGCCGTTCTTGGATCTTAGGAAACTCATGTGAAACTTCAGAATCCTCTGAACCTTCTTCGAATTGTATTGAAGTTAACGCGCGCTTCACTGACTGAACATCCGTCAGCAAGCATAGTTGCGAAACTCTAATATTAGGGAGATAATCTAACTTCAAAAGGCCCATACACTTCAGCGCTTCTGATGCCAAGTTCGCGTTGTCATCACCCACTAAAGCTTTCAAAGCTGTGAAAACGCCTTCGTATAACTGATGCGCATCTAATTTTGTCCGAAGAAGGAGAGAACGAACCTCATCTTTACTCTGCATAAGCTTTAAGAGAGCTAAAATTATGCCTGAATACCGTGTAGCAACATATCTATATTCATTTCTACGGCAGACTGAATAAACATCCAAAAAGAGATCAAGTACAAAAGTTTGGTCCATAAGTGTGCAGTACTGCAGAGACGTAATCAACAGCTGTAAACGTTGAGACTGTTCTACACTCCGCTCTTGAGGATTGAGAGCTTCACAAACTTCATCACGTGTCTGATCGCTGTCGGTGGGGAACAAAATAATCGTTTCTTGGACATCGTGGTCAGCAATTACTTCCTGCTTGGTTCGAAGGATTTCTGCCTGTAATAACTGAAGCGCTGTAGAATCGGATCCACTCAAGACACCAATCAGTTCTACAAGTGGATCCCATAGTGGATTGAAACGAAGATACAACGCTCCCAGAGCCATATTCAACACCGCAACGTGATCAGAGGCATCAAAGTCGCTGAGTTTCCGAGTCAAGGATCTGATCAAATTGATACTCTTCCTGGAATATTCGAGTATACTTCCACTATCACGAGACAACCTGTTCATATACAAAAAGGCTGTAACACACTCAGTCGACTTGGGTGACATGCCCATATGATTGTTTGCAATAATCGCTAAATACTCAAGAACAGAAACCCTTAAAAGACGATTTTGGGATCGTATGCATTCTGTCAGATCACTTGGCATAAGTTCGGCTGGTATTTCATCGGCTCGCCGTATAATCAAAGAAGTTAGACGTGCTAACGAAGACCACACAGCCGGCGAAGAAATACGACATGAGAGAGTGAAACGAATAAGTTCAAACGAGAACTTGCAATTTGAAGATGTATCAAGTTCTCGACAAAGTATATCAGCTTCAAGTGAAGACATGAGAAGAGCCGATGCACCACTGGAAAGGGCATTTTGATCCACACTTGCCTCTTTTGAACGCTTGACATATGAGACCATGGTAGTAATGACGCTCTGCACCAGTCGAGTGTCGGCAAAATACGGTAAAATTTGGAGAGTTGACCATATTTCACTAAAATCAAGCGATGTCAGCTTACACTCGAAGTGCCACTTCAAGAGTGCATCGTCGATTCGCATCAACTTCGAGTGTAAATCCTTCGAAAATTCTGCCACCTTTTGAATAATCTTGCCCAACATTAAAGAGTTTTCGAATCCTCTAAGAAAAATCAAGTGCGACGAATCTATCAGTAAGGCTTCACTCATGTAATGAGCTGTGACGCATCCCAGTTCAATGTTTTGTATCAGCACCCTTAGTATCAGCGTAATCGAAGAGTTGTCAATAGTCCGTATCAGATCACACCAAGGAAAAGATGTTAACACTGGCATTGCTTTGAACTCGTTACGTGAAGAAAGTGCCGCCAGCAGCCGCACAAAAGTAGTGACACTTGATTGCTCAACTGGTTTTGCACTGGTTGTACAAAACAAGAAGTAAGCGTGTACGAAATCAGAAAGCTTATTGTAGCTATCTGTACACAATTCGAACCTTGTAGAACATATGGATATAGCTATCTCAGATAAGTACATGACTTCTGATATGTTCTTGTTACCCACTTGAGCAGCACAAGAACTGATAACATGTAAAAATGAATTCCATAGTTCTTTGAAGGCGCTCTTGGGTAGAGATGCATCAAGTGAAACAAGTAAGTTCTGAACTATGACTAGACGGACAGTTCCCCGTACCTCAGGTACGAAGTCTGGATCGAAAACTGCTCTCAGCACGCTGTCCGACTTTGAGTGAAGCGCGCTCGCATGACCAACAGCAATGTAGTGTAACATGAATGTCGTTGCTTCTATCCTGTGTTCCTGCTGACTTGACTCACACAGTATAGAGTGTTCCATGATGAGATTTCTGACACTAGCTAAGATGATTTCATTAGTCGAACTTCGTACAGCCGGAGCAACCGCTTGGGCTGCTAGTTTGCGCACATGTTGCTTTGGATGGTTTCTAATATGCCGCGTACACTCTAAAATATGCAGCATTGTAACTTTGCCTGACCGCCATAGTAATGTGCAGAGCGTAGCGAGGCACCGAAACGCCGACTCCACGTGGTTCGCGTCCAATTCCATAGTTCCTTCCAGACAGCAAGTGATTGCCTCAACTGAAAGTGGAAAATATGTGACAAAGCTAGCACCAAGATCTTTCGCTATGGCAACGAGACAATGAAAGAGCGCTTCAAGAGAATAGCATTTTCCTGATCTAATGCCATTCAAAAGAGCTCCCATTACTTCCTTTTTGTGTAAAATGAGCTGAGGTAGACTGAGGCACCTGATAGAAGCCTTTGCTGCGAAACTGTTGAAGTCGTTTGAGCAACATAATTCCTGCCAGTGAAGCAAGGCGTGTTGTAGACAAGTACCGAATGCCTGTTGTCGCACATTGAGATCAAACGCACTGTCAGGATACGGGGCGATATTGATCGCTGTAAGCTGGTCGGCAACTGGCTGTCGGCACATTTAAGGAAAAAAATATGAAGTAATAAAAGCACGCACTTGAAATGTGAACTTGCGCTTCCCTTTCGATTTTTTTCGAGTATGTAGTATCCTGCTCGCGTAAGCAAGGCTCCAGCTCATCATTTCACGGTCGCCTTGACTCGTGCCTTCCGGGCTGAGTTTTCTAGACGTGGCTATGTCCGTCCGGTCCATGGTGGGCGGCGGCTCTGAGCCAGGCATGAGCTGGGAAACACACCAGAGCTGTCGGAAGAGAGGAACTGTACTGCTATCGTTGCACTGGCTGTGGATTAGCGACCAATTTTGTTCTTGCTCTTGAAGTCCGGTCAGCGCGCAACGCAGTGTGATTCTTCCGCGTCCTGACGATGACGGCGAGCTGAGCTGGACCTCAAGTGACACGTCAACGAGGGTTGTGAAATCCAATAGGTTCGCTTCGCTTGATGGTGAAAAAGGCAAACGAGGTTTAAACTATGGAAAGATGACATAGTTAACGATGTTTGACATCTTTAACAAAGAAGCTTCGCTACGAACGTGTTTGGGCAGAACGCGCTATACTACGAAGAGCCGTCAACGCCTCGGCTTCACTGAGATCGTAAGGAGGAAGATGGCCGTGAGCGTTGTGCAAGGCTTCAGTTTGTGAGGCAGTCGCGGGGCGAACGGTGCGCAGTGCGTTGTCGAATTTTTTGATGCCGAGCTCGAGCGCATGAATGAGCGCGGCGCTGCTAGTCGTATCTGCGGCCATCCATACGGTTGCGAGCGAGTCGAACTCCGGAAGACGACTGCAGTGCGTGTGCAGCAATCCGAACACATGATAATACTTTCGAATGTCGCGTGACGTCGGGCGTTCGGTCAGGCTCAACGAGGTTATGACTTGGCGCGAGTGCGCGATGCAGGTCATGAGTTCGCCCTGTAATTTCGATCGCACTTTCGTCTGAGCGAAGCGCTTAAGAGCCTCTCTGCGAGTGGCCACCGAACTTCGTCGCCGCACGCACTGAAGTAACGACGCAGCCGGCGCTTCGTCGACGACGTACGAGTAGCGCCGGAACACGTAATCGATACACGATTGTACAGCGACGCGACCTCGTTGCAGGGATATGGCTTGCATTTGCACGTCATCGACGAGCTCGGCTCGCGTTTCCCCGTCGATGTGGGGCGAGAGCGCGGTGCAACCGAACGAATGGCCGACGTACTTGGTGATGAAGTACTCGTCCGTCGCGGCTCTGTGCCGGATCTCCGCCTCGAACGTGCATCTCCCCGTCGAGGACGCGTTTCTGTCCGAGTCGTCGATCGTACTACACGTGTAAAAGTTCACTTTCCTGCCCGAACGCTTGAACCCGCTCGACTTAAATCGCAACCCGTCGTACAGCGAGCTGCCGTTGGCTAATGATGTGCGCCTCGGCATCACCTTTCGCTAACTCCTGTCAGGAGTTTTAGCTAACTCCTGTCAGGAGTTTTAGCTAACTCCTGTCGGGAGTCAGCGGTGAGAGCTGAACAGTGCTCAAAGTACTTAACAGACAACTTTTTGAGAACGGAGTTGAATTACAAGGGCAATGAGCCTACCGCCGTGACGTTGGTAACTAAAACATGTCGAATCTGTGTGCGTGATATCCGTACGCAATGATAAATATAGTAAATATTGCGCAAGCAAGTACGCCTCTTGCAAAACAGGCTTTGGGCTCGAATTCAGTTGACTGCAAGTGTCGACGGTATGCAGACACCATCGATGTGATCGCAGTGCTCCTTCCTCTTCTTGAGGAGCTGTCGGCTTTTCGCTCGCGCACCAGGTCCTTGGTGTGTAGGAAAATCACCCTTGCACTAAGCATCTGTGATATCTGATGCACTATACTACTGACTGTGGTGTTCGTGCCAAGACTGTCAACAGTCACTTCAACATTGAACCGTTTGCCAACTTGAATAAAAAAATATGCAATGCCCAGTGAGTCCAATCCGTGGCTCGCAAGTGTATCATCTAAACTTACAGGACTGGTCGTTAATGTTGATAAAATTTCCAAAATCTCGCGTTGCACGGCGTTAACAATTTCCATCGCATCACTACTGCGTTCTGTAAATGTGCTGCTAGCTTTGTCGACAGCATTTATAGTCTTCATTGAAGTGAAAGACTGCGATAGGATGTCTGGCCGTGGAATATGAGCCAACTTATATGCCTGCGTAGACGTAAAGCTATGATAAAATGAATTCGTCGTGAGGCCACCGAGTCGTCGAGACTCCAGCGCGTGCACCACGCACCCTCGATGCGCCGCCGAAAGACTCGACCAGTCCCACAGGTGGTGACGAGATCTGCGCGTGGACGCGTTCCGCTCCCCGCGCTCAGGCGGAGCCGTCGCGAGCGCGAACCGGGCGCGGTACATGTCCGAGTGCCCGCCTCGCGTGCGGACGCCGCCGATCGTGGCCGGGACGTGCGGGCTCTCTTCTGTCGCATCGCTACCCGGCGGCGGCGCGCACGCGCTGAGCGCGTGCAGCGCGGCATCGAGCACTGCGGGCGGCGAGTGATACGCCGCAGCCGACAGCGTGGACATCTGACGCGCGCGTATGTCGCCGTACACGCGGTGCTCCGCGCCCGGGCCTCGTCGCTGCGACGAGCGCAGCCAGCTCGCGCCGTGAACACAAGGCTGCACGTCCAGCGCGGGCATCGCCGGTCCTCGCGAGAGGTGCGCCGGAGACGCAGTAATTCTTGAGGCGCTTCTGCGGCTGAGCGCGCCCGCGAGGAACGGCGCGGCGGCAGAGGACGACGACACGCGCACGCCCACGCGGGCCACGCCTTGCGGCGTGACGTCGCACAGCACGTCGGTCGTCGGCGCTCGAAGCTCGAGGGGCGCTGCAAAAGATACGTGCGACAGCGAGATGTCGGCGAGCGGCTGGTCTGCCAGCGCGCCCGCCATGGCTCGACATATCTCGACGTGCGCTGTGCCTGGTAGTAGCGTCCGGAGCCCGATGGCGTGATCAAGCATGCCAGCGAGCGACGCGGACCGACACAGGCGCACGCACGACCGCGCCAACGCGCTCGAGTCTCCCTCGCGAGGATGAAGAGCGCGCACGGACTCGATGAGGCAGTGCCGTTCTGGCGCGCACCAGTGGCGCTGACGCTCCCACGCACGCGCCGCCGTGTGCGTGCTTCCCGTGTACCCGGGCGCAGTCGCCTGTCCGGGTCCCCGGGCCATGATTGCGTGCGCGTTTGTGCCCTGGAACGCGAAGCCGCTCACGCCGGATCGCCGCACGCGCGCTCGAGCAGCGTCCGCTGCTCCAGCCTCAGACGCGCCGTCATCCGGTCGCGGCATGCCTTGTCGCGCGAGCACCGGCGCGCGCGCATGCGGCGACGGTGCGTTTCGGCGCGTCGCGGCCTCGACGTGAGGGTTGAGCTGGCGCAGGTGGACGAGGGACGCGACGGCTCGCTCCGTCAAGTTTGCCATCGCAAACAGCAACCCAACCGCGCCAGCCCCTGGTTCGCAGTGGCCAGCGCGTGGCTTCACGCCCTCAAGCGTGAGCGCGGGGGGCCTGGACGGCGCCCGGTCCGCGCGCGTCGGCGGCGCGAGAACCTCAAGCGCGGCGCCGACCTCTATCGGATCTCCCAGCGAAGTACCTGTGCCGTGCATCTCCAGCCTGCCGAGCGCGTCGCCGTGCAGCCCCGAGCGGAGAAGCGCATCGGCCACGAGTGCCTGCTGCGACGGCCCGTTTGGTGCGGTGAGCGAGCTCGACCGTCCATCCTGGTTCACACCGGTCTGTTCGAGAAGAGCGAGAGAGGGAGACTCGGCGTTTGGAAGATCGGGCGCTTTGGGCGCTCCAGCGCTCGCCCCGTCCACCGACACGCGCAGGACCACGCAGCACTCGCCCTTGGCGTAACCGTCGGCGCTGGCATCCAAGGTTTTGCACCGACCATCGAACGATAGCATGCTCGCGGCGGTGGCCACGAGGAAGGTGCCGATGCCGACGTTCACGCTCACGCCGGCGACGAGGGCGTCCTCGCACGATCCATCGCGCAAGTGAGAGCTCGCAACATGCGCGGCCACGAGCGAGGAGGAGCACGCGGTGTCGACACACACGGACGGGCCACGCATACCAAACGTGTACGATACGCGACCGCACAGCACGCTCAAGGCGGAAGCAACGCCAGAGTACGGCCCCGGCGTTGGCTCGTACACGCGGCACATGTCTGCGTACTGAGACGTCCAAGCGCCGACGGACACGGCTGTGGCTGGCTTCGGCGCGCTGTGCGGCGTCGCGCTCGTCGCGGCGAGCGCGTTCTCCAGGAGCACGCGCTGCTGCGGGTCCATCAACCGCGCCTCGTGCGCCGTTACGGAGAACTGCTCCCCGTCAAACAAGCTGCGCTCGATGAAGTACCCAAACTGCACAAGATGCCGAGCGACGAACTCGTGCGATTTTGAGCTTTGTGGATCACACACTTCGCCGCACGCATGTCGCATGTTGTTCACACGCACAGCATCGTGCGCGCCTGATGCCTTACTCGACACAGCGCTGACGACGCTCAGCTCAATCTCGTTGCATTTCGGCATGCTGTCGAGAGCTTGTGTAGTGAAATCTCTGGCTTTCGTCAAGGAGACCACGCGCGCTGTCGCGCTCGGCTGCCTGCCCAACGATGGCGTGTCGAAGCGATCTTCAGAGGCTCGCTCTGCCATGACGCACCTCACGAACGATGAAAACAACGCCGAGCCGCCATGTCGAGCAGGCTTTGGCTCTCGATCATCCGCGTCGAGTCGTCGCACGCTCCGTCTGATGGCGCCGTGAACACAAGGCTGCACGTCCAGCGCGGGCATCGCCGGTCCTCGCGAGAGGTGCGCCGGAGACGCAGTAATTCTTGAGGCGCTTCTGCGGCTGAGCGCGCCCGCGAGGAACGGCGCGGCGGCAGAGGACGACGACACGCGCACGCCCACGCGGGCCACGCCTTGCGGCGTGACGTCGCACAGCACGTCGGTCGTCGGCGCTCGAAGCTCGAGGGGCGCTGCAAAAGATACGTGCGACAGCGAGATGTCGGCGAGCGGCTGGTCTGCCAGCGCGCCCGCCATGGCTCGACATATCTCGACGTGCGCTGTGCCTGGTAGTAGCGTCCGGAGCCCGATGGCGTGATCAAGCATGCCAGCGAGCGACGCGGACCGACACAGGCGCACGCACGACCGCGCCAACGCGCTCGAGTCTCCCTCGCGAGGATGAAGAGCGCGCACGGACTCGATGAGGCAGTGCCGTTCTGGCGCGCACCAGTGGCGCTGACGCTCCCACGCACGCGCCGCCGTGTGCGTGCTTCCCGTGTACCCGGGCGCAGTCGCCTGTCCGGGTCCCCGGGCCATGATTGCGTGCGCGTTTGTGCCCTGGAACGCGAAGCCGCTCACGCCGGATCGCCGCACGCGCGCTCGAGCAGCGTCCGCTGCTCCAGCCTCAGACGCGCCGTCATCCGGTCGCGGCATGCCTTGTCGCGCGAGCACCGGCGCGCGCGCATGCGGCGACGGTGCGTTTCGGCGCGTCGCGGCCTCGACGTGAGGGTTGAGCTGGCGCAGGTGGACGAGGGACGCGACGGCTCGCTCCGTCAAGTTTGCCATCGCAAACAGCAACCCAACCGCGCCAGCCCCTGGTTCGCAGTGGCCAGCGCGTGGCTTCACGCCCTCAAGCGTGAGCGCGGGGCCCCTGGACGGCGCCCGGTCCGCGCGCGTCGGCGGCGCGAGAACCTCAAGCGCGGCGCCGACCTCTATCGGATCTCCCAGCGAAGTACCCGTGCCGTGCATCTCCAGCCTGCCGAGCGCGTCGCCGTGCAGCCCCGAGCGGAGAAGCGCATCGGCCACGAGTGCCTGCTGCGACGGCCCGTTTGGTGCGGTGAGCGAGCTCGACCGTCCATCCTGGTTCACACCGGTCTGTTCGAGAAGAGCGAGAGAGGGAGACTCGGCGTTTGGAAGATCGGGCGCTTTGGGCGCTCCAGCGCTCGCCCCGTCCACCGACACGCGCAGGACCACGCAGCACTCGCCCTTGGCGTAACCGTCGGCGCTGGCATCCAAGGTTTTGCACCGACCATCGAACGATAGCATGCTCGCGGCGGTGGCCACGAGGAAGGTGCCGATGCCGACGTTCACGCTCACGCCGGCGACGAGGGCGTCCTCGCACGATCCATCGCGCAAGTGAGAGCTCGCAACATGCGCGGCCACGAGCGAGGAGGAGCACGCGGTGTCGACACACACGGACGGGCCACGCATACCAAACGTGTACGATACGCGACCGCACAGCACGCTCAAGGCGGAAGCAACGCCAGAGTAGGCGTTGTACTGTATCTCAACGCTATGCTCGTCAGTTGAATCTACCGCTTGTGCTCCAACAAGAACAGCCGTCGTCTCTAGAGTGCGCAATGAAACGTCTGAACTGTTGTTCAGCTGGATAGTGTGTACACTCTCAATCAAGAGAATCTGCCGCGCGTCCAGAGTAGTCCATTCGCTGTGCGGTGCGCCAAACAAGCCGAACTCGAGTTCGTCACAACGCAAAAAGTTGCCAATGAAATATGGATGCACGGGTAAGGGCTTGGTGGAGTTATGAATGCGAACAAAGAGGACTCCCTCAAAGTTACTGGTCGAAGGTCCCGCAGAGCTAAAGTGTCTAAGCTCGTGAGAATATTGACCGCTAATGCCAAGAGTCGTTCGTCGGCTGACTTCATGCGGAACGTATGATAGACGTAGACGAGGGAGCTGAGTAATGGTTGTACGTCGCGAATGCGCGACCGCGCCGCTCGCGGCGCGCGTGCGAGCGGCGCTGGACGCCGCGCCGCTCGATTGGCGCGCACGCGATCGCGCCAGCATCGCACCCTTCAGGTACCCAGATATCGCGGTGATCGTCGGGTAGTCAAATGCCAGCGTGGCCGGCATGTTCACGCCCGTTTCCTTTTGTAACGCCCCTCCGAGCTCGACCGCCGCGAGCGAGTCTAGGCCCTCTTCCATGAGCGACGCGTCCACCGACACGTCTCTGCCGAGCGCGCGCGTCACGGCGGAGGCCACGATCTGCCGCACGCTCTCATCTGACACATCGCGCGCCGCGTCTTCCTCGGCGCCCGGATGGACGGCGACTGGAGCGCTCGACCGCGCCGACTCCGCGCGGTACTCCGCAATCAGCGCGCGCGAGCGCTGCGCGCGCGCGAGCACGGACCACTGGAACGGGACGACGGCCAGGACGCCTTGGATTGCCCGCCAGCGACCCGTCACTGATGCGCCCTGAAGCGCGACGTGTACGGCCCCGAGCCCGGCTTGCGGATCGAGCACGCCGATGCCTGTCGTGCGCGCGTTCCTGAGTACAGACGCGTTTGTCAGCGCCATTCCCGCGCCGTCCCACGCGCCCCACTGCACGGATTGCACCGCGTACCCGCGGCACCACTCGTGTGCGGCTCGCGCGTCCAGCGCGGCGTTGGCCGCGCTGTAGTTGCATTGCCCTGGACTCCCCAGCAGCGCCGCCACCGACGAGAACAGCGCGATGTGACGCGCGCCGCGCTCGACGCCGACGCACTGGCGGAGCAATGCGTGCGCGGACACTACTTTGGACGACCACACGTATCGATGGGCCGACGCGGATTGGCGAGCAGTCAAAGAGTCGCGTAGCACGCCGCCCGCGTGCAGCACGCCGTGTGCGCGCACGCGCGCGTGCGCGCGCGCACCGCCGTACGACGCCTCGTCGGTCGCACACGCGTCGACGCGAAGCACGTGCAATGCGCTCACGTCGGTACCGCCGCGCGACGACCATCGCAGCAGAAGGGACTCTCCGCGCCCGCGGCGACCAGTCAAGTAGGCGTGGCGAACGCCTCGATGCGCGTACCACGCCGCCGAAGTCTGACCCAACGCGCCCAGACCGCCAGTCACGAACACGCTCGAGACTTTCGGTGCCGGCGACGCCGTGGTCGTCGCCGCGCCGTCGCGCGACGCGGCGGGCGTCCGGCGACCGAACGTCGGAAGCAGACGCTCAACGCACAGCGCCCCGGCGATCGACGCCCCGGCGGCGATCGATCGCAACGCTCGGGCTGGCGCGGTGTGCGGGGCGCTCGCGACACTCAGCACCAATGGCTCGCTGCGTTCCTGCGCGGAAGACTGCACGGTGGCGCGCACGCACGATCCACAGACTGCGGGCGCGGCCGAAGCGTCCTCGTGGACGATGTCGTTTGCACGCACGTGGGCGCCGGAAACGCGCGCACGAGCGCCGCAAGCCTGCAGCAGCGCAACCGCGCAAAGAGAGGCGCGCGTGCTGCTTCGCGTGCTGCCTTGCGCGATCGATGGTGACGCGTGGGTCTCCATCAGCTCGCGGCGGTGCGACGCGTCGTCCACAAAGCACTGCGAGTTGAGGGTTGAGCGTCGACGCGCGCCCTGGCCATCCGCCGCGCCGCACGCGCGCTGTTGCCCGACTCCATAAAGCACACGCGGCGCGGCCGCGCGACGCGGCGGCGGTGCCCTCGAGCGCTGTTGTGCTCGCGAGCGCACGACCGCGGCGCCACCGAGTCGTCGAGACTCCAGCGCGTGCACCACGCACCCTCGATGCGCCGCCGAAAGACTCGACCAGTCCCACAGGTGGTGACGAGATCTGCGCGTGGACGCGTTCCGCTCCCCGCGCTCAGGCGGAGCCGTCGCGAGCGCGAACCGGGCGCGGTATATGTCCGAGTGCCCGCCTCGCGTGCGGACGCCGCCGATCGTGGCCGGGACGTGCGGGCTCTCTTCTGTCGCATCGCTACCCGGCGGCGGCGCGCACGCGCTGAGCGCGTGCAGCGCGGCATCGAGCACTGCGGGCGGCGAGTGATACGCCGCAGCCGACAGCGTGGACATCTGACGCGCGCGTATGTCGCCGTACACGCGGTGCTCCGCGCCCGGGCCTCGTCGCTGCGACGAGCGCAGCCAGCTCGCGCCGTGAACACAAGGCTGCACGTCCAGCGCGGGCATCGCCGGTCCTCGCGAGAGGTGCGCCGGAGACGCAGTAATTCTTGAGGCGCTTCTGCGGCTGAGCGCGCCCGCGAGGAACGGCGCGGCGGCAGAGGACGACGACACGCGCACGCCCACGCGGGCCACGCCTTGCGGCGTGACGTCGCACAGCACGTCGGTCGTCGGCGCTCGAAGCTCGAGGGGCGCTGCAAAAGATACGTGCGACAGCGAGATGTCGGCGAGCGGCTGGTCTGCCAGCGCGCCCGCCATGGCTCGACATATCTCGACGTGCGCTGTGCCTGGTAGCAGCGTCCGGAGCCCGACGGCGTGATCAAGCATGCCAGCGAGCGACGCGGACCGACACAGGCGCACGCACGACCGCGCCAACGCGCTCGAGTCTCCCTCGCGAGGATGCAGAGCGCGCACGGACTCGATGAGGCAGTGCCGTTCTGGCGCGCACCAGTGGCGCTGACGCTCCCACGCACGCGCCGCCGTGTGCGTGCTTCCCGTGTACCCGGGCGCAGTCGCCTGTCCGGGTCCCCGGGCCATGATTGCGTGCGCGTTTGTGCCCTGGAACGCGAAGCCGCTCACGCCGGATCGCCGCACGCGCGCTCGAGCAGCGTCCGCTGCTCCAGCCTCAGACGCGCCGTCATCCGGTCGCGGCATGCCTTGTCGCGCGAGCACCGGCGCGCGCGCATGCGGCGACGGTGCGTTTCGGCGCGTCGCGGCCTCGACGTGAGGGTTGAGCTGGCGCAGGTGGACGAGGGACGCGACGGCTCGCTCCGTCAAGTTTGCCATCGCAAACAGCAACCCAACCGCGCCAGCCCCTGGTTCGCAGTGGCCAGCGCGTGGCTTCACGCCCTCAAGCGTGAGCGCGGGGCCCCTGGACGGCGCCCGGTCCGCGCGCGTCGGCGGCGCGAGAACCTCAAGCGCGGCGCCGACCTCTATCGGATCTCCCAGCGAAGTACCCGTGCCGTGCATCTCCAGCCTGCCGAGCGCGTCGCCGTGCAGCCCCGAGCGGAGAAGCGCATCGGCCACGAGTGCCTGCTGCGACGGCCCGTTTGGTGCGGTGAGCGAGCTCGACCGTCCATCCTGGTTCACACCGGTCTGTTCGAGAAGAGCGAGAGAGGGAGACTCGGCGTTTGGAAGATCGGGCGCTTTGGGCGCTCCAGCGCTCGCCCCGTCCACCGACACGCGCAGGACCACGCAGCACTCGCCCTTGGCGTAACCGTCGGCGCTGGCATCCAAGGTTTTGCACCGACCATCGAACGATAGCATGCTCGCGGCGGTGGCCACGAGGAAGGTGCCGATGCCGACGTTCACGCTCACGCCGGCGACGAGGGCGTCCTCGCACGATCCATCGCGCAAGTGAGAGCTCGCAACATGCGCGGCCACGAGCGAGGAGGAGCACGCGGTGTCGACACACACGGACGGGCCACGCATACCAAACGTGTACGATACGCGACCGCACAGCACGCTCAAGGCGGAAGCAACGCCAGAGTACGGCCCCGGCGTTGGCTCGTACACGCGGCACATGTCTGCGTACTGAGACGTCCAAGCGCCGACGGACACGGCTGTGGCTGGCTTCGGCGCGCTGTGCGGCGTCGCACTCGTCGCGGCGAGCGCGTTCTCCAGGAGCACGCGCTGCTGCGGGTCCATCAACCGCGCCTCGTGCGCCGTTACGGAGAACTGCTCCCCGTCAAACAAGCTGCGCTCGATGAAGTACCCAAACTGCACAAGACGCCGAGCGACGAACTCGTGCGATTTTGAGCTTTGTGGATCACACACTTCGCCGCACGCATGTCGCATGTTGTTCACACGCACGGCATCGTGCGCGCCTGATGCCTTACTCGACACAGCGCTGACGACGCTCAGCTCAATCTCGTTGCATTTCGGCATGCTGTCGAGAGCTTGTGTAGTGAAATCTCTGGCTTTCGTCAAGGAGACCACGCGCGCTGTCGCGCTCGGCTGCCTGCCCAACGATGGCGTGTCGAAGCGATCTTCAGAGGCTCGCTCTGCCATGACGCACCTCACGAACGATGAAAACAACGCCGAGCCGCCATGTCGAGCAGGCTTTGGCTCTCGATCATCCGCGTCGAGTCGTCGCACGCTCCGTCTGATGGCCATAACAACGGGCGCAAGACCCAAGATTTCGCGCGCGTTGGATGCAATACCTGGCATCGAGTCGCGCGAATGCGCGACCGCGCCGCTCGCGGCGCGCGTGCGAGCGGCGCTGGACGCCGCGCCGCTCGATTGGCGCGCACGCGATCGCGCCAGCATCGCACCCTTCAGGTACCCAGATATCGCGGTGATCGTCGGGTAGTCAAATGCCAGCGTGGCCGGCATGTTCACGCCCGTTTCCTTTTGTAACGCCCCTCCGAGCTCGACCGCCGCGAGCGAGTCTAGGCCCTCTTCCATGAGCGACGCGTCCACCGACACGTCTCTGCCGAGCGCGCGCGTCACGGCGGAGGCCACGATCTGCCGCACGCTCTCATCTGACACATCGCGCGCCGCGTCTTCCTCGGCGCCCGGATGGACGGCGACTGGAGCGCTCGACCGCGCCGACTCCGCGCGGTACTCCGCAATCAGCGCGCGCGAGCGCTGCGCGCGCGCGAGCACGGACCACTGGAACGGGACGACGGCCAGGACGCCTTGGATTGCCCGCCAGCGACCCGTCACTGATGCGCCCTGAAGCGCGACGTGTACGGCCCCGAGCCCGGCTTGCGGATCGAGCACGCCGATGCCTGTCGTGCGCGCGTTCCTGAGTACAGACGCGTTTGTCAGCGCCATTCCCGCGCCGTCCCACGCGCCCCACTGCACGGATTGCACCGCGTACCCGCGGCACCACTCGTGTGCGGCTCGCGCGTCCAGCGCGGCGTTGGCCGCGCTGTAGTTGCATTGCCCTGGACTCCCCAGCAGCGCCGCCACCGACGAGAACAGCGCGATGTGACGCGCGCCGCGCTCGACGCCGACGCACTGGCGGAGCAATGCGTGCGCGGACACTACTTTGGACGACCACACGTATCGATGGGCCGACGCGGATTGGCGAGCAGTCAAAGAGTCGCGTAGCACGCCGCCCGCGTGCAGCACGCCGTGTGCGCGCACGCGCGCGTGCGCGCGCGCACCGCCGTACGACGCCTCGTCGGTCGCACACGCGTCGACGCGAAGCACGTGCAATGCGCTCACGTCGGTACCGCCGCGCGACGACCATCGCAGCAGAAGGGACTCTCCGCGCCCGCGGCGACCAGTCAAGTAGGCGTGGCGAACGCCTCGATGCGCGTACCACGCCGCCGAAGTCTGACCCAACGCGCCCAGACCGCCAGTCACGAACACGCTCGAGACTTTCGGTGCCGGCGACGCCGTGGTCGTCGCCGCGCCGTCGCGCGACGCGGCGGGCGTCCGGCGACCGAACGCCGGAAGCAGCCGCTCAACGCACAGCGCCCCGGCGATCGACGCCCCGGCGGCGATCGATCGCAACGCTCGGGCTGGCGCGGTGTGCGGGGCGCTCGCGACACTCAGCACCAATGGCTCGCTGCGTTCCTGCGCGGAAGATTGCACGGTGGCGCGCACGCACGATCCACAGACTGCGGGCGCGGCCGAAGCGTCCTCGTGGACGATGTCGTTTGCACGCACGTGGGCGCCGGAAACGCGCGCACGAGCGCCGCAAGCCTGCAGCAGCGCAACCGCGCAAAGAGAGGCACTAGCCGAATTAATATCTTGCATTGACTTACGACCCATTTCGCGCATGATGGGCATCAGTTCTGGAGCATGTAAACTGCCTACTTCACGCAAGTTTTGCATATTTGATATCAGCACTCTTTGTTGTCTCGCGTGGTACAACAATCTCGCGAGTTCCAAGCATGTGCGAGTGCGTAAGCCAGCTTTCATCCGTACGGTTGATACTTTACACAGTAAACGATGTATCCATGTCTGCGTTTTATTGTTACTCGAAGAGTTACTTGTGACAGAGTTATTACTTTCAGTCACATGCTGCGTCTTCTGCAACATGTCAACATGCGTCGATCTAACAAGTATTTTTCCTGTCTGATTAACAACTATGACGTCTTGAATTGTTGTTGGTAGCTTAAGTAACGATACGCAGTCCATGTAGGTTGTATCAGATGCGAAAGCTGACGTGTTCAAGACGTATGCAGAGCATTGTAGACTCGCATCCTGGATACACGGATTCACGACATTTTGTGAATCGAGAATTGGCGTCGTCCCTGCTATTGTTGCGGTCGCACCTTTGAAACGCCGAGAAACGAGTTTACTAGTCAGATAAAAAGTACGGTCCGTGCACCAGGCACGTCCTACTGGTATTTGAAGTCGTGCAGTACTACACCAGTAATTGGATATGCCAGAGCCACATCCAACGCGTAAGCGACCATGTGTGTTCATCTCTGTGATAAGTTGATTGCTTTCATCAAGCTTGAGAGGCAGCATAAATGCGATCTTTGTCAGAAGATATGGTTCATTCCTTACGAGAGCGCACTTCGTGAGCTCTCTTTCAAGTTCAAGATGGCCTGTGGCTGGCATAAGATGCATATCAGCTACACGATGATCCAAAAGTCGCTTCAATGTTTTGTCGTGAATCATTGAAGTTAGCTGTATCATTTTCCCATTGACGATGCTAAGGCAAGAAAATGTGTACGGGAGTCTTACAGGGGATTCAGTCTCCAACTTGACCAAAGATCTCAGACCTGACGTGTTGCGAATCACTCTAATACTGCATTTGTCGATATATGTCAGTGAAGCCATTGCGTTCGTCCCTTGGAACGCGAAGGAGCTTACTGTGGTGACACTCGCCATAGAAGTTAAGGGAAAACTGGAATGCAGTGAACGCTGAAAAATACTTTCATCAACCGATGTTAGTATATGATTGTTTAACTGCTGTAAATGTGGTTGACCATGTAGCTTGCACTGTGCACCTGATACGAAAGCAAGTATGGTGCTGCATAGACCTGAAGCAGGTTCTGTGTGCCCTCGCATCGACTTTTCTGACACATACAGCCTGCACAGTGACGAAAACGAGAGGGCAGAATTGATAGCAAACACCTCTATCGGATCCCCAAGAGGCGTACCTGTGCCGTGGGCATGTATTTTAGCACCAACGTGTTTTGAAGGGTTATAAACGTCCGATAGTAACTCATTCATCAGGTTCCGCTGAGCTGTTCCATTAGGTGCCGTAAGTCCAGTTGATGTTCCATCTTGATTGACGACGCATGACATATGAACGTCATGCCGCAGTACATTCCTATGAGTTTTTGTGAAGCCATTGAAGTGTAAGAGTACGATGTTGCATGCCTCACTCCGGACGTAGCCATCCGCGCGTGCATCAAATGTCATACATCGATGCTCTGAAGACATCATTCCAGCAAGCTGAAATCGATGTGTCATCGTGGTTGTCAAAATCAAGTTGATGCCACATACAAGTGCACTTGATTCACGGAGCGAGCCAGCTGCGTACATGGATTGATGCAACGCAACCAAAGATGATGAACAAGCCGTATCAATCGTCACAGCACACCCTTTGAAATCAAAATAATACGCAATTCTACCCGATGCGACACTTATTGATGTTCCCGTCGAATCATAAGTGGAGAAAAAGTCTGCACTATACTTTCTGCGAATTTCCTCAAAGTCATTCCACGATACACCGACGTGCACGCAGAAGGAGTCGTCGTGTTGACAAACACGTGTGTTACTCAGGTATAAGTCTGCTGCTGCAAGAAGTAATAGTCGTTGTTGTGGGTCCATGCAGAGGGTTTCCGACTGAGAAATATGGAACAGACTTGAATCGAAACCATACACATCATTGAGTATACTAGCACTGAATTGTTTATTCACTGCGTTGTCTGGGATCTTAGCCGCGGAAAGAACGCGATCGTTCATAGTAATTTTGTCGTGCACGCATTTTGTGTCATCAGTACGACCATTGCAACTTCTTTCTGCCTGCGAAATATCCAAAATGTAACAAAGGTGACTATGCTTTTTATTCGGTTTAAAGCATGTTGCCATTCCGTGCGTACCATCCATGCAATTGTTGAAAGTAAATTCGACATGCTCAAACGAATTATTTTCTATGCTTCCTTTGATGTATTCCTGATAAGTTTGCCTCAACAGGTCCAGAATGAACCGAAAAGTGAGAACGTGTGTGGCAAAGTTATCTATGGAGTGATGTTGCCTAAGTCGTGTCAGGTCAACGCGATTTGCGAGCTCGATGACAGAACTAAGTACATGCGCGAACTCATCGTTATGCATATCATGCCGCTGTGTACACGTGATCGCCACTTCATACACGCAGGTGTAGTGAAGGGTCTGAATCTCTTCGAAATTAGGAACTGACACCGACGTATGTGGCGCGGAGAATTGACACCCCTCGAGCTCGTCCGTGCAGTCCCATCGCCCGACCTGAAAGTAAGGGTTCGACATAGCGCGTGTGTCTAGATTGCTCATTCGTGATTCATTTCGGGGCGTACCATTCTGAACGCTCTCCGGTTTGTGGCGCGTTAACATCGGACATCGGAAACGCTCGAGCGCCAAGCGTTTCAGACGTACGAGCTTCCATTTTGAGTTAGCTTTTATAGCACATGGATATGGGGTGGTCGGTCCTTGCGAAGTGGGGGTAAAACGTTGTAATACGATGTCATATGTCACTATATCACAAGAAATAAATATTTATTTCTGATGTCAAATATATTAAATTACTTAACGTCGAGCACTTCGACAAGACGGAAAAGACGACTAAGAAACTAAGCGAACCCGCGAAACCTCCCTTCCTCAACGTAAGATGCAAAAAACAGCTGAACAGTTGCTCGCTTTTCGATCCACGCGTGCACCCGGTCGCAGATGAATCGCAGCTTAGCACTAGTCGCTATTGTAAATGCGGCGACATCGAAAAAAGTACAGTTGAAAAACAAAAAGTTGTCCAGTGGTAGAAAACGTGTAACGTGCGGTTCCTCAAGACAAGAGTCATTTCAAACGACGCTGAAGAGGCCTTTGGGCTTAATTTTGCAGCCACAGAACGACGATAAGGGTGCTTATGTTGCCGACATCTCTCCAAGAAGTCACGCGGCTGATTGTGGTATTATTTCGGTGGGTGATATTATTGATGCGATTGAAATAAACAACGTCGCTTTGACGGGTTGTAGTGGTGTGTACTTCGACGACATCATCTCCTTCATATCTACTCAAAAAAGTGTGCAAGTCAAGCTCACGTTTTCACGACCTGAGACTTTTTCGATAGAATCTGAAGACATGGCCTCTTATTGGGAAAAGAAGCGAAATGAAAGGTTGAATAGTCCAGCTGTCTTGCGTCGAACGGTTGGCGTGCAGCCCGAGGATATACGAATATCAAAATCAGGACCACTTGGTGAAGGTAGTTTTGGCACTGTGTTCCGTGGTACGTGGAAGGAAAGAGATGTCGTGTTAAAATGTGCAAAAAGAAATGTGTATGGTGCGACTGAGCTCTTAGACGCAGAGCTTGAGCTGAACGAGGCAGTTCACAAGTTGGCGAAGGGATCGTGTGCTCGATTCTTCGGCTGTTGCGAAATAGATCAGCGTCAAGAAGGTCAGATCTACAACGGTACGCTACCAGCTGGCCTTTGGCTAATGTGGGAATACTGTGGCTCGGTTACTCTTGGGGAAGCATTGCGTAAACCTGAAACACTCGAAACAATTACTCGCAAAGCTTACAATCTTTCACAAAGTACAACTGAGTGTGAGATGATAAAACTCGTTCTGCGTTCGATTCTGAAGAATTTGGAGAGTTTACATTCGGTGGGTATTGTACATCGAGACATCAAGCCAGATAATATAGTTTTCTCAGAAGAAGGTGGAGTTGTGTTCATCGACCTGGGTGCCGCTGCTCAGTGCTTGGGAGTTCCTAAAAACTATGTTCCCGGTGAAGGACCAGCCGACCCTAGATACTGCTCTGCAGATGATATATATTTGCTTCCTTCGACTGCACCACAACCAACTGCAGACAATTTAAGTGAACTTTGGGAAATATATCAACCTGGAAAATTCGACATGTTCAGCGTGGGTATCGTCATGCTACAGCTATGTTTCCCGTATCTCCGTGATTCTGAACGCTTACTAACATTCAAGAACGAAGTTGCTCGCCATCGTTATGATCTGAGTGAGTGGCGAACACATGATCGTGTGGTCGTGAGCTCAAGCTGTAGGGGAGAGGCTTTACTTGACGCAGCACAAGGTGCGGGATGGGCGCTTGCGACAGCGCTACTCACACCCAAACGAGAAGATCGTATCAGTGCACTAGACGCAATCAGCCATAGCTTTTTTGATTAGCGATATTCGTTGATGGAACAGAAAACCGCGCTCAACTACAAAATATAATTACTCTTCGGCCTCCATACATTGCGAAGATGAACTCAGTAAGAACGAGTAAGAACGTGCGCGTCAGTCACATGGATGTATGAGAGTCCATACTTTTTTTCTGCAGTATGGGGGGGGACAACAGTACTTGTTCGGCGAGCTGTACACTTTGCGCATGCTGGGATGCCCGAGTGGTCTAAGGGGCCAGACTCAAGTGCGAATAAGCTTCACCGAAAAAACTGGTGAGATTTCTGGTAGTCATTGACTGCGTGGGTTCGAACCCCACTCTCAGTAACAACTACATCCTTATTTTTATGAAAGCAACTTTTGTCCATTACGACGAGAAACCATATATATTCAGCTATTATGACCCATTGCATTAAGGTTTTCCTATCATTTTACATATTTAAGTCGAACGTTTGTGACTCGTCATGACCCACTGTCGACGAAAACCTCGAATCCGGTGCCCTTTCGTCCTTTTTTTGAACTCGCTCGGCCCGTCGCGCATCCCCGTCACTTTCACGCTGCTGTCGTGGCGCGCACGCGCGTCGGGCATCGCGGAGGCACATGAACAGGTGACAAAATGTATTTCTGATCGAGTTGTAGCCGTGTTTGCAAATTCTGGTGCGTATGGGCGTCGACGCAGGGTGGAAAGCGTTCGACGATGCGGTCGTCCGCACGTCCATCGGCGGCGAGTTCGCCAACGCGAAAGCGGGGGTAGACGCAAACATCTGGATACACCAGGGGTGGGCGATGCGAAAAACTGGTTCTGTTCAGGATAAACTGGATTCGTCTGTAGAAACGGTCATTTCGCGCGCTACGAAGCTCGTGAATGCAGGTGTCTTCCCAGTCCTTGTTTTCGACGGTGCGAGGACTGCACACAAGAAGGAGACGCACGCGAAGCGAGCAGGTACGATAGGTGAAAAATTCGAACGATGTTATTTGCCTCGGATACTGAATGAAGTGCGGAAGCGTGGATTCGTGTACGTCGTGGCGCCAAACGAATCAGATCACCAGTTGAAGTACATGGAGTCGAGTGGTCTCGTTGATTTCGTGTTGACGGATGACACAGATGCAGTGGTGCTCGGGTGCGCCAAGGTCGTCCACAAGGTGTCTTGGAGCGTTTCGACGTTAAAGTGCAACGTTTTTAACAGAAACAACCTGAGGATGCCGGTAGACACGAACGAGGTGAACACAGTTGCGGAGCTCATGTGCATGCACGGCGACGCCGCCATGCGCTTGTGGGCGGCGGCGAGCGGGTGTGATTACAGGGAGGGGAAAGTTCCCGGACTTGGACCCCAAACGGCTCTGAAAGCCATTGTAGCGTGCATACAGAGTGCAGAGACTCTCAGTATCCGCTCTTTTGTGAAATACCTCGTCAAGAAGGACGTCGTCGACGCGAGTGATGAGGACACGCAAATTCTCAAACTTGAGGAAAGCCTGGCGGGCTTTGAGCGAGCAATCGTGTACGATATGCGGACGAAAGAGAGACGCTGGCTCAATGACGCAACCATATTCAACGCAAATCACTCAGAAAACGAAGAATTCGCTTTAGGTTTGCGCGATGCGGATACTCACGAACCCGTTGAATTGGTTGCAGTGGCTGCCCTTTTTAGACATGGTGAAACACGGGCGAGACGAATCCCCAAGTATCTCATCAAAGGCGCCGTTTTACCGGAAAAGAGAGTCGAGGACAACTCCAAATCGGATTTAATACGTTGGCTGAACGTGCGTAGGAACGATCGCCGCCGCGGATGTCAGGATATTCGGGACAAAGATGTCATCATCTCAGAGGTCATACAGAGGATGGAGCTTGAGCGTCGGTACGAGGAGCTAGATATCGACGTCGACGGCGACGTCCAGGATCCAGAAGGGAAAAGTCTTCATACATATTTGGTTCATCATTTTCATCTTCCGGTGACGCAATTCCCTGAGCTAGATCCCGATCTGGACGCACCAATGGATGCTGAAGTGTGGAGCACTGACGTTGAGCTTTTCCGCGAGACGTCACCGCTTATGGGTGAGGACATCATCACGACGTGGCTCGCGGGGATGTCCGTTTACGGCGACCCGGTTCGATCCAAAGCGTATCGACAAGGATACGCACGAATACACGCCCGGACGCCCCTTCCGATTCGTTTTGCGCACGTGGGGCATCCGTGGATGCAAACTCACTTCCGCGTGTGGTTCCGAGTTGGTATTCCGGCATCACTCAAAGCAGAGCGTTATGCCGTCGCTGTATGCTTGTTATGCAAGTATGGGTGCATCGACGAAGAAACGAATGAACATGTCCATGACCATGTCGTCAGTGTCGAGCGTGGGACGTGCGCGTGCAAGGCGGGAGCGGGCGGAGACTTCGGAGGGTGCATCCATGTCATCGCAGCGCTCTGGTATTTTGCCAAGTTGCAACGACCAGCTGATCCATGCACGTCGCTCGAAAGTGAGTGGTTCGGCACGAGTGGCGAAGGGGATCCGATGAATCGCAAAAATCCTCTTAGCAACATTGACTTTAATCGATTCGAAGCTGGGCGCGCAAAGCGACGATGCACTGTGGACACTCGCGGTGACGGTGATTTGGAGCTCCCTGAAGTTGCACCTGATGTAAGCGCGATGTGGTCGCGAAACAAGCCATCAACACTTCTCAGGGAGTATTTCGACGTATATGAAAAAGAGAACAATCACAAATGTACTTTACACAGGGTTACAGACGCGTGCGAGACGCGGAATCTACCTTAGCGAAGCTTGTAAATCTAGCGCTAGGAAAAATATTATTGGCCACTCCTGATGCACCGATTTCAGCTTGGAGATAGCTATTGGACCGCGCATACGCTTCCAAATCGTCTTGACGCGACCGAAAGCATTTTCAATTAGCACTCGGCGACATGCTTGCGCCCTGGTGTCGAGAATGTCCTCCTTGGAGAAGGCCACATTCTTGCCTCTTGAAAACGCAGGGTGCACAAGCCTGAACGCATCCCGTTCAAACTGTCTATTCAACCCTTCGCAAAAGCCACGATCAGCTGCAATTGTTTCGGGAACGACTACATTTTCGTCGTTCTCGTCTGTGAACGTCCTCCGGCGGATGCTGGCTCGGTGTACCGCATGATTAAGCATCGGATGATCCTTTCCAGCAAAGCAAATTTCATTGTCAAAAATGGATCCAGGGAACCCAACTGAACAGAAAGCGGCAAGACAATTTGAGTGACAGGCGCCAAGAAATTTGCACACGTAGCGCTTCTTATAATGACTGTAAAACAAACGCTGCATATATGGGTCATCTGGAGTCTCCATGGGCACTTCAGTCACGTCGATAATCTCATAAGGTTTCTGCCCGTATGCTTCTTTCCAATCCTCCCCTGTTGTCATCTGGATCCATTCGGGATCGATCGGGTCGCCACCGTAAGCACGTATAAAAACCGTTAAAAATGATGTCATTTGATGTAGCGCACGTGTAAGCGTCGATTTGTGTATTCCGACGAAGTATGCAAGTTGATCCGCGGTCAAGTCCATCTTCGCTCTCATCCACCACGCCAAAAATACATCTTCCCATTTGAAGCTCTTTTTCCGCGGAACGACCGTTCCATGCGAACCCGTCGCGCTCGTCGAATCGCCCCTCCATTTTCGTTTGACAATCGACAAGTTTTGCGTCGCATTGCGGTCGCCCGCGTTGACGAAACGCCACAAAGCATCGAATGTTTTCAAAGTTGGCCACCCAGTAAGCGCTTTGATTTGCTTATCACTAGCTCTCGTCGCCCGCAAGTATCGCATAGTTACGAACGAGGATTTTCGATCCTGGTCGTGCATTTCTTCTTGAATACGTTCAAGTTCTTCCGTGAGCAAACGAACGTCCTCGCGCGCGTCGTCTGCGTGCTGACGCTCTTCCCGCAGCGCCTCGCTCAACTTCAACTCATCACAGCGTAACTTGTGGATAGTCCCTTCTTGCACGCGGCACGTCTCTTCCCCCGGCCTTCCCCGTTCAAACGAGTTCAAAGACATGTTTTGCGCGCGATTGTGCGAGCAAATTGCCGCAGGAGCAGATCGTCGCCGTTTAATCCCAACTCTGACACCAGCTTGTGTCGCATGCACGTCGTCCTCATTCAAATTTGAAATCTCTGAAAGGGGCGCCCGTGCCGGCGCCTTCACGCGCAGACGCGTCTCGCGCGGTGATAAACATTCTACACGAGCCGGATCGACGATTCGTTCGCCCGCGTACGTCGGCCGATTCGAATGGAGCATGTACGTCGGCCGGACGTGCGCGCCATCTTTGAAGACCAGCTTCGGGCGGTCTCCTCGAGACCATGCTAAATGGTACCAGAAGAAGTGCTGCGAGGACACTCGAACACCATCGGGCTTCGTCATCGCGCGCAAAAAGTATTTTTCTACGTCATCAGCATCCGCTCCGGGTCTGAGACTCGATAGAATCGATTTGAGCACGTCGTCTTTCCAGTGCTTGCCGAGTTGGAACGCGAATCGCTCGACATCTTTGTCGCAGTTCGGGTTCGTGCACACGCACGTGCGAGGCATTCGGCGCGCGACGACGTGCGGACGCGACGCGTCGGAATCACCTCGAACTACTCACGCGCACCCGCGGGCGGCCGCGGCCGCACCGCGCACTGGCGGGCGCGCGAACGCGACGGTTGCGCCATCGCGTTTCGCTAAACCCCGGCGCGTTCAAAAAACGCGTTCGGGGGGAAAAATTTATATCGCCCCTTTAGAGAGTACCTACACACATGACGAGTCATGAACCGTGGATATATACGTATTTTACACCGTTTAGTGCCATCTACAATAGAGTATTCCTACCTTGGTGAAAAACACGTTCGCCTCGTGTCTTTTCCACGCCTGTCGCGCCAGTTGTCGTCGCGCGTGCGGGCGATGGTCGGATGGAAGACGAGTGCGACGATGATCCCTTCGACGATCCGTTCGGTGATGCTCTTCACGTATCGTCCGGGCTCCAGGAGACACGTGACTCCAGCGATTCCAGGAGACACGTGACTCCAGCGATTCCAGATAATGTTGAAGCCTCTCTACCAACTCATCGGAGAAGCCTTGGAGCAGCTTTCGACAACGTGAGTGTAAAGTCACGCTGGGTTCAATCGTGTACCGAGATGATACAACTCGCACTCGATCCGGAGTTTACGTTCGAGCCTGATGAAGCCGCACACATCACAGACGCGCTCGACAAACTTCAACGTTTCATGCACAACTTGAAGACACACAGAGAGATGTCTCAAAACATGTCCAAGAATAGCAAAATGGACGGCGATGGTGTGCTCGGTATGTCGAACCTGGTTGCGATTCCTATGAGAGGCGCGGCGGGTGATACGGCGTTGAGCAGGAAGAGGGGCTGGCACGAGAAGATGGTCGATGAACACAAACGCAAGGCAAGCAAAGGCGAGCAAATTAGCATTAGTAAGTACCTCGTAGATGTTGTAGAATCAAACTTTTAGAACTAAACGGTGTAAAATACGTATATATCCACGGTTCATGACTCGTCATGTGTGTAGGTACTCTCTAAAGGGGCGATATATAAATTTTTCCGTGCTGGGAACGAAACGAACCCCGCCGTTCAAAATCGCAGACGACTCACATCGCAACACGTTACACAAGCTCGATTCCTTAAGACATTTGCGGTCTTGCAGAGGACGCAATCTACGATCTACGATCGCTCCTTCGTCGCTCCTTCGTCGCTCTGCGGTCCCTCTACCGTTCGCCAGTCGCAGTGAAAGTCGGCAAATTCAAAAAAACGGAGTCTCGTGGCGCGACATGGTTCCTGGTGTAGTGGACGAATCGGTACGGATGTTAAAACAACGCAAAACCGCATCTTCTCATGTTTTGCTCTCAATTAGGGACACCTGACAATACTACGCGATGTCACGAACTCGAGCACAAACCGCTTTCTTTTGAAAGAGAGCTCAAAATTAGCAGGTTCAGCACCATCAACTTCTGCGTCCGAAGACCAGGTTCACAAGAGCGCGAGCCAGGGATACGCCAAAGATGTATCCGCGGCATCTCTGACTGGGAATAACGTTAGAATGTCTAACAAGTTCTCAACTGTAGACGATATTTACATCAACCTTCTGAAGTCGCAGCGGGAACCTCCCAGCAAACTTGGGCTTTCTTCCCCAGATATCAGTATGAGTATGAGACGTATTTTAGTCGATTGGATGATAGAAGTTGCAGAAGAGTATAAGCTCGTACCCGAAACACTATTTTTAAGCGTGGCGTACACGGATATGTGTTTGCAACAGCTACCAATAAGTCGTTCAAAACTTCAGTTGTTGGGGATAACATGCGTATTCATAGCCGCAAAATATGAGGAAATCTATGCACCACAGATCGAAGAGTTGTGCTTTATAACAGATAACTCGTACGATCGATCTCAGATTATCGAGATGGAACGAATCATATTAAAATGTTTGGATTTCTCTGTCACGCTGACGACGACGAAAACATTTCTCACAATTTATCTATCGAAAATCAAAGCGGATCAGTTGTGCTCACATTTGGCATCATTTTTGTCTGAAGTAACGCTGATGCGAAGTGTTTTTCTGCAATTTCCTCCCGCGGTTATTGCCGCCGCAGCTACTGTCCTTGCAGAATTTTACTTGTGTAGAGAAAAGCCACAAATTATACCGTTCTTGGTAGATTTAGACACACCAAAATTGCGACAGTGCATCGACATCCTTCATGCCGATATGATGGCTTATGAGCCAGATCAGTTTCAAGCAATTCATGAAAAGTATTCTGAACATAAATATGCTCAGGTTACGTCGATTGTTCCTAGAGTTGATCCGTTGAATGTGCTGTTTGGCTAATATATTACGAGTATGCTGTGCGAAAACAGATGATTTTCTCGTTCAGCGAGAGTAGGCTTGACTGGTATTTAGATTCGTTGTCGTATTAAAACTAAATATGAGTGTAGAGCCGATACATGACTATGGAGCCAAAGCGACAAATGATTTTCCTTTGGTTGTTCATGATGAATTCGCGTGTGACTAACGTGCGTACTTGCCTGATGCTTGAGAACGCTGCCCATGATTCTTACCTACATCCTATTCGCCCCCCACTGTCCGCGTCAACGAACGCATTGTCACGAACTCTTCAGCACTAGAGGGATGGATACCAACAGTCTGATCGAAGTGCTGCTTGGTAGCTCCACATTTCAGAGCTGTTGCGAAACCTTGAAGTATTTCTGCCGCATCGGGGCCTACCATGTGCACACCTAATACCCTTTGACTGACTGAATCAACTACCAGTTTCATCAGAGCTTTCTCTTTACGCCCAGAGAGAGAATATTTCATCGGAGTGAAAGAAGACATGAAAACATCGCATCGAACCCCCCTCATAATCGCATCGTTTTCTGATAAACCGACGGTCGCAACGGGCGGTTGAGAGAATACTGCACATGGTATATTCTCATAATCCGGTTTAGTCGGATTACCCCTTACGACTGTGTCTACAAAGGCCATCCCTTCCATAAGCGCAACCGGTGTCAAATTGACTCTATCGGTAACATCACCAACAGCCCATATATTGCTCACCGTAGTTCTACTGTATTCATCCACTTTTATGGCACCCGTTGCAGAAAGTTCGACCCCCACACTTTCTAGCCCAAGTTTCGGTCTAGTTGTATTTGGTATCCTTCCTGTCGCAAAGATAACTACATCCGTTTCTAATTCTTCAGTAGACGTTCTTAACAACAACCGACCATCCGACTGTTTGTCCAAACTGACGAGTTGACAGCTAGAAATTTGATTAATTCCTCTCTCTTTCAAGTTAGAGTAGACTGTGCTGCGTATATCATCGTCAAAGCCTCTAAGAGGAAGGGCTTGACGATAAACCAAGTCGACTTCCACGCCAAGTCCAGCGAAAATACCAGCAAACTCGACTGCAATGTAACCACTACCCACTATCACCATTTTCTTCGGTAGCTCGGTCAAGTTTAGGGCTTCATCCGACGTTATGCCAAGCTCTGCACCAGGGATGTCGGGCACATAAGCTCTCCCCCCGGTGGCGATGAGGATATCTCTCGCAGTCACGCTTTCCTTTGAGCCCTATATTCATTTTCAACACGCACACGTTTAGAGAAAAAAACTTCTCGTACCTCTTGTCCAGTTATCTCGACTGTGTGATTGTCCAATAATTTCCCAGCGCCTACGTAGGATGTGACACCTGAACCATCAAGTAACCTTTCATAAATCCCATTTAAACGCTCTGTTTCCTTCAATTTTGCGTCGAGTAGCCTCTTCCAGTCTAGCTTGGGTTCACTCAACACCCATCCGAATCCACTTGCGTCTTCGAAATCGGCAGAAAATCCGCTTCCAAAGACGAATAGTTTCTTCGGAACGCAACCTCGAATTACACAAGTGCCGCCGAGCCCACCAGTCCTATCTGAACTTATTGGGTCGTAAGGCATTTCACAGAGTCCAACTTTTGCACCCGCGCTTGAAGCCATTCGCGACGCGCGAACTCCGCCAGATCCCCCACCTACCAATATTCATTCGATTTAGAAACGCGCGATGTGAAAGTATGACTTACCGATGACGAAAATATCGTAGTCGAAACCATGTTCTGAGGAAGCTCCCCTCACGGCCGCTGTACGCATCACGCGGGCACCCTCCGTATTTTTCGCAGAAGCGACGACCCGGAGCGCCGTCCGTTTTTGAAAACGAACGAGATTAAATCCTTGTGATGATAGTTTAGCGACTAACATTCGAATGCGTCAAGTTCGGCCGCGTGAAAGACAAAGAACATACCTGGTCGGCCACACCGCGCCGTCGAGGCTCCACAAAACATACACGTGGTACCACGATATGTATGATATGATATCATATCATATCATACATATAACAATATAATATAAAGCTATTTGAATCGTAACCTAGGCACTTTAGTGCCTAGGTTACGATCACTAAAGTGCCTAGTCCAATCAGATGACAAGGACAAAATACTTTTCCTAGTTCCGCCGCCGCGCACGTTCTCGTCTTTTGAGTGCAGGTTGTACTGGCGAGTCAATCTTCGACGACAAGCGAAGCTCGCTGGCCGATCGGTCGATACCGTCGAATATATATAAGCCTACCGCTGCGCGCGCTTCTCTCTCCTCTTTGGCGAAAGCCATGCAAAGTGACGAAGTAGTTTGGCAGGTGCGCCCGCACGATACTTTTGATCCTACTCTTCCCGTCATCCATACTATAACACAGATCATTAACCATGGACAATGTAGCTATAGGGCTACATCAGAGACGTCCAATTTTTGTCGGAATGAATTTAGCTTGACTGGAATGTGCAACCGAAGTTCTTGTCCACTTTCAAACAGTCAGTACGCGACGATTCGAGAAGAGTGTGGTGAGCTACTCTTAGCGAACTGTGAAGTTCTGAAATTCACTTACTCAACTAGGCATCCTCAACCTATACACAAAGACTGTAGAGCGTTCACATATGCCTTCAAAGTTGTGGGAGAAGACGGAACTCAGTCCCAAATATGCGGAAGCTCTGGAACAGATAAACTCTTCTCTGAGACATTGGTGAGTAAATTCCGAAACGTTTGAACAGGATCGTGATAAGCGGATTAGGCCAAAGTTTCTAGTTCACAAGAGCAAGCAACGTCTGACAAAGTTGACTCAGCTACTCATACGTTCAAGGAAATTAGAAAAAGTTGGGAGGTGAGTCAGGTGCAACTGGTTCGTGACGAGTTCATTTACTCTGACTTTAGGGAAAAAATCCAAACAATGCCAGCACGACATACACAGCGCGATGCGAGAGCGGAAAGTAAGGTAAAGTCTCTCGCGCACACAATTTGCATACGAATATTAACTTTCGTGAAAACAAGGCTCAAGTGGCGGCGCGTTTGGACTCGAGTATTGAAAATGAGTTGCTGGTATGCCTTACTCCAGGTTATGACGGCGCGAATTTGAGAAACGATATGTAGGAACGATTGAACGCTGGCGTCTACGAATCTAGCTACCAATTTTCTACGGCTAGATACTCACATGCTTTAGAGGTAGGCCAGACTCGCAAAAATATTGGATTGTATCTAACGCTTCTCTCTGCGACAGGGAACAAGGAAAATGGGAAGTCCAGAAACCAAAACTCCGCGGAAAATCCGCCAGCGCCGTCTACAACGGGAGATTGAATATGAACAGATCAGGTAAGTGATTACTGGTATTTTCCATGGAGATATATATTTTACTTTTGTCCAGAACCTCAGTAGAACAGTGAACATCTTTGGGTACATATAGAAACCATTTATAGTTATATGTAATTCAAAGCATATCTTGAAAACTCTGAGAGATAAAACTCGAGCTTCGAGCTCTCAAAGTGACATGGATCGAAGCATCACTCTGAGAGTTTCTCACACTCTCGCATCGGTTTCTCACACTCAACTTTGTGCAGCGCACTTGAGGAGCGCATACTTTTCAACTGGTAAGAGTGCTTGCAGGTCAAACGTATCTTCACTCTGTAGTTGTGATTTGTAGTGTTCGTCTACAGTATTTTCAGTCGTGTGGGCGGCAGCGCTCTCCCCTAGCGCTGCAACATCATGTATTCGTTCAAATCTTTTTTGCTCAAACATAGCCTCATTTTCCAAAGTCTCACCAGAGACAGCATGTTGTTGCGAATGTGCCTGCTGTGTACTGAATGACGTCGTATTGAAATTGCCCAATTGGATCGCCATGTTGTCTAATTCACGTTTCTGGACCGCTTTCTGAAGTATACTCTCTTCAATTGTCCCTTCGCTTATCAAACGGTAAATATGCACTTCCCGCGTCTGACCGATACGATGGCAGCGATCTTGAGCTTGCTGGTCCATCGCCGGATTCCAATCAGAATCATAAAAAATAACGGTGTCTGCTCCTGTTAAGTTGATACCAAATCCGCCGGAACGTGTTGACAAAATAAAGACAAAAAGTCTTTTATCGCTATTGAACCGTTGCATGAGTAACTGGCGCTGCTCAGCACCGGTGCTACCATCAAGGCGACAATATGTGTAGCCGTGCAAGTTCAGAAATGCTTCTAATACATCCAGCATTTTTGTCATTTGGGTGAATATCAATGCTTTGTGACCGTCCTGTTTCAGCTTTCGGAGTAGTGTTGCCAAAATCTGCAATTTACCGCAATCGAACTGTACTAAGCGTTTATCTGGAACGAACATACTTTGCCTGGCGACGAATTTCCTGATTGGGGCCATAAGACCGAGAGCGCATTCTTCAAATCGACCACCACTAGAGTGTGTTGATTCATTGAGAGACCATACGGATGGCGTTGTTGATCTCACATTTGGGATAATAAATGTGAAGCGAATCAAATTATCTATGACAGCTGAGTCTTCAAACCAAGCTAATTGGCCAATTCTACCGAACTGTGATAGATGTTTTGTTTTGGGGAATATAGTTGTTGCGTAACGTGTATGTGCCGTGATATTGGACAGTAGAGCTTGAGCGGCATAAAATGATAGACTTGTCGCTTGAAATGTTGTGCGTTCGGCTCGTACTTCTGATAATGGAAGCACGATATTTTCCATGAAAGAAGTGCCGACATTATGCTGTTCTTCAATTCGATCTCGCGATCTATAGCGGTTCAATTCTTTTCCATTGCCGGCCACATTTGGTCCACTGAGTCGAAGATTAATCCCGCATCTTGCCGATTTGAGGCGCGCACTCGTGAGCAACACGAAATATGATAGCCAACATACATGTTTCACATCAAATGGACTACATATCTGCCTTCCGGCGAACAAGTCTGGGTGATTGCAAACCTTTCTAAGCTGCATGAGACAGTTCATCACACCCATGACGTTCCCGCTTGCTAGTGTCCTGAGTGTGTTGTTAGAGGATATGTACTCCTCGTACAGGCGCCTTTGCCGGCGGGATAGGACGCATTTCACGATGTGTTCGTGTTTCTCTGGAAGCGTCTTTTCGACGTCCATTTTCAACCTACGCAAAATAAATGGTCGGAGGATAGAATGTAGACGGGTAACTATCAACTCATTTACCGACTGAGTGCCGTCCACCATAGCACTCATTGGATTCGCAAACCAGTCTTTGAATTCAGAGTGAGATCCAAATAAGTCTGGCATCAGAAAGTGCATCAGCGCCCACAGTTCCATCAATTCATTCTGCAGTGGAGTGCCAGTGATCAAGAGCCTACGCTTCGTACTAAAATTTAAGAGTACTTGCCAACGCTGTGATCGCCAATTCTTTATCATGTGGGCCTCATCCAGTATTAGATACTCCCAATTTTTACGTCGAAAGATACTCTGATCCTGAGTAACAATGCGATAAGAAGTTATGCAAACGTGGAAACTATTCGGCTTACTCCACCCATGCCGCTTCAAACGCCTCTCGCGAACAGAACCAAAATAGGTGAACACTTTCAAAGCTGGGCACCACTTCTTAAATTCAACCTCCCAGTTGAGCATAACAGATGTGGGTACAACAATCAAGTGTGGTCCCCAGTTTCCAAACTCGGTCGCGAGCATAGAAAGAAGAGCGATAGTCTGAATAGTTTTACCCAAGCCCATTTCATCTGCCAATAGTACGTTCAAATTATTGATATAGCAATTTCTTAACCACCTGACACCCTCCAGCTGATAGTCACGTAAACTATGTTTGAGCAATGAAAAGTCTAGTATATCAGTAGAAGAACAGTTACTCCTAGTCTGAACAGAAAGGTTTGATCCACTGCCAATAGAAGGTTCAATGTTATGTTTTTGCTCTGTGCGTACGTTTCCACCGTAGCAAGGAAAAGGCTGATTTGTATTCAACTTTGCGGCGAGTCGCGCTGAGTAGGCTTCTGTGACCTTGACGAGCTCATCTACTGATATGTAAGGCGTGAAATTTCTGACAGGTGTAAGTTTTATACCTAACTGTGCGTCGAGCTTCATCTTCTGCGCTTGTGCGTCGGCTGCTTGGCGTTGCAACGACAATACCTAAACGCCATCTGAGTTGATAAAAAAGCGGCAAATTTCGAAGCATACCTTGTTAGCCTTGTTCCAAAATGTGAGAATAGACCCTGCGATTGCTTTTGCCGTCTTACGGGCTAGTACTAATTCTTCGTGTGCCTTTTTCATGTCGGTTTGAACTTCTCGTTTACGAATTTTTGAAAGTGTTGTTGCCACCTTCAAAGCCGAACGTTTCCTAGCGTCAATTATTTATTTAAAACGTGAGATTGTCGGGTTTTAGAATTCCTTACCTCCATTTTCGCTCTCGCGAAAAGTCGCCTGAAAGCCAAGACATTTCCTCCAACGTGTGAAGCCAGTGACTTTTCGTTTTCGTTGGCTCTGGAAAATGTGGGAGTGGTTTTGTCGATTCCGTCTTGTGCAACAACTTTTCGAAGCTACGTATTATGTTCTCTTCACTGGTGATTTCAGCTGCGATGGATACCGCTTCGTTGTACGCAACAGTATTGTCAGCTACTGCCTGGGGCTCCACTTTTAAGGAGCGCAAGGAAACTGTTGGTTGTCGAGCTGCCCCTGTTTCCCTCGACTCTTGCTTCGTGTTGCCCCCTTTATCAATCGCGTGCTGAATTCCGTATCGAAGAAGTAGCTGATCTAGTGGAAGTTCTCCCTCCGCTTTTAATTCCAATAGCTCTGCTTTCTGCTCATCTTGAGTCACCATTGCCGCCTGTTAGTGAACGACCGTCATTGCTGGAATTGTTTGATGTACAGCGAAAGCTCACCTCCTCGTCGAAAGTGACCAAGTCATCCTCGACTTCACCCAGCGGCACGAACTCCTCGTCGCCCGGCGACATCTCGCGCGTGTGTTTGCACGGCGATGCAGAACTACGAGCGAACCGTGCGTGGGTTCGCGACGCGTCTCTCTTCGTTTATTTATTTTTATTATTTGTGTAAAATAAACACTTCGATGAAACCCTAATCAGTTGTGAGGAGTTCACGTTTGAGTACAGAGTGTGGTGTAAAAAGAGTTGGCAACGCAGGTCGTGTATGTCCCTTCTCGGGAAGATCCGACACTTGCGCTCGCCGCACCCCGTGTTTGCTCAGGAACGCTCTACAGCTACGTAGACCGCTACGCCACGCGCGCGTACACATATATCGTCAAATATCCCGGGCTCGTGCGAACCCGAGAGCGAACATGAGCGAGGGTTTCAAACAAATGACGAAGCACCCCCTCGAACACACGTGGACTTTGTGGTTTGATAATCCAAACGGGTGAGTCACATTCCATCAAATTAGTTATTCCGAATTGATGATGAAGCACACAGTCGCCAGAAGCAGACCACATGGGGACAAACACTTCGGAGTGTATATACTTTCAACACTGTGGAAGACTTTTGGTGTCTGTACAACAACATCCTTACACCTTCCAAATTAATCATGGGTACGGATTTTCATTTGTTCAAGGAGGGCATCGAGCCAAAGTGGGAAGATGAGACATGCGCAAAAGGTGGCAAATGGACATATTATGTCCCAAAGCAGAAAGATGGGGAAGAGCTTGACGAAAGTTGGTTGAATCTTCTTTTGTGTATGATTGGCGAGCAATTCAGTGAAACCACCGAAGTTTGCGGAGCCGTCATCAGTGTGCGGCAGAAGCAGCATCGAATCGCCTTGTGGACAAAGACAGCGTCAAGCGAACCTGAACAGGTAGCTATTGGTCGACATTTGAAAGACATTTTGGACATCCCTGAAAGTGAGAAAATCGGGTACATGGTACACGATGATGCCATTCGACTGGAGCGTAGGGCAAAGGATCGGTACACCGTTTGATATCGTTCAATTTACTCGAAAACAGGCGATTCAAAATCCCAACGTAGAAAGGCAAAGTTTGACATATCTTGCCACATTATATGTATGGCAGGTGGATGTGCTCCTCTTTTTTACTAAAGCGGAGATAACATGATTTACCCGAAAAAGTGGAAATATACAATATATAGTACTAGAGATTGTTAATATATGTTCTCACGCCAGTAAGCACCGGCTCTCGAACGAGAGAGATAACCGCCGAGAGCGCGCACCAGAGCAAGCGAGGGAATTCAAAAAAACAGCTCTCGGGCAACGCCGTCACTGCTGAAAGGAAGCAGCGAAAAAGAGAAAAGAATGGAGTTAGATATGCGCGAGTAGAGTACCACAGTCGGGATGGACTCGCACGCACAGATAGCAAGGCTTGTCCGTCAGTATTCCGCCGCGCACACTCAAGCAGAATACGGAAAAGCTTGTCTGAACTTTGAGGCTCTCACTACAGAAGCTTGCAACTTACTCATCAGAGTAGACCGATCGCAGTTGCAGACACTATCAGATCATCTTATGCAAGACATGTTTACTGCAGTACAAGACACGTTGAAGCTATTGGCTGGCACTTCGCTACAATCAAAGTCACAGCGTCAACGTTTTTTGGCAGCTGCTGAAAAACTGTGTGATGTGCTCTGGGTGTTGAGAAAACCTGGCGACGATGATAATATTTCTGGTCTGCGATATACTTTGATCCGAAGATTAGCCGCGTTACATGAAAATGACAAGACAATCCACAACTGCTGGGCGTTACTCAAAGATCTTTTTCAACAGTTGCGCACTGAGAACTTTGATCTATCTCAAGTAGAGAAAATTTGTGGCGAACGACGAGGAGATAAACTTTTTGTGACGATGGTTATTGGATTGGTTTTGAATTTGATCAGCGCGCTGATAGCAAGTCCAGATAGAAGGGAAATTCTGGTGGACGGTTATCTACAGGTATCAAACATCATGCAGCCTGTCCTCAAACTTGTTCTTGCTCAGTCTGGGGATTTCGCCGATAAATATGTTCGCAGTTTTACAAACAGTGCCTTGAAAGCTTTCATCGTGATATCAGGCTTGACTAATTCTTCTGAGGCCATGTATACGCGGCAGAAATTTGTTCAAGTCATACTCTTTTGTCTGGAAAACTCTACCTTTAACAAAGAATATTTGCTCCAAGTTTCGACGAAACTTGTATGCTATAGTAGCGCCAAGGATATCTCAAGAGAAACTTTGACGCGTATGCAAGCGCTTATGACGCAAGACATGCTCTTTTCAATTTATAAGCAGCTTATGCAGCAAGCGGTTAAAACAGATACTCAAGCTGAGGCCCTCCGACTTCTTGATACGATGTTGCCAAGTGCTGTTGAACCTTGGCTTCTTGTGACCCTAAAAACTGCACTTCATTTTACTCTGCGGTCCAATCAGAATGTTTTGTCGCGCGAACTGGCGTGCGCAAATGTTGAGCTTTCACGAGCATTAGAATTGGACCACCCTCAGTATTTGTTTCACACATTTTGTTTACTTGCACGAGAAGTCCAACGCTTTGCATATGATGCAGGTGCTGCAGACTTGAATTGCACCGCAGACTTCTTATGCCAAATACGACAGTTCGCTATAATCGGAGCGCAGCTTGCAGAGTATAGCCTGAAAATTGATACAACACCCCATGCTTTCTGTGCTGCATTGCCAAGTCTATGCTTATCAAACGCTCTGCTTGCCATTCAGCTCGAGACGAATAACTTGGAACACAAGTTCACACACGATTCGATTGCGATGCACACCTTGAGTCAACTCGTGCTTTTGAATGGCTTCAATACTTTAGCCACACGTAGATCTATCCACACGCTTGCACAGAAGTGCGCCGAGACAGGACACCAAGAAGCCGCAGAGGCACTTTACAGGACAACTTTGCGGTGTTGCGATCATTTGGGTGGTTTCGAAGCAAATGAAGTCAACACAAGCGGCGAAAGACATGGTCGAATCAAAACTCTATTCCACCACTTGCACAAAACGTCAAAAGAAAATGCTGTCAAACTCTTGTTAAGTGAATCGCATCACTACGGAACGTCTGAAATGCCTTTCAAAGCAATATTGGTACTTTATGCCGAAATCTCAACCAGCTTTGCAGGAAACAAGGAAACATTCAAACCTTTCATTCCCCAATTAGTAGAGCGTGAGAAAACTGTCGAGATATTGATCAGAATTATTGAGGAATGTCTATTTTGGGACAGTTCAAATATTTCCATGTGTTTGAGGCATCAGTTGAAAAGCGCATTGTTCACATTCGCAATCGAAGTGCTCAGTGATTGGCAAAAGTTGCGAATTAATTATAGCTCAGCGCATATCGCAGCTGTTTCTGATCTTCTCCAAGTTATGTTCCCTCCTGTGTCGCATGGATCTGGACAGTGTCGTACCCGCGCATGTGCGGTGTGTGGACAGTCGGGAATAATACAAGTGTATCATGATGTCTTACTGAAAGTTGCGCGCGCAATTGATGCTGAATACTTGCGCCTAGCGGTTTCAATTGAGTTCGCATGTCGTACTGCGTTAGCTTTGATCAGCATCAACGAAAGCGGAGCTTTTAAACATGCACAAATGTTTATCCAGGAAGAAATCAGTTTGCACGAGTTGGAAAAATTTTGTCGCGTGTTTGAAGAGCACTTGAATGCAAAAAGTTCAGACGGTGTTCGACGCATGTTCGAAGCTATACAAGACATTTGCGAGAAGTTGAATACCTTAGGTTCTACTCATTTATCAAACAGGCTAAGACATTTCATTTGTCCGGAGACAACAAGCCATGTTGCTGCTATTCTTCTGGCACCAATTCCGGCGCCATGTCTACTACTATCGCTTCATAGACATCGTCCGTGGCAGAGACGCATATCCAAAACGTGTAGCGCTCATCAGGGGAGATCCAAACTTCTTCTAGCAGGTGTTGCTGCAGAAAGAGGACATATTAGCGAGGCATTCTCTTATGTGGAAATTGCTCTTTCTTCCCTGCGAAATTGCCTCAGCTCCTACCATGACTCGGTGAAAGAGGTAACTGGAGAAGCAAGTATATGTGATCCAAAAGTTTCCTACTTTTTTGTGGTCGGGACTTACATATCAGCGCTCTGCACGAAAGCAACTATCTGCGCTGAGATAGGCATGGTGTCTTCCAGCCTGCACGCATTTGATGAAGCTTTGAAATTATCTCGCCGAGTATGCTCGCATGCGTTGCAAGGAGCTGTACACTTACGCAAGGCGGGTACTTATCAACGACTTGGAAGGTTGACAGAAGCTAGAGATGAGCTTTTGACTTATCATGAGGTTATCGATGGAGCCCTTTTCCGAAGAACGCAAGAAAGTATCTTCGATACCAGGATGGACGTGTATGCGAAGGTTTTATCTTCAATCATAGAGTGCTCGTGTTGTGAAAACGAGCATAAGTCCGAGTTTCGTGGTACGAACATATCACGAGTTAGAGAAACCATAGCCGAAATATCTGCCGTTGTGCATAGAAGGGCAGAGTCACGTGGGTGTCAGGTGAATGCGCATGTTGACCATTTACAACACTCACTTTGTGCCTCGTTGTTGGGTCCTTTTCGCTCAATTTATGCGAGGCTATTATATCTTGGAGTTCTAACACCTTCGGACGATCCAGATACAGATACATCATTTTCACTCCTGGGGGCTCTGTTGAAAGATTGTCGGAATTATGAGCCAATTTTGGTTGCTCTCTCACTTTCATGTGAACTGAAGCTTGACTTTTCAATAGTCCTTCCACTTGATATGCCTCGCCCGGGCTTGGATTCACGCTCTCCCGCAGTGTGCATGTCCATAGAAATGAGAAACAAAGTAATGGAGCTGTTATGGCGATGTCGTGACACTCCTATCATCCTTTGGGAACTACAGTCGAGACTTCTGTCGTTGATGATTTCTGATCACACACAAAGTCCCTGTAAAGTAGCAAGCGGATTACAAACTTGCTACGGAGCAGTCACAAGGAGTCAGTATCTAGCTTTACTGACGCTCAAAACCGTCAAGTGGCTACAGTGCGACGAGGCTTTCGTTCGGAAGATGAGAAAGATGAAATGCGATCAATTTCCTCAGTTTGCGTCTGCAGTCCAGTGTCTTCAAGTATCTCGTGAAGAAATCGCTGAACTTGCTGGTGTAGACAATGCCTTGGGAGAAAAATGTCGACAGACAGCGATCACGGGTTCACCGGTGCTGACAATAGGGATAGTGAAGTGCACTCACACCGACAACGATAATCGCCGCGACAAACTGATCATCTCCAGAGTAAGTGGCGTCGACGGATCTGCGCTTTGTGTTCAAATCGCCAACCCATTTCTTAGCGAAATATTTCATAACTTTTCACGGATCATCAAAGAACAGAAAAATCTACCTACTTCGGTGGACAGCAGAAGTTCAAAAATTGTCTGGTGGGAAAAGCGACTTCAACTTGATGCTAGCCTCCGCAAGATACTTTCTCAACTTGACATAGACGTACTTGGTGCGTGGAGGGTTCTATTACTTGGTGATTTAGTGCTGCAGCAACAACAACAACTTCGAGATTTATACGATGAACTCATGTCTAGACTTCGGATTCTTGCATCAAAGCTAGATTTACAGCTTGTTGCATCAGCTTCGCAGCTGCTCCGGCTACTTATCCATGGCTTAGATTGCATGACAGACGACGAGTTCAGGCTCGCACTTTCGTCTCTTCTGTTGAATCCATGCGAACATAAATCAGCTCCAGTGTGCCTAGTTTTATCTTCTGATAAACAAAGCGTGTTACAGAAAATATCCACGTGCGAACATGTTGCTGACATGGTCACTTTTGCGCGGAAATATCTGGCTGAACTGAAGAGAACTACTTCTCTGACAAATGCTGGTTGCTTTTTGCAGCGGAGTGCTGTCATTGTTTCACTTGACGATGTCACGCGACATTTCACCTGGGAATCTCTTGATTCTTTAAATAATCAGCGCATATATAGAACGCCCTCAGTTGCTATCGCTCAAAGTATCGCTGATTTCCAGAGCAACACAAGACATGCAAAGAATATTAGTAGTACTTTTTTTGTTTTGAATCCGACTGGCGATCTACTCGGCACACAGCAACAGCTTGAACCTTTGCTGACAAAAGCAGGGTGGGATGGTGTCAGCGGAACGTCGCCTACCGCAAGTGAATTGATCCAATCACTCCAGAGCTTTGATTTCTACCTTTATTTCGGTCATGGTGGAGGACAAGATATTTTGAAGACGGGCTCCTTCCAGGATGCTTCAATTTGTACTGCAACGGTATTAATGGGCTGTTCGAGTGGTGTATATGATATTATGGAGTGTTCATCACTATCTAGTATCTCTATGCTATATCTACTTGCTGGCGCTCCCATCGTGATAGCTAATATGTGGGACGTCACTGATCGCGACATTGATAGGTTCTCTTCGCGATTGCTAGAGCAGTGGTTATCGTACTCTATGAACGAATCTCCGGAGTTCCAATGTGCGAGTGATGCTGTACGAGTTGCACGATACGCGTGTCAGCTAAAGTACCTTGTTGGAGCGGCACCCATAATTTACGGAGTACCCACATCGATATGTCGAACACAGGAACTGAAGTACCGATGTTGAACTGGTAACACGTGACTGCACGACTCTTATTTTCCAACTTCTGCAATGTGATTCTGTTTCAGATGGTAGGTATAAGCGGTGGTTATTTATGAGTCAATACATTCGGGCACTGAAAAAGTGCCCTTTTTGTAGAAATTCGTGTTCTTCAAAGTTGAAACATGTTATCATTGCGTGTGCGCCCTGCCTCTTTGAAAATCTTGTGTCCACACCAAGCGAATGCAGTACGAGCGCCTTGTTCAACATTTGCAAGGCTTTTTCTTCCACCGAATAATGGACACGTTTTAATAGGAAAGATAATTTACTCCAGGTACTGGTGCTGAGTTCAGATTCTTCCAGGGTCCGCCGGAGGGCATGAAGTTGGTTCACCATGTGCGCTGATACGTCGCGCGTACTAAGCAACTTATGCAAGCTGCGATAAGTAGCACGAGTTCGTTTCTTATGAAGAATAAAATTTGCTACCGTAGCTGTCTCTTGCTCGTATGCTATGCGTGATGCGAGCATGCGCTCGATTAGTGTACTAGCGTGATGTAGGCCCATGGCAGCACAGAGCATCCTCAGGCACAAGTTTGAATCTCGTTCTTGTTGAGACGCGCCCTTGTGAAAGACCAGAAATGCAATCGCGCCATCTTCAACCTTCAGTTGGATCCCACCCTTGCTACTCTCAGTCGCTTCGGTCAAACTTTGGGATAGTAGCGCCGCTTTCCGAGACTTGATGACGTTCGCATACATAATTTCCATCTTGAAGTAAGCTAACCAGATGTCGCCTTTTTCGGCGCAGTTTCGCAGCGCACGTTGCAAGATAGCTCGAGCAGCATTCACATTGAGGTTTTTCTGAAACTCGAAGGTTGCGGCATACAACCAAAGTCCAACGCTGTCGGTGTGATATCTCAGCGCTTTCGCAAGCACACGAGATAATAATTTGTTGCTACCATGCTTCTCGCAGTACTGTACAAATACGTACCAGAGATGAAGGCTCGAAGTATTTTGACGAACAGCGCGACCCAGGACTCGGCGTACGTGCTGTTGGACTGTCGATGCGAGAGCGTGATGTCGGCTCTTTCTCATTCGTAGCCGCAGCGTAGTCTCAAGAGCGAGCTCATACGAACTGTATGCAAGAAAAGCGCGTTCACTGGAACCACGCTGCCGTGCCAGCGAATTCTCATGTTTGGAGCGCGTTGAAAATATATGCTTACGTTCCTGCGGTGTGATGATACCAGCGAGTTCTAGTTTCATCAAATCTTGCGATGCGCGCTCCAGCACCATGCTCGTATCGCCCATAGCTCGTCGTCCCTCGCTGACGACAGGTGTGGCGGCGGGCGCGCGCGTGTTACAGGCACAGAACAGGTAGATCTGTACTGTACTAGTTACTATAGTTAGTTCGCGGTGTGTGGGTGAAGAAGATGGATTTTCTGTGTAAGTACGAAGGATGTTGTTTTTTCATGATGGCGTTTTCAGGCTATACCATGTAGATTTGTGGCTACAAGTCGAAAAATACGAACAGTAATAAATACCTCGGAAGGGCCAAAACCTCAACGCGGTGTACACAAAGCCCTCCTCACGAAGCGGCACGGCTTCAAGACGACGAAAACTTCGACAGCAGCTTTCAAAGGAGCTTTCTGCGTCATCGCCCAGAATGACGTTATATGAGGTCGTCGAAGGGCAGCAATACTCTTTTCCCGACGAAGTGCGAGACCCAACGAAACGCTGTAAACTGCGCCAAATTCACGCACTCGACGTAGGAGCTACGCATCTTGAAACTATGGGACGACATTGATGCGTTTGGCGAACAGCTACGCCGCACTGAGGGCAAACCCGAGTAAGTCTCGTTCTCCTCTCAAACTTCAACTGCTTGACTGATTTCTACAGGTTTGTCTTCTACGATGGTCCTCCGTTTGCGACTGGTCTTCCTCACTATGGCCACCTTTTGGCGGGTACCATCAAGGTTTGTGTTGCTTGGGACGTGTTCGACAGCAGTTTCATCCGATTATAGGATATCGTGACCCGATTTGCATCTACAACTGGGAAGCACGTCGTGAGACGCTTCGGCTGGGACTGCCACGGCCTACCGGTGGAGCATGAGATAGACAAAAAATTAAGTGCGTTTGTTTCTGAAAATACGAACATCGTATTCACACTGTCAAATTTCAGAAATTGGTGGGAGAGAAGACGTTCTTAAAATGGGTATCGGAAACTACAACGAAGAGTGTAGAAGTATTGTCCTTCGGTATTCTGCAGAGTGGGAGAAAACAGTTAAAAGAATAGGCCGATGGATCGACTTCGAAAATGATTACAAAACGATGGATCCAAACTTCATGGTACGTCTTCTGGTAGTACAAGTAGCATGTTCTTATTGCGTTGCGCAGGAAAGCATATGGTGGGTTTTCAAGTCATTGGACGATAAAAAACTGGTATTAACTTCCTTCACGTGATGATGTAGCCCATTTTTAAAACGCTTCGGTAGATTTACAAGGGATTTAAAGTTATGCCATATTCTACTGCCTGTAACACCCCCCTATCAAACTTTGAGGCTGGCCTGGACTACAGAGATGTGTCTGACCCAGCGGTTATGGTAAGCTCGTCTATTTCAGCTTGGTATTGTGAAATCATATTCTGCGCAGATTGCGTTTCCAGTCGTTGGCTGTGAACTTGGAGCGTCGCTTGTAGCGTGGACAACAACTCCATGGACGCTTCCGTCAAACACAGCGCTATGTGTCAATCCAGAATTACAATACGTTTACCTTAAGGACCCAGAAGGCAATGTTTATATCGTGGCCGAGGCTCGCATGGAAAGCTTACCTCATGCAACAAAAAAAAGCAAGGGAATTACTAAGGTTCTAAACGATGAGTGGTGCATTTTAAAATCAGTCAGTGGTCGTTCACTTTCAGGTTTGAAGTATAAACCGATATTTGACTGGTTTGAGGGTTCTTTGGGACCAAAAGCGTTCACTGTGTGTTGTGATTCTTATGTGACAGATGACTCAGGGACGGGTGTTGTGCATCAAGCTCCCGCGTATGGTGAAGATGATTATCGTGTGTGCATTGAAAATAATGTTCTCCAAAAAGATGACGCGCTTCCTGACCCGGTGGATGCGAATGGGTGTTTTATGGAACCAGCGGCCCAACCGTACATAGGCATGTACATCAAAGATGCTGATAAACTACTAATTCAGCAGGCGAAAGAATGTGGTCGTCTGATTGATAATGCGAGAATTGTGCACTCTTACCCTTTCTGCTGGCGTTCAAGAACGCCTCTCATCTACAGGGCAGTGGCCTCGTTTTTTGTGAAAGTAGAGGAGATCAAAGAGCGACTTGTCGCAAACAATTTGCAAACTGAGTGGGTGCCGACATACGTGAAAGAAAAACGTTTCCACAACTGGCTTGAAAGTGCACATGATTGGTCAATATCTAGAAATCGATATTGGGGGACACCCATACCTGTGTGGTCCTCTCCATCTGGTGATGAGACTATTGTGGTGGGTTCAATTGCAGAGCTTGAGAAACTAACTGGGAAAGTTGTGACCGACTTACATCGTCATTTCATTGACCATCTTGAAATACCATCGAGTCGCGGTCCAGAGTTCCCACCACTTCGTCGCGTCGAAGATGTTTTTGATTGTTGGTTCGAAAGTGGAAGTATGCCATATGCCCAACAACACTATCCGTTTGAGAATAAAGAAAGGTTTGAAAGCGCTTTTCCAGCAGACTTTGTAGCAGAGGGTCTAGATCAGACCCGAGGTTGGTTCTATACTCTGATGGTGCTTTCAACTGCTTTGTTCGACAAACCTGCGTTTAAAAATTTGATTTGCAATGGTCTGGTACTGGCTTCAGACGGGAAGAAGATGTCCAAGTCACTGAAGAATTATCCTGATCCGAACACCATCTTAGACAAGTACGGAGCAGATGCTCTTCGCTTATATCTGATTGATAGTCCTGTTGTGCGAGCTGAACCTCTCAGGTTCAAAGAGGAGGGTGTTTTTGGAGTCTTGAAGGATGTCTTCTTACCTTGGTACAATGCGTATCGCTTTCTCGTGCAAAACGTTCGTCTTCTTGAGGAAACCGCATCGATCCCTTTTACACCGAGTGAAGGAGAGCCGACGTCAAAAAACGTGCTCGATATATGGATACTGTCTTCAACCAACTCGCTCGTACAATTTGTCACCGAAGAGATGCATAGCTACAGGTTGTACACCGTTGTGCCAAGGCTGATTTCTTTTATAAGTCAGTTGACTAATGTATACGTTCGTTACAACCGGGGTAGGTTGAAAGGAAAAGACGGCGGGGACGAGTCAAGATGTGCCCTGGACGTGTTGTTCAACGTCCTTCTCACTATATGCAAGACAATGGCTCCGTTCACACCTTTCTTTGTGGAAAATATGTACCAGAACTTACGCCGTTGTCTGCCAGAATCAGAGGAAAGTATTCACCTCTGTGAATTCCCTCGGTTCAATCAAAGCTCCTCCCCTCGCATCGAGAGCTCCGTCTCAAAGATGCAGGCTGTGATAGAGACCGTTCGAGCTGTACGCGAACGTACCGGAAAGCCACTGAAAATGCCTTTATCAGCAATAACGATTGTCGACTCTGACACTGAGTTTCTTGAGGACTCGCAGAACGCACTTCTATCATACTTGAGAGATGAGCTGAATGTGAGACGTGTGGAGGTGAGCTCCGACCCGGCAAAGTTTGCGACGCTAAAAGCCGAACCTAATTTTGCCGCGTTGGGTAAACGAGTAGGCAAGTCCATGAAAGAAATTTCACAAGAAATCAAATCATGGGATCCGTTCAAAATTGCGACTTTTCAGAGTGGCAAGTCAACCGTAATTGCAGGTCATGAACTTACTTCTTCGGATATCATCGTTAAGTATCATTTCAATCATCAAGAGGATGCTAACGTAGCTTATGCTACAGTGGACGATGGAGGTATGGTCATACTGGATCTAAGCGTCGACAGTTCTATTTTGTTCTCAGCATCTGCTCGCCTGCTTGTGAACCGTGTCCAAAAGCTACGTAAAAGTGCTGGACTTCGTACAAACGATCAAGTTCAAGTGCTTTACACTATTACGGGAGACGGCGACGAAGAATTCATCCACCAAATGCTGGACTCTCAAGGTGACTATATTTCTAAGTCTCTAGGTTGCATACCAACCATAGAGAAAGATGACGGACACGTTGTGTTTGGCCGGGACAATTTTGAGATATCATCGGCACTTTGTATGAATATAAGCGTTGTTCGACCAAAGATCAAAATGGATAGTGTCAGTGTGCAAGGTTCTTCGAAAGTGGACGAGATCGAGGCTATTTTAAGTGCACGTGAATACTGCACTGTCGCTGGCGAATTATTTCGCGGTGAAATGAAAGACATTTCCCTCAATGGAGCAACGGTTTGTCTCTCTTGGAGCGATCGCCAGTGTTAAATAATATGCAAATCCTCTCAACTTTCCTCAAATATATCGTTTCGTATGCGTTCATGCAGACGATCGAATAACTCACCCTTCACTTTTGTAAATGCAAGCTCAAGTCGAGAAAGCTCAGCAGTTGCATTTTTGTTATACATGAATAACCCATAATAGAGTTCAAACGAATCGTTGTAGGTATTGTCGACAAGTGATAGGAGTGATTCAAAACCCTTCGTGCTAATCGTTGTTTCTGTAAGCTCCATCGTACCGAGCATTCGGCCCACTGTATGGGTTATGAACTGAGAAGAGGCCGCTTGGCGATCATGTTCTTCACACGACATCTCCACCATTCGACAGCCAGCAGCCTCAAAAATTCCAAGGAGTCTCGCGCAGCGTTCTTCTCTGCAAGGTTCGGTCCCAATTCGAACCTTATCGAAAACGAGAGGCAAGTCTCTCCAACCGTGCTTGCCGCTATCCGGACCAAACATCGGGTGCAAGCACAATATATCAAAATCAGGTGGTAAGAGTTGCTGGAAAAGTTGCTTTGGAAACTGTTTCACTGATAGCACATCACAAAAAAGAGTACTTCTTTTGAGTCTCTGTAGAGGGAAGTTCCTCAGAGTCGCGTCAGTAGACAGTATACTCGTGCAGACAACCACAACGTCTGGATGCTCCTCACAAAAGTCATCGGCATCTCGGTAGAATCTAACTCGCAGATCTTTGGCTATGTCTGAATAGTTGCCTCGCGATGTAGCTATCACTGTATGTCCTTGATCGACGAAGTGCTTCGAAAGAAATTGCCCGAAGTTGCCGAAGCCTATAATGCCAATTTTCAACTTTATTTTATGTTCCCTCATCCGTTGCTTGTTCTCGCCGTCAAAAGGCTGCGCCGCGTCTAAGGCTCTTACTCCCTTCAAAGCCGTCCTCGTTCGAGCCGTACGAATACGTCCAAGTCGTGAGAATACACGTGACGCTGGCGGACCGTGGCAGCGTACGATCATGTGTAAAAGAATTACCTATGTTTCACACAAGGCGTGGGTGTGAAGGCCGCCGATGTATATCATGATCTAAATGTACCAAGGTTTTCTTGCGAAAGGAAAGGGTGCGATCATGGTTCACGTAGATATAGATTTTCATATATTACGCGGAATTATGCTATATTTCGCGGATTTTATACTAGTATAATGTTAATGGCTCACTTGTCTCTATATTTTTCTCTGTGGAAAATCTACTTTCGTCTCCGAGTCGAAAATTTCGACGATCGCTTGTGTCGTTCAGGTTTCCGCGGAATAATTGCACGCTCGAGCGCTGCGCACAGTCGTGCTTGCAGCATGCAATGTTGGCGTTTGTGTTTCATCGTCGTACTAGTGCTTCCGGCGTGCGCACACGGACGTGGTACGTTTGCCCGTCAGTTGCTGGACAGTGAACTCGCTGCCGCGGATACCGACAAGGAGCGAGTCTTCAACAAGACTATCGCGGCCCAATTCAACACACTTTTACAAAAAGAGTTCGAAGACGAGGAGACGGCGGTACATGGAACAGCAACTGGTGCAGGGAGAAGTTTCAGTAATACCGTTCGAAGTGAAGGCGGAACACTGGAGACTGTCATTAGACTTCACAGGCCACGCGGAGGAGAAGTAGCTACGGAACCTTCTGACGATGCCACCAGAGACCTGAAGGACGACGCATCTCATAAAGTTGTGGAGAGCGTATCAACACAACGAAATGAAGCAACAGTTGGAGAAACAAAGACACATATCCAGGCAGAAAAAGCTCTGGAACAGTTGAGTATGGAGGGGGCAGAAGATAGTCAACAGGCAAACAGAAGAGAAACCACGTTGCTGACGCAGCTCGTCGGTGTTAAACGCGATATAGATCGTGCGTTTGGAGCGAACAAGGAAAACTCCGAAGACGTTGACCGCTTAGTCGATGCCGCCGACAACGAGTTCGTGATATCCAATCCAAAGCGGGGAACGATGGAACTACAACAAGATTTAAGACTTATAAATGACCTTGTCATTATGCTCTGCTCAGCTGCTGCTGGTGGTTCTTTGTTTGCCCTTTTACAACAGCCGCTAATCACCGGTTATCTTGTTGCGGGTTCACTAGTTGGTCCTGGTGGGTTTGGCATGATAGTAGAACTAGTTCAAGTTGAGACCTTTGCCCAATTTGGTATAATTTTTCTTCTGTTTGGCCTTGGTCTAGAGTTTGACATCACGAAACTTCGACAAGTGCAAAGTGTGGCCGTATATGGTGGGTTTCTTCAAATGCTTCTTTCGATGCTCGTTTGCGGTGTAGTGAGTGACTTTGCCGGTGCATCTGCCAAAGAAGGAATATTTGTCGGTGCCTTTCTCTCCGTGAGTTCGACAGCTGTCGTCGGTAAGTGTTTGATAGAAAGAGACAATCTCCGAACGCTCTGTGGACAAATCACAATGGGGACATTGATTTTGCAGGACTGCACTATAGGCTTGTTGTTCGCACTTATACCAGTTCTTGCTAGTAGCCAGGGCTCCACACTTTGGAGCTTTGCGGGCGTTGTTGTGAAGATGATAATATTTGTGCTAGTATTTACACTCCTTTCTGGAATTATCACTAAACGAATATTCAGATTCGTAGCAGCTCACAGTGACGAGAGTTATCAATTAACGGGTGTTGCGTTTTGCTTGATCGTAGCCTGTGCCTCGGAGCGTCTAGGACTTTCCATGGAACTGGGTGCTTTCGTCGCTGGCGTCGCGGTGTCGGCGACGCCTTACGCCGATCAGACGCTCCATAGTCTCGAACCCTTTCGTAACATCTTTACGGCGCTTTTTCTAACATCGATTGGACTTATCATGAACCCATATTTCCTATGGTTACACTTGGACGTGCTGGTCATGTCAGTTTTCGCCGTAATTATATTTAAGACAACTTTGATCGCAGTAGTAGTGCGGGCGTTCGGGTATAATTTGTACACTAGTTTTACAGTTGGGGTATCTCTCGCACAAGTGGGTGAATTGTCTTTCGTTTTGCTTTCAAGAGCCTCTGGTGCAAACCTTGTTGAGAGAAAGCTCTATCTTCTACTCCTCGGAACTACAGCCCTAAGTCTGATTTTTACACCTACACTTTTTCGGGCAACGCCAAGCTTGTTAAGATTTGCAGCCGTGGCACGTTTTATAAGTAAAGATGAGTTGAGTGAAGAGCTTTCGTCTAGTAGCAAATAGACGTGCCGTCAAGTATGCAGAATCTAAGCATGCAAGATCAGGGGACGACTAGTCTGCAGTGATTTAGTTGAAAGCGTTTCCTCGCACTTCCGTATAATGCCGCGCTGCTGCATTTCATTTTGCTAGCTAGTTTGCACAAGAATCATACCAGAAATCAGTCCATACAGTGCAAGAGCTTCGGAGAAAATGAGAATCAAAATGGCGGGTGCAAACAGCCTTGGTCTTGTGACAATAGCTTGCGTTGAGCTCTCACCGATTACTCCAACTGTAATTCCGCTCGCGAACTGCGCCATACCACAACAAACGCCTGCACATAGATGCAGTAGACCACTGAATTCAGAGTAGCTTTCCCCAGCACTTGTAGCACTTGCTAAGATGATTATGCTCAGAACTAGTCCATAAATCCCTCGAACACCAGCCATGGCAACTGGTATTATCGCTTTTATAGTGACGGACGGACGTTTTGCGGATCCTCTGCACAGCCCGATCCCAGCTTGCGACGTACCATACGCAGCACCCAAACCTAGGCGTCAGAAGTATTAGTAAGTTTCGTTATCAAATCAAAGCACGATTGTAGACGTACATGATAGTACTAGACAAAATGTCGCACCCGCAAACCCGAAAAATGCACCCCGCGCGATCAACATTGGCCCATACGAGGACAAATGTGCGTACTCGACGTATGAAGCGCGACGTGCTCGACCTGGCAACTGTAGACACCAACTGGAGCTGAATTTGTCAGCGGCCTCTAAAGATACAATATATAGATTATTTGAAAGCTATGTTTCGCGCTTCGCGCAAGTCAAACTGGAAAAGGTTCTCGCCCGAAGAACTGCGAAACGCAGCCGCGCGACTACTGGACGCAACCTGGAGAGCGAACGCACACGCAACGCCATATCGTAGGGATCATTCTGGGACAGCGATGAAGAAGAAAATTGCATACTTTTATGACCAAGAAGTGGGAAACTTCTACTACGGACAGGTGAGAAACGAAGAGGGATCACGCAACAGCTTCTGATTGTTACGTTCGTAGGGACATCCAATGAAACCGCACCGTATGAGAATGACACATAATCTGCTCTTACACTACGATTTGTACAAAGACATGGAGGTACGTTGTTGCGATGATAGCGGTGGACTAGCCGTTGAAAATCACGTGTTCCATGATCTTGACTCTCCACGTGTAGGTGTTTCAACCCACGCCCGCGCAAGCCGATGACATGACGCAATTTCATAGCGACGAATACATTGAATTTCTACGCCTTGTCACCCCTGATAATCAGCATGAACACATGCGCCAGTTGAAGAGGTTCAATGTTGCTGAGGACTGCCCGGTATTTGACGGACTGTTCCGCTTCTGCCAACTGTACACAGGCGGCTCTGTTGGAGGGGCTGTCCGCTTGAATCATGGACTATCAGAAACTGTCATAAATTGGTCTGGCGGGCTTCATCACGCAAAAAAGAGTGAAGCAAGTGGGTTTTGCTATGTTAACGATATTGTACTTGCGATATTGGAGTTACTCAAGCAACATCAGCGGGTTTTGTACATTGATATAGATATTCATCACGGTGACGGGGTTGAAGAAGCGTTTTACACGACAGACAGAGTAATGACGGTTTCGTTTCACAAATTCGGCGAATATTTCCCAGGGACTGGGCACTTGCAGGACATCGGCCAACATGCTGGCAAGTACTATAGTGTCAACGTACCCCTAAAGGATGGAATAGATGATGAAAGCTACGAGCTTCTCTACAAGCCGTTGATGTCAAAAGTCATGGAGATCTATCAGCCCGATGCAGTTGTATTTCAATCTGGGGCAGACTCTCTTTCTGGAGACCGTTTGGGTTGTTTCAATCTGTCCATCAAAGGTCACGCAGAGTGCCTCAAATACATGACTACGTTCAACGTACCTTTACTTGTACTTGGGGGCGGTGGTTACACGATACGGAACGTAGCCAGATGCTGGGCATACGAAACGGGTTGCTTACTTGATCGAGAACTGGTAGATGCTATGCCACAAAACGACTACTCAGAATATTTTGGCCCAACTCACACACTGCATATCCAACCGAGCAACATGGAGAATCAAAATACTCGCGAATATCTTGAAGGGGTTCGAGCACATCTTTTGGAAAACCTGTCGAAGATGACCTGCAAACCCAGTGTGCCTTTCCACGAAGTACCACGTGATTCGACTAATACTCGTAATGTCAGTGTTGACGTCGAGCATATTAGCGAAAAGAGCGAAAAGGGCTTCTCAGCCAGCCTTGATAAATCTCAATACGAGAATGAGCGTCACGTCGCGGCTCTGCGTCGTCAACAAAGTATGGTTGTACGAGATGATATCCCGAGCTCGACGATCTCTATTATGGAGAACACACCGAGCTCTGAGAAGAGTCATGATTTACCGATATCGGCCACAGGTCTGCCGCAAACACATACTCCACGGAGCGACGAAGCAACGGCGATGACGATGTTCCCAAGCGTTTCGAATAAAAAAGAAGGAATTTAGCCACATCAGACTGGCGACGAGCTTCGTTCCGTCGCACGAATGTAATGTTTTGTTGTCTCCGCTTTTGTAATACTGTGGAAAAGTGATGCCTATCTGTTTTTCTAAAACGTTCTTTCTGCCCACTCCCTGCCGTATTCCAGCCACACACACACGCGCGAACGCGGGTGCTGGATAGCCACGTTGCTTGTTCCGGCGACTAGGGGTGTCTATGTCCATGTTGACGACACGTGTGAGCACGAACCAAACCACAGCCACTCCGAACACGAATTTCGCTCGCTTTAGGTGTCGACATACGGCACACGCACGTTTACGCACATACTTGACGAGAGTTAAGGCAATAGACCGCGAAAGTATGCCGGAGAGCCTATCAGCGCTGGTTCAGTCATTTCAAGCGGTATGGGCACGTTACTTTCGACGTTATCACAGGTTCACTTTCCAGGCTCGTCTAGGTTCCTGACCCCATGCAAAGATACCGGCAACTTTTGTTCATGGCAAAGGCCCTGAAGCCATTATCCACCGTGAGTTCGTTTTCGATATTCTCGATCGGAATTATATTCGTATCAACAGGAAGCTCTAGATGATCGTTACAAGGTATGTACTGCATACAACTGAATGGCCAACTCTGATACTTTTGCAGGTTCCGGGGTGTGTGTCGCAGGTACGCGTTAAACGCACTTTTTCATGACTATTTTTAAGCGTATGAAGGTTTGGATAGTGCCTTCTTTCAGAGGAGGTTTGGTCTATTACGAAGCGGAGTCAGATTCTCAGCTCACGAAAGGTTTAGCGGCACTGCTTATTAAAGGCTTGAGTGGAAATTCACCACAAGACATAGCAGAAGTGAAACCGGAATTCCTTGGGGAACTAGGTTTAAAAACGGCTCTGACGCCGTCTCGGACTAATGGACTCCTTAATATGCTCAATCTTATGCAAATGCAAGCGCGTAGCTTCATTTGATGCGTACTGAGTTCTACAAGTCCGTGTGTGTATGTGCGTGTGTGCGTGTGTGTGTCCTCGTGCAGTTCTCCAAGACTTGCTATCGAAATGTGACGCATACGAGTGCTGATGATGTAGAATACAAGTGTGATTCAAAATCAGCAAGATCCAAATCATCGAATGGACGTAGAACTATGCAAACTAAGGGCATAACAACCAGGAACACAGGTATCTGTTGCGTGATCAGCCAGGAGAGTCTCAACATTCAGCACAAGTACCTAGTCTTAGCCATTTGCCGACCCAGGACGCGCGTCCATCTAATAGTGACACCATCCTGAGGAATATTCAATGTGTAGAATGGAGAAGCGACTGATCATCGTACCCAGAATAATTTGACGTTGTTAGTTCAGATACACGATCCTTGTCCCCCTTCATGTTCAAAGTAACACAGTTTCCGCACCCGTTGTCGATGAACTTAAATTGTCCAGTTACTCAGTAGACAACGAATGTATGTGAGCAACTTACCTGCTCGTACGTCTGAACTAGCTTGCAATAAAGACAAGCGCGGGAGCCCTTGCCAAAGTTTAACGGAGCTTCAGCCAACTTTCGGACCTCAGATGCAGAACGGTTGGCGCCCATGTCGAGAACGGCGCGCGATGGCTTTCAGGTCTCTCCACAAACTGCGCGTCTGATTGCTTCGTGCAATGATACAGCTTCCTGAACGAAGGCGTACTAGCTCTAGCCTATAGCGACTACCTCTATCGCTCGGGGGTGGGAGAAGGAGGGTTTAGCTTTCCTACGACTACTCTATGGGTCTATATCATATGTAGCTGTAGACATAAGCATACTTTTGCAGTCGCCTCTGAAACTGAGAAACAGTAACTGTGTAACTGGAAGGCGCCGGCCCGCTACAACTACGATGATAGTTTTAGTAGTTCGCGCAAGTGTTCTGCATCGTAAGCCACCTAGTTTTCCTTCGTCCTGTTCATGCCATCTAATGTTACGTCACAGTCAACGTGTGCGGGTACTTTTTTCAAACTTTGTTTCCGCTCCTTGAACGTGGAGTCAGTCCAATATTGTTGGTTTGTGGACTCCTGATCTATATTCTCGCTACGGGCGTGTGCAAGATCCTCGACGGATTACTTAGAACTCAAAGACAAGATGTGGAGAAGCTCTTTCGATTGGCGCGAAGTCTACCGGGTGTGCGGAATCTCGTGGCGCGTTCTAAAGAGAAAATACTATCAGAAGTTGAAAGTGGTTTGAAGTCAGGAGTTTTGCCGGTACACAGGACTCAAGACTTGCCATGCGAGGGTCAATCTATTCATGAGATTCTAAAACAAGCAGATAAACTCAAAGGACACGACTGTAAGCACTTGTTTCACACCTCAAAAATGACCGGCACAGTATACGCAACGGAGCTCACCCATCGCGAGCTCTGCAATTCGATGTACTGTAATTTCGCCCATACGAATCCACTTCATGGTGATGCGTTCCCTAGCGTCGCACGAATGGAGTCTGAAGTTGTCAGTATGACCAGCATGTTGGTGTCGAATGATAGCAATTCAGAAATTTGTGGTGCTGTGACATCAGGTGGCACAGAAAGCATTCTTACGGCAATCAGGGCTTCTCGTGATTTTATGTGCTACAGCAAGCATATCTCTCGACCAGAAATGTACGTTTGAGTTATAAAATAAATAGTGCTGATCATGACAAACAGTTTTTATAGGATCGTGTCAGTTTCTGCGCACGCTGCAGTGTACAAGGCAGCTGAATATTTCAAAATAAACATCGTGCGCGTTCCCACAGATGAACATGGTCAAATGAACGTGGCTGCTGTAAAACGTGCACTCAGTCGTCGGACAATTTTGATATACGCATCAGCCCCAACTTACCCTCATGGGGTGATAGATCCGATCGAGGAGCTCTCTGATATAGCACTAGGTCAAAGGTGTTGCTTACACGTTGATGCTTGTTTGGGGGGCTTTATCCTACCGTTCTTGAGTGGGCGCGAGATTGAGAGTCACGTCCCAAAATTTGATTTTTCACTTGCAGGTGTTACATCTATGAGTTTAGACACGCATAAGTACGGCTACGCACAAAAAGGTTCATCGGTGGTGCTGTATTCAACATCTGTATTGCGTCAGTTTCAGTATACTTCAGTTGCTGACTGGACAGGAGGTCTCTACATTTCTCCAACCCCTGCTGGTTCACGGTCTGGAGGTTTAATTGCACAGACGTGGGCTGCCATGTTACATATGGGGCGCGAAGGATATTCAAGAGTAGCACACGAAATAATTGAGAGTGCGATTAAGCTCCGTAAAGCGGTGGCAGATACGGACGGTTTGGAGCTGATTGGGCGACACGCAACCATGGTAGTTGCGTGGCGTACAACTGATCGAACAAACAACGTTTATGTGCTCAATGATATATTATCTTCAAAAGGTTGGAGACTTGCTGTTTTACAGAATCCAAGCGCACTTCACTTTTGTATAACTCCAGCGAATATTTCGTCTGTTGATGCTTTGATTGATGATCTGAAACAAGCTGTTCAAACATCACGGACCCTTGATAAGATTCCCGGAGGCAAGGCGCCTATATATGGACTTGCTCACGGCTTGCCGGATAGAGGAGTAGTGAAAGAGCTCCTTCGAGATATACAAGATTTAATGCTACAAAATGTATGACAGCAGCACACCACGAGCACAGTTATTTTGGCGCATAGACTTTTTAGATGAAATTTCCATGCGCTGCTGCTTGAAGTTGGCTGGTATACAATTTTTCACGATCTGTGATTACAAAAAAAAGTATATGGTAATCCAGGAGTAGTTATTTCATCTCAGGATCTTTAGACCAGTGCTTACTGAGAGCTAAGCTGCGAACGCATGTGCATATTTCGGAAGAATGACTCGATCTGAAAATGTGAGAGAAGGCTTATCGTCTATTGCCCAAACAGTCCTACCTTTTGTGAATCGGGCGCGTTCAGTTCTCTAGCGAGTGCGCATAGTTCGTTTTGTACTGGATATGGATTCTTCTCGTATGCATCCATCAGTCGCTCCAACACCTGACTTATTGTCTAACGAAAGGTTTTTTGCTTGTTCGTTGGAACGAGTTACCTCTGAGCCTTGGTTGGTGAACCAAAGGCCTGGGATCGGAGAAAACAGCTTATCTGGCACTAGACTACCGATGTAACTTGTTCGGCCTTTGCCATCTTTGTCGAAGAACGTAATCGCAGGGGAAAGCGGATCCATGAAGCGCTTCGAAGTGATGCTCGTCCTTGGCGCCTCGCACGTTTTTTAGCGTTACTGGACATAATCGAGGCCGCTCGTTATAAATCAAAGATACTCTACAAAATAGTTTGATTACGAGCATCAGCTGTAAATTTGAACCAAAAACGCAAAAGAATATATCGAAGAAAACAAGGAGGATAGCCCTGGCGTCAACCCCGCGCCGTGGCCGAAACACCGGGTTGTCGTCTGCGATGGTTTACGCAGCCCGCTTGCTACGAAATGTAGCGTTTCAATCGAATTATATGAGAATTCACGTTGAATCCGGAAGGCAGACTGCTGTGCGCCGAAGAACTGGCGGCGTGCGTCGAAGACCAGGCGCCGTGCGGCGACAGTGTTCAGCAGAAGCTAGTGTGACGGAACATACTATCCTCGGCACGCTTAGAGGGATGGTTGAGTCGTCCGTGCGTGAGCGGTTTCCTGACTACGACAAACCGATAGATGTTGCGGAATGCGCTAATACTTCGCTGGGCGACTTCCAGAGTAGTAGTGCTATGCAAATTTTTTCTGCACTTGCAAAAGCTGGGGAAACTAGCTTTCGCAGTCCGCGTGACGTCGCTGATGAAATCGTAGCCGGAATATCTGAAAGGGAAATGTTTGATTCCATCACCATTGCCGGACCTGGGTTCATAAACTTTCGCCTGTCCGATAACTACATACGTTCGGAACTTTTTAGAGAAACCAAAAGTGCAGAGTTGGGTCCTACTATCAAAAGGCACGTTTTGGTAGACTTTTCTTCCCCAAACATTGCAAAGGAAATGCATGTCGGTCATCTTCGTAGCACTATAATTGGTGATACTCTCTGCAATGTTTTCGAATTCTGTGGTTATACCACCACTCGCGTGAACCATGTTGGTGATTGGGGCACTCAGTTTGGAATGTTGATTCAGTTCATGAAGGAAAATGGCATATCACCGGACTCGAGTGTAAGTGATCTGCAAGCTTGCTACAAGCAAGCTAAGCAGAAATTCGATGTTGACGATGATTTCAAGGCAAAATCAAAAGATATGGTCGTCAAGCTTCAGTCGTATGATCCAGAAACAGCACATATGTGGCGGCAAATCTGCAGTGCAAGCCGAGCTGAGTTTCAGACGATCTACGACCGATTAAAAATCCGAATAGTCGAGAAGGGAGAAAGTTTCTACAACGATATGATCCCATCGGTACTTGATGAGCTTCAATCTAAAAGGTTAATCGTGGAAGATGCTGGTGCGCTTTGCATTTTCACTGAGTCTGATGATACCCCAGTAATTTGTCGCAAAAGTGATGGGGGTTTCAACTATGCATCGACAGATTTGGCGGCAGTACGTCACAGAATCATGAGCGAAAAGGCGGATAAAATCATTTACGTAACAGATCAAGGGCAGCACAAACATTTCAAAGCAATTTTTAAAACTGCGAACGAAGCAGGGTGGGGGGACGCACAAGTGGCATTAGAGCACGTTGGTTTTGGTGTTGTTTTAGGTGAAGATGGAAAACGTCTACGTACGAGATCTGGTGAAACAGTCAAATTGAAGTCTTTACTAGATGAGGCCGAAGAACGATGTTTTAAGTTCTTAGAAGAAAAGGGTACAAATCTCACTACTGACGAAATAAAGCACGCATCCAAAGTGCTAGGTGTGAGTTCAGTGAAATATGCTGACCTTCAGAACAATCGGCTGACGAACTACACATTTTCGTTTGATAGAATGCTAGACCTAAAGGGAAACACGGCTATGTATCTGCAGTACTCGCACGCGCGGGTTGCGACAATATTACAAAAATCTTCCTTTGCAGGACGACCTGATCAATTCAGTATCAGTCACGAGGAAGAGCGACTCTTAGCTATTCAGATTATCAAGTTTCAAGATGCTCTACTGACAACGCTACAAGACTTAGCACCTTCAAAGCTCTGCGAGTACCTTTACACGCTTTGTAGTACCTTCAACAACTTCTATGCGGAATGCAAAGTAATAGGTGGAGACAATGAAGAAAGTAGAATTTATCTGTGTGAGCGGACACTATATACAATGAAATTGACTTTCTCATTGTTAGGGATTGAACCACTGGAGAGGCTCTGAACATGAAAGCTTCAAACTCTAAAATGATCAACTCATTTTTTCATTCGCTTGTGACTTAACTGTAGTTTGATGTCAAATAAAAGGTTGTAGTGTTCGCATGCCACTCACCTTTTCCTCTAGACCTTCGCTCTCTACATTTTGATCACGAAGGGCCTGAGCCGCTACTTGCCGAATAGTTTGTTCCCTCGAAATCTGTTCCTGCAGTGCCACTTGTTTTTGCACATTTGCACGTGTCTCAACTGAAACGCGTGCAGATTGTTCGGCAACATACAGTGCCTATGAATCAATTCAAACACGTCCGAAGTGACGATGCAATAGTAAAGATACCTCAGAAAATTTTGCAAAGTTATCATTAATTTTCACATCGACTAACCCTCGGCCATCTGCTGCAAGGCGCTTATCTAAGGGTATAGTGTAGCCCTTCGAATTCTAAGTAGAATATTGAGAAGGTATAAACTTCACACAAAGTTCGACGTACTTTCCAATTCGATATTGACGGAGGAATCCGCCATGCCTCTTTATCTTCTTCGGTTACTTTGCGTGGAGGACTCTGAACGACTGCGACTGCAGTGGGCTTTGCTTCACTAGGAGCCTATCGAAAATCTCAGATGTGAAACAGAAACACTCCACAAGCTTCAAACCTTTTTTAGGCGGAATGCTGGTGGACTCAAGGGGTCTTGTTGTAGCTGCTGCACTTTAATTACTCGCTCTCGAGCACCCACCGGCGCATATTTGATGTATTGGGCGTGGGTGTTCCCTCCCTTCAGATCAGTAAGATGTTTCTGAGGGTATAGCTTGCCGTCGATCGCATCTTGGAGCTGTTTTTGTTGTTTTGCCCTGGTCTCTGGTGTGATTATCTAGATAGAGACGAGACTCAGTCGAAGACACAAGCTCACAGCAACAAAAAACTTACCTGAGACCGAGCGAGCCGCAAATCACTTTGAACGACGGATATTTCCTTTGTATCTATGATCGATGTCGACACGGCACCATGCGGGCTTATACGTGTCGAATCTTGAGCCAACGACGCTGGGGAGCCCCCGGTTTCGATATGCCGTCGTTCAGGAAAAGCGCCACCGTCGCCGCCGACGTCGTCAACACGCGAGGCTCGCTCGTCGCCGTATTGCAACATTCGAACCGCCATCTGTCTTCAATGGATAGGCGCTAAAGTGTTTTCTTAACGTGTTTTCTCAACTAATGAAGCTGCGGTGTAGCGGCACGTAATGACGTCTTCACGTAATGACGTTGTCGAGGTGAGTTTGATATTTTGAGGGGTCCAGTCCGGAAATTCCGGTCAGTCGCTACTACACAGCACGTAGTGCGAAAGTGGCGAGGGCGTTTGCTCATTGAACTATGGTTTCATGAAACGCTAAAATGAGCGCCAAATCGTTATCAAACCAACTGAAGTCGAAAGGCCTTCAACGCCTCCGTTGGTATTGTCAACTGTGTGAGAAACAGTGCCGAGACGAGAACGGTTTTAAGTGCCACTGCTCTTCACCAGCGCACGTTCGCCAGCTCGCCGTTTTTGCTCAGAATCAAAAAAAGGTTGTCGATGGCTTTTCTTCGCGCTTCAAGACAGCGTTCATCTCAGAGCTCTCATTAAAGTAAGACAATCGTTCCAAAGCTTTTTTCACTGCTGACTTCATTTAAGCCACCGCAACTCACGCGTGGCAGCTAACAAGGTTTACAACGAGTTGATAGCGAACAAGACGCACGTGCATATGAATGGTGACTTCTTTGAAGATCATATCTACACAGTCTAACATGCTCATGGTCAGCGACACGTTGGACGAGCCTTACTGAATTTGTCCATCACCTTGTCGCAGAAGGTGTTTGTGAGATAGACGAGACCGATAAGGGGATTTTCATAACATATTTGCATGCTGAGAGCAAGATTTTTCAAGGAGCTGTGGCGCGAAAGCGAACACATGAGGATGACGGATCGGCGCGAAAGCAAGAAAAGGTAAATCAAATTGAAGATTCATTTTATCTTTCGTTCCAACACACAAACAAACACAGCTTATTGAGAGGCAGGTGAAACGAGGAGCAGTACCGGCAAAACCTGAGCAGCATGAGCCTACGGGCTTAAAACTTCAGCAGACTGGCTTTAACATGGATTTAACTCGCAAAGAGGTGACTTTCAACGTGATTGTGTGAAATGCACTCCCCTTACCTTTCTTTCTAGAAACTTTCGCAGATGGAGCAGGTGAGACTAAGTGAGTTTAAAAGGTGGCATGTGTCTAACAACTCGCCAAGAGTCACTTAGTTGGAACTATCATGCGTATTTATTGCGCGCCGGGAGAGCAATCAAAACAGAAGTACATTGTCACAAACGTTTACAAAGGGATGGCGACGCTAGAGGGAATCGGTCCTTTCAATTCAGCCAAAGTATCGACTGATCATCTACGCACAGTAATTCCTGTAAGAGGTCCTCACTGCCTTCTATCTTGTCTGACGCGTAAGCTAGGCCATTGGCGCTTCTATAAAAGTTATACGAGGAGAGAATGCCGGTTGTATCGGTTCGGTAATAAGCGTGGATGCGTCAGGAGGCTCACTCAGAGTACTCTTAGAAGGCAGCGGCGATGAAATGAACACCTTTTCATTCGAGGACGTAAGCAAATTAGATAAAAAATACAGCTTTAATCGTGATAAGATGTGAAATTATGTTGCCACATATATGTTTCCATGACTTTGAAAACACCACTGCGCACCTCACTATTGAGTCGTCAAGCCCTCAAATTTTTTTGTGGGAAGGCGACGGTAACAACGAAGTGTTGTAAACGATATCACATTATTTTTTTTTGCGAACGGTCAAATCAGTACTGTAGATGGTGCGATTCAATCCTGTACTGCGCTTCAGAGAGATGTCTAGTACCCACGTCGAGGTGCGGCGCTATTGTTTGTGGGCATGTACGTTTTACATTTATTTGTCAACCTAAATATTGCGTATACTTGCCTTACTGCTATAGAATCTTGGCAATCGCAGTGAGCGAAATGTCGAAATGTAGCAATATAGTCCCGCTAAATGAGAGTTGTTACTATGTGAGTCTACGTGTAGATAGATACATGTGAACAAAGTACGAACTTAGCTTACTCGTACACTGTGCAGCAGCAACTTTCATCCTTCAGCAGGCCCAATTTCGTAAACTGAAAACTTGCCTGAAATAGTGTTTTGTGCTAGTAGAGATTCTCTGGAAGAGGCCGCATGGAAACCGGACTTTGTGTTCACAGAAGGTTCGCAAAATTCGCCTGAAAGACTGATAAGCCACAATGGTGAACTAGTGATAATTTGCAAAGGGGTACCGGTGGTCATGTGGTACTGGGAGCCATGTCGAGCGTTAAAGTGCTACATTTTGTCAGGAAAATGTCGATTCACACAGTTGAACATTGCAACTTACTGTGATACTGCTCATATTTTTCGTGACATGATTCCTGAAGAGTCTGTCACTAGGTATTGTACTAGTTTCTTGAGTTCCGATTTCAAGTTTTGTCGGCGTAGCATCAAGTTTCTACAAGTTGTAAGTGCGGAAGTTTTGATGATAAACAAGACTCACCAAAGTATGACATGAGTTTGGGACTGTTCGTTTTGGCTCCATCGAATGCTTGCTGAGCTAAGTTACCGACGTTAATTCAGTGCTTTCTTGCTTGATTGACTTACGCACTGCACTCTTCCCAGGTAGCGCCTGTAAATGAGAAGGCACATAAGCGGGTGCAGTACTTCTGACTGTTGAGATCTTTCCCAAGAGCTGCGAGCTGGTTAGACGATCACGTTTAGAATCTCAGACAAAATAAACAATACTTTTGGTTTGCGCTTCAAACTAAACTGACCGGGAAGGCGTATCAAATTCAACGCATCATTCCTATCAACTACTGTGTGTCCGTGCAAGAAAAGACTGTCGAGAATGCTTCCATCTTGGGCAAGAATCTCTAGTACATCTAAAGTGTTCACGAGCGTTCGTCCCTGTACATATGTGTCAAAAAGTTCGTGAGAACAAAAACAACCTGTGACGCACCGAAGCGTTGGCTTTTTCGCAAGCGGTTGCACTTATATCTCGCAAGTATCTTTTCGAAGTTTATCGTCATCATACGAATTCGTTAATGAAGCAGATTTACCGGCATAATAGCTCGCGAATCGCCTCCAAAGCTGGCGCTTTCACTGCACTGAACTGTGCGCAGTACTAAAAAGCCATTAGCCACAAACAGAAATTTCAACAAGTAGACTTGCCTGGGCGACAACTGCGTCTGTCACTTGATCAACGAGACGACTGTGCGACATCACGCGTTGATGAACACCGGAAGTTACGCGACGGATGTTTGACGCGGCCGCTAGTGACCGGGGTATGATAGCACTCGTCTTTTCACGCGCATAATAGCTAATTGTACCATATTTAATGTCCATGAGAAAGTATGATCATCGATCTCGTTTTTCGGGGACGCGGGCGCTGTCGCTGTCGCTTGTCTGCTGTTGCGGACATCGACAGCAAAGAGGCTAGAGAGCGCCGGTAAAGCTGGAGTGGTGTGAAAAAGGCGTGCATGGATAGAGCAGTGCGCCCGATTGTTACAAACCACCTTTCCGACAGATTCAGAAACGGTCGACTTGTACCAAAGACGTCTGTATCGGCTTTTAAACGCAGAACAGCTACTTGTCTATTCGTCTCTGACTCAAAATACTCGGCTCGGATTACTTTTGCTGCTAAGCCGAAAGAATTGCGTACGCGTCAAACGAAGAAGCTTGCGAGGGTAATGCAGTTCCGAGCGCGCGTGTCTGACGCTATTTCGGTACGCCTTTTGTTGGAGTTCATTTTCAAACTAAACACCACTTCTTTCTTTAGCAAGCCAATTCGATTATAGAGCAGGCGAGTCTACCTATGCGCACTGATTACAGTCCAGTAGTTTTATTGTTCTGTTTGAACGCACTTTTCATATGTACGTAGTGTTTTACCAAGGCAGAAACAGTTTTGACTTCTTTTACTTTTCGCAGCGCTAGTCATAAACATCTTGGCAAAGCGCCCTCGATAGGGTACTTTGTTCAACTGAGCGTCCTGCAGGTGTCAGTATTGCGGTTTTGTTCTTGCTCCGGATTAGTTGCATGTATAAACATGAAATCTCGTAGTATTGTCGATGTGTGCACGACTCCAAACTCCCAGCGGCGCTCGCAGCGTTCTTTCTAGACGTGCATAGTTTCCTCGCTTATACTTCACTATCGAAACGCATCGAACGAATCGTCATCAGTTATTAGGTCGTTCGACCCGTTGCCTGAAGGTGAAATCAGCGAAGCTATAAGGTCCGCTGCCAGAGTTCAGAGGTTGAACGAACATCTTCTCAGAAGCTTCACTATAGAGCAGGTCGTTCACGTATTCAAAAGAGCTAAATATGACCGAACGGCGTCCTATCGAGTGCGTGTGCGTGTATTGTGGATCGTCGGTGGGTTCGAACTCGTCGTATTCGGTCGCTGCGCGGCTTTTAGGAGGGGAGCTAGTCAAGAGGGGCATCTCCCTCGTGTATGGCGGAGGTTCTGTCGGTCTCATGGGTAGTCTCGCAGAAGCTGTTAATTCTGATGGAGGCTCGGTGCTAGGGATAATTCCTTATTCACTCGAACCAGAAGAAATAAGCGGTAAGACCCCAGGTCAAGTTGTGGTGACATCAGGCATGCACGAACGAAAAACACAAATGGCTGCGCGAGCTGACGCATTCATCGCTCTCCCTGGTGGCCTAGGCACTCTCGAGGAATTATTCGAAATAGCAACCTGGCGTCAGTTAGGACATCATGAAAAACCGATTGGAATACTCAATGTGAACGGTTTCTTCAATCCACTCTTGAAGTTCTTGGACAACACTGTGGCTGAGGGTTTTGTCTCAGCAAAAACCAGGGCAAACTTCATCGTTGATGATGACGCTTCAGAGTTGATCGAGAAGCTTTGTGTTGCTTATTTAAACATGCAACCGAATGAACTTTAAGGAATCGAAAGTGCGTAAAATGTGTTGTGAATATTATGTACAAGAATTTCGAGTTTCGGCTTTCAGGCATACCCAGCGCTGGGGTCGTCGAGAAGGCTCACGCACTCACGAATGCGTAAACGACCGTAGTACTGTCCCGAATCCATAGGAGTATTTGCCAGATCTCGGAGCGTTTCCTTACTTATCTTTGTAGTTGTGAAGGTTGAACCGTGAAGTTCAGACACATTGTTTCTTCTGCTATCTCGAATATAATACCTCGTCGCATAAACTTTCGAGGTAGTTGTCTGTGGAACCACGACTTGCGAAGAGGACGCTGGAGATTGTGATCGGTATTCATCCGCTCGTACGGGTACATCTCTCCACTCAACGTCGGAGACTGGACCTGTGAAACCCCAAGGAGCCAGTACCCGCAAGCGTTGGGAGTTGCTGAAATTTTGGGCAACGCCTACCCCCAACTTGCGTGTGGTCATGTAGTCAGTACAGAATTGTGCTTTCTTGCGTTTCAAGAGTGTTCCTCCGTGTGCACACGCGATGGGCGAAGTAGGTGGTCCGACTGCGTCCGTAGCAGTCCCGCTGGGAACGGCCCTCTCTCGATCGGTTTGTCGTCCTCCGGTGGTACAGATCTGTAAAAACTTTTTTACCTCTGATAAAGGTTAAAATCACTTAAACGCCCATATTTAATGCTCTATGGTTCCATTTTGTCTCTATCAATATGGTCAAATGAATTTTCTCCCGAGCCTGGATTCTGGACTCGATTGGAACCAATCGCGTCTTCTTTCGAGGTTCACGAACCGTGAATTCGTTCCGCAAGGAATATTCTCGGAATCTTGCCTTTTCAAATTCCCGCGTGGAAATATGCGCGGTCGCCGCCAGAACACGTCGCGCGCCGTCTCGTCACGCACAACGATGAGCTCTTCGGATACGCTCGCTCAAGCGTCCCGCCACCTTTTGGCCGGCGCTACTGAAACCAAGAGATTCGAATGGATCGTCGTTTGCGGCAGTTTCCTCGCCTTCTTCGCCGCCTTTGGCATCGGTACGCACACGATGCGCGCACTTTTTACCTTTCGCGTTCATAGGCTTTAATGACACGGCTTGGTCGCACACGTGCGATTGGAGTGTATTAGAAGCATCACTGACGTCGTGCGATCAATCGTATTTACCTACAGGTGCCAACGACGTCGCGAATGCGTTCGCCACCTCTGTCGGGTCCGGCGCGTTGACCATTAAAAACGCTGTAGTCCTCGCCGCGATCTTTGAATTCTGTGGTGCCATGTTCATGGGCGGTCACGTCGTCAAGACAATTCGCAAGGGCATTGCTAACCAGAAATGCTTCGCCGGTACCGGTGGTGCGAACGATCCCGGCCTCTTGATGTACGGCTGCCTATGCGTCATTTTTGCCGTCGCCATCTGGCTCGTCATCGCATCTGCCTTCGAAATGGCCGTCTCCACGACGCACTCGTGCGTTGGTGGTATGATTGGAATGACTTTGGTCGCGCGTGGTAGCGAGTGTGTCATTTGGACCAAGAAAGCGGACGAATTCCCGTACGTCAAAGGCGTCGTCGCCGTCATCATCTCCTGGCTCTTGTCCCCGGTCATCTCTGGCGCCTTTGCGTTCGTCTTCTTCGTGACCCTGCGTACTCTCGTCATGCGTTCCGAACATTCTTATTCTCGTACTGCCGTCGCGTTCCCAGTGTTGCTTGCGTGCACTCTCATCATCAACATCTTCTTCATCGTGTACAAGGGCGCCAAGTTCCTTGAGCTCGACGACACACCGGTCGGTACGGCGTGCGCCATCGCGTTCGGCATCGGCGGAGGATGTGGCATTATTGCGTACTTCTTCGTTACCCCTTACATCCTCAAGACGACCGATGAGCTCTTCGAGAAGCAACAGCTCGAAAAGGCGGAGCGTGGTTCGGGCAAGAAGGCCGAAGAGAAGGTCGTCCGTCAACCGCGCGAGTATCCTGTCGGTGTCTTTGGCGCGCCGCGTCGCATGTGGTACGCTCTGCAAGATCATCTTGAATCTTCACTCGCCCACAAGGCTGAAGACATTCTTGACGAAGACATGGCTGTATTGGCGATCCACGAAAACGCCGAAAAGTTTGACGAAAAGACTGAACTTTGCATGCGATACTTGCAAATCCTCACCGCGTGCTGCGACTCGTTCGCGCACGGCGCCAACGATGTGGCCAACTCTATCGGTCCCTTCGCCTCTATGGTAGTCGTCTTCAAGAGCGGTAAAGTTTCGAAGGAAGCTGAAATGGGCGACGATTCATATTGGATTCTCGGTCTTGGCGCTGCCGGCATCGTCTGTGGCCTCGCCTTGTACGGCTACAAGATTCTTCACGCTCTCGGTACCAAGATTGCCAAGCTCACCCCGAGTCGCGGTATCTGCATCGAGCTTGGTGCGGCTTGCGTCATCATCATGGGATCCCGTCTCGGCTGGCCGCTGTCTACCACTCACTGCCAAGTTGGTGCCACCGTCGGCGTCGCCCTACTCGAAGGCCGCAAGGGCATCAACTGGTTCATCATCGGTAAAACTGTGTTCGGCTGGATCATCACCCTCGTCATCGTCGGCTTCTCCACGGCGGCGTTCTTCGCACAAGGTGCCTACGCTCCGATGAAGAGCTACCCGTGCTACATCACAGGTAGTTGCTAAATGGGCCCGCTTAGTGCCTAGGTTACCCCCGACGGAGTTATTCTTTGAATACTCTCGGTGTTTTTTCCGCTATCAGGCAATTGATATTTCATCAGGACTTATTAATACATTTTTCTAGCAATTCCTCTGAGCAAACCGTTTGATGTCGTCACGCCTTCATTTTTCCATCGCCTCAACCGCTCGAGTGAAGCATCTGCCTCTTGATGTCTAACATGTGCTGTTGAAGTTGGAAGTTTCGTTGCAATTGAACAAGGAATCGATCGTCCACGTGTTCGTCGTTTTGTCTTATATCCGAAACGGTGACTGAAGTGTTGTCGTGTCGCGGAGCAGTGCCCACATTATATGGTGTAAAACAGAGCTCTTCATGCATGTTCGCGTATTGGTGTACAGTCTATGACCTAGTCACTGGTGCACCAATTCCAGGAGTTTAAGCTTAAGGAGTACGCGTCGACTTGGTCCATCACATGCATTCCAGTAATAGAGTGTGAACGTCGCGTGTTTTTCGGCGCTGCGTCGTTCGTAACCACATTTGCTGGTTCAGACTTAGTACAATGTCTGTGGGACAAGTCGCCTTCATTCTCGCCTGCATCTTCCAGCGTTTACAACGGCAGCCCATAGATACTTGCTGCCTGAAGCTAAATACACGACCTTTGTGAAGCACGCCGTTTGCGACTCCTTTTTCGTTTACATCAAAAGTCAAAAGAACTTTCTTTGACGACACCGACTGAACAGTAGCTTGGATAGCAGACCCTACCCGCACGTTTCGCTGACTGTGAGTAAGACAGGTAATTGGAATCTCAGCATCGAGCGAAGAATTGATCATGGCGTGAATACTTTGCTGTGAGACTTTAGTGACGATGCCAATGACGTTCGCTCCTGGTGTTGGACTACTGCTGGTTCTGACCTTGAAATTTTGCCGCTGGCCCAGGACTAGCTTCGACGTTCTACTAATTGTTACATGTGGTATATCAGCGGTGTTCAGAATTGAATCGGACTCAAAGTGATCACCGGGTGCGAGTAAGAGCGGTTTTTTTGTTCCCAGCATGTTGCGCTTCCTAGTCTTACACGCAACTTGCAAAACTTAGCTCCCAAAACACTTTCCCCCACAAACGTGCACAATTACGCTTCTCGAGTTAGAGGTGAAGCGGTGCGTACAATACTCGCTACAGATTGTATCAGATCGCCTTCTACTCCAAGAGTCCCAAGAGTTGGCAGCGCAAAGTGTTACATGCAGGGTGACTCGAAAAAGTAAAAACACTGTACAGAAATGGCGGTCTCTGAATCTGGCGTTTCCGACTTGAGCTTGTTGTCACCGAGATTCAGAAATTCAGTTATACTTCATAGGAGGACGTCGCTTGACGGCGGCCGTGAGTATACTAGAATTGCAAGTTGCTAATGCGTTTAATATTGTTCGACTCTTTCACTCAAGATTTGGTTCGTGTTAACTAACGCGTTGTTCTCGGTTCCCGACAAAACGTCTGGCGGTTGTTGGTCTTCCTCTCTTCCTCTCTTCCTCTCTTCCTCTCATGCGAGACTTTCAGCACGTGGGTTGCTCCAATTCAGAGGGTAAAAAGGATAATGCCACTACACTACTTCGAGAAGCATATTCCTTATGCACGACCGTTTCGACGCTCAAACGTTCTTTGCTGAAGGACGACTCCAAAGCTCAAGGCAAATTTAGCGCTGGACTGGAACTTCTCAAAACACAACTGCAAAAAGTTCAGTCTCGTGCGAGAGGACAAGATTACACCACCGTCTGTCTCATCGGTCGCTCTGGTAGTGGGAAGACGCATCTACTGAATTGGCTACTACGGCACGATTTTGACTCTAAAGTTGAGCCTGCCCTGACGGAACAAAAAATGAAAGAAAGTTTGACAGTAACTGTGCTTGATTCTTTCGATGAAAGTATTTACTGGACCCCGCAGTTATTTCATCTTGGGTCTTCGCTAGGTACAAGTGACAACAGATTACCTCAGTTCTATCCACAACTCGACAAGCAAGATGTCAGCGCCGGTATATTGCCGGAGGGAGACATGCTTTGCACTACAAAAGTACCTATTCACGTATTCTATGGTAACCATGCAAGAATAACTTTTGCCTACGCTTCGCCCGCCCAAGTTGACAATGAACTCAAGAAGTTATTAGCGGCTCGTAATTTACAGAGGTCTCAGAGACAGCACGAGCTTTTGTATCTTGAAGGTGTCATCAGTGGTACAGTAGGATCCAAAAGTAACTTCTGTCCGTCTTTGATTTCAAACAAAGATGAACGTCTTCAGCGAGCACTTTCCATGCTAGGATTTCCCTCCTCTTTTGATATCACCGAGCTAACGGACGATGATGTTCTATTGCCAGAACACGTTATGGCAACTCTGGGGCGCGTTTTTACCTGTAGTTTAAAAAATTGCACATCATTTCAAGATCTCGTATACATCAAGAATGTTCTGCATAGCGTGACATGTGGTAACCACTCGCGCTGGGGACTTCTGAATTTTATATCACTCGAGATCCCGAGCACTCGCTTGAAATCAGGTGTCGAAATTGTTGATTTGCCAGGTTTTGAAGGGGAGCTATTTGACGATTCCTGTCATATTAAGAAAATCATCGGATGCACGACACGTTTGATTCACGTGTGTGATGAAAGGAAACTCGACGGTGACTTCTCAAAACTTTTTACGGAACAGTTCCTTCATAGAATGATACGAGAAGAAGATGAATTTCGACTCGTGAGTGTTTGCAATAAACGGTACCAGAAAGCTGCTGACGATATTTCCACCGAAAGTTTACTTAAGGTAAAGTCACGTGGCTTAGATTTCAACATATCTTAACCCACTTTAGGCACGTGTCAATGAGTTCGTCAATCTCAGTCGTTCAATATCCAACAATAACGTTTTTTGTGATGTTGATGAATATGTTCGCCGTCAGTGTAGATTCTGCGTCATCCATATTGGTTCTAGCGAGCCAATGGATGCTGAAGAAAGCATGAATTTCGCGCTCAGTCGTAATGTTGAATTTGGCAGGTAAGTCTGGCACCTCACTTGTCAGAGCTACTGTTGACATATTTTGAAGATCAAGGATGACGATGAATACAACTCAGAAAGATTTTGATGAACTTAAATATCTATTCGTTAGCTACTTACTAAGTACGATCAAGAACTTAAGGTCAGCATCTCAAGCTTCGTCCTCTTACACGGCGATCCGTGATAAACCCTCAAATCTTGTGGCAGTACTCGAGAGGATGAGCATCTCTTTGGCGAAGAATTTCGACGAGTTCTTCACACATCTACAAGAAAGGTATCCTGTGGTTCGTTATCTTTCTCAGGAAAACAGCGACCATACATGGTTGACCAGGCTTCCTGCACGCACCGTAGAGCATGAAGAATACATTAGCTTGAACAAAAGCGTTGACTTCGTGCAAGTTCAATCAGTAAATAGAATTGTTTGGGCCCATTTGAAAGAGTTTGTAGATGGAGTTTCATGCACGTCTACGATGACTGGTCCTGAATACGGAATCAAATCCATTATTGAGCGACTATGGCTAAATTTTCACACAGCAAGTGTTTTTTGCGAAATGCCGCCTGTAGACCTGCAAGCGAGTTGCTTCCTTTTGTTGCGTTCATTCATATACTTTGATGATACACTGCATGATCTTCTTTCAACTAGGAGAAGTATTTCCAGAGAGGTGCTTCAGCTTGTTCTCTGCATACCAGAGCAGAACGCACTTGATGGTGATGCAACTCACGCTGATTTTATGGAATTGGTTGAGCGTGCTACCGCTCAAGCAGTTACGAGAAGAGTTGCAGATTGTATCAGTAAGTTGAAGGCAGGTGCACAGCGGCTTTGCAATTATTTTCAAGACTTGCTCAAAAAGAAACTGTCGCTGAGAGAAATTGGGAAACCCATTTTTCTTCCAAATTTTTACGTGTCGAGTACGTGGGCACTCCAGGCGATTGAAAACCGAAAGAATTTTTCTATGTATCAAGGTTTGAATGAGATTGTTTATAAGCGGCTATTGAATGAGTTACTTTTGGCTATTTCTGGTATTTGTGTGGCAAGGGGTGAGGCACCGTACATTTGCACAAGCCTTTCGATGGTTGAGTTAGAGTTTATCAAATGCTCGGTGGAAGACCACCTCTCAACTTCATTTAATGTTAGGCCTAGTCTACACGATATTTACTCTACGATCGTTTCAATGCGAAGAGTTTTTGGTAGTTCGCACATGGATTTCTGCTTGGCTCTCAGCCACACGGTGGAGGCGTCGCATGCAAACTTTCCGAGTGTGAATAGTTGTGCATCCATGCCCTGGAACTATGATACCCGTTCGCTCTGTCATCTTGCGATCAAAGTAATACGGACTATTGAATGGCAAAGTTTGCCCAGATTTGATATTCAACCAGCAAAAATTGGCATGTTCACCCTCTTGGGCGAGAAGCTTCTCGAACTTGTACCCGTTCTTCGTATTACTGAAACCAGCACAGTTCACGAAGAAGTGTTGACTCGAACATTAGCGTATCTGCTGAGTCATTGGGGACCCACATACGTAAATTTCTGTTGTGCAGAGCTGTATTATGATCCAGCAAGGACTCCGAAACTAACAGAACGAAGCACCATTATCCATGACGCGCTTGAGTATTTGGAAAGGGAGGTGCTAGCATGCGACACGTTTTTTTCCGAGTGGGGGAGCGACATTTTAGTGTCCTTTTATTTCTTTTCGATTAATGCACAGGGTAGAACAAGAGAGTATTGTTTGCAGGCAACTAAACGTGTTGCTACACATTGGTTACAAATGCACAAAACATTCGATGCTTCAATGTTACCTGAAGATATTCTGTACTCAAACGAAGCTTTGTACGCTCTGAAAAGAATGTCATTCGATATTGGGGGACTTGAAAATTGTATAAGATCTGCTGCACCTCGATGGCACTTATATGACTACATAGGCATTAGTAAGACGACTCCATTGTCCTATGATCTGCTCAATTCAGTCATGATTTGGTCTTTCTTCTTTCGCGGAACAGAGATGAAGGTTGAAGGCATATGTGAAGAGGCCGTTGAAAACATGTGCACTACATCAGTTGAGTCGTTGGAACGTGAGGTAGGGATTTTACTTTCTCTAAAATTCTGTGCATAACATAGAGACAGTCACAACTTACATCATTGAAAGCATTTCAAGAGAAGTGCTATTTCGTAACACACAGAATATTCACAAACACGTCGTGGTGCACCATAAAACCAAAGTTGACGTCCTATGACATCGAGCGGAGGTTTCTTATGTATTACTTACCATACTTACAAGAAGCACAAGATATTGAACTTGTTGGCGAGTTTGTTCAAACTTTGAAATGTCTTGGGCATTCAGAGAATGAAATCATTATTCAACGAGCGATTGAGTATCTATTATCATGCCGACATGAAAGCGTGCGTGATTTAAGATCTTTAACGTGTTTTTCAGCGTCTGAGTAAGTCCTATAGGGAGCATGGGGGGTAGAAGACCAATTCGCACGTGCATACCATACCACCGTCTGTGCCATAGGTAACGGTAAATATTTCTCATTCCCAACTCGTTTCATCGTTTTCCCAGGCGCGATCATAGACTCGTAGCTGATTCATAACATCAAACTGATGACACCTAACAAGTGATTACGCTAAGTACTTGGTTACAAAGCTGCGCTTGAGGAGCTCGGCAGGTGACGGTTGCGGTCACGCTCGACTGCGATTCCATACTTAGTGCAATTTTAATGAGTACATGCTCCCCAGTTGACAATTCTGCGGCAAAACACGCGGTGTGCAAAGTTGCATTACGCGTGACAGTTTTCCCAATGCACGGACTGAAGCCAAGCAGTGAAGAAAAATGACTCACAGATTTTTCAACCGTATCATGAGGCAGGACGATATTTGAAAAAGTGTTCTCGACGTAAGATTCACTTTCGCTCCAGACTTGACTGAATTCTTGAACCCGAGCACTACGCATGAAGTCAGTAGCAAGAAGCTCAACATCTTCTATTGAGTACTCATCTTCGTAACCATCATCTTCGAGTGCCCCAGTGATAGGGTCAATCTCTTTCGAAACAAACTTCAACGTACAAGCGAATCTTTCTTCTACCTGTGTGCCGACTTCATGATCGAACACAACAAATGTTGACCCATACGACGTAAGTGGCATAACATTAAGAGGCAGCACAGTCGGCTCTAAGAGCCCACTTGTACCCAACGCCTCCATAGCGACAGTCACATTTGTCAATGCTTGCTCTTTGATAGTGTTGCTGCAAATGAATTCGAAGACGATATGACTATCAAAGATGTGCTTGACACACGATATTTTGTATTCAGTTTCGTCTTCTGTCAGATCAATTTTCATAGAGCTCTTGAAAACGTCGCCACACGTTGCAAAATATGGCACTGAAGCTATATTTGAGTATGAGATGTCAGAAATCACGTGTTCTTGTTCGAGAACCGAAGCGCTATTAGTAGACTCACTGTTTGCCGAACTTGAAGTGACGATAGTCTGCAGATCAATAGGTTCATCTGAGTTTGACTGGCAGTATTTGAGTAACACATTTTCGAAAGCTTCAGTTGTGTGTGTTGTAAGGGATCCAGCTTTCTGAGCAGATGCCTTCTCAAGGAGTGCAATTGATGCGCACGCTCGATCTCGAACTTCATCATCACTATCGAAAAGACAGCGGCGCAAAAGTACTAAGACACGTCCCTTTAACATCTCGCAATGCACAGCGATGCTCGCCATTGCCGAAATAGAGGCCGCTCGAATGGAAGGATTCTCAAGAATCACCCTATTGTAGATGTATCTCAGATACTTTCCAGGATCAGTCGTGTATGGTGTCTCTTTTCCGAGTAAATACAGCACTTCGCATGAAAGCTGCGTGTATTCACAGTCTTCAATGAACTCTGATAGATAAGAAAGTGAAAGTTCCTTTGCCTCTGGTATTGCGTTAAATAGTTGCACAATAGATCGCACGATTGATTGTTTGTACTCGAACCCTCCTTCTTCGCGCAAATACGTGGACAAGAATGATAGCAAAATGCGATACTTATGGGCACATCGTATACACGTTATTCGCACTGCCTCTATTATCATTATCTTGAACTCGTCTTGAATCTCTGACATAAACGAATGAATGCGAGCTAACAGACGTTCAACCGCAGCATCGCCGCCTGTCTTCAACAATGTGGTTATGGCCAGAGTAGCTATTGACTTGTTCTCGTCAGATATGAGATTTTCGATATCAGCGTTGCAGTTTGATATCAGATCTGGGAATAGAAAAGCCAATTTATTGATAACTCTCATCGCGGCAAAGCGTGAACTTGGTTTCGGTGACGATAGCAGGAGCTGGAGAACGTTCACAACCGACACCAATTGGTGCGCTTCCAAGTCATGTTGAGACGTGATTGCACGTATGCTTTCAAAGACGACAATTTCTGATTTATGCCTCATGCAGCTCTGTAGAAACGTGTGCAGTGGAGCCACAGTATCTTCCGCACTGTCTTTAATCACTTCTGAAACATACCTGATAAGCAAACACTGTGCTAACGGGGATCTAAGTTGTGTTCGGGTCAATTGCGCGACTAGCTTGTTGATTGAGAGTCTATCGAATTTACGAATCTCGTACAGAAGCCCCAAGGCATGAAACTGTACCTCAGGAGAAGACGAATTGACTGCCTCTTGGATTTCGCTGCTCCATCGGCGCACGATATCAACATCTGCAAGTGACAAATGCGTTGCTGATATCAAGGCAGCAGAAGACACGGCATCACTCCGGTCAACTATCGCTTGTTTCAGGTAACGCTCGATCTGGCCTAGTATTGCTGAGTCCGCTATGCAACAAAGAACACGAATCGCGTTGGCTCGGTATAGATCAACTTTACTGTTCATATCTTTCATCAACGATGAAGTAACGATAATAACTTCGTCAGAGGTTGGACAAATCTCCTTTATGATGAGATAGAGCATCCTTCTGAGATTGTTATTTTTCGACTGAAACAACTTTGTTACTGAAAAGAAGATCTCTGTTATCTCTGTTTTTGTGAAAAACTCCCCTTGAACATGCAGGTATAGAAGCTTTGTGATCACCTGTTGGCATTTACGTGCATCCAACTGTGGATCGTTGAAACAACGAGCTTCTTGCAGTACTATGCCTTTTTCTATTCCCCAAAATGGAGAAAGCTCTTCGACTGAATCCTCATCTCTCTTCCTGTTAAAATCTGCGATCGGAGAAGTCATTAATTTCTCCCCTGAGAGCGATGCTACTTTCAGTGTTGTTTGAACTGTACGATGAGGTAGTGTCGCGGATCTGCCGCCTCTTCGACCGGAACTACACGGGGAAACGCGTCTTCTCCCGCGCCACGTTGCGACGAACAGAGCGCGAGCGACGGGTTGGAGTTCAAGTTTGCAGGCTGAGCGCTGATTCAATTTAGCATGGGAAGCTATAAGAATTAGTTCTCGTTCCAGCGTGTAATATACATAGTATATGTGGGCGGGGGGAATTAATTTTTACACAAAAAATGGTAGCCATCGGAACCAGTTCAACTAACGTCACGCTTTTCTTTTGCTCTACGTGATTTGCTCAAAACCCTGCCTCTTGAGCATTTCTGCGAAGTGCTGAAGTTCATCTTGTTGCATAGTATAAGGAGAAAACGCTGCGCCAGGAAAAATTTTATTCTCAACTTCTGCCTTGAAGGAGCACAGTGCAGAACGTGCAACCATACCAAGTTGTGCATATTGCTTGCAGAATTTTGGAGCAACATTTGAATGATGAGGATGCTCAGTCAAGCCCAGAAGATCATGATATACGAGAATCTGCCCACTGGTGTGCTGCCCAGCCCCTATACCTATGGTGGGAATATTGATGACACGTGTAATAGCCGAAGCAACTGCCTCCGGTACGCACTCTATAACTATAGCAAAACACCCGGCATCTTCTAAGCTAATCGCATGTTCCACCAATTGCATCGCGTCGACTGCTTTCTGGCCCTGTGGCTTGAAACCTCCCAAAACATTCACAGACTGCGGAGTTAGGCCGACGTGACCCATGACAGGGATTCCAGCGTTTTTAATTGCTCTAACGACACGAAGCCTAGGTTCTATGGCACCTTCAAGTTTGACTGCGTCCGCAAGGCCTTCTTTTATCAACATCAAGGCAGAACGCACGGCGTAGTCCGTACTCTCTTCGTAACTGCCAAAAGGTAAATCGCTCACTACCATAGCACGCTGTACTGCCCTCTTTACAGCTTTTGTATGCGTGATCATGTCATTCAGTGTGATAGGCAACGTTGTTTCATGCCCGTGCACAACCATCGCTGCAGAATCTCCAACTAAAACCACGTCAATGCCTGCACTATCAACCTATAATTGCTTAGTTTCGGCTTGTCTGAACGAGTACTGAACTTACCTGCTTCGCACTCGGGTAGTCATATGCAGTGACGGCGGTAATAGGCTTCGATGATTGGTACTTCTTGCGCAGTTCTCCTAGGGTGAAGCGAGTCTCGGTTTTGAATGGCGCTGCTGACTTCTGAGAGAAGCAACGAAAATAGCGACAGCTGTGAGCTTTCCTCGCGACGCTCCTCGTTGCCTGAAAAAGCATTTAACGAGGAAGAGTGCACTCACAACCGTAATGTAATTGTAAGTGATCAGAAGTTCCGCAAACGTACAGCTTACAGTTTGGCGAACTACCGAAGTATGCGACTAGTCTTCGTCTCGCCACGGTTGTGCTTTATGCGGGTGCCGGCACTTCAGGAGACGGGTCCTCTAGTCCAAGTGTCTGCTCAAGAAACAACTCGCTCGAACGGAGATACCAGTAATAACTTTATTATACGAACGATTAGTGTAGCTCTGTATTTCACCCCCAACGGGTTGAACACGTCGCGCGGTCCCCGGCATAGGTGCGCGCGCGCTGCGTCGCTGCGTCGTATCATATCACTTCTTATCACTACTGTTCGTTTTCATTCCTCATCTGCGTCTGAAATCGTATCGTCATGGCTTCCCTCGATGGCTTCCCCGGCGAGGCTCTTTTCAACCAGGGTAAGTGAAGCCGAAGTGTGTTTCGACTCTTCGCGGCTTACCAATTTCATGACTAGGATTTTGCTACACATACGATGATGTTATCTTCCATCCTGGTTTCATCGATTTTGCGGCTGACCAGGTACGTTTGATCGTTCGGCACGCACTTAACAGCAACTTGATTCAAACACCCACAGGTTGATCTCTCAACACGAGTGAGTAGAAATGTGTCGATCCGAACGCCAATGGTGAGCTCTCCGATGGATACAGGTTGGTCGCAACTATATCTTTACGATTTACAAGGCTTAATGGATTTATACAGTCACCGAGTCTGATATGGCCATCGCAATGGCTGAGGCTGGAGGGATGGGTTTCCTTCACTACAACATGGCGGTACGACAGTCCAACGCATTTTTTACGTCTCTAACTTATGATTCGTCGTAGATGGAATCTCAACTTGAACATGCGAAGATAGTCAAGTCGCATAGACCCGGATACGTCGCAAATCCGGCAGTTCTGCGCCCAAGTGCAACACTTCGAGATTTGGACGAGTTGCGCGCAGCTCGAGGTTTCAGCTCAGTTTGCATCAGTGAAAGTGGAACTTGTGGTAGTGCTCTACTCGGTTTAGTAACTACTCGTGACGCTGAACTTGTGCGCGATCGCAACACCTTACTTTCTGAAGTCATGACTTCCGTCGACGACCTGGTGCTCGGTTCTACCGAGAAGAGTGCACAAGAGAACGAGCAAATTCTTCTTGAGAGTAAAAGGGGAAAGCTACCCATCGTAGATGCAAAGCGATATTTGATTGGCTTGTTGACGCGAGCGACCATAAAAGATAGGTTAAATAGACCACCAAGTGGAGTTCCTTCTATCGATAAACATGGTCGTTTGCTGTGTGGGGCCGCCATCGGAACGCGAGACGCCGATCGTGTCCGCGCTAAATATCTCGCAGATGCTGGAGTGGATGCCATCATTCTGGATTCATCTCAAGGCGATTCTATTTATCAGCTAGAAATGATCAAGTACTTGAAAAACGAGCTTCCGCACGTGGATGTAATCGCTGGAAATGTTGTCACACAGAATCAGGCTCGACGTCTACTCGAAGTTGGCGCTGACGGGCTTCGCGTTGGTATGGGTTCCGGCAGTATATGTACAACACAAGAAGTATGTGCCGTTGGTCGAGGACAGGCGACAGCCGTTTACAAGGTGGGGCAAATAGCTAAAGAGTTCAATGTTCCTATCATCGCCGATGGAGGCATCCAAAACAGTGGCCACATTGTCAAAGCGTTGGCGCTTGGGGCTAGTGTCGCCATGTGTGGTTCTATGTTTTCGGGTACCACAGAAGCACCAGGACAATACTTCTATCAAGACGGCGTCCGCGTAAAAAAGTATCGTGGAATGGGTAGCCTTGACGCTATGAAGAAGGGGAGCGATTCTCGCTATCTGAGCGAATCTGGGCACCTGAAGATTGCTCAAGGTGTATCTGGTACGGTTCGAGACAAGGGCTCTGTGAAAACTATGATTCCGTATCTCGTGCACGGTGTCAAGCAAGGTTTTCAAGATCTCGGAGCGGATTCACTTACAAAAGCGCATCAGATTTTAGCTAGTGGAACGATGACGATGGAGGCGCGAACTGGCGCAGCTCAGCGAGAGGGCGGTATACATGACATGCACAGCTATACTAAGGTGCCTTGGTAGCTGTGCACTTCTGGAGTACCGTTTTTGTACTCTTTGCTCATCATTCCGATAATTTACAGCTTTTTCCATATAAGGCAAAGTCTTTCTTTCTCTTCGTGTGTTCTCAAGGATAACATGTTCAAACATGGGCCATACTAGGCGAAAACTTTCTCTTGAATGAAGGTTTCGGTCATGAAAAGAGTCATTACCTTGTAAAGCGCATAAGTTCTTTTTAATTCCCCTTTTCCCTATTCACAAAATTGGTGTGCGTTGCTAAGAAATCAGAACTGACTAACCTCTACTGCAGCCGCAGATACTTGTCCAGTGAACGTGTGAAGAATATGTGAAACAACGCCGCCTTTCGTAGATTAATTTCGTGAGCGATTCCTGACCATCAGAACGACGTACTTGCGTGTACAGATACTTTACCAGCATAGGCAACTACTTTATGACGAAAACAACTCACCAAGGTAACGTATAGGGCGAGCGCAACCTACAAATCTTTAGAGCGTGGATAAGTGAAACAGTGGAGAGTCATCAACCTTGACGAAGGATATCAACCCCTGTGAAGATCGCCCAGTGAAAATTGTCAAATGGTTTACTTTGTCGTAAGGACTAAAGCACACGCTAACGAGCCCCCCAGCCACGTTGTAGCGTATGAAACCCGAGTATCGGTGTGGACCCATTTCCCAGAGGCTGTCGGTCGTCACAAATTTGGACACACTTCTCAGCTTCCAAACGCCGTCCATTTCTCTCAAAGATTGATCAGGAGTGACGAAGTATACGTCCGACAAACGAGGGGAAACGCCACGTGACCTGTCCGTAACGCACCGTAGTTTTAAAGATGAGTACACGATCACATGTGACATATTTAATGATATAAACGCCGATATAATTTGAGGAATTGGAAGTCTAACTGAGAAACGGGGTTCGTACGCACTTCCGATGGCACGCACGTATTAGGGACGTGGCAAGTAATATATACTGATACTACCTCCATTCGGAAAGTAATGAGACGGTTCGTGATTCGTGAAATCGTGAGGGGGTCTTTTTTCCGCGTTTTTTTTCTTGAGTTACAACTCGAGGAAAATCGAGGGGGTCGCAACTTTTGCAACATAAATTTATCGTGGGAGAGAAGAAGGGAGTGAGGCATGCAGACCTTCGTAGTCCAAAGTGCGCGCCACCGGATCGTCTGTATCGTCCGAATCTAAGAAAATATCGACAAAAATGGGTTCCTCGTGCTTGATACCGTGCGGTAGCTTGTAATCGTTCGTTCCGTTGGCGTCGAGGATGCATTTAGTGACTGCGGTTTTGACATCCCAGCACCTCTCAAGTCTCTCGCGGTCATGGTATTCATGGTATTGCTCCAATCTTCTCGCCACGTCTGTTGCGCTGAGGCAAGGTACATAACGCTCGCACACTTGGCGCCAGCCGGCTGATTTACAAGAACTATACACAGCTGTACACGACACGCGCTTACCTGTTTTTTCCGTGAACCGCTTCGCCAGCGATTCCCACGTGAAGTAACCTTTGAGCTCTTCCGACAGGCACTCGAGCGTGTGCATGTCCTCCTCCGTCAATGCGCGTGGGCGCCCACTTCTGGGTCGAGACTGGACGCTCTCCTCCGTTCGCCACCGATTTAAGATCTTGTATCCATGAGACTTGCTTATTCCCCATTCCTTGCATACGTCTGCTACCGAGGCTTGTCCGCAACGCGTCGCAAAGTGCATGCACTTCGCGAAAGCGGCTCTCTCCGTGTCGCTCAGTTCCCGTCCATCGCGCGCGCGCACGCCGCTTGGAGCCTTGAACGGACTCAACAGAGGGCCGGGAACTATGCGCGAGGGTGTTTCCTTACGCTTCCGCAGCCTCGCGCTCTTCGGTCGCGTACGCGCGTCGCCGTGAACCTCCAACTTCGTCCGTCGACGCGCGCGATTCGAACTTGATGGCGTGCGCTCCTCGTCGCTCCCTCGGCGCTCAGTGCCTCGGTTTAGCACACCAAGCGGCCAAATCATGTGAAACTTAGCGTGCGAGCTCTCCGTCGCACCCCGGGTCCATTAGTGACGTCCGCGCGCGCGCTGACGCGCGGAGCACGCGCGTAGAGAGTTTCTTCGTCGATGGGCGGACATGCGTAGAGAAAAGGACAAAACCCTAAGAGGGGTGAAAATTTAGCTAAATCGCTCTCGAACTTTTGCAACTTTTTTCGCATTTTCCTATCATTTTGTAAATGAAGCAAAATGGAAATCATCATGCATCGGCGATTTTACGCACATTCACACAGGGGAACTTGCGCCAGCGTACGGGAAATTTCAACAGCTTTCTAGCCATGTACGGCACGCCTCGATATCCTGTGACATCGCGTATAACAAGGCTCATTCTCATTACTTTCCGAATGGAGGTAGTATCATATGATATGATACGTATGCAAGCGCACGGTGCTGGAGGCGCTGCTGTGAGAACACTTACGAGAGAAACCTTGGTTTCGATAGCAAGTTGCGTACCGTCGGCGTGTGTGATCATTTGATGGTAAACCACTAAATTTAGGTCTAGAGTTGTTTGCGTCGATAGCTCAAAATTAGCATCATTCAGCATTACCACGATATGGTTGGTGCGAGTCGTGTCCTGTCAACTCTGACTTGCACTGTCGTCCTCGGGTGGAACACATTTCCAACTTGCCCGTTTTAAATTCAGAAGTGATAGGTATCTGTTCGATATTGTTTTGATGTCGTCCCTCTTGTCCCTCATACTGATTCTTTTGACTTGGCTGTAGATATAGTTGCCTAAAAGTTCAGTGACAGGAAATGTATCAACGATTGCTATTAGAGAGCTCAACGAATTGGCGACTTCCATGTAGTCTTCGTTCTGTAGATTACGCAGGATGCCTTTCGTCAACCTATGCTCCCATTTGTACAGAACCCTCAAGTAGTCTTTGAAACTTGCTTCGACACTGCTCTGATTCAAGCAATTACGAAATTCAGAGCGCTGCCAGCACTCTCTCTTATATACATCACACGCTCTCCAACGTGTGAGCTGAGCCATACCACTCGTCAAGAAAGTAGCAAAAAATTTGTTTTCAAATTCACTGCAAGCATAGATGAGATATGATACGTTACGGAATAGTGTATCGTAATACTGAATAAAACTGAAGGAATCTGTGTCACTTCGACCAACAAGCTCCACAAAATTTGAGCAATACAACGCATCAGCGTGTGAGATTTTGCACCTTGGTAGTACACATGTTTCCAAAATGACACTCGCAGGAGACAAATTATCCGCAGTCTGCACCCAGGTTGAGTTCTTTCTCAGAATACACTGTGTACCTCTGGAAACATGTTCAATAAGTTGTTGCAGCTCTACGTTTAAACTCTCGGCCAGTTCGTCGTGAACAACATTACTAGGCAATTGAGTAACTTGATCAAACGTTGACGATGCAGTTGAACCATATTTCACAGTCCGCGCGCGCGCTTTTGCATACAGCTCTTTGGGTACGTAAACATCCTCGAGATTGAGCGACCAAAAAGTGAGGTAGAATTCTGGCGATACCAATCCCCAAAGCTCGTCAGAATGGAGACTTGCCTTAACATCTCTGCTTAGTTTCTTCCAGTATTGATTGTGACTTTCAGCAAGGGAGCTGCTTGTATCCAGAGATGAAAATAGTGTTTGCCGAAGAATTGGACGATACAAATGGAAAACGACAGCAGCATCAAGTTGGTGTTCACACAGAAGAGATTGGATCTCTGGCAGCGAGTTCTTGAGCTCTGCTACACTGTAAGCTGTGTGAAGAAACGAAATATACTGCAATAGAACAACGTGACATTCATCAAAAAGTTGACCCAAAAATTTCATTTGAGCACTTGCCGTCTTCAGAACAATTCGTTGGCGACATTTCGCTATTGCTAATAGTAATCGAAGCATCATACTCTTCGAAGCGTCCGACCCTTCAATTGCTGTGCGTAAACGCAAAATTCCTTTCATCCGTCGTTTTGAGTCAGTGCTCGTAGAGTTCTCGTGAAGTCCTCGAAGTTTTTCTCCAGCCGCCATTCTTTGAATCTCAAGCGAACTGACATCCTTCAAGATTTCGATACCAGTCAATTTCGATATAAGATCCTTTAATATCAATAAATCCAACACTTCACCTTCGTCTAATTTTTTCAAAATGTACCGCAATAGGTCATTAAGTTCAATGTCATGGTATTGTCTGAGCAATGTTCCAGAAAAAGAACACAAAGCAGAAAACCATAGCGAAAAGTTTTGGCCATCTTCTTTGAGTTTGGATTTTGTCTCGGTAAAATGTTCGAGGACAGAAAAGGTCAAAGTATCGAAAGTTAGTGCGGTGCAGTATTTCAAAGCTTGCACGATCGGTGCAATCATGTTTGGATACGCCTGAACCTGTTGCAGTACTGCTTTCGTCACCGTTAAAGGGTGACAAAGTGCGAGCTTACCAAGTTTACGGCCGAGCTCTTTTGCATTTTGATTTGACAATCTTCGTAAGATCCTCATTATTGATTTATCGGCTGAACTCTTTATCTGAGTCAGTCGAGTGCTACACGTGACAAACATGGCGTGTTTGTATATTTTTCCGCGTGATGCAAGCGGAAGTTGATGGACAACTTTCCAGATGTATTCACATATTAAAGGATTCGGCCTCAGAAGTGGTAATCCTGGTAGCAAACACTTTGCAATAGCAGGTTCGATCAATTTCAAATGCTCTCTTTTATTCGCGACAACTCTTTGGAAGTACTTAAGAAGTTCAGTCGTTAGAGCTGCATCACAGCATACATTTGGTCCAAGAAAGAAGACGATGCGGAGAATAGATTCCAATTTCTGGTTCTCGTCATGTTTTTCCTTCTCGTCATGTATTCTCTTTTTAAGTTGCTCACACATTTTCGCCCGAAGTTTCGGCAGGGCATGAGTACCACAACCCAGTCTGATGATCCTTTCGACCGACGCTTGAATAGGCAACAAACCGGCTTTACTTCCAGTCGATTCCAGAAACAAAAACTTTGGCTCATCAGAGTATAACTCGTCTACGGGCGATACACCTTGCAAGCTTCGGGCTTTATCATACAGAGATCGGTCAACTGGGAGCAGGTAAGGATACAGTCTACCGATTTCAGTGTTCTCTTTTTCAGCAGCGATTTTCAGCTCGAACTGGGCGATTTTGTGTCGTCGTTTGAAATCGGCGCACCTTGTCAAGCGAAACCCTATTATATCGCTTAAATGAGTACTAGATTCCAACGATGTTGCAAAAGCATCGCCGTGTTTGGAGTCAGCAAGTTCTCTGACTGAGTCAAAGACTAAATCGAACACCCGGAGAGGGTTTAGCTTGAAAAGGCCCATAAGAGTGTGGCTTTCGACGATCAATTTCGAGTGACGTCTTCCTGACGTCGTGAGCGAATCCATTCTAAGTGTTGACAGCGCTCGTGCATAACCTTCGAGATTTTCTGCAAGTAAATCCGATTTCGGTAGTTGGTACGTGATCTTCGTGTTCGTTCTCAACTCTTTTCTGGACCAGGAACCGATGCTTAATCGCTGTGCTTCTATGAAATTTGTGTCTGCATTCAGCAAAAGCCCATTGACCATCGCATGATCCGCATGTATCTCGTTCTGAAGGGTCAACGGATCGACACTGAGCGCCGAGCTTTCCGCGGCACTCAAGCGCACCCAAAAGTAATCATCTGAATTACTGGGGTCATCGCGTGAAATTTGCATGAGAGATGCAAAGCGATCATCTGTGTTCGACATTTACTGCCGTCCTTGGTGAGCACAGCGTCCCCCGACACGAAGTAGTCCAGCGACTATGGGTAACTGCTTCGGTTTTCTGTTTTCGCGGAGTGGTTTCATCTGTCAAATTGTCGACTGAACTTTATTTATCTTAGAGCGTATGAAGGCTAGAAAGCGGGAGACGAGACTGCAGAGTGGTGCAAAGACAAACTGGACGGCGAAGCGCCGAGCGCCCTAGTTTGAAGACGCACAGTTTCAAGTTTAACAAAAATCCAGCGCGCGCGGTGAGTTTCAACTGTTACGTTTTCACCTAGGTCGCGAGCAATAGTCTTAAATCTAGCGAAAGCGACCGAATGTGATGCGTCTCTCACAGGTCGGTCATGAGCCTGTTTTTGGGTATTTTGTTCAACCGACCTACAGGAAGCATACGATGAAGCTGTTACTTCGTACGTAGAAAACTTCGGAATGGATGCGACTACAGCCCAGATTGAAGCTAGAGAGGAGTTTGCCTTGCAGGGCTTCGATATTTCAAGCATTGCGACAAGCTTATCACAAGTCAACTGCAATACTTTCACAGCAGTTGTGCAAACTTTTCTGACTTCGATCTGTCCTCTTGCTGAGATAGAAGATGAAACCTGGGGAAATAGTGAAGAAGACAAGCTCACGTCTGCGATCGTCTCATTCGAATCATATTTGTCAGATCAGTCTGTTTTCCGTCCAAACATCGTCGACTTCGCTTGCACTGCTGGTCAAAGAGAAATCATAGAAATTCTTCTAAAATTTTGCTGCAAAACAACTTTGGCTCAAACACTACGCGACCGCGCTCTAAATTGTTTAACAGGTGCGTGTAAAAGTTTTTTTCGTATTTTTTGTCTCATTCGTACCTACACAGCGATGATGATCATACACGAGAACCGACGTCTAGTCTTGAAAAGTGCCGCATTCCTCACTTTACTGGAATGCCGAACGTTGTCGACTTCCTTGTGCTCTTTCTTAGCAAGTGTCACGAAGGAGCACGGTGATGCGAAAATAATTTTGATGAAGACCGTACGTTACTTTTCGCTCTTCATTGAACAAGACTCAAGAGATGCCAGGAGCGCACGCTCACCATCCTCACTGAAGCATTTGGTGCCTCTGATGTAGTCTTGATGCGGGCGATTTGTGAACTCTTCTCCGCGATTTTAATCGACGATGACAGAGAGAGTTCAACAAGCAATAAATATAGACATGCGCTTATATTACACGAGCATGGATTGTTGGCGAAAGTTAATGACGGTATGTAGTAATTTCCGTCCCTGTGAAATCAGCAATCTGAGGAACCGCAGCTATTCTCCAACAAGTACAGTCGAGTCAGCTTGAGACATCTGTGGTCTTATTCAAGCTAGTAAGTAAAGCTTCCCTATGCAAGAATCTTGTTTCACAGCATATGCAGTTTTCTCACCTGTTGACAAGCGAGAAGATATGTAGGAGCGTGCCAGAAGATGTTTTAAGTAGTTTACTGGTATGTGAATTTGATGTTGTGTCGATGTCAAATTTTGTCATGTCCACACAGGCAATAATATCTCGTCGAAGGGACGCAGTATTACTGAACCATTGCTGCAGATGCGTTCGGCGCCTTATATTGTCCGACTCGCGCAAAGAAATCCTGCTAAAGTTCGACGTTATCAAAACTTTTGTCTCCTTAATGACGTGCGAAGGTGAGCGGTTTACTACTCTATCGCATTGTATCTGAGTGTAAATTACCCCAGTAAGTTCAGTGCGTGAGAACTCGATCAGTATTTTGGCGGCTTTGGCGCTTCGGAATGTAGAAGTTTCTAATGAATTGAGAGCAAATGGTGGGGTCGATCAGCTGTTAGAGTTGATGCCACAGGAAACTTGTGGTAAAGTTCTTCGTCAATGCTGTATTCTCATCAGGAATATTGCGGTTAGAAATCAGGATACCAGGGTATGAACATCATTGTTTTACCTTCTTATTTTTTAAAAGTAGCATATACTAGGATTATCTCGTGGCCAATAATGTGACAGCTCAACTCCACGACCTGAAGGCTTTGCATCCGAGGTCATGTATTGATGTTGGAAGTGCGGCACTGCGCGATTTAGGTTGCGATGACTACGGTCGTGGCTGGGTGCCAAGAACATTGGTCATGGGCACAGATGGATCGATTATAAATTCTAGTGACTTGAACTAGTAGCTAAGCTATGCGTTGACCTTGAAAACTATCACATCACCTTCCTGAACAACGTAGTCTTTGCCTTCCAGTTGCCAAACTCCCTTTTCTTTGGCCCCTGCAAATCCTCCACTTGTCACAAAGTCATCATAATGAACCGTCTCAGCCTTTATGAACCCTTTTTCGAAATCTGTATGTATTACAGCTGCTGCTTGTGGAGCCGTAAAGCCTCTCTTTATCGTCCACGCGCGCGTTTCTTTTTCGCCTGTTGTAAAATATGTCAGCAAGTTGAGTTGCCTATACGCGACTTCAATTAGTTCTTTTGTGCCATCACTCTCCACTCCGATGCAAGAAAGAAAGTCATCGCGCTCTTCTTGCGTTAAATCTTTCAACTCTGCGGCAACCTGTGCCGAAACAGCGCAAAGTCCAGCTTCTGAGTCGGTCGCAAGCTTGGATAAGGCCTGGAAATGGACGTTAGTAGCCCCATTTGTTGGAAGATCACCTTCTGGTAGGTTGGCAGCATATATACAAGGTTTTGCCGTCAAGAGATTGAGTTCTTTAATTACGAAAAGTTCGTCTTCGTTAAGTTTGAGTTGTCTTACTTGTTTACCGTCTTCAAGCTGCGTAAGAATGTTTGAAAGTATTTCAATCTCAGTTTCAGCCGTCTGCCCATCGATGTGCACCTTGCCTTTACTTTTACGCACTTTATCTATGCGTTTTTGAATCTGGCTCATATCAGACAATGCAAGCTCTGAATTTATGATTGCTGCATCTCTCTTCGGATCAACACTTCCGTTCACGTGAACAATGTTATCATCATCAAAACAACGCACGACGTGAATGATGGCGTCGCACTCGCGAATGTTTGCAAGGAATTTGTTACCCAAACCTTGGCCTTCTGACGCTCCTTCCACGAGTCCGGCGATGTCGACGATCTCGACCGCAGTTGGCACAATATTTTTCGTTCCTGATATCCGGGCCAAAACATCTAGGCGGCCGTCCAACACCGGCACAGTCCCAAAGTTAGGCTCGATTGTACAAAAGGGGAAGTTAGCTGCCTGCGCTCGACTGTTCTCGACCAATGCGTTGAAAAGTGTACTCTTGCCGACGTTGGGAAGTCCAACTATACCAGTTTTTAGGGATGCTCGGCAGTTTGAGTGCAAAGTGCGTGAGCGTGCAGGGCCAAAACTTTTCGTACGAAGGGTTAACTTGCCGCTTAAGAACCAGCCGTCACCTCGAAGCGCCACCGAACTTCTCAACGTTGTATGTGCGAACTTCTGTGCCAGCATGTCGAGATTCGTTCAGTTCCTTTTACTATGCTGCAGGTTTTCGCGCACCCCTCTCGTTATTTTGAGCGGTATTTTGAGGTCGACGGGCTGTGTGAGGATCGGGTTACAAGTGCTGAAGTGTCCGAACCAGTCGATTTGACTGCCTGGTGTTTCGCCCGATTATACGGCTCGAAGCATTGGACGCGCAATTATTGCTATCGTATGTTCCATCAGGATGTAGCTGTAAGCACGCACGTATTAATCCTACAATTGTACAATGAAAATTATCCGGTTATCAGACCGAAAGTATATCCGGACCATGATAGAGCTTCAAGCGTTTACGCGAGCGACGCTCGTGTAACGCTCGCCGAGCGTTACGAAATGCTTCGAGGAGATCGAAAGGAATACTGCGAGGAACACTACGAGGCGTGGAGATATCACGCATCAAATGACATCCAAGCAGGTGCGCAACGATGTCGTATCACCGATTCACTTCACTCAGAAATAGGTAGCAATTGATAAGTATGTATGCCGTTCTCAAAATTGAAGACGCCGCAAAAGAGTTGGGAATGGGGACGACTGCTCTTAAAAAGAGGTGTCGACAATACGGTATACATCGCTGGCCGCACCGACAGGTACTTTAAACCTTGTACATGTCGAATATGCCGTATGAATAAGCCGTAGTTGAAGAGTTTAGACAACCTCATTGATGCACTAGAGAAGCTCACAGATGACAGTACAGGTGACAGTACAGACGCCAGTTGCATAGAGGTGCGATTTTTTTACGATACTCATGAAGGAGGTTTTCCATGTTTGTTTCAGACCGCCATAATGCAGTTAAAATATCACAGGCAGAGGATAGCAAAAGATCCGTGCTATAAGATACCTCAAAGCGTGTTTCGTCTCCGCCAAGCACAGTTCAAGGTGGTGACTTCTCTATAAAACTAACTCAGCTCTAAAAAGTTCATTAGGACAAACATAGGCGAACGAAGGAAGTGAATTGTGTTTAAATACTTTCGTCTTTCAGAGATATTTTAATATTCTACGGTCCTCTTACTCCTATTCAATCAAAGTTTGATTGAAGCTAGTGCGGACACCACTGCATCTGTATCTTCTGGTCTACCAACTGAAATCCGTATGCAGTCGGCGATTTCTTTCGGAGAAGAGTAGTGCCTAATGACAACACCGCGTTCAAGCAAACATGCTTTCACGTACTCGGCGCTCATTCTTTTGACCCTGGGACAAAAAATTACAACAAGTTTTGCGCGCTGAAGTAAGCAACTGCTCACCTGCAAAGAATAAAATTCGATTCTGATGTAAACGGTTCAAGAAAGTCGAACTCAGATAGTAACCCAAACATCCGAGCCCTCTCGAACACAATTTTATCGCGTACTTCCTGAACTAACATGTCAAAACTATCATTTGCGTCGATCGATGACTCGTACCTGCAAGTAAGAAGGATTTGACAACGCTGCCAGCGCAGCTGTCTCAGCGATAGCAGACACATTATATGGTTGCTTTACTCGCCATATATATTCGATCAGATCGGACGGAAAAGCGCCGTAGCCTACCCGAAGACCTGTGATTATGCGTCAGTAAAAATTCGAAACACATCTGAGCAATCCACCTGCTAACGCAGCCCGCTTACTGAAAGTTCGAAGAACGATCAAGTTCTTGCGGCTCGGCACTTGTGTTATGTAACTCTTCGCACTGGCGAATTCGATGTATGCCTCATCCAGCACGACCAGTATTGGAAGACGAAGCAGGCGGAGGAGATCGTCTTCCTCAATAAGACTACCGTCTGGATTATTTGGAGATGTCAGAAACAGAAGCTTCGGGCTGTGAGTCTTCACGGCAGCTTCAATCGCCTCGACATCTATCTTGAATGAGAGCCCACGGCATATATCGATCACGTCACCAGCTGGGGTAGCTTTGAGCATAGTGTGAATATAAGTCATTAGTTTCACGCACCGTTAATGTTGCAATCGAAAGAGTACATTCCAAAAGTTGGTGGTGTATTGATTATTTTATCACCTGGCTCCAGAACCACTCTTAACAGTAAATCAATTAGCTATGGAATTGGGTTATAAATAGCACTTATCGCCAGATATCGTCCCACCTCATCAGCACCACAACCAACTAATAAATTTTCTGTCGGAACTGCGCATTCGGCTGCCTAAGAAGTGGAAAATCAAACCGGTATATCTTTTCAAAGTAAATTAGGTCCACTTACGAGTGCTGCTCGCAACCGTCTCGACTCAGGATCCGGGTATATGTGAGGATATTTGATGTCCCGAAGTGCATCGTACACATCTGAGGATTACTCAACGTTTCTGAATGTCTGATGTCAAAATCAAGTACCTGGCGGCGGACCATACGGATTTTCGTTCGCATCTAGTTTGACTATTTCTGTGATAGGGCGCTGGAGTTTTTCTAGACTCGAGTTAAGGACAAAGAATTGAGAGGAACTTCCAAAAAGCACTGACCCGAAAGCACTTCGAAGGGAACAATAGGAGTGTATGGTTGCAGATCTAAAATATGCTTCCGCACGAAATTCGATGAGCTGATATCGCCAGAAGAGCTTTGGAGTCTTGAGCATAAACGACTGGCGGAATGATTTTTCCTGGACGTATGAGTCTTGTGCTGCGACCGGCTACAACTTAGACCTTTGAAGTTTCTAATGGAACCAACGTGCGAGATCATGAGCGGTACCCTTTTCGAAGCTTTGAACCTCGAAGTGAGCCCCAGGCTTCTACGTTTGCCGGCGAGAAACCTTTTGTCGTTTTATTCGCGAACATCGTCCTCTGGAATCATGTATTATATCTCGACATCAAATATAGATGTCTATATTTCAACAACACTTAAAGACTTTAACTATTACAGATACAATTAACCCTATCAGATATCACATGGTAATGGCACATGTCGTTCGTCAAAAGGAGAAGGTGAGGGGCAGGCGGCGGCGGCAGAACACACGCGGAAGAACGCACGCTGGAATGCGTTTCTTGAACGCCTCTGTACGCCGTGGAAGATTGTTGCGTATACACCACACCATCCTACACGAGTTCGACAATCGTTCTGTAGCGAAAGAGGATGCGTAACGCAAACTCGCCAGAAATAACAGGCGACTCGGTTCCTTCCGAGGTACCAATAAAGAAGTTGTTTGCTTGTCACGTAGACTCGTTTAATCACCTCACCAATCTGGGATTCGATCAGATATTGCGATGTGTGAAACCTGAAAAGTTCCAACAATCGGCTGGCTGTCCAGAACTCATGCTATGGCTTGAGGACTTGAAATTGGAGTCACTTAAATTTCGCCATCGCATTTCGGGACGCACGGAGAGTCAAAAGACGCCCAGAGGTTGTCGTGAAGGAGGTGAAAGTTACAAGGCGCCACTCTCAGTTCAGTTTTGTTGGCAAATAGATGGAGAAAATGTGCAGAGACGCGTTGTAAATCTCGGAGATTGTCCAGTGATGGTCAAGTCTGATGTTTGCTCGCTCGCACTACTTTCTCCAGCACAACTAGTGGCACGTGGTGAAGAAGCACACGAAGCAGGAGGATATTTCATCATCAATGGTATCGAACGAATGATTCGTATGATCATACAACAACGGAGGCATCATATTCTTGGACTCTGCCGACGAGCTTTTACGAAACGCTCACCTTTGTTTTCTGAGTTCGCTACTGTCATTCGCTGTGTCACTGAGGATGAGCACTCGTCTATAGTTCGCTTGCACTATATGCGAACCGGTGCGCTACGTCTGGCTCTCCAGCATCGACGACAAGAGTTTTTCATACCAGCTGGCATAGTATTACGGGCACTTGCAGTATGCTCTGACGCTGAGATGTATCGGCAAGTGTGCCTGCATTTGCGAAGCGCTGGAACTGATGAAACCTTCATTGAGGACCGTTTGGCTCTACTTCAACGAGAATGTCATGAACTTCAAATACGAACGCAAATGTGTGCGTTATCTTACTTAGGACAGCATTTTCGTACACTTTTAGATCTTTCTTCTGACGAAAGTGATATTTCTGTCGGTGAGCGCTTTCTCGAAGATTTTATTTATGTTCATCTTCAACATAATGGTGACAAATTGTCGTTGCTGATTCTCATGTTGAGTAAGCTTCTGTCGATCGTGACGGGTCGGTGTAGTCCCGACGACCCGGACTCGCTAGTCAATCAAGAAGTCCTGGTGCCCGGCCTCCTCCTTCAAGCTATGATTCGTGAGAAGGTGCGGATAGCTTTCCAGAAGGTAGTGACGCATCTTCGACGCACACAGGGCAGCTGGAGTGAGGAGACTATTTCGCATCTCATCAATGAATCTGGCTCTAGTGATGTAGGGAAAGTAGTGGAATATTTCCTAGCCACCGGGAACTTAGTTAGTCCAACTGGGCTCGGTTTAAGCCAAACAAGTGGTTTTACTATTGTTGCAGAGAAGCTAAATTACTTCAGGTATATTTCACACTTTCGCTCCGTACATAGAGGAGCGTATTTTATGGAACTACGCACGACAACTGTTCGTAAGCTCTTACCCGAATCATGGGGCTTCTTATGCCCAGTACATACCCCAGATGGATCACCTTGTGGTTTACTGAATCATTTGGCAGAGATGTGTGAAATTGTCATGCCTGACACAGATCATGTGTTTCAACAAAAGCGTTTACTGCAGATACACTCGGTACTGGATAGGGCTCTTATTAGTGTAGAACAATATGACTGTGGATACGCGCATGTTCCAGTCGTGCTGGAAGGTTCGTTTGTAGGCTATATCTCGGCAGAAAATGCATCCCATGTGATTTCTGCTCTGAGAGCGTTTAAGGTGACCTTGACAACGTCAGTTTTGCGCATGAGTGAAATCTCTTATATTCATCCCGGTGGTGAACATGGTTTGTTTCCAGGTTTGTATATTTTCTATGGTCCTTCTAGGTTGATGAGACCAGTGAAGCAAGTAGAGAGCATGAAAGTTGAGTTCATCGGTACACTTGAACAAGCCTTCCTTTCTATTTCTGCACATCAAGTAGAAAGTCACAATGCATCATATACGCACGCAGAGATTAGAAACACTTCTGCGCTAAGCTGCGTCGCAAGCTTAACGCCTTGGTCCGACTTCAATCAGAGTCCCCGTAATATGTATCAGTGCCAGATGGCCAAGCAGACGATGGGAACACCAATGCACACTATTTGCTACCGGAGTGATACCAAACTTTACCGTTTACATACTCCGCAGCGACCCTTAGCACTAACATGCACTTACGACAAATATTCGCTAGACGATTATGCGCTTGGCACAAATGCAGTTGTAGCCGTCATTGCATACACTGGATACGACATGGAAGACGCAATGATTGTGAACAAGGGTTCGCTCCATCGCGGTTTCGCACATGCCACATTATACAAAACGCTTGTTGAGGGTATATCAGCAAATGAGACATTAAGTCGGAGGGATAACACCTATACCAGTGAAAATAAGCAGCTCGACGGTACTGGCTCTGTGCAGCTGGGCTCTATTGTTCGGCCAGGCGACACACTTCTAAATTTACACAGCTCAGATGGTGTAACCAAGGGTAGATCGATTCGTCTTCGAGGAACAGACGCAGCGGTAGTAGATAAGGTTGTGCTAACTCAGTCTGTTAAGCAGGCTGCGACGAAGAATGACAAACGTGCTGCTATTACTCTTCGTTATGATAGAAATCCAGTCATAGGGGATAAGTTCAGCAGTCGTCATGGACAAAAGGGCGTTCTCAGCTTCCTGTGGCCAGAAGAAGATATGCCTTTTAGTGACCGCACAGGTCTTCGACCCGACGTTATCATCAATCCGCATGCCTTTCCGTCGCGAATGACTATTGGTATGCTTGTTGAGAGTTTGGCTGCCAAAGCTGGTGCTAGCACAGGAATTTTTGCGGATGCAACTCCTTTCAAGCATAGTGACAAGGAGATTTCACCCACAGAAGAATATGGCAAGTTGCTTCGAGAAAGTGGCTACAATTTCTGTGGTAGTGAACGTTTGGTCAATGGTTGTACAGGTGAGAGCTTCAGTGTTGATATTTTTATTGGTCTCGTGTACTACCAACGTCTGCGCCATATGGTGAGTCTTTTTCATACTTTTCATGGTTCTCTCATTACAAGTAACTAGGTGAGCGATAAATTTCAAGTGCGGTCAACTGGCCCAAACAATCCTCTCACGATGCAGCCGATCAAAGGAAGAAAGTCAGGTGGTGGTATACGTTTCGGTGAAATGGAACGCGATTCACTCCTTGCCCATGGTGTAGCATACTTGGTGAGCTTGTTTGGATTTATTCCGTCGTAAACTCTAACACATTTAGCAGCTGCGTGATAGGTTGCATATCTGCTCAGATAATCGAGATGCTTGGGTTTGTAATATGTGTGGTAGCTTGATAGCCCCTTTGACATGCGTGGCGTCTATCCGTACTGACGAATACTCGTCTCGCAGAACGAGTTGTCGGGTCTGTGATTCAGCACACAAACTTGAACGCATTTCCATTCCACATGTTTTCATTTATCTTACGGCAGAGCTTGCGGCGATGAACATATCAGTACAAGTCAAAGCGAAGTAAATAGGGAGCGCGTTCAAAATTCCAAGCAGTGGATAGTATCTTTGATACTCTTCAGAATTTTGGAGCTAGCCGGAGACAAGTACCTGGAAAGACTTGAGCACTGAAATGTTATTTGATTTACTTTTTCGCCATTGTAACGAGTTGCATGTTATGGCACATATGTAAACTCTTTTATTCCAGGTAGTTGCTGATACCAGACTATGATTTGCAAGTTCGTAGATGTAGTAGGTTCTATCTTTTACTTGAATCTCCTCGGCGCTCAGTATGTTCTCGTCCTGTATGGGATTTCCTAATAGTTCTGGACCAAATCCTTTTATGAAAGCATTCAACGAAACAAGCTCTTTAATATCGATTGTATCCAAGTCACCCTTTTATGTATTGTTTCAGTTTCAATTTGTTTACATCCAAACTTTCAGAAAAAACACTCACCTTGTCTGAAAAACGAAGGATGGGAGCAAGAATTATTTTCAGCTCTCCATCGCTGTCGCTCACAAATTTAGCATCGATTTCTGTACCCGCTGGATCAGCAATGCTCACGGGCGTTTCTCTCCATGACTCATTCGCTTGAAACGAGTAAGGTGTTATTTCACTCCAGCCGACACCATGTCCACCGCTTTTGGCCTCGGGTCGCGTGTACACTCGAAAGCCATTGGTATCGGCCTTGGCGAACCCTGGAACGCGCCCTGCCGTCATTCCCTACGCGATTTTGAGATATGCTCACGGTCTAGGCTCAATCGCTCGATACATACCATGACGGCTTTTGCGGGTAAGGCACGTGTCAGCTGTCCTATCACAAGTGTTGAGGTAACCACGTATCGCCGAGAGACAATACGCTCCATATCTTCAGTCAAATCCAACGACGCTTGGATTTTACGAGCGATGCGAGTGAATCGATTACTGCACGCTTTCCTACCGTTGAACGCGGTGCTGCGCGAAGGGGCTAGTGTTAGGAACGCTGTCCGCTGAGTAATACGCACATTCATGTTCACAGTAAAAGTTACTAACGGTTGCAAGTATCAACTTATCTCAATCGAGATTACGTACACTTGCGGGCGAACGAGTCTGCAGGTTTCCTTCACGCTTTGCAGGTTTCCTTCACGCTTTGCGCCGCGTGGAGAAAGCGAACGCTGCGACAAGTACGACACGCCAACGCCAGAAAAACATTTTTGGCGTTGGATATCTATCTATCCGATATCAGTATGTATTACTTTCCAGGCTCTAATGTATGGGGTGCTAGCACTTCTCGATCGCCAGGCGCGCGTTGTGGCGTCGTCGCGAGTTATTAGCACTTCCGACGGTACGCACGTATTGGGGACGTGGAAAGTAATATATACTGATATCATATCAATCCTAACAAATTTTACAAAAAACCAATCCCCGGACGCCGCTCGCTGCCTCGTTCGCAGCGCGCAGCCTCAAAGAGTGAGTCCGGTTACGAGCACGCTCGATTGATATTGGAGCTTGTGAAAAGCTAGTACTTCTAGCGCTTTAAAACTGGACACAACGAGCGAGGAACGCCTTCATGGAACGCGAGTTCGAAGCCTTTTTTCAAAAAAAATTTGAAATTTCAGGGAACGGCAAAACCGTTTCCGAAGACACATACTTGGTCAAGCTACAAAAGCAAACTGAGGGAGGCAGATTTATCGTGCAACTCGATCATGTGCGAGAATTTGACTCATCTTTAGCGCAGAGGATACTAACCGATCCAGGAGTAGCACTGAAAGCGCTCAGCGTGGCCGCCGAATCTTTGTTGAGAAAGCCGTGCTCTTTTTGTGTAGGTATTTCTGGTAATTTTGGAAGCTATGAACTGTCTCCGAGACAGCTGTTATCAACATACCTCAATAAGATGGTTCGAGTACATGGCATTGTAACCAAGTGCTCCGCTGTCAATCCAAAAGTTCAAAAGATAGTTCAGTTCTGTCCCAATACAGGAAAGCTGTCCCAAGGACAGATTTATCGCGATGTCACAGCACTGACTGGTATGAGTACTGGTGCGGCTTTTCCAATGCGAGATCAAAGCGGAAATTCTTTGGACATCGAATACGGTGAATCGTTGTACGTTGATCATCAACGCATATGTATTCAAGAAATGCCAGAGAAAGCACCTGCTGGTCAGCTTCCACGGTCAGTGGATGTCATTCTCGAAGAAGATTTAGTTGATTGCTGCAAACCCGGAGACCGAGTGAGCATTATCGGAATTTACAAAGTCGTTCCAGTTCAGCGCAGTAACACTTGTACTTTCCAGACTGTTTTGGTTGCAAATTGTGTAGAAAAACTATCGAAGGAACTTTCACCCATCCCGACAATATCAGAAGTCGAAGACATGACCAGAATGGCAAATATAGTTCAACCAAGACAACTTTTGGAGCTACTAGGGCGTTCTCTAGCCCCATCTATATGCGGTCATAACCATATTAAGCAAGCCTTAGTGCTCCTCCTCCTAGGAGGTAACGAAAAGAACTTGCCGAACGGAACTCACATTCGCGGTGATATTAACTGTTTACTTGTTGGTGATCCATCCGTTGCGAAGTCACAATTATTGCGATGTGTCATGGGTGTTGCGCCTTTTGCTATAAGTACGACTGGACGCGGTTCGTCTGGCGTTGGTTTGACAGCGGCCATCACTAGTGACATGGAAACCGGAGAAAGACGCCTGGAAGCTGGAGCGATGGTGCTTGCTGATCGGGGCGTTGTCTGCATAGATGAATTCGACAAGATGAATGATATCGATAGGGTTGCGATACATGAAGTAATGGAACAGCAAACGGTTACTATTTCTAAGGCTGGTATACAGGCATCTCTGAATGCTAGGTGCAGTGTGGTTGCTGCTGCCAATCCACTGTATGGGACGTACGATCACGCTCAAAGTCTTTCTCGCAACATCAATCTCCCCGACTCACTCTTATCACGGTTCGATTTACTTTTTGTCATTCATGATATATCTGATGCCACGGTCGATCGTACGATTTCTTCCCATGTTCTTCAACTCCATAGCCAGGACAGGAGCCCTGCGGCTACAACAAGCAGCCGACTTGCGAGTGTCGCAGTCGACCCAGAAAACCAATGGAGTTTCACCGACGCATGTACTGAGCCAAACGGCGGGTTTTTGACGAAGAGCGATCTTCAAAAGTATTTGCGATTCATGAAAGAACGACCTTGGGAACAGAAACTTACAAATGAAGCAGAAGTGTGCATCGCTGAACAATATGCTGCTTGGAGACTTGCGAAAGCAGAAAAGACCAGAACTTCAAGCTCGATACCAATAACTGCGCGGACACTTGAGACGATGATCCGTTTAGCCAGCGCGCACGCAAAACTAAGGATGTCGAGGAAAGTTGAGCGTATCGATGCACTCGAAGCCATACGCTTACTCAAATACGGGATAGAAGCAAATGAGCAAATTGTGTCTGACTGCTGCACGTCATTACCTGCTGGTCCGACTACAGAAGAAGATGAACTGAGTATTTTCAGACGAAATTTCAGTCAGCTTAGAGCTCGTCAGAACAGCGTAGAACTTGCTGCTATTATGAGAAGTGCAGCTTCGTGGTCGCCACATTTCAACCCTGTGAAGGTGACGCAAATTCTAGACAGAATGGCCACCTCAAACGAGATATTTGTTGACGATGGAATTGTGCACATCATTTGATGTAAAGACGTCATAGTTCGAAGATAAGTTACCATTCCATGCGCAAAACAATTCAACGGTTCACTTTACGCTGAAAGAGTCAGCGCTTGGGAACAGAGGGTACATATTTTCTTCCTCGAGTCGCGCGCCTCTTTCGCTTTTTTGCTAGGAATTTGTCAACTGCACCTTTGCTTTTGAGTACCTCATACTTCTCAATGAGCTGTAAGACCTTCATTTCGGCTGAAAACGTTCATGTAAAATGGCGGAAGAACAGAGCTTTTACAGTCGTACACTTCTTCAGGTAGTATGCCCTACTCTTTGAGGATTTCGGAGAACTTCAGAGGACGTCAATGAAACGGTACAACCGAACGTAAGTTGTGTACCTTTTCTCTAATTTTGGTTGGCTTTTCACGTCGCCTTCACTTCCTTCGTCACGCATCGCTTCGATAGGCGCGTCTTTTCCGTGGGCTGCACGGCGGCGGCACCAGCCGAATCCTGCTGTATTTTTTGGTTTAGTTTTCAAGTCGCGCGTTTAAAGTCGCTTGTCTGATGGTTATTCGTATGAATACGCGCCAAGTCTATATCTAGTCTATATGTATGTTTGAGTCTCGTAGTGTAGACATACTCTTTAGCGCCGCTATAATACGGGTTGGGTTCGGCTTACTCGATTCAATTTTCTTATTTTCTTCCAAGTACCACGTCGGCCACCTTGCACCGCACGCAACACACGGAAGCCGAAGCCTAGCAAACGAGATAGTATTCAGTTCCTACGAAATTCAAGACAGTTTGCGGCCGTCGCCAATTTTTTAACAAAAGGTTGGTTCTCGTTCCACACGGGCTTTCGTCGGTTCCGATGGTCGCCAAGGAAAGGGTGTGCTACTACTATGACGAAGAAGTTGGTAGAAACTACTACGGGCCGAACCACCCCATGAAGCCTCATCGCTTGTGCATGACGCACAATTTGATTTTGGCCTATGATTTGCATAAACACCTGCAAGTTTTCAGGCCACGAGCCTGCACGAACACAGAATTCACTCAGTTTCATAGCGAAGATTACGTCGATTTCTTGTCAAAAATAACTCCTGACAAGCAGCAACAATACGTTTTAGAAATGCAAAGATTCAACCTTGGCGAAGACTGCCCCATTTTCGATCACATGCTTGACTTTTGTCGACGGTACACAGGTGGGTCCATTGACGGAGTCCGGCGATTGAATCAGGGGGTATCAGACATTGCCATAAACTGGTCTGGAGGTTTACACCATGCAAAGAAGGCAGAAGCTTCGGGATTTTGCTACATCAACGACCTCGTGTTAGCGATACTAGAACTCCTGAAGCAACATGCACGGGTCGTGTACATAGATATAGATATTCATCACGGTGACGGAGTGGAAGAAGCATTTTACATGACTGATCGAGTGATGACCGTCAGTTTTCATAAATATGGCGATATGTTCTTCCCGGGCACAGGTGGTTTGAGGGACATCGGCATAAACTCGGGAAAATACTACAGTGTCAATGTGCCCTTGAATGATGGCATAGATGACAAAAGCTTTGTGGATCTATTCAAATTTGTCATGCAAGACGTGATGGATTCATTCCAACCAGGCGCCATCGTCCTCCAATGCGGCGCTGATTCACTAGCTGGCGATCGAATCGGTTGCTTTAACCTTTCACTGAAAGGTCACGCAGAATGTGTTTCCTTCATGAAAAGTTTTGCGAAGCCGATACTTGTTACAGGTGGCGGAGGCTATACGAAATCCAATGTAGCCAGATGCTGGGCGAATGAGACAGCAACTCTCCTAGGTAAACAACTGGTAGAACATATTCCACCGCACGAGAACTATTACGAGTATTACGCCGATGCAGGATACAAGTTGAAGGCACACGCGCCGGTGTGGATAGAAAATTTGAACACACCTTCATACTTGAATCAGGTGAAAGAAAAAGTTCGGCAAAACTTGAAATCCCTCACGTTCGCACCGAGTGTTGAATTCAGCGAAGCACCTCCCGCCGTCCTCGTACCGGAGTTGGACGAGAGTGATCTGAACCCAGACGAAAGATATGGCGGGAGTTTGGGTCAAGACAGCGTCGTCATAAGTAAGGAAGAGTTCTACGAAAACGACTAATACTTTGTTCGCTGACCACGGTGGCAAGAAATTCACCAGATCGCATTTCGTAGATGAATCCCTTGGACCTTTTAAACAAGAAAAGAGCCAAATAGTTGATGTAGGTATGATGTGACTTTAGGCCATCGTGTGAACATTAATTTCAATGGATACCCCACATCACTTCTGCACTTGTACAATCCGTCCTATTATATCTTCACATAATCTACCAATCTGGCTCATGCGGACTGCGTGAGATCCTACGTCCAATTTCGTTGCCTTTTTTCGTATGGTTCGTTCACGGACAAACCTGGGATCGCTAGACCCCGTCACGTGAGCCATCAATTTGTACGACTCGTCCACACTCTGGCAATAGTGACTTCGAGTATCTTTACATCTTACGCGTTCTGGAATACATCGATGTTCGCTACAAAGGACTTGTCCAAAGAGTGCCGCGCCAAAAGTTCAGCACACACTGACGGCACCTCAAAACCGCTAAGAATAAACATCATACATCCGGATCTTGGATTAGGTGAGGTAGATCTGCTTCGCTTTGCATGTTCATTACAAGGTTCTTCATAGGTGGCGCAGAACGACTCATATTGGACTTCGCAAGAGCGTGCTCAACAGCTGGTCACGAAGTAAGTCACATGAGTCAGCTTCAAAAGTAATTGTATTCCGAGTTGACCGCAAAGTAGATTAAGCTTTATACGGCATTTCACGACGAAAATCGGTGCTTTGAAGACACTGTGAATACAGGTGAAAGACAGTGAAAGACGAAAGCGAGTGAATTCAAAGTTTTCTCCAGAGGGCAAACGCGTTGACTGGATACAAGTTTACAATTCACTGGTGCCACGAAATTTTGCGGGGCGGTTTCATGCCATTTGCGCCAATCTGCGATGTCTTTGCGTAGTTGTACGTTACTTGCCTTCACAGTAACTTTTAGGCTAACTGAATACAGTTTTTTGCACTGTGGCGAGACTGTGGTAAAGTCGATGTTTGGATTTTGGATCAGGTACTTAACTGTGTGAGTTGAATTTTTACATGGCTTTAACAATGCTCAGGTTCCAATCCCAATATTTGTCCTTAAAATCTTCGCACAACGCACAATTTTTTATTGTCATTTTCCAGACTGCCTACTAGCTCCACACAATACAACACTACAACGTCTGTATCGAACTCCGATAGACTATGTTGAGGAGCATTGCACTGGCATGGTAAGGAAAAGTTTATCGAGAGTTGAGTTCCGACTAACTCAGATTTGTAAAGGCTGATTGTATTGTTGTGAATAGCTACTTTACAGCTGAAGTCTTCTCACGAACCTTCAAACGACTGTACAGGAAAGGAATATCTCCAGAGGTTGTTTACCCCACAGCTTCTTTGACGGTACGCTTTGGTTACACGCTGGGTTCAAATTTGTTGTTGACCTGCTTTAGGAGCTTGAGTTTACACATGATGTGGATGCGACCTTCAGAACTTTTCCTGGCAAATCACTAATTTTTCAGGAAAGGTAAGGCTGGTAACTTCGTCTTAGTCAGCACAACCTTCTGACTTCAGACGCAGGAAGATATTCCTCTCCATAAATCGTTTCGATTCAAATAAAAACCTTCGTCTTGCTATTCTCGCATTTCATAAGTTCATTCAGCAAAATCGGAACGATGCAACATACATGCTGATTCTTGCAGGTGGCTTTGACTCGCGTTTACAAGATAATGTCCAAGTGCTGCGCGAGCTGAGGAGGTGAAAAAGGCGCTTCAAATTTCAACTGTATTCACACCTGAAGTGTAGGCTGAAAGACGATCTAGAACTCTCTGACAGTGTTCTCTTTCTTCCTTCGATCAACAATCACCAGAAGCAAGTTTTATTGCATCATAGTTTGTGTGTTTTGTACACACCAAATGAAGAGCACTTTGGAATCGTACCACTTGAAGCCATGCAGTACCATAAACCTGTCGTTGCGTGCAATAGTGGAGGTCCCAAGGAGACTGTGATACATGGTGTGACGGGCTTCCTGTGCGAAAATACTCCAGAAGTACGATTGTCGAATACTTTAAAGTTTCCTTCTAACATTTTTCAAGAGCTTTGCGTGCGCGATGAGTAAACTCGCACGCGTGTCTGGGCTCGCTGAGCGAATGGGAAACGCAGCACAGCTTAATTTTGGACAGAAATTTGACGTCGTAGCATTCCGTCGAAGAGTTCGAGAAGTCTTGAGTAATACTGCTGAAAGTAATTGCGAACCGCAAATTCGTAGTTCGGTGCCTCTCTTTTGGTACCTGTGGATATTTTTAAGTAGCGCACTGCTACTCGCCATTTTCATCTGTGTAAGCGTGTATCATCATAGTGTTCATTTTTTTGAGAGATGACGATACACAAAATGTTCAATCTTCCAATCTTCGACAAATAGACTGTAGACGTAGCGCGCTTGGCTAATAAGCATCATGTAGTCACAGGAAAACCTAAGTAGGATTTGTTTTGTCTTGCCTCTGACCCGCATTTTTATGAAAATCCACGAATATAGTGGATTTTGCCAAACTCAGCGGCGATCGAGCGCTCTCGATGAGACGCGTTCGACGAGCGATTTTTGCAAAAATGTAGAGACAAGTGGAGCCACGGGATGAAATTAGATTTTAGATTTAACTAAGCATCGATGTTTAAGTAATTTTACCCTATATGATATCCTTTATTATGCGATTTTCTTGTGAAGTGACATCCCAATCATTCATATTTAGTTGAAGTGAGATCATGTCATAGGACATCATGACGACATCGCGCGCCGCGAAAACGCACGCGACTTAACCGCGAAAACGCACGCGACTTCGTCCGCATAGCTGCGTCTCATATTCATTCAAAGAAGTTAAAACTGAGTCCAATGTTAACGATACGTGTTCGCCCAAGACTAGAGATTAACAAGTGGAGCTTGTATCATAACTCTACGCTGTCGACTAAAACTATAATCCTCGACGAAATTGTTCTCAGTCTATCGGCACAGAAAACTGTACAGGAGCTTTCACGTACAAGTTGGCATCAAATTTATGATCAGGAAGCTCAGACGGAACTCAAAAGTGACTTAACTACGGAGGACAGGGTGCTGTGCAACGGCACTCAGCTCATGGCTGACAAGCGACTTGAAGAATATCGAATTCCACACGCAGCTGACTTGGTAGTGATAAGACGGCTTTTTGTAGTCGAAGGTACGCAGCACCATTGCTTTCGTTGAAACGAACATAAGTCGATCGCGTAGGATGGAAAATTATGACGGACTCGAATCATGACTCGTCCTCGGATGAAGAGGATTTCTGAAGCTTTCCTCCTTTCTGCAAAGCGAATGAGTTGTTCTTATTTTACATCGAGCATTTGGGAACGGATTTCTTTAGGAAGATTTTAGTTTCATTCAAGTGACAGCACATCCACGTATCAGCGCCATCTCGCTCGTTCCTACTCAAAAGTCTTTCTAAACTACATCGTGCTAGTTTTTGCTCTCGCTTCGCTCGTGATAACAGATGCTCACATTGGACTGAAAAGACCAATATTTGCCTTTCCTCGCTGGAGAAAGAGCCACGGCTGACATGGATGAAATTGTATTCTGCAGCAATCCACAATTTCTGTTCTAGTACTCTTTATTGTGTTTACTGGAACTATCATGGGCTCCGTGGTCGAGTCAAAATCAGATGTCTCTGATATGTGAAATATGTTCACGTCGCCATCGAATGCCACAGTGGCCAACAGTGGATATTTTTCATGGCAAATCACCGAACCTATCGCTGCCCCACGCATCGAAATGACCTTGCTATGCGTAGAGCTACCTATATCAAACCACAGTAAATTCCCATTACGTGTGCCCACGAACAGACTCAAGCCACTAGAGCTGATACACATGCAAGAATTCACTGCCGTACCTTTCGAAAACTTTTTCTCGAGCTCCTGTGTCTTCAAATTATACATTCGTACACTCTTCTGTGAGCAGATGAAGAAGAATGCTTTTGTTGGATGAAATGAAGTGCCGAGTATTGGAGCATCGTGCTTCACGAAAGGTGATTGGGATTCCTGTTTATCAAGATTGTGTATCATGACACCACTTTTTGTACCAAAAATCGTAGCAAAGTAACAGCCTTTTTCGTGCCATACTATTTCTTTCACGATTGATGTGTGTCGTACAATAAATGTTGATACACCGAGCTGGATCCAACTCATCAGCTCTGAAGTTTCCATAAAGTTCACGTTTGAGGCATCGAAAACACTGAAAGCATCTGTCACAAGAACGCAGCAACCTAGTATGAGCAGTAAGATGCGCGGTTTCACTGGATGCCAACGAATTGCGGTGGGTGCGATACCGAAGCTAATTTTTTGGAGACAGCATCCAGTGTGAATATCGAATATAAACACTTTAGCAGTTTTTGTACTGCATGCAAGCCACTCACCAGAGGAGTGAACAGACATTGACATAATTTTCTCTGAGATGGTATAGCTCTGTGTGAGAATCTCTGGGAAAGGTTTCAGAGATTTTGGAGAGGGTAGTTGCGGCAAAATTTCATCGGGTGCCATATTTACTCTAACACGATTGGAACGAGGACATAGATATAAATCAAGGCATCTCTCAAATCTTTCGCGTGTGAAGTTTTCATAGCTATGAAGCTGCCTGAGACTTTTTGGCGCGTAATCTGAAGATTTGCCCAAGTATGCCACATATTCTGCCGGTGGGTTGAAAGAAAAGTGATTACCTGGTGGTAATGGTTTCGGTACACGAACAGACCCAGAGCTATTGTGCACTAAGTGCTGCACGCCCAACCATATATCACGAGTATGTTGAATATCATTCTCGCCAGCTGATACATTACGCCGAGGTTGCTGCCTCAAAGCGCGAACTAATCTTAGTACTGATTTAGCTTCCCATTTCGATGGCTGAAATCGCCGCTTTGGTTCGGTTGTGGAGACTACATTTTCCATGATTTGACTTATTCCCGTGATGTGTGCCAGTGGGTCTGTCAGCAGCCTACCCGCTTGCATGCGTCTCAATAAAACAATATCACTTTGAGATAACTTGAAATCTCGCCCTGTCAAACCGTCAGATAGCTTTCGCCATGAAGAACGATCATCGACGTCGTTCAGCAACTTTGACAGTGCATCGGCACCAACATTCCGCTGCAGTCGCTGACCAGCCAAGTTGTATCCAACGTGAGAAAGATCCCTATACCAGGCGGCTGGCACATCCCCAGTCGAGTTTATCGTATCGTCGAACATTTTTGTACCGCGTGCGGAACTCGCTGTAGTCACCGAAACGTTGAACGTCACCGCCGCCACGCGTCCAAAGAGCGCCACGCTTTTTATGATTGCATATTTGCTCGTCGCATACAATATTATATACATAAATTTACATATATCAAAACTAGATTAGTTACTAAATAAAATGCACCTCGGTCAAAACCCTGACGAGGGGAAATTGACGGGTTGGTCCGTGCCCGTTCCGCCAGCCGCCACAACCAGAACGACACTCGTACCCCGCTAGAGAGGTCTAGATTTTGACAAGATCGTGAATAGCACAGCTCATGCGTCTCGAGAAGTGCTGGTTCTGTAGTTCAACCATCTATCCTGGTCACGGCATTTGTTTCGTACGGAATGATTCTAAAATGTTCCGCTTTTGTCGCTCCAAGTGCCACAAGAACTTCAAAATGAAAAGAAATCCACGTAAAGTTAAGTGGACAAAAGCATATCGCGCAATTCATGGTAAAGATCTAAGTGGAGATAACGTGTTCAACTTTGAGCGACGACGTAATCGTCCAGTGAGATACAGTAGAGAATTGACTCATAAAACCATGGCAGCTCTCAAAACTGTTGAGGGAATCCGTAGCAAGCGCGAGAAAAGACACTACGATGGGCGCATGAAAGGGCTCACAGATGAAAGAAGACGAAATGATAGGAAAGAGTTACAAAAACAGGTTCACTTAGTGAAAGCGCCTATTCTGGATGCCGGTACAGCGTCACCTAGCGATCGAAAAGAGAAAACACGGATACAGGTGTCGTCAAACCACGTGAAGCACGGCCAAACTTCCGGGGAAACTTCGTACGATTAGGCAGCATTTATTAATTTAGATTCAATAATATCAGTCGCTCGCTGTCTCAGTAGAGACTTCTTTTGTTTTTAACACTATGCTGCTCGTGCTAACATTGTCAACAGAACCACTCACTGTTTGCGTGCACGCAGACGTTGAGCAATTTCTCACTCAGCATGCGCCATCCATGACTCCAGGATCGTTCACTTTTCTAGCCGTTACATAACGAACTATACCAGAGTAGTCTGCTTTTAGGTGGACGTCTCGAAAAGCCTCGGTGCTGTTCAATAAATGTTGAACCAAACGAGCCTGTTCTAGACCGTGGGTTTCAACTGCAAACAGACCACCGGGGAGTAAAAAGTTCTTGACGTCCCTACAGATAGTGACTAAGTGTGCTGAACCGTCCCCGCCCCCCCCATCGAGTGCGAGCCATGGCTCATGCGAACAAACCTCCGGCTGAAGAGACTCAAGCAAATCTGTCGGGATGTACGGAGGGTTGGTCAAGATTCCGGTAAAGCGTACATCTTTTTTGATCGGGTTAAACCATGATCCGTGCAAGGTTTTGATGGAATCTTGGACTCCGTTACGACGCGCATTGTCCCTTGCGAGTTCGAGTGCGGCTACAGAAACGTCTACTGCGTACACACTGGAGGCATCTGCGCACTTACGCTGTAGTTCTTTCGCAAGTGCGATGGCCAAAATTCCAGATCCGGTTCCAAGATCAAGCCATGGCCCTGACAATAGATTATAATTCATGGTATGATTTTCAGTATTTGACTCCAGTTCACGAAGCCATTCGCACGCAAAATCTATCAGTAATTCAGTCTCAGGTCGTGGTATGAGGACAGAAGTATTCACAGTGAATTCCATATCTCGCCAATGCGCCGTGTTTGTGAGATACTGCAAAGGCACCCTATCTATTATTCTTCGCATCCAGAGCTGCTGAAGCTCGGGTATCGACTGACGCAAAATCGCGGATCGGGTGGTACTTGATGCGCTGAAACCATCGTCGCCAGAGGTTGCTACTTTCAGTCTGGGAGAACATTCGACTCTTTCGGCGGTACTATCCGTTATAAGCCATTCGAGTTCTTGATATAGCTCTTTTAGCATCGGACTTCCATTAGAAGCTTCGAAATACGCAATATTTCGTGCCGCAACGTCTTGACCCCATTTCCTAACGTCATCCAGTTGAGAGCTGTTCACGGGGTACTTACCAGGGCGGTCGACTAAACGTATAGGGATATCAGATGCGTCGCAAAGTGCGCTCGCGTGTGCTCCTTTCATGTGTTTGGCTCGCTTTGTTTTAGCGAGGCCCCGTTTTACGGCGATACGCCCTACTAGAAAGGGTTCGAGTAAAACGCACTGCATGGCCTCAAGGTGTCAAATGTTCCAAAAACTTTTGCGTCGCATCGCGCGACGTTGCGTCAAGCGGAAAGTCATCCATCAAACGGAATCGCAGAGCCAAGTGTGACAGTGATAGCTGTATGCGTTATATTTTCTTGTGCCCACTGCTGAAAGGCCAACGGTGACCTTTTGTCGAACTGTCTGGAAATTTCGGCTTATTTATGCATGTTTGCGCATCATGGGCGATTTCCTCGAAGCATGGACATAAACGGACATATATAGATCATCCTAGCTTCAGTGTGACATTTGTCGCGGGCCTGTACTCACTTCCGAAACACGAGCAGCTTTCGCCTCTGTGTCCACGGGTACTAAGCCGCATTTGAACCGCACATTTTTGCGAAACGTGTGCCGCTTAATGGTGACTCGGGCTGTAGCGTTTCAATGTGCGCCGACGTCAGCTTACAAGAAAACACGACTGAACGTCTGTAAAAGCAGTGGTGGAAAAGTCCCAAGGGCCCCGCACCGTCCCAGTGCCTCGCACAATGCGGGTTCATTCCCTAGAGAAGATCGCTTGCTTGATAAAGACAATTTTTCGCAAAGTCCTCAACGTAAACTTGAATCGGGCTGGTTTTGTCGGTAAGATGAGATATTAGCTTGCTCGTTTCGCGAGGTGAAAAAATCTCAGGCAAAGAGAAACCTTGAAAAACCTTGGTCCTGCAGGTATGGTGAGCTATGGAGCGTTGAACTCGTGCTACTACACTTGTGCATACATCTATTGCCTTCAAAGAGTGAGCTTTTTGTATGATCCGCGCGTTCTATCACTCATGTCTCCTGTAGTCAAGCCTCACTTTGCAAGGGCGCTTTCTCGAGGTCGCTGTGCTTGTTTGGGTATGTTACTGCATTGAATGGTCATCAATCGCCCATTAATCATCATATTAAAACTTAAATTGTACCTTACAGGCCGGAAGTCAAGTGACCAAGGCACTGCGCGTGTGGCTTGCGGTAGTCTTGACTCCGATAACCTCAATTCTCTTGAGCCAAATAGAACAGAAATACACGATAAAACGGACCCAAGTACGTTGACTTAGCGAAGTGATGCAAAGTAAATTTAGCACTGACGAACAGGCAACTTTGATTGCTATTTGTGCTATGTTGTTGGCGTCCATCTTCTGCCTTACTGTCTTCATTTGCGTTAAAAAGTCAAGCTTAGGCTGAACTGCAGGGTATCCTTTCAATTTTCCAATCATCACGCAATTGATCAATGGGTGTGTGGAAGAGAGATTCATAGTCAAAACTTAATAAGTTGGGTGCTTTGCTAGCAGTTCTTATCGCCCATGGAAAAAGTTGATTTGTCAGGAAATTGCGTTCTGCAAGGGGCAAGCGGCTTGGCGCAAAATATGCTGAAGCCCAATGAGCTGGAAGGCCATATTGGACAAACTCTATTGCTTTGAGGGTGAGTTCGCCCTTCAAAGTAGTTGGGCAATCGTATAAAACATGTAGGATGTCGTGAATTTCACGTAGTCTTATGGCGATGTATCTGCTCTGCTTGTCCTGAACAAACCTGACTGGTGGTCTTGCACTTGGCTCGAACTGCCGACTATCCATAAATTTAGCGTACGCGTGACCTAAGCTTCCGCGCTCGCATAATCTTGCTTTAAGTAGCGAATGTTCTGATATTCTTTGGCGGTCCCTCAGCATGGCGCGCCCATTTCTGTCTTGCAAGAGTTGTGATAATATCCTCTCAAACTTAAAAACTCCAATCGTCTCGCTCGTGATGCCCACTAAATCTGCCCGCTCCGGGTGTAGTATAGCCCCCAGAGCGGCTAAAGTGGGTAGCAGTACTCGCGGTAACATTCTTGTAGGTAGTTCTAAGTTTGGCATCGCGGCGTGTCGCTTGCTGTGCGCAAGACGTCCCCTTGTCCAGAACGAACACCGGGTTCTCAAGTCGAGTTCACCGACAACTGGACGCGCTGAACACTACGATTAGCGCGTGAGCACGTGAATATATTTGGAAGCGTCCATATCTGTTCGGCATACAATGTATTGAGGAAGCGTAGTGTTGTGGTGTAGGGCCCACGTTCCCTCGGTAGAAACAAAAACGTCAGAACAAGGAGGGCGGTTGTCGTGATGACGGGTTTTTCACGTGAGAAGGGCTTGAATGAGGAGAAACTGTTCGGAGAGGTAAACCATTCAATTATCAGCTTTTTTTGATTTCATGACGATTGTGCAAAGATTTTCCATTCTGGCGAGACTGGCTCCGGGGCTGAGCGGACAAGAAGCACTCCAGGTAAAATATTCGACTCAGGCTGTTCGACGACAACTAACGTCGACGTCACGTATCTATAGAATCGCTAGAGGAACGCCGAGGCACTGAATTTGTCAAGCACGACGACAGAAAGATTCCGCAGCCTCCCCCAGGGAAACCGCGAACAGGTCGTGAAAGCGTTTCAAGTAGGTTACCAGATGGTCGGTGGAATACGTATAACGGACAAATGCCAAACGCTCGATATAACGAACTCCAACAACGCATTCTTCCTGGCGGAGAAGGAGGCGCTCGTTTTATCCCACCGGACGAATATAAGGAATTTCTACAGCTTGGTCATGGTGGGGTCTTTGACTTGGATCTTGACAACATCGATGTCGCTCCCTGGCGACGCCGTGGAGCTGAACTCAATTCCTATTTCAATTATGGTTTCACAGAACGATCTTGGAGACTGTACATAAAGGAGATCCGAAGAGCTCGTATGGAGCTTCATCTAAGAAACAGCATAGAGATTGGGTTTACAGAAAATAATTCAACTGTTGATACTGACTTGCCACCAGAGGTGAGACGAGCGTTGGGTGGATGGGAGTATGAGGGTCAGTCAAGATCGACGTCACTTCCTCCAGTGGGCTCATCGCACGAGGTGTTAGGAGTAAAAAATACGGAATACTTGCTCCAGCCATCTGAAAATTTCCACAATGAGTCTCAAGTAAACACTCAACAACTGTACGAGGGAACACGGCCTGCACAAGTGAAAATGAACTCACAGCAACAGTCAATGGAAGCCAAGCTTGCTGGTGGAGAAATGACGCTCGAAGAACTCCGCGAAGAAGCCCAAAATATTCAGTCCGAATATCGTGCTCTTGTTGCCTCTAGCACTCTTTCCTCGGCAAAGAATTACGAACTACAGAGCAAGATGCTAGAGATAAAAAAGAGAATCGCTCAGTATCAAGCATGATTTCAAACATGCCTTCGATAGCTGTGGAACTGAAACGCTCATACATATTAGCAAAATATTACTACGTAGTTAATGTAAACTTATGTACACGTGGGCTCACAACAGCACCCGTAGAGTGCGCTAGGTTGACTTGGCCACTACAAAACGAGAAGTTATGTCCCAACGACTTCCCTTCGCATGTGTTGAAATGAATTTGACAAAATTAGTAATGCCTTTATCCACTTTTACGAGTGTTAAACTGTTGAATGTAGGTGCGATAGATCGCAGAGACTCGTTCTCTGCAATGTCCCCAGAGTATACGTCTGCAGCACCGTCCGTTGCTTCAGTGGAAGTAAAGCATTGATAGCCCCCTAAGTCACCAGAGAGCCACTGAGAAGGACCACTCGTAAAGCATAGATCGACATCTATCTGAGAATCCTTGAAAATGTCAGAGTGCGCGAGCGTGTAGTCCAGTCCCGCTCGGAACCGGCGTATTTCAGAAAATGCGTGTGTGCAGTGAAAACCGGTGACCGCGCTCAACCAGTTCTGGAATCCAACTGTGCTGGTGACATTAATCAGAACTTCCTCCAAGCGATCACCTACATCATTTCTATTCGTACGCGCACTATCAGGCTGATAACTTAAATACCTACGAATATGAGGCGGACCTTTCACACTCCAACCATGCCCACATGCGTAGTCGTACTGGCCACATTTTCGACGGTTGCGGCTGTCTTCGCGTTTTAACTTTTCACGCAACGAATCTGCAATACTTGGCAAGAGAAAGTCGTGAAGCTGAATTGAACCTTCGTTTTGAAAGTGCTCTCGAATTCGTATAATGTTTTCGTGTATCAGATATTCTGGTTTGACCCATTTGTGCAAAAAACTTGACAGTTCGTGTTCTGCTATTTGTCGGCTAGACCGAGCTGCAATTGAAACTGAAGTGTACGGTGGATAGTAGATATCGCCAGCTGCCTGAAGCTGTTGAAGTGTTGATGGAGCACCATAGCGTTTTTCAGCTTGTTTTATCTGCTTTGCGTGGAACCACCCTGATATGCTGACCCTGGTTTTTGTAATCGAACTCACCTCCCGAACAGCATGAAAACTGTGTCCAGGCAAGACCTCGAATAGAACCATGGAATTCCATTCCGGCATCATCGACACCACGGGACTGTCGGTTGGATTTTTTCCATCTGGGCCGATGGGATACAGCTCCAATTGTCCTCCGTCTGTACCCGTCCAAACCTCGTCTGGTTCAGAAAGGTAGATTATATATGAAATTCTCCGAGTACCGATCACATCATCATGGCACAGCAGATGACATCCAGCTGTGTAAATATTACAAGAGCAGTCCACTGCGCCGTCAAGTGAACCACATCCTGTCGCCTGAACGATGAAATCACGGAAGGCCTCTGAATACAAATACTGTCGAAGCCTGAATAAATGCGGTACGGTCACGCGTGCTCGTGGCACACAGTCCTGTAAGTTAGCTAGATCTGTTGTTTGATATACTTTGAACAGGTCAGTCTCTTTGAAATTTGCTGTCAGCTGGTCTTTGAGTTCTGCCAAACACTCGCGAAGGAAGCGGTCGTTAAAAACGTTATGGATGTTGACGTGAGGATACGGGACAGCGTTCACAATGGGCGAAGTAATTCGTGACGAGAATTCAAGGAAACTTCGAGAACAGATGTCATCGTGCATGCCTGTCGTGCACGCCACGCTTGCACGCGATAGCACCTAGATGTACCAACCTCCGACTTACTGCGCCGCAAAGTGCCGCCGCGGCAAATCGAGGAGTCACGAACCGTCCATTTCTTAGAGCAAAATAGGCTTCAGCCCCTCAGTGGGGGAGTTGAAGACCTGTAAAAAGCAGGTGAAAGTACTGTGACCTGCTGGTGTCAACTGAACTGCTGAAGTAAAAAAGACGGAAATCTTTTCCTAGCCTGCGCTTCCGGCGCTGACCACGACGCGACGTTCTTGGTGTGAACGTATATTTCAGGAAGCCTGTAAAGCCGAAAAGGTGGTTTGCGCAAGACACATTCGAGCTCTAACATGAAGGTTGCACCCTTGCAGCAGGTGGCAACTGTGAGTTCTCCGAAACTCGTCAGTCGTCACTTTCGGCATAAGCGTCGAACAGTTCAAAGCGGGAGCCGCTTTCCCTTGAGCGATTTGAATGGGCTCTTGACTGGAGGTGAACTAGCCGGGCTTGTTGCTACATGTTTAGCTGCCGTAATTGTATCTAACGCGTCAAGAGCGACGACGTCGAGTGTAGATTCACTTGAACAAGTAAGAAAACCTGCTGCCAAGGTGCGACGACCAGTAGACCTTGACTGGGGAGCGTGTAGTGACATCGGGCCGCGCGATTACATGGAAGATGCTTATCAGGTCGTCAAAGGTCCAGATCACTTTTTCGCGGCCGTCTACGATGGACACGGAGGATGTGGTAGTTCAACATATTTACGTTCAAATTTCTATAAGTTCGTGAGTGCCATGCTCGGAAAGAACAGAAAGCTTTTGAGCGACGAGACTACAACCGACGATGAGATGAATACTATCTTTGAAAAGTCGATGTCTGAGGTATTTATGGCCGCAGATAGTGCATTGATAGACTACATAGCCACACTTGGTGATCCAGAGTGTTGGAGCGGAAGCACTGCGACGGTGTGTGTAGTGAATTCTTCGCTACTAATGTGTGCGAATGTAGGAGATAGTAGGGCTGTCTTGTGCCGTTCCGGGAAACCTGTCGATATAAGTGCTGATCATCGGCCAACAACATCAAGCTCTTGTGGAAGATGCGAGATCAAACGGATCAATCAAGCAGGTGGTTGGATATCGCAGAGTCGAGTTTGTGGTATACTTGCTGTCACTCGGGCATTTGGAGACTATGAATTTAAAGGAGGACGGTACGAGTTACTTGAGGAATTGAAAGATTCTAGCGACATTCTTGCAATGAAGGCTAGCATGGAAGGTCCGCCGGTGATATCGCTACCTCATTGTTTCACAATACCTCGTTCAACCGAGGACGAGTTCATAATCTTAGCGTCGGACGGGTTATGGGATACTATGAATAGTGCGCAAGCAGTCACTTTTGTGCGAAGTGAACTGAAGAAAGATCCGAGTAAAAGCATGCAAGATATCGCTGATGCTTTGATAGCGCGAGCTTTGCGTTGTAGAACGCAAGACAATGTCGTGTGTATAGTAGTGAAACTCAGTAGATAGGATCCTTGTCTAGTTCTTGTATAGGACATGAAAATCCGAAAGAAATTGGCGCGATCAAATAACTGTTCCCGCAATACTCACTACTCTTTCAATTCTACATAGTGCTCCGTGGACTTCAACCGCGTTCGCACTGACAACTCTGGCAAGCTGGGACGCGACCATATTCTAAACACAAGTGATGTATTTACTTCTCAACGGCCGACACGAGTCCAAAATAATGTACGCAGATAACGGAAAAAGTTGATTAGCATTGGTATCATAGCGGCATAAGGAATGCAAACGCCTCCAATGCATATCTAACCGCTCGGACGTAGTGAGAAAAATTGCCATTATGAAACCTGAAAGCGCACCATGGCTTGAACAGAGAAGTTGAAAATAAAGTGGACTGTACAGTTCGAAATTTTCCTCAATTCCGCCACGCCCTTAATTTGACAAACCTTTGTATCATGGGCGACCGCGAGCGCTTTTCAGGGCAGCGAGCGAGATTCCTCGGGTAACACTTGTCGACTGCTGAGTTTATTACTGGAGTGCAAGTTGTACCAGTACCGGCACAGAGAATCGATTATGAACGAAACGAGGTTTTCTACGGTGAGGTATTAGGGTCTGGAACCAACAAACCGGAAAATAACTCCTTCGGGTATTACTCTCACACATAGTATAATAATGTAAATATGTCTAATATCATATCCATGTGACAGGACCGACCGGAAGTCTCGTCGGACGGTTTGCTCAGCACTCAACTCACCGCTTTGGTCAAAGGTTGCGCGTAACAGCCCAGGTCTGTTACCCTCATTCATTGTATAATCTGCCGCACACCCCGTTGCCTGTGGCTGAACGCGCGACAGACTGTTGTGAGCTTTGATAGGGGCTGTTCTACTGCTGACTTTCCGACCCGCGTTGTCAGCGGAGGGATGCTGGGAGCTGACACAACGCAGTCCGCATCGCTGCTTGCGGCGACGGAGCGTGTGAATCTAGGATCGAAATCAATGACGATGCTCCGGGACGCGTCGTATGGTTTCGAATGTAGAAGAACGGTGCGCAGCCCCAAGAGATCAACTGGTGTGAAGTGTAGTGTTCAGGATTTATCCATTGATGTGTTCGGTTGGATGGATAGACCTGCCCCGAGGTACTTTTTACGGTATTCTATTTCGAAGCTTTTGATCATCTGTCAGCTGTAGGGAAATTAATGATATGAATATATCTGCTGTGCTGAAAGCCCAAAGTGGCCGTCCGCTCAACTCTGGTGAAGTGCGTTTCTAATCCAGTTTCTTTACCTGTCTACCTTTTTATCGCGTCGACTTTCAACACAATGGACTAACGTGCCTTTCGTCGCCCTGATCATCCTTCATAGTGCGTCATAAGTAACGCACAACAAATGAAAACTTGCTCCAACGTCGACGTCGGTGGGCGCTCCCCGTCTGACTTCATCGGCCACAGGAGTGGCCGGCGGGTTATGTGTCTGATGAGTGATACTGGTGGTGGACACAGGGCAAGTGCTCAGGCTCTCAAAGATTGCTTTGAGCTCATATACGGTAATCATGTTGCCTAAAGTTTGATGACAACCGTCTCACGGCCACAACTTTTCGAAAACAGGGGACGAATTTTCTGTACACATTGTCGATCTGTGGAGTAGTAATTCCCCTTGGCCGTTTTCTAAAATGCCAAATAGTTACTTTTTTCTCGTGAAAAATCCTTGGCTGTGGAGGTTAAACTTCCGCTGCTCAGAGCCCCGTCTCCTGCACGAAATCATGTTCAAGGTGATGAAATAAATGCTTTTCTCTTTCTATTGCGCTAACATTTGCATCCTAGGGATACACCGTGATTGTATCAAAGCACTTTGCGCGGGCATTTAAAGAAATCGACCCGCATCTGATCGTCAGCGTTCACCCTTTGATGCAACACGTACCGATGCGTGTCTTACAACAGATGCACAAGCAGTCTTTGATATCCAGAGTGCCTTTTGCCACTGTTGTAACTGACCTCACACGCTGTCACGCGACATGGTTCCATCGTTCAGTTGATAGGTGTTTCGTGGCCACTAATCTTGTGGCTGCTCAGGCTATGCGACTCGGGTTGAAGTCTGAACAAATCGCGTGCCATGGTCTTCCTATCCGACCCTCGTTCAGTGCACGTAGGCAACTTTCTAAACATGAACTTCGAACGAAATTGGCACTCGACACAGACGCCCCAACAGTTATGCTCGTCGGTGGTGGAGAAGGTATGGGTAAGCTTCAAGAAACTGCGGAAGCTTTAGCACAAACATTAAGGAGCACACACCAAGTCATCGTGGTGTGCGGTCGCAATTTGAGACTAAGTGATTTCTTGCAGTCAAAGGTGTGGCCACTGAAAATGGTGGTGAAGGGATTTGTTCATAATATGGCTGAGTATATGTCTGCTTGTGACTGCGTTATCTCAAAAGCGGGCCCGGGAACGATCGCTGAAGCTATGATCTGTGGGGTTCCTATTGTCTTGAACGGCTGCATTCCTTGCCAAGAGGAGGGCAATATTCCCTTTGTGACTGACAATAAAGTTGGAGCATACAGTGAGAACCCGCGTACGATCGCTCAAATAGTTGCCGAATGGCTAGCTCCTGAGAATAATGCCGAACTTCTCGCAATGTCCTCCAGAGCACGGGCTCTGGGACGCCCCGAAGCTACGTTTGATATCATCCGAGACCTCGCCGCCCTTGTGACTGAGACACAAGAATGCGACTGAAGCACAGTGTCGGTCGTTCAAGTTGAAATTGAACAACTTAACCCTAGAATGTTCGTAGTATTCTTGTTATGTATCCCTAAGATTTTTCTACCCACAATTTATGTATCTGAGATGTGTGCGTGTCTGTCCGTGTGTGTGTGTAACAAACAAGAACGAACGAGCGAAACTATTTTTCACTATTTTAATTATTACTTGTTTTTTTATTTTATTTGGTAGTTTTATAGTAAGCAAACTCAGACTATCCGTGCGAGGCATGTATCACGTTCGATATTTGTGCGGCATCCTCTCACAATCAATGGCTATTTTCGTAAAACTTGTTCAAGGGCAACGGAGTGAAAGATGTTCATTTTACTCAAACTCGGTTGATATTTTGAAATAATTTCAGTTGAGAGAAAAAATATTAGTAAAAGGAGCGCCCGACGTTCCATAGTCGTTCTTCACCCATTGCAAGCTCAAATGTCTTCGCGCGCGCGAGCGACTGCTTGCGCTAAGCGACCAATGATGTACTTCGCGCAAGCAAGCAGGAGTTCATGAATTAATTAAATTAATTTGTTAATTGTGCTACTGAATGTTCACCAAGTTTAGTTACACGTATGACAAATTTTTCAATGTGTGGTGAAGTCGTGCGGCGTATAGCTCGAAGAGTGCTATTTCTGTTGTTGGTAAAACTAGGCGAGTATTGAGTGTGCTCAGATCACTTAAATTAAATTTAATACAACCTTATTCATGCAATACAAGAATCGGCTATAGCGAAATTGCCGTGACCACCGTTAGTTGATTGTCGGCAAGGAATACCATGGGCCAGTATGGCCTTGGAATAGCCACTACGAATCATTCGCACGAGTCGCTTTCATCTCCATTTTGAGAAGTTCGCGTGAAACATTTGATTACATTTGATTAATTAAATAAATACGGCTCTTCAACGGTCTAGGAGAACCAATGCACAGAGAAAGTGGGCGATGCATCCATCCACTTCGGGTGGCTATGCTCAAAGTCGAGAGAGTGATCGGTGCGATCATCGGATTCGCACAGCGGATGAACGAATCAGGTCCTTTTCGCAGAGTTAGAAAATTACGTAAAATTATTTCCGACATCTTTCTTATATATTTTCAACAGTGTCATGATATCTCACGCTGTTTCGACAAACGATCACAACAAGCGTCAACTAGGTAGCGACAGGCGTTCATTTTTTCGCCAACTCACGACATAGTAGTAGAAAAAGTCGCAATAAATCGCAGTTTGCAAAGTTCCACTGCTCCAGACTATCCACTGTGAATATCCCGGCTCTGTAAAATACCGATACAGCCAGTTTAATATGTACAAGGCGCGATATGCGCCCAACAAGAAGACATAGTTGCTGGTCAGTGTATCAACATTAAATGTCCGCTGCAGCAAGATGAGCTGCGGTAAGATCGCGACCGATTCCAAGTAAATTGAAAAAGTCCACAACACTTCCACCATGGAGAATTCGTGGTTGACCAGCAGTGCAAGGAAAATGCACGGTACAACGAGAAATGCGACACGAAATGTGTCCTGTTCACGATCATACGTCTGTGATACTATCCTATGATGCCGCATGTACCATATTATACAGAAGCTGCTGGTAATAAAGAAGACTTTCATAACAGTGTTGTACACTGAGATGAAAGTGAAAAACAAATCCAAGTACCTACTCACGAAAACGACGGCGTATAGTTCCTGAGTCCTCAACGAAACTCCAGCACACGATTTCGTCGCCTCTATTTTCAACAGAAGAACCTAAGGAGATCGAGTGAGTCGTCCGTCAAGGTATACAACTCAATTGCGTTCAACTTACGACTATGCTACACAGGTGCGTCATGTCACCGGCTGTTTCAACGAACAAAGATGTTATTCTCGCTACATGATTGGAATGGAAAAAAGAAACGGCGAAAAACAGGAAGATGGTCTCAAGTGACGACGCCAACGCCACTCACCGAACCGAAAAATGTTCATCTCGTGACCTTGGAAGATATTTGTGACTGTGGCCGTAGCGTTGAACGAGCGGGCGCGCCCCTAAGACAAATACTGGCGAGCAGGCACGCGAACGATTCGCGCGTGAATTGAGCGAAGTGGGAATGAAGCGAGGTAGCTCTGCTCTCCACGCGCATGTGTGCAAAGAAAAGACCATTCACGGGTAACAAACGACCGGTTTCTTGTTCCACTTTCAGCCCCACTGTAGTTGCTCAAGATACTCAAGGTACTAGAGCTAGTACTAGCTAGCTAATGTACTTGTACAATGCAATATATAATCACTCTTCGGCCGTATCATGTACGTGATCATAACCTACCAGACAAGCACTAAATCCTAAACCCTAAAACACGGCATCCATCGCGACTTATGCCTAAATACATCCCCGCATCAATGTTCACGGCGGTTCGCGGACCACGTCGTTGCTTACTTGCCTGCTGAAAGCCGCATCGACGTCGAGCGATGCGTAAGATAAAAGCGTGCATGCGAACAAGGAATCGAATCCACTGTACTCATCCGTCTACCAATTGACTTCACCGCACGTAAGCGGCGGCGACTGTCACTTAGTTCGAATACACAATCGCCCATGGTCCGAACTACAGTAATCATCAATATCGTGCGGGCGTGATTCGTGTGTCGTTTTCCTTTCCAAGAAAAGTTTTCGAAGAAGAAAATGTTGGGAGGACCTTCGACATCAGAAGAGCTACGGTTTACACGACGGTTATGTCTGTGTAAGCTTCTTTCCTTGTTGCTGGAAGAAGAAAGTGAGTGTCATTCAAAACTTTTGCTGAACGTGTACTAACAACGAGACTGCAAAGTGCCCCTTCACTTGCACTTTGACTCAAAAGTTCTATTATTTGGAACAGCTGCAGCTTTTTTCTGGAGATTACACGACGAACGATGGGTAACCCACTGTCCTTTACTAGTCACAGCGTCTTCTGTTCTCGTTGCAAGCAAGGCTATCGGGCACGAAACTATCTGCTGCACAAAATTATACGAAATGTACGTCGCACTCACTGAAATGGTTTCAAAAGACCCAACTCCGCTACCCTTCTACCTTTCACCATGTCGCTTAAGTCTAGTTGAATTCTCCGACGAGATGGGTGAACTTGAACTGATACTTCTTGAAACAGTCAACTTTTGCACTCTAACCACAGAACTTTTGCCGAAGATCTACAGTTTAAGTAGCTATAAGTTTGGAGAAGATAGCATAGATTTCTACATAATTAGGTGTGCGCTACTTATCAGTTGCATGAGCTCCGACCCATTCAATGTAGATTTGGTTGGTTTCATAAAAAAGGTCATAGGCACTGCGAGAAACTTTGAGTTGTTAAAAAGCTGTCACGATCCCCAACGGACAGTTGTTCTGAATCCGACAGATTGTGATTGGAGGGAGCACGATGCAATATTACACACGACACGATTCTGATAACGACGCGGTGATTCATCTTTTCATTGCTTGGTATTCGACAGTGGTGGAGGACCCAATTCCAAATTTTGTGAGCTCGAGTGCCGTTCACAAAAAGTACAAGTTTGATCGTTTTCCTTTGCTAGAATATTTCAAAAATGATGAGTAAACCTTGTAACAACAAAATCTCCGTTAAACTCTCGCGGTTCTGCTTCACGATCTTGGTCGTGATATTGTTCGTCGAAGTCAAAATTATCAAACAAGCTGTCGGTTGTGATTCGAACGGCATTTTACGTAACTAAGTTGACCAAAGGCGCCACACAGGGACGAGCGTTTGTTCATACTATCCGAAGATATTACTATCAATTACTAGGCCACATGAAATCACCTTATCTTCAATCGGTGGTGAACAGATTGGAGAGCTACGTGTTAGTGTTTTTAGCTACGCTCGTTATCCTACACGGCGATGGTAAAGCCAGCTTACCGCATGTTTTAGTTATTTATCACGGAAGGTACGAGACATGAAAAGTACACCTAGTTTTTTTGAGTATCAACTGATTTCCCAGGAGTGGTGTATTTGCCTTGTGGGGACTGGTTGTCATCAGTTGCATTTTGCTGAGGACGAGACACGTATTCATTCTTCCAACGGTTGGGGCATCTTTAGTAATCGGGTGGGCGACTTTGCTCTTCTCTTTTGATGGCTTCATCTCATATACCGTGTAGACTTTTCTTCCTGCTATTCTCAGTTTATGCTTTATGGGCTCCTGTTGCTGAGGTGCGCTTGCACGGAAAACAGCAAAAGGCAAAAATTTACATGCACTACAAAGATCATACTTTTTTTCGGCTTTCTATCTTGCATAAGTATCTTTCGATTGTGAGTGTGTCTTGCCCCATGGGTGCGAGCGAGTGCTCTCAGCTTTCTTAATTTACTTTGTCGTTGTTGCTTCACTTTAGCGTGAACTCGCAGATGAACTCGCAGATAGTTGCTGCTCACATAGTTCGCAACTCTCAGTGTATTCTTGTTGGCGATTTTATCATACGTTCGTTCAAAGCGTGGCGGTTACATGTCATTTTATCACACGTCTAGTAGGATGATGACTATAAGTACGTGCGCATGTGCTTGTGGCATCTTTGAAAAACACTCTACGCGCAACAGGCTCACGAGTAGTACGGTAACACTTGAGTCAAAACATACGACCAGGCGACGCCAGACAAACCTCCGACAAGCCAGCCAGAAGTGAAAGAGGCCCAGCCGTCAGATGATTGTAAAGGATCTTTAGCGATGGCTCTACCACTTAAAGTTTTCAAGCCAACCACTTCCTCCCTTTGGAACGCAGTCGCTCCATAGATGCTCAAGCAAGCCGTCAAAATAAGCACAAGGCCAGCACCAGACAGGCAACCCGCCAACTCAGCCGCATCGGTCGAGCGAAGCGGGCCAAGCTTGATGAAAGGTCCGGTAAGGAAGAAGCCGTGAGCGAGGCCAACTTCAACTCCTCTCAGGAGAGGGGCTACGCCGGTGCGATAAGCAGGCAAATTGGAAAGAAAGTTCGCCACGTCCGGCGATGAAGTCACCGGCGTTTCAAGCATACCAATGAACGGATCACCATTGATCGGTTTAATGATTTGGACTTTATCGGAAGAGGCCAAAACGACGGAACGTCTTCTGTGAAAGAAAAGAAAGCACGCGTGATCGCGGTCAGTTTCGAACGTTTCGCTTACGCGGTGGTGATAACAGGCCAGACGTTCGATTGAAGAACATGGTACTCGACGAAAATAATCTTTTTTGCTACCTACCGCGAATTATTCGTCACGCTCACGGGCGCTCGCGAGCGTCTCTCATGTCGCAAAGACTGCGGCAACCAAGCGAAAGAATCGTCGTTAGTGTCGTGCGAGCTATGTAAAACGCTGTGTAACAAAGCGCAAGTACGACGAGTCACGAAATTTTCGATGAACACGTTACACTCACCTTTCCTTCGAGGATGGCGCGCGCGCCGAGCGACACGTTCACGGTTCGGATCATGTTGAGGTCGAAACTGACGATAGATACGGTTTTGCTCGAGATCGCGGCCGAGCGATCGCGCGAGATACGGAACTTTCCTCGTATTATGGCGCTCCTACATGGGGGTCGTATACACTTGTGTAATGTGTGCTGGTAGTGGACACTGGAGATGAACGGAGATGAACACAATCCTGTATTGTAGTGGTGCTAACGTCTATCTACACTACACGACCTAGCATACATATATAGACTATTGCGCGTATGAATATGCATCAGACAAACACGCACGGCATCCATCGCGACTTATAAACCCAGGTTAATCATTATCACTTTCCCGGGCCTTATACGTGCGCGCCGTCGAAGTGCTAATAACTCGCGACGACGCCACAACGCGCGCGTGGCGATCGAGACCCCATACATTAGAGCCTGGAAAGTAATACATACTGATAAATAGCGAAATAAATAACAAAATATAGCGCACCAGACGAAAGTGCAGCCACGCAGTCGTCGCCATTTCATTTTTCACGAAAAAGAAAAAAAAGAAAAAAAAAGAAAGAGATGTCACTCAATACGGGGATCGAACCCGCGACCCTCAGCTTAGGAAGCTGACACTCTATCCACTGAGTTAATTGAGCGCTTGTTCGCCGAAAAACCCCCTGCTATAGATATGAATCGCGCGCACGGTGCGCTATTTATTGTACGATCCGCGCCATTGTGGCGAAAAGACACTGTGGCCGAGTGGTCTAAGGCGCCAGGTTCAGGTCCTGGTTCGAAAGAGCGTGGGTTCAAATCCCACCGGTGTCAACTTTTTTTGACTTTTTACTTTTTCAGTACTTAGTACAAGATTTGTACACATACAAACGCAATGCGTCAAGGAACTATGGAAACCCGGCGCGACAGCACGAGAAAAAACAAAGGCCCGTTCCGTTCGGAACGGGCTCTCTACAGACGCTGTAGCCCGCGCGGGTCCGCTGTTCTACTCTTCCTTACTACACACTCCTAGCGATGCTACACGCGGTTTACGTTTCTCAAGTGGATGATGTATTATCTCGAACGAGCGCGCAAGCGAACTTGTTCGATCCGTGCTCGTGGAGAGCGACAGCGTCTGATGTGCCCAAACTAGAACACTCCCTTGACCTGACGCGACGTCTTTTGTCGGCGGCGAAAGTATGTATAGGTAGGAAAGAAACGGCGCTCCAACTTCAGGTAGAAAGGTGTGCACATCAGAGCAAGGGGTCTCAACGAGCATGGGCAACCCTCGAGAGCATCCGCTCACATCTATCAACACAGGGATCCCAAAGCTTGAAGGTGCCTGTAACATGTCATGAAAGTCCGCTAGACTATCTTAAAAGCGTCGCTCGGTCTTATGAAGAAGAGCTGAGGGCTTGCGAATCGACATTGGGTAATTTGTTTCTCGTGACTCCGGCGGGTGAAGTGGATTTGGCGAAACAGGACTTCACTTTATATTCGCTGCTGAGCGCTTTTGAACAAGCACTTTCAGCTACACATGTAAAATTACGCGAAGCTACGTGAAAGATCGATGAATTTTATAATAAATGACATCACATAATGTGCACCTCAATTGTTGAGTGCGTGGCGAGGACTACAGAAGTACTTCTCAGTTGCATATCATGTACTGTGTCGTCAAAACTGCAGTTTGCTCAGAATTTTGGGACAGAGGGTGGCCTCACCGGTCTCAAGCTATCCGCAGGAAGAGGGAGAGTCTCCCCCCCGGGAACATTGCAGGCATCTATTTCCAAGTATTCTGATAGAACTTGACGCCAAATGTAAGTGGAAAGTTGCTTCGCCTCGTCCATGTCCTCGCCAGCAGCTATTTCTTTTCGCCACTCTCCTGCATCTGAAACGTCGATTTCCTCGCCCAAAGATAAGCCAACTCCGGTATAGTTGACAACACGTTTTTCACCAAGCTCCTTTTCTGTAGTGGCAGGGGGAGGCATTATATCGTATGTAGCCATAGCCAAAGGATAAAAATGTGTAAGCGCAGACGTTTTCTTTGTCCCAAGTTTACGCATCATCTCAACTGCTTGGGGATCAAATTCATCTGGAATTAAGGTACCATCTGGCTTGCGCCGATCCCGACCACCTGCAGGTGCGATCCATATCAAGGCACCACCTTTGTTTAACAACAATTGCATTTCTTTCAGTGTGGTGAGATTTTGTTTCATTTGTGCTGATTTTTTTGCCGCATCTTCGTCCATGTGCTTTTTTGAAACAACGCACAACAAATTTTTCCCCATGCTGAAAGGTTTGGCGAGCAGATCACTCACAACGCGTCCGCCTGCGACATAAATGACTTGCTCGCCAAGGCCCGGGTGGGACACTTCGGTAAGGAGCGGGATAAAAGCAGCGTCCCCCTCGCTCTGATGATTTCCCAAAAATACGACATTTTCACCGGCTTCTAGCTGTTGTTGCACCTTTGACCACCTTGATGAATACCGAAGGATTGATCGGTCGAAGTCGATCAACGAGCCGATGTATGCGTTGGCCATCTGATAGTAGTCAAAAGGCTCGCGAATTGCTCGGTGAAAAGAAGGGAACGTATACGACTCTCCAAGAAGTTGCTCTGCGTAAGCCTTAATCATGTCTTTGAATATACTCGTGACGGCAGTGGCAGCTCGATCGTCATCACCTAAAGCCACTAATAGCTGACTTTTATAACTAGATAAGAGACCATCGAAGGTACCGCGAATCTTTGAAGGAAAAGCCCGTGATAGAAGCCTCAAACCCGCTTCTCCTGGAGCCAAATCTACAACAGCTTTTGCAACATTTACTTTCAAAGTCTTCAAACTGAAGGAAGGATTTGGATTCGCTGCTACGATACCCCTCTGTCTCGCACGACGGACTCCAGTGCACTGTATAGAACGCTTGCTCGCACCGAGGCTGATCTGCATTCGTCTATGCTCAGTCAATGAATACTTCGTAGCCAACATCGCTTTGATGCTTTCGACCTGTCAATCGTTACCGGCTCGCACGTGTTGACTTTCGTCTGATTCGACTGACGCGTCTTCACAGCCTCCCTTCCGCCGTAGACCTCCAGTTGGACTGGAACCACCCAGGGTTTTGAGAAACCTTGGGTTTGTAGGTCGCGTCGATGTCGTGCGTGCTTATTCATACGCGCGGAGTCTAAGAGAATTGAATGTACATAGCTCGGGGTCATTCTTGAGTCATAACTCGACAAATGTGCTCCACAAAACTCACCTGGTGGCGTGTGAAAACATCCGCTCATAACATAACTGCCCTCCCCGAACACCCGGAAAAACCTTTTTTCAAAATGCCAAACTGGTGACAAAAATTTGAATTGAACTGTCAAAACTGTGTCGTGCTCACGGCGTGTCGACATAGGTAGCGCCCCACTCGTGGTGTACGCCTCTTCTCGTCAATAAATAAATTGAATTGTTTGAGACCGACGCCCGTACTATCAGCGGGCGTATGTCGAAGTACAGTGAAGCGCACCTGCTAAGTTTGGTCTCAACGATCGGTGTTCGCACCACGCGGGGAGGATACCGAAAAGATCCAGAATGTGATGCATCGCTCCAGGACATTACACGCTTCCTACAAAAAGATTCTAGCGAAAGGGGTGTCTTCCTTCAGCTAATTGCGTGGAACGTGCTGGGGAAAGACTTATTGCCGCTTCTTGGAACACACTGTGGCGAGCTGTCGACGTCCTTTCTTGTGGTGAAACTTCTTGTCTTCTTAACACTTCCACCTGAAAAAGAAAGTACGAATTTTATAGCACAAAATCAAGCTCTGAATTCCACGCTCCGTGTCCTATTGGATCACGCCTGTATATTCCCCAAGTTGATGTTATTGGTCTCTGAAGCACTTGGGAAGTTGGAAACTGGCAACCTGGAAAATGGCGAAACATTGACTAAAATTCTACAGTTAACATTCACGCTCGTACGGAACTTACTACTCATAGCGCGTTCGCACAGTCTCGTTGGTTCTAAGAGCAGTAACGTGCGCCATGAACTTTTTCGACTGCTACTCAAGTGTCAGTTTATGGAGGTTCTTTCCGCAGTAATTCAGGATGCATGTGTTTCTCCAATAAACAATGACCTTCCTCTTCTTGTTGAAATCTTCGCTTTGATCCTCTGCTTTCATGAAAATGATTCCAATACCAGTACACACCTGAATATGGGAACTCATAGCGCCAAATCTGCACAATGGTCGCGAAAGTTGAGTAAATTCGGCATTTCAAAGGCTGTGAAGGGCGCTGTGCGGGGGGGGTTCAGTGGTGTTTACGTTAAGCATAGCGAATACGCAGAGTCTGAAAGGCTTCTTAGAGGAAATCCAATCGAAACACACTATATGTCGCGCGCCTGCGGTATTTTGATCCCTTCTACATCTTCTACATCAGAACTCCAACCTTGGCAGGTCGGCTTATTGACGAACCTGTCGGCTCCTGTTGTCAACCAATTTTTATTCTCAGCTTGGGACGATCTGAAACGAAGTAAACAGATGATGATATCAAGTGTAGAGCATACCATACGATGTACAAATTATGTCCAGCTTTGTTTGTTTTTCGTAGATATATTCCATTCTAAATTGGCTTCTGGTACTGCCGAAGAAGTAGTGCTCAAGAATCCAGTAGCGAGTATCTTGTGCGCTGACTTCCTCATATGGATACAAAAGGAGTGGTTCGAGTTCGAGCAAAATAAATCGTTACAAGAGTGCATTCCGTTGATTGAACTACTCGCTTCCATAGCGACAACGTTGAAATCTTTGCAAGTTAAAAGTGCAGATTCTACAGTGCAACTCGCCTGCAAAGCGATGCGCAGTGCATATGTACACGGAGAGTCAAAGCACGAATTTGTTCGTTTGCTACGCACTCGCATCAAGCAATTCAAGTGGCTGAGTATGCCGGCACCCTATCTGCGTGCACTTTTTCTGCTTCACGGTGCCATTTACGAACTGCTCGCAGACGACAACCCGAACTCAGTCAGTCATGACGTACGAGAGCAGTTGCGAGAGTTCCTCGTAGACCGTATTATCGTCGAAAATCACGTTGGGTTAATGTACAGATGCGAGTCTAGGAACGAGCGTGAGACGAAGTATCGGGTTGAGTTCCTGAAGCAACTGGCTAGTTCAACCGTTTTTCGTCTGAGCACCCTCTTGAGTCTTCGACGGCTTGAGAAAGGACATCGAGACATCTCAACTGCGAGCAAAGAACTGTGTTTAAAAGCTGTGAAGCAACTGTGTCGGGACGGTGTACGCAACCCAGAGGGTTGGAAAGGTTCGGTATTCATCAATCTTCTCGCTTGGTGAGCAGACGATTGACGGCAATTCGGTGGGGTGTGAGTGTAAGAAAGCGCAACACGTCAGTGTGTGTTAGTTGCCTATATCAAGCATCGCGAGGCGAACAGTGTCTTACGTAGATCGTGGATAACAATAACAGTTGTTTTGTAAAGTAGCGCTACTAATTTGCTTCGAAATTGATCGTAAAGAATTAAACTGATCGCATCTTAGGCGGCGATGCCACTTTTTGACGCGATGCGAAGAGCGTTCGAGCGCATCAGTGAGGCAACAGTATTGGCGAGGAGCTTCGCATCGTCCAACGGATTGCCCGGCACAACAGTTTTGTACAGGTAGGAATCGAAAGTCATCTTCTGCACGTACTCATCCGCGCACATTTCAACGAAGGCTTCACGCGCCGGATTAGAGCGGTAGAAGACTTTCTGCAAAATGTCAAGAACCTTGTACGTCGCCCAGTACTTGCGATCCCACTTGTCAAGGTAAACACGAAGATCGGTCTCGCCAATTTCCTTCGTTCCATTCATCGATTGTTCGACAACGGCCTCGGCTGCCATACGACCTGACTTGGCCGCGAAGTAAATACCTTCGCCACTGCACTTCGTGACGTAGCCTGCTGCATCTCCAACCAACGCGACACGACCTTTCACTCTGTTCGGTCTCGGATGTTCCGGGATCGGGTGCGCCTCCACACGGATAATTTTACCACCCTCGCACTTTTCCTCGGCTCTGTTGCGCATGGCAGTCTGATATTGCTTAATGGCAGTCTTGTTCACAACCGTACCAGTCCCAACCGCAACGTGATCGTACTTCGGGAAAACCCAACCGTAAAAATCTGGCGACACGTCGTCGCCTACGTACATTTCAGCAAGGTCTTTATAGTACTCCATCTTTGCATCCGGAATCTTAATGCGTTCCTGGAAGGCGATGGCGTAGTCATATTCACCTGCGTCGATGCACTTGGCAACGCGAGAGTTGGCACCATCCGCGCCGATGACGACGTCAACCTCAAGCGTTTTGGGAACGCCAGTCTTGCTTTCTTCTTCGTAATCGTTGTACTGGACCATGATAGGGCCGTTTCCTTGGCCGGGATCTTCGATTTTCATGAAAAGACCGTTGACAAGGTTCGCGCCTAGGCTCTTCGCGCGTTTGCGCAGGAAGTCATCCATGACTTCTCGACGGCACATACCGATGTACTCCTTGTCGTTCAGAGTTTGTCCGACATCCACGGCACGGTTCGAAGGCGAGATCATCTTCATTTTAGTGACCTTACGGTCGATGATTTCTTCCGGCAAGTCGAATTCACCAACCATGCACAGCGGGATGGCGCCACCACAGGGCTTGCAGTTGTCCATCTTGCGCTCGATCAGGAAGGTCTCGCATCCACCCTTCGCCAGAGTTTCAGCGGCGCAAGCACCGGCAGGACCACCACCGATGACAGCGACACGCAATTTCCGATCAGTTAAAGGGGCACCAGACGCTGTGACCACATTTCGTGGCGTCACACGCGCCGTCGTGCGCGAACGCGACAGCTTAGGTTCGTGCAACTTCGCGCTCAGGCTGTTCTCGGGGAGGATAACGTTAGTCTTTTCGTGCATCACGAAGGCAGCAAGCAAACACTGCGCCAAAAATCTCCCTCATCGTTGTTTAAAAATAATTCGGGATCTAACCATTTTGCCGTTTCTGGATTGCATGACCGCACGCGTGCGGTTTCGAGTCGAGTGTGAGTTCCGTCGTCACGCGCTACGAACATCGAGTACAAAAAAGAGGCTGGGTTTCCAGGGGCGATGCACCAATCTTACCTTCGTTCAACGCATGTAGTTCGAGTATTCAATGTGAACATGATTTCACTTTGACAGGAGGCGCCGACGCGTACAGTGATGTTCACCGTTCTCGACGCTTGTCTAAGGATCAAACATAGGATAGCGCTCGATCTAGACGAGATCTGAGAGCTCAGGAGCTATCGGTCGTCTATGAGAAATTCGGTACAATATACGCGTACGTTCGCAACAACAAAGAGCCGTTACGGTTCATATACTGATGAGGCTATTAGGTAATAAAAATTAAAGAGACTCATAAACATAATCGCATATCTGTACGCGATACGACGCTGGTGATCGCCGACGACACCACTTCGTACCCGCGCAAGCCATCGTGTGTAAAAGTTCACGAATAACATGTTTACTATCTCGTCTGTGATTTCCACGCCGTGCAACGTCGTGCAGCGACGATCTGGTACGTGTGCGCTGTCTGCGAAAAGATACGATCGCGTTGTTAAGCGCGCTATAACCAGAACTGACAAGTCGTTTTCCCACCGACAGTCAAGAAGCAAAATGCCACTACCAAGCGATCAGGTGCGTCGAAAAATATCCATTTGCATACGTTGTGTGTTTCGTACTTTTCTTCGCGCGGACTTTTTGACATCTACCATACTGACTTGGCCGCACAGTGGTCACTATGAGCGCGACTGCACCGCAAGAAATGGGTAAACGAGTTGCTGGCTCCTTTGCGCTCTCTTCTATGGTTAATGTACTTCCGGCGCTCGCGATCGTAAGTATTGATATGATTCCTTTCACACGTATTATCCTTCAACTTGAACGCCGTAGGTTGACGATCGACTGAACGGTGACGGTACTGGCTTGCCTCTCGGCATCAACGACGGCGCCTTGGGCATCATTTTGGCGACCGTTCCGCTCGCCATCTTTGGCCTCTACTTTATCGCTGGTAAGCAAGATGCTTCCATTGTAGCTGGTGGCAAGGACGATGACAGTGGGCTCTCGTTGTAAGCTGATAGTCCTTATGAGCTCGGACAATGAGCGAGCGCCATGTGCAGCTTTAAGAGCCCGTCGAGTCCCTCTCTCACGGCTTTTAATATTGACAGAAGATTAAATTTCAAAACAATCATCACATGAAGTCTACGACCTATCTGAAGCTCCCTAAAACTCGCCAAGCTTCGGCCGTAGTGTACACCAACCTTACCGTTCGAGACTGGAACTCTAGCCCAAGTGAGGCTGATTGCCACGCAAACCTTGAGTGTAGAGGTTGTCGTGTCGCATGCCGCGAGATGTTTGCAAATCTGAGGATTCGTTGGTTGGTGTTCATAACAAATTGTCGCTAAGGAACGTCCAACATAGACGAGGTGCGTTCTGGTGCGATGTATTTTTACCTCTCGCTGGAACAACATGAAAAATGACGTGTCGTCGGATAATCGCTTTTCTTCTACACGCCGACTCATACATTATAACCAGAGTCACTTTTACAATGGAAAACGAGACGAAGCAGTCGTCTTACAGTCCAGACGCATACATAGGTATGCCCGAAGCCTTGACAGCCACGTCTGTGGGGTGCTCAATGATAGCGTCTATAAGGCCATACTCAACGGCTTCCTTAGCCGACATGAAAAAGTCTCGATCGGTATCTTCCATCACCGTCTCAAGTGGTTTCTTGGTAAATTCAGCGAGGTAGCCGTTCAGCGTTGACTTATGATGCATGATTTCGTTAGCTTGTATCTCAATATCTGCGGCTTGACCTTGTGCACCACCAAGAGGTTGGTGAATCATGATCCTACTGTTCGGAAGGCTGTATCTTTTGCCCGGATGACCAGAAGCAAGAAGAAACGCACCCATAGATGCCGCAAGACCCACACAAACCGTAGAAACGTTGGGACGAATATGTCGCATTGTATCAAACACCGCCATTCCTGCTGTAACGGAGCCCCCAGGTGAATTTACGTACAGTGTAATGTCTTTCGTGGGATCTGCAGCATCTAACCAAAGAAGTTGAGCTACGATTAAGTTGCAGCTATCGTCATCTACTGCACCGCCGAGTCGAATAATACGCTGCGACATGAGTTGGCTGGCAACGCTTTGAAACCTTTCCAGCACAATAGGCGATGGACCCTTGCCCTGTTGGTTGCTGACATAAAGCCCTGCTTTAACTCGAGTCTGTAAGCCTTGGTGCTTTGAGCGATCTATGCGCGCAGATGATGATCCAACGCCACTGGGAGCGAAAACAAAAAAGAGCCGTTAGTACTTCCCCTGTAGGGTTTCACGCGTGTGCCGCCTTTAATTTGCCAACAAAAGGGGTGCACCGCTCACGACCGTATGCTCGAACGACGAAAACTACACCTATAGCGTACCTAGAGTGCTGCGTCTTGAAACGGTATAAAGATCGAGCTTGCATTGTGAAAAATAACTCGGGGATCCTGTCGCGAAGAGTTCGGCGAGTATGCAGCCAACCTTGTTGAGTTGATGCAAGAAGTGCAGGATGTTGAACCTGAGAAACAGCTGTCGCGTCAAACGACGGACGAAGGAACTGTGGCTGAGTATTCGCGTGAGCGTTTTGACGCGCGTTGCAAGTTCAGCGAAAGCTGTCGTTTCCTCGAAGACGTCAACGCACGCGCCAGACCCACAATAAACCGTGGAGATACTGATATATGCAATACACGCTGTTAAGTATGTGCGCGTTTATGAAACATCATTAATACACCATGATATAGAACCGAATGTTTTCATCGTTATCCGCTTCCTCAGCTTAGCTCACGTCACATTCGATACTTGTACTTGCCGCACTGACGCACGCGCACACGTTGTGCCCACGGGTGATTAGATCGTGTACCATCGTGAATAATTATTCGGATATTATTTAAACAGACGAGCGAGTTCAACATGTCGATGTCCGCCGCTGTTTCATACAGTCATCAACACGTAAACGGTGAGACACGTGCCTGCACGCGAAGTTTTCTCGTCACGTGCGAGTTTGACGCGATATTTGTTTCACTCAAGCATCCTCATTTTTTTGTTCGTTAGATCGTCACGCGTGAGGCTTTCCCATTGCGTTCTTTTCGCACAAGCGGACACGCGAACACATCGCTCGCAACCTTATCGACAGAACTCGGGCGACTGACGGTTTTCTTCTACGGTACAGCGCTCTGTAGATGGAGCCGGGGATATAAGTACGCCCCGTTTCGAACTGATCTTCGAAATTTTTCTCAATTTGTTTTCAGGAACATTCAAGGCACGCGTGGCTGCCGCGTGCAGCAGACACTTCGCCCTAAAGCCGGTAAGAGACCCTGTAGTGTCGGCATAGAATATTGACTTACTCACTCTTGACGTAGTTTCCAACGATTCCGAGGTGGAGGATAGTACCGCTAGACCTGTATATCCCTTCTGCGCTATCATTGGCCAAGAAGAGATGAAGTTCGCAGCGCTGATGAACATCATCGATCCGAATATCGGCGGCATCATGGTGATGGGCGATCGTGGGACTGGGAAGTCGACGACAGTCCGTTCGTTGACTGATTTACTTCCATACATCGAAATCGTGAAAGATGATCCGTTTATGAGTAGCCCTACGGATCCGAACTTGATGTCTCCCGACGTTTTATCGGCATATCGGGCCAAGCAACCGCTCGAGACTTCCTTCGTTCCTATCAATATGGTTGACTTACCCTTGGGTGCAACTGAGGATCGCGTATGCGGGACGATCGATATCGAGAAAGCGTTAACTGAGGGGACGAAAGCCTTCGAACCTGGTCTCCTCGCCAAGGCGAATCGCGGAATACTGTATGTTGATGAAGTCAACTTACTAGACGACCACCTTGTTGATGTTTTGCTTGATTCGGCAGCGTCGGGCTGGAATACAGTGGAGCGCGAGGGAATCAGTATATGTCACCCGGCTCGTTTCATCCTCATTGGTTCCGGTAACCCAGAAGAAGGCGAACTGCGACCCCAGCTTTTAGATCGCTTCGGCATGCATGCACAAATCAAGACTGTGAAACTGCCAGAAGAGCGGGTCAAGGTTGTCGAAGAGCGGACTGCATTTGACACGGATCCGAAGTCGTTCCGCGCGGGATACAAGGCAAAGCAGGACGAAATCATAGACCAGGTGACTCGGGCGCGCGCCTTGTTACCGGAGGTTGAGGTTCCCATGGAAATCCGACTGAAAATTTCCCAAGTCTGCGCTGAGCTTGACGTCGATGGCCTCCGTGGTGATCTCGTGACGACTCGCGCATCACGTGCAGCTGCAGCCTTCCGAGGTTCCAAGGTAGTGACCGACGAAGACGTTTATTCGGTAGTGTCGCTCTGCCTGCGTCACAGGCTCCGTAAGGATCCAATGGCGACTATTGATGAAGGCTCTCGAGTTATTGATGTCTTTTCATCTGTGTTCGGTTACGAAACGGACTGAGACGCATCACATTAAATTTACAATCTTGAGTTTATAATGAAACTATTCAACGAGAGATTAATTTTCAGACCCGTCGCATCGTTCTTTTAACTTCCTTGGATCGCTATTGTATGTAGACAATGCCCTCGCCTAGACTACTTTTTTGCCTTTGAGCAACACACTCAGTGAGCCACATCAGGTTGTTTATTTCGTTCTCCTGAAACTTTACGAAAGCATAAAAGATAGCGAAATTGAATTGCTCATCGAGTGCTTGTCCACATGCTTCCAGTTCGAGAACGCGTAGTCCCTGCAAATCGTTAAGTCTTGTGATACAAAAAAAGAGACTGCGTACCCTGTCAATGTAGTGGGGATCATCACTTTTCGTCAACTCTCTGAATTCTGGATAAGCTACTAGTATGCGTTTCACTTCATCTACCGTTTCACAATTCGCAAGACGCGCGAAGCCATCGGGGTACATGGTGCCAAAATTCGTATAAAGATTTCTTCGATCAGCCTTGGAAAGCTCTGTTCCGAAAGAGTTCAGTGTGATTCTTATCGCGTGCCGATCGGCCTCCATGCTAAGTAGTTTCTGGTAGGAGTACTGATCAAAATGCCCGTCATTTAGTGGTGTCATTTGCGTTACCTCCATCAATTGACGTGTGTTTTGATCCATTTTGTTGCAGAAAACCATGAAATCTTGCAAATATTCCTAGAGCAGACCTCAGGCGTCACTTCGTCAAAATGCAACCGGAACTTTACCTTGTATAGGACGTTCCGTATGAGCTCAATATTTAACTCATCCAGATCTTCTGCCTTAATCGAGCTACTGAAATAAGAGGCAAGCGGTGTATCCACGAGAGCTAGTCTGTAGAGTTCTCTACACAGTACTACAATCATCTGAGCTTGTTTGTCAAAATGAAGGAGAACTCACTGGACACTACTCGACACGACAACCGCGGATAAAGAATCGAAAAAACCAATGGGGCTACACTTCTCAAGTATTGCCTACAGCAGTTGAGACAGGTTTTCGTTGAAAAATTGACTGCGTACCTCTGTGGTACGTCCACGAAGCATGCCATTTAAAGCCAACACAAGATTATCGATCATGTATCCGTACGTCAAATACTCCAAAAAATTGGACAAAGGGGAAGAAGCCTATGGCAATTGTTGGCTATCTTCAGGAATAAGATACGTTACAAACCTGCTGACAGCAAATATTAAACTCTGCGATCTGTCTCTTTCTGCAGCATTCAATAATGTCAACCGGTCTCACTGGCGCTTGAAGATCACGAACATATTCTGAATAATCACTCATCGTTTGCTGTTTATTGTCAATCGCTAACTTTCAGCGCAACTTAGAGTGCATACCAAGTACGTCTTGATGTCTTCCAACGTGTCACATCGAGAAAGTTCGGCGTAGTTCTGTTTGGTGAGTCGTTTGGTCTGACATCCCCTCACGTGTGCCTCAGAAAAACCGTTCTTCGCGTTGAACATGTTCTGAGTAGTATGCCAAATGTGATACGGCCTTTCGACAGGCGCCCTACGTCGCCGTCGGAACGCCGGTCAATCGAATTTCCTCGATTTTAGCTTTTTGTACAACTCAGCAATCGGTGTGTGCTTGATAGGCTAAAATATTTGCGTTTACCGAAGCGGCAGCGGCAGAGATTGTACAAAAAAACAGTCGTGATGTCTGTCAGTGTACCGCAAAAAAGGACCGCGCGCTGCGATTTTCGTGCGCCGACGAACGCGCAATACGTCAGAACGTATCCAACGAACGAAAGTCTCGCTGCGGCGGTGGTGGACATGTCGCATACAAATGTGGACCAGACATTTCAGTTGAAAAAGGTAAGTGCTGTTAAGATCGGGAAAGAAGTCGCTCACAAGAAAGTAGTGGTCAGCTGTTGCTGTTTGGTCTTGGTCCATCTGTACAGATACATGTGCTATCTGTAGGAACAGCCTACATGAAGCTAGTATAGAATATCAAGCAAACCCTTCTGCTTCATCAGACGAAGGTCTGAGCATTGCTTGGGGCAACTGTGGACATGTTTTCCATCTGGACTGTATTTCGAAATGGCTTCGGACGCGTAGCAACTGTCCACTTTGTGTACGTGAGCTTTATTTTCTTATCACAACGCTTACATTTTCTCAGAACAAGGAATGGGAGTTTTCGAAGATGGAAAAAGTGAGTTACAATTTTGTATCACTCTCAAAGCTTTCGTGCTCATAACATTGTGCAGATTCAATTACCAGCACTTGGGCTTGACAGATGATTGTTCCTACGAAGCCGCTCACACCAATTTGAAAACATCGCCGTGCTCATTTCCATAGATGCGCAGCTAAAGCACCTTATTAGCGTTAGTTCAAGATTTGATATCTCCGGTTGTAGTGAGAGAAAGCCCTGTATGTTAGCGTGAGAAGTCTCTCTGTTGTGTGTTCAGGGCCACCTACCAGTCCGTCTATGTCTTCTAGCTTCTGTTCTAGCTTACGAAAGCTTTGTCGCAATTTTTGTTTTCTAAGTGACAAGATATCCTCCTGCTTAAAAGTAAGATAGCCGCCACAATCAGGCGTACTCGAACTTACTAAACTGGATGCCATCCCACTTTGCTGCGGCATATCCTCTAACCAATACTTTGAAACTGTACGTGCCTGTTCGACATAACATCGCGGCAAAATCTGCGAGTAGCTTAGCTTGTGCGATAGAATCTAGTGTAGAGACGAAACCTGAAGTTGCTTCGCATCTGTCTTTTCTCTCTCTTGAGTTGCCAATATATTCTCTAGTTTAAACCAGTCATCCAACTCGATGGTACAACTACCACTTTGTTTCAAGGCGAGTGCCACCCAAAGTGGTACAACAACTGGTACGTTTGGTCTAAACGGTCCGTACTGCATTGAACGCGTCAGTCTCCCCTCTCTCTCTCTCTCTCTCTCTCTCTCTCTCTCTCTCTCTCTTTTTCTCTCTCACTCTTTTCGCGAACCTTACCTCAGCAGTTACAAGTTGATCGCGCTGTATGCAGAAAACGTCGTTCGCTGTTAACGTAATGAAGTAATCCGGACGGAAATATGCTTACCTCGCGTAAAAAATGTGGTGTTATTTCGACCAGTATATCTTGTGATATGAAATCCGTTTCCTACCGGGGAGTCATACGCCTGAGCTTGCAGAACGCGAGAAATGGGTACGCACTTCGTATGTAAACGTCGGACGTGTTGACATCTCTGTCTGTGTCTCTGTGTCTATATCCTTTCTCTCTTGTTTTCTTCCTCTGTGTCGAGGTCGAGGTGCTGCCTTCAATGGCTGTACGCAGACCTTGTTCAGGCTTCGTACTGACGAGCCGTCGATGCAGCTAAGTTCGAATTTTTCAAACGAACGGACATGCTTCTCGAGTTCTCGATGTTGCGAATAGATTTTCATAACTGTGCTATATTTCGCGGATTTATATAGATAGTCACACAAGTACAATACAGGACTAGTAAGTACAATTTGCCACTATTGCTATTTTTCACAATTCAGCAGTTTGCCGGGAGACCGGCTATGCCCAGGACAGGCCGACGCGTTTCGCACTTGCTTCTCTCTACTAGAGCAAGTTAAGATATGCTTGATACCCCTGCATGAGAGGGTGATGCATGCTTTCGTCCTTTCCCGACCGGAACGACCAAGTTATTGCAAAGTTCGACAAACTCGACGGAGTCCAAGCGCAACTGCTTTCTCGAAAAAAGTAGCAACATCACTAAGTGTGGAAGATGTTGACGCCATCAAAAGTATTTTAAATTACAAGCATTCGGTGAAGTAAGTTACTCATATCCGCCGCCGATCTTGGATATTCTCAATACCTAAACTTTTTCTGTTAGACTCGAGTGCGCACAGTTCACAGAAGGCTTCTGCAACCAAGTTTTCAAGGTATCCGATACGAAACGGCGCTACATTATTTAAAAACTAAAATTCACATCTGCACAAGGTCTCATGTGGAGGCGAAACCTTTGTAGTAAAAAAGTACAGCAAGTTGTCAAAACTGCGCTGTGACTTACTGAGGTAGGCGTGAAGTACACAGTACATTTCAACTGTCTCAAGAGCGCGCAGTTGCATCGAGATGCATAAAACTTTGGCAGAACGTGGCATTTGTCCGCATTATATTTCACACGCCGATGATATCATCGTTACTGAGTACTTGGATGGCCGAGTTCTCCGAGAAGAAGATATGAAGGAACTTTCGTTCTGCAAGTCAACTGCTAAATTGTAAGCACACTCTCGAATCTTTGAACAAGAATGTTAAATCTTTTGTCACAATATCGTAGAATAAGTAGGCTGCACTCAGTGCACGTAGAGGGTGAATCATTTGAGATCTTGAAACCTTTACTTCCCCTGACTTGTGAAGGACGTGAGCGGGCACTCATATGGAAATGGTTTCATCAAATGCTGATGCAGTTGCGACCACTTGAGGTAGTGTCGAAATCCCCGGATGTTAATGAGACTAAGATTTTCAAAGGGGGGCATGATCGCTGGTGTTGGGGTCAAGGTGCGGCGCAAAGCGCAAAGTACCAGTTGGTGGTCGCTCAAGTTGACAAGTTGACATTGCTTTAGGAATTAGAGGATGAAGTGTTCAAAGTGGAATCTTTCTTCAAGGCGTGTATATGAGTGTCCAAAATTCAATAGTATCTCACAAAATATCCAGAGCGTTCACTTACCTATCTGTTTCTGTCACGGTGACCTGAAGCCATCGAACGTAATCTACCAACAGGACCGAAACTTCAAGGTACACCATAAACTTCACGTTGAAGTCACTTACTTACACCTCATACCTTCGTTTCACTAAAGTTGATCGACATTGATTTAGCCGGCCCAAATTATCGTGGATTCGATACAATGAAATTGTTTCGAACTACGAACTCCTTCTACGATGAAAGTTTGCTATCATTTTTGCAAGAGTACCAGGCGGAAAAGAATTCAGAAATGAACGTTGAAGGTGTTCTATTTCTGCTTGTAGTTAGGATTAGATTAACACCTCTGCAGGACTATTTTATGAGGCTCAAATGTGCGAGGCACTCACATGGCTCGAGGTAAGCTGCTTGCACTCGAACTATTAAAGACGCAATCGCCTATTAAGTATTCCCGAAGGCAGCTTTATTTTTCGCAACACTAGTTCCCATGAATGGAGAGACGTCTCAAAGAAATCTTTCCCTATTTGAAGATAGGTGGTTACATTACAAGCAGACACAGTGGAAATTTGTTTACTATGGAAAACTTCTCAAGGACATCGGTTAGTAGGTGTGGTCGTTGCCTGGATCTTTTTCACGCTTCGCTCCTGCATTCTTGCAAAATGTCTCGTCTTTCAAAGACTAAACCAGCTCTTACTCGTTATTTCCTCGAATTTCTCGACAGCGTAAATGAAAACACCCTCTGCGCTTGTCTCCTCTTCGTTCTGGTCTAATATTAATGCTATCATATCACCTGCCTCCAGCTCAACTTCATCATTTGCGCCGAGCGTCTGCCATGCACCACCGGCTAAAGCGACACCAGACACATTCTTCGTGTGCAGACCTTTCACCAAAGCCACGCCGGTTTGAATATTCGCTATAATACTTAGCTGCTTATGTGAAATGCGCTTTGATTCACAACCACCGTGCCCACGTCCAATTGTTTGAGGCCCACCGGTGAGGTAAACGTCTGTTCTATCGGGTGCGACAAGTTTACATTTATACTTCGGCATACTTGCATGCTTGGTTGGTTGTTGGATTGATACCGTGTGCTGATTTACTCCTGCTGCTGCCAAATCACGACTCATGTGGTGCGCCAGAGCGTTCAATTTGACGATGTCACGTTGAAGCAACTGAAGGAACTCCTTCATGGATACATTTGGTAGAATTTGTAAGTCGTCGTGTCCGAAAGGCACGCCAACGGTCTCCAAGTTTAGAATCATGTGCTCTAAATGCTGTCGCTCACCGTCATCTTCTATTTTATCGTCTTTGAAAGAATCGTAGATAAAAGCACCGATAATATCAACAACCGTTGTCGCGACAGAGACCATAATGAAGCAGCTCATTATTGCCATCATTGCTGTGTAGAAGTCAGCTTTGCCCATCAGACCCTTTGCACCATACTCCAATTGCACTCCTCTGTACTGCATCACAGTTCCACTTGCAGAGATATCTGATGCTGGTCCGGAGAAATGCACCATGTCTACGCTTGTGACAAAGCTTCCCTCACTGCTCAGTTGAATATTCATATCTGCTTCAGCACTGAAATCGAACGGTTTGAAGTGCGACATCGGACGAAAGTTACTAAAAGTCAAGTCAACACTCAATCGCACGCCCGTCAGCCGATAAATGGGAAAATTCGTGGCGAAAGCGGACGAAACTTCAATCTCGTTTCTTTCGTCCAGCTCGATACCAGCTAATCGCAGGATCTCATGAAGGTACATAATCGGGAATTTCGCCGAGTTATTCGCATCGTTAGAGTAAAATGTTCGAAATGCTGTCGACGTGTGATCAAATACAGCAACCGATTCGGGATAGCCGTTATACCCCCAACTCGTAACAAAACGCGGCCGGATTTGCAGGATTAAGTTGTCTGGATCAAGTGGGAACTGATTAACATCTGTTTGATATGATATGCTGCAACCGACCTGGGTCAAAGCATCTGCACACGATCTTGTAAACATTCTCGACTTCAAATGCGTCGCGATGAACGTAGCCACCTCATCAGTTTCAACCATTTGTGCTGTCGGTATATGAGTGACGCAACTGTTATTTAAATATGAACCTTCCGGTACAAGTGAGTCTCCAGCGAAGTCCGAATATGACGCGTTGCAATAAATTTGATTGAGCATTGCACTATCAGCGAGATTCAAATCTCTCACTGTATCATTGAATATGGTAGACATGTATGCTCGTGGCTTTTCCTTGAGCATGTACGTGTGGGCCCCGATGACTGAAACGAGAGCGTACACAAGAATCGTCACCATGAGCGTCTTGTGAACATAGGCCAGGCGCCTATCGCTTATTTTGACCACCTTAAGTGTCCGATAAGACATCAAGTCATCCCAAAGTTCGGAGAGACCCTCCTTAATGCCTGTATTGTAACAAAAATGTATGAGTTGAAGTGGGAGTGACTGGCGTGAGCGATGGACTTACCCATCGCGAACTCTAGTTAAAAGTTGAACAACGGTAGGACTCTGCAATATGCGTGCTTTACGTGACCATTCGACGGCTCGAATCAGTTCGGTATATGTGCGTGTCTGGCGACTGGCGGGGGTGTTGAGGAACGGCACGCCCGTGTGTTATTTTATTTATTAAACATTCACAGGCACCTGAACTGAAAATTTGCTGCATTGAGAGATTTTTAAGATCTAATAAAATGTAATTACTATTTTAAAGTATCCCGGTCGGGATTCACGTTAATCCAAAATTTGGTTGAATAAGTTGAATAAGTGCTCCTGGTACTCGACGAAGACACAGGTTGAACTATGATATTCGCTTTCATGAATGCTCATAGCAAAGTTTTAGACAACGGCTTCTATCCTGTTCCGAGAAGTTTGCGAATACGGCATCAAGTGCTGATCGCTCGTTCTCTGCGGCAAGTTTCCGTAAATCTTTGATACAAAACACATGTAACTTCGCAAAAGCCATCATATACTCCCTCTGGTGAGGCAAGCCATGAAGGGCAAGCCAAGCACTAAAATGCTTCAGCTGATCAACGATGTTCACTTCATTTCTTGGTGTCGCTAGAATATTGAAGTTATATACACGCTCGGAATCGAGAATTGTTTGTCGTGCACTGCTGACCCAAAGTTTCCTCGCATGTAAATCGATATCCAAAGCTGAAAAGATGCCTCGAAATATAGCAATGATACGAATAATCATGAAAACCTCCGTGGGTATCACATTTATTCTCACACTGCGTAGTTCCGCTGGAAATTCAGAATCTAGTGGGGATACGAGTGCTTCGGGTATATCCATGCGTGTATCAAACAGAATTGAAGCTATGGTCCTTATCAATTTTGGATCATTTATTGTAAACTCAACTTTGAGTGTTTTTAATATTGCGTACAATTGATCCGACTCTTCGTACAATGATACGACAAGATGCGCAAACAGCACTCGTGTTTCATCAGATAATATTTTCACCTGACCAAAATCTATCAGCGCAATGTCTCGAAAATCTCTTAGTAAAATATTGCCCGGATGGGGATCACTGTGAAAAACACCTAAGTTCAAGATTTGAAATCCAAAGCTTGCTAGTAATTCCCTCAAATTGTCTCTAAGATAATCAAGATTGCCCTCCACATTTTTCTTTGAGCTGACTGACGTAAAAGTTGCTAAAGGTTTGCCTTCAATCAAAGTCATAGTCAACACTTGAGCAGTGCAGAGTCCATCGATCGGTGCTGGAACACGAACTTTATGATTAGAGCTAATACGACGACCTAGGACGCTCAACATGCGTCTCTCCCTATTAAAATCAAATTCCAGAGGTACCTGGGTGACGTTAAGTTGAACATTAATACTTGCAGGTGTATTGTGCGTACCTGTGTGGAATATTCTACTAAAATGCTTGTATGATCGAACGGAAGATATACTCGAAGTCGATCCAGTAACCGAGAAACAAAAAGCATGTTGCGTAAATCAAATCGCATCAGCTTTTTGTTTCGAGTATTTTGTACTTTTACAGCGACATGTCGACCGTCTTGCAAGACTGCGCGGTGGACTTGAGCAATAGTGGCTGAGCCGATCGGTTGCAAGTCAAATCGATGAAAAATCTTCGATATTGGAGCGCCTAATTCTCGCTCTACCACTCTCTTGACCTCACCGACGGGCATCGGAGCGCAATCATCAAGAACGCAGCTGAGCGCGTGAACGTATTCTTTTGGTAGTAGATCTGCTTTCGTGGCAAAAACTTGCGCTACCTAGGCTACTTTTAGCCACCAAGTGCATCTTGCAAAGTGAAAGTACCTTCAAGTAGAAACCTGATAATTTTAACAATGTCCTTTTTGTCAAATTTGCGGCCTTGCTATGGCGAGAGTCCCAGCATTCCTAAATCTTGTCATGAATATTGAATATAGTATGGGAAAAGCAACGAGGCACCTTCAACTCCGATATGCATTTCGCGGTTCGTATATCCCTATGTATGTAAGAATCGTTCAAACCATGACGAAAGAAGAGTGTTAATAACGCACCAGACTGCTGTTTTGACGTACCCGCACGTCAACTTGAAAAGGAGATTGTAGAACTGCAAGGTTCTGAATGTTCCAGGGAGTAAAAAGCGAACACATAAACCGAGGAGCTAAAAGAGTAATCTGAATCCAAATGAAGGAGGAATTGACTGTACCAATGTCATACCTCAACATTTAATTGAAGCCTCCATATTATGCTAGTTGATACACCGTGAAACACTCTGCTTAAGAGGGGTACTGGAGTAGTACAACTTGAGTTGTCACATAATATATTTTTTTGCACTGAGCGTGTTTTCACGAGCGCCATTTGTACTGAGCGCAGTAGGTCCTTGCACAGCACTAACTTGAATGGTCCTATGTTGAGTCTGAGAAAGATAGTGTTTCGACTGGAATACTTTCTATACCTGGTGCCCACAACTTAAAAGCTACTAGACTGGTCGTGCGAAGAAACTTGAGTACTGTTGGGCCAGAAAGTCCACCGCGGTCTTCAGTCGGCATCGTAGATGACCACAGAGGATTCAATTGGGTAGCAACTAATTTTGAATTTGATGCTTATGATGTGCTGTGGAGCACCCTGATATCAAAAGTACGCTGGTGACCCTGACTCGCCCCGTCGGACACGTGCAAGAAGACGAACGTTGCCAGTTTCGGTTCGGGGCATCGCTGCGTAATCAGACGATACTTCCGCTTGATTTCAGTTGGGTTGCTATCACAAGACAGTATCGAAGCTCTCGTTGCACGTCGTGTATTCTGTCCGCCGCGAGCCGGTCTTCTCCGTATTCAACTAACTTTGTCTGAAGGTCCTTCACTGAAGGACCTTCAGCAAAGGTATCATACCAACATACTACTACTACTTTTCACCAAGGTAGGAATACTCTATTGTAGATGGCACTAAACGGTGTAAAATACGTATATATCCACGGTTCATGACTCGTCATGTGTGTAGGTACTCTCTAAAGGTGCGATATATAAATTTTTCCAGCACCCTGGGAGACTTAAAGAAGCGTTGTCAGGCCCAGTTCGGTAGTGCGTCGTACCCTCTGCAACACTCCCCCACAAGTGACGACGCGTGTTCGCGAACGCGTCACGCGTACGACATATCATAAGTCTTGAAATCGACCTACACGTAATCCTTCGACGGAAACAGCGGTCATAGCAAACAGCTGTCGTAGCGCTACGCGCATTCCAAAATGTACTTTTGGAACCTCTTTGCAAGCTTCGTGTTTCGTTGCTTTAGTCTCCAGGGAATAATCAACTTTTACGAAAGCTGGACTTTTCGCACATCGCGCGTGCTATCAATTATACTCAGAATCGGGGAGTGTTCCTACGCAACCTTTTTCGACAGTTGCGTTCAGGAGCAACTGGTTTCAGTACGTGTCGCATACAACTAATTGAAATGCAATCACACGAAAAATAGGTAGACGAGCCTTTATCGTCGGCCGAAATCGCCGACTGGGAGAACGCATCTATTGTTGGTCGTGATCGAAGGTAGGTCGTGTCGACTGTTTCTATATGTGTGCTAAATATGCCTAGGCCAAGTCACTGCACCTTATATTCTTTCAGAACTGTGGACGAATGTATATCTTTCTGGAAAGGTGGAGGCCTCTGGAATGAGAGAATTAATTTAGCCAACGTTCAGAACCTGAATGGCACGTGGAAGTTCAAGCTTCTGAAGAATCCACGCGCCATATCTGATGAATTTACACTGTCAAACTTCTCAGACACGTTCTGGGCAGAGATTCCAGTCCCTGCAAATTGGCAATGCAAAGGATGGGATCGACCTATTTACACAAACTTTCAATATCCTTTTCCATTGCATCCACCAGTCGCGCGTACGTCTATTAAGCTAGGTATTGATGCTGGTGTTCTGTGTGAAAACTGCGTGCACGCGACAAATCCGACGGGCCTGTACAGGCGAACCTTCCAGCTAGATATGGACTGGAATGAATCATATGAAAGGACTTTCATCGTGTTTGAGGGGGTCGATGCAGCGTTTCATATATGGATCAATGGTCAACTTGTCGGTTACTCTCAAGATAGCAAAATGACCGCCGAATTCGACGTATCAGATTCTTTGCAAAGCGGGACTAACTTGGTGGTGGTCCGCGTTTATCGATGGTGCGATGGTAGTTACTTAGAGGATCAAGATCAATGGTGGCTCAGTGGAATATTCAGAGATGTTTATTTGTATCGTAAAAGAGCGTCACATATCTGCGATTACTCCGTGCAGACAGAGTGTTGTGATTGGCAGTCAGGCACATGGGAGCTTCGAGTTGGGATTGAAATTTGTGACACCGCCAATGCGTACTTCAACAATGACAATAAACGTCTTCGTGTTCGTCTTTTTGATTCTTCCTTACGTGAAATATCTACTGGAACTACGGACAAGTTTCTTATCCAACACTATTCACCTGATTTTGGTACAACGCAAGAAAAAAACATAGAGGAAGTTAGGCAATATGCAAATGTATGCTTCAACATAAGCAACGTGGCAGAATGGTCGTCTGAGCGTCCAACGCTTTATCTACTTGCCATTATTTTGGAGAGTGAATCTGGAGAGTGTTTAGACTGCGAAGGGTGCAGAGTAGGCTTTCGAACTGTCCAGATTTTCAACAAACAACTATTAGTGAACGAAAAACGAATCACTTTTCAAGGAGTAAATAGACATGAACACTGCCCTGTAGAGGGAAAGGCGGTATCGGAGAAGCTCATGATAGAGGACATTTTGCTGATGAAACGTAACAATTTCAACGCAGTGCGCACTTCACATTATCCGAATCATCCGAGGTTTTATGAGTTGTGTGATGAATACGGATTGTACGTTATTGATGAGGCCAATATTGAGACACATGGGTTTGAGTTTGGCTTACATTCGACGCCATATCTAGCAAATGATCCTGTATGGAGAAATGCATACATGTCCAGAGTATCACGCATGGTACAACGCGACAAAAATCATTGCTCTATCATTATTTGGTCACTTGGCAATGAGTCAGGTTGTGGCGGCGCTCACTTTGCTATGTATTCATGGGTAAAACAAAATGACAAAACCCGTCCAATTCAATATGAAGGTGGTGGCTTCAAGACAAAGTGCACCGATATTATTTGTCCCATGTATGCAACACCTAAGATTTGCCAAGATCTTGCATCACAGATGGATGATCGACCAGTCATTTTGTGTGAGTATTCTCATGCCATGGGAAATAGCAATGGTGGTCTCGCCAAATATTGGGAAGTGTTTCGGAGCAACCGTAGTGCGCAAGGAGGGTTCATATGGGACCTTATCGATCAAGGATTAAACTGTTCAACAAATGGGCGAATTCATTGGGGCTATGGCGGAGATTTTGGAGATTCACCAAACGATAAGCAGTTTTGTATCAACGGGTTGGTCTTCCCAGACCGTTCGCCTCATCCTGCCATGGAAGAAGTGAAGTATCTCCAACAACCTACGATGATACGCGCACAAGGAGATAAGATTATCGTTGAAAATCGATATCACTTTACAAATCTCGAGTGTATGAAGTTCGACTGGTGCGTGATTCTCGATAGTGGCTTCATACTTAAGAAAGGCCAATTTAGCAAACTTCACATTCAACCGGGAGCAGAAACTTCTTACGAATGGTCCCAGTTATTCCCATCACTATCATCTCTCGCGCAGCTTGTCCAGAGGAAGCAGTTTGTGTTTGGAGAATGGTGGATTGACGTATCGGCTTCGTTCATCAAACATCAGTCTTGGATACCTGAAGGTGTGAGTATTGCAAAGTGTCAGCTTATGTTGCCGCAACAAAAAGTCCCTGTTCCGGGAAGCTTGAACAGTGAAGCTGCAATTCATATAGAGCATTTGAGTGATGCGATTTGGGTCACTTCGCAAGACAGCACATATGTTTTCAATGCAGCTTCCGGTAGATTATTGAAGTTTCAATTTCGCGGCGAAATGTTGATTCAATCAGGCCCGATAGCGAGTTTATGGCGAGCTCCAACAGACAATGACAGTGGTGGTTGGATTTTTTCTTTTGCCGAGCGATGGGCCAAAGCAGGACTGGATACTTTGCATGAGCACGAAGAAGCTGTCGAAACTTTCGTAGACAACTTCGGAAGATTTCATTGTGCTAGTAAGCTTGTGCTTCGAACTGCTCAAAAGAAAACTGTATGTCGTCTTTGCTCTCATTACACGGTCTTGGCGTCTGGTCATCTAAATGTTACTTGCACATTCGATTTATCACCTCATTTACCACCTCTTCCTCGAATTGGAGTTCTGATGCAATGTCGAGCAACCATGCAACAAGTTGAGTGGCTTGGACTTGGTCCACATGAAAATTATTTAGATAGAAAGTCCTCTGCGTTTCTGGGTCGCCACTCCGCAACTGTTGACGATCTTCATGTTCCATATATAGTACCAAGTGATAATGGTGCTCGCCAAGAAGTGCGCTGGCTGGCTTTAGAATCTTCCGCAAGCGGAAATAAGTGCTTGTTCACGAGCAAGGAGAATTTCAATTTCAATGCGTCAAATTTCTCTGACGCTGAACTGGCGCGAGCCAACCACCAGCACGATCTTCAGCGAAGTGACAGTATTCACGTACATTTAGATACATTCCAAATGGGTTTAGGAGGAGACTGCAGTTGGTTTCCATGTGTGCACTCTGAATTTCTTGCACCTGCTCGGAAGCGTTTCACTTTTACTTTTGTCATCGCAGGAGTTGGAGGAAACGAAAACCCAAGTGATGTTTTTCAAGAATTGCGATTTTCGCGTGACACAGTCGAACTCACTTCATCGTGAATCAGTGTGACGGTCAATACCAGAATAAAAAAAAGAATAAAGCCCTACCGGGAAGAGGCAGTCTCTTCAGACGATCGTAAGCAGTTTTCCACATAAGCACTAAAGCACTAGATTCTTTAGTACTGACGGCATCATCTTCCCAACGGCCGTCGGCCGATGATGCCACTCGTTAGAGGAAATATATTGAGTCGAAAATCCGTTGTCGTACGGGAACGCGCCTTGCGAAAGCGAGGAAAGCGGGAGACCTCTTACTCGAGTATGCCTCGAGCTCAGTCGGTGACATAGCTCAGTTGGGAGAGCGTTAGACTGAAGATCTAAAGGTCCCGCGTTCGATCCGCGGTGTCGCCATTTTTTTTTAGACCATCGCATGGCAAGTGATACTTAACGCGTTAAATAAAGTGAACACCCGTTACAGTATGACAATAAATGCGCGCGAGTGAACTTGCGACGACCCGAGCGGGGCGGCGGCTGCAAGGTGCCGCCACGTGACGTCTTGCAGCTAAGAAACGTTTGAAGTATGAACATGGACAGCAGACATCATCGGAAGATGAGCAAAGGTGACTTTCACAAAGTTGACTCGTCTACGAATTTTCTCCTTCTACAAAAAAACAGTTCGCGGCAAACTTGCGGAAACTGTTTGCGTCTTTTCGGTAACTGCGACGATGATAAGGCAAGTTTCATTAGGTGTGACTGTGGAGATATCTTCTGTAGACGAGATTGTGCACCGCATGCGATGCGGGAATTAGGCTGGCATTCAATTTTATGCTCAAATAGAAGTGAACCAATGTTGGAATTCTACGAGTATTGCCGAAGGTCGAGCGAAAGTTTCACTTTTGCTGCTAAGGTGCTTGCTCAACTTTTATCAGCAATGTCAGAGTGTGAAACGAGCGTATCAAAAATACAATTGAGTTGGTCGGAGCAATTCGATCCGCGTCATAAGTGGTCCGAACTTGCTGCACGCGCCAACTGGGAGTGTACGGACTTCTATGAGTTTGTGCGACGAGCGTGTATTTTAGAACATCAAATAGCAGATGCATGGGACTTATTGAAAGCACATTTGAATAATAGATTTGATCTAGAGACAAAAACACGATTTGCCGAGCTTTTAGACTTTGAGATGTACGCAGATATAGTGGCTTCCATTCAGCGGTTTGCTGTAGCTATTGGTACAGAGAAGACAACAATTCCACCGACACGCCAATCTCCTTCCCAAAATGGTGATACTCATCCTGCATTAGCTCATTACGGCTCAAAGTTTGATATTCATCCGAAAGTTTCATACCATTGTGCAATTATGAATAAATTGCCAGATTACTGCGGTTTTTTGTTGGCACCAATTCTGACCAAATTCCAACACAGCTGCAATCCAAGTGTGCAAGTTGAAGCTAATTCAACCCTTTCACAGGTGAAATATGGATATATAGCGCTCAGAGAAATTGATCAGATGGAGCCGATCTCTTTGACAACTATACCTCTTCATTCTAGTGTAAGTGCCAGAGATGCCTCACTGTTGAGGCAGCTTGGTAAAGTTTGCGTTTGCTCGCGTTGTTCGTGGGAACGAGAAGATTTTGGTAGAGTTTCGCCCGAACAAATGAAGCAATTGGCTCTTCAAGCGCAGGAAGAGGGGCGATACTCAGAGGCAGAGCTCTTATTTCACTGCACACTTCTTCACAATCCACACGACACAGATGTGCTTCATGCGTATGGTGTGACGCTCCTTAGTCAAGGCAAATGGAAACTTGCCCACAGTATCTGGCAACTCGCTTTTAAGGTTGACAAAGCTCATCTATGGCTATCGAAACAATTCAACAAAGATGTTTCATACGCAGCGTATTTATGTAGAAAATGTCCCGAATACTATGTGTCTTTTCAGACTATTTCAATTGATGAAATTTATTTGACAACAAATAGTGCAATATCACCATCAGCTTGTTCTAGCTGGATTAAAACCGCCGAAGCTCATGCAACAAATAGAGGAGGCTGGGACACAGATCGTCACAAATCTGTAGCCACAACTGATTTGCCTATACACGAAATTCCCTCTGTCTTGCGAGAGTGGAATTTGATCTTCGGGCAAATCATAGGTCCCTTCATTCAAGAACGTTTCAGAGTCGATGGTGACACGAATCTTAGGGTTCACGATGCATTCATAGTAAAATACGATGCCAGTGATGGACAGTGTCAGCTACCAGTACACACCGATCAAGGTCACTTCTCCATAACTCTTTCTCTAAATGATCCTATACAATACAAAGGTGGCGGTACGATTTTCCCGGAGCATGAGTTCATTGTTCGACCAAAGTGTGGAGATTTCGTCGCTTTCAGAAGTTATCTGACGCACGGTGGCGTGCCAATCACATCTGGAGTCAGGTACATAGTCGTGGCTTTTCTCTACTTGAGTTGAGTGAGGGATCATGATCGATCATAATGGGCTTCTGGAGAGCTTGTCTCAAAATTTGTGCTTTCGTTGCGCCGACACCAGGGCAATCAGATAAGCTCCGCGCATTCGATTTGCACAAATCAGAAAATGAACAGTAATTATGGCACAAAGCATGAACATCAAGTTTATTTATGCCGCGAATAGAAGAGAGAATGGAGCACACATCACTGATCATTGTAGTACTAGTATCCTTCCTGGCTGTTGCAGCACACAACGCGTGAATGTAGCTGATTGCCTCCCTTAAAGTGTACACACAAACAAGAACACAATTCGATGCTGCACAAACTCTATTTAACGAGATCAACGCTTGAAAGCTGTCCTCTGAGTCGACGAGACATAGAACAACCACATTCGCCAGAACGCTTGAAGCTTTCTTCAGGCGTTGCGTTGATAGGTCCGCATTGAGTGTGTGGAGGCGAAGCGTGCAGTATACAATACTGGTGTGTTCGTAAATGAAGTCGCAATCAATGTTCTCGAGTCTGTACCCGACTTCCAGAAGAGCCAATAACGGGTGTGTCTTGTGTAGGACATTCACCAAGAGCGTGCTGAGGGGCGGCCGTTTCATCCTCGCTCGTTCGTGTCTCTACTCTTTTTTTCTACTCTTTCAAGTTTAGAACAGTTGGCTCAAAGCAATTTGTTAGCGTGCACGCCCAAACATTGTAGCTATTGTAGCTAACTCCCAATCTCGTTTGTGCGAGGCATTTTACGTAGTCTTTGCTTGGAAACGTAGCGGACTGTTGGCTAGCTTTAGCTTGCGCAGCACTGTGCCCGTCGGCATCTGTCCGTGAAGTCTTTTTAGATGTACAGTACTAGTAGACCATATAATATAATATAAATGCGTATATGAGTTCGATTTGGTTAAAAAATGCGAACGTAGGTAAGAAATTACAAGCCGTCAGCGGGATCGTGCTACTTGCAGCCTTGCCTGCGTCATACCGAAGCTGCTGTCTCGAGACAGCTTGCGCTTCGCTTTCATCGTTTTTAAACAGCCATCTGTGGTCAGAACCGTCACGCAAAATGGTACGTGACGCGCGTGAAGCGACGACCGCACGCTGAAACCCACCGAAATCTTCCTCCCGGAAACGTGCGCGACCTGGCGTGCTCCGGCGTGACGAAACGTAGATACTGACTATCAGCAACTTTGATCATACAAACAGGACGTCATAAAAAAGTGAGTTCTATTTCTAACGCATTACTTGCGTCGTGTCTGTACAACGCGCCCGCTTGGTTGTTTGATTCCTAGAAACCCTAAACTTACTTCTTCGGTAGAGCAATCGTGATGAAGGTCATCGGTCGTACGGGCTCTCGTGGCCAGGTAATACAGTAGTTTATACGTCGAGCGTTATATCTGATTTCCGTGTTAGGTGACACAGGTTCGTGTTAAATTCTTAGACGACCAAAATAGACAGATTATGCGAAATGTGAAGGGCCCGGTGCGAGAAGGTACGTGAACAAAAATACAAGCTTCATAACTTGTTTCTAAGTCTATCGATCTAGGCGACATATTGACGTTGATGGAATCTGAGCGTGAGGCTCGACGGTTAAGATAAATGTGGCTTTGTTGAAGTCTGAGCACGAGGCTCGATGGTCACGATAAATAGCCAGGTGCTGCAATGCGTGCCCACGGAGTACAAGTCTAGGAAGCTTTTCGTGAAATATGAATTTCGAGTAAAACAATAAAAGACGCAACTATTTCACAATTTGTACTGACGGTAGTACGACTAAGAAATCTAAATAGTCGAGCCTTGAAGCTCTGTTGAAAGGAGTATTGGGACATGGCGCTGAACTCGTTTTATGAAAGTTTGTGCTTCACGTGCTGTCGAACAAATCGTGATACATTTGCCCGTTTTGCCTGCCCTCGCCGTTCTTCCAGCTCGATGCAGATACGTCTCGAAATGCTCAGGAGCGTCAAAAGATATCACAGCCGATACTGCATCGATGTGTAAACCTCGTGCAGCGGCATCTGAAGCAACAAGGACACCTCCCTGGCAGCGCTGGAAGTTTTGAAGCGTAGATGCTCGTCTTCGAAGGTTTGCGTCACTGCTATACTCGAAACAGGGCAAATTTTCTAATTTATTCAACCGCTGTAGTATATGTCTAGCACGATATACCGAGGCAGAGAAGACAATAACTTTTTCACCCTTGAAAAATTCAAGTAGCGAGACAAGAGCATCAAACTTATCAGTGTGTTCCGCAACAATCGCATACTCAGACAGCGTAATAGGCAAAAGTGGACAGACACTATCATAAGCATTGATTCGATCAAGTGCGAAAGCTCCAACCCTTTGTAGACACGAACTTTGCAATGTTGCTGAACAAAATATAAGTTGCAGTCTTTCAGAGTTTCGTTCACCCACAGTGAGACGCCGACACTGACGTGTTCGCGCACACATTTCATAGTCCAGCGTAACGAGCCAGTTTTGATATGATTGTTGAAGCATTCTGTCCGCCTCATCGATGACTAACAATTTCAATTTCTTGAGAATACTCGTCCGATGTGCAGCAAACCTTCCAGGAGACGCTACAAGTATTTGTGAAGGCACATCCAGCGAATTATGTCGCGCAAACTGGCGCGTGATACAACACTGATACATACGCTGTCTATTTTGAGCCAATAGCCGTCGATATCGCTTGTTCACTAGTTTAGTTGAATTGGTTGTATTGCGACTTTTCCCAACAATAGAAATCTGTACGTGCAATGCTTTGCAGAGTTCACTAGCGGCGACGCATACCTGTGCGGAAAGATCGCCACTCGGTACAAGAATCAGGCACACTGTTTCGGCTTTCGATACTCGCTTTGAAAGTATCTGTAACACAGGTAGCAAATAGGAGAGAGTTTTACCGCTCCCGGTAGGAGCTGTGACACACAAGTCCCTCTCGAAGCTCCCCGCAAGAGCGCGCGATAGCGTCTGCTTCTGTACCGGTAAAAGAGAATGAAGCTGACCACGCGCAAGAGTAGCGTAAAGACGATGATCAAGAGGTGAAACTGGTGTAATTTGTCGTGGACATTCGCCGTTCATGTCGTGCCCATTTCGTTTCCTTAGCTTCTCGCCGCTCACGAAAGCACGCATGCCGCGTGTGCGAAAAGAGACGAAATATTCGTGAAGAAGAAACAAACGCCGACGACTGTCGTCGAATGAATGCTATTCTGCATCCCAAGCAGGGTCTGCGACAGCCCGGCGACATTTGGGGACCGACCGGTGCGTCCGTAATTTTTAGGTGATTTACTGATATTGTATGATATGATGTCATACTACGGTATGGTACCACATTGGTTGCTATATAGGTTATAGTAGCTATATAGTATGTTTTCATCGACACGAGAAATGATACCACACTTCGGACATAAAAAGTGTAGTCCAGAGGAGTGCGCCTAGCCGTCGCACCGTCGTCGCAGCTGTGACACGGACAAACCCTAAAGTTCGGCATAGCGTGCCGTTCGCCGATCAAGCTACGAAGCAAAATCTTGTACCATGGTCTCATTAAAGTTGCAAAAACGCCTCGCCGCATCCGTGTTGAATTGCGGTGCACGCAAGATCTGGATGGACCCTAACGAGGTGCGCGAAACAGCCTCCAACCCGATCTGTAGGATCTGTACACGATCACGTATACGTCCACGTGTACTATACATCCCGCATTACGACGCCCTGGGGAGCAAACACTCTAACCCATTTAATTTTGCGCTTCTTAGGTCAACGAGATCGCAGCTGCAAACTCGCGACAAAACATCCGTAAACTCGTGAAAGATGGTTTCGTGATCCGAAAACCTACGAAGGTACGTTGTGCGAGTCGTTGCGTGACCGCGTCCCTTTGGCTAAGAACGCCTGTACTGACCTACAAATATGTTGTCATTATAGATTCACTCGCGCGCTCGTACAAAGAGAGAGCAGGCCGCCAAGCGACTAGGCCGACACACCGGTTACGGTAAAAGACGCGGTACTCGCGAGGCCAGACTTCCCACCAAAGTACTTTGGCTTCGTCGCCACCGAGTGCTGCGCAGACTATTGTCAAAGTACAGAGATGCGAAGAAAATCGATAAGCACATGTACCACTCCATGTACCTCAAATGTAAGGGGAATGTGTTCAAGAACAAGCGGGTCTTGATGGAAGCCATCCACAAGGCCAAGGCAGAGAAGGCCAGAGAGAAGTCCTTAGCCGACCAGTTTGAGGCACGAAGAGCGAAAAACAAGTCTGTTAGAACTCGTAAAATCGCGAGACGAGAGGAGCGTATCGCTGCAGGCATAGCCGGTCTGAACACTGAAAAGTAGGAGAAATCATCGCGTGCACCTTTTGACACTGTGGACGGATCGACAATAGTTTAGTCTACAAAATGTAACACGTTGTCCCTGATCTCTGTTCGGACTACTTTTGCCTCTATGTGAATTGAGCGATCGAGCATAAATATAACCTCTCCTAAACTTGCCTTCGGAAGCCGCCAAACTTTCACGAGTCAGTGGCGTCACGTCAAAGGAAGGGTAGCATGAAGTATTCACAGTAGAACATCTACACGGATTGGGAAGCATCAATACATAAGAACCATGTCAAAATTACCTTCCAGATGAACATGTAAAATGAGTAAAGTGAACTCGATGACGCATGCTCCGTTTTCGAATATTTGATGAAAATCAGAATAAGGGAAAGCGAATGCCCCAAGGTCTTCGGTGCCAAACACTTTAAGAACGGATGCATTTGAAAACTAATTGACGCACCAACACAATCATTTGAATACACGAATCTGAACGGCTAAGTCCGACTAAAATCCCACTGTCCATTGAAGGGATAATAAGCTGATAACACTCGTTCAATTTGAAGTGCAATACCTTGAATAAGCCAAAAACAAGAGCAAACAGCACAGCCTCAAGACTGGTTTAACCTTTTGAACGTTGAGACAAGAGATGATAATTGTACATTAAACTCACGCCGAGTCGCACTGCCAGCGTTCGCATTCCAGATTGCGAATCACCAACCAAATCTGGGGTATCCTATTTAACGTAAGTGAAAGATAGGAATAGTTGTAGATCTATTACCTTCAACAACGCAATCACTACGGAGTAAACGCTCATAAAAAGTATCGAAAAGGCCAAATTTTCTGGCATTGCCCAATAAGGAATATAACTTGACCTAAACAGGGATTATCAGGAAAGGACGTCAAAAATTGTTCCACGCACGACATGAAGTGCCCGAAGAAACCCCACTGCACTAGGATAGCCCTCACGCTGAGAATGCACACAATTGCAAGCGCAGGAATCCGCTAACGAACTCAGATTTTGTCGTATTTTTGCAAGCGACGAGTATACCTTCCAGCGAAGTAACTTAAAGTCTGTAGAGTAGATAACTCCGAGTAACAAACTATTTCACGCGTTAAATGTGCCAGTGTCATGAGGTGGATCGATCAAATACCTCAAAACAAGAGTAGTCAAAAGGTGGAAAGATTGTGTCAACGTTCCTAAAACGAAGATTTACAAGCTTCATTTCGGAAATCCAAAACCTTACCGCAGATGACAGAACTCGAACAGCATACAGCGATGGTTGTTAGTGCTGTGTCTGTTGTAAAGCCGCCTGACACGAGTGGCAAATAAGGTTTATTGATCTATGATAATAGTGAGGTCTTTTCGATGAAAATACTTCACGTTTGAACCTTGTCCATCTTCTTGTCGTATATTTGATTGAGCCCCACAATAGTGACATTCATCGCCAACGCACAAAATATCACCTACGAAAACTTACATACAGTGTTGGGAGGCAAAATGATGTAAAAAGCACCTGCCAGAGCTTCCAAAGTAAAGTGTTGTATGGCGATGAATCTACTGAGGCGGCCATGAGACTGATCGATACTATGCTTATCTACGGAAACAATCAAGTTTGACAAGACCAAACAACTCAAAAGTACCAGTGTTCCATAAATTGTATGAGGTCGCATGAAGCCAAAAAGACTTCGCGAAAGGTTGGGGATTTTTCTGAAATCGTCGATGAATCCGGAATGTTGTGAGAAACCAGAGTTTCGATGAGCGGCCGTCGACTCAACAAAGCGAGAGGCTCTCAGCACCTGCGAAAGTCTCCCGGAACCACCAGGCAACACATTCGTGCGCTGAGCCTTACGGTTCGTGCACAGCACTGTTGAACACTGCCTGGAGTATGTTACGCGATCGTTGACCTGCATCTTTGCCCAGAGAAAGCATCCACGAAGAGCTAAAGATGCGAAGGTCGGCGTCATTTTTTAACTGGAGGTAGGAGAAGTAAACTCAAACAGCGTAAGTTTGATCACGGATGGAAGTTCACAGTTGGAAGACGATGCTCACGATGATTTCTACTTGCGTATTTCCAGTGCTTACGGCGAACTCATATATGCCCTCCGAAAGTTCCTGTCCTTGCGTTGTTGTGCAAGTCCGCGCGCAAGTTGCGCGGGTCGCAACAATTCTGCTGGTCGTATTGTAGATATTACTGTACCAATGGCGGAAAATGTAGTTAGAGCTGTCAAAAAAACACAAAACCGTTTAAAAATTCGACTGCACGGTCACTCGCGTTCGCGCTTGGCGCTCACGGTGCCGCACAGTTTTACTTTCAGCAGATCATGCCGCGGTGAGTCTGCCTCAAGTATTCGCACAAGCTTTTTAAACCACATTTAGAGAGATCGTGACGATACAGATAGGTCAGTGTGGCAACCAAGTTGGCACAGAGTTTTGGAACCAGGTTCGTTTGCTCAGTTTTGGTGTAAGTGGTGTCTAATTTCTTGCAAGTTATGCACTGAGCATGGGATATCAATGGATGGCACGTGTCGCATCGATGGGGCCTCTGTAAATATGTTCTCCGATCGGAAGGATGTTTTCTTCTACCAAGCAGATGATGAACATTATGTACCAAGAGCGCTGGTAAGGATGCTATGTGAGGGATATACCGACGTCATTAAAACTTGAATAGTTACTTGATCTTGAACCGCGTGTCATCAACTCTATTCAAACTTCAACACAGCGTTCTCTATTCAATACTGAAAACTTTTTTACATCTGCACACGGGGGGGGTGCGGGAAATAATTGGGCAAACGGGTACACGCAAGCTGAGGCTGTTCATGTAAGTTGGAAAATGTTGCCATCCTGCAAGCAAACTCACGTGTATTAGGAGGAGTTAATGGAAATGATCGATCGAGAGGTCGACGGTAGCGATAGTCTTGCGGGTTTTGTTATTTGCCACTCGATAGCTGGCGGGACTGGGTCTGGTATGGGATCATATCTATTGGAGGTGGGTTGTCGTGAATCGCGTAGCGAATGCATTCTCACATGATAACTAGGCTTTGAGCGATCGGTATGGGAAAAAACTTCTGCAAACGTACAGTGTTTTCCCAAATCAAAGCGAGTCAAGTGGTAAGCACGGAAGGCTTTATTATTTTGTTGCTGCTCACGTCGTAGTAAAGATGTCGTTGTACAGCCGTATAACTCTCTCTTGACTCTGAAACGTCTAACAAACCACGCGGATTGTGTAGTTGTTTTAGATAACGCGGCTTTGAATCGAATCGCAATGGACCACCTCCATGTTGCCTCGCCTGATTTCTCCCATACAAACTCTCTCGTATCGAAGGTCATGGCAGCGAGTACCACAACTCTCAGATATCCTGGTTACATGAACAACGATCTTGTTGGTCTCATAGCGGTAAGTTCGTGGGACTTTAATGTCCTTTTCTAAACTGGTTTGAAACAGTCCCTGATTCCCATTCCACGGTGCAATTTTCTCATGGCTGGGCTTACACCTCTCGCTGGTGTTTCCGCAACGGAAAGCAGGTCCATGCGGCACAACTTCAATATTCATATGTTCTCATGTATTTATTGTACAGTACACGCAAAACTTCTACCCTTGATGTCATGCGAAGACTCCTACAAAGCAAAAATGTGATGTGTTCCTCGTATGCGGGCACAGGTGTCAAAGAGGTCCATCCCTTTCCGTGCTTCCCGCCTTTCTTTTGCTTAAAGCCAACTTTAGGGCAAATTCATATCCATTTTGAACATCGTTCAAGGAAATATTGAACCCATGCAGGTATTCATATTCCAAGGTGTTCCGCACTTGTACACTCACATCAAAACAGATACACAAAAGCTTACAGCGTATACGAGAACGGAAACTGGCAAATTTTATCACTTGGGCACCTGTCAACTATCAAGTTGCTTTAGCGAGGAGTTCTCCGTATATCGCGAAAACGGCAAGTCTGAACGGACTCATGCTCGCAAATCACACAAGGTGAGCTATAATGCAGCTCTTTGCGTCGTCCTGCTGACACCTTTCACACCAGCATACGTCACTGGTTCTCACGAAGTTTGGAGCAGTACGATAAGCTAATAAGGCGTCGGGCATTCCTCGATCAGTATGAACAGTTTGATTTATTTTCGGTGAGTCGCGTTTCCTCGATTAGTTGATGAGAGTTACAATGGTATCAGGACTTGGGAGAATTTGCTGATAGTCAGGAAGCCGTTGAGAATCTCGTGGAGGAGTACAGGGTGTGCGAAGCAGGACCAAGTCGAGATTAAAACGAAGTTTAGAATTGTGTGTGGCTGATTCTTCGAACGTGTAGCCTTAGACGCACGGTGTTATCTAAGCTGTACGAAAAGAGTACAGTACAAAGTGATTTCGAAAAAAAATATGAAAAACGTTAATTTTCGCGTTTGCGCGCGTCTAGCGTCGCGACGCGGAATCCGATCGCGCTGATTCGCGGATATATTTTGTAAAAACGTTAGAGCTTTCCAACGCGCCATTGTTCGTTGTCTCGCGTTAAGTATCGCGACGTCGAGGTTCCGACGAAATTTTTGAATTTTGAGGTTAATTTTATCAAAAATAATGAAAACGGTGATGAGGTAATTTTCAAGTTGCTCAGGGTCTAGAATTACAAACTTTGTGCGTCGATACCGACGGCGCGCGGATGCGATGTGCGCTTAAATCTCGCACGAATGATGGGAATAGTGTTTTCTATCGATATTTGCAGCCCGGTTGTGTGTTCGAGTCTTTCACGTGTTCTTTTAGTCCGTTATAAGTTGTACTCGGACGCCACTTGGATGGTACTTCACCTCGCACCTTACGTTTGCATCGTCGACTGACGACGCGTGACGTGCTCTTTTGGGCCACCGCGCGTTCGCAACTCTTGTACATTCTATGTTTGCTTCATAGAGCCGCTCGTCAACCTCTTTCAACTTATCTCTCAAGATATCAGCGGTCGGTCCTTGTGGCAGTGGAATTCGCTTCGCGCGCATCACCTTCATGAGTTCAGCTCTTGTAAGAGATTTCTCGAGTGATCCGTTGTCGTCCAGGCGTTTATGAAGCGCCGCAAGAAATTGAATATCATCCGTGTTGTCCTTGAACCGAGCGTCGCATCCATCTTGAGCTGCGTCGTGCGTTCTCTTCTTCGTTTTCTCTCTCTTCTGTCGAGCGGCGAGCAGGCGGGCCATGGCTGGAGCAGTCGCTTCATCATAGCGATCGTGTCTGCGTGTACTTCTCTGTTTCCGGGTCGTCGTCACGATGTTCTTTGTGATGTTTTCTTGCTTTTCGAGAATGAGCTGCTTCATAACGTTCAAGTGCTCGTCGTTCATACTATGGTTACTCGGATTTTCAACAAGGCTCTTGTACACTTCGTCCAGCTTCATCATGTTCAGGGGCGCCCGTGCGAACGACTCTGGACTACCATCAAACGTCACATCGAATGTCGAGTCGCTAGATTGTGCGATAACTCGCAGTCCGGGCGCTCCTGGTATGGACATGCGCTCAACGCACCGCTCGGCAGCTTCAACTTGAGATTCCTTGTCCGGTGTCGAGCGCTGCGGCTCCTTGCGTTCATGGTTCGGGAAGTTTTTCCAGAGTGGAGCTCGATTAAAAGGGACCAATCCTTGCATTTTAAATCCTTTCTCGACAGCCTGTTTCGTCCAAGCGCCTTTCCATGCCTCCTTAACCGCGTACCAAAACTCTCGCTGTCCGAAAGAAGTAGCGACGCCGTTCTCGAAGAGCTTGATGAACCACGCGGCGGCGAGTTGTTTCATCGCTTCGATTTCAGCACGCTCGACGCGAAACGCACCTTTAAACACACCAAAGTGGTACAAATCTTCGCCTTGCAGGATATGCGTGCAATGAGGCGGCAGAATGACCATGAGAATCCCCATTGCTGCACAAATCTCAAGCACCTCGTCGACTGTGTGAGCATAACATCCGTCACAAATCACCATGGCCGGATTCTCCGGCGACAAATCGGGAACACACGGCGCGAGATGATCCTTCAGCCAAGTCGCGAATGCGAATCCGTCGAATGAACCCTTCTTCGTTCCTCGTATCCATTGGGCTTGTTGGCACGCACCCGTCGTCGTATCGGTGATAGTTCCAGGGATTTCAAAACCATCTTCGACATTTGGCTGCGTCGTGCACACAAAGTAAGGCGCCAAGGACTCGCCAGCGAGGTTTCTACATCCCATGACGGATGCTGCGAATGCATCGTTCGCTGTGACAGCCGATCTGCGGTTGTCTTCGCCCTTGATGACCAACATTCTCACTCCGCGCACGCCTTTCTCATAGGCAAGCATCACCTTCGCCTCGTCGAACGTGAACACGCGGCTCTTCTTTTCTTCGTTCCAAATGATCATCTCACTACTCCTATCGTTCGCGTCGAAGTCGGCATTCCATGTCGCGAAGCCATTACTGACTGCTGTTTGGGCCACGCGCTGGTAGTAATTGCTGACGTTGTGCTCCGTTGCGGCGTTGAGTCTCAAGGCATCCTGGGGATTGTACAGAGAAGTGTCAATGCCATGGCGATTGAGAAATCGATAGAACCACGCGGATCCGAACGTTTTATCAGAAGGATCTGCGTGATGCTCGTCGCGATAGAAGTTTTTAGCCATCGACAAAATCGTCTCTTGACTCAGTGATATCCCAACTCGAATGTAATGCTTCACAATTTTTGCGAGCTGGTCCAAGTATGCGTTGCTGAGTGCACTTGGTCTGCCGCGGCCGTCTTCGCACTCGGAGTAATGGGGAATGTCATCCCGGAACGACTGAGCCGTGCACACGCGTTTCAAAAACGCTTTGGTGACTCGTACGCCAACCTGCTGCAACTCATGGACAGCCTGCGTCGCCGAGATGTCCCCGCGACTTAATGCATGCACTACTTCGACGTAGAAGGGGTGCGGATTTCGGCTCCGCTCTTCACGGCGTGTGCGTGCGACATCAGCGGTGACGTGCACAGTGTTTTCGGACTGATCTGATGTCGAAGCGCACTCTTCAGTGACCAACGCGCGCGCGTCTCGCTTCACATCCTTGTCTTTCAGCAGCTTCCTCACGCGGTTCAGGAACGCGTGTTGTTTTATCAACTCTGTTTTGAAGCTCACGGTGTCGAGGAATAACGTCGTAGCTGTCACTTTTGCCATTACCTGGCCAGAAACCTCCCGGCGACGTTTGTTCGCGAGCAAAGAAACGGCGACCTCACGAGCATCTTTGGCCACTTGAGCGCGCCCATCTTCGTCGTCGCAAGCGGGAGCCGTCGTTGACCCTGCTCCTCCCAGCGAGGCTGAAGATCGCTGAGAAGCCTTCTTACAACCTTTCCGTGCCGTCGACACGGTCGGAGACGCGCTTCGGCGCGCGCGAGGGGGCGTCATACGCGACAGAATCTGGCCCAAAAGTTAACGTGCCCATCGAGCTCCAACGGTCGTGTTCCGTCAACACCCACGCACAGAATTCAAACTTAAACGGTCGGATATCACGATACGCGGAAAGATCGGTAGACTCCGCGCCGCCCGGACGCGCGCGCGGCGCGAAGCGGCGCGACAAGACGTCGAGGTTAATTAAATTCACTATTTTACCCTCATACATTATTTTCGAAATCCCTAGTACAACTAAAATATATAACCTCCCTGAGCATGTCAGTGCCCCTCAAGGTTGGTGAGTCGTGAACCACCGATGGTGAGTAGTGCACCATCCGGGAGTCGAACCCGGGTCTCGAGCTTGGAAGGCTCATATCCTAACCGTTGGACTAATGGTGCATGGCGTGTGGTGACGCGCTACGCGTATATGTAATCGTGTCAAGCAAAGGTGGTGCACGATCGCTTGCGCGGAAAATAGTGGTGCAGCAATCCCGTACCCGCGATTTCCCGGTACGTACCCACGTACCTGTCCGAATGTCCGAACGCGCCAGTCGTATGGGTAAACAGTATGAATCGTCTGGTACGAGCTGGTACGAGCTGGTACGAGCTGGTACGGAGGTGACGAATCGACGAGAGCCGCGCGAGAACCGACGCACTTCGCGCGCACAGTCTATCTATTAATTCAACTTTCTACTCTTACTTCGTCGCTCCTTCTCCTGACGTCCTAATACCTTGTAAGCTGCCTTGTGTGCAAAAGTTTCCTTTGTCTTGTCCCGAGCGGGACGTGAATCATCATCACGCACCGGCACGTTTGCACCAAGGCTGCCCAGAAGCAGTACTTCCATTTGATCCGAAACGTTTACACGTGGTAGCATGACGAGCTCGTCTGGGCCTTTTACGTACTCATCCAAATTCTCGTCGTCTGACGAGAGGATTTCAACGTCTCCAATTCCATCACCATCGCTGTCAGCATCTATCACGGGATCTGCGCGCCGCACGTCCACCACGGGCGCAGCGCGTTATCTTCCGCACCGTCATCCACGCGCCTCGGCGCGGCGCCCGCGTCGTCGGTATTCGACGTCGACATCGAGCGTGGACGTCTGCCGCTTGCTCAATCATCATTTCAAATTTCAAACACGTCGCGCGCAAACCCGCGCTCGTAAACCCCGGTCGCGCCCTCGCGTTCGCGCGCGCGTCGCTCGTCGCGTTTTTTGCGGTCTTGACGTGAATTTCACCCGCCGTCGCCCCGTTTCGCGCCGCGAAGCGCGAGCTACAATATTGAGGGCTCAAGATGACCTGTACCAGGAATTTTCTGGTACGTACCCAAAACCTCTGGTTTTAGACTGTTTGCCCATACAAAACTTAAGGTACAAGGGTACAAGGGTACAGAAATTCCTGTACCCAGTGCTGCAGGCCTAGCGGAAAAAACCGCGCGCTCAAAAACGTGCGGCGTACCCGTTCGACGCTCACAGAAGTGCACGTCTTCGACAATTCGGCATGTGGACGAACGTGTCGACGCATAGAAAGTTCATCTCACGTTTACAAAACTGCAAACAAGTCTCTTTCGCGCACCGAACGCAAACAAACAAACCCGGTAGACGGTTGACGATGAGCCACGTACGTTTAATATGCCCTTAAATCATGCCACTAAGCCAATAGAATAGAGCTATACGATAATCGCAGCTGATATCGGTGGCACGAATGCTCGGTTCCAGGTTTGTCGTTTCGTAAGTGCTTTACGCTGAGAAAGACGTGTCAACCAACAGGCTTGGGCAATATCTATGGAAGGCGTCGACGATGAGTTACTGTTCGAGAAGGTACTTTTTAGTCGTATAATTGGTAATGCGCTGCCTCACACCGCGATATTAGACGTACAGCACTAATTCCTTCGACGCGTTTGACAAATGTTTAAATGTATTCTGTCACGTACGACAACACACTGCTCTTTTCGTCGTAAGCTCACTACGCATTCACAGGACTCTGGACTTGACCACTTCGACTCTTCTTGTTTCGCCGTTGCGGGTCCAGTAGAAAACAACTGCTGCGAGGTAAATTGAGTCTAAGTATCAACCAGTTTCGTCTAAATAGCTTCGTCATAGATGACAAATTTAAAGTGGCAAGTGAACGGTGCTCAAGTACAGCAGTCGTTTAATATTCCAAAAGTTTCTGTTCTGAACGACTTTGCCGCGGTTGGTCACGGAATCACAGGCTTAGACCCGTCCCAGCTTGCGAAGTTGAATGACATCGAACCAGTGTACGATGCGGTGCTACAGTCGCATAAATGATCTCATGACAATCTTACAGACAACACGGGCCCATAGCCATCGTAGGACCAGGAACAGGTCTAGGGGTGAGTGTTGTACCTTTTCAGCGCATATTAAAATACCAACTGTTATCTCGAAGGAGGCTTTTCTTATCTGGAACGACGCAAATGAAGCGTATTCTATTATTTCAACTGAAGTGCGTCTCTAAAAAGTTCGAAGAGGGACTCACTTACTCGTGTTCAGGGTTCACATGCACCGTTTGCACCAAAAAATGAAGTTCAAATCGAGGTTTGCGCATGATGACAATGATATTTATCCCATGCTGATTATGTCGTAGCTTCTTAAGTATATGTGGGCAAAAAATTACAAGGTATGAAAATTCAAAAGTACGCTTCAAGCTTTGCGTTTGTACCTGAGTGTCTGCGTAGGTCTGTGAAGTAGAGCAAGTTTGCAGTGGTCCAGGACTAAGGAGGATTTATGAGTTTCTTTGCAAATCAATTCATACGAAACCCGATGACATAGAACCCGCGGAGGTGAAGTTTCTTTAGCATCTTTGAAGTACAATCGTGCTGAACACTGCTGAAGATTGCAACAAGGGCACTTGCAAATAGTTGCAAAACTTGCCGCACGACTTTGAAAATGTTTCTTGAAATCCTGGTAAGCGATAAGCTCCATCAATATGACTTCATCTGACTCTATTCAGGGTTCGGAGTGTTCAAGTGCTGCCCTACGCGTTCTCGCAACCGGTGGAGTGTACATAGCTGGTGGTATTCCCCCCAAGATTTTACCTCTGCTCATGGATGGTTCACTAACTACTGCGTTCGAAAACTGCAATCCCTCCATGCGCAATGTCGTCGCCTCATTCCCCTTGATCGCCGTAAAAACTCCAAACGTTGGTCTTCTTGGTGCAAAGGTATGTTGCTACGGTTGTCGTGCTCTCGCGACTAATACACACCAACTGAAGGTGCTGGCGAAACGTCAGCTGGGTGATTGATAGTGTTATATTTCGCAAGGGCACTAACTTTCGTATACATCTAAGCTAAAAATATTTTGTAAGTTCCTAAACGATATCCACTCTAACGACGGCACAACCATGTTTGCACCTCTCAACTCCCAGGTAGAGTCGACGCCATTGACAATTACACACTTCATTCCTATTTCAGTCGTAGCTTCGATTGCGAGGTGGTGGTCACTTATGACAATACATTTGGAGATCGGTCGAAAAAGCGCACGCGCTGCAACTAAATAGTATTCAGTGTCTGGTAAGCCACTTTGTACGTCGTCACGACCTATCACTGATTCCGTCTTGAAGTACCCTGTCAGTTGCAAACGACGCAACAAAACTGTTAGCTCTTCGCTCGAGAGTTGTGAAGAATAAATAGCACAGGGCACGTCGAAGCCATCGAGTAGCCGCAAAAATGCTAGAACATGCTCATGGGCTCTGTGATCAGTGGTTTCCGTTCTTTTGCAGAAAAGTGCGCTTTTGCGCTGAGTCAAGAACCGCACTTGCTGTGGCTCGGATGCCCAGTTGAATACGCGAGAGACCGCATGATCTGTCTTCTTCCGAAGAGCCGCCCGGAGTTGATACTCAGCAGGTTGTTCGAGGCCTTCCTCACGCGCTATCTGTTGCCACTCTTCTCGGTCTGCTTTTGCACAACTGGGCACTATAATACCTTCAAGTTCAAAGATGACACCAAAACGTCGAGTTCCGAGTTCTTCTAAGCGCTCCAGTGGGCTGAGCACTCTACATGCATGCCGAGCACGTTTTGGAAGTTTCAAAGGTCGATGTTTTGTCCAATATTTCGAAAAGCCGTCCTTCCCAAACGGCGGTTTCGAAAGTGGCTGGGAGGAGCAAGGACGCATGTTGACGCGCTCCGCTTCGGTGAGCTCGGTGAGCTCGGTGCACGTCAGGAGCGGCTTTGAAGCGATTACCGGAGAGTATGGTGCTTGTTAGAGTATACCATTCGGAGCATCGCGGATACGCGTTCGGTTGTATCGTAGCGTGGCTCGTGTTAGTAAGCACGTCCGTTTACGAACAAGAAAGACTGGAAAGACGGAAAGATTCAGATTTTGTGCCGAGATATGATATACTTAGTAGAAGTTAAATACGGCGATGAGATAAAAGTGATAGATCGCTGCTTGTGCGCTTGTTCGAAAATGATGTGATATCCAATCGCTGGGGATAGGCTTGCTCACGGCGCGAGTTCACGTTTGCACACGACGACGTCGCGTGGAAGTCGGGCAGTCGTGTGGGCGACGGTGATCAGTCGTCTTGTGACACCGTAGTAAAAACATCCTTGGATCTTCAAACTCGCGGTACGTTCGAAGCCCGAGTGGTGAGTGGTGAGTGGTGAGTGGTGAGTGTTGGCTGATTGCATCTTATCACTTTTGTCGGCCTCTTTTTGTCGGTCTACCATAGAGTATCGCTTGAGCTAGAATCCAACATTTGGTGCCTCAATCTACGAAGCATCCGGTATAACCTGTTCGCTCAGACTCTCTCTCGAAAGTCTTTGGAACACGTGGATCGTGCAACTCAAGATAGTGGCTGCTCTGTGTACTGATTATCACGCAAAAAACGTCCACAGCGTTCGACTACTACCTGCATCAGGTAATAGCGCAACATGGGCTCACTATCGGCACACAACGCTCCTGTGCGCTACTATAAAACATACCGCCGCAAGAGCTGTCTTCTTAGTTTGCAGACAAGGCGTGTGTCCTCTATACTTCGAGTACAAACGGAAACAGATTTGTCTACGAGAACGATCCAAGAAATAGATTCAATTCAGCCTTCGAGTGATGAGGATACAGGCTATATTTCTGCCGCCGCTTCTACGTCGTATCAACTTCTAGATCCAGTGGAATACGGCGAACATGGTGCCGCTTTTCTTTCTGGAAACTATTATCCGGTAGGACAGGAAGTCACGGCCTGTTGCGATTATGATGCGCAAGCTGGTGATGATTCTTCGACGATGAAAATTAACGGTAAAATTCCAAGCGATTTTCCACTCGGTCAGTACGCGTACGTAGGCCCCAATCCAAAGTTTGCTGTTGATCACTACAAGCGTTGGGGTGCAGGTCCAGGGCAAGTAGATTTTGGTTTAGGATCAGGCTGGCATCATTGGTTCGAGGGTGATGGTATGATCTACGCTGTAGACTTTTGCACTGGCAACAGAGTTAAATTTAGAAATCGTTTTATTCGGACGTCTAGCTGGAAGCGTGAGATTGAAAGCGGAAAACGCATATTTAGACCACTCATGAATGCTGACGGTGGAACATTTCTGGCAAATGCACTTTCCAACCTCATCACGGGTGGAATGTTTATGAAAGACAGTGCAAATACGGCGCTTCTCCATTTTGCTGGTAGGACGTTCGCGCTACAGGATACCTGTCCGCCTTGGGAACTTGATCCAGATACCCTCGAAACAATTTCAGCATGTACGTTTGATGGCAAACTACCTCCTTACGTTCCTTTCACTGCGCATCCAAAAGTGTTACCGTCAACCGGTGAACTTATTTTCTTTGGTTTCAATCCAGTCTCACCGCCACATTGCTCTGTGGGTACGTTGAAGCCAGATGGTACAATCTCGAGCATCAACTCGCTTTGGTCTATCCCGTTTGTTGGTAGCATTTTCATGCACGATTTCTGTGTAACTGAGCATTTTACGGTTCTTTTTGAAGGCAGCATGGATATCAAGCCTGTTCGACAGTTGCTAGGGAAACACCCTCTTCAGTATAACGAAGACAAGCGGGCGCGTTTTGGAGTGTTGAATAGAGATGCACAGTCAACAAGCGTGACTTGGTTTAATTGTAGCTCGTCACAAATGGTATACCACTTCATCAATTCGTGGGAGGAAAAAAATGAAAGGAATGAGCAGTTGATAGTCATTACTGGAATTCGTGAAGACGGCTTTTTCCAAGAGGCGATGCGCGCTAACGGTTCAAGTGAGTGGATCAAAGAGGCCGTGCGAGTTGGCAAGATTCCAAAAGTTCATGAATGGAGAATAAATCTTGTCACTGGAAAGGTCACAGAAAGATATCTATTTAGTATTCCTTTAGAAACCCCACGCATCAACGACGCATTTGTTGGAAGGCGAAACAGGTACGCCTACGCCGGGCGAGTCCTTTTGTCAGAGTTGGAATCGACCACTCAGCTCAAGTTTGACGCAGTCGTGAAAATTGATATGCAAGAGCAGAAGACGGTCACTTATGAGCATGGTCCAAACCGTTACGGTATGGAAGCCCAGTTTGTTGGAAGACCAGGAGGTGTAGATGAAGATGATGGCTGGTTAGTTATGTACGTTCATGATGAGAGCTATACAGCAACAGACGTTAATGGGCGCACCGAGTGCGTCATAATTGATGCACAAGATGTAGAGGCTGGTCCCGTAGCAACAATTCTTCTGCCCGAAAGAGTGCCATATGGGGCTCATTGCATGTGGCGGGCGGATCTAAAATACCCAGGTGCAACATTTGAAGACACAGCAGTAGCATTTGAAGCACTCAGTGCGAATTTTCAAGTTAATGAGCCAAAGATGTTTGCCTTCGAACAGTCGCAGCGAGGAGAGCTTCTCGAGGCTGTTTGGAAAGGGCTCTCTCGAGTTGCTTTGGGTCTGTTTGTACACGGTTGGTCCCCACGCATCGCGCGTGAAAACGTTACAGAGTACGCTTTCGTGAGAGGCGCTGGACTACGGTTTTTGGAGGTCAGCAAGCTTGGTAGCCACCGTCTGAGAGAGGCAGTCAAAGAACGTGCCGACGCTACGCCAGCTCCACCAACGCTGACACTTTATGACGTCGAGGATGACGACTCCTGTCGGCTTGTACGAGAGGTTTTGAGTATTTGTGACGTGAGTTACTTGTGCAAACCGTGTCCTACCGCGTCGTGTTCGAATAGCTCCGAGTTAGCGATTCTACAGGGTGTTGAACTTGGGTCTGAAGTAGTCCCTTTCCTACGAGATGATCGAAACGACGACATCGCTGTGAAAGGTGCTGACGGCATCATTCAGTATCTCTATCAGGAGTATCTGGATGGCGAAGAACCAGCTTCTCTTGTCTCATTGTTTCAGAGGTTCGCTCAAGCGTCAAAGATCAATGATGCTTCGCATCGGCGTACTTCACGTGCAGGTGAGCAGCCTTTGATTTTTTGGGGTTACGAAGCTTCTCCATTTTGCGCTCTAGTGCGAAAAGCTCTGAACGAGCGGGGAATTTCTTATGTTTTTCGTCCATGTGCACGCGGTAGCCCAAGAAGGAGTTTGCTTCTCAATCGCACCGGTATATTTCAAGTACCTTATCTTGAAGATCCGAACACCGGGATCTCGTTATTCGAGAGTGTCGATATCATCAGCTATCTGAAGAAGACCTACGACTAGATAGCATTTACTTGGTATAGATAGTGTAAAACGAGCACATTAAATCATTTCCTTGCAGACAATATGCTTCCTAAGGCACACACGAACTATAAAAGTTTCGCCCGCTTACGTACTTCCGAAGTATTTCCTATCAAGTAGCACAGTTGTCACATCGTTATGCTACACAAGTACAGAAACGTACTATGCGCGCCAGATCGCATCGCACCATATCGCGTCACTTGTGTAAAAAATTTCCTACGATTATCAACAGGCGGTCATGCGACTCCCAAACGTCTCAGTGCGTACGTATTTCCCGGGTCAAGGGTTCCCATACCTCGAGCTATGCACGAGCAACTCGGCGTCGGAACAGTGGTGTGGACACAAAAGAATAACCCATCATTTCACGAGCGCATTTGATCGGCTGTACTGGGGTGTTTTCGATGAGCTTTTTAGTGTTCAGACTGACGCATTCGATCATGACGTTGATTTGAGCTCCTTCTATTACTTTGCTTCAATGCAAAGTTATGGAAAGTGCCCTGAGGAAACCTTGCATACTGCAAAACTATTTCAACAGGCGCGGAGTAGAAGACGGTTTGATCCAACAGTTTATCGACATGGATCTCTGCTTCTTCGCAGACCGCATTTTTCGTATAATGTTTCGAAGATTGCGCCACGGTCAACGGAATATGCATTCAATTTTGCTGGCCAAGGTCTCAGTGCGTTGGATGAAACCTCGATCGATAATTCAGATGCCTATCACATTCGAATACAATGCTATTCAAAATCAATTCCGATGAAAGTAAGATTGATTGATAAATTTGCGGAGTCGTCGATATCATCTTCACTGACCTACATAGTACACTTCAGTACGTTTCTCAAAAGCTCCAAGTTGCTCTTTCGAAAGATTCAACCTTTCTACCATAGTATCGGGCACTCGCAAGGCTGGATCTCACAGGAAGTTTCTTCAAATATTTTTTCGACTGGTGCAAAGTTCACTTACTCTTGGATGCACTGGGCGTATCCTATATTAATTGCAAAGTTTCTTCTATGGTTATCCATTCGGGCAAAGTCCACGGTCAGGCATATGACTGTATTTTGTGACAACGATTTGAGAAATCAGTCACTTTGCAATCGCGTGCACATGTTCGCGTTTCGTGGATGGACTCGTGCAAAAGTGGCTGAATTCGTGGAACGACTGAATACACAGCTTTATCCAGCTGAGCGCATAAGACTCCTTCTCGAGAATGATAATGATAGTTTCATACTGGGAGGGTCAACAACTGGTATTTCGATATTTTTTCTCGTCGCCGAGGCTGAAGCAGAGAGACAAACTGACTTGATTGATACGAAAACCAAAATCAATAAACTGTGCCCAATACTTGTTACCCTCCCATTTCATTATGGTAAAATGCTAGTCGCTTCCAAGTTTGCATTAATGCGAGACTTTCAACAGAGGACGGATTTTTTCAACTGTTCGGGAACTCCATACCAACTCGTAAAAAGTGATTCACGAGATGTTACTAACATGCATGATACTTTCGATGGTACGATACTGTACCCGTGTGCTCGGCTTGCCGAACAAAGATATCGAAGCGATATAGACCTCGCACCAACTGTTGAAGATAACAATATTGCAAAAGAGCAGGTCACGTCTCTTTGTGACGTGCTTCTGTTTGGAATGCCATCGTCACATCGACTGTCTTCGAATCAAAATAACCAGACATGCGCTTTCTCCGGCAAACATCCCAAAAAGTGTGTTGAGAAGCACGATAAATGGCTTGTTCTACAGGCTTTGCAAAGCTGCGCACATTCACTTTCTCCACTTGAATGTGTGTATGAGCCGATTATACATTCACTGGGACTTTCTTCAGCACAGACAGTAGTGATAATCGCTGAAATGAGTGAGTATTTCCAGATTGACTTACCGACAACATTTCTGTATGACTATCCTACGGTCAATGACATCACAGCGTTTATTACGAACACGGATCAGTCAACATATAGACAGTCTACGGAGACGACACAGAACGCGACAGTTGAACACGAATTGCGTCAACACTCTGAGAATCATCTATTTTTGTTAGCTACGCGAACACACGTGCTGGTTTCTACTCAATTGACACAGCTTCTCGAAACAGATCATTATTATCACTTTGATGAAAACTTGTCGTGCGCGATGTGGAAACTGAGAAACGTGTCGAACTTTGATTGGCAAGGTTTCCGAATTGGAAAAGCAGAAGCGATCAGCATGGACCCACAGCAGCGTCTGCTACTACACTGCGTGAGCTCGCTATGTCTACCGAAATACACAATATCTCACACTTCTGTGTTTATTGGAATCGCTTGGATGGAGTATGGTGAGGTCATGCGCACAACCACAAGTGTCCCCGCAAGTGCACTAGATGCTACATCACAAGCGTTGAGTGTCGCTTCTGGACGGATATGCTTCACATTCGATCTCACAGGACCGGCGATGAGTATCGACACTGCCTGCTCCTCGTCCCTTGTGGCAGTCCATCTCGGTGTGGCATCTGTATTTCAGAGTGAGTGCGACTCAACTGTAACGGGTGGCGTGAACCTCATCCTCACCGAGACTACGACGGCCATGTTTCTACGCGCTGGTATGCTAGCGCCTGATGGCCGCTGCAAGACGCTCGATGCGGCCGCGGATGGTTACGTGCGAGCCGAAAGCTGTGATACATTATTACTGAGTCCAACCGCGAATGTCAATAGCGAGAGCGTGTGGCTGTGTGGGACCGCAGTAAATCAAGACGGTCGAACGAGCTCGTTGACGGCGCCAAATGGACCATCGCAGACCAGAGTCATCAAATCAGCCCTGGCAAACGCTTCGACTCGGCCATTAGAAGTGCGGGCCCTTGAAATGCATGGAACTGGGACGCCACTTGGTGACCCCATAGAAGTAGGAGGCGCGATGTCTGTTTTGGGTCAGGCAGAAACTTTACGATTGCATGCAATCAAAACGAACATGGGGCACGCTGAATGTGCTGCCGGTATGGCGGGGCTCATAAGTGCATCACGTGCCGTAGAAATGCAAAGACACACTGGCATAATGCACATGCGCTTACTCAACGTACATGCGTGGCACGCAATGTCAATAAATCCCTCTCAAGAGCCAAACGTTGCTGTGCCGCGATCTGCTTCTGCTTCGTGCCAGCATGTGCATAAAGCAAATGCGAAGACGGGAACGAGCTCGTTTGCATTTCAAGGTACAAACGCTCACGCGATATTATCGGCGACAGCACGAAATTCTGGCTGTTCTTGCAATAGTGTCGCATCCAAGCTATTCTCCTGCAATCAGTGCTGGTTTGCATCTCCAGTGCACAGCTCGGGTGCGTCGATAAAAGTGTGCCACAATTCGATTGTTTCGCGCCTCCATCAGCCGACACCAGTGCTGTCGGACCATTGCATCCATGGAAAACCGTTATTTCCAGCGGCTGGGTACATAGATTACATGGCTCAAGCGTGCGGTACATTTGATTTACACACTGCAATGGTTCAAGATCTTGCGATTGTGAGGCCATTACTTTTGCAGTACCACCAACGTATAGAAGTTTCTGTCCGCGCCATAACCGGTGCGATCAAAGTGGAAACTTCACAAGGTGAGCATTGTCGTGCAAGGATAAAGCATGCATCCAAGAAGTGCGATAGACACAACACACTTTATGTTTTCTCTTCGCAGACATTGAGCCCGATCTTCGACAGTGGGCGTCGGTTGAACATTGCACTCGCTCATGTTGAGACTGCATCAACAAACTTCACATCAGGCCATGTGCCCTCAATTATTGACGCGACTCTGCAGATCAGTGTGGGAGTCATAGATGGACAGAAAGTATCAAAGTGTGTGACGATGCTGCCGACCATAATAAAGTTTTGTAGCACATCTCCTCCTGAGATCACGTCAGTGCGGCGCATAAGTACGCGCTGTAACATTGAATTGGACAGCCATGGTGAGAGTCTTGGCAATCATCTGGTTGGCTGCGTGGTGTTATTCAAAGTGAAATGCAAAATGCTACGCACAAAGGCAAATGGGTATCCACATAAAAATAATTTGAGCAATGGAATCAATATTGTCAAGTACGTGTCAAGATTTTCACCAAGCACAAGCTTAAGACCTTGTACCACTCAAGCACACGCGCGATTTATATCACTGATGCGTGAAAAAATAGTCGCTCATGCGGTGATGGTATTGCACGCCTATGTGCTGCAAATGGAAGGTCGAGTTGAGCTATGTGAGACGAATTCCATCAAGTATCTTGCATCACTGTTCCGATGCGCTGAGACTGAATGCATCAAAGAAAATGTTTCCCTAGTTGTACGGGGTGAAGATGCGCCGTTTCAACACTCTAGCATCCTACTACAGGCTTTTACGCAATACAAAAGTCTGAGAAAATTTCATGTATTGCACCGGTGCCTGAAAGAATCTCTTGCTCAACAGTTGGCGTGCTCTAATCGCAAAATACATAAGATCAAGCTCGATCGTAACAAAAGTGAATTCATAGCCTCCTGCGATCTTAATCGGTCTTACTTCATCATGGGAGGAACAGGAGCTACAGGGCAACTCACTAGTACTTTCCTAATGAGGTACAGCTCACCACATACACTAATGAGTCGCTTTGGACGAACAAACTGTATGCTAAGACAGCATCAGTACAGTGACAGCGTTGTGTCGTTTGTACAATCCTACGTACACACTAATATACAGATAAATCGATACGCTGTGGATTCATTATGCTTTATTCATGCGGCAGGTTGTACATCGGATGCCTTGCTTCTGCGACAAACGCCAGCACGCATTCGTGAAGTCTTTGCTCCTAAAGTTCTCACCATTGACGCTGATCTATACTCAAGCAAACCGCTTTTAAGCGCCATTTTCTTTTCTTCCATAACGGCACGAATAGGTTCACCAGGACAGGCAAATTATTCATGCGCAAATTCTGCCTTGGATACTCTCGCTCAATTTGAGCACACAGCTGGTCGCCCTGTGTGCAGCGTTCAATGGGGCGCCTGGGGGAAGGTCGGAATGGCGATCCGTAATAAGTACATAGAACGAAATATGTCGCGTCTAGGAGTTGGCTTCATGGACCCAAAGACTGCCCTCGCTGCGCTGAAAAGTACCATGCGCAGAATAGAAAATGCACCTCTATCATGTGGCGCAGTGCTCGTCGTATGCCAGAACGCATTCACCAGTGACTCGACGAAGGCTGATTGGCTACTTGAGAAACATACGACCGGCTTGCAAAGTGTGCACACTCGGAAAATTGCTGATAAACAAACAACGCTAGAGCGTCAGAAAAAGTTTACTACGTCAGGCGTGCGGTGTCACACCACCCAGGACTGTCTGAGTTTACTTCATAAGATGGTTTGCACATTGATTGGTTTCGATGTTGACCCTGATATCCCCCTCCACGACGCCGGCTTGGATTCTTTATCTGCGATTGAGTTAGCCAGTAAAATATCGACACACTTCGACAGGCAAGTAGCACCATCTTTGGTATTTGACTTCCCCACCATTTCAAAATTGTGCACATATTTAATGCAAAATGTTGAACACAGCTGTGACGAAGCGCACGGGATAGAAGCACTGTGTCGTTCACCACAAAACGCACCATTTGTGCAACCCAACCTTCAGTGTGTGCTTGCTGTGTCATCTGGAACTTCACATGGGGCAGCGGGCGTCGCAAACTGCGACAGTATTGCCCTCATGCCAACAGCACGGCGCATTTTGTCGGATGAACTTGGAGAAAGCGACCCACGTTTAAAAGTGGGCTGCTTCGTTGAAAGCATCGTGATGTTCGACTGGCAAGGTTTCCGAATTGGAAAAGCAGAGGCGATCAGCATGGACCCACAGCAGCGTCTGCTACTACACTGCGTGAGCTCGCTATGTCTACCGAAATACACAATATCTCACACTTCTGTGTTTATTGGAATCGCTTGGATGGAGTATGGTGAGGTCATGCGCACAACCACAAGTGTCCCCGCAAGTGCACTAGATGCTACATCACAAGCGTTGAGTGTCGCTTCTGGACGGATATGCTTCACATTCGATCTCACAGGATCGGCGATGAGTATCGACACTGCCTGCTCCTCGTCCCTTGTGGCAGTCCATCTCGGTGTGGCATCTGTATTTCAGAGTGAGTGCGACTCAACTGTAACGGGTGGCGTGAACCTCATCCTCACCGAGACTACGACGGCCATGTTTCTACGCGCTGGTATGCTAGCGCCTGATGGCCGCTGCAAGACGCTCGATGCGGCCGCGGATGGTTACGTGCGAGCCGAAAGCTGTGATACATTATTACTGAGTCCAACCGCGAATGTCAATAGCGAGAGCGTGTGGCTGTGTGGGACCGCAGTAAATCAAGACGGTCGAACGAGCTCGTTGACGGCGCCAAATGGACCATCGCAGACCAGAGTCATCAAATCAGCCCTGGCAAACGCTTCGACTCGGCCATTAGAAGTGCGGGCCCTTGAAATGCATGGAACTGGGACGCCACTTGGTGACCCCATAGAAGTAGGAGGCGCGATGTCTGTTTTGGGTCAGGCAGAAACTTTACGATTGCATGCAATCAAAACGAACATGGGGCACGCTGAATGTGCTGCCGGTATGGCGGGGCTCATAAGTGCATCACGTGCCGTAGAAATGCAAAGACACACTGGCATAATGCACATGCGCTTACTCAACGTACATGCGTGGCACGCAATGTCAATAAATCCCTCTCAAGAGCCAAACGTTGCTGTGCCGCGATCTGCTTCTGCTTCGTGCCAGCATGTGCATAAAGCAAATGCGAAGACGGGAACGAGCTCGTTTGCATTTCAAGGTACAAACGCTCACGCGATATTATCGGCGACAGCACGAAATTCTGGCTGTTCTTGCAATAGTGTCGCATCCAAGCTATTCTCCTGCAATCAGTGCTGGTTTGCATCTCCAGTGCACAGCTCGGGTGCGTCGATAAAAGTGTGCCACAATTCGATTGTTTCGCGCCTCCATCAGCCGACACCAGCGCTGTCGGACCATTGCATCCATGGAAAACCGTTATTTCCAGCGGCTGGGTACATAGATTACATGGCTCAAGCGTGCGGTACATTTGATTTACACACTGCAATGGTTCAAGATCTTGCGATTGTGAGGCCATTACTTTTGCAGTACCACCAACGTATAGAAGTTTCTGTCCGCGCCATAACCGGTGCGATCAAAGTGGAAACTTCACAAGGTGAGCATTGTCGTGCAAGGATAAAGCATGCATCCAAGAAGTGCGATAGACACAACACACTTTATGTTTTCTCTTCGCAGACATTGAGCCCGATCTTCGACAGTGGGCGTCGGTTGAACATTGCACTCGCTCATGTTGAGACTGCATCAACAAACTTCACATCAGGCCATGTGCCCTCAATTATTGACGCGACTCTGCAGATCAGTGTGGGAGTCATAGATGGACAGAAAGTATCAAAGTGTGTGACGATGCTGCCGACCATAATAAAGTTTTGTAGCACATCTCCTCCTGAGATCACGTCAGTGCGGCGCATAAGTACGCGCTGTAACATTGAATTGGACAGCCATGGTGAGAGTCTTGGCAATCATCTGGTTGGCTGCGTGGTGTTATTCAAAGTGAAATGCAAAATGCTACGCACAAAGGCAAATGGGTATCCACATAAAAATAATTTGAGCAATGGAATCAATATTGTCAAGTACGTGTCAAGATTTTCACCAAGCACAAGCTTAAGACCTTGTACCACTCAAGCACACGCGCGATTTATATCACTGATGCGTGAAAAAATAGTCGCTCATGCGGTGATGGTATTGCACGCCTATGTGCTGCAAATGGAAGGTCGAGTTGAGCTATGTGAGACGAATTCCATCAAGTATCTTGCATCACTGTTCCGATGCGCTGAGACTGAATGCATCAAAGAAAATGTTTCCCTAGTTGTACGGGGTGAAGATGCGCCGTTTCAACACTCTAGCATCCTACTACAGGCTTTTACGCAATACAAAAGTCTGAGAAAATTTCATGTATTGCACCGGTGCCTAAAAGAATCTCTTGCTCAACAGTTGGCGTGCTCTAATCGCAAAATACATAAGATCAAGCTCGATCGTAACAAAAGTGAATTCATAGCCTCCTGCGATCTTAATCGGTCTTACTTCATCATGGGAGGAACAGGAGCTACAGGGCAACTCACTAGTACTTTCCTAATGAGGTACAGCTCACCACATACACTAATGAGTCGCTTTGGACGAACAAACTGTATGCTAAGACAGCATCAGTACAGTGACAGCGTTGTGTCGTTTGTACAATCCTACGTACACACTAATATACAGATAAATCGATACGCTGTGGATTCATTATGCTTTATTCATGCGGCAGGTTGTACATCGGATGCCTTGCTTCTGCGACAAACGCCAGCACGCATTCGTGAAGTCTTTGCTCCTAAAGTTCTCACCATTGACGCTGATCTATACTCAAGCAAACCGCTTTTAAGCGCCATTTTCTTTTCTTCCATAACGGCACGAATAGGTTCACCAGGACAGGCAAATTATTCATGCGCAAATTCTGCCTTGGATACTCTCGCTCAATTTGAGCACACAGCTGGTCGCCCTGTGTGCAGCGTTCAATGGGGCGCCTGGGGGAAGGTCGGAATGGCGATCCGTAATAAGTACATAGAACGAAATATGTCGCGTCTAGGAGTTGGCTTCATGGACCCAAAGACTGCCCTCGCTGCGCTGAAAAGTACCATGCGCAGAATAGAAAATGCACCTCTATCATGTGGCGCAGTGCTCGTCGTATGCCAGAACGCATTCACCAGTGACTCGACGAAGGCTGATTGGCTACTTGAGAAACATACGACCGGCTTGCAAAGTGTGCACACTCGGAAAATTGCTGATAAACAAACAACGCTAGAGCGTCAGAAAAAGTTTACTACGTCAGGCGTGCGGTGTCACACCACCCAGGACTGTCTGAGTTTACTTCATAAGATGGTTTGCACATTGATTGGTTTCGATGTTGACCCTGATATCCCCCTCCACGACGCCGGCTTGGATTCTTTATCTGCGATTGAGTTAGCCAGTAAAATATCGACACACTTCGACAGGCAAGTAGCACCATCTTTGGTATTTGACTTCCCCACCATTTCAAAATTGTGCACATATTTAATGCAAAATGTTGAACACAGCTGTGACGAAGCGCACGGGATAGAAGCACTGTGTCGTTCACCACAAAACGCACCATTTGTGCAACCCAACCTTCAGTGTGTGCTTGCTGTGTCATCTGGAACTTCACATGGGGCAGCGGGCGTCGCAAACTGCGACAGTATTGCCCTCATGCCAACAGCACGGCGCATTTTGTCGGATGAACTTGGAGAAAGCGACCCACGTTTAAAAGTGGGCTGCTTCGTTGAAAGCATCGTGATGTTCGACTGGCAAGGTTTCCGAATTGGAAAAGCAGAGGCGATCAGCATGGACCCACAGCAGCGTCTGCTACTACACTGCGTGAGCTCGCTATGTCTACCGAAATACACAATATCTCACACTTCTGTGTTTATTGGAATCGCTTGGATGGAGTATGGTGAGGTCATGCGCACAACCACAAGTGTCCCCGCAAGTGCACTAGATGCTACATCACAAGCGTTGAGTGTCGCTTCTGGACGGATATGCTTCACATTCGATCTCACAGGATCGGCGATGAGTATCGACACTGCCTGCTCCTCGTCCCTTGTGGCAGTCCATCTCGGTGTGGCATCTGTATTTCAGAGTGAGTGCGACTCAACTGTAACGGGTGGCGTGAACCTCATCCTCACCGAGACTACGACGGCCATGTTTCTACGCGCTGGTATGCTAGCGCCTGATGGCCGCTGCAAGACGCTCGATGCGGCCGCGGATGGTTACGTGCGAGCCGAAAGCTGTGATACATTATTACTGAGTCCAACCGCGAATGTCAATAGCGAGAGCGTGTGGCTGTGTGGGACCGCAGTAAATCAAGACGGTCGAACGAGCTCGTTGACGGCGCCAAATGGACCATCGCAGACCAGAGTCATCAAATCAGCCCTGGCAAACGCTTCGACTCGGCCATTAGAAGTGCGGGCCCTTGAAATGCATGGAACTGGGACGCCACTTGGTGACCCCATAGAAGTAGGAGGCGCGATGTCTGTTTTGGGTCAGGCAGAAACTTTACGATTGCATGCAATCAAAACGAACATGGGGCACGCTGAATGTGCTGCCGGTATGGCGGGGCTCATAAGTGCATCACGTGCCGTAGAAATGCAAAGACACACTGGCATAATGCACATGCGCTTACTCAACGTACATGCGTGGCACGCAATGTCAATAAATCCCTCTCAAGAGCCAAACGTTGCTGTGCCGCGATCTGCTTCTGCTTCGTGCCAGCATGTGCATAAAGCAAATGCGAAGACGGGAACGAGCTCGTTTGCATTTCAAGGTACAAACGCTCACGCGATATTATCGGCGACAGCACGAAATTCTGGCTGTTCTTGCAATAGTGTCGCATCCAAGCTATTCTCCTGCAATCAGTGCTGGTTTGCATCTCCAGTGCACAGCTCGGGTGCGTCGATAAAAGTGTGCCACAATTCGATTGTTTCGCGCCTCCATCAGCCGACACCAGCGCTGTCGGACCATTGCATCCATGGAAAACCGTTATTTCCAGCGGCTGGGTACATAGATTACATGGCTCAAGCGTGCGGTACATTTGATTTACACACTGCAATGGTTCAAGATCTTGCGATTGTGAGGCCATTACTTTTGCAGTACCACCAACGTATAGAAGTTTCTGTCCGCGCCATAACCGGTGCGATCAAAGTGGAAACTTCACAAGGTGAGCATTGTCGTGCAAGGATAAAGCATGCATCCAAGAAGTGCGATACAAGTATGAAGCAGTTCGATTCGCCCACAATCGCGCCTCTTCTCCGCTCAAATGTGCATGTCGTCACGCATTCTATCAGTTCCTATGATCTTCATCACAATGCAGCTAGTCTTTCGAACACATCCGCAGCCTTCATAATAGCAGTCAATGCTGTAATCGGTGACGCAGTATCACAGAAGATTGCGATCAAGGGATTGCGTTGGTTTGCTAGTTGTGGTGTCTCCATCTTTGAGTCTGTTTCCAAGGTGAAAACAGTCGGAAGTTACACAATCTCAGGTTGCAGTATGAGTTTAGACAAACTTTTAGGTTTCGATTCCCAGTTCAAAGCTAGTAGCTTAACGTGCAAAGCGCCCTGCAAAATCCAGAATATCACAATTTTCTATGAATGTCAAGATGCAGACTTTGAACCCGTTCCAAGGAAAATACAAGCATGTTCAGTGATGCAGGTTGCAGCCGATATCGCCTTACTTACAAGCCTAATGCGTCGACACATCGAGCTCATTCATTGTACAAACGCTACCAAACAGCTGCATCAAATTTGCAAGGTAGCGGTGCAAGAGAATATAGTTCCGTCAAACTCATACGTAGATCAACACAAATTTTTCGATAAAACCGTACCTTCAGCCTTATATCTGCGCTTAAGTGACGAGAAAGGTAAAAAAACAGAGCAACTTACGATAATAGGAGGGTCCGGGGGCATTGGAAGGCTGATCCGTACGAAGATGCAATGCATCAAGTTACCGAATCGTTCAGGCAAATCTCAGATTTACGTGCATGAGCGGACGTTTTACATTGAGTGTTTCATGTATGTCTGGCGAACACATAACCATAACTGCATGCTCACTGATAAGTGCTCTTCAATTCGACTCGTGCATGCGGCAGGTTGTACATCGGATGCCTTGCTTCTGCGACAAACGCCAGCACGCATTCGTGAAGTCTTTGCTCCTAAAGTTCTCACCATTGACGCTGATCTATACTCAAGCAAACCGCTTTTAAGCGCCATTTTCTTTTCTTCCATAACGGCACGAATAGGTTCACCAGGACAGGCAAATTATTCATGCGCAAATTCTGCCTTGGATACTCTCGCTCAATTTGAGCACACAGCTGGTCGCCCTGTGTGCAGCGTTCAATGGGGCGCCTGGGGGAAGGTCGGAATGGCGATCCGTAATAAGTACATAGAACGAAATATGTCGCGTCTAGGAGTTGGCTTCATGGACCCAAAGACTGCCCTCGCTGCGCTGAAAAGTACCATGCGCAGAATAGAAAATGCACCTCTATCATGTGGCGCAGTGCTCGTCGTATGCCAGAACGCATTCACCAGTGACTCGACGAAGGCTGATTGGCTACTTGAGAAACATACGACCGGCTTGCAAAGTGTGCACACTCGGAAAATTGCTGATAAACAAACAACGCTAGAGCGTCAGAAAAAGTTTACTACGTCAGGCGTGCGGTGTCACACCACCCAGGACTGTCTGAGTTTACTTCATAAGATGGTTTGCACATTGATTGGTTTCGATGTTGACCCTGATATCCCCCTCCACGACGCCGGCTTGGATTCTTTATCTGCGATTGAGTTAGCCAGTAAAATATCGACACACTTCGACAGGCAAGTAGCACCATCTTTGGTATTTGACTTCCCCACCATTTCAAAATTGTGCACATATTTAATGCAAAATGTTGAACACAGCTGTGACGAAGCGCACGGGATAGAAGCACTGTGTCGTTCACCACAAAACGCACCATTTGTGCAACCCAACCTTCAGTGTGTGCTTGCTGTGTCATCTGGAACTTCACATGGGGCAGCGGGCGTCGCAAACTGCGACAGTATTGCCCTCATGCCAACAGCACGGCGCATTTTGTCGGATGAACTTGGAGAAAGCGACCCACGTTTAAAAGTGGGCTGCTTCGTTGAAAGCATCGTGATGTTCGACTGGCAAGGTTTCCGAATTGGAAAAGCAGAGGCGATCAGCATGGACCCACAGCAGCGTCTGCTGTTGGAACATTCTCAACGTCTATTCCATAGCCATCTATTCAGCATTTACACCGGTATCTCGCTTGGTATTTCATCTTATCCCGAAGTGTCCTTAGGCGCACGCGAGCATTCCTGTGCATATAGTGCATCCGGTCAACATATCAGCGTAGCATCCGGTCGTCTTGCATATATATTTGATATGCAAGGCCCAGCCGTCAGCGTGGATACAGCATGTTCTTCAGCGCTAGTGGCGATGTATATCGCTCGCCGGGAAACCTTGGGATGTCGGAACACATTCGACGCCGTGCATGATATGCTTTGTGGAGGCGTTCATATCATAAGTCCCAGGAATTCGTATCTTTGCTACTTGGCGGGTATGTTATCTGCAGAAGGTCGTTGTAAAGTGTTAGATATGCATGCAGATGGGTATGTCAGAGGTGAGTGTTGCGAATTACAGATACTCAGTCGTTGTAAATCCCATACACAGCGCTGTGTACTCATGGCTTGCACTGTCGCTCAAGACGGACGAACGAGTTCACTCACAGCACCCAATGGAATCGCTCAAGTGATATTGATTTCAACGACTGCACACGCCGCAACTGTCGAAGTTGATCACATAGGTGCCATACAATTGCACGGTACAGGAACTATCCTTGGCGATCCGATTGAAGTCTCATCAACGTTCAAGGCCCTCAGACCGCCGATGAAGGTTAGCCATGCTCCATTGATGGCTCAGGCCGTTAAATCAAGGTCTGGTCATGCTGAGCCGGCATCTGGCTGTGCTTCATTTGCCCATCTCGTCCACTCTTTATCAGAATCAGCCGCTATCGCAATCGTTCATTTGCGCCATTTAAATGCACATGTGAGTGACGTGTTATCATTGAACTCGAAAATTCAATTAGCATTATTTACGAGGGAAAACATGCAGTCTCTTTCACGGACACAGGCGATAAGCTCGTTCGCTTTCCAGGGAACAAATGCTCACGCAATTGTATCAGTAGCACATGATGAGTTTCAAATCAGACGACAACTTGCGTGCAAATCCATCATGTACACTCCAATTGATTGCTGGGGTCTTCAAATCATGGCACCATTCAGAGCGCACGTAACCAATAGAGTTCTTGAGACTGTTTTTTTGCTCAACCATGTTGAAAACCAATTCCTCACTGACCATCAAGTTTTGAACAGAACATGCCTACCAGGGACTTTGCTCGCGCAGATTTTGCGAGAGAGTATGAAAAACATTACGAAAAACCAAACATTACTCTTGCTTCGAGATGTGGTTTTCATAAAACCAGCACATTTTGGAAATGTACAAATTAAAATTTGGCAACGGACGGGAATACTTTCGAATGCAGGAAGTGCCATTAATTGCACATTTTCATTTGCGTTGACGTCTCTGACTCACACTCAACAACGCGTTCATACATACACAAAAAAACATTGCGAAAAACAAAGCAAAATACTAGGTAGAGTTGATTCACAACACCGGCCATCACCTTTCACGATGTCGGCAACTTGTGATGCATGTCTACAAATCTGTCAGACTTATTCAATAACTGCAGGATACCTACCAAAAGCTGTTGAGTCAATAAGACAAAACTGCATGGCATCGCATAGTATGGATGTGATGGACTCCAAGTGCATGATGCAAACCGCATCTGCAGGAGAAGTACATGCTTCGTTCATTTTATATAGCGCGGGGAACAAAACTTCTGCCATGATGACCATGCATGGTTGCACTGCTTCAATCATCAGAATGCGTCACTTATCTAGTTTGATGACGACTGAAAGAAAATCTTGCGGTGCGCTAGATTTCGTTCACAGTGTGTACTACGAAACCGAAAATTCAAGATCTATCCATGCACCTGAGTGGCCATCGAGGCCTGCACTCTTCGGCGTGGAGACTGCCAGCATGATGTGCTTCATGCAGTCAAAATATGTAAAAGTTCAATCACCGGCGCTAAGTAGTGTCGGACATTCACACTTGGAGGCTGTCTTACGATGCATTATGTATGAGGAAGGAAAGCAAAAACGCGTGACAAACTCAACATTTCGGAAGGTCAAAATGCCGTGTCAACTTCGCATATCAGTGCAACAACAGTTCTTGTACCCCAAGATGCAAGTGGCAACCGATTCTAACCAGTCTATTCTCGTTGAAATAAAGCGTTCATTCGCATCGGGATCGAGCGTCAAAAGTATGTTAATGAATGCGAAAGTTGCACATATACCCTTCATAGGGGTAGTCGCTACAAAATTGTCCAAGTCAAGCCTGAATGCTGGTGATGTGATTCTCTGCACAGCATCCTATGAGCAGCTACAAAACTCGTCGCAGTATATTTGGATAGAGATGTCACAAATGCACTTCGTGCATTACTCTTGCCTTCTTTCGCTAGTACGAACACAGACAGAAGAAAGAATTGAACGCGAACGCTTTCGCACAATGTCAAATCACCACACTCAGTGTTCAGTATCTGATGAAGAACTAAACCAAAACATTATTGCGTTCCTGAAACATCTACGATACAACTTACCATCGGAACACTTCATTTCGAACAGGTGCGAGTATTGGGGAATTACAGGTGGCACAGGTGGCATTGGGGTGATGAACGTTGGTTGGTTAGCACACAACCACAATGTACTAGGCATTTGTGTATCATGTAGAAGTGGAAAGTCCGCAAAACCAAAACTCTTTAACCATTGGCGAATCAGTTTAAAACTTAGGCAAGATGACTCGTGCGCCTCTACCACCGTATTACCATACGAAGGAGACACAAACACCTTTGGAATTGTCCACATGAGTGGCGTAACGAAAGACGCTTTGCATGCTTCACAAAATCCTCATTCCATTAGGTCTACATTTGCTCCAAAGACGGGATCTTTCTCTTGTTCTAAAACGCACTTACACCATGCAATGCTTGTTTCAATAGTATTTTCTTCCCTCGCCGTCTTCGGTTCTATAGGACAAGCCAACTATTCCTCTGCGAATGCAACACTTGATATGATGTCGGCACATAAGAAGGCTTCAGGCATGAACATTGTGAGTACTCGATGGGGAGCGTGGAGTGCAGTTGGAATGGCTATTGATACGCGTAGAATTTCCGCAAACACTGCTTTTATGCCCTCAATAAATCCACACCTTGCTTTGGATATCTTGAAAAATCTGTACGTACTTTCGAGCGATATTTTCTCTGCTCCATGTTATTCTGTGATAGGGCAAAAACTACATAATCAAGCGCATCTGGGTTCAGGGTTTAATTCACACGAATTATCATCGAAAGATGACGCTACCATTTATTCCACCAAAGCTGGGGCCGAAGATGAAACTCACGATGATCTTATATCTCTAGAGGGACTCATTTTCAGAAATTTGTCTTCTATTACTGGAATCAATCAAGATGAGAAGTCAATAAATACACCACTTACATCGTTAGGTCTGGATTCTATCGGTATGTCGCAGTTAGCGATGAGCTTGGCTGTAGAGACGTCTCTCAATCTGCCACATACACTCGGTTTTGATTACCCGACGGTAAAATCACTAGCTCGTCATCTTGCAGACCGTTTACAAAGTTCAAGTTCATCATCAATTCAATCACGACAAAGCTTGCGGGTATTGGAAGGCAGTTCTGCGGAGAATCTGGGCAATAGAAGTATCACACTTGCGTCTTTCTACGGCAATATGTCTACTGCAACCTACGACGACGAAGTGACGCTCGTCGACAGCCGGTTCGATTCTTTCTTTGAATCAGGCAACCCACCATTTGCATTTCATATGAATAATGTAAACAATTTTGACGCACACATTTTCGACCTCAATGAACGCACAACTGCGCAAATGGATCCAAGACAACGGACGTTACTCAAGTGCACTTTCGGCTGCATCTACGACGACCAAGGTGTAATCGATGGTCAAACAGGCTGTTTCATTGGTGTCAGTGCCGATGAGTACGGGGCACTTCGACTAATATTCCCACTCAATTTCAGAGATGTGCCCGCTTCGAGCGTTTCCAGTGTCGCTTCTGGACGGATATGCTTCACATTCGATCTCACAGGACCGGCGATGAGTATCGACACTGCCTGCTCCTCGTCCCTTGTGGCAGTCCATCTCGGTGTGGCATCTGTATTTCAGAGTGAGTGCGACTCAACTGTAACGGGTGGCGTGAACCTCATCCTCACCGAGACTACGACGGCCATGTTTCTACGCGCTGGTATGCTAGCGCCTGATGGCCGCTGCAAGACGCTCGATGCGGCCGCGGATGGTTACGTGCGAGCCGAAAGCTGTGATACATTATTACTGAGTCCAACCGCGAATGTCAATAGCGAGAGCGTGTGGCTGTGTGGGACCGCAGTAAATCAAGACGGTCGAACGAGCTCGTTGACGGCGCCAAATGGACCATCGCAGACCAGAGTCATCAAATCAGCCCTGGCAAACGCTTCGACTCGGCCATTAGAAGTGCGGGCCCTTGAAATGCATGGAACTGGGACGCCACTTGGTGACCCCATAGAAGTAGGAGGCGCGATGTCTGTTTTGGGTCAGGCAGAAACTTTACGATTGCATGCAATCAAAACGAACATGGGGCACGCTGAATGTGCTGCCGGTGTGGCGGGGCTCATAAGTGCATCACGTGCCGTAGAAATGCAAAGACACACTGGCATAATGCACATGCGCTTACTCAACGTACATGCGTGGCACGCAATGTCAATAAATCCCTCTCAAGAGCCAAACGTTGCTGTGCCGCGATCTGCTTCTGCTTCGTGCCAGCATGTGCATAAAGCAAATGCGAAGACGGGAACGAGCTCGTTTGCATTTCAAGGTACAAACGCTCACGCGATATTATCGGCGACCGTTTACAGCGCTCTGTATAAGCGCCCTATGGACGGCAACCCACTACTTCTCGACGAAAAGTACTTACTGCACGATTACATGACAGTGGAGTGTAAAGCCTATTACCTAGATTCGTCACAATGGCTAACATTCAAGCAAAGAAATAATATGGATAATGATATCGCACGAATGTCAGATCTACTTTTTGCTGTACATTCCGTAGTTGGTATAACAACAAACGAACGATTGACGATGCTTTCACAAGTAGTGCTGACAACTCATAATGCAGTAAAGGATAATTTGGTCGTACATCTCTGCGAAAGAACTTCTGTGTTTAAAGTTGTAGGGTCGAATGGTGTTAACACTGGTAAAGGCTGCGTGACCGTTACTCCACAGGTACGCGACCGGCGCTTCCTCAGCGTATGTCAGTTCTTCCGGAATTCAATTTCTACATGTCGTGCAATGGAACACACACTTTTTAGCGATACAGGAGTCAAAGAGCAACTGTTAAAGTCGTGTATGCATCATTTTTTGCGTATATCTTGCGCCATGGTTCAGTTCTCAAGATTGTTGAATACCACGTGCGCGCATCGTACAGTTTCAAATAGGAAAATTACACGTACTAAATCTCGAATTCAATCTTCCAATAACTTGATAGAGTGTGAAGAAAGTGCATCACAAATACGAAGACGTGCTAAATTACCGACGCATCAGTACGTGGCCAATTGGGTTTATGGAGCCGCAAAACATCAACGAATTGACGGCACAGATTGTATTAATTTTGGTAGTTTCAAAGCTTCGCGAATTGGAAAGCGTGCCTTTAACCTGGACTTGTGTGACATAGTGCCCTATCAAAGAGTAGAAGACTCATCGTACACATTTGCATCAATTTACGCATCAATGTTCACGTTTTTACCGTTGATAAGCATTGTCTCAAGATCATGCTCATCAACCTGTTTCAACCTGGCCACGCAGCCACGTCCTGCAAGTGAAGCCGCCTGCACGTTCGGGACCATGGAGAGCTTAATTCAGGCATTGCATTTGGAGTATCCACATGTGCAAGTTGCTTTAGCTCCGAAACCAGTATTTGAAAAGTTTACGTTTTTGAGTTGTAGTTCGTGCAAGATGAGAGTTGAGGCTGGTAAAATTTTCACACAGCGATTAGCGCAAGTAAGTTTACGTTCAACCCTCCGCGAAGGACGACAGCGTGAGTTCGCATGGACTTGCTCGCATAATGTTTTAACATATGGTGGAACTCATGGCATAACCGCTCACTTAATAAATAATTTGAAACGCCATTCGCATTGTAATGTTTGTATTGTTGGCCGCACAGGGCGAAGTCGCGTGCTTCACGTGGATCCAACATTTTCCACGGAAGATGACTATCTGACAATATCGAGAGCTTGTGTGTGCAATTTAGATGAGTTAGCAGCCATTAAATCCCGGTTCTGCAAGGATCAAAATAAAAAACTGTCAGTTATACATTCCGCAGGAGTCTTTCAGATGACTCCAGTGAAACACCTGACACCTGCACAGATGATGGCAGTCTTCGTACCAAAAGTCGCAACTTCAGTACAAGCTAAAAAAGACAATACGCCTTGGCTTTTTCCGTCCCACTCACGACAAATAGACATATTTCTGTCGTCAATCAGCGCTGTTTTCGGTCTTGGGAGAGCGGCATCGTATGCAGCGTCAAATGCATACATTGATGAGCTATCACTTTGGTTTCATTCTTTTGGAAGCGAAATTATCTCAATCCGCTTGGGGCCATTTGCGAGTGTTGGTATGGCGTTAAATGCAACATGGGACTCATCCATCTTGGGCCTGACCTCGATTTGCCCCAATAAGCTTTGCAGTATAATATCAAAATGTCATTTGACTCGTGCGCTTCCTGGTGTTTTGGTAGTCAAGTTGGACATGCAGAAATATGACTCACAATTTAGAGTACTGCTGAACCAAACAGAACATAGCCTACAGCAATGGGATCTACTTGACGATCTCCTTGATAGGGTAAAACACCCATCAACTCAGATTGTGAGTGACGACAACTATTTGGAAGCTATGCACGTGGATGTCGTACAATCACATGTAGCTTCAGTGGTGCAGCGCGTTCTAACGGATTTACGGGGATGTAGAAATGGACCATTTTCTTTGGATGAGAGCGTCATGACCAACGGCGTGGACTCAACTTTTGCTTTGGAACTTGCTGATGCACTTTCATCGAAGCTTCATATTGATGTGCCAAAGTTAGTAGCATTTGAGCATCCGACACTCCGATCTTTAATTCGTTTTTTGTCGCAACAAAACCAATGTATGTTGTCCGAATCGCATCAAAATCAAATTTCCATACAAAGGTCTTCCTGCTCTTTGACTACCCAACATAAACGTCATAGTATTGACGTGCGAGTCTACGCTAAGACTTTTCACAGCCAGTCGACAGTAACTCACAAGATTCCGTTGTTTGATGCGATTCAAGGTTTGGAGAAGCGTTGGATCATAGATTTATTCAAATTTGATACCCTAGACGGTGCACTTCCACCAAGTTTTGGTGGATTCATTGCTCAAGTATATCATTTTGATGCCAATACCTTTGATATGTCACGCATGGAAGCTCGTCTCTGCGATCCACAGCAGCGCGTTCTGCTTGGCACTGCCGCATCGTTGCTCGACAAAAAGTATTGCGTCAATGGATGTGCAAAGTCAGTATTTGTCGGCATCACGTCGTCGGACTACGCAAGAATCTTGCGTGATAAGTCTACACTTGCAAACGGATATGAAAGTGCAACGAATGTGTCAAACGTTGCTGCCGGCAGGATTTCTTTCACTTTCAACTTTACTGGACAATCTATATCTATTGATACCGCGTGTTCTTCATCGTTAGTTGCAGTGCACTTTTCATGTGTTTGTGATGATCATTATCGAGATTGTGAACAACTGGCCTTCGGGGTCAACTTAATATTTGATCCAAGAACTTCAATAGTCTGCAATGCAGCAGGAATGCTATCATCAGATGGCAGATGTAAAGCGATGGACGTCGAAGCCGACGGATATGGTCGGGCCGAAAATTATGCAGGCCTGCTTCTTGCAAAACGTCGCGTGGATCACGCTGCATCGAACGATATCAGTGAAAACGTAGGATACTTCAAAGCAAGCAAAATAAACCAAGATGGAAGGACTAGTTCCTTGGTGGCACCGAACGGCAACGCTCAATTTGAGCTAATTCAATCCTGTGCATCGCACTCAGGCATTAATGTCGAAGGAAATGGCGTAGATGAGTCTGAGTTACATGGCACAGGTACGCAGCTCGGTGATCCCATCGAGATAGCTGCAATTCAACGAGTATACTGTGTGGGTCGCTCTCCCGTCGTCTTCCAGGCAAGTAAGACGCTACATGGGCACAGCGAAGCGTCTTCAGGAATCCATGGGTTAGTGATGACACTTTATGATATGCGCTTAAGTAGATTTCTATTGTCTTTGCGCAACATGAATCCAATTGTTCTTGATAGTGTAAAGGAGTATGTGAATGTATTGAGATTCAATCGAGGCCGATGCGCGTTAAACCCAGCCTTAAAATCGATAAGCTCGTTTGGATACTCTGGAACAAACGCACACATCGTGGCTGCTTCAGATGAATGGTGTAAACATTTGGGAACCACTGATATGGAATTTTTATGGCATAGACTAGAATTTAATCAAGCTGAAGACAGTGGAAGTCCGATGATAAACATGCGTGGCCATTTTCTACACTTGAAAGGGACTTGCAAGATAATTTTGTGCATCCACGCTCACATGCATGGAATTGGCGCACACATCGAGAGTTATCTTCAGACCCTTAATATGCTGGGCAATGACGATCGTTTCCTGATCACAAAGTGTATTCATCGCACGAAAACATGCGCACGAGATGTCTGGACTGTCTCTCTAAGTACGCACGATGGAACTTTCAACAGTGCAGAAGCCTGCGGACAGCTCGCATTCGAAGCACGTTTGACTCGATGTGCATCACATTTCACAAGACAATCTCAATCAGCACGGCGATTGTGTTTCCGTCCTTCATCACAGAGTTTGTATGGGCGCACATTGTCAAAATCCGGCCTCGCTCTACCGAGCAAGCTATTTGAAGACTCAAAGACACTTATACATCATCGTTCACGTGAGATGAAATGCATTACCCTACACATTGAACTTTTCTACATGGAGAGGTATCGCAATGAAGTCGGCCATTGGGATGTGCTGGTAGCGCGAAATTCATCTAGTTCCAAGTTCCACTATTTAGAGCACCAGTCAGTATCAAGGTCACACTTGCGCAAAAGAAAAACAAACCATAAGAAACCGGATGTGCCATCTGAGTTCAATCACAACGGTGCCCAACTATCGTTGTACGAAATCGTCTCCGCATGCTACCGCGATGTTAGTTTCCACTCATTTATGAAAGACAAAACTCTCATAGAGAGTGGGATGGATTCCTTAGGGATAACTGAATTTTTTGCTAGGCTTCAACAGCAACTCGGATGTCGCATACCAGCCAGCTTGTTGACTGAAAGTTTATCAATGGAGGAATTGATAAAACGACTCGAAATGAATCAGGTCGCGACTGCAGTCTCCCAAAGTGAAGCTCATGCAAACGTAAAAGACGACAGCGTCCTGGTATCAAGCCAAGAACAAAAAATATTTGTACTGCACTTCAAGCTCTATCCGTCAAGTTGTGCTTACAATATGTCAATGATCGTGGACATCTCTATGGAGAAGGATATAATTGAGGTCTTCAACTGTATGTTACTAAACCATCCAATTCTACGAATGCGTTTTTCCCCCAATGATAGTGTATCCATAAAATCAGGAGAGACAATTTCTTCCATACCAATCTTAAGGTGTGATAGAAAGAATTGTGGTTCGGTTCACCGACGTTCAGAGATCGTCATAGCTGAAGCGAAGTCATATCCATTCGATATTTTCAACGACGCACCACTTCGTTTGTATCGCCTGGGCGAGTCAAAATTGCTGGTAGTTTTGCACCACATTGCTGGTGACGCGCTCTCTTTAGCTATCATCGCCCATGCGTGTAGATCAAACACACTTACATGCGATCGACCTGGGACGTTCGATTCGTACACCTCCTGGTTTCATCACCTGATAGACCAAAAAGATCGTCGTGCACAACTGAGAAATAAAGCGTTGATACACTGGGAGAACGTTCTCACAGAAAATAAGCGAAGTAGTTTCAATGCCTCAAAGCTGCGACATGATTTCATGACTGACCTAAATTCACCAGACATCTTGCGAGGCGCTGGAGTTCCTTTCAAACTCAGTGCAAGCGCAACGCGTTTATTGAAGTCTACCGCAAGAATCTTAGGTACTACTACTTGCACCATTTTGCTTTCTTGCTGGCTAATTGTGATCGCCACCATAACTGAACGCCAGGTTCAGGCATCACGTCTGGCAAGAATCACTCTCGGAAACTCATTCGATTTACGATGCGCAAGTTCACTTTCACAACAATCAACCATAGGGTGTTACGCTGCCGTTGTACCAGGCCGATGTGTGGTCGACATGAACATCAATTTCTCACATATTGTCGCGAATGTGCACCACATGATAAACGCTGCTCGTGAATGCCCTCTAGTCCCCATCAACGATATCATCCATTTGCTTTGCACTCGACATGGATGTGACTTTCATGCTAACAATCCTATGTTTGAGACATGCTTCAGCTTTGTCAGCAATCTGCGTCGATCAAAATGTATGGAGTCCAGAGTAGAGCATTTTCAACAAGCCGTTTTTTCGCTCTGGTTGGGACTTCAAGATTCTCATGCCGACATTAGCGGCACCCTGATGTATGACGAAAGCAAATTTTGCAGAGGCACAGTCGACAATTTGATTGCCTGTCTTGAACATACCTGCCGGTCTTCGTGTGAAGAGCAGTTACATAGTGGGAAAACTCTGTTGAAGAGCCTCATTCTAAAAAGCAGCATACGTATGGAAAGAGGTACTTCTCTCCAACATTCCCACACTTCTCGGCTAATGCGAGCTAGACTGTCGCAATCAATCCAAAAATCACGGAATGAAAGCGCACAGACGAACACAAATGTGAAGACGATCTATATTTCCCAACCTTTATATGTTACTTCGAGCAATGTATGCATATACTTGGATATTGACCAACATATGACCACGTACCGCGAATACATATTCAACCTAATTCCGGAAGTCAGACACTCTCGCCTGCGCGTGTATGCAGTGACGTCAAACTTTTACCTTCGACTTCTTCTCCACTACGTCGTTGCTTCGCTGGATGGTGTACTGCTGGTTCACAGAGACTCAGATAGCATTCCTGATGCAGAAGTTTTGTCGTTTTCACCGCATGTAATATTTGGTTCTACTACGCTCTTGAGAAAGTATGTTTTCACAAGGCCTCCCACTGCACTAGGAAAGAACATCTCGAATATTAGACTACAATATTCTCAAAAAGTCCCCGGGAAAGGATTAGATTATCCATGTATTATGCCTGTCGATACTTCACCCTTTGTAGTGCACATGCACGCTACAGGTCATACAAAACTGACACTTTTCAGCACTCACATGCACTATTCATTTATCAGAAACTTGCAGCTGAGTTTGAGCATTAACTGTACTGATATTTCGTTACACTTTGCAAATAAAGCGGGATTGTTGAACATCACAACGGCGACTGCGGTCTTAAATGCAAAAGGCTCAATTGTCATAAATGAATCCGATTCTGGGACAATTCATCGTTCAATCGCTAGAGAGCGCGTAACTATTCTTATAGCGCCGGAATCTATCGGTGCGTCCATGGTGCGCAGCGAGTTCTCATCTAGCTTTGATGCTTCGAGTCTTCGCCTACTCGTCGTGGAAAACTTGAGCAAACAAAGATATCAATATTTGCTGAAAAGTCTTTTCTCAAAATTTGGCTGTCAGATAATGAGCTATGATAATCCTACGTACGATTCATACAACGCACGATCTCCAACAATTTACGGCAGTGAGATTTTCTATAATACGACATCGATGGCGCACGAGTTACGATGGCATACGACAAGAACCCAACACCCACTGTGTGTGATGAGAGCGGTGACCAATAATGGTGAACTTGCACTGCTGCGCTCTGGGTTTGTGGGCGAGATTCAATGTCTACTAAACCAGCACGAGTGTTTCAGGAGAACGGAATGGACCGACGACGACTGGTTTCGCACATTGGATTTGCTTATAATTGCACACGACGGTAGTAAGTCTGTTACTCCGAGTCGAAAACCAGTAGATGTGTTTCGTCTTAAGAGTAATTCAGCACTGCATAACTCAGCGGATGATATATCGTCTGAGAAAGTACAATTTTCGCCAAATCAAGATGTTCGAAGTATTTCGCATAGTATTTCGCCAATTGAGATTGGTATAGTTGCCACAAGCGGGAACATATTGCAAACGTCGGATGCTATATCGTGTCATCAGGTTTCAAAATTTGATGTTGCAAAAGATTTGAACACTACACTTCACGACGACGGATTATCATACAATTTTGGTAATCATCACGATCTTCGTGGCTTCGACTCATCATGTTTTCGCCTAACACTGCAAGAAATCATTTCGATGGACTCACAGCAGCAGAATCTTCTGTTTTATGCGCAGAAACTGCTATCGTCGACCTCATCGTACCAAAAGACGAAAAACACTAGCTTGGCGTTGGGTATTTCACAGTTTGGCGATGTATCGCTCTCTGTGAATGATCAATCCGTCATGGGTCAGGCCCATAGTGTAGCAAGTGGCAGAATTGCATTCTTCTTCGACATTCATGGTCCGTGTGTATCCGTGGATACCGCCTGTTCGTCTTCACTCGTGGCATTGCACTTGGTTTCGACCTTCTTCGCCCTCACAAAGTGTACATTCGGCCTGCCTGCGGCAGTGAATCATATCATATGTGAAAATGTGACTGATGCGCTTTACAGACTCGGTATGTTGTCGCTCGAAGGTCGATGTAAAACTTTGGATATTTCTGCTGATGGCTACGTACGATCTGAGTATACTTGCCTGCTGGCTGTGGTAGATTTATCAAAAAGCGATTTCTCGCCGGCCCGAGTAGTGCAAGTCTGCGCAACGCAAATTAATCAAGACGGTCGATCGAGCGCGCTTACGACGCCGAATGGTACAAGTCAAGTCAGCCTATTGCGTCAAGCACTACGAAGCTGTCACAAGTGTTCAAACTCATTTAATATTTCTATGCATGGAACCGGCACTGCCCTCGGCGACCCAATCGAAATAAATGCCATTCTTGAGGCAATTCAATCAGCAAAACTCGTGAATATTAATGCTAGCAAGTCAATCGCGGGGCATGCTGAAGCAGCTTCAGGTATGATCAACCTTGTCTTTACAATTCAAGAGTCAACGAATCATTTATTCTCTCAAATTTTACATCTAAGACGATTGAACACGCATATCGTGTGTGATATTGACAGCAGTGGATCTTTGGTTTCGTTACCGAGGGAGAATGTATCTTTGGTGGAGAACTCATCGTTACGTTATTTCGGTACGAGTGCATTTGCTTTTCAAGGAACAAATGCGCATACAATATCACGGCTTTTGGCCTCGCATCACTATTCGGTTCGCTGGTCCACTCTACAGATCGCTGGTAGACATGGTCAATTATCGCAATTATCGTCGTCGTTGAGATGGGCCTGCTCAATGTCCACCGGAAAGACCTCGCAGTCCTTTATCCTAAAAATTGATAGCGTCTTATACAAGCATCACCGAGTTCGTAATAGAACGATATGCCCAGCGACAGTTCTGTATCGCGTCATGTTCTTGGTCGGACATCCTGAGCAGCACACCATGCTGTACCATCCAATACGTCACGCTGTGCAAAGCGTAATTATTTCGACGTCACTCTACTTGGACAAACCCAATGTAGATCTATCATTGAAACTCGATGAAAGCGGATACTGCACCCTCTCCTCAGGTACGAGTACAAGTTTTACCACATCCAACACGGTTTCAAAAGGGTTGCACGTGTGTTATGCGCAAATCTCTGGCATGCTGAGATTGAGTGACTACGGTGCCCCAAGCTTGTATCAGTCGTTTGGAGGCGTAGGATCGGTAGGAAGGACGACCTCCGATGTATTTTGTGGACACAATCGCGCTAAACACGAAGATTGTAGTCTGCAACTGGGCTTTGTGGGCTCCATCAGATCACAGGATCCGCCTCTCCATCTCTTCCTACCGTCCGGAGTGACTTCGTACACTCACAGAAAATCCGAGATTCGTACGAGAGCCATCGTGTCAACACTTCCATCACTGAACTTAAATGACCGAAGCGATATATTAAGTGACCATTTTGCGTCCAATAAAGCGTACAGTACGATTTTGTTCCATATTGTATCTCGACGGATGAGGACGGATCAATTTTCAAACCCCACGGGAATGTCCCATACCAAACCATCTGCATTCAAATACTCAATAATCGCGTTTCAACCGCTTCTCTTGGGGCATGGCTTGAGATCGAATATTATCGCATCCGAGTTGAGAAAGCACAGTACGTTTACAAACGTAAGGGGTGTTTCAGATTTCCTACAATTAGCTCATGCTCTGCGTCGAGCGACGAAAGTGAGTGTCCACACCACTCGAGAAATGGAACAGCTGGATGCGAGTTCTATGATGCGTGTGGCTTTATCTGAAGGTATGATATCAATTGTTGATTCAGTCTCACATCCATCTTCAGCGTCTGTGAGACACGTTATTGTTCCGTGGGAATCACCAAATGTAAATAATTCTGTTGTGGTTATTCAAAATAAACATGCTTACTTGAAGAGTATCACGGAAGTTTCACGACAAAACGTACAAGGAGTACGAAACCATGTATCAGGATCACTCATCCGAAGAGACTTCGACAGCCCATTAAAGCAAATCTCACTGTACTTGACAGGTGGAACTGGTCACATTGCGTCGAATATCCTCCAATGGTATTGCTCAAAGTTTCAAGTGATGGCGATCTTACACGGGCGCTCAGGCAGATTCCTCCACACAAATCGGAGTTTGGACAGTGCATTCATCCGTGTATCACGACACGGTATTGAGCCAAACTCTTGCGTCGATCTGCACATGTATCACTGCGCAGGCGTATTACACGACGCATTAATACAATTTCAAAATTTTTTCACGTGCTCAAAAGTCTTGGCTCCCAAAATATCTATAACGAGCGAACTATATAACAAATATGCCTGCTTGGATTTCCGAAGGCTAACACTCTGTTCATCAATATCTTGCTTATTCGCAACACGAGGACAGCTGGGTTACGTAGCCGCAAACGCTTTCATGGATTCGTCTTCAAATATGTGCAGAAATGTTGGTTCTTCTATCATTAGCATCCAGTGGGGTGCTTGGTCAAATGGTGGGATGGTTGATGAGGTCGTTTCAAGTCGCTACATCAAGTCAGGCATCAGTATGCTGCTCCCCACTGATGCTGTTCGTCTTTTGGTCCAAAACATCGACATAAATTGCACGTTACTACTCTGTCATATAGGAATGAATCACTTTAATATTGGCTACAGCTCCACGTGCGGCGTCTATTTCTGCTCAGGAAATTTGAAATTAACTTCAAATCCAGGGAAATATTCAAAAGCAGAGAACTCATCGTATCAAATTAATAGTTCATCGAGGGTTCTCCGGACAAGAAACCATATCGAAGCCGATGTGCTCAAAATTTTAAAATCAGTAACGAATTGTCAAGATGTGATGGATGCATCAATTCGATGGGATTTTGATTCATTTTCTGCGATCGAATTCAGCGAAATACTTTCGGCATCATTCGACATCAAACTGCCTCTTACTCTTGCTTTTGATTTCGTATCATATGTCGATGTCGCCCATTATATATTTGACAAAATGCATGATAACGTGATCACTATGGGGCCACTTCAAACATCGAAAATTAGCTCAAAAGAAACGATAATACTTTCGTATGTTACGGGATCTTATCCGGATGTTCAAAATGAAGCGGCAGACTTAATATCTCACGTGCCATTTGCTAAATGGGACATTTTGGTTGATGGTCCGAAATGGAAGACATCGTCGATCTTTGGATCTTTCTTATTTCCACAAACAAGCTTTTTTGACTTCGAACTCTTTCAGATTTCTCAAGCAGAATCCCGGCGAATAGACGTTCAGCAACGCCTTGCTTTGAATGATACTCTCAAGTGCGTTCATATGATCGATGATGCGAACCTCTCAGGTATACTTGTTGCAATTTCGAGCATGGATCACTGTGGCCTCGATATTTCAAAGACGGGGTTCGCCACGGATGCTGCATTTTCAGTTGTACCAGGACGCGTTTCATTTCATCACAATCTGGGAGGTGTGTCGATTGCGATAGATACAGCGTGTTCGTCCTCTCTCGTTGCAGTTGATGTGGCGCGTAGGTATCTGCGTGATGAAGGGAATCACATAATTGTTTACGGTGTGAACGTCATTCTTTTACAATCAACGATGTCTTTATTTGCAGTCACTGGAATGCTCGCAGATGATGGGCGTTGTAAATCGCTTGATGTATGTGCTGATGGATACAGTCGCGCTGAAGCCTCGCACGCTTGTTTATTGCACTCTGGTGCTAAACAGAAATTACCGACCAAAACTTCTGGATATGTCTGTAGTATTTTGCACTCAATTATCAATCAGGACGGGCGTTCTTCCGCGCTCACGGCACCAAATGGCCAAGCGCAGCAGCGTGCGCTTGTTGAACTATTGCATGGATCCCGCGCCGGGCATGTAGAATGCTCGTACTTACACAGCACGGGGACACCGTTGGGCGATCCAATCGAAATCGGAGCCTACTTAGGTGGATTAGTTCACTTTGAGTCACACTCTCATGCCGTACAACTGGAAGCTGTCAAATGTCGTGTGGGGCACGGCGAGCCCGCATCTGGGGTGTTGACACTATCTCAAGTCGCAAAAAGTTTGATTTCATCCAACACTGGAAATGTCTCGCTTCGAGTAATGAATCCATTGGTAGAAGATCGAGTTTGCACTCACGCAGCAATCGTCATAAACCGACAGTGTCACCAAATGGAGTTTTTGGCAGATTGTCCAAAATTTGTCACCACGAGTGCGTTTGCGTTCCAAGGGACAAATTGTATGATTGCACTCACACTTGGATTTGAATCGCATAATGTGACGTCTGTCTTGAAGAACTTGAAAGTACAATGGAACGTAGATATATTTACTCCGCACCCCCAAATACAGTATATTCCGGCAAAAGGATTAATTGAGCTACAGTTCAAACATTTACATTCGAACTACTTGCTGGATCACACTGTCAAAGACACATGCATTTTGCCAAACACCGCGATTTTAGAGATATTTCTTTCCGCTCATGCTGGTCTCTTTTCAACTTGTCGTGTTGCTGGGGCTGCAAATCAGCTAACATGTGCTCCCATTCCTCTATCAAGTAAGCAAAGGCACAGAAAAATTCATTTACGGATTGAAGATTACAAAAGTCGAATAGTCATTCAGCATACCATGCATGCATGTGCACACATCGCAGATGTTCCTAATCGAGCGCATACGCGCTGTTCGATAGAGAGCAAAAACACTTTCGCAGCTTCTAAATATGTATATAGCCGAACAGCCCGCATTCCTAGATGGATGCACATTGAGCAAATGTTCGCTTTCGAGCCGAACGTGATGGATTGCTCTTTACAGCTACGAGCTTGCACGTCCGTCGTGGACACACCCAACGTGCTTCTTTTGCCAGTAGGTGTCAAAATGGCCACAATTTCGAACTGTTCTGGCAATTCAATGTTGAGTTGTCGTATCTCATTGAAAAATTGCGGTGAATCAGACCATTGCATGCAGAACGCGACTCGTAATTTCACCGTAAGCCTTTCATGCGCGAGTTTTCGACGAGCGAGGTTCGACGCAGATATTAAGCTTAAGCGTCAAGCAAAAATAAAAGTTATCTATACCAACTCGCTTTATCGAAAGGACACCATGGGAAGAAAAGATGCTATAAACTTCTCTACTATACTCTGTACCAATCCAATTCAGCGCGCATCGCTCAAATTCGAAAGCGGTGTGAACACGACGCAACTGATTTCATCGTCTTTTTGTGCTTTACAGAATGTAGCGACACATGTTCAGGTTGCCGAATTGGGCCTAAGTACCACACATACCCCGTGTATATCTTCTGCAGTTGAGACAGTATGCAAGATTGCGTGCGAAGAAATAAGTACTCCGTACTACATCAAATCAATGGGGTCTTACGACATTACAAGAAATATGGGTTGTAGAGACCATACTATCCCGCAGTGCTCATACATCGACAGTTTGGGCACGGAACAAACGACAATTTCACACAAAGTAGTATCTGTGCGCTTTCTTGAGGCGCAGCGCGTAAAAGCGACAATATCTTCGCGTTACCTCCCAAGAATACTAGATAGTACATTCTCCACTGATACGATGCAGTTCGATGGCGGCATCTTGATGAGCGGAGGACTAGGCGCACTCTCCACCATTATTGCTCGCCACATATACACTAACAAGCCACGCACGGGTGAGCTCATATGTGCATCGAGAAGCGGTCGGAGCGCACGATTTGATCTCAACCATTCATGTCCCTTTATGGAGATATCTGTGCACAAAATTGATGTCGCGAGTTGGGCTGACTTTTCGGCAACTTTTGCAGCACCAAATCTTGCGTGCGAGTATGTGCTACATGCTTCGGGTTTGTTATATGATGGCTTGAGTGTACACCAAAATCCGAATAAGATTAGAACTGTCTGCGCGCCCAAGCACCGAGCCGCTGAAAAACTTCAATGCGCCTTCAGTCTCACTGCTTTACGGGCATGGTTGGTCTTTTCATCGACATCACATGTCCTAAAATCCACCGGACAAGCAAATTATGCTGCAGCTAATGCCATGACTGATTCATTCGCACAAAACCAGACACAGTGTGGTAATGTGTGGAAAAGTATACAATGGGGTGCTTGGGATTGTACTGACGGTATGTCGACGCCCACAGTATTGCAAAGACTCCACGATTTAGGCGTTGGTAGCGTGGATGAAAAATCGGCACTTTGTATGCTGGATAAGATTCTCTCATCGAAAGGGCTATCGATCGTTCTAGTCAACAAGTTCAAGGAGCTACCGCATCAAAGACGTCCACGTGCTCGAAAACTCCATGAGCACACGAATCTTTCTAAAAATGAAAGGGGCTTTGTTGAGCGCGACGCTGGCAAAGACATCCCAGTGAAAATGCCAATGAGAAGTTTCGAGGACATACGTCTAAGTGTGAGTGCGATTGTTTCATCCGTAATGGGAATGCGTGTACAAGACGACGTATCGCTGGTGGAAATGGGTATAGATTCTATAGTGTCCGTGGACATTCGTGATCAAATCTCAAGCGCCCTCAATTCGGATTTGCCAGTGACGTTGGTATTCAACTATCCAACCGTTCGAGACATTTCAGCATACCTCGCTACATTGTTGTCTTACCAGGATTCAGTTCCGAGTTTGCAATCGAATCTCATGCTTGAAGCCGCGAGCAACGACGATTCAATTCACAGCATTCCTATTCTTAGCTCTCTCTTGCCAAACTCTGACAATCATATGGGAACAAGATGGTCTACTGATGTCGACCACACAATAGGAAAGTCAGTACGATGCGGAGTCACTATCGAATCTCCTGATCGATTCGATTGTAGTTATTTCAATGTTGGTCGACAGGAAGCTCTTTACATCGATCCACAACATCGCATTGTGCTGATGTTGGTGGATAATTGTGTATCAGTCGTGAAAGACATGGACAACAGCTGGGGGGTAGGTGTTGGAATTTCAAGCGCCGAGTATGCAACTCTGTGTGCGTACTCAGAAAGTAATTTCCTTGGTACCGGTACTATCGCCAGTGTTGCAAGTGGACGTATTTCATACACCTTTGCGCTAAGTGGTAGAAGTGTATGTGTCGATACAGCTTGCTCGTCAGCTTTGATTTGTGTCACCATGTTTCATCGAACGTTGGACACTCACATGCGTGGGTGTTGCCTAGGGGGGATAAATCTCACGCTACTGGAACGTTCTTCCTTGATATTTGAGATGTCCAAAATGCTTTCAGCAGACGGCCATTGTAAAACCCTTGATGCGTCTGCAGATGGATACGTACGGGCAGAAGCGGGTATGATGCATATTCTATTGTGGAGGCATACGTTGGTATCAAACTCGATAATCCTCCACGGTAGCGCAGCGAATCAAGATGGTCGCTCTAGTTCGCTCACTGCTCCCAGTGGGCTAGCACAGGAAGCCGTGATGAAATTAGCGACACAACGCAGGGACGTTTCGGTCGAAACTATTCAACTGCACGGCACTGGTACAATTCTAGGTGATCCGATTGAGTTGAGTGCTACTATGAGTGCATACTCATATAGTTCATATACTGTCGCCTTACAGGCGAATAAGTCACACTGCGGGCATGCGGAACCAGCATCAGGTTCCATCAATATCTTGAAAGCTTCTGAGAGTGTCTCATCTAGTAAGTGCATCTCAATCCGATTGTTGAGGTGTATCAACACACATATATCCGAGACATTCAACCAAGCACATAAGAACTCCATGCGTTCACCTCGTGCAATCGTCCCGTTGTTGAACGCACATTTTTCATCAGAAACTCATGCATCTGTCAGCGCGTTTGCATTCCAAGGCACAAACGCGCACGCCATATTGCAGAATCGGATAAAACGCGCGACGAATCTCCCGATCCGATGGTCCATGCGTTTGCTGCAGAGAGATCGTATTTGGATAACTCCGACTTTGCCTCAACGTCTTCATTCATTGACCGTTGCAAAGAGCACACATGTTGTCATGCAAGGTAACATCATCAGCACTAATAATACCGGGTTATTTGATCACTCTGTTCACGGGAAAGCAATCTTACCAGCTGCGAGTATGTTGTTACTCTGCTCATCTGCAGTTCGCATGTTCGTTGAAACCAAAATTCGCAATATGTGTGACGTGACTATCCCAACTGCGCGGGTCATTTTGCCGGCCAACGGAAAGGCACAAATCAATGATATTCGTATAGATACGACGTCTAGCGCACTGGAAATGTACTCCGAAAGTATCTTGTTTTTTAAATGCCTTTGGAAATGTACACGAAGTACAAAAGTATATCAAACACACGAATATGCTAACCCACTGGTATTCGATAATAATACTATGGTGTGCACTAGCCGTAGTTCAATCAAAATAGATTTCTTCCACGATTACCACAGCTCGTCGCTTGATAACACCTTTCAATCCTGCGCCGCTCTGCACTCACCCAAGTCATTTTCATCGTACATACCTACTGGTTTGCGAGAGCTGTATTTGTCAAATGCCTTTACAGATGTCATAGACAGGACAACGTACGTAAAGATCCCATTGACTACTAAAATATCACGAGAGCCACTGTCCGAAGCAGATTACTCCATGTATGCAGATAATTTTAGCATTGGCTCGGTGATCAAGTTTCGAATGAAAAGCTCTCGTATCCGCGCTTCCATCCACAAGGTGCATAAAAACACTCTGTGGAACCTTGTGCGTTATCGCGCAAGCAAACATCTTAGTGACTTACATGGGCATAGTTTTCAGTACTTTCCGTGGGCGTCAGCCGATTCATCTTGTCTCAATCGAACAGCTTTGGCAGTCATATCTCATGTTTCGGCGCGTTCATATCGGATTGACACTCACATACCGCGTCACACATATTCATGGTCAATGTACAGCTCACCGTTACCAAAAAATTCCAACATTTACTCGAAAATGAAGACGTGTGAAATCGCCGCCACGTATCTAAAAATTGAAGCTATGGGTATCAGTGCCACAAAACACCTCCCAGGTATCGGCAAGTTGCAAAATGATGACGAGGTACACGTGATTCCTAGTCGAATTCCAAATATTTTTATTTGTGAAAATAATTCATATTACGGGACTAGTTTAAGAAATGGCGTTTCGATATCCGGTGCGACTGGCGCTATCGGGTCGTGTCTTTCGTTATTTCTTCTACACTCCGACGCTAGCAATCTTTCCCTCTCGAGTCGTCGTGGTTGGAGCGCTCATATTGCAAAACTCCGAGTGCATTCGAGGTTTGGACAGAGCATAGTTCGATCATTTAAGAGTGATCGCGGAATTGCACGAGAAGGCTTGACTTCAATCGATCGCAATAGAATAAATACATTTGTGTACGCCAGTGGGTCATTGTGTGATGCTGTTGTGCTCCGACAGACTCCAGAAACGATGTCTACTGTAACCTCTGCAAAAGTACTAGGATATGTTCGTGACCACGCCTTAGCAAATATACAAGCTCAACGATCAATCGCGTGCTCGTCAATAACTGGCTTTATTTATTCATTCGGTCAAATGAATTATTCAATATCAAATAACGTGTTAGATGAATGTGTGAAGTTGATGTTCAACAGCGGATTCTCTAGTTCCAGTGTCCAATTTGGTGCATGGACGGACGCCGTCTTTGGAATGGCCCGCCTGGACGCACATTTGGAGAAGCGCTTATTAGCATCTATAAACGTCGCCCACGGCTTGTTTATGCTAAACCTTTCTATGTTGAATGCCTGTACGGTACCCACATACATAGCGTCGCGTCTGCCTGCGCTCACTAGCCCTTCCACACCGAATATCGTATCAGATTCAATTCAGACAAAAACTAGTTCATATTCTTTTGATACGATTGCCGATTTTCTACGACACGCGATAATGTCATCGATCGACATGGAAACGTATACATATATTGATGATGCGCAGCCTATTATGCAGCTTGGACTTGACAGCTTGGCGCTTGCTGACCTTCGATCGTCTATAAACGCCAAATTCCAGATAGACTTGCCAATTATATCAATGTTCGATTATCCAACAGTGCATGAGCTAAGCAAAGCAATCTTCTCATTCACGGACGCGCGTACAACTTCAGATTCAGTGATTTCACTCGATTTGAAATCGAAATCACTGGGATTGAATCCTCACGAAGGAACAGGATCGAATGTTCACAAAATATCAAACATTTCACTTCGATATCCAAACAACATAAAGAATTTGCAAAGCTTGCGGACGTCACTGGTCACTGGTGCTGAATTGCAAAGACGGCTTTCTACTCGTTTTGACGTTGAGCTTCTCAGTGGATCTACGCGATTTGCTGTGTTGTTGCGCGACATCTTTTACTTTGACAACACTATATTCCACTTGACACCTCAAGAAACGATATGCATGGACCCGCAGCAACGTCATTTGTTGAATTGTTGCATCGAATGCTTGCATGGTGTATCTGACACGAAAATATATCATCATATGGGGGTATTTATTGGCGTAATGTGGAATGACTACCAGTTCATTCTGAGATCGACAAAATGGGCGTTCTATGCGTACGCAGGTACAGGTAATGGTATTTCGTTCCTCGCTAGCAGACCATCGTTCACCTTCGGAATGAATGGGCCGAGCATCGCGATAGATACGGCATGCTCCTCGTCAATGGTAGCGGCGCACTTAGCGTGTGCAAGTATGGATGGCTCACATGCTTCGTCTACGTTGTCTGGCGGCACGCAATGTATACTGATTCCGGATACCTTCGTGACTTTGTCATCTCTCGGTGCTATTGCTTACGATGGCCGATGCAAAACCTTAGATGCTGGAGCGGACGGATATGGAAGAGGAGAAGCATTTGGTCTTTTACATTTAGAACCAGTCCAGCCAGCCCATAGATATGAAAGCCGACACGATTTTGTGTTATCGGCGTGCACTGTGAACCAAGATGGGCGCTCAAGTTCGTTCACGGCTCCCAACGGACCAAGCCAGCAGAAGTTGATCCAAGTCGCGTTGCTACGCATTGAAAATGCGTCGAGTCGTAGCTGCTATCTTTCACTCCATGGAACTGGAACCTCGCTTGGAGACTCGATCGAGCTCAGTAGCCTAATGCAACTTCAATCATGCTTTTCATTTCTTCTCATTGGAACCAGTAAAAGTTCACTAGGCCATACCGAAGGTAGCGCGGGAGTAGTTGGCATTCTCGATTCTATAGTCTGCTCAACGCACGCTGTTAATTTTGGAATGCGCCTTTGTCGTAATCTGAATCCACATCTTAGTGTATTCACACACGTGGCCAGCGAAGGGAATGTTCACATTGCACGAGCGATGACAACAGCGCCGCAAATCGAGCTTACGGCTTCTTCTTCTTTTGGAATGAGTGGCGTTAATGCGCACACAATTATCCGCGCGATTCCATCGAAGTTGACGCATCGTTGTTGCTCGACAAGAGCGCGTTTACTTTGTTCGCAAATGTTCCATGCTGGTGTTGGTACTTTGTATTCAAATGTGCAACTTATAAGTGTCTTTAAATCAGCGTCGAGAGCGGTTTTCACCGTCAATATATGTAGACCTGCTTGGTCTAGCTTACACGACCACAGCGTGAACCACACGCCCGTTCTACCCGCAGCTGCATCATTGATTATTCCGATAATTCCCTTGGACGACTTGCTCATTGATAGCGTGCTTCAAATGAAGACAATCTTGCTGATTCCAATCGTACTGAAGCAGCTTGATACGATATCAGTGGTAACATATCGAGATAGCACTATGCGACTCATGTTGCGTTCTGGCGAGAGCGCAACAACCTCCAAATTCCGAAAAACAAATGATGGTTCCAATATCAGGGAACCTTTCCAGCAGCTTGGGCATTGCATTCGTTCACGGCGTGGTGCTCTTAAGACAAAGATGTCAAAGTACGTCGGCTCAGCATGCGCGACCGTCGGAGCAGCACATCTGATTGATTGCTCCATGCACATTTTGTATTGCTTGATGGACAAAGAAAATAACGACGTGGTTCACGTACCAGCAGTGATACATATATTTCAACTGCAGCAGCTGCCTTTAGAGCACCAGTTTGAGAGCTCGTCCTCAGCAAAGAAGAAAGATGCACCCGAGAGTAATCATACGACATCAAATCTTGCACTATTGCGCCGTTTACAATGCAAACCTTTGAGTACTATGAATCGTGCTTTCGAAAGAGAAAACTTGAACAAGAAAGTGCAATCAAGTGTGCTATATGCACTAATGTGGTGCGCAGTGCATCATATCAAGCACGTTTGTCCGCAAACCCCACACTCATACAATCTGGGACGCAGTATGGATACTAACACATCGACTTCATACCGATATGCCCCGTCTTACGCTGCGATGATGCAAAATGTGCATGCGTCAATACGGCTTGTTGGGCTCGCCACATCAAGCACACCAGTTGGTCGCGCGGGAGAAAATATGTCAAATGTCATTTCAGCATCTGTGATACACACAATATCGATGGTCTCTGTAGCTGATCTCAATCAAACTTATCACTTGGACGTGCACAGCGACTCTCCACTATCGCTAAAGCGAGCGTCGAGCCACTTTAAGAAGGCAGAATGTGAAAGTCGTGCAGAACCAATTCAGTCTCAATATTTGGCTCGAGCTAGATATGTTCCAATGATACACGGATGCCGAAAAGTACCATTGAATAACTTTGTACTTCAACCAAGTCCCAGAGGTGCGATAAAAGATCTGACTCCCGTACCGAGTATAGCTTTGGATAGTGGAATCACAGTATCAAAGCCATTTGTTAGAACGCGGATTCTTGCCGTAGGGCTGAACTTCAGGGACGTTTTGAATATTCTAGATATGTACCCTGGGGTGACAGAACCACCGGGTACAGACTTTTCAGGCATAATTGACGATGTGTACTCTCATTCACACGGAGATGCTATATTTGGCTTGACGACTGGTTGTCTCGGTGACGTAGCTTACGTACACCGTTCATTATTTAGCATAAAACCGCCGCGAGTAAATTTTATCGAAGCTTCGGCGATTCCGACAGTTTTTCTCACCGTCGACGAATGTTTTAGCTCCATTCGTCGACTTAAAACCACTCCAGCTCATCTTCTCGTACATGGGACGACGGGTGGCGTTGGACTTGCGATAAAATCGATATGTTCTATGATGGGTGACTCGCTCTCTGGAACATCGAGTAATGTGAAGAAACGGCATTTGATGCGATACCTTGGTATTCCATGCATGAGCAACTCACGATCGACTAAGTTTTCGCAGTCAGTATTTTTAAGCTCTTTATCACGAAGTTGTCCCGTCGACGTAGTCTTAAATACGCTTACATCACCTGGCATGATTGCGGCCTCCTTGTCGATATTGAATGTACACGCTACATTTTTAGAGCTATCAAAGCGCGGTATTTGGTCAGCCGACGCGTTCGAAAAAGAAAACTATAAAGCAACTTATGAAGTCAAGGCTATTGATCACCAGTCTATTGCTGAACTCAGTTTTCGTTTATCATTACTGGGGTTGTTTATGTGTGCTGGTTTGATACAGCCATCGATATGTTTGAGCAACGAATTTCGGTTCATCCGTCAAAGCATGAGGGAAATGACGAGAGCGTCCCACATTGGAAAAGTCGTCGTGTATCACAAAACTGTGATGTCTGGTCATCAATTAGTCACGGGTGGAACTGGAGCGATTGGAATACTGCTCACACGGTGGTTGCTGGGTATTGGTGCAAATAGTGTTATACTTCTATCACGTAATGGTCATAATAATGGAATAATGAGATTGCCAAGGGATAGCCGCTTGCACTTCACACTGGAGAACGCAGACATATCATGCTCCGAATTCTCGACAATTTTCAGATCGTTGTCTTTGTCTGACTCTGTGGGAATATTTCACACTAGTGGAGTTCTAAGAGATGCGTTGATCTGCGATCAGACATCAGCTCACTTGGCTGAAGTGTCTGCACCGAAAGTGAGTGGGGTAAAACGATTGCATAGTGCGCTAAAAGATGCCTACCTGGTGAAAACATTTCTAAATTTCTCATCCCTGGCGGCGACCATTGCTTCAATTGGTCAAAGTAACTATACGTATGCAAACAGTTGGTTAGATCAATGGAGTTCAACTTGCAAAGAACGTGGCATGGTAAACGAGTCAATTCAATGGGGTGCATGGCTCGCTGGTGATGGAATGGCTAATTCTGACGGTATTTCTCGTCGTATGGAACGAGTTGGTCTTCAATACATACAACCATCAGTTGCTATGTCTATAATCCAGACGCGTCTCGATCACTCCATACTACATCACAATTTTACACTATTATCGCAGCAGTTGATAGCGACCGGACTAAACTGGAGTAGGTTCATGTCATTCGCAGTGAAAAATCGCTTCCTGTACGGAAAGAAGCAAAACTTCAATCAAGCGGGGAACGTAGACAGCAAGAATACGGCCTCTGCCAAAGACACAGAAGTACTGGTAGTACAAAAACTATTGCAAATTTTCAAGGAAGTCTCTGGTCATGAACTCACTGCTGACTCCGCGATAATGGAGGCCGGTGTTGATTCGCTTGGTGCCGTTGAGAGTCGTAACGCGATAGCAGATGCTTTTACAATTACCGACCTTCCGAGTACCCTCATATTCGATTACCCCACGGTCAAGAGTATAGCAGGATTGATCCTAGGGGCTGAGAACGAAATAAAAAGAACAGAAACAGAACTGCCAATTGACAGCCCAACTCGTTCGATTGAAGTACGCATATCATCAGTCAGCAGCCCCGGGCAGTATCAGCACGCACTGGATGACGTAAGTGGTGTGCCTGAAAATCGGTGGGATATTAGAGCCGACGATTACGCCCTGATACGGTTTGGTAGATTTCTCCATAACATTGAATATTTTGATATTGCCCTGTTTTCAATGCGACGTGCAGAAGCTACTGCCGTGGACCCACAGCAGCGCATCCTTCTAGCGCGCGCCTTAGATGGGCGCGCACATGCAGTAAACGGCCAATATAGCGAGGGATGTGGCGTTGTTGTCGGTATATCTAGCACTGATTACAGCGCGATCACCTCTCGTGCCGGCAAGCTTCAAGCAACTGGTGGCTCACTCAGTGTTGCGTGTGGACGGATTTCTTTCACATACAATCTGCGCGGAACGTGTGCAAGCATCGACACAGCGTGCTCGTCGTCTTTAGTTGGATCACATGTAGCGCGTAACGCAGTGCTCACGGGAGAATGCGACAGCATGATATGTTGCGGCGTGAACATCACCCTGAACCCGACGACGACTATTGTTTTTAGAACTGCGGGGATGCTGGCAGATGATGGGCGATGTAAGACTCTGGACATGGCTGCAAACGGCTACGTTCGAGGAGAAGGATCAACGTTGCTGCTCTTGACACCGCACAGCGACGGCGTGCGCGACGACTACTGCATGTTTTACGCTTCTGCATCTTCTGTCAACCAAGATGGACGCTCAAGCTCTCTCACAGCCCCCCATGGCCCATCGCAGCAGAGCGTGATTTTGCACACCATGCTCCAGTCTGGTAATGATAACAGCTCTTCTGGTGGTATAGAGCTTCATGGTACTGGCACGTCTCTGGGGGATCCTATAGAAGTTGGCGCAGCGCGCACCGTACTTAGCAGCCTCAAAAGATTGCCAGTCGTTACTTTTTCAGCAATGAAGACTCGCTGCGGACACACCGAGCCAGCTTCGGGCGGTATGGGTCTGTGTGGCATTGTTGATTGCATATTTCGCTTGAACACTCCTGCGCTCGTGCACCTATGCCAGCTCAGCACCCACATTCAGAGTATTCTGAATCAAGATACGGCTGAGCGATGCGGAATCGCTCTTCCACGCCAGGCAACGCAAAGTGCGTGGCAATGTGATGCACACGCCGTAAACCGAGGAGTGAGCGCGTTTGCATTTCAAGGAACGAACGCACACGTATCTGTTCGACGCGATTACGTGATGAAATCCTTGCCAGATGCTTCTGTCATGCAACACAGCATCGAGTGTTGGATATCACATGCTGCCTTTGGCCTGCGGCTCGTGCACGCAGTCGAGACGAGCGAATGCCTACGGATTCAACTCCCACCATTAAAAACACGACATATAGATCGCGATCACTGCGTTCGTGGCCGCTTGGTTCTCCCCGCTACCAGCTTTCTGGAGCTGACCCTCACTTGTGTAAAGCAACTCCACACAATGACTGTTAACGTGGTGCGTCGCACGCAAATACATGCTGCCTGTTTGTTGGATACTTGGCGCAACGATGCATTATCGTTCAAAATATCGCAAACTACCGGCAGTATTTCCGTATCGTCACAACGAGCAGGGCACACGTCTTGTAAAGTAGTGCAGACCATGCTCACGCAACGAACTCCATCGCCGAAAGTGTATTACGCAAACGTCTCCAAATCCAGCCTTGATTTGCACTTCAAAGTTCATAGTAAAAAGGTGCAAACACTAGATCAGTCGTTTGCCGCAGAGCTCGATGCGCACGTGCAGAGCTTATCAGCTCTCAGGCTAAATACTTTCAGTGATGATAGCTTTGAATTGCACTTGCCAGTGAGTCTCGAAATCTGCACACACCAAACTTCGTTGGCACGGTCCCGAGACCACGCACTATCACGCTTCTCGCCGCAAAAGATGCAGAGTGACCATATAGCACAGCAAGCGACGGAAAATCAACTTGCGATGCACGAACTACTGGGCAAAAAGGTTGCGTCTCACTCAGAGCCTGCAGCGATGGGATCAGAGCGCTATTATGGTGGGAGGCAAGGAAGACACGCCATCGATATGATATATCGCGCCACGTGGAAAACCGAGAACACATACAGAGGACCGCTTCTCCGTACAGAAGGTGTCACGAACGTATACTCGCATTTAGCTGCGGGGAGGCAAAGTGCATCACGCGTGGCTTCTCTTGCCGTGCAGAGTTTACATGCAAGTTCCAATCTATGCGTGATTCGCACGACAGCAACAGAGCTGGTGTCAGCCTGTCCACGCCTATGTGCTGACACGCAGAGCTCTATCGGTCGATGTATTCCGGTCGCTGGTGCCATGTGGGGTATCTTCAGGAGTGGCGCACATGAGATGTCACAGCGTTTAGTGTGCGTTGATTTGGGCGCATCAAGTATTGTGCACGCAAAAGCAACCGACTTTCTTCATTCAAATTCTGATTCGAACGAGGTGCATGCCAAATCAATATCGAATCGCCATGTCCGCACGCCGACGTTATCGAAGGTCTGTCCGAATTTACACGCAAAAATGTTGTGGCGAGACCCACGTCGAGCGATGGCAAAGCACATCGCACAGTGCGACTCTAATGCGCTTCTACACCCGTGCAGCGACATTTACACCGGTGGTGTCGGTGGCATCGGAGCGCTTATCTATGAATGGAATGCATCCATCTGTGATAGACCCTTCGTACTCGTGGGGCGTTCCGGAAGAGGAAAACATATCGCGCCGGCAAAATTTACATCCCTGCTTACCATCCAACGTGTAAACCTTTGTGTCAGAAGCGAAACAGAACGCTTGGTTTCGTGTAGTGTGCGAAATGTCGGTCGGGTATTGCACATGAGCGGTGTTCTCAAAGATTCAATCCTAATGAAGCAAACGTTTTCCACAGTCTCGATTGCGTTTGCAAACAAAACACAAGGTGCACAAGCGGTGTGTCATGAAAATCTCCCTCAAATGTCTTTGACACATGTTTTCTTCTCGTCCATAGCTGCATTGCTCGGCTCGCCGGGTCAAACTAACTATGCAGGTGCTAACGCACTGCTCGACACACTCGCTCAACTCGGCACGACGATGGGATGGCGGTGCATGAGTCTCCAGTGGGGACCCTGGGGTGGATCCTATGGCATGGCTGTGCGTTCTGCAGTGGGTACACCCAGAAACTTTGGATCTCTAGGGATAGAAGTGATTGACCCACACACTGCGCTGAGAACGCTACGCACTCTCATTCAACCTCCAAATATGTTCTCAATCTACGCCGTTTGCCCACTGCGTGCAACCGGCTTACATGCATGGAGTGTATCTACATCACACAGTGCGGTTTCCCCGCCAAATGCACCATACGTCGATCAAAATAGCACACAACTCAAGATCAAGATATCAGCCGGAGAACGTGGCGTACCATCATGCGTGATCCACGGCGACGAAATTGCGGGACGTGTAGCGAGTATAGTGAATGATGCGGTTGGTAGACCATTGGATGCAAAGGAGCCACTGTTGGATGCGGGTCTTGACTCACTCGGCGCCGTTGAATTGCGAAGCAGACTGAACGATGAATTCGCTGTGCAGCTCCCGTCGACGGTTGTATTTGATCATCCTAGCGTATATGCACTTGCAGAAGCCGTGGCGGGTGAACTGTCGCATGGAAAATCGAATTACGGAAGTGCACAGGTGCTCCGTAATAGTACTATTGATGTCACGTACTCAGCTCAAGTGTGCATATCATCAGTCAGCAGCCCCGGGCAGTATCAGCACGCACTGGATGACGTAAGTGGTGTGCCTGAAAATCGGTGGGATATTAGAGCCGACGATTACGCCCTGATACGGTTTGGTAGATTTCTCCATAACATTGAATATTTTGATATTGCCCTGTTTTCAATGCGACGTGCAGAAGCTACTGCCGTGGACCCACAGCAGCGCATCCTTCTAGCGCGCGCCTTAGATGGGCGCGCACATGCAGTAAACGGCCAATATAGCGAGGGATGTGGCGTTGTTGTCGGTATATCTAGCACTGATTACAGCGCGATCACCTCTCGTGCCGGCAAGCTTCAAGCAACTGGTGGCTCACTCAGTGTTGCGTGTGGACGGATTTCTTTCACATACAATCTGCGCGGAACGTGTGCAAGCATCGACACAGCGTGCTCGTCGTCTTTAGTTGGATCACATGTAGCGCGTAACGCAGTGCTCACGGGAGAATGCGACAGCATGATATGTTGCGGCGTGAACATCACCCTGAACCCGACGACGACTATTGTTTTTAGAACTGCGGGGATGCTGGCAGATGATGGGCGATGTAAGACTCTGGACATGGCTGCAAACGGCTACGTTCGAGGAGAAGGATCAACGTTGCTGCTCTTGACACCGCACAGCGACGGCGTGCGCGACGACTACTGCATGTTTTACGCTTCTGCATCTTCTGTCAACCAAGATGGACGCTCAAGCTCTCTCACAGCCCCCCATGGCCCATCGCAGCAGAGCGTGATTTTGCACACCATGCTCCAGTCTGGTAATGATAACAGCTCTTCTGGTGGTATAGAGCTTCATGGTACTGGCACGTCTCTGGGGGATCCTATAGAAGTTGGCGCAGCGCGCACCGTACTTAGCAGCCTCAAAAGATTGCCAGTCGTTACTTTTTCAGCAATGAAGACTCGCTGCGGACACACCGAGCCAGCTTCGGGCGGTATGGGTCTGTGTGGCATTGTTGATTGCATATTTCGCTTGAACACTCCTGCGCTCGTGCACCTATGCCAGCTCAGCACCCACATTCAGAGTATTCTGAATCAAGATACGGCTGAGCGATGCGGAATCGCTCTTCCACGCCAGGCAACGCAAAGTGCGTGGCAATGTGATGCACACGCCGTAAACCGAGGAGTGAGCGCGTTTGCATTTCAAGGAACGAACGCACACGTATCTGTTCGACGCGATTACGTGATGAAATACTTGCCAGATGCTTCTGTCATGCAACACAGCATCGAGTGTTGGATATCACATGCTGCCTTTGGCCTGCGGCTCGTGCACGCAGTCGAGACGAGCGAATGCCTACGGATTCAACTCCCACCATTAAAAACACGACATATAGATCGCGATCACTGCGTTCGTGGCCGCTTGGTTCTCCCCGCTACCAGCTTTCTGGAGCTGACCCTCACTTGTGTAAAGCAACTCCACACAATGACTGTTAACGTGGTGCGTCGCACGCAAATACATGCTGCCTGTTTGTTGGATACTTGGCGCAACGATGCATTATCGTTCAAAATATCGCAAACTACCGGCAGTATTTCCGTATCGTCACAACGAGCAGGGCACACGTCTTGTAAAGTAGTGCAGACCATGCTCACGCAACGAACTCCATCGCCGAAAGTGTATTACGCAAACGTCTCCAAATCCAGCCTTGATTTGCACTTCAAAGTTCATAGTAAAAAGGTGCAAACACTAGATCAGTCGTTTGCCGCAGAGCTCGATGCGCACGTGCAGAGCTTATCAGCTCTCAGGCTAAATACTTTCAGTGATGATAGCTTTGAATTGCACTTGCCAGTGAGTCTCGAAATCTGCACACACCAAACTTCGTTGGCACGGTCCCGAGACCACGCACTATCACGCTTCTCGCCGCAAAAGATGCAGAGTGACCATATAGCACAGCAAGCGACGGAAAATCAACTTGCGATGCACGAACTACTGGGCAAAAAGGTTGCGTCTCACTCAGAGCCTGCAGCGATGGGATCAGAGCGCTATTATGGTGGGAGGCAAGGAAGACACGCCATCGATATGATATATCGCGCCACGTGGAAAACCGAGAACACATACAGAGGACCGCTTCTCCGTACAGAAGGTGTCACGAACGTATACTCGCATTTAGCTGCGGGGAGGCAAAGTGCATCACGCGTGGCTTCTCTTGCCGTGCAGAGTTTACATGCAAGTTCCAATCTATGCGTGATTCGCACGACAGCAACAGAGCTGGTGTCAGCCTGTCCACGCCTATGTGCTGACACGCAGAGCTCTATCGGTCGATGTATTCCGGTCGCTGGTGCCATGTGGGGTATCTTCAGGAGTGGCGCACATGAGATGTCACAGCGTTTAGTGTGCGTTGATTTGGGCGCATCAAGTATTGTGCACGCAAAAGCAACCGACTTTCTTCATTCAAATTCTGATTCGAACGAGGTGCATGCCAAATCAATATCGAATCGCCATGTCCGCACGCCGACGTTATCGAAGGTCTGTCCGAATTTACACGCAAAAATGTTGTGGCGAGACCCACGTCGAGCGATGGCAAAGCACATCGCACAGTGCGACTCTAATGCGCTTCTACACCCGTGCAGCGACATTTACACCGGTGGTGTCGGTGGCATCGGAGCGCTTATCTATGAATGGAATGCATCCATCTGTGATAGACCCTTCGTACTCGTGGGGCGTTCCGGAAGAGGAAAACATATCGCGCCGGCAAAATTTACATCCCTGCTTACCATCCAACGTGTAAACCTTTGTGTCAGAAGCGAAACAGAACGCTTGGTTTCGTGTAGTGTGCGAAATGTCGGTCGGGTATTGCACATGAGCGGTGTTCTCAAAGATTCAATCCTAATGAAGCAAACGTTTTCCACAGTCTCGATTGCGTTTGCAAACAAAACACAAGGTGCACAAGCGGTGTGTCATGAAAATCTCCCTCAAATGTCTTTGACACATGTTTTCTTCTCGTCCATAGCTGCATTGCTCGGCTCGCCGGGTCAAACTAACTATGCAGGTGCTAACGCACTGCTCGACACACTCGCTCAACTCGGCACGACGATGGGATGGCGGTGCATGAGTCTCCAGTGGGGACCCTGGGGTGGATCCTATGGCATGGCTGTGCGTTCTGCAGTGGGTACACCCAGAAACTTTGGATCTCTAGGGATAGAAGTGATTGACCCACACACTGCGCTGAGAACGCTACGCACTCTCATTCAACCTCCAAATATGTTCTCAATCTACGCCGTTTGCCCACTGCGTGCAACCGGCTTACATGCATGGAGTGTACCTACATCACACAGTGCGGTTTCCCCGCCAAATGCACCATACGTCGATCAAAATAGCACACAACTCAAGATCAAGATATCAGCCGGAGAACGTGGCGTACCATCATGCGTGATCCACGGCGACGAAATTGCGGGACGTGTAGCGAGTATAGTGAATGATGCGGTTGGTAGACCATTGGATGCAAAGGAGCCACTGTTGGATGCGGGTCTTGACTCACTCGGCGCCGTTGAATTGCGAAGCAGACTGAACGATGAATTCGCTGTGCAGCTCCCGTCGACGGTTGTATTTGATCATCCTAGCGTATATGCACTTGCAGAAGCCGTGGCGGGTGAACTGTCGCATGGAAAATCGAATTACGGAAGTGCACAGGTGCTCCGTAATAGTACTATTGATGTCACATACTCAGCTCAAGTGTGCATATCATCAGTCAGCAGCCCCGGGCAGTATCAGCACGCACTGGATGACGTAAGTGGTGTGCCTGAAAATCGGTGGGATATTAGAGCCGACGATTACGCCCTGATACGGTTTGGTAGATTTCTCCATAACATTGAATATTTTGATATTGCCCTGTTTTCAATGCGACGTGCAGAAGCTACTGCCGTGGACCCACAGCAGCGCATCCTTCTAGCGCGCGCCTTAGATGGGCGCGCACATGCAGTAAACGGCCAATATAGCGAGGGATGTGGCGTTGTTGTCGGTATATCTAGCACTGATTACAGCGCGATCACCTCTCGTGCCGGCAAGCTTCAAGCAACTGGTGGCTCACTCAGTGTTGCGTGTGGACGGATTTCTTTCACATACAATCTGCGCGGAACGTGTGCAAGCATCGACACAGCGTGCTCGTCGTCTTTAGTTGGATCACATGTAGCGCGTAACGCAGTGCTCACGGGAGAATGCGACAGCATGATATGTTGCGGCGTGAACATCACCCTGAACCCGACGACGACTATTGTTTTTAGAACTGCGGGGATGCTGGCAGATGATGGGCGATGTAAGACTCTGGACATGGCTGCAAACGGCTACGTTCGAGGAGAAGGATCAACTTTGCTGCTCTTGACACCGCACAGCGACGGCGTGCGCGACGACTACTGCATGTTTTACGCTTCTGCATCTTCTGTCAACCAAGATGGACGCTCAAGCTCTCTCACAGCCCCCCATGGCCCATCGCAGCAGAGCGTGATTTTGCACACCATGCTCCAGTCTGGTAATGATAACAGCTCTTCTGGTGGTATAGAGCTTCATGGTACTGGCACGTCTCTGGGGGATCCTATAGAAGTTGGCGCAGCGCGCACCGTACTTAGCAGCCTCAAAAGATTGCCAGTCGTTACTTTTTCAGCAATGAAGACTCGCTGCGGACACACCGAGCCAGCTTCGGGCGGTATGGGTCTGTGTGGCATTGTTGATTGCATATTTCGCTTGAACACTCCTGCGCTCGTGCACCTATGCCAGCTCAGCACCCACATTCAGAGTATTCTGAATCAAGATACGGCTGAGCGATGCGGAATCGCTCTTCCACGCCAGGCAACGCAAAGTGCGTGGCAATGTGATGCACACGCCGTAAACCGAGGAGTGAGCGCGTTTGCATTTCAAGGAACGAACGCACACGTATCTGTTCGACGCGATTACGTGATGAAATACTTGCCAGATGCTTCTGTCATGCAACACAGCATCGAGTGTTGGATATCACAGCTAAGCTCGCGTGCAACAGTCGCTTTATCGACACTCACTATGGCTTGTGTTTCGATTCGCTTCAACGCTACCGTAAATGCTCTTACTTCATCACCGTTGCAAGTTGCATCTGATGCCACATGTTTGATTTTGGATGATCGTACCACAGAACTCTCACTAAAAAATGTAGTACTTTCAACTGTGTATGCCTCGAAAGTTTTAGATGCATATCTAAAATCAAATAAAGTTCTCGTGTACGGGTCGGGATATAAAGTAATTGATGCTCAATCCAACGCTATCGCTAGCACACATGCTACTGTGCGAGCTGGTGAACACGGCGTCGGGTTAAATGCGAACACAGTGGCAGCATACGCTGATGCAGAACAAGGGTTTGTTAAATTTCGCGAAATGCATGGCGGCTTGTCTTCTGCAGATATTCATGTTGAATCCAATGAATACCATGAAAAGCCTCAACATCGTTTGCGATGTACTTTGCTCGATACGTTCACCGGCGGTAACTCCGTCGCGTATGTACGGACTGTTGAGCTATATCGACGTTCATGTACCGTTCAATATGCGCAACACGACACGCTCATGTGTTGCATTATACTGAGTGATCACAGGTTCAAGTACAATTATTCACGTCAAAATTGGTCAACGTTTACACCAGAGGTGTTCTTGCACATTTCAACTGACTCTGTATTGTGCACATCCACATCGCCGTCTTCATCTCGCTCAAGTGTTCCAAATGTTGAATATTTGTATGCTCTTCGCTGGGAGGCGAGCCCGCTTCGAGTTAATGTTGCACCCAATGGCGACACTTGTGCTACAACTACTGTTCGGCATACATTGTGCAACTACCGCCGCAGCGTCCACAGATGCGGATCACTGCCAACCGTTGTGAATATTTTGCATTCAATTTGTGCGCTCACAACTTCGAGCGAATCTAAGCACCTATGTGTACTCAGCAAATCAGCACCCGTCACAAAACGCATATTTCCATCGCCAATATCGAGTATACATAAACATATATCCGACCTGACACTATCGACACTACCAAGAGTGTTTTGTGTCGAAAATAAAAATACAACATATGCCGTATGTACGGGAGATTCAGCTCGCATACATCCGTCGGGTATCTCAAACACCACAGCGCGTCTTCGCCACGTCAGTGCCGTTGGTCATCTTGCGTTTACGCCGAATCTATGTTCGACTCATTCATCGCCGGCTAACATGCGTCGCAACAATCAATGTAAAAATAATCAAACAGAAGTACACGGTGCTGGTGAAATTGGTAAACTTGTGTACATCACAGCACTGCTGAATGGACAGCGATTGATTCGCTTGACGAACCGAAGTGGTCGATGTTCATACTCTGTTGTCGTTTGGAACGGATCCTCATCCCATTCAGTAACTGTTGATTCCGTTGATAACTGCCACTACTCAGACAATACATGGCACAATTCTCGAGTTCAAGTTAATCGTTCATTCTTTGCATCCGGTGTTCTTCGTGACGCTATCGCGACGAAACAGACAGCCTATACGATTCGTGTCGTCGTGTCTCCGAAACTAATCGGATCTCTAGCGAGTATTCGCGATCCGACTTCGTTATCAGTTCAAACTGATTATTACTCCTCGATCTCTGTGCTGCTAGGAACGTTTGGGCAAGTGAACTATGTCGCTGCCAATTCTTCGTTAGATGCACATTGCAACTACGCACACCATCAAGGTCTCGATAAAGTTAGTGTTCAATGGGGAGCGTGGGTAAACTTGACAGGAATGATGAAGCAAAGCGCATTGCAGCTTGACAGTCTGACTCGATTTGGTATTGGGTCAGTGCCCACAAAGGTTGGGATACATATACTGTCGATTTTGAACAGCGTTATGATACAAGATGCGACCATAGTGGCAAACATGTTTCTTTGGGATAAATTGTCCATCCCGTTACTGTCGCAAGGTGTTTCAACGGATTCAAAGCGAACGTTATTGTGTACAGATCGTACACATCCCAGCACGTTATCAGAGACACAATCCCTTGTGTCTGATCATGTTCGCCGGGTTCTCGGACACACTATTGACGCTAATATGCCATTCATAGACGCTGGATTAGACAGCATGTATCTCACGGAGCTATCCCGTTCCATAGAAATATGCTTTGACGTACCATTGCCGTCAACAGTTGCGTTTGACCATCCAACAATCACATCGTTATCAAAATTTATCCATAAGACGACTCTTCGGCAAAAAATAGATGATTGCAAACCATCTGCCAAAGAGCCCATGCGTATCGTCGTTCAGGATGGTATCATAAGCTCGGTGGCATGTATCGCAGTGCACACGGGTGACGCAGATTGCAAACATATCATGCATCCGGTACAATTTTGTGGCGCAATCGCAAACGGTATAGATGCAATTAGGAAGATCCCCATAGATCGCTGGGATGTTGAACGTATATTTTCTTTCACCGGTATTAGTAGAAAGCGGGATTTTGTCTATCACGAATATAGTAGGCACGGCTCGTTCCTAAGACAGCTTGACGTTTTCGACTCAAACTTTTTTGGAATTGGCCGATCTGATGTTCGATCACTTCTTGAACCGCAACAGCGCGAGTTGCTGAAAGCGTGCCATGAAGTTACCGATGTACCATATTCAGACAAGAGTACGCGCGTTTACGAGCAAAAAATATCAGTATACGTAGGTATATGTACGAATGACAGTGATTCTGTGGCAAGGGACGAAGCGTTCCGTGTGATGTTCACAGATTCAGGCTGCTCTGCCCACGATAAGCTATCAAATATTGCGCATGGTATGTCCGAATCGACGTATGCTTTTGCGTCGAATCGAATAAGTCACACATTTGGGTTTCAAGGCGAATCTATCTCTATCGACTGCGCGTCTGCGTCAGGATTAGTTTGTATTCATCTCGCTACGAGTTCTTCTAAAGTGAATGTGCCATCAGATCCTGAATATGCTAACTCCTCCATAGCGGCGAGTTCGAATATCATACTTCACAGACAATTATCAGATTTACATATTGCACGTCAGATGTTTCCAGCTGATGGTCGATGCAAAACATTTGATGCTCAAGCGGACGGATTTGAGCGAGGTGAAGGCGTCGGTGCAGTCATGATCTGTACATACAAAGCCACCAGTAGCAAATTTATGCTTGTCACGCTCCTGGGGTCCTCGTGTATACATAAAGGCGGCGGCGCTTCGCTCAGAGCGCTTCGAGGACCGGCAATTGAGTACAAAGTGCACCGTGCACTGCTTGATGCTAACATACTACCAGCAGACGTTGCATTCGTAGAAGCATCTGGACTAGGTGAGCCACTTGGCGACGCAATAGAAATCGGTGCATACCAGCGTATATTCTGTTTTGAAGACCCATCTCGCACTTCAAACATAGGATTTGGTAGTTTACATACCAATTTAGGGCACCTCGATGGTGCATCTGGTATGATTTCACTGATCAAGTCTGCCCTCATGAGTCACGCTTTATTGACATCACCATTGGTTCATTTTAGAAAATTGAACAATCTACTACTAGGGCAACATGCGTGCACAACCGCAGAGAAGATGGGACACACATGGAGAGATGTAAATTTGGACAAGCGATCACACTTTCCTATGCTAAAAGGGCCCACTAGCGGAGGTATAATCGGCACGAGCTCTTTTGGTTATGGCGGTAGTATGGCACACGTGCTCACAAATGTGCGCCGCGATTGCCGGGCTTTTCAAGAACCTCGCCACAGACAAAACGTTCTACTTACCAGATGCAACGCCGCTAACCAGAATACTCATGTTGACGCAAATCGGTTGACCTTCCAACTACAAAAATGTATTTGGAACGAGTTACACAGCTCACTTAGCAGAAACGAGCCATGTCGACGCCGACATCCACTGTCAATGTCAGAGCCTTTGCACAATGTACTGCGAGATATTGGATTCAGCCACTGTGGGTCTGGCGAATTCAGAGAGAATACTATCAAAGGGATCGCAGCGAGTGTTGACGCCGCAATCAAAGTGGTCACACGCGAAACATTCTCAGTAGGATTAAGTGCCGGTGAGCGCATTTGTTTGTGGATAGAGTCGCAAGTTAAAAAGTATACGCCACTAACAGATTCGAATTCATGGATGCCCCGATTACGGCTCCACGAGCCAAAGGTGAAGGGAAAGATACTATTCGTGTTGTCGTCGCCGAGGTCTGGTTCAACTCTTTTGCAGATGATACTAAACTCTCATCCATCAATTTTTGCACCTCAAGAACTTTACTTGCTAAATTTTGAGACGATGTACCAAAGGTTTGAGTCAATATCTCGTGGACACTCGTGGGCGTTTGAAGGTTTGCGTAAAGCTATTGTAGAACTTCGCGGCTGTTTCGCCGATGAAGCTGATAAAATAATGCACGACATGCATTCCATGTCAACAAAGAATGTCTATGAAGTCCTTCAAAATTGGTGTGGCGATCGGATTCTAGTGGACAAGTCGCCACCTTATTCGTGGTCTTTGGACACTTTGGAACGAGCCGAATCAATATTTGAAGATGTGTACTATATATTCATACACAGGCATCCGTACGCAACGATCCACTCCATGTCAAAAGAAACTTTCAAATCAAGGCATGATATCCTTGAAAATGAGAAGTTGCTACAATTAAATGGCCGCAAACGTTTGGAGCTTCTATCTGCATCCACCATCGAGCAGATCTGGAGCCATATGGATAAATTATGGGCACGAGGAAATTCCAACATCATTGATTTTCTGCGCAATGTAGAAAGTACTCGACAATTGGAAATTTGTTACGAAGACCTAGTTTCTGATCCTACGTCGCATATCGACAAAATATGCGACTTTCTAAAATTGCCCTCTTGCACGAACATGACAAATCCTTATTCTTATAATAATGCGAAAATGTTTGAGCCCATCGAACCGGGAGGAAAAGGTGCCGCAGACCCTAATATTCTGTCGCATTGTTTCATAAATCCGACTCTGGCCAATGCCTGGAAAGATGCAGCTTCTCCAGGTAACCTATCTGAGCAATCTCAGCGCATTGCAGCTACTTTGAGATACCGACTCCCGCAATGGAAGCATAGAAATTCACCTGTGAGTCGAAGCTTTATTACGCGATTGAATGGTAATACAACAACTCCCATAGTCGTCTTTCTCAATGACGTAGACTGTGGAACTAGTTTTTATTCCAGCCTAGCTTCGTCGATAAAATCAGCAGCTTTCGTCGTTACTACGGACTGGCAATCCTCCACCGCAGCAAGCGTCTCAGAGCTTGCCGCAATGTATGTGCAACGCATACGCGCTTATTTAGACATTAACAACGGCGATGAAGTGATACTAGTCACGCGTGGTTTAGGAGTGTATATCGCTCGAGAATTCGTGAGACTGTGTGAAACAAAGCAACATGTATGCGCAGACCCATCTTGGCGCGAGCAAGCCAGTGATGCAATACAGTCGAACCCAAAAATACTTGGCTTGGTTACTTTATTCACAAAAGAGTATGAAGTCCTCGTCTCGCAACAGAATAATTCGGATGTAGGAAAAATTCTCAGTTATGCGGCATTGCTTGCATCCTCTTATCCTGAAGTCAAGAACGAATCCGCATCTGTCAACGCAAGTTTGCGCAGAGTATTTATAGAGAGCAATCCAAATAGTGTCAATGAATGCCCGAACGAGACATTGAGTATTCTATGCTGCACTCAGCTCCTCTACTCATCGCGTGATCCATTATTCCGTGTCAATCCTGACTTCATGTCTGATATTCCTATTTGTGTCATCAGTGAGCTTGAAGGGATTTCCAACGAGCTGTCTTTATGCTTCGGTATCGAACACAAGTACTTGGATCTGCGAATAGAAGAAAAAATTGATGAATCTGCGCTATCAGATGCGATCAATTTGTTGTCGAAAATGACACCTAAATAATACAGCGCCTACGCTAGAAATGCTTCAGAACTGAGCAACCACATGGATATGCTACTGCATTTTTGTCACAGATATCTTTGCTCTTACATCCCCAGAGCTACCGCCCCCAGCTCCTGCTTGCTTGAAATATTGAAAACTTTCTTTCAACCCCTTTTTCGTACTTCGAGCTTGTCGACGGCCCATTTTGACGGCATTTTTGCGCTCCTTTTTCTGTTGAGCACTTTCTCCTTTACGAGCTGTGCAGCTGCGCCAATCGAATTCAGCTTCTGATGATGCTTTCATACCGAGAGGAAAACAAGTATGAATGCCCGGAATGCTTGCACTCTGTTGATCTGGCGTTTTCAATTTACGTTCTTCACTCAGAAGTCTCCCTTCAAGAAGTTTTGGATGATGGTTTGAGTTACTGTGCAAACTCAAAATGCTTTCGCAGTCATACATGTGGGTCGCTTGAGTTCTTTTGTCCAGAATGCTTTCTTCTAAGTAGGCATTTCGTGGAGTTTGTTCCTCACTATGATTGAGCGCATAACTTTTCACTGTGCGTGCATCCACGTTATGCTTTTGTAAATTTCCATCGTTGAAGTTCAACTGCTCAAGAGTCTGCCATTTTGTGTTCTCAGATCTAATATTGCTCTCATCTTTCATCGGCGTAGCGCCAAGATCGTCGTCATCGTAGTTATGGATCATACGCAGAAAATGGCTATCGTCTGAACGTTCGTTCCCTACCGCATCACTTGAACTTCTTACTAATACTTTCGTGGCTGCACGATGGGTTTGCGGACTCAACGGCTCTACTTTTCGGGGCAAGAAAGGCGATGAGCACCGCTCTTCACTTTTACGCTGACTAGCCAAGAAAATTATATCGTCTTGTAACTCCTCGTAAGCGCAGGTTTCCATTGATCCGCCTTGGCTTATGTCGTCAAGAAGTTGTAACACGTCGGCAATGTTATCTTGTTCGTGCAAGGTGTGAAAATCACACTCGCCTTGGTTCATTGCCCCGCCCGCATACTCGGTTCTTGCGTGGTCAATGCTTTTCGTAAATATCTCACTGCGTGGATTTGCATAATCACTTTCTACGGTACGTACTTTATCTGGGTCGCACTCTCTTAAGTGTTTAGTGTAATCATAGCCGTCGTCTGGAAGTCCTAGTTCCAACTTCTCTGATGCCGTCAATTTATTGTTTGTGTCCTTTTCATTTGAAAGATCGCCCGCGGACACGTGTTGTGAATGGCTTTCTCGGAGCTCACGTTCGAGTTCCCGCCCAACGTGATCGCCGTCATCGAAGGGGTCCGCACCCTGGTTATTGTCCGTCCGGACCCATGTGTTAGGAAGGCCGAGGCTGTGCGCTTGTCGGTCGTGGTTAGGGAGCAACGCGTACGTCACCGCGCTCTTTTTATCCACAAACGACGTCTTCTTGCGACCTCCCATTCAGAAAGCTGTGGTGCATGGGATATCCTCGCGCGAGTGGCGGCCGCACGGTTGTCGACGGCTCCGTGCCGCTGCGCGCCTCAGTTTATGTGTAAACTCGAAACATGAACTGATTAAGAATGCATATAATTTGTCTTCATTCGCCTAAAGTCTATCTGTCTGATATAAATTATTCCTTCGGGGGAGACCTACATGATAGTTTTTTATTTTGGGTACCAGTATGGTCTTCAAAGCGTATTAAATACGAAAAGCGCGATGTCGATTATGACACCCTTTCCGCTTCAAGCCTTTCGCCCTTGAGGGCGCACGGCGTCATTCGCGCGCCGTGCTCAACCGGCTGAGTCCGCTGCCGCCACTTATAGTAGGTTCATTTTGAGTCTCTCGAAAAATTCAAGTACACCCTGGCGCTTGATAGAGAACAGCGGCCTTCGATAGAACATGTCCGTCCTTGCGGAGGTCTCTTCCCGCGCCGCTTTCATCAAGTCCGCCGCGCCCAGTCACCGATACAATAAACATAAAGCGTCGTCGAGCGTAGCATCATCGGGTGGAAAATTTAGCCGTCGAGCTTCCGGCACCAACTGGTCTTTTTCGCCCACGCGCAACACACCGTCGCGCTCTTTGTTTCGTGTAACCCTCAGGAGCAAACATAAACAAGGAACAGCTTGCAGCTCTGTGACTGAGGAACCAGAGGTTGGAAGTGGAGGTAGTGGAAATCATGGCTCCGGCATCGGGAATGGCAACGACGGTAGTGGTGACGGTTGGGACTCTGACGATTCGAGTGGCCACAGTGGTAGCAACATTTACCTTCTGACCGCGATTCCTATCGCTGACGCTCGAGCTTCCGGTGGAGAAGGCGAGCTCAGTGTTGACGACGACGATGTTGAATACATCGACGACGACGACGACGACGACGACGACGACGACGAAGATGATGACGACGACGACAGCGACGACGAATCCTCCACAAATACTGCCCGTGCCGCAAACAAGCCCAAGAACAGGGATAATTTCATTTGTGAATCAGTCCTCGCGACGAATCTTCCGACCGGTCCAGGTATTCCGACGAAGGTAAGGAAGGCGGCATGAATATTTAACTTATTACTAACTCCTTTCAATACAGTCCGAATTATTTCAGGGTCTCAATGCGCGGAAGGGCGCGGAACTTTCGAAGAAAGATCTCTCTGATGATCTTGAACAGCTTCTTAACACAGGTCTCTTCGCAAACGTTGACGCCAATGTCACGCCCAAACAGGATGGTTACGCAGTTGAGTTTGTTTTTCGAGAAAAGATCTGGCCGCAGGTACAATCGTTTAGAGTTGCTGGGTCGACTGCACTTCCAAAAGATGTCGAACAAGAGGTTTTGAAAGCTGCTCGGAAAAGTCAAAACTGTACAGTCCGCGTGTTGGCGACAGCAAAAAATATCGTAGAGGGTTACTACACCAGCAAGGGCCTCACATTCGGTACGATATCACACTTCGATGGAATGGAAAATGGTGAGGTCATAGCACACGTCGTCGAGGGAGAAATCACACGAGTCCAAGCGGTCTTTGTAGACGAGAATCTCCAGCCAATGCCTGGCAACAAGGGAGTGACTCATCCGCGTGTGATTCAGAGGGAACATAATTTTAAAGTTGGAAAACTCTATAACGTCGAAGACGCGAAGACGGCATTGCGTGATATTTTCCTACTGCAGTTGTTTGACAACGTCCAAGTTGTACCGAGACCTGATGAGCGCGATCCATCCAAAATTGAAGTTGATATACTACTTCGCGAAAGACCAACGAAGACAGCGGAGACTGAACTTGAATGGAGTATCGCACCAGGTGAAAATGGTCGTCCAGATCTTGTTTCGGCGCGTCCAGGTGGTTCTGTGTTCTTTGAACACAGGAATCTGGATAGCTGGGGACGTCAACTTTTTGGGTCGATTTCAACAGCCAACTTCCTTGAACCACAGGAAGATCTGGGGTTCAAACTGGAGTACAACCACCCGTACTGCAAAGGCGACGCTGATAGCGATAAGACATCTTTCAAAGCTGCGGCTTTCAATTCGCGGAAACTGTCCCCGGTCTTCACCGGAGGGCCTCTGATTCAAGATGTTCCCGGCATTTGGGTCGATAGAGCAGGTATCAAGGCGACGGTTTGCCAGAACTTTACAAAGCAGTCGAAGTGCTCACTTGGTATGGTATTAGAAGAAGTGACAACGCGTGATGATTCGGGAGCGGTATGTGCGTCTGGCGCAAAACAACTCCCAAATGGTTCTCTGTCGCTTGATGGTCCTCGAACTACGTTATCTGACACAGGTACAGATCGAGTCATGTTCCTTCAGGGTAATGTCACCAGAGACACGACGACGTTTGTAAACGGTACGCAAGTCGGCGCCCGAGATATATTTCAGATCGATCAGTCGATTCCGTTTTGGCCAAAACGACCGATATTCAACCGTTCCAAAGTCGAATTAACACGATTTGTTCAGTTGCTGCCAGAAAACAAGAAAAATTCTCTTCCTCCTCCTGTTGTTGTCTTGCACACTCGAGCAGGTCACATTCTTGGGAATTGCGCAGCTTACGATGCTTTTGCTTTGGGTGGCCCGCACTCTTGTAGAGGATACACCGTGGGTGAACTTGGCGCCGCACGCTCTCTTCTCGAGACTGCAGTTGAGATACGCCTCCCTGTTCCTGTATTGAAAACACACGGCTTCTTATTTTGGGAGCAATGCTCCGACTTATCGTCAAGTTCAGCGTTATCAGGTAACCCAACGGAGTTTTATCGAAGAGCTGGTAAAGGATCAACTCACGGTGTTGGTATCAAACTGGGGCCGGTGCGAGCGGAGTGGTGCATTGATAACAACAGCGGCACGGCCTCCACATATGTTCGATTCGGTGAGCGATTTTAAGTATCACGTACGACACCCTTGAAATATTCAAGTTAAACCGTCTTTGAAATCATCGTCGAATTCACCGTTCATTAGAAAAAGAGCAAGCACAGAGCTTATTTACAACGTCCTCCTGAGCTGAGCGAAGTCTTGTCTCCTTCAGTCCTTGTTTGTTTGCCTCAAGCGGGGTTGATGCGATCATTCCAGCGCCACTCGTCCGCGGCCTGCGAGAAGCTATGACGCCCGCTGTAATCGCTCTGCGCGCGCGTGCGTCCTGTCCCACCGCGCGCGCGTCGTCGTCGTTGCCGTCGCGCCGCTCGACTCCCCGCGCGTCGTCCTCGGTGACGCGCGCGCGCGTGCTGACGCGGTCCGCGCCGGACGTCGACGACGCTTCGCCGACGTCCACGCGCGCCGCCGACGACGCGGGCGGTAGCGCGGCGCGCGGCGCGCGCGTGCACGTGCGCGTGGCGACGACGGCGGCGCACGCGGCGGCGGCGGCGAAAGTCTGCGGGGACGCGTTCGCGTACGAAACGCGAGTCGAGGAAAAGTCCGAGCGTCGCGGCGACGCGCTGGACGACGCGGCGGAGGCGGTGAAGAAAATGTTGGACGACGCGTACGCGCGCTCGATCGCGAAGGAGTTGAAGCACATGACGACGCACCAGATTGAAGAACGGAAGAAGGCGAGTCGTGAAATTCGTGAAATGAAGAAACTCGGCGATGAATACGCGAAAAACGACGCGCGAGCGCTTCGCGCGAGACAAAAGGCGCAGTGCTTGACGCTGATCTCGCGCCTGGACGAAGCCGTCGCCGATGATGAGTCTCGTTGGGTAGGAAGCGCAAGCCTTCGCGTGTGTTCACCAGAAGCTTTATTTCCGGAGCCATTTCCGACGACAAAACCACGTGTTCCGTACGTCAGTAACGTCGCCGTCAAAGCCGACGCGCGCGGACGAGGCGTCGCGAGCTCGATGTTGGTGAAGTGCGAACGTGCGTCGCGGCTTTGGGGATACACCCATCTTTGGCTTCATGTTGATGTCGATAATCAGCGCGCACGCGAGATGTATGAGCGCCGGGGATACGTCGCCTGTGGCGAAGATCCGTGGTGGTACGGACTCGGCGGGGTACTCGGAGCAAGACGCGTTTTGCTTAAAAAGTTGATCGGAGAGAAACTATGAAGCGAAAGAAGCGCCTGACTCGAGTCACTGTCCTTTAGCCCGCCGTGCACGTGTCGCGTAGCGAAAGCATGTGCGCATGTTGTAGTATTGTAATTCTAGTCGCAACATCCGTCGCGCGCCTCGAAAGGCACTCCGCACTTCTCGCCTGCGCCCTCGAGCGCGCGACCGATGTCCGTGTTTTCGCGTAAATTGAAATCCAACAAGGCGACGAAATCACCGCCTTCGGCGCCGCCGGTGAAACACGTCGTCGCCCAGTCGGCGCCGTCGCCGTCCGTCGTCACCGCGGGCTTGACGACGCTCCCAACGGTATTAGATAAAGCCGGCCCCGCCCTCGTCGCCGCGAGCCGTTTGGCGGCGCAATCTGAACCCTACGCCGTGGCCACGTTTGAGTTTTGTCGGAAAACCTGGCTCGCGCTGCAACCGTACCACCCGCAAGAGTTTGGACCGGCGATCGTTGGATTCATCCTGTGCTTCTTTGGCGGATACTTTGCCACGATCACGGCGGCGGTGGAGGCGTACAGAATCACCGGCTACGCGAACACTCGAGACGCTTTGGTGATAATATGGCGCAATATCGAAGCTGCGCAGCGCGCGAGCTTGAAGGACGATGAGCTAGATGAAGACCACAACGGCATTCCGGATACGCAAGAGATTACGAAGAAGGCGTTGGTGGTTCGAAAGATTGGCGTCGTCGCCAAGAGTATGGATCCTGAACAGGTTGGAGATGCTCTGGGTGCGATCTACATGGGGTTCGTGGCCGTCGTGGCTACATTACGCGTGCATTTCGCGGCGTGTGTCTCTCTTGGTGTCGCTGTTGGTGACATCGTGCACAACATCGTCGATGAAAATCTCACCCCCGTGTTGATGATGAGCACGCCCAAGGAGTATCAGAAATGGGTTGGACCTGGCGTGAGATATGCCTGTAAAGTCATAGGTGTCATCGCGGCGTGGTTAGTTCAGCAGGCCATCACCGCGTATCACTCTGCAACGCGTGGCGCACAACTCTTTGCTCGTGGGCTGTTGACGTATCTCGTCCGCCACAAGTACCTCGGACCAAACGTCATCGATGAAAAAGGAACGGTTTTCAATTTCGCCATCTTCGTCCTCGCGATGACGGGATTTTGGTCGCAAATCATGTACGGCTTCAAGCTTCCGTTTCCGATCAGCGTCTTTCTCATCCCGATCCGCATGTTAGAGTTTGCCCTTCGCGTGTGCGTGGGCACGATGCGCGACGGCGGGCGCGCGTGAGCGAACCGGCGATTGAATAAACGCTTTAGCGCGATGACGGCGGCACGCGCTCGACATCACCGACGAATCCACACCTAGACGACGCCTACGGTGCGTATTTTACGAACGAATACATTACCAACGGCGCCCAAGCGTCGCGGCGCGGCGCGACGAACCAAAACAAACCAGAATTCAACCGCCCTTCGCTTCACTTCACTCCTCGCGCGTCGCATCACCGAGTCAAACGAAACGAAAGCGAACGAAACGAAACAAAACCGATGGCGCCCGCGACGGGCGCGGCGGCGCGCTGTCGCGCGACGACGTCGACGTCGGCGTCTTCGGCGGTTGCTTTTCGCCGCCGCCGCGTCAGCGTCGCGAGTGGACGACGACGACGCGAAAGGACGCGGCGCGGTGCGAGCGAGACGCGCGACGGTGACGGCGGCGATGACCCGTGGTTGCAAAAGATGATGGACGCGGCGATGGAGGACGAACGGCGCGCGGGTGAGGCGCGAGACGCGCAAGGGGTCGAAGACGCCGCGGCGCCCGAGCGGGACGCGGCGACGACGAACGCGGCGTCGGTCGCAAAAAAAGACGACGAGTGGGAGTACGAACCTGAAACGTCGCACGGTGATTTAAGCGAGGAGAGAGAGGCTGAGATATTGGGCATCACCGCGCGCGCGACGGCGAAGACGGTCGCCGACGCGGCCGCGTCGACGCCGAGCGGACCGCCGGCGGTCATCCTCGTCGGTTTCCGCGCCGAAGAGTGGCCTCGAGTGCGCGTGCTGGTGGACGAACTCGGTGGTTACGACGTACCCGTGATCCCCGCGCGGAGCGAGCACGCGTGGATGACTTTAGAAGAGGTGGCTCGAACGCGAGAACCGGACTGGGAATCGCCGCGCGACGCGGCTCTCGCTCGCGGCGGTGAGTACGGCAGTCAGCGCGCGGTAATTTTCAGCGGTTTAGATCTCGGCGAAGTCGCCGTCATCGTGAGCGCGATCGAGGCGCGAGGTTTACCGAGATTACCCGTCGTCGTCGCCGACGCCGAAAACTCGCGCGCGCCGCTCGGCGAGTCCCTCGCGACGGCTCTCAGACGCGCGCGCCGCGACGCCCGTCGCAAGCGACCCTCCCGCGCCGTCACCACCGCCTCCACCGACCCTCACCCCGACGCCCTCGGCGATTCTCCGCGAGACGTCATCGTCGGCGAGCTCGTCGCTTCGCCCGCGTCTTCGCCCTCGCCGTCGCCCTCGCGCGCCGCCGCCGAGTCCCGTCGCCGCGGTTCGCGCGACGCCGACGTTCGCACCGACGCCGCCGCTTTCATCGTCCCGCATCCCGACGAGTGATATCGTAATAATCGAGCGATCGATCGAGCAGCTTTCGCGCGCGCGCGACCCGTACGCATTCGTCGTCGTCGTCGTCGTCATCGCAGCTGATACGAGATGATACGAACTGATACGAGCTGGTACGAGCTGGCACGACGGTGGCGAATCGACGAGAACCGCGCGAAAACCGACTCACGTCGCGCGCTAGTCTATCTATTGCAATCTTCTACTCTTACTACGTCTCTTCTTCTCTTGACGCTCTAATGCCTTGCGAGCTGTCTTCTGTGCAAAAGTTTCCTTTGCCTTGTTCCGAGTGGGATGCGAGACATCATCCTGTACCGGCACGGTTTCATCGAGGTTGCCTAAACTTGTCATTTCCGTTCCATTCGAAACGTTTGCGTGTGGCGACATGACGAGCTCGTCTACCTCTTTTAAGTACTCGTCTAAGTCGTCGTCATCTGACGAGAGGATTTCATCTTCACCAACTCCATCATCACTGTCGCTGTCCACAACTACCACAGGACTCGCGGCTACTTGACTTTCTGCTGCGTCGTATGTCTCTGATACCAAACGATGAAAGGGACTCGCGAATAACCGGCGCTCATGCCTAGCATTGAAGTAAATGAAAGACAACTTCTGGACATTCGCGTGGCTCAAGCTGAGCCTCTTGTTGTGCACAAGTTTCTGAGACGAGTTCATGCGTTCAACAGACGCACTATGTGGAACAATCGCGTTTATACGACGTGCGAAAGGAATTAGATCTTTCCATGCAGGCCAGGTTTGCACGCATTCTGGCTCCAAGAAGTTGCGCCACCAGTTGTGTGCCCTGATGTACTCAAGCTGCTCCAGTGTAACGTCCACAAACGTTTTGTCGGCGCAAGCTTGGATGTACGCGTCATTCTCGATGAAGCGAACGCGATAGTCGTCGCGGTAGGGTCGTGCCGCTTTCGGACAGGTGACCGCGTTCAGTTTTTCTAATGCCGTTTTGGCTGCTTCCACGTCTGCTTTCTTTTCCTCCAAGTGGAAATGAATCTTTCCGATACCTTTTTTCGCTTCATATACTTCCGGCACGACGAACTGATGTTTGATACGCATTCTCGCATGCATCATGTAACTCAAATATGATGCAAGATGTACGAGGGGTTCGTCTCGCAACGGCGTGCGCTTCGTGCTTGGGTTACCTGGCTGTGCCTCCAGTCCTTCGAATCGCACTTTGTAAACTCGGTGAAGTACGTCTGATAATTGCTCAGGCGTCGTGAGTCCATCGCGTGTCGGCTGGCGCGTCGCACGTTCAATCCATGACTGGCGCGTCGCACGTTCAATCCATGACTGTTGAGCACTCGTTTTCACGTTCGCGAGCCACTGTCTCAAGTCTTTTTCTAGTGCCCAGCACAGCGGGAAGACTTCCGCAAGATGAGCGCCAGTAGCTTCCATAAACTTGTTTGCCGCCGCCAAACCTCGGAACAAGGGCTCTAACCTACGGACTGCCATCTGCGAATCCCGGTCAAAGAATACTTTAAAGATTGATTCCGAGTCTTTTTCACACATTTTACGGAAATTTTTTGCGATCACACCGTCGTCTTCGTCCAAAAATCTGAACACGTCGATATTCAGTACGTAGCTGTGTAGACATGCATGCGCGGACGCCCATCGCGTTGGGCAGTACGTCTCAAGTTGTTTCTTACTATTCTTCTCTTTACGCGCCGCGTCGAAAAGCGCGCGCATTCGAGACTGAACACGGAGCTTGTTGATGGCCCGCTCTAGATCCAGAAATAAGAATTTGAACGTCTCGTGGACGTCTCCAGCCAGCAAGTTGAAACGATGTGCATAGCAACCAATCGGAGTAATGTGAGATGTCTCTGGAGTAGCCGCGATAGCTTCCAAGAAGCTGACGACATGCGAGGTGTTGTCCCCAATGATGCATTTGAACTTCTTCAGTGGGAGGTCTTTCATCACTTGCGCGGCGGTCTGTTGCATGAACACTGCGCTTTCTGACTCCGTTTCTATTTCGACGCTCTTCCAGTAGTACTCGCGACCAGTTTCTCTCACCGTTATGGACAAGTTTAGTACTTTCACGCCATCTTCAGATTGCCAACCATCCGCCGATAACGCCAACTCCTCCCAGTCTTCAAGCGCACGGAGGGCGCGTTTCATACGTTTCTCGTACAACCCGTCGACGCCGGCTGTCGAGTGCCAACGGCGACATCGAAGGTTCTCGGGCTGGTCGACGAGCTCCGCGCCGCTTTCGATGCGCGCGCGCTCCGCGGCGCTGAAGAGTTCAGGCCTAAGCGCGTGCATGAACCGGAAGAACGCCGGCGAGCTCGTCCACGCGAACGGGATGGAGCTCTCGACGACGAGCTCAGATACGGCTTCGTTCATCTCTGCGATCTCCTCCGCCGTCAACGGCGGCGGCGTGTATTCCCGCGCATCGCGTCGCGACGCGCTCTCGACCGTCGTCGTCGTCGCGAAACTTCCACGCTCGGACGCGCACGCGCTCGACCCGGGCGAGAACGCTTCGCGCGACGCCCTCGCCCTCGTTCGACGCGACGCCGATTCGAATTTCAAATCTTTCCCACGACGCGGTGCCTCCGCGCGGGCGTCGCGCATCTCTCTCGCGCCTTCGCGGCGCCGTCGCGTTACGAGTCGCACCACTGCGCGCCTTTGCGGTGCGACTCGAGTCGACGCCCTGTGTCGTCGTCGAGTCCCGCGCGTTTTGCCGACGCGCCGTCGCCGAACGCGGCGCCGCGAAGGCGACACACGGACCGTCCCCGGCCGTCCGTCGGTCCGCGACTCGACCGTTGCCAAAGCGCGACGCGATGCGACGACGACTCGGCGCGATCGCGCGCGACGCGATCGCGCGTCGAACGGTGCGCGCGCGACGCGACGCGAGGGCGCGAACGATCGACGCGCGACGACGCGCGACGTCGCGCGCGACGCGATTCGAGCGCGCGATTCGATTCGAATTCGGATTGGATTAAATGCGATGCGATCGCGCGCGACGCGATTCGGCGAACGAGCGGACGACGACGCGACGAGGACTGACGAATCGACGACGCGCGAATGACGCCAGTGTATCCAGCGCTCGCACTACGCGACGCGAACGATGGGACGCGCGACGACGGGAACGACGCGCGACGGCGCGAACGAGACGGAGACGGCGAACGCGACGACGAGGGCGCGCGCGCGCGCGATGATCGGCGACGGAGGATTCGACGCGATGACGATGATTCGAAGGCACAAGGGCGGGACGGCGACGCGAGAGGAGACGATCGCGGTGCCGTCGATGGGGGATTCGATCTCGGAGGGCGCGGTGGCGAGCGTGACGAAGGCGGTCGGGGACGAGGTGGCGACGGATGAGACGGTGGCGCAAATCGAGACGGACAAGGTGACGATCGACGTGCGGGCGCCGAGCGGGGGGACGGTGACGCGCGTGGACGCGAAGGTGGGGGATACGGTGAACGTGGGGCAAGCGGTGATGGCGTTCGCGCCGGGCGTCGGCGGGAAAAAGGGGGGGAAGGGCGGCGCGGCGGCGCCCAAGGCGGAGGCGGCGAGCGGCGCGCCGGTGAGCGTTGAGGTGCCTTCGATGGGCGACTCCATCACGGAGGGGAGCGTCGCGGCTTTGCTCGTGAAACCGGGTCAAAAGGTGGCGATGGACGAAGTGATCGCGCAAATTGAAACGGATAAAGTCACCATAGACGTTCGCGCGTCGACGAGCGGGACGGTGACGGACGTGCTCGCGAAGGAGGGCGACACCGTCTCCGTCGGTCAAAAGGTGGCGACGCTCGCTCCGGGGGCGGGGCCGGAGAAACAAGCTTCGGCCGCGCCAGCGGCCGCGGCGATGGCCGCGGCGACGCCGGCCAAGGAAGCGCCGAAAGCGACCGCTGCGCCATCGCCCGCGCCGGCGGCGCCGAAAGTCACGTCGGGCGCTCGCGCCGAGACGCGCGTGCCCATGTCGCGCTTGCGCTTGCGCGTCGCGGAGCGGTTGAAGAGCTCGCAAAACACGTACGCGATGCTCACCACGTTCAACGAAATCGACATGACGAACGTGATGCAAATGCGCGCGGAGTACAAGGATGCATTCTTAGAAAAACACGGCGTCAAGCTAGGTTTCATGAGTACCTTTGTCAAGGCGGCGGCGAAGGCGCTTCAGGAAGAGCCCTCGGTGAACGCCATCATCGACGGCGACGAAATCGTGTATAGAAACTACGTTGACATATCCGTCGCGGTGAGCGCGCCCAAGGGTTTGGTGGTACCGGTGTTGAGAAGCTGCGAAGGCATGAATTTCGCCGACGTGGAAAGCTCCATCGCGTCGTACGGTAAGAAGGCTCGCGATGGAACGCTGTCCATCGACGAAATGGCGGGCGGTACTTTTACGATTTCAAACGGCGGCGTGTTTGGATCGTTGACGGGCACTCCCATCATCAACCCGCCGCAAAGCGCCATTTTGGGCATGCATTCAATCGTCTGGCGTCCGGTGTGCGTCGGTGCCGACCGCGCCATCGTCGCGCGCCCGATGATGAACGTGGCGTTGACGTACGATCATCGCCTCGTCGACGGTCGCGAAGCCGTGACATTTTTGAAGTCGATTAAGGAGTCTGTTGAAGACCCGCGTAGAATGATGCTCGAAGTTTAATTCGTAGCAGCACGTTGTCCTCGAATAAACCAAACTACTACTAAGTTCTACATTAAAATCTGCGCTATTCTAAAACTAATCTAATCGTCAGCCTTTGAACAAACGCCCGACGACGTCTCCGGTGAGCGCGAACGCCATGACGGATGGCGCGGCGACTTCGAACAAATTGATTTCTGGGTCGAGGCTCGTCGCGAATCCCACCAAAACGCAGAGAGATACGACGAGCGAGGCATATATGCCGTCGATGCTCACGCCGTGCTTGCGGAAAAGCTGCATGATCTCCTTCAACAGTCCATCCAAATCGACGCGCTGCGTGTACACGTCTCCTTGGCTCGAAACGAGTCGCGCCATGTCACGCCGAAGCGCCACGCGATCGGTGCACGTTTGTTTGGCATCCCACGTCAGTGCGACGTCGGCCGCCTTTTCTCCCTCGCCTCGCAGTAAGAAGCACAAAAATCCGAGAAACTTATTCCTCACGGCTTTCGGGAGTTCGTCTGCGATGCCGAAATCAATCAACTCAAGTTTCACGATCCCCGCTGTTTCTGAGTCGACACTCGACTGGCCGTTCTCGACGCTGTACAGAATATTTCCTGGATGTAAATCTTGGTGGATGAAGTTGTCGCGTAGAAGCATGAGCAAGTATGCGTGAACGCCAAGTGAGCAAAGCTCAGAGTTTCGAGAAGTTTTATGTTTGATGGCGCTGCCCAACCCGTCGCCCTTGACAAAGGTCTCCACCAGCACTGCCTCCGTGACGAAACCTGGCACAGGGCGGGGTGCTCGTATCTGCACCTCACTCTTCATGTTGTGCGTAAATTTCAACAAGTGATCGGCCTCGTTGCGTAAGTCTGTCTGCGCCGTCATGGTGTGACTGAACTGTCCGAGCGTATTCTTCAGCTGCATACCCTTCAGCGCGGGTAACGCGTCTGCAATCCCCGCTATCGCGCGCAAGATTTGAAAATCCAGAAAAATTCGTTTCGCCACGTTGGGATGCCGCACTTTCACCGCGACGTCCATGGTGCCATCCTCGTTCAAATCGAGCTTGCGAGGTTGAGCGAGCGCCGAGCACACCGCGGCGACTTCCTTGCGCAAACGCGCCTTGTACACTTGAGCAACCGAACCCGACGCCATGGGCTTCCGTGGAAACTGCGCAAAAACCAATCTCGGATCAAAACCAAACTCGTTCGCCAAAATACGTAACGTTTGCCCGTACGAGTGCTGTGGGGCATCGTCATGAAGTTGTTCGAGCTGATGACACAGGTCCTTCGGGAAGACGTCCTCACGCGTGCTCGCCCACTGCGCCCACTTGATGAACGCCGCACCGCACAGTGCAATCGCGCTGTGCATGGTGGCCCACGCGCGCTTTCGCATGCTCGCGCTCAACGGTCCAGGTGCACCCTGGCTCAGAAGTAACAAAGGTACGGCAAACGTGAGCACGGGGAGCCACGTGACAAACAGGTACGTCGCGCGAATTAAAAGAGCGATGGAAAAACCTTGAGTAGCCCAAGACGCGGTGGCGAGTTGCCTGTCCTGCCAAATGTTCGCATCGTCGTCCACGATGTCGACGTTTCGATCCTCTGAGACGTCACCGCCGGTATAGACATCGGAAGAGCTACCGGCGCCTTCCTCCGCGGCTGGCGGCGAGTGCTCCAAAGCATCTGCCTCTCGTTCCGGCGCCGCGATGCGACGTTGTCCTCGCGCACCACGCATGGATATCTGCGCGATATTGAGGATATCAATGGGATGGATTTTCGCTTCAGCCGCAATCGCGCGCTTCGAGCCAAACGCACTCTTCCTTTTCGCTCGTTTGGCTTGATTCCAAGACGCCGGGAAGCTCATCGAGAACGAGCCGTTTGGGCCACCCTCCGAGAGGTTCATGCTTCCAACACGCATTGACACGCCTTGCACGAAAGCCATCAATCCCATGAGCGGAGCCGTGTCGATCGCGCGCACGGGGTCACTCGGGATGTGTTTCACCAATCGAAGCGCCGCCCAGCGATATCGCGTGTGCCACAGCGCTATTCGCTCCGCCTCGCTCATCTCACCTTTCGTCCCTTTGATCGCCCGTGCGATGCCCGCACGCAAAGGAGGCTGCTTAAACAACACCTTGACGCTCATTAACGCCGACGCGGCGGTGGCGTGAGCGTGTAGCGTTGGACACAACATCCTCGCGCTCGTCGTCAACGCTCTCGTCGCCAACGCCACCCGCGTCGCTCTCGCGACCACGGGCGCGTCCAACGGTCCCAGACTTGGCGCCTGCTCGGTGTTCTTCAACGTCATTCTCACCAAGCCCAACGCCGCGCCGAATCCATTGACTTTCGTCATGGTCTCTGGAAACGCCACTTGCAAGCACAACGCCGCGGCGAACGCGTTCGCGTCCGCTCGCCGCGCCCACAGCGCGCGCCCGACCCTCGGACCGATCCCATCGCCTTTAATCCATCCATCATAGCCATCATCCATCCGTCCGTCGCCATCGCGCGCGACCGTCGCGCATTCCCAGGCGTCCGCGCGCGCGCACTCAAACGTCGCGTCCGCGCGTCCCATCGTCGTCCCCACCCTGAACCGCATCGGCGCTCGCGCGCGCGCGCGCGCGCTCATCTCCTCCCTCTGTCGTCTCGACGCTCCCCCGAACGCGCGCTCGACGACGCGCGCGTCCGCGTCGTCGCTCGCGCGCGGCAACCGCAAGACATCACCGAGCGTCGACGTTCGCGCGGTCGCCGCGTCGTCCTCGCCCGCGCTCGGCGCCGCCGCGCCCGCGCGCGCGCTCGACGACGACGCCGCGTCGATCGCGTCGCGCCGTCGCGCCGCGAGAGCGTCGAACGAGGACGGTCGACCGTCCATTGCGCGACGCGCTCTGACGATGGCTGGCGCCGACGACGCGCCACCGGCGCTCGCGGCTCCGAGCGCGAACGACGCCGATGCGACGAAGCTGGACGTGCAAACGGGCGCGCGCGTCGCGCTCGATGGTTTAGGACCGATCGTCGTCGGCGTGGATGGGACGATGAGTAGAATCAGCAACTGGACCGCGCTGAGCGAACGCGAACGCGAGACGGCGCTGCGAAGACTGGCGAAGAGGAATAAAGAGCGATTGGAGGCGTTGAAAAGTGGTGAACGATCGATTGAATCTTGAGGCGTGCGATAGAGATGCGTCGATTGAATCTTGAGGCGTGCGGTAAAGACGAGTCGAGGTTGGCGGCGTCGGGCCGTCACGAAAAGTGAAGATACGGATCGAGCGATTTCGTCCGTGCGACGGTGGACGTTTCGCTGGCGCAGAACGATCTTCTGCGCGTTCGCGTTGGAGTCGTCGTCGTTCGTTGTAAGCGCTCGAGAGATCCCGGGGGGTGGCGGTCGCTCGTGGATTGGCGGGCCGCCTTGTTCTCGTCGACGGCGGCGAATGTAAAATGCTCGTATCGTCTGCTGGAATTCCGTCTGAGTTTCGCGCGTGGGAACGTCCAGTAGGCGATCGCCAGCAGAAATGCCACCAAGAAGACAAAAACAGTCGTCATCGTGGCGGAAAGAATCGCCGACGCGAGCGTGGGCTTGGCGTGTACCTTGATGACCTCGTTCGTCGGCGTTGCCGAATAAAACGCGGAATACTCTGGAATGGACACCGCCGCCGCGACGGACGCTTCTCCAGTGGTGGCGGTGAAGAAACAACGTCGTTCGCGAAATGTCCTAAGCGCGTGTAGCAACGATTGCGCGAGCCTGCTGGCCGCCGTGCTATCGTCGCGGCCTCGACGGCATCCCACCATGGACGCGTCGATGATTTCCAACCCGCCGATCAGCTCCACCAGCGCGCGCTCGTTCAGGCCAAACATCGAAGTCTTTGCCGTCGTGTTTCCGGCTTCGCAGAGCGCGATGTGACGAGATATCTCATTAATCTCCAAAGATAGAAGTAAACTTCCGTGTCCGCGACTGTACACATCGAGAAAGTGTAATCCAGTCGAGAGCAAGCCGCATTCGAGCGAGAGCTCCGCCATGATGGCATCGAATACATTCGAAACGAAGTACCGCCCAGGTAGTATGTTTTTCGCTTCTCGACAAGCCTCGGCACTTCTCAACACATCGTACGCTGCGTTGACCAGAAACGCAAAAGTGCGAGCGCCACTGGTGTTGTTCGACTCCACACCGCTCAAGCCTGTCAATATGAAATCTAGGCTCGTGTAATGCGCTCGCATCGCGTCAAACATGCTGTCCGACACCGTCGACTTCCATCTCCCAGTGCTCCGGCAGATATCGTACGCCGCAAAAGCCGATATCATATCTCGCGCGACTGTTTCGTTGTAGAACGCGTCCTCCATGTACCTCAACCCCGAGCGATCGAGATCTTCTAGAAGCGACCGTCTGGCGCTTTGCGCGAGGCGTCTCGTGTCGATCACGCCCTGGATCGACGACGTTAACCTCGTTGTGTCCTCGTAGCACAGCCCGGAAGAAATAACGCGATATGACTCACTCATCATCTCACGCAATAACTCAACCGCACTCGCGTCGTCCTCTCTCGAAAGCTTGAAGATGGGTGCGGAACAGGCCCGCGCATGCAGGGCTATAAAGTCGATGAGAATTCTAGCCCGTTTCGCCGCCACCAACGCCCTCGTGCGCATCTCCTTTTGGATTTCGGATGTCCCAGAGCAGAACTCCTGACTCGCAGTGTACGCATGGGCTACATCCATCGACACGTTCGCACCTCCGAGCTCAAAGAGGCGGTCAAGAAAGCCGCCGAGGCCGCACGCCGCCAATTCTCGTTCGGCGCGTTTCACCGCGTCCAGCACATCTCTCGGCGCAGCGACGTCCATGCTCTCGAGCGCCGATGACCAAGCGCAGGACACGCAAGTTGACGAAGCCAACGCCTCGAGCGCGCGCGCATGCGCGCGGGATGCGATGCTCGCCGAGAAAGCCAACGCCACGGCGAGAAAGCCAACTCGGCGCCGGGGCATGGTTTGAGCGCGCGACGAGAAGGTAGAATAAGACCGGACGAACGAGCGAACGGGGCGTTTCGAGCGCGACTAAATACGCCGGAGTATGCGTTTCAAGATGCGCGCGTCGATCGACGACGGCGTCTCACGAGGTGCGAAGTGACGTGCTTTCCCGCGGCGCGGCGCCGAGACGAGCCGAGATCGAGCGCGCGCTAAGCAACGGTTGTAATGTATTAAAATTTCCTTTCGTCGTTCGTTCGTTCGTTCGATCCTTATGATGTCGTGCATTTATGAAAGTTAGATTCACCTCCTGATTCATCGCGCCCTTCGACCCGCGTTCGGAGACTTTGAAAAATATGCGAAATGTGTGTCGTCGCTCTACTTGGTCGCCAAACATCCTCGGAAACCAGCTTCGAGAGCCTTGCGGTCCAGGTTGCGCCCGATGAACACCATGCGGTTCACGCGTGGTTCGCCCTCGGCCCACGTCGACGCGGACGGACCGAAGTTGATCTGTTCGTGAACGCCTTGAAACACAAACTTGGCGTCGCCTTGACCCTCGAAGCACAACACGCCCTTCGATCGGTACATGTTCGTCGCGTTAGCTTGCAACAAGTTCATCATAAACTCGTTCATCGCCGCGAAGTCGAGCTCGCCTTCGACCGCGATCCCGACCGACGACACCCCCGTGAGGTTGTGTTTGTTCTCCTTGTTCTCGTCCAAAAAGCTCGGATCGGTCTCGAGCGTCTTTTCCAGGCTAAACGAGTTCACGCCCAACACGACGCCCAAATCGACCACCGAATTCTGCGTCTTGATCACGTCCGCGCTCGCGTTCACCGATCGTATCGTCTTCTCCAGCGTCGCGATCTCTTCCTCGTTCACTAAATCAATCTTATTCAACAAGATTCGATCCGCGAACGCCACCTGCTGCACCGCCTCGTTCACCGCCCCATCCGGCTTCTCCTCCTCCATGTGCATCGCCACGTGCTTCGCGTCCGCCAGGCACAGAATGCTATCGATGCGATAATGTTCCGCGATCTCCGGATTAATGAAGAACGTGAACGCCACCGGCGCCGGATCGGCGAGCCCGGTCGTCTCGATGATTACGGCGTCAAACTTCTTTTCCCGATCCTTCAGCGTCAACAGCGCGCGCACCAAGTCCCCGCGCACCGTGCAGCACACGCATCCGTTATCCATGCTTATGATATCCTCTTTCTCCTTGATATTTTCGGAGACCAGCGCGTCATCGATGGACACGGCGCCGAATTCATTCTCGATGACGGCGATCTGCAACCCGTGCTGTCCGCGCAAGATGTGATTGACGAGCGTCGTCTTCCCGGCGCCGAGGAAACCGGTGACGATCGTCACCGGGGTCTTTTCGATCGCGTCCTCGGCGGACATCCTCGGTCGCGCTCGGAGGCGTCGCGCGCGGCGGTGAGTGCGGTCGGCACTTCGGCACCCGTCGTCGTCGTCGTCGTCGTCGTCGATGCAGCGCGTCGTCGCGCGCGCGCTCGCGCGCGCGGGCGCGCGCGCGCACCGGGACGGAGTCAAGTCTCGCGCGTCGCGTCGCGGCGCGCGCGCGCCGTCGCGGACGCGCGGCGCGGCGACGAGCGACGACGACGGTGCGCGCGGCGGCGGCGTCAAGTTTGCGCTGACGGTGGCGCGCGATCGAGCGGTCGTCGAGCCGTCTCGTTTGGACGCGTACGTCGCGGCGAACGTGCCAGACGCGAGCGCGTCGCGAGGGCGGGTCGCGGCGGCGATCAAGGCGCGAATGGTGACGCTGAATGGGAAGACGGCGTCGAAACCGTCGCGCGCGCTCAAGCCGGGAGACGTCATCGAGGGCGAACTCGAGCGTGAACGCGCGAGTGAGGCGAAACCAGAGCCTTGGGTGAAATTAGATATCGTACACGAGGACGAGAGCGTGCTGGTGGTGAATAAAGCGGCGGGAATGGTGACGCATCCGAGCGCGGGGCACGAGAGCGGAACGCTCGTAAACGCAGTGTTGGGGCACTGCGATTTACCCGAACTCGTCGTTCCGACCGGGAATCAGGCGCTGAGCGATGACGATGAAGACGATGAAGACGCCGTCGATGAGGATGAGGGGGCGAGAGATGGGATGATTCGACCGGGAATCGTGCACAGATTGGACAAGGGCACGAGCGGCGTGATGGTCGTGGCGAAGGACGCGTCGGCGCATAATTCGTTATGCGAGCAATTCGCGGCGAGAGTGGTGCGTCGGAAGTACGTGGCTATTTTAAGTGGGGTACCGAGTCCGAGTAAAGGTCGAATAGAGGCACCGATCGGGCGAGATCCTCGCGATAGACTTCGCATGGCGGTGACGCAGGGCGGCGGCCGTTTCGCGGCGAGCAACTACGAAGTGATCGCCACTTTAGCGAACGGAAACGCGTCATTAGTGGAATGGCGCTTAGAAACCGGTCGAACACACCAAATACGCGTGCACGCGAAGCACATCGGGCATCCAATACTCGGTGACGATACGTACGGCGGCGGCGGCGGCGCCGCGGTGAGCGCTCTCTCGCGTTACGGCGTCTTCGACGTCAAAGAAGCCAAGGCGTTGATGTCCACCATCGATCGACCGATGTTGCACGCTCGCACGCTTGGATTCACTCATCCGCAATCGGGCGAGGCGTTGGATTTCAGCCGCGACCCACCGGAAGATTTCGAGACGTTTGCGTCTCGCCTCGCCGATAAGACGGACGCGTGAGCAACGTCCCGACGATGTCTACTAGAATATTTGTACAGTCACCACGCACCGCTATCAGTCGCACCGCTATCGTTGTAAATCGAGAACACATTCCAAAGCGTTTCCGCCGCGGCCCGCGCCGTGGTCCTCGGCGCCGGGCCCCCACGCGCCGCACTGCCACGCGCGTTCCGACCGCGCTCGCGCGCGCGTTCGCGCGCACGCGGGCGAGCGCGCGCGATGTCATTCGCGCCCGCGCTTCCACCGCGCGCCGCGCGCGTGGCGCGCACCGTGGCGCCGTCGTCGTCGTCGCGCGTTTCGGTGACGACACCACCGCTCGCGACGAAAGATGTCGGTCCACGCGCTAACTGCGCCGCGCTCACGCGACGCGCGCGGTGCGACCGCGCGACGTTCACGGTCACGCGCGCGTCCGACGACGGCGTCGGCGCGAGCGCGCGAGCTTCTCGAAGCAAAGCGGACGGCGACGGCGCGCCGCGAAAGCCGCGCCTGAAAGCGAACGGGACGGCGAACGGAAAGTCTGCGCAGAAAAAATCTGCGCTCGAGTTGGCGCTTAAGAATATATTCGACGATAACGACGAGGACGCGGTGGAGGAAGAACGACTGCGGTGGTGGCGTTTGATGAATAGCATGTGGCGGGCGTTTTTAGTGCTCTTCGTCACGCCGTTCGTGTGCGCGCAGAGCGTGAAGAGCGCGATCGTCACCCCTTGGTTGGGGGCGCATTGGGGAGCGTTTAATGCGTCGTTGAATTTGCAGCAGAGGCAAAACGTGGCGCAAGGGATACAAAAGTTTGAGGAACGTTTGTACTACGACAGAATCATCAGCGGGGCGCCGCGTTTGCACGCCGACGTCGAACGGGGATTGTTGCTCGAAGAAGCGCGACGATTGGAAGACATCGAAAAGAAAAAGTCTTTCTTAGCCACCGGAAACGTCATAGGATCACTCATCTTCATCACCATGACGGTTACCATCGTCACGCTTCAAAAGTCCAACATTTCTCGCCTACTCGGGGACATCAGCGACGAATTCATCGGCCTCGACGCCGCCACTCAAGCCTTCATTCTCATGCTCGGCGCCGACATGGTCGTCGGCTACCATTCCTCCGACGGCTGGCAAGCCTTCTTAGCGTGCATCATCACCCACTACGGTCTCGATTTCCACAAGTTTGAGATGGCGGTTCGCATCTTTGTCGCCGTCGTCCCCGTGACGCTCGACATCGGTTTCAAGTACTGGGTCTTCAACAAGCTTCGGAAGATCTCCCCGTCCACGCAAATCATCCTCGGCGAGATTGAGCGGCATTAATTCGCGTCTTCGCGCCGTCGGCGCCTTAGCACACGCATTTATTCATAGATTATTGTCGCCGTACGAAAAAGTTGCTCATAAAGTACACTTTATGAGCAAGTGCCACGCCAGCACGCCCTCGACGCGCACAATCGCGCGTCGCACGCCCTCGACGTCGCGCGCCATGCTCAGCTCGCTCGCGCACGGCGCGCACATAGCCTACCGCGCGCACGCGCCGCCGTCGCGATGCGAGAACGCGCGCACGCGCGCGCGCTCCGTCGCGCTCGAGTTGAATTCGGGACGGTTACGCCGACACCTTCCGGGACGACGGCGTGAAACCTCCGTTTGGGCGCGCGCAGGACGCGAAAACGACGACGTGAACGAACGAAACGAACAAACGCAAAACGAAGGCGATGATCGCGCGCATGCGGTGGACTGGCGCGAGTTTCGCGCGCGCATGGTGGCGCAATACTCTGAAAACGCCGCGCTCGGGGCGAGCATAGACGCGGCTTCGCGAGACGGATCACCGCCGACGTGGGCGCATGGATTGGAAAACCTGGAGAAAGGCGCGCTTTTAGTGGCGGTAGAAGAAGACGCGAGCTCGTTTTGGTCGCACGTGGTGATTTTCATGCTCGGTGAGTGGTTCGGACGACGCGCGCTCGAGAAGAAAGAGGGGGGGGCGGAAGCCGAGACGGAGGCGCCGACGCGAATCTCGTCGACTGACTTTTACGCTCGCTCACGTCGATGCAGATCACACACCGTACGGATCTACTGGGATAATTTTGAATCGCACGCAATCGTGGACGCTCGCCAAGCATTGCCCAGAGGTTAAACACGATAATTTGTACTGGTCGCTGTTGTCTGAAGAAGTCGTCGGCGTCGGCGGACCGGTGGGGTTGGACCACTCGCTCGATCGTTCCGTCATCGCCTTGACGACGAAAGAGCAGCCAGGCATGACTGAAGAGGTGATACCGGGGATATATCGCGTCATCAACCTAGATCAGTTGGCGAAATTGAACGCCAAACTCTCTGGGCCGGGTACGCTTCGGCCAGAGGATTTGAGCCTCTTTGTCGGCTACTCGGGATGGTCTCCAGGGCAACTTCAATCCGAAATCGACGCGGGATTTTGGACCCTGGCCTCGGCTTCGGGTACGTACGTTCGAGACTGCATGTTCAAACACGTCATGGACACAATCGTCGAACCTACGACGGGAAAGCGCGTCCCCATCGACGCGCACGGTTTCCAAGCGTGGGCGTCCATGCGGGAGAGTCTCGGCATGTGACCGCCCCCTGACATCTGTACTATCACATTGATGACATTGAACGACAACTTTTCTACCCATTTTTTTGCCTAATTTTCCACAACTTTTGAATACAAAAACACTGTACTGTACATGCTACGCGTCGCTCCCGCTCGACCACTCGCCTTCTTCGCGTTCTACCGCCGCCGGCTTCGGTTTCACCACCGGTACCCGCACCTTTTCTCTTTTCTCTTCCCTTTGTGGAACGTGATCCCAACGTTCGGCGTCGACGCCGTTCCCACCTTCGCGTCGCTTTTTCGAACGTCTCCTGTCCCGTCCATCGCTTTTTCTTCGCCTCGTCTCGCCCGCGGCGTCTCGCCGCGGCGTCTCTCTCTCTCTCTCGCCCTCGGCTCGGCGCTTATCGTCGATCCTCGCGTTGGCGCTCGCGATGGCGCGCACGGTGTTACCGAAGAACTTCAAGTTGGGACGCGGTTTCACCGGCGACGCGCGCGCGTCGCTCGTCGCGCGCGCGACTTCGGGTGTCGGAACGGTTGTCGGCGCGCCGCCGGCCCAGGACGCGCGCACGGGCGCGCTCGCGCGCGCGCGCGATGCGTCGCTCGACTCGACGCTTCGTGAGTATTCGCGCGCGCGCGCGAGCGCGCGGGCGTGGCCGTCGCCCTCGGGGGACATCGAGACGCCGCGACCGGGCGACGAGTGCGGAGTCGACGCGCCGAACGCGTCGAAAAGTATTGATCACCGACGCGAGCGGCCGTGAATAATGATAAAAGAATCTACCACTGCAGGCTATTGGGAACCTGGTACTACGCGGATGCGGGGGACTGTTGACCCGTCACCGCGAAATACTCGAGCAACATGTTGTTCTCGGGCGCGAGACCGACGGCGGCGCGGAAGAAATTTTCCAGCATGGCGCGTTGCTTCGCGAGAGCGTTCACGATGGGCATACCGTTTGGCACGAGCGGGGCCTTGCTCCAATACGAGAGCAACACCGCGATGGGGTGAATGCTGTGAAACTGTTCGCCTTCGCACTTGACTTCGACGCGCGTCAAGAGTTCGGCCACAAGACACAAGTCAAGGATGAGCGGCGCCGCGAGCAAGGAGTCCTCGCACGTGTTGTGCATGACGATCGTGTTTTCGCCGTTCATGAAAATTGCGCTGGTGTACTCATCCATCGCTCGCTTGCTATCGCCGACATTCGGGACGTACTTGATCACGACGGTGTGATCGGGCTCCTCGCCCTCGTCGTAAAGCAGCGGATTACTCGCCACCATGTCTGAAACCACGTTCGCCTTAGAGATTTCCTTGGATCGGAAAGTCTGCGGCGCACTCAGGTTCAAACCATCGTTGTTACCTAAGTGATTGTAGCTCACGATGGATGTCGGCTTTAAGCCAGCGCCGATGAGGTAGTCGACCAACACCGACTTCATCTTCGTTTGACCAGTCTTGAAATCATCTCCACCGATGATCGAGTTCAGGCGAACCGCCGCTTGCACGACGCCTGGCACGAACGTGTTCTGTGGACTTCCGTTAATGAACGGTGTGTGCTCGTCTATGCACGCCAAGGCGAACAAGGTACTTGGCGAAATCTCTTCCTCGCCCGTTTTGATGGCGTTTCGCAAGTTTTCTTCTGTGTCGTGCACGCCCTCGCGCGTTTCCGAGTAACGCTCCGTGTTCGCCGTCCACAACACGACTACACTATCGATTCCATTCTTTTCCTTGAAATCGCGAATGTCAGCGCGAATCTGCGCCATCTGCTCCGTCTTTGACCCGCCGATGACATTGTTTGCGCGAGACAACTGATTCCTCGCGACGAATTTCGGATCAAAGACACTCGCTCGCGGCCTCATCCCCTCCATACGGGGTCGGAGCTGCCTTTGTAAATCGAAGTCTAAAACTTTGGCTCGCTCCATCGCGTCCGCCAAATTCGCGTCGTTGATGTCCCATCCGTCGACGATGACGTCGTTCGGATTCGCTAGCGGCATCAACGACTTAAACGGCACGTAAACCTCCTCGCCTTCGAGATGTCCAACTCGGCACGTCCCACTCTGCGTGAGTGAGCCGTAATAATTAGGCTTCCGCACCCCATCCTTCGTATTCCACGTCACGTCGTGCTTATTCGCCAGCATACCCGCCGTGAGCGTCGATCCGTTATTCCCGCCCCACCCAACGAGCATGATCCCAACCTTCGGCACGCTCGTCCGCGTCCGAATCGTAAAATTCTTCGTCTCCGGCACGAGCGCGAAGCATTCCTTCCCCTCAACGCTCGTCGACGTCCTTCGCTCCACCCTCGTGCTCGCGTACGCGTGCTCGCTCTCCACGTACTCGATCCCCGTCGCCCCGTCCTCGATCGTCCGCACCGTCGCGCTCTCCACCGTGAACTTATCGATCAACATCTTCGTCCGCGCCCGCGCGCCCGCGCGTTCGCCCCTCGCGCGTCGCGCGTCCGTTCGTTCCGTTCGATCGCCGCACGATGGTCGATCGATCGCGTCGCGTCGCTCGCGTCGCTCGCGCGCGTCGTCTCGCGCCGCGGCGCGGGGCGCCGACCGTTCGCGCGTCGTTCGTCGAGCGCGTCGGCGTCTCGGCGACGCGCGCGCGCGTGTGCCGACGTCGACGACGCGCGCGCGACGTCACGGCGCGATCGCGGTCGTGATTTATCGATCGCCGCGCGCATCAAACAATGGTCTCGCGGCGTCTCGAATGCGCATGAGAGAGCGCGCGCTGCCGATATATCGGGATGTGTTCGGACACGCGGGTATAATAGACACAGTGAGGTTGATGTTTCACATCTCGCGGCGCGGCACATCGCGCGTCGCGCGACGCGACGACGCCGCCGACGACGCGACGATCGCGACGATCGCGGCGAGGTTCCGAGACCGCGCCGAACCCGACGGTCTCGAACGCGCACCGCCGTCCGGGTCGACCGCGCGTCGACTCGACGTCGCGCGCGTCGACTTGAATCGACGCGGCGAAATTTGAAAATTTGAAACGACGCCGCCGACGAAGGATGGACGCCGAGGCGAAGCGACGGCGAGTGACGGCGGAGGCGTCGTTGGCGTCGCCGCCGACGGTGCGCGCGCCCGCGGGGGCGTTTGAAACGCCGGCGCGCGGGAAGACGGATGGGGAGGCGCGGGACGGCGGCGCGAGCGGGGCGTCGACGGCGACGCCGCTGCCGACAAAGAGGAAAGCGCGCGCGGGCGAAACGGGGGAAGGGATGGTTTTTGCGGCGATGCCGACGTTCGCGCGGGCGCTGAGAGACGCGTCGAACGCGAATGGGGCGGATTGGGCGCGCGCGGAGGACGCGCGGGCGGCGACTCCGTGCCGCGGCGGGCGACCGTTGGCGTCGCCGCCGCCGATGAAGGCGTCGACGTCGCCGCCGGCGCCGCCGCGAAAGCAGGCGCTATCGTACGGGATGTCGTACGGATACACGCCTTCGCGAGGGGACACGCGATACGATGCGAGCGAGCGGGTCGATTGCGAGGAGCCGGCGACGCCGGCGCTCGCGGGACCGTGCGCGATGATTCCGAGCGCGTTGGACGCCGCGCTTGGGTTGCCCATGATCGACGGCGCCGCGCTTCGCGCGTTATTAGCGAATCACGAGTCCGGTGGCGCCGGTGGGCCGGAAGTCGTCGCCATCGATTGTCGATTTCCGTTCGAGTACGCGGGCGGCCGCGTGCGCTCGGCGTTGAATCTGTATTCGCCGACGGACGTGCAGAAATTTCTCGCGTCTCGCGCGACGACGAGCGCAAACGTAGTGTACGTGTTTTACTGCGAGTTCAGTAGCGAACGCGCACCGCGCATGTGGCGACACGTGCGGAACTTGGATCGAAGAGATCACATGGCTACGTATCCGGCGCTCTCGTTTCCGCACACGTACGTCTTGCAGGGCGGCTACAAGCACTTTTACGAATCCTTTCCAGAGTGTTGCGAGGGCGGTTTCGTGAGCATGTCGGACACGCGCTACACCGACGCGTGTCGCGAGTTCACGTCGCAAAGCCGAGAGGTCTGGTTCGTCGCGCAGCGCGCGAAATCGATGACGCACGCGCCGTCGCCGTCCGACGAAGCTTTGTTTCGATCCGCCGAGCGATTTCGAGGCGCCGTTCGCGGACGAGGCATCGATTTCACGGGCATGGACGACGATTGATCGACCGATCGCCGCGTTCGCCGACGCCCCGCCGTCGCGCACGAGTCGTAGAATTGTAAACCGCGCCGCGAATCCGCGACGCGACCCTCCGATGACGGTGACGCGCGACGGTTGGTCGAAACGGTTGATGCAACATCAGGAGATGCGCGTGATGTGTCGCTACGAGTCGGCGAGGACGTTCGCGCCGCGGATCGCGTACGACTCGGACTCTTCCGACTACTGAAGCGAAACGAACGGGCGACGAAAAGAAACGACGTGAATGAGTCGGTAAACGAAACGCAGAAACGCAGAAACGAATGTAAACGAATGTAAACGAAATGTAAACGTGTGCTACGACGCGTACCGCGCGAGCGAAAATGGCCGAGGCGCCGAGGCATCCGTCGACCAGTCGTACTCCGCGTACGAGATTCGCGGTATTTTACCGCTCGTCAGCGCGGTCTCCAGCGCCACCTTGGATTCATCTTTCAGTCTCGGCGCAATGAATCTCAACACCTCTGTCGCGCCCGCGCCGAAATCTCGCGCGTACCACTGCATGATTTTCGACAGGCGCACTTCATTCTTGCGAGCGTCCACGGCGACGGTGCCGTTGAGAAAGGCTTCGGCTGCTACATCGAGTTGCGCGTCGATTTTATTCGCTGAATACGCTCTGATGGGCGGACACGCGTTCGCTCCGCAGTTCAACGCGAAGTGAATCCTGGCGTCACGCTTGGAGAGCGCGTATTTCGCCGCGCCGTCATCCTTGAAATATTTTGTCGCAAACTTCTTAGTCGGATGCGGCGCGTTGGCGCGAAGCAGTCCGTGCTCGATATCGTCCAAGGAATAAAATTTACCCCCAATATTGTACCCGACGCTTCCGTAAAACGCTAGCCGCTCGCGCGCGTTTCTTGGAACGCCCACGTTTACGAACGCGTGTTTCACCCCGACGTTGTACACGTTCAAAAGGAACGCCTTGCGAGCGTCTTCGTTTGCCAACTCGCCTTGATTCAATCGAATCGCTCGCAATTCGCATGTCGCCTCCTCAAACGCGCCGTACTGATCGTCCAGAGCGATGCCTTCGTAATCCACCATCCCAGTCTCCGCCGAGACGTGATACGACTCGATGATGGAGAACATTTTTCTCAAGTATGCGGCCGCGTCCACGGGCTTGGAGCTCACGCGATCTTTCCACGCGGTCCTGTAGGAATTCAAGACCCTGCGATCCAAGTCCATAGGCAGCGCGTATCGCACAGGACTACCCCTAGGAATCAACGCTCCCTCCTTCACGTACGCCTCGAGCGTGTGAAAATCATCCACATCGAACTCGAACTCGCCCTCGCCCGTGCGCGCCGTCATGTCAGCCAGCGCGAGCGCGTCGACGATTTCATCCTTTGACATCGTCGGCGGCTCGTTCGCTCGCTCCGCACCACCAAAACACGAACACCCACCCGACGACGACGCCATCATCGTCGCCTCCGCGCGTCGATACCGCATCGCATGCTTCATCGTCTCCGTCATTCGAGCGTACGTCGTCGCTCGCGTCCTCGTCTTCTTATTCGCCTTCTTCCCCTCGCTCTCCTCTCCCTCGCGCGTCTCCAGCTTTATCGATTTAGACCTTCCATAGATCGACTTTCCACCCGGATCGTCCCTTTCGTCGTCCTCCACGTCTCGTAGCGCCCGCGGCAACGCGTCGACGTCGCAGTCGCCGTCCCTCAACAGCTCGCGCGCCAGCTTTCCCGTCCGCGCCAAGTGCGTGATCTCAACCTCCGATCCGACGTACTCGGCGTTAAAGAACACGGCGGGGGTGTAACGGTGTCCCGCGAGCGCTTTCAAGCCTTCCAATCGCGTCGACCGCGCGTCGGGCGTCAACGCGTCGAGATTAATTTTGTGAAATTCAGACTCTTGCACGCCCTCGTCGCGCAGCGCCGCGAGCGCCTTCCTCGCGCGCGCGCACGAGCCCTCGTGGAACACCGTCACGCGCGATACCGGCATGGTCGGTCGTCGGCGCGCGTCGTCGCGGTGTGCGGGCGCGGCCGAGCCCGGACGCACATCGACGCGCGAGGCGAGGGCCGACGACGAACGCGACGCCGCGCGCCCGCGACGGGAGAGCGCGCGCGACGGCTCGGAAGCGCATCCATGCGCGCGGTTTCGCGCGCGCGGGCGTTCGCGACGCCGCGCGCGGCGCGCGCCGGACGCGACACGAATCGACTTTCTCGGCCGGTGCGAACGCGCGGCGGCGATGATTCGCGGCGGATGCGACGCGCGCGAGCGCGCGGCGGTGATGACGACGCGATGAGACGGGTGGTGAAAGACGCGCGCGTCGAGCGCGCGCGCGAGGGAGACGTAGAGGTCCAGGAGGAGGAGGACGAGGTTGCGGCGTCGGCGTCCGACGTCGCCTTCGACGCGTTATCGGCGGCGGTGCGGATGCCGGCGATCGAGCACGCGCGCGCCGTCTTCCGGGACCGCGGGTCGACTGAGCTGTTTGAGCCGGGAAAGAGCTCCGACTTACTCGAGCGGTTTATCGAGCGCGAGATGGATGAGGTAGAAGTCGCGGTGAGCGCGTGCACGGTGAAGGAGGCCAAATGCTCGACGTGTAAAACTGGTTACAGTGACGTCGTGCTTTTACAAGCATTCGATTGGTTGTCGACGAAGCGTTCGTTACACAGCGACAAGTCTTACTATCGCAGAATTGAGGATCGAGTGCCGATGATAGCGGATTTCGGGTTTACGCACGTTTGGTTGCCTCCACCGTCGTTATCGGTAGACGAGCACGGTTACATGCCATCGGAAATTTACAACTTGGACGGTAGCGAGTACGGCGATGAAGCGGAGCTTAAATCGTTGGTACAGGCTCTGAAAAAAGCCGGAATAGTAGCCGTGTGCGACATCGTCATCAACCATCGTTGCGCTGAGTACGCTTCGGATGGCCGCTTCATCTCGTTTGCGGACGAAGTAACGCCGAGCGGGAGACGAATAAATTGGGGAGCTTACGCCATCGTCGGCGACGATCCATTTTTTCGCGAAGGTCAAGGAGCCAACGATAGTGGCGACTCGATCGAAATCGCCCCTGATCTCGACCACACAAACGCCGAGATTCGCGAAGCGATCATCGAGTGGTTGAACTGGTTGAAAGATGACATCGGTTTCAGCGGATGGAGGTTCGATTTCGTCCAAGGCTACGCTCCGAATTTCGTGAGAGAGTATGTGGAGAAAACGGTTGGATTTGAGCAATTCTGCGTCGGCGAGAACTGGGTCGGGATGACGTGGTCGGGAAGCTTTCTCGAGTACAATCAAGACAAGCCGAGACGCGTGCTCGTGGATTGGTTGAACGCCGCAGACGAATGCGCGGCGTTGTTCGACTTCGTGACCAAGGGAATTCTACAAGAAGCAGTCAAGCGAGTAGAGTTTTGGCGGCTACGAGACCAGCAAGGCGGCATGCCTGGGCTTGCCGGCTGGGTACCGCAAAGTGCTGTGACATTTCTCGACAACCACGATACCGGATACCCGCAGAATCACTGGCCGTTTCCACTCGATCGTCTCGGTTTGGGTTACGCGTACACGCTTCTGCATCCCGGCATTCCCTGCGTGTTTGGCCCGCACATTTGGTGCTGCGACGAAAACTTGGGTTGGTCCTAATCGCTAACATCAGAAATTCGAGCTTTGTTGAGCTGCCGTAAGCTCGCCAACGTGTGCTGCGAGAGCAGAGTTGACATCAAAATCGCCGAGAGCGATTTATACGTCGCGGTCATCGATGACAAAATCATCGTCAAGCTAGGGCCGAGATACGACGTTCCGGGTGAAATACTCGCTCAAATCGCAGAGTTCGAGCTCGCAACGCACGGCGACGATTACGCGGTGTGGATTCGAAAAGAGTTACTCGAACAACCGTTCGAGGAGTGAGCATCGCGAGCGCCTTGGTAAGCATTTCGTTCATCGTTTTACATTTCGTCGGTGTTCCACATCTTCTTCCAAATCTACTCGAGGCTAGCCACGCGCGCAGAAATTTGCGACGCGTGCGCGACGAGACGTCGCGCTGCTTCGACCGCGAGAGACGCTCCTTTCATTCCCGGTCGCATCTCGCCATCTTTTTCGTAGTACTCGCGAATGTTGACCAAAACTTTCCCTTTGTACTTGCTCACCGTGCACCGTCGCGTGTTCGACATCTCGCACACCAGCTGCTCTTGGCTCGACGCCTCGCACGCCTCGATGGCGCTCGCCACTTTATCGATGTTCGCGTCGAGCACCCGCCACTGCGCCGAAGACAACGAAATCCCTTTCTTCCCCGGCTTGTACGGTCCCTCGCCACCGGCTTGATAGTACTCGCGAATGTCAACGAGCGTCGTTTCCTTCCACTTTCGCACCGTCACGCGCTTCGTCTTCGACAGCGCCACGACTTCGTTCTCCACCGCGTCGTCGCCGCCCGCGCTCGTCGCCGCGTCCGTCGTCGCCGCGTCCGCCGTCGAGCTCGCCGGCCGCGCGCTCTGCGTCGTCGCCGCCTCGCTCGCACCGACCCTCGCGTTCGCCACGAACCACCTCGGCGCCCCGCCCTCGCCGTCTTCTCTCCTCGCCGATCCGCGCGCCGCCATCGCGTACAGCGCCTTGTTCACCGCCGTCTTGTCGCGCTTCAAAAAGCTCGCCAACGCCTTCGCCTCCGTCCCGTCCTCTCCGATCGCCTCCAGCGCCGCCAACACTCGCGTTTCATCCAGCGCGCTCTCTTCCGCCGTCGCGCTCGCCCTCTTATTCCCTCCGGTCGTCGGCGACCCCTCGTCGTCGACGCGTTCGCGCTTCGTCGTCGCCGTCGTCGTCGCCCCGCGCTCGCCGTCCTCGTTCGCCGCCACCGCCGCGTCCGCGCGCCCCAGGAACGCGTCGATCTCGTTTTGCACGACGATTCGATCGACGTCTCGCCCGTCGTCGCCGCGCGCCGCGCGCAGGGCGTCGCGCACGGCCTCGCGCACCGAGCGTTCGGTCGCGCGCTCTAAATCGAGCGTCGGCAGCAGCGCGCGGCACGCGCGGCGCGTCTCGAGCGCGTCGAACGTCGGCGCGTCGTCGCTCGACATCCCGCTCGCGCGGCGCGCGCGACGTCGCGCGCCGTCGTCGTCGCGCGTCGCGACGTGACGTCGCGCGCGCATCGACGGCGCGTCGACGAGACTTCGCGACGCGACGACGACGCGCGCGCGGGCTCGACGACGGCGCGCGAGGGCATCGTCGACGCCGCGGTCTCGCGCCGAGGCATCGCCGACGCGCGCGCGAACGCGCGGACGATCGATTCGGAATGATGACGACGACGGCGTCGGCGCGTCGACGGGCGATGTCGCTGATGCGCGACGCGGTGACGCGCGCGACGCCGATGCGCGCGACGACGACGCGCGCGATGACGCATCGCGCGTCGACGGCGGCGACGACGGCGCGCGCGTCGACGAGGACGCGCGCGGGGACGGCGGCGACGGCGACGGCGGCGGCGGCGGCGGCGGCGGCGCTCGCGGCGACGACGGCGGGACGCGAGGCGAGCGCGGAGGCGCCGAGGACGAGCCCGGCGGACGCGGCGCTCGGAGGCGCGCGCGTGACGCTGTATCAGTACGACGTGTGCCCGTTCTGTAACAAGGTGAAGGCGTTTTTGGATTATCACGGGACGCCGTACGACGTCGTGGAGGTGAACCCGATGACGAAGGGCGAACTGGGATGGGTCGAGGATGGATGGAAAAAGGTCCCGATCGTCACCGTGGGGGACGAAAAGTTGAACGATTCGAGCGCGATCATCGCCGAGCTCACGAAGCGGTTCGACGCGAGCGGGTCGAGCGCGAACGCGGGGGCGTGGTTCGGGGCGAAGAAGACGAAGGCGTACCTCGAACGCGAGGCGACGTGGACGAAGTGGGTCGACGAACGCTTCGTGCACGTTTTGACGCCGAACATCTACCGCACGTGGGCGGAAGCGGTGAAATCTTTCGATTACATCACAAAGAGAGGGAATTTTGGGTACTTTGAGCGCGAGAGCGCGAGATGGGTGGGGGCGGCGTCCATGTACGTCATCGCCCATCGCGTGCTGAAGAAGCGACACGGAATCGAGGACGAGCGCGCCGATTTATACGCCGAGTGCGACAAGTTCGTCGACGAAGCGGTCGGCTCTCGTAAATTCTGCGGCGGCGATGCGCCGAATAACGCAGATTTGTGCGTGTTCGGTGTCTTGCGCGCCGTGAAGACGTTTGAGACGTTCGCGGACGTCATGGCGAACACTTCGATCCGCCCCTGGTACGAGCGCATGGAAAAAGCCGTGGGACCGGCCACCCGCACGGACGGCTTAGAGAACTGACTACATCCAAACGAATTATACTACACTCTACACTAGCGCGATTATTTTTAAATGCAAAGCACTCGTCTCTCACGAAGGTTCGACGCGCCGCTCGGCCCACGCCGAGGGCGGCCGCGCGCCCGTCTCGACGAAGGCCAAGTACGACTCCAGCACGTACTTCCCGATCGGCGTGAAATTCTCCCGCCCCTCTCTCAGGCTCCTCGCCAACTCATCCAGACTCACGAATCTCGCCGCCGCCACTTCGCCGTCCGCGAATTCGATTTCGGCGTCGTCCCTGAGCACGATTTCAAAGCACGCGCCGAACACTCGCATGTACGCGTCCTCGTACGGAAACGTGAACAACTCCCGCACGCTCGCGCCTCTCGCCGCATCGCTCCCGAGCTCTTCCTCCAGCTCCCGTCGCATCGTTTCCTCGTACGTCTCCGCCGCCGCCGCCTCGCCGTCGCGCCCTCGCGTCGCGCGCACCACGCCGCTCGTCGCCGCGTCCGTCCCGCCCGGCCACACGTCCTTCGTCTCGCTCCGCCGCGTCACCAGCGCGTCGAGCGCGCCGACGCCGCCGTCGCGAGACGCGCGCAGGACGACGCCGAACGCGCCGCGGCCGAGCGCGCGCTCGCGCACCGTCACCGCGCGCGTCTCGCAGCCGACGAATGCATTCAGCTCGTCCACGCGCGCGCACAGCTCGTCGCTCGCGCTCGACGACGACGCGAGAGCGCGACGACGTTCTCTTCGAGCGCGCGCGCGAATCGGCGCCGGACGCGCGCGCGCGGCGAGCGCGCGCGGCGCCATGCGGACGCGCGCGCGCGCGCGACCGACGGGCGCGACCGACCGCGCAATCTGTGTATGTGTAAACAGTGATAAACACACGAACGTACGAACGACACCGCCGTCGCGCCATCAAATCTCATATTTAAGGCTCTTTTCGCGCGCGCCGGCGCGGCGACGTCGCCGCGCGCGCGACGCCGCACACATCGACGCGCCATGCACGCCGCGCTCACGTTCTCCAACGCCGTCGCGTCCAAGACCGCGCTCGCTCGAGGTACGAATCGTCGAATCGGACGCGCTCCGGGCGACGCGCGACGCGCGACGCGCGACGCGCGACGACGCGCGCGCGACGGCGCGCGACGCGGTGGGAGGCGCGCGCGCGGCGATGAGGGGTCGCGGGCGCGCGCGCGCGGCGCGACGCGTCGCGCGATCGCGGGAAGAGGACGATGCGTTTCTCGACGATCGCTCGACGGCGCGCGACGGGCGAACGCGCGTCGCGCGCGCGGGAGGAAGGGGGAGATAAGAAGCGCGCGGACGGGGCGGTGACTGACCTGGAACCCTAAACGCGGGGTCGCGCGCGCGCAGGCTCGACGACGGCGTCGCCGGCTCGAGGGGCTTTCATCGTGCGCGCGGCGCAAAACAAGGTTGCGCGCACGCGATTGTCGCAAAAGGAACGCTTGTATAACAAGGCGCGAAAGTCTGAAATCACGACGCGAATGAAGAAGGTTTTCGTCAACGCGAGCGAACTCATGGCGGCGGACGCGTGCACGGAGGCGGATATTAGCGGTTTGGAAACGTTGATCTCGGAAGCGACAAAGTCCGTGGATAAGGCCGTGGCGCGGGGGATCTTGCACAAGAACACCGGCGCTCGACGCAAGGCGCGCATGTCCAAGTACAAGCAAGAGTTGCGACGGGACAAGGGTCTCTTGACGGCGTAAACGCGCTCGGCGAGAAGAATACAATTCTTTATTCGACAACGATAGGCGGGAGGCGTGAGAGTGTATTGTGTGTACGTGATCAACGATTAATTAGAAGAACTGGCGACGCGCGCCCACGTAGACGTTTGTGACCCAACGACGACGACGACGCGGCTACCGAAGACGCGCGCGACGGCAGTCGCCGCCTCGCGCGCGCGACTCCCCACCCATGCGCGCCGCGCTCGCGTCCCCTCGCGCCGCTCGTCCCGCGACGACGATCGTCCGCGCGCTTTCGACCGCTCCGCGCGCGCCGCGCGTCGCCGACGGCGAAACTCTCGACGTGCTCGGCGCCTCGAAGCTTCGCGTGGTGCAAAGCAAAGTCGGCTACCGCACGGGCGTCGACGCCCTCGCCCTCGCGTGGTTCGCGAGACGAAGCCGCGGCGACGTCGAGAGTTTCGCCGATCGCGCGTGCGACCTCGGGGCGGGCTCGAGCGGGGCGGTCGGGCTCGCGTACGCGCTGTCGGGAGCGCGGCCCGCGCGCGCGACGTTCGTCGAGGCGCAGCGGGACAGCTGCGAGAGGCTTCGACGAAGCGTCGAGACGAACGCGCGAGCGAGCGATGCGTTCGACGTCGTGCCGGGGGATGTCGTGGAAGACGCGCGGGCGCTGCTGGACGATCGTAAAATGCGGCGGGCGTTCGATGTGGTGCTGACGAACCCACCGTTTTTCGAGGCGACGCGCGGGACGCCGCCGAAGAATAAAGAGAAAAAAGGCGCTCGGTTTGGCATACTGGAGGATGGAGGCGCGGCGACGATTCACGACTTTATCGGGTTCGCAAAGGAGGCGCTGAGAGAGGATGGAGAATTTTTTGTCGTCTACCCCAGTCTTGGCCGCGCGCGGTTGTTGGCGGCGATGGTGGCGGCATTCGGCGACGACGCCGTGCGCGCGACGGATGTGTTCGACCACGAAGGCGCGTCGCGGCCGAGTTTAGTATTCGCCCGCGCGACATTGCGAGGATATTCAGGCGATGCGGTCGAGACGTCGTGCGCGCTTTACCAGGAGACGTCGTGCGCGCTTTACCAGGAGGCGCGCGTGGGAGAGGGGAAGCGGGCGTACGTGGATTCGTTTGAGATGTTTCTTCAACGCGTCGCGCAGGCCGGCGTGTGAAGAGTGTTGTAATAAATTACAGTAAAGTGAAAAATTTGTAAAAAGCCGTACAAGTTGCACCGATTAGTACGCAATGCTCTTGCTCTTGGACAACGCTTTTCGTCCACAGAGGCGCGTGACGTCGCCCATACCGTTGACCGGACCCGCCGCCGCGAGCAGGCCGATGAACAACACGACGGAGACGATGGACGAGAAGACGGCGGAGAGCACGACGATGGTGCCGAACTTTGTGAAAAAGACGATCACGGCTTGAAGTAACGCAAGCGCAGCGCACAGAGTTGTGAACGCCGCACCGAGGACGGGGAAACCCATGACACTGAGCGCCGAGCGAGCGCATTCCCGACGACTGACGCCTTCGTGGCGAGCAGCGTGCGCGTACGCGTGCCCGATGTGAACGACGTAATCAACCGAAAGCCCGATTAAGATGACGAGACAGATCCCTTCGAGGAACCCGAGATTCCAGCCCATGGAAACGACCCCGGCGACCGTGACGACGAGAATCGTCAAGATGCACAACAGTGAGTACAAGGTGATGATGACGTTTTGCGTGGAGATCATCGTCGTCACCGCAGCGATTGCGAGCGTCGTCCCGGCCGCGATGTACGCACCGTCTCGCATCTGAGCGACGGTATCCATCCAAGCCCATGCGTCAGACGTTTGAAACCCGTTCTTAAGTCCAGCTGGTGCTGTCGCCATCTTGGCCGCGAAATAGTTCTCCCAAGTTTGCCAGACTTTTTCAAGGTCTTCCGTAGGCGCGGTCCACAATACGTTTGTGGCGAACTGCACCGACATGATTTTCATCCTTGTTTGGCCATTACTAGTGTAGAACGCGTTCGAGAGTGGGCGAGACATCATCTGTACACTTGGATTCTGATCGGCGTAATACTTGACGCAACTGTAAAAGTTGGCCTGAGGGACTGGAATGAATTTGTAGCCGCCACACTCGGTCGGGCCACCCGCCGAGCCGAGCCAAGTTTCAAAGTATTCGAACCAACAATACGCTGCGTTATCGTTCGCCATGTTCGACTTTGTGTCACTGCAAAAAGTCTTCAACCAGTTTTGATTCGCAGTGGGTGAAAGATCGAACGACGTGTCCCATTCAATCGAAGCTCGGCTCGCGGGGTTGAAGTGATCGCCATTGTCCGACGGAGTAACCCCCCACAGAACTTTCGTCCACACCTGAGACTCCGTTGAGCTCTTGAAGCCTGAACGCCTGAGGAACGAAAATTTCGTGAACATGTGGTCGTCAGGGAGCAATTGGACTTCCGAGTCACGCGGAGTCGACAGCTTCAAAGTGCCGACCATGCCGCCCGCAAAAGCACCGATGAGAGCCACCACGAGGAACCACCGGAGTGTGTGAATGATGGGGAACACTTTGTCTGCGAGCATAGCTTCAGCCACCGATCTTCGTTCGCGGTTGGAATCGATGACATCGTCAGCGTCGCGGGTTTTTGGTGGTCCTTTCTTGCAGTTGGCTCGAAAGCGTGCGATTGAGCCATAAAAATCCAGAAACCACGACCCAAACGTGTTCTTGCCAGTGTTTTCGTACCCAACGATGACGTCGTGCTGCCATGCCAGCAAAGCGGCAAATATCGTGATATCATACAGATAGTCAAATATGACCATCGTGCCCATGAAAATTGCGAAGACGCGAATGGGAGCGATGGGTATGATTGCGTTCGAGTAGAACGCTGCAGCCGTAGTCATCGACGTCAAAAACATGGCCCACGCGGAATCCCAATACGCGCGTTTCATGACTTCCGTAGCGTTCGCCCCGGGGACGCACCGACACTTGGACTGTTGGAACTTGTCGTACATCACGAAGCAATCGTCGGCGCCGATGCCGGCGATCACAAAAAGACCGATGAAGTTGAGAAACGGAAAGAAGTCGAGTTGACAGAGCGTCTTGGTGAAGAAAATGGCCGACGGGAACGCCAGTAGCACTTGTACGATTCCACCCACGGTCAATAGCACCGAACCCATGTGCACCCACATCAAGATGATAATGATGGAGATGGCGCTGACGGCGAGCGCCAAGTCTTTGAACAGCTGTTCGTCGACATACGCGTCTTTTACGTCCGAACTAGCGGTGTCATAGTACACGTTGAAATACGAACTCGAGTACGTCCAACCGCCTTCCCACGTGTTCAAACCCCATGTTGCGATCATATCGCTGTTGCCAGTCGTTGGGATGATGGAGCGGGTGAGCGATAAATCGGTGACGCCATTTAAGCCGAAAGCTTCACCGAGCGCCGCCGACTTCCAAGGCACAGGCGAAGTTCCCGAACAAGCCGCCTCAGAATCAGCAGCCTTCACGGGGGCGCAGGCGAGTAAGTATGTCTTCAAATTCGTCAGAGCCGTTTGCAACGCAGAGTTTGTTAAGTAGTCGTCGCAGCTCGAGGCCCCGGCGGTGTTCATGTACAGATACGTGGGGTACGAAAAGGCCCGCGAGCATCGCCTGTACGTCGAAGGCGAGCCCGAAGTTTCGATCTGCCAGTTCTGCCACGTTCCTTTATACGTCCCACCCGACGACCAATCCGACGACGTCGTCCCCGGCGGATCGCTGGCGCTCGAGCATACGCTCTGTCGCTCGCACAGGCTTCCAAAGTCGTCGCCGTCGCCGCCCCCGTTGGCGTGATCCATGAAAGACTCCGTCGCCTTGCACATATCCGCGAACGCTTCCGGCGTGAACAAATCCCCCCCCGTCGATTCGAATATCAAGTGAAAATTGTTGTCGTCCTCCATGTTACTGTTGCTCTCCGAGTCGTACTGCCCCCCCGTTCCGCAGTCGGGCGTCCCAGACAACAACTTTCGTCGCGCGTTCGGTTCGCTCAGGTACGCGTTGTTCGTCGTGCCGTCGTCGAACGTGCTCTCGCTGTACAGGCTGTACGGCACCTGGCGATTCGCGATCGGCGTGCCGCGCGTTTCCCAGCCTTCGGTCTGCACCTCGAGCGTCCCCGTCACCAAACCGACGGCGGAAATTATCGCGGCGAACAAGAGCGTCGCGACGCAGGTCACGCACGGACGCCTCGAGATGGTGCGCACGACGAATCCCGCGTCGTCGTCGCGCGCGGGCGCGTCCGCGTCGGCGGCGGGCATCGTCGGCGTGTGCGGGAGCGCGTGAGGGGAAAGAGGAAACGAAGGGTCAGATGTTACAGTTGAAAAATCAGGCGGTCGCGCGCGCGTCGAGGGAATCGCGACGACACGACCGAGCTCAGCGCAGAGCCTCGCCTGGATCCTCGCCCGGGGTCGGAACCCAAAGACCGCTGTCCACCATCGCGCGCATGTGCGCGCGAGCCTCGTCCATGGGGAGGGAGTTGACAAATTTTTTCAACGCGTCGACGGAGCCGGAATCGAAGGCTTCGCGCATCTCGCGAGGGAGGGCGTCGTACACGGCGACCGGGTCGAGACCGCCGGGACCGAGACGGTCTTCTAAAGGGACTTCTTCGAGCGACGTGGGCTCGGCGGCGGACGCCGACGCGGCTTCCTCGCGAAGCTTGACCTCGGCGCGCTCGCGGAGCTTTTCAAAGTACTCGTCGAAGGACTTTTCGTACTCGCGAGCGACGTCCGGGTTGGTGTCTAGTCGTCTAAAAAATGGTTCCGCCGCGTCTCGCTCGCTCTTTTTACCAGCCTCGGCGAATTCGCCGATGGATTTGCAAGCGAAAGCGACCCGAGCGCACGTCCTCGCCTCGCGCGTCTTCTTCTCCATCTCCAAGTAAAGCGATTTCAAGAGCAAGTATCCCGTGGAGTGTTCACAAAATAGGTGCAACTTGCCGTTCGCGAACCATTCTCCGAGCTCACCGTACGACATCGACGCGTTACCGCTCGCAATTTCATCCAAATCCTCCCCGTATGTCTTCACGTACTCTTCGTACGACATCGTTTGCGCTCGAGCCACTTCCTCCGGCTTGCACGCCGCGCCGACCAATGTCTTCTCACTCGCCACGTAACACATCTCCTCCGCGTTGAACTTCTTTTGATGCTCCAACGCCTCTATTTGACGCTCAACGTCGGCGAGTTCCGTCCGTTTCGCTTCGATCGTCGCTCGCGCCGTCTCCGCGGCGCGTCTCGCCGCGTCCCCGTCCCCGTTCCCGTCCGCTTCGGGCGTCAGCGTTTCCACCGTCCTCACCAGCGTCTCTTCCTCGCTTTTAATCTCGCGCTTCAGCGCCTTCTTTTTCGTCTTCAGCGCGTCCACGCGCGCGATGCGCTCGCGCTCCTTGTGCTCGTGCGCCTCGCGTTTGATCCTTCGCAGCGTTTGAGCTTCGATGAATTGCGCCCCGGGATGGCTGTCTTCGTCGTCGCTGAGCTCGATGGCGTCCCATTTGGAGTAGTCGAAAGGTTTGGTCGACATGCTCGCGCGCGCGCGCGCGAACGACGAGGACCGAGCGCGGGAAAATGAAGTCAACTACAAGAGAAGGAGAGAAGAAGGAGCTTCTACGGCGAAACGCGGCTCAGAGCGCGGCGTCTACGACAATCATGCGATGTAGTCGCGTCGTCATCACGTCCACAGCCTCGTCGATGATGCGCGTGAGGAGTTCGTCGCACGATGGGGCGTCGTCGATGAGACCCATGACGCATCCGGCGCTCCAGACGCTCGATTCGGCGTCGCCGGTTTCCTGAAACGATACGCGATAGTTTTCCCCGCGCACTAAATGGTGAATCGCGCCAAAGTCTCCGGGCTTCACCGCCTCGATCGCGCGCACTTCTTCGGCGACTTTATTCTTATACACCCGCTCGTGATTCTTCACCGTCGTCATGACGAGCGTGGTTTGGTTCTCGTCGGCGGCGATTAACGCGCGTTTGATGCCATCCTTAATCGGCGCCTCGCGCGTCGCCATAAATCTCGTCCCCATGCACACCCCATCCGCGCCCAAAGCCAGCGCCGCCGCGAGTTGCCTCCCAGTTCCTATCCCCCCGCACGCTAGAAACGGTACCGTCAGCACGTCTCGCGCCTTGGCCAACAAAACCATCGCCCCCACGTCGTTCGTCCCCGGATGTCCCGCGCACTCGAACCCGTCCACGCTCACCGCGTCCACCCCCAACCGCTCCGCCGCCAGCGCGTGTCGCAGCGTCGTGCACTTATGTATCACTATTATCCCCTTTTTCTTGAACATCTCGATGAATTTCCCCGGATTCGCTCCCGCCGTCTCCACCACCTCGACGTCGCTCTCGCAAATCACCCTCGCGTACGATTCGTAATCCGGCGGTCGCAGCGCCGGCAGCAGCGTGAAGTTCACCGCGAACGGCGCGTATCCGCTCTTACTCTTTTCGCTCCTCCGCGTGATCATCGCGCGCGTTCGCGCGATCTCTCGTCGCAGATCCTCGGGCGTCGGCTGCGTCAGCGCCGTGAGCGTGCCGAGCGCGCCGGCGTTCGACACCGCGGCGACGAGCGCGGCGTACGCGACGTGGTGCATGCCGCCCTGCGTCACGGGATGCTCGAGTCCGGGAACGAGATCGGTGAGCCGCGTGCGCAGGCGCGCGCGTCGCGCCATCCGATGCGTCGCGATGCGATGCGAACGCGTCGACGAGTGACGACGACGCGCGCGACGCGTCCGCACACCTCGACGCGCCGTCCGATGCCGCGCGCGAACGCCCTGCGAGCGCTCGCGCGCGCGTTCGGCCGCGACGCGACGCTTCGCGCGCGCGCGGACGCGACGAAGACGCTCGTCGCGGTGGCGGCGGACGGCGCGACGCGATCGACGACGACGACGCGCGGAAGAACGCACGGCGCGGCCGCGGCGAAGACGGAGACGCGCGGACGAACGCGCGCGTTCGCGGCGAGCGCGTCGTCGTCGACGGAGGGAAAGTTTCCGGGCGCGACGGCGCGCGCGACGACGAGCCGCGAGGACGGCGACGCGAACGCGGCGACGCCGAGACGAGTCACGTTTGAAAGCGGACGACTCGCGCGGCTGACGGATGGGGCGGTGCTGGCGTACAGTGGGGAAACGGTGGCGCTGTGCGCGGCGACGGCGAGTCGAGAGCTCGATCACGGGTCGTTGATTAAAGGGTTCGCGCCGTTGATGGTGGATTATCGCGAGCGGTCGTACGCGAAGGGGAAGATTCCGTCGACGTTCACGCGACGCGAGGGCGCGCCGAAAGAGAGGGAGATACTGGCGATGCGGGTGATCGATAGGGCGACTCGGCCGCTTTTTGAGAAGAATTTCGCCAAGGAGGTGATGTTGCAGTGCGTCGTCATGGCGAGCGACGGCGTGGAGGATCCGGCGGTGTTGGCGGTGAACGGAGCGAGCGCGGCGTTGACGGCGTCGAGCATTCCATGGAATGGACCCATCGGCGCGGTCCGAGTGGCGGTGGTGAATAAAGCAATCATAGTTTCGCCGTCGGATGAGGTGGTGGAGAGTTCAGATTTCACTCTGTTTTACGCCGGGAACGAAGCGCGAGCGTTGATGATCGAGGCGCAGAGTAATAAATCTGGGGGCTTGGAGGAAACTTTAGTCGCCGATGCGCTGCGAAAAGCGCACGAAGCCGTGCGTGAGTTGATACCTCCTCAAATCGCGCTCGCAAACGAGATAGGTAAGCCCAAGCAAGAGCTCGCGGCGGCTCCCGTGACGGCGGAGATGAAACGCGCGTGCTACGACGTCGCCAAGGCGCGATTAGTCGCGCTCTACGAAGAGCACATTCAGGATAAACACGAGCGTGGGCGTAAAATGGCGGAGCTACAAAGCGAAGTCGTGCGCGAACTCATGGATAGCCATCCGGAGTGGATGGAGAGTGGTGAGGTGAGCGAAGCCATGTTGGGTTCGGCGTACTTCGCCGTGTGCGGTCGCGTGCTTCGCGAACGAGTTCTCGACGAGGGCGTGCGCGTCGACGGACGCGGTGTGTACGAACTTCGCAATCTCGACGGTGTCACTGGAACGATGCCCATCGTGCACGGCAGCGCACTATTTGAGCGCGGGAACACGCAGGCGCTGGCCACCGTCACCTTGGGCTCGCTCGAAGACTCGCAGCGGTTGGACAATTTAACGGGTCCAACGTCCAAGCGTCTGATGTTGCACTACTCGTTCCCTTCGTTTTCTGTGAACGAAACCGGTGCGAGGGGGCTTTCACGGCGCGAGGTTGGACACGGCGCACTCGCGGAGAAGTCGCTTTTGGGAGTCTTTCCGGATGAGGACGCTTTCCCATTTGCGGTGCGCGTGAACACCGAGACTCTCGAGAGCAACGGTTCGTCTTCTATGGCTGCCGTGTGCTCGGGATCCATGGCGCTCATGGATGCAGGCGTGCCGCTCACCGAGCACGTCGGCGCAATTTCGATCGGTCTCGTCATGGACGAAGACGAGGAAACGGGCGAGGTCAAGCGGTACGCGCTCATGGACGACATCATGGGTCTCGAAGATGTTTTAGGGGATATGGATTTTAAAATTGCGGGCACACGTTCGGGCGTCACTGGCATTCAACTCGATTGTAAGCCTGCGGGCATTCCGTTGGATATTCTCATCGAAGCGCTCGATCGCGCGTCAGCGGCGAGGCAGAAAGTCATCGACGTAATGGAGCGCGCCGTGAGCGAGCCAAAATCTGTGATGAAGGACTCCGCGCCTCGCTATGGCAGAGCGACGCTGCCGCCGGCGTTGATCGGGAAACTTATCGGCCCTCAAGGTTCGAATATTAAGGCTTTAGAAAAAGAAACCGGGGCAAAGGTTTCCGTCGTTAACGACGATGGTGACTTGGCTGTGTTTGGACAAAATAAAGCGTCGTACGACGCCGCCATCGCGCACATCGAAAACTTGAAGAATTCCATCGTAGAAGTCGGCAAGACGTACGCCACCACGGTGAAAGAAGTGCTACCTTTCGGTTGCGTGCTCACTACCGCTTCCGGCGACGATGGGCTGTTGCACGTGAGCGAAATTGCGCACGAGCACACCGAAAATGTATCCGACGTTTATTCGGTGGGCGATCAAGTCGAGGTGAAGTGCGTCAAGAAGGACGCGCGTGGAAGCATCAAATGGAGTCGAAAAGCGCTGTTACCTCGTCCCCGTCCACCTGGACGCGAAACGCCGCGTTTCACGGTGAAGGCGAAGGCGACGACGCCATCCGACCCCGAGTAACTTATAGCAGACATTTAGAGCATTGAGTTGAAATCTACAGTATACTAGATGAGCTATTCGCGTTCCCACTCGTCCAACACGGGCTCGATGATCGCCGCGAAAAGTCGTTTTCGATTCCTCGTCACCGCTTGGTACAGATCGCCGAGTACGCGAGCCGACGCAAGGTTTTGAGTTTCGTTGGCGACGACGCGCGTTTCAAAGCCGCGACGACGCTTTCGTTGCGTCGACTTCACCGATTTCATCGGTGCGATTCCCGGTGGAAGTTTCACTTTCGACATTTCTCTATCGAACCACGCGTTTACATCCTTTTCGTCGCCGACGTTTCGCGAGAGCGCATTTTGTACTTCGCCCTCTACGTCAATGACAGACGTGACGACGTCGAACCACGCTTCCGTCTCCATATCGCGCGACGCCGCCGCGTCCGCATCAGCCTCATCACGGTCGAACGAAAGCACCGCGCCGTCCATGTTGCGTCCGTAACCCTCGACGCGTTCGCGCGCCGCGTACGGACCCACCACGCGCCACGCGTCGTCGTCCCTGCGATGCGCCACCGCGACGTGAGGAAGCCTTTCCAGCAGCTCGTGGTACGCAAACGGTCCGAGCGTAAACTTTCCGTCGTTTTCTTGTTCCGTCAACCACCACTCGCCGGCGTAAGGATTTGCGGCAAAGTATTGCTCCATTTCGTGTCGTCTTCGTCGCGCTTCCTCCGTCGCCGCTCGCGCGCGCGCGGCTTCGTCTTCTTCGACCGCCGCGGCGTCTTCCGCCCGCTCCGTCCTCGCCGCAGCCTCGCGCGCGTTGCGCTGCGCCGCTTCGAGCGCCGCGCGCTCCGCCGCGCGCGCAGCCTGTCGTTCCAAGCCTCCCGGCTTCCCGCTCCAACTCACGTCTGAATCGTCGCTCCTCGCGTCGCCGCTCGCCGGCGGCTTTGACGTATTTCGCAACTGCTCCGCCACCGCGGCGTTCAAACGCTCGGCGTCGAGCTCACCGTCCATTCGCGCGCGATCTTCAATCACCCAAAACGGCTCGCGAAGATCGATCGGCGCGGGTTCCTCCGGCAGCGCGCCCTCCTCGTCCGGTTCCGTCCCCCGCGCGCGCCCGTCCGGCCGCGGATCCCGCAACCGCGCGTTCACCGCCGCGCTCCACGTCCCCGTCTCGTCCTCCTCGCCCAGCGGTTCCCCCATCGCCGCCCGTCCTCGCCGCACCCTCTCCCGCGTCGCGCGCAGGATGTCCCGCCACCCTCTCGGCCGTCTGTACGCCCTCGCGCGCGCGTCGTCGCCCGCCGTCTCCGATCCCATCGCATCCCGCGCCGCCGCGTCCTCGCACCCGCCCTCCTCCGCGACGTCCGGCGTCACCGCGCGCGCGCGCGGGAGCTCGCCGCCGCCGATCGCGAGCAACCGCGACAGTCGATCGTCCAACGCGCTCGCCCTCGCGTCGTCGCCGCGCGCGCCGCCGTCGTCGCGATCGTCATCGGCGACGCCGTCGCTCGCGCCCTCGCCCTCGCGCGCGCGCGCGTCGTCGGCGTCGTCGTCCTCTTCGTCGCGCGCGCGATCGCGCGCGCGCAGCGCGTCGACGACGTCGCCGACCGTCGTCTCGCGTCCGTCGCCGTCGCGCCGCAGCGCGAGCGCGCGCTCGAGAAACCCGTCCTCGTGCCACCGCGCGAGCGCGCGCGCGGCGAACGGCCCCTGCGTCGCGCCCGCGAGGTCGACGTACGCGTACGCGCCGAGCGCGGCGTCGGCGCGCGCGTCGGCGCGTCGAGACATCGTCGGTCGATGCGTCGCCGCAGAGTGACGCGCGGGCGCGCCGCGATGCCGCGCGACGGCGACGGCGCGACCGACGGGCGCGCGACGCGCGCGGCGTTCGGGACGTTCCTGCGCGACGCCTCGCGACGGCGCGACGGCGGCGCGACGACGACGACGACGCGGGCGATGATGTTTCGACGCGGCGCGCGGACGCGCGCGGTCGCGCTGTGCGTCGTGCTCGCGACGCGGCTCGCGATGCCGGCGTACGACGCCTCGCGAGGGCTCGCGCGCGCGTCGACGACGCGACGCGACGCGACGCGGCGAGGCGGACTCGCGGACGTCGCGTGCGAGGGCGTGCGCGCGGCGACGTCGTGGGACGGCGAACATCACGTCGGGATCGCGGTGCGAGGGTACGAGTTCGAGCATCAGCACGCGTTTTATCCGGGGCTCGCGATGGCGACGCGGGCGACGACGGCCGCGGTGGGACGCGCGGCGAGGCTGGCGGGGGCGAGGACGACGCGGGACGACGCGCGGGAGGAGTGCGCGGCGGGCGCGGCGGCGGTGGCGATTAACGCGTACGCGTTCGCGCGGAGCGTGGAGGCGATGTACGCGCTGTCGACGCAGTTGCTGAGGGATGAGGCGCTGGCGGAAGCCGCGGCGACGCTGTACGCGATGAATCCGGCGAATGTGTTTTACGGAAGCGCGTACGCCGAGGCGGGATTCGCGTACGCGCAGTTCGCCGCGGGGTCGCTGTTGCAAGAAAATAAGGTGCTGCACAGCGGCGTGTTGTTCGGCGTCGCGACGATGTTCCGCTCGAACGGGGTGCTGTGCGTCGTCTTGTTGCTCGGACACGCCGGGCGAGAGATGTTTCGTTTACTGCGCGACGCGAACGACGAGACGCGCCATCGTCGCGCGGCGCGACACTTGAAGCGAGCGATGATCGCGATCGCGCTGACCGTCGCGCCGCACTACGCGTTCGCTCAGTTCGGGGACATGCGATATTGCAACGGCGCCGTATTCGACGGCGCGGAGCGACCGTATTGTCGCCCAAAGTCGTGGCGCAACCTGTACGGATACGTTCCGAGCGGGATGTATTCTTTCATTCAGAGGCATTACTGGAATCTAGGCTTCATGTCGTCCTATCGCGCGCGAAACCTCGGGAACGTCTTGCTCGGCGCGCCCGCCATCGCGCTCGGGTTTTACCTCACGAAGCGCTTTGCTTGGTCGCGAGACGCGCGCGTCTTCGTCAAGGAGGAGCAGCGCTTCTTCGTCGGCGCGTACTTCGTCAAACTCGGGGTGATGACCGTCATAGCGGCGACGTACATGCACGTGCAAGTCGCCACGCGATTTTTGAGCACCTCGCCGGCGATGTATTGGGGTCTGGCCCACCTCGGTCGCCACAGCAAAGCGTGGAGACGCTTCATCGCGACGTACCACGTCTCCTACGCCCTCGTCGGCGCCGCGCTCTTCGCCAATTTCTACCCGTGGACGTGATCGTCACCGACACGATGTATCATCATCACTCGCGCATTGCGTTGTAATTCTATCTATCTATGCATCTACCCCTCCAGCGCTCTCTTCAGCGCCTCGACTCCCAAATCCTCGCTCGCCTCGGCCGCGTTCGCCTTGACCGCTTTCGCCCGTTCCAGCGCCCGTTCCAGCGCCTCCACGCTCGTTCGTTTCTCCTCAATCATCCGTTCTATCTGATACTCAAAATCCGTCATCGCTTGACTCGGTCGTATCGTTTCGTTGATCAATTTATGCGCGTTGTTGAACAGCGCGTGCAGCGCCCCCGTCGCCTCCTCCGCGCGCGTCGGCGCGTCCACGCACCTCTCCATCGCCTCCACGAACCTCGCCGTCGCGTGTCGCGTCAGCGCGCACATCTCCTCTCGCGCGTCCGTTTTCCCGCGCTCGTCGACGCAGATCGGGTAGACGAACCCACCGGACGCGGCGTACCCGTGGTCGGGGTCGTGCCAGGGCGCGGTGTGATGATTGGCGCCGAAAGATGCGTACGCCGCGTTCGTGGGAGGCGTCGGCGGCGCCGGAGGGACGACGTCGGGCGCGCCGTAAAGCGTGAAGAACGCGGGAGGGTCGGGGTAGGGCGTCGCCGACGTCGGCATCGCGCGTCGGGGTGTGATGATTGCGGAATTCGAGCGTCCCCGCGGCGTCTCCGCGGCGTCTCCGCGCGCGCGCGGATTTGGATCTACCGACGCCCAAGTCACCACTTTTACTATAAAAACTAAGAAACGCAAACGACCCTACCCGTCGTTGAATCGCGTGCCCAAGTCATTCAACCCACCCCAAAAAGTCACGCGACTCTCGACTACGAACGTCTAACGCCGCGCGACGGTCACGCGAACTCAAAGCTATCGACGGCGCGACGAAGCTCGCCGCGAACGCGCGGCCACGCGGATTTACTCGCCGTGGCGCGAACGCACCACTCGGAGCCGTCCGCTACCCAGACGCGGATGAGCTCGACGGCGGCGCCGAACCTGCCGGCGGTGCCGCCGCCGACTTCGGTTTCGATCTCGTGCGCCTCGACGACGACGCGACCGGCGCCGTCGCCGCGCGGCACGGACACGCGCACGGTCCTCTTGCCTATGGTTTTTTGATTCGGCGCGGCGTCCGCGCGTCGTCTCGCGTCTTCATCGAGCGTTCCGTATCGCGACGCGACGTCGCGTTCGCGAACGCCGCGCGTCACGAACACCGCGAGCGTGCTCGCCTCGTCCAGCGGATCCTTAAACGACGCGTCGACGCCCACGGTTCGCGCGCTCGCGAGGTCGCGCAGCGCGCACCATCCGCTCGGCCATCGGAGGCGATACGCGTACGGCGAGATGGATTCGCCGCCGGCGCGCGACGACTCGAACGCGTTCGCGCGCGTCGTCGACCCGCTCGGCGCCACCGTCGGCGCGTCGTATCCGCTCGGCGCGCGCGCTTCCGACGCTTGAGACGACGACGCGCGCGCGCACGCCGTCCCCGCGCACGCCCGCGCGAGAAACGCGCGTCGAGAGTCGCGACGGTCGTCCGTCTCGGCGTTCGTCTCGGCGTCCGCATTCCTCGACGCCGCCGCGCCGCGCGCGCGATTCGTCCGTCGCGCGCGCGTCGGGACGGTCGACGCGACGCTCGCGCACCGCCGCGCGGCGATCGACGGCGCGCGCGACATCGCGCCGCGGTCTGCGGACCGCGCGCGCGCCAACTAACGCCGCGCGCCGAGACATGGAAAAGTACAAGACGCCGTTCGACCTGCGCGTGGACGAGCGATCGTTCTACGGCGGCGAGGGCGGTGGGGATAAATCGCGCGCCGGTTCCGGTGGGCTCGCGCGCGTCGGACGCGTGGGAGTGCACAACGGACAGCGGTTGAACCAATTTCTGCGAGACGTGGCGCGCGCGGCGGCGGCGCATAAATCGAACGCGGCGTTCTCCAAAGAACTGGCCAAGACGGGGGACAACGCGCTGAAGGAGAAGATCCACGTGTGTTTGGTGTACGATGACGGCGATCGAGGCGAGCGGAAGCGGCTGAGCGTGGACGATGGGACGAATTTTGGGCAGGTGCTCTCTCGTCACTCGCCCAAGACGGCCTTCTTCTCGGCGCATCGTAGATTGTCGAAGTAGGAGCGAAAACGAGAGCGAAAGGCTGGGAACGGGGCGAAGCGAGCGAGTGAGAACGAGACGCAGAGCTTCGGGAAGGAGCAGGGGAAGAAAACCGAGGGTGCGACGCAGGAGTCACAGAAAGTGCCGCGTCCGATATCGTCGGCGGAGAAATCGCCCGAGAAATCGGCGACGAGCTCGGCGACGTACGCCGGGAAGGCGTCGGCCAACTTGAGCGAACGGACGGGAACGGGAAAATCGTCGGGAACTTCCTCGACCGGCGGCGGCGGCGGCGGCGGCGGTAGAAATCTCGGGCCGCTGCTTTCGCAGCAGAAGCGAGAAAAACGCAAGGCTGATTCGTACGCCAAAGCCGCTCGCGACGCCGAAAAGTCCTCACCCGAAAAGTCAGAGCTCGAAAAATTCATCGCGAGCAAAATTCGCGACCCAGTCGTGTTTCCCGCGTTCCGAAGATCCGTGCACGGCGCCATCGGCGACCCGTTCGTTCCCGAGGACACCCGCCCGACGGCTCGAGCGCAGCAGCAGCAGCACGTCAAATCTCGCGTCGGCGCCGCCGCGCGCGCGCGATGACGCCCTCCGCGCGCACCGAACGATTCCTCAACTTTAGCATCTAGCTCACCGCTCGTCGAAACGCGTCGTCGCAAAGGCATGAATGAATGATGAAACATCCGCCGCTCGCCGCTCGCCGTCGGTTCAACCGTCGTCCCGAGTGCAACTGTCTAATCTCCGCTCGCACTCTCTCCACCTCCCCACACGGTGACGCGCCTCACCGGCGCTGATGTCAGGCGATGATATCGCCTCGCAAGACGGTGCGCATCGCTCGCGGGCGCTCGATCGGGCGCGCGCGCTTCGCGCGCGACGAAACCGACGGAGAATCGCGACGGCAATCGATCTGGAATCCGCACCCGCCTCGACGACTGACGACGACGCGTCCGGACGAACGACGCCCGCGCGAGCAGTGGAGATGCGGTCGTTAGATGCCGACGACGGCAACGCGTCGGACGCGGAAGACGACGATCGATCGATGTCGAGCGGTTCGGAAGATAGCGAGTTGGCGTTCTCGACGGCGGAGCCGACGACGTTCTCGTGGCGCGCCGAGTTCTCGCGATGGAAGAAACGAGACGCGAAGGTGGTGAGTCAAACGTTTGAGTGCGGAGATACACTCTTTCGGTTGGCGATGTATCCGTTCGGGAGTAATTTGAACTCGAAATCGGAGACGCCGGCGCAGGTGAGCTTGTTCTTGGACACGGGGGCGACAAAGCCGCGCCGAATCGAGGACGACATGAGTAGAGAGTGGAGAAGGCACGCGAAGTTCGAATTGCAGCTGCTTCATCCGACGGATGCGTCGGTGGTAGAATCGAAGGAAACGTCGCACACGTTCGACAGACGCGAAGCGGATTGGGGGTTCGCGTCGTTCATCACGCGCGAAGACGTTTTTGAAAAGGGCTACGTTGACGCCGAAGGCTGTGTGAATTTCCGAGTGCATGTGACGCCGATTGAGGAGCACGAAGTCGACCGACCGATGCAGAGTGCGTTTTATAGCGAATACGACTCGCGCAAAGAGACAGGGCTGATCGGTCTGAAGAATCAAGGGGCGACGTGTTACATGAACTCGCTCTTGCAGACGCTCTATCACATTCCCTCCTTTCGTCGCGCGGTCTATCACATGCCTACGAACGAAACGGAAGAGGCGCACACATCGATGCCATTAGCGTTACAATCGGTGTTCTACTGTCTTCAGTACGCCAAAGAAGGCGACGTGAGCACGGAGGATTTGACGCGATCGTTTGGATGGGACTCTTACGATTCCTTCATGCAACACGACGTACAGGAACTCAACCGTGTACTTCAGGATAAGCTTGAAGAGGCCATGAAACAAACGTGCGTCGAGGGCACGATTCAGAAGCTCTTCGAAGGGCACACGACGAACTTCATCGAGTGCATCAACGTTGATTACAAGAGCGAACGCAAGGAGGAGTTTCTCGATCTTCAGTTAGACGTCAAGGGATGCAAAGATATTTATGCGTCCTTTGATCGTTACACTGAGATTGAAAAACTTGATGGCGAGAACAAGTATCGCGCCGAGGGACACGGATTGCAAGACGCTCGCAAAGGCACGCTGTTCCACGACTTTCCTCCCGTGTTGCAGATTCAGCTGAAGCGTTTTGAGTACGATTACCAACGAGACACCATGGTGAAGATCCATGATAGATATGAGTTCCCCGAAGAGCTCGATCTCGACGTGGGTGATCGTAAGTACCTCGTTCCCGAGTCCGACAAGAGTGTTCGCAACAAGTATAAGCTTCATAGCGTCTTAGTACACAGCGGGGGGATAAATGGTGGACATTATTACGCGTTTGTCAAGCCCAATTTGCAGGCGGAAGATGCGCAGTGGTTCAAGTTTGATGACGAACACGTGACGAAAGAAACCGCAGAAAAGTCGGTGGTGGAACAGTACGGAAGCGGCGGCGCAGCCGCGGTCGATAGCGATATGGATGCAGACGATGACTCGACAAACGTCCGCGTGGCGCCGAACTTGCGGTTCCAAAAAGTGAGTAGCGCCTACATGCTCGTGTACATTCGAGAGGATGACATGGATCAAATCATGTGCGTCGCCAATAAGTCTCATCTCACGGAATACCTCCAGGCCCGCTTCGCTGAGGAGCAGAAGGCAAAGGAGAAAGAGGCGCAGGAAAAGAAGGAGGCGCATCTGTACACCATCATCAAGGTTTTGACCAGGCAAGATTTAGAGCGGCAGATCGCTTCGGAGAAGTTTTTTGATCTGGGCAATTTTGAGAGCGCGCAAAGGTTCCGACTGCATAAAAAGTCGACATTTACAAAGTTTAGGGAGCTCGTTTCCGAGAAGCTCGGAATACCAGCTGAGAGGCAGCGGTACTGGACTTACTCGCCACGACGCAACAAAACATCTCGGCCAGCCACCGCGCTTCCAGACCACGCAAATACCCCACCGACCTGGACGGTTGAAAAAACACGGCTGAAATACACGGTGCCTAACTCACAGCATGCTTCATCAGGCGAATTCAGACTCTACCTGGAAGAGCTTGACGATGATGCGTTCGCGAACAGTGACCCAGAAAGAGACATTTGGTTGCACGTCAAGCTTTACAATCCGCATGAGGCGCGGTTGAGTTACTGTGGCACGCTTTACGCGAGTCCCGAGGAGACGCTCAGTACCTACATGCCGAAGATCAAATCCATGGCAGGGTTTGCCAGTACCGCGTCAACGCTCATGTTTGAGGAAATTGCGTTCGTTCGCGAAAGTAAGATTCAAATTGATCAATTATCGGACAAACAAGTGAAAACATATCCGTTGAGCGACCCCGATGACGGTAGCAAGACGTTGCAGCTCGGTAACGGTGATATCTTGCTTATTCAACCAGAAATCACTGAAGACATGGAAGATTCACTAAAGTTCCCCAACGTGGTTCAATATGCGGACTTCAGACACAATCATCAAATCGTTCACTTCAGAGAGCTGGAGGCCCCTAAGGTGGACAAAGTGACTCTGGAGTTGACGAAAATGATGAGTTACGATCAAGTCGCTGATGTTTTGGCTTCGGCGATCGGTTTGGACGATCCTCTTCGATTGCGCTTCACCGCGCATCACGTGTACACGAACGGTCCAAAGAGTGCAAGCTTCCAATTTAGAGGCGCGGATACTTTGATAAAAATGCTGGAAAACCAGCAAAGCGACGTGCTCTATTACGAAGTCTTAGACATGCCGCTGCCCGAACTCCAGGAATTGAAGACGCTAAAAGTTTTCTTCCATGGACTGAACACAAAGCTCGTTGAAGAATTCCAACTGCGTCTGTCGAAGAGCGCAGCGGTGAAGGATGTCCTCGAAGAGGTCAGATCTAGGCTCGGTACTCGAGTCGGCGGTCGCAAATTACGTCTGCTTGAACTTTTCTACTCGCAAATCTACAAAGTTTTCGAGGAGGAAAAGGATATCGCAGATATCAACGACCAATATTGGACGCTTCGTGCGGAGGAAGTTCCCGATGACGAGTCAGAGGAAGACAGACTCTTGCGTGTGTACAACATTTCCAAAGACTTGTCCAATCCTAACCAGTTCTATGCCTACGATGAACCGATGTTACTTCGCACGTGTGAAGGTGAGACGCTCGGGGAAGTGAAGGCTCGGATCAAGACGAGGCTCGAAGCGACGGATGAGGACTTCGCAAAATGGAAGTTCTACATCGGCCACCCGCCGCGGTATGAAATCTTGGACGACGACGAGTTGGTTATATCGAGTAAATTGGTTCGCATCGCCAAAGAGGGCTTTTGCGAATCGACGCTGGGGATCGAGCGCGAAGTTAGAGGTCCGCGAAGGCCGGCTAGCCGTCAGGGGAAGCCGGCTGGATTTGAGCGAGCGATCAAAATCATGTGAGAAAGCAAATGTGAAAGAAAGAATGTGTAATCAAACCAATACAAAGTTGACTAAGATGACCTACTCACACGCTAAGTGACAGCCACACACCGACCGCTGCCCATTTTGGCGTAGTCACAAACGTCCCCAGGCTTGAGCACGTGCCTCTTCGCCGTCGGTTGCTCGCTAAAGTCGACGAGTAAGTGGATGCGCCAAGACGAGGCGCTGTTCCGTACTCGATGCGTCACCGCGTTGTTTATCTCAAATGGACGACCTTCGATGAGCGGAACGGCGATTTCCTGACCGGATTCTGGCATCATGACGAATTCCACCGCTCCAGCGTTTTGCGGGACTATGATTGGAACGTGAAATCGATGGTGTCTTCTCGCCCAGTCGCCCGTATCCACGTGTGGCAAAATTTCAGAACCAGGATTCATCACCGCCAGCTGTAGCCGTATCACGTGTCGTAACGGATCCGAGACGCCGAGTTGATCGGTGAACAAATCAATCAGCACAGGTTGCACGTACGGCTCGAGACGTTTCCAAAATGGAAACTCAAAAACGTGTTCGCCACCTCGATCTGAGAAAAACAAGAGCATGCCATCGACGTTTGGCTTGAACTTTTGCATGTTGCCGTCTCTCCCACCCAACAAAGCGTTTCCGTTTTTGCCAGACTCTTTGAACACGTCGCGAGGGAGGCCTTGAATGTAATCACGAAGCAGATGTACATCGACGTCGTCGTACGTCAACAGCAAGGAATTCCGATCGGTCGCTTCACAATTGTTCGTTTGCTTCGCCGCCAGAGGAATCCATTCGGCGTACAACGACGGCGAGTTTGCATTCCAATGTGCGTGCGACCAAGTGCTCGACTCTATTTGCGGCGCGGCGATGACGTTGAGCAATCCGTGCGTCATCACGGTCTGTCGCCAGAGCTCGCGCTTACGAACGAGATCGAAAGCCACCACGTCGCTCGACTTGTTTGGATCGCCTCGGTCTTCTCTTCTTCCGAACGCCGAAACGCCGAAAAACGCCACGTCATCGATCACGCACAACCCTTTCATGAACGTCCGCGAATCATCGGTCCATAAAATCTCGTAATCTTCGACACCCGACGGGTCCACGGAAATCAATTGCCCCTCTCCACTGTTCAGCATGATGAATCGATCTTCGTATATGACCAACCCGTGCGACTTCGTGCCCACTCTGGTCAACCTCGGTCGCAACTCGCGCCCAGTTTCCAAGTCGATCAACGCCACCTCGCTCGGACCTAAATTATGAAGCACCGCCCACACCGCGTGCTCGCCGTACTCGCTCGCGTCCGCCGGCGCGAGCGTATTCACGTGCGCCTTCACCGACAACTCCACCGCCCGAAGCGTCCTCATCGACGGATACTCCAACTCCAAAATCCGCCCGTTCCCAGTGTCGGCGACGAACACCGAGTCACCTCGTCGCACGACGTCGTGCGTGAACGCCGCATCGATCGCCCTTTCCTCTAAAATCTCCCCCCGCTTCGCGTCTATTCTGAGCAACGCGTCCCCGCGCGTCGCCGTCCGCGTCCGCGTCTTCGCGTTATCCGGCCTCGACGCCACCCACACCGCGTCCGACGACGACGATCCGTCCTCGAACGTGCCGTAATACACCCCCCGGCCGCGATGTATCACGCGCGCCGCCTTCGACTCGACGTCCAGCGCCAGAAACGCACCGTGCGACGCGAGCGTGAGTTCTCGCGGCGTTCGCGCGTCCGCGCGCCGCTCGCGCGCGCGTCGCGGCGTCACCGCGCGCGCGCAGATCACCGCGAGCGCGCACGCGCACGCGATGAGGGCGACGCGGCGCCGTCGCCGCGCGCGCGCGCGCTCGCGCCGCGCCGTCATCGCGACGCCGCGCGCGTCGGTGTAACGGCCGGGCCCCGCGGCGACCGACCGCTCCGTATGCGTATTCAGTAACGCACGTAGAGTACGCCCGAAAACGCCAACATCGACGACACCGTCCATCCGCGCGCCCGCCGCGAGACCGCGGGCGCGCGGCGCGCGCGCGCCGTCTTTCGACGACGCGCCGCACCGCGACATGGTGCGCGACTCGACCGACGCCGCGACGCCGCGACGCGCGCGCCTATCGCGTCGAGCGCGCGCGACCGAGCGCGCGCGACCGAGCGCGCGCGCGCGACGACGACGACGCGAACGCCCGACTGACCCGACCGCGATCGACGCCGCGCGCAGGCTACGTACGTCGGTCCCAACGCGCGCGAGGGCGAGCTCGTCTTCGGCGTCGCGCACATCTACGCGTCGTTTAACGATACTTTCGTGGTGCGTGCTCGAACGAGCGATGCGACGCGACGCGCGCGAGGGACGCGCGATGACGATGGCGATGGCGATGGCGCGATGAAAGCCCTAGTGCGATCGTCGCGCGCACGATGGCGATGACGACGCGCGCGCGACGCGGCGATGAAGGACGTCGACGCCGTGCGCGATGACATTCGTTTTCGTTTTCGCGCGCGCCGTGCGACGCGCCGAACGACGATTGCGAGAGACTGACCGACGCGCGCGTTCGACGACGCAGCACGTGACGGATTTGTCGGGCAAGGAAACCCTGAGCCGATGCACCGGCGGGATGAAGGTGAAGGCTGATCGCGATGAATCCTCGCCGTATGCGGCGATGCTCGCGGCGCAAGACGTCGCCGCGCGATGCAAAGAGCTCGGTATCACGGCGCTGCACATTAAGATGCGCGCGACCGGGGGTAATAAGACGAAGTCGCCGGGTCCGGGCGGGCAAAGCGCGCTTCGCGCGTTGTCGCGCTCCGGGTTGAAGATTGGCCGAATCGAAGACGTCACGCCGACGCCGACGGATTCTACTCGTAGAAAGGGTGGTCGCCGTGGTCGTCGTTTGTAGGCGTCGTAGACATAACTCTAGCGAAGGTAATGAGAGGAGAATCATTTTCGAATCACGCGCCGCGCCGCGCTCTCGCTTCGCTTCGACACGACGTTCACGCGCGGCGCTCGCGCGAGGTGCTCGCGGGGCGCGATGCCATGACGGTATAAACATACATGATGATGACAAGCTTTCGAGATCGCGCGCCGGGCGAAACTACGTCGACGCCGCCGACGCGAGGTTGCACAGCGACACCGCGCCGACGACGCGCAAGCGCACGCCGACGTCGCTCCAACGTCTGCCGTAAAGTCTCGATTCGGGAACTTTGGAAAGAACCAATCGCCAACGTTTGACTTCGCACGTTCGTTCTCGAACAGTCTCGACGCCGACGCTTTCGTCGTCGCTCTCGTATTGCTCGACGTCCTCCGCCGAATCCTCGACGACGGCGCCGGGCGTCTTGGGTAAAGGACTCATCCCCGGTCCGAGGCGAGATTTACGCGCGGTCGGTGTTTTCGTACCCATGGTGTCGTTGTCGGCGTCATCGGCGTTCGTGATGTCCGCGAACGGCGAACGCATTGGCGAGACGACGGCGGTGTCGAACCAACGCATGGCGGCGGCGAGACGCGGCGTGCCGAGCGGCGAACTGGATGACGGCGAGAAAGGACTCATGATGAGCGACTTGATGTTCATCGCACTCTTTGCCGCGAGTTCACGCTCGATCGCGCGTTTCTCCTCGAGCATTCTCACCATCTCGCTCTCCGCCTGCGCGATGATTTCGTCCAAGTGCGCCGTTTCTTCGCGGTATTCGTTCAAATCCTCCTCCATCTCCGCGTTTTGATCCTCCAGCGTCGACACCTTGGCCTCCACGCACGCGAGTTCCGATCGCAACATCTCGATGTCTATCCGCATGCGCTCCACGACGCCATCCTTTTCCTCGTACGCCTTCTTGAGCGCCGCCTCGTGACGAAGCTTCGCGCTCACCATCGCGTCCCGCGCCGCGTTCGCCCTCGCCTCCGCCGCCTTCGCTCGCGTCTCCGCCTTCTTGCACAGCGCGTCCGCGTTTTTCAACGCCGCATTTTCGCGCCGCAGTTGTTCAAATCGTTCCCTCGCGATCTCGCTCGCGTTCGCCCTGGCGACGGCGTCCGCGCACTCCCTCGTCAGCGCGTCCACGTGTCGACGCAGGTGCCTCGATTCCTCCTCGCTCGTCGCTCCCTCGCGCGCTTCGCGCGCGGCGTCGTCCAGAACTAACGTCTCCTTCGTCGCCGTCGCGCGCGCCGTCGCCGTCGTCCCTCGCTCGAGCGCGTCTCGCAACCACGCGCGCGCGCGCGTCGTCGCCGTCGCGCGTCGGTTGATGTCCTCGCCGTCGCACCGCGCGCGCGGTCGTCGCGCGTCCTCGTCCGCGCTCTCGGGACTGTCCCAAAAAACCATCCTCGCGTCGTCGCGCCGTCGTCGCGCCGTCGCGCGCGCGTCGCGTCGCGGTGTCGCGCGCCGCGCGTCGCCGTCGCGCGCGCCTCGTCCCCCTCGGTCGTCAAAACGGTTTCATGGTGTTTTCGTGCGCTTTATACGTACTCGATTTCATAGCGTTTTCGCGCGCGTTATACGCGTGAACACTCGACGGCCGTCGTCGCGGACCGACCGGCGCGCGCGCACACGGCGACGCGCGATGGCGCGCGCGCGCGCGTCGACGACGCGCGTCGCGCTCGTCGCGTGCGCGCTGGCGCTCGCGCTGACGCGCGCGGGCGTCGCGCGCGGCGACGACGACGACGACGATCGAACGCGCAACACCCAACAAGCGCCGACGACGCGCGACGACGCGCGCGACGGCGACGGGAGACCGGCGACGACGGCGACGGCGATGGAGACCGCGCTGTTGACGACGCTGGCGAGGGAGGAAGACGCGCGGACGATGCGGGAGGCGTTCGAGGCGTTCGCGCGCGAGGGCGGACGCGCGCGCGAGTACTGCGGCGACGACGCCGACGCGTATCCTTGCGAGGAGAGTCGACGGCGGGAGGCTATTTTTTATGAGAATATGCGCGTGGTGCGGGCGCTGCGCGACGCGGAGGACGACTCGGCGGCGCTGGGGCATCGGTCGAAGGGTCGACGGTCGAAGCGCTCGGCGGCGGCGGCGGCGGCGGCGGCGGCGGCGGCGGAGGAGGAGGAGGACTCGCGAGCGACGTTCGGGCCGACGCTGTGGAGCGATAGGACGCGAGAGGAGTTTGTAGCGCGCACGGGACGGTTAGTACCGACACCCGATGGCGAACGGGACCGTAGCAGGACGAAGAAAGATAGCTGGCGCGAGATGCACGACGAGTTTCTGCGGAGAAACGCGGATATTTGGGCCAACGAGCGCGGGAAGGATGGCGAGTTATACGACGCCAATAATCTTCCAACGAGTTGGGATTGGCGCAAGTTCGGTGGCTTGAGTAAGGTTTGGGAGCAGGGTGCGTGCGGTGGGTGCTGGGCTTTTACTACGGCCGCCGCGGTGGAGGGCGTGCACTATATTTGGACAAGAGAGGCGGTGACGCTGTCGCCTCAAATGTTGTTAGAGTGCGATCCGATCGATCAAGATTGCACGGGGGGTAACATGGTGACGGGGTATCAGTACGCGGTGATGAAGGGGGGCATCAGCGCCGCGGAAGATTATCCAGTGCATCCGTACACGATCAAGACGAGCGAAGTAGGGCCTTGCAGATCGAACACGGCTCGCAAACACGCAGCGTCGATCGACGACTATATCGTCCTCGAAAACACGTGGGACGACTTGAAATCGGCAATTTACATGCAACCGGTGTCCGTCGCCGTCAACGCGATGGGCGAGCACTTTAGATTCTACTCTGGCGGCATCCTCACGTACGATCAGTGTCAACCGGATTGGGCCAACCATCCAAACTTGATCAATCACGCCGTCGTCGCCGTCGGTTTCGGCTACGATAAAACGCTGGATATGGAGTACGTCGTGATAAAGAACTCTTGGGGCACGCAGTGGGGTGAAAATGGTTACGCGCGCATCGCGTTGCAAGGCGGCGAGCTCAACGCGACGTGCGGTTTGCTCATCGAGGCTGTCGCGCCGTTGAAACTCAGCAACCTGACGTACACTGATCCGACATACGTCGCCGGGATGAATGATTACATCGACTGGGCTCCGCACCATCACATGAGTGACGTGAACGGGGTGCTCTATGTCATCCTCACCACCGTCGTCCTCGTCGCCGCGCTCTCCATGGGCATCTTAACCATCATTTCTTGCATGACGGAGGACGACGGGTACTACTACACGGATTTGGATTACGACGAGTACGACGATCGATTCGATATCCACCGCGCGCCATTCGGCAAGGAAGACAGATTGCACGGTTTGAGCGTCACGCAAAAACTCTCGCGATTTCAAGCTCGCAAAGAGCCCATCACCGGCCTCTCGACGGCGAGCTACCGAAACGAGCCGCGAGACATGAGCAACGTCAAGCCTCACCGAGGCGATGATCGACTGTGAGCGCGACCCCGACCGACACCAAAGCTTTAGTTTGGTTGTAGTGAAACCACCAACGCGTAGACACATCGCCGCCAAAGCGCGTCGTTTCACTTTTTCTTCACTAGCTCGCCATTCGTCCGCGTCTCACACCGCGCCTCGCGCGCGATGCTCGCTGATGTCGTGAAGCCTGAGCCCAAACCGATGCACGCGCGCGCGCGCGCCTTCTTGCTCGACAATTTTCTCGTCTGCGGCTTCTGCCTCGCGCTTTTATTCGGGCTCTCCGTCCCGGCCGCCGGCAAGGCGCTCGCCAAGGTGTCAGTGAGCGGCTGGAGCGTCATCCAAACGGTGTGCGTGGTGATCATCTTCGTCATATCCGGCGCCACGCTGAAGACGGAGGAAATCACGCAAGCGCTCAAGGCTGGACGAGGCGCGCTCGGGTACGGATGGGTGGCCATATTAGGCTTGACGCCGCTGCTCGGGTTTATCCTAGTACGCGTGCCGTACAAACCGATAGAATTTCGATACGGATTAGCGCTGTTTTGCTGCGTGCCGACGACGCTGACGAGTGGTGTGACGCTCGTGCGAAACGCGAAAGGGAACGTCGCGCTGGCGCTGATGCTGACGGTGAGCACGAATCTGATCGGGGTGTTTACCGTGCCGTTTTACTTCAACGCCGTCGTGGCGAGCGGGCCGAGAGAGATGGCGAGCGCGGTGAATGGGGCGGCGAACGACATGTCGACGCAGGCGGTGAAACTTTTGGTTAAGTTGTTGTTCACGATTCTGCTTCCGATCGTGCTCGGGAAGGTTGCGCGAGAGATGATTCCAGCAGTGGCGGCGTTTGCGAACGCGCGCAAAGCGGAGCTCACGTTGACAAATAATTCGTGTCTCATCATCGTCGTTTGGATGTCCATCTCCAAGAGCGCCAAAGAGCTCATCGACACAAACGTAGGCACGATATTCGCCGTGCTTTTCGCCGCCGTCCTGGTTCACGTCGTATTCCTAGCCATCAATTACGCCGCCACGCACGCGCTCGGCCTCTCCGGCCCCGAACGCGTGGCGTGCGTGATGATGTCCAGCCAAAAGACCCTCCCCGTGGCCATGACCATCATATCTTACCTCCCCGAAGATGTCTTTGGCTCAGGCGGTCTGATAGCAATCCCATGCATCGTGTGTCACATCACACAGCTCTTCATGGACGCGCCGCTGGCCACGCGTTTGGCCAAGCGATCCGACGCCCTCCTAGCCGCCGCCGCGAACGCCGACGACCGATCCGAAGTGTGAGCTCCACTTCGCGTTGTACCATCACATTCTTTCATCGTCGTTCAATCACGACTTCACGACGTCACGACACGTCCGATCGCGCGCCTCGGTCGATTCTTCGTTCTCGTCGCCGTCCCGGTCGCCGTCCCGGTCGCCGTCCCGGTCGTGTGCACTTTTTGTTGCAGCAAAGGTTTGGCAATTTCAATTTCGACTTCGTCCCGCAGCGCGCGCCGCGCCCGTCGCGGCCATGTCGCTCCGCGAGCGATTCATCGCCGACGGCATCGTTCTCATCCCCGACGCCGTCTCCGCGTCCGTCGTCGACGGTATACGCGCGCAGTTGCGTCGCGAACTCGCCGACCCGTGCGTCACCGCCGAGAGCGGTCGCGAAAGAAATGCGTCGACGCCGCTCGCTTTGGACGACCCCTCGACGTGGCCGCGCGGGAACGCGCGAAGGGTGATCGAAGTCGTCGCCCCGAGCGACGGCGCGCCGTGGGACGCGCTGAGGAACTCGCCCGAGCTCGCGAAAGCGCTGGACGAAGTGCTCGGGCGCGCGGCGTGGGACATAGAACTGAACGCGGTGGACGAACGGCGACGCGCGTGCGACGTGCGGCATTGGTACTGCCCGGTGACGTTTCCGGAAAAGGATAGTGAACAAGCGATGCTCGTGGCGGAGGAAGCCAAAGCGAGGGCGGCGAGGGCGGAACAGAGCGAGAAGCGAAGGAAAGTGAGCGACGAGAGCGGGGCGTGCGCGCCGGCGCCTGCGAGATGGACAGAGTGCGACAGCGGGAACGTGAGAAAGTTGAAGGAGGGCGGTCACAATTGGGATGCCATCGCGAAGATGATGAGCACGAGTGAGTTGACGTGGACGGCGAAGCAGTGTGAGGAGCATTATGAAAGCGCATGGGCGCCCGAGCACGACGCCGCGCTTCTGGCGGCTGTTACGGAGCACGGGGAGAAGTGGCAGTACATCACGCAGTTGATGCAGAGAGTACGCCCTTCGTGCACGAAAAAACAAGTGCGAGGGCGGGCGATGATGCTTTTAGACGAAAGGTCGGCAAATATCGTAGACAGACAAGTCAGGGAGGGATCTCCAGAGCCAAAGGCGGAGGAGCTCGAGGCGGCCAGGTCGTGGCATCCGGTCAATCGAAGGCGTATGCTCAACCGAGGCTGGCACTTAGACATTGGCGCGGGATTCAGCACGGATGCGCAGCGCACACCGGACGGACATCCGTACCAAGGCGTGATTATTTTGGTATTTTTATCCGACTGCGTCCCGGGCGGCGGCGGTACGGCGTTCATCAAGGGTTCACACAAGTGGATCGCGTCGCATTTGCGCTCAAAGGGCGGCATCATTCACCAAGATTTGAACTCATGGGCTATTGATCTAGTGAGCGAATTGTCGACCGAAGGACGTCTCCCGCTTTCGTACGAGCTAGATGCGCACGAAGCTGAAAATGCGATTCGACGAGACGACATCGATGGCGTCATCGAGCAACTTGTCGGGAAGGCTGGGACCGTGGCGTTGTTACACCCGTGGATGATTCATAGTGGAACGAGTAACTTGACTTCGTCAGTACGCCTTTTGGCGAATGGCATGGCTCGAGTGAAGCAAGAATCGTATGAGCAGGTTGGGATTCCCATCCTCAAAGAAGTCGTATCCGCCAAGCCGAAGCTCAAGCGCGTGCTCGATTTCCTAGTGTCGACGTCGCCCAAGGAGCAACCCGTTCGACCTCCGGTGGATACTACTTTGCCGAGCGTCAGTATCATTGTTCCCGTGTATAACGCATCTCGTTGGTTAGATGAGACTTTGAGCTCTATATGCGCTCAAACGTACCGAGGTCCAATCGAGGTGAGCATCTTCGACGACAGCAGTACGGATGGGTCGCCAGACATCATCAAAATCTGGCGCGAGGCGTTTACCCGAGTGGGCATCGCCGTTGTGGTGAACGGAAGCAGGTGGCCAGAGAGCTCGAAGTTTGTCGCGGAAGACGCGCCCAACTTTGGTATCGGGTTCTGTCGAAATCGTTGCATCGAGCAGAGTCACGGAGACATTTTAGTCTTCCTGGACTCTGACGACGTCATGATGCCACAGCGACTCGAGCTACAAGTGCCACTCGCCGCGGAAAATCGGACGGCCATCGTTGGAGGGTGCTGGAAACGGTATCCAAGCGGTTCAACGGAGCATTACGAAGCCTGGGCGAACATGATGACGCAAAACGAGCTTCACCTCGAACAATTCCGAGAGTGCACGGTACTCTTGCCGACGTGGTGCATGGCGCGAACGGTCGCAGAAACCGTAGGCGGTTTTGTTGAGGCACCGCCTGGTTCGGGCGAGGCGGAAGATTTAATTTTCTTCCAACGGCACTTGGCGTTAAATTACGAGCAGAACTTGAAAAAGGGCTTGCCATCGCTTTTACGCGCCGGGGACTACCCGCATAACCCGGTGCTGTTGTATCGCTGGAGTCCACAGAGCGCATCAGCACGGTGTAGTCGCCGTCGGCTGTTGCAGGTTCGCGCGCAAGCGTTCGAGGAACGCATTCTTCCCATGAAGTCGTGGGAGAAATTCATCGTGTGGGGCGCAGGGCGTGACGCGAAAAATTTCATGAATGAAATTTCGCCCGCCGCGAGAGCACGCGTAGAAGCGATGATTGACATTGATCCCAGAAAAACGGGACGTCAGTACACGAATTCGCAAGCACCCGACCAAGCGCCAGTGCCTATCGTGCACTTCTCAAAGGCGCCGAGAGGGCTTCCCGTCGTCGTGTGCGTGGCAAAGCGCCGCAAAGGTTCTGGCGATAGCGGCGACTTGGAATCAAACGTAGACACGCTCGGGCTCATCGAGGGAACGACGCTGTGGTATTTCAACTAGATCTAACGACTATTGTATCACTAAATCATTGTTTTCAACTCAACTCAATGAATCTTTTAAACTTTTGCACCATTGACGGGGGCCAACGTCGAATGCGACCGAGCCAATCGTAATCGCGATAAAGCTCGCAGCCGTCGAGCACTGGACCACCTTCGACCATTTGGCCACTGTTGATCGCCGTGCAGCTCCAATTCCAATTATCCTCCGCGCGCTGCTCCTCCCCTCGCGACCAATAGAGAGCCGCGAGCGCGGCGCGCATGTCAACGCTCCCGGCGGCTCGTCTTTTAACCTTTTCCATGTCCTCTATCGCCTCGTCGATTCGGCCGAGTTCGGCGAGCATCAACGCCGCGTTGCTCTGCGCGTAGATCGCTCCGCTAAGATTTCGAGACTGCTGAAAAATGCCCGCCGCGCGCGAGTAATCATCCAGCGCCTTCTCGTACTCCCCGATCGAGTTATAACAATTCCCACGCGAATTCAGCACGTACGGCGGCGTCGCTCCCATCATCGACGAGTACTTCAACGCCTCCGAGTAATCCGCGATCGCCGCGTCCCAGCGACTCAACCCTTCGTACGCCAACGCGCGATTACTCAGCATCCCGAGCGACTTGTACGTCGTCGTCGCGTCGTCGTACATCGCTCGATACATTCGCTCCGCCTCGTCGTAATCCGCGATGGCTTCTTCGAACAATTTCATGTCGACGAGCACCTGCGCGCGGCGCTCGCGCCACTCGGGCGTCTCGGGCTCCATCGCGATGATGGCTGTCAAGTCCTCGCGCGCCCGCTTCAAATCGCGCGCGTAGTACGCCCGCTTCGCCCGTCGCTCGAGCGCGTTGAATTCATCCGTCGTCGTCGTCGCCGTCGCGCGCGCGCGCGGCGCCGCGCGCGTCGCGAGCGCGACCGCGAGCGCGACCGCGACCGCGCGTCGGTTGACGTCGACGCCGCGCGCGTCGCCGTGTTTCGAGCGCGACGCGCGCCGACGCGCGGTCGACGACGCCGACGCGGACGACGCGACGCGCGCGCGCGCGCGCGAGGCGGTCGACGCGCGCGCGCGCGGGGCGACGGACGCCATTGCGAGGCGCGGTGTGCGGGCATGTTCGAGGACTGGCGGTGGAAAGACGACGCGAGGGGGGGGGCGCGCGCGCGCGAGGCGCTGGTGGGGGTGTGCGTGGTGAGCGCGCTCGTCGTGGGGGGGCTGTTGGTGCGGTTGGTGGCGATGGGACGGCGCGAGAGACGCGGGACGTTTGAGTCGACGCGGCGAAGGCGGCGGCGAGGGGGCGACGCGGCGCGGGAGGGACGCGTAGGACGCAGCGATGCGTGATAGTATTTAGCTCGTGTGGTGTTTCATCGTGCAAAGGACGCGAACGAGGGTAATTCTCGGGTGGCTCACTTTGCCGGGGCGACTTGAAAATCGCCGTCGGCGACGCCGAACATTAAAGACGGCAACGCTTCGGGAATCGCCGATTGACGATTCAATCGGCGCTTCTTCTGCGCGACATCGTCGACCGCGCCCTTGTCTTTCTTTGCGCCTAGTTTGGGCATCTGAAGCATGCCGAGAGGCATGCGCGGACCGTCGTTCGCCGGCGCGGCGTCCGTCGCGGCATTTTCCTTGGCGGCGGCGGGCGCGATTGACTTCTTCTTCGACATTCCCTTCTTCGTCGTGCGCTTGATCGGCACGTCAATTTCTTCGTACTCGCTGTCATCATCGCCATCGTCGTCCTCGTCCTCGTCGTCATTCGCTCGCGGCGGTTGGTACGGGGCGTTCGCGTCAATGACCACGGATGACGGCGGCGCTCGCTCGCGTTTCTTCGTCGCCGGTCGGCTCTGCGCGCTCTTGGGGCCACCGACGCGTCGTGCCGCGCGAGCGTCGCGACTACGCTTCTCTGCATGTCTGTCGCGCGTCGCGCGAAGCGTCTCCATAACCTGCGCCGCGGTATTCTCGGCGTCCTCGACGTACTTGGATCGCTGCTTCGGTGCCGTGGCGCGGACATCCGTCGTCTCGCGCGCGAAGAGCTTCTCGCGCATCTTTTCGATCTCCGCACGCGCGCGTTCGAGTGCCTTGTCTTGATCTTTCACGCGACGCTCCAACGCGATAACCGCGCCAGTCTTCGCACCGAGTTCGATCTCGACTTGATCCAACCTCGTTCGCAGTTCAGTCGCCGAACCTTCGCTCGCGCTCGTCGTCGTACCGGCGAGTTGGGAGTCGCTTCCTTCGGCGCGAGCGTACAAACGCTGATTCCAGTCCGCGAGTTGCGTTTTGAGGAACCGCTGCGCACCATCGCGCTCGGCAACCGCGCGATGTAACTCTGAGTTTTCTCCGTCGCGCTCCACCAAGTCTCGTCTGAGCAATTTGTTTTCGTCCCTCGTCTCGACGAGCTTTTCTTCCAAGCGCGCAATCTTTGCGTTTTGCGCCTCACGCTCGAGTCTCACCTCCACGTCATCCATTCCCGCCGGCTTATTCGTGAGTTCTTCTTCTCTTTCCGCCGCGTACGCCAACGCCTCGCCCGCATCTCGCAGCGCCTCGCGCAACCGCGCGCACTCGCGTCGAAGCGTCGAAGCGCACTCGTGTTCGTCCAGCAACTGCGCCTTCAAAATCTCATTCGCCGTCAAAGCCTCGTCGAGATCATCTCTCGTACTATCCTCTCTCGCTTCCAAAATCTTTATCAACCGTCTCGCCTCCGCGAGCTCCAATCTCGCGCTCGACAACGCGAACTCTCGCTCGCTCAGCTCCACGCGCGCCGCGCTCCCGAGCGCCTCCAATTCCTTCTCCCTCTTCTCCCGCTCGCTCTGAAACGCGCTCACCACGATCGCGAGCTTTTCCTTCAACAACGCGATCTCCGCCTCACCGAACCTCCCAGCCTGTCTCGCGGCGTCCAATTTCCCGAGCAACGAGTGCGAAAATCCCTGTCGCGCGCGCGTCTCGCCTCGCCGTCAGTCCCCCGTCCGCGCTCGCGTCCCCTCGCGTCTCCCGCGCCCGTCCTCGCGCCTCGCGCTCGCTCGCGCGCGTTCGACGCGTTTCGCATCACCGTTTCGCGCCGTCGCGCGCGCCTCCGCGTCGCCGTCGCGCGCCGTCGACGCGTCGACGGTCGCGCGAACGGTCGAACGGTCGAACGGTCACTCGAATTCATTCATCGTTCGCGTTCGCGTCGCGTCCGCGCCATCTCGCGTCGCGTTCGCGCTTCCGACGCACCCTGAGTTCACCGCACTCGCGCTCGCGCGCGTCGACGGCGCGCGCGTTCGCGTCGACGCGTCGCGTCATCGCGCCGCCCGCGTCGCGCTGTGCGGGCGATGGCGCGCCGAACGGATATATCGAGCGCGTGAAATAAAACCGTTACGAATCCCTTAAATACATACCGAATGTCCGACATGCTATATTATATCTGTCACTACAAACCCACACAAACGATGTGTGACATAAACACCAACCATCGCCGCGCGCGCCGATCGCGCGCCGGCGACACACCCGCGCGCGAAACGCACACCCGTCGTCATGTCCGCCGCCGTTCAATTCTCTTCCACCGCCGTCGCCAGGTGCGCGCTCGACGCGACGTCGCGCGCTCGGAGACGCGCCGCGAACGGATCGCGCGCGTCGTATCGCGATCGTATCGTATCGCGCGAGGGAGATACGGCGACGGGCTCGCGCGCGCGCGGACGCGGCGCGCGCGCGCGGACGCGCGTCTTCGAACGGGGATTTCGATTCGAGGGAATTTCGCGCGTCGCGCGCGGCGATCGAGCGGCGCGGAAGCGCGCGCGAGGGCGCGGGGGGGGCGGACGTTCGAGCGGCGATCGGGCGCGGCGGGACGGGGCGGGACGCGCGCGGCGACGCGCGCGGGGCTTCGGACTCGACGCCGTCCGCGGCGCCGCCGCGGGCGCGCGAGCGACGCGAGGGAGCGACGGCGCGCGGCGAGGCGGCGCGGCGAGACGCGCGGCGCGAGGGAGGGATGGGATGGACGGGACGCGAACGCGACGAACGGGCGACTGACGACGAACGCGCGATTTCGCGAATGCAGTTTGCGCGCGGCGAAGGCGCAAAAGCGTCAAAGCTTGAAGACGCGCGCGAGCGCCGCGACGCAACCGATGTGGATGCCGGGTGCGACCGCGCCGGCGCACTTGAAGAACGAGTTGCCGGGTGATTACGGCTTCGATCCGCTCGAACTCGGCAAGGATCCGGAGGATTTGAAGTGGTACGTGCAAGCCGAGCTTCAACACGGCCGCTGGGCGATGCTCGGCGTCGCCGGCGCCGCGGCGCCGGAGATCCTCACCAACATGGGCATCAGCAACTTGCCGAACTGGCACGAGGCCCCGTCGTACGACGGCTACTTCACCGACGCCACGACTTTGTTCTGGGTGCAAATGCTCATGATGAACTGGGCCGAAGTGCGCAGATGGCAAGACATTCGCAAGCCGGGTTCGGTGAGCGAAGATCCGACGCCGTTCTCCAACGCCAAGCTCCCGGCTGGCGTTGTGGGTTACCCGGGTGGCATCTTCGACCCGCTCGGCTACGCCAAGGGTGACTTGAAGACCTTGAAGGCGAAGGAGATCGCCAACGGTCGTCTCGCGATGGTCGCCTTCGCCGGCATCATGGTGCAATACGACCACACCGGCGTCGGCCCGGTGGCCAACTTGGTGTCCCACATGGCGGATCCCGCGCACAACAACGTGTTCGCCGCCAAGTTCATCGGCTTCTAATCGATCGTTTTTATCTGTCGAACGCGAACTTAGCTTCCTAGTAGAGCCATTGTAACGGCCCGACGCGACATCAGCTCCGCCGCGTCGACTTTATTTAAATCGCGTCGCGACAGACGCCCCACTCCATGACGCCTCGTCCGCGTCCGTCGCCCTCGCGCGCGCCGCGCGCCGCGCGCGACGACGAATCGCCATCGCACCGTCCGTTCGCGCGCAAGCACGACGCCAACGTCAAGCGCACCGCGCCCGCGCGCGCGATCGTCAAGCCCGCGAGCGCGCGAAAAGCGACGCGCGACGGCGACGTCTCGCGCGGCCTCGTCGCGCGATCGCGCGAGGGCGCGCGCGCGAGGCGCTCGAACGAACGCAAACGAATCGACGTCAAGCGCGCGATCGAAGACGGGGAGATCGAGGACGTGTACGACCTGACGAACGCCGCGGCGGGCGACGCGCGGCGCGGCTCGGGCGACGACGCGACGACGCGCGAGGAGACGGATCCGCACAAGCTGCGACAACGACAGCGACAGATCGATTACGGGAAGAACACGCTCGGGTACGCGCGATATCGCGAGCTCGTGGCGAAGAGCGCGAGGAGATCGAGCGATGCGTGGACGCCGAACATTCGCGCGGGAATGTCGAAACGCGCGTTCGACGGCGCGGTGCGCAAGTGGCGACGGTTGTTGCACGCGTACGATCCGCCGGTGGAGGACGACGAGGAGATGGTTCGCGTGCCCGTGGATCCACTCGCGAGACCGAACGGGACGCTGAAACCCGGAGAGTACGTGCCGCGAGAGTTGGCCGAGGCCGCCGAGGCGCGCGCGCGCGCCAAAGCCGAAGCCGAAGCCGCCGCGCGCGACGGTCGACGCCTTCCCGTGGTCCGCCTCGCGCCGCTGCGCGCCGCCGACGTCGCGACGCGCTCCACGCTTCCATCGCGCGCGGACATGAGCCCCGGTTGGGACGCCGTCACCCCGACGCCTCGCAAGCGTCCGGGATTCGCGCCGTCGTCCGACGCGGCGCGCGCGACGGACGCGACGGACGCGACGGACGCGATGGACTGCGACGCCCCCGTTCCCGACCTCGCGCGCCGCTCCATATACGACGATTGGGAGGGCGAAGATTTCGTCGGCGTCGTCTAGTCACCCAGCGCTTCGCGCGCCCCACGCTCGCGTCTCGAGCTTTTGTAATCCGCGCGCCGCTTCGCCGCTTCGCCTCGGCGTCGCCGCGCCTCCGCGCTCGATCGCGTCACACCCCCCCCCGCGCGCGCGTCATGGTCCTCGAGGCCACGATCCTGTGTCTCGATAACAGCGAACACGTTCGCAACTCCGACTACGCCCCCTCGCGTCTTCAGGTGCGCGCGCCGCGCCGCGCGCGACGTTTTTCTCGCGCGCAGATCGCCCAACGACCGCGGCGACGACCGACGACCGACGACGCGCGCGACGCGACGACTGACGCGCGCCGCGCGATCGCAGGCCGAGGCGGACGCATTGAACCTGCTCGCCGGGGCGAAGACGCAGAGCAACCCCGAGAACGCGGTCGGCGTGCTGTCGCTGGCGGGAAAGACGCCGCGCGTGCTCACGACGCCGACGCAGGACCTGGGCGCGGTGCTCAACTCGGTGCACGGGGTGAAGATCGAGGGCGAGATCAACGTCTGCGTCGGCGTCCAGGTGGCGCACTTGGCGCTGAAACACAGACAGAATAAACACCAGCGAATGCGGATCGTGCTGTTCGTCGGAAGCCCGCTGAGGGATGAGATCGAGGCGCTGCGAGCGGTGGGGAAAAAATTGCGCAAGTGCAACGTGGCGGTGGACGTGGTGTCGTTCGGCGACGTCGAGGCGAATCGAGAGAAGTTGGACGCGTTCGTGACGAGCGTGAATAAGAATAATAACTCGAATCTGGTCGTCGTCGAGCCGGGGGCGAATCTGAGCGATGTCTTGTGCGGGACGGCGATTTTCAATCAAGACGGAGCGGCGTCGGGGAGCGGATTCGCGGCGGCGGCGGCGGCGGCGCAGTCGCAGGCGGCGATGCAGGGCCTCGAGGGCATGGGAGACATGGGAGACATGGGAGACGATCCAGCGTTGATGATGGCGCTGCGAATTTCGCTCGAAGAAGAGCGCGCGCGTCAGGAAGCCGCCGCCGCCGCCGGCGCGTCCGCGCCCGCCGCCGCCGAGGAGGGCGTCGCCGCGAGCGAGGGCGCCGGCAGCGCCGACACCTCCCCCGTCGACGCCACCGCCGATCCCATGATGCTCGACGACGACGCTTTACTCCAACAAGCCCTCGCGCTGAGCATGGGTCAGCGTCCGAGCGCCGAAATCGCCGACGCCGCGACGGCGACCGCCGAGGACGACGACGACGCCGAGCTTCGCGCCGCGCTCGCGATGTCGCTTCGCGACCACACCGACCGCGCCGACCGCGACGACGCCGACGCGTGACCGTCCTGTCGCCCCACCGATCGCCTCGTCGAATCGATTCTTTTCAACACGCACCCCGTCGCATCGTAGCTTTCGACTTCGCCCCTTCGTCCGCACTTCGCGCCTCTCGCCGCGATGTTCGCGTCGTCCTCGCGCGCCCCCCTCGCGCGCGCCGTCGCGCGCCCTCCCGCCCGCGCCGCCGTCGTCGCCCGCGCCGCGCTCGGCGTCGGCGCGAAGGTTCGCGTGAAATCATCCGTCGTCGTGTACCACGTCCCGAAATCAAAGGGCGCGGCGACGGATCTCATCGGCATGACGGGCGTCGTCGATTCGCGCGCGGACGCGCACGAGGGCGCGACGACGAGCGCGACGCTCGCGGTCAAGGTGGCGATCCCGAACCCGAACGGCGGGAAAGATTTCATCGCGCACCTGGACGAGAGCGAACTCGAGGAGACGTGAGCGAAGAGCGAAGAGACGACGAGAGACGGGACGGCGAGGATACCCCTAAGGGACGCGAGCGGGACGCGCGAGACGACGCGCGAAGGCTCGTAGGTTTCTTTTTGTAATTCAATCCGCACGGACGTAGCGAAGAACGCGATGGGAAGTGAGAGGGTGGTGCGCGGGCGTCGATCGCGCGCGCGCGGATCGGACGGGACGTCGGTGATCGTCGCGAACGCGCGGCTAGAAGATCCAGAAGCCTAAACCGAATAAGCCGCCTCGACCGCCGCCGGCGACGGATTGACAGGATTCGCGCATGGACTGCGCGTCCGGGTCGGCGACGCGATCGTAGACGGTGGCTAAACTCGCGAGCTTGTGCGCCTCGGCGTCGAGGGTGGCGAAAACGCCCGGTTCACCGATGCGCCAGGACCAGTTGCCGTCGGCGACGCCGGGGGTGTTCATGCGCGCCTCGTTGCCGAGGGCGAGGACGTCTTGCATGGTGAATACGCACGCCTTGCTCACGCTGGACATCCCAGCCTTGATCATGCCCCACGCGCCGTCGCCGTAGGCGATGCCGGCGTACGCCTCCAAGCGGCGCTTGGTGTCCTCGTCCTGTTGCGCGTACCAGCCTTGCGACGTTTCGTTGTCGTGCGTGCCCGGGTAGCAAAATGAATTTTCGTAGTGGTTGTGCAGCAAGTGCGGGTTGCGCCCGTTACCACCCCACGCGAACTGAAGGACAACCATACCCGGGAAACCGCACTCTTGACGCAAATCGACGACGTCGGCGGTGATGACCCCGAGATCTTCCGCGACGATTTTCGCGTCGCCGAGCGCCGGCTTGAGCTTGTTGAACATATCCACCCCCGGACCGACCATCCATCGACCGCTCTTCGCCGTCGGCGCGCCGGCTTCGACTTCCCAGTACGCCGCAAAGGCGCGGAAGTGATCGATGCGCACCTCGTCGTGAAGTTCGAGCGTGCGCTTCAATCGCTGAGCCCACCACGCGTAATCCGTTCGCGCGTGCTCGCCCCAATCAAACAACGGGTTACCCCACAACTGACCGTCCTCGGAGAACGCGTCGGGTGGTACACCCGCCAACGCCGACGGGCGTTTATCGTCACCGAGCAAGAATAAGTTTTGATTCGCCCACACGTCGGCGCTGTGACCGCCGACGTAGATAGGCATGTCGCCCACCAGAGAAACGCCTCTATCGTTGGCGTACTTTTTCAAACGCATCCACTGCACATGGAACAGAAATTGCGTCGCCTTGAAGAGTTCAATCGAACTCGCTTTTTCGCTTTCGATCGCCGCGAGCGCGCCTGGATCGCGATCGCGATATTCCGCGGGCCAATCCCACCAATATTTACCCAAGAGTTCCGGCGTCGAATCGATGGCGTCGAACGTCGCGGCGGGATCTAACCACGCCTTCACATCCGCGCGCGCGCAGAACGCATCATACTCCCCCTTTAGTCCACTACCACTCGCCATCGCGAGCAACTTTTCCGCCGCCTTTGCAATCAGCGGCTCATTCGTCGCCGCGACGCGTCCGAAATCCACGTTTTCGCTTCCGCCGTACGCCTTCGGCAAATCTTTCGTCTCGAGCAGCCCGTCCGCGACCAAATCATCCAGCGATATCACGAGCGTATTTCCACAGTGCGCGTCGCGTCCGCTGTAGGGCGACCAATAGTCTTCCCGCACGCCCGGTATCGGACGTCCCGGCGGCACGAGCGGCAGCACCTGCCAGATACTCATCTTTCCTTTCGCCATCCAATCCACGAACGCGCGCGCCTCCGGGCCCGCGTCGCCGATCCCGTACGCTCCGGGCAGACTCGTGGGGTGCATGATCACGCCCGCGCGGCGATCGTCGCGCGGGGTGGGGTAATAATCGCCGTATCCATTCGGGACAGGTTGTCCCACCGGACCCATCGTCAACTTTGTCGCGCGCGCGGCCACGCGACGGGCGACGCGAGGTGCGGAAGACGCGCGCGCGCGCGATGCGCGCGGCGATGCGCGCGTCGTCGCGCGCGCGCGCGCGACGAGCATGTCGTGCGTCGCGCGCGTGTGTGCGGCACGCGCGGACGGGCAACGCGTTTGAACAGCGCTGCCAGTACTGGATATCGAGCGCGGCGGCGAGCGGAATTTCTTCGACGGACGCGACGGCGCAGTCGCACGCGCTCGTAAATTATTACACAAATTATTTAAGGGGGGTTTAAAAGTCGGTAAATCGCCCGATGGAGGCGTAGGTGCCCCACTTCGCGGAGAGTCCCGGGACGTCGTCGCCGGTGTCCACAAAGTGCCTTAAATCGCGAACGTCTTCGACGAGCGGCACGTACGGCGCGCGCGCGCGTTGCTGCGCGAGAGCGCTCCAGTTTATGTCTGCAAACCACTCGTGCTGCTTGATTTCGCGTGCGCCGGTTTTGCCCATGCCGAGTCGACTCGCGGGCATGCGGCGAAGGAGGCCGGAGACGACGGCGCGGAATTTGGGGCCGTTGCGAGGCGAAAAGTGGAATTTGACCTCGTTGATCGCCTTGTACATTTGGTAGTGGTCGTCTTGATTGAAAGGTGGGACGCCGTTGACGAGTTCGTACACCAAAACGCCAACCGCCCACCAATCGACGGCGCGATTGTGGCCGACTTGTTGTACTTGCTCGGGCGCCAAGTATTGTGGCGTGCCGCACAGCGTAAAAGTTTTCGCGCCCTTCGGAAGTTTCTTCGCGAACGAAAAGTCCGTGACTTTGAGATAACCATTTGTACAAATCAGAAGGTTCTCTGGCTTTAAATCGCGGTAAGTGATCTGCCGGTCGTGCAGATACTCGAATGCCAGCACCACGCACGCCGCATAAAATTTGGCGTGCGCCTCGGGCAGCGGCGAGTTTCGAGTTTGCAAGTACGTAAAAAGCTCTCCACCAAGAACTTTGTCCATGAGCATGTAAATCGATCTTTCGCTGACGTAGGTACGCCGAAGGTTTACCAAGAACGGTGAGTCACATTGCGCCATGGTTTGCTTTTCGCGCCACACGTGCTCGACCAACCCGCGAGCGACAACTTGTGCTTTGCCAATTTCCTTCAGCGCGTACGTCTCTCCATCGTGAGCCACAAGCGTCACTCGACCGAACGATCCAACGCCTAAGAAACCGATGGTTTGGAGCTCCTCGAGCTCAGCTGTCACCGGTTTCTTGTACGAGCCGCTACCGCTCTTAGCGTACATTTCCTCGGCGTTTCTCTTCAGGATGTCCTTCAAGTTGCCGAGATGTTGCTCGAAGGTGCGACGGGTGATGATCAAAACAGTCGCTCGATGCGGAACACGTACGGTAGCGGCTCTAGTTTCAGAATTTAGTAGTCCAAGCTCGCCAAAGTAGGAGCTCGGACCGAGCTTGCATAACAGTTTCGGCGCTCCTTCGGCGTCGAGCGTCTTTTCGTCCACGACTTCAACTTCGCCAGATTCCAAAATAAACATGGCGTCACCTTTGTCGCCTTGACGAACGATCGTTTCATTCTCTCGAAAAGACACATCGGTGAGTTCGTCCGATAACGCTCGAGCTTCGTCAGGAGAGAGCTTTGAGAGAATCGGCACCTTTCTCAACGTCTCGAGTCGCCAAGCCTTGCGCAAGACTTCCAAGTTGCCCAATTTCTTCTCGAACGCCGTCTTCGTCATGCACGCGACCTTCGCGTGTTGGCTCACGCATGTGACTGTGCCTGCACGCTTATCTTTACGCAGCAGTGCGAGTTCGCCGAAGTACTGACCTCGAGTGAGTTTGGCCAACGGTTCGTCAACGGATGATTTCGTAACCACGAATTCCCCGTCGATGATGACGTAAAAAGCATCTCCGAGAGAGTTCTGTTGAAACACGACTTCATCTTTGACGAACGTTTGCATTTTCATCAAACTTGAGATATCCGTCAACTGTGCGTCGCTCAAAGCGGCGAGAATCGGGCATTCGGCCAAACCGGCAAAACATCGCGCCTCTTCAATGGAACCGAGCATGGAGACAAAAGTTTGGCGATTAAGCACCAAACACGAAATGTCGGTTGCGGCGACGATCGTCGCCGCACGAGGTTCATTATTTATCAGTGCGCGCTCACCGAAGAAATCGCCACGCGAGAGTTTCGCGACTTCGCCACCATGGACTCGAACGCTCACCTCGCCGCGTTCCACGATGTAGAAGCAATTTCCGGGATCGCCTTGATTGAATACAACGTCATTCGTCTCGTACACCTCTCTTCTCGCCGCGGTACATATCGCAATCAGCTGTTGCTCTGACAGAGCGTTGAATAGCTCCACGCTCTCCAGAAGTTCGAGCATACAAGATGCATCCTTCGTCGCGATGGAACGCTTTATCGCCTTGAACGCGCTCGCGTGCAGCGTCCACAGTTTCAACGGCGTCGCCGCCACGACCGTCGCCGATCGCGGGCAGGCGTACAGCAGCGCGAGCTCGCCGAATCCCCGACCCGGGCCAAGCGTTGCCACTTGCTTGGCGGTCTCGGGATGGTACGCACACCCTTCAAACGAACGCTTTGACGTCGCCAGCCGCGCAGCGCGCGGCGATCCCTCTTCGTTCGCGCTATCGTTCGACAAGCTCGACCGCTTCGAATTTTCATTCTTCATCACCCGCACCTCCCCGATTTCGATCACGTAGAATCGATCGCAATTCGTATCGCCCTGCGCGATCACGATCTCGCCCTCGTCGACGTACGAGGGCGTCATGGCGTCCATCACCCGTCGTCGCGCTCGCGCGTCCAGCTCGACGAAGAGCAAATTCCCATCCATCGCTGATTCCATCGCCCGCAGCGACCCCTCCGTTCGCTCGTTTGCCGCCTCTCGCGCGTCGAGATTCGTCTGTTTCGATTCGTTTTCATCCCCGAGCGCCTCTCCGACGGCGAGGCGCTTGCGCGCGCGCGCGCGTTTCGTCCCCGCGCGCGCGCCATCGTCGAGCGTCGGTTTGGAATCCAAATCGACGTCGAGGGCGTCCTTGGCGAAGGCGTCCCACGACGCGGCGGTGAGCACGTCGCGCGAGAACATGCAACCTTTCAGGCATCCCATCCCGCGCGCTCGCGACGCCGCGCGCGTCGACGTGCGGCCGCGCACCCCGCGCGCGCGCGAGCGTTTCGGCGACTCTTCGTCTCCCTTTTCATTTCCGAAAAAAGGAACGGCGCGATGTTCCGATTCGATTGGACGCGCGACGTCGACGCGGCGCGGTGCGCAGGGCGCGACGAGAGCTGACTCGATCTAGGCGTGGCTTACAGTTCTACAGTTCGCGCGCGCGGGGCTTCTTCGAGTCGACCAAGCACAGGAACGAGGCGCAGAGGGCCATCCACACGGCGCCGACGACGAGCATGACGTCGTACCCTTCTTGAGACGAACCGTACGCTCGTCCGTCGGCGGGCTGCGGAGAAAAGTGAAGAATCAAGGCGAACACAGTCGGACCGATGGAGGTGCCGATGAAACTGGCGACACCCCAAACCGCGAGCCATCGCGCGGCGTTTTCTCGGCTCGGTAAACAGTCGATGGCGAGCGCGTAATCGACCGAGAGGAACATGCCGTTCAACGCGCCGTAATACACGCCAATGTACATGATCGACGTCAATCGGTGGATGTACATAAACATGATGTACACAGATATAATGCCCGCGCACGCGATGACGATCAATGGCTTTCGACCGAAGACGTCGCTCAGCAAACCAGCGGGATAGGCGGCGATCATGCCGCCGACTTGGCCGATGAAGGACAAGCGTGCAACCGTTTGCTGTGGCTCGTGTCCCTCGAGCCCACTTCCATCTTCTTTCACGGCGGTATCTCTGAGCAAGTACAGCAAAAACACTTGAGCGCTGATGCCGGTATAGTACAACGTGCGGCAAACGAAGAGCCAAAAGAATGATTTTTGTTCCGGAACAAAAGGCGAAATCGTGTACATCGACGCCAGCTCGCGCCACGAAAACGCCGAGTCGACCGTCGCAGAAGTCGAACCTTCCCTCGCACTGCTCTCTACGTCATCTGACGATGCTACACCACCGAGCGAAGACTCTTCCGTGGCGCAATAACACGTAATCGGCACGCACGTCGCCAACAGCGCGAGATAAAACCAATACAAGCTCCCCACGTCTGGATACACCATCGTGTACACGAATCCCATGCACGCCCCCGCCGCACTCATCGCCGCCAGCACCCCATTCGACTGTCCCGTCTGATCGTCCGGAATCATATCCGGCACGATGCCGCTCGCCGCCGTGTACATCACGTTCAGCGCCAGCATCGTCGCCGTGAACGCGACGTAATACAGCGTCGGCGCCCACCCCCCCAGCGAGCCGTAGTACGTTCGCGCCACGAGTAACATCACCAACGACGGCGCCGCGACGACGGCGCCTTTGACGAGCACCGGGCGCCGTCTACCGTACGCGCTCCGCGTGCGATCGCTCACGTATCCCGCCCACGGCCCCGACATCTGACTCGCGCCGGCGATGAACATGAACCCTCCCAGCGCCACCGCGTCGGCGTCCGGGAAAAACCTCGTCGACTCGTACGGCAGCGTCACGATGGCGAACGAGGATATCCACGCGCCGTAGGCGAGGAAAAACGCATTGATTCCGCAAAGTTTCCAAACCGACACCGCGCGCGGGCGCTCGCGCTTACGACGGCGCGCGTCCTCCTCCGACGCGAGCAGGCGTCGATTTCCGGCGGTCTGCTCCGGGACGTCGTCGTCGTCGTCCGAGGGCATCGAGCGATCGGCGCAGTGTGGGGTGTTACACGGAGCGATTCTAATCTGGCGCGCGCGTCGCGACGCTAACTCGCGTCCTCAATCGCGGCGGCGAGCTGCGCGGGGTCGAGAAGGCCGACGCGCGCGGCGGTGCCGGGAGGAAAGTCGGCGTCGATGATGGCGGCGATTTGCGCGAAGGCTTCGGCGACGTTGCTCTTGATGGGCTTGAGCAACGCCTCGCGGGTATTTTCCGCGTGCAAGTACAACTTCATGGTGTAGACGGCCTTCGGGAGCTCGTCTGCGAGCGAGGTTTTGACTTGTTTCGCGATGGCTGCGAGTTTTTCTTCCGAAGCAAAGGCTGCGTCTTTGATGGATTTCCCCTGCGACGTCGTCGACACGCGAAACGCGGTCACCTTGGTGATGAAACTGAGCATTGGATCGACGATGAGTTTCGTGATACTCATGATGTACGCTTCACACGCGGCTTGAAGTTGCTTCTCGAGCTCTCTCTTGGAGTCGATTTTGCTCTCGACGACGCGCGGTCGACCTTCAGAAGCGAGCTGGTAGAATGCGTTGTCTTGCGTCAGCGAAAAGAAGGACATCTCTCCGCCGAGCATTCGGCGCATTTGCCCGCGCATATGGGTAAAGTCCAAATCCTTGATGGAAACCGCAAACTCGGCGTTGAATGGCGCGATTTGTTCGCGCAAGATGATCAAGTGCTTGATGAGGAAGAGCTGACCGTCTACCGGAGTCGCTTTCGACGCCACTGCGCGCGCAGCGGCGGCGATATTGTCCGCGCACAGCGACACCGCCTCTTGCGCCAATCCCGCGAATGTTTTGATCTCCACGCAGCGATATAGTTTAGATAAGCACGTCAGTGTGCGCTCGAGTGGAGGGTACCAATTTTTAATGTCGTCCTCCGAGTCGCCGCCAGACGACTTCGCTTGCAGTGCGCGCACGAGTTTGGCGGGAAAGTCCAAATCAGCCGCGGTGGCTCGATAGTTGCCCACCTGATCCTTCACGTAAGTCTGCGCGCGGAAGATCAGTCTCTCTTGAACATCTGACAGGATTCTTCGCATCGCCGGCTCCAAGGCTAGCGCATTGTCAATCTTCGAGGTTACGTCCTCGATGATCTCGCCCTTGAGCGCCTCGACGAGCTCAGCCAATAAAGCCAACTCGGTGATTGAAATGTACTTTGGCCGCAAAATGTCGCTCAAGTACGTTCCGAGCGGAATCATGAGCGCGGACAAGGCCCCCGTGGGATCGGTTTGCGGGAAAAAGTGTTTGAACAGAGCGAACTCTGCCTGACAAACTTCGACGAGATAGGCAGTGCCGATTCTCGCGAGAGCTATGACATCCGCTCCACGCTCGGCTGTCGCTATGGCGCGCATCTTCGTCCGAACCGACCCGGCGAGGAGAAGAGCACGCTGCTCGCAGTATAACACGTGGCAGTCCGAGAGAAGCGCGGCGTACTCTTCGTGATGCCCTCGCTTTTCGAGCTCCTCGGTGAGATCGCGCAGTTCCGCCGCGGCGGCGCGAAAGCGAACGTACAACAAAGTCGTCGCACTCCCCTCCTCGACCACGAGCTCGTCGTACTCATCCTCGCCGCCGCTCACACCAGTCTTACCCTTCGCTACATCTTGCACGTGTTTCGTCGCCTTGCGCAAGGCTGAGACGTAATATTCGCGCACTGTGCTCATCGCTCGATTTTGCAACTGTCGAAACTTGGTCCCGTAACTTCCGCCGTCGGCGTATTGCGGATGCGACGCCACAAAATCCAGGCAATCGTCCAGACGCTTCAGCATCGGCATCACCTGCTCGCGCGGCGCCAAGCTCGCCCCACTCGCATCGCTCGCGCCCGAGATGATAACCCCAGCCTGAAACTGCTCCGCCACCTTTTCCAACTGGTCGAAATAATCCAGCTTTCCCCGCAGCGCGTCCGCGAACTCAAGCAGACGATCCTTCTCCGCGATCAACCGCTCGCTTTCCTCCTGCGTCCGCCTCGCCCTCAGCTTCAGCGCCGCCTGCGCGTCGACGAGCGTTTTAACCCCCGTCTCCACCTCCTCCAATTTTCGTAACGCGTCGTCTCGCCTCTCAATCTCCGCGCGCAGCGCGTCCGCCTCCCGTCGTCTCGCTCGCCTCCGCGCCTCGTCCATCGTCTCCTCCACGTCCGCGTACCACGCGTAAAACGCGTGCGCCGTCGTCAGCCCTTTCATCGCGTCTTCGCGCCCCTTCCCGCTCGTCGTCGCGTCGTCGTCGTCGTCGTCGTCGTCGTCGTCTCCCGCCTCCCCTTCCCCTCCCTCGCGCGTCGCCGTCTCCGTCCCGTCCCGCGCCGCCCGCGTCCCGAGCGCGCGTCCGCGACCGTCGCGCGCGCGCGTCCCGAGCGCTCCGATCGCCGCGCGCTGCGTCTCGCGCAGCGCGCTCGCGTGCTCCCACCCGTGCGCCACCGCGTACGCGCGTCGCACCGCACGCGGCTTCGCGTCGCGCGCGTCTCGAGCCGTCTCCATCGCGCGCGCCGTCTCCATCGACGGTGAATATTTCGCCGCGCTCGATCGTCGCGCCCGCGCGGTCGTCGCGCGTCGTCGCGATGTGCGACGTCACGAATTCGCACTTCGCGACGCCGACCGCGACGCGCGGCGCGACTTTGACCGCGACGACGACCGCGACGACGACGACGACGACGACCGCTCGATTCGCCCGCGCGATGCGCGCCGAGACGGCGACGCGCGCGACGATGGCGCGACGATCGAACGCCGCGCGGCGATCGAATTCGAATCGCGATCGACGTCGACCGATCGAACGCGCGCGCGCGCGCGCGAACGCGACCGACGCGGACGCGGCGAACGAAACGACGCAGAGTCGAGCGATCGTCGAGGCGCAGACGACGCACCCGGTGAAGACGCAATCGGTGGAGTACTCGTTCGCGAGGAGCGGATTCGCCAACGAGTGCGAGCTCGCGCTCAACGCGCAAATCAACGTCGAGTACAACGTGTCGTACATCTATCACGCGATGTGGGCGTATTTCTCGAGAGATAACGTCGCGCTGAAGGGATTCGCGGAACACTTCAAGCGCGAGGCGCTGGAGGAGCGCGAGCACGCGGAACAGTTGATGGAATACATGAATCTGCGCGGCGGGCGCGTCGAGCTGCAGCAACTGTTGCCGCCGCAGAGCGAGTACGATCATCCGGAGAAGGGATGCGCGCTGTACGCGCTCGAACTGAGCCTGAGCTTGGAAAAGTTAAACAACGATAAGCTGTGCGAGCTGCATCGCGTGGCGGACGACGCCGGGGACGCGCACATGTGCGATTTTCTCGAGGGCGAGATGCTCGCGCCGCAGGTGGAGAGCGTTCGCGAGGTGAGCGAGATGGTCGCCACGCTCCTGCGCATGGGTCCGCCGGGCGACGGCATGGCGGCCTGGCACTTTGATCAAACTTTACGAGCGTGATAGATCGTCGTCATCGTCGATCGTCGCGCCTTTAAGCGCCGCGCGTACGCGCATTTTGTTGTAACGACGCTTTTCTTTTTGTATCTCAATCGTCCATCGATTTCGAGCTGCACACCGCCGCGCGCGCCCGCGAACGACCGCGCGCGCGCGCGCACGACGTGCGCGATGGCGTCGCGCGCGTCCAGACGCGCGCGTTCGCCCGCGCGTCGCGCGCGCGGGCGACACCGCGACGATTCTCCCGACGAATGCGTCCCGGCGGCGGTCGCGTCGGCGTCTTTGACGAGCGACGATGGCGTCGTCTACCTCCCCGACGGCGTTCGCGCGATGCGCGTCGACGCGCGCGAGCCCGTGGCGCAGGGCGCGGGCGCGCACGCGCACTGCGTGATGTCGGCGAAGCTCGCGCGGGCGGTCGGCGCTCGCGCGGGCGCGTGGGTCGAGTTGCGAAGCTACGCGCGGCGAGAAGACGGAAACGACGGCGCGACGCTCGCGACGCCGAAGCGAGGGAGAGGGAAAACGAAAACCAGCGACGCGGGCGACGCGCGGGCGGCGACGCGGGTGGAAATGGTGGAGAATGGTGATGAGAGGGCGACGCGCGCGACGACGCACGCGGCGGCGGCGCGGCGCGCGTTAAACTTGGACGTCGACGCGGATCGCGATGAAGACGACGAAGACGAGACGTGCGGCGCGCGCGTGGTGTTGGCGCGCGCGTGGCCGACCGCGGGTTTAGGGGACGACGGCGTGTCGCTTTCGCGGAAGGTTTGGTTATCGATGGGGTGCCCGTCGGGCGGGACGATTTTGAGCGCGCAGACGCGACGGGACGCGGCTGGACCGATTGACGCGTTCGAGGCGGAGGGTGAAATCGTGGCCCATTTGAAGCTTTGGGCGCTCGAGTTGGACGTCGGCGGAGAGGCCGCGGTGTGGCTCGAGCGTGGACTACGCGCGGGAGGCGGTGGGCGAACGGCGGCGCGGCAGCGCGGTATTTTGGAAGCGCTCGCCAGACGCGCGCTGGACGGCCGCGGACTGTTGGTCGGGAATCTCGTGCGCTTGCCATTGCTCGGGACGAGCGCGATGTTCAAAGTGATTCGGCTCGAGCCCGATGTCGGTGACAGGGGCGTGGAGATTTCGGCGAGGACGCGCATCGTTTTGTACCCGCGCGAGGAAGGCGGCGACGACGCGTCGTCGAGCGACGGAGCGAGCGAGTCAGATGACGACGACGACGACGTTGTCGCGTCCGCGGTGAAGCGCGCGTCTCGAGTGGCGATGTCGCAAGATGTCTCGTTCGATAGTCTCGGTGGCGTGGCTGACCACGAAGCGGCGCTGCGCGAGCTCGTGACGCTGCCACTCGAAAGCCCAGAGGTGTTCACGCGATGCGGAGTGAAGCCGCCTCGGGGAGTGTTACTTTACGGACCGCCGGGTTCGGGGAAAACGCGTCTCGCGCGCGCCGCCGCGCAAGCATCGAACGCAAAATTGTTCGTCGTGAACGGTCCAGAGCTCGTGAGCGCGCACATGGGAGAGAGCGAAGAGGCGCTTCGCGGCGTCTTTCTCGCCGCGGTGAAAGCAGCCCCGAGCGTGGTGCTGCTCGACGAACTCGACGCCATCGCTCCCGCGCGCAATCAGTCCTCGGGGGGAGACGATATGATGTCGTCGCGAATCGTCGCCACGATGCTCGCCATATTTGACGGTACATCATCGAACGTTCCCGAGCTCGATCGCGTCGTCGTCATCGCGACGACGAATAGACCGGACGCAATCGAACGCTCTCTTCGGCGCCCTGGAAGATTCGATCGCGAGCTCGAAGTGGGCGTGCCCACGCCCAGCGATCGATTAGAAATTCTTCAAACGCATCTTCGTGGTTTAAATCACGATTTGACTGAGGAATACATCGTGGATCTCGCGCGACGAGCGCACGGGTTCGTCGGCGCCGACATCGCGTCGCTGTGCCAAAACGCGGCGATGCGCGCGCTGACTCGCGTGATCGAAAAAACGTCCAAGCGGTCATCCGGCGTCAGCGATGATGTCGACGGCGTCGCACGTGCGATTGGCGACATCGACATATCATCTCGTGACGAGCGAGTGATTATGGACGATTTCGAGCACGCGCGCGTGAAAGTCCGGCCGAGCGCGTTGCGCGAAGTAGCCATCGAAGTTCCAAACGTCGCTTGGGACGACGTCGGAGGTCTTGACGAAGTAAAGGATCGCTTGAAAGAAGCCGTTGAGTGGGCGGAGAAGCATCCAGACGCAATGAAGCGCGTCGGAGCTTCGCCGCCTAAAGGTATTCTGCTATACGGCCCTCCCGGGTGTAGCAAGACAATGCTGGCGCGAGCGGTGGCGAGCGCGTCGGGACGCAATTTCATCTCCATTAAGGGATCTGAGCTGTTTTCAAAATGGGTAGGAGACTCTGAAAAAGCCGTGCGCGCGGTGTTTTCCCGCGCCAGGACATCCGCTCCTTCAGTGATATTCATAGATGAGGTAGACGGATTGGCCGGCACACGCGGCGGTGGCGAACAAGGCGGCGCGCCCTCCGTGCAGGACCGCGTCATCACGCAGCTCCTTGGAGAGATGGATGGCTTATCCCCGACGACGAACGTGACTGTTGTCGCGGCGACTAACCGTCCCGACTTAGTCGACGGCGCACTGTTGCGCCCCGGCCGATTCGATCGCCTGCTCTACGTGCCGCCGCCGCAGTCGTCCGAAGATCGAATGGCTATTCTGCGAGTGCAATTTAAGAATACGCCGCTTGCGGATGACGTCGATTTGAGCTTGGCCGCGATGTCGACTCATGGTTATACGGGTGCAGACCTGTCCGCGATATCCCGAGAGGCTGCGCTGGCGGCGCTGGAGGAGAGCATCGACGCCGACAGAGTCTTTGCCCGTCACGTCGCCACGGCGATGACGCGCGTGCGTCCGAGCCCTCCGCCGCACCGCGAACTGTTGGAAATGTATCAAAAGTTTCGACGAACTTAGCTATAGCGTTAGAAGTAGCGTTGCAACAGTATGATGTACTACTTGTACTAGAATGGGCTATTTCTGCGCTTGTTTGCGCACGTCTGCTTGCCAACGCTGCAGCAGGTAATTGGCCACGACGGATCGACCGCCGTTAGAGACCGCAACTGAATCTTCGCTCGTACCACCGAACAACTTAGACGCGCGCGACTTCAAACCTCGCATCGACTCGTCCTGACTCGTCGACAGCTCGTACATGACGGCTTGTACGAAGGACGCGAGCGAGCCTGGCGAGACGATTTCAAGCTTGTCCAAAGCTTCGGCGGCGGCCAGAGCTGCGGCAGCACCAGCGTCGTTGCTCGTTTGTACCCGCTCGAACGCCGGCGCGATCAGACTCTGCATCAGAGGTGTGTACACCGTGCCACTGTCGAGGATATCGTCGAGCTTGTAACGCGTTTGAGCGCCTCGAGAGCTCTCCGTGCCAACCGTGGCGGTTCCCATGGAGCTAGCATCCGCATCGTCGTCCGTACCCTCCATCGAAGGGCGACTCGCCATGCGAATCGTCCCGCCCATGGATTGATAAATCGAACTTCCGCCGTGATCGGAAGCGATTTCAACATCTTGCGTTTGCGCCTGTTGCTGTTCCAGTTGCTGCTTCGAAAACTTCCTCCCGAGCGAATCTTCGCCGAAGTCCCAAGTCGGCGCAGCTTTACTCGTCTGCTTTTGTGCTAACGCGGTCTCCGCGCCGCTGGCTTGCGACGCATCTCCTTCCGTCAAAGAAATATGTTTTTCAACTCGAGCCTTCAACGTGTCCACAGCCGCGCCATCGAATTGTTTCGCGAATGGATGGTTCAACAACTCTCTCGCACTCGGCCTCGCTTTCGCATCTTTTTGTAAGCACTTAGCCACGAAGTCTTGAAAATCTGCGCTAAATCTCCCATCATCTGGCAGTCGAGGAGCGTCATTTTTAGGGATCACGAACAACACGCGCATCGGATGTAAATCCGCGTGCGGCGCGGCGCCCAACGCCAACTCGTAACACGTAATGCCCAAGCTCCAAATATCCGCCTTCTCATCGTACCCTTCCCCACCTTGAATCACCTCGGGCGCCATCCAAAACGGCGTCCCCGTGAACGTTTTCCTCCGCGCTCCTAACGTGTGCGTCATCTGTCCGCTCACACCGAAATCCGCCAATCGCGCCTCGCCGCCCTCCGTCAGCAACACGTTCGCCGCCTTCACGTCTCGATGAATCTTCCCCTCCTCGTGCAAGTACTCCAACGCCCGCAGCACGTCCCTGGTGATGTACGATATCTCTCCCTCTTCCAATCCAACCTTCGCTTCGTCCTCGATCGCCGTCGTCTCGCCCTCTCCTTTCGCCGCCTCGTCCGCGAGGTGTCGCGCGCTCCCTCCCGCCATGTACTCCATCACGATCGCCAGCTTGCTCGTCCCTCGCACCAGCGCGCTCGCGAGATATTTCGTCACGTACGGGCTCGCGCACTGCGCGAGCGTGGATATCTCGCGCTGGATGTCCGCGACGTCGTCCTCGGCGTCTTCCAGGTCGACGAGTTTCACCGCGACGGTTGCGTCGGTGCGGACGTCGCGCGCCTTGTACACCTCGCCCGTGGCGCCGCGACCGACCTTGGCGAGCAAGACGTAACGGTCGTCGATCATCGGCGCGTCGGGCGAGCGCGGCGCGGACATCGCGGCGACGCGGGGGGGTGTGCGGGCGAATTGGATTTTGGATTGGAGCGAGGCGGCGACGCGAAAAGCGGCGAGCGCGCGGCGATTCGCTCGTCGAGACCTACGTCGCGGTTCGTTCGTTGCTGTGCGCGCGGTGAGTGGTTTTCAATGCAGACTTGGCTATCGCGTCGGGAATCGACTCGACTATCGCGTCGGGAATCTTCGTCGCGCTCACCAATCGAAACGTCGCAGCTGCGCCGTGGCTTCGGTTAAATCTTTTTGGACTTTTTTGCGACGGTAGAAAATGGGACAATCCCGCGATGTGCAGAGGACGTCCTGGTGAAGTGAGCCTTGGCACCGCTGACACTGCGTCCAAAGCCGGTTGAAGTCTCCCTCGAGGTTGTTCACGGAGGCGAGCGCTTTTCTCAGGTGCTGCGATTCGTCGTTGAGGCAATTCTTGCACAGCGACTTGGACATTTTCTCATCCGATATCGGTGCGCGGCAACCGATACAGCTTAAACGAATCTTGGCAAACTGCATGATTCCGCCAGCTTTCGCAGTCGGCGTCGGCTGCGCGATGCGACGCGTGTGCTCGCCGTGCAACAGTACGGATTGCGCGTTGTGCAAGATGGGCTCGAAAATACGCAGCAGAGGCTTGGTCAAGTAGTGATCCAAATAGTGCTTCGTATCGATGGGTAAGTTGTTGTCCAAAGCAAAAATCGGATCCTCTGACTTTTCATACGCCTTTGCGTTCTTCGCCGCTTTAATGATGACGTACGCGATACGATCGCCGACTACCGGCGCGGTGGCGGGATCGCGCTGGCGCATGCGCTGCGCGAGCTCTATGTGTGCCATCTTGACCCCATACGAGTCTGCTTCTTTTGTGAAACCCTTCGTGATCACGAGCTGTGAGAAATCTAATCTATTCATGAGCAAGTCTGCGATCGTACTCTGCACGTATTTCACCGCGCCCTGCACATCTCGCTGCTTCAAAATCTTCTCCAAAACCGTCTCGATGACTTGTCGCACGAGCAAACAGTTATCGCGACGCACGGTCTCGATACCTTTGGTGTCCATCTTGTCGTAATTTTCAGTGTTCGTCCAGAGTAAACCAGCGTAGCGCTTCTTGCTAATCAAGAGATATGGCCAGTACACCTTTTCGAATTCGAGTTTGATAGGCTTCAAGAACGTCTCAGAGACGTACACCGCGGCTTCTTCACCGAGTTTCATAGACTCCGCCAAATCCGGCGTATTGAACTTGATCATCACGGAGTCGGTATCACCATAAATGACCTCGGCATTTCCAGTGTATCCATTCACGGTTCGATACTTCTCTTCCACCATTTTCTTCGTGTGATCAATCATCGTACGGCCGTACGCCGTCGTTGAAGAAGAAATTTCGAGGCAAGGCAGCTGTCCGACCATGGCACCGGTGAAACCGTACACAGAGTTTGCTGAGACTTTCAGCGCGAGCTGGCGACCGTCTAAGACCGCTTTTTGCAACGGATCAGTGGCTTTTTTAAGATCAGCCTTGGCGCGTTTACGCGCCCCCAAGAGTTCCTCTAAAATTTCTGGCAAAATCCCCTTCACCTTGGATGCCTTCACGAACGTATCTCCCGATGGCGATGTCCCGTAATCATCCGGGTTGAGCTTACCCACCTTATCCTTTGGCACTAAAGTCGAGTAGCACAGATTGTGAGCCATCATGATGGATGGATACAGCGAAGCGAAATCGAGCGTCGCGATGGGCATCTCGTAGTAACCAGCCTTGGCGTCTAAGACCGTCGCACCTTCGTACGCGACACCACCCTCCGCTTGAACGTTGCCACCGCCCTGCTTCACATGGTGAGGAATCAGCATGTTTCGCTGCCTCGCCTTGCGCAAAAGCTGCGACATGACCTTGATGGACTGACCGCGAGTCAACAGGTAATTCAGCGGCACGCCGGTGACGCGAGCCATTTCGATGTAGTTGTACATGTACATCAACTTGTCCAGCAATCTCTGCGGAAGATACGCATCCTTCAAACAGTACACCGCTAAACGCCGTCTCGTCTCGGGCGTACCGTTTTGCAGCTCCGAGATAGCGCTGTAGTGCACGTCTTCTTTTTGCTCGCCCAAAAAATGCGCAGAAACTGCGTTGAGCGAATATGAAGACAACTTGTAATCGCGCTGAATAGCGCGAAGCATGTCGAATTGCACGCGTCCCTCGCAAGATATTTCTTTACTTTCGTGCGTACCGTACGCCTTGGACGAGAAAACCGTGTCGCGCATGCGCACCTTGGTGCCGATCAAGCGTCCCCAGTACGGAAAGTCGGCGACGCCGAGCTTCTCGGCGCGCTCCAACAAGTACGGGAAATCGAAATTGACGATGTTATAGCCGATCAACAAATCCGGGTCGCACCCGCGAAGAAAATTACCCCAGTTCCGAAGCAGTTCCCGCTCATCCTTAAAACTCAAGACGTCAGCGCCGACGATCGGAGCGCACGTATCGAGCGTCCACACGGCTCGAATAATCGGTTTATCGCTCCCTTGCTCGGTGACTAGAGTCGCGATCTGAATCACCGGATCCAATTGTGCGTCGGGAAAGTGGCCTTTACGCCCCGCACACTCGATATCCACGGATAAGATGCGAAACGGGGCGAGCTTGGAGTACTCACCCTCCGCCGGGTGCGAGATGAGCTTGTCGTACATGATGTCCACTTCGATTTGACAGTGCGACGCCTTCTTCGCACGAACCGTGTACGAATTCACCGGAAACTCGATCCAGTTCCCACCGACCACGGCGCAGTCCACCATAAACCGCAAGGCGTACACGATGTTGGACTCAAACGTCGGGTACGTCGTGAACGCCCCGTCCCGAACCCCCGGCACGCTGAATCCCTTTTCCAAAATCCCTCGCGCCGCGCTCACCATATTCGGCAGCCCCATCGTGATCTTGGCGAACAAGCGATCCTTCACGTCGCTATAATGCATCAAACTCTGCTTCCTCTCGAGCGACACGTCCACGACGTGCACTCCCGGCGCGTTCTTCCTCGCCGCGCTCACCTCCTCGTTCAAACGTCGCCTGAACGCCGCGCAATCCGCCTCGCCGAAATTTTCCGGCACCGACGCGTAAAAATACGGCTCGAACCCGTGCACGTGCGCGCACACGCTGTGTCCCTCTTTCGTCACCCCGAACATCCGCACCACCGCGGCGTCACCTTTCGCCCGTCGCGCCCCCAGTCCCTCGTGCGGCTTCTCCACCGCGTAATCGATGTCCAACTGTTGAAACAGCAGCGCGTCCCGCGTCGCGTCCACCGCCCGCGCCAGCGGTCGTCGCACCCAATTCGCGCGATCCGCCGCTCGCACATCGATCAATCCTTCGCCCTCGCCGTTCGTCGTCCGCGCGTACACCTCCTCCTCGTCGTAATCGACGTCGTCGGCGTACTCCTCCGCGCCGTCGTCCCCCGTCGCGCGCGCGCCTCCCGTCGTCGCGCCGTCGTCGTCGTCGTCGCGCGCGTCCTCGGCGTCGCGCAGCAGCGCGTCGTCATCGGGATCACTCTTTCGTCGCTTCGTCGCGTCGTCGTCGTTCGCGCGCGCCGCGCGTCGCATCGTCGTCGCGATGTGTCGCGACAGCCGCGACGCGTTTGAATCCATCGTCGCTTCGTCGCGTCTCGCGGCGTCGCGCGCGCGCGTCTCGCGGCGCGCGACGCGCGGCGAGCCCGCGGGGACGTCGCGCGCGTCTCGCGCGACGCGCGCGACGCGAGGACGCGCGCGCGCGACGCGCGACGACGCCGACGCGCGAGACGCGCGCGCGCGGCGCGATGCGCGCGGGCGCGCGCGAGGGCGCGTCGCGCGCGCGGCGCGCGCGCAGGGCGCTCGCGTGCGTCGTCGTCGCGGCGTGCGCGGTCGCGGCGACGCGGACGCGCGCGGGAGGCGCGCGCGCGGGCGCGGGCGCGGGCGCGGGCGCGGGCGGGACGACGGACGCGGCGACGGACGCGATCGGCGACGCGGGCGCGATCGGCGACGCGCGCGCGGCGAGGACGACGCCGGCGGTCGAGGTCGCGGGCGCGGCGGCGACGCTGCGCGACGTCGGCGCGCGGGAGGGGGAGGACGTCGTCGTCGTCGCGTTCGCCGACGCGAAGGTGCTCGACGTGGCGAAGAATTGGGCGACGCACGCGATGCGGGCGCGCGCGGGCGAGGGGGGGGATGGGAGCGGCGCGGAGGCGTCGCGCGCGCGCGTGCGGCCGGTGCTCGTGGCGTTGGACGCGGAGACGCATGACGCGGCGCGCGCGCTGGGCGTGGCGACGTATCGCGCCGAGTACGGCGATTTGAACGACGCCGCGGATCACGCGAGCGAGAGTTGGAAGAAGTTTTGCGCGTTGATGGTGAAGGAATTGCGCGCGGTGCTCGACGCCGGGTTTGACGTGATTTTATCCGACGTCGACGTCGTGTGGCTTCGAGACGCGGCGCCGTACTTCAAGTGCGAGAGCGGCGACGTGGACGGGTGCGAGGAGATTCGCGGGGCGGACGTGATGATTAGCAGCGATAATTTAAGCCCGACGATGGATTGGGAATTAGGAGCGAGATACGCGATGCGCGGGATCTTCAACACTGGGATGATGTTCATCAGGAACACGCGCGCGGGGAAGGATTTCTTGAGCGACTGGGCGCGAAATTTACAGGCAAAGGACGGGGCGTACTCAAAGCTCACGACGCACCAACAAGTGTTTAACAAGATGGTGCGCGAGGAAAATGCGTGGCCGGGACTAGATGTTGCCCCGGGAGCGTCGGCGAAGACGCGAGTGCTGCAATCGGGTTCGCCGTTGCCGTCGACCGGTTCGCCGTTCGCGATTGGCGCGTTGCCGCTTCGACTCTTCGTGAACGGTCACGGATACTTCATGCAGTGGGTGAATCGAAAAGACGGCGTCTGGGATGACGTTAAACCGTACGCCGTGCACGCGACGTACACGTTCGACGGTAGTGGTGGAGAGGCGAAGCGGTATAGGTTTCAAGAGGTTGGCTTGTGGGCGCTGCACGACGCCGCGGGCGAGGACGAAAAGTTCCTCACGTTTGAACTCGCGCCTCAAAACTTGACGAGCGAGGAACCGACGATTGAGGACCACCTCATTGTCGCGAGCGCGAACGTTCGCGCGCTCGTGAAGGCGTTCGCGTACGCCGTATCCCTCAACCGCACGCTTGCGATTCCCCCACTGCCGTGTCGGTGCGACAAAGTTTGGAGCGGCCATGACGACGTGTTCAGCGCAAAGTGTCGATATCCGGGCGCGAACGACGAGAACTACCTTCCAGGAACGTGTCCTCTCGACCACTTCGTCTCCGGTGCGAAGATACGCAAAGCCGGAGGCCGATTCGTCCCGCTCGCGAGCGTCCCGAGCCCGCGCGCCGCCGTCTTCGTCGACGCGGCGCGCGGCGAACGCCGAGACGACGTTCTCCTCACCCTCGGCGACATCGATCGAGTCCCAGCGTTAAAATTTGACGCAAACCACGCCGCGCTCTCGAGCGCGGTGTCCCATCCCGAACCTTGGTGCGCGGAGTGTCTACGCGAGGCGTGCGCGAGCGTCCTCGCCGCTGACGTCCTCCGCCGCGGCGCGACGCGCGCGACCCGAGGCGGCACCGCCGAGATGTGGTGCGTCTCTTTCACTGACCCCGCGTCGTCACCCTAGCTACGTAATACCCAAGCATCGTTTTTTCAAGCGCAACCAACCTTCGTCGCGCGACTCGCGCGGCGCCGCGCGGCGCCGCGCGATCGACGTGGCGTCGTCTCCGCCGTTCATTAAACATAGCGAATCTTATAGCTCGAATACGAGCCCTTATACCACATAAAAAATTACGCGCAAGATTTTTTATTTACCGTTCGCGAACCGTCACTAATCCCACGCACAAAACTTTGGTGGCGTGTGATTCTGTCCTGCCCGCACGCCCCGCCGGCCCCCCCGCAGTCGGTGGCGCGAGCGTCGAGCCGAAGGTCCCGCGAAGCGCGGGCGCGACGCACGCGCGTCTTCTTGACCGCCCGCCTCGGCGCAGACGACGAACGAAGCCGTCGACGCGCGCGAACGCGAGCGATTTCCGTCAATCGCGCGACCGATTGATTGTTCGCGCGCGCGAATCGAACGCCGGTTTTTCGACGACGCGGTGCGTGCGCTCGACGCTCGACGCGCGCGAGGGATCGAGTGAAATTATCGACGTCGCTCGGCCGTCGCGGCGCGATGGGAACGCGCGCGCGCGGGCGTTGGGGGCTAGATTTTGCGCGAAGTCGCGTTGCGGTTTCGGGGGCTGGATGCGCGCGGGCGCTCGATGGCGCGAACGAAGCGCGCGCGGGCGTCGTCGCCCGCGCGCGGTGCGGCGCGCGCGCGCGCGCGATGGTGGATGGGATTAAGACGCGTCGTTCGCGCGCGCGGGAGACGCGGAAACGCGCGGGAGGGCGACGCGCGCGCGCCGATGGTGGCGTGTCGGTGTTTCGATGCCGCGATGACGACGCGCGGAGACTGACGAAGCGATGTGTCGCGCGCGCTAGCGAGCGTTCGTGCGCGCAGTGTTCGGTGCGGGGGGGTGTTTGGCGCGGAACGAGCGCGCGGGAGATGGCGAAGGTGCGTCCGCGGGTTGTCGAGACGACGAGAACGCGCGACGGCGAACGGTTGGGGTTTCTGGAGCCTCAATACGCGCGGGACGCGACGACGCGCGCGCGCGCTTGTTTTCACGCGCGAAATTGTCGCGTTATCCGTCGCGCGTGCGATGAAACTGACTTCGGTGAACTTTTCGTGCGCGATAAGGTGATGGACGCCGCGACGTCGGCGCAAGGTCTGCCGGGAGTGGCTGGGAAGCGGTGCGCGCACTGCAACACGCAGACGACGCCGTTGTGGCGAAACGGCCCGGATGGCCCGAAAACGCTGTGTAACGCGTGTGGGGTGAGAGATAATAGGAGACACGCGAAGGCGAATCGAGTGGCGAAGCCGTCGACGCCGAAAGCGTCAAAGGGGGGTAAATCAAACGGAAAAGGAGAGGGGAAAAAGCGAGGCGCATCGTCGCCGAGCAAGGGGGAGAAGAAGGATGCCAAGAAACAGAAGCCCGCGCGCGATTACTTCGCGCCAAAGGCAAACATTCACGTTCCGAACTTCAACGTTGTGTCGGATTACGAAGCGTTGCACGCCGGCGGATTCAGACAACCGGCCAAGTATTTGCGTCAGCAAGCGCCGGATCATCAACTTCACCGATTCGGCCCGGGCACGGCGGCGTCCATGTACGAGGCCACGGCAGCGGATTTCAAGTGGCTCGAACACATGAATGCTGACGAGCCACTTGAAGGCAAGGGATCGGAGGTGTGCACGACGACGCCGAACGCCAACTACATGCGTCCAGAACACTTGGAGAAGCTCTTCGACGTCTTTGAGGAAACGTCTTGGGCGGCGTCTGCGATGCCAACGCAAGAGCAGGCGGCGCAAACCGTACTCGGCAACATCTTCAACTCGGCCAACACCGCGGAGGGGAAGCTTGAGGATGTTTTGCACTGGGCGTCGAACGCACAGTTGGGCGACGGTCAACTCGTTAACCTCAAGGCTGAGGCTGAAAACTGGAACCCATTCGATTTGAATGACGAACGATCCAATCAAAGCTCATCGGAAACGGCCGCGGCACCGTTGACACCGAGTGGGAGCGTTCAATTCTTGCAGAAGCGAGCGTCTCCTTCGGACGGCGTTCCATCGGAAAACGGTGACGACAATTCGTCGACGCAGTCTGCCGACGATCTCATCGAACGTCAGTATGCGACGAATACGGTTCGTCAACCGTCGGAAAACGTAAAGAGCAGTGATCTCGGCACCCGCGCCCATGTGGGTATGACGCGTCGCGGCGGTAAATCTATGTTTATCGCTCGCGGCGCCCGTGTGCCGCGCCCCCCGACTGGAGGCAAGAGTGAGCTCAAGAACGCAGTCAAAATCGTTAACCAAATAAACGACAAAATATTCAAGATCAACAAAAAAGCACCCTCTCTTGCGGTGTTTTGCAAGATCTACCGGTACTGGCTCAACATGCGATGGAAAAACGGAGGGAAACCTTTGCTTTCGCGCTTTGATCCAGTGCCTCCGTTGCGGCTGAGAGAGCGTCCCGAACTTGCCACGGAATCTGAGCAACTCGCTTATTTATTCTGTTTCAATCTTCAGGCCGTCTCGAGGCAGCAAAAAGAGAGAGCGCTTAGAGCAGAGCAAGCTGAAGCGCAGAGGAAGCGACGCCGCAGACCGTGTTTCAATCCGGCTGCGACAAAGCGTCGTCGCCGCGTCCAGGCGGCGATGGACGATGCCGTCTCACTACCTCTGACGATTACGTTTGATCCGCTCGATGAGCTCTTAGCGCACGGGTGGGACGTCGTTCAGTACGATCCCAGCACGTGCGTTGTGCCCAAGAAGAAGAAAATTATCAGCGAAAGCACAAAGGAACGTGCGATTAAAAAGGAGGAACCCGTGAAGAAATCTGGCGCGAACAGACCTGCGCCGGATGCCCTCGCGTCTCCTCCCCGTCGTTCGGTTGAGAAAACTGAGTTCGACGTCGCGCAAATCGTTGTTCCGAACGAGTCTGTCTTGCCGCAATCCGACCCTCATTTGAAGTCTCCGATGGGAGCGGCGGCGGCCAAGGCGGGCGCGTTGGTGAAAAACTTTGTGTCTTCTGTTGGGTGCGCTCTTGGCTACGGTGGTAACGGGAAAAAATGTCTTTTGGTTAATGGATCCGTCGGGGGTCATCTAAGCGCACCGACGACGCCAACGCGTCGATCGACGCGTGTAAAGACGAGCGATTGGAACGCCACGTTCTAAAAAAATCACTCGTGCAAGTGTTAAATGTTTCGAGCGCTGGCACGCGCATCATGTTCAACAGTTTTAGTTCTGAAATCATAACGAGGGGGGAGACGCTGACCAGGCTCGGTTAGCGCTCAACTTTTTAGAAAGTCTCACGACATTTGTACCTTTTAATTCGAATGAAATCGTGAAGCATCAAATTGTGTCCTAAGTTCTACATGGGCGTCGGCGCGATGCGCACTGGCGCGATTCTCGTCGGTCCCGGTCCAGCGGCTACCGGATTGGGTACCGCCGGCGCAACAACGACAACTTCATCGGGCACGCTTTCTCCTATCCTCGACGACGCTAGCAAAGACTTCACGTGTTCGGGGATGTTAGTCTCTGGCGCGCCAAGCTCGCCTTCATCGAAGGCGACGACGCTCGCGAAACCGTCCGTGCTACTCACGACAAGCATTCCACCATCCGGGGACCATGCGCAGTCTGTGATAGACGTGCAGTGGATACCAGCGACGTACACGATCGGTTCGGTTTCATCGGTGTCGTAGATCGTGACGCCGTCTTGCGAGCACACCGCGAAGACGACGCGATACGGCAAGTCTGACGGTGTCGTAGGATCAGCGGCGTCTTTTCGACGCTTGAACAGCACAGGATTGAATCTAACACACACAGATGGCGTCTCGCCGCCTGGTAAGTGCATGACGGGCGTTTCAAAGTTCCCACGAGCGTAGACATACGTCGTATGCATGGCTCGCTTGGCGCCCGGGCGTTTGAACACTCCAGCCGGAAACACTACGAACGAACCATCTGGTGACCAGGCCGGGCGGCGGAAAAACGACGTCATAGAGTCGTCGTGAAAGATTGACGCCATGCGCCCGCCATCGACTCTCTCATTCGTGTCGTTAATCGCCTTAATCGCCCGCACGTGTTTCACGCTCTTCGCCGACGGCTTACCGCCGCCGACAACGGCGTACACTTGTGCGGTTCGATCGGGACTCTGCGAGACTATAAACTCCCCCCGCGGATCATAACTCACTCCCTGCACGTAATGCGCGTGTTCGCGCAACTGCACCACACCGTTACCACTCTCGCAATCCCATAAAATCGTCGTGTTATCCACCGAAGCGCTCGCCAGCGTCTCCCTCGGTCCCCAGCAGACGCTCAACGCATCGTCCGAGTGCCCGCGCAGCGTCTTCATCGGCTTCCACCCGACAACGTCTCCGTGCGAATTGACCGTCGTCGACCCCACGTCCACCTCTCGCCACACGTACACGTCTCCCGCGTCTCCCGCGCTCGCCAACGCTCGACCGTTCGCGCTAAACCGACAGCAGTTCACCGCCTTGGCGTGTCCCGTCAGCGTCTCCGTGTGCGTCACCGTCACCTCACCATCGATCGATCGGTCCACGCGCCAGAGTTTGATCTCGTTATCCGCGCCCGCGGTCGCCAACGCGCCCGTGCGGGGATTAAAATCGACCGAAAGAATCGGTTGCTGCGTTCGAAAAGTGACGACGACGAGACGTTAGTGCGACGAATGCGACGCGCGATGCGCGCGGCGAGGGCGCGATGCGCGCGTACGTTTGTTTTCTCGACGTTGTGCCACGCGATTTCGATGGTTTTGACGCGAACCATGGCGAGGGCGAGACGGATGCGCTGGCGTCTGTCGTTCCGAGTTCAAACGACGGCGCGCGAAGCTAAGCGACAAAACTTGGATGTGTTTTGTATTGACAACCAGACAACGATTTAATAAGACAACGATTTAAACGAATAATGACTTCAACCCGTGATATTGTCGTGTAATATGTTGCCCACGGTGGGCTTATTGTGCGTTTAAATAGAGACGGATGACCGCACTCAGAGGTCGGCGCCCATCGCGTCCATGCGCTTCATGAGCTCGCGAAGCTTGGTCTCGCTGTTGTGACGAGGATTCGGCAATACGAGACGGAAAAAGTTGGGCAGGTTGAGCGCCGGAACGGGTTGGAAACCGATCATAGCGTCACCGGCGCGTTGCATCCGATCCTTGAGCTTCGGGGCAACCTTGGCAATTTCCGCGAATTGTTCGGGCGTCGCGGTGTCCTTGTTGAACGGACGTAGGCGCGGCGGCACGTACCAGAATCCGACATTGGCGCACTGCGCGGGTGTGGCCAGCGCCCAAGCACCCGTGGTGTCCTGCACGACTTCTGCTTCGACGAACTTGGCCAAAGAGAAGGCGTGGTCAACGAGTTTTTCCCAACCTTCGTCGCCGCGGTACTTCCACGCGAGCCACAATTTGAGCGCGTCAGACTTGCGGCCGCATTGGATAGTGCGATCGCCCAAATCAGCTTCGGTGTTATTCTTGTCGGGCTGGAACAAGTAGTCCGCCTTGTAAGAATTGGCCGCCATGAATTCTCCAGCGTGTCTACTCAGAACGATGGAGCACTGGAGAGGAATGCCCAACAGCTTGTGCGGGTTCCAGCAAAAGCTGTCTGCTCGCTCGACGCCGTTCATCAAGTGTTTGTGCTGCTTGGAGACGAGCGCAGCGCCACCCCACGCCCCATCGACGTGCAACCAAACGTTATCTTTGGCACACACGTCGGCCAACGCAGCAAACGGGTCATACGCGCCCAAAACAGTGCTCCCCGCCGTGGCGCCGCAGTAAAACGGTGTCTTGCCCGCAGCCTTCGCGGCCGCTATCGCGGCTTCGAGTGCTTCAGGAAGCATGGCACCATTCTTGCCACAATCGACCTTGATCATGTTATCCATACCTAAACCTATCATGTGGGCGCACTTCTTGTAGGAGTAGTGCGATTGTTCAGAGCAGAAGGCAACGTAGCCTTGCGGCATTCCGGTTTTCTTCGCTTCTGGGCATGCGCGCTCGCGCGCCAAGATCATAGAGTACAGATTAGCGATGGAACCTCCCGGTACAAATAAGCCGTCGTGATCAGGCGCCGAGCCATCTGCATTCTCTCCAAGCCAGAGTGACGCAATCTTTGCGAGCATTGAACGCTCAATTTCGGTGAGAATCGGTGCTACTTCAAAGGTGTGCACGTTTGAGTTCAGCGCGCTTGATGCCCATTCGCCCGCGAGCGCGATGGGGTCAACGCCTGCGTAGAGCTGATTCATGAACATCGGGTGCGAGCTTCGCACACTGTTGTCCAAAACAGCATTCATAGCGGTTGTAAGATTGTTGATGGAAATTGGCGATTCGCCGGAGCGAAAATTCAGTGGAACGCCCATCTCTTCGAAGCTGGCGTGGAGATCGGCGGGAGAGTTGTACACACTCACCGGTTCCGTCGCTCGAATCGAGTTACGGTGGTATTCAACCATGTGCGTCGCCACTTCATCGAGGAAACGAAGTTCTTTCTCTTCCTGTTCACGGCCCCACAAGCTGTCGTTTTCTTCATCCTCCGTTACTTCATGCGAGCCGTTCTTCCAGTGGACTTCGTACTTCGAAACGTCGGCTAACGGTTTGTCAAGATTCTTCGCTTGAAGCCACTCATCGTTATAGATCTTGGACAAGTACTTGACACCGCTGTCGCACAGTACCGTGACGATGGTCCCCTCCTTGATGTGACTCGAGAGCACGCGAGCAGCGTGCAGGTTTAGACCGGAGCTACCACCGAGCAAGACACCAGAAGATTCAGCAACCGTGCGAACCATGCGGAAGGAACTACTGTCGTCACCCATGACGGCGCCGTCAATGTATTCGGTGTCGAGTACACCCGGAATGGAATCTTTACCCACACCCTCGACTTCCCAACTCTTCGCCACGAGTTCTTCTTCAGGAATGTCGTTCACAAAATAATCCCACAGAACGCTTCCCTTGGGATCGGCCAAGACGATTTTAATCGTCGGGTCGACACTCTTAAGATAACGACCCGTGCCTGTGATCGTACCGCCAGTCGAGCCACCGGCGACGAAGTGCGTCACCGCCCCTTCGGTTTGCGACCAAATCTCAGGACCAAGTGTCTTTTCGTACGCATCCGCGTTGTACGGATTGTCGTATTGATTCACACCATAAAATTTCGGATTTTTTGCGCACATCGTCGCTTCGATGTTTTGATAATGATCCGGGTGATCCGCCGGCACCCCGCTCGGTGCGACGATGACCTCCCCCCCATACGCCCGCATGGCGTCAATCTTCTCCTTGCTCGTCTTCTGATTCGTAATCACGATGTATGGAAACCCGCGAATCGCACACGCCATCGCAATCGCCGCACCCGTGTTCCCACTCGTCGCCGCGACGACCGTCATCCCCGCCTTCAGCTCTCCCGTTTCCAGCGCTCTCGCCAAAATTTCCTGCGCGATTCGATCCTTAATACTCCCGCTCGGATTCAAGTACTCGCACTTGCCATAAATCTTCACCTTTGGATTCGCACTGAATTCACTCAAATCGATCATCGGCGTCCCACCGATGAGTTGTTGCGGCACCACCGGTCCGTTCGCGATTCTCGCGTGCGTCGACCGCCAGTGCTTGGGGTCCGTCATCGTCAGGTCGCTGAACATCGTCGGCAGCGCGCGCTCGACCGCGATCTTCGACATTTCGGCGTCGATGTCGATGCTGACGTCGACGTCTTCACCGCTCGGGTAGCCGATGGACGCGCGTTTGGTCGTCGCGCGTCGGTCGCGTCGCCGCGTCGGTCGCCGCCTGGAATTCGCGTTCGCGCGCGGCCCGTGCGCGGCGCGCGCGGGCGCCGCGTGCGCGCGCTGAATCGTGCGTGTGCGCGGAGTCACCTCAGTGATCCGTCGTGTCGGCCCGGCGCGAGTCCGCCGTACGCGTCGGGCGAGCGCGTGTGACGTTCGAGCGCGCGCGGCGTTGAGGTACGGATGGCGTAGGTTTTGGTTTTGTCGTATTCGAAGGGTCTGGAGTGCTATCATAGATGGATATGGTGTGTTTATCCGTTTAATCCGTCGCCTCAGCCGCGGCTTTGGCCTTCTTCCACGCGTACGCGGCTTCGAGAAGCTTGAGCGACGGTTGCGCGGCGCCGGCGTCGTCGGGGAAGACGTAATCGTAGTACTCTTCCTGTGCGATTTCGCGACCGTCGTCGTCCTCGACGGCGCGCTTGCGCTTAACGCGCTTGGGAAGACGCGCCTTGACGTCGGCGGATTTCGAGAATTCGCTCGGTAAGGTGTCTTCGAATGACTTCCACGCCTCGAGAAGCATGACACGCTCTTCTTTGGCGTCTGGATCGATTTCTTTGAGTTCAGCGAGCGCTCGCTCGTACACGGCGCGGCTTTTCGCTTGGCGCGTCTCGAGGCGTTCGTGCTCGTCGTTCTCCGCCGCGGCGGTGGCGGCGGCTATCGCAGCGTCGTCGGCGTCGTCATCCACAACAACAATCGGTGTTGCTTCGAAGCGCGCGTAAGACATCCATACCTTGACGTGCTTCGTACGCTCGAGAAGACGCTCGTAAAGCGCGCGCGTACGCTCGCGCTCTCCCTCGGACGTCTCGAAATCGATGTACGCCTTCCAAAGTACCTCCGGCATGTCTAGCATGGCCTGATCAACCGCGAGTTCGAAAATCGAGCGCCCACGTTCGATTTCTCCGAGCGATCGCTCGAGTTCGGCGTACTTGATCCACGTCGAGCAATTTTGCGGCTCAATTTCCAAGTACTTTTCGTACAGGGTGCGACACCTGTCGACGTTCCCGAGCTGGAACTCGATCTCAATGTAAGTCGCGAATATCTTTGCCTTCGGTGCTAATCCAATGGCCAATCCAAAAATCTTACGGCACGCATCGAGTCGTCGCTGACGAAGCTCGAACTTTGCCGCCATGATCCAAATCTTTGAAAACGAAAACTCGGCGTGTGGAATCACCTTGAGGCACGCTCGGTACACCTCTCGCGTGCGTTCCACGTCTCGCGCCTCGAGCTCTTCGTAAAGCGCGTAGTTGATCCAAATATAAATGTATCGCTGCCAAAAGCGTTTTTCGTTCGCTGGCGGCACGTTGGCGATGGCGCGTTCGTACACCTCGCGCGTCTTCGCCATGTCGCCGGCGTTTTCTTCTAGTCTAATGTAATCGAACCAAGTGTCGTAGTTCAGCGGATTCTTGGACACTTCTTCCTCGTACTTGAACCGTCGTTGCCCCACAACGACGTCCTCGATCCCTTCTCGATTTCCGTGCATCTTTTCAAACTTCATAAACTCCTTGTACACAGACTCGGCTTGCTCCTTGGGCAAACGATCGAGAGCGAATTTATAAATCGCCCGAGCGCGCTCAACTTCGTGACACATCTCCTCAAACTTGGCAAAGTTGGCGTATAAGTTCCCAACCTCTGGTTCGTTCCGCAGAAACTCCACCGCGGCTTCGTACACCTCGCGCGCCTTGTCGCGTTCGCCCGACGAAAACTCAAACTTTGCCCAGCGCGTCCACGCCTTCACGTCCGGGTGCACCTGCACATACCGCTGAAAGATATCCCTCGCCCGCTCTTTCTCCCCGTACCTCTGCTCCATCTTCACATACGCGTTCCACGCCGTGTGTTCGGGTTCCCACTTCATCCATTTCTCGAAAACCTGTCTCGCCGCCGCAACCTGCCCGAGCGTCTCCTCCATGTTCACGTACTTGTACCAAAACACATCAATCCTCGGCAGCGTCGAGCACGCCCGCTCCCACACGTTCCTCGCGTGATTGATCGCTTTGTTCTTCATCTCCATCTCCGCGTACTGCAACCATATCGGCACGTCCCGTCCGTGATGTTCCAGCGCTCGCTCCCACACGCTTCGCGCCCTCGGCAAATCCCCCTGTCCCTCCTCCCACTTCGCGTACCGTATCCACGCCCGCGGTTCCCAGTACGACGACCGCACTCGATCCTCGAACTGCTTCCGCTGTTCGTATCTGTACTCCTTCAGCTCCTCCTGGTCCGCGATCTTCCGCTTCGGCGCCCCGTACACGTCCTCCGCGCGCTCCGCGGATTCGCGCACGATTTGTTCCGCGGTGATTTGCACCGGCGCGGGCGCTTTATTCTTCACCCGCGTCGCGCGAGCCGTGTCGGACATCGCGGACCGGCGTCGACCGCGGCGTCGTCGCGGCGTCCGAGCGCGCGCGGCGTCGCGCGATGTCCGACGTCGCGCGCGCGCGTCGATCGTCGTCGGCGGCGCTGATGGTCCGTGTGTTCAAGCGCGTCCGACCGATGATCCGTGTGTTAAGACGCTTCTGACTGATGAAAACTGGATGGTGTTACGCGACGGCGCGAGACGGCGACGCGACCGGATACGCGATGTCGCGCGACGCGCGCGCGACGCGACGGGCGAGAAACCTCGACGCGAGCCTGGACGCGGACGCGGCGACGCCGCGCGCGTTCGACGAACGCGCGAGCGACCGACGGGACGCGTACCTGGACAACCTGAAGTACGCGCTCATGCTGATCGTCGTGTGGAATCACGCGCTGCAGGAGTTCCTGAGAGCGCTGGACGCGCACGAGCGGCGAGGGTGGTGCGAGAGGGACGCGGTGAACGCGACGACGCACGGACACGTGCGAACGTTATATTTGGTGTTGTGCGCGACGGGGATGCCGTTGTTCGCGGGCGCGAGCGGATACCTGTCGAAGAGTTGGCTCCGCGCGGCGAGGGAGGACGAGGCGAGCGCGGTGAATTTGTTGGTGCGCGTGCGAGGGGCGTTCGGGACGCTGTTGGGGACGTACGCGGTGTGGCAGGCGTTTTACGTGGCGATTAATTATTACGACGTCGCGCCGCTGCAGTGGTGGGCGCCGGTGGGGGTGATGTGGTACTTGCTCGCGCTGTTCTTTTGGCGCATGAGCGTGCTCGTGGTGGGGGGGTTACGAAATGGGGTCATCGTGGCGCTGAGTGTGTTCATGGGGCTGTTCGTGGGGTTCACGGAGACGGCGACGACGAAGAATGGAAACGCGGCTTTCGATTGGCAGCGCGTCTTCGTGTATTCCGTGTATTTTTTCCTCGGCTGCGTCGCGTTGAAGCCGGAGCACTTGCAGCGCTTGCAGAGTATCGATTACGGTCGTCGCGCGACGTTCGGGGCGATTGTTCTCGCGGTGGCGTACGCGCTTCTCTACGTCGTGCTCAACGTCTTCGAAGAGTGCTTCGACGACGTGCAGTGGTTCATCTGGTCCATCGCGCCGTACAAGTCGTCCTCCGTGGCCGCGCAGTTCATCGACATGCTCAAACGCATCGCGCTTTACGTCTTCACCGCATTCGCCGGCTTGGGCGTCTTGGCGCTCGTGCCGAGTAAGAAGTCCTTCATCACCGCCATGGGTTCGCGAACGCTCTACTGCTATCTCACGCACATCTTGCTCGTTCGCGGGTTCAGCATGCTCATCGATCGAGTGTGGCCCGCCGCCCCACTGTCGTTCCGCCTCTCCGCGGGCGCGCTCTGGCTCCCTTTGATCGTCGGCAACGCGTTGATGGCGCAACCAGTGCTGTTTTTAAAGCCCGTCGTCGAGCCCGATTTCTCCTTTTTATCGCGGCCGCGCGGCGCCGAAAGCGTCGCCAACGTCGCGTGATGGACTTCGTCATCGTCAACCGCGAACCGTAATAACTAGCCTCTTGTATCATAAGACAGTCTTAGCCACACCGCCCGCTCGATTCGCCGCTGTTTGTCGCCCCCCGAGTTTGAAATTCGCCGCGTCTGTCGCTCTGGCTGTCGCGCCGCGCGCATCCACTGAAGAATCAACCGCACACCGCGCCGCGATGACGTCCTTCGTCCTCGCGCGAGACGCAAAGCTCGGCGCACCCGCGACGACGATCGCGCTGTGTCCGACGATGGATCTCGTCGTCGTCGCGTGCGCGAACGGCGGCACTTTAACCGCGTTTCGGTTGAACTGGAACAAACTCTGGACGAAAACCTTAGCGCCCGAGCTCGAAACGCCCACGCGCGCGACGTTTCGCCCGGACGGCAAGGTTCTCGTCGTCGGCTACGCCTCGGGAGCGATCACGGCGCACGCGACGGAGGACGGGGAGTGTTTGAGGGTGATTACGGGGCTGGAAGGCTTCGAGCGGGACGCGCGCGACGGCGCGAGCGGGACAGCGGCGGAACGGGATAAAGGCGGAGAAGGCGGAAGCGATGGGTGTGGAATCACGTGCTTACGATGGATCGACGCGCGCGAGGGAGCGGTGGTGCGCGACGAGAGTCGAGCGGCGAGGCACGGATGGAACGGCACGCGCGACGGCGCGCGGGAGAGAGAAGGCGGCGCGAGCGCGAGATTCACGGGCAAGCGCGAGTCGTGGAACGCCGCCGGGTTGGTGGATCATTTTGAAAGTACGGGCAAGTTTAGCGCCCTCGTCGCGGCGAACGCGAACGGGGTGGTCGCGATGCACGCGTTCGGGATGTTTCGCGTGGGCTTATGGCGAGACGCGTTCGCGAAGACAGGCAGCGTCGAGGCGTTGGCGTCGAGAGATGATTTTACGAGCGTTGATGCGATAGTTCGCGACGCATCGCGAAGAAAGGCTTCTTTCGCGCGATTGGACGCGGCGTACATGGCGGTGCACGTAAGAGAGGTGTATTTGGTGTCCACGCACGCTGCGCACTTGAAGACGTCACTGGAGCGCGCGATTATCGTCGTGCGGGAAGCTAGCGCGAAGTACGAGCAAGGGTACAAACGTCGTCTCGATGATCAATTTAAGCAGTTTACGGACACGTTACTCATGACAGAGATGTACGGCGAAGAAATGGACCTGTACTATGAACTTCGCGAGCGACTGTTGATGCTTTTGACGACGGGAACGTTTGACGAAGCGTTGGAGCATTTCTTTATGACCACATTCAAAATGGCGCACGTCAAGCGAATGGCGAAAGATGTAGACGTTGCGTTAACGATCGTGCACGAGCATCTCGTGAGCGTGGTCGCTCCTTTGATGGATGACATCATGCTTCGGCTGAACGCCCTGCTCGGGTTGGCGCGACTCGGTTACGGATCAGATGGCGTGGGCATCGATGAATCGCGCGTGGAAGAAGTCATAAAGATGTGTGAGCAGTTCACATTTGCCATTATCGACGCCGGGCGCGTGGTGACAAAACGAACGATGCAACTGCGTGCATTTTTCGTGTACATCATTAGAGCGCAAATCGTCGCCGAAGACGGCGACGCGCACGGCGCTCAGCTTCCGTCGCCACGTTTGGATTTAGTAAAAGAGTACTTGGATTTGGCGTTCAGCAAAAACGGCGTTTCTCAAGATTGTCTTGACTACGCACTTTCAGTGCGTCATGACCGTGTGCACACCGGCGACGGAGTATTCTTGCGCGGCGCGCAGCCTCCTCTCGAATCCATGCTACGACTCAACGATGCCCTTTCGGATGGCGAGCCGCTTTCGTTGTGTGAAACGCTCACGCGCATCACACGTGAAGTAAACGGTGTTTTAGAATCGTCATGTGATGTGTTGAGCGCAAAATGTGCGTGGACGTACGCGGATGAGGTGCAGGACAACACCGAGCAATCAGTGTTTTCCAACGCCGAAGCCGTCGAAGCGCACAGAGAAAGTTTCCACGTCGACACTTTGCGAGATCGCGTGCACATGTATCGCGCGTTTGACGATAAGTGCCTTAGAACCGCAACAGTGACAACGCCGAACGAGCTCATCGTCGACGCGTGCGCTTACAAGGGCGATTCCATCGCGCTCCTCCTCAAGCCCAAGGACGTGATGGGAGGCGCCAAGGCGCGACTCGTGCTCCTGGATGATGGCGCGTTTCAAGCGCTGCCGCGCGATGGTGCGCTGGTGGATTTGAACTCCATACAAATTCGCGAGCGCGTTTTACCCTGCGTCGAGCCGCTCGCGCCTTTAGCCGTCAGCGCGAACCGCGGCCTGGCGAGCGTTCTCGTCGGCGCTACGCGCGTTCAAGTTTACGATCTCGAGGACGACGACGAGAGCGATTCAGACGACGACGACGAATGAAAATACACGATAATTAGCTGATATAGACTAGCCCATTGTGACGGACACGCCGACGAATGTTCAAATGCGTCTTCTCGCCGAATACGGCGTTGTCCCGCCGCCTGCTTGTGCAGCACACGCCAGCGCGTCGACCGTGACGCGACGCGTGTCGCAAATTCGCTCGCGAGTTCAATGCGTCACATGTGCTCGCACGCACTTCGCGCGAGCTCGACGCGCGGTCGTGCGACGTCGCTTGTCGCGCATTTCGCGCGAAAACCTGAAGCGGTCGTTAGGCACTGGGGACATCGCGCTGGACCTGCGCCCGCGCGCGCGCAGGCTAAACACACCTATCCCGAGGACTTCTTGGACCTCGGCCCACGCATTCGAACGGTGACGCTCGACGACGATGGATTCGACGCGGGAGCGTTCGACTACGTGTGCGACGCGCGCGCGCCGAGCGAGTACGAGGACGACCACGTCCCGGGAGCGATAAGCACCCCAGTGCTTGATGACGAAGAGAGGAAACGTGTGGGAACTATATATAAGCAAGTCGACCCGTTTGAGGCGAAGAAACTCGGGGCAGCGCTCGTGGCACAAAACTTGAGTAAGATAATTGATGAAAATTTCATGGCTTGCGAAAAGTCGACGAAGATTTTAGTTTATTGTTGGCGCGGCGGTGAGCGGTCGCTCAGTCTGGCGCACGTGCTCAGCAGAATTGGTTTTGATGTTCACTTTGCCCCCGGCGGGTATAAACGTTACCGAGCTGGCGTGCTCGAATGGTTGCGAGGGATGGATCAATTTTCCTATCACGTCGTCGCGGGAAAAACCGGTTGTGCAAAGGGTAAGTTATTGGACGCTCTCGAAGCCGCGGGTGCGCAGGTGATCGATTTAGAAGTGATGGCAAATCATCGTGGCTCGATTCTAGGGGAAGAACCCGGCGCACGCGAGCAGCCAAGTCAAAAACTTTTTGACTCTCGCATCGCGTGCAAGGCGCGCCGGTTCGATCCCACAAGGCCCGTGTTCGTCGAGGGCGAGAGCTCAATGATTGGAAAAGTCCAAGTGCCCAGCACGATGTGGTCAGGCATGCGCAAAGGAGCGGTGACACAGCTGGAGATACCCATGTCGGAGCGCGTGAAGTGGATTCGAGCGGGGTACCAGCACTTTGAGACGACGGAGACGGATCGCTTGTTGGAGTGTATAGATGTTCTCGTGAAGCGCGTCGGACACGAGAGGGTGAATGCGTGGAAGGCGCTCATCGCCGGTGGAGACTGGGATGCTTTCGTGCAAGATATACTAGAAGAACACTACGACTCGGCGTACGCCGCAGCCGCGGCTCGATCGCGCCCGCAGGAAGTCGAAAACGCAAAACCACTGTTCCTCGAGAATACGAGCGATGAGACGTACGAGCGAGCGGCGAAGGAGCTGATGCGCGTGTACGATCCCAAGAGCGGCGTGTGAACTATATATATTTAGCTATTGTTAGATTTCGTAGTATTTAAAGAGCCGTCGATCTACTCGTCGTCATCCATGTCACCGACGTTCGCGCCGCTGACCATCCCCGGAATAGCTGAAAGCCGCGCTTGTCGCTGAGCCGCTAACCGGCTTTGCTCTTCCTCTGCAAAATCCACGCTGCTAAATTGTTTCGTCTGCACTAAGAAGTCCCTCAACGTTGACTTGAACGCCGCGAGGTCATTCTTGCATTGGAACATCGCGAGAACTAACGTTTGAACTTCAGCTGGTGGCATGTTCGGGAACGAGGTGCACAACAACTGCGCGCAGTGCTCTTGAACGAAAGCCGCGTTGGACGGATAAGCGCCCGCCCCCTTCGCCGCAACGTCCCAAAGAGGCGCACTCAATTGATCACTTTCGCTAATAGTGAAGAGATTTTGCAGAATGAGAGCGTGCAATTTGAAACCTGGCTTGTGAAAACCATCCGTCATGACGGCGAAGACCTCGCTCATCGTCATCAAGTAGAAGCTTTGGTGGAATTGATTGCAGTATTCGGAGAGTTGAAAGTACTTCATCATCTCCAAAAGTAAGTTCAAACCTTCATCCGCGACGTTGCGCTCGGTGTGACGGAATGCCCAGACAATGGAATCAATGATGAGTTTCAAATGCGCCGGGCTCAACGCAACGAGAGCTCGGAAGCAGTGATTCGTTACCGAACGAAGAAGCAGGAAGAACTTTAGTCGATGATCGGGGAAGTCCTCAAAGTTCTTCGTAATCATCGACAACGTGCACTCAAACACGGCGTCGAAGATCTTCGGAATTTCATCGGTCATCGCAGTCTCCACCTTATTGATGATTGCCGCGAAGAGCGACAACACCTCGGCGTCGCGCGCGTCCGGAATGTTCCGCGCATAGTCACCCAAGATGGGATCGTACATCTGCGGCACGAGCTGCTGCGCGACGAGATGCGGGTCGTCGCAGCGTTCGACAAATGTTTCGATGAGTCGAAGAACTTCTCGTTTGACGGAGCGCAACAACTTGACAAAGGACGACTTACTTGCGTACGGCCCGCCTTCCGCGATGCTTTGACTGACCAATTCGCTGTAAAGCTTGTAAACGTTCAAAACATCCGCGTAAATGGCTGACATTTGGTTTTGGAACGGTTGGCCAAGAGACATGCAAAAGTGCGTGTTCGACTTGAGAATGTTCAAGATGTTTTTGATGACGTCTTGATTCTTCAAGCACTCACTATTCTGGCGCGCCTGAGTCATGATTTGTTGCCACTGCTCATTGGGAGGCGCCATCAATCGCTGCACGTACTCTTCTCTCTTCGCCGGGTTCAACTCGCTGCCGATCATGTGACCGACAGATTCGTAGAACGTGTGCACTTGATGCGGCTCTAAGTCGCGAATAGTGTCAGACAGTCCTCGCAAAAGTTCGTCGACGAACGGCTCCGTCTCGCCAACTTGTAAAATGACAAATTTGCGCTTGCATTTCATGGAGATCTTCAGAAACGTATCGCACGCCATATCCTGCACACCCGGATGCGTCTCGTGCATGAACTCGAACAGCTTGTTCACCACGGTCTTCAAGAACTTCCAATGTAGACGTAAGAAGCGCGGGTACTGTCCGACAACGTACATGATGTTTGACGCGATGACGGCTTTGTGGTCCTTCATGCGCATGATTTCGCACAGGTTGAGCAAGTCTCGAATGGCGGTCACCAGAAATCGGTTCTCTTGATCCTCTTGCATGGATCCACTGATCGAACCGATGGCCCAACAGAGCGTGTTCAACGTATGCCACGTGTACTCACGACCGTTGAGCTGCGCGTGCAGTTTTTCGAGCATTTGCGTTTCGGTATCCTTGTGGTCGAGATGCGCAAGGTAAATCAGAGTCTCGCGCATAATCTTGTACTGCACCAAGACGTCGTTATCCTTCAAAGTTTCTCGCACGATGTTCCCATTTTCATCCTCTACGATCAAAACCTCCTCCGGTTTGGCCATGCGCGAAATCATCAGCAAGCGCAGTTTGCTAAACGGCGCGGCGTACAGCACTCGACGGTTTACGCCTCGCTCGTTTTGAGCGACGACATCTCCGCCGAATCGGAAGTCCCCGGCATCACCGCCTTCGGATTGGAACACATCACACACCATGAAGTGCCAGTAATCGAGGCAAACCTTGAAAACTTCAGGTTCTTCCACGTAGGAAATGTTCAAAAGATACTCGATGCCGATGAGCATCGATTGCTGCAACTCGGCGGTCGATTCCAAGAGCACGATGTGAGCTTTGAAAAATTGAGTGAGGAAGATGCCCAAGTTTTGCACAAACGCCTGCTCGTCATCCGTACCGTTGGCGTACGCCTGGGCGATGTTCACGCCGCGAGGCAAGATGCCCAGCAGGTGTTCCACGGCGACGGTGTAGAGCTTGATGAAGTGCGCGTCGTATTTCGCCTCGACGTTCAAACCACCAATCTCCGACAGACAGAGGAATGCGATGTTGCGATACGCCGGATTGGGCGCGAGCGCGAGCAAGGTGTCCAACAACGACGACTCGAAGATGTAACCGAGAGGTATCCACGACAAGAACGCGTTGAGCGTCGTGAGCGTCGTCTTTATCAACTCTGGTTTTTGCGAATGCGTCAGGACAAACTCGCACAGCTCGTGAATCATCTTGAACTCGCTGTTCAAAGAAGTCTTCAGCGCTCTAATTTTGTCTTGCGTCATCTCCCCTCGACTGAAATCGAAAACTTCCTCCGACAGCAATTTCAAGATGCTCATGCAGTTTTCGCACAGCGACTCGCTCGTCCTCGCCGCGCCCACCAAATCCGGAATGAAACTCTGCCAGCGATGCGGCCAATCGTGTTTCAAAATCTGCACCAGCACGTTATTGATCTTGTTGATGTACGCCCGATCCCGCCTAAACGTCGTCTCATCGGCGCTCAACTTGATGATCAAATTGCTCACGAAATTTTTGATCCCCTCGCGTTGGTCGTTCGGCAACAACCCCCATCGGTACTTGATCACCCCATCCAGCACTTGCAGCGCGAAAAACTTCGTATTCGCATTCTTAGACGTCTCCAAGATCCCATCCACGCGCGTCCACGTCTGTTCGTGCTCTTGCAAACTCTGCAAAATCTTCTCCGCCTCCGCGCGCTGTCGCCGTCGAGTCGAACCGTCTTCGTCAGTCCTCAAATTCTCGTCGCCCGTCCCGATCCGCGCGTTTTCGCGTCCGCGCGTCCTCCCCTCGCGTCGCGCGTCGCGCGTCGCGCCGTCCACGCCTTCGCTCCGCGCCTTCGCTCCGCGCCTTCGCTCGCGCGTCGATCATCTCATCGATCCCCCCCCCCCCCTTTCGTCCCTCCGCGCGCCCTCGCGCGTTCGCGCCCCGTCCATCGACGTCCCATCGTTCGTCCTCGCCTTCGATCCCGTCTCGGCGCGTCCCGCGCCCGCTTCCGCGCCCTTTCCGTCCCGATTCGTTCGTTCGCGCGTTCGATTCGTCGCACCTTGCCAGAGTCACCGCCGTAGAATTGCTCCACCACCTCGTCCAGCGCCGCGACGTCGCCGTCGAGCACCGCGCGCGCGACGTCCATCGCGTCGTCGCGCCGTCGCGTCGTCGCGATCGCGAGCGCGCGCGCGTGTGCCGGCGGTCGTCGCGACGTCCCGCAACGACTCGATCGAGCGCCGCACTTCGCGTCGTCGCGCCGCGACGGCGCGCGCGATGCTCGAGCGCGCGCTCGAACGCGCGCCGCTCGACGTGCGCGTCGCCGCGGCGGCGGCCCGCGCGACGGGCGACGCGCGACGCGACGACGCGAGCGACGAGGCGCGCGTGCCGGAATTCGCGTTCGACGAGGCGCGACGGCGCGACGACGCGAGCTCGTCGAGCGCGTGGACGACGAGCGAGAGCGACGAAGACGATGGGTCGACGTCGTGCGAGAGCGTGAGCGCGAGGGACGTGCCGAAGTGGTTGGCGCGCGCGCGCGACGGGGGGGACGACGACGACGACGACGAGGACGGCGAAGACGGCGACGCGCCGCCGAGGACGCGGAACGAGATCGCGAACGACGACGGGGCGGTGACGCCGGTGGCGGCGATCGGGAGCGACGAGACGATCGAGGCGGTGGGACGGGTGGTGTCGGTGGTGGGACGGACGATGGTGGTGCAGAGCGGGAGGGGCGACGCGACGCGCGAGCGAGAGACGGATCTGGACGGCGTCGACGAGACGCTGGACGAGGAGAGCGTGCTGTGCACGCGCGATCGGCGAGGGTTGGGAGCGATCGAGGAGGTGTTTGGACCGGTGAGCGCGCCGCTGTACGCGCTGCGGTTGCCGGAGGAGGTGACGGCGGAGACGGGGGACGAGGTGTTCGTCGTCGTCGGGCGGTCGAGGAGGATTCCGAACGTCGCGAGGTTGTATAAGAAGGGGTACGACGCGAGCGGTAAGGATGACGAGGAAGTGGTCGAGGAGGAAGAGTTCAGCGACGACGAAGAGGAAGCCGCGGCGAAAGCGGCGCGGAAAAAGGCGAACGGAAAGAAGCGATCGTCCGGCGCGCGCGGCGGCGGCGCCAAGCCGTCGCCGATGGGCGGCGGCGGTATGTTCGGCATGCGCGGGCTTCCGCGACCGCCACCGCCGCCGCCGAGCGCGGCAATGGGACAGATGGGCGTCGGCGGCGCGCCGCCGCCACCGTCCGCCGCTGGGCAGCCGATGATGTACGTGCCGGTGCGATACGACGCGCGAGGGCGACCGACCATCGTGATGCCGCCGGCGCGCGGACCGCCGCCGCCGCCGCCGCCGCCACCGTCCGCGTGAGCGAACGCGTTCGTCGATTTAATATTACAATACCGTTCAGTTTAGCGCGCCATCACACGTACAGGGACTCGCGCTCGTTCGCCGCCGCTGCCGGCGTCAATCTCGCCGCCGCGTCCTCGTCGTACGCGCGCGCCGTCGCGAACGCGCTCGCCTCCACCGCCCGCCCCAACCGATGCCTCACCGCCATCGCCGCTCGCCCGCCGTCCGCGTCGAACTTCCCCGCCTCGTGTGCCGGCGCGTACAGCACCCTCGTCTTCGTCCCGCGCGCCTCCAACGCCCGCAGCGTCGTCGCCAGCGCGCCGCCGTCTCGCGCGTCGAGCCCTCGCGCGCCGAGCGCCCTCGCCACGATCCCCTCCGCTCGCGACGCCCGCGCGCCGTTTCGCGCGTCTTCGAACGCGAGAAACGCCTCCGCGTCGTCCACCTCGCGCGCGTCCCGCTCGAGCGCGTCGTCGCGCACCGCCACGACGAAGCACGCCTCGTCCAGCGCGTCGTCGCCCGCGAGCGCGTCCAGCGCGTCGATCGCCTCCAGCGCGACGCGCGCCGCGTCCGCGCGGTCGACGCGCGCGTTCAGCGCGACGAAGGCGTCGTCGCCGTCGCGCGCCGCGCCGAGCGTCGGCGTCGCCGTCGCCGTCGCGCGCGCGTCGTCGTCGTCGAAATCATCGTCGACGACGGCGCGCGACGATCGCGCGCCGTCGTCGTCGCGCGCGACGTCGCGCCACGCGCGATCGCGCGCGAATCCGCCGAGGACGATCGCGACGCCCGCGCGCGCGCAGTCCGCGCCGCCGACGAGCGCGCGCATCGAGCGCGCGAACGACGCGGCGTCGCGGTTTGACCGCGCGCCGAGTCGAATCGTCGAAAAAACGCTTTTTCGAAAACGCACGCGGCGCGCGGAAACCGCGCGACCGACGCGCGAGACGACGACGCGTCGCGCGCGCGCGCGATCGAACGCATGTATGGATTCGAGCGCGCGACGTCGTACGCGACGGCGCGACGGCGCGCGGCGGAGACGGCGCGAAGACGCGACGCGAGGGTCGTGCTCGAGGATGCGAAAAAGATTCGAGCGGCGATCGAGGGCGCGCGCGCGGACGCGATGGATCGCGCGCGCGACGGCGACGAGGACGAGCGCGACGACGATGACGTGAACGACGCGCGTCGCGCGCTGGACGACGTGGAGGCGGCGCTTCGCGAGGACGCCGAGGCGAGCGCGCGGGAGGGGCTGGACGAGGCGAAGCGAGACGCCGAGGTGCGCGCGATGACGGCGGCGGCCGAGGCGCGCGATCGCGATCCGAGGGTCGTGGAGCTGATGGAGGACGCGAGGAACGCGATGGTGGCGCCCGAGGGCGCGCCGCGCGCGCGGGCGGCCGCGGTCGCGTTCGCGGAAAAGGTGGAGCGCGCGTTGGCGATTGAACCAGAGTACTACGAGGCGTCGCTGCAGCTGGGCGCGGTGTATCGCGCGCAGGGGTACGTCGCGCGCGGTCTCTCATGCGTGCGATCGACGTACGAGCACACGCCCAGTTGCGTCGCCGCGTACGTATTCGCGGGACGAATGTGCGAAGATCTGGGGTTGTACAATCACGCCGAGGAGGAGTACGCCAAGTGCGTCAACGTCGCGTTTGACTATCCAGACGCGTGGATCGCGCTGGCGCGACTGATGTGCGTGCAGTTCGGCGCGATCGCGAGTGCGGTGAAACTCATGCGGTTGGCTAAATCAGGAGGTCCCGAGGGTAAGTTCGTGAGACCGGGTAAGCATCCGCTGTTGTTGTTCACGCTCGCGCACGCGCTGCATCTCAACGGCTACGCCGCCGAGCCGACGAGTTTGTACACGCAAGCGCTCCACGCGGGCGCGGGAATCATGGCGGTATATCCGCTCGCACGCTTAGCGTGCGATGGTGGAGACGATGAGAGTGTGGAGGCGTACCGCGAAATGTGGCGGAATGCGCGCGAGTCGGTCGCAGAAGCCGAGCGCGGCGAAGATTCCCTCTTCGCTTCGCTCGACATGTTCAACAGTGTGAGCCACGGCGCTCATTGGCACGAACTCCTGACATCGAAAACGCGAGCGCACGAGGCTATCGCGCAGTACGACGGCACTGGCGCGGTCTCATCGCCCACGTTGGTCACGAGTGAGAACATCGATGAAAACTTGAGCTCTGGCGACGCGAATCGTCTCTACGTTCTCAAAGGCGAGCACGTGAAATTTCCAGGCCTTTTCAAACAGCGCAAGAATCGCATCGGGACGCTGGCGTATTTTCGCGAGGAAATCATCGACTCGTCGTCGCGACGATCGCGAGGTGGGCTCATCGCACAGCGACGCGTCGAGGACTGCGTGACGGACGAGCTCGGTCGAAAGTGCTCGGTACGCGTCCGCGCGGCGTTCGTTCCCGATCGCGAACCGAGCTTCGACGTCGCGTACATCGCGCAATACGTGTCAGTGCACTCCACGGTGCGCGAGTACGGCGATGGCGTGATTTTGGGTGACGAATACGACGACGAGCTGTTCTTGCGCGAGTTCACAAATCGAGGCTTGAGCGGCGACGAAGCCTCCGCCGTGGTGCGAGAAGTCGACATCGATGACTTGTGCGCGCGCTTGCTTGGATTGGACGACATTTCAAAGACTATGATCGCGCAGTGTCAAACCGTCGTGCGCGCTTTCCGCGCGCGCGTCAGGGAAGAACGGAACGTCATACAAGACTCGCATTACGCCGGATACGCCGCCGTCGGCGCTCCGGTATTCTTCGAGCTCGAATTCGTCATAGAAAACGGAGAAAAGCCCCTTCCTTGGCTCATCGGCGTCCACGGCGAGCCGCGCTTCGCGCTCGAGCGCGAGCGCGCGTTCGTGCACGACGTCTGGTCCCGAACTTTCGACGGGCTAGACGGCTCTGGAAGTCAGTGTCGCGGCGGCGCGGTTCGCGACGTCGTCCGCTTCGCGGAATCTATTTGAGTACGCTTGTAACTATTTCTCAGCGACGTTCGAGGACCCGACCGCGCGGCGAGCGCGTCACGACACTCACGTCCCCCGCAGTTTATCCAACCGCGGCGCCGGAAACGATTTCTTCGCCGGCGCGACCTCGCCGACGACTTTCGTCGCCGCGCCTCTCGGCGCCGGAACGTTCGCGTTCGCCTTCGTCAAAACTCGCGGTTTCGGCACCGCGCGCGCCGCGCCCGTCCCCTTCGCGCGCGCATCGCCGCAATCATCCTTCGCCCGCGCCGGCGCCGCGCGCGCGAGTCGCAAACTCCTCCGTCGCTTCCCCGCGCGTTCCGCGCCGTCGCGCGCGTCCGCGCCGTCCCTCGTCCCGAACGCCGCGTCCGACCCGCGCTTCCTCGCGCCCACCACCGCGCTCGGCGACACCAAGAAAAAGCTCGTCGACGCGTCCTCGTCGTTCGCGCTGCGCGCGTCCGTCGTCTCGCGTCAGTCGTCGCGTCGAAACTCAAAAACTCAAACAACTCAAACAACTCGCGCGCATCCGTCGCGCGTCCGTCGCGCGTCGCCGCGTCCTCGACCCGCGGTCGTCCATCGCGCGGTCGTCCTCGACGCGCCTCGCGCCGTCGTCGTCCGTCGCGCGCGCCGTCGTCGCGCACCTCTGCTCTCGAGCCATCGCGCGCGCGTCGACGTGTGCGGCGGCACCGCGCGACGCGCGACGGCGCGCGCGATGGACGCCGCGGCGCTTCGGACGGTGCGCGCGCGACGCGACGCGACGCGAGCCCGCGCGACGCGACGCGAGCCCGCGCGACGGCGCGCGCGCGCGACGACGACGACGAAACCGCGACTTTGACCGACGACGACGACGACGACGACGACGACGCGCGCGCGCGACGGACGCCGACGACGAAACCGCGAGACTGACGACGACGACGACGACGACGACGACAGGCGGACGCGGACGGCGACGGCGTCGTGAACGCGGAGGAGACGGCGAACGCGGAGGCGCGCGCGAGGGAGGACGAGGCGCGACGCGGCGCGGCGCTCGCGAGCGCGCTCGAACCCGCGGCGAGAGAGCGACTGAGCCGAATAGCGATCGTGAAGCCGGAAAAAGCGCGAGCGCTCGAGGAGAGCATACTTCGCGCCGCGCGGGCGGGACGCGTGCGCAGGGTGAGCGAACAGGCGTTGATTGGAATGTTGGAAAACGCGGCTGGCGGCGCGAGCGGCGCGGCGAGCGGACGCGTGGGTAAAATTAACTTTGATCGTCGTCGAAACGCCTTCGACGAGGACGATGAGCTGTAGCCTCGACGAACGCCGATTGATTTGAATTGTGATGCGAGACGATGGTCGTTTCATTCGTTTTATGAAGATTGGCGAGCGCGCGCGGCGGGTCGGCTTCGAACGCACTGCGCGCCTCGCGCGATGTCCCGCGCCGACCCGATCGACGTGCCCGCGCTCGAGCGCGCGCTCGAGCGTCTAAAAACTATCCACGCCGACGACGCGCGCGCCGAGGACCGCGCGCGCGCGCTCGAGCGCGAGAACGTCGAGCTCAAACGTTTGGTCGAATCGCTGCGTAATCGTCCCGATGTCGACGCCTCGGCGCCGTCGTCGCGCGCGCGCGGCGTGCGCTTCGAAGACGAGGGCGTCGAGCCAATCAGCGTGCACCGGAGCGAGAGCACGGAGTCGCTCACGACGAGCGCCAGGGAAAAGCGGTTGGCTGGCTTCCGCACGAAGAGTCACAAATTCGTCGTTCGCGAGTGCGACGAGCAAGGCGAAGGATTCACGAGCAGCGCGGGCGGCGGCGAGGCCGACGACGATAGCGATGGATTGGACGATGGCGTAGAGCCGCCGTGTGGGCGAGGGCGGGCGAGCGCGCAGTCGTTGATCGAATCGCCGCCGTCGGCGTCGGCGGAGGCGCGAGGGACGCTCAAGGCGGCGTTCGAGTTGGTGCTGGCGAACGACGAGGGAGTGGAAGTCCTGGAACCGCTCGATAGAAAGATCCGCACGAAGCAGAAAGGTTTGCCGCACAGTAAGTTTTCCTGGCTCGAGGCGCCGAGGAATGCGCTTGTGGTGAAGAAGATTCACGACGCCGCGGCGGCGGAGATGATGATTCGCGCGACGCGCGTGCTGAAGAGTAAGGGCGTTACCGCTTGGCTCGAACGCGCGGTGTGGGATGAGTTCGCCGAGTTACAGGGTGATTGTCAGACTTGGGATGCAGGCGATGCAAGCTTTCATCTGGATGAGATTATCGATTTCATCGTCGTCTTGGGCGGGGACGGCACGATTTTGTGGGCATCAAAGTATTTCCCGAAGGCGATGCCCCCCGTGGTGCCTTTCGCCATGGGTTCGCTCGGATTTCTCACGTCGCACAGGGTGGATGACATGGAGAAGAAACTCGCTGTCGTGATGCAGGGAGATTTTACGATCTCGATGCGAAGCCGACTCGTGGCTAAAGTCGTCTCAGCCGAAGGCGTGTCGTCGCAGTGGCGATACGTCCTAAACGAAGTTCTCATCGATCGCGGTCCGAAGCCGGTCATGGTCGAGCTCGATATCGCAGTCGACGGTTATCACGTCACCAAAGTCGCCGCTGATGGCGTCATTTTAAGCTCCCCCACCGGGAGCACGGCGTACTCGCTCGCCGCCGGCGGCTCCATGGTGCATCCCGGCGTACCGGCGCTGTGCGTCACCCCGATTTGTCCGCACTCCCTCTCTTTCCGCCCCATCGTTCTGCCTGACTCCGTCGTGGTCACCATCACGTGCCCGCGCGACGCTCGCAACACCGCCTGGGCCGCGTTCGACGGCAAATTCCAAACCGAGCTCGCCCGCGGCGACGCCGTCGTCGTGCGCGTCGCCGGTTTTCCCGTCCCGAGCGTGTGCAACGCCAGCGAAAACAACGATTGGTTCGCCGCCGTTAAGCAGGGATTACTCTGGAACGCCCGCGGTGCCGATCAAAAGCCCATAGAACGAAAGACTTAGCCCGCGGCGACGTTTGCCTTGTAACTCGCGCCTCGCGCCTCAGCCGTCCCAGACTTCGACGCGCGATGAGCACAAACGCCGCGGGACTGTCTCAGCCCTCCGGCCCCGCCGCGTGGAAAGGCTTCGCGAGCGGCTCTTTGGGCGCCATGGCGTCGGGCGCGGTGACGCACCCGATAGACCTCGTCAAAGTTCGCATGCAGCTCAGAGGCGAGGTGGATAAAGCGGCGGCCGCCGCATCTTCGCGCGCCTCGACGCGCGCGCCGGGGATGGTGTCCACGTTCGCGCACGTCCTGCGAGTGGAAGGTGCGCTCGGACTTTACAAAGGGCTCACGGCGTCGCTGATGCGACAGGCGTCGTTCATAGGGACCAAGTTCGGGGCGTACGACGCGCTCAAGGCGGCGCTGCGAAGCGAAGGCGACGAAAAGTTGCCGTTTTGGAAGATGACGATGTGTGGGATCGGCGCGGGCGCGATCGGCGCGGCGGTTGGAAATCCAGCGGACTTAGCCATGGTGCGGATGCAGGCCGATGGACGGTTGCCGGTGGAGTTGCGAAGGAATTATCGCAACGGCGCCGACGCGTTGATGCGAGTGGCGAGAGAGGAAGGCGTCGGAGCGCTCTGGCGAGGGTGCGCGCCGACGGTGAATCGAGCGATGATCGTCACGGCGAGTCAGATGGCGGTGTACGATCAAGCCAAGCATTACATCGTCGAGCACACGTCGTTAAACGATGGATTGTTGGCGCAAACCGGGGCGTCGTTTGGCGCCGGCGTCGTCGCCGCGCTGACGTCGAACCCGATCGATCTCGCCAAGTCGCGCTTGATGAGCATGAAAGCCGACGAACACGGTAAAATGCCGTATTCTGGGACGTTAGATTGCATCGCGAAGACGGTCAGACGCGAGGGCGTGTTCGCCGTGTACAAGGGGCTCGTCCCGACCACCGCTCGGCAGGTACCGCTCAACATGGTGCGGTTCGTGAGCGTGGAGTGGATGAAGCGCTTGCTTGAGCCACTGTGAGTCGCACCCACGGTAACACTTCGTTCGCGTCCGTTGTCGCGCGTTGCTCGACGCGTAATAGCTTATTTAATTTCTAGCACGAGTTGGTTGGTACGCCGCGTCCCGCCGCCACAGTTCGCCTCCCTAGAGCGATCGCTCGAGCGACATGACCTCCGCATCCGCGGAGGCGGTGTTGAACCTCGAAAACATCGCGCGCGACATCTACGAGCGCCCCGATCGCGCGTCCGCGCTCGCCAGGGACGCACACGTGGAGTATTTGCTCGGTGGCCTGAGAACGCTCCCGACCGCTTTCACCTCGCTCGACGCCTCGCGGGCGTGGGTCGTGTACTGGTGCGTGCACGGACTCGCACTCCTCGGTGTGGACCTACGCGAGCGCGATGAAGCGCTGGCGTCGGACGTCGTGCGGTTTTTGAGGCGCTGCCGAAGTCGACGCGGCGAGCGCGCGTGCTTTGGCTTCGGCGGTGGTCCGGGACAGATGCCGCACATCGCGACGACGTACGCGGCGACGTGCGCGTTGGTGACGATCGGCACCGATGAGGCGCGCGAGGCGATCGTAGGGGCGGATTTGAGGGCTTTTTTGTTGTCTCTGAAGGATTCGCGCACGGGTGGCTTTCGCGTGCACGAAGGCGGCGAGAGCGATACGCGAGGATGCTACGCCGCGTTGGCGACCGCGCACTTGTGCGGAGTCCTCGATGAAGAGTTGACGCGTGGTGTGAGCTCATTCGTGGCGAGCTGTCAGAGTTACGAGGGTGGTATCGGTGGCGAGCCGCGTGGGGAGGCGCACGGCGGTTACACGTTTTGCGGGCTCGCGGCGTGCGCGTTGGCGGGCGACATTGGGGCGTTAGATCTAGCGAGTCTCGAGCGCTGGTTGGCGAACAGGCAAGGAGAGATCGAGGGCGGGTTTAATGGTCGAACGAACAAACTCGTTGATGGGTGCTATTCGTTCTGGCAAGGTGGTTGCTTTCCGCTGTTGGCCCTCGCGAACTCGCACCTTCTCGAACAGTTTATTCACCAAAGCCGACACGTGGTGACACCAGAAGGCTCTCAAATCGATCCAAGAGATTTCGCATTCAATGCTCGTCCCATGGGTGCGTGTGCGGCGACTTTGTTTACGCCCGCAGAGTTTCCGTCGTCGATCCCTGCGCCGGCTCCGTTTGCGAACGGCGCCCTGCAAGGGTGGATTCTGGATTGTTGCCAATCCGAACAGGGTGCGGGCGGGTTGCGCGACAAGCCTGGAACGGGTCGAGATCACTATCACACGTGTTATTGTCTCAGCGGCTTGAGTCTGGCGCAGCATTTCGGACGTTGTGGCGTTGTTGAGGTAGTCGGACCGACGGAGTCGAACGCGCTCGTAAAGCTCGAACCTCTCGTAAATGTCGTCGAGCACAAGTACACGGCTTGGATGAGTAGAAAGCACTAGAAACTAGAATTAATTAATTCGCTATAGGTATAGAAGTTAGCGGCTTCGGCGGCCGGGCCGCGCGACGAGAAGCCTTACCACGACGATAGCAGCAGATGCGGTGGCGGTGCGCGCAATCGACGTCAGCGGCGACGAAGCGTGCGCGTCGATCGCGTCACGTTGCGATTGAGCTTTCTCGAGCTCGTCGCGAGCCAACAGATCGTCGTAAGCGTTTTCTTTCAACGCGTTCAACACGTACGCATCTCTCTGCGCCACTTTGAGTTCGCTTTGTTCTAAAATCCATCGCTCAAACAAGTTACGAAACAACCGCACCTTGCATCGAATACGCACCACTGAAATAACCACGCAGCCCGCACGCTCGACCGTCGTGGACCGCTTACCCCGTTTCGTCTTTGAGTTCGCACTCGGTTCGCGATCGACGTATCGCTCCTCCACGGTGAACTCCATCACGTTCGCGCCCAACGTCGGGACGACGCGCGTCGTTCTCGACAGTGTCTCCGGGTCGAATTCCGAATACTCCGTGTACGCCTGCGACTTGCGCGCGAATCGAGCCATCCATTTTGGCAATCGCAGCGTCGGTTCGCTGTACGCCTTACGATGTAATCGCCGCGGTCGCGGGTATTCGTCGACGTTGTCCCAGACCCGCATGCCCAATCCATTGACGTGCACGTCGCGCTGAAACGCGCTCGAGAGCATTAAATCGTAGTATTGACGCGCGGACACGGGGTAGAGGGTGTCATATCGCGCCTCGCGAGGCATCGGGCGACACGCGCGCGAGCGCTCCTCGAGGCTCCGCGGTGTGCTGCTTCCACAAAAAGCGCTATCCAGAAATAGCTCGGCGACGCCGCGATCATCGACCGCGACCGATCAATCCACAACTCGCGATTGATTAAAAGAGCACTAAGGGCTATACGAATACGCGTCGTCGTGCGCTGGTGAATCGCCGACGGCGTCGCTTCGAGTCTTTATTTCAGCGAAGCGCGTCGCGCGAGCGGCACGTCCGAGTCCGAGTCCTCGTCGTCCAACGCCACCGTCGGTTTCACCTGTTCTTCACTCACCGCTTCCGTCTTCACCTCCGATTTCGGTTCCTTCTTCACCGTGGTCGTCTTTTTCACCGCAAGCTTCGGCACCGCTCTCCCCTTACTCTTCAAAAACCGCTTGTACGCGTCCGCCTGCGCCTCGGCGTCCTCGAGCAACCCGTGCTCCATCAACCACACCTCCGCCATCACGCTCTTCGGATTCTGTCGCCTCAACGACGCGTAAAACTTCCTCAACGGATCCGTCTCGTCCGGCGCGTCCCGCTTCTGTCCGTGCAATTCGTAATCGTTCTTCGGCGCCTCCGCCTTCGCCGTCGCCTTCTTCTTCGTCGCCGCCTTCTTCTTCTTCGTCGCCGCTTTCTTCTTCTTCGCCGCCGGCTTCTTCACCCCCGCCGGTTTCTTCGTCCCCTTCCCCGCCGGTTTCTTCCCCGTCGCCGTCGTCTTCGGCGGCATGCCGTCGTCCGTCGTCCGTCGTCCGTCGCGCGCGCGATCGATTCAAACTGAATTCCGCGCCCGTGAATTCGCCGTCTCGCGCGCGTTCGCGCCTTCGCGCGCCCTCGTCGCCGCGTCGTCCGTCGCCGGTGCGCGCGCGCGCTCGATCGCGCGCGCGCGTCGCGTCGACGCGTGCCGCGCGCGCGCCGCGCGCCGCGCGCGGGGCGACGCGACGCCGCGCGACGCGCATCGCACTGGGCAAACAGTCCGCGGGGTGACCGAATGTCCGAACACCTGTTTACACCGCGCGACCGCGGTCGATCACGTAATCCGCGCGCACGCGATCCCATGAAAAATCAAATCCAGAGATTCTCTGGCAGAGAATCGACCGTTCGTCGGCGACGGGGACGAACGACCGCGCGCGTCAAACGCGCGCGCGCGACGCCGACGACGATGCGGACGCGGACGCGGACGCGGCGAGGCGCGCGCGGCGAGGCGCGCGCGACGCGCGACGCGCGATCGCGGCGAGGCGCGGCGAGGCGCGCGGACGCGGGGTCGAACTCGAACGTCGCCGCGGGCCGCGCGAATTCGACGACGACGACGACGACGACGACGACGACGACGGCGGCGCGGGGCGGGATCGGACGGCGCGCGCGCGCGCGGACGATGGCGCGGATGATGGTGGAGGCGATGGTCGTCGTCGCGATCGGGTCGCGATGGATCGGCGTCGACGCGCAGGTCCTGTGCGCGCCCAACAACGCCACCATCTGTACGACGGGCGCGTTCACAGGGCAACATAATCGGGATTCAAGCTCGGGATGCAATATGTGCTCGACGATAAAGCACTGCTTAGCCCACGATGCGACCGGCGCTTCGTGTGGAACAGTGACTATAGGTGGCGTTACTTATGCCATTCCCCCTATAAGCTCGTGGGACGTGTCGAACGTCGTCAGTTTCAAGGGTGTCTTCGCGGATTCTGAATACGCCACTGATCAAAGTTTCGGTAATATTCCGTACAGAACAAACCAATTCAACGCCAACCTGGGCGGATGGACCATAAACACAGCGTCAAATGTGCAAGTGACAATGTGGGACATGTTCAGAGGCGCGAGTTCGTTCACCGGCGCGGGCATCGGCGCTTGGAACGTCACCAAAGTCACTGATTGCGAGGGTATGTTTGACAACGCCAGGTCGTTCAATGAAGATATCTCTAGTTGGAACACAAACGCGATCAATTGGTTCACTGATATGTTCAAAAACGCCGTGAATTTTGATCAAGATATCACAGGTTGGCCGCACGGTGGGACCAATAATGTCAACGATATGTTCGAGGGCGCGACCAAGTGGCTTGAGAAGTATCGCAGAAACGATTGGACGACGTTGAAGGCCGGACCAGCCTCTGCCTGGACGGGACCGTCGCCGTTTACGAGTAAAACGGCCTTGAAAACCGCGGTGGACAACTGTCTCGCCGCTTCGCCTTCTGGGGCGTGCAACTGCAAATTGCAGAGCGTAGACTGCGGAAGCGGCGAGGGCGCGCCGATACGTCTATGGCGCGTTGAACAACTTACGGACTTATCGGAGGTTTTTCGAGGTAAGACATCGTTTAACGCGGACATCTCGGCGTGGAATACGGCTCTTGTGACGAGGATGAACTTTATGTTTCAAGAAGCCGCGGCGTTCAATCAGGACATCTCTTCTTGGAACACGAACAACGTGCAGAAAATGAGGTACATGTTTTATAGAGCGTCTGCGTTCAATCAGAACATCGGAAGCTGGAACACGGAAAGCGTGCTCGACATGCAGGCTATTTTTGAAGAAGCTACCGCGTTCAATCAGAACATCGGAGCATGGAACACGCGGCGAGTGACGAACCTTGAATCAGCCTTTTATGGCGCGCGGAGTTTCAATTCGGATATCACGGCATGGAATACGGAGAAGGTCACGAACATGAGAAATATGTTACAAGGCGCGACCGCCTTCAATCAAAATATACAATCGTGGAACACGGCGAGAGTGACGAACATGAATTCGATGTTTAAACAGGCGACGAGTTTCAATCAGGACATCACCAAGTGGGACACCGGGGAAGTGACGGACATGGAGTACATGTTTGAAAGCGCGACCTCTTTCAATCAGCCCCTCAACACGTGGGACACGAGTAAAGTCACGGGCATGCATGCGATGTTTCAGGGCACCAACGCGCCTTTACTGAACCTGACCATCTGGAACACTGGTGAGGTTCGCAGCACGGCGTACATGTTTCAGGGCACTTCCTTCAACGGATCGATTGGCGGGTGGGACGTGTCCAAAGTTGAAGATTTTGAATACATGTTTGAGGGTAACCCTTCATTCAATCAAGATATTTCTTCGTGGGTCGTGACGTCTGCGGTTTCGATGACGCGCATGTTTCAAGGGGCGACGGCTTTCTTGCAAGACGGCATTCGTAACTGGTCCGTCCCCGCCGGCGCCGGCGTGACAAACATGTTCAGTTCCGCCACGGCTTGGTTGACGATGTACCGCCAGCCTGATTTCTCCGCATCGCGCGACGGTCCGCCTTCTGTTTGGGTTAGCCCAGGTCCGTTCACGTCCTTGAGTCAGCTGAAAGCCGCCGTGAGCAGTTGCTTGGCCGCTTCCTCTTCCGGGGCGTGCAATTGCGACAGTGCGCCGGTGGACTGTGGTCCTGCCGTGTACGACGATATTACGCAGTGGAACACCGCGCTCATCACCGATATGTCGGAATTGTTCAAGGATGCGCAATCGTTCAATGCGGACATCTCGGCGTGGAATACGGCTGCGGTGACGAAAATGGTTGGAATGTTCGCCGGCGCCAGCCGATTCAACAAGGCGATCGGAAGCTGGAGTACGGCGTTGGTGACGGACATGAGTCAAATGTTTTATAAAGCCAACTTTTTTACACAGAACGTCGGCACTTGGAACATGGTGAATGTGGGAAATATTTCGAGCATGTTTGAGATGGCATCCGACTTCCCAGGCGCCGGTATTGGTGCTTGGAACACGAGGAACGTCGTCGATATGGCCGGCACTTTCAAATTGGCGCTCAAGTTTAACGAGGACATCTCGGGCTGGAACACGGCGTCTGTGCTAGATATGAGCTCTATGTTCGAGAGCGCGTTTGATTTCAACCGTCCGGGACTCGGTTCGGCTGGCGGTTGGGTGACGAGTTCGGTGACGGACATGAGTTCTATGTTTTCGTCGGCGAAGGCGTTCGCACCGAGTGACTTGAGCGGCTTCGACGTGGTCAACGTGAAGAATATGCAGAACATGTTTGCGAGTGCAAATCTGTTCAACGGTGCTCTATCGACGTGGAATACGCGCGCGGTCACGAACATGGCTGGAATGTTCAGCGGCGCGTCCACGTTCAATCAACCCATATCGTCCTGGAATACTGCGTCGGTCGGAAGCTTTGAGGCAATGTTTTCGCAGGCATCGAGCTTCAGCCAACCGATTGGTTCGTGGAATACGGGCGCTGCAACGTCGATGAAGGAGATGTTCTACAACGCCACTGCATTCACAAGTTCGATCGATGACTGGGACACATCTAATGTCGTTGATATGACTGATATGTTTGCGTTTGCGTCAACGTTCAACTCCGTCCTTGCATCGTGGAGTACGACGAATTTGCAGAGGATGCGAGGCATGTTTCGAGGTGCGACGACGTTTACCAGTGATCTGACGAGTTGGAACACGAATACGGTGCAGGATATGTCGGAGGTTTTCGCAAACGCTACCGCGTTTGCCGGCGATATCGGTGTTTGGAACACAAGCTCTGTCACGACCATGGCAAACATGTTACAGGGGGCGGCTCTGTTCAACAGCGCCATCGGTGCTTGGGACACGTCCTCGGTGGTGAACATGTCCTACATGATGGCTGATAATGCGGCTTTCAATCAACCACTCTACTCGTGGGACACAAGTAATGTCGTCGATATGCAGTACATGCTATACCGTGCCACTACATTCGACCAGGACATCAATAATTGGGATACTTCTTCAGTGATCTCGATGGCGTCCATGTTTGAGGGCGCAGTCGCGTTCAACGGCGCCGGCACTGCGAACAGTGGTGTCGGCAGATGGAACACAGCAGCCGTGACGTCAATGAAAAGAATGTTCGCCTCTGCATCCGCTTTGAACCCGATTATCGATAGTGGTGATCGCTTTTGGGGTGCTTGGAACACTCTAGCCGTCAAGGATATGGAAGAAATGTTTCTCGGAGCATCCTTATTCAACGGTGGCGTCGGTAATTGGAATACAGGTTCAGTTACGAGCATGGCGCGAATGTTTAATCTCGCAACGAATTTTAACAATAACAATGTCTCTTCGCTGGCTTGGGACACGTCTTCCGTGGTTGATATGAATTCAATGTTTCAAGGAGCGTCTCTAATGGATTTATCCATCAACAGCTGGAACGTCAGGCAGGTGACAGACATGCGCAACATGTTTGCGCAAGTGACACCCTTCAAGAGCGACATCACCGTTTGGAATTCTACAGTTTCTTATGAGAATTCCACTGGAATGTTCGCCGATGTTGAGCATTGGCCCTTGATGTTCAAGCGATTCGACGAACTGCCCAACACCGACGGTCCTCCGAACGCTTACATCCAAGACTGCACAAACAACGAGGGTGTATACGCTTCTATCGATGATTTTTGTGTGCCACAGGGAGAATGTCCTTTTCCCATACGCTGCGTTGAAGGAAATGCTGGCTGCCGTGAAGGATCAACGGGTCTGCTTTGCCGAGCTTGTCTCGAAGGCTATTACAAGAGCGGCACGCAATGTTTAGAATGCCCAGAAAACTCGGCGGCGAGCGCCGGCGTCGCCGCCTTCTTCGTCGTTGTCGCAGGCCTCGTGGGCTTCAAAGCTGCGGAAGCTTTGGGTGCCGTTTCTACCAACATGATCAAAAAAGTGGTTGAGACTTTGCAATTCTTTTCCATCTCCTTTAGTGTGGAAATTAAATGGCCTCTCCCGGTTCTGAACTTTGCGGATTGGCTGAAGGCTTTCAACTTCAACATCGAGTTTTTGGCTCCGGAGTGCGCAGGTGCGAACATCAAATGGCCCACTCTCTTTTGGTCGGGTGCGCTCATAATTCCATGCGGCTTAGCTGTGGTGTTTTATCTTCGCGATCGCTACGCTGCATACTGTTACGAACACACTGTTTTGGCAATTCGCAGCGCTCACGACGGAGAAAAGACGATGTTCTGGATCGCTCGGCCTGGCATCTTTAGCTCGAAGGAGCGTCGAACATACGCGTCTGAGAGCGGTGATCGAGTGGTGAAAGAATTGCAGCGGCAATACAAGCTAAGGGCGACGCTTCGAGTATTTGGCTCGCTCTGTTTGACAATTCTGTATTTACCGATTGTCCGCCTGTGTCTCCAGGCGTTTGATTGCATAAAGTACGGCTCGAGCGAAGCCAGAGTGTTGGTCTACGACGTTGACGTCGATTGCGATTCACCAGAGCATATTCTCGCGACATCTGCGGCATGCGGGATCATACTCGCCATCGGTGTGGGGCTACCACTTTTCGTTATCAACAAAGTTCGTCGTATTCGAATCGATGGTAAATTGGACGATGCGCGAACCCTCGATAGCTGGGGTGCCCTATACGATATCTACAGACGCACTGAGTTGACGGAATCTGATAAGTTGGAAATCTCGGAGATTGTGAGGAACGTCTCGCGACAAGCGACTATACGCACACCAGTGCTATCGCGGTCTACGACTCTTGCGCAAGACGGCGATTCACACTCGCCTACCCCAAGCGGGGCTGAGCGAAAACCGACGCTTCAACGAACTTCAACTTTGGCGAGAGTCGAAATTGATAAATCTTTGTCCCAAAGTGTCAGTCTTCGTAAGCCCACATTTGAACGAACGTCGACTTTCAAGCTCGACTCGGAAACCGAAGAGCTCGCCGCCATAGTCGACGATGAGTTATTCGAGGAACAAAGCGGTCAAGCGACGGAAAAACCATCCTTCTTCGGTCGAATCCTCGAGAAAGCGAAGAGTCTAAAGAATCAGAAGAGTCGTCGCGAACGCCTTCCGGAACTTTCGATGAAAAAGAAACCATTGAAAAGAACGTTGACCCAGAAAGCTCGAGAGCGCGCCTCGAAAATGGCTTGGCTCGATCGTCTGGCATTGAATTACCTCGCAATTGAAATGATTCAAAAGCTTGGAGTGATTCTCGCGGGTTCTCCAAACATCGCCGAGGGCATCAGTATTTACGGCCTCGTGGCGGTGCACTGGATATCCGCTTTGTTCGTTTTGATTTGCCAGCCATGGCGTATTATCACCCTCGGTTTTGCTCAAAAGAAAATCCACAATGCGCTCAATAAGACTGAGTCGACCGCTGGTTTTTTGCAAGGTCTCATTCCCCTCCTCGGTATGATATTCGCGACAGACAGCTCGTTGACGGGCCTGTCCACAGCATTTCTGATGGGCATCATATGCGCTCTGTTGATGGTGCGCGTTGGTATGATTGTATCAGAAAGGCTTTCAGTGAGCAAGAAGGTCACGAAAAAGCTGAATTTTGAGAAAGAACCTGAGGAGAGCGCAAATTCTGTCCATCGAGAATTTATCGATCTCGCGAAGGCTGGAAAGATCGTTAGCATCTACGCGTTGAGAGCTCAAGTCGCCGTATCCAAACGCAAAGTTCGCGCGCGGCTCGAGGCTACACGTGAGGCCATGCTACGGAGAGTTCAACACATGAAGGACAAGGGTGACGAAGATCCCGCACAAATTCGTGCACTTCTGGAAATCGCGAATGAGGTGGCGCACATCGTCAACGTGTGTACCATTCAACCTGTGCCGGCGGACCGCGACGTTGAACAACAAATTGAAAGCGCCGCCAACTTACTGACGACTTTGATTGAAGCCGCCGAGGTAGAGTTTGTACGCCGGACGAATGCAAACGAGTCAACCGCCGGCGCTTTACACTTACTGCTGCGAATTCATGCATTCGATCGCGCTGCTAAGCAGTTGGATGACGATATGTTGGAGTACGCTCGCGGTGAGCGAGTAACGGAACTCATCTCTTTAGGTCAAGAGGCAGTGGCTCTCGAAGATGAGCAAAGAACGCTTCCCGAACACTTCGGCACGGATGAACTGAACGCATCAATTCTCTGCACCCAGGCCGATACCTTCACTATTCAACTCGCGCAGGTAGTTTCTGTTGACGACGTCGGCAGGGTGCTCGTCGTCTTGAACGCCTTCGACGACATCATCGTCAAGCACGAAACTTGGCGGGACGCATGCATCGAGCTCTTCAGACATCCAGAAAGCGAGTCTCTCGTTGGTGATAATGTCGAAGCGAACAGGCTTTTGCTCGACGAAACCATCGATGCTCTGAAAAATCATGACACCTACTTACAAAACTGCGTGGTGCTGCGCGCCGTGGAATGGAAGCCCCTATTTAAAAACTTTGGCGACGTCAAGTTCATGCAGGTTCTCGAGACGATGACGGAGCGTATAATCAAGTCTATTCGATCGGACGAAGAAGACACGTCACTTGAACAACATTTACAGAGCGAAGTGACCGATTTCGTTGACTGGTGCGTCCGCGCGTCTCAGAGCATCGCCGAAAGTGGCTTCAGCGTTCGCTGTCAGGAGTGCGCGCAAGCCGCGCACGACAATCTCAAGATTTTGGCAGAAAAGAAGTCAAAAACACTCGAAAAGCGCGCACAAAAGCAAGCGAAAAAGCGTACGAAGAAACCAGGCTTCTTTGGTGGTCTTTTCGGCGGCGGCAACCGTCAAGAAATCGATACGAGCCTCGTCGAAGCCGTCGACGTCGTCGACGTCGACGTCCAAGCGCCCGTCATCGAAGCGCCCGTCATCGAAGCGCCCGACGAAGGCGTCGACGTCCAAGTCGACGTCGCGCCATCCGACACGAGCGACGTCGCATAGACGCGCGCGGTCTCAATCTTTAATTGAATTCATCCGCAATCACCCCTCGCGCCTTCGCCCTCGCGCGCGCGGCGGGGGAACCAAAAGCTCGCTCGCCCGCCACCTCCCTCACACCCACGCGCGTCCCCGCGCCGCGATGGCCCTCGACCTCGCGCGAGAATTCGTCGTTCCCGACGCCTTCGCCGACCTCTGCGTCGACGCCGACGACGACGACGCCCGCGCGCGCGACGGACGACGACGCATCGTCATCGCGCGCGACGCCAGCCTCGACGTCGCGTCGTGCGATCCGTCCGAACGCGCCGACGCGGTCGATGACGTCGTCCGCATCCTGTGCGATGGCGAAGCCGAGACGTTGGTGAACGATTTGAACGCGTTCGGGGGGGCGTACGCGCTGTGCAGGTGCGCGGAGCGAAGGAATACGATGCGACGCGTGGGCCGTTTTCAACGAACTTTGATTCCGGGGCGAGCGAAGCGCGCCCGCGCGAGCGCGCGACGAAACGATGAGGGCGCGGTCGGAGACTGACGATGGTGCGCGAACGCAGAGATTTCATCGAGTTGACGCCGATCGAACGCATGCGCTTGATCGATGCGTTGTGTTCGAATTTGAGCGTGTTGAGCGCGAGCGTGACGGCGGCGGTGGTGAGCGGCGCGAGCGCGGATGAGGCGCACGCGGAGACGATGTTTGGGTATCGACAGGCGTTGAAGGCGTACGCAACGTTTATATTCCACGTGTGCGAGGTGTGCGAAAAAGAATCGAAGGAGTGCGCCGCGATGGCGTGCGCGCAAAAGCCCGCGCCTGGCGCCAAGGGGAAGAAGAAGCAGACGAATAAGGCAAAGTTGGCGGAGTGGGCGTGGGACGAACAGCGTGAGCGCATCGTGCACGTCATGGCTGGTGCCTTGGACATCGATTTGTGGCAGGTATTCCGTCCGAAGCAGCCCGAGGAGGACTTCTTGAGGTTGTTTGTGCGTCTCGGGTCGATGTTGCTCGAAAATCCCGCGGCGTTGAAGAGCAAAGTGACGAAGCGCGCGGCGTTTGAAATGATGGGCTCTTGTGCGCTCAAGTGGGGCCAGCTCGAGCAAGTAACCACAGCGTTGATTCATCTACTGAACAAGTGCGAGCATTTGTCCGGCCCAATCGCGGAACTCGCGAGCGCGGCGGCTGATAGATTTGAAAACGCGCACCTCGCGGCGGCACTTATTCGCGAGGTTGGGCGCGTCGATCCTCATGATTACAAGCTGCAGCAAGCCAGCGACGCTGTCGGCGTGCGTTGTGTCGGTGCTTTCCTCAGTGAAATCGCAGAACGTATGCCAAAGACGACGATGACGAACATGTCCGTGCTCATGCCTCATTTGGATGGCGAAGCGTACTCTTTGCGTTCTGCGATAGTCTCTGTATTGGGACACCTCTTGATTTCGCAGAAGGATGTCGTTGCGGTGAGCGATCATCACGACAACAGCACTGCGCCACTTCTACGCACGAAACAAGGGTTCTTAGATCTACTCGTCGAGCGTGTACACGATACGAGTGCGTTTACGCGAGCACGAGTATTGAACACGTGGGCGACCATGGCTGAAGCCAAGGCGATTCCGTTGTCGCACTGGCTCGTCGTCACGGACCTCGCAATCGGGCGACTGCACGACAAGGGCGCACTCGTGCGCAAGGCGGCTATGGGTCTACTTGCATCGCTTTTGGGGTTCAACCCTTTCGCTCCGCAACTTCCGAGCGCGACGTTTGCTGAATCGTTGAAGGATTACGAAGCCAAGCTCGCGTCGATGACTCCGCCCGAAGAAGAAACGCCCGAGGAGAGCGCCGAAGGCAAAGAATCGAACACCGAGGACGGATCGCAGGAACCTCCGAAACAACAAGAAGGCGATGCGAACGCCGCAATCCATCTCAATGGCGGTCTCGAAGCAGTTCGCACCATGGTTGCGGCGCTGAAAACCGCCCTCGGGTTCACGGTGCAACTCTCTGGCACGGTGGCAAACTTGAGCAATCTCCTCACTTCCTCTGTCGCCTCCGACGTCACCGAAGCTATTGGCTTACTCGTTCGCATGCGTCAATTTAATGTCGATGGTTCTACCGAAGGTGTTCGACGATTGCTCGGCCTCATCTTCTCTCGCGATCAAGCCATCAAAGACGCCGTTGTCGAAGCTGTGGATGTGTTGTATCTTTCGAACGCCGAGAGCCCGATGCTCGCAGCAGCGGGCTTGAGCGAACTCGCTGCCACAGCCGCACTAGGTGAACTAGCGTCGCTTGAAGATGTCCTGAAGGCGCTCGTCTTATCGGGTCGATTGCCGCCGACTGGCGCGGTGATGAAGACTTTGTGGTCAAATGTATCGAGTGATGAATGTTCGAATAACCGCAAGGCCGCGGCGCTTAATGTACTCACGATGTGCGCTCGTACGAGTCCTGAAATCGTGCGGGGACATCTCGGAACTGTGTGCGCCGCGATCGAGGCTGCGCTATCGGGCGAAAAGAAATCTCCAACACTGTGCCGAGCCGCGTGCTGCGCGCTCACGGTGGTCCGAGGAAAGGATGGCGAGCCTTTGGAGCTCAGCCACCCGGTATTCGCTGAGCTTGCCAAGGTGCTTCATCCGGCCGCTCCGCTCGCGGGTCGCGCGTGGTTTCCATCCGCCGAACAAGCGATTTCGGCTCTCTATTCGCTCCATCCCGACCCTGAGCATGCGTCTTCGGAAGTCATCAAGGCGTTCGCCGTTGCTACGTTCAATGGCAACTCTATGGACAAAATACCTACTGCTGTGTTGGCACGGTTCTTGTTCGTTCTCGGCGAGGTTTCACTGAAACACTTGGTACACATCGAAAAGCTCGCGCGCTCCGTTCGTCAAGCCAGAGTCGTTCGTGACCGCGAGGCGGCCGAGGCAAAGGAAAAAGGTGACTCGGGTGACAACGATCTCGCCGCCGCCATGGGCGAAGGTGCCGTCGCAGAGGATCTCTTGTTAGACGCCACTCGAGAAAAGGCCGAAGCTGAGCTTCTCGCCACGAAAAAGGGCGCTGCGCGTGGGCTCGTCGCCATATATGCTCCATTTGTCGTGCAGCTTTGCTCTCACCCAGCAGTGGTGCAAGGGCCCGAACTTTTGCGCGGCGCTGCGCTCGCCGCGCTTACGCGCTTCATGGTTTTGGACGCCAAATTCTGCGAGGATCATCTCAAATTGATCTTTACTCGTCTCAAAGTCGAGTCCGACAAGGGTACTCGCTCCGCGCTTCTTGTCGCCCTTGGTGATCTGGCGTTCCGATTCCCCAACGCCGTCGAGCCGTGGACTGAACACTTGTACGGTATCAAGGAATGGGGCAACTCGTTGCACGACACCGACGCAAGCGTTCGACAACACGCCATCACGATGTTGTCCCATTTGGTTTTGAACGATATGATGAAAGTCAAGGGTCATATCAGCGAGATGGCTCGATGTCTGGAGGATGTCGACCCCCGAGTCGCCGGCGTGGCAAAGCTGTTCTTCCACGAACTCTCTCAGAAGCACGGTAATCCGATTTACAACTTGCTGACAGATTTATTGTCTAGGCTGTCCTCCGACGAAGATATTTCTCCGGACGCTTTCAAGCGCATCATGACTCGTCTCGTCGGGTTCATTGACAAGGAGCGTCAGGCTGAAGCAATATGCGAAAAGATGTGCGCGAGATTTGCCGAGGCGTGTTTGGCTGAAACACCGAAACCTGCGCGCGATATCGCCTTTTGCATCTCGCAACTCAACCTCAGCGAGCGTGCTTTCAAGAAGTTCACAGAGAGTTGGAAGCAGTACGATGCTGCCTTGTATGATCACGAAGTACATGCGTGCTTCATCGCGATGTGTCACAAGCAGAAGCGCGCGGCAAAGCCCGAAGCAAAACAGTTTGTGGAGGCTTTCGAGACTAGGCTTAACGACGCGCACGTCGAACGAGCGGCAGCATACAACGTGTCGGCGCGAGCTGAGGGTAAAGAAGAGACTGTTGTTGCAGAAATTAAGAAAGAGGAAGAAGAACCTAGCGAGGAAAAACCTCAAACAGTGGACAACGACGAGGAAATTCCATCGGAAATTGTCCGAACAGACAGCAAGACTTCCGATGAGCAAGAAAACGTTGCGCCCGATTTACCCAAGGTTGCGACGCCACCGACAAGTCCGCCGCGACGATCGCGCCGTGCGGCCGCATGAGACATTTATGTCGTTGGCTACAGTAATAAGAAACCAAACATCTTTTCCAACCATCTTTCTAAAAAAACAAGTTAGCGGCGAGCGACGCGTGAAGTACGATGAGATTTCATTTCAACACGAGTACAGTATGATGCTGTAGTGAGCGGCTTAAATCACTTCGCTTAAATGCTATTGATGCGAAGCTTGACTGTTTAGTTGATGCGCGAAATGTCGCGACCAAAGATCTTGGTTCTGATCATGTCGGCGGCGACGAGAAGAACGTTGCGCGGGGAAACCTGGGAAACTGTCTCAAACGATTTCCAAATCAAACCGGCAGCAAAGCCCTTTACGATGGCGAAACCGGGAATATCAGCGACAGCCGCGTCCTTGCCGATGTACGCGAGCGAACCTTTGTGCACGTAATCGAATCGCGCGTCACCTTGTTTGATTTTATCCTCATCCCCCGCGCAAGTGTTGAAATACTGAGCAAGGTACTGGCCCTCTTGCTTAGCTACCTGCGCCGTCGCCGGCAAAGCGCGAAGGCCTTTGTCAACGTCTTCGAGCATGACACGGAACTCGGGGAAAGACATACGATCACTACCACCCGTGAACGTAGTGAAAACATCATCCACGCGGTTGTAAATTTCTTCCAAGTGCGGAAACTCGTCGAAGCCGTACTTCAACGCCTTCTTCACGCCGTCCTTGCTGAGATCGATTTCGCAGTCACCTTCTGGGGTGCATCGCGCCGCTTCTCGATAGAGTTCTTCCGCTTTGGCGAGCGAGCGCGGACGTTCGATCGTGGCGCAATCGCCCAAGGCAAAAATCGTCCCGTCGCTTCCCTTGACTCGAAGATTCTTATCGGTGAGTAACGAACGCTTGTTTTCTTGTTGGGGTAAAGACTCGATCAGCTTTTCGCAGAACGGGTTGAGCTTGATACCCGTGCACCAAACTGCGAGCCCGAACGGAACTTCGCGCACGTTCGAACCATCACGATCAGAGATGACGACGGCGCCGTCCTTGACCTCCTTAACGGCGGCGCCGAGCAGGCACTTGATGTTGGCCCGTTGAAAGAAATCCGTCGCGTACTCTGCGATCCGCCTGTCGTACGCCGACAAAATCTTTTCTTGTAAATCGATGATTTCGATGCTCACGTCTTCGAGCAACCGACGAGGGAATGTCTTCGCCACATCTTGGTACACGTAGTCGTACAGCTCCGCGGCGAGCTCGACGCCGGTGGGCCCGGCGCCGATGACAACGAAACGCAACAACTGCTGGATGCGCTCTTTCGGCACCCCCGGAAGCGTGGCACATTCAAATCTTTCGTTAACCTCGCGTCGAAACCGCGCCGCGTCGTTGATCTCTTTGAAAAACATGCAATTTTCCTGCACCCCCGGCACGCCAAACGTGTTCGGCACCGCCCCCACCGCCGTGACCAAGTAATCGTACTCCAAGTCAAACTCCTTCCACGCCTGGCTCTTAGCCAGATCCTCCTCATCTTGAAACGTATGATCGCTCCCTCGGCACCGCACGGTTCGCTTCGCCACGTCCACGCTCAGCGCGTTCGCCTCAAAGTACCTGTACCCCTTGCTCGAGATGGGGCGTCGAATCGGCTCCACGATCGACCGATCCTCCACCGCCCCCGTCGCCGCTCCCGGCAACAACGGCGTGTACAAAAAATAATTCCTCGGCGACACCAGCGTGACGTCGTACGGCCCGCTCGCGTCGAGGCTCTTCACGAACGAAATCGCCCCCCATCCGCTCCCCAGCACCACCACCCGTCGCTTCCCCGCCGCCGCCGCCGTCACCCGCGCCTCGCCGACGTCGTCCGCGATCACCGCCTCCGTCATCACGCCCCGCCGCGCGCCCGTCGTCGCCGGCGCCGTCACCGCGGCGCGCGAGCGTCTCGGCACGAGCGACGCCGTCTTACATCGCACCGCGACGCTCAGCGCGCGCGCGCACGCCTGCACGGACGCGAACGGCATCGCGAGCGCGACGAATTCGAGTCGCGCGTCGCGCGTCGCCGTGCGCGTCGCGCGCGCGCGTCGGCGTGCGACGCCGCGGCGTGCTTTGCCGCGGCGCGGGAGCCCCCCTCGTGAAAAACCCGCGTGTGCGAGGGTGCCGCGCGCATCGTTTATGCGCCATCGTTTATTCGCCATCGCGTCGTACTATGCGCGCTGTTTCGTCCATCTGCGATCGCGCGGACGGCGTCGCGCGCGCGTTCGGACACTCGAAGCGCGCGCGACGTCGATCGACGATCGCGCGTCGATCGACGCGCGATCGATCGACGTCGCGCGTCCGCGATCGATCGATCGCGCGTCGGCCATCGCGCCGCCGGCGCGCGTCCGCGCGCGCGGCGTCGCGCGGCGGCATCGCGCGACGGCGCGCGATGGACGACGCCGCGCGCGAGGACGCGCTGGAGAAGCGACGCGCCAAGTCTGGGTACGACGGCAGCGTGCAGGGATGCGACGGGCGGCGGTACCGCGTCGACGAGGACGCGGTGGCGTACTACGACGAGATTCAGCGCGCGCTGGACGCGTGCGAACGACGGGCGCGCGAGACGGCGCGCGAGGACGAGGAGGAAGCGCGCGCGATCGAGGAGGAAGCGCGCGCGATCGGGTCGAACGCGCTGGAGGGATGCGAGGGGCAGGAGTGCGCGCTGAGCATGGACGCGCGGTGCTCGCGGACGCTCGAGGCGTGCGCGACGCGAGCGACGCGAGAGGCGGTCGAGGGGTTCATGAAACGGTGCGGGGAGGTGACGGAAGCGAACGGTGGGGGGTATTACGTCATGGCGAAGTCGTTGTTCGGGTCGAGGGTGCTGGAGAGCGCGATGGGGGTGATGATGGAGAAGCACCTGAGGACGGAGGGCGCGAACGAGGCGGACGAGGCGAGGACGGATGCGTTTCGGAGGGATGTGTTGGAACCCATGGGACGCGCGTTGGTGGAGAACGCGGTGGATGTGGCGTTCGATAAGCGCGCGAGCCCCGTGGCGCGGAAATTTTTAGCTTTACTCGCGGGAAGGGCGGATTTGAACGCGAGCGGCGGCGGCGGCGGCGGCGCGCGAAGCGACGGTAAGAGTCTGGCGGATAAGCTGCGTGGAGGGACGTCCGCGGCGGGGAAATTTTCTAGTTCACACAACGCGTCGTATAGATTCAATGAGGAGCTGAGGAAGTTCTCTGACGCCATGTTGGCCGCCATCGAGGAGGAGTTGTGGAATTTGGTCGAGGACACGTGCGGGAGCGCGTTGTTGCAAGCCACGCTCAAAGCGCACGAAGGCGATGGCGAGGCGTTGAATTGGATCATACCCGGCTTACTCGGCTGCGCGCCCGCCGAAGGCACGACCGAAGGCGAACTTCTCGCGGACGCCCAGGAGTGGGATATCAAGAATGTGATGCAGTCGCGCGCCGGATCGCACTTGATGGAAGCCATCCTGGGTGTCGCGCCGAAAGGTTTGTTCAACGAAATATATCGACGTTTTTTCCGTGACAAGATGATTTCTACCGCGAAACATCCAGTGTCCAACTTTGTGCTTCAGGCGTTATTGGCGGCGACGAAGGATCCCGAACACGTCTCGAGCACGCTCGGCGAGCTCTCGCAAGTGTTCGGGACTTTGCTTCACGAAAAGCGTTCGGGCGTCGTAGCCGCAACGTTGGCCGCGTGCGCGCGATTGAAAGTGGCCGAAAAGGACAGCGCCAAGGCGCTCGCGCGAGGCCTGACGCTCAAGATGGAGGCTCGAAAGGAAGGTCGTTCGCAGCTCGCGCCGGCGCTGTTTTGGCTCGACACGCCGAATTACGGTCGATGCTCGGTACTCGGGAGCGCGATGTTTCAGACGCTGTTCAAGTTCAACGCCGATTGCGTGCCCATGTTTTCTGAAAGTTTGGTGTCCATGACCGACGTCGAGGTCTTCAAGGTGTGCCAGGACAGCGCCGGATCGCGAGCGATAGAGGCGTTTTTGGCGTCGCCGTCGCAAAAGCAAAACTTGAAGAAGGAATTCATCGCCAAGCTCAACGGTCGATGGGCACAGCTCGGGCTGTCGCCCGTTGGTTCGCATGTACTCGAAGCGTGCTATCGAGAAGCCGACGCGCGAGGTAAGGAGCTCATATTAAGCGGGCTTGCCGGACAAGAAGGGCCGCTCAACGCGACGAGACACGGCCCGATTCTCATGCGACGTCTCGGCGTCACGCAATTTAAAGCCGCACCAGATCAATGGAAGAGTAAGCAAAAGACTGCAGAGACGATGATGAGTGAGTTTGAGAAGGAGTTCGGCGCGGATGAGCCGACGAAGAGCAAGAGCTCGAAGCGCAAGGATCCACCGGTCAAGGAGACAGTCATCGAGAAGAAGGTGAAGAAGGAAAAAACCGAGAAGAAGGCGAAGAAAGAGAAGAAGGACAAGAAGGACAAGAAGGACAAGAAGGACAAGAAATAGCTGGGTTATCAATAGCTGATATAATAGAAATCAAATGTGGTAATGAACGTGAAATCAAATGTGGTAATGAACGTGAGTGTCATGCGTTAATCTTCGCTGAACGCGTCAGACATGTCCTTCGTGGTCATTTGCGCCTTGGACGCCGCGGCCGCAGCGGCGATGGCTTCGGGGTCGTAAAGAGTGGGCAGGTTTCCTTGAACGAGCTCAGTCAAATCTCCAGCGTCGATCAAGTTGCATTGTGCGTGCTGAAGCATCAAGTGATCCACGAGCGTGAGCGCGACCATGGCTTCCACCATCGGCACCGCGCGCGGGACCACGCACGGGTCGTGTCGACCGCGAGCCTTGAGCTCCGTCTCCACCCCATCGCGGTTCACCGTATTTTGCGCCTGTGTGATCGTCGACGTCGGTTTGAACGCAATCTTCATCTCGATCATCTCCCCGTTGGAGATGCCACCCTGGATACCGCCGGAGCGGTTCGTGCGCGTACGCAAACCCTTTTCGCTATCCATGAAAAACTCGTCGTTGTGCTCGCTACCCTTTTGCAACGTGCCGTCGAAACCGCTACCGATTTCGAAACCTTTCGTCGCCGGTAAGCTCAACATCGCCTTAGCCAAATCGGCTTCGAGCTTGTCGAACGCGGGCGCACCCAAGCCTCGCGGTGGGTTGCGCACGACGCACGTCACCACGCCCCCGCACGAGTCCCCCTTCACCCGAACCTCATCGATCGCATCGATCATCTTTTGCGCGCAACTCTCGTCCGGGCACCGCACGATGTTTGACTCAACGTCATCCATCGTCATAGTCTCGTGGTTCACCGCGGTGGTTTTCACGTCGCGCACCGCGCTCACGTACGCCAAAATTTCCGTCCCCGCCACCTCCTTGAGCACCTTCTTCGCGATCGCACCGGCCGCGACGCGTCCGATAGTTTCTCTAGCACTGCTTCGTCCACCACCGGCGATCGCTCGGACGCCGTATTTCATATCATACGTCGCATCCGCGTGCGACGGTCGATACGCCACCGCGATTTCTCCGTAGTCTTGGCTTCGCTGGTCTTTATTCCTCACCAGCACCGCCACGGGCGTGCCCAGCGTGACGCCATCGAGCCCGACCCCGCTCAGTATCTCGCACGAGTCCTCTTCGTTTCGCGGGGTCGTGATTCGGCTCTGTCCCGGGCGTCGCCGGTCGAGCTCGAACTGCAGCTCCTCGCGCGTGACGCGCAGTCGCGGCGGCACCCCATCCACGACGCACCCAACGCCGCCACCGTGCGATTCCCCGAACGTGGTGACGCGGAATATCCGTCCAAACGTGCTTCCCGCGCGCGGGATCGTTCGAGCGCCTCGACGCGCGTCGCCGGCGTCGGGACACCGCGCGGGGCGCGTCCGCCCGGTCGCCGTTCGAGTCGACTTCGTCGTCGATCGCGCCGCGCGCGCGCTCGGTTTCGACGTCGCGCGCGCGGTGCGCATCGCGCGCGATGTGTTCTCGGCGTTCGGGCGCGGTTTCGAGCGTCGCGCGCGCGCGTGTGCGGCGCGCGCGAATCTCCGATCCTCGTCGAGGGTTTCGTTCGTTTGGATCAAACGCGCCGCCGCACACGCGCGCGCGTCGCGCGTCCGAGCGCGCGCGGGCGATGCGCGCGATTCGCTCGACGACGCCCGCGCGCGGTCGAGCGGCGCGCGACGCGCGCGCGCGATGCGAACGCGCGTCGAAGGTTTCGATCGCGGTGAAGTTGAACCGTCGCGACTTTGTCCGCGCCGTCGTCGTTTTCGAGTCGCTCCGGTCGCCGCGCGCCGACGCGAGCGACGCGACGGCGTCGGGAAACTTGGCGTCGACGGTCGCGGTCGACGGACGGGCGTACGCGTCGCTGCGAGAGGCGCTGGCGAACGCGCGGAGTGGGTCGACGGTGACGCTGGCCGCCGCGAGCGCGCACGAGGGAACGTTCGCGGCGAACGTCGATGGACTCACGATCGACGTCGCGGACGGTGGCCGGGCGACGTTGAGTCACTTTACGTCGAATCCGTACGAGAGCGTGCTGGAGATTCGCGGTCGAGGGGTGGTGGTGAAGAATTTGGACGTCGCGCACGGGTCGAAATCCGTGGCGAACAATTACGGCGTCTTCGCGGTGGAGGGCTCGAGCGCGACGTTTGAGTCGTGCGCGGTGAAATCGACGACTGGTTCGGGATTTGCGGTGGAGGGTGGGGAAGTCACGCTCGTCGATTGCGTCGCGAGCGGGTGCGCGTCGCACGGATTCGTCGGTTTGGGGGACTCGACCGGTTTGCCGGGAAGCGGTCGAGCAACGTTGGAGCGGTGCACGTTCGATGGTAACAACGCCAACGGGGCGTTGATCCGCGGAGGGGTCGTCGTGCACATGCGGCACTGTACGTTGAACGGTAACAAGCGTTACGGCGTGGAGTTGATCGATTGCGAGGGCGAAATAGAGTCGAGCGAGCTTCGTAACAATGCGAAAGGCTCCATCAACGCGACAAACGGTGCGGAAACATACGTCGTGGTCTCGAACGACGTGAGCGTGCTGTAGCGCACGAGAAGTGAGCGCGCTCTAGAGCGCGAAACGTTGTATCAGTTGTATCCTAGCGCTAATTTCTATTGCATTGTGAGCTATCAATTCGCATTCGCGTTTGCGCGATTCGTGACGGCGGCGGACCACTCACTTAATCCCCGGTATCCATGTTCGCACGCGTTTGGCGTACGCATCGTACTCTGAAAACATATTCCTTAAATGCCGCTCCTCGTATGTGATCCTACGTTTAAAATACACCCACGTCACGACGGCAAACGCCGCCACGCTCGCCACGTTTCCGAGGACCAACTGCGTCCCGAGCGCCCATATGAACCATCCGAGGTAGCCCGGATGCCGCGCGTACGCGTACGCCCCCTCGGTCACCAGCACGTGCGTCGCCCGTCGTCGCGTCTGAATCAAGTGCGTGAACGCCGCCCCTGCGGTGCACATCGCTGACTTGCGCAGCCATTCGCCGAAGACGCACATGAACGCGCCGAGGTAAAACGTCCCACGAACCAGTGACGCCTTACGCTCGGGCATCAGCGCGCTCGACGCGGCGAATTCAATCACTCCACACGTCATCGCCGCGGCGTAGGGCCTGGAAAGCAGGAACGAGCGCGTGCTGACGTCTTGGGGGTTGAAGCGCAGGGCGAATGCGAACTCACTCAGGTGAAAGTGCGCGAGGAACGCGGCGAAAAGACGAAGTGCGGCACCCGTCGTGGGCGTCGGAAGCGACATTATCGCAAAAGACGTCATCCTGTCGCGAGATTGGCGCGGTGTCGACGCCGTGCGGTCGACGGCGCGACGACGAGTGCGGCTCGACGGCGTCGACGGTCGCGTTTGCTACGTTTCTATGACAATTGTCATCTATAATGGCTACGGGTGCTGCTAACTAATGGCTAATTTACAAGCTCATGAACTCTGATTTGAGCACCCACGCGCTGGCGGCGCCTTGGCGAGAGCTCGCGGTGTTGCGCTCCAAGTCGGCGGCGAGCTTCAAGAGTTTGCGAAACAGCGCGTGCTGGTGACTCTGGATGCGGTCCTGGAAGGCGTCTATGACGAAGTTTGTCGGTGCTCGTCCGCCTCGAGATTTGAGAAGTAAGATAATGTCGCGCATGAGCTCGTTAGCTTGAGTTTCGTCGAGCTCTGCACTGTCCAAATCGGCTTCGACTGCTCGAGCTGTTTCTTCTCGTCGAGCGGCTATACGGTCAAGGAGTGCGCGAGAGCCCACGGCGGGAGCGTCCGTAGCTAACGCGCAGGGTGCCGTGCTCGTGCGACCGAAACGTCCGAGCGGGCGTGCTGTGGTGTTGGCGGACACCCCAGTCCGCGCGCCACCAACGGCGCCGCGATTGCCCGTCCACGTCGGTACATGAACGGCCAAACCCGCGCGAGCTGTTTGCGTAGACAAGCGAAGCGCCTCGGCCGCGCGACGCGCGACGCGATCCGCCTCAGCATTATGTGACATACGGTCGACACCTGCGGCGTTCATGATCTTGTCGTGATTCATCGCGACTTGAATGTTTCCCGAATCGAACAAACCGCGCAAAATTTGCGAATCGCCAGCGCCGCCGTCACCGCTCGCTGTTGACGCGGTCTCGCGCGCGGTTTCCACACGAACTCGGTTACTTTGTCGAGTAGGACGCGTTCTAGATTTCGGTGGCGGTGCCTCGTTGTCGTCTGGGTCCCACGCGTCGCGCTCTATTTCGCCATCCTCGGACGTTGCCTTCGTTTCGTCTTCGTCCTCGACGTCGCCGCGTAAGATCTGACCCTCGACTTCGGAGAACAGCTCCACGGTTTCAATCGTCGCCTTATCGTGCGCGTCTCCGCCTCCGGCGGCGACTTCGTCAAAGGTGAATAGATCAGCCATGTCGCGCGCTTTGAAAAAGCGTCGCTGCTTGGGATCTTTGAGCACTTTACTCGTCAAAAATTCCTTGTAAATTTGCCTGTGATACACCTTTTCTTCGATCGTCCCCGCGGTGATGAGTCTATAAATCGTGACTTCTTTCTTCTGACCAATACGCCACGCGCGTTCGCGCGCTTGCGCATCCGTAGAAGGGTTCCAGTCGGGATCGTACAACAACACGCGATTCGCCCCGGTGAGATTTACGCCCAAACCGCCGACTTTGGTGGTGAGCAAAAACACAAACACGCCTCTGTCGTCGTCGTTGAAGTCATCGATGAGAGACATGCGCGAAGCGATAGACGTGTTTCCATCCATTCGGCGGTAATTGTACCCAGCAGACGCCACTGCGCTCTCCAAGATATCGAGCATCTGCTGCGTCTGGCTGAACACGAGGCATCGGTGACCTTGCTCGCGCCAAAGTGAAAGCACCTTGAGCGTCACCTGAAGCTTACCACTGCGCACAGAGTCGCCGTAGCCTTCGTTCGCGGCTTGCGTTCGACGCTCGAGCAAGTCTGGATGATTGACGATTTTGCGCAAGACATCGATGCCCCCCAAGGCTTCGCGCGAGCCATCTAATATTTCCTCCACCTCGCGACTGGCCAAGTACGCTCGGTACGCTTCTCGTTGCTCGCAAGTCATCGGACAGAACAAAACTTGCTCAGTTTTGTCCGGTAACTTTACGTCTACGTCACATTTCATGCGTCGAAGTAGATACGGCGCGATAAGATCTTTTAGAGTCACCGCGCAGCGATACGCCGTCGTGACTTGCTGATTACTCGCGTTCGTGTAACCGCCGATTTGAATCGGTACCGAGAATTGCGCTTGAAACACGGGAAGCGTGCCCAGCTTTCCAGGGAACACGAAGTCAAACAATGACCAAAGTTCTGACAGGCGGTTTTGAATCGGCGCACCGCTCATGATGATGCGATGGACGGTTTGAAGCTGCTTGGCGACGATGGTCACGTCGGCGTCTGGATTGCGAATTTTGTGTCCTTCGTCCAAGACGGCGTATCCCCAGCGCACGGCGCAAATTCGATCGCGAAACATTCGCATGTGCTCGTATGTAGTGAGTAAAACTCCGTCACCGTCGGAAATGCACTCGTTAAACAATCGCTCTCGCGCGCGTTTCTTCCCGCCCGCCTCGCTGGAGATGGCTGAATCGTGCAAAATTGTCGTCTTCAATTTAGGCGCCCAGATTCGAAGCTCTCGACGCCACTGCCGCAACATCGTCGCCGGGCAAACGATGATCGAGGGCGAGTACATGCGCGAATGATGTAAAGCGGCTAAAAACGACGCCACTTGTACCGTCTTACCGAGTCCCATCTCGTCTCCAATGATGCCTCCGGCGCGTTGGCAGTGCAATTCCCACAACCACTTCAGGCACGTCTTTTGGTGTGGTAACAACCTTTCGTACGTATCGCCCGGGATCGATAATCCGCCCGCAAACTCGACGTCCTCTAATGGTTCTTCATCTTCGTCTTCGTCTTCGTCTTCGTCATCTTCCGCCGCTCGGTCCTCGTCGCTGTCGTGAAATCCGTTACGCCGCGAGCGCTTTGCGACGCCCGTCGCGTCTTCGTCGTTCTCGCGCATCTTTGCCCGCCACTCTGCACGCTTCGCTGCCATCTTCTGCTTCGTCGCCGCGCTCGTCGCGTTTCTCATCGCGCGGCTCGCAAACGGCCGCGCGTTCGGCTCTAACCGCGGAGTTTCCTCCACGGTCAACGTCTTCGCTCGACTCCTCGAATCTCGCCACGCCTTGGTCGCCGCGGCGGCTTTAGTCGCCGTCTCCTTCTCCTTCACCACGCGTTCGAATCCATCGAGCCTATCGAACGGCGTCAAAACTCCAATCCTGATCAACCGCTCGCGCTCCGTCTCCGTCGCCGCGGCTTTCGCCGCCGCGGGCTCGTCGAAGAGCTCGTCGAAAAAGTCGTCGTCCGGCTTCGGCCGCGCCGCCGATGTCCTCGCCCGCCCGTTCGTCGCGCGCCCGTCTCCCTCCGTCCCGCGCGTCGTCGCCGTCGTCGACGCGACCCTTCCTCTCGCGCCTCCCTCTCCCTCCGCCGTCCCTCCGTCGTCCTCGATCGCCCGCGCCGCGCGTTCCGCCGCGCGCGCCGCCGCCGCCTGCGCCTCCATCTTCCCTCGCAGTCCCTCCAACCGTTTCTTCCCCACCGCCGCGCGCAGCGCGTCCCGCGCTTCGTCGCACTCCTCCAGCGCGCGCTCGACCGCCTCGTACTCCGCCCGCGTCGCCTCGGCGTCGCGCTCGAGCCTCGCGCGCAGGCGCCGCGCGTCGTCGACGTCCGCGTCGACGTCCGCATCGTTCGCGTCGTCCTCGCGCGCCGCGCGCGCCGCGCGCGCGAGCACGCGACGACGGACGGCGTCGACGTCGTCCGCGGCGACGCCGAGCGCGGCGTCGCGCGCCATCGAGCGGCGCGCGTCGCCGCGGCGACGGACGACGCGAACGATGCGGACGCGCGCGGTGCGAGACGCACGCGACACACGGATCGTTTCGACCCCCGACCCCCGATCGCGTCGAGTCGGGACCCGTCGTCTCGTCCGAGGCCGCTCGATCCGTATTCGAGCGACCCATTCGCCTAGATGGAAGCACGACGACCAATAAAAACGCGATCGCCACCCCGGGCCGCCTCGGCACCTCGACGCGGGTCGCGCGCGCGCGCGCGGCGACGGCATTACTGAACTCAGAACGACCCGTCGACGCCCCGCGCGACGACACGGCGACGCTTGAAATTTAAGCGTTACACGACACTCGCTCACACACAACCAACCTCGACGGTCAAATGTCGGTCAACGTGCAAACCTCGCTCGATCAACACGGGCTCACCGCGGATGAACAAATGGCGGTGTTCGCGTACATGAACCGGTCGCAGCAGGTGAACGCGTACGAGGTGCAGCAGCACATCGCGGTACGTTTTGAGCGGCGTGGGTTTTTTGTGAATCGTTCGCGGGACGGAGGGGCGGGGGGGCGCGCGCGCGCGGGCGCGGGATCGATGGCGCGGGTCGGCGATTCGCGGATGCTGACGCGGATGCTGACGTGGCGAGACTGACCTCGGATGATTCTCGATTCGCGCCGAACAGAACGGGACGATTAAATCGTTCGGTAAGGGTATCTTGGGCGAAGCCCAGACGAAAAAGTTGAACGAGGCCAGTCGCCAGAAGAGCGCGCTCGAGATCATGGGCGAACACGAACGCGCGAAGCAGCGCGCGAAGGCGGAACGCAGAGCGGCGAAGGAGGCCAAGGTCGCCGCTCGCCTCGAAAGAGAAGAGTTCGAACGCACCGGCGGACAGGTCAAGATGAGCAAGAAGGAACGAAAAAGGATGGAGATGGACATGGAGGACTAATGTAAGACGTAGTCCTCCTCGCGATGGAAACGCGTCGAGCGACGATTTGTCGCTCGTCGCGCGTCTTCGCGCGGCGTATCGTACGTCTTCAAGAATATCCTCACATCAACCGCACATCTATTCACGTTCCAACTTGCAACACATCAACTTGGTACCTGGCCGTTAACGGTCGTTCGAACCGTCTTGCGCGACACGTTTTGCATAGCCTTTAAGGCGGCGCGCTCGGAAACAGAGATTTTTTAGCCCGTACGTACCACACGGGATTGTTCGAATTTGTATATCAAATGATTAGTTGTACAGTATCAGTCAAGCCGCGATAGCGATGCGATGCGATGCGATGCGGTGCGCACGAGTTTGAGCGTTTCGCGCGCGAGTAAAACTCGTCTTCTTAGGATAACTGGACAATTTACAACTTAATTATTCTATTCCTCAACGCAACGGGATTCCAAACACCGTGCACTCCATGCGCGTGTCTTGGAAATCGAGCGTGAACACGCCTTCGTGCCCCCCCAATTTACCCTCTCGCATTCTAAAGCACAAACGATCGCCAACACTCAAGACAGCGGCCTTGCCGACTGGGAGCATCTCCCAACGACCTGAGCTCTGGCGCCACACCCCAGGTCCTTCGTGCAGAGACTTCATGCGGATCCTTTCCTTGATGACCGCGATTGAGAACTGCTGTCTACTCACGCCCTTGTTTTCAATACCCCCCATGCCACGACCGATCGTTTGCTGACCGTCGTGCAATAAAATCTCTGGAGGAACGTAGGACTTGTCGTTTGCCTCAGTTGAGAGCGGGTCAGGGACGTAAATCAAGCGCAGCTTTCTATACTCTTCTTCCTCAGCATGGCCAGTAGTGATAGCGCGAAGCTCATTTTCATCTTCCGGCAGCAGACTGAGCTGTTCTTGGATTTCCCGCACCTCGTCGAGTAACTGCTCGAGTGTCTTTTCGTAGCTCAGGCCAGGGTCGCCGGCAGCGTCCTTCAAGCGCAAGTCGTTGGGATCGAACGGCACTCCCGGGTGATCATCGTTCTCGATGTTCGCTAGCATCATTTCTAAACCGAAACGTTCGCCGTCGTCTTCGTACTTGTCGTCTAAAAACGTTTCAGAAGACATGACGCCAACAAAATCTACGATGGTCGTCGCCATGCCAATTAGCACGAAAGCGTTCGTGATGGCGAGAGCCAAGGCGAACAAGTCGAACTTGCCGATATGCCCGGACGACACAAACGTGACGGTTGACGTGGCCCACGTGTGGAAGTACCGCGATATGGAATGTATCCCGGCATCTGTTGGGTGAGGCAAATACGTCACCGTCGTCTTCGCGTTGAAGTTATTCGTCTTCACTTGTTCCGCAGACAAAGTCGCCGTGACCGTCGTCTTCAACGGTTTACTAAAATAAGTGTTTGTAAACGACACCTTCACGTTCAGGCGCAGGCCCGACATGCGATAGGGCAGCCCTGTCACGGAGCCTCGGTCGCCGACGATTGAGGGATTTGTTTCGTCGAGCGAGTTGATCCCCGCCATGGCTAACAACTGCGGAAACGTGACCGTCGGCTTGGTTATCGAGGTGATATACTCTACTCCATTTACGTCAACGACTTCCGCCTCGTTAAGAGTTCCAGTGGCTGTTTGGTACCGAATATCTAACTGCATGCTCAGCAAGTCTACGCCGACCACCATGTACGCTTGCGGCGACGTCTGAGTCTCCGTACACCCTGCCGCCCCGTACGTCGACGCGCCCGGTGATGTACACGATCTCGTCACGGAGTGTACTTCTGCAAACGTGCCGATGGTCATCCCATTCCCCGCATCGAACGGCCACACGTACTCAGCCGGCGCGTGCTGCGCCGTACATTCGAGCGCCGTCATGTAAGCGTCGTCAAACACCTTCCCCCCTCGACGCCAATTCACGTACCCTGTGTTACAATAATCCACAGTCGCATTCTGCGCGATTTCACGCGCCAGCACCACGTTGCTCGTCACCGGATCCGGTCCGAATTTCTGATACGTCGTCGTCACGTACAGCGCCGGAAGCTCGAAAAGCATGTAGTTATGACTCAATAAGATCGACACCAGCGCGAACGTCGCGATCAGGCTCATGAATATGAAGTGCAGCGTCACTAAGAACTTATCGTTCGTCTTCACGAGCTTCGTGGTGCGGTAGGTGAAGACCTCCGTGACGGAGTCTTTGAGGAGCTCTTTGAAGCCCATGGTTTCTGTGCGTTATTTCGTCGCCGCGTCGCGCGCGCGCGCGTCCGAGTCGCGCTCTGAGCGCTTCGGAACGCGCGTCGAGGATTTCTTTCTCGCGTGCGCGCGTCCGGCCGGCGAATCACGTCGCGCGCGCGCGCACGAGGCGCGTTATGCCGATGATGGTTTTTTTACGCGCGGGGTGTTGCGCTCCCGTTCGGTCCCCTGGGCGCGGCGCGGGGAGACGCGGCGGAAAAAATGTGATTAATAAGAACTACCAGTCTTTCTGTGGTGGATGCTCGTCACGCCTTCGGCGTCTAAGAGAGTCCCGCGCTCGACTTCGGCGAGGACGACCCAGTGGTCGCCGGCCTCCATTCGCTTCGTGACGGTGCACTCGACGCACGCGAGGGCCTGTTTCACCACGGCGCAGCCGTTGGTTTCGGAGATGTCTACGTCGAGCGCGCCGAAACGGTTCTCACCGGGAGCGAACGGTTTGAGTAGGGCCTTCATGACGTCCTTTTCGCCGCCGGACTTGAGGACGTTGAGGTTGAACTTGCCGCCGGTCATGAGGAAACTCTCGACGGCGCGCTCCTTGGCGACGGCGACGGTGAGCGCCGGCGGATTGAAGCTCGCTTGAGATACCCAAGACGCTAACATGGCACTTTGCGTGTCTTCGTTCTTCGTCGTCACCGCGCATAGCGAGCCGACGATGCGCCCGACGGCGGCGGCGGTGTCACTGACGCCGTCCGCGGCTTGGCCGACGGATTTACGCTCGAGCACTTGTTTGCGGCGCTCGATCTTGCGCACCGCTTGCGCGAGATCCGTCCCGCTCTCTTCACAAAGCTGCAGCGTCTCGGCGGTAGGTTTGAATTTACACCGCAACGGCTCGAACGCACTTTTAAAGCCCGCGTCTGTCAAGCGTTTGTCGATCATCGCCACCGCTTCGCCAGACCAGCCAAAGGATCCAAAGGAGCCGCACGGCTTCTCCAAATCGCCCTCCTTCACGATCGCCCCGAGTGCGGTCTGCACGGGCGTCGGTAAAGTGCCACCGAGCGTCGGTGCACCGAGGGCGAACCCCGCGCTACGTTTCAACACTTCTTCCACTTCGATCGGTGACGCGAGCTCGCAGTTGAACATTTCCGCGCCGACGCCTGTCTTGGCGACGCCTCGCGCGATGGCTTGCGCCATCGCGCCGGTGTTCCCGTACGCACTGGCGTAGATGACGGCCACGGACAAGTTATCCCCAGCGGAAGTTTGCATTTTGCACCACTCTACGTACTCTCGATACAGCTCCGTGACCGAGGACGCGACGACCGGGCCGTGCGCCGGGCAAATAGTCTTCGCGACGCCCTCGAACGCTTGCGAGCTCGTTTTCCCCGCCATGGACTTGCCCATCGCGCGCAGCAAAACCTTTTTCACCGCGCCGCTCTTTTCCCACTCCTCCATCCGTCGTCCCATCCGTTCGTCGTACGCGTTCTCTTCTTTCACGGTAAGCTTCTCGAGCAAAGGCGACACTTGCCTCGCCATCGGCGCGAGGAGGCAGTCAAAGTAAAACCTCCAATCCTCCCCGAACGTCTCCAACCCGCCCTCATCGCCGTATCCTTCCATCGTGCCGACGTGTGCGGAGAAAAACTTCGATGTAAACAGAGTTTGCGACTTCTCATCGCGCGCGAAGATCAAATCCGGCCAACGCGGCGTGGGCGCGAGCGTAAATCTCAAAGTCCGCCCGCCCAAATCCAACCGCTCGCCGTTGCGCACGACGCGCAACCGCGCCCTCAGTTTCCCATCCGTCCCCTTCCACGCCGCACACAGCGCTTCATTCGTCAGAGGACTATTCGGTTTCAGCGCCTGTTGAATCAACTGCGCCCCCGGATTCGAGCACAGCACCTCCACGCACGCCGCGCCCTCGCTCCTGTTCGCGATCGCCGCCGCGAGCGCGTCCAACCGCCGCGGACTCACGTGCAGCACCGCGTGATACGCCGCGTCGCGCGCCCACGCCCCCAGCCCCTCGATCTCGCGCGCGTACCCCTCCGCGTGTCTCCCGTCGACGCAATCGATCAGGCACGCATCCTTTTCGCCTCGCGTCGCGTACGCGTTCTCCGTCGTCCCTCGCCGCGCGCCGTACTCCACCTCGAACGTCCGTCGCGCGCGCGTCGCGAACGACACCATCGCCACCCCGCCGACGACGTCATCGCGCGTCGCGACGCGATCGTCGCCGTCGTCGCCGTCGCGCGCGCCGTCGTTCGCCGCGAACAGCGCGTCGCGCGCGCGCTTCGAATCCGCCGCGCGCGTCTCCTCGCGTCCCGTCTCGAGCGCGCGTCGCGCCGTCGCGCGCCGTCGACGCGCGACATCGCGCGCGCGTCGCGTCGCGCATCGCGTCGCGTCACCGCGCGTCGCGGCGCGCGTCGCGGCGCGCATCGCGGCGTCGTCGAGTGCCGTCCGCGTCAGCGCGTCGCCATCGCGCGACGCGCGCGCGATGGAGCGCGTCGACGCCATCGCGCGCGCGCTCGGCGCGACGCGCGACGACGTCGTCGGCGAGCTCCTGCGCGCGATGGGCGTCGATCGGTGCGCGCGGCGAGCGCGCGCGCGACGATTCGGTTCGGTTCGGTTCGGTTCGGTTCGCGACGACTGACGACGCGTCGCGCGCAGGGACGAGCGCGAGGGCGGCGCGCGCGTGCGCGAGGCGTTCGCTCGAATTCTCGCCGATCGACGCGCGAGCGGCGACGCGTCGACGAGCGACGACGACGACGACGACGACGACGGACCGCGCTCGGCGCTCGACGCTCGGCGCGACGGCGACGACGCGTCCGAGAGCGAGATTCCACCGCTTCGCGAGCGATTAAAGCGCGGCCGCGACGCCGCGACGACGGGAGACGCGCGATCGAGCGCGACGCGACGCGCGACGCGACGCGCGGCGACGGATTCCGAGGTCGCGAACGCGCTCGCGGCGTGGCTTCGCGCCGACGACGAGACGTACGAGCGCGCGCTGCTGACGCGCGGCGTCGACGTCGACGACGCGCTGGCGCGCGCGCGAGTCGCGGGCGTGCGGGCGAGTCGCGCGGTGTTCGTCGAGTGGCTCGAGGGCGAGGGCGTCGCGCTGGCGCACACGAAGACGCGCAGAGCGCGCGAGCGCCGTCGTCGAGCGCGCGTCGGCGCGCCGTCGCGATAGTCGTCGAGCGTCGCGTCGCGTCGCGTCGCGCGGGTAGTCTAGCGTTAGTTTTAACGCGGCGCTCGAAATGAATCGTTCGCGCGCGTCGTCTTCGCGTCGTCGTCGTCGTCGATCGGTCGCGAACCGTCGTCGCGTCACACCATGCCTCGCGTCGTCTTCGCCTCCGTCGCGCCCGCGCGCGACGTCTCGCGGCTCCACGTTCGCACCCCGCTCGTGAAGTCCGCGCCGCTGAGCGAGATAATGCGTCGCGACGTGTACCTCAAGCTCGAGTGCGCGCAGCCGAGCGGGTCGTTCAAGCTGCGCGGCGTCGGACGCGCGTGCGCGCTCGCCGTCGAGCGCGACGGCGCGCGCCTGCTCGTCTCCTCTTCGGGCGGCAACGCGGGACTCGCGACGGCGCACGCGGGACGCGAGCTGGGCGCGCAAACGGTGGTGTACGTGCCGGAGACGACGCCGGAGCGCGTGCGGGACGCGCTGCGCGCGTACGGCGCCGAGGTTGAGGTGCGCGGGACGCAGTGGAGCGAGGCGAACGCGGCGGCGACGGCGCGCGCGGCGGCGTGCGGAGGGGCGATGATACACCCGTTCGAGGGCGAGGACACGTGGGACGGGCACAGCACGATGATCGATGAGATCGCGGAAGATTTGGGCGGACGAAAGCCGGCAGCCGTCGCGACGTGCGTCGGCGGCGGCGGATTGCTGGCGGGATGTCTGCGAGGCATCGAGCGGTGCGGATGGGGCGACGACGTCGTCGTGGTGGCGATGGAGACGATCGGGGCGGATTCGCTGAACGCGTCGATGCGCGCGGGAGAGGTGGTGACGCTGCCGGCGATCACGAGCGTGGCGAAATCTCTCGGCGCGGCGTCGCCGTCGCCGGCGGTGTTTAAGATGTGCGTCGAACTCGGCGACGCGCGCGTGCGCGTGCGCGCGTGCGACGACGCGCACGCCGTCGCCGCGTGCCTGCGCTTCGCCGACGATCATCGCGTGCTCGTCGAGCCGGCGTGCGGCGCCGCGCTCTCCGCCGCGTACTTTCCGGAACTCGGCGCGCTCGACGGGATATCGTCCGACCCGCGAGCGCCGATCGTCGTCGTCGTGTGCGGCGGCTCCGTCATCGATCGAGCGTCGATGAACGAACTCGCGAAAGCGTTTAGTCTGGCGTGAGTGATTCGGACGCTGCTAGCTAGTTCTAGTCGTATTCTAAAAAGCGGCGAATCGTTCAAGAAACGTACAACCCGTCGGATTCGTTTCGACGCAGCGCGGGGGCGTAGTACACTCGTAATTCCGCGAGCGTCGCGCCGGCGCCTTCTTTAAAAAGTCCGGACCCGTCCTCGAATGATTCGTAATGGGTGCCCAACCGGCTCTTACACTCGCGCGAGCCCGTGGCGTTCGCCTCGCCGAGATCGAACGAACCGCCGACGCCCGCGTACGACGACCCGTTCGGTGGCGCGAAACCGAGCGGCACGCGCAAAGCATCGACGCCGAAGCACGGTCCCTGCGCGCCAAAATCAAAGATCGCCGCATTTCCCCCCGGCAAGACGTTCGCGACGTCGCTCGGCGCGTCTCCTCGTCGAAACGCCGCGTCGCTCCGCCACTTGCACAAAAACGCGTTCCCGCTCTCGCGATAATCCTCGACGGAATAAAAACCCAGCGGATTGAACCCCGCGAACCGCGACCCTTTCGTGGTTTTCCCGATCACCAGGCACGGCCCGCGCCCGTCGACGTCGGCGTGAAACGCTCGCGCGTTGTACCCTCGCGTCTCCGCGTCGTACGCCACCTCCAAAACCCTCCCCTCCAGCACCGTCCCGCGCACCGCCGCGAGCACCGCCGCGACGGACGCGTCCTTCGCCGTCGCCCGCGCGGTCCACGCGTCGTAGGCCTCGCGATTCGGCGCGCTCGAGTCGGAATCCTTCGGCGTCACCAAGTCCAACAGTTTATCCATGAACGACGCCCGCGCCGCGCTCGAGCGACGCCCGCGTCGCGCGCGCGCGCGCGTCGACGCGACGCGATCTCGCGCGCGCGCGGGCGCGACGCGCGCGCGAATCATGGCGCGCGTCGCGCGTCGCGCGTCGCGCGTCGTCGTCTGACGCGACGATTCGCCGACGCGACACTTGACGACTCGACCGATCGTCGAACGCCCGCGCGACGCCCGCGCGACGCGACGCCTCGAGTCCGCGCGCGTCGACGACGCGCCGATCGTCGCGTCGGCGCGCGCGAACGCGCGCGCGCGCTCGAGCGACGCGCGAGCGACGCGCGAGAGAGGATCTCGAGAAGACGCGTCGGCGCGCGATCGACGACGCGCGATGGACGAACCGAGCGAGGAACGAAGCGGGGACCACGCGGCGCCGGTGGGGGACGACCCCTCCACGGCGCCCGTGCCGGAGAAGGTGCGCGCGAGGGCGAGAGACGCGCGCGGGCGCGGAAACGCGCGGCGCGCGGCGAGGCGATTCAAACCCGAGACGCGCGAACGACGCGAACGCGATTCGCGACGGCGCGACGGCGGCCGGCGACGCGACGACGACGCGAGATTGACGAGTGTGTGGTTTGTGAACGATGCAGACGCAAGTCGGGGGATCGCCCGTGTACATCGTGGAACGGAAACTCGGAAAGGGCGGGTTCGGGCAGGTGTACGTCGGACGGCGGTTGAAGCCGACCGACCCGAGCGCGACGACGGGGCCGAATGCGAACCAGGTGGCGTTGAAGTTTGAACACAGGTCGAGTAAGGGATGTGATTACGGACCACCGTACGAGTGGAGCGTGTATAACTCGCTGGGGGGTATTCTCGGGGTGCCGAAGGTGCACTATAAGGGGAGTCAAGGAGACTACTACGTGATGGTGATGGATTTGTTGGGGCCGTCTTTGTGGGATAAGTGGAACGCGAACGGGCAGATGATGTCGCAGGAGATGGTCGCGTGCATTGCGGTGGAGTCGCTCGCGATTTTGGAGAACTTTCACAGTAAAGGGTTCGTGCACGGCGACATCAAGCCGGAGAACTTTTTGCTCGGACCTCCGGGAACGCCGACGGAGAAGAAGTTGTATTTGGTTGATTTAGGTCTGGGGACGCGTTGGCGCGACCCAATTTGTTCGGCTCACATAGAATACGACCAGAGACCAGATATTTTCCGAGGAACAGTGCGTTACGCGTCCGTGCACGCGCACTTGGGCCGCACCGCATCTCGACGCGACGACTTGGAATCGCTGGCGTATACTTTATTGTTCCTCTTGAAGGGGCGATTACCGTGGCAAGGTTACCAAGGCGATAACAAGGGGTTTTTAGTATGCAAGAAGAAGATGGCTACCAGTCCCGAGGCGCTTTGCAGATACACTCCGAGCGCATTCAGGCAGTTTATGGAAGCCGTCATCAACTTGAAGTTTGACGAAGAACCTAAGTACGGAGCCATGTCCGGACTCTTTGAGCCTCTGTGCGGCGCCGTCGCGAGACGCCCGATCTCTACCGAAGGCGCGAAGAAGGTTGGCATGAAGCGTAAAATTTCTGACATGCAGTTTGACACCGACGATAAGGACCGACTGAAGAAGAAGGTACGCGTCGGCTTGCCCGCGCAGCAATGGATCACCATTTACAACGCCCACCGACCGATGAAGCAAAGATACCACTACAACGTGGCGAACTCGCGCATCGAGCAGCACGTGGAGAAAGGTAACGATGACGGTCTATTCATCTCCAGCGTCTCCTGTTCGGCTGAGCTCTGGGCGCTCATCATGGACGCCGGTACGGGCTTCAGCGCGCAGATTTGGAACTTGTCCACGCACTTCTTGCCGAAGGACTGGATCTTGGAACAGTGGGACGATGGATACTACATCACCGCGCTCGCGGGTTCGTCCGCCGGCTCTGCCATCGTCGTCATGTCGAAAGGCTCGACGTACACGCAGCAGTCGTACAAGGTGAGCGACTCGTTCCCCTTCAAGTGGATCAATAAAAAGTGGAAGGAAGGCTTTTACGTCACCTCCATGGCCACTTGCGGGTGCCGCTGGGCAGTCGTCATGTCCCGAAACGCCGGTTTCGTCGATCAATGCGTTGAACTGGACTTTATGTACCCGAGTGAAGGCATTCACCGACGCTGGAACGGTGGTTTCCGCATCACGTGCTGCGCGGCGACGACAGACCAAGCCGCCTTCGTGCTCTCCATCCCTCGCCGCCGACCGGGCGACGAGACGCAGGAAACTCTTCGCACCTCGGCCTTCCCGTCCACGCACGTCAAAGAAAAGTGGGCGAAGAACCTTTACATCAGCGCCGTCGCGTTCGGTCGCACGGTGAGCTAACGCCGCTCTCCGCGCGATTCCAACCACTTTTTCCGAGGAGATCGAGCGATCTCGCGCCGGCGATATCGTCTCTCGCGCCTCCTCCAGCTTTCACCGCGCGCGTTCGCACCGTCATAGTTTTGTATAGATATCAACGCTCGTACGAATCACGTCTCCAGAAGTCGAGTCGCCGCTTTTCAGACAATCTCCGTCTCGTTTTTCAGCCGCGTCCTCTCGCGCGTCCTCGCGCGCTGACTAGGCGCGGCGTCGCCCTCGTGGCTGGATAATTCTCCCCACACCGCGCCTCGTCTTCGCGCGCCCGACGCCGCGCGCGCGCGGTGACGAAGAAAAAGCGCTTCGCGCGCGACGTGACGCGCGCGCGTCGCCATGCTGCTTCCGCGCGTGCCGCCGAGCGCGTTTTTCGACTCTCACCGTCGCCGCGTCCCGAAGCGACGCGCGACGTCCGCGGACGACGCGCCGACGAGCGACGCGTCGTCCACGGCGCGGCGAGCGAAGAACGATGATCTCGTCGCGAAGCTGAGACTCGGAGATTCCGTGGACGCGGGACGCGCGGTGAAACCGACGCGGTTGGAACGCGCGGCGGCGAGGGTGAATCGCGAGCGGGACGCGGCGACAAAGGCGGTGCTGGCGTTCGCGCTCGGCGTGGTGAGCATGATGCCGACGATGACGACGGATGCGCCGACACCGCAACCGGTGGTGAGTGGAGTGAAGCGGACGATGGTGGCGGGGACGGTTAAGAGCGCGACGAGCGACGCGACGCGAAGGGGGGAGACGGCGGCGGAGGCGCAATTCACGCGCGACGTGGAACGCTTCGTGGGTAGGATGAGCATGTAGACGTGCGCGAATTGATTAGAAAGTGCTGGAACGCTCGCACGTCGCGACGTTTGTTGTATTGAAAGAGCCAACATTTTTTGTTAAGAATTACATGCGGGGTCGACGGCGCGTCAGTAGTAAGAGCCGACTTTGCGATGATGGGACGCCGTTCGTACGTCTTGGTTGAACACCTTACCGTTGAAAACTTCGCTGTACACGATCCAGTGATCGTTGGCTTCCATTCGAGACACCACTCGGCACTCCATGAACGCCACGGCGTCGCCGAGGATGGGCGCGCCGCAGTTGGCAGGCGCCCACTCCACGCCCTCGAAGCGGTCGGCGCCGGGTGGGAATCGCGTCAGAAAGTGCTTCATTAACGGTTCGAAGCCGTTCTCGGGAAGGCAATTCAGGACAAACGTGTCGTTGACTTGCATCAGTGATTCAATGGCGCGATCTTTCGCCACCGCGACGGTAAAACCGAGAGGTTCGAACGAGGCTTGGGCGACCCAAGACGCGATCATCGCCGAACGCGCGGTGCCCTGCGCGGCGGTGACGACGTACAAGCCTCCACTGACACGACCGAGCGCCTTGGCGACGTCAGGTGACATGGCGCTCTTCATGTCCGCCAGTGTCTTCTTCTTCGTCAAAAGTTGACCCAAATCGGTGCCAGCCTCTTCGAACAATTGATACGTGCCCTCGGTCGGGTCGCTCGTCACCTTGAGGGGCGAAAAAGCCTCGGTAACGCCGAGCTCGGCGAGTTTCTTCGCCAACAAGTCCACGGGCTCGTCTTCACCACCATACGATTCCGCGATGAAGAACTTTTGCTTGGCGTCCACGGCGCCGATGATGTTGGCGAGCTGCTCGTTGGCTGGACCGGCGCGCGGCGGCGAAAGCAAGACGATGCCAGCCGCGTGCTTCGTCGTTTCGACGAGTTCTTGAGAATCTGCGGACAATAAATCCATCATGACAACCTCTGTTTCGGTCTTCGTCAACCCGCGCGCGATGGACTGCGAAAGTCGATCGCTGAAACCGTACTCGGCGGTGTAAAATACCGCCACGTTTGCCTTGGCCTTGGCCAACGCGCTCTCGCTCCATTTCTTGTAATCCCCCACGAGTTCGTCCACGTTGTACCGCAGCAACGGTCCGTGGCCGTTACAAATGCCCACAAAATCTGCGCCTTCGGACTCGCACTTGCGAAGCGCCGTGAGCACCGATCGAGCGTTCGGTTTCATCAAACACTCGTAGTAGAAACGATAGTGCGGCATCAACGCGCTCAAGTCCCCGTCGAACGGGTCCTCACTGCAATAATGCGACCCGAACGCGTCGCACGTGTACATCAATCGTGACTTCGGATCGTATGTGAACATCGTATCCGGCCAATGCAAGTTGGGCGCCATGATAAACTTCAGCTCGTGTCCGTCGCCCAAATCCACGACGTCGCCCCCCTTGACCACCCTCGACTCGAACGGCTCGTGAATCAAATTCTCCAAGAACGCCAAGCACACCTTACTCCCGAGCACCGTCGCATTCGGCGCAATCTTCAGCACGTCTCCGATCAATCCCGAGTGATCGGGTTCGGTGTGCGAGCACACCACGTACTTGATCTCCAGCGGGTCGATTTCTCCAGTCAGCGTCTTCATGTACAACTCCCGAAACTTTTCGTGACTCGCGTCGATCAGCGCCGCCGTCCCGGGCGCGCCGCGAATGATGTACGAGTTATACGTCGTCCCTTTTTCCAACCCAAACTCGATGTCGAACCGATCGCGATCCCAATCGAGCGACCGTATCAGCGTGGTGCCCTCGCCGAGCGCCGTCGCCTGCGTCTGCAATCGCTTCTTCCCCTCGAACAGCTCCACGTCCGACGTCCTGACCGCCTCGCGCGTCACCGGCGGGTCCGTCACCGCGCACTCGACCCATCTCGCGCGCCGCGCGCGCCGCGCGCGCGTCGTCGCACCGCGCGAACCCTCCGGGCGTCGTCCGAGTCGGCACCTCGACGCCATCGCGTCCGCGCGCGTCGCCGCGCGCGCGCGCGCCGCGTCGACGCGCATCGCCGCGTCGCCCGCGCGTCTCTCACCGCGCGCACGGCGTCGATCGCCGCGCGCGATTCGCCGTCGACGCGTCGCGCTGTGACGGCGCGCGGCACTCCGAGCCTCGCCATGACGCGCGCGGATCTCCCGCCCGAGACCGTCGCCGAGGCCGTCGAGCGCGTCTGGACGTGCTACGGTGCGCCTCGAACGACCGCGCCGAATCGCGCGGCGCGAGACTGACGACGCGCGCGACGCGACGCAGATCCGATGTTTCAGTTGAGTCGGTACTACAGACACGGCGAGCTCGACGCGTGCGACGAGAAATGGAGCGACCTGTGGGAGTGCTTCGCGGTGAAGCGCGCGCAGCGCGAGGGATTACCCGCGCCCGAGCGACGGGCGGCGCGCGCGCGCGCGGAGACGGGCGAGGGAGACGCGAATGGGACGTCGCCGCTGACGCGCGAGGACGCCGAGCGCGCGGGACGCGCGTGGCGGAAGCTGTTCGGCGCGAACGTGCCGAGCGAACGCGAGCTGCGCGACGCCGAGCGAGAGACGCTGGCGAACGGGCGAGCGAGCGAGCGGGAGACGTCGACGTTCGGAGGCGGGACGGGGTGAAGGCGCCGCGGAGGGACGAGGACGCGCGCCGCAAAACGCGGCGGATGCGCGCGACGACGACCTGGACGCGTCGGTGCGCGTGGATCGTTCGGACGCGCGCGTGTGGGCGGAACGAAGCGATCGCGCGCGCGATGAACGCGAAAACGGTCGCGGAAAGATTGAAGGAGACGTCGACGGCGGTGATCTTGGGCTCGGGCTCGGCGACGCGACGCGCCATCTTGTCGGGGATGAACATCGAGTACGTCATCGAGAAGCCGGATATCGACGAGAAGGCGATACGGTTTGATGATCCCGAAGTTTTGGTGCGCGCGCTGGCGAGCGCGAAGGCGACGGCGGTGCGCGAAAAGCTCGCGGAGCGCGGTGAGGGAGCGCGGAGATTGTTGATCACGTGCGACCAAGTCGTGGTGCATCGAGGAATCATCCGCGAGAAACCGACGAGCGCGAGCGAGGCGCGAGAGTTCATACGCGGGTACGGCTTGGACCCGCCGTCCACGGTCGGGTCGACGATGGTGACGGATTTATCGAGCGGAAAGTCGGCGTCGGCGGTGGACGTGAACACCGTCGTCTTCGACGAAATTCCCGATGACGTCGTGAACGCCATCGTGGACGAGGGCGAGTGCATGTTTTGCGCCGGAGGTCTCATGGTCGAGCATCCGCTGCTTCAGCCGTATCTAAAGCGCATCGAAGGGTCGATGGACGGCGTCATGGGTCTCGACGCGCAAACCGTAGAGCGTCTGTTGAACGAGTTCGTCTGATGTTCAAATTGAATTGAATTGTAATTGCTAATCGCTAGGTATAGCTAGTCATCGTGTTCACTTCACGTCGTCGTTTTCTTTCTGCCATTGCTCGAGAACGGTGGCGAACGTGCCGAGTTCGCTCGCGATGACTCGACAGCGCAGCGCGTCGCGCCCGCGCTTGTCCATCGCGAGTAGTTTGGCCGCCATTTCGGCGACCGGCAAATTCTCAAAGCTCGCCAGCGCCTCGAGCGCTTTGTGGGCTGTCGTAGCGGAACCGTCGGTGCCTTCGACGTCTGGTGCGTACTGTCTAAACAGTTGCGCTTCGCCGATGCCCGGCGTCATCGCCGCGGACAGATGCACGTGCAATTCGCGCGTACGTTGTTGCGCGACATCCGTGTGGACATTTCTATGCCCATCGTTGATCGGCTTGACGAAGTAAGAGTCGTACAGGTTGCGATCGCCGAGTCGCCAAGGCACTATCCAGTTCATCACGCTCCAAAGCTCCGATGCGTTGCAGTTCGTGAAAAGTTGGTCGGACAACCCGACACGGAAAACCTTCTTGTGAAGCAGATGCGCCGCTTCGTACGCTTTACTCTTGTCTGACTTCAAACGGTGGACTTCATCGTAGACGCACATCGCCCAAGGCACCTGGATCACGTCATGCACCGCGTTTCTATACGTGTCGTGCGACATCACCAGGGCGCACGCGGCGCCGCTCTTGACTCGAGTCAACGCCCTTTCGCTCTGCGTCACGCCTCGCGCGGACTCTAATCCACTGACACCATACGTCTGCAGAGTCTGCACCCACGCCAAAATCGCGTTCGGCGCGCACAAGACTAGCAAAGACGCCTCTTTGTCGGCGTCGCCCCGCGCCGCCAACATCGCCGACGCGAACGCGCACACCCCCACGATCGGTTCCAGCTCATCCGCATCGCGCACCACGCAGCCAGAGTTAATGTGATGTTTGGTGAACCTCTCGTGGAGCGCGCGCACGACTTCAATCTGTCTCGGCGTCATTCGCGTCGCGTGCGTCGCCGGCAGCGTCATCGCCGTCGTCGCTCTGCAGGCGCCCTCGGGAGGCCAAAGCACGACAGATCCAGCGCTCGGCGCGCGCGGGACCACCAAGGCGCGTTTTATTCCGATCGACTCGGCGTCTAGGTGGTCCACGCGGCGCTTGGCGTCAGCGTCGGCGGAGCATTCGAACGCGCGCGATGCGAAAGAGCACTTTGACTTTGCGAGACTTTGCGTCGCGTGCGGCGCCGTCGGCTGCGTCGCGAGCGCGTTCACGAACGTGTCTTCGTCGTTCGCATCGAGGGACGCGGACTGGGAGTCGAGCAGGCGCGAGGCGAAGGAAGCGCGCTCGGGAGGCATGGCCTCGACGGCGCGGCGGTTATATACGCCGCCGCGCTGTGCGGATGAAACGCTTGCTCGTTGGTTTGCTGTTCCTATAGAATACAAGATTATTGGTACGCACGACCGCCGTCGTAATCCTCTTCCTTTCTACTGGCGAGAGGTCGCGAGCTCGAGCGCTGGCGATCGTAGTTGCGCGCGAAGGATGTGGTCCGATCTGCGCTCGCGACTTCCTTCTCGACTAGTCTCGTCCCGCTCGGTCGCGAAACGCTTGCGTTGCGATCTAAAGTTGATTGACGTCGGAGCGCGGCGCTGGGGTCGGTGGCGTCACCGCTCGTGCCGACACCCGCCTGCGCTTGCGCCGCGCTCGCGCTGGGACGCGTCAACGCCTGCGTCTGCTGGTACTTTAAAATCGTCCAGTCGAATACGTAATCGTACTGATAGCCTTCGCGAATAAACAAATCGCGGAACAGCTTGCGAAGGTACGAGTAATCCGGCTTGTCCGAGAACCGCAGCGAGCGCACGACTTGGAAGTACGTCACAAACTCTGGCGGATAGCCTTTGCACAACACCTCGATGGGCGTCGTCATCTTCTTTTCGCTAATCTTTTCATATTTTTGTTTCTTCGTCGCCGCTTTCAAGCCTTGCCAGGGCAAAGATCCGCGCAAGAAGTAAATCAAAACGTACCCGAGCGACTCCAAGTCGTCCCGTCGCGATTGCTCGATCCCAACGTGCGTGTTGATACTCGCGTATCTCGCCGTTCCCGTCAAGTTTTTATTCTCTCGATACGGAATGTGTAAGTGCGTCTTTGGATCTCTATACTTCTTCGCCAGCCCGAAGTCGATGATGTTGACCTGATTCGCTCGTTTTCCGAGTCCCATCAAAAAGTTATCCGGCTTTATATCGCGATGGATGAAACTTTTACTATGCACGTACTCGATCCTCGACACGAGCTGATCCGCCAGCATCAACACCGTCTTCAGGCTCAACTTTCGGTTACAAAAGTTGAACAGATCCTCCAAGCTCGGTCCGAGCAGATCCATCACCATGATGTTATAATCACCCTCCACGCCGTACCATCGCACGTTCGGCACGCCCGTGCCGCCTTGTAAAATCTTGTACAACCTCGACTCGTACAGCAACTGCGGATGCTTCGTCTTGCAGCTCTCCAGCTTGATCCCCACCTCTTCATTCGTCTTGATGTGCGTGCCGAGATAAATGTCTCCGAACGACCCCGATCCAATCTTCCGTCCGAGCCTGTACTTATTCCCCACGCGCAGCTCTAAACCGCTCTGCGACGCCATCGCGCGCGCCGCGAGGATACCCTCGGTCTCCAACCTTTCCCTCGCGCGCCCTCGCGTCGCCCTCGCGCCGTCCTACGTCCCTCGCGTCGCGCGCGACCGACCCACCGAACGTTTCCGTCCGTACCGAGCGCGCGCTCGACGCCCTCGCGCGCTCGCGCGCGCGTCCAGCGCTCGCAATCACCACGCGCGCGCGGAGATCGTTCCGCGCGCGCCGCGCGTTTCACGCCTCTCGCGCCTCTCGCGCGTCGCCGACGTCCGCTCGCGCGCGCGATTCTCGCGCGCGCGATATTTATCGACCGTTTCCGCGCGTTCGTGCGTCGAGAGCGACGTCGCGCGCGTCGGCGTATCGCGATCGCGTCGCCGATCGCGGTTCGCGCTGACAAAGACACCGCGGGGCGACGCGCGCGACACTCCGCGACGCGATGCCGAGCGCGCGCGGCGCCGCACGATCGACCGCGAGCGAGCGAGCGCGATGACGAAGGACGGCGCGTACGACCACGTCGTTCGCGGCCGGTTGGCGCTCAAGGCGACGACGACGACCGCGAAGAAGGCGAAAAAGACGAAAAAGGACAAGCGGGAAAAGGTGCGCGCGGCGCGCGACGAGCGACGCGCGGACGCGGGGCGCGCGGCGCGCGACGAGTGACTGACGACGTCGACTCGCGCGCGAACGGACAGGGCGATCGGGAGCGGTCGGCGAGCGGGAAGGCGACGGCGAAGGAGGAGACGCGAACCAAGGCGGAGCTGGCGTACGAGGCGCACTATAAACGCGCGAGAGAGGCGCAGATGATCAAGGAGATGGCGAGTAAATCGCACAAGGATAAGGTGCGGGAGTTCAACGAGAAGCTGAGCAAGCTGAGCGAGCATCACGATATTCCCAAGGTTGGACCGGGGTGAGGGACGAACGCGCGTCGTCTAGAAGTTTTGTTGTTACACCGCGAATTACGCGCTCAGAGTCGCCGCGCGCGTCGAGTCTACGTCTCGTTCTCGTCCTCGTTCTCGTCGTCGACGTCGATGACATCTATGTCTACGTCACCGTCGTCCACGCGCACGAAATTCACCGCGCGTTCGCGCGTCGCGCTCGCTCTGTACGTGAAGCGCTCGCTCGCCGTCACGGGTAACTCCTCGAACGCGTCGAGCGCCGTCCCATCCCTCGCGCGTCGCATCGCCCGATCGCGCTTCCACATCTCCCGCATCGCGACGATTGCTTCCGTCTTGCGATTACACGCGCACAGCGTGTCGTACTCGTCCGGCGACACCAACGCGAAAAAGTCGTCGGCGTACACGCTCACGCGCACCTCCGCCAAATCCTTCCAACTAAACCTCCGTCGCACGCGTTTGGTTTGTTCGTCCAGCAGCATGACGCCGACGTCCGTGACGACGAGAATGCGGGCCTTGAGCTCGTCTCGATGGTTCAGCTTGAGCGCGCGCGCGCTGAAGACGACGCGCGTGGCGCCGTACTTTTCCAAAGCCTTCGCGCCGAGCGCATCCTTGGCGACGCCGAGATCGTCCCCGAGCGCGCGCTTGGCGAACGAACTTCGTCGACGCTCTTTCACGCCGAGAAACGGGCGCGTGACGGCGTCGTCGGCGTCGGCGCGAGACATCGCGCGAGGCGCGAAGTAAAGCGACGCAACCGACGCCGCGGGGTCGGTCGAGCGCGACGCGGTGTGTCGAGCGCGCGTTAATAAATGGCGTGAATAAATATTAACGGATGAATCGTGCGCGTCGAGCGCGCGCGACGGGGCGCGCGCGAGATTACCCGATGGTGGCGCCCTTCATGGTGGCGCACTTCACCGGACCGGCGGACGTCATCATCGGCGCGCCTTCGTACGTCGCCACGCAATCTTGATTCGTCACCAAAAGCGGTTGGAGTTCCTCCCACGTCTTCTTCTTTTGAATCTGGTTCGGAGTTTGCGGCTCGGCTTGCGGCTCGTCGGATTCGCCGAATCGAACGCGTTCGCCGACGACGGCGCCCTCCGGCGCGACGAGCAACTCAACATTTTCGTGCGAAGCGTCCGACGCCGCGAGAATCATCCCGTGCGAGGGAATGCCCGCCAGCTTACGCGCCTGCGTCGCGTTCGCATTCGCGTCTCGTCAGTCATCGCGCGTTCGATCAACGTCAAACTTTGTCTCGCGTTCGCGTCGCGCTTCGCTCGCCGCGCGTCGTTCGCGTCCTCGCACCTTCAGATTCGCAAACACGATCACGCTCTTCCCCTCGATGTCCTCCGCCGACATGTACGGCACCAGTCCGCTCAAAATCGTCCTCGGCCCCTCGGGCTCGCCCAGATCGATCTCCTCGATGTACTGCGGCGCGCGAACGGATAAAGCGTCGTCGTCGTCAGTCCCGCCGTCCTCCCATCCCCGCCTCCGCGTCCGCGCCCGCGCGCGCGCCGCGATCGACCCCACGCACCAATTTCTCCGCGTCCTCGTGTCGCTTCGCGCTCAGCACTCTCCCCACGCGCAGGTCGACGCGCTGTTCCAGCGGCGCGAGCTCAGCCGCTTTCCCGTTCGCGCGCGTCTCTCGCGCCACCGTCGATCGCGCGCGCCCTCGCGCGCGCGCGCCGGGCGCTCGGGCGTTCGATCGCGCGAATCGCGACGCGCGAGACGCGAGCGCGGCGGCGGCGCGCATGACGGGCGCGAAGTGACGTCGCGAACCGTCGGCCCATCGCGACACATCGTCGCGCATGCCGAGCGATTCCGACGACGACGACGACGACGCGCGCGCGGACGCGCTCGAGGACGACGCGTCGCTGTCGCCGCTCGCGCGCGGGGGCGACGGCGCGCGCGACGGCGCGCGGGCGAAGACGGATGCGAACGCGGCGACGTCGACGGGAACGGGACGACGAGGCGGCGCGCGCGCGACGCCGAGCGCGCGGAAGCGCGCGGGACGAGGGCGCGAGGCGGCGTCGGCGGACGCGAAGCGCGCGAAGCCCGCGACGGAGGGCGACGGGAGCGACAGCGAAGACTGGTTGAAGAACGCGATGCGCGCGCGCGGGCTGGCGACGACGAGCGGAGGACGGAAGACGAGCGCGGGCTCGTTCGAATATCTCCTCGCGGAGAAGGCGGAATTGGAGGCGGGCGTGAAGCGGGACGCGGAGACGCGGGAACGGCGGCGGTTGGACGACGAGAATTTGGAGGCGAGACGGCTCGAGGAGGCGGCGGCGATGAAGCGAGAGGCGGAGATGGAAGAGGCGGCGGCGTTGAAAGCGTTGGATAGTCACGAGGAGTTCTTGGACGCGCACGGGGAGGCGTTCGAGTTGAGGTACGACGCGGAGACGTTGGGAGCGAACGCGTTCGCGTCGTCGCGAAGCTCGGCCGCGACGACTTCTTCGGAAAGTGACGCGAAGGTTCTCGGGCAGTGCGCGTCGAAAGCGTTGCGCGCAGTCGTGAAACGCGGACTTGAGAGCGTGTCGAGCGCGCGCGAAGAAGACTTGTGGCGCGTGCTCTTGCTCGAGCGGTGGCTGCCGATGCGTTGGGCGTCGGCGAAGCGCGCGTGCGACGAGCACACCATGGAGTGGTTATGGGACGTAGCTACGACGTGCTCGCGTCACGACGTTCGATTGGCGGCGCGTGACTCGTTTTTGGCCGCGCTCGGTTTCGATTGTAAGTGGGGTTCGCTGTACGACGCTCGAGAGCAGAGGTACGACTACAGACTCGGCGCGCCCGCGGATGGGAGATCGCAGTGTCCGCCTCCGGCTTGGATACTTTGCGCGAGCACCGTGTGCGATACATTGCGCACTTTCGGTGCGCGAGACTACGTGAACTCGCAGCGTTCATCACTATCCGCACCGGCGACCCCTGCGAACGAGGACGACGCGCTTTGTTTGCGCCCAGAACTCTTCGTCGTGGCGGAGATGGTGACTGCAGTTTGCGACAACGCCTTCGCGCGGAACGTCGAAGCGTTCGATAATGTCGATGGATGCGCTAGGATGCTGCAAATGTTTGTGTCCATCGCGATCGACTATCGCGCGCAGGCTTTGGGATGGGTTCTCCAAGACGCCGCGGCGGCGCTCCTCGCGAGCGTTCCGCAAAAATCGTGGGACACGTTCAAATCCAAGGCGATCCGTTACCTGCTCGAGATCAGTTCCAACATAGACTCAAACGCAACGGAGGAGGACGAGTATGCGAACGTCGGTGTGTACGCGCGCGTCGTGCAATGGTTGCCGAACCTCACGAGCCGCGACAGAGATTTGCGAGACGCGCTCGCGGCGGCGTCCGCCGTCTCGATTCGACACCTCCTACCATTTGCCAAATCCACCGCCAGCGTAGGTAAGAAGCCAAAAAGGATCACACCCGCGGAGCTGATGAAGATCATCCCGAAGCTTGCTCGCGACGACGCGCAGTCAGTTATTGCTCGTCGACGAGCCGCGATGGAACATTTGTCCGACGTCGTCGTCCGACAAGACACCCCGGCGAAAGAGGTCTGGTCCGTCATCGTGTGCATGGATCTCGTTGACGTCACTCTGAACGGCGGTCGCGTCGTCGATGCCGAGGAAAACGACCCAGAGGGCGGTCTCCAGCTCTTCACCCGTTTCCTCTCGCGCAAGGTGTCGAAATCGAACCGCCGGTCGCTCGGCGAACTCCGCACCAAACTCTTCTCCATGGGCACTCGATACGAACGCGCCGTCAAGGAACACGACAAGCGTGCAGTTGCGCGAAAAGAATCCATTTACGCCGTCGATTAGCGACTTTTCCCCGAGTTTGTAACTCTCGCGCTCGCCGCGGCTCGACGCCGCGACTTCACAACTATGCCCGCCGCGGCTCGTTCCATCGCGCCGCACTCCGTCCTCGCGCGCCACCGTCGCTTCACGCGCTCGCACCGCGCGCGTCCCCGACCGCGCGCCATGTCCACCGCCGCCGCGGACGCCTTGCGCGCGCTAGAACTCGACGAAGACGTCTTTCTCAACCTCTTGTCCCGACTCATCGGCGAGTCGCGACACCTTCAAAACACCGGCGTCGGCACGGCGCACGTCCCGCGCGAAGATCTGGCGGTAAAACACGTCCTCGAGACCCTGAAGCCGTACCGCGTCGAAAACGGGGGCGTGCTCGAGGTCGAACACGTGACGTACGCCGAAGGACGGGGCAACGTGGTGATTCGGTACCCGGGACGCGGCGCGAACGCGGCGAAGGAGAAACAATTGACGTTCGCGGGGAGTCACATGGACGTCGTGCCGGCGAATCCCGAAGCGTGGAGCGTGGATCCGTTTAAATTGACGATGGATGGGGATAAATTGTACGGCAGAGGGACGACGGATTGCTTGGGACACGTGGCGTTGATGACGACGATTTTCGCGCAGCTCGGGGAGCTGAAGCCAGAGTTGGATACGTCGTTGACGTGCGTGTTCATCGCGAGCGAGGAGGCGAATGGACCGGGGATCGGCGTCGATGGACTCGTCGCGGATGGAAAATTGGATCACTGTAAACCGGGGCCGGTGATTTGGGTGGACTGCGCGGATAGTCAACCGTGCATAGGCACGGCGGGGGCGATTACGTGGGCGCTCAAGGCGAAAGGACATCGGTTTCATTCTGGATTACCACACAAGGGTATCAACGCGATCGAACTCGGTATGGCTGCCATTGAACGCGTGCAAGAAAAGTTTTACGCGACGTTTCCCGCGTGTGAGCAAGAACGGGACTACAAATTCATCACCTCGAGCACGATGAAGCCGACGCAAATCTCGTGCGCCCCGGGCGGTTTGAATCAGATCCCGCCGGAAGCCACGATTTCAGGTGACATTCGTTTGACGCCTTTCTACCCAGTGGATAATGTCAAGGCATGCATCGAAGCCGAAGTAGCGGCGATTAACGCCGATGTTGAATCGCTTCCGACCAAGGGAGACTACAGCAAATTTGTCATTCCGGACGGCAAAGGCGGCACGCTTCGCGGTTCGCTCGAACTTGAATGGGGCGAGCACTTACTTACAGGAATCGCGTGCGACTTATCGAGCCCGGCTCTCAAGACACTTTGCGACGTTATCCAAGAAGTCAAAGGTCAAGCTGAGCCGTACAGTTTGACCGGTTCGCTTCCTCTCGTCGCGGAAATGCAACAGAACGGTTTCGACATCCAACTCATCGGTTTCGGTTTGATGAGTACGTACCACGCGGATGATGAATACTGTAGCTTGAGCGATATGAAGGATGCAGCGAAGATCATCGCTCGCACGATCGCGACATTTGGCTAACGCCCTCGAATTGAATTGTAAAAATCCGTCTATTCTACTAAAATTTCTAAAATTTCGAGCGGACCGCAACGTATTAAGCTTCGATAGGTCTGCATGGTTTGCAGTATCCGCCTTGCAAGAGCAAGGGCGGTCTTTTCGGCAATTCTTCGCGTTGTTCGGGGGTGACAGTCGTCATCAACGTTTCTCTTCCGTCTTCTTCTACCAAGTTGATGTCAACTTCGAGTTTCATCGCGCGGTGCTGCAAGCGGAACATCCCCGTGCCGATGGGCATTGGAATGCCCATGATGATGCACTCGGAGACGCCGTCGATGTAATCCGTGCGCCCGTGCAGCGCTGCGTCGAACAGATGATCCGTAGTTTTCTCGAACGAAGCCAACATGAGTACAGAGTCTTTCATCTTTGCCATGCCGAAACGCGTGATCCCGAGAACCTCGCCCTTGTACGTCATGACGTCGGCGAGCAACATCGAGTGTCGGTTGTCGATTGACATGCCGTGAGCGCCCATCGTGCTGTCAATCTCTTCAATGATGCACGCGCGCGCCGCTTCGATGCCTAGCGTGCGTTCACACTCCATGACATGGTTTGTTCGTGTCTCTGTTCCCTTGATGCCCTCGATACCCATGACGGACTGCAAGTTCACGCCTTCCACGATGAGGTTGTACGTTCCGTCGCCCTTGTCGTTGATGACGGCTCGACCGACGGATGGGATGCCTTGCACGATGACGGCGGGAATGGCCAGTCGCATGTGCTGCAGAGTGAACAACGCGCGTTTTTCTATCAGTGCTTCTTCCGAGGGTAAGACATGCAAGATATTCTCGCCGGCGATGAGCACGTGTTGAGGCTTGAGCTTGAGCTTTGGCGCCCCGAGCACAGCCAGGCGCACGGAGTGAATGGTGACGTCCAACTGAAGTTGATTGATCGCCTCCATATCTAACATAAGCTCGAGGTAAAGATCGTGCGGACGAACGACAATATTGATTTCGGAACAGATTTCGCCCAACGTCGTCTTCTCCACTCTACCCTTCACCACGCGCGCCGCCTTGACGTCCCTGTCGCTCATGAGCGACGCCGTGATGATTGGCGTACTGATATTCTTGGACGCGTTGATGATTTCCTTAATTCGAGGAACGCCGAGGGTGATGTTCATCGACGCCACACCGGCGAAATGGAACGTCTTCAGCGTCATTTGTGTGCCTGGCTCGCCGATGGATTGTGCGCCAATGGCGCCAACTGCGGTGCCGGGCTCAATTCGTTTTTCAGTGTATTTTCGCGCGCACGCGTCCAAAAATGCCTTCATCTGTCGATCCGACATGTATACGCCATCCGAAGGCGACTCCACTTCGTTGATGATGAATGTTCTCATGTTTTCGTAGAATAATTGCGAGATACCAGCGCTGTACACGAGTTCGCGCGTCTCGGCGCTTTCGCCTTCTTCGTCGACATTGATAATTCTGTTGTTTCGCTTGAACTGGTCCAGCGCCGCATCTAACGCCGAGCGAGTCGCTGGCGGTTCGCCTCGTGCCGAGTTCAGACCTCGCACATTCATCAAACACCGCTTAAACTCGATCGGTTGGGCGTCTTCACTCTCCATCATAGTCGGTTCCATGCCGTCGTCGCCGTAGCGCAGCTGCACAATGCCACCCATCGAGTTGCGCACAGTGCCGTCGTACTGAAGCGATAGGTCCTCTAGCGCCTTCATGAGACGACGAGACATGTATCCAGTCTCTGCAGTCTTTACGGCAGTATCGACGAGACCTTCACGACCAGCCATGGTATGGAAGAAGAATTCCGTCGGTCGCATGCCAGAAAAGAAAGAGTTGGCGACAAAGCCCTTTGCGGCGGGTGTCTTTTCTCCGCGCCTGAAATGCGGGAGCGATCGCTCGGCGAAACCGTCAGGAGGTCGCGAGCCTCCCACAGCTTGTTGACCAACACACGCGATCATCTGAGAAATGTTGATCGTGCTACCCTTACTGCCGCAAAGAGCCATGATAAGTGGTGCGTTGCGACGCGGCAGCGCCTTTAAACACGCGTTCCCCGCGGCTTCGCGCACCGCAGACAAGACCCCGAGAACTTCAGCCTCCAACGTTTCCTCCGCGTTGCAGCCCGCTTGAAGAGGTAAAGTACCTTTCTCATACGAAGCGATTCGTTCGTCGCAAGTTCTGTAGCCGTCCTCGATACGTCGGCCCTTTTCGGCTGACAACTCCGCGGCCGGTGAGACGTCGTCGATGCCAATGCTAAACCCGCGCGTACCCAGCCATCGAGCGCTCAGCTTGGCGAGTCTATTCATCGCATTTGCGGCGGCTTCGGCGCCGTATTCTATGTTGAGCACGTAGAATAGTCCACTTTTATTTCCACTACCGAGTGTCGCCTTGCCGAGTTGCCCTGAGATTATTTCACTATTCTGAATGCACACGTACCCGTCGTCGGGACACATTGTTTTGTCCTTCTTGTTGTACAGCTTTTCAGCGACTTCAAGATTAACATATATGTGATCGGACGCTTTCGGTCGAATGAGAACGCTGAACACTTGCTTTCCAGTCCACAGCTCAATGGGTTTCAAGATTGCTGGCGTCGGAAGATCCACGGAAAGGAGCGCATCACCCATGTACGCGACGAGCGAGCCAAACTGAGAGCGATCAAAAAACGCATCCTTAATGGTGAGAAGAAACGCTGCAGTTAGGAAGTCCTGCGTCGCTGCGATGAGAATCTCGCCGTTTTTCGGTGTGCACAGGTTGTGTTGCACTCCCATAAGTTGCATCGCTTCGGCGCGCGCTTCTTCCGTTTGAGGGCAATGAATATTCATCTCGTCACCGTCGAAATCGGCGTTGTACGGCGTACACACGCACTCGTTAAAACGTAGAGTTCGGCACTCCATGATACGTGCCTTGTGCGCCATGATTGACATCTTGTGTAAACTCGGCTGACGATTGAACAACAGAATGTCGCCGTCGTGCAAATGTCGCTCAACAATGTCTCCGAATTTCAACTCGCTGGCAATCTTGCGACGATCGCCGTACTTCAAGTACTGCATACCACCAGACGCAAACTTGACAAAGTTCGCTCCAGGATGCTTCGCCATACCATTGCGCACGCGCTCTCTCAGCATCACCATGTTGTGTTTGTTGACGACTTCTGGGTATGTCATTGTCTTCGCTATATGTATTGGTACACCAACCTCGTCGATCCGAAGATTCGGATCTGGTGAGATCACAGTGCGCGCACTGAAGTCTACGCGCTTACCGCTGAGGTTACCGCGGAAGCGCCCTTGCTTACCCTTGAGTCTTTGCACAAAGCCGCGCAGCGGCTTACCAGGGCCCTGGTACTGCAGAGATAAACCGGGAAGCTCGCTGTTGATGTACATGGCGCATTGAATCTGTAAAAAATCCCAATTCTCCATCATATTGTTAACAGCGAGCCCTTTCTCTAAGCCTTGCCGCAAAACATTGTTGACTTCGATGATTTGTATGAGCTTCATCGTGATATCGTCTTCGTTTGACCCTGACACGCCGTCCATCTCCACCGAAGGCCTGATGCAACACGGCGGAACGGGCAGGTGCGTCAAGAGCAAGTGTTCCGGTCGATCTGCGATGTCTAGTAATTCGCAATCGGCCGAAGTGACGCGCTGTAATATGCCCAACACACGAATGGGATTCAAATCGTCTTGCACCTTTGGCAGTGACGCTCGAAGCTGCTCGTTGTACTTCAAAGCTGTTTCAAACTCCTTCATAAACTCCTCCAACAACGCTGGGTTTTTACTATACTTTTCGTGAACGATCTTCAAAGTCTGCCCCGCACGCTTGGTCACGCCGTTGTAATCTCCGCAATGCGGACACGTTCGGCATCGTTTGCACTTTTCCGTCAACTTTTTGTACAGCAGACGCCTCTGCGTAATCTCAAGTCTTGGATTCCGATAGCGCTTCAAAAACATATCTTGATCATCCTCGTTCAGTAAAATCCGCGAGCAATTCTTGCACACGCACTGCAACACGCTGATGATGTTTTTAAAGTATCCGATGTGAAACACCGGCAGCTCCAGCTTGATGTACCCAAAGTGCCCCGCGCAATCCACCATGTTCCCTCGACACGTCGCGCACTCCCCACCGCGCTTATCCGTCGTCCCCATTCTCGGATCTAATATCCCGTTCGGCATCGGCGTTCGCTGCGGCATCTGATACAAATTCCGTTCGAACACGTGAAACACCCCCGCGCGTCCGATTTCGCTCGAGCTCATCAGCGAAAACCGCACCGCGCTAATCTTTCTCGGCGTCGACGCCGGCGCGAACGGCGTCTTCGTGAAATCAATCGCCGCGGTGTCGTGCGATGACCCCGCCATGTCGTCCCGGAACGTCGGCATGGCGTTCGACGCGCGTTTTAGGCGCGACCGCGCGCGTCTGCACCGGCGGCGGCGATCGCTTTTCGGCGACTCGGACGGCGCGCGCGCGTCGACGACGCGCCGCGAGAACGCGCGCGCGCGGTGATGGCGACAATGGAGGGTTTCGCGTCGATGGGCGCGAGACGCGCGCTTCCTCGCGGCGCGCGCGCGTTTGACGTCGCCGAAAAGCGATCCTACAGCTTGACCGAGGGTTGGCGTCGGGCGCGCGTTTCAACCGCCGAGCGCGACGCGAAGGAATTCGGCGCGCGAGGACGTCGTGACGTCGCTGTTGAAGGGCTAAGCTATGATGGTGTGCTAACGAACGACGCACGATTGCGCGAAGCGACGAGCGTCGTGGAATTGCTGGTCGACGCCGATAACGTCGGCGTCGTTGGAGTAACCGGCTTGCGCGGCGAGCATGGGCTCGAGCACGAGCTGCTGGGGAAATCGTTGAAAGACGTTGAAGTCGATCACCTTGGTTTGCGTGCGCTTTTTGCTCAGCACGGGCTCGAGGAAGAGGTTGAAGGAGTCTCCGGAGAGAATGTAGGCGTGGGAGCCGCGGAGGTCGCACTGCGCTCGGGTGACGACGCAGTAGGAGTCGTCGGCGCCGTCGGCGCCGCGGCGACAACCGCAGCCGTGAGGGCACGCCACGACGCCGCGCTCAAACTCCCACGCGCGATAGCCGAGACGAATGATGGTGAATGGATCGTCAGAATCTGCGGCCGTGTTACCATCGATGTGTTTTGCGATTGACTGAACCGACTTCGCGGCGTCGTAGTCGGGATAGTTGGATGGATCCGGGTCGACAAAGTTGACGTCTACCTCCACGACCGCGACGTTCCGAAACTTTTCCTGCCTGGCGTGTGCGACGATCGCTCCATGCGAGAGCGTGGCGCGGCGGAAATGGTTCTCGGTTGCTTGTATACCGAAGCATCGGTCAATCTTGGCGCCGTCGACAACGCGAACCTTGGTTTCCCAACTCTTCGGCACGCACAAGTTTTCGCATGCGTGTCGGGCACAGAGAAGATAAATCGAATCCGCTAGGCCCGTCATGGCTTTACCGACGACACCGTCGCCTAAAGTCGCGTTATCGGCGCAAAATCGAATCTCCGAAACCATTGCCACCCCGGCGCACGAGGCCGCCTTGGCGGTACCATACGACTCTGGCGTCTCTTGCTGTTTGAAAAAACTCGCCAGTTCGGCGGTTCGAGTCCTTTTGTAGTGCAAAAGCCCGAGATTTACCAATTGACGACTGAAACAACCGTAGTTCTCAAACATGCACTGCTCGCTGGCGTGTCGGCGCTTCTCTTCGGCGAGGAACTCGTCAGCGTGCTCTTCGAATACGGTAGAGCAGTCATCCTCGTGCCCTGACGGGCACACTTTTGCCACTCGAGGGCTGCTTTGCGATAACTCTCTCGCCGCCTTTAGGCTCTGAGTGTTCATCAATTTCGGCATGACGTAATCGTGCACAGATTCTCGCCACGCCAAGTAACTTTCGACCACGTGATGCTCCTTCCACATTCTTAGCAGCCGCGCGTTTGCGGCGTCGTACAGCTTTTGATCCAGCAAGTTAAGCCTGTTGAACCTCACTTTGAACGCCCGACTGTTGACATACTCCAACAAAGGTTTCGGTAAAACGTTTTCCTTATCCTCGACGTCGTACCTCTTAAACCCGAAGCGATCGAGCCTCGCGTATCCGACATCTGGTGGCGTTAAAATTTGTCTTACGGAAACGACGCGGTACAGCATCTGCTTCACAAGCAGACGGGCCAAAAGGTCGTGCTCTGGCGTCACGACGAGATCATACGTGTTCAATACACGCATGATCTCCGCATCCTTGATCGGAGGTGCTTTTGCTTGAAGAGCTTCACGCTCGAGCGCCTTTTTCACCAACTCCTCCGGAGCGAGCATCTTAAACTGTATGTTCCCCACGTGCGCCAGCCGCCCGTAGCGCCCGAACACGAAATTTTCAAAGCTCTCCACCGTCGGCTCCCAGCCTCGACGAGCAACGCCGTATTGCATGTAAGCCTCGATGGCTCGCTTGAGCGGGTCGCGCACGCCTGCGATGAGAAAGAGCGATTTGGATTCGTCTAAACGTCCGTTGTCGCGAGCGCTCATCGTGCCGAGCATCGCGGATAAACCTTCGTAACTCAGGCCGTCGCTCGCACCCAAAACAAAGTTAGGACCCTTAGGGTTCATGCGAACGCTCTTGAGCGTATCCATCGTCCCGGTCGTCGTCCCGCGCAAACCGTGCGCGAAACCGAGCTGGCGCACGGTCGAAGGCCACGTATGACTCGCGTATTCCGCACCCAAGTACACTAAACTCGGACACGAGTTAAAAATCATCGCCTCACGATGCGCTTGCGAGTGCGCCAAGCGCTCTTGCAAGCTCAAGGCTGCCGTCGCCGCTGGGTCCGTGCGCGCCCCCACCGAACTCATCATCCAATCCCCTTTATCTCGCTGCGTCAACGTCCGCGGTCGCCACCACCCTCTCTTATCCATCGCTACATTGGCGTACTCTGCCGTTCGCACCATCCATATGACGTCGCCGTCCGAATCCTCGGTTCGCCGCGAGCGCTCCTCGAACCGTCGCCACTCCTTCGCCAGCTCCGTCGAGAACGCCTTCGCCTTCGCCTCGTGCGCCTTCGTCACGCTCGCCGCCTGCGACTCTAAAAATTCATCCCGCATCGCCCTATCGTCCACGTTGTCGCGCTTCGACGCTCCCATCGCCGCCGTCTCTCGGCCCGCCTCCATCGTCGCGTTCGCGTCGGACTCGCGCCCGATCTCGAGCCCGAGCCGCGCGCGCGATCTCGCCCGTGCGTCGCCCGCGCACGCCGCGGCGATCGCGCACGCGATCACGCACGCTGCGGCGACCGCGCACGCCCGCGAACGCGTCCGCGTCGACGGTGACGGCGCTCGAGCGTCATCGTGGGTGTTAACACCCACGCGCGCCGACGACGATGACGGTGCGTCGCGCCCGCGCTCGACGTCGATCGACGTCGACGACGACGCGAGAAGACTCGCGCGTTCGCTCGCCGACGCGCGCGACATCGCGCGTCGCGCGCGCGAGTGCGGAAGTCGCGCGCGCGAGAGGGACGGGTGTTCGGCGCGGCGCGGAGACGACGCGGATCGCGCGCGAGCGAGCAGACGGCGCGTGATCGATCGATGCGTCGTTATATCGTGAGATGCGTCATTATAAACCTCGATCTCTCGAATTGTTGCGTGTGCTATTTGTCTATTGCGCCTCGAACGGCGCGCCCGCGAACGAAGTCGCGCCGCCGAGCGCGCCTTGCGAGGCGCGCTCGCCGCGACGATCGCTCGCGCCAGCCGTTCTCGGTTTCACCCACGAGGTGCCCACTTAGTACTCGATCTCATCGAGCGCGTAGTTGTTCGTGGAAACACCCGCGTAGTTGACCTTTTCGAAACGAACGACAACCGGGTACCGCACGCCGGATTGATCGACGGAGATGACCTTGCCGTAGTCGTTGAACCAGTACGATTCCGGGCGCAAAATCTTAACCTACGTCCATTCGCAAACCGCACACCGCGCGCACACATCGTCAGTCACAGTCCTTCGCTCGCCAACGCGCCTCTCCCGTCCCGATCGGTCGCCGTCGTCCGCGATACCGCGCGCGCGTCGTCGCGATAAGTCTCCCCGCGCGCACCTTCGAGCCTCTCGGCGGTCCGATCGCCGGCGGCGCCGCCTTCGCGGGTTCCTGCGTCGTCCCAAACATTTTTCTTCATCGTCAGTCGCGCGTCTTCGTCGCGCGCGTCGCGATCGGCCTCGCGAGACGTCGAATCACCGCGACGCGTCGCATCCACGATACGCTCGCGTATCTCGAGACGCACCGCGGCGTCGCCCTCCGCGCGGACGATCGTCGTGCGGCGCTTCGTCGCCGTCGGCCTGCGGGTTCGAAGAAGCGAAATGATCGCGCGCGTTCGTCAGTCACCGCTCGCCGTCGTCGCGTCGCCGCGCGCGCGGCATCGCGTCGAACGTCGTCGCATCGCGCCGCGATCGCGACGCGAACGATCCATCGCGCGCGGTCTTCGCGTCGCGTCGCGTTTTCCGACGCGCGCGCTCGCGCGAGATCGCGACGCACTTGGAGACGAAAACGGCGCGCGCCGCGGCGGTTTGCATCGTGGACATCGCGAACATCGTGCGCGTGCGTGCTTGTGTGCGGACGCGCGCGCGGGCGACGACGGGCGTCCACGGATCGGGTCGCGTTCGATTTCATGGCGCGCGATCGGCGTCGCGTACGCGCGGATCGGGGGGGTCGGTTTATTTATTTTGTATGCGCAGACAGTGTGAACGTGTACATGTTCGGACATTCGGTCACCATACATCACGTGGTACTGTTTACCCCACGCGGGACACGCGGTCGGTCGCCACGGTCGCGACCGGCGCGCGGCGCCCGCGCGCGCGCGCCCGCGCTCGCCGACGCGCGCGGGCGCGCGCGGCGATGCCCGCGCGCGAGTCTTCCGGCGCGCCCGTCGCGTTCCCGTGGCTCGACGCGACGTACGCGCCCGTGACGTTCGCGCCGTGGACGACGGACGCGCAGCGCCGCGCGTGGGTCGGCGTCTTTCGCGCGTCCGCGGCGTCGTTCGAGCGCCGAGCGGCGCTGGACGAGGCGTCGGGCGACGGCGCGACGGCGCGCGCGCGGGCGTTCGCGCGGGCGTTCGAGGCGGCGTGCGCGCGGTGCGAGGCGGGGGACGAGGACGCGCGCGAGGCGTGTCGAGGCGAGGCGAGCGGCGGCGCGTGGTGGGCGCCGTGGGAGGGGGTGAATTGCTTGGAGATGTGCCGCGCGCGCGATGGGATTTTACGGCGATGCGGATTCGCGGATTGCTTTCGCGGCGTGAAGGCGGCGGAGAACGCGACGGCGCTGCGAGCGCTGGCGGGCGCGCTGGCGGCGACGGACGGGATCGAGGACGACGGCGAACGGCTTTTGGCGCTCGTGCGAGGAGTGTTCGCGGGAAATATATTTGATTTGGGCGCGGCGTCGAGCGCGGATTTATACGACACCGACGGCGTGGACTTTGCGTCGACGGTGAACGGATTGAAGCCGCGACCGTGGTGCGTCGACGATTTCGACGCGCTGCGAGCGCGATTCGCGACGAAGACGCACGCGAAGGCGATCGTGTTCGTCGACAACGCTGGTGCAGACGTGTGCTTGGGGATGATTCCGTTCATTCGCGAACTGCTTCGACGAGGCACCGAAGTCGTCGTCGCGGCGAACGAGACGCCTTCGATCAACGACGTCACCGCTCTCGAGATGCGTGAACAAATAATTCCAGCTTTGCTCGAGATGGGCGATAGCGTACTGCGCGATGCGATCGTGGGAAAGCGCATGCGTGTCGTGTCGTCGGGGAGCGACATGCCGGTGATCGACCTGAGGTACTTGTCCGCCGAGGCGTGCGCCGAAGCTGAGACTTGCGATTTGCTCGTGCTCGAGGGCATGGGACGCGGCATCGAGACGAATTTATGGGCCAAGTTCGTAAAAATAGACGCCTTGAAGCTCGGTATGGTGAAGCACTTGGAAGTCGCGGAGCTTTTAGACGGTGAGCTTTACGACTGCGTGTGTAAGTTTGACGTCGGGCGCTGAGTGCGAGAGCGATTTATAATCAAAGGTAGCAAATGGTAGGCTTGTACGTTAAAACGTGCGATGAAATGATAGTATACTAATTATTCGTCGCCCGCGAAGAACTCGCCCACGCGTTGGAATAAGCCCTTCTTCGGCTTGTCGAGATCGATGAGGAAATCACTCTTGCCAGAGATGCGTCTCGCGGCGTTTTCGTACGCGATGCCCGCCAAGGTGAGCTTCTTCTTCAACACAAGCGGCTCCCCTCTGTTCGTGCTCACGATGACTTCCGTGTCTTCCGGAATCGCGCCAAGAAGCGGCACGCCGAGCATCTCCTGCACGTCCTTCACGCTCATCATGTCGTTCTTTTTGATCATATCCGCTCGCACGCGATTTACCAAGAGCTTGACGTCGTACACGCCGTTAGCCTCCAACAACCCAGCCACGCGATCGGCATCACGAATGGCCGTGATTTCCGGCGTCGTCACAATAACAGCGCTGTCCGCACACGCGATGGCGTTGATGAAACCCACATCGATCCCAGCCGGGCAATCGATGATGATGTATTGAAACTCCATCTCCTTCAACACCTTGATGAGCGTCTGCATGTTGTTCTTCGTCACGTTATACCTCGCTCGGTTCTTCGAAATCGGCAACAACGCCAACGTGCGCCACCGTTTGTCGCGAATCAATGCCTGTTCCATCCGGCACTCACCCTCCAGCACCTCCATCGCCGTGTACATCACTCGATTTTCCAACCCGAGCAACAAGTCGAGATTACGCAATCCGATATCCGCATCGATGAGCGCCACGCGATACCCCAAACGCGCCATGCTCATCCCAAGATTCGCACTCGACGTCGTTTTCCCGACGCCACCCTTCCCGGAGGTCACGACGACGACTTGCGCATCGCCGTCCCCAGTCGGCGTCTCGCTCGCGCCGCTCGCTCGTCGCGCCGTCGCCCCTCTGCGTCCACTTTCCGCGCGCTTCACCGTCCCTCGCGTCGCGGCCGCGCACCCAGACGTCTTACGCACGTTTCTCGCGCGAACACCGCTCGTGTGCGCGGCGCGCACGGCTGTTTGCGACATCATTCGTGGCGATCAAGCTTTCGGTATCTGTCGATCTCGGTTTGAAATAACGACTCGCGATCGTCGCGGTTCGCGGCGCCTCGCGAGGACGTGCGCGGTGCGTCGAGCGTTCGTACGATCGAGCGCGTTCGTGCGTCGCGATCGGCGAGTTTCCGCGAGACGTGCGTTCGCGAGCGTCGTGGTGTGCGGCGCGATGGGTTCGGCTCGGCCCGATCCTCGGCGCGCCCTGGCGGTTTGGTGTGGTTTGGTTTGGTTTGATTTGGTTTGAGAAGTGGTCTGAAGTTACACAGCGCGCGCACGGCGAGCTGAGCGCGTGGAAATAAATGGATCGGTCGTCGTGTCATCGTTCGTTGTGAACGTCCCAGTGCACGCCTTGAGGATGATCGAACTTGCACGTGGCGCCGAACTTGCAGCGGCCAGTTTTCATGTAGAATTCGCACGGCTCGCGGCCGGGACGGCTCGGGAAGACTTGGGGGGCTATTAAGGGCTTGTCGGGGATGGACTCGGCGCGCGCCAGCGGTGGAGCGAATGAAGCTTTCGACGCGGCATCGATGCTGAGGAAATACTTCGCGAGGGTGGGTTCTCGCGCCGCCGAGGGGGCGAAGAAATCGCGCACGCCGAGGAGCAGGGCGGGGAATCGGATGGAAACGTATCGCCACAAGCCGTCTGGATACGACCCAAGCGTGCGTTGGAGCTTGGGAGGAAGCTCACGGTAGTGATTCGCCTTGTTGCGTATGACTCGAAGCAAGTCGCGCAGAGAAGTTCCGTCGTACTCGCGGTATCGCCCAAGATTTTCGAGCAACGCGGCGTCGAGCTTTTTGGTCCAGTCATCGCACGCGATCGAGGACTTCGCGCGCGTCTCGAACGCGCGCAGCAACGATCGATCGCTCATGCGATCTTCTAGTTCGACTCGGTCCGAGGCATCGATAAGGAACTGAAGCTTCTTCTCGGCGTCCCACCACATCGGGTGCGCCAAGATTTCCGTCGCCGACGGTCGTTTGGATGGATCGGCGTCGATGCACGCCTTCACCAAAGCCTCGGCTTCGGGGAAATACTTCAGCTTGGACACGTCGTAGCTGTTTGCGACGACATTGGCGTCGCGCTGGAGCCTCTCACCGAACGGGTGAGCACCACCCGTGAGACAGTAGTACATCAAGCAACCGAGACTGAAGACGTCGACAGAGCGCGATTGACGCCCCTGCGTCAATCGCTCGGGGGCTTGCCAACCCGACGTGCCCGCCGCGTCGTTGACGTTCAAATTTCCGTTCGTGTGCGTGTAAAAAGACGTTCCCTCGGACACGTTCACGCGCTTGGCGAGTCCCATGTCGGCGATTTTCCCTCGTCCAGACGACGTTATCAAGACGTTTTGTGGTTTCAAATCGCGATGAATGATGCCTTGCCCGTGGAGTGCGGCCAAACCCGCGACGACGTCGTGTAGAATTCTTAAGCACTCTGCCGTCGGATACTTTGTCGCCTCGTCGATGCATTTGATGTTTAACGCTTTCGCGTTCGTCTCCGCCGCGGACGATTCGCTCTCGTTCGCCGCCCCGACAGGATCGACGACGCGAGCGAGTGACGACGCGCAGAGCTCAAGCGCCATATACACGAAGTTCGAGTCTTCCTCGAGCGCAAAGCATCTCAAAATATTCGGGTGCTCGTCTGAGGCGATGAGAGCCTGAAGCTCCTTGCGCGCAAGTTCGTGAAACTGCGCCAGCAAGCGCTTCACCGCGACGCGCCGTCCATCCAGCTCGCCTTCGAACACGATCGTACCGCACGAGCCGTATCCCAGCACGGATGGTTTAATGCGCAAGCGCCCGACTCGCGTTTCCTCGCGCGTCTTTTCTTCCATGACTTCCTGAATCTTCGCCGCGAGCTCCGCCTCAGCGGCTCGCGCTTCGGCTTGTTTCGCCCGCTTTTTCGCTCGTTTTTTCGCCGCAGCGGTGCGTTGATGCTCTTGTTCTGCATCCTCTACTCCTGTCACCACGCTCGACGGTGCGTTCACGTCGTGGACCTCTATATTTCGCCTCTTCAATTGCGTCAAGTACACGAAGACGATGGACAAGCCGCCGACGAGCAGCACGTTGAGCGCTCGTCGCGACGTTCTCGAACCCGGTAACCTCGACGAAGTCTTATCGAGCGTCGCCTTGACCAAATCTTCAGGAATGCACGACCAATCGTCCTCGTCGCTCCCTATATCGACGCGAACGAAGTCTTCGCTTTCGCTCGCGGCGACGAGGGCGTTCGAGCTGTCGGATCCGTCTCGTAAACCTTCGCCCGCACTGGCGGTGTACGGAAGCGCGAACAATCCTCTCTCGTGCGTGCCGACAATAATTTTATCGTCGCTTTCGGCTGGAATCTGCGCCGCGTTCTCCACGATGACGCGCCCGCTCGCGTCGCTCACGCCCAAAGGCAACGACGCCATTCGCTTTGACCACTTAATCTCCCCCGTTTCCTCGTCCACGCTTCGAACCACGTTTCCTGGCCCGATCACGAGCGATCCCGCATCGCTCGCGCGATCCGTTCCTATGCGCAGCGCGCCCGTGTCCGAGTCTCGACTCAGACTTCGCAACTCGCCGTGCGTCACGTTCCATCGCTCCTCGCCCGTCTCCGCGTCCACGCTCCGCACCACGTACTCCGTGCGCCCGACGTAAATCAACTCCTCGTCCGCCCCGTTCATCGCGTCGCCTCCCATCACGCTCGTGATCGTCCCATCGACGTCCACGCTCCGCACCAGCGCCCCCGTGCTCGCGCGCAGCGCGTAAATCGTCGACGACCGTCGTCCCACCACCAGCGCCCCGTCTCGCGTCGCGCTCGGGCTCGCCTCCACCAGCTCCCGCGTCGTCACCGGCAACCTCCGCACGACGTGTTTCGCGTCCTGATCGACGTGATGCGCGTACAGCGCGCCGTCGACGCCCGGGAACACGTTTCGCGTTCGCGTCCCGCTCGCCGCGCTCCGCGGCGTCAGCGCCCGCGCGTCCTCGCCCGCGCTCGTCCACGACGCCCCCGCGAGCGCGCCTCCCGAGTCGAACGCCCACACGTTATCGCCCGTGTCCGCGTCCAGCGCGCGCACGACGCCGTCCAGCGACACGACGACGAGCGGTCTTCCGCGCGCGCGCGAATCTCCGACGCGTCTCGTCGATTCCCCCCTCGCGTCCGCGCTCGACGCGCGTCGCGGCGCCGACAGCGCGAGCAGCGCCAGCGCGAGCGCCGCGCGCGTCGTCCACCGCGCGCGCGCGCGCGCCATCGCGCGACGCGTCGCGCTCTGGCGAATTCCCGACGCCGCGCGTCGGCGCCGCACAATCGCGCGCGCGAATCGTCGCCGACGCCGCGCGTCGCGCCGTCGCGACCGCGAACGCGCGGCGCCAACGCGCCATGTCGCAACCGTTCCGCAAGGCGGCGCACAAGCTCAAGCGACTGGCGAGAAACGCGATCGCGGATTCGTCGTGGAACATCTACCGCGGCGATCGCGTCGTCGTCACGCGCGGGCGCGATCGGGGGCAGACGGGCGTCGTGCGCGAGGTGGACCGAGAGAGGTCGTTGGTGTACGTCACGGGGGTGAATCTGGTGAAGAAGCACGCGAGGGGGGACGGGGAGACGCCGGGGCAGATCGTCGCGAGGGAGGCGGCGCTGCGGTACTCGAGCGTGGCGCTCGCGGATCCGGCGAATGGACACCCGGTGCGAGTGACGCGGATGTTTTTGGACGACGGAACGAAGGTGCGGGTGTCGAGGGGGCGACTGGCGAGCGGGAGCGTGATACCGATGCCGGGGGAGGCGATGGGGCGGAGGACGGTGCGGGCGACGGGACGAGGGCCGGCGGACGCGGCGAGCGAGGTCGCGGCGAGGACGAGTCGGGAGGCGACGGGGAAGACGTTTTTGGAGGTGTTCGGGGGAGGGAGCTCGGAGTCGTAGTTTCGAAGGGAGGGCTCGCGCGCGGAGGGGGTGCGATGTTAATTAATAATAGATACGGGAAATTTGTCGTCGACGACCCTATCGAAGCGCGCCGTCGTACGCGTCGACTTTTTCGTTGGCGCTGAGCACGAGCAAGATGCCTCGGAGACATCGGGACCAGTGCTTGGAGCGCGGGTCGTTCGGCGTTTTCGCGGCGTGAGACTTGGAAGCAGCGCGCAAAGCGCGATCGCGACCGCGCTCGCGGAGCAGGGCGCAGACGCGCTGTCCGTTTCGCGTGAGCGCGAAGAGCGCGCCACAGGACGCAGACGCGCACTGTAAATCTTCGTCGCGCACGCCTTGAACTAGACAATCGATGGCGACTTCATTCGCGGCGTAATGCGACTTTGCGTCTGGGTGGAAGGCGAGGTTGTGCATGAGCAGAAACGTCTCACGACGGGCGTCGTCGTTAGGGTCCGCGGCGGCGGCGACGACTTCCAGACAAAGCTCGAAAACGTGTGCTCCAGCGTTAGCGCGCAAAACAGCACGCTGACCATCGCCGAACGACGCTACGTTGCACAGTGCACGGACGCACGCGGTCACGGTCGTCATCCAGCGCGCGCGCGGGACGTCGTTGGCGTCGCTGTCATATGCGCGTACCTTGGTCAACGCGTGCGCGAGCGTCAGCGCGACGTCGTCTACGAAAGACGAGCGGATGAGCCAATAACGCGCCGGCCCTTCGACCGTGGCAAGCGACGACAACGCCTTCAACGTCAAGCATAGACTCGAAGACCCAGGGGCGTGCTTGGAGTCAAAAGCGTGATCCATCAAACGTTGCGCGAAGGATTTGGGTTGTTCGCCATCCTCGCCGGCGCCGACGGCGGTGATTGCCCGTTTCGAGTTCGGACATTTGGCGACAAAGTTCACCACGAGGGACAGTAACTCGTACATCACCGTCTGATCGAGCGTTGCGTACGGCCAAGTCGTCCGGAACATGTCCACGATGCCCGAATCCACGGCGTTTTCGCGGATTTCGTTGACGATTTCCTCTAGCCAAGCGTCGTCGCTTGTGCTCGTCGGAAAAGAGTACATCATATGTCGCAAGCACGTGAGGGATCCGAGGGCGACGGTTGATGGTAGTTCTTTCCCATCGGCATCGAGTCCGAATTCCATGGCGGCAGCGAGGGCATCCCTACGATTCGCCCTCATCGCCGAGGAAGCGACGTAGACGTCCATGGCGGTGGGCACGCTCTTGAACGATCCATCCGGACTCATTGAACGTCGCACCGCCGCGACGGTCGTCTGAACTAAACTGCTTACTAGACCCCACTCACAAGCCGCGGCTTTTGCGCTGACGTCGTGCGCGAGCACGTTCCGCGTGGCGCTGATAATGATAGACATTGTCGGGACCGAGCGTTGTTGCGTTGAGTTACCGAGCAAGCGGAAGTGCCACAGGACAAGTAGTGATTGTAATATCGACGCTCCAACGTGTTCAAAAGCGCCATCGATGGCGCGCTCGGAGGTCGATTTCGATCGGAATACTGTGGATGTAAGCAGACACGCGCCAACGGAAGCTTTGATGCATTCTGGACTCGCACTCGGCCCGACCGCGTTGGCGAGAATTTCTGCGCACATCGCCGCGACGCCGTGAGACGGGAACACGTCTTCATCGCCGTGCGAGTGGGCTTGTAATACAGTTGCGAGCGCCTCGGCACATCTGGACGCCGCTCGGGCAGCTGCACCACCGCCGCCAGAGCGCAAGGTGCGCGAAGCGTTACGCAGGCAATCGTATAACGCCGACGCTGCGAGTTTGACGTCAAAGCTCGTCACACCGGCGACGACCATGACGCCTAACAGAGCGGCTACATTCGATGCAGCCGCGGCCGCATCGGTGGAACCGTAGCCGACAAACTTGGTCCTTCGCAAGACTGCGAAAGTACCGTGCCACATCGTGCCATCCGTCTCATGACTGGGATTAAAGTCAAACGCTTCAGCGATGCCGAGCGCGTCGACGCGCGCGGCGGCGAGCAGCGCTGAAGAGGCGCCGCGATGCAAAACAGCAACACGTTCATCGTCACCACTCACATCATCCATAAGTACTCTGGCAAAGTCTCGCCACACGTCCTTTGCGGCGAGCATCGGGATCGATGGGAACGGCACGGAGGACTTCTCCCCCGAATAGAAGCCGTCGTCTGGAATTTCCAGTGAAACTTCCTGCGCAAAGCTTCCCGCGATGAGCGCGGCGACGCATCGGAACGCTGCGGCGCGCGTCACCGCCGCCTCTTCTTTGTCAAGTGCACATGCCGTTGCACGCTCGAAGATGTCAGGGAATTTGGCGGCGATAACGTCCGCGATTGGAGAGCTTGGTCCTACGGATGCCGCTACGATTTGCCATGCCCTCTCACGTGCGCGAGAAGACGCATCGACAAGCATGTCACTCAACCAAACCAAGTCGTCGATTTCATAGAAACCGTCGGCCCATTTATCAGATCTAGAACTGTCCATAATGAGCAGTAAAACACGCGTCGCCTTGTTCATGAGTACAGAGCCGCGATGATCCGAGGACGAGTATGACGGATACACCCTCGTTAACATCGACTGAACCAGGTTGAAGATGTCTTCGGATGGAACCCCTCCGAGACGCAGCGCCGCATTCACGGCATCGATGGCGACACACCTAGCCGTGTAGTCGCAACTTGGCTCTCCGACTAACGTGTTTGTCACCACGCCGACGCAATCGATATCGAGAAGTTCTGCCACCACGGCTTCCGCGTCAACGTCGGGTACCGCATAAATTCTAAATCTCCTCGCTGCTTCGTACACGTTCGCAAGCAAGCTCATCGCCGCACGTACAGCGTCTGCGCGCGCCGCGCAAAAAGCGCCACCATCGTCACCGAGTGCTTTACCAGCCGCGATAGGATGTCTAAGCACTGGTGGGTCGCGTAACATATCACCGTCGCAGCTGACGCTCAGCGCCGCGCCTGCACTCGCGAGCGGAACTATGACGTCATGGACGACTTCGATCATTTTTTTCATCGCCAAAGGAGGGAGAATACTATCTTCCACGCGCATGAATGACTCTAAGCACGATGTAAGAACTTCAGCCATCCCAACCCATAATGAAATGTCAGTAGTCGACCGCGGCGGGCGCCGAATGAATCGCTCACTCGTTTCGTCCCATCGTCCTAGAGATGCTAAAAAAGCCATGGCGTTTAAACGAGTGGATTGGACGTTTGTCATCAAAGCGTCGACGATTCTCATCGCTTCTTCGTACGATTGAGCTTCACCAAGGGCACTGACTAGATTTCCAATGACGACCGGCGCGCAAGAAATTCGAGCGGCGTCGCGCATCACGCGCAGCTCGCCACTTTCTGTTTCTGCCTCTTCATCCAGCGCAAACGCGAGGAGCGCAGATTCATCGTCGTCGACCGCGTCGTACGTGTACATGAGTGTTTGACGACGCTTAAACATGTACAAAACTCGATTTCGGTCGACAACATCCGTCATCAATGGATCGGTATCGCCAACCGCCGGCGGGCTCTCGAGCTCGGGAACGAACTGAGGAAACCTGTAGGTCTCCAGGAAAAGCTTTGGAAGGCTCAAATCGGGCGTTTTTACCGCACCCACGCGCGCCGTGACGGTCTCACAGACAGGGGAAAACAGAAAGTACGCGAGAAGCGACGCCATCGCCTCCCGAATCCGACGCTGAGGATGGAACACGAGTCCGAGCAATTGCGTGACTCTTCCACCTCGCCCATCTTCGCGGCTCAAAATATCGCGAACCAGAGTCGATGCCCCGATCGCAGCAGCAAGAATTCGCAGCGCGCCGGCCACGACGTTCACATGCGAACCCTGATCGAGCGTTAACTTTATCAATGACTCGAGCAAACTCGGGTCGGCGAGAACAGTCGCGAGTCTCTCGTCTCTCATCATGATTTCTAGCTCGGCAAGGAGCTGGTCACGGTGTTTCGCGTCATCGAAGATGAAACGTCTCAAACAAGCGCGCACATCGTCAAACGTTCTCAACCGCAGACTCTCTTTGAACGCCACAACGCGCGAGTCCGCGTCTTCTTGACGCACGTACTCGTCATCCGTGAGTAAGACAGAATCGAAAGGATCGTCGTGAGACGCCAGGAGAACTTGCGCTGCCGAGCTGAGTCCGTGCGCTATACCGTACGCTAAATCGGTCGCACTCCGCACACGAACTTTCTCGCTTTCGTGAAACAACCCGCGCAATAGAGGCGCAAGTTTGCTTAATCGTCCGCCTACGTTCGCTTCTTGAATCATCTTTTGCGCTTCTCTCGCCGCATGTCCAGCGTCTGCATCGTCGATGAGAGCTTCAATCCAGGCGGAGTAGAGCGAAACCTGGGTCGCGACTGCGCGCCGATTCAAGGTCGAATTGCATAATGATTCCAAGCACAAAGCCGCATTCCGAACGGTGGACGAATGGTTCAAACCGCCGACGATGAGTTCTCCGATGATCGTAGAGTGCTCGAGAATGGCTCTCGCCGCGGTGTGCGGCGAGCTTGCTGTAGCGAGTGTGGCGTAAGCAGACGTCCGAACGTCATCGATGCCATGTGACAGTAATGCAAGCATCGCGCTGACAACCTCATCGAGATCGTCTGCTGATTCGCTCGTAGAGGCGAGTGCGACGAGCTTCGCGGTCATGCTTGAGCAAAACGGCGTCACATTATCAGTCGCGCCCATGATACTCAAAGCCGGTGTCGCCTTGCTGACGATACGTGCGAATGATTTAGCGTCTAAACCAGAAACCGCCGCCGACATCGCGATGCGCAGACACTGGTCTGCGTCTCGCACGAGTGAAATATCAAGAGAAAGCGTTGGGCATATGTGCACGAGCGCTTGCGCACAGTATTGCCGAGCCAACGGATTCGCCGCGGCGATGACTTCGTCGACGCAGACATCGTACCAGCGTGAGGACAGTCTCTTGTGCGCCGCACCAGCACCTCGGATCGGTGCACCGCTCGCCACTGCAGCTACTTCCGCGCTTACTTGAACGCACGTGAGATACTCGCTTGCGGCGCCCGATTCAAACTCAATCGTCGCCAACGACGACTCCCACAAATCGAGATACTGCCCGAGACGCATCAACGCATCGCCGTGTGGCTGAGCATCCTTGTTCGTAGGGTCGATTTGAACGAGCGGCAACAGAAGGCGCACCGCTCGGATAGCGCTCGCTCGAAGAGCAGGATCGCACACTGCGGGAATCACGTGTAGCATAAACGCGTGCGCGATCGGAAGTACGCGCGTCGGTGCTCCTCGAGACGCGCCATATCCGTGCCCTCGCTCGCTCGGTGGAAAGTTTTCGGCGATCGGTGAGTTCGGCGACTGCGGGCGCGCCACTTTTCCCGTCGCTCTGACGGGCGTCCCATCCACCGTCAGCAAGCACTCTCGAGAAACGTCAATCAACTCTCTGTGCAGCGCCTGCGCGCACTGCCTAACGACGCTCAACGCCTCTCGTCGAGTCTCCAGAGTGCACAGTCGTGGCTCAGACGCCGAGAGAAGTTCGCAGACGCGTTCGAGCGCGCGCGACGCATGTTGCACCACCGCCTCGACGGGCAAATCCGACAACGCGCGTCCTAGTTCTCGAAGACCACCGAGCGCCAGCGCGTGATGCGTGCACGTGTCCAGGTGTGTTGTCAACACGTACAAATACTGTGCATCAGTCTCGTTCACGTTGACGTACGGTAACGAAAATCCCGCGTCGCCCTCGGCGCTCGCGACGTTGCGAGCGTCCACCGCGAACGAAACGCGCGCCGCCGAGCCCACCTTCGTCGACGTCGACGTCGACGTCGAAGCATCCCCATGAGTGCTCTCTCGCGCGCGCCGAACCCGTGCATCTTGTACTGCGTCGTACCTCCCGAAATCGTCCTGATCCTCCTCCCCGAGTTCGCCCGCGCTCGAGCTCGGAATTTCAACCGCCGCGCGCAACCGCGCGAGCGCCTTTTGATCCCTCCCGCTCTCCCGCACCACCGCCTCCATGTACTCCACCGCCCCGATCTCTCTCAACCACACTCTCGCCATGGGCTCCTTCGCGCACAACCACGACAGAAACGTCGCCGGCGACCACTCCGCGCAGCTCGTCGCCGCGCTCGCGTCCAGCGCCTCCGCGCGCGCCGCCGCCCCGCGTTCGTCGTGCGCGTCATCGACGCGATCGTACAGCTCCAGGACCGCTCTCAACACCTCTGGATCGCGCGCCGTCGCCGCGGGCGCGCACGCGCCGGCGACGTTGGCGAGAACGAGCGCTCGAAGCGCGCGTTTACGAACGTCACGAATGTTCGACGAGAGTTTGCGTCGCGCGTTGGCGAGCGCGCGCGCGGACGCGTCGCGCGGCGCATCGCGCGCGAGCATGGCTTCGCGCTCGTGCGCTCGCGCGTCCGCGCGCGGTGGGATGTGCGGCGAGGCGCGAATCGACGCGCGAGAGACGACACCTGTCGCGCGCGTTTTGAATTCTCTAAAAATGTGATGAATTCTCTAAGGTGAATACGAACATCATCGCGCGATGATAATGCTGAGAAATAACGCGGCGGCGAGCGATCGCGTGGACATCACACGAAATACACGGGCGAAGAGGCGCGCGGGGACGAGGCGCCGAAGAGGGCGCGCGCGAGGACGGCGCGGAGGGACTCGGCGTCGGCGGCGGCGAAGGCGCTCGCGGCGACGAGCGCGGGGAGGAGGACGCCGAAGACGGCGTAGTAGGCCCACACGCGAGGGGCGCGATCGACGATGGAACGCGCGAACGCGGGGGCGGAAACGGTGACGCAGGCGATGGAGGTGAGGTAAAGGCGCCAGGCGAGAAGCCAGAGGGTGGGGTCGCCGCCGAGCGCGCGCACGGCGGCGACGCCGACGGCGCCGACGCCGACGCCGAGAACGAGGGCCAACACGAACATCGGTGCGGCGGCGAAGCGACGCGATACTTCGAGCTTGGTGAGCAAGAGCGCGACCGCCGCGATGGCGAAGAAACCGATCGCGGCGCGCGCGCCCTCGTTCGCGACGCACTTGACGTAGGCGTACGTCTCGAAGGGCGCGACGACGACGCCGACGAACGATGATGACGACGTCATCGAACCACCGCAAATCGTCGTGAGCTGGCCGAAACGATACACCACCTCGCGTCTGCCGAGCGAGAGCATCATCGCGCACGTCGTGACGAGTCCCACGGCGAGCGCGTCGCACGTGGCGCCGTGAAACGTCGCCGTCGCCCGCGCCGCGCGCCTTTCCTCTCGCTCCGCCTTTGTTTCCGCCGCGCCGTCCGCCGCGAGCTTGTTCCCTTCCGCTTTCAACGCGTTGCTGGTCTGCTTTTGAATCATCGCCACGAGTTTGAGCCCGACCTCTGCCTTCCTAAGCTCCAACTCCTCGCGAAGCAGCGCCCTGTCCTCGTCGCACATCGACGTGGTCACCGCGGCCGACGACGACGAAACCTCGGGCTCCTCCGCCGCTAAATGAAGCGAACGCCGACGCCTCGCGACTCGATCTCGAGCGACGATCGCGTCGTCCGCGTCTCTCGTCTCGTCTCCCGTCGACGTCGCCGCGGCGTCGACGTCTCTCGCCAGCGCGGCCCATCGCGCGCTCGCCGCGCGCTCGAACGCCGCCTCCGACTCGCGCGCGCCCGCATCACCCTCCCCCTCGCGCAGCGCTCGCGCGAATCTCCGCGCGACGCTCGCGAACGCCTCCGCGTCGCCCGCGTCGACGCGCGCCGCCGCCTCCGCGAACGCCCGTCCCGCCCGCCTCGCGCGCTCGACCGCCCGCGCGCGCCTCGCCCGTCGCGCGCGCGCCCTCGCGATCAAAATCCCGCACGCCGCGCACGCCGCGAGCGCCGCGCGCGTCCCGCGCGCGCGCTTCCCGCGCGCGCGACGAAGCCCGAATCCGTCATCGCCCACCGCATCGCGCGTCGTCGCGCGCGCGCCGCCGCGCCGCGCGTCGACGTCGTCGCGCGTCGACGTCGACGTCGACGCCGCGCCGCGCGACGCGAACCCGCGCGGGCTCGCGCGCGGCGCGCGCGCGTCCATCGCGCCGCGACGTGGCGTCGCGCGCGACGCGGACAGCGCAAACAGTGCGCGCGTGGAATCTCGCATTCGGTCGACGCGCACATAGCATGAAACTACACAGAGTACGACTTAAACCACGCATACTGGGTATCGAAAGCACCATCACGATGCGCGACGTCGCGGTGACGTCACCGCGGATAACGCGGCGACGCCGCACACGTCGACGCGCGATGATGCTCGCGCTCTCCACGCGCGCGCCCGCGGGCGGCGCCGCGATCTCGAGCGCGCGCGGAGGAAAGCGCTCGACGCGCGGCGCGCGACGATGCGCGGCGAACGCCGTCGCGGCGAGCGCGGAGACGAAGAAACCGACGACGGTGGAGTACCAGCGCGAGCGCGCGAAGATGATGGTGCGGTACTTTAAGGAAAAACAGTACGATCAGGCGGTGGAGGACGCGCAGGTGTTTGGATTCACGCCGAGCAATGAGATTAATAACGGACGGTGGACGATGTTCGGGCTGTTGGTGGGGATGCTGACGGAATTCGCGACGGGGGTGGATTTCATCGATCAAATCAAGCTGACGGTGAGCGTGTTGGGGATCGCGGACATTTACGATTGAGCGAGCGTCGGCCGCGCGGTGAGACGAGATCGCGCGCGGCGCGCGAGGGGCGCGAGGCGCGGCGCTAGGATGACGGTCGATCGATCGTTGAGGTCGGTGTAATGAGACGAAAATTCTTTGAGAAACGCGAGCGCGGGCGCGACGGCGACCGCACTCTTCGACTCGCGCTTTCGCTCGTTCGTTCGTTTCGTCTCGCGCGTTTCACGCTCGATAGCGTCGTGCTCGTGGTTCGTGGCTCGTGGTTTGATGGCGATGCGCGCGCTGGAGCTCGCGGTGTTGGCGGCGTTCGTCGTTCGCCTCACCGGCGTTCGCGCGAACGAGGCCGCGGCGTGGTGCGTAGAGCCGAAGAACGGAAACGTTGATGATTTTCGCGCGCGGGCGTCCGCACTGGGATTGGACACGTGCATCGACACCGGAGATGCGTCACCTCGAGGACGGAGCGCGGGAGCGTGCGACGAAAGCATTTTGGCTTTCTCGTGCGAATCGTTGCGGCGCCGAGGGTCGGACGGGTTCGCGTGCGGCGCGCGAGACGCGCCGAACACGCCGATCGACGCTCGAACGTTTGATTCGTGCATCGCACCCATGTGTGCGACGGAGGTGTGCGCACAAGGTGGACGCGGAATCGCGCGCGCGTTCTGCGCGGAAGCGTGCGACTCTCGCGCGCGGTTCGGCTCGCGATTTGGCGAGTCCTGGTCGACGAGCGCGTTGAATCCCGTGAACTTCAACGCCATGCTCGGCGCGTTGACGACGTCTTATCCAGGCGCAGCTTCGCTCGTGCAGAGCTTCGTTCGCGTGCAGACGACGATATTTCTGATGCGCACGATTTACAACGCCGTGATGTCATCGCTCGGCGAAGCCAGCTCGAGCTCGGCGGCGCCGTCGTTTTCGACGTCACCGTCGTTCTCGGCGTCGCCGTCGCCGTCGCCATCGACGATATACTTCCCGACGCCGTCACCCTCGCCGTCACCGTCACCTGCATCACCACCGACGACGGCGTGTGGGGGCGTAGGCGATACGTGCTCGGAATCGTGCGGGCTTTGCATCTACCCAGATTCAACGAGCGATAATCCGACATGTTGTTGCGACGCGACATGCTTTGATTACGGCGATTGCTGTGGTGATGTCGGTGGGTGCTGTCCGTCGCTCGGAAAGTCGAACGCAAACGTACGCGCAAGATCGCGAGCCGCGGTGCGATCGCGAGCGAGCGGTTGATGACGCCAACTCGTTCTACTCTTCTATGGATAACTACCTACTTCTACGAGACCTCTGAACTCCTAAATGAACTCGAGCGACGACCCACACCCGTCAACGTCCAAATTTCGAACACGATGCCGCCTGACGCCAACGACTCGCTTCAACGTCCCGGAATTTCGCACGTCAAAAGTCCCAAGATCGTACGTTCCCGACTCGAATCGCACCTCCGTGAGCGTTTTGCACGCTCGAGCCACGAACTCTCGGCAGTTTGCGCTAGAGATACGCGCGACTTGCAGCGCGGGACACCCACTCAGCGCACATCGCACAAGATGTGGCGACGAAATAAATGCACGCTCGATGCTGAAGCACCCCTCCGCGCTGAGCTCGACAAGCGAGCCGCCGCACATATTAAGGATGTCGGCAAAGCCACTCGACGTCAGCACTTTACAACTATCGAGCTTGAGCGTCTTGACCGCGGGTAACTTCGAACGAACGGTGTTCATCTCTTCCGTCACAGCTCGCAGACTGGCACATTTATTCATCAGCAACGTCTCACACTTTGGCGCGTACGCGTTGAAGGTCTCCAGCGCCTTGCATCCCGCCGCGCTTATCGTCTCCACGGAGCCGGATTGCACTTGCAGCTCTCGCAACGAGCCGCAGTCGGCGACGTTTACGGCGTTCAACGCGCTCGAATCAGAGGTCCGACGAATTGAAAAATTCGTCATTGACTTACAGTTGACCGCTTTCAGGCGTTCGAGTCGCGTAGCGACGTGTGCGCCGAGGACGAGTCGTTTGACGCCCGAACAACCCGTCACATCCAACACGCGCAAACATCGCGCGACATCCAGGGCGCCGTAAATTGCTTCTTCGTCCAGAGACACACATCCCACGAGTTTGAGTTCGCGAAGGGTGTCCCCATAAGGTGCCAAAGCTCGAGACAGACCACTCGATCTGAGCGCTCGAGCGCGAGTCCACGCGATGGACGTTAACGCGGGAAAAATCTCTCGACACCGCTCCGCGATCGCCACCACTCCGTACTCGCTCAACCACTCCCCGCATCCCTCGAAGTCTATCGACTCGATCGACTGTGACGCGTTATTTGCCGCGACGGCGGTCAAAACATTCGACAAACGTTCCCAGTCGTCTTCGGCGCTATCCGCCGGTGGCTTCAGCGTCTCGCCCATCTTTCGAAAGCTCACAGCGCTAACGTTCGGATACGCACGAATCATCCCTCCCAGGCGAACTACATCCGAGGCGAACGTCTCAATCGTCGTTCGCGCGCGCGCATTCGCGGGCGGCGCGATTCTTCGCGCGTCGCGTCGCCACGACGCCACGAGCGCTCTGAACTCTTTGCACGTGCACGCCAGCACCGCGGCGTCCCTCGCGCTCAGTGACTTAAATATCACATCGCGAACGTCGTCGGGGAGAACGTCACCGAACGCGTGCCCGTGCGCGACGTCGTGCGCGACGGGAGGCCGTTCTGGACACAGTCCGCGCAATAAAGCGATTGCATCTTTGACGCCTTCGCATTGCCTCGCGACGTCGCGCACGACCTCGGCGTCGAGTCCCGCGAACGCGTCGATCAATGCGGTGATATCGACGGCCGCGAGAGCGCCCGAGCCGACGTCGGGGAGGACGTCGGATCTGAAAGCGAACGCCATCGCGCGCGCGAGGCGCGCACTGCTGCGAAAAAATATAGAATGTGATCACAATACATGCTTCAGGGCGTCGATGCGTTCGTCGCGTTCGTCGAGCGTTTCTATTTGCTTACGCGTGTCGCGCTTCGCCGTGGTCGCCGAAGGCTCGGCGTCGACGACGAGCGAGCGCCGTTTGCTCGATCGCGACCGCCGCGCGAAGAGCGCCGCCGCGGAAAGTACGCAAACGATGCCCACGGCGATGAGAACGTACGCTTTGATACCTCGCAAGGAATCATCATTTGTGCTCTCGACTTCGACGTCGCCGTCGCGCGTCGTCGCGGAGGTAATTGTCCATTGCGAGTTGGAGTTCGTGAATGGTCCGTCGGCGACGCCAAAAAACAGTTCATTCGCCGCCGTGACGTCGCCGGACGCCGCCGAGCGTAAGATGGCTCTAGACCGAAACATCTGCGAAGCAACCCGATCATAGAGCATTATGGCAGCGCGCCGATTGGATTCGGTGCTGGCGTTGAAGATCATGTCGCCGTAAATCTCGGCGTCTCTGACCCCCTCTATGATTTTGTTGCGCCAGCTTTCACCAGTTGGATCTCGACTGTCGATGACATTATACATGCTCGACGCCGTGGAATTCAAAACGTCGTTAAAAATATCTCGAAACGCCATGCGTTTTTGCATCTCCAGCTCGTCGTCGGTGTTGTTAACCCAGGACGTCATCGTCGTTGCGTTTGCTGTTGCATCTCGGAACCACAAACCAGTGGAATTCGGCGACGACTCACCCCTCAGCGCGGCGTCGATAAACGACGCGGTCATTTGACCAGTGTCACCACGCGCGAGGGCGCGAGCAGCCGCGAGAAACCCGTCCCAGTTGCCTCCGGAAGAATGAAACGCCGTGAAAATGGGTGGCGTCTGTTCCGCGCCGCTCGAGGCGGTGCTGATGAATTGAGACGCAAAGTCGAACAGTCCGAAGTTGGGTGCACCAACGTCGACGTGTTCGGCTGCAACAAAGTGTGCATCCGACACGCACGCGACTAGCGCACACAGCGCGCCGACACGCAATATGTTCGCTCGACGCTTCATGACGTCGACGCTCAAGGTCGAGTCGCGCTCTGCCGCTGGGTGGCGACGCCACCGGGGTTTTATCGCCGCAACTTCCGACGAATCATTCGTTTAGCCCCAAAGCTCAATCGAGCGCCTTCGTATTCGTTCAGTTCTCGTTCCAAAAGTTTGATCGGCCACTCATCCGAGTGCGCCGCAAGTATGTCGCACGTCGCCGCTCGAATTGACTCCTTCTTAGGTCCGCAGGGCCGGATCGACGTCAACGCCTCGTACGCGCCATCCAGGCTGTCGTGTGCATCTAAAAACCAGTACATGTACGCGATCGCTAGTCCCGGTGACCGTCCCATGCCAGCCGTGCAGTGCAAATACACCGTCTCCCCGCGTCTCGCCGCTGCGTCCAGCGCCGCCGCCGCCGCCGGCAAACCCTCCCGCAACGAGTCCGCCGAAAAGTCCACGAACGGGTATCGCTCCAGTTTCATACCTCGTTTCTCGATCTGCCGCTTCACGGACGCGAAATCCACCTTCCAGTACTCCATATCCTTGTCCTGTTGCGTGTTGAACACGCACGTCACGCCCTCGACGTCGCGAAGTCGATCGATATCCGCCGCCGTCGTCGGTTGCGTGCCGACGATGAGATTCGGGCGTATTCTGTGATAGTCTGCACGCGTCGATATCGTCGCGATCGCTCGCGGACGTCGTCAGTCGTTCGTCGCCGTCGTCGCGCGTCGAAGCGCGCTCGGCGAGCGCGCTCGTCTAGTTCAAACGTCGGCGCATCGCCTCGCATCGCCGCGAACACGCACATAAACCGAGTTCATGCTTGTACTCATACGGCGTCGCGCTGTACGCCTTCATCGCGGCGTTGTACGCGTCGTCGTCCGCGGCGGCGCGCTGGCGAGTTCGTTTTCGGCTTAACGAACGCGCGGCGCCGCCGCCGCCGCCACGCGCGCGCGACGGGCGCGAGGGTCGCCCCGCCGCGCGCGATGGTATCGCATGCGTCATCGACGCGGTCATGCCGTGCGATTGCGAACGCACGATCGTTCGCGACGCCTTCGCATTGTGGCGCGAGCGCGCGCGAGCGCCACGGTGGCGGCGCCGTTCGAAAGATTGTCTTCTAGACGAACGTGATGGTTATTAAAATTTGAACTTTTTTGCGTCGCTATCTTTTTTGTCTTTGGCCTTTCGTTTTTGAGCGCGGGCGTGGTCGGCGACCATGTCGGAAAAGTCCTCTGGCGCGGCGGCGGCCTTCTTCGCCGCGACGGTTTCCTCGTACGCGGCGCGGATCGCGTCTTCATCTTGCAAGCCATCGTCTCCGAGGGCCTCGGCGTCGAGCGTGACTTCGACGCCCGCGCCACGGGTGCGACGCTTGGGCTTGTCGTCGCCGTCGGTAGGGATGGCGTACGTGTGCGCCGAGCCGACGATTTGGTCGGCGCCGACGGAGGCTTCTTGCGACGGTAACACCGTGTACAATGACTTCGGGCCTTCGGACTTTTTGCGCAGATCCAAAACGTCTGGCGTTTCGGCGCCCGCGTGGAGTTCCGCGGACTCTTCTTCTTCCTCGGCCTCCTCCTCCTCGGCCTCCTCCGCGGCGACTTCTTCCTCCTCCACCTCTTCCTCGCTCTCCTCTTCCTCCAACTCTTCGTCGATCTCACCGAACCGTTTCGTCTTGTCGACAGCTACGTCGTACGGCGTGCTATCACTCGCCTTTGTCTTCGTGCTTCCGAACACGTCGCCGTAGATGGGCACGCCGAGCTCGTCCACGGGCGGTTTGCCCCAACCGCCCGGATGGTAGCCGAACTGCGCTCCCGCGGGAATCGGCGCGGAAAGCCCCGGCACGCGCAGGTGCGGATAGCTCGGCGGCGGACCGTATCGTTGCATGTTGATCAACCACGGAGGTGGTCCGCCGTCCGTCATGCCGAGCGCAGCCTTGAGTTCTTCGCTCAGCTTGCCGGGCTTGCGTCCGATGGAAACCTCAAACTCCTTGCCCTCAAAGTACAAATCCCCGGGTTTGGACATCTTGGGTTTGGATTGGTAGACGAAGAACGCATCGTGCAGAATTTGATAATCGATATCCATGCGCCCGAGCTTGGCCGTTTTCGTATCTTTTGCCTTCTGTTTCAACGACTTGGCGTCTTCCTTCTCCGCGTAGTGGTCGCGAATCTTCTGAATTCCCGTGGCGCGAATAAAATCCGGCAACTCCCACGGCGGCTTCTCGATCCCTCGCTTACCTTGCAAAAACGCCCGCTTTTGGCTCCAATGTCTCGGCACCGGGACCGTGTTCCTGTGCGCCTTGAGAAAGACGAGTAATCTCGGATCGTTCGCGCTCGCGTCCCAAACCTCCACGACTTCTGGCTTCGCGCAGTGTTGCTTGAGCTCCGCCACCTTCATCCGACGCAGTTCCTTCTTCTTTTTATTCGAAAGCTCCTCGCCCGCGCCGTCATCGTCCCCGTCGTCCCCGTCGTCTTCATCCGCGCCGTCGCCCCCATCACCCTTCTTCGCCCCCGCGTCGTCCGCGCTCGTGCCGACCTCGCCCCCTCTCGCCCCTCTCGCTCGAAACGCCTCAAAAATCGCCTTAAACTCCCCCAATCCGTCCTCCCCGTCCGCATCGCTCGTCCCCTCTAGCTCTAACTCGATCGGCGCCGCCACGTACTCGATCTCGACGTCCTCATCGCCCGCGTTCGCGCCGCTCTTTTCGCGTCTCGCGCCTCGCGCCTTCGTCTCGCCGCGCGTCGTCGTCGCCGTCGCGTCGTCTCCCGTCTTCGCCTCCGCCTGCGCGCGGTCGTCGCGCCACCGATCGCGACTCGAGGTCAGTCCGCGTCGTCTTCGCGCGTCGTCGCGCGTCGCTCGCGTCGCGCGCGCCATCGCGCGCCGTCGTCTCGTTCGATCCCGCCGCCGGCGCCGATCGCGCCTTCGGCCTTCGCGTCGCGCGCGCGCTCGATCGTTCGCGCGCGTCGCGCGCGCGAACGCACCGTCGCCCTGTCGCGCGCCTTGGCCGCGCGCGCCTTGGCGCGTCGCTTCGCCGCGACGCCCATCGTCGATCGCGAATCCGCCGATTCGATTCGCGTCGCCGAGTGTCGCCCGCACACGCGCGCGCGTCGCCGCGTCGCGGTCGGCGACGCGATGGACGACGACTCGACGCTGCCGGCGGCGCCGTCGGCGCGCGCGCTCGGCGACGAGGTGTCGCTCGAGCAGTGCGAGCGGCTGTTCGTGTGCGCGCACTTTGCCGAGTGTCGCGCGATGTGCGAGCGCGTGTACGCGGCGTACGTCGACGATCCGAGCGCGCCGCGACCGCTGGTGCGAGGGACGTCGAGCGACGCGCGCGAGTCGGGCGCGAGGGCGCGCGCGACGGCGCGCGAGGACTCGGGGATCGACGCGGCGGTCGCGGCGGCGGCGCGGCGGTTGCGGCGGCCGGAGCGGTACCTGGATGAGATATACGGCGAGTGCTCGTGCAGCGAAGACGAAGACGAGGGCTCGGAGAGGAACGCGGAGCGAAGGGCGCTGGCGCGGGACGCGGAGAGCGTGCGGTGGCCGGTGGAGGATCTGCGCGAGAGAGACGCGGCGTGGGTGACGTCGTGCCTGTGGGTGCAGTGCAAGTTTAAATCGAAGGATGGATTGGGGCGCACGATGGCGGAGGACTTCGCGGAGCTGCGACGAGGGGTTAGGGTCGGGACGCCGCCGCGGTTGGGGCCGACGGCGCGGATGCTGTGGTGCAAGTTGAAGTGGGAAGAGGGCGCGGGGAAGACGGCGGGATCGCGGGAGGAGGCGGAGATCGAACGCGAGATTTTAGCGCTCTTCGACGACGCCGCCGCGGCAAACGTGTTGAACGACGAAAGCATGTCGGAAGAGTTGAATGTGGCGTGGCGCGACGCGTTGAGGAACTTGGGGTGGCTGTACGCGAGTCAAATATTGGCGGCGCAGCGCGAGGACGAAGACGCCGCGCACGCGTGGCTCGACAAACGCGAGGACTTGCTCGACGAGCAAATCATCGTGTTGACGAGGAGTTGGATTCAAAAAGCGAACATCAACAAAAACTACCGATTCTCGGTGTCGTACGACGAGCACACCGGTCGCGTGATGGTCAAAAATCAACGCGTCGACGACGACGGCGAGGACGAGAACGCCAGCGACGACGACGCGCCGGCGGAAGAGAACGAAACGGAAATCACAAAATCCTCGCCGACGGCGGCACCGGAACCAGTCGAGGACGACGGTACGAACGCGGAGAAAGTTTCGACCGTCGACGCGCTCGCGTCGCGCGTCACGCACGTCGTTCGCGAAATCGCGAGAGATCCTACCGGCGACTACAGCCTGCGGGCGTACGCCACCGTCGCCGTCTCCGCCTACGTCGCCTTCAGCCTCGTCCAGCGCGTCAACGACTGGCGAAACCGCGCGAAAAAGTTGATCAGATGACGCGCACGTCGCGATAGTCCGAGAAATGTGCACCGAACCGCCTCGAGACGAACGTCGTCGCGACCCGCCCAGCCGCCGCGCGCCGCCGCACTTCGCGCCCCGCGCTCGTCCGACGACCGCGCACCATGCTCGCGCGCGGCGCCACCGTTTCGCTCGCCTCGAGGTGCGCGCGCGCGTTCGTCTCGCGCGCCCCGTCGCCGCCGCGCGCGCGCGTTCGGTCGCGCGACGTCCATATCCACTCGCGACGCGTCGACGCGCGCGCTCGACCGCAGACTCACCGCGCGCGCGTTTTTCGCCGCGCAGATCGACGCCGCGCGCGTCGCACGCCCGCGCGACGCGCGTCGGACGCGCGCGCGTCGTCGCCGAGGCGTCGCGGACGATCGATTTCATCAAGTACCAGGGCCTCGGGAACGACTTTATATTAATCGACAACCGCGACAGCGCGACTGTGAAGATGTCGAGCGAAGCCGCGGCGAAGATGTGCGATCGTAACTTTGGAATCGGTGGTGATGGGGTGATATTCGCCATGCCGCCGAACGACGCGTCGGAGGATTACTCGATGCGGATGTTTAACAGCGACGGTAGCGAACCGGAGATGTGCGGAAACGGAATTCGATGCCTGGCGCGTTTCGTGAGCGATTTAGACGCCATGCCGCCGAAAAAGTACAAGGTTGGAACGCTGGCGGGGTTGATTCAACCGGAGATGCGGGCGGATGGACAGGTGGCGGTGGATATGGGGATGCCGATTTTTGAGCCGAGCGAAGTCCCGACGACGCTCGCGGCGACCCAAGACGGTAAGGTTGTGCGCGCGGAGATGGACGTGGACGGTGAGAAGTGGTTAGTGAACGCGGTGTCTATGGGTAACCCGCACTGCATCACGTTCGGTCGCGCCGGTGGCGAGGCTGACGGTCCGGGTCTTAAGTTGGACGAATTCCCGTTGAGCGTCGTCGGCCCCAAGTTTGAGTCGCATCCGTGCTTCCCGGCGCGAACGAACACCGAGTTCACCCAAGTCGTCAACAGAAACTACGTCAAGATGCACGTGTGGGAACGCGGCGCCGGCGCCACGCTCGCGTGCGGCACCGGTGCCTGCGCGACCGTCGTCGCCGGCGTCCTCGAGGGCCGCGTCGATCGACGGTGCACCGTCGAGCTCCCGGGAGGCCCGCTCGAGATCGAATGGCGCGAGAGCGACGGCAGAATCATCATGACCGGTCCCGCCGAGCCCGTGTTCGCCGGTAAATATTTCTTATGAGCCACTCTCGCGCGACGTGTAATCGTACCGCTTTGACTTCGCTCGGCGCCGTCGACGCCGCGTCACATCGCGCCGCCATGCTCGCCGCCCGCGCGCGCTCGCACCGCACCGCGTCGTGCGCGACCACACACGCGCGCGCGTCGCGCGTCGCGCCCGCGCGCGCGCACCGCGAACGCCGCGCCCGCGCGCGCGCCGTTCCGGAAGGAGGTGACGACGCCGCGACGCCGGACTGGGCAAAAGATCTCGTCCTCGACGAGCGCGGCGACTTGATCGACGCGAAGACCGGCGAACCGCTGAACGAATTCGGCGCCACGCGATTCGACCTGTACGTCAGAGCGCTGCGAGGGGAGTACGACGCGCCGTATGACACGAGCGAGCGCGACGACGGCGAAATCATGGAGACGATACAACAATTCCCGGCAAAGTACACGTATCAAGTCGTGACGACGACGGAGACGGCGAGCGAGGAGGGATTTGTCTCTGGATTGGTCGAAAAGATCGCGGGGGCGGCCGGGGAGGCGAAGGTGGAGGTGGAGGTGAAGCCGCGCGGAAAAAAGTACTCGTCGATATGGTGCACGATGTTTGTGTTTTCGGCGAAGGAGGTGAGCGACACGATACGCGAGATCAAGGATTACGACGCGCGGATTAAGATGTGCTTTTAGCGGCTAGTTTGTTTATTTTTTTTTATATTCTATTGTTCGTCGTCGGAATGTTCGTCGTCGTCGTCGACGTCGTCGTCGTCGTCTTCGGCGTCTTCGGCGTCCGAGCCGCCGCCGAGTTCGGCGGCGTACGCGTCTAACCGCGCACGTTGCGCCGCCTCGCTCTCGTCACGTTGGCTCACAAACTTACTCTTTCCGTCCCACATCGAGGCTTCTATTTGTCTACCGTCAAACCAGCGACCGTTCCACGCCTTGACGCACGCTTCGACGGCTTCGAGAGATTTGAAGCGAATCGTCATCGTTCCATCTTGCGACGTCGTGTACGTCTTCACGCTCATCACCGGCCCGCACGTACGCTGCGCTTCCTCCATAACGTCTTCTTCGAGCTCTTTACGCAAATTTGCGTCGGCGTACATCTCTTCTAAAGTAAACATCCGCCGCAAGACGACGATGAGCTTCTTCGCGTCGACGTCGTCGTCGAAACCCGCCCATCCCAACGCCTCCGCCTCTTGCCTTTTCAGAAGAGCGGCCGCGCGTTTGCGATCGGCCTTCGTCATTCGCGCGCCGCCACCGCTCGCTTTCGCCGCGACTTTCGCCCCCCCACCTTCGTCGTCCCCCCGCGCCTTGGCCTCAAACTTGGCCGCCGTCACCGTCATCCTCGTCGTCGCGTCCCCAAGCCTCAACTCCGTCTGATCCAACAGCGCGATCGCTAAATCCACGCTCGGCGCCTTCAAAAACACCACCAACCCATCTCCCTTCACCTTCCCGTCCGCATCCCTGTACACCTTCACCCTCGCTCGTCCCGTCTTCGCGTCCAGCTTCACCACGCCGCACTTTTTAAACGCCTCCCCCAACTCCTCCTCCGTCGCGTCCGACGGCAGCCCCGTCACGTACGCCCCCGTCGACTTCACATTTTTATTCCCATCGAATCCCTCGCCCTGTCGCTTCGCCTTCGCGCGCTTCGCGCGCTCCGCCGCGCGTTCCAGCGCCGCCGCGCGCTTTCTCGCGCGTCTCGCGTCCTCCCCCTCCCCCGCGTCCTCCTCCGTCGCTCGTCGCAGCGCGTTGATCGCGTCGAACGTCTTCACCGCGCGCGCGATTTCCTCCGCGTCGCTCGCGCCGTCGTACGTCATCGCGTCGGCGTCGCGCGTCGTCGCGTCGTCGTCGCGCGCGACGAATCGCTCGCGCGCGTCGTCCCAGTCGTAGCGCGTCCCGTCGTCGTCCGTGAACGACGCGCGGTCGCCCGGGGCGTCGCGGTCGCCTTCGGGCTCGTCCATCGAGGCTTCGTTCGACGCGAGCGCGGCGTCGGCGTCGCGCGGCGTCGGCGTCGCGCGACGCAGTGCGGCGTGCGCGCGACGAATCACGGTATATGGGTATATATATACTCAATATACGAGGGTTTAGAATTTATGGGTATTTATGGTCGCGCCGCCGGCGTCGCCGCGTCTCGATTCGCGGCTCTCGTCGACGCGCCGGTTCGCGCGTCGGTCGACGCGCCGCGAGAGCGCCGCGCGGTCGACGCTCGAACCGCGACGCGCGCTCGCGGTTCGAGCGGACGCGAACGACGCGCGCGGAACGACGAATCATGGGTCGACGACGCGATGGCGGCGGCGCGGCGTCGACGCGATGGATGCGCGACGACGTCGACGACGCGAACGACGCGTGCGACGCGCGATTCGGCGCGATGGACGCGAACTACGTCGGCCTAAGAACGAGCGCGACGTCGAGCGAGAGCGAGGACGGGCGCGGGGAGGAGGAGGACGGCGCGATGGGCGTCGACGACGACTCGACGGACGACGAAGACGAGCGCGAGCGCGAGAGCGATGACGACGACGACGAGGAGACGGACGAGGACGCGAGGGATGGAATGGATGATGATGAGGAGGAGGATGGGTACTCGGACAGCGAGGAAGCGGCGCTGGCGAAGGCGATGAAGGCGCAGCGGAGACGGCTGGAGGGACGGGTGCGGAGAGACGCGGTGGCGGACGAGGACGAGGACGAGGACGAGGACGAGGACGAGGACGAGGACGGAGGGTTCGGAATCAAAGGGAAGCGGAAGGTTGATTTCTACGGGGACGACGACGTCGATCACGAGGGATTGAGCGATGAGGAGGATCGCATGGAGGAGGAGAAGGAGGCGCGACGAATGCGCAAGCTCATGGCGGAGGAGATGCGAGCGGAGGACTTCGGGGTCGAGAGCGAGGAGGAGGCGGAGGACACGCTCGGGGCGAAGGTTGCGAACTTACGTCGGGGCGATGGTAAGAAGTCGTCGACCAAGAAAGCGTCGGCGGTGGAGATTGAGACGCTGACGGCGGAGGAACGCGAGGAGCGGCTCGCGGCGGAGGACGACGCGGCGGCGGCGAGCGACGCCCCAGAACTCGTCGCCCTCACGAAGGAGCTGACGTCGACTTTGAGCGCGATCGAAGAGAGCGTCGAACCCTTGGTGAACGCCGCGCGCAACGGCGCGTTCGCGACGGCGGAGGGTATTTCGTACTTGGACACCAAGTATCTTTTGATGCTGAGTTATTGCTCGTCCATCGTGTTCTACCTCTTGCTCAAATCCGAAGGTCGCAGCGTGAAGGACCATCCAGTGATTGAGAGATTGGTCGAGATTCGACTGTACCTCGAAAAACTGCGACCGATCGATAAGAAGCTTCAGTACCAGGTGCGAAGACTGACCGCGCTCTCGACGACGAACAAGACGCGCCTTTTCGCCGCGATGGTGGCTGCGACGACGACGTTCGGCGGTGATGTAAACGCTCACAGCATTGGCCTGACTACTCACTGAAGGTTTTAAGAACATCTAAGGGACTGAGCCGCGCGTCGTCGTTCAGCCACCTTTACCATCATCGCGAAGATTTTACGCGCGCTTCGTCGCGCCGCAAACTGACAGAGGTACACTTTTTCTTCGCGACGCAGATTGATAAATTGTTGAAACTCGCGAGCGCGTCCGAGCGTTCGACCGTTGCGAACGACGATGAAGATCCACTCAGATTCGCCCCGAATCCCAACGCTCTGGTTTCCAAGACGGGCGAAGACGAAGAGGGCGGCGACGGCGTGTATCGACCGCCGAAGATGTTACCCACTTCGATGGATTACGAAGTCGGAGGTAAAGACGCCAAAGAATTGCGAAGAAGCAAGGAGCAGCGTCGTCGCGCCGGTCGATCACAGCTCATCAAGGTACGTGCGCGGATACGCTCGCGTCGAGCGCATCTTCGATTGTCTTTTCGTCGCGGCGCGAAACGCCTGTTTGCCCCCCGGGTCTCCTTCCATGAGATAGTCCGGGGCTTCCTTATCTACTGGCGGAAATCACACGTACCAAATCTTGGGCAGGGTGCCGCTCGCTTCGCCGTCGGTGAACATCCAATCAAGAGTTGGACATTTATCAGCGCTCGCGTCGACCGCGAATATCGACTGACTCGTCTTTCGCACTCGTTTTCGCTCACCCGCAGGAACTCGCTCGCGAAGTCGGCGAAGCTCCCGAGGAGGTTGGTTTGGGAGACGAAGATTTGGTCCAAAGCGCGTTCGCGAAGCGCGAGATGGCAAGAATGGAAGCTCGCGCGCGAGTGGAGGAAGATTTGTTCACGCGCGTGCCGCTTTCCAAACAAGAGCGACGAAGACAAAAAGCCTCGACGAGAAACGTCAACTCGCTCGCCGCCGTCGGCGACTTCGGCGACGACGTCGCCGATCTCGTCGAGCGCACCGAAGAGCTCGACAAAGTTTCGCGTAAACGTCGTTTGGTGGATACCGTCACGGAAGGGTACAAAAAGCCCAGTCAAGATATCACTTCTGGAGAACAAGATGTGCCGTTGCGCGATACGCTCGGGGTGAGTATTTTTGCGTTTTCTCTCGCGCGTTTCATCGCATCATATCGAAGCTTCGGGTGTTTTCCTCTCCATGATCGGCCGGGGTCAAAATTGATGCCACATTCAACACCGCACGCTTCACAAAGCTCGTCAACACACGCTATTGTCGTCGAGCGCGCGAAGCGTTTGGAATATTCTTTGCCTCGTCGAGTAGAGTCGCCGACACTGACCATGAACCCCCCTTTTTTATCACTCGTAGGAACGCCGGTCTAAGTACGAACGCGGTGTTGCTCGCTCTTTACAGCGCAAGCAACAAATGCAAATGGACGCAGACGATGAGCCTCGTGGCGCACACGTTGACGATGATGAGCAATACATCGCCGCCGCCGACTTGCGTGACAGCAAGCGTCGCGCGAAGGCTGAAAAGTACACGCGCGAACCAGGCTTGGTTATCGCCCCGGAGGAGGATATCGACGGCAAGCGCGAAATTGGACAAACCATTATGTCGAACAGAGGTCTCACTCCGCACAGAAACAAGGAGGCGAAAAACCCGCGTGTTCGGCTTCGCGGCAAATTCGGCCGCGCCGTCACTCGAAGAAAAGGCTCCGTTCGCGATGTCAAAGAAAAGACAGATGGCTACGGTGGTGAGCTCACGGGTGTTAAAACGAGCGTCGTCAAATCTAGGAAATTCACGTAGCGATTTTTGTTTGTTGATATACTTGTGCCTACAACTTGCGCCTGCGCCGCGGTCGTTGGAATATTTCTTGCGCGCGTTCGTCGGTTTGGATGGCGCATGCGAGGAAAGACGACTCGATGACACGTCAATGATTGATTAAAACGTTCCAAAGTCCTAAGCGACAATTTTGGAAGACTTGACAGTGAGTGAATCGACGACTTTGCCGACGTTTTGAACGACGTCGAGGGCGGCTTTGTACATCGTCTCGGCGCTCGGGTCGTCGTAGACGATGAGGCAACCCGTACCTTGGTCGAGAATGCCTTCGAATTTTCGGTCTAAGATCATTTGCGAAAGTTTCATCTCGACTTCAGCGATGGGAAGCTCGATCAAGTCGGCGACGTGGGCGATTTCGACTCGCGAGAAGGGCTCAATGAGACGCTTCAAGTTTTCCTCCATCAAGGAGTCTTGCAAGCTGCCCAGGTGCGCAGCTATGATGGGGTCGTCACCAAGTTGGGCACTGTATCCGCGCAAAACGTTCTGTAAATCCTTCAACGAGCGCGCCTTGTACGCCTCGCTCACCGCCTTCATCGCGTCCAAGGCTTCGCCTTGGTGCTGCAAACCGCCCTTGCTAGAGATGAGCGTGCTCACGTCCTCCGCCTGGCCGCACATAATCTTGCACATCAGCATGTACTTGAGCGCCGTCACCGCGGAAGATTTCTCGTCTAACGAATTTAACTGCTCGAACGCTTCGAAAAAATAAGAGTACGCCGTCTTGTAATCCTTCTCGTCGGCGTGTAAAATGCCGCTCTGCGCGTCGATTTGACACTGCACGCTCGGCGGCACGTAAATCGCGTTCGCATTCGTCCTCGCCGCCGTCAGCGCCGCCTTACTCTTCGGCAAGTTACGCAACGCGTAGTGTATCCTCGATTCGAGCAAGTGAATGTCTACGAGCAACAACTTGTCGTCCAACTTTTTCACCTCGCGCGCGAGCGCGCCGACGACGCGCAACGCCTCCGGATAATCCCGCATCGTCAGATGCAACGTCGCCAATCGCAATTCAACGCGATGTCTCAAAAACGTCCGTCGTTCCGCTCGCGCCCACTCGACGTGCTCTCTGCACAGCTCCACCTGCATCGCGTCGTGTCCTCGAATCCTTCCCATGATTTCAATCAATCCCCGCACGATTTTCGCCGTCTTCGCCTTTGGCGCCTTCGCCAGCATCGGTCTCAGCTCGCTAAACAGCGTCTTGAACGCGTTCGCGTCGTCTCGCGACGCGTACGCGTTTCCAAGTCGTTCGATAGCGAGTTCTTTGTTTTTGATCGCGGTCGCGGTTGAACTCTCCGTCGTCGTCGTCGCGTCGCCCTCCGCGTCGCTCGCGAAGACGACGGCGCGAAGCGACGCGATCTCGTCGTCCGTGGCGACGTCGCTCTCGGTTTCCATCGCGCGCGGCATCGTCGTCGAGAGGCGAGCGGCGCGATGGCGAGATCTGAGGTTCGGGTCGTTCGCGAGGCGCGCTTCGGGCGCGGTCAACGCCGGGGCGCGATGTCGATGTTACAACGAATGAATGGATGCCCGCTAACGGCGATCGGTCTTGCCGTTGCCGCGCTTGCCGCTGTTTAACCACTTGGGCAGCTTGGTGTTGATGGTGCGATCGCCCTCGCCGGATTTGGCCAACTTGTTGCGCTTGCGCTGCGCCTTGTCCGCCATCTTCGTCGCGCGGAGGGTGGCGTCGACGCTCTTGAGGCCGCCGCCGACTTCGTCCTTGACGCGCTTGGCGACGGATTTTGAGCGAGACTTGGATGTGCGCATCTTCTTGCCGTCTTCGTTGGCGTCGTCGGCGCCCATGGAGGCGTCGGCGCCCATGGAACGCCCGCGCTTGACGACGCGAGAGCGCGACCGCGCGCGCTCGACGGCGGCGGTGGCGTCCAAGCCCATGGACTCCAAGCTTGACTTCATGTTCTTCGTGTTGAGCTTGCGTTCGTGGTCCACCTTGCGTGGGACGACTGGATTGTTGTTTCCGGCAGCTTTCTTTCGTCTGTGCTCGGCGACGAGCTTGTTGCGGCGCGTGCGAACCTCGCCGAGGAGCGCGCGCTCGTCTTCGTCTAAATCCGCCTCCTGCGGCTCGCGGTCCATGCGCTCGGCTTCCCACTTCGCCTCGAGCTCGTCTTCCTCGCGTTCGAGCTCGGCGAGCTTGGCCTCGATCTCGGGATCGATAAAGTCCGCCACATTCTTGCCGTTGTAAATCTCGGGAACGATGTCGTACTTCCAATCGTCGTTCTCCAGCATGTAGCGCTTGCGCAAATCCGCCGAGTACACACCGGCGCCGCCGTTTTGTTCTTGCAACTCCTTCTCCGTGACAATCTTTTCACCCGCGGCTTTTCGCGCGCGGCTCGCCTCGAGCGTCGATGGTATAAACGCCGGACGCTGTTTCGAATCTCTCGGCACCGGAGTGGCGACGTGCAAGCGGTTCATCACCTCTCCCGCGCGACGACTGGCGAGCTTTTGCTCAACCCGGTGCGCGAGCAACAAATCGCAACATCTATTCTTCACCTCCATGACCCCGTTTTCACTGAGTGTGGACATGATCGGCAGAGCATCGTCATCGCCGAGCTGCATCGCCGCCGGGCCACGCATGGCGTCGCGCATGCCGTCAATCAGCGCCCGATCCTCGGCGCTCAAGTCCTCGAGCTTGCGCACGTCGATTTTGTTAATCGCCACCACCAGCGGCTTGTTGGCGAACAACGGTTTGATGGAGTGAAACAAAGCCGCCTGTTGCGCGATCGAGAATCCGCACTGCTCACTAATATCTACTATGTACAGCACGACCGCTCGAAGATGCGCCAAGGCGGTGATGGACTGCATTTCAATCGTGTTTCGTTCGTCCAACGGTCGATCCAAAATTCCCGGCGTGTCCAAAACTTGCCACCGCAAGTACTTGTAATCCGTGTGACCGACGTAAATCGACTTCGTCGTGAACGCGTACGGCTGCACCTCAACATCCGCTCGCGTCACCTTGTTCATAAAGCTCGATTTACCCACATTCGGATACCCGCACACCAAAATAGACCGCGTGTTCGGATCGATGCTCGGCAGACGCGACATGTGTTGTCGCACCTGCTCCAAATACGCCAAGCTCGCCGCGTGTTTTTTCATGATGGTGCACATCCGCCCCAGCGCCGCTCTTTTCAACTGCTTACACCTGTACAACGAATCCCCATACTTGAGCAATTTCACGTAATCCTTCGCGATTTTATCAATCATCGCTCGCGCCGTGTTCAGCTGCCCTAGCGCCAGCTTGTAGTGGTCCTTATCGTACAGCACGTTCAGCAGATCGCTGTAGAACGGGTGCACGTCATCGACTCTCGGGAAGTCTTCGAGGATTCTCGACAGCTTTTCGTTCCACGATTGCTGCGTGTACTTCACCTTGCGCATGTAAAACTGGCGAATGCGCGCGATGGCGTAGCCCGCGTGGACGACCGTCGGCGTCTGTCGCTGCGTGCGGCTCAGGACGACGTCGATGAAATCGCTCGCCGCGGGCACGCTCGCGATCTTCTTAAAGTTGTACTGCATCGCGCGTCGTCGCGCGGCGACGGGCGGCGATCGAGCGCCGACGCGCGGCGACGAGTGCGGCGGCGCGGCCGCGGCGGCGGCGGCGCGTGCGACCGGTGGTTCGTTCATGGTTTTTTTAGCTATATTATACGAATTTTCTAACGTGTAATTTAAGGCGAATTTATAGGCGAATGATGTTTCGGCCGCTTGGTCTCCGCGCGCCGACGCGCGGCGACGGGCGGCGACGCGACGGTCACTTGATCCTCGGTAGTTCCCAGTCCTTGCGCTCGAGAAACGTTTTACGCGCGGTTTTCATCGAATCCGTGGGTAACGGCTCGAAATAAATCGGAAGCACGGCGTGCGGCATCGCGTGGTACGGCGGCGAGACGGCGTCGGCGCCGACGCGCGGCGGCGCGCGGCGAGGTCCGTCGTACGCATCGAAGTGATGCGAACCCACGCGTGGGTTCCATTCGCTCGCTTCGAGCATCGCGTCGAGGGTGACGTCGTCTAAGCCCGGCGCGACGACAAAGTTGTGATCTATTCTGCGCAGTCGCGCGAACTCCTTCATCGCCTTGCCGCCGCTAAATCCAATGTCTCGCTCTCGTCTATGATCGCGAAACTTGTCGTTACTGCATATCCACGCGTCAGCCTCCTTCGCGCGTCGCAGAATCGTCAAATCATCCGCCTTGCGCGACCCTCGCCCGTCGTCGCCCGCTCGCGAGACGAGCGTGATTCGTCCCTTTTCCACCTCGTCCATCAGTCGTCGGTTGCACCACACGCCTTTACCTAAATACTCCACCACGTCTGCGTTCACCGTCCCTAATCCGCCACCATCGCACACCGAGTTCACGTATCCGACGACGTACTCTCGCGGAATGAACGCGTGCGTCTTCAATCCTCGCCTGAGCCAAGGCTCGTAATCCAACGCCATGACCACGGCTGCGGACATCGGCACGCGCGTCTTCGCTTGAAACCGACTCTTCAATTTCTGCGCCAATCCCCACGCGACGTTCGCGCCGTCGACGATGACGAACTCATCACTAGTACCTCGCGTCGGGGCGCTCGCCTTGCCCGTTCTCTCGCCGGTTTCATCGTCATCGCTCGTCGACTCGTCGTCGTAACCGTCGCCGCTCGACGCCTCGAGCACGTCCTCCCACTCGAACACCCTCGCCAGCGACACCGCCCACGGCCGACGCTCCCGAGCCTCGCCCGGTGAGTCAAACGCCCGCGTCCACGTCTCGCGCCCGCGTCTCGAGCGCTGGGGTGCGCTCGAGACGCCGCGCGACGCGGCGAACGTCGGCGAGGCGGCGGAAAAGTGCGACGTCGTCGCGCGCGAATGCATCGCCGCGCGACGTCGATTGGCGCCGAGAACGCGGTGGAGCGTCGCGACCGCGTTCGTTAACGCGCACCCGTCGCGCGGCGACGCGACGGGCGTTCGATCTACCTATCTGTCTATCGGTTACAACCAGCTCGGTTTGAGGTGCGACGCGGCGGCGCGACGCGGCGACGGCGACGGTGGTGGTGACTCGGCGCGCTCGGCGCTCGAGGCGTCCCGCGCGATGGATTTCGTGGTCGACAGTTTCGTCGTTTTTTTCGGCGAAGGCTTGGTGTCGCGAAGGATGTGGACTTTTCCGGGCTTTCGCTGCGCGGGCTTTCGCTGCGCGTTGCGTGTCCACGCGGACTCGGCGGAGGACGCGGCCTTGCGCTCGGCGGCGTCAATGCGAGCGAGACCGGCGCGCTCGCGCTCGTCCTCGACGTCTTTCGTGGCGCGGAGGACTGCGGTGAAAGCGTCGTGGACTGCGCTGGGGTGCAGGGCGTCCACGACCGGCGTCGCGAGCGAATCGGCAGTCTCAGTCGTCGCGGAGAAACCTCTACGTCGCTGCTTCGCGCGCGCTAAGCGCTTTTGCGAGAGCAACGACAGGTACTGCAGCCCTGCACTGATCGCCGTCGCCGTGGCGGTGCGGTAAGCGTCGGCCAGGTTCTCTTCTGGAAATGCGTTCGGCAGACGTCTGGCGAGCCACAAGTACAAGTCGAGGCACTTGTGCGCGCTTTCAAGCTTTTGTAACTCATGCGGCGCCGTGGGCGTGCGCGCGGGAGGCAGCGAAATCAGACGCACGCCTGCGCGTCCGTGCGTGCAAAACACGCGCGCAAACTTCATCATCGCGTTCACGACCATGGAATCGCGAATGTCGACTGGCGCGATGGAAAACAAGAAATGATCAGCCAGCGTGAGCGGAAGCTTTTCCAACAATTTCGCCACGGCGATGGATTCTTCCATATCTCGCATGCGAAAGTGCGGCGCCAACTTGGCCGAGTCGCTCAGCGCTTGCAAGGCGCCGACGAGACCCGCCTCCGGGCGAAGCTCGCAGTACTCTTCTACTTGCTCGAGCGACGGCGCGAGACCGGCTTGAGTCAACGGCTCCAGCTCGCCTTCAAGGGCCGCCGCGAGCAAGTCGTAGTCAGCCTTTTTCGTCGTCGTCACGATCCCCATGTCCGCGTAGTTGAGACCGTATCGTCCCGCACGACCGGCGATTTGTCTCGTCTCGGGCCCCGCCAGTTTGCGCATCTCGCTTCCGTCGAATTTGGACATTGTCGTAAAAATCACGCGCTTGATGTTCAAATTCAAGCCCATCCCGATCGCATCGGACGCGATGAGAACGTCGTAGCCGCTATCGGGCTTGTTAAACAGCTCAGCTTGCCTCGAGCGCGTCTCCGGCGGCAAACCTCCATAAATGACGCACGCTCGGTGCGGCGATTTCTGTTCCAACTCGCGCTTCAAATCGTACACCGCGCTTCGGCTGAAAGCTACGAACGCGTCACCCTTGCGCACGTCCTTCACACTCTTGACGATATCGCGCGAGACTTCTAACGGCGACAATCTGTCGTACTCTTTGACCACTAATAAATCCCCCGTCGACTTGACGATGCGTCGCACCAACGGCACCACGCGAGGATCGCCGCACAGGTGCAGCTCCAACGCGGGCAACCCCAGCAACGCGCGCGTGTACGCGTACCCTCGAAGTGGGTCACTCAGCAGTTGTATCTCATCAATCACCGCGCAGTCCATGACCTTGGACAGATCCGACATCTCCACCGTGCAACTATCGTGCGAGGCGTTCGGCGCCACGCGCCGCTCCTGCCCCGTGACGAGCGTGCACGGCACCCCCTCTCTATTCATATTCTCTGAAATCTCCCACGCCAGCAACCTCAACGGCGCGCAATACACCCCACTCCCCGCCCGCTTCAACCGCTGCATCGCGGCGTACGTCTTCCCACTGTTCGTCGGCCCCACGTGCAGCGTAATCTCTCGCCGCATCGACCTCGCGAGCGGATACGCCGCCGCCGGATCGCGCATGTCCAACAACCGCTGAATCTCCGGCGTCATCGACGCTCGCGCTCTCCGCGCGCCACCCCGCGCGTCCTTCGCGCCCGCATCGCCCGCGGACCTCGCGCGCGCCGCCGCGCTCGACGTCGCGAACGTCGCCCCGCGCGCGTTCGCGCCGTCGCCGCGCGCCGCGTTCCACCGTCCCGCCGCCGCCGCGCGCGCGCGTCCCGCCGACGCCGCGCTCGACGTCGAGCACGCCGCGGACGCCATCGTTCGCGCGTCGCGCGCGCGCGTCGCGTCGTCCGACCGCGTCGTCGCCGTCGTCGTCGCCGTCGCGCCTCCGCGCGCCATCGTCGCCGCGACGCCGTCGCGCGCGCGCGCCATCGCGCGCGCCATCGCGCGGCGCGCGAGCGCCATGTCGATCGTCCGACGCGCGCGCGCGCGCGCGTCGCGCGCGGACGACGACGCGCGGCGCGACGCGACGCGCAGTGCCGTCAGAGCGCGGCGCGTCGATGGCGTCGACGCGCGTCGTCCGCGCGCGCGCGACGCGCGACGCGCGCGCGGCGGCGACGACGGCGACGAAGGCGGCGCGCGCGCTCGACGCCGCGCCGTCGCGCGCGGCGGCGCCGCGGCGCGCGCGCGCGGTGTCGTTCGACGCCGAGCTCGAACGAACCATCGGCGTCGCCGACGCGCGCGTCGATCGCGGCGACGTCTGGGAGCTCCCGCGCACGTGCGATGGATGCGGGCTGTACATACTGCCGGGACGCGCGCGCTGGTCGTGCGTCGTGTGCGAGCTGAGGGGAGACGCGTTCGATTTGTGCGCGGGGTGTCGCGACGGCGCGAGGGCGCGCGCGGCGGACGACGACGAAGACGGGAAGACGCCCGAAACGGGGGCGCGGAAACGGAAACGAACGGGGAAGGGGGAGAAAGAGACGTTCGCGGGGCACGGGCACGGGCTGGCGGCTTTTGAATTGGTGGAGGGCGATGATGACGAGGGATAGACGACGACGCGACGACGTAGCGATCGAAACGCGTAGCGGATCGATTTTGTATTTTTACAATTATATTTCACTGGGGCAACGAGATCGACCGACGGAGATTGTCGGTGAGAGAGTTCATCGAATCGAGGTTCCAGCTCGTGCGGCGGAGATTCTTGAGCGACCAACGCCCCGAACCGTCGGCGGCCAAGTGCAAGTGCATGGCGTGGAAGCGCTTGAGCTCCAAGCGATGGGCGATGCTGAACGCGGTGATGCCGAGAGTTTCTATGTGCGCGTAGAGCAAACCTTCTTCGTCTGGATTGATCGCGCTCGTGGCCTCGTCCAGGATGGCAAACGTGGGTCGATGGAAGTACAGCCTGGCCAAACCGATGCGTTGCTTTTCGCCGCCGCTCAAGACGTCGGTCCAATCGTGCTCGACTCTGCTCAAACCGCCTTCGCTCGCATCCACGACTTTCATCAAGTTTGCGAGCTGCAAACACTCCAGCACTTCGTCGTCGCGTTCGTCATCGCCGGCCAGCGGGTACATCACTTGGTCTCGAAGCGTACCGGAGACCAAGTACGGGCGCTGGGGGACGTAAAAGATGGCGGCGTCGCCGTCCGCCGTCGTGGCCAAACCGTGGGACGGGCGAACGACGCTGCCGGAAGCCGCGCGCCACAGGCCGGCGAGAACGCGGAAGATTGATGTCTTCCCCGCGCCGTTCGCGCCGGTGATGAAGACGCTCTCGCCCGGATTGATGTCCAAGTTCAAATTCTTCACCAGCAATCGGCCGTCGGGCGCGTAGACGGTGACGTCTTTGAAGTGGATTCCATCGTCCTCGCCCGCGACTTGAACCGTGCTCGCTTCGGCGGACACGGAGTCTACGCTCTCGATGAGCTCGGTGACTCGCGCGGTGAACCCAGCCAAACGCTGGAGCTTTTTGTACACCAACATTAAATCTCCGATGGAGCCGCTCGCGCTCTTGATGAGGGTGTCGTTCTCCTTGTACCTCGCCGCGATCTCGCTCGCGCTCAAGTCAGAGTACATGAACGGAACCGCGAGCACGGGCCAGCCGATCATTGACGCAAAATATTTCAGCGCGTATTGATCGACGATGCCCTGCTTGAATTGAGAGTAGTAGTAAAAGTGACTCCACGTCGTCACCTCGTGCAACGATTTGTTTAAGATTTCCTTCTCGCGCGCGCTCCCGTCGAGAAAGGCGACTTCTTCGGCGTGTTGAATCAACCTCGAGTGCGCGCGGCGGAACTCGCCTTCGCGCTTTTGCGTCTGCGCGATGTACTCGCCGAACGGCGGCGAAAAAGCTCGCACCGCGGCGCCAGAGAGGCCAAAGTACGCGTACAACACGAAGAGCCCCGAGTATCCCATCGTCTGCGCCATTCGAGACGTGCTTAAAATCACATCCAAAAGCGGTTTGAACGTTCGCGCGTATAAATCGCTCGTCGTGGCGCAGAACTGGTGCAAATCCTCCGCCACGCGTTGATCGGCGTTGTCCAAGTCGCCGTGTCGAAGCACCGCCGCCTTGTAATACGCTCGATGCGACAAATACGCGTCGTGCACGTACAGAGTCAACCGCTCGCGAAAGCACGTCGTGATGCTATTGGTCAAATACTTGAGCGCCGAGTTCACCACCGACGCCGCGACGCCCGAGACGAAAAAGTCCGTCAGCACCGACGACGCCTCGCGCCAATCGCGCTCCATCACCGCGCGCATCCCGTCCCCTCCCTTCTCCGCGATCCGCAACGATATGAACGAGCGCGACACGAGCGCGCACGACTGCGTGAGCAACAAAAACGCCTCCTCGCTTCGCCACGATGGCACGACGATCCCGAGCAAAAACCTCAATCGCCTCGCGAACGTCGCGTCCACCGCCGCCGCGGATCTCCGTCTCGGCGTCGATTTCTTCTTCTTCTTCTCCCCCGACCCCCCCGTCGCCGTCACCGCCGTCGACGCGCTCGACGCCGTCCCACCCTCATCAGCCGTCGACGTCGACGTCGCGCCTTCGTCTCGTTTCATCGCGCTTCTTTCGCGTCCTCTCGGCGCCGCCGCCGCCGCCGCCGCGCGCATCGCTCGCGCGAACGCCCGCGTCTCATCCTTCCCCGTCTGATGCGCCGCGTACGCCGCCACGCCCCCCACGCACGCCGCGAACGACACACACAGCGATCTATCCCTCGCGTAGCTCCTCGCCACCTGCGCCCGCGTCGTCGCGTCGTCGCGTCGTCGTCAGTCTTCGTTCGACCGTTACGCGTAATCCATTCATTCGCCGCGCTTTCGCGCCTCCGCGCGCCTCGCTCGCGCTCGCGCACCGCGTCGACGACGTCCGCGAGCGCCGTCGTCGTCGTCCCGTCGCCTCGTCCGCGTCGTCCCATCGCGCGCGTCGCGCTGTCGCGCCACATCACCGCGCGTCGATCGTTCCGTCGCGATGCCTCCGACGCCGTGCGTCTGCATGGCGACGCGCGACGCGAAGTGTCGATTCGAACCGATCGACGCTTACCGTCGCCCGCTCGGCGCGCGCGACGTCCTGCTCGAGCTCACGCACTGCGGCGTGTGCCACAGCGACGTGCACGCCGCCGCCGGGCACCTGCGGCGCGCGCTCGGCGCGACCGAGTATCCAGCGGTGCCGGGCCACGAGCTCGCGGGCGAGGTCGTCGCGATCGGCGACGGCGTCACGCGGTTCGCGATCGGCGATCGAATCGGCGTGGGGTGCGTCGTGGACGCGTGCCTGGCGTGCGAGGCGTGCGGCGCGGGCGACGAGCATCGGTGCGCGCGGGGGATGGTCGGGACGTACGGCGACGAGGATAAGCACGGACGCGCGGGGACGTGGCCGGTGGGAGGGCGCACGATGGGAGGGTACGCGACGCATCACGTCGTGGACGAACGGTTCGGGATTCGAGTGCCGAAGGCGTATCCGATGGAAGCCGCGGGACCGGTGATGTGCGCGGGGGTGACGGTGTACGATCCGATGAAGCGATACGGCGTCGGCGCGGGAAGCGCGGTCGGCGTGGTCGGATTGGGGGGGTTAGGGGTCATGGCGGTGAAGATCGCGCGCGCGATGGGCGCGTCGGAGGTGGTGGTCTTCAGTCGAAGCGAGACGAAGAGGAGTTTGGCGCGTCGATGCGGGGCGACGGCGTTCGCGAGCTCGGAGGACGCGGACGCGATGCGTCGCGCGCGAGGGACGCTGGATTTAATTTTGAACACCGTGCCCGTGGCGCACGATTACCTGCGATTTCAAAAGTTGCTCAAAAAACGCGAACGCGGACGCCCGCGCGCGAAACAAGTCGTGCTCGGTTTACACGCGGGACTCGTCTCGGGCATGGTGGCGCGCGGCGTGCGAGGCGAAAACAGCCCGATCGTCGCCTCGGCGATCGGCGGTATTCGCGCGACGCAGGAGGTGATGGATCTGTGCGCCGCGCACGGCATCGTCCCCGAGTTGGAAATTTTACCCGTGTCGCGTCTGACGGAGATTTACGAGGCGCTCGACTCTGGAAACGACTCCGGCGTGCGTTACGTCTTAGACATCGCCGCCTTCGCCGCCGACGTCCGCGCCGGGCGCGTCGACGCCCTTCGCACGTCCGGTCCTCCCAGACTCGTTCTCGACGACCGCAACGCGTTCGGGCCGCGCGGCGTCGTCCGCGATCTCGCGCGCGTCTTCTGCGGCTGCCACGTCTGTTAGCCCGCAGTGGTGTAACCCTGAAAATCATTCATTTTCAATTCGCGTTCGATCGCATCGATCGCGCGCGCCGCGCGCCGTCGCGCGCGTCTTCCGCGCCCGCCGCGTCTGTTAGCCCGTAATACTAACCCTTGAGCTCACGCTGATGATTTTCGATTCGCGCGCAATCGCATCGATCGCGCGCGCCGCACACCGTCGCGCGCGGTCGGCCCTCGCGCGTTCGCGCCGACGCCGACGATGACCTCGATCACGCCCATCCTCGCCGCGACGCAGTCGCCCGACGTCGCCGCGCGCGTCGCCGCCGAGGATGCGCTCAAACACGCCGAGGCGTCCGACGCCGGCGCGTACGCCAAGGCGCTCGTCGACGAGCTCGCGTGCGCGAGCGCGCCGCTCGCGACGCGACAGCTCGCGGGCGTGATCCTTAAGAACACGCTGGACGCGAAGGACGAGGCGAAGCGGCGCGAGCTGCGAGAGCGATGGATGACGCGAGACGCGGCGACGCGAGAGGAGATCAAACGCGCGGCGTGGGGATGTTTAGCGTGCGGCGAGGCGCCGGTGAGGAGCGTCGCGGCGCAGGTGGTGGCGAAGATCGCGGGCGCGGAGGTGCCGCGAAAGGCGTGGCCGGATTTGATACCGAGCCTGCAGCGAGGGGCGCAGGGAGGGGGCGACGCGGGCGCGAAGCAGGCGAGCCTGGAGGCGCTGGGGTACGTGTGCGAGGAGGTGGACGCGGACGATTTGGAACAAGCGGACGTGAACGGGGTGCTCACGGCGGTGGTGAGCGCGATGGGACGCGGGGAAACGGACGTCGGCGTGCGGTTGGCGGCGACGCAAGCGCTGAATAACGCGTTGTACTTTGCGCACGAGAATTTTGAAAAGGCGCAAGAGCGCGACTTCATCATGCAGTGCGTGTGCGAGGCGACGACGTGCGAGGACGCGCGCGTGCGCGTCGCGGCGTTTGAGGTGTTGGTTGGGATCGCGGAGAATTACTACGAGTACATGGCGGCGTACATCGAGGCGGTGTACGAGTTGACGGTGAAGGCGGCCAAGCAAGATCAAAGCGAAGTCGGCTTGCAAGCGATTGAATTTTGGAGCACGATTTGCGAGGAAGAGATCGGTCGTCAAGACGCGATCGAGTGCGGAGAAACGGACGTGAAGATGTTCAACTTTATCGCCACCGCGCTCGGCGCGCTGGTGCCGATGTTGCTCGAACAGCTCACGAAGCAGGAGGACGACCAAGACGAGGACGAAAACGCGTGGAACCTCGCCATGGCGGGGGGCATTTGCCTCGGTCTCGTCGCGCAGCTCGTGCGAGATCCGGTGGTGGAGCAAGTCATGGCTTACATTCAAGCGAACATTCGATCGAGCGAGTGGCGCCAGCGCGAGGCGGCGACGTTTGCGTTCGGGGCTATTTTGGAAGGCCCGAACCCGGCGAACTTGGGGGGCATCGCGAAGGAGGCGCTGCCGGTGCTCGTGATGGCGCTCAAGGACGATAGCACGCACGTCAAGGACACGACGGCTTGGACTATCGGGCGCGTGTTCGAGTTCGTGCACACGGACGAGCACCCGATGGTGGACGCGCAGACGTTTCCGCAAGTGTTACAGGCGATGATGGAGTCGCTGAAGGACGTGCCGCACGTGGCGGGCAAGGTGTGCTGGTCCGTGCAAAACCTCGTTTCGGCCATCTCGCAAAGCGATGCCGGTCGCCGTGCGCTGGTGCCGTACTTCCAGAGCATCATCCAGACGTTGTTAATCACGAGCGAGCGCCCCGACGCCGAGGTCGGGTTGAAGATGGAGTGTTACGAGTCAATGAATGAGATTTTGCGCTCGTCCACGGAGGAGAATCACCCCACCGTCGGACAGCTCATCCCGCACGTGCTTCAGAAGCTCAGTGCGACGTTGGTTGGACAAGAGCAGATGAGTTCGGATATGCGCGAGAAGCAAGCCGACGCGCAGGCGCTGTTGTGCGGTACCTTACAAGTCATCATCCAGGTGTTGGGCGCGGCTTCGCAGGAAACCAAGGAGCAGACGTTGTTCGCGCACGCGGACAGCTTGATGCACGCGTTCCTCAGCGTGTTTAGCTGCCGTTCATCGACGGTGCATGAAGAGGCCATGCTCGCCGTCGGTGCGTTAGCTTACGCTGTCGGCGAAAACTTCATCAAGTACATGGATGCCTTCATCCCGTACGTCAAGTTAGGATTAGAAAACCACGAAGAGCACCAAGTGTGCGCGGTGACGGTGGGCGTAGTCGGCGATATTTGCCGCGCGTTGGACGACAAGATCGAGCCGTACTGCGAACCCATCGTGTACTTGCTCCTTCGCGATCTGGGAAGCGAGAAGCTCCACCGAAGCGTCAAGCCGCCGATTCTTTCGTGCTTCGGCGACCTCGCCTTGGCGACGGGCGCGTCGTTTGAAAAGTTTCTCAGTTACGTCGTCGGCATGTTGCAAAGCGCGATGCAATTATCAGCCAACACCAACCCAGACGACGAGGAAATGGTTGACTACAACAACGAGCTTCGTAACGGTATTTTTGAAGCGTACGCGGGTATTCTTCAAGGCTTAAAACTGGAATCCATGGACGCGTCCAAGCTCAACGGTATTCGCGAGCACGTACCCTTCGTCGTCGATTTCATCGAGGCCGTCTCCAAGGACCCCAACTGCGACTCCACCGTCACGCGGTCCATGGTGGGCGTGTTGGGCGACATCGCCAATTGTTTCCGCGGTGTCGGTCCGGTGTTCGCGCAAAAGCCGTTTTGGAATCAATTTTTAAGCGAGTGCGCGAGCTCGCCCGACGACGCGCTTCGCCGCGACGCCGCCTGGGCGCGCGACAACATCCAGGAGAGAATGAACGAAGACAGATAACGTGAACGCGCGATGCACACGATATACACGATATACACGATACACGATATACACGATATACGATATAGTCGCCATTGCAACGCAAGAAACCGACGCGTTCAGACAGATTCGACAAACCTCACATTGCGCCTCGCCGTGACATCGCATCGAATGTCCGGTCGAGGCCGCGGTCGAGGCCGCGGTCGCGCCCCTCCCGGCGCCGCCGGTCGAGGCGCCTCGCGAACGTTCGTGCGCCCCGTGGGCGAGCTCGCGCGCATTCACATCACCGACGCCCTGGACGCGTTTCGACGCGACGCGAGCGAGACGGAACTCATCTTCCCGTCCGACGTCGATAATCACTTCCGCGCCGTCGTCCACGCCGAGTGCAAGAAGATCGGGCTGAAGAGCAAGTCGTACGGGAAGGGCGCGGAGCGCAGGGTGCACGTGACGAAGGCGGACGCGTACGTGCCGGAGGATGCGGAGGATTTGTTTGATTTAGGCGTCGGACGCCGGGCGACGGCGGCGATGGAACAATACTTTGAGCGAGCGCCGCAGAGCGAGGAAGAGATCCGAGCGAGCGTGAGCGGAACGATGGACGCGGCGTGGGAAACGGCGGTGGCGGACGCGGGAGGGAAGGGGAAGAAGCGAGGGTATGGGAACTCGGCGTTGGAGATGCGAGGTCGACGCGAGGGCGAAGAGGCGACGAACGCGCGAGCGGCGCGCTTGCGGGCGAAGATCGCGAGCGATGCGTCGTTGGCGGCGATACAGACGAAACGCGAACAGTTACCGGTGCGGGAGTTTAAGGATGCGATATTGAACGCGGTACGGGCGAATCAAGTCGTGCTCGTCGCCGGGTCGACGGGTTGCGGGAAGACGACGCAGGTGCCGCAGTACGTCTTGGACGATGCGTGGGCGAACGGGCGCGGGGCGTCGATCGTGTGCACGCAACCGCGAAGGATTAGCGCGATGACGGTTTCCGAGCGCATCGCGAACGAGCGCGGGGAGAGCATCGGGCAGAGCACGGTCGGTTACCAGATTCGATTGGAAAGCCGGGTCTCGGCGGATTGTTCGTTGTTGTTTTGCACGTCCGGCGTGCTGTTGCGACGACTCACGAGCGAGGCGTCGGATAAGCTGTGCGAGTCATTGACGCATATCATCATCGACGAGCTGCACGAGCGAGATTTGTTTGCGGATTTCCTAACCATCATTTTGAAGGGCGTGATTCCGAAGCATCCGCACCTAAAGCTCGTGCTGATGTCGGCGACGATGCGCGAAGATTTGTTTAGCGAATACTTTGGTGGGTGTCCGGTGATTTCAGTGCCAGGTTATACGCATCCGGTGAATGAGTATCACCTGGAAGATATCTTGCCCATGATCGGATGGGGCGGCGTGCATCACACGTCGAAGAAGGCGAGCGGAGGCGGCGGCGGCGAACCGAGAGTGCGCGCACCCACTTCGGGCGCGAGCGTGGACGTCATGCGCGAGGCAATCATGCGAGCATTTTTAGAGGACACCGACGAGTCGTTCGATTGGCTCATGCAGTGCGCGCGCGAGACAGATTCTGCGAGCGGGTTGTCGCACGTAAACGTCGCGCACTCCACGGGCGCCACCGCGCTCATGGCGGCGGCGGGTAAGGGAAGACAGATGGAAGTGTCGCAGCTTTTAGGTTTAGGAGCGTCGCCCGCGATGCGAAGCACCGACGGGAGCAACGCCGCGGATTGGGCGGATAAGTTTGGACACGTCGAGCTCGCGGACGCGTTGCGAAGCGTGGACGACGAAAACGAAGACGCGGGAAGTCACGAGCAGTCGGCGCTTCTATTGAGCGATTACCAGCTCTCCGTGGATCCAGACGAGGTGGACGTGGACTTAATCCACAATTTGATCGTTTGGATCATGAAAGAGCGCGCGATCGACGAAGGATCCGAGGGCGCGATTTTAGTCTTTTTGCCCGGCTGGGACGAAATCTCCAAACTTCGCGACTCGTTGACGGCGGATTACAACGTCTGTCACTCGGCGAGCGTCCTACCTTTGCACTCCATGGTCGCCCCGGCGGATCAACGAAAAGTCTTCCAACGTCCACCTAAAGGGTTGCGCAAAATCGTCCTCTCCACCAACATCGCGGAGACGGCGGTGACGATTGACGACGTCGTCTTCGTCATCGACAGCGGGCGGTTGAAGGAAAAGAGTTACGACGCGTACTCTGCGGTCTCTACGCTCCAGGCGGCTTGGATCTCGCAAGCGAGTGCGAAACAGCGACGCGGTCGCGCCGGTCGCGTGCGTCCCGGCGAGTGCTATCGCGTGTACTCCACCTCACGGTACGACTCGTTCGCGCAGTACCAGTTGCCCGAGATGCAGCGGTCGCCGCTCGAGGAGCTGTGCTTGCAGGTGCGCGTGTTGGCCGAAAGCGGCGCGGGCGTCGTGGACGATGGGCCGGGAAGCACGGCTGGGTTTCTCGCGCGCGCGGTCGAGCCCCCTGTGGCGCAAGCGACGGACAATGCGGTGCAATTGCTCAAGGACATCGGCGCTTTGACGGAGGAGGAGCGCCTCACGCGACTCGGCCGCCATCTCGGCGAGCTTCCGTTGCACCCGCGCGTGGGGAAGATGATCTTGTACGCCGCTCTGTTTGGCGTTCTCGATCCGATTCTCACCGTCGCGTGCGCTGCGGCGTATCGTCCGCCCTTCATCATCTCCGCCGACGGTCGAAAATCGGGCGACGCCAGTCGCGCGGCGTTTTCCAACGAAGCCGGCGGCGGGAGCGATCACTTGGCGGTGACCAAGGCGTACATGGCGTGGGAGCAAGTTCAGCGCGATGGGCGTCAAAATGAAAGGTACTTTTTGAACGCGAATTCTTTGTCGCCGTCGACGCTGCACATGATCAAGGGCATGCGACAGCAATTAATCACGGCGTTGATTCAGCGCGGCATCATTTCAGATTTGCGAAGCGCGAGCGCAAACTCGTCATCCGGCGCGCTTGTGCGCGCGGTGCTCGCCGTGGGCATGTACCCTTTGGTGGGACGATTTTTACCAAAGTGCAAAGCGCCGACGTTGGCAACGCTTCGCGGCGAGCGCGTGCGCGTGCACGCGTTTAGCGTCAACGGCAAACTCGACGTGAGCGCGCTCGGCGAGCTCAACGAATCGGGTGAAAAAATTGCCACCTTGGCGTGCTTCGACGAACTCATTCGAGGCCCTCACGCGGTGCAAGTGCGCGAGTGCACGTTGGTCGCCGCCGCGGCGATCGTGTTCGTGTGCTCCACGCTCACGGTGAAACCAGACGTGCCGCAAATCGATCCCGAAACCGGCGAGGCGCGCGCGAGAGACGGTCCGCCGTCGGCGTTGTTGGTCGTGGACAATTGGTTGAGATTTCGCGTGCCCTTGCGCGCGGTGGCGCAGATCACGGTATTGCGCTTACGTTTGCACAAAGCGTTCGCCATGCGCGTCGAGCGACCGAAAGACGCGCTACCGGCGGATATGCGAGGCGCCGTGGACGCCATCGCGCGCGTGCTGAGCGACGCCGACGCCGCGTTCATCGAGTCCTCGAGTTTCGCTCGCAGTTTCGCAGGCTTCGGCGGCGGGCGCGGCGGCGGCGGGCGCGGCGATGGAGGTCGCGGCGGTCGCGCGCGCGGCGGTCGCGCGCGCGGCGGCGCGAGAATCCCGGCGCCTCGACGATAGGCGCGACGCGTCTGTAATCATCTGTAATCACGCACACGCCCGTACAATCACACTCGCGCGCGGCGCCGACGACGTTCGCGATGGCGAGTAGCGCGAACGCCGGTCTCACCCTGGAATAAATTGTCGCCCCGTTCGCCCCGTTAGGCGACGAACGACGCGAATACGTGTGCGCGAAGTGCAAGGCGCCACGGATTCGCGCAACTCTACCCCTTCATGATCAGATAGAGTTCGGCGCAGGTAAGTATGCGCGCGAAGTCGCGCGCGCCCCCCCCAGACGCATTCGCGACGTCGCCGCGCGCGTTTGCGGGTTACGGGTCGCGCCGACGCCGACGCCGACGCGCCGCGCGCGCGTCGTCGACGCGCGCGCGCGTCGACGTCGACGGCGCGCGCGATCCATCGACGCGCGCTCGACGGTATCGCGCGCGCGCGTCGCGTCGCGCGCGCGTCGCGCGTCGACGCACCGCGCGCGACCGTTCGCGCGCGCGCGACGCATCGGTCGGCGCACGAGAGGCGCGCCGTCGCGCGCGCCGTGTTTCGCGCCCGTAACCTCGAAATCGCCCCGGCCCCGTCGCGCGCGCACCCGATCGCCGCGCGCGGCGTCGTCCCTCGAACGCTCCGGAGTATAAGAACGAGGTGCTTGTCTGTTGCCTTTTACCACATACAACCCTTTTTATATTCCATTCAAGGAGATTCAACCAATTTATTCTACCCGTGGTAAAAAATCACCACCTTCGTCGCGCGCGTCGGCGCCGCGCGCGAGTGTGTCGTTCGGTCGGTCGCCGCGTTTTCCCGCGACGACGACGCGCGCGACGACGACGACGACGACGCGAGACGACGACGACGACGACGCGCGACGCACGACGTCGTCGTCGTCTCGCGCCGACCGACGCGTCTTTCGTCGCGCGCGACCGCGCGCCGCGCGCGGCGACGCCCATCGCACGCCCTGACCCATAACCTCGAAATCGCCATCGCGTCCACGCGTCCCATCACCCGCGCGTCCCGCGCGTCCCGCGTCGCATCTTTGCGCATGGGGTTATATCCAAAGCTGTGAAGTCTTAACTGAGCTTGGAATATTGCTGGTTGAAAACTAAATTCCATACCCCGTGACGGTCGCGCACGCGTCGTCACGAATTTCTGCAGGCGCACCACACGCGCCCTTCATTCATCACGTCCCGCTCACGCTCACGGTCCCGCTCACGCTCACGCTCACGCCGCACGCCTCCGTCGCGTTCGTTCGCGCGCGCGCCGAATCCGGAATCTCGACTGCGCGCGCGTCTGTGAATGCGAATCCATTCGGGACGGGCGAAAAAGTGCACTTTTTCGACGACGACGCACATCGCGTCGCGCGCGTCGATGCGGCTCGCGCGCGCGCCGGCGCGGGCGCCGCACCAAAGCGGACGAACGCGCGGCGCGCGACGACGCGCGCGGTGCGCGGCGACGACGTCGGACGGGCGGAAAACGATCGCGGTGTTTCCGAGCGACGGCGATTCGCGCGCACCGCGCGCGTTCGCGCGACGACGCGCGCGGTGCGCGGCGACGACGTCGGACGGGCGGAAAACGATCGCGGTGTTTCCGAGCGACGGCGATTCGCGCGCGGGGACGGACGCGCTCGCGCACGCGACGACGATGGCGGCGTGCGTGAACGCGCGCGTCGGGGCGCGGTGCGAGGCGGTCGTCGTCGCGCGCGGCGACGACGGGGCGTGGGCGGATTGCGCGCTGGCGACGACGGGGGACGCGCGCGCGGGACGCGCGCGGGCGGCGGCGAGGGCGACTTCGCGCGATTTCGACGACGGCGACGGCGACGAGGGCGCGGCGGGGTTTGATTTTTACGTCACGACGCTGTCGACGACGCGGTCGCGGAAGCGGCCGTGCGTGGCGTTGGACGTGGAATCGACGACGCGGTACCCGCGTCTCGTGGCGGCGGCGATTCGCGCGCGCGCGGAAGCCGCGTTCGCGGACGCCGCGGGGTCGCGCGATTTCGACGTTCGAGGCGGGCGGTTGGTGAGTTGCGCGGCGAGTGATGAAGGCGCGGTGGCGTACGACGGCGTCGAGGAAGATGAAGACGACGCCGACGAAGACGAAGACGAAGACGAAGACGAGGCGGCGACTTCGACCTCGGCGCCGGCGACCTCCTTCGTGCGCGTCGAGCTTTCCGATTCGCCGGTCTCGGGAACCGCGAGGGCGTGGTCGAAGATGTTCGTGCACGCCGCGGCCGTGGGTCTGTCCATGGAGTCCGTGATCGAACACTTGGTGAAGAACGCGACGAGCCGCGAGGCGTCGACGAGGAAAATCGTCGCCGCGCCCGCGCCCGCGCCCGCTTCGACGAGTTCGGCGTCGATGCGCGTGTACGTTCTCTTCGGCGGCGCCGCGTCGGGCGGCGATCGCCTGAGTTCGTGCTACGCCGGGCGTAACTTATACTTGACGCTTCGAAACATCCCGACGATTGACGTCACGCCCGTGCTCTTGATGCCGCCCGCGGCGAACTCAAACGGGCTCGTCGACGCCCCGGCGTGGCGGCTACCGTACGCGTTCGCGGTGAATCCCGCGCAGTGGTCGTCCGCGGACGTTCCGCCGCGCATGCCTGACCTCGGGCGCTTCGCCACCGCTCGGCGCGTGCGCGCGGAATTAGAAAAGTATTTATGGATTTCGCCGCCGCGCGACGACGCGGCGCTCGCGTTCGACGCGACGCCGCGCGTCTCGCGTTTGGGCGCGTTGCTCTCGCTCGCCGCCTCCGAGGGCGCCATCGTGTTCAACGCCGGCGTCGTGGGTGAACCCGATGGGAGTTTACAACAACTGTGCGTGTCCTCGGGCGCGGCGTACACCGGATGCGGTCCGCTCGCTAGTCGCGTGTGCGCGGACAAGGCGGCGACGAGCAAGGCGTTGGGGAACATGCGAGACGTAGGGGTGGGGTGTTTGAATAAGCGATTCGTCCCGACGGCGACGTTAGTGAGTAAGGCGACGGAAGAGAGCGGGTGGGGCGGTCGCGCGCGCGCGGAATCGGCCAAGCGTCTTTGGTTGGACGTCGTCGGGTCGCTCGGCGGCGCGAGCGCGACGGCGCGCGGCGTAATCGTGAAACCGGTGACCAAGTCGTCCTTCGGTGGCGTGCGGCGATTGATGAACGACAACGACATGCTCGCGTACGCGGAGTCCATCGCGGCGGCGATGGCGAGCGGGCAATTTCCCGAGGGCACGAATCTCGCCGCGCGCGGGTACGTGTTCGAGCCATTCTTCGACGCCGCGGAGGTTTCCATTCGCGGCGACGGCGAAATCGTCCTCGACCCAGACGACGGATCGAAACGATGGATCGAGATCGAGATCGTCGTCTTCGGAGACAAACCCGGGAAATTACACGCGTTCACGCCGAGCGTGCGCGCGCGCGACGGTCGATCGGCGATCGACAAATCGAAATTAGTCTTGTCCGAACGCGTCGTCGGGCTCGTGCGCGAACGCGCTCGACGCGTGGGCGACGCGTTACAAGTCGAAGGGTACGCGAAAGTCAATGCGTTTGCAAATTTAGACAACGGTGAGATGATCGTGATCGATGTCGACACCGTACCGAACATGTCGTCGCCGAGCGCACCATTGTTCGAGCAAGCGCTCGCCGAGGATTCGCCCGTCGACGCCGAAACGTTTTGCGCGCGCGCGTTGAGTTTAGCGCTCGTGCGTAGATTTAGATGATACGAACAACCGATCGGAGTATGTTTCGTGTAGCACGACAAAGTTGTACAGTACAGTAGGACAGTAGCGAAGAAAAAAAAGCGATGTTGTAGTGAGGAAATCGTTGTACAGTACAGTAGGACAGTAGCGAAGAAAAAAAAGCGATGTTGTAGTGAGGAAATCGTACGTAGAGAACCTCGCCGAGAATCACGCGGCGGCGGCCGTAGCGCTCGCCGACGTCTCTCCTTTTTCGATCGGTGCGATCTCTCCCTCCTCGAGCTCGCCTTCGTCCACCGGTAGTGGTTTTCGCGGGGTCGGACTCGCGCTTCGACGCTTGATCATCAGCTTCGGCGGCGTCGGCGGGGATTCGAGCTCGATTTTGCTCTTAGGCGGCGACTCGCGCAAGTCTCGCTTCAAAGCCTCGATCGAGCCGGATCCCACGGACCCCGCGATCGCGACTTCGCTCTCGCGCATGCCGTCGATCGCGCCGTCAGCAAACTTCCGAATCAAAAACGTAATCTGCGAGTTGAAGTACGACGTGAAGGATTCGCTCTTCGTCTTGATCATCTGCTCCAGGCGCTCTAGCGTCGCGACCAAGCCAGCGATTTCAGTCGACGTCGCGTCCAATTCCTTTCGCGTCTCCAATGACGCGTCTTTCACCTGCGCGAGCTTGTCAAACCGCCGCGTGGCGTCCTCGTGGTGTGCGTACGCGCGCTCGTGTTCGCGCATCGTCGATTCCAACGTCTTTTCGTACGTCTCTTGACACTCGCGTTCCAAATCGCGCGCTTCGTCGCACCACGCGACGACGAAGTCCATCATCGTCTTCACCCGCGCGTCCACGACGCCGCGAAACGCGCTCGCCAACCGATCGGTCTCTATCGATCTCTTCAGCGTTTCGGTGTCCACGACCTCAATGTCTTGCAGGATGTCTTGCAGCATGCGCTTATCCGCGTTATCCCGCGCGTCCGTCGTCGGCTCGCGCGCCGCGTCGATCTGACGCTCGTGACGTCGCCCTCGGCGGCGATTTCCTCGCGCGCGCCTCGGCGCCGTCTCGCTCGTCGCTCGATCGTCTCGTTTCGGTGTCAACGAAGCCGCTTCGCACCGCGCGCGCCAATCGTTGGCCTCGTCGAGCGTCACCGCGCACACGCTTCGCACGACGCCCGCGGCGCAGGCTCGCTCGGCCAACTCGTCGTCGTGCGCGAACATTTGGAAGTGGGATTCGGGCGCGCGCGAGGCGCCCGGAGTCATGCACGAGGACGCGTGCGCGGTGGTGGACATGGATGCGGTTTTCGATGCGGTTCTCGACGCGCTGGTTCCCATGCCGAGGCGTCGAGGTGTGCGGCGCGCGCGCGGCGTTCTCGGGACGACGACAACTCGCGACGCTATTTATTAACAACAAAACGACGGCGGGTACCGATACAGAAGCCGATTCGATCGCCCACGCGTCACATAGACGCACCGGCGCGACGCGCACTCACGCGCTGATTCTTTGCGTGATGTCTCGAATGCAAAGCATCTGCGCCTTGGCGTTGGCGCGCATGTACACGAGCTGCTCGATTTGCTCGGCTTGCTCCGGCGCCACGCCTTTCTCGCGCATCTCTCTTACCTGCGCGTCAAACTGCGCGTCTTGCTCCTCCATCGCGACCAAAAACCCATCCAGCGACTGCTCGAACGCTTTCACGTCCATGTTCGCCTCTCGCACGCACTCGAGCACGACGTTCTCCTCCGCCTTCGCGTCGTCGTCCGATTCCTCGAGCGCGTTCAACTTCGCCACCACCGCGTCGATCACACTCAACTCCGCCGGCGCGTTCGCGCGCTGATAACTCTCCAGCAAATATTCAAAGACACCCTTCAGCGCTTGCACGATCTCCGGTCGTTCACCCTTGGATTCCGCGGTTTGCATCGTCGCGAGCGCCGCCTCGACGACGCCCTCGGTGAGTTCGCCGCTCGCGCTCATCGCGTCCACCACCTCCTGCGCCTCTTCGGGCGATTGCGAGTTCAGAACTTTGTAGTAATTCGAAAAGTCGCGCTCGGTGACGTTATCGGGCGCCTGTTGCGCCGCGCTCAGCGCCTCGCGCAGGCCGTCGCCTTCGTTCGCGCGCGCGAGAGGTTTCGCGCGTCGACGGTTCGCTCGAGGTTTCGTCGCGCACGGCGCGCGCGCGGGCGCGAGCGCGACGGCGCGCGCGCAGGGCATGATCGCACGCGTCTCGGTCGCGCGCGCGCGCGATGTGTCGAACGCGCGACGCGACGCGATGTGTCGAACGCGCGCGTCGCGACTTTCGGAACCCTCGGGTCGACGTCGACGCCGCACACCGCGACGCGACGCGCGCGAGACCTCACGCGCGCGCCATGAGCGCGTCACTCGCATCACCCGCCGTCGCGCGCGTCGCGCTCGGCGCCGCGAAGCGCGCGGCGCGTCGAACGCGCGCCGTCATCGCGCGCGCCAAGGGCAAAGCCGACGAACCCGAAGACGTCGACCCGGAAGAGATCGAGCTGGACGCCATGGAGCGCATGGAAAAAACCATGGACGCCATCGCGAACGATTTCAGCACCGTGCGCACGGGACGGGCGAACGCGGCGGTGTTGGACCGAATCGAGGTGGATTACTACGGAGCGCCGACGCCGCTGAAGACGATCGCGAACGCGTCGACGCCGGACGCGCAGACCATCACCATTCAACCGTTCGATAAGAGCGCGATTAAGGATATCGAACGCGCGATTAATGAATCTGATCTCGGGATGAACCCGTCGAACGATGGGAACATCATTCGATTGAACGTGCCGCCGTTGACGGCGGAGCGGAGAAAGGAACTCGCGAAGCTCGTGAGTAAACTCGGCGAGGATGGAAAGGTTGCGCTGCGCAACGTGCGACGGGACGCGATGAAGGCGTACGAAAAGTTGGAAAAGGCGGGGTCGTTCGGTGAGGACGAGATCGCAAAGTTGAAGAAGAGCATGGAGGATTTGACGGCGTCGTACGTGAAGAAGGTGGACGAGCTCACCAAGGCGAAGGAGACCGAGTTGCAAAAAGTTTAATTTTCGAAGTCGCCGCGAAAGACGCCATCGTGCGGCGTTCGACGCGCGTTGCGTTCCGCGACGTTTTCGCCGTCGTCACTATCTCGCCTCAGCGCCGCAGTAATATCAACGCACCATTGAGTATCGCGCTCGTCCCGGTCGCCGCGTCCCGGTCGCCGTCTCGGGCTCGCGCGCCGCCGCACACCTCCGCGCGCGGCGTCGCGATGTCTGCGCCCGAGCGAACGCCTCCGTCGACGTCCGACGAACCTTCGCCCGGCGATCGAGCGTTCACCGACGCGCTGCCGCCGCTGTTTTGGGACGGCGAAGGCGACGAGTGGCTCGAGGAAACCTCCCCAGAGTTTGCCGCGCTTCGAGCCATCGTCGAGGACGCGAATCGCGACGCCACGCCCGTGGAAATCGCGCAAAAATGCAAGGAGAAAGGCAACGCTTCGGTCAAGTACGGGGTGGCGAATAAGCTGTACGCGCGGTACGCGGTGGAGCATTACACCGCGGGACTGGCGGCGGCGAGCGGCGACGCGACGCTCGACGGGACGTTGTATTGTAATCGCGCGCACGCGGGATTGCTGTTGAAGAATTATCGAAAGGCGTACAGTGATGCGATTAAGGCGACTGAGTTGGTGAGTGGAAACGTCAAGGCGTGGTTTCGCGCGGCGAAGGCGGCGTTGGCGCTGGAACGCGCGGAGGAATGCGCGCGTTGCTGCGTCGGCGGGTTGGAAATCGAAGGGGACAATCGAGATTTAAAGGTGATGCTGCGCGAGGCGAAGCGGCTAGTGGAGAAGCGAGAACAACAGGCGACGTTGGACGCGGCAGAGAAGGTGCGCGTGCGCGCGTACGTAGAGGCGATGAAATCTAAGGGGATTCGCATAGGGCCGGCGAGTTTGGGAAGCGGCGAGCGCTTGCCCGCGATCGATGCCACCACCGGCGTCGCGACCTACTGGACTCTTTTCGTGTACCCGGAATCCATGCAAACCGACGTCGTCGAGGCCGCGAGCGAAACTTCGACGCTCGGCGAGCACTTGGACGTGCTATTCGACCCCGCGGGGCCGCCGCTCGAGTGGGACGAGCGCGGCGCGTACGCTCGAGATTCGGTCGAGGTGTATTGGCAAACGAACGCCGCGGTGCCGTACACGTGGCAACAGGTGGAGACGAAGCTCTTAGACGCCGCGGGTGTGACGCGACGCGAGGTGGACGACGACACGCGAAAAGAAATCGAAGCCATGGCGAAGGGCAGGGTGGATTCGCGAGACCAGTTCATGCGCTCGCTCAACGAGAAAACCAAGCTCGGGGACTTGTTCAAGGACAAAGAGTGCGTGCTCGCGGGTCATCCCGTGTTTTACGTCATCGCCAAGGGTACGGAGTTCCGGCAGCGCTTCTTAGACGGCGAGTGGGAGATCTGATTTAGTACAATAGCAGTTGTTACACGTAGATATATGTCGAGACGGTTGATCACTGGCGCTCCGTCGCTCCGGCGCTGATTTCGACGACATCGTCGCCGTAATCCGACGCTCGCGCGCCAAAAAACGTGAGCCTGCGCGACCAAAATTCCATCAGCGCCTTCGCCTCATCGGCGGTTGAAATCATCTTGTGAGTCTTGTCGAACTCTCGCACCACGGCGCCGCACCCGTGATTTCGTCTAACGAGCGCCGCCGCCGTTTCCCGCACGCGCGCGAGTGGGGTGACCTCGTCACGCGTTCCCGCTATCAACAACACGGGCGTCGGTGCCTCGTCGCACTGCTCGTACGACTCCGGCCGCAGCAACGCCGCCGCCACGGCGGCGCACGACCCCAGTCGCTCGCGTCCAGTCATGCGAGTCGCGACGTCCAACGCCACCGCGCCGCCGTCGGAGAACCCAAACAAGTGTACGCGAGACAAATCCCACCCTCGCCGATCGCGCAACACGCGCAGCGCTCTTTGCACGGCTGACGACGCCGCGTCCAACTGTCTCGCTCGCGCATCCTCGCTCGCGCCCTCCTCCGCCGAAAGCATCCAACGCCGATGCGTCTCCTCCTCCGTCGCCCCCGCGCGTCCACGCGCGTCGAGCACGCCGCCCAGAGACCACAAACCGGTCGTCGGCAAACTTACCATGCGACCAAACTTGTGAAAGTTCATCGGATCGTCCAAGTCGCCGTGCAGCAGCACGAGAATGTTTTCAAACTGTTCGCGCGGTGCCCCCGGCGTCCACGCCGGGGAGCCGAAAAACTTCGCGAACGACTCATAATCGCCATCACGCGGCGCGCAGCGCCGGTCGGGCGTCCGAGGCGCCGGTTCGCGCGCGCGAGGCGCCGCGTCGAAAAATCCGCGTCGCATTTCGACGCCGCGGCATCGATCCATCCAGCCATCGCGACCATCTAAACCCTAAATCCAAAGTAGGGTTTAGGGTTTAGCTCGTCGGCACGCCGCAACAGCGCTTAAACTTTTTGTTCGACCCGCACGGACACGGTCGATTGCCCGGAAACGCGCCTCGCATCGCCGCCGCCTCGCGCCGTCGCTGCGCCGTCGACATGTTCGCATCCCCGTCCCGCAGCGCCTCCGCCAGCGCCTCCGGCGACGTCGGCGTCGTCGTCATCGCCTTCGTCCGCCGCGCGACGGCGCGCGTCAGCGCGTGCGCCCTGAGCAACTCATCCACCTCGGCGCGCGCGCCGAGCTCGCGCCGCCGTCTCGCCGACATCGCGCCCGGATCCTCCAGCTCGCGCGCCGTCATCGTGTCGACGTACGCGCGCGCGCGCGACGCCGGGAACGAGATCTCCGCCGGTGACTTCGCGCGCGCGTCCGAGCTCGAAAATCTTTCGACCTCGGCGCGCTCGAGCGCGGACACGTAGTCGCGAATCGACAGGTCGTCGTCCTCGCGGTCGGCGCCGGCGAGCCAGGATTTGATCGCGTCGAGCGCGCCGTGCGCGCGCCGACGCGCGGCGAACGCGCGCGCGGGCGCGGCGAGCGTCCACGACGCGCGCCGCATCGTGACGCGCGGCGACGGACGGACGTCGCGTCCATGACGCGCGCGCGCGACGCGGCGATGCGTCTGCGGCGCGCGGCGGCGTCCGCGACGCGCGCGCGCGACGGATTCGGCGGGACGGCGGTCGGCGCGCGCGTCGTGGAGGCGGCGCGCGCGACGCATTCGGCGCGCGACTCGGCGGCGGCGAAGACGGCGACGACGACGCGCGCGCCGACGCGCGTGTACATCGAGACGTACGGATGCCAGATGAACGTCTCGGACTCGGACGTCGTGCGGAGCGTTCTGCGAGCGCACGGCGTGGCGACGACGGAGGACCTGCGCGAGGCGACGGCGGCGCTGGTGAACACGTGCGCGGTGCGCGACAACGCGGAGTCGCGCGTGTGGACGCGATTGCGGCAGTTGAAGGCGCTGAAGCGAGACGCGGGACATGCGTTGACGACGGTCGGCGTCTTGGGGTGCATGGCGGAGCGATTGAAGGCGAAATTACTGGAGACGGAGGATTTGGCGGATTTGGTGTGCGGGCCGGATGCGTACAGGGACGTGCCGAGGCTGTTGGAAAATTCGACTCGACGGTTGAGCGATTTGAGCGAGGAACACCGGATGAACGTGCTGTTGTCGTTGGATGAGACGTACGCGGACGTGCGACCGGTGCGGAGAGACGTGGGGTCGCCGATGGCGTACGTTTCGGTGATGCGAGGATGCGATAACATGTGCGCGTTTTGCGTGGTGCCGTTTACGCGAGGACGGGAGCGAAGTCGACCTTTCGAATCCGTCGTCGACGAAGCGCGCGGGCTGATCGCGGAGGGCGTGAAGGAAATCACTTTGCTGGGTCAAAACGTGAACTCATACGCGGACGCGCCGATGAAGGCGACGACGTCGGCGGACGACGACCCGTTCGCGGCGTACGCGAAAGGATTCAAATCGGTGTACAAGCCAAAGCGCGAGGGCGCGCGCACGTTCGCGGACCTCATCTCCGCCGTCGCGGGCTTGGACCAGGAGGTACGCGTGCGGTTCACGTCGCCGCATCCGAAAGATTTCCCAGACGATTTATTACGCGTCATCGCTCAGACGCCAAACGTTTGCAAGCAATTGCACATGCCCGCGCAGAGCGGATCGACCTCGACTTTGGAGCGCATGCGACGCGGATACACGCGAGAGGTGTACTTGGATTTAATCAAGCGCGCGCGCGAGATGATTCCGGGTGTCGCGCTCTCGAGCGATTTCATCAGCGGCTTTTGCGGTGAAACGGAGGACGAGCACGCGGAGACGCTCTCGCTGCTCGAAGACGTTCGCTATGAGCAGGCGTTCATGTTTCACTATTCATTGCGCGAGAAGACGCACGCGGCCAGAAATTTGGAAGACGACGTTCCAGAACATGTGAAAAAACGGAGGCTTGCGGAAGTTATCGCGACGTTCCGTCGTCGCGCGCTCGAGGCGAACGCCGCGGAAGTCGGTCGGACGCACTTGGTGCTCGTCGAAGGCGCGAGCAAAAAGGATCCCGAGGCGCAGATGAGCGGGCGATCGGACACCGGCAAGCGCGTCGTCATACAAGGTAAGCGCGCGTTTAGTAATTCTAGCGGAAAGGAGGTGGACATTAAAGCGGGAGATTACGTGGTGGCTAGAGTGGTCGAAGCCGGCGCGTCGACGCTTCTCGCGACGCCATCGGAGATCACGACGGCTCGCGCGTTTTACGACGCGCACAGCGGCGCGGCGTGGTTTTAGAATTGTAATCGATTGTTGTATTTGTACGAAACGTAGCATCTTAGCGCGTCAGCAAATCACCGTCACGCCTTGAGATTGCAAAAACGTCTGCGCCGCGTGAATTTCTTCAGCGTCGGGCGTCCGCATGCCCTCGAGCTTGTACTCGAGACCGAGCTCGCTGAACTTAAACTCGCCGAATCTGTGATAGGGCAAAAGCTCAATTCCCTCAACACACTCGTGTGTTTTCGCGAGCTCCGCCAGACCGCGGAGCTCGTTTTCGTCGTTCGTTCGAAAGTCGACGAATCGAGAATCCGGATCGCTCATGAGCACGAATCGCAACCAAGTTTTCACACGGCGGCGATTCAATTCTTTCAGAAACGCGCGCATTGTCTCGTACTCGCGTTCCGTCGTACCGGTGATGGCTTTGTATTTTTCCAAACTCGAGCTCTTCACGCACAACAGCACCACGTCAACGTGCGGCAACACGCGATTCCACGTCTCCGCGTCCCCACTGGCGGCGGTGTCGATCGCCACCGTCAAGCCGATCTCGTGCGTCTTGATCGCCACCGCCTCCACGAACGCCGGTTGCAACAGGCATTCGCCCCCGGAAAGCGTTAGCCCACCTCCCTCCGAGCTCGCGTAATACTTGCGATTTCGCTTCAAAATTTCGACTATATCGTTCACCGACATCGTGCGCCCGGGATTCGGCGTCTTCGCGAGCGCGGCGTGCGTCGAATCGACGTTGCAGCAAAACGCGCATCGTTTTTCACACCCTTGAAGGAACACGATGCATCGTATTCCGTGTCCATCGACCGCGGTGAAAGTATCGATGCTGTGCACGCGCCCGGTGACCGCACCGCAGTCCTCGATGTCCGCCGCGCTCGCCGGGTCGCCGCCGAGCAGCCCCAAGCCCCGCGCCGCGTAGTTGCGCTCGGGCGGCAGGAAAACGATCGGTCGCGGACGTGGCGGAAAAGCTCCGCGGCGCTTGGTGGCAAAGCAAAATGTTGGGCTTTTTGGTTGGGCTTTTTCGTCGTCGTCGCGCATTTTTCGTTCGTCGTCGTCGTCGCGAAGTGGCGTGGAGTGCAGAGTCTCGGGATAAGAATCGACTTTCGAGACGAGGCGAGAGGAAAACAAGTTACTAATAGCAATTCATCACGCGAACGATTGACGATCGATGCGCGTGAGCGATGGATTTAAGTGATGATACATTCTTTCGGGTGGCGTCGCCGAATTTACGGCGCGAGTAGCGCGCCTAGCGCGACCGTTGCGAGCAAAATTGTGTCAACGTGGAAGAGCGGAACACCTGCGGCGGATACTAAGCCCAAGAAGCCGCCAAATAATGAGCCGCTGTTACTCGAGCACGTCGCGGCCGTGAGCGCACCGGCGATGCATGTCGTCTGGCCACTCACGGTGTACCCAGAGTTGCACGTCGGTTGACACGACGAGCCGCTGGCGAGCTCGGAGCCGCACGTACCAGAAACGCCGTTCGCAGGCTGCGTGAGTCCAGTGCACGGCGGCGAAGAGATCGAGATACCACTGACACCCGCGTTCGAGGCTGATGTTGCGATATCCGTAGTGAAGGATGGATCATTGAGAGTCGCAGTGACGGTGGACGCCTGCGAAGTCGGGATCGCTGTCTTGATTTCGGCGGCTATCGTCGTCGTCGGTGCGGCACCCGTTCCAGTCACGCCGCCGACGGTGATTGGAGAGCTTGCCGCAGACAAAGCTGTGTTCAACGTCGCTCTATTCGTCGTCACGACTTGATACGTCACGATGTTGCTGAGTAGACGCCTGCGCGCCGCGCTTTGCGCAAAGTTCTCAATGTCAGACGTGGCGACACCCAACGACGACGCGGCGGCGGTGATGAACGAGCTTTCATCCACAGGGGACGAGAACGTTTGCTTTCCTAGCATCGTGTACTTAATGGTGATATTAGCCGGGTCCACTTGAACGCCAGTGGTGTCTGCCAAAAGCGACGTCGTCAGCGCGTTTTGGAGCGTCTGCACGAGGGTATCGTCGATGACTTGTGTGATTCCCGCGAACTCAACCTTGACTTCAACCTCGGTTGACTCAACGCACTCACCATTCAAAAGTGAGTAGCCATCATTGCAGACGCACTGGGTCTCGGTCCCAAGTGCGACGTCACCCGCCGCGTTCGTCGAGCCAGATGGACACGCCACACACGCACCGGCACTGTTCACGCGATAGTTCGCGGCGCAAGCGCACTGCGTCTCGCCCGCGGATGGGACGTCACCCGCCGCGTTCGTCGAGCCAGATGGACACGCCTCGCACGCACCGGTACTGTTCACGCGATAGTTCGCGGCGCAAGCGCACTGCGTCTCGCCCGCGGATGGGACGTCACCCGCCGCGTTCGTCGAGCCAGATGGACACGCCTCGCACGCACCGGCACTGTTCACGCGATAGTTCGCGGCGCAAGCGCACTGCGTCTCGCCCGCGGATGGGACGTCACCCGCCGCGTTCGTCGAGCCAGATGGACACGCCTCGCACGCACCAGCACTGTTCACGCGTTCGTCCGCGGAGCACGAGGCGGCAGAGTCGCACTGCGTCTCGGTCCCAGGTGCGACGTCACCCGCCGCGTTCGTCGTGCCAGATGGACACGCCTCGCACGCGCCAGCACTGTTCACGCGATAGTTCGCGGCGCAAGCGCACTTGGTCTCGGTCCCAGGTGCGACGTCACCCGCCTCGTTCGTCGAGCCAGATGGACACGCCACACACGCACCGGCACTGTTCACGCGTTCGTCCGCGGAGCACGAGGCGGCAGGGACACACATGCCGTTTGACCAAGCGGTTCCGTCTGGACACGAGCACTGTGTCTCGCCGTCGGCCAGCCAGCTATCATCGCCTTCAGGGCGGGTTGAGTCTGTCGGACACGCCGAACAGACGTACTGACTCCAGACGTAATGGTTGGCCGAGCAGTATCGCGTGCTCGTAACTTGATAACAACGATCATCGCTCACTTCTGCGATCGCGATACTGGACATTGATTGCAGACGGTCAGCGCCGTCGTTCGTGACCTCAGGATTCCGGGTGTAATGAATCGCCGTGCTGCTCTTCCTCGCTGAGACGTCCGAAGTCGAATAATACGTCGAGCTCGCCTCGTACGTACTCGACGCCCGGTTGATTATTGTGCCAGAACTACCTGTCACCCTGGTTTTAGATCCCACGGGCCCGTAGTCACACGTCCAAGCGTTGTCACCCCACGCTTGAGTATAATGGTTGTATCCGCCCACGCAAACCCAGAGTGGGACAGTCTCCGTAGCCGCCATCACTGCTTTATCGCTGTAGTTGATTTGAGCGGCTTGGATTCGGATTTCGTAAGCGCCATCGGCAGTGTTCGGGTCCACGGCGACGACGAAACATATATCGTCGACGACTGCTTGTGCGCCTGCTGCGTTCACGCATCCGCCCTCGTCAACTCGCCAACCGGCGGGCAGATTCAACCCGCGCACTGTCAAGTGAGATTTCGCGCACGCGCCGTAATCCAAATTTTGCACGCTCATTCTATACTGCAGCACGACTTTATAGCATTCTTTTTGTTGCACCGTATACTGAATTCCGCTATCAGCATAAGGGATGTACTGATCAAAGTAAGAAGTCGTGAAATAATTGGTTCTGAAGTTGTCATTCGTGATCGACGAGGCGTCGCCGGGATAATCGGCCAAATTGACGCTTGGATAATACTTATCTTTCTCGCTGTCGTTTGACATGCGGACGTGCCACACCCCGTAGCCAAGAAACTGACTCGGATACGCCTTCGCGCCTCTTTTGCTGCACTCCGCCGGTTGGCCAAACGTGACGGTAACCGTGATCGTTTGAGATGTTGAATCGAACGCGGCTACCGTTAACTTTAGTCCTGACACGGGGTCTATCCAAACGCCGCCGTTTTCTGTCGATCTCAGCGCCGTCTGTTCCCAGTCGTCGTATTTCGCAGCGTCTGTTGAATCAGCGGCGTGTGGGTAGAAATCAATCAACTTGTTCCCTTCGTGATAACCGAGCACACCGAGAGAGTTGAATCCGCTGTGCTCGCCGTTAAGGATAAGATTGTCGAACTTGTTGCCACTTCGAAGCTCGAGCCAGATCGTACCCAAATCCGACATGGTATCATCAGAGAAACGAACGACGCACGCGCGCGTTGTCGAGGACTCCGTCGTATCAACACTCAACGAACTCAGGATGCACGTTTCACTCACATCAGCCGCGTCGTCGTCAACGCGTCCGTTGGTCTTCGTGATGACTTTCACGTTATCGTTAGAGAGCCAGTGCATGTCCCATCTTAAATACGAAGAAACGCCCCACGCCATCTTTTTCCCGTACGTGTCCGAGCCCGAGCCCAAGACATCGAAGACGCCACCGTAATCTTTGTACTCACAGAGCCGCCACGTCGTAGTCGAGTCGTCGTAATCCGACTGCTTGCACTTGTACCCGCCCGAGTGATATTTGAGCCCGATTGCGTGTAAAAGCTCGTGAATCTCCGTCGTATCGCACAACTCCGTCGTGGAATCCGCGTCGGCGCACGCCGTGACCGACGAGTGCTTCTGCGTGCAGATGATGCCGTTCGTGTTCGACTCGCACGTCCCCGTGCACGTGTTCGTCAAATGCATGAACGTCCGCATGTGTTTCCTTCCCGAGTTTCGGTTCGTCCCGGGGTCGCCCGCGTACGAATCGTACACTTCTTGAAAATCAGCGCTCGCATCCCACGGGTTATAATGCACGCCGTCGGCCGCCGACGCATCCGGGTGAGGATTACACGCCCCGTTCGCGTCCTTCTCGTTCGAACCGAGCTGATGAAAGAACACCGACACGTTCAGCGTCAGCGCCCCGTACGACGCCCACGCGAAGTACGCCTCCGTCTGCGTCTTAAACACCTTCGTCAGCTTCGCCTTGTCCGCCTCGTCCACCGTCACGTCCGCCGGGTGCGTCACCATGATCAGCGCCTCCTGCGTCCCCGTCGCCGCGTCGCGTCGTCCGCTCAGCGCCGATCCCGTCTCGATCGTCACCGCGTGCGTCGCCCCCGCGGCCCGTTTCGCGAGCGCGAGCGCCGCGACGACGACCGCGACGACCGCGCGCGCGCGTCCCGCGCGTCGCGCGTCCCATCGCGCGCGCATCGCCCGCGCGCGCGCGTCGGCGGCCGTCGAGATTCGCGCGCGTCGCCTCGGAATGTCGCGCGAACGCCGGGGGGGGTGGCGCGCGGTCGACCGTCGACGCGAATCTCGCGACGGTTCGGTCGGGATGCGAATCGACGTTCTCGGCCGAGCCGAGCCGAGCCGAGACGAGAGAAGACGAGACGACGCGAGACGACGCGCGGCACAGCGCGACGACGACGACGACATGACGCTCGCGGTGGACGCGGTGGACGCGTTCGTGCGCGCGCGCGGAACGCCGCGCGCGGACGACTGCGCGACGACGCTCGCGAAACCGACGGGAAAGACGCTGGAACTGCTGGCGGAGGCGCGGCGGTTGCTCGAGCTGGAGCGACGCGCGGGAGGGGCGCTGGCGGTGGATGCGGAGACGCCGTCGCGAGCGACGTCGCACGGCGCGGGGTACGTGCTGTCGAAGGAGGTGGACGACGTCGTGGTCGGGCTGCAGACGACGCGCGCGCTCACGCGGACGATGAAGCCGTTGGGAGGGTTGCGCGTGGTGGAGAAGGCGCTGGGCGAGCGCGGCGCGACGATGAAGGAGGACGCGAAGAAGTTTTTTGACGATTGGGTCACGACGCACAACGACGCGGTTTTCGACTTGTACACGGATGAAATGCGATCGGCGAGGAAGGCGCATCTCTTGCTCGGGCTCCCGGACGCGTACGGACGAGGGCGCTTGATCGGGGATTATCGCCGCGTGGCGCTGTTCGGCGTCGATCGGTTGATCGCGGAGAAGCAAATCGACAAAGATGCCATCGCGACGAGCGACGAGGAGGACTTGCGCGCACGATTTGAGGTGTCGGAGCAAATTCGCGCGTTGGAGCGGCTCAAGGCGATGGCAAAAATGTACGGTTTCGACATCGGCGCCGCCGCGCGCGATTGCAAAGAAGCGGTTCAGTGGACGTACTTTGCCTACCTCGCGTGCGTGAAGGAACACGACGGCGCGGCGATTTCTCTCGGTCGAGTCGACGCTTTTTTTGATGTGTACATCGAGCGCGACATGAAGGCTGGTTTCATCGACGAATCGGGCGCGCAGGAACTCATAGACAATTTTGTGCTCAAGCTGAGACTCGTTCGGCATCTTCGACCGGAGGCGTACGACGACATTTTCGCCGGCGATCCCATCTGGGCCACGTGTTGCGTGGGTGGCATGCAGATGAACGGCACCGACACGTTGGTGACGAAGACTTCTTGGAGGTTTCTACAAACGCTACGCAACATGGGCGCGGCGCCGGAACCAAACATGACGGTTTTGTGGAGCGAATCGTTGCCGAAGCCGTTTAAAGAATTCGCGGCGGCGATCAGCATCGAGTCGAGCTCAATTCAGTTCATCTCCGACGACTTACTGCGGGAAAAGTTTCAATCGAGCGACGTCGGTATCAGTTGTTGCGTGTCGGGAATGCAGTTGGGGCATACCATGCAATATTTCGGCGCGCGATGCAATCTACCCAAGCTTCTTCTCTACGCGCTGAACGGCGGTCGCGACGAAATCACCGGCGCCCGCGTCGCGCCCGCGCTTTTCGACGACGAAGTTCCTGAAGGTGTTTTACAATACGATGACGTGATGAAGCGTTTTACGGCGTACATGGACTGGCTCGCCAAGCTTTACGTGGAGACGATGAACTGCATCCACTACTCGCATGATCGATTCAACTACGAGGCCTTGTTTTTCGCGCTCATGGACACCGATTGCAAGCGGATGATGGCGTTCGGCATCGCTGGGTTGAGCGTTGTGGCCGACTCTCTCAGCGCCATCAAGCACGCAAAAGTCAAGATGATTCGCGACGAAAAGTCGGGATTATCCACTCGGTTCGAGGTCGATGGCGATTGGCCCGCGTTTGGCAACGACGACGATGAGGTTGACACCATCGCCGCCAGTGTTGTGGAAACGTTCATCTCGAGTTTACGAAAGACGCCAGCGTATAGAGGATCCGAGCACACGCTTTCGATTCTGACGATTACGTCCAACGTCATGTACGGGAAACATACTGGCGCGACGCCGGATTTGCGAAAACTCGGTGAACCGTTCGCGCCGGGCGCGAATCCGATGCACAATCGCGACAAGACGGGTGCTTTGAATTCACTCAATTCTGTGGCAAAGATCCCGTACGCGAGTTGCATGGATGGCATCAGCAACACGTTCTCCATCACCGCGCCATCGCTCGGCAAGACGGACGGGACTCGAGTCTCGAACTTGACTGCGTTGCTGGATGGCTACTTCTCACACGGCGCTCAACATTTGAACGTTAACTGTATCGATAGATCGGTACTGTTAGACGCCATGGCGCATCCAGACAACTATCCCACCCTCACCATTCGCGTGAGCGGGTATGCGGTGAATTTCATCAAACTCTCGCGAGCACATCAAGAGGAAGTCATCGCTCGTACTTTTCACGCTTCGCTTTAGTCGTACAACAGCATTTACCCGAACAATTCACACCTCGCTTTAGTCGCATACAAGATCGTTTCATTCATGACAACAGCGTTTAACCGAACAATAGCGCACCCGCAAACTCTTCGTTACCACTCGTCGCGTTCAAGGCGTCGATAACTTGCTGCCGAGAAAAGCCGAGCGCGGTTAATCGAGCAATTTTTTCTTCGTCGTGCGCCGACGAAGACGAAGGCGTCGTCGAGGGCGTCGGGACCGCCGGCGAGGGGGTCGGGACCGCCGCCGAGGGGGTCGGGATCGCCGCCTCGGGCGCTTTGCCTTGAAACGCTTCCTGTGCTGTCTTTCCAATTTCGCTCTCGCTCAAAAACGGCAACTCCACGTCGACCGAGCCGATAACGAGGGCGTTCTTCCTCAAGTCGATGGAGCACGCGTGTCTGCGCAGCATGTCTAAACCAAAGATGAAGTCCATGTCTTGTTCCTTCTCCAAAACCGTAATCGCGCACGGCAAGAAGTGTTCACCCACCTTCATCGGTGCCTGGTGCACGCGTCCAATGATGTTCTGCGTCCCCACGCCTTTCGCGATGCCGCTAAACCGCTTGTCGATGAGCCTTTCCAGTCCGCACTGTCGCGCGCACGTCACCGACATGATCGACATCTGCGCCCCACTATCGACAAACGCCTTCAGCGCCACTCCATTCACCTCCAGATCGACGTATAGCATCACCACCTGAGCGAATGCCTCGGGCGTTTCCTCCATCGCGGTCGCAAAATTGCCTAACACCTGTTCTTGTCGGATGCGTTCCTCAATCTTCCGCTGCGCCTCGACGTCGAACGGGTCGCTCGTCATCAACGCCATCTCCTCCGCCTCCTGTTCCCTCGCCGCTAACATCCGTTTCCGCATCTCCCGCATCATTCTCTGAAACCCCTCCACGTCGTTCGCTTCGATGCAATCGACGAGTTCGCTTCCTCCCTGCCGACGCAACGCCTCGAGCGTGCCGGCGTTGCCGCGAAAACTCTCCATCATCGCCTGCGCGTCCACTGCGCTACCATCCGCCGCAAGCGCGCGCGCGTCCGCCGACGCGATGCTTTCCCCACCGGATGCACCCAGCGACACGATCAACAGGTCGTCCTGCACGACGCCGGCGTCGCGTAAACTTGACGCATCTGGAATCTGCTTGGCATCTTTCAAAACTTTGGCGCGCGTTATATCGCGCGGATCGCCGTCTGGGAACTCACAGGCGACGGCAGCTTTGAGGTCTGCGACCGTACAGTCCGGAGAGACGTCGACGTTGACGATGAGGTCGAGTTCGGCGACGTGCACCGAGACTCGCATGTCGACGGCGGTTGAGGCGAGGCTTAAAGTGCGACCGGTGGTCGCGACGACGATCGACGGACGCCCGTCGCCAGTGGCGCGCGCGCGCGCGCGCGATGCCGCGCCTGTTCGAAGAGCTCACCGACGTCGAGCGCACGCACGCGTACTGCGGCGACGCCGACGTCGCGCGCATCGCGTACGACGCCCTCGAGCGCGAACTCGCGAACGACGCGACGCTCGTGGCGAACGCGCGCGATCTCGACGTCGCGAAACGCCGCGTCGATCGCGCGACGCGACGCGGACGCGTCGATGAGGGACAGAACGCGCGCGTCGTGAGCGTGAACTGCACGTCGACGTGCGAGCGGTGCCTGGATGGGTTTTTGGAGCTGCGGCGAGACGCGCGAGACGCGCGAGGCGGCGTCGAGTCGACGGGAGACGAAGAGGCGACTCAGAACGAACGGTTGAGGTTTGATTTTGAACGCGTTGAGCGAGGATTTGATTGCGAAGGAACGAGTGATCGGATAGAGACGGAATTTTTGAGGGAGTGCGCGAGAGGGAACGCGTTGAGGGAGATTTTGACGGCGCCGGCGCCGGCGAGAGGACGGGCGATTTACGAGGCGGCGGCGCGGGCGTTCGCGGAGACTTGCGAGAAGGCGAAGGCGGGTGGGGATGAGTGGGCGAATTCTTTGATGCGAGAGATACGGGAGCGACCGTGTGGGTCGTTTCCGGGACTGTTTGCGCTGCTCGCGATCGATGACAGCAAGACGAGACAGTCGGTTAAGGAGTTGTTGTCGGAGCCCGAGACGGATGAAAACGGCGAGCCGGTGATGGATGCAGATACGGGGTTACCACAGACGCGCATGCGAGCGTTGACGAGCGATAACGCGCTCAGGGACGTTGTGGACGAGGTGTTGGCGTTTTGGATCGAGTGTTTAGCCCGAGCTCAGGTGGAGAGAGAATCGGCGAGGCGCACATTGTGCGAGGAGATTCGCGACGACGTGCCCAAGGATCACGAGCCATTCGTCCCGGTGGAGGCACGGCTATGGTTTGCGCTGGCGTATACGTTAGAGCGAAGCGATAGCCAAATAGTGCGCGAGGTGTTCACGACGCATCCCATCGTCTTCCGTTTGGCGGCATGCGCCATGAAACGATCAAACGAAAAAGGCGCGCGCGCGCTCTCGAGCAACGCGTGCGAAGTCATCCAAGTGATTCTCAAGGCTTTACCTCGTGGACCGAAGGCGGCGAAATCGTTTTGGGAACGCGTCGGCGTTGATCGCGCGGATTTGATTGAAGATTTGTTTCAAGCGGCGCTGAATCTGCCTAAAGATAGAAAGGCGGAACAGATTTGCGCGTTGACTGCGTTAAAGTACGTCTACCTTCTCCTTCCAACGGGCGACGCGGTACAGGCGAGGCAGGTTATGAACATACTCGCTGCAGATATCCCGCATTCAAAAGCGACATTCAGCGCCGAAGTACAGTGGGCCAGCCGCCTTGCCGCGTGCAGAGCGGTCGAGGAGCAGTACTCTGAAATCGGCGTGGACGATGCTGTGTTGACTTTGGGCGACTGGTTCAGTACGGTTGGTATGGATTGGACCAAGAGCGTCGCCACAGACCGGGATCTTTCTCGAGAGGCGACGAAAGCCCGAAACGCATTAGGTGGTAGTCTCGTGGACACGATTGGATACGTCATTTGCGCCGACGCCATCGCTTTGAGCGCGCTCGCTGATCCGGCGTTTTTTGCCTTCGAACCGGAGAGATGGGCTCGAGAGAAGCGCATCAGAGGCGAGACCCCGTTGGGCGAGTTGCACTTGAAAATTTTGAACACGATTCGACAGAAAAAGAGGTGGAAAATCAACACGAGCATGTGGAAGTACGCCTTAGGTTTCGATAGTATGTCCGCGATCAACAGTATGCACGCGGGCGTCCTCAGACCGCGATATGTGAGCGCAGTCATGTACGCCATGGGACTCATCGCGCCATTCGCGCGGAATGACGACGAGAGTGAAAACGATGCGATGCGTGGTATCTTTCCGTATGTTGAGATCGTGCCGGAAAACCAAGAGAACGCGAATAGCTTGCGAAAGTTTCTTGGCAAGTGTGGGGAATGGTTTTTCAAATCGTTACTCGACTGCCCGGAGAGCCAATCGAGCAAGAGGCCGCTTGACCGTTCCGAATACACTCCAAAGTGTACCGAGGGTGCGGTAATGTGCATGATGTCACAACGCACGTCGCTGGTAGCGGCTGCGGGTGAAGTTTTGAAGAAGCATTACGCAGAAGATAACAGAGAGAACTGCTACAAGAAGATGTTTCTCGACGACGAGCACACGGACATTCCCAAAGCGGTGCTCGGTGCGACGCACTGCGCACTGAAAGACGTGAAACGGATGCCTTCAGAAACGTCTGAAGACGTGAGCGAGCTACTTAAGGCCGCGAGCGCGCCGATTGTACAGACACATCATCTCGTGAAGGCGATCGATAAAGATGACAAGGCGCGCTTGCGGACGTTTAGCGAGAACGTGACCAAGGTGTTGATTTCCTCAATCGGTGTGTTCGAAACGATCACGCAGCACGCGCCGCGACGCGCCTTGGCTGCCGATGATGACATTCTTTACAGTATGTTGAGCATGCTCACGATGTACTGGAAATTGATCAAAGCACGCGAGCAAGAGCACATCTTCAACAGGCAGCCGGCGAACATTCTGAGGAATCTTCTCGCTTGGGAGCCCGCGAGCTTTATAGGGTCAGCGGAGGAGGGGATCGCAGATGCTTGGCTGGATTGCATTGGATTGTTCAAGACTGAAGTTTCAGATGAGCCCTCTTCACCGGGCGTGAGCATTCGAGACGAGAGTGATTGGCGCCAGCGTGTTCGCGAGCTATTGAGCATGCGCGGCGACGCCGCACTAAGCGACAATATCAAAGAAAAGCTTAAGAGTGTCTTTTCGATGGTTTCGCTATTCATCGAGGGAGAGAAAGAAAATATCGGAGACGTCGTGGTGATCGATGAACCACTTCCCGAGACTTCATCGCCGTATCGCATCAGCGCGGCGGTCCCGGCGCTGGATTCAGACGAAGAATTCGGAGTTACTCCCTATGAAGAGGACGACGAGCCGACGTCGAATGACCCCCAATGGTTGCGGCCGACGGACCAAAAGAAAACGCGGCCCAAACGCAAAGCTACCAAGGAGCTATTCGCATCGGTGAAGCGCAAATCCAACGAGGATGTCTCACCGTCGTCGACGAAGGGTGACGCGGCAAAGTCGTCGGCGTTCAAAATGCGCAAGCGCGAACCTACCACGAAAACGTACAACTTGGATCGCAGGAAAACCGTGGCGTCGATAGAATTATCGGAAACCGCCGTTACACGTGGACGGGTGAGTACGACGACGTCGGGCTATCAGGTTGCCAAAGCGAAGGATTATCACGCGATAAATCAGCAACAGAGGCGAATCAGCAAAGAAACGACGACTGCAGTGATGGAGATGCCACCACCTTCAGCGACCTCGAAGAAGTCAAAGCAGCGAGTGTCAACATCTAATGCATCACTGACGAGAGTGAAGAAGCACATGACTGTCCTACCCGCCGTCAGCAGTGCCGAGCGTGCGCCGGCTCTTGTGCCAGTCTCCAATGTCAGCCGCCAGTTCAAGCCATCAAGCTCGCGCCGCTCTCCATATCGCGTAGAGACGCTCATCCGAAGCATTCTGTGCCTCAATAAAGAGCAGTTCAAAAGTGATACGGTGCAGGCGCGGCATGGGGATGTGACGCTACACGAGAAGGACAGTCGCTTAAGCCGCGAAAGTCCGCCGAGGTCGTTCGCGAACGCTCACGAGTACAGAGAGCATTTCATTCCGCTCATTCTCGCCGAGTTGCGCGCGAACGTAGATCGTGCGCTCCAGACCTGCGATCGACTCTACAGCGATGACTTCACCGTGTCAAAGCTTCGGCAAGAAGACGTAGCCAATTCGACGAGTGTGTTTGAAACGTTTGAGCTGTCAAAGCCGCTCGCGTCACAAGCCAACTCTGACAATGCTCGTTCGGTATTCAAAACGGACGATCTGGTGATGATTGAAACCATTTCGTACGCATTCGAACAGCGAAACATGGATCTTCTTGAGGACGATGACCCGTTGAGCCCCGTGAAGGAACGGGCGACGCACTACGTGTTTGGTTGGGTGGAATCGGCGAAAAAGGATGCGTCGAACGAAACTGTCGTTATCAGAATGCACTTTGCCCCGAACTCCGGCGTGCGTATAACGTCAATGTCGCGCAAGCTTCACACCATGAAAACTCGCCTTAAGGTGACGCGAGTGTTCGAGCTCGCGACGACGCTTCGAGAGCTGCAAGCGCTCGACGTGAGCGAGCATTTTCTATCGAGAATTAACAACAAAGTTTTGCAGCTCTCGTCGTTGTTCGACACCCTCGACGATGCCGATCAGTACATCGCTGCGCCGGCTTTAAGTGCGGTTGAGTCATCGCTAAATCCAATGCAGCGCCAAGCCGTGCTCGGTGCTTGCGCGCATGAGCACGCATCTAGTCGTGACTTGCCGGTGCTGATTCAAGGACCACCGGGAACTGGGAAGACGCACGTCATTGTGAGCTTGATAGCGGCGCTTTTGAACGGCGTCGACCAATATGGTCATCCCGTGCGGAAGAGAATTATATGTACGGCGCAAACGAATGCCGCGATTGATCATATCGTTGATCGGCTCGTTGATGGATCTTCGGTGCACGCGGAAGTACGAAAATGCCTTCGAGGCGTCGACGTCACTCGAATCGGTACGGATGAAAAAATCAAGTCTGGTTCAGCTTCGGAGAGATGTCACGTGCGCACGAAGCTCAAAGAATACGGTGTCGACGTAGAAGGTCGCGAAAACAACACGTACGCTCAAAACGCAGCGTATTACGAGAGCAAGGTTCGAGATGCGAAAGCGGAGAGAACTAAAGTCGAGGCGCAGATTCGACTCGAAGTCACGCGATTGCGAAATCGTCAAAAGTCTTTTAAGGATAGTGTCCCGGTGTATAGTCAGGCACTAGTCGATCTGGAAGCAAAGAAGGCTCAATTGTTCGCGATCCAAGACGCGGCGCACGCGAAATTGAAGGCGAAACTCGCCGAAGAGGGAAGAATTGAAGGCAGCGTTGTCGTGTCGACGCCTTTTGAGCGCGTCATCGACCGTTCAAATGTCGTGTGCGGGACGCTATCTTCCATGGCACAACTGGTTAAAAAGCCGTCAAACGCAGCACCGCGCGCTGCTGACTCGCGACCGTATTGCTCAGTTCAACCTTTTGACGTCGTCATCATCGATGAGGCGTCGCAAGCTGTCGAGCCGGCGGCGCTGATTCCGTTGCAGTGGATCAAGCCCGACGGCGTCATAATCATGGTCGGAGATTCGCAGCAGCTCGCACCGACTGTCATCTCCAGATCAGCGCAGCGAGCCTATTACGGATATAGTCTTTTTGAACGTCTGTCTGACTGTGGTGTACCCACTTTTACGCTTCGGGATCAATATCGCATGCATCCAGACATCGTCAAGTTTCCGAGTGAACGCTTTTACAGAGGTTTACTGCGCAGCGGCGCCGGCGCTCTTTACGAAGATCGCGTCGCGCCGTGGCACTCCTTCTCTAACTGCGGTCCGTATCAGTTCTTCAACGTTAAGGGTCAAATGAACCAAGATCGCTACGAGACTGGCGCGCGCTCCTTCTCCAATTCCGCCGAGGCAGAGTTCGCGTCGTATTGTTACAAGAAAATAGCCGTCTCGGCGCAACTCCACAAGAGTGAAGTGAAGGTTGGCATCATCACGCCCTACTTGGATCAAGTGCGACGTTTGCGCGATTTCGTGGAGCCATTGTTGAAGAAAGATGGCGCGCTTCGGACGTGGGCGCATGTGACGTACGGTACCGTTGATCAAGTGCAAGGACAAGAGTTCGACGCCGTGATCATCTCGTGCGTTCGCGCGTACCCCGAAGGCGACAAAGTCGCCCCCGATCCGCCGAATACGGATATCGGCTTTCTCAGAGACGAGCGACGATTAAACGTGGCGCTCACGCGGGGTCGATATTCGACGTGGATCGTGGGTTACGCCGAGGTGCTCAAACGCGAGGCCGTGTGGCTGGATTTAATCGAGAACGCCAAAACGCGAAACGTGTTCGTGGAGCACGTAAAGCAAGCGCCGTATGATGAAGTCTTTACCGCAGTTCCCGTGTCGGCGACATCATCGCGCGGTGGCGATGGTCGCGCGCATCCGATTGTTCGTCACCCCGGCGTCGTTATTCAGACGAAGAACGATCCCCGTCGCAAGGCGAAATCTGAAGCGCTCGCGAAACGCGTCGTCGACGAGTTGGCGATGTTAGACGATGAACCATCACCACTTCGCAAACCATCGCCTGCGGCAAAGCATGTCGCGCGCCGATCGCCGGTCGCTGGTCGAGCGCAACAGAGGAAGCAGGAACGGAACCGACACGTCGCCGAGGCGAAGAAGGCGCCGGCGTCTTTCGTTCCGGCGGACGAATTGAGCGATTGATTTAGCGCAAGCCCCCCCCCTAAATAGCGCAGCACAATTGAAATGAATGAATTACATTAGTAGCATCAAAGCAGCGAATCGAAACCCACGCCCGTGAGCTCGGCGGAGCGATCCCACAACCAACGAGCGTCGTCCACGTCCAAGCAGTTCTTCGCCGGCGTCTTCTCCGCGCAGTCGCTGTAGTACTTCCCCCGCGCCTCTCCCCGCGCGATCTCTCGAGCCAAAAACACGCTCGTCGCCGCGCCTTGTTCCGTCGTCTTCAAAAAATTCAATCTGATGAAATCGTACAGCTTCGTCTGCCACCACTTGATTTCTTCATCCGGCGGTTGGAGATATCGACCCAACTCGCTGTCGACGGCGCCCGGGTGCAACGCCGACGCCGTGACGTTCCCGAGTCCCGCCCTTTCGCACCTTCGCGCGAGCTCGAACGCAAACAACACGTTCGCGAGCTTCGACTGTCCGTACTGTCCCCACGCGCTGTAATTCTTCTCCCCGAACAAATCCTCCCGCGCCAAGCCTTTCCCCGCGATTCTGTGCGCCTCGCTCGACACGCAAATCACCCGCGCGTCCTCGCTCTTCGCCAGCGCCGGCATCAGCCCCGCCGTGAGCGCGTGATGTCCCAAGTGATTCACGCCGACTTGCAATTCAAATCCATCGCGCGTGCGCTCGAGTTTCGGCACCGCCATGACGCCCGCGTTATTCACCAGGCAATCCAACCCGTCGTCGCCCTCGTCGTCCAGGTACGACGCCGCGAAGTCCCGCGCGCTGGCGACGCTCGCCAGATCGAGCTCTCGAAACACCAGCGCGCACGTCGACGCCGCGCCGTCGCGCGCGAGCGCGTCGATCGCGCGTCGCGCCTTGCTCGCGTCTCGACACGCGAGCGTAATCTTCGAGTACTCGTTCGACGCCCGCAGCGCGCGCACCGTCGCGAGCCCGATCCCGGTGTTCGCGCCCGTCACGACGCACGTCTTGCGCGACGCGCCGTCGGCATCGCGCGACGCCGCGACGCGCGCGGACGCTCGAGGCATCATCGTCGTCGGCATCGCCGTCCGCGGAGTGCCGTCGCCATCGCGACGCGCGCGGATGACGCTCGACGCGCGACTCGACGACGTCGAGCGCGAGCTCGTGCGCGTCGCCAAGGCGCTCGTGCGCCGCGCGATCGATCGCGACGCGCGCGACGACGCCGGCGATTCGAACGACGCCGATGATGTCCCGCTCGACGACGTCGTCGCGACGCTGCGCGCGATCGACGACGACCTGCGAGCGCTGCGCGCGGCGATCCTCGACGCTCGGTCGAGCGCGTTCGCCGACGGCGCGCGCGCGAGGGCGGCGCTGCTGACGCGACACGGCGAGGCGACGGCGCGCGCGCGCGCGCTCGAGGAGGACGCGCGACGCGACGCGCGAGGCGAACGCACGACGAGCGCGGTGCCGAGCGCGCGCTCGCGAGGGGCGACGACGACGACGACGACGACGACGACGGTGTGGGAGACGATGGGACGCGCGCTGCGAGGATTGGTGCGCGGCGCGGGCGACGCGGGCGTCGCGGACGACGCGAGCGGGACGCGAGGCGCGAGGCGGTTCACGCGGGAACAGCGCGAGCGAGAGAAAATGAGCGGGGTGACGACGACGCGCGTCGGCGCGACGCGATGGGACGATGGTGAGGCGGAGAGCGACGGCGCGGCGCGAGGGACGTGGTTCGCGGGCGCGGCGGAGAGTTTGGCGCGCGTGGGGTCGACGGCGACGGAGACGAACGCGAACGCGGCGCCGAGCGCGAGCGCGAGCGAAGACGTCGCGCGCGACGAACTTTTCGAGCGTCGCGCTTCGTCGGAGGCGCGCTCGGCGCCCACGGCGGCGGCGGGCGAGCGCGCGAGGCGCGTCGACGCGATGCGCGGCGCCGACCGGCTCGACGCGTCGTCGGACGTCTTGTCCGAGTGCGCCGACGTCCTCGCGGAGACGCAAGACGTCGGCGCGTCCGTGCTCGAGACGCTCGCCGCGCAGCGCGAGTCGTTGATTCGCAGCGGCGCCGCCGCGCGCGGGGCGAAGAAGAAGATGGACGAGAACCTCAAAATCGTCAAGGGTATGAATTCGTGGACGAGACTGGGACGGTAGCGCCGCGCCGAGCGCCGAGCGCCGAGTGCCGAGCGTCGCGAGTTGTAATCTAGTCATCCACGGTCCCGCGCGGGCGCGCCCTTCAGACGATCTCGCGAACGATCTGAACGACGCCGTCCCGCCGAAAACCTCCCGCGCGACGCGGGCGCGCGTTTGAGAGCGTCGCGCTTCGACGCCGCCGCGATCGCCGCGGCGTCGCGTCGGACCGAGACGAGACGCGCGCGTCACTCCGCGACGCGCGACTCGACGATTCCGAGCGACCGCGCGCGACGGGAAAAGGACGACGCGAGAGCGCGCGCCGCGCCGCGACGCGCGGTCGGCGCGGGCGAAGGACGAGGACGACGGCGCGACGCCGCGTCGAAAAAATCTGGGCACCTCCGAGAACGACGAGATGCAAAGAACGACGAGAAAACGACGCGAACGGCGCGAAAAGAACGACGAGAAAAGAACGAATGACTGCGAGAATGGTTGCGATACGTGCTTTTATGCCGCCGAGAATGGACATTTGGAGTGTTTGAAGTACGCGCGCGAGCACGGGTGCGATTGGGACGTGTGGACGTGCCGTGGTGCCGCCTATTATGGACATTTGGAGTGTTTGAAGTACGCGCACGAGAACGGGTGTCCTTGGAACTGGGCGACGTGCATCGCTGCCGCCGTGAATGGACATTTGGAATGTTTGAAGTACGCGCGCAAGAACGGGTGTCCTTGGGACGAGAAGACGTGCGAGGGAGCCGCCAAGTATGGACAGTTGGAGTGTTTGAAGTACGCGCACGAGCACGGGTGTCCTTGGGACGAGTTGACGTGCTGGAGTGCCGCCTATTATGGACATTTGGAGTGTTTGAAGTACGCGTGCGCTCACGGATTTCCGGGTTCAGATCCTTACGCCACGGCGCTGAACGAAGTCTGTATACCAGACGCCGACAAGCGACTCGGCGTCGAAGTCGCGCTCATGTTTCATCGAGCGAACGGTGGCGACATCTCCATGCGAGAATTCCTGCCGGTATGGAAAGAGCACGGAGAGCTTTATCGCGAGGCGCACTTGAGAGTTGCTCGAGAGCTAGCACCGACGTTATGATTACAGCGCGTCGCGCCGTCTATGCGCTAATTTCTCATCGCGGCGAATCTGCTTTGATGGCCACGCCGACGTCTACGGACGCGCGAATGACTTCGCCGCGGCGCTCGCCGTTGACGCGCTCGTCCTGCCATTCCAACATCGCCGCTACGTTATCGAAACACCCCATGACGTACTGGTCCATGCGCAAGTGATTGGCGTGCGTCGCCGAAAACGGAATCTCGCACTCCGTCGCCGCGCCTTCGATTCCGAGCAACGCGAACGACACGCACGCGACGGCGGCGATCGTTCCCCACCCCCACCGACCTACGAACACGAACGGCATAGATATCAAATACGCGAATAAAAACGTGCGCAAATGAATGACGTAAATTTCCGGAATCTTCGTCGCTCGCAACCGCTCCAGCGCGCCCACTTGCGACGCCAAAAAATCCACTCTCTTATTCAACTCGTATCGCAACGCCGCCGCGTCCGCGTCGCGTCCTCGACCCTCAAAACACCGTTTCACCGCGCGTCGACACATGGACAAGCAAAACAACGGCGGGTGCTTCGATCGCGACACCGCCACGCGATCTTCGTCGGACAAAATTCCCGCCACTTCGTCGCGTTCGATTTCGCGAGCGCCTCGCAGGTGACATTTGCTCGCGCTCGCGAACGCGCACGCCCACGCCGCGCCGTCGTCCACCGCGGCCCTCCCGCGGTCGTCATCGCCGCCGTACATCAGCGGCACGTCCACGAACGCTCTTACGCCCGCGACGATCCCCCCGAACGCGGCTCTGCCGTCGTACCATCGCACCGCCGCGCGCGCCAGCCGAAACACCAACAAAAATCCCATCGCCGAAAACGTCAGCGCGTACGCCCCGTCGAACGCGCCTTGGTCCGCGCGCGCCGCGGACGTCGCCGCGCGCTCGTGTATCACCGTCCACGCGATCGACACGGCGTTGACGACGGCGAACGGCGCGGCGAACGCGCGCACACCGCGCCGGTCGATGGATGTCGCGAACACGGATGCGAAGAAATTCGACGAATCGTACTCCGGTTGCGCGCGCGCGCCCGCTTGGAGCGCCGCGCGACGCGCCGCGGTGTTGTCCGCGTCGCGCATCGTCGCGCCGAGCCGCGTCGACGCCGCCATCGCGCGCGAATCGACGCGCAGTCGACGTCGCGGAGTAACGAACTCGCGCGCGCGTCACTTTTAGACGCGATGTTCGGCGCGAGCGCGTTCATCGAGCGCCGCGTGCGCCGCGCGCGGTTCGACCAGGCGCTGATCGACGACGAGCACCCGACGCCGGGTGCGCGCGCGACGCGACGCGCGCGAAATCGACGCGAATCTCGACGACGCGAATCTCGAATCATCCGACGACGACAAAGAATCTCGACGACTGACGCGACGCGAGACGCGCTCGCGAACACCCCAGCGTACGCGACGGCGCAGCTCGCGGAGATGGCGTCGGCGCTGACCGGAGACGACGCGCGGGACGCGTGCGAACACCTGACGCGACGCGCCGAGCACGCGTCGCCGTACGTGCAGCGAAAGGCGCTGCGACTGATCGCGAAGTGCTGCGAGGGAGGCGAGCGGCGCTCGACGACGTTCGCGAGGGAGATGGCGAAATTGTCGAGCCGCGTGCGGGCGCTGCAGACGGCGACGGGGGCGCCGCATCCGACGAAGGGAGACGCGCCGCGCGCGGCGGTGCGAGACGCGGCGAAGGAGTGCATGGCGGCGATTTTCGGGAGCGAACGCGACGCGGGGAGCGACGCGGGGACGAGGACGGTGGGAGGGCGCGCGATGGAAGGGTTCGGGGATGGACGCGACGCGCGGGCGGTGGAGAGCGGCGCGGCGGACGCGTATCGAACGACGCCGCCGAGGACGACGAAGCCGGGAACGTTGGACGCCCCGTTGGGGGACGCGCTCAAGTCCACGCCGAAGCTGCGCGTCGAGGCGAGTGAGGCGAAATGGAAACCACTTCGACCGCCGTCGCCGGTGAAGAAAGTGGCGGCGGCATCGACGAGCGGCGTGGGGGATTTGCTTTCGGACTTCGCGTCGGCGACGCCGGCGCGAGCCGAGACAACGGCGCAGACGAGCGCGATGACGTCGAGAACGAGCGAGGCGTTCGTTTTAGACGGCTCCGAGGAGAAGCGCGCGATAGATAAGCTTTGCACGCCGAGCGGCGTAAGATTGGTGCCCGCGGAAGCCGACGTCGAAGATTTCTTGCGAACGGGATCGAGATTGAACGCTCAAGGCGTCGTCGTCGCGCTTTCGGAGCGTTTGCTGACGTACGCTAGCGGCGAAGAAGGCTGGCGCGGCGCTTATCGCGCGGTGAACGTCCTCGAACGCGCCGCGTCGACGAGTTCGCATCGTTGGCTCGCCGATGTCTTCGCGAACTCGTCGGCGATGGATTTGCTCGACGCCGTCGCGAACGACGCGTCGACGCACGCGCAGTTGAAGCACAAGGCCAAAGCGTGCGCGGAGGCACTTCGACGCGGCGCGACGTCCGGCGCGACGCCCGGCGCGGCGCCCGGCGCGGCGCCCGCGGCGACGACGGATTTACTCGCCCAGCTCGGCGACCTCTCCGTCGCGTCGCCGCCGACGGCGCCGCCGACCGCGTTCGTCGACCCGCTCGCCGGTCTCACGACCGACTTCGCGTCCGCGCCGCCGTCCTCGTACGTCCCACCGACCGCACCGATGCGCGGTCCCGGGCTCGAGGCGCTCCGCGACGTCCCCCCGACGACGGACGCGACGCGCCTCTCGCAAACCAAAGCCTTCGATTTCGTCGGCGACTTGCTCAAATGACCCGGTCGCCTCGTCTCGCGCGCTCGTTCGACGCCTTCGACGGTTGATTTGTTTTTTCAATTACAACACACCTCCGCTCGCTAAAACGCCGCGCTCCGCGCGCTTCTCTCTCAGTTTCCTTCGCCTCGCCGCTCAAACGTCCCCAACCGCGGATACTTGCTCTCAAACTTCGCGCGCCACTCCCCCAGCGTCTTCAACTCCTCCTCCGTCAGCCCGCGCGCGCCGAGCGCCTCGTCCGCGTCCGACACGTTGATCTTCATCGTCGCCAGCGCCCGCGTCGCGTCGCGTCCGTTCAGCGCGGCGTACGGTCCACCGACGCCGTAGAAATCTTTCCCGAGCGTCGCGTCGAACACGACGCCGTCGCACGCGAACGCGCACAGCGCGCCGTTCGAGCGCTCGACGAGCGCGCGGAGCGTCGCGGGCGTGAACGTCGTCGCCGCGTCGCCGTCGCCGTCGCGCGTCGCCATGCCGCGACGCGCGCGTCGTCAGATGGCGCCGATGGCGACGCCGACGCGCGCGGCGGCGACGCCGCGCGTCGCGCGCGGACCCTCGCGCGCGCCGACGCGCCGCGCCATGGTCGCGGGCGTCGCGCTCGTCGCGACGCGCGCGCGAGACGACGCCGACGACGCGCGCGCGCGCGCGGCGACGACGACGGACGACGCGCGAAGACGCGCGGAAGAAACCATGGCGACGCTGCGCGAGGACGTCGCGACGCGGCAGTACTTCGTCACGGGCGAGCTCACGGAGGCCATCTTCGCGCGCGACTGTCGGTTCGTCGATCCGACGACGGACGTGCGAGGGCTCGAGCGGTACCTGCGCGCGGTGCGCGCGCTGTTCGACGAGCGACGGTCGAGCGTGCGGTTGATCGGAGACTTGCGGTTGGTGGACGCGACGACGATCGAGGGGGATTACAGGGCGGAGGGATACCTGAAACTGCCTTGGAATCCGCGCGTGCCGCCGTACGAGGGACACATCACGTGGAAGTTGAGACCGAACGACGGGAGCGCGGACGCGGGGCTCATCGTGGAGCAGAGACAGACGTGGTCGATCTCGGGAGGGGAGGCGCTGCGAGAGACGTTCACGCCGGGGAGGTGATGGGGCCGAGCGATGCGGGGAGCGGGGAGGCGACGCGCGACGCGTGTAGAATGAAGTGTAAAATAACGAGCGACGCGCGAGACGACGTCGCGGCGAAAACACGTTAAGGAACGCGCGAGACGACGTCGCGGCGGGCGCGACGGGAACGAATCGAATGATTTTCTCCTTGGCTCGAGTATTAACAAACTAGTGTACTGGTACGACGCTTAGACGATGAGCGCGGCGGTGTGCAATTTTTCCGCGAGCGTGAGCTGCGTCCTCGTCAAATTCGTCAAGTACCGCACCATCATCACATCCTCGGCGCTGTCTCCGAACACCTTGTCGAACTGCGCCTTCGTGAGCTGCGGGACACCGGCGAGCGCGGCGGAGAGCGCGCGACCGACTTCGGCGTCGCCCTGACGTTCGCCGCGCACCACCGCGTCGACGTACGCCTGCGCGTCCGTCAACAGCTTACCCAATTTACCCATAGTCTGCGCCAGCCCAGCGACGTCGTCGTCGTCTTTCGCCGAGCTCGCGGATCGAAGCGATTCGACGCCCAACTTTGTGGCTTGCTGAAGATCCACCTCGCACTCGATTTCGCTAAACCACACGCCCGCCGATCGGCTCTCGCCGCTCTCCCGATCCGTCGTCGCCAGCACCGTGTCCCCGACGCTCGCGCTGAGCATCTCCCCGCCGTTTCCAGCACCGGTGAAGTCCGCATCTAACATCACGTGCACGGGCGTCCCATTCAGCGCTTCCTTGGCGAAGAATTCGTGCACGAGCGCTCGCGCCTCCGGCGTCACGCTCCCCGCGCTAAACCACCCGACCACGCGTTCCTCCGGGTTCACCCTCGCGTGCAATCCGAGCATGGTCTTATGAAATTCAACGTCCACGAACATTTCCCCATCGCGATCGTGGCACGGAATCGCGTACGACGTGCGCGCGACGACGACGACGCGACCGTCCGCCGTCGTCGTCGCCGTCCCGAGCACCGCGCCGATCACCTTGTCCACCGCCTCACCGCGTCGCACGTAGCTGTTCGTTCGCGCAGCGTCGACGACCGTCAGTCACATCGCTCTCGCGCGCGTCATCGCGTCCGCGCGCGTCGCGCGACGTCGCTTTCGCGTCGTTTTCACGTTCGCCGCAATTTTTAGGTTCGTCACGTCGTGACGTTTCGTCGCCGCGCGTTCGCGCGCGCGCGTACCTGTCGCACACGTTCAACACCACGGACGGGGTGACGCTGATCTTTGAGATCGTGCCTGGGGCGCTGAGGGAGGGCATCGTGCGAAGACGGCGCGCGCTCGAGAGTGGCGGGCGCGACGACGCTTAGGGTCCAGAACGCGAGCGCGACTCGGCGGGCGCGACGAAATCGAGACGCGAGCGACGCGAGACGGGCACGATTCGGTCGTGAGCATATCTTACAATTATTGTCGAAATACGGGGAGCTAGATCACGCCTCGAGGCGGCGCATTTTGGCTGCGCTCTTCACCGCGAGCTTCTCGACGGCGTTCGTGAGCGACGTGGCTTGAAGCTTTGGGTCGAAGTGTTGGTCGTATTCCGCGGGAGCGATACCGAACGCGTCGCACAGCGCCATCTTACCTTTTTTCAGGCGTTCGCGGAGCAAGTGCTCGAGGTCGCTGCGCTCGACTTGACTGAGTCGTGACGCGACGCCGCTTCTCGCGCCTTTGGCGGTGAAGCCCGCCGTCAAGCCGTACGCCGGGTGATCTTCCGTCACCGCGGGGACGTCCATCCTGTACTTTGACGCCGCGGTAATCTTTCCAGACGCGGTGAGTCTGCTCGTTTTATCCGCAGCAGGCACGGATTTCGGACGTCCGCGCGTCGCGGCGACGGCTGTCTTCTTCGTCGTGCCCATGGAATCCAAAGCGGCGGCGGCGAGCGAGGCGAGTGGGTCGTCTTCAACTTCGGCACCCTTACGCTTACGTCCGCGCTTGGATGGTCCAGGAGGACGACCTCGTCGTTTTTGCACCGACATGGTGATCTTTTCGTATTCGTCGTCGCTCAACGCCTCTCCCAACTTACCACCTTTGCGCCTGCTCGCTGGACTGAGAAACGCCTCCGCACCGTCTAAGTCATCAGTTTTTCTCGCTGGTCGCGCCGGAGACCACGTGCCTCGCACCGCGGTTAGCACCTTGTCCACCTTGACGAATTCATTGGCGTTTGCCGAACCTTTCTGCACCATGACGTTGGACGACGGCGCGCCGCCGTCGCCGCCTTCGTCCTTCACAATGTTCGGTATCGCCGCACCGGCGTCGCTCGGCGTGTTGCTCAGCAGTTGCGGTGCACTTTGCAACGGAGTTCCATCGCTGTTGTTCGTCGGTGTGATTCTATCCGGAGTCGTCGCGCCGCTCGCCGATTTCGCCCCTCGCGACGCCGGCGTCGAAGCGCCGGCGTCCGCATCGGTAGTCACATCTTCGTCTTCGTTGTCGAACCCATCGTCCGACGAGCCTTCGTCGTCGTCATCTCCATTTTCTGATCCCATAGCGAGCTCGTGCGCGAGGTCCAACAGCATGCCGCTCGCACCGTTCGGTTCTTCTCCGTACCCGCCTCGAGCGCGCGCCTGAAGCTCGCGAACGGCTTGCGCCGCGGCGACGGCTCGAATCCGCGACGCATCGCTTCGATTTCTTCGCGCCTTGTGGTTAGCCTTCGAATACGCCTGCTGCAATTTCTTTGTGGTGTCGTCCAAATCCAACACCGCGCATTCCTCCATCCTGCGTTTTTGATCTTCGAGCTCCTCCACCGATTTGACGAGAAGTTTATTCTGATCGCCTGGCGAAATTCCAGCTTGCACGTTCGTGATGAGGCGATCGAGCGATTTCATCTTGCGGAACGGCCAACGCGCGATGCCGTATTTGCGACACTGGCGCTTCAAAACCGTCAAACCGACGCCGAGCTTTCGGCACGCAGCCTCGGATGGAAGATGAAAGCAACTCGAAAGCTCCTCTTGCGAAATCTCCGACGCGCTCCGAAACTGTCGCACGCGCCGGTTCTCTCGCGACTGATTCGGCGGTTTCTCTTTCTTTGGTTTCCCTTTTTTCGGATCCTTGCCCGCGCTTTCGCCCGCAACCTTTCGCAGGTGCGCGTTCTTCGCCAACGCGTGCGACACGACAGCCTTCGTCGTCAACTCCGCGTCCATCGTCGGTCTCGCCGCGATCGCGGCCGATATCGACATCCCATGCACGACCCCCTTACCGTTCCCGTCATCCTTTCCCATCGCGTTCGCGTCCTCATCTCGCCCTCCCGTCTCCATCGCGTCCTCGCTCGCCGTCGTCTCGCTTCGCTCGTTCGCGTCCCCGCGCGCCTCGCGCCTACTCGTCGTCCCGTCGTTCGCGTCTCCGCGCCCTCTCGCCCGCTCGATCGTCTCCATCGTCGCCCGCCCGCGTCTCCACGCCTCCTCCGTCCGCGCGCCTTCGCGATCGTCGCCTTCGACGACCGCGTCGCTCGCCGCCGCCGCGTCCCGCGCGCCGGGTCACCAAAACGTCACCAAGACGAACCGCCGCGATCCGCGCGATCGCCTCTTCCGCCCCGACGATCGCCGACGCGCGCCCGTTCGCGCGCGCCCGCGCGCGCGATCGACGCGAGAATACGCGACGCGCGCCTCTCGCGCGCTCGCGACGCCCGCGTCCGTCGCGCGTCGACGCGCGACCGCGATCGCGACGACGATTCTCGTCCAGGGTCCGCGCGCGCGGTGCGGCGCGCGGCGCGTTCGCGGCGCGCGTCGCGCCCGCGCGACCGCGTGCTCGCGCTTCCGACGCGCGAAAACGAACGCACAAAAGTGCGCGCGAAGATCGCGAGCGCGAGCGCGCGCGTCGACCGTCGCGGTGTGCGTCGACGCGCGCGCGCGACGCGTCTATCGGCGCCGGATCGTCGCGCCGCGCGCGCGGCACCCCGGGCGTCGCTCTTGGCGTTCAGCGCGCGCAAAGTACGCGCGAGCGGGACGCGATCGCATCCTTCGATTTATTGGTTCCGGACTCGTCGCGAGTGGGGGGTCGGCGCTCCATTTTTTGTCGGTTCGGTTCCGATCGCGCGCGCGATCGCGCGACGAACCTCGGCGCGAGGTCGACGCGCGCGCGGCGAAACCGGGCGCGAGGTTCGAGCGCGCGCGGCGGCGGTGGATCGCAAAGTACGCGCGCGCGCGGCGGCGCATCGCGGCGCGCGGAACGGCGCGCGCGCGCGGCGCGCGATGCGGCGGTGCGCGACGCGCGCGGAGGGGTTCGCGCGCGGACTCGCGCGCGCGGTCGCGGACGACGGCGCGCGCGGCGCGCGAGGCGGCGGCGCGCGCGGGACGACGACGAGGACGACGACGACGACGACGACGACGACGAGGGAGGACGCGACGGCGAGCGCGACGACGACGAACGCGACGACGACGTTCGAGGAACGCGCGCGCGCGCGGTCGAGGCGGAGCGAGGCGAAGCGGCGGCTGCGGACGTACAGATTCGCCGAGGCGGAGGCGAGCGAGGGCGCGCGCGCGAGGCGAAACGGAAACGCGCGGACGCACGTGGGGGGGTATTTCGATGGGTTCGAGATTCGTGGACGGAAGAAGGAGAGCGCGTTTGATGATGGACGCGACGCGCGACGGGAGACGGCGCGGGAAGGGGCGCGGTTGTTTCGAAGGTTCGCGCGAGAGCGAGGCGGCGGCGGCGGTTTCGCGGACTCGAGGCTTCGCGACGACGGCGACGAGGCGTTCTTTCGCGCGTATTTCGGCTCGCGGGAGGGTGGTGGAGACCGCGCGCGGGTGGATGCGAATGGGTTCTACGCGCGCGCCGGGTGCGAGCACTGCGAGGCGCTCGGGTTGAAGTCGAGCGAGTTCGTCACGCCCGAGGCGTTGAAGACGGCGCTTCGCGAGCAGGCTTTGAAATGGCATCCGGATAGACACGACGACGAAAAGAAACCGATCGCGGAAGCGAGGTTTAAGCGCGTGTACGATGCGTACGAGTATTTAGCCGAGCGCGCGGGCGCGCGATCGTCGGAGTAGAAGAGAATTATTAGCGCAGTAGGAAACGTAGCCTTCTAGAAACGCTCGCGTCTTTCATGACAACCGACGAAAAATCACATCATCGTGCAGCACTGATTCTGCTTCTTCGCCTGTTTGTAAAACATCTGACTCGCCAGCGATAGATCAGTGCTCTTATCCACCAAATTATCCAACTTTTCCCCTCTCGCCAACACGCTATCGATGGTTTTGTGCAACACCACCTTGGTGTCGTCCAACTCTCTCTGAATCTTCAAAATCTTATCCGCCGCGCTCGGGTCTTGATACTTCACCAGCATTTCCTCCAGCATCTCACTCGCGCGTCCTCCCTCGGGTTTATCCTCGCGCACCGCGCGCCACGCCTCGTTCGCGCCTTCGCCGTTCGCGCTCTCGTACTCGTCCATCATCTTGCCCAGCACGCAAAACGCGCTTCTGCTCGGATATTCCTCATCCATCACCGCCACGGCGACCAGGCCCGACTTATTCGACACGTGCACCATGTACGCGTCCTGCTGCACGCTCTGTCGCGCGCCCAGAGGCGTGCGTTTCGCGACGGTTCGAGAGATAAAGATCAACATTTCGCGCACCGAGGCGCGCTGGAAGAATCCAAATTCAGCGACGTCCGTGGCGCCGCCGAGGAAGCTAGGATCGTCGTCGGCGCCGTTAGATTTCCATAGCGTTAACGCGGTGACTTTCATGTCGCGATGACGCGACGCGAGGCGCGACGCGAGGCGCGACGTGAGGAAGATGAGGGACGGACGAGGCGAGATCTTCTCGGCTCGAGGCGACGGCGACGGCGCGAAACGAGCGAGCGAGCGAACGGCGTGGCTACGGATTCGGCTAAGTCTCACGACAAACAATACGAACGAATAATCACGAAATCGCGGCTCGCGAGGGAGACGCGGCGTCGCGCGGTCAGGACGCGGCGTCGTTCCAGGAAGCGACGCGGGCGGCGTAGAGGCTCAAGCCGCGCTCCCAGTCGTCGACGCGCAAACCTCTGGGCGTTCGCACGACCACCGGACCGAGACCGGTGTCCTCGCACACGCACCCGCGCTCGACGGCGGCGCAGTGGTCGCCCCAGTTACAGTCGTCGAAGAACAGCATGCGCGAGTACGCGACGCCCGTCTCGCGTCGTAAAATCGGAAAGTGCGTCCGCGCCTTGTCCGGCGACAGCGGCGGCGTTCGACCGATTTGCAAATTTCCCTCGAATCCCTCGGGCCAACCTTTGGCGAAGACCTGCCGGACGGTCACGCCTGGAAACACCTCCAAGACGTCCAACGCGCTGCGTCCGATTCGCACGGCGAGCGGCGTGTCCGCGCTCGACGCCGCCGCCGCGCGCGTCTCGAGCGTCCCGAGCCAAATCTGTTGAAACGCCCGCAGCGCGCCGGGATGCAGCGCGATCGGCGTGTTTCCGCTCATCGCGGCCACGACGCCTTCGCCGCAGTCGGGACCGAGCGAGCCGCGGCGCGAGCGCGTCGGGTCGACGATTTCTCGCAGCTCGAACATCTCTTTGTCCCACGTGCAGGCGTCCAAGTCGAAGACGGTGAGCTCGGGATGCGGCGACGCGCGCGGGGCGACGGCGGTGGGCATCGCTCGCGCGCGCGAACGAACGCGGGTCGGGGCGAGGACGACGGCGCGGATCCGCGGCGTCGCGCGGGACATCGCGGCGCGCCGCGGCGCGCTCTGGGGACGGTTGCTCTCGCGGCGCGAATCATTTACACTTAAATACTGGTACAGGGCCGTCAAAGTTCGTCGTAAAAGGCGCGCTCTTCGGCTGTCATCGGACCGCGCTGCTGGACGACGCGACGACCGACGCGGCGACCGGCGGAGCCGGAGTCGCGACCGGTGCCGCGACCGACGTCGCGAGTGGGCGACGACGGGCGCGAGCTCTTCCAAAACTCATCGTTCACGCTCATCTCGCGGCCGATTTCTTTCGCGCTGACGTTTTTTTCGGCGCGGACGATCGAGGCGCCGAGTTCGAGCGAGGACGCCGGTCGCTCGTTCGCCGCGGCTTCGAGGTGGGAGTGCGCGTACGACGTCACCACGACGGCGAGAAGGATGAACGAGATCGAGTACCACAGCCAGGGCGATTGGCTGTGAACGCTCACGGCGGCGTTAAACGTAGCGCCCGCGACAGACTTTTTCGGCGCGGGAGCTGATTCGTCGTTTGCGTCTTCGCTCAAGCCTTGAAACGGCGCCGCCTCCGGGGCCTCGTCCTCTTTGTCTCCGTGGTCGTCGTCGTCGCCGTCCTCCTTCGCCTGATTTTCATCGTCATCGGCGTCGACGCGCGTCTTCGCCGTCTCGTTTTCCTCCGCCGCCGCTAGTTCTGCGTTTTTCTTCCGCAACGCCGCGTTCTCCGCCTTCAACTGTTCCGCGCGAAGCGCCGCGTTTTCCTCCTCTAATTTTTTAATCAGCGCCGCCTGCTTCGCCGCGTCGTCCTCCTCCTTCGTCTCAGACTTCGCCTTCGGCGTCGACGCATCGTTCGAACTCGAACTTTCCCTCCCATCGGATTCCGACGCGTCCTCACCGTCTCCCACCGACGCGCCTTCGCTCTCGTCGTCCTTCGCCTCGCTCGCCGCCTCCGCGGCTTCGCCGAGCGCCCGCAACGCCTCCCCCAACTCCCCCACGCCCCTCGCCGACGCCGTCGCGTTCACGAAATCCTCGAGGATATCATCCAGTATGTCCAGCGCCTGTCCGTACTCCCCTCTCGCGCTCGCCCGCATCGCCGCCTCCGCCGCCGTCGCGTTCGCGTTCGCCGCCTCGGTTTCCAACGCCGCGAGCGCCGCCGCGAACCCCTCCTCCGCCCGCGCGCTCGCGATTCCCCCCACCGTGGCGTTCACCAGCGCGCGCACCGATCGCATCAACTCTTGCGCGCGCTCGATCGTCATCTCCGTCGTCGCGTCGCGCGTCGTCGTCGCGTTCGTCGCGTTCGTGTCGACGATTGGCGACGCGCGCGCGACGCCGACGCGTCCGAACGCGCACGCGGTGAGCGCGCACAGCGCGCACAGCGCGCGCGGTGCGGTCGCGATCGACGCGCGCGCGCGCGTCGCGCGCCGTTCGCGCGGCATCGCGCGCGGCGACGGGTTGTGGGGCTGGATCGTCGCGCGACGGTTTGGTGTTGCTCGTCGGCGCGCGGCGGTTCGGTGTTGCTCGTTCGTCGCGCGGCGCGCGATTCGCGGTGAAACGACGATGCGATGACAATCTACACGTTCTTTTTGTAATCGCCCATGAAGTGGGCGAAGCGAGAGATGAGGGTGGCGAAGAAACCGTAGTCGAGGAGCTTGAGGAGCATGCGAAAGCCGACGGCGACGGCGCCGACGTCGTGCCACAACACGCGACCGATCGGGCGGAACATCTCCGTCGGCAGCTCTTCGGGCTTCACCGCGAACTTCATGAAAAAGTTCAACGAATCCAACTTGTGGGCGTTGTCGTAGAAACGGGACGCCACCGGCGACGGATGCACCGCGCAGACGTCGACGCCGCGAGATTTCAACTCGACGCCGATGTTCGCCGCGAAGGAGGATACGTACGCCTTCGTCGCGCCGTAGAGCGCCGAAAACGGCGTCGGTTGACACGCCGCCGCGCTCGACGTGAACACCACGCACCCTCGCAGTTTCTTCTCCAGCATTCTCGTCACGAAGACGTGCGTGATTCGCATCGCGCTCGTCGCGTTGCACTCGTGATTCGCGTTCAACTTTTCCAACGGTTGCTTATCGAAAAACCCCGTCAGCATGAACCCCGCGTTGTTGAACACGCACTGCACGTCCACGTCCTCCATCGCGCGCGCGATGACGTCCACGTACCCTCCCGAGCGATCCCCGAGGTTCACCGCGATCGCCCGCACCTCGCGCTTCGCCCCGTGTCGCTCCCGCAGCGCCTTCGTCGTCTCCACCAGCGCCTCGTCGTCCAGCGCCGCGATCGCGACGTTCAGCCCTTGATCCAACAGCGCCTCCGCGAGCGATCGTCCGATCCCCGTCGACCCGCCCGTGACGAGCGCCCACGTCGCGCCGTACTTTTTCCTTAAATTTTGCGCCGGCATCATCTGCACCCACAGTTTCGGCATCGCGTACGTCCCGAGCGCGACGAGGCCGTACAGCGCCAAGACGCGCGTCGCGATCGCGTCGACGAAGGTGTCGCGCAGCATCGCGCGGGCGTACGGCACCGGAAGCGCCCACAGCACGCCCATGTTTTGCGACGACGCGTTCGAATCAATGCGGCGCGCGCGAATCGTCGACGGCGGCATGGGCGAGCGATCGCGCGCGTCGCGATGCGTACATGCATAAATAAATAAATACACGTAATGACTGTTTACACACACCCGTGTGTCCGACCCCCGGGCCACGCACGCCCCGACACCCGGAAAACGCCGAAAACCCGTACTCAGGGGGCCTCGAGCGCTATTTTCGCGCGCCGCGCGATCGATCGAGGCCCCGAGGCCCCTCGCGAGGGAGGGTGCCGCTCGATCGACGCATCGTCGTCGCGCGCGCGTCAAAGCGCGACGCCGCGACACGCGCACGCGCCGCGCGCGCGACCGATCGTTCGGGGTACGTCCGAACGACGTTCACGCGCGCGCCGACCGTCGCGACAACCGACGATGGCGCGATCGATGACGCGAACGATGACGCAGCCGACGGCGAGAAGGCCAACCGGCGCGAAAACGATGGCGCCGACGTCGACGACGCGGAAGCGCGCGAACGGGGCGCGCGCGCGACGCGGCGCGCGCGCGTCGGTGACGGACGCGAACGGGAACGAGGCGACGGACGCGAGCGAACGCGCGATCGCGAACGCGGCCTCGGGGGGGCTCGGACGGGTGTTTCGATTCGGAGGGGGACGGGCGGAGGGCGCGCGCGACGCGAAGGCGCGCCTGGGAGGGAAGGGGGCGAATCTGGCGGAGATGTCGCGCGTCGGGCTGAGCGTGCCGCCGGGATTCACCGTGGACACGGAGACGTGCGCGGACTTTCACGCGAACGGTGGGGCGCTGCCGGAGGGGGCGTGGGAGGAGATGGTCGCGGGGCTGGCGCACGTGGAGGCGGCGCTGGGGAAGACGCTGGGGGACGCGGAAAATCCGCTGTTGGTGTCCGTGAGGAGCGGCGCGGCGGTGTCGATGCCGGGGATGATGGACACGGTGCTGAATCTTGGGTTGAACGATTCCGTGGTCGAGGGGTTGGCTCGACGCGCCGGTGGACGCTTCGCGTTTGACTCGTATCGCCGATTTCTCGACATGTACGGCAACGTCGTCATGGGGATCGATCACGGCAAGTTTGAACACGCGCTGGAGACGCTGAAGCGCGACGTCGGGGTGGATTCGGACGAAGGACTGAGCGAGCAAAACTTGCGCGACTTGGTTGAGATCTACAAGGGGGTGTACGCCTCGGAAAACGTGTCGTTTCCGCAAGATCCGCTCGAGCAGTTGCGTCTCGCCACGTACGCCGTCTTCGACTCGTGGAACAGCGACCGGGCGAAGAAGTACATGGCCATCAACAAGATCACCGGTTTGCGAGGCACGGCTGTGAACATTCAAGCCATGGTGTTCGGGAACATGGGCGAGACTTCCGGAACGGGGGTGTTGTTCACGAGAAATCCGAGCACGGGCGAGAATAAGCTCTACGGCGAGTACTTGGTCAACGCTCAAGGCGAGGACGTCGTCGCGGGCATTCGCACGCCGAGCGATATCTCAACCATGAAGGACGCGTTGCCCGCGGCGTACGAGCAGTTGGTGAAGAACACGGAACTCTTGGAATTGCACTTCAAAGACATGCAAGACATCGAATTCACCGTCGAGGACGGCCAACTCTTCATGCTTCAATGTCGCTCGGGCAAGCGCACGGGCGCGGGCGCGGTGAAAATGGCGGTCGACTTCGTGAAGGAAGGCTTGGTGACCAAGGAAGAAGCCGTGCAAATGGTCGAACCCACGCACGTCGATCAACTGCTTCATCCGCAGTTTAAAGACGAGGGCGCGTACAAGGCCGACGTCATCGGCGCCGGCTTGCCCGCGTCACCGGGCGCCGCCGTCGGACAAATCGTCTTCAGCACCGAAGACGCCGAAGCCGCGAAAGCCGAAGGTCGCAAGGTCATCTTGGTTCGCGTCGAAACCTCGCCCGAGGACGTCGGCGGCATGGACGCCGCCGAGGGCATCTTGACCGCGCGCGGCGGCATGACGTCGCACGCCGCCGTCGTCGCTCGCGGCTGGGGTAAGACGTGCGTCTCTGGCTGCGGCGAGTTGTCCATCGACGAGCACGCGCGCACGTTCACTTTGGGTGGCGTCACGCTTCATGAAAACGACTGGTTGAGCTTGAACGGTACCACGGGCGAAATCATTCGCGGTCGCGCCGATCTCATGCCACCGACTGTGAGCGAAGATTTGGGCACGTTCATGTCTTGGGTCGACGAATTCCGTGACATGAAGGTGCTGACAAACGCCGATACGCCCGAAGATGCCGCCGCGGCGCGCGCCAACGGTGCCGAAGGCATCGGTCTCGTGCGCACGGAGCACATGTTCTTTGGCAGCGGCGAGCGCATTCGAACCGTGCGTCGGATGATCATGGCCAAGGACACGCCCTCCCGCGAAGCCGCGCTCGATGCGCTGTTGCCGTTCCAGCGAGATGATTTCAAGGGCATCTTCCACGCCATGAGCGGTTTGCCGGTGACCATTCGCCTTCTCGATCCTCCGCTTCACGAGTTCTTGCCCGACGGCGAGTTGGACGACGTCGTTCAACTTCTCAGCGAGGACACTGGCGAGACTGAAGAAGACATCGTCGAGCGCATCGAAAAGCTCGTCGAAGTGAACCCGATGTTGGGTTTCCGCGGCTGCCGATTGGCCATCACGTATCCAGAAATCGCGCGAATGCAAGTTCGCGCCATTCTCGAAGCCGCGTGCGAAGCCAAAGCCGAGGGCGCGTCGCCGATTCCCGACATCATGGTCCCGCTCGTCGGCACCGTCGCCGAACTCGAAGATCAAGTGGCGTTGATTCGTCAAACCGCGGACGTCGTCTTCGGCGAGCGTGGGGACTCTGTGGAATACCGCGTGGGTACCATGATCGAGATTCCTCGCGCGGCGCTGTTGTCGAATGAAATCGCCAAACACGCCGAGTTCTTCTCGTTCGGTACGAATGACTTGACGCAAATGACGTTCGGTTACTCTCGCGATGACGTGGGTAAGTTCCTGCCCACGTACCTCGAAAAAGGTGTGCTGAAGCACGATCCTTTCCAAGTCATCGACGTCGACGGCGTCGGGCAACTCGTCCAAATGTCCGTTGAGCGCGGTCGCTCCACGCGCCCCGACTTGAAGGTTGGGATTTGCGGTGAGCACGGTGGCGAACCGATCTCTGTCGAGTTCTTCGCGAAGAGCGGTCTCGACTACGTCTCGTGTTCGCCGTTCCGCGTGCCCATCGCACGTCTCGCCGCGGCGCAAGCCGCGATTCGAGCCAAGAAAGTGTAAGCCCTCCGACGTCGCGCCGTCGCGAGCGAGCTTTATCGCCGCCACTATAATCCCTCTGTACGATTCGCGAGAGTTCAAGACTACTTAAAGGAAGTTCACTCGCCAAGATGTAATTACAAATTCGCAAGCAAGCAAATATGCTAAAAAGTGGTGCTCGACTAACTTTTCTTCGAAACCCTGTTCTAACGGTAGCGACGGTAGGACAAGCGGTTGTTGTTTCTCCAGGTGGCCCGCTTGGACGGACGAGACTTGGTGAAGTTGTGACCCTTGCCGTGCAAGCCACGGTACTTGCGCCCCGCGGACGTGAGACCGCGCATTTCGCGGTGCTTGTGCGTCGGGTTGCAGATCCAGTTGATGCGCGGGTCGTTGCGCACGCACTTGTGCATCGGGTCCACCATGATCACCTCATAGTACTTGTACACCGAGTCTTGGTTCAACCAGTACGAGTTCAACACTCGCAAAGCGCCGCATCGTCGCGCCGCGCGTTCCTCCGCGACCGATCGCAAGTTGCGCGCAAACTTCAACTTCGTGATACCGCAGTGCACCGGCTTCCCGTACACCTGACCCTTCGCCACCGGTCGTTTGCGTCCACCGCGGCGCACGCGCGCGCGGTAGATGCAGAAACCTTGCTTGGCCTTGTATCCAAGTCGTCGAGCCTTATCCGGTCGCGTCGGTCGCGTCACGCGGCAGATGGACGGCAACTGCCGGTACTCCCACACGCGAATCCGCTGCAAGAAGCGCATCACATCGGATTGCTTCTTCTTCCAAAGTTCTTCCACATACTTGTAAGCCTATCGAGCGAACGACTCGCGCGCGATTCGTCAGTATTTCTTCTACGTTTTCACTCGTCTCGCGCGTCGGCGGTCGTCGACGCGCGCTCGCGCATCGTCGTCTTCCGCGACGGCGCGCGCGAGGGCTCAAAGCCCTAGCGTCGCGTTCGCGTCGCGTCGTCGTCGTCGTCGCGCGTCGCGCGCGCGACGCGAGATCCGCGGCGCGCGTCGAGCGCGCGTCGAGCGCATCGCGTCGAGCGTCGAGCGTCGCGAGACGCACCCCCATGGTGTCGACGGACGGTCGCGCGTCGCTAAAAGGCGGATCGACGACGCGCGATCGCCGCCTCGCCGGGGCGCGACACCTCGCGCAAAACCCTCGATTTATCGCGCGCGGCATTTTCGAGCGAAAATCGCCCGTGGTGTCGTATTGTGCGTGGTTTATTGGGCCGCCGCCGGCGCGCGCGCGCGCCGCACTTCGCGCGCGCGACGACGCGCGAGACGCGACGCGAGGTGCGCGCGACGACGACGCGATGCGCGCGACGACGCGCGCGAACGCGACGCGCGCGACGGCGACGCGACGCGCGTCGACGACGACGCGCGAGACCTCGACGCGAAGAATCACGCCACGCGAACATCAATCGCCCGAACGTCGATGACGAAAACTTTTACGCTTGGCTACTGAGACGCGCGCGCGGCCGGATTAGTTACCCGGAATAAAACCGCGCGCGTCGTCGTGACGTCAATTGAGCATATCGGCCGAGACGCGGTGGAGAGGGATTGTTGGTGTTGGTTGTTTCGGTTGTTTTTCTCGCGCGCGCGGGCGTTTGTGTGTACGGGTCGCGGGGCGGCTGATAACCGCCATGCCGCGCGTCCGAAGGGAAACCTAACGCGCCCGAGAGTGAATAGAGAGGTCGATCATTGTCACGCGCGCGTCGGGGGAATCGACTCGACGCGCGCCCTTATTCGATTTCACATTCGGCGCGTCGTCGTCGGCGTCGTCGGCGGCCTTCGCGCGAGAGCAACGCCCGGGATCGAAGCGGCCGACGTCTGGGATGTAAACGTGTCCATACTGGCTGAACACCGTGAAGAATCAAAACATAATTCACCATCTTTCGACTGAGGCGATCGCGCCGTGGGAGTCGTGAACGGGTGCTCGCTCGGGGACGGGACGACGAACGACGCGACGTATTTTTCGTCGGCGAAAGCCTTCGCTGCAGAGCTGCCCGCAGAGAATCGAGGAATTAGAACCCCCGCGATTCAATTCCGCGTGTCAGTTTTGAGCGAAGGCGAGATTAAAAGGGGATGGGCTCTCCGTGGAGCTTTGGCGTTTACAAGTCGTCGAAATTCCTCCGTAGTTCCACCACATTCGTTCGACGACGCGCGCAAGACTCACCTTTACGCCTCTTTTCTTTCATTCGCAGGCATGGCAAAAACTACCATTGAGGGTCGTGAACGCCAGGTACGTGTCACGGCGCGTTCTATCGATTCGGTTTGCTCGTCCTCGTTTCCTTGACAAAGCAGAGGGCTGATCAGGCTTCGGCCGCATGTGCTGCTCTCCCGTCGTTCTAAGGTACAGCCGACAGCGTTGACATGGGTGAGTAGGTGGCTGCTATCCACAGTCGCCTGCTCAATCGTCAGCGCGACATCTCTCGACGATTGCTTACGTTTTCTCGCTCGCGATGAACGCTTTGCCGTGATTCCAAAAACCGATGCTGATTTCACCGTGAGGCTTAATCAACCTCTAAGAAGTAATGAGCTTTGGTTCGTCGCGAGATTTTCTTCCTGCGGACGAATGTTTGATTGAACGAACGATACCGGGTGTGCGAGGTGTGGCGTACGAAGTCGATGACGAACAACTCGTTTCTTAAGACGTCGTGAATGAACACTAATTACATTGCTTCAAACTTCCCGAGGCTTTGTACACCGCACCGCCGCCGCCGAATCGTTCCGACGGCCAAACGTCCGAGTCCAACCGAGGACGCTTTTTCGACAAAACCTCCCGCGACTTTGCCTAAGGCGCTCCTTACTTAACGGTGGAGATGATCTTTTTACTTCCGTCGCGCACATCAATCTTGTCCCGCTCGCGGGACGCCGGCCAGACAACCGGTTTGTGGTCCAATGACTCCACGACGAGCGCGCATCCTTACGGCGCGAACGTCACTAAATTACGGACTAAATCCAATCTCGCGTTTGCTCGCATTCGAGACGCTGACCACACGACGTTACTTTTTCCTCACACCTAGGCCACCATCGCTCGTCGTTCGTTGTAACGCACACAACGCGCGAAAGTCATCCCTCGCTTCTCAGCCGCCGCTCGCGCTTTATCTCGTCGCCGTAGCGCCTCGTTCCACAGTTCTCGACGCTCCGTCGTCACCGCGCGCGCCTATTCCGCGCGAACGAGCCCCGCGCGTACGCACACGCACGCATTTATGTCCGCTCTGCACGCCCAGCGCGCCGCGGCGCTCAACACGGCGTCGTTATCCACTTTCACCAAGGATCGACGTCACTCGCACATCGCGCGCCGGTTCTCCGTCGTGCGCGCGGCCAAGGGGGACACGTACGAAGGTACGCCCAGAGCCACTTTCGTGTGTTCGTTCGCGCGCGATGACTGACGATGAAACGCGCGTTTCCTTTCCACACAGCGACGCTCCCGAAGCCGATCGAGCTGAAGTTTAACCGAGGCAACGACGGCGGCGCGTACGTCGTCTTCGTCCCCACGGACCCGATCTACGACCGATTCCAGGTCGGCGATAAGATTGAAGCCGTGAGCGCGTCGTTCGGGGATGAGATCTGGGGCGCTGAGTCGTACGGACAGGTGATGTACGCGATTAAGAATAGAAACGGCGACATCTACTTGAAGATGACGGACATGGACGGCGACTTGTCGGCGCTTCAACAAACCGAAAAGAGCTCGGCGTTCAAGAGCGAACGCGCGGGTGGTAACTACGGCGCCGGGACGAAGGAACAACAAATGAACAACTACTCCAAAAAGCGCGAGTTGGAGAACCAGAGATTAGACATGTTCGACGAAGCCATCGAGCTTTACAACGGCAAGGATTTCGACAACGCGTTAATCGTCTTTGAGGAAGTCGCGGCGTTGGAACCGAAGAACTACATGGGTGACGATTTTTCCAAGACGACGGAGATCTACAAGGTCGCTCAGTACAACATCGCGTGCTGCTTCTCCAAGCTCGGCAAGGCGGATGAATCCTTGCTCGCGCTCAAGCGATGCATGTCCGCGGGTTGGATCGACTACCGCAAGATTCGCACCGACCCGAGCTTGGAATTCGTGCAAAAGCAGCCCGAATTCACCGAGCTCATGGACAAGTTCGACGAGCCGCTCATCAACACCAACGCCATCAAGGCGTTCAAGTCTTTGTTCGGCCAAAAGTGAGCGTTTCTTCGCCGTCGCGTCTCGTCGCGTCCCTTGCAACGCATTTGGACGCACTCTATCCACTCGCGTCCGCGTCACACCGCGCCTCGCACGCGTCGCACCGCGCCTCGCGCGCGCGCTCGCGAATCGCGACGATGTTCGCCAGCGCGCGCCTCGCCCCCGAGCGCGCGCGCGCGCCCCTGGCGCGCGCGCGCGCGACGCCGCGACGTCATCGAGGACGTCATCCGCGCGCCGTCGCCGAGACGCCGCCCGCGCCGCGCGCGCTGTCCATCGAAGAGCTCAGCGCGCGACCGCGCTCAAACGCGCGCGGTGCGGTGGTCGGCGACGTCGCGTCGGCGAAGACGCGGACGAGCGCGCGACGCGCGAGCGAGGGCGCGAGCGCGAACGCGACGCCGCGAACGCCGAGCTGGGCGACGACGGAGAACGCGGCGATCGCGCTCGGGGCGCTCGCGGTCGGACGCGGGATAAAGTACGTGTTCGATACGCCGAGTCGAACGTACGTGGACGGGGCGAACACGGTCGGGACGGAGTACGACGCGTGGACGGAGGAGGGGATATTGGAATATTACTGGGGCGAACACATACACTTGGGATGGTACAGCGACGAGGAGCTGGCGAAAGGGGCGGGGACGCTGCTCGGGTGCAAGGTGAAGGATTTCATTCAAGCCAAATTTGATTTCGTGGACGAGATGGCGGATTGGAGCGAGGCTGATAAGCCGGCAAAGGTGCTGGACGTCGGGTGCGGCATCGGCGGGACGTCTCGACACTTGGCGAAGCGCTTCGGTCAAGGCACGTCGGTGACTGGGATTACGCTCTCGCCGAATCAGGTGAAACGCGCGACAGAACTGGCGGCGGAGCAAGGAGTGCCGAACGCGAAGTTCCAGGTGATGAATGCGCTGGCGATGGAATTCGAGGACGACACGTTTGATTTAGTGTGGGCGTGCGAGAGCGGCGAGCACATGCCGGATAAGAAAAAGTACGTCGAGGAGATGGTGCGAGTGTTAAAACCTGGTGGTAAAATCGTCATCGCGACGTGGTGTCAGCGCGAGACGCCGCCGGAGTTCACGGAGAAGGAGAAGAGCAACTTGCAATTTCTCTACGAAGAGTGGGCGCACCCGTACTTTATCTCGTACGAGGAATACGAACGTCTTTTACGAGGCACCGGCGCCATGGCGCGCACGGGATCGGAGAACTGGGTGAAGAACACGCTCGTGTCGTGGCGTCACTCGATCTGGGTCGGGGTTTGGGATCCGTGGCCCGTGGTGTTCGCCGGGCCTCGCCAGTGGTACAAGGTTGTGCGCGAAATCGTCACCCTCGAACGCATGGCTCGCGCGTTCGAGTCAGGTTTGATGACGTACGGCATGATCAAGGGGACGAAAAAGTAGTGAACGAGTACAGTATTTTTTGTGTTTAGGACGACAGTCGGTGAAATGATATTGCGCGCGCGCTTCGTTACAAAACCATTCGTATCGACTCACGCGGCGGCGACGGCGGCGGCGGCTTTTTTGATGTCGTCCGTCCCGTCGACGACGTTGGACGCGCTGTACGTCCCCATCGCGCCCGCCACGCACGCACCCGCGACGTCTTCCACGCTCACCGGTTCCGCGAGCGTCAACGCGATCGGTCCCGGCGCTTTCGCCGCCAAAGCCTTGACGGGTCCGCTGCCGAGCACCTTGGCCAAGACGTCGCCGTACGTCTTCGTCACTCGCGGCGGCGTCAACGAAAACGCATCCCCGCCGTAAATGAAGCTCGGTTTCACGATGAAGTAATCACCTTCCGCGTAATTCTCGCGCAAGCACGCCTCCGCGTCGCGCTTACCCTCAAAGTACCCCCTCATCAACGGCGTCTTGCCCACGACGTCCGGCACGACGCTCGCCACGCTCACGTACACGAACCGCCCGACGCCCGCTTTCTTCGCCGCCTCGATCGCGAGCACGTTATGATCCCCGTTCCCTCTCCGCATCGCCTCGTCATCGCCGCCGATGACGCCGACGCACGACACGACGCAGTCGACGTCTCGCAGCGCCTCCGCCAGCGCCTCGCGCGCCGCGCTCGCCTCCGCCAGATCCACCGCCCGCGCCTCGCGCGCGCCCGTCGCGTCGCGTCCCGAGCGAGAGATGGTCGTCACGCGCGCGCCCGCGCGCGCGAGCGCCTCGACGACGCGCGCGCCGACGAATCCCGACCCTCCGAGCACGACGACCGACGGCGCTTTATCCGCCGCGGCTTCGACGCGCGTCGCGCCGCGCGCTCGGCGCGTCGTCCGGTCGCGCGAGACGCGCGAGACGCGCGCGACGCGCCCGCGGCTCGCGCGCGTCGCGCCGAGCGCGCGCGTCATCGCCGTCGGCACCGCGCGTCGCTCTGTGTCGCCGTCGCCGTCGCATCCATCGTCGACGTCATCGCGTCGTCGACGCCGCACACCGCGATGGCGCTCGCGTCGGCGCGTCGCGACGCGTCGACGCGAGTCCTCGAAGCGCTTCGCGCGTCGCGCGATGGCTCGCGACGCCTCGGCGACGCGCGACGGTCGATGTCCCATTACGCGCGCGGTGTCCCGCTCGACGCGCTTTATCCGCGCCGCGTCGTCGTCACGGGCGTCGGACTCGTCACCCCGCTCGCGCGGACGACGGCGGAGAACTGGCGCGCGCTGCTGGCGAACGCGGGCGCGACGCGGGCGCTGCGCGAGGACGATCTCGCGCGCGAGTGCTGGAACGCGCTCGCGGCGAGCGACGGCGCGCGGGCGCGAACGCGGCACGCGGGCGTCGTGAACCGAAGGGAAGGGTACGACGCGAACGCGTGGAGCGATGGAGGAAGTTTGGCGTCGTTCGTGGCGTACGGACGGTGCGCGGCGAAGGAGGCGATCGAGGACGCGGGGATGACGAGCGCGAGGGACGCGCCGAGGGACGACGTGGGGGTGTCGTTCGGCGCGGGGATGGGAGGCGCGAGCGATTTAACGCGCGCGGGAGGTTGGATGGCGAAGGGTGAACTGCGGAGGATATCGCCGTACTTTGTGCCGCGGATTTTGGCCAACGCGGGGGCGGGGAGGATATCGATGGATCACGGGTTTCGAGGGCCGAATTTGGCGGCGGCGACGGCGTGCGCGACGTCGGCGCACTGCATAGGGGACGCGTTTAGGGCGCTACAGCGCGGCGATGCGAACGTGATGATCGCCGGTGGTGCTGAGGGATGCATAGATGCCGTTTCATTGGCGGCGTTCGCCAAGGCGAGGGCGCTGAGCGCGACGGGGAGAGCGAAACCGTTTGACGTCGCGCGCGACGGCTTCGTCATGGGCGAAGGCGCGGGGGTTTTAGTGCTCGAAACTCTCGAACACGCGCGCGCGCGAGGCGTCGATAAGGTGTACGCCGAGATACGCGGCTACGGCGCGTCGGGAGACGCGCACCACGTCACGCGCGCGAGCCCGGATGGCGAAGGCGCGGCGCGCGCGATGCGAGCCGCCATGCGAGACGCCGGCGTCGACGATCCGCTCGACGTTGGATACGTCAACGCGCACGCCACGGGGACGCCTTTGGGCGACGCCGCAGAAGCCATGGCGCTCAAAACAGTCTTCGGTGCGGACGCGATCGAGTCTGGGCGCGTGCTCACGACGTCCACGAAGGGCGCCACCGGGCATTTGCTCGGCGCCGCGGGCGCCATCGAAGCCGCGTACACCGTCATGGCTCTTCACACCGGAGACGTGCCTCCGACGTTCGGATACGACACGGTCGACCCAAACTTACGAATCCCAATCGTCGGCGCTGGTGGCGTCGCGGCTCGACTGCGCGACGACGCTCGAGCGGCGATGAGCAACTCGTTTGGTTTCGGCGGCACCAACGCCAGCCTCGTCTTCGCTCGAGCGCCACCGCTCGACGCCGCGCCGTAGACGCGCGGATCCCCTAGCGACGTTAGTTTAGCGTTTGTAGCGACATATTTAGCGGGCGAGCGATCGCCGTGTCATCGTCGCATCCACGGATGTTCGTTCGGCGGCGGCGGCGCCGGCGCCGCCAGACGTCCCGAGACTCCGACGCGTCGCCGTCCTCAGTCCACGACGCGCGCGCGGTGATCGTCATGTCCGACGACGACGGGCGCGCGTTCTTCGTGGGGTTCACGCTCGTCGCCGCCCTCGCGTCGACGGTGCGCATCGCTTCGCCCGCGCGCAGAGTTGAAGTTTGTTTGAAATCCAACGCCTCGGACTGACGGTTGACGCTCACGCGACGCGCAGCTCGCCATCGCGTCGGCGTACGCGCTGAAGAGCGCGGCGAAAGACTTTAGTGAACAGCAAATCGGCCTGCTCACCGCGCTGGAGGCGATAGAACGCGAGAAGCAGCTGGCCGAGCAACAAAACTCTGGCAAGAGCTCGGGACGAGGCGCGCGCTCGGGACGGCGACGAACCGGAAGCAGCGGCGCGGCGTCGCCGTCGGGACGAGAGAAGAGCGACGCGACGAGTGTCAGTCGGTTGTCGCAGTCGAGATCGATCTCGGGGAGCTTGGCGGACGTGGAGGAGTATCCGGCGTACGCGTCGGCGAACCGGTCGACGCCGGGGACGCCGACGAAGGCGAACGCGTTCGGACAGACGGTTTCGGACGGCGGTGAAGATGGCAGTCATCACAACGGACGATTATCTCGAGACGTCAGTCTCGGCACGCCGAAGAAACGCGGGCCGCTGAGTCAACTCGCGTGGGCGGCGAACGACGGTTTAACGGAGACGGAAGTCGAACCGGAAACAGAAACAGAGACCGAAGGTGAGGAAGAACGCACGCACATAGACGTCGTGGAATCGCCCATGGCGCGACGTGGGCGAGCGTACGGTGCGCCGGACTCGAGCATAGAGCGGTTGATCGAGTCGCCGTTGCCGCGAGCGTTGAGCGCCAGCGTCGAGCTCGAACGCACGATGGAAAAGCTTCAGGAGAAAATGCACGACAAAGCGACGCTGACTCCGACGCCCTCGGCGTCGAATGAGAGTGGGGTCACGTCGCCTAGGACCGTCAAGACGCCGTGGACGGCGACCCCCGACGGTAACATGCCCATCGGTTTGAAACCGGCGGACCGCGCCATCGGACGAGAATTGTTCCAACGATCGGGCAGTGGTGGTGCCGCGGCGAACGGTCTATTTTCGTCGCCGCGCGTGACGCACGCCGGAGAATCAGATATGCAGTACGAAAAAGTCGCGACTGAAATGATGGAAACCTTGGGTGACGAATGCGAGGAAGTGTGCCTCATGCTAGAGTACGCGCTCGGTTTACGCGACAAGTGGTTATTCGACGACAGTGAAGGGGCATGTCCTATCGTCGGTAAGGTGGATAAAATGCCGCCGCTACCACCTAAATCGCAGCACACGTTCGAAATGATCGATGGAGTCATGCACGTGTACCACCCGAACGCGCAAGGCGAGGTCGAGTTGGCGCATAAACCGCCCGGCACGGCGACAGATTTCTTCTACGACTTGCACGCATTACTAAAGGTGCAATCGTACGGTCCATCGAAGACGTTTTGTCACAAAAGGCTGTTGTTGACGGAGCAAAAGTTCAATCTACACGTCATGTTGAACGCTGATCGAGAGTTTTTAGAGCAAAAGAAGGCGCCACATCGCGACTTTTACAACGTCAGAAAGGTTGATACGCACGTGCATCACAGCGCGTGCATGAACCAAAAGCACTTGTTGCGCTTCATCAAGTCCAAGCTTAAACGAGAGCCTCACGAACTTGTGGTTTATCGGGACGGCAAGTTTTTGAACCTTCGAGAGGTGTTCGAATCGATCGGAATGACGGCATACGAACTCAACGTCGATACATTGGACATGCACGCGGACAAGAATACGTTTCATCGCTTCGATAGGTTCAATCTCAAGTACAACCCCATGGGACAGTCTCGCTTGCGAGAAATTTTCATCAAGCAAGACAACTTGATTCGTGGTCGGTTCCTCGCCGAGCTCACGAAGCAAGTATGCTCGGACTTGGAGGCGAACAAATACACCATGGCGGAGTATCGCATCTCCATCTATGGGCGTAAACCCGGCGAATGGGACAATCTCGCGGCTTGGGTGCTGAATAACAACGTCTTCAGCGAAAATATCGTATGGATGATTCAGATACCGCGATTGTACAACATCTACCACAGTAATGGGACGATGAAAAACTTCCAGCAGATGCTCGATAACATTTTCAAGCCTCTGTTTGAAGTCACGGTAGACCCTTCGTCGCATCCAAAGTTGCATACGTTTCTCCAAATGGTGATCGGGGTGGACATGGTAGACGACGAATCGAAACCTGAGCGCAGACCAAGTAAGCACATGCGTGTACCAGTGGACTGGGACGTGTCTCACAACCCCGCGTACGCCTACTACGCCTACTACGTGTACGCCAACCTGTACACGCTGAACGCATTGCGCGTCAGTAAAGGGTTGAATACCATCGCCTTCAGGCCTCACGCCGGTGAGGCGGGAGACATCGATCACCTGTGCACCACATTTATGCTCGCGAAGAATATTGCGCACGGCTTGAACCTGCGCAAGTCGCCGTGTCTGCAATACCTGTACTATCTCACGCAAATTCCGCTCGACATGTCGCCCTTGAGCAACAACTCGTTATTCATCGATTATCATAAGAACCCGTTCCCGGTGTTCTTTGCTCGAGGTTTGCGAGTATCACTCAGTACGGATGATCCACTCATGATTCACATGACCAAAGAGCCTTTGGTCGAGGAGTACTCCGTCGCCGCGCAAGTTTGGAAACTCAGCGCCGCCGACTTGTGTGAAATCGCCAAAACCAGCGTTTTAAACAGCGGATTCCCGCGAGCGTCGAAAAAGCACTGGGTGAGTGATCAGTATTGGCTCAATGGCACACGAGGAAACGACATTCAAAAGACCAACGTCCCAGATCTTCGCGCACATTTTCGCGAAGACGTTCTCGAATGCGAAAAAGAGCTCGTGCGTCGAGGCGTCGTTCAGGCGCGCCAGAAGGGCCGCGAGCTCAAAATTCGCGGATAGAAACGGCTGACCGCTCGGTCGCGACGTTCCATCGCAGTAGTCTACATCGCTCGCGCATCTCGTCTCCCCCATTCTCTTTGTAACCATCGGCAAGTGTACACCTATCGCGGCGGCTTCTGTTCAAACCAACACCCCGCCCATGGATGGAAATCATCATCACGATGGCAGCCGCGCCACAACGCGCTCGCCGGCGCCGACATCGTCTGATCGACCGTAACAGCTCGACGAACGTCGCGAACTTTCGTTCGCGTCGACGATCGCGCGCGCGCGTCCGTGCGACGTCGCTCGACGCGAACGAGACGGACGCAACGGCGTAGGGTGTTGAGCGCGGTCGAACGGCGACGCCGACGCGATGAGCGGTCGCGGACCGGCGCTTGATCGCGCGAGTGGGTCATTCAGACACTCCGAACGATATGCCGCCACCGCGGCGCGGTATTCCAAGGCGATCGAGCGGGAGAGGAACGCGGAAGAGATCGCGCGGGACGGCGGCGGGGCGACGTCGCGAAGCGGAGGCGAACGGGAGTCGTTGTTAGACGCGCCCGAGTATTTAGAGCGTCAAAGGGCGCGGAATGAGTCGTTTAAGCGCGGGTGTGGACGGATGTGCGCGCTGGTGTTCGTGCTCGCGGCGTTCGCAGCGGTCGCGGCGTTCGGCTTTCAACACTTTAACGGCGACGATTCGCCGGCAAAGGTGACGGTGGATTCGGACTCGGCGTCGAGCTCCAGGAATAGCGATTTAGGGCCGAGTGCGGCACCGAGAGCGACGACACCGGATGTGTCCACGACTTATCCGCCGCCGCCGATGCCACAGCCGACGCCACAGCCTGAGCCGTCATCGCAGCCGGCGCCGCAGCCAGAGCCGGCGCCGCAGCCACAGCCAGAGCCGGCGCCGCAGCCACAGCCAGAGCCGGCGCCGCAGCCACAGCCAGAGCCGGCGCCGCAGCCACAGCCAGAGCCGGCGTCGCAGCCACAGCCAGAGCCGGCACCGCAGCCTGTACCGACACCACCGGAGCCGACAACGGAACCGTCAGACGATCCATACGATCCATACTCCGCTGACTTGGCGCTACCAATGCACGCTGGCGCCATCGAAGAGGAGGCAAACGAGCTCGTGGAGAACGCCATTCACCACGAGATCGCGGGTGGGTTGGGACGAGCGTTCTTACGAAACAGCAAGGAGAGGTTTAAGTTTGAAGCCGCTCCTGAAGATGAACCCGCAGTGCCCAAGGATCCGATGCCCGCGCCGGTGGACGATCCAAAACGAATTCCGGAAGTACGCTCAAAGAAGTGAGTCTGATTACAACAGTAGTACGTAGTAACAACATGATTTTAGTATATAACAGCCTAATTTGGCGTGCGTTGAGATGCTCATTCACTTGTCGATTTCGAACACTTGCTTCATGAGCTCGTAAACGTAAAACGAAATTGCCGCCGAGGGTAAAATCTTGGCGTAATTCGGAATCAAGCCAGCGTAAAGCGCACCGATGCCTTCATTCTTTCCGACGACGTAAATCCCATGGAACATGTTTTTATAGGCGTATCCTGCACCTTTCTTCATTCCGGCGACTTGGATTCGACGTTGAATCATTTCGAGTGGATACACGCCCGTTTGCGCCGCGGCGCCGGCGAGCGCGCCGAAACACATCGTCGGTAGCGCAGACATCTTTGCCTTTTCACCGAATTGTCGCCGGTACAAACCCTTGCAGGCGTCGTATACGTAGAAATTGATCGCGCCGTAGGGTGCTACGCGCACCATATTCGCACCCAAACCTTTCCACAGCGCACCGTAGCCTTCGTTGGCGACGAGCTGTTTCCAGCAGTCGCCCAACAGCATGCCGGTGCCAGAGACGCGCGACCGTAACGTGTCCACGGGATGCGTCAACGCTGTGCCGCACATGCTCGCCACGGAACCACCGAGCATGCGTTGCGCACCGTCGAGCTCGGTTTGATCGCCGTTTCGTATGATGTAATCCTTGAACTTGTCGTACACGAAGAACTCGACGGCTTTGGTGGGGGCGATTCGCAACACGTTGAGCGTGTTCCCGCGAAACAGACCTCCAGCGCCTTCATCTCGCACGATTCTGTTCAAAGTTCCTACGAGACCACCGTCGCGCGCGATGGTCGTTGAATCGAGCATGTATTCAATCTTCGCCCGCTCGAGCGGCGCGACGACGGTTCTAGAGACGCCTCCAGAGATGGCACCCACGAGTAAGTGCTTTATCACCTCGCCAGCGCCTCCGTTCGCTTTACGTTTGCTCGCAAACGCTAACGACACGTCGCCGACGTCGACGGTGGACCTCGACCACACGCTCAACGCTTCCGTGGCGTCCATGGCGTCCGAGAGCATCAAAAAGTCACGAAACTCGGTAAAGTCGATCGCCTTGGCCAGCGTCACGAATTTTTCGTTCGCCGCGTTGAACAAGCCCTTACCCTTGCTAAACGCGCCCTCCCCCGCCTTGATGCGATACATCATCGCCTCCACGTCGTCGTCGTCCGTCGCGTATCCCTCTCGCATCAGCACCCTCTTCAACTGTTTCGCCGTGAGATACCCCGACCGATCCCCATCGAATTTCTGAAACGTCCTCAGCAGCTCGCGCTCGCGCCGCAGCGCGAAATTCCCGAATTCCTTAAACGTCATCCGCGGTCGTCCTTCGCCGTCGTCGCGTTCGCGTTCGCGCGCGCCTCGCGCGCGCCCCTCGTCGATCGTTCGTCGCACGAAATCGTCCGCGCTCTGCGCCGTGCACGGCACCTTCAATTTCTCCAGCGCGCGTCGCATGTCATCGCTCGTGACGTATCCCTTCGCGCCCTCGTCCAGGTGGTCGAATCGTCGCTTGAGCGCCTTGTACGCGTAATCGTTCGGCGACAGATCGTCCATCGTCACCTCCGTCGTCGCGCGCGTCGGCGCGGGCGCCGCGACGGCGCTCATCGACGCTCGAAGCGGTCGTCGCCGTCGTCGCGCGCCGCGCGCGCGCGACGGCGGTCCCGCGGCGTCGTCGTCGGCGTCATCGTCGGCGGCGGCGCGGTCGTTACGCGCGCGCGACGGTTCGCGCGCGCCGCGCGGCCAGAGCGACGCGAGCGCGGCGCGGGGGAGGACGCGGGCGACGGGCATCGCGCGCGACGCGCGCGAGCTCGAGTTCGGGCGAGGCGCGCGCGACGCGATGTCGAGCGCGACGGTCGGGACGACGACGGCGAGCTCGAGCGCGCGCGCGCGGCGACGGGGAAACGTCTGCGATGTCTTGGGGTTGATTACCGACCGCACGTCGCGCGCGATCGATCGACATCGCGCGGGGTTAACACTGCGGACCGACGTTGGCCTGGACGACGTCACCGCTCGGGAGCTCGGCTTGGATCTCGCCCAAAGTTTTCGGCGCGAGCGCGAGCGCCGGAGCGTAGTGGAATCCGCCGTCGGGGGCGTCCAGGGCGTGGGCTGGGGTCACCATCTCGTATCCGAAGGCTGAAACGTCGTGCTTGAAGAAGGCGTTGAATGCGTTCAACACGCTGGGGTTCATGTTTTCCCAGCACGCGTGAAGGTTGGGTTTTACCACGGCGGCGTTCCAATCGTTTTCGTGCGAAGCCATGGACACCGCGGGGTGAAATCGGGAACGTAAAAAGGACACGACGTTGGGCTGCTCGCCTTCGCCTCTTACACGAGGGCACGTGCCTTCCTCTGGACCCATGCACTCTTCGAAGCGGAACAAGCGCGAGGCGCTGGCCGCCGTGACGGATTGCGGGAGCCAGTGCGATTCGACGTTCAACCTCGCCGCAATCTTTCCGTCGCACTCGTTCATGCCTTGGATGGTGTACTCGACCTCTTGGTAGCACTGCGACAACTCGGACTTGTGGGCGTCGTGAACCTGCTGCTTGATGTGATTCTCAAACTTCTTGCAATTCTCGGGGTCGTATCCAGGCCTCAAGCTGTGGAAGAGCGCCTTGTCCAACCAATTCATGCGCCACAAAAATTCGCTCTGCGCTCGCGAGTAAGGATTTCTCACGATGGCGAACGAATCCGGCACCTCCGCCGCCGGCGGCGTGTGCCACTGCTCGTACCCGATGTACTTCTTCCGGAACTCAAACGGTCGCTTGTGACAATACCCGACGTCGATTCCCAACGTCCCCAGCACCGTCTCGATCGTCGTCCCGCCCGTCTTCGGAATGTGCAAGAACACCGGTAACCCGCTCCCTTCGCACTTTCCGCGCAAGTGTTCCATCACTAATTCTTTCAGCGCGACGCTGTCGTACTTTGAATAATCATCGTGACCGGCACGGAGGGGGAACGCCTTCGCCGCCGCCGCCGCGTCCCCAAAGTCGCCGACTCGGCGCGGCGTCAGCCCCTCTCCCAGTCGCACCACGCCCGGTCCGCCCATCCCCCGATCCGTGCGCGTGTGACACGCGATTTCGCGATCGCGCTCTAGCTTAAACTCGACGCCGCACACCGCGCCGAGCGCGACAACGACGGCGACGCACGCCCACGTCAACTTGCTGCGATGGGTGTTGAGGCACGCGCGCGCGCGCGTCGACGACGAGAACGACGCGTCGGGGGCGCCGTCGTCGCCCGCGGTGCGCTCGGGGATGAGACTCACGCGCTCATCTTGGCCGACGCGCATCGTCGCGCCGCGCGCGCGAGTGTGCGGGCGGCTCGCGCGCGGACGAAGGCTCGCGGGTTCGCGGAGTGCGATTGCAATACAAAATGAGATTATTTCAATTCTACTAGATATCAGTGCCGCGGTCCGTTTAAACGCACGGCTCAACGCGCGCGATCGTTCGAGCGGCCGAGGGCCGGCGCCCCCGCGTCGCACTTCGGTCCCTGGACGTCCATGATGGGTGTGTTTTCGGGAAGCTCTGACCTGAGCTGTTCGAGCGTTTTGCCGTCGGCGTGGTGATTGGTGTGTGCCGAGTTATCGAACACGGACGTGCCGTCGGTGGTGCCCTTGGGAGATATCTTGTTGTATCCGAATCCCGCAAAGTCGTGCGTGTAGACGGCGTCGTAGACGCGTAAAATCGCCGGGTCGAATTCAGCCCAACACGACATGACATCGGGCTTCTCCACGGCGGCGTTCCATTCGTTAATTTTCTCTTCGATCGTCACCGCTGGAGTGTAGCGATTACGCATGAAAGCGATGATGTTGTCTTGCTCGATCATGTTTCTCGGGTCCTTGCACTTCCCCGGCGCGGAGTCGAAGCATTCCTCGAATTTGAAGACGCGTTCGGCGTACGCCGTCGTGATGCGTTGCGGTAGCACGTGCGAGCCGAGGTGAATCTTAAAGCCCGGATACTTCGTCTCGCAGTCAGCAATGCCCTGTAGGGTGAACTTGGCGTCGTTGTAGCATTTGAACTTATCATCCATCCATCCATCCGGCGACGCGGCGGGTGAGATCATATCCTTCACGTAGCTCTGAAACGCCTCGCAGTTCCGCTCGCTATACCCTGGGTTCAACCCCCAAAACTGCCCGGGCTCCGACCCTAAATATTTCGCCCACAAGAAATCGCTCGCGAACCGTCTGTACGGATTCCGCACGATCGCCCACGAATCCGGAACGAACGCCGCCGGCGGCCTGTGCCACGCCTCGTTCTCAAACGTCGGACTCGTCTCGTACGGCGTCGGCGTGCCGCGCGCTTCGGGGAGGTGACAATACCCGACATCGATTCCCAACACCCCCAGCGCGGTTTCGATCGTCGTTCCACCGGCCTTCGGGATGTGCAAGAACACCGGCAGCCCGTGCCCTTCGGTTTTCCCTTGCAACGCCGCCGTCGCGCGCGTCGCGCGTTCGCCCAAGTCCAGCGCGCCCCACTCTGTTTCCCACGCTTCACCCAGCGCGGCGCGGTGTTTCACCTCGCGGCGCGTCCCGTCGACGCACGCGAAGAGTCCAGCGCCGACGAGCGCGCTCGCGAGCGTCCAGAGCGTCACCGCGCGCGACGAACGCGTCGCGGGATGCGCCAACACCCTGGTTGCGTCTTCATCCGTCCGCAATAAAGGCGCGGCTTCGCGCGCGGACGCGCGCTGCGCATCGACGTCGCCGTCGTCGAGCATCGCGATGCGCGCGTTCGCGTCGATCTCGCCGAGCGACGCGGCGTCGACCCGAGCGGCGCGCGCGCGTGTGCGGATCGCGCCGTCGGCGTCGCCGCGCTTCCGCCCGAGCCGCGAGCGAGCGCGCGACGACGCCCGAACGCGCCGACGCGCGCGAATCGACGCGCGAGCGAACGACTAACCGAATAGCTATGACAAAGAAATAAAATCGCGAGCTAAGTTCACGCGCCGCGACGACGCCTGGGAATCTGCGCCGTCGGCGCGGCGCCGTCGGCGCGTTCGCCCGCCGCGCGTCTCGCCGCCTCGACGCGCGCGCTCCACTCCGCCTCCTCCGTCGCTTGAATTCGCTCGATCTCGCTTCCGAATTCCACGTCCGATCCCTCGCCCGGCGCCGTGAGCGCGCGCTCGCCCTCGTCGAGCGGCCGTCCCTCTCTCGCCGCGCGCGCGTACGCGTCTCGCTCGGCGTCTCGCTCCGCCTCGACGATTCGCAGCGCCTCTCGCTCGTTCATCTTTTTCGTCCGCATCACCTCCAGCTGTCGCAGCGCGAATTTTTGCGCGTGATGCGCGCGCGCGTCGCCGCGCTCCGGCGTCGTGCCGCAATCGATCGCGTCGAACGCCGCCGCGGGCTCGCGCTTGTAATACCCTCGAATCAGATGATCCGTCTCGAGCGCGATCGCGGGCGGCTTGCGCGCCCTGAACGGCCGCGGGCTCGGTGCCGACGCGCGCGCGGCGTCCATCCACGCCGGCTCGTCGATGACGCCGCGCGCGACGAGCTCGCGGGCGCGATCGAGCGCGCTCTTGTTGGTCCGGCGTCGCGCGCCGCGAAACATGTCGAGCGTCAGCGCCAAGGCGTCTCTGCCGAGCGCGCGCGCGCGCGAGGAAGACGCGCGAGAGGACATGGAATCCTTCGCGCGGGCGAGCGCGCGCGGCGCGACGGAGAGTGCGGCGAAGACGAGGGGAGACGCGGGAGAAGGAGGCGGAACGCGAACGCGAACGCGAACCGAACGAGGATCGACCGGCGAGAGAACGACGCGCGAGACGAAAGGAAATAGTATCATCACGTCGGTCAAATGTTGGTCGTCGCGACGAAGGCGACGAAATCGTCGGTGGCGGCGTCGGGGACGACGACGCCGCACTCCTCGTCGGCGTCGACGAAGAACACGGCGCCGGGCTCGGCGGCGAATGTTTTGGAATCCTTCGCGGACGCGAACGCGCACGAACCGCGATGGACGATCCAAACGCTCGGACCGGATTTGGCGACGACGCCGTACGCGGTGCCTCGAGAGACGGTGACGACGTCGAGGAGGAACTCGTCGAACGGCGGGACGTATCGTCGCGTGCACGCGTCGACGACGTCGCCCGTCAATATCTCGGGAGCGCCGAGCTTGTACGTCAGCATGTCGCACAGCACTTGGACGTCGCGAAATTTAGGGGTCAACCCGGCGCGCACGACGTTATCGCTCGTCGCCATGACTTCGACGCAATCGCCCGAGAGGTAGGCGTGCGGCTCGTTCGCCGCCATGTAAATCGCCTCCCCGGGGCGCAGGGTGACGTAATTCAACACGAACGCGCAAAACGCGCCGACGTCACCTGGATACTGTTCGCATAACCGCAGAAACAACGATTCCACGCTCGACGACGACGTCGCCGTCGTCCCTTCGTCGCGCACGCGCGCCTCCATCGCGCGCAGCTCCGTCTCCACTTTTCCCTTCTCCGCCGTCATCAACGCCGTGAACACGCGCTTGAACGCGTCGCGCAACGCAGCACTCTCATTACTCTGCCCACTCTCTACCGCTTTTCGCAACGCTTCGATCGCATCATCATCCCCTATCACTCTTCCGAACTCCTCGTGTCTCCTCGTCGCCGTTAAAACCGCGTCGGCGTTCGCGAACCCGCTCATCGCCTCAAACGTCTCGCTCACGCACAGCGCCATCTCGGGCTTATGATTATCGTCTTTATACGCCTCCGGATTACTCTCGTGCAATTTCACCGCCAGCGCCTTGTCCGGATGCGCCTGCACGCTCAGCGCCCGCGCGACGCTGAGCATTTTCATCAAAAACGGCACGTCGTCCCCGAATCGCGCCACCGCGCGCTCTCCGAGCGTCGCGTTCGCCGCGCTTTTCACGTGCTCGATCAAAGGCGTTCGCGCGCCGTCTTCCCCGACGACGTCGGACATTCCAGACGCGTGCGTGCCGCACCAGAGCTCGGCGAACGGCGTCGAGTCGTCGAAGTCTTCGGGACGCGCGTCGTCGTGACGCTGCGCGTTCGCGAGGGCGAGCGCGCGCACGGCGCTCGACCCGCGCGCGCCCCACGCGTAGTTTTGGTGTTTCACGCGGAGCTCGCGCATCGCGCGCGAGAGAGAGAGCGGGGAAGGCGCGAAGTGCGGCGCGGTACCGGGTACCGCACTTGAGCACTTTATGCCCGCGACCGACGGGACGCGCGAGACGACGCTTTCGTTACATAAATAAATGCTTGGAGATCGATCTTCGAGAGTTAACGCGAACGCTCGGCGCTCGGGACGTTGGGCTGCGAAGCGGTGTCGTCGAAGGCGACGCCGAGGGCGCGGAAACACGCGGCGGCGCCCTCGCGACGCGCGGCGGCGATGAGGTCGGCGTCGACGCACAGACTGGACATGGCTTTGGATGCCGGACCGGATGGAGCGATGGTGGCGATCTTGATGGGATGAAATGCGCTCGGAGCTGTGGAGGGGATGAAGACGTCGCGCGCGCGCCAGCCGTGGCGGGCGTCGAGGGTGGCGGCGTAGGAATCGTGGAGGTCCCACACCGCGCCCATGTACGACGGCGCAAAGAGCAAGTTGCGTATGGCCCGATACAGCGCCGATTGCGCCGGTTTTGGTTTCGCCTCGAGGTCGTCGATGGATTTGTTCAGATCGCTGTCGTTGGTGTCGCTCGCCGCCGCCGCGACGACGTCTCGCGCCTTGGATTGCCGCACGCGAGACAGGCGTTCGCGAATCTGCCCGAGAAATCGTCTGTTCTCGCGCTTCTCCGTGTTCGTCACGTCCGCTTCGGTGTCCACTTTGTGCGGGGCGGTGAGTAAAACCAGGATGTGCGTGCATCCGTCGTGCGCCGCCGCGTGCACGGGCACGGGCTCGAGCACGGCGGCGTCTACCAGTCGATGACCTCTGTGAGTCACCGGGGAGCTACCCGCGAGGGCCGGCACGCGCGCGCTCGCGAGCAACGACTTTTTTAGATCGGCTTCATCCTTGAAGTCATCCAAAATAACGGTTGTCAGTGTGTCGAGCGACGTGGCGACGACTTTGAGCGGTACGGAGGAGGTGATGACGTCCTTCCATCGCAACGGACGTCCGGTTTCGCCGCCCATGACGGTTTCGAGCAAGTAATTCACATTCATCGCCGGATCCACGGCAAACTTTGAATCCCCATCGTCGTCGCTCAGCGTTTCTGCTAAAGTGCCGACGTCCGCCATGGTCGCCGTCTCGATTGTGCTCGCGCCATTTCTCGCCGCGAGGGCGTTTCGAGAGCGACGCCCAAAGCGCACGAAGGGGCGCACCAAATCGATGTGCGCCTCCTTAATCACCGTCATCCGCCTCGAGACGTGGCGCTTTAAATCTAAGAACGAACCGTCGCATAAATCTTCCTCGTACGCAAAAATCCCTTCCGGCTGCTTTGAGAGGTAATACGTCAAATTCATCGCCCCCGCGCTCGACCCGTACGCGGCGTCGAAGCAGTCGTAATACCCCGCCTCTAACAACGCCCCGGCCGCGCCGGCGCTGATCACCCCTCGCATCCCCCCCCCCTCGACCACGAGTCCAATCTTCAACTCATCCGTCCTCGCCCCCGGTCGCGATCCTTCCTCTTTCCGTCTCCGCAGCGCGTCGTACACGTCCTCCGCGTCGCTCGCGCGCGCTCTCAACTTCCCCAACCTCTCCGCGAACGCATCGTCGTGCGTCACCGACAGCGGCAGCGGATGCACGTGCTTCACATTCGCCCCTCCGTTCGCTCGCACGCGATCGCCCACGCTTCGATCGCACGCCAACCCTCGCCCTCTCTCGCGCCCGCTCGCGTCTCCGCGCCCGCTCGTCCCGCTCGTCCTCGGCCTCGTCCTCGGCTCGCTCGTCGTCGCCTTCGTTTCCGTCAGCGATCGCGCGTTCAGCACCACCGATCGCGCGATCGCGTACCGCGCGTCGCCCGCGTCGTCGTTCGGCGCGCCGCGCGTCGTCGTCGTCGCGCGACGCGTCGGCGCGGTCGCGATCGAGCGCGGTCGCGGCGCGCTCGATCGGCGCGCGATGCCCTCCATGCGCGTCGCGCGCGAGCGCGCGCGCGCGCGCGCGTTCGGTGCGCGCGCGCCCGCGTCCTCGAGACGTCGCGCGCGACGCGCCGAGTCGCGACGCGCGGTGCCGTTGACGCGCGGTCGGGTGTGCGGTCCAACTAAATCGTCGAAACATGGTGGAATCGGTCGAGATTGTACGGTCGAGACGCGCACCACCGGTCGTCCGTTCGTGCGATTGAATCGGAGTGTCGAATTATAAATTGGCTACAAGACGCGCGGCGGCGACGCGAAAGTGACGCGAAAGTGACCTCACGCGGACGTGGGACTCCAGCGCGCGTCCCCGACCTTCTTGTTGGGCGTCACCTTGCACAGAGCGCCCTTCTTGCCCGGCACGTTGCCCTTGACGATGATGCAGTCGTCCTCGACGGAGACGACGGTTAAGCCCTTCGTCGTCACCATCTCGTTGCCCATGTGACCGTGCATGCGCTTACCCGGGTAAATGCGACCCGGGTTGGTACCGCTGCCGATGGAACCGTGTTGACGGTGCGATTTAGAACCGTGCGTCATCAAACCGCGCGAGAAACCGTAACGCTTCACGGCGCCTTGGAACCCCTTACCGATCGTGCGGCCTCGCACGTCAACCTTATCACCCTCCTTGAACAACTCCGTCGGCTTGATTTGCGCCCCGACTTCGTACGTCGGAGCGTCGCGCAAACGGAACTCTTCGAGGTGTCGAAGCGCCGGCGCGCCCGCCTTCTTGCAGTGCCCGAGTTCGGGCTTCGTGAGCTTGTCGTCGCGCACGGCGTCGTAGCCGACTTGCACCGCGTTGTACCCATCCGTCGCCTCAGTCTTCACCTGTGTTTCACGAACGCGCGCGAATCGCGATATCGTCAGTCTCTGATTCTCTCCTTCGCGTTTCGTCGCTCTACGCCGCGCCCGAACGCATCCGTCCGTCGCGCCCGCGCCCGCGCGTCGCGACGGTAACCTCGCCCTAGGGCTTCTCCCCGCGCGCGCGAAGCGTCGGTCCTCCTCGCGCCTCGCCCGCCCCATCCGAGCCCTTCGCGCGCGCGCGCGATCGACGATAACACCACCCGATCGTTCGCCCATCGTGAACGCGCCGCGCGCGTCGACGCATCGCGCGCGCCGCGCCCATCCATCGACCCCGTCGTCCAACCCTCACGCGCCCGCGCGTCGGTCGAATCGTTCGCCGCGTCTCGCGCGCCCTCGCGCGCCGACCCCCCGACGGCCATCCCGCGTTCGCTCGATATTTTTCCCGTACCTGCGTCACGACGTTCCCGTCGCGCACCGCGATCACGGTCACCGGCACGCACAGCCCGTCGTCGGTGAACACCTGCGTCATCCCAGCCTTGCTCCCGAACGCCCCCACGCCCGCGTCCAGGCGCGCGCGCGTCGCGCACGCCCCCCCGCGTCGACGCGCGGGCGTTTTCGCGTTTTGCATCGCGCGCATCGGCGCGGCGAACGTCGATCGCGACGACGTCATGGCGCGCATCGCGGCGTCGAGTGGCGCGCCGTCGCCGCCGCGCCTCGGCGTCGCGCGCACGCGTCGGTCGGTTTACGTTCGACGCGCGCGCCGCCTCGCGCGCGCGCTCTCATAGCGCCGAACGCCGCTTGAATACGTCACGACGACCGATCGATACATCGACGAGTGATGATTCGCGTGTACCCCCCGCACGAGGGGTACACGCCGAGGCTGAAAAAATCTTTCGCGAAAGCGCCGATCGCGCGCGCGCGCGCGCGTCGACGACGCGGGAGTCGACGACGCGACGCGACGCGACGCCCGACGCGCGACGAGGTCGGGAATCCGTAATCGTGACCGCGGTTTTCGTTCGAACGGACCGCGCGCGAGGACGCGCGGCGCGAACGCGGACGCGTCGAACGCGCGCCGTCGCCAGACTGTCGAACGAACGAACGAACGCACGCACGAGGGACGCGACGCGCACGAGGGACGCGCGACGACGACGCGACGACGCGAAGAAGACGACGCGAACGCGGTGACGCGGTGGCGAACGCGCGAGCGAGCGACGGGACGAGGGAAGACGGTGAAGAGGGACGCGCGCGACGGGACGGGACGGCGGCGACGGCGAACGCGCGCGCGGCGAGAAGAGAAGACGCGAGCGAGAGGGCGCGGGACGCGATGCGGCGAGGAAACGGCGCGAACGGACGCGAGGGAAGAGACGCGGGACGCGGCGTGCGGGTGATGCTGCCGCTGGATTGCGTGGCGAGGACGACGACGAGGACGACGCGGGAGACGCTGGCGAAGGCGCTGCGAAGCGTCGCCGACGCGGGCGCGGACGGCGTCATGGTGGATTGCTGGTGGGGGGCGTGCGAGGGCGAGCGACCGAGAGCGTACGAGTGGCGGGGATATCTCGCGCTGTGCGAGATGTGTCGAGACGCTGGATTGAGCGTGGACGTCGTGCTGTCGTTTCACGCGTGCGGGGACTCGGTCGGGGACGAGGGGTGCGAAATCGGCTTGCCGGAGTGGGCGCGGGGGGAGCCGGCGAGGGAAAACATGTACGCCGATCGACGAGGAAACGTCACTGAGGAATACTTGTCGCTGTGGGGGGACGAAACGCGGGACGCGCGACGAGGCGATCGATCGCCGTTGGAGTGTTATCGCGACTTCATGGCGGCGTTTCGCGCGGCGTTCGCGACGTTTTTGACCGGGTCCGCAGACGCGCCGCCGGTGATTTCGCAAGTCATCATAGGTCTCGGGCCGTGCGGTGAACTTCGGTATCCATCTTATCGCGCGGGTGATGGATGGCACTTCCCGGGCGTCGGTGAGTTCCAAGCCTTTGACGAGCGCGCGCGCATGTCCCTGGCGTACGAAGCCGCGGCGTGCGGCAAGCCCGAGTGGGGACGCCACCCGCCGGTGAACGGGCCGAGCTACAACTGCGATCCGGAGGGAAACGTGTTGGAACCACCGATCAGACGAACGAGTGAGGATGAACCCGACGCCAAGCGACGTCACACGATGACGGCGAGCACGTCGAATTCGAGCCTGACGAGCGCGAGCTTTTCGTGCGCCCCGGAGAGCGCGTCGAGGAGCTTCTTCGCCGCCGACGGAACGGGGGATTGGAACACGCCGTACGGTAAGTTTTTCTTGTCGTGGTACAGTCGCGAACTCGTCGCGCACGGTGAGCGCGTTTTGGAACACGCGGTGCGGGAGTTTGACGGCGTCGACGCCTCGCTCGGCATCAAATGCGCGGGCGTGCATTGGTGGCACGGTCACCCCAGTCGCGCCGCGGAGTGCACGGCGGGGTATTACAACGCCACGCCCTCGCCGCCTGCGGACGGGAACGGCGATGTGGACATGGTTTTAGGATGTGAACCGCGAGGATACTCGCAAATCATCGACCTGTGCGCTCGATTCGGCGTCGAGCTTACGTTTACGTGCGTGGAGATGCGCGACGTCGAGCACTCGCCGGAGCACATGTGCTCGCCCGAAGGCTTGTTGGCGCAAGTTCTGCGAGAAGCGGCCGAAGCCGGAGTGACGGTGAACGGAGAAAACGCGTTGGCGAGATTCGATGTCGACGCGTTCGCGCAAATCGTTCGCACGTACGAACGATACGCGGGCGTTTCGCCGTCGCCGGCAAAGCCGTTGGCGCGACTTTCGTCCTCAATGAGCGCGGAAAACGTCAGCTCACCCGGCGCTGAGTCGCGGAATTCACTTTCGAGCGACGATACGATGATGACTTCGTCGTCGTCACCCGATACCGCGTGCGTTCTCGGATCGTTCACGTACCTGCGGATGTGCGACGAGCTCTTCGAGCCGCAGAATTTCGACCGCTTCGCGCGCTTCGTGCGAGACATGCGACGCACACAATTTTGAGTTTTTGACCCCACACCGACACGAAAACAGTAACAATACTCATGTAACACCATCGCTTCGAATTGTACGCTACCAACGCTACTACCGATCGTCCTCGTTCGATTACATCCGCGACCGACGAAGACTACTCGCGCGAGCTCAACCACTTGGACATTAATATTTTTTTCTTTTTCCCCCCCACGAGTCCACCGAGCGCGCGCGACATCCGCCCGAACGCGTCGTCGACCTCGCGTTCGATCACACGCGCGTATCCGCACCCCTCATACAGCGCGATCGCCCCTTCGTTATCGCTATCGACGTGCAACGCCATCGCCGCCGGCGTCGGCGTCATCTTCCTCGCGCACGTCTCGCACGCCTCCAACAATTTCACCCCCACCCCTCGTCGTCGATGCGATTCCCGCACGCACATTCCGCTCAGATACGCGTAATTACTCTGTTCCGTGAGTCCGAGCGCGATGGGCACCCTCGCGACGAGCGTTTCCTTGCTCGCTCGCGGCCCGAACGCCGGCAGCGCCGTCACGTCCGCGCACCCGCACAATCTTTCCTCCTCGCCGTCGCTCGCGCCGTCGTCGTACGCCTCGAGCAGCGCGAACGCATCGCCCGAGTACCTCACCTTGCGCACGAGCCCATCGAGCACGCTCACCGCGCTCGATTCGTCCGCGCCGAACGATTCCGCCGTGACCTCGGCGCACGCGCGAAGTCTGTCCACCAGCGCCGCGCCCTCGCCCGCGACCTGGCGCACGCCGATCGCGCGCGGCGGCGCGGCGACGCGCGAACGTCGCGACGCGCGCGCGGGCGCGACGCGCGGGCGCGAAGGCGCGCGAAGGCGCGTCGCCATCGCGGCGCCGAGTGCGGCATCGGTCGGCGCGTCGCGACGTTCGATGGCGCGCGCGGCGCCGCGCGCGGCCGAGGGCGCGGCCGGCGCGGCGCGCGCGACGGCGCGACGACGACGCGCGACGGCGACGCGCGGCGCGCGGGCGAGGGCGCGCGCGAGCGCGAACGAAGACGAAGACGAAGACGAAGACTTCGCGCGGTGGTTGGCGCGCGCGACGAAAGACGACGGCGTGGCGACGCGCATCGCGCTGACCGAGCGCGGACGCGCGTTCGGGACGCGCGGCGTCGAGGCGGTGCGGGATCTGGCGCCGGGAGAGACGCTGCTGCGCGTGCCCTGGGGGTTGGTGGTGGAGAGCGCGAGCGCGAGCGGCGACGACGACGGCGACGACGACGCGCGGTGGTCGTCCGCGATGGCGATGACGCTCTTGGAAGAACTGAGCGAGGGAGAGTCGAACGAACGCGCGGCGTGGTTGACGCGATTGCCGAGACCGGCGCCGAAGACGCCGGCGTTGGATTTCGACGACGAAGCGCTGCGGGAAATCGAAGACGAAAGCGTCGTCGACGAGGCGTTGGCCGTGCGGCGAGCGCACGAGCGCGCGCGCGAGGCGTACGGCGAGCGATTGGCCGCGATCGGGGCGACGGTCGAGGATTTGAAGTGGGCCACCGCGGTGGTGCACTCGAGAGTGTTCACGCGGCGAGACGGCGCGGCGGAGCGAGCGACGCGACTGTTGGTGCCGGGCGTGGACATGTGTAATCACGACGCCGCGCGCTTTAACGCCATCGTGCGCGTGGTGACGTCGCCGGAGACGTGTCAGGGAGCGGCTGCGACGGAAGAAATAGCAGAGATAGCGCCGTCGTCGACGATGGACAAGTTTTTCGAGCTCGTCGTCGACCCGGATGGCGAAACCGTGGAAGCGGGCGAGGAAATTTTAATTTCCTACGGCTCGTTCCCTAACGACGTGTGGTTGATGTATTTCGGTTTCATCCCGAGGGGTACCAACGTCAACGACACGTTCGTTATTTTCGAAAACGTCGACGAATTGGTCGCGCACGTCGCCGACGAGTTCAGGCGGGACCTCGACGCGACCACGCGGGCGCGCCTACGCGACGTCTTCGGCGACGACGCGCGCGTGAAGATCAAGGTGGACTCAGTCGACGAAAAATTGATCGAGGCGTGCGATGATGTTCTCGGTATTCCGTGGTTAGACGTCGTCGCCTCTCGATGCCGCGCGTTGCTCGTCGGCGGCCGCTTTCGCACCAAAATCAAAGACGACGTCGCCGCGCTCGCCGACCCGAACGTGTCCCCCGAAACCGCCCTCGCCGTAGAATTCCGTCTCCGCAAAAAGCAAATTCTCATCGCCCCGCTCGGGCAAACGCTCGAAAAGTACGGTTTTAGCGACTAGCGTAGAAGTTGTAGCCTCGCGAACGAGAACACCGATTGACCGCACGCCTCGACGCACCGAGCGTCGATCTCGCGCGCACCGCGCGGCACGCATCGCGGCGTTCGCGCGCGCGCGACCCCGTCCGCCGCGCGACGCGTCCACGGCGCGCGTCGCGAAGCCTCGGCGTTGTGAGTTGGAATTCTGAATTGATTCTAGTGGTGTTACGCCGACGCGCGACGCGTACACGCGCGCGAACGACGCGCTCGCGATGCCCGAATCGCCGGTGATCACGGACGCACCGGCGGTGGCGTTCTCGTCGCGAACGCTCGCGCGAAGAGAGGCCGAGTCGGGGTCGACGCCCGAGCGCGCCGAGACGACGCCGACGCCGTCGTCGCCGAGCGGCGAGCGAGACGCGGGCGAGGCTGGGGATAGTAAATCGAGCCCGTCGAAGGCATCTTCGCCGATGGACGCGATCGGGACAGACATGGATGGGTACGAAGTCGTCGCCGCGCTTCGTTGTAAAACGACTGGGGACGTTTGGTACGCGCGCGTCGATAAAGAGTTCAGGAGGAAGCACTACTATAATCCCGTCACGAAGGATCGCGAGGATTCAAAATGGCCGTCGTGGAAAACGATCAAAGATCCGAACGCACACGACGTGACGTCGGACTCAGAATCGGGAATCGATGACGGACGGAACGAGGGCGAATCTTTCGTGAGCTCGACGAACGGGCGTCGGTACTCGAAGTATTACGACAAACTGCGGGAAGAGTATTATTACGTCGACGAGGAGACGAATGAAACGACGTGGGATCACCCGGACGGCGAAGCGATGGAATTTATGCAAAGGTTCGTACCAGCCGCGTTCACGAGCGCGGCCCAAGCCGTCGCGCCGACCTTCAACGCGGTCGCCGAACGAACCGTTACGCACGAAGAACACGTCGAGTTGAAATTAGCCAAGATGTTGCTCGTAGAAGAGAAGTGGTTCGAGAAACAGCCGGCGTCTAAAAACGTGCCCGGGCGACCGGAAGTTTTTGAAGGCGTCTACAGCGAACGCGAACGGTTTTGGGATCCAGAGGCGGATACGTACTCGGTGGATAACAACGAGGGATCAGAGCACGGTATGGAGATTTTCGAAGAGGCGTACGAGGCCGAGGACGCGCTCGAGCGCTACACATCGGCGGTAGATTTGGCGACACCGGAAGACATGCGTCCAATGAACGTGGCGAGAGATTATTTTACCAATCTACTCCTCATCATGTTCGAAATGACGGAAGAGGAGCAGGACTTTGCGTTTGCCGAGAAGCGAGCGACGGAAAACACACGGGGGGTGCAAAAGTTTACTCACAAAGGGCATCGAGTCGTCGGCGTTCGACGATTGTCTCTTGAGAAAGCCCCTGAAATCGCTGACGAGATCCAATTTGAGAAGTCGCGCGCGAATGCGTCCGCGAAACTCTCCATCAAGCGATTACAGTTTGACCCAGACACGCCGGAGAACGTCAAGTCACTTTTCTACCGACGTCTCGCCGCGCCGATGGGCGGAATGTTCAGAGCCGCAACGATACTCCAGCGCGTCGACACGGGTAGCGATCGGCCGCATTTTGGAGGCGCTGGAAGTTCGATCGAAAGCGATAATGCGAGCGAAGCGTCGTCAACTGCCATAGCGAACGCGCCGAAGAAGGTTGCCACCGCGGGCGTCGGCGATGAACACGCGTCGGATCGTCTCGATTTCGACGCTTCCTCGAGCGGTAGCGATAACGCCGCAGACGACGAAAAGCAGCGATCGAAACCTCCGAAACGTCGCGGTTTATTCGGCAAACTCTTCGCGTCTTCTGAGTCGAAGCGCGAGAGACGCGAAGCGAAGAAGAACGCCGAGCAAGAACGCAAGAACGCCGAGCAAGAACGCAAGGACGAGCAGGACTTGCTCGCCAGCGGGTTCGTCGCCCCGTGGACTCGCGACCCTGAATCCGTGCGATTCTTACGAAAACCCACTTTCGACGAGACGACGTTACCCACGAGTCTTCGCGAAGTAGAACGTGTAAAATGAACGCGACGCGCGTGTCGACTCGCCGCACATCCGCGCTCGCGCGACGACGGGCGACGATGGCGTCGAGATCTGCTCCGACGCCGCGCGCGCTCGATTTCCGGCTCGAGCGCGACGCACGACGCGCTCGTCGTCGTCGTCGACCTCTCTCGCGCGCGCCGCACGCCGTGCGCGACGTCGACGTCGACGACACCGATGACGCGAACGAATTCGTTTTACGACGCCGCAGCGCGCTCGCGTGCGCGGTGTCGACGGCATCGAGCGCGTGCATCGCTCAGTCGTCGTTCGCTGCGCCCAACGGTGGACTTTCGGACGCGTGGGGCGCGATCACGGGCGCACCGAGCGATTTGGTTTTCCCTCGCGCGTTTGAGGGCAACTGGTTGACGACGAGTCGCACGGCGAGCGTGGACGCGCCGCTCGGCATGGAGTTCATTCGCGACGTCGACGCGTTTGAAAGATTGAAAGGAGAAGTGGACGCCACGGCGCGCGAACCATTCGTGTACCCGGTGCGATTCATGGAGAATGGACGCGGGGAGACGGTGTTCGATCGCGCGTTCAACGTCAGAGCGTTGGCGGAGGCGTCTCGAGGATCCGGAGGGAAGCGCGCGCTCGATGGTGAGATCGAATGGAACGTCGACGACCCGAATGTGTTGAAACTCGTCACCGGGGACGGTGCGAGCGTGTTTTATAAAGTCACTGCGCGGTCGAGCGACAGAGACGACGACGCGAGAACGATGACGACGTCCGAGCTCGCGCAAATCGTCGTCGACCGTGGTCGCGTCGGCGCCGAACCGCGCGTGAAATCGACGCGCATCGTCACAAAGTACAAGTGGCGCACGCCCGAGGAAGCGAAATCAGGTCCCCAAATCGTCGCTTCGCAAACCGTGTATGAATATTTGGTCGCCGTTGGCGGCGGCGAAGACGCCGACGAGACCTTCGTCAAGGCGCGCGGTCGCCCCGTCGAGGTCGACGTCTACCGCATCGCCATGCAGCCGTGGACGGAGGAATTTTTTTAAGTCTTTCATTTGGTTCACCATCGCGTTCGCCTTAGTCGCATCGCACCAGCGTTGTATTGTTTATTCTTTACGTTCCGCGACGCTGAGGGTTTCTCCGCGGTGAGGTCATGCCGCACACCATGTCGGGCGTCATCGCGCGAACGATCCGCCCCGGCGCGGCGGCGCGCGCCCTCTGGGCCCCTCGCGCGAGCCGCGCGTCGTCTGGCGCGCACGCCGTCGTCATCAGGCCGCGTCAGACGTCGTCGTCGTTCGCACGCGCCTCGGCGTCGGCGATTTCAATTGGAAACTTTAGCGCGCACGCGCGCGCCGATAAGGCGCGCGCGATGCCCGCGCGAGGCGTGCGGGCGCTCATGTCGCCCGTGTCGACGACATCAACGACGCGGGCGCGCGGGCGCGTCGTCAGGCGCTCGGCGGCGACGACGAGCGGGACGAGCGCGGCGCCGGCGACGAGCGGCGAAAGCGCGACGACGACGGCGCGTAAAGACGTGCCCACGTTTCAAGATGCGATTTTAAGATTGCAAGAGTACTGGAGCTCGCGTGGGTGCGCGATCGTGCTGCCGCATAACACGGAGGTTGGGGCGGGAACGATGAACCCGGCGACGTTTTTGCGAGCGCTCGGACCCGAGCCGTGGAACGTGTGTTATCCCGAACCCTCGGTGAGACCGGACGATTCGCGATACGGTGAAAATCCGAACCGCGTGCAAAAGCATACGCAGTTTCAGGTCATCTTGAAGCCGGCGCCGGAGAACGTGCAGGAGCTGTATTTGGGCTCGCTCGAGGCGTTGGGTATCGACACCGGGGCGCACGACGTGCGCTTCGTCGAGGATAACTGGGAGTCCCCGGTGCTCGGGGCGTGGGGGCTCGGGTGGGAGGTGTGGATGGACGGTATGGAGGTGACGCAATTCACGTACTTCCAGCAGTGTGGTTCGTTGAAAGTGGCGCCGACAGCGGTTGAGATTACGTACGGTTTAGAACGGATTTTGATGGCGCTGCAGGGTGTCGATCACTTCAAGGATATCGCATACAACGATATGATGACGTACGGCGAGATGCGCATGCAAGAGGAATATGAAATGTCCGTGTTCAACCTCGATCAGGCGAGCGTGGAGACGCACCGCTCGCGGTTCGAATTGGCGGATAAGGAGGCGCTTCGCATGCTTGAGGCGCGCCTTCCGTTGCCAGCGTTCGACAACTTGTTAAAGGCTTCGCACGCGTTCAACGTACTCGATGCGCGAGGAGCTGTCGGAGTAACTGAGCGTCAAAAGCTATTCGCGTCGATGCGCAAATTGGCGCGCGAAACCGCGCAGCTTTGGGTTGCGCGTCGCGAGGAGCTCGGGTATCCACTCGGCCTGTCGGAGGCGCCGCCGGCCAAGTCTCTCGTCGAGAACACCGGTGCGATCCCCACCGCACCGGCGGATTGCGTCATCGAGCTCGGCACTGAAGAATTACCACCTCAGGACGTCACGAGCACGTCTCGTCAGTTTCACGAAGCTGTCGATGCTTTGCTCAAGGCGGAGGGTTTGACGCACGCGGGCATTTCCGTCGGCGCCACACCGCGAAGATTCACGCTGAGCATCAAAGCCCTGAGCGCAGGCCAAGCGAACGTGGAGGAACGCGTGCGCGGCCCGCCGTTATCGCGCGCGTTCGAAGAAGACGGTACGACTCCGTCTAAGGCTGCCCAAGGATTTTGCAAAAAGAATGGCGTGGACGCCGGCGCATTGGAAAAAGATGGCGAATACGTGTGGGCCGTGGTGAAGAAGGAGGGACGTTCAGCCGTTGCTGTCCTCGAAGAAGCTTTGCCGAAGATTATCGCGGCGATCAACTTCCCGCGTGCCATGAGATGGACCACGAACTCGGAAGCTGCGTTCTCGCGGCCGCTCCGTTGGCTCTTCGGCGTCCACGGCGACCATCACCTGACGTTTGAGGCTCTCGGCGTGCACAGCGGAACGACGACGCGTTTGTTGCGCACTCGAGGCGATGTAACCGACACATACTCTGCGGCTAATGCAGCGGAATATCACGCCTTACTGGCGAAGGATTCGATCGTACTGAGCTTTGAAGATCGTATGTCGAGCATCTGGAGCGAGGCGAAAGCTGCAGCGAAAACCGTCGGCGGCGAAATCCCCGATAGCGCCGGCGAGGGCTTGCTCGAGGAAGTCGCCAATTTGGTCGAAGCGCCCAATTTAGTCATGGGAGATTTCGAAGAAGCGTTTTTGACGCTCCCAAAGGAAGTGTTGGTGATGGTTATGCGCAAACACCAGAGATATTTCCCCGTCGAAGGCGCGGACGGAGCGCTCAAGCCGCACTTCATCACCTTTGCCAACGGTTCTTGCGACAAAGGCGTGGTGAAGCACGGCAACGAGGCCGTGCTTCGAGCGAGGTACGAAGACGCTAAATTTTTCTACGAGACCGACCTGAACAAACCGTTGGCTGAGTTCAAGCCCGAGCTCAGTGGTATCACGTTCCAACAAGAACTCGGGAACATGTTGGAAAAGACTCAACGCGTCGAAGGCTTGGTCGCGGACGTCGCCGCAGCGCTCGGATACGGACCTGATGTCGTCGCTCCAGCCACGGTGGCGGCGGGTTTAGCGCGTGCAGACTTGGCGACGGCCATGGTGATGGAACTCACCGCGTTGGCTGGGACGATGGGCCGTCATTACGCGCAGAAAGAAGGCTTGCCCGCGAATGTGAGCGAAGCCATCTTCGAAGCGTGCTTGCCGCGAAGCGCGGGCGATGCCCTCCCGAGTACCCCAGCAGGGATCACTGTCGCCGTTGCCGATCGTCTCGACACTCTTATTGGATTGTTCGCCGTGGTCGGTGGCCCGAAGGCTTCTGCTGATCCCTTTGGTCTTCGTCGCGCGGCGTACGGCTTGGTTCAAACCATCGTGAATTCAGGAGCGACGTGTGATTTGCGCTCGCTGATCGAACTCGCTGCGGCGAAGCAACCAGTGGAGGTTTCAAATGAGCGCATCGAGGAGTGCGTGACGTTCATCACGCGTCGTTTGGAGCAATTATTCATCGACGCTGGTAACGATGTCGAGTGCGTGCGTGCCGTTTTGAAGGAACGCGGCGGCAGTCCGGCGCTGGCGAGCGCGTCCATCTCTGAGCTCGTCGCCGTGGACGGAAAGGCGCTCGAGACTTGCGTGCGCGTCCTCAGCCGACCAACCCGCTTGGTTCGAGGCAAAATGGGCGCCAACGCGGACTTGCGTATCAACGAAGCGAGCTTTGAGTGCGAAGAAGAGCGAGCTTTGCACGCGGCGTACGTCGCCGCTCGAGCCAAAATTGTCGACGGGTGCTCGGTGACCGATATGATCTCCGCCGTGTGCGAAATGGACAACGCCGCGACAGCATTCTTCGACAACGTATTTGTGATGGCGGATGATGCTGAGTTGAAGCGCAACCGCATGGCGCTGTGCGCTGCCGTAGCCAGTTTGCCGTCAGGCGTTTTAGATTTCGCCGAGCTTCCGGGGGGTCTATAGGAATTCATTAGCTGCGCGAAGCTTAGTGTGATATTATACATTTCATTCACATTGAAGATCTAAAGTACAACAGCTGACATGATGATTGTCGTTCATTTTTTGAATTAGTACAACAGTGGTGAAAGAATTTGTTGTAACAGCGGCGCGGGGAATTAGATCATCCGAACCGTGGTCCTGTCGACGGCGTCCGTCTTCGGCAAAGCGTGAATTTCGAGGTTCAAATCCTCGAACACAGACACGTCATCCGCCTCGTCCCAGCTTTTGTTTGGCGACAGAATACGCGTGCGGTTTACCTCGATGACGTCACCCATTTTCAAGGTCGTCGAGGATGCGTTTGCAGTCGCGATGGATTTTTTGTTGACGCGCACGCTCGAGACGCGGTAAAACTCACTCGATCGCGCCCCTCCAGGGACGTGCGCGTCTTCGAGCTTAAGATCAGCCAAGGTGGAGTTTTGCGCAATCTCGCGAACCGCCACAGCGCCGTCGACGACGGTGATGATGTAGTTCGGAGAGTCGTCTTCCACTTCGCACGACTGGCAAAAGCCCTCCTCCCGACTGTACGCACAGTCGGCGGAGTGCGTCGGGAACATGCAAGGTCGAAGCGCCGCACCGCAGTCCACGGCGTGCGCCACGCGCGCGGGACGAATCTTTTGCTGGTCATCGAGTTCGTTTTGCCACGTCAACATGAAGCGCGCCCACTGAATTTGCTGATCCACCTTGGCGCTCGTAGCCGATTTCTCGTGCTCCTTGTAACGCCAGTGAGCGGCGACGCCAAATTCTGCGGTTCTGTGCATCGAGGCAGAACGAATTTGAATCTCAAACGTGGTTTCGTTTTCGTCTCGAACGACCGCGTGCAAGGATTGGTACCCGTTCGCCTTCGGATTCGCGATGTAATCCTTCGACCTGCCTTCGACAGACTGGAAAGTCGACAGCGCGATTTCAAGCGTCTCTCGGCACGTTTGCTCAGACTCGGCGTCGTTATCGCCGTCGGCGACGATGATTCGAATGGCGCGCAAATCCATGATGTCTTCGAGCTTTTGGTTCTTGGATAGCATCTTCTTGTACACTGAATACACTGACTTTTGACGTCCGCACAAGTCGACGACTTGCGCACGGCGGGACGAGAGTTCTTCGTCGAGCTTGTTCAGCGCGGCGACGATTGACTCGCGCTGATCGAGCGTCTGAGACAGCTCTGCGTACGCTTGCGGATTCATCCATTTGAATGTTAGATCCTCGAGCTCGTTCTTCACGCTGAAAATCCCCAGGCGCGCGGCGAGAGGGGCGTAAATGGTGAGCGTCTCATCCGCGAAGGCTTGTTGCTGCGACTGAGGCGCGCTCGCCAAGTTGCGCATCTTTATCAGACGCGCCGCGAGCTTGACGATCACCACGCGCGCGTCTGTCATCGCAAGTAACATTGCGCGGAACTGCGCGCGTTCGTTGAAATCCAACACGCGCCCCGACGCCCGATGAAGCTTGGAAACGCGGTGTACTCGAGTGACGTCCTCGACCAACGCGACGACTTCGTCTGAAAATCTCTTGCGCAAGTCCTCCTTCGTGCTCGACGTCACGTCCAAGGTGTCGTGCAACAGTCCCACGGCCACGGTTTTAGCGTCCATACCGAGCTTAGCGAGCGTGATGGCGGTGTCCACGCATCGATCAAAGTGCGGTCCCAGCCCCGGCCCCGCGTGCGACTTGGCGGTGAAATCAAACGCCTCTCGCACCGTCGGCTCGGCGAAAATTTCCGGCGCCGTCGTCAACGCGCGGCGATACGCCTCGCTATCGAAGACATCGCACGTAAACTCACCCGCGAGTTCGGCGCGAAGCATCCCGATCGGCGGCTTCGCCGACGCGCGTTCGCTCCCCGCGCCTCCGCCGACTTGGAACCCAATCTTCACCGTCGCCGGCTCCCCGCTCGTCGTGCGCGTCAGCGGTGGATTCGCTCTCGACACGCTCGCCGGCGACGGCGGCATCCCAGGCGACACCGACATCGGTGACGATCGCAACGACGCTCTCGACGCCGACGCCGACGCCGTCCCCATCGTCGGCGGTCGTCCCGCGGGCGACCCGCGTCCCGCGGGCGAACTCGCGAGCGCGCCGTTCGCCCCCATGACGGACCCGAGCGACCCTGGGGAGTGGCCGTAGATCGAGTTCGCGCTCTCCCCGTGCATCGCCGTCGCGATCGGCGACGCGCGGCGCACGCCCGGCGACGATCCCAGCGCGGCGAACGGCGCCGTCATCATCAATCAATCAATCAAACTTCAGAAGTGTCCCTTCGGTGCGTGGCGACCGACCGCGCCGCGACTGACCGAGTCGTTGACGGTCGAACGGTCGACCGATGGATGTCGCCGTCCGACGACGCGCGAGAGCGCGCTCGAGTCCACGAACGCGCGTGAACGCACGAAGCGTAAATCTACGCGCGTCGTCGACGATCGCCAGCGCGTCGCGTCGCGTCGACCGCGCGCGAACGACGCCTCGATGGACGCGCAAGATGCCGCGCGAACGCGCGCGCGATTGGGCGAACGACGTCGACGACGGTCCGCGCGTCGACGCGGGACGAACGCGCGCGCGAACGTGCGCGCGCGCGCGTGAACGATCGCGCGATGCGATGCGACGCGACGAGTGACGCGTGTGTTGCGACGCGGTGCGTCGACGAATGACGCGCGCGCGCCACGCGCGTCACACGCGCCACGCTGGTGGGCACCCACACGGTTCCATTTTTAAATTGATGGCGATTTTCGTCGCGGTATACGAGACGCGACGTTTCGCGGTCGGTCGGTCGACCGGCGTCCGATGGGACGCGGGGAGAAAGCGCGGGAAAAAAATTGAATTTTTGTTCCGGTGGGACTCGGGACGAGTCGTGAATCGAAAAGGTATCTAGTTTCGAGCTCCCGCGGCGCGACGCGCGGATTCCGCGCGGGACGACGAGGCGCGGGCTAATCGATGACGTTATACAAGCTAAGTTTCGCGCGATGACGATGCGGCAGCGGTGAGGGGCGCGGCGTCGTCGCCGGCGACGCACGCGCGAGCGACGGTTTCGAAGCGCTTGGCGGCTCGGGCGAAGGCGCGCCGCCCGTCGCTCGAGGAGCGCTCGGCGCACCGCTCGAGCGCGTGAACGGCGATGAGAGCGACGACGTCTTTGGGGTCTAACGCACCGTCACTCGTGCGTGGGTGATCGGCGAGCGTCGCGCGAGCGCGGTCGGCGGCTTCGCGCTGCGCGAGCGCGAGCTGATTCAGCTGCTTTGAAGGTGAGTTCGCGAGAAGACTTTCGACGTGCGCCGCGACCGAGGCGCACGCATCTTTCGCCTCACGTCTTCGCGCGTTCGCCGCGCGCCGCGCCGGAGGTGTCGACGGATTCGCCGGCGGCGCGAGCGCCGCCGAAGACTCAGCCGGAGACTCCGCGCGCGCCGCGCGTTCACGCGCGAGCATCTCCCACGCCTCCCGCGCCTCCGCGCGCGCCATCTTCGCATCATTCGCCTCTTTCACGAGCTTGGCGTTCAAATCGTCGAAATCACACGCCGCCGTGGCGATGTACTTTTCTATCCGCGCCAACTGCGTCGCCAATCGGCGCGCCTTCGCCTTGGCCTTCCTCGCCTCCCGCCGCTCACGATCCCAGCGCACCAAGCTCACCACCGCGCGTATGGCCCACAACCACCGCATGCGCGCGACGTGCGCGTCCGTCTCCCCCAACGCGACCGTCAAATCCTCGACGTCCGCGACCAACGCCCTGGTCGTCTCGTCGCATCGCCGCGCCTCCGCGCGAGCGAACGCCGCCATCTCCAGTTCGCGCTCGATCGCTCGATCGCGCTCGACGACGAGCGACAGCGCGATCTCGTGACTGGACCCGACGCGTCCGTCGGCCATGGCGCACATCTCCGGCGTGTTCACGCTCGCGACGGCGTACGCGTCCCCGTCGTCGTCGAGCGACGCCGTCGAGCGACCGGCGAATTTCGACGCCGGCGATGCGAACGACGTCGACGCGACCGTGTGATGGTCGTCATCGCGATTGAATGATAACGTCCCGAGCGGCGCGCGCCTCGGGACGTTCGCCATCGTCGCGAGGGACGAGGCGCGATGTGATGTTTCAAAACGCCGGTTGTTACCCCTCGCCGCGAGCGACGCTCGGCGGGGCGTTCGCACGTCACCCGAACACGCTCGTCGCGACGCCGTCGTTGCCGTTGAAAATGGAAAGTAGGTAAGCCGCCACGGATGGGTCGAATAACACCGACGTGAGGGCGGTGTTGCCGGTGAGCGCGGCGACGAGACGCTCGTCGGAGAGGCCCGAGACGTCGAACGCGCGCGCGAGCCTGTCGCGGACGATGGACGCGCGAACGTCCGCGTCCACGACATCGGATGACCACGATGACGTTGTTGATGATGCGTACATCGTCGCTGGTGGCGGTGGAGGAGCGCGTAACGGCGTGAATGCTGCGGCGACGACGACGTCGCCGACGCCGCTCGCGGCGGAGACGACGACTCGATCGCGCTGCCGAGTCGGTGCGGGCGACAAGGGCTCGATCTCGGACCAAATAACCGTTGGGTGAACGATATCTTCGAGCTCGGCGAGCGAGCGGGCGTCGATGCCTTCAGTTAGCGGCCGCGCGGCGTCGGCGTCGCGACGCGCGACGAGCGCGAAGAAGACGAGCGTGAAGAAGACGCGTCGCGAGACCATGATCGTGACGACCGCGCGGCGTGAGATGTGAAGGGTGTGCGCTTTCTCTCGTTTCACGCCGTCGCGCACCGCGCAGGAACGCCCGCGAGGCGCGAGATGACGCGTGTTCTTCGTTCTCGGGATATCAACCGACTTTCGTGAGTTTGTTGGTCCGAGAGCTCGCGTGCGCGCGGTTTCAAGGCGCGCGTCGCATTTTCAGCCTCGCGAGGGACAGCAATTCAGGGCCAGAGATCGTCGGATGCGATCTGACGCAGGTAAGCGTCGTCACGCGCGACGCAGTACTGCTCGTATCGCTTGTGTCTCGTTGTGCGTGTTGGCGTCTGTATCGAGTCGAAGGGTCGAAGCGACATCCACGGCGGACGCCGACGAGATTCAAGCGCACAAGCGCTCGTTGAAACAGTTTCTCGCACCAGTGCGATACTCCATGGTTCCCTTTCGCGACGCGTTGTACAATCTGGGTGAAGCCATCGTCGACCTGGCGTTGGTCCCGCACCAATTCCGCTGGGTGGACGAGATCAACGCGAGAGCCGCCGAGTACGCCGAGAATGATTACGACGAATACGAGACGGTCGCGAGCGAGTTCACCGACGTTAACGCTTAGATGAATGGTTGTACGTTTTAATGAAGCCAACATTTTACATGAAATCGTTGAATTATCCTACTCGTCGTCGCCGGCGATTTTCTATCCTCCCCTCCGCGCGCGCTCGCACTCAAACAATGTTTTGAAAAAGAATTCGATGTGTGATCGTGTGTGATCGATCGAATTAATCCTTCGCAACTTCGAGCTGGAACTTGCACTGCGCTTGCTTGTGGAACGTGGCGTTGATTTCGTAGACGCCGACGGCGGAAATGTCGGGGACGTCAAAAGCCTTCTTTTCCAACTCCTTGCCAGTTTGAGCCTTGATCGCTTCGACCACATCAGCCGCCGAGACGGAGCCGAAAATCTTGCCATCTTCACCCACAGTCTTCTTCACCACAAACTTGCCAATCGTCGTGAGCGCCGTCGCGAGCGCCTTGGCGTCTTGCACTTCCTTCGCCTTGGCCGCCGCCGCCTCGGCAGCCTTCGCCTCGAACTCAGCCATCAGTTCTTGGCTCACCTTGGTCGCCAAACCTTGCGGCTCGAGGTACGAGCGGAAGAAACCGTTAGAGACCTCGACCATGTCGCCCTCTTGGCCGACGTCGGACGTCTTCAAGAGCACCGCCTTCGTCTTCTTCGCCGCTCTCTTGTACGCCTCGACGACGAGACCGACGCGGCCGCTCGAGCGCGGAACCGCAGCCGTGGTCTTGGACGAAACCTACCGATCGCAAAACGCGCGTCGTACCACTCGTCAGTCATCGCACGCACGCGCGCGGAAACGCGCGCGGAAACGCGCGCTTCCCGAAAACCCTACACCCCCAGACCCTCGAATCGCCCCGCGCGCCCCCCTCCGGCGCGCGCTCTGCGCTCGACGCCATCGACGGCGGCACCGCGCGCATGATTTTTTAACGCGCGTCCCCGCGCCCGCGCTCGACGTCCACGCCGCGTCTCGCGCGTCCGGTCGCGTTCGAATTCTTTCCGAAACCCTCCGCGCGTCGCGCCCCGATAACGCATCGCGACGCGTCGTCGCGTCGTCGCGTCGTCGCGCGTCGTCGCGCCATCGCGCGCGCGCGATCGACGAATTCATTCGCACGCACCGTGTTCGGCTTGAACGCCCGAAGGCTCGCGTGCGTGGGGGCGGAGACGGTGAACATCGTCGCGCGGGTGTGCGGACGTCGCCGTCGGCAGGCGCGGGCTCGGTCTGTCGGTCGAATCCTGGGTCATCGAAATTCAACGAACCTCGCACCGTCGATCGATCGATCTCGGGGAAAGATCGATCGAGGTCAATCACTCTGACGCGCGGACCGATCGCCGACATGGGGGCGGCGACCGAGTTGGCCGTGCTGCTCGAGGACGCCGTGTGGCGCGCGGACGCGGAGGCGACGGCGCCCGCGATCGCGGAGGAAGACGTCGCGAATGATCTTTTCGTGGTGCCCGTGGACGAGGGCGGTGCGCGTGGAGGCGAGAACGCGGCGGTCGCGGCGAGGGCGCCGCGCGCGGCGCTGCGAGAACAGACGACGGCGAGACACTCGCTGGAACGCGAACGCGAATCGCTCGTCGAGCGCGAGAAGCTGCTCTCGAAACAAATCTCTCGCGCGAAACGACGGGTGGAGCGGTTGGAGCGAATGGTGCGCGATGCCGAAGCGCTGGCCGCGGGGTGGTCGGACGACGAGACGACGTCGGATCGACGCGGACTCGGACTCGGACTCGTGGTCAAGCGAGAATTTGCGCCGAATGCGGACGCGGAGAGACCGCGCGCGAGACGAACGAAAAAGCCCGAACGCAAGATGACGTGGGAAGAGATGCGGGCGAAGTTGGACGCGGCGACGGTGCGGGCCGTGGACGCGTCCGATGTCGGCGATGAGACGATACGAGAGGTCGGTAAGCGGCAGTGGGAAACTTTGTTTCCACATGCGCAGCCGCCTAAGCAATTCAAGTTTGGAAGATCGTTCATTCGCGATGTTCGTGAAAAGATCAACGTCACGACGAAGAGATATAAACCGACGACGACGAGTTCGTCGATGACGAAGACGGCGCGCGAATCCTCTGGCGATGAAATTGAGAGCCCGCAGACGCCTCGAATCTCAAAGCGCGCGCGGAAGCAGCGTTTTGCAGGAGGATCATGGGAGTTGTGAGCATTTTCGCGTACATTTCGATCAAGCATCTTCGAGCGAGACTGCTCTCGTCAACTTTACGATGTGTAAAACCATCACGACGACGATAACCGCGATAACGACAAGCCAACGAACCGTCTCGCCTTCAACAGTCGACGCCGGTCGCGTTGCGCCCGCGGTCTCCGCTTTTCGCTTTTTTGTATGTTCGCGAACGATGTAACTCGCGAGTGCATCGGCGGTGGGACACTCGAACGCGGCGTGAATGGGGAGCAACATTCCGAACTCGTTTTGAATTGCCGCACGCAACTCCGCCGCCGCCAAGGAATCCATGCCAAGATCGACGAGCGCGTCGCCGCCCGCGATCGACGAGGCGCCTGTAATTCGCGAACAATGCGCATAGATTTTACGCTGGATTGATTCGAGCGATTCGAGCGGCGGTAACGGCGCCACAACTTCACGGCGAAGTGAAGTCGTCGCTTCGGGTGTCGCCGCGAACGTTTGTCTGATGAGTCGGTAAACTCGATCAAACGGCCTCTTGAATACGACACCGATCGTGTAAACTTCGTTCATTGTGTGTGCATGATCACATATGGTCGCGATCATAGACATCGCTGCCGTCCGAGGCGTGGTGTAGTGCCTAGCGCACGCCCGGAGCACGCCCGGATCGCGCATCGCCGATCTCGCGGCGAACGAGCTCTCGAGCGCACAAGGATCTATGCGATATTCGAAGTGCGATTGCTCGCTCCTCGCCTTGACGCGTGCTCGAACAGTTCTATTCGATGAATCCGAACGCCCGACGAGCAATGATGAAACGGGACCGGGGGCTGTTCGCCTCGACGCCAAATCTGTGCGACGAACTCGGCATTGCATACACGCCTCGCCTTGGTCCAAAGACTCCTTCGCCTCGACTTCCCCCGATTTCGCGTTCACGGCCACTGTGAAGAAGTACACGCCATTCGTACGTAAGGCTAGAGGTGCGAAGACGGCCGCGTCGCACGCCATGGGTTCGCGATCGAATATTCGTGAAGCCGCGCACGCGAGTTCAAGGAAACCGGCACTCGGAAAGATGGCTTCTCGCGCGGAAGTTTTGCAACCGAGCAAATGCGAATGTAATCTCGCGTCAACACACGCGGTAAACCGAAAAGTAACGGCATCGTTGCTGCCATCAAACGTCTTCAAGTGGACGTGGAGCTCTGGAAGTGGCCAGAAGCGCGATCGATGAAAGATGGCTTTGGGACAATGACGCGGCGCGGGCAATTTTGAAGAGTTCAATCGTAGGACAGCGTTTGCGTTCGTGCCTTGAAAGGCGAAGCCCGAAACGCTAACGAGTGATGCCAAACGAGCTGAAAACTGTCGGGCGATGTGTGTGCCATTCGTTTGGGCACTGGCAAACAAACCCAGCAAATGTGGGCTTACCAAGCGCAAGTGCGCGACGAGCGACGTAGCACAGCCGGCCAACTTTTTCGTCTCTTGCACCAACGATACCGCCCCTGCCGCTGTTTCAGTGTGTCCGACGTGCGTTTTTACTGCTTCCAACGTAAAAGCGCGATCTGCAGGTAATCTTTCGAGAGCGCTCAGCGCTGCTCCAATCTCAATTGGATCGCCCAGCGCGGTGCCAGTTCCGTGTAGTTGCAGAACGTCCACGTCTCGCGTCATCGCGGAAGCTGTACTAATGGCGGCGCGAATGACAGTCTTCTGAGTCGGTCCATTTGGAGCAGTCAACGAAGAACTCCGCCCGTCTTGATTTACTGCCGCTCCGGCTAGTAAAACATTCGTGACATTCACCGCTTCACTCGCGTCAACGGCTTCGAGGGCGAGCACGCCTCGAGCCTCGCCTCTGACGTAACCGTCGGCACTCGCATCAAGCGTTTTACATCTGCCATCAGGCGCGAGCATTCCTGAAGAGTGGAAAACACCAGTGATGTGCTCACTGAGAATCGCTTGCACTCCGCAAGACACTGCTCGACCGATTTCTGAAGATCTCATACTGATAAACGCCGAGTGCGTCGTGACAATGGAGGAGCTACACGCAGTATCTACGCTCACAGAGGGCCCTTTAAAGTTGAACACGTACGAAATGCGTCCAGCGGCGACGTTGAGAGAAGTACCGCTCACCAAATACGGATGAAGCGCGTGTTCATACCTTCGCAATACCTCATCTGCGTAATCGCACGCGGCGATCCCGACCCAGACGCCAGACGATAGCGAGCCTTCGAGCGTGTCTTCGCTAGTGACGGCGAAAGTTCCAGCAGTCGTCGCTTGGAACGTGCCTTCTAGAAGAGATCTTTGCTGAACGTCCATGTAGAGCGCTTCTAACGCCGAAATCGCAAATGCCCGGTTGTCGAACGAGATATAATTGGTCATGAATCCACCAAACGGAGCGACGTGCAAGTTGTAGCCGCTCACGCGAGAGGAGTGGTACTCTTGCACGGCTTCTTGATAAAAGTCGTGATCCCATCTGTGGTATGGAACGCGACGAATCGCGTCGGCATCGGGAGGGTGAGGCGCGGTAAGATCAAAGTTCCGCACTGCAACGTGTTTCAACGACGACGCGACGACGATGGTTGGTGACTTCTTTGTCGCAGCCGTGGCTCCAATTTCGTCAGCGACGAACGTCGCCAAGTCTTTAATGGTCGGGTAATCGAATACCACGGTGGGTGGGAGCTCGATGTCAAATTCATCTTCGATTTGTTGCTTCATCTCTTGACCGCCGAGACTGTCGAGTCCCGAATCCATCAACGGCTCGTTCGGGTCAACATCTCGACCGATCACTTGACAGGCAATTTGTAGTACGCGCGATTGAACGTCTGCGATTGAGATTCCAGAGCCTTCCGCTGTGTCTTCATCTTCATCAACATCGCCGGCGCCCAGTTCCCCTGCGACGAAATCCCCCAACACTGAAACCGTGGGGTAATCAAACGCGGCCGTCGCGGGAAGTTCGACGGCAAATTCATCTTCAATCTGCGCCTTCATTTCCTGCCCTCCGAGACTATCCAGCCCAGCGTCCATGAGAGGTTCGTCCAAGCCTATTTCTCTTCCGATGACTTGCGTCGCAATCTGCTGAATTTTTCTACGAACGACGGCGACGCTCAAGCGCGCAGCGCCTCCGCCCACGTGTTTGCGCTGTTTCTTCGATGTTTTCTGTTTTTGCTTCACGGCGACGTCTCGATACATCCTCGGTATGACAGGTAAAGCTTCTGCAAACTTTTTGAAATCGTACGGTGTCGCGATGACGTTACCGATGCCTTGTCTCGACATGACTCTCTCCAGAGCGCGCATGCCAAGTTCAGGGGTGACGACACCGAAACCCATCGAGTTAACCTTTTCTAAAACCCGCGCCTCTGCCATACCGGCGTTCGACCACGCTCCAAATTGCATTGAGCTGATAGAGTCGCCTCGAAATCTCGCAAAGTCGGCGATTGAATCCAAACACGCGTTCGCGGCGGAATAGTTCGACTGCCCACTCGAGCCTGTGAGAGCTGCGATCGAAGAACAGTGCACTATGCGTCGTACCATCGCACCCACGAGATGTGATTCGAGTGTTTGCCAAGAGTTAACTTTCGCACCGATGACAACTCTTACTGACAGTGCACTTTGAAAACGAATTAACCCGTCACGTAACACGCCCGCCGCGTGAAGAATCTCATCGCATTGGTGATATACCACAGGTTTGACATCTTCGCTAAATCCCGCGTCACATTTGCACGCGTGCACCGAAGAGAATGTACGTCCATCGAATTCCGCTCCGCGCCCAGAACGACCCAAAAGACGCACGCGAGCGTCAATCGTGGATGAGTTCACATGTGTCGCGTACTCGACACCGATGGCGCCCAAGCCACCAGTGATCATCACGCGCAGCGTCTTTGGAGCTTGACGGGGGATACGCACTTCGAGAGTGAGAGACTTTCGGGAAGGCGGTTTGATCACATTTTGCGCCTTGCGTACACGTGAGCCGTACGTCATATTCGCCTGCACGAGGACATCATACGATTCGCCGACAAACTTTAACGAAGCATCTGCGGACGCAACGTACCGCGTGCGCGCGCCGTCGAACCTAACACTCTCCGTACGAAGCTGCTTTATTTCTTGTCCAACCGTCCGAGCAAAGCCGTGCAGGGCATCGTTGCTTGTTGTGCGAATGGTTTCAATTTCGATACCCGTCGCCGTATTACACTGGACGGCGCACGCGGCTGTCAAGACGCCACACGTGGCACACGATTCTAAATCGCTCACCGTGCGCTTTTGACCAGGAACGCACGGTTGTAGAGCAAACCAACGAAGCGCGTATAGCATGCGCGTTTGTTTTGTCACGAGTGCTTTTCCACGGCGCATGGGCTTGAGCTCGAGTCCGACGACATTTGCGCGCTCGAGTACATAATTTCCACTCGAATTGCTCGCGCTTGCGTGTAAACTGCGCCGTTTGACAGAAATTTGCTGCGCAGCGTACGCGTGCACACCCACGGGAACTTTTGTCTCGGAGGACCCCGCGTTCATCACTGCACCGAGTTGTAGCGTACTATCCAAGCACGTCGGGTGCACGAAGTATTCGACGTGGCGCTCCGTTGTGAGCGAATGGATCTTGGCGAGCGATATCTTTGTCGTCTTGGCACGCTTTGTGAACGACTTAGACGAAGTAGTAACGCTTTCACATCTGCAGTTGTCGTGCAAACGCACGTAGCACTTCATGAAAATGATGTTCGCACTGTGGACATCCAGGCGACCGCTTGGCGCGAGAATGCGAACGTCGAACACGGTGTCCTTCAGAAGAGACATTTGCAACGGCGCCGGTACGGCTGAATTCAGTATTGTAGCGCTCTTTGCGTCGAAGGTGCGCGCCGCGCCGCCCGCGAGTTCTTGAAATCCAGCGCCTGGATAAAGTGCTCTGTCGAACACACGGTGGTGGAGTAAGTGTGCATGGGTGCGCACGTTCACTTTTGCGCAAAACCTCAACGTGTCGCCACGTTTGAAAGTCTTTGAAAACGCATGAATCTGCGGATGTAACTTTGGAAGTGGATAAAACGTTTCTCTGACGAACGCCGGTGAGACGATTGGATGTCGAAGTTTGTCTCCCATCGTGACGCGTTGAATCGAGTTCGCGTTAGTACCTTGAAAGGCAAACGAGCTCACACCCGCGAGCTTTGCGTTTCTCGGAAAGTTCTGTCGCGGCGAAGAGACGAACGCACCTTTGCCGACGATAGATGCTATGTGCGGATTTACCCATCGTAAGTGCAGAATTTTCTCAACGTCAGAGTCGACGAGTGAAAGCAAGGGCTGCATTAATGCGACCATTCCGCTCGCCGTTTCCGTGTGTCCCACGTGCGATTTGATAGCCTCGAGCGTAAGGGGTTCGCCACTTTGTCTCTGCAGCACCGCTGCGGTGGCTCCAACCTCAATGGGGTCCCCTAGTGGCGTACCTGTGCCGTGCATTTGTAACTTGTCGATCTCGGCGCCATTTGCTCGCGACGCTCGGAGTGCTTGCTTCATGACTGCCTGTTGAGATGGCCCATTCGGTGCCGTAAGCCCGCTCGACCGCCCGTCTTGATTGATGCTTGAGCCGACAATCGCGACACCAGATGATATTGCGTGCGACTCCATACCGTGAACCAAGAACACACCGCGAGCTTCGCCTCGCACGTAACCGTCTGCGCTGGCGTCCAAGGTCTTACACCGCCCCGATTGTGAGAGCATACCCGATGAGAAGAAAATTGTAGTCACGCCTGGTCCCAGGATGCTTATGACGCCGGCCACAATCCCTGACGTGCAGTCGAACGATCGAAGTCCTTCGACGCACAAGTGCGTCGCTACAATACTCGTTGAACACGCGGTGTCTATAGAGAAGGAGGGACCTCGCAAGCCATATATGAAAGACACACGACCAGCAGCGACGGAAAGCGTATTTCCTGTTGCAATGTACGGAGAGAACTGGTTGCTCCAAAACTTGTCCAACACTTCGACCTGGTACTGCATGGATGATATCGCGACATATACTCCGCACGAGTCACCTTCTAACGCATCATCTTTGATTTCATGGCTCGCAAGTCTCGTGCTGGCGACGCCTTCGAGAATGGAGCGCTGCTGCACGTCCATCAACAAAGCCTCGGTGCTCGCGATGCCGAAAAGCGTCGTATCAAAAAGCTCGTAACCGATCAAGAAACCACTGAAAGAAGGTATGAAAATCTGTTCTCTGTCCCACCACCATGAGTTGTCCCAACGATGCATCGGCACGCGTGTAATGCCGTCGCCCGAGTGCGTCGGTACTAATAATTCAGCGCCAGAGATGTGAGCGACGACGTCATTCAAAAAGTGCTCTGCTACTGTGGGACTACTTTCAAAGTTTTCCACGATTTGCGTGCCGCTCGCGATGTATGAGCTCAGTGCCGCTATTGTAGGATAGTCGTAAACGGCCACAGCCGGGACTTCGACGCCGAACGCGACGTCAAGTTCATTCTTGAGTTCTCCGGCTGCTTGCGAATCCAGCCCGGCTTCCATCAATGGGGCGTTTACCGCCACCTCACGACCGACTAGCGCGCGCACTAAGGAAGAAATTTTTATCTCGACATCTCGTTTGCTCATTGTTTGCATCGCGAGTGCGCTCGTTCCGACACGAGGGGGCTTAACTTCCGTCGTCGTAGTTGAATGAGCGCATTCGACGACATCCTTGAATATTCCGAAAGCCGGGAGAGACTTTGAAATTTGTCGCCAGTTGAACGGACTCACGGCTATGGACTCGTGCGGAATCAACCCATGAAAGACTTTAACGATGATGTCAACCCCAAACTTGGGATCTACGGCACCCGCACCGATGCGTACCAACCGCTGAACAACCGCCGGATTGCTTGCTGCCATGCCGACGTTTGCCCATCCGCCCCATTGCACAGAGAAATACGAATCTCCAAAAGAACGTTGCTCTCTGGCGTCCGCGTCGAGTAAAGCATTAGCGGCTGCATAATTCGTTTGGCCAGGATTGCCCGTCAACGCCGCGATGGACGAGCAAAGCACAACCGCACGCGTGACTTTGGCATAAGCAAGATTGGAAGACAGCAATTTGGCGCCCATCGTCGCGAAGACGGACCGAGCGGTCGTTTGATTCAGAAGGGCGTCGCATAAGACGCCAGCAGCGTGCAGCACGTAGCGCTCCGTGTTATCGACACAAAATAAGCTGCATGATCTAATCGATGGGCTGTCCGAACAAGATGTATCGCACTTGATGGCGTTCACTAGCGATCCTCGCCTTTCTCCGAAGGCTTGAGCGCGGCCGTTTCGTGACAATAGGACAACGCGCCAACTACGACGCTCAAATTCTCGAGCTACTTCCATTCCAATGGCCCCAAGTCCGCCTGTAATGAAGATGTACTTCTCGCTTGTATCCCCACGCGCGAAAATCCGTTGATTCAAATGATGTTTCCTCGACCATTTATCTACAACCACCGCACGACGAAGCCTGGGTTCGCTGAGAGCGAGCGCATCTACGGAGACTTCGTGCGGCGCACCCTGAACGAACGCTGCGGTCGATGAACGTTCGACATAGTGTGAATCTTCCGCACGATGCCGCGTGCTTTCGAATTGCACTCCCTGAACTTCTTGAGCCACCGTGCGAACGATCGCTCGAACGGCTTCCATCGCTCGAGCGCGGTCCGCGTTCAGCGCGGCCGCTCTCGAAGATGCCAAGTTTTGCGCTAACCCGATCGTCGCACACGTGACGGACTTTGTGACAATCCATTTACGTAGTGTCAAGTGAACGCATTTGCTTGATCTTCCTGTAGATCGCACGACAAACCATCGCAGCGTGTAGGTGTCTTTTGAAGCCGGCATGTGCGCCGCCGCCCGCGAAGCAGTTCGCCTCATCGTCTTCACTTGTAGGCCAACGATGCGAGATCTTTCGAGTGAATGATTCGACTTGAGCAACGACGCGAAGTGTGTTGGCGCATTCGATGAAGATTTCACCGAAACATACGCCTTGGCGCCCACCGGGACCTTGACTTCCGTGTTTGTCAGATCTACGACGGCGGCCAACTGCAAACTTGCGTCTAACGAGGCAGGATGGACCACGTAACCCAAATGCCAGTCTGGTACGTGAACGGAAGCACACGATCTTGGCATGACACTTTTCATAAGAAGCTTAAGCGATGCCTGTTGCGGGGGTTGAGCGCACGCTCGTCTAGCGAAACACTTTGTGTGCGTCACAGCGCCAGACTTTGTCTGAATACGTATTTCTCCCTTGCGAAGCTCAGTCGACACCGTGAATAACGTCAACTCCCGCGTGCGCATGACGAGCGGTGCTGGAACAACTGATTCTACGGCTACGACGTTGATTGCGAACATCAGACGCGCAGAAGCCGCGCAAAGTTCTTGAAAACCAGCACCCGGATACAGCGGGCGTTCAGCCACAACGTGATCGAGCAAATGCGCGTGTCCGCGAGGCTCTACTCGACCACAAAACCGCGCGAAATCACTCGTCGAAGCGGTACACGATAAGATATGTGGATGTAGAGTGGGCAAGGGCCAAAATTCACGTCGATGAAACGCAAACCTCGATACCGCCGCTCGCACTGTGCCGCTGTTCAAACGCTGAATTGCGTGCGCATTCGTACCCTGGAACGCAAAGGCTGAAATCCCCATCGTCTTGAAATTCGCATCCACCTTTTGACGCGGTATAACGATTGGCGCGTTCGTATCAGATGTCTGAATTATCGACGAACAGTGCTGATTGAGCGAACGCAGATGCAGTACCGGGTGAGCGATGGAATCGGAAACCGTCGCGTGTGCCCGCAACAAAGCAACGATGCCAGCCGCGGTTTCGCAGTGACCAACGTGCGACTTGACCGCGTCTAACATCAGTTTTTTGCAATCTTGAAGAGCGCCGAGTGCGGCACCAAGCTCGATTGGATCACCGAGAGGCGTTCCCGTGCCGTGCAGTGAAATACTTTCCATTTCTTCGCCTTGCATGTTTGCCGAACAAAGCGCTTCTCGTATGACGCGCGTCTGCGCTGGACCGTTTGGAGCGGTCAAAGACGCGCTATGCCCATCTTGATTTACCGCAGTGCCACTGATTGAAACGCCTTCACCAGAAGCTCTCAGGGCACTCGTCATACTCATAATTCCAGTCGCCTCACCTTCAATGAAACCGTCCGCGCTTGCATCCAAAGTCTTGCAACGACACTCCACGGAGAGCATGTTTGCGTAATGGCGATCAATTGTGCCCGAAACAGACATCATAGCCACCGTACCGCACACCAAAGCAGATGATCCCAAACACTGCTTACGCAGCGAGTCAAACGCAAGAGAACACGCGACCAGCGATGAGCTACACGCGGTATCGACGCTCATCGATGCTCCAGACATCGAAAACACGTAGCTCAATCTTCCCGCAGCCACACTTGGTAAGCTTCCGGTGCCCATGGATGAATGAAATGCAGGTGCCCAGTACACATTGATTACGTCGGTCTTATACTGCGACACGGTGATGCCAACCCATACGGTTGTATCGTCTTGCTGGGATGAGATGTCGACGACCGCGAAGGCACCTTCTAGTAACGTTCTTTGCTGAGGATCCAAGAGAAGTGTTTCGACGCCTGGAATGCCAAATAGATCATTGTCAAACTCTGTGAAGTGCACCATGAATGCGCTAGAAAAAGGAAACGTCATGTTTCTGGCATCCATCCAAAAGTTGTTGTCCCAACGCCCATATGGCGCGATTGAAATCGCATCTACAGGGAAGCGCATGGTTGCAGCGGTGCGAATATCACCGCCCAAAATCACACCACATATGTCGGTCTGCGCAGTCATATTCATTTGTGGCGAGTGATATTCTTCCACGAGCTTTATCGATGGCTGAAGCACTGAAACAACGCACGCGCTGAGCGTATTGATTGATGGATAATCGTACACCAAAGTTGCCGGAGTTTGTACGCCAAATTCCGCGTCAATTTCCATCTTCAGCTCGTTCGCAGAGAGTGAATCTAAACCGGATGATGCAAGTGGAGCGTCTGCATCTGGGCTGCCGCCCAAAATGCTCTCGACAATACTTCGGACTCGGAAGCGGATGCGCTCTTTGTCTTCGATGACTTTTGGCTGGGCGATTTTGTGCCCACTTGTTCCCAAAAAAGATTCGAGCATCGTGAACATCGGAGCGTTCTTTACCATTTTGTTCCAGTCAAATGGGCTTGCGACGATCGAAGTCGTCCATCCAGTGAAAATTCGACGTAGGACGTCAACACCCTCGTCTGGCGTGATTGTGCCGAAACCGACGCGCTCAGCCCGAGCGATGTATGAACCTCCTCGCGAAGCCATGCCCACGGAGCACCAAGCACCCCATTGTACGCTAGAAAGTGGTCGCCCGTGATACTGACTGGAAATCGCGTAAAAGTCGAGGACGGCGTTTGCGGCAGAATAATTACTTTGACCAGGTGAGCCAAAAGTTGAAGCGATCGAACTACAAACGACGCTCGTGTGAACCGCCTCCAGACACCCGACACACATTTCGATGTTTTCAAACGCGCTTACTTTTGCAGCAAAAACTTGTTTTACGCCGTCGTGATTTTGTTTCGCGAGTGTGTTATCGAGAATTATCCCACTCGCGTGTAAAATCTTTCGTAAAGGAGCCCGCATCTTCGTCGACTTGAGAACTTCGACAACGTCTTCGTGATCAGAGAGATCACATCTACGAATAATGAGCGCGCTCTTGCCATCGATATCGCCGAATGACACATTTTGACGGCCGATCCGGCTCAGTAAGTTGGTGAATGAAGAACTCTCGTGAGAAAGTAGCCATTTAGCCATGTGAAAACCAACGCCACCGAGACCTCCGGTGATGAGTACGGCGTACGACGTTTGGTTCTCACTTGTTGACGATTCCATGTTGACGCGAGAAAGGCGTTGCTCGTACACCACTTGGGCGTCGATTTTAATATCACATGCTGCACCTGGGGCGTACGACTTTGCGCGTGCGTCATAGGAAGAAGCGTTCTCGGCACAACGAATGCCAGCGAATCGAATCGTAGGAAGCTCTTGTGCGGCGGTGCGCACAAGCGCCAGCAACGCGTCGCCGCGACACGCGAGTGGCATAACTTCTGCCGAAACAGCTGAGATAGACGCGTCATCGAAAGACTGAATCGCCGACAACCCGGCGCAGACGGCATCGCAAGCTTTTGCCGTGAGGTTGATTAATCGCAAAGATTGATGAGTTCGACCGCTCGCTGTCGCGACACCAGCCGCGCACCAAGATACGTGATAGAGCATGTCAGATATTCGTCGCGCGCTTGTAAATGCATTTGCTCGCACTCTATGTAGCGTGAGTCCCGTCATACGCGTCGCACTCGCAAGGTTACCGCATTCACCAGCCATGGTAACGCTGAGATGCCCGTGCGGAGGAAATCGCGTCAGCGTGCAATACGCGTTGAGAGATCCTAGCAGTGTCGCACCGAGCCGCAAAGCTGAATTTATCTGAAACAAAGATTCCAGATAGATCGGGTCGATGCAATCGGTGCGCACCTTTTGCGTGCGCTGAATCGAAGCGGTGATCGTGGTTGGCGGTGTTGCTCTGACAGCGTTCCATCGCGCGCCTTTGGGAGGAATTGAATGCACGGGTATTGTAAACCGACACGTTGCATACTTCACCAATGCGTCCGCTGATCCCGTCGTTACGAAGCCAGACCTTTTGTCAACGGTTACGACGACGTCTGTGCCGCGATTTTCAGCCAAGCGCAACGGCGAATGAATCGTGAAGCTGTTGACAACGGCTGATCTTTGCCCTAGCGTTGACGCGCACTGACGCGCGGTTTCAACGCAATGTCCACTAGGGAAGAACTTCATGTGTTGAATGCTCATATCGAATGCTCCTGAGTAAATGCGAGCATCGATACGGATTTGGAAGAGTACATTGTCGCTAGCGACGCAAAAGCTGAACAGCGCCGGGAATGTGGGCGGATCAATGGAGCACCAAGTCGCGAGATCGAGAAGAATTCTTCGATTCGTGCGCTTTATCTGTTCACTACGTACAGCTGACCGAAGTAGTGCGCTCGCGTTCGTGCCTGACATCCCGAACGCGCTCACGCCAGAGTGCTCACCGCGACCGTTCCTCTGATTTATCCGCACGCCGGCGCTCAAAACTCGACCAAAGGAAAATGGCGTCGACAACCCATTCGATATCTCTGCTACGTGAGGATTAAGATGTATCAGATGATGAATCGGCATTCGTTGACGATTTTTGTCGGAGATGATGGCGGAGAGAAGCCCAGCGATCCCAGCCGAGCCTTCGCTATGTCCAAACGAAGCTTTCACGCTCGTGATGGAAATGGCCACGAGATCTATCTCCGTACACTCGAGCGCCTCGCGAAGAGCACTGATTTCGATTGGATCTCCGAGTTGTGTACCAGTACCGTGCAGTTCGTAAACGGTAAGTTGCCCAACGCACCTCGAGCACGTCTCTGCTATGACTGCTGATTGAGCGGCGCCGCGGGGCGCGACGAGCGCAGCACTACGAGCGTCTTGGTTCACTCCGACGTAAACCAACGTCCCATGGCACGGATTTCCATTTTCAACCGATAGTAGACAACTACCGACGCCCTCACTTCGTCCGTAACCATCCGCAGCGTAGTCCAGTGTCTTGCAGCGACCATCCATGGCAAGTGCGTTTAATCGGCATATTTTTGAATGCGTGTTTACGAAAAGCAGAAGATTCGTGCCCGCGCACAGCGATGAGTCGCATTCAAATTTCATCATCGAGCTCAGACCAAGAGAGCACGCAACAAGAGAAGATGAGCACGCCGTGTCACAACCGATCGCCGGCCCAGACAAATTCGCGGAGAACGAAATGCGACCACTGAGGAAAGCCAATCCGGATCCAATTCCAAGAGTGGCGTTGGGCGAGACGAAAACACACTGAAACGACGACAAAACGTTCGAGTAATCGTCAGCCCACATACAACCGACGAATACGCCAGTGACGACGTCGGCACTCTGATTTGAAAAATGAAGCACAGGCAGCGTTTGACGGAGCAAAATGCGATGCTGCGGATCCACGTACGAGGCTTCGACGGGCGACAATTCACAAGCAAGCAAGTCTTCTTCGTCAAAGTTTGCAAGCAGCGCCGCAAATCGAACGTCGATGCTACCAAGAGGCGCTGTTGCGAAATCATCGCCGCAAGAAAAGTGGTGCTCGACGTCAAAGCGGCGAAGCGGTATGACAGTCTGAGCGTCGATCTCCCCGTGTGGAAATTCATCGCTGATTTCGGTGACGAAGACGCTTGAAAACGATAGCGGCGCGTGCTTCTGAGTGATGCTCGAGGCGCTCCTCCGAATCATCGTACGTCCGGCGACAAAGTTGATGACACTATTGAGATTGGGATGATCAAACATCAGCGTCGACGGTAAATCAAGTCCAAGTCTATCAGACAATAAATTCGCAAAAGACACGGCTTGCGTTGATCGCACGCCAAGTGACGAAAATGTCTGTTTCGTATCAATCTCACGGTCATCGTTCCAATCCATCGCATGAATAAACTCTTGGCGAACAACATCGCTGAGTTCCGCATGAGGACGGGTCCCGTCCTCATGGCTGCGAGTCGCAAGCTGTGCCTGCAATTTCAGCTTCAGCACTTTCCCAGTGGGCGATTTCGGTAAAGACTCAACAATCGTCAATCGCTGTGGACGCTTAAAATCGGCCAATCGCGACGAGCAGTGCTTTGTGACTTCACTAGAATTCAGTGAAGCCTGCCGCGAATTGAGCACTATCGCAGCGCACACGACTTCTCCCAAAACTTTATCAGGCATACCGAACACAGCACATTCCTCGATTTCAGGACGTTCAAGTAGCACAGCTTCAACTTCACTCGAGTACACGTTTTCTCCCCCGACGATGATGATATCAGACAAGCGATCTACGATTTTGACCGAGCCGCTCGCGTCAACCGTGGCGACGTCGCCGACGGTGTGCCATTTTCCATCAAAAGTTCCTATCACTGTAGGTCCTCGAACAAGCACTTCTCCTCTCGTCACGTCGTTCCATTCGACCGATTCCATACTTGTCGAGTCTTTGACCACGCAGACGTCGAAAAGGGGCATAGCGTGGCCAGCCCGCGCGAGCGATTCAATGGACGACGAGGGCGCGCCGAGCGTCGTACAAATCTTACCACAAGCCTCAGTGGCTCCGTAGTCGGTAAAGTACGTGCACTGGGGACACTGATACTTTAATGACGCCACCAAGTCTACTGGAACCGCCGAACCGCCGACAGATAACATCCGCAAGTGCTTTGCGGAGACAGCAAAGGCTGGATCGGAAACGAGCATTCGCAAATGCGTTGAAGTGAGCGCGGTCAACGTAACACCTGCATCTTTCATCGTTTGCAGCGTCGTTTTAACATCGAAGATTTCGCTGGCTGTACATACTTGCTTGGCGCCGACGAGTACGCAAGCGTACATCGCAAAGGCGTCCATCGCGTGAAAGAGCGGAGCCACGTGGAGCCACACGTCGTGGCTTGCAAACGCACAGCACTGAGCGACTGATTTCGCGTGTAACATCACTTGCCTTTGAGTGTGCGTGACGACTTTTGGTGCACCCGTCGTTCCACTCGTAAACATGACCTGAAAATCGCAATCAAGCAGCGCTTCTTCCGCCAGACGCGGCGTCCAGCACAGCGCGTCGCCTCGCTCAAGCTGAGAGAGTAGACCCAGACACGGCTCGTCAGACTCGGATAAGAAAGCATCGTATGTGTCGGTACCACCCCCTGATACGACGTCGACACCACCTCGATGTGCAGAATAGACGTCGAAGCACAGGCGCGTCGATTCGACCATCATGTCCATGAATTCTGCGAGTTGCTCTGTGTCGTAGTTCGGCAGCGCCAGTTCCGCCATAGAAGACGCCCCGGGCGCTGCGGCGTACAAAATCGACATCGGCTCGTCAGTACCGTTGAGATCGGAGTAGTCGATCATCAACGAATAGACCGCCGAAGCGATCTTATTCGCGTAAGCGTCGCCAGCAATTATTACTCTGACGTTTGCCACCTTCAAGCGTGAAGCCGTCTCGCGAGCTGACAAACGAGTATTGATGTCGACTCGTCGCGCTCCGAGTCCCGCGATAGCATAGGACGCGATGATAGATGCAGCTGTGTTATCTAGAAAGCAGCACACAGAATCGCCTTTTCGAATACCGTGATTTTGCTCCAACTGCGAAGCGAGCGTCCTCGCCTCGAGACGGAGCGCGCGGTAGGAGAACTCGACGACGGAATGTGCAGCATCGACGCCACGCGACGAAGAGTCTACGACCGCAATAGATGCCCGTGATTCCGGCGACGTTTTGCATCGATCGTCGAGCGCGCGCCATGGCGAAATGACGTCTTCAACGATCGCCGTGGGAATGGACACCTTGGGGATGAGTTTCGTCGAGCGAGGAAGCATTCCAAGGAAGGGATCTCTAGACCACGATGATGACGACGACGACGACATGAACAAGCAAACTAAGATGGATTGTACGCACGCGCGTTGGAAGACGTCGAAGTTTTGAGCGTTACGGCGAAGTACGCGCGAGCGTGTGAATAATTCGAGATGCTCTCGCGTGGTCACGTGGAAGCGATAGATGAAAATAACAATCCTTGGCTTACAAAGAAGATAACATGGAATTCACGACGTGGATACACAATCGTGTCCCCGCGCGTACTTCTGGCGCACTCGTCGGTGAATTGGCCGCAGCCATGAGCGACTGGTGCACCGTGCTGAGCACCGGCCGCATGTGTTGCCGCAACACGGGATCCGCCGGATCGACGGCGAGGCAAGAATCTCGAATCCAATCGAGCTTCTTGGGCGCGTCTGGCGTCGTCAAATCGCTCGAAAGCTGCTGAACAAGCGACAAGAGCACACCTTGCGACAACGGACACGGTGTTTGGCCAAAGATTCGATCACTCGCAACTTGGTTGACGAGCCACATGACGACTTCAACCTTGCTCATGCTGAGCGCCAGATTGAACGCGCGGTCGATTTGGTTTGCCTGTAGCAACTTGCTGATCTCCACAGTTGGGTCCAAGCGCTGTTCGATTTGAGCGAGCGTCTTACCTTGCGTCACGCTCTTTGGGGCCATCCCGGGAGGTGCGCCCATGCCCGAAGGTGCGCGCGCCGTGACCTTCGCCATGGCTTGCGCGACTTGATTTGGGATATCGGTCATCAAAGCTGTTGCGGCTTGGCGAACCTCGGTCGTCGCCTGGCGCAAACCGGAGACGAACGGCGTCGCTTGAGAAATTGCCGCAGATTCTCTCGCAGCGAGAAGCTCGGTGTTCAAGTCAGCCATACCTCGTTCAAACGTGTGCTTGACTTGCGTAAACATCGTCGAGCACGCGATTTCCATTTTTGGCACGACGGAGGTTTCCATCTGCGCTCGAACAGCGGCGTCAATGGATGGACCGACGATGGACTTCATCGCAGTTTGCGCGCTTGTTGCAGCAACAGATTGAGCGCGTCCGATGCCAGCTTCCAAAGTCTTTGCATTGTCCACGGAATGTTGTTGCAACAGAGCCGCGATAGCATTCGTGACGTCTCGCTTCAAGTTGGCTGCCGCGGTTTCGTTCGCCTTACGAGCGCGTTCCATGTCTGCCTTGCGCTCTTCTGCAGCCAGACGACGCTCATCGCGAACTTCGTTCAGAAGTTCGCGCATTTCGTTACGAATAGTCGCTCTCAACTGCTTCATATCGAACGCGGCGGCGACGGGAATCGCACCAGCGCCGCTCTCACTCATGTTGGCAGACTCAAACTCTTCATCTTCTCCCTCTTCTTCCTCTGCACCAGACTCGCCCATGCTTTCTTCGGACGACGCTGGTTGGGCCGCAGCAGCCTTTTTCGATGGAACTACCGCTGCACGCTCTTCCTCTTCGTCCTCCTCGTCGCCGGCGAGCTCAGCGCCGCCAAACATATCCGGAGTGAGCAGAGTGGCTGAAGATGAGTGCTCGAGCGAACCTTTCGTCTTGGGCGTACCCAACGAGCCGAGCGCCTCGAGAGCTCCGTCTGGTGGAATGCATGCTTCAGCCGGCATGGACAAGGTTTGAATCGCTTGCGTCTGTAAGCAAAACAATTGCATCGTCGCACTGCCGTCGCCATCGTACTTCACGTGGGAGTCAAAGCTCAAAATCGGTTGCGACGCCTCAAAGCGCGCAATGTAATCAAAGCTCTTCTCGAAGTGTAAAGCGTACACCGTGTTCATACGCGTGTTCGAAAGCAATACGATTCCTGTTTCGGGGTTATGCTGCAAGCATACGTTGAAAAGTTTGTCACTGTCTGACTTAAAGACGACGCGCTGCACCGCGAAAGGAGTTTCTTGCGTCACGTCGACGACGATCAACTCTGAGTTATTATCGTTACCCAGAATTACGCGTTCAGCCGAGGCGAAGACGGCGGTTTCCACCGTCCATGGAAGTGTATCCGTGCACTCAAACTCCGTTTCACCGTCCTCCTTCACCAAAACGTACGCACGGCCCTCGCTCGCGGCGACGAGCTTGCGACCCGCGGGGGCGCTGTCCACGCAAGACACCGGGGCATCAAACTCGATCACCTGTAAACCATCCATGGCTGGCGGGGCGTTGAGATCGATCTCAGCCGCAATTGCATCCCCTTTCTTCATCAGCGAGCACTCGTAGCACACCACGCACGTCCCCGCGCTCAGGGCGAATTCACACTTGCCGGGTTTTCGCGAATCTAGCGGGAGCCAGCACGCCGACGGCGGCAGGTGCCCGTCCGGGGTGTCCACTGCGAAGTCGAAGTCTACCAAATTCTGCGAACCGATCGTCCATCCCGCATCGTTATCGTCGCTCACATCGATCGAGGCCCCATCGTCGGCGCCTTGTAAACTCAACTTGCGAACCATCACCCGTCCTCGCACGTCCACCGAGAGCAACACGTCGGTGTTCGCCAAAAACTTGAGCGTCGAGATTGAATCGGAGTGTCCGCGAAGCAACGATCGCACATTGCCAGACTTTCTAGAAAACACTCGAATCAACCCGTTTCGAATACCGTAACATATGAAAGCATCGTTCACGGCGATCATTCGCAACTGCGCCTCGACGTATTTTGTCTCGTACACGGTAATCGGCGCCACCTAGATTGGGTACGTCGTCGGCATCCGCACCGTAGAATCGTCAGTCTCGGACCGTTTGCGACGCATCAGACGTCATTTCACGCGCGAGGGTTCGTGTCACTTCGCGCGCGTCGTCATCATCGCACCTCCAACGCGCTCGCGTCTTCGCCGTCTTCGCGACGCTCGACGTCGACGTATTCCTCCATTCGGTTCAACACCCGCCCTTTCGCCACGTTCGTCACTGCGTGTGCGTCATCACCCGCGTCAGTCTACGAGCGCATCGATCGCGATCGATTCGTTCGCGGTGCGTCGTCGTCGAATGCGTCGACGCGTCCGCCATCCATCGTTCGTCGCGTCAATCATCGGCATCAGCATCCAAACGCGATTCCTTCATCTCATCGCGCGCGCACATCGCGCGTGTGCGTCGCGCCGCGCCCTCGACGTACCGCTCCGTTCTGCATCGACGACTGCCGCGAGCGCGCGCGCCGCCGCCGTGGACATCTCGCGCGTTTCACGTGCGACGCACTTCGTCCTGTGCAGCGCGCGATTGCGTCGAGGCGAGAATCCACCGTCGCGCCGAATGTCCGATAACGACGTCTGTACGCGTATGTGTGTATTCAGTCGTGACGTGATTTATGACGTACTTATCTCACAGATCGCCTCCGTGTACGCATAATGACACAAAATAAAGCCATCACACTCCCCCACCATCCCCGCCGCCCGCGATGGGGGCTTCGACGTCTCGCCGCCGCGAGGACGCGATTCGGCGCCCGCGCGGTCGGCACACGTCGACGCCTCGCCGCGCGCGGTGACGCACATCGAAACAAGTTTTCGTTCGTTCGTATCAGCCATGCTCGCCACGACGACGACGCACACCTCCATGATGAGCGCGCGACGCGCGAGCCTCGTCTCGTCGCGCTCGACGCACGGCGCGCAAAGAGCGCCCGCGCGCGCGATCGTTCGCAAGGCGATCGTGAGCGAGGACGTGGACGTCGGGAAGACCGGCGCGGCGTACACCGAGTTCGCGTCGTTGTTGGACAAGTACCAGTACAACTACAAGGTCGGGGACGTCATCAGCGGGAAAATCAAGGCGTGCGACGCGAAAGGGGCGTGGGTTGAAATCGGGGCGAAGAGCGAGGCTTTGTGCCCGACGTCCGAGGCATCGCTCGGAAACGTGCGCAACGTGAGTATATATTCGTTTTATTCGTTGCCACGCGCGCGCGCGGGCGCGATCGCATCGTATCGCAACGAACGACGGCGACGCGACGGCACGGGATAAAACCTAGGGCTTTTAGGTCGCCGCGAGAGAGAGAGACGACGGCGATCCAGCGCGAACGAGGGAGAAATTGCGACGATACCAGGGACCGCGAGACTGACGAATCACGCGCGCGATGTTTTTTGTGCAAACGCAGGCTGCGGCGGTGTTCGACATCGATTGCGACTACGACTTCGAAATCATTCAGGACGACAACGGCGAGGGCTGCATGACGCTCTCGGTGCGCCGCATGGAGCTCGCGAAGGCTTGGGATCGCTGCCGCGAGGCGCAGGCGGATGATGCCGCACTCACTGGTGACGTCTTGAGCGTTAACCGTGGCGGTTTGCTCGTTGAAGTTGAAAAGCTTCGCGGTTTCGTGCCGCAAAGCCACATCGGCGTGCGGACGCTCAACCGCGAGGAGTTGATCGGTCAACAATTGCCGTTCAAGTTTATCGAGGTTGATGAGGAGAAGAACCGACTCGTGCTTTCGCATCGGTTGGCGACGGACATGGTGTCCGCGGAAGGCTTAGAGGTTGGCGACGTCGTGGAGGGCATGGTGCAAGCGGTGAAGCCGTACGGCGCGTTTGTGGACGTCGGCGGTCAGAGTGGATTGTTGCACATTTCTCAAATTTCGCACGAGCGCATCGTCGCCGTCGAAAACGTGCTTTCTCCGGGTGACCGCATCAAGGTGTTGGTCATGTCCAAGGATGCCGAGAAAGGCCGTTTGTCGCTCAGCACGAAGAAGCTTGAGCAAAACCACGGCGACATGCTTCGCAACCCCGCCGCGGTGTTCGAGACCGCTGAGGACATGGGTCGCCAGTTCAGAGAGAAGATGCAAGCCGCCGAAGGCGTTGTGATGAGCGTCGATGAAGCTTAATTGTTGCTAGACAGATGTTCGCTTTTCGCTCGCCGCTCGTGACGTAAAATCAATTTAACCAATTCTTGTGTGATACCACGAAGTAGAAGATTATCCTCACCGCACCGCACCGCTCCGCACGCCGTTCCTCACTGTCGAACGCGACGCTCGAGCACGATGCGCGCCATGACGGTAACGACGATGAACGTCGCTCCACGCTCCATCGGTGCGCGCACGCGTGGCGGCACGGCGTCTTCGTCGTCGGCCAACACGCCGAAGTTGACGCAGAAGTTGACGACTTCGACAACATCGACGGCGCGAAAGACGTTGACGAGAGCGACTGCATCGGCGCCCGACGCGCAAGCGCGAGAGGATGCGAAGAGAGCGCTGCTGAGCGCGATCGAACCGCTCGAGCGCGGGGTGAAGGCGAGCGATGAGGAAAAAGCTCACGTGGACGCTCTGGCAACAGCGCTCGAAGCGCTCAATCCAAACCCGAAATCACTCGCCGCACCGTGCATCAACGGCGAGTGGGAATTGGTTTACACGACGTCTGCGAGCATTTTAGGTACGAAAAAGCCGGCTTTTTTACGCCCGAGCGGGAAGATTTACCAAACAATCGACGCCGAGTCGTTGCGCGCTCGAAATCGCGAGACGTGGCCGTTTTACAACGCCGTAGCCGCAGAGTTGACGCCCACGAGCGATTCCGCGGTCAAGGTACAGTTTAAGAAGTTTTTTGTGTTTGGTGGTTTGATTAAAGTCACCGCACCCGAGCGAGCGCGAGGGGCGTTGGACATTACTTACGTCGACGACGAAGTGCGCGTTTCGCGAGGCGACAAGGGTAATCTCTTCGTGCTCATCATGCACGACAACGAGAAGCGATTGCCGGGCGAGGAGAACGCTTCGGGTTCACTTAAGGTTTTATCAAGCTAGCTACTTTTCCGTTCATTACACCTTGTAAATTTACACCTCCTTTGCACCGCGTACCACCGCAAACGAGCTCACCGGCCGCCCATCTGGTAGCTCCACTACGTCGTCGATGATGACATCCCAGAGTGCGAATACGTCACGCAGCTCGTTTGGCTCGAGCAAATCGCGGTCTTTCGTCGGTCGTCCGACGGATGTGCGCTCGCATCCCCGCATGAAATGAAACCACAACACCGCGCTTCGGTTCGGCAACATCCGTGGCAGGTCTCGTACGAACGGTTTATGAAGATATCTCACCGCGTATACGGCTAAAACGGGCGACCATGACTCAAGTGCGAGTATTTTGTCGATTGTAGCGAGCGTCTCTTCGGACGCACGCTTATTCAAATCTAAATCGAGCGTTCGAACGCTCGCCTCCACGCCGTGTCGTTCTGCCAAAGAGCGGCACCGATCCAATCCCCTTTTATCGTTATCGATCGCCACGACGTTCCATCCGCGACTCGCCACCCACACTGCATCTCGTCCCGCGCCTGATCCCACGTCCAAGCACGTCGGTCGCCTGCCGTCTTTGAAAGCATCCATCTTGCGCTCGACGCTCGGCAACCACCTCGCGAGTTCCGGCGACGGCTGCCAAAGTCGAAGTCGATCGCGAGGTGCGGGCGTACCACCGCCGCGAACTACTTCAAACAACCCATTATATTTTGACTCTGTGGCGTCGCTTTCGTCGATCGCAGCACACGCGTCGAAGAACGCCGGTGTCCCCGCGAACGCAGCTTCGAGCGACCACGCGACGCCTTTGAAGTCGCTCTCGAATTTCTTCGCAGCTTCGTCCACGTTGGCGTCGGCGTCGCAAATAAGCGCGAAGCGCGCGGTACGAGGAGGTATTAAATACGCCGCACCTTCGTCTAGCGCGCGCAGAGGGACGTTGGAGGACCATCGAAGTCGAGTCGAGGCAAAGTGCTGAGCATCGCGGACGTCGAGGAAAAACGCGCGCGAGACGCCCGAACCTTCGTCGTTCTCGGCACGCGAGAGAAAGCGCACGGGGTTATCTTGGACGCGCTCGAGCCATCGGTTGAAATTGCGCTCCACGACCGCGTCGGTGTGACCAGTCATAGAGTGCGGCGCCTCGGCGGTTAGAGGTTGGCTTCTCCGGTTGTCAGATGGAATAGAATGCTGAGCCTAGAAGTTACATTAATTGTGCTAATGGTGCGCGAACTACGATTCATCCTAGGCATCGTGCGAACGAGCGCGCTCGGCGTGGAGTGGAAGTAATCCTCCGTCGGAGGAAACGCTGTCGATGACGATGGCTTCGTCACCATCGGCGCCGCTACTCACAACGAGTTCAAACTGATCGTCGCCGACGGCGTGCGAGAGCAGTGTTTCGGTTTCGATTTCTTCTAGTGACTTACCATGTCCAGCGCTCATGTCCATCATCGCTCGATCACCTTGATCCTCGTGCCTACGATCTCGAGCGATATTCGATCGATGCAACGGTACGGGCGAAGCGACACCAGGATTGTAGTTTCCCGTCAGTCTATCTCGATGTTGCTGCCAAAAGTTCTTGATGTCTTGGTACACATCACGCACATCGAAAAGTTCGATGATGTTTTCGCTAAACTTCCTCTGTGGAGCCGCGGCTTGGCCCATGTTGTACTCTTCTGGTGGGAACGCGTACGAGTGCGCGATGGCGGCGAAGAACATCTCTATGCAGATGAAAAACGCCTGAATACCGTTCGCCAACTCCGCGGCGTCGTAATCGGATGCCCACGCTTGATCGTCGGCGGAAATAATCCCCGTCTTCACGAGCACCGCGAACGCCATGGATTGCCAAAAGGAAAAGAAGACCACGGCTTTGACGCTGACGAATTTCCAAAACGGGTTTATCGGGGCCAATTCTCGGTACATCACCTTGTACAGTAAAATCAAGCAATACATCGCCCACGCCTGACTCAAGTTGTTAATGAAAACCAAGTAAGGATACGCCACCCATGGATTCAAGATTTGCCCTTCACCGTACACGCCATTGCCGTCGGCTATGAACGCCGCCGCGCTCGTCACCGGTCGCACGACGACGTAGTTGATCACCCCGTGCCGACAAAGTCGCAGAAAAGGCTCACCCATTCTGGGTGCGCGCAGGAACAAGTTCAGCGGCCAAATGTGCGGCTGTGTCGCCTTACGCGCGACGATGTACGACAGCCCAGGTGAACAAAACTCTTGAAGATACACGATGCAATATGTGTAAAAGTTGTAGATGACGTAAGCTTCGTAAAACTCGCGAACCGTATCGAAAATAATCGTGTTCGACCTGAATCTCAACGCCAACCACGCGTTCACGGCGTAAATTGGTACCATGAACAATATTCTGATCACGTGTCGCTGTAATCTCGGCGCACGATAATTCTCCAGGTGCTGCGTCACTTCGTACAGCGTGATTGGCAACGACAACGCGACGAAGACAAACGCGATGAACCACGCGATGTAATGCGTCTGATAATCATGCTTCTTCATGTCGTAAGACACGAATGGCAGAGCTATAACGATCAGCGCGCACAAAAGCACCCAAAGCGTCTTCAATACCTTGCGAAATACCGTTCCGAGCGTGCGCTCGGGCGCAGCGGCCGCGCCCGCGTTCGCGCTCGCCGACGCCATCGCGCTCGTTCGCCGCGTTTCCGCACTCCCGCTGCTCGTCCCGCGTCCGCTCGAGCGATCAATCGTCACCGCTCGACGTTGTTCGTCGCCGTCGTCGTCGCGCGCGCGCCTCGACGAAACGACCGACGTCGAATCTAATCCAAATATCAATCAAACGAACGAACGACCGCGCACGCGAACGCGCGCGCGCGCTCGAGCTCTCTCTCGCGCGCGACTACGACGAGACTCGCGGTCGCGCGCGTCTGGTCGCGTCCGGGCGCCGTCCGAGCACCGCGCGCGCGTGCCGCGTCCGTGCGCGTCGCGACGTGACGCTCGCCCGCGCCGCTGCGCGCCGTGCGCGGACGCGACGCTCGACGGACCGATGCGACACTGCGCGACGCGCTGGGGTGAAGATGACGACGAACGCGAGCGATGATCGAATCGCGCGCGGATTGCTCGGCACCGCGAACGACGACGTCAGCGTCGATCGGTTGGCGTTTCGCTACGTGTTCGTGCCGTGGGACGAGACGCGCGCTATGGAGGAGCGCGTGATGGTCATCCCGCGCGAACGAGAGATGGAGTGCTTGCTCGACGCGCTGCGCCTACACTTTCGCGTCGAAGGCGCGAAAGACGGCGCGCACGGACGAGACGAGGCGAAACAAAAGGAAATACTAAAGGCGCAGCTGGAGAGCCACGGCGACGGCGGCGGCGGCGGCGGCGCGAAGACGCTGTCGGACGATATGATGGCGGCAGCGCTGTCGATGCAGATGGCGCAACCCGTGCCTTTATTGCCCGGGTCGAAAAAAACCGGGTTCGTGCACGTGAACATGTACGTGGACGATCGAGGAATATCCAAAGGTTTGCCGACCAACGTGCGAGCGAGTCGCATGAGCGCCGAGGCGGGGTCACCGCAGCAAGTACTCGGTGACGCGTTCATAGCGCGGATATTCGACGACGACGATCAGTTCAAAAGATTAGATTTCACGTTGGACGAGTGCTCGAGCGATGCGGCGTGGATAATGAAGGCCAAGACGTTGGCGGTCGAACGCCAAGAAAACGTCGGCGACATCGCGCGCACCATGGCCGAGTTCAAGGCCAAAGGCGCGGTAGACTTAGACGCCGAAGCCGCGCCCAAGGCGCCCTTAGATCCTTCACAGCGCCCGGGTCCGCACCAGGATTTCGAATGGAGTCAAGACGACGAAGAAGTGACTCTTAAGGTTCGCGTACCCGCGCACACCACGAAGGCGGACGTCGCGTGCGTCTTCGGCCCCGGCTCGCAGAAGATGTCGCTGCAGATTAAAACGTTGAGCGAGATCGAGGGCAAGTCTATGCGCGTCGTTGATAACGAGGGCGATGTCGATCTTTTATTTCAAGAAATCATCCCGGACGAAAGCTCGTGGTCGCTCGTGACAAATCACGGCGAGCGCGCTTTTGAAGCTTCCCTCGTCAAGAGGCTCGAGTCGGTGCGTTGGTTGTCATTCCTCCGACGCGGCGGGCCTCCGGAGACGACGTTCTGATGCGACGACGATTGAATAGAATGAGTGCGAAACGCGCGTCGCGCGTGAACGATGACGCGTGGGTCGACGCGTGCAACACAAACGTGCAATACATGTAATACTTCCACCTCCACCTGTTCGGGGCACAGGATAAAATCGAGAGATTCAAGATGAGCCTGCTCGCAGTCCATCGGCCGCATCGCGACGCGCGAACGTCGCGTGCTCGCGCGCGCACACGCGTGCTCGCGCGCGCGACATGTCTGCGATCGATGTTTCGTCCGCGTCGACGCCGGCGTCGATGACGACGCGAGAACTGACGCTCAACGACGACATCGCGCGCGCCGCCGGACGGTCGATGACGTCGGACGCATCAACCTCCACGCTCGGCGCACGTGCGCGAGCTGAGTCTCCAAAGATGGAACACAGACACGTGAGCGCATACGATCACGCCATCGCCGGGCAAGTTGCGGGCATGGTTGGATTGGCGTTGGTGCACCCGCTGGACACTGTGAAGGCGCGACTCCAAGCGCCGGCGCCGGCCGTGACGACGGCGATGGTGAACACGACGAGGGGAGCGATGTGTGTGGCGAAAAGTTTGGTGGCACAGGACGGTGCACGTGGTCTGTATCGCGGTCTCACGGCGCCGATGTTAGCGTACGGCGCCATCAACGCCGTGGCGTTTAGCACCAACGCGTACGTACGTGACTCGATAGAAGAAGCCTTCGGAGCCGAGGCGGCATCTACCACGCTTGCAGGAGTGGTCAGCGGAGCATCTGCGGGTTTAGTGTCAAGCTTCGTGCGCGGCCCGGCTGAGAGATTGAAAACGATCCAACAAGTCGTGGATTGCGACAGCGGGCGATATCGTAGCGCGACTTCGACGGCGTTTACGCTCGCGCGAGAACATGGCGTGATGAAGGGAATATTCGCCGGTACCGGAGCGACGATCGCGCGAGAGATCCCTCAGTGTGCTGTGTACTTTCTTACGTACGACCGTTTGAAGAGCGTGTGTATGCGAAAGTTGTGCGGAGATGGCGTCGACGCTCGAGACGCGCCGCCGTCGACGCGAGCCGCCGCTATCGTGCTCGCGGGCGGAAGCGCCGGTGCGGTCCAATGGCTCTTGACGTATCCGCTGGATGTCACTAAGAGTAGGATTCAAGCCGCGGCGCCCGGTGTGTACTCAGGCGTTCTCGATTGCGCGATGAAATCTGTCTCGCGCGAAGGACCGATGGTGCTGTTTCGAGGCTTGAACATGGCGCTTCTTCGCGCGTTTCCACTTCATGCGAGCATTTTTGCATCGTGCGAGGCGGTACACTCATTACTTGCGCACGTGCGTGGATCGCGGGACGACGGGGGTATCGGATATTAGGTCCGAGACGGCGTCGTGATGAGTAATATTTATTAGGTCACGCCTGTTGCTCCTACAAACATTAGCATAGTCTTTTGTAGCATCTAAGTGGAAATACGTAGTAGCGACCACCGTCCTCACTATCCTCTTATTTCTTACCCTTCGCCGGCTTCGCCGCCGCAGCCTTGGGCGCGTTAACTTCCGCCTCGGCGGCCGCGCGGACGGACGCGAGGGTGCCGCGCTTCGTCTTCACCGACATGCCCGTCTTCTTCGTGCCTTCCAACGTGTAACCAGAGCTCGACGCTTGCGTGGAGGAGAACGCCATGCCGGATTCGCGGCCGAGACCGCCGCTACTGGCTTGGGACGGAATGGTGATGGCCAACGCCGACTTGGCCGCCATGGACGCCGCTGCGTCGAGGAAACGTCGAGTTCGTCGTCAGTCGTTGATATAACACTCGAGCATCGCCTTCGTTCGTCGATGGCGAGCGCACTCTGGCGTCTCAAACTTTTCATCGCGTCGAAAGCCGAGTTTCGCGCGCGTGGCGACAATCGTACGTACCCGCGGTGAAGGCGACGAGCGCCGCGCGGCGCGACTCCTGCTTATCCGCCGCGGCCGCGGTCGCGACGCGGCGCGAGCGTCGCGCGTTGGTCGGCTTGGCCGTCTGTGGTTCGGAACATCGTTCGTAGTGATCGTCAGTCGGCGTTCGAAGCATCGCGCGCGTCGTCAGCGCCATCAAAGCGCCCACGCTCGCCGAGCGATCACTCGTCGATCGAGGCGCGATCCGACGCAGCGTCGAACCGTCTCGGCCTCGGGTTCGTCGCGCGCGCGCGCGCGGCGTCCAAGCCTCGCGCGCGCGGCGTCGACGCGAGGGAACGAGTTTTACGCACCGCGCGGAGGATCGTGGTCTGCGAGGTAGCGGCGAACATCGTGCGCGTCGAGTGCGTGTATGACGCGGCGCGCAGAGATACACCGTATCGATACGAAAACGAAAACGAACGCGCGCGATCGCGATTTCGAGCGCGTCCCGGCGTTGGCCGAACCCTAGAAGTTTTTATCGAAACGCAGCACGTATTGCGATGTCGTCACGCACCGTGTATATTCACAGTCGCGACGTCACGACCGAACGCGCGCGTCGCGACGCGCGGCGCGCGAGACGACGACGCGGAACGCTTCGGCGCGCGCGATCGACGAGCGATCCCTCGAGCGCGCGCGGCGTGCTGCGAACGCGCGCGAAGCCGCGCGCATCGAGCGCCGCGGGTGTCGAAGAACATCGTAACACCCCGATTGTGTCGAAAACACGTGGACGATCTGCGGCCACGGCGCGCGTGAACGAGGACGGCGCGCGCGGGAGCGATGAAGAAATCTTACGGCACGCTCGCGGCGGCGATCGGCGGTGACGGGCGCGATGAGTCCACGCCTTTACTTCAGAATCGCCGCCGCGAAGCCGCGTGGGCGCTGACGGTGAGCCTGGTCCTGGCCGCCGTCGTCGGGGCTTCGATGCTGACGCTCGCGTACGTGCTCACGACGAATGCGAAATCTGTGGAAGATCACGTGAAGGCACAATTGGGAGGTTGGACGAGTTTCGGAAAGTCGGCGGCGGCGACGACGACAGCCACGGCGGCCGCCGCCGCGGGACGCGCGGGGGCGACGTGAACGCGCTCTCGACCGCGTCGCGGCGACCGGGCGCGCGGGGCGCGCGAACGCTCGCGGTGCGATTTGAATCCTGTACAACACCATTGCTCATCGTTTCATGTGTAATAAAGGTCGTTCCTTCGTTCCCTTCGCCTCGCGTCGCCTTCAACGTCGCCACCGACCACACTCACAGCCTCGCTCGGAGTCCGACGCGCAATGAACGTCACCGAGCGCGAACCTTTGGTCGCGCGGTCGCGAACGGGCGATGACGACGCGCAGAATGACACTACTAACACGCGCGCCTCTTCGTCGGCTTTGGATGCAGCGGTCCTAGGTCCGCGCGCGTTCGTTTCCGCGCGGACCGGCCGAAGGGTGTTGAACGTCGCGTCTGCGCTCGTTTCGGCCGCGCTCGTCGCGTACGCGGGGACGTCCAATTTATTGCGCGGTGGGAAGAACATTACAGTTCGGCAGTACGGGAATGGACTCGGGAGCTTGAAGTGGGATCCGACGAACGGGTTTCGCACACATCCAGGGGCTGGAAAAACTCGAGACGAGGGGTCCGGTGCTCTACTACAAAGAACGATCGAAAGGTATTACCCGTCGAGGCTGACCCCGGGATCGGCGCCGTTCGAAATACTCTTCACATCTACCGATTGTCCGCACACACCGTGCAGTGCGCATGGATATGCGAAGGATCACTGTGATTTTGAAAAGTGGGACACGATATACGCTTTCGGAAGTTCTCCAGTTAACAAAGCGACGCTTCCGACGATGCACTCGGCGACTTTACTCGTACTGATCGATTGCATGGACATCGATAAGACGTTGGGACCGTCGCCTACTCTCGATGTTACGCCAGATATGGAACCTACGTGCGAGTTTTTGGAGATGCCGTCGACGAAAGACGACATGTCGAAGTGCGATCGCAGTGCTGGAAGCAGTGCGACCAGTTTGGACTGCAGATACTACGGGCTTTTCAATATTGATGCCATGGAGAATAAGAGTGATTACGAATGGGACAACTTGATCGACAAAGCCATCTGGCGAGGGAGCGATTACGTATTCCTTTCTGGTCATTGGCCAAATTCGAAGCCGGAAGGGGAGAGTTTCTTCAACGAAATCGCCTCTTCGGCAAACAGGGAAGGCAAAATGAAAAAATTGATCGCCGGCAATAGAATCGGACCGCGAATGAAAGCGGTGCTCATGAGTAAGTTAAACTCATCGCTCATCGATGCCAAATTTTTCAACTGGGGGGGGGGTCACGCTGCCGGTCCGCTTCATTTGGACACGAGGGAGCACATCGAAGAAGATACGTTTGGCAAGTATCGCTATCAGTTAGATCTTGGCGGCGGCGGTGGGACGACGTGGAGTGGAGTCATCCCCAAGCTTGCCATGCCCGGGGTCCTCTTTCATCACGTCACGTCGATGAAGGATTCGTACTTTGATCTGCTCAAGCCGTACGAACACTACTATCCCTTGAAGGAGGACTTCAGTAACTTTGAAGAGCTCGTTCAAGAAGTGAGGGATGACCCTGAAAAGGCCAAGCGAATCTCAGCCGCCGCCACGGCGTGGGTAAAAGAATTTCGCAAAGTGGGTAGCTTGCTGAAGCACAACTACGACACCCTCGCGGTGCCGCTAGCGCGCTCTCTCGATCCGACGCGTCAGCTCGAGCCGATTGCGTTTCACGTCGCGCATCCGAACCTTTGAACGAAACAGAGTGCTAGCTAGTGTTTTATTTAGAAAGATACCGGTACCGTGTATCCATCAACCCTCAGCTCGCCAGTCGCTCGGTTCGCCGTCTTCGGCGTAGTTGACGAACGCGACTTCGCGATTGATGACCAGGTCTTCTCCGTCTCGCCTTGGCATCTCAAACCGAAATTCCGCGCGTTTCATCTCATCACCCGCGATCAATCGCGCGCGCGGCGCGCCTGCGTTGATAGCATCGATCTCGCTACGTAAAAGTTCCCACCGCTCGCCATCCTCGCGCAACGATCTAGTAAACTCCACCACGTCCTCGACCTCACAGTCTTTCGGCACGAATTTTGCCACGAAACCATCGACGTCGTTCGCGCGCCCGAGCGCGGCGAGTTCGGCGATTCGCGCGCGTAAACGTGCGTCCTTCGTCGGTGCGTTCGCCGTGCCCGCATCACCACCGGGCGCGACGCGATCGGTGGTCGTCATCCGTGGCGTCGGGCGCGACGTCGAGTGGCGGCCGCCCCTCCTCACTACAACGACTGGTGAGGCAGGTGAAATCCATCAGAACAGACGCGCGCAGATTACTTTGCGATTCGTGCGCGTTGCAACGCACCGACGCGTGTATACGATAGCGCGCTCGAACGGCGAGTAATAAGTACCTGAATATTACAAAACATAGTGTACATGGAGCCGTTCGCTGTTATTTGCGCGCGCTCTGCAAAAAGTTGCATTCGTTCCAGCGCGTCGTGCGAATCGAAGCGCTCAAGCAGCGGCACTCTTCGAACCTTTCGATCCAAGCGCCTCGGAGTGTTCAGGCTGTCCGTCGGCAACTGGCGCGCCAAGACTAGATTCAGGACTCGGCGCGCTCGAACGTTGCCCACGCGATCGAAGTTTTGCGTGTTCGCCGCGATATAACTCCGCCGATGGATCTAAAAGCGCTTTCGCTTCGTTGACGCGCTTCACCACCGCCTCAGCAGCCGCAGCTGCGGCTTCAGGGTCGTCTCGGGACGACCGCGAGTCTTCATTGCCGCTCGCATTCTCTTCAGCCGCCTTCTTCGCCTTTGTTTTCGCCGCAGACGCTTCCTGTACGCCCGCATTCACCGCTTGAGGACGACCGAACGCGCCCGGTGGCGTTGATCGAACGAGATCACTCTTAGGAGGGCAAATAGCAGTCGATACCTGAGGAACGATCGGCCATTGCTTCTGTGACGCGCTGGGCTCTCCTTTGCCACCATCGACGCCCGCGATCGAGGCGCGTCCTCTAGCACACTCGCCCGCAGCGACAAGCTGCGCCGCATTTCGATTCGTTGTTTGGTTCATGTGCGACTGGGCGTACGTCCCTCGCGCATCGCGGATCGCACGTGCCTCGGAGGCGTAGTATTGACCGAGCGTTCCGTAGGCGGTGCGTTGATACATCATCATTCTGTGCGCGAACGTCGCGGCCGCGCTCACAGGATCCCCGTTCGGTGAAGCGAAGTAATGATTTCTCATCGACGTGTTATCATCCGTCGCGCACGTTTCATTCACGTTCACCGTCACGTCTGCACTCGACCGAAACGCTCCCGCGTGCGGCGCGTAAAAGCTCGTCGAAGCGCTAAACGCCGCTTGTAACTGACTGGCGTAGGCCGCCGCCGCCGACGCCATCATGGCGTTCGTTAGAGGCGTGGACATCCCTGGTATTCCCATCGGTAACATCGCGCCGATTCTCATTTGTCCCAAGTCATCGTTGATCATCACTCGCTTCGTGCTCGTCGGTGGTCTTCCTCGTCGTCGCTTCCCCGTCGCCGGCGACTGCGTCTGCCTCTGTGTCTGTGTCGTTTTCCGCGCCTTTTGCGCCTTCGTTTTCGTCGTGTGCGTCGTCGTTGGCGCCACTTTCGTCGCGTTCACCGTCTCCATGATTACCGGCGTCGTCTTCGTCATCACGACCACCGTCCGTGACGCTGTCGCTCGCGCGCGCGATTCAATCGCCCGGTTGACGTGCCTTTCTCTTCAACGACCTGACGCGGATCGTTGGACGACGATTCGCACGTTTCCCGGCGCGGCGCGCGTCGCCGCGAAGCCCGATGGACGGATGCAGACGTCGACGACGATGCTCGTCACCACGCACTCGCGCGCGTCGTCGTCGTCACGCGCGTCGTCGTGTGCGGTGCGCCCGAACAACGACCCGAGCGGCGGCTGGAGAAAAACAAGCGAAAAAGCGAACGCGTCAATCAGGAGCGATTTCGAAACGATTCGATTCGAGTCGTTCGCGCGCGTCACACCGCGAAGTGGGTTCACGTTGGCGTTGATGCCGCAAGGACAGACGTTAAAGTCGAAGGCGAAGCGAGCGACCGGGCGCGTCGGGGCGGGCAAAACGAAGAAGGTCGCCGCGAATCGACACGGAAAAGTCATAAAGCAAAGGAAGGGCAAGTTTGCTTTCTCGCCGTCGAGCACGGCGTCGGTAGTCTCGAGGCACAAGCAAAACGCCGACATCACCCGGCAAGTAAACGAGAAGAACGAGCTCGAGTTCAGTCGACGCGCGACCGCGTCGGGGGGGACGTTTCGCTTATTGAAGGCGCCCGAAGGCGTCGAGCTCGGCGAAGCGAATCGCGGCCCGAAGCCAAAAAAACGCGCGAAACCGGTGGTTAAGACGCCGGCGCAATTGCAGGCGGAGAAGAACGCATCTAAGTGGTCTTATTAACTCGGTGGTTAAGACGCCGGCGCAATTGCAGGCGGAGAAGAACGCATCTAAGTGGTCTTATTAACTCGGTGGTTAAGACGCCGGCGCAATTGCAGGCGGAGAAGAACGCATCTAAGTGGTCTTATTAACTCGGCACTCATGCGCGTGGAAGACGGTGGAGACGTGGCTTTTGCCGGGTACGACGTCGCTTACGACCGTCGACGAGTCAAAATCGTGCACGACAGGTCCGCTTTCGTGCAGTTACCCGCGGACGTGGTCTCCGCCACGCTGCGATCGAGAACACACGGAGGCGAATTTCCTCGTCACGTCGTCTTAGAGTTCGAGGACTCGAAGTCGAGTCGCCGACGCCGTCGTGTGTTGCACTTCGCTTGGGCTGGAGGAGTCACGCCAGGCGGCGAAAGCGCGCGAGAGATTGGCGTGCCGCACGCTTTGGCGAGCTCGCTCGGGATTAAGGATGGCGACGACGCCCGCTTTGCGTTCGGCAACGAACTCAACGCCGATCTTCCGACGGCAGAGAGCGTGTCCGTGGCGCCGTTGTCGTCAGACGACTGGGAAGCTGTCGTCGTTCAAGCCGAGGCGATGGAGGCCACGCTGTTGTCGCAAATAGGTCTTGCGGCGATCGGGCAGACCGTTCCATTTTACGGTCCCGGAGGAGGAAAGCCATTATTCTTGCGCGTGCAGTCGATTGCTCCCGCTAGCGCTCAAGTCGCGCGCTTAGCCGCAAACACCGAGCTCATCGTCGAGCCGTGGCGCGCGTCTACGACGATGGATTCAGACGACGAAGATCTCGTAGGTGGCTTGGATTTGCGCGAGTGGTTAGAGAACTTCGACGAGAATAAAACATCGACGGTATTGCGGCTACAACATCCCACGGGGGCGTGCGCGAAGCTTTTGGACGCGCATCGACGTGTGGTTTCCTACGAGCGCCGTGAGTTTGAACAAGAGTTGGAAATACCGCGCTCGACGGCCATTGCGGTGGGTAGCGCGACCGCAAAGGAGCATAAGATTCGTCACGGATCGCTCGTGCGTGCGTTTAAGCACTCTTTCGAGCGCGAGTTTGATTTTTCCCGCACAGACGACGACGTCACTTCGTTGTTCCTGCGCGTCATCGTCGTCGACGACGACAAAGTCGTCGCTCCGCAACACGTGGCGATTTGCGCAGCTGCGGCGCACGCGCTAGAACTTTTCCAGGGAGATTTGATTCGCATAAAAGAAGTGGATGAAGACGACGTGAACGAACCGACAGCGTTCACCGCACGTCTGCGACCAGTGTTGCCCGCGTTTCCGAGCGAAACCACGGATGACAAAAACGCCGCGGCGACGAGTGGCGACGATCTTTTTACCAAAAGGCGATCTATTCTCGCGATAGCTCGAGCACTCGGACCAGTGTACGCAGTGACGCTCGGGTTCAATGCGCCCGGAGCGGATCTCGACTCGAAAGCGCACGCGGAGTTTTACGACGAAAGCGCACGAGCGCTCTTCATCGCGTGGTTGAGAGAGCAATCAACTTTGGATCGGGAAGACGGTGTCGACGGCGCGGTCGTGATCAACTCAAAAACTCGAGTTGCCGTGAACGTCCCAGACAATGACGATCGCGCGAACGCGATTTTCGAAGTCGAGCTGAAGTATCCAGCTTCGGCTCGAGTGAGCAATCCCGAAAAGCCGATTCTAGTGTCGCTTAAAAGTCTTTTGGCCGGTCCGTCGTCAAAGATTCGCGTCGAGCTCGGCGAACCGATTCGAACGCCTCGAAAGACGTCGACGAGAAATCCAGCTCCGGGCGTGACGGTTTGGCCGACTATTCCAAATGACGACGAGTTTGCGCACATCCCGGGCGAGGCGCTCCGCGAGCACACGGACCACGTTCTGAAAAATTTAAAGACGAGCTTGTGGTTCGACGCCATCGCGCTCAGAGACGAATATGGTATCGGTATGTGCGCAGGAACGCTCGTCACTGGATCCAAGGGTCGCGGACGCTCGCGACTTGTAAAGTCGTTGTGCAAACACTTGGCGACCGATGTCAAGGCATTGAGCGGCGTCGTCGAAATCAAGTGTGACGAGCTTCCAAAGCCGCATTACAAAGCGTTGGAGGCGATGCGCGCTGGTTTTGAAGCTGCAAAATCGAGGCAACCGTCGATATGCTATCTGTTGAATCTTGAGAAAATTTGCGGCGCCGACGCCGACGAAGAAGGTCAGAGTAGCGATAGTTATCATCTGTCGTGTATTATCGCCGACGCGATGAGCGAAATGGCGGATGCGGATGAGGTGACGTTTATAGCGACGGCGAGTGAACGAGACGCCCTATGCAAGCCGCTTCGAGAGCAGGACGTGTTTGAGTACGACTTTGAAGTGCGCAAGCCAAACATGGATGCGCGAAAAGATGTGATTCTTTCGTACGCCGCGCATCGAGGCGTCGATTGCGACGAACAAGTCGCCGACGCGATTTCTCAGAGAACGGATGGATTCGACGTCGCCGATTTGCGCATCATCATGGATCGAGCTATTGAGTCGGAGATCGATCGCGCGCTCAGCGTACGAGCTAACGAGTCTCACCGCGCTATCGGCTCGCGTATTCGCGTGTCATCTAACGAGCTCAAGGATGCGCTCAAAGGCTACACACCGATCGATCAACTTTCCTTGGCAAAGTCAGATGGGCCCGACGGCGAAGGCATCGACGAATACGTCGACGGCTTCGATTCAATCGGTGGCTTCGACGAGGTCAAACAAATTCTCGAAGACGCCATCGCGCTTCCCGCGAGACATCCAAAGATTTTTTCACAGTGTCCCCTGCGTTTACCGACTGGAGTGCTCCTCTACGGTCCCCCGGGGAGTGGCAAATCTGCAATGGCCAAGGCGGCGATAGTCAACGCGGGTTTGCGCTCGATCACAATTAAAGGTCCAGAACTGTTTTCCAAGTATTACGGCGAAAGCGAAGCGACACTGCGAAAACTTTTCAAGAGGGCGGAGGACGCCGCGCCGTGCGCGCTTTTCTTCGACGAGTTTGAGTCCTTGGCGCCGAGACGAGGCGGGACAGACGGCGGCGTTACCGATCGCATGGTCAATCAATTCTTAACGCTGTTGGATGGCGTCGAATCGCTCGTCGGCGTGTTCGTCATCTGCGCCACGTCGCGCCCAGACGTCGTCGATCCAGCGCTTTTACGTCCAGGGCGTCTCGATCACTTGCTGTATCTGCCAATGCCAGACGCGATCGCTCGCGCAAAGATCGTTCGAACACTCACGCGCGAGATTAAAGTTGCACCGGGTGTAGATTTGGTCGCCATCGCCGAATCGGAGCGCATGGAAAGCTTCTCAGGCGCCGATTTGGCTGCGTTTGTGAGCGAGTGCGCGAACGTCGCCGCGACGCGAGTCCTTAAGACGTACACTGCAGCGGTTGAACGCGGCGAAGACGTGGCTGAGCCGAACGCTCCGCCGACGATTGAACCGCACGATGTGGTCGAGGCTCTGAAACGTTCACGCGCCTCGCTGTCGCAGGAGACGTTGCTGTTTTACAAGCGCGTTCACGAAGACTTTAGAAATAGTCGCCGCGCGAGTGGCGTAGGCGGCGACGCGCAGACGTTCGCTTCGCAATAACGAGAACCTCATACGGCCTAGAAATTAAAGATGTAAAATGCAAAGCGACCCCCACGCGATTACCGTCGTCGTCCCCGCGTCGTCACCGAGCGCGCGACGAAGATGCACATGCGCGAACCACACGGGGATCGCGAACGAACGATCGCGGGCTAGAAATAGAAGGGTTTTGCACAGGAAGGATGCGAATGCTAGTGCCTTTTCACGCCTCAGTACGACCCAGAGAACCTAGGAGTAGGTGTAATAAGTATTAGCTAGTCGGTCGGTTACGGCACTTCTCCCGACGCGCCTACCTCCCTCATGCTTAGGGTTTAGGGTTTAGGGTTTAGGGTTTAGGGTTTAGGGTTTAGGGTTTAGGGTTTAGGGTTTAGGGTTTAGGGTTTAGGGTTTAGGGTTTAGGGTTTAGGGTTTAGGGTTTAGGGTTTAGGGTTTAGGGTTTAGGGTTTAGGGTTTAGGGTTTAGGGTTTAGGGTTTAGGGTTTAGGGTTTAGGGTTTAGGGTTTAGGG